CTGGGAAAAGCGCCGGGGGCTCAGACCTCGCGGGTGTTCGTGTCGTCGGCCCCCTCCTGCCGTCGTGGTCCCAACAAAATGGAGCTTCGATTTTGTGAGCTGTCAATTATCTCGGCGGTGGAAATGTGCTCACATTCCTGATGATAAGATGAGCAGAAAGGGGCGACCAGGGAATGGGAGCCAACTTCCTGGCTGGTCTAACCTTGGAAGTGGAGTTTCACCTCGACATGCCCCCCAAGCGACGCGAGACACTGACGTTTCGTAGGTCATTTGTAGCTGCTGGAGTATGCGAGTATGCAGGGCCTCGATACCCTCGATTCCTGTGTTTTGCAGGCTTCGCTGCGCCCATCTTGCGATTATCTACATCCTACTAGACAGAAGGAGTACGATACGATATGCTCGATCTGGCGGTTGCAGCGCCGCTGCCGGGGGGAGGCGCACTATTGTTCGCACCCTTTTGAGACGTCGATTGGACGCGCGACAGGCCCTGAGGAGATGTATGCTCATTTCCGTCCAGCTGCATTGAACGTAACTTCCCGCGCGTTCCGATCGATCGAGACAATCGAAGTTTATCGTGGATGGTCGCGTTCTCCCCGTGCTAGTTCCCAACCCCTAGGAACCTCCGCGGGCCGGTCTGCTCGCTAAGATACCAAGGCCGTCCTTGCGGATGCTCGAGCGCGAGAGCGAAAGATCGCGGCACTTTTTGGCTTTCGGCTTTGCCACCTTGATGCAGCCCTTGGTCTCGAACCCGAGTCGACGGGGCCGCCTGGGGTTCTACAACTGTCGCTACTCACTAAGTGCATGCTACTAGGAGGGACTACGGCAAGTGGAGAGGTTGACAGGTCCCTTTGCTCAAAGGTAATACTGATGTCGAGTGCCGGAGGCCACGCTTCGACGACGCCCGACAGGAGGATCTAGACCTAGGCTAGACTTGCCTCGATGATGTGCCATCTACACGACTGTGGAGTGCAGTTTAAGCTGATGAGCTGACAGTACTTTTGATGCTGACTGCTGCAGTCGACTCGATGTATACTTACTACATACATCATAGAAGCCAACGACCTGTGTCACTACACTCATAGTATGTAGGACAGTCGACAATGCCAGCGCTGTTGCAGTGGAGAATACCTGGGGCAATCTACACCTTACCTACTTTCAAGGTGATACCGTAGTCAGGTTACCTCATCTCTCATCTCGGCAATTATCTCATTCCTCCAGTGTTTCGGCCTCGGCCATTGCGTATGCCAGCTCTCAGCTTTTTACAATTGTACTAGTATAGTGTTAGGATACTTCGTACGAGTAAACAGGACATACTTTGTCCCCACTTGTTCTAGCGCGTCCCAAGGTTGAAGACCGGGCACTAACACGGCATCCGCGGCCCAATCACACGCCAGGATCGCAGGTTCTTGATCCCGCCCAGGGGAACAAAACCAGCCTCAGCTCCTCCAACGAGGAATCCTTCTCCACCGGTATCGATGCCTGTGTATCGAAGGTGTATATACCGTACCCCGGGATACCATCAGATACCTCATAGTATACCAGGATACAAGTACACGGATACCATCGTTTCACCGGCCTGTCGACTGTTCCCCCGACCAACAGGAAGCCACCCTTCCCCTGGAACCCCCCTTGTCCCACCAGTGGCGAGCCCCATCGGAATGCAGGCTCCGGTGCCGCGGTGACGGGTACGAAACATCTGCCGCTGCTGCTGCTGACTGGCCGTGCTTCTTTTGGCCCTTGCGATGAATCTCCCGCTAGCGAATCCCCCGGCGGTCATGTGAGCGTGGCTTGAGAACATCCCCCGTCGCCACTAATTCGGGTCGGATCCTTGAGGCTGGTTTCTTTATTCGTGGGTCCACCCCAGTCGTGCTTTTGTCTTTCAGCTTGCCTCGACATCCTGGCTCGATATTCTTGGGCTGACCGGCAACGGCGCCTCCGAAGCGCCAACGTCAACGGTGGGCAAGATTTTGACGAACCTTTCCCCATTTTCGAGCCACATTGCCTGTCCCTCAAGCAGGCACTTACTCAGACAGGCAATGAGTCGCACTGCCTCGGATCATCCAAACTATAGCGCGGGGCATGAAGGTTCTGACCCGGGAGTTGACAAGTTGACACGTACTTTTTGGTATTGGGGTCTTAGGTACTTTGTAACTTTGCCTAGTTCCTGCTGGCCCGCAGTGCGGGCAGCGACCGACAAGATTCCAGGCCGTTTAGCGTTGAATAGGCTTGTTGATCAGTTTCCATCGGCTGGCTCGGAGGCGACCTGTAGATTTTTCCCCCTGCAGCCCTGGTGGCCCGGCTAGTCGTACGATTGTTCCTTCCGAAATCCAGGGGAACTGTACCTCTGTCTTCCCGTGGGGATTTCCAAATACCAGCCCGCGGAAGATGTATCGACCCCCATGATATCATGGTGTCAATCGTCGTGCGATTTCTTCGTTCTGGTCTAGCGGCTTGGCCGTGGTGCCTGGCATGGCTATCTAAACTGCGTGTCTTATTTTTAGGGTATTCTTAGGGTACTCTGTCGTACTTTGAAATGAAACTGGGGTTGCGCTCAGAAGTACATTAGTACTTTTGACTTGAGATGTCAATTGGGGAACTACTTCGCCAGTCCCTGCCACATCCAGGAATATATTTTTTACTCAAGAACATCCGAAACCGGCCACTCAACCACAACACAGTAGGGAAGTGCCGAATGGACTCGTCTTTTAGAACTCATTTATTCCAGGGCTGACCCTGCTAGATAACAATGAAATTGTGTCCCATGGCTTGGCCATGCATAAGCCTCGACATGCAACGTTCAGCCTTGCGAGTAGCAAACAAATAAGTTAGAACCGGTTCATCGGCACTTCAGCTTCAGATCAACACGCCCCCTTGGCTATCGAACTTACTGCAAGTGCTAGTGACCGAAGTACACAGGAAAATAGAAGCGGAACGATCTATAGTCTACCGGTCATATGTAAAATATCCGCCGTACCGGGCCAGATACATGGGAATGGGAAACCAAACAAGATGTACCTGTATAGAAACCCCAACCCTCTTCCCTTACAGTACTTTTGTGATGTGTTGTGACAGCGTGATCGCCTGATGATGTGCACGCCACAGATGTGACAGGCGATCACCAACTCCTTCCACTGTGATGGACCCAGCAGCCAGACCGGGGTCCAGGGCCAATCGTTCTAGAGGCTGGGATTATCCATGTCCCGAGGTGGTTGCACCGTTGTCATATCCCGGGAAATAGATTCCAAATCTAAATTCACTAAGGCCTCAATGACCTTCTTTGACGCATGAGACGAGATCCCGTCCGATGGGCTCTGAAGTACGACATGGGTCCATGTCGAGGGCTGACTGGCGGCTCCATACGCATGTCTCGGTACTTGTCCACCATGGCCGCCACAGATCGAGCTGCAGCTGCATGCTGTTAATCGCTTCGTTCCGAGGACCGAGATCTCCCGTTCGCCGTTCTTCCTTCGTATATTGCTGAAGGATCTGCATTGCCCTAGACACGACACATTCATGGCGATTGACCGTTTAGGGCAATAGAGTGCGACGATGTCAGTGTGGGCGGGTAGATACATATTGATGACACCAGAGGCATCCTCAGCTGCTAATGGTGGCCATCGCACCAAGTGGCACCTTGATACCTAATCAACATGTCTATCCATCATTGGATATTCATCCCAAAGCTGAACCCAAGGAGCAAGGTGCATCCCAGTCCGATTCAACTACTCTGCCGCATCGGGCAAGGCAGCACGGAGACCACCATCTAGACCCGGGTCGAGAACAGGAGATTGAGTTAGGCAAGTACCTGACTGAATCGTCTGACTCGCAATTCTTTCAGTAGTCTCCCCATCTAAATAACTCCAGGCGTAGAAATCGGTCATTCCCAATGAAAACCCGCGAGGGGCCGCGTGGACGGAGAAAGAATAGTGCAAATGCACCTTCCCAACCCGGTGTCAAGATCGAACCTCGATAACTCCCTGCACTAAAAGTTCAACTCTCGTCTGGGGTATGTCGGTCTTGCAAAGACTTTATCCTCTGGAATTTATTCCCGTCTGTTATTATTGACTTGGGCAGCGATAACGGTCGGCACAGTGCATCACCCAGAGGAATTAAAGCTACATCAAATGCAAGGATGGCAAAATAAATAGAAAGCAATGCTTTTCACCCGGGCATCAGTCGAGAATGCTCCATCCTGACGCACTCGCAGCTGACATTCATGTCAACGAATATATCGTAGCCGAGCGGGGCGGGAATCTGATTGAAGAATTATAAGAATTACCAGTGGCCAGGATGGCCGAACATTACCACAGCGAGTCCGGCTCATTGGCGGTAGCCTTTCTTCGGACGGCATCATGCAGCCATGGCAGGGGGTGCAGTGGTGGAGTTGTTGGGTGAACAACTCCTGTGCTGCGTTTCAAGTCAATGGAAGGGCAGGAGGCTAAAGGGAAGACGGTGTGAGCACAGTTATTGCTTTTTCCTAGCTGTCAAATCCTCAAGCGGTGGGTCAATAGTATGCGGGTGTCTGCGTCATGACTAGAGACGATGTTTTCGGGTTTCGAAGTCATGCCCGCTTGGCTCTGCTGCAGTCGTCCGGGACCATCAAACACCGAGTCGAGGCCTAACGGTCGACATTCAAGCCACTTGTTTTGTTGCTTGTTCCACAACCTGGAATTTCAAATTGGACCGGGACGTTGCTGCCTCATACATCATTTGAAAAGACTTTCCTGGGGTTAAGGACGCTTGGGATTTTATAGAAGCAGTATCTCCACGTGATCCCTATCGGTGGAGAAATTGTCGCGACTTGACCGCCTTGGTCGAATCCGACGAGCATTGCATCATATCCAAGTCTTCTCACAAAGCTGGTCTGCCTTCAGTGAAAGAAGCTTGCACCTCCAATCTGAAGCAGATACATCGGTATATACCGATCGGAGCTTGCATCAGCTTTATACCCTAAGTCGTGGCCAGAATGAGCCGGAGATAGACATCCAACACCCAGCACCATGGCATACCCTCGAGCTTGTCTATCACTCTTCATACGACCCTCCCTTGTCAGTCGATCAATATATGCACCAGCTCGACTTTCACGAACGATCCGACTTCCTGTTCCCACCTCGCGATGGCAATCCACACAAGCCAACGACCGACCGCCGACCAATGACGACACCCCTCACAACGATACCCCAGATCTTTCGCATTTGAACCCGTCGCCTGAAGACTACTCGCGCTTTATCTTCCAGGACAAGTGTCATGTCACGATGTACGCCGGTGGGGGAGGTCACGGCTGTGTCTCATACCTCCGCGAGAAATACATCGAGGAAGGGCCACCGAATGGCGGAGATGGCGGCAGTGGAGGAAGCATTTACATTCAAGCGGTCGAGGGCATGACAAGCCTCCACAAACTTGCTCGTAGGGGTGTCATCAAGGCCGGCAGAGGCAAGAACGGTCAGGGTAAAAGCAAAGGCGGGAAACGTGGTGACGATATCCTCATCCAGGTACCTGTCGGTACCGTCGTGCGTGAGGTGGAACGATATGACCCTGTGGCAGAGGAGTTGGCTCGAATGCGACGACCCAAAGAGGAACCAATGGACGAGGACGAGATCGATTTCACGCCCATTCGACATGACCGTTGGGTTCTGTACCCCGGGGCCAACCCCTCCGATTTCTTGACCGTGAATTTCCCCCGACTCAAGCCGCGACGACAACATATCGCGGCCATGGAGCCGAAAGCCCCGATCTACCTTGACCTGTCGCATCCAATGGATAAACCCATGCTTCTCGCGGCAGGTGGCGCGGGCGGCTTGGGCAACCCGCATTTCATCACGCGATCGATGGGCCGACCGAAATTCGCATCCCGCGGCGAGGGAGGGATGAAGTTGGAACTCGACTTTGAACTCAAGCTTCTCGCAGATGTTGGTCTGGTCGGTAAACCTAATGCTGGAAAGAGTACGCTTCTGCGCTCGTTGACCAACAGTCGCACGCGGATCGGAAACTGGGAGTTCACCACCTTGAATCCTCACATTGGCACGGTCATTGTGGATGATAATAAGGGTCGGCCTCTTGTTGAGTCAAAGACTCGACGCACACACTTTACCATTGCAGATATTCCGGGCCTGGTGGAGAACGCACATCTCGACCGTGGGCTTGGTCTGGGATTCCTTCGACACATAGACCGAGCGGGTATCCTAGCTTTCGTCCTTGACCTCAACGCTGGTGATCCGGTGCAGGAGCTGCAAAAGCTCTGGTACGAACTTGGCGAATATGAGCGACTGCGCGATAGTGATTCCGGACCTCCTAGTACACCAAGAAGCGCCCACCATGTCACGGAGGGCGTAATCGACTGGGATCCCTCTGGGGCTGGACATCCGGAGCTCTATCGCCCACAAGATCGAAGCATTGAACTGCCTACGCAGGCTGACGGGTCTATCGGAGAGGCCCTCAATTATCAGTCATCTGGATCCTTGCCTTACCTCGCCATGCCTCCGATTCACACCAAGCCCTGGTTTGTCGTTGCGACCAAGGCTGACCTGGAACATACCCAAGACCAGTACCGAGCTCTGCAGGAGTACTTGTCCAAGGTGGAGAAGGGTACGGTCGAACATCCCTCTGGCCATGCAGATGGGTGGAAGGAGAAGCTGGCGGCGGTGCCTGTCAGCGCCATGCGGGGCGAGGGAGTATCGCGCATTCCGAAATTGGTGATGCAATACCTTGAGTGAGCTGCGATGTGAGATTCTGTGTTGATATTTGTACCATCTGTATACTAGGCATATTCCCATTTCAAGCATCAAATGTAAAATATTATTCCAAGAAAATGTACCCTAGTTTAGCTCGCAATTGAGCACATGGAATCTTCTCGGATTGTAGTAGTTCTTGCGTCCTTCACTGGTAGAGCTGCGCGCCGTTGCGGATATCGCTACGCCGGGACAGAAGCAGTAGGCAGACACAGCAATTAACACCCTCCCACTTTCACTTCAGAACGCTGCCCACACAACTCTCGACACCCCGCACTCTGTTGGTGCATGCCACTCGTTCGTCTTCTAGCCCAGCAACCAGTAAGTACAAACCCGTTCCTTTTCGCGAAGACGACCATGGGGAATTCCTGCTCATACATACGCGCCAGTGTCGCTCGCTACCGCCTGGCAGCAAGCAGTGGCGCAGGTCGACCACCCCGGCCCGGATGACCCGATCTGGGAATGTCACCACGACCTGCTCCAGGAATGCCCCGCCGAAGAGATTGAAGAAGGCGACGACAATGTCCCTGCGCTTCTCCGTCTATTCCCAGACCTAGCTCTAGCGTTAGCTGATTCAAAGCTACGCGTCTTCCCGTTCAAGGATGTCCACCTCCGCTGGCGCCGGCTGTACACCGACGCGGCAATCGTTCAAGCGATTAACATCATCTATAAATGGTACCGTGAATCGGCCAGACACAAATTCCCGCAATTCAGCCCGGAGGAACTCGTCGACCAAATCGCAAACGGCACGGTATCATCTTCGCGGATCGACCCTGAGGCCCCGTGGGTGTCGCAGATCGTTCACGGCCTGGATAAAGCACTGATCCTGACGGGCGCGCCAATGCGCGAGAAACTCATCGAGAAATTGTTGGCGGCACTGCAGGACGCCACAGAAGATGAGAGTGACAAGCAGGGTCCCGATCGAAGCAAGGTGCCATCTTCGCCTCTGTTCCCTCCCCGCTGCCACCCCATTCCGCGCCTTGAACATCATATTCCACGCCTCTCGGCCCCATCGTTCGACTGGATGCAGGAACATATCCAGAATATCCGCACCCCGCTTGTTATCACGTACGGGACGAGCCACTGGCCCGCACTGACCACGCGACCCTGGACCTCCCGCGACTACTGGTTTAAACGAACATTCGGTGGCCGCCGACTTGTCCCTGTGGAATTGGGCAGATCATACCTGGATAAAGACTGGGGCCAGGAGGTAATGGAGTTCCGTCAGTTCGTGGATCAATCTCTTTGGCGCGGCGAGCCCGGTTTTCCCTCGACTATCAAGAAGAGTGACGGACGAACGGGGTACATGGCGCAGCACGACTTGCTGTGGCAGATTCCGGCCTTGCGAAACGATATCGCCATCCCCGATTACTGCTACATTGAACCGCCGGCCCCGGAGCCCGGAACTCCGGTCTATGAGAGTGCAAAGCGTCGTAAGCAGGAAGCTGCGAAGGCCCAAACTGCTACGAGCGAGAATGACCCTCATACCGACTCCAAGCAAGCACTGCCTGCTGGTCAGCCTGCCGGTCAGCCTGCCGATGCGCCGGTCGAGAATGTCTTGGATGTCGACCTGGATAAGTGGGATGCGGAGAATTTCGAGAACGCCAAGGATGTCAACGATGTCGAGGATGTCAACGATGTCGAGGATGTCAACGATGTCGAGGATGTCAACGATGTCGAGGATGTCGACGACAGTCTCTCGGATTCGAGCGATCCGATTAAGTTTCCCCTGGACCCTGTCATCAATACCTGGATTGGACCGGCGGGAACTATCTCCCCTTTACACCACGATCCTTACCACAACATCCTTGTGCAGGTCGTCGGGACCAAGTACATCCGACTGTACTCACCGCACACACCATCGTCGCAGATTCACCCTTCCGGTGATGTGCTGGTTCCGTCTGCTGGCACGGATGCAAACGGTCCCAAGGATAGGGTGGTTAACATGGAGAACACGTCCCGGGTTGACCTCGCCGCCATTGAGTTCTCCCCTGCCGAGGCCGATCAATGGGAGGAGGAGTGGCCTGGTTTCTTGGATGCCGAGTATGTTGAGACAGTGTTGCACGAGGGCGAGTGCCTGTACATCCCCATTGGATGGTGGCACTATGTGCGTGGCTTGCAGGCGGGTGTCAGTGTCAACTTTTGGTGGGGTCGGTATGATGGTGAATAGGGGATTCGCCACCAGTTTACCACCACAGTAGGGTAAGGTACCTTACCCGACTGACCCCTGGATGCGTGAGGGGATGCTACGACCATTTATGACCATGCAAATGAATGAAATGAAATTACAAACTGAACTCTTCTCGAATCGAATGTAAACGATGCAGTTCCTAGGACTGCAGGTTTAGTCGCTCATTTATGGGCATGTTGCAATTGAACCGCGTCTGCCAAATTAGAGAGAATGACCTATCTGACTATCATGTAACTGGCCGCATCGAATCATCATACTTGAACTCGACCTCCCCGTAGAAACTTTCAAGGTTCGAGCAAACGCTTGTATCGCAACATGAAACTCACAGCTTGAACTGGCTTGAGATAAATCACAATGTAGGATACGAGATATCGTAATTAAGTGGAATAGAAGATGTTTAAACTGACGAGTTAGAGGCATTAGCGCGAAGGAGTGGACTCGGCCCAGCAAGCCGAATCCTGACGCCTACACTCTATCTACATGTATACATCACAATGAGCATATTTCGACCAATGTCAAATCGCAACTCCGATTCACTCCGTATCGTACGAGCCATGAAACAATGAAGCATTGCCACGTCTATAGTCGAAATGTCACCCGCACCAATAATCCACCCCTTGCCTTCGACTCGATAGGAGACTACTATAAGAAGACTATGGCCGAGACGCGTGGTAGATGCCTTGGCGGACATCGGCCGAGGACTAGCCGGTGGGCTCTTCTCCAGTAAGTAGTCTAGGCTGGTCGGATTTTCGCGATCAGCAGGTGTGGTGCGAGGGTTAGCGCCGCATTGATTCGGCGGCAATCGGGATGTCTGCCGAGTTATGCATGCAGCTTACAGCATGATGAACTAGAATATGCTTATACCGTAGGCTACCCTAGATGCAGCCTTAGGCATATATATGTAGCAGATAATCTAGCTGAGTATTGGGGAGTGTAAAGGGCAAGCACCACTACCTAGAGTAGGGTAGTAGGAGGGTAGTCACGTTCACCGGCTAGTGCCGTCGTGGTTGCCGTACCCTAACCCGAGCACTTTCTTCCACGCGCCCAACTCGAACTCGGCGGCTAGCCATCACACCAACCGCCCTTCATCTGAGAGACCACAGCGAACTTTACATTGAAAATTGTATTGGCACTGGCCATAGGTGCTCCACCGTCATTTTATACTCCTTGGAACCGCAAATTCGATAATCTCCATACTTGGTTGCGTTGTGGTTATGTGGAGCCGATGCGCGGGCCAGACGCTGCGAAATTATCTTGGCTTTCGGGAATTTGCCCGGAGCGGCGTTCGTTTATCGCCCTAACGTGAGCTTATTATAGGAAATCTGAAACAGTAGACCCGGCGTCTACTACAACACCTCCGGCTGCTGCATCATCAGCAGCACTGCCATGAGTATTGTGCCTGAAGGCCCGCTCTGCTTGGCCCTCTAAGCCGGTGACCTGGAATGACGCGGAGAGGCACCGCCAGCTGGAGTACGCCTCGGGGTGCGCTAATCGGGCCAGAAGCCTCACGATGCACAAATTCGACAAGCCGGTGGAGCCCAACGGGACTAATATCGGGCGTACACCAATGGCTCGGCTGCCCTGGGAAGCCCATCTCCACCGGCTCCAGCGCACACGTCAACTCCCGAGCATTTGGGCTTAGTTGACGAGAGTGCATCCCAGCGTTAGCGCCAGGCGTACGTATAGCACGTCCTAGGCCTGTGTCCAGATGACGTTAATTAAACGTGAGGGCTGGCCCCCTTTCCCCCAGATCTCTTTTTTCGCTTTCTCATATATCGTGCGCGCGTTCTTCACTTCGAGAAGTCTATACTTCCCTGACATTCCTTTGATCCCAGTCACTCATTTGACCTACATTTCGTCTCCGGAAGGCGAATCCTTTTTGATTTTTTGTGTGCGGTGTGTGACTCCGGTAATCACCGTGTCCACTCAATATAAAAAAAAAAAATGCGTTTCACCTCGTCTTATGTGCTGCTGGCAGCCCTCACCAGCGGTGCCGTCGCCCGCCATGGCTACCAGGTCCGCCATCAAGGCCATCACCGTCGCCAGGCTGCGGAGGTGGACACCACGACCACTGTGACCACGACGAGCACCATCACCTACTGCCCGTGTGACGAGTCTACCTCGTCGGCCATCCAGTCGGCTACCCCGTCGTCTTCGTCCATCCCGACGTTTACTACGACCGCTATTGAATTGACGACCTCTGTTTCCGTGCCTGTCTTGAGCCAAGCGCCTACTTCGACTGAAGTTCCCTCTTCCACCGAGGTGCCCACCTCGACTGAGGTGCCTACTACTAGCACCTCGACCGAAGTGCCCACTTCCACCTACACTCCCTCCTCCTCCACCAGCAGCAGCAGCACCCCTCCACCAGCACCTCCGGCGCCAGCGCTGACTGGAGCACTGTTCCCTCCAGCGGCGAGTTCTCTACCTCTGGCTTCGGCGCTAGTACCAACTCCAGCGGCTCCGGCGTCAGCTACACCGGTAACGTCGGCAGCCCCTACGGCAGCAACATCCAGTCTGTCGAGGCCAGCGTCGCCAGCAACTACAAGTATGTCGTGGAGTTCACTGGCTCCAACACTGACGACTGGTACGTCGTGATCTGGAACAAGATCGGCAAAGATGGCAAGATGGACGGCTGGTACGGCAACGCCTGCCACGAGTTCTCCCTCGCCGCCGGCGAGACCGTCTACTACGCCTTCGATACCGACTCGCAAGGTGGCTGGGCCGCCGCCAAGGGCTCCTCCATCCCCACTGACGACTACGGTGGTTATGCCGCCACTTGGGGTGAATTCGACTTTGGATCTACCACCAACTCTGGCTGGTCTGGCTTCGATGTCTCGGCCATCCAAGCTCAGGACGCCGATCTCACCGTCCAGGGAATGAAGATCTGCAGTGTCTACAACGATGACACTTGCTCGACCATCACCACTGGTGCGGCCACTGTGGACAACGCCTATACCAGTGACTTGAAGACTGAGGATGGTATTGGCGGTAACCTCAACGCCGGTGCTGTTCGTCTGGCCGTCACCCTCGACTACAGCGGTTAAAGATCTGTTTTTAGCTTGTACATGTTCTTTTCTTGATATCCCGTCTACGAATATAGGCGTTACGAATGGGGTCGACTTGGTGTATAGCCAGTTGGTATAGATTGTCTCGACTACCCTTTTTTGCCTTCATATTTATCTATTCAACTACATACCACTGGGCTGAAAACATTTCTTTTCACATATCTTCTTCTTTTCTCTCTAACTAGTCCACCTGAATAGGAGGTTGTACATTCCCTTAATCATTTCCTTATGGTGTATTGTCCATGCTCTAGCATTTAATACACAGCATCAGCTCCATCCCTCTACCAGCTCACACAGAGTCTCTTCCCCGCCCACATTGCCAGGGAAGACAACGAAAGGAACACTGCGGTGGCGAGATGTTTCCTCATCACATCGCCAGAGCGGTACACCAGGAGCGGCTTGGCCGACAATCAGTGCGCGCTTCGCATTCAACCCTTTCGTAGCTGCGTCGGACGAGGTGATACCTCCCTAGAACTAGATCAGCAAAATTACCCCCCCAAGAAATAGATAGAGCATACCTTGGCAATAATATACCGCGGCCGAACCTCAATTCGCTGCAAAACGCTCACCAAGGCCTCCGCAACCGCAGACCCAATCTTCAACGACGAAAGCTCATCATCGCCCGTAACGAGTTTCCGACTCGTCATGACCAGCGTATCTTGACCAGCCCGCAGATGATCCTCCGTCTCCTTCACGACCCGCGACACAGTCTGCGACGCCGTTTCAGGCGAGGCAATCAATTCGTCTACCTTCATCTCAATGATCGCAAGTTGACCAGTTGCGCCGCGACGGTCGGTCAGAACCTTCAATTGAGCAGTTGTTTTCGGAACGTAGGATCCAGCCACGATGAGCCCGCCTGTTTGTCTGGGTGAGGGGAGACCGAGTTCTTTCGCGGTGATCGGGCTTTTCGAGCGGATGCCGAGTCTTGTCGATACGAATGCTGCGCCGGTGCGGTAGAGGAAGTGTTTTCCTTTCGACTCGGCTAGAGCATACCTGTGTCAGTACAGCTCCATTGACGACACATGATAGGAATAGCATCGTACGCACCCAGCAACAACCCAGCCACAAAAACATGCATATCCGACTCCGCCGCCGCATTAACAATTACCACACCCCCAGCCGGCGCCCGTAACAACTTCTCACAAACAGCCTGCGGCCCACCAACGCGAATCTCCTCAATACTCACAGACCAAAGCTGATCCACCCCAAACCGACCCGGCGCCTTCTCAAGCACATAATCCCTCAAATTCGACGACTTATACCCGAACGTCGCATCCTTCGCAAATTGCGTCTCCCCCGCCGGAACCAACTTCTCCCCTTCAGCAACATAATGCACATCATCAATCGTAAACCGACCCCCCTGGAAGAAAAACGGCGCGAGGACCAATGCATCGGCGGTCCCGAAGACCGATTGCGCGACGTCCGGTTCTAGCGGGAAGTGGCCGCGCAGTGTACTATCGCCCCGTAGGACGATGTCGACTTTATTTCCCGTGGCCTGTGCAGCGACTGAGACATTTTCGCAGATTGTTCGGATGAGCGTCGAGGCTTCGGTGGGTGGGAGGGCGCGCGAGTTTGTTAGGATGAAGAAGCCGCGGCTATCGGAGCGGAATTCGGAGGTTAGTGTGTCGACGTCCCAGACTGTTAGGACCTTGATGTCGTGGCAGGTTTGTGTGCCTGTTGGGTCGTCGTCTAGTACGACTAGTCGGTTGATTGGAGTTGTGCTGAGGATTTGGGAGATTTGGTCTTGGGTGTCGACTGCGTATTCCGGTGGAAGAGAGGCGAGGGTGGATTCGCGGGGAAGGGAGGGATAGGGTGTCATTTTGCGATTGGTAGACTCTATACTCGGTGGTTTTCAAAACAACGCTGTGAACACTGAAAGTATTTGAAGGTATGCTGTTGTTTTTAAGACTCTCGTGGGAAACGGAACCCACTGCGGGGTCTGAATGCGGGGAGGCGGCCGGAGAGAAACCCGACCCCGGGCTACCGAGTTTAAGGTCAACAATGGCAAAGTTTCATTATCGGGCCAACGCCGAGGTGGACTGGTAGGCAGTAGACTCGTATAAATGACTATCAATAAGGTAGATGACAAAAAACTCAGAGTACCACGCCAAACGCCGCGCCTGAGACTCAGATGCAAGATGCAAAATGCAAGACCGTGGACGTGGATGTGAATGCTTTTCAACAAGATAATCCTCCGCTCACGTCTAGTCCCCTCGCCATCCCGTCCCAAGTCCCTTCCTATTCCTCCATGCCTCGAATCGCGTAAATGAGAATGGTCAAAAAGTCGTAGACTGCGTGAAAGAGAGATCGCTTGATAGGCTTGAGTTTCAGCCCACCACGCTGCGGAAACTCAGCGCCTCGAGGAAGCCGCCCAGATCGTCCTTTTGGACCTCGACCACGCAGTGATCGAAGCTGTCGATGCGGACTCGCGCATTGGTTTCTTGGACCACCTCCTGGAAGGCAATGCCGAACCGGTTGCGCAGGAGATGCTTCTTCCCGCTCGGGTCTTGCTCATCTTCGGATTCGGACTCGGACGAAGACTCGGATTCTTCAGACTCGTCGTCTTCGGCTTCATCATCGTCCTCTTCCCGTTCGGCCCTTTCAGCTGCGCGCTGGACTCGGCGATCTGCTCGCTCCTTCTGTTTCTTGTCTTTTGCTTCTTTCTTCTTGCGACGCTCTTCTTGACGTTTTGACATGGCGGCATAGTCAATCACACCACCGCCACCACCGGTTCCAACTACAATGTAGAGATCTCGATCCTCGTCGAGTCCAGCCAGGACCAGAGGTGTGCCTGCGGCACGTTTGCGGCCAATCTTGACCGAATCTCCCTTTTCGCGCTCTTGAACACGGATTGCCTCGGCAATCCACAATGCTAACTTCGTTAGAGCTCCGGGATTGGTGAAGAGCTTGACATCAGGTCCGTCCTTGACAACGGCAATGCGGAATGCGCGAAGGTGACGAATCTGGTGTTTGGAAAGAAGGGAGGTACCAGTTCGGAGAATAGCACGGTGAAGGTGTTGAGCCAACGGAAGGGCCTCCATGAGAAGAGTAGGCGACTCAGAGGTCAATGAAAGAGCGTCATATGCACTCCAGAAACGAGGAAGGAGGCTAGCCAAGTCGGACTCTCCGTTAATCCCTCCATTTTCAACGTCGTCGTTTGAACCTCGCACTCGCGGAAGACGTTTGGCGTCCCAGGACGAAGATGCCTCGTGTGGCCCAACTTCAAGAATTGCGCCCATTATCACACCAACATCAGTGGCGGAGAGACACGCCTTCCATCCCCAGCAGCGAACAAAACCCCATCCCTCACGAGAGCTTGCGTGTCCAGATGGCTCGGCCGGAACAAGACCGTCAAGGCCGTACATGGGTGCGTACTTGAGCAATCGGCCCCGTAGTACTCGCTTCAATTCCATATCCATGTGGGTGTAATATTGGTGACACTGGGTAAGGCTGATACCCATCTTGGCGAGGAGTTTATGAAGGCGCTTTCGGCCATTCTCTGTCCAGACATGCAGTCTCGGGGCTAAATAAGGACTGTGCAGCATACTCTCGTAGAGTGACCAATGTCGAACAAGTAGGAAGCGAGGCTCGGGAGACAGACGAATTGATGTGTCAGTCGGAGACCGGGCAGTTGTCGGAATGACACCGTTGATTTCTCCTCGAATATCTCGATCGCGTTCGTATGGATCAGGCGGGTTCAAACGGTGAACCTCATCTCGTAGGATTTGGCGGATCTGCTCTCCGCGTTGTCCACCCCAGCCTGCAGAGCCACCCTCCTCTGAAGAGTTAGAGATACCAACGCCAGTCATTGTTCGGCCGCTGAGCTCCAGACTCGAAACACCGACAATTGCAAGCCAGAGCAGATCATTATCCTCACGACCCAGTTCGGAGGCAAGGGAGTATACCAGCGACGAGATAGGCTCGGAGTACGACGTTCCGGATGAATAGTAATTCTGCAAAATGGCCTCGTGCTTTCGTTTCATCCGAATTAAACGGCGCTTTAAAGTCTTTGCTGATGGTTGCTTTGGTTCTGCTAGCGAAGGCGAGTCGGAAGTCGGCGTGCCAGAGCGTGACGAGTTTGAGGAGTCCATTCCTTTTCTTCTGCGCCGACTTGGAGACGAGACAATTGAAGATCCCTACGAAGTGGGTTAGTAGTTGGCATCCAGTTATGGATGCCAGCTTTACTTACTGAATTGCTGCGTTTTCGTTGGCGGGGAGGTCCGTCCTCCTCGTCGGAACCGTCCTCGTCTACACGTCCGGACCACGATTTGCGCTTCTTGGAGCCTGTGGGCATTTCCTCGTCATCTTCGGCGTCGCTCTCATCGTCATCATCCACTTCTGGCATCTCCAGAAGCGCGTAATATGCTTCCCGCTCACTGCTCATCTCTTCTTGGATATCACCGTCGTCGAACACGATAATGCCACCAGTCTTTGACGTGTATGCAGGAGTAATGCAGCCTTTCTCGACTCCGCGCCCGCGCCGTCGCGAGTTGACATCAATCTCTGCCATTGCCTGGCCCATTCCAGCCTCTCCACCAAAGACGTTCCCTAGGTTCCACGGCCGGCGTGCGTCGAAGACCCAGATCTCAACGGCCCCCATGTCTTCCTCCACTTCTTCGTCTTCCGGGTTGCTCAGGCCGAGAATCTCGCCCAAGTCGACGAGCCCACCAACGCCAAGGCAGACTACCACGCCACCGCTGCCGCCATTTGTGGTTTGCATGGGGCGGACGAGTTCCTCCCCGGCGCGCGCAAGGTCACCATATCCGGCAACAGGTTGGATTTTGTGGGGGATATAGTCGCGTTTAAGCAGAGCCGTAAGAATTCGACAAGCACATAGCGCGTCGGGTTCGAGTGCCACGAGAATTAGGACCGGCGGGGAGAGCGGATGGTGGGATCGGAGGAGTTGAAGGTATAGGTGCGAGATGAGCTGCCGTGGAAGATACATGGCCAGCTAAGGTGGGAGTTCAGAGGCACATGTGAGCATCAATCAGTAAGAATACTGCGAGGCAGAGGGATCGAATGCTCCGCGAAACAAGTCGCAGTTTCCGGGGGGTCACCAGTGGGTTTGGCCGTGAAGTAATCGGGCCTTGGAAAGTCGGGCGGAGCGCGACGCGTCGGGGCACGGGGCACGTGCTGGCGGATTCCATCCGTCGCCTCGACACCGCACGGCTTCCCCCTGCTTCATAATTTTAATTATTATTGTGATTATTTCGTCGGCGATGTGGATCCCCTTTTCTGGTGGGGACATTCTGTTTACAGCTGGCAGGGGTCTGGCATGATCTTGAAGATTACAATGACGAGGTAGGTTGACACGGTGCCTACACGCTGCCTACTTAAGGTTCTGGCTAACATCACTTATACCATAGTTGCAAGATGTGAGTTTCGTGTCAAACAAGCTGCACAAGGATCTCAAGGGCGACTGTCGAATTTCCAGTCATCCAAATTCCTCGGTTGAACTAGTGGAGCTTCGCATACAGGGAGTCGATCTTCTGCACCACCACCTCTGGCAGAGGCCCCTTGGCAACATCGGTCATGTTCTGCACGATCTGGATGATTTTGCTAGCTCCCAAGACGACGCAGTCTTCCGCACCCAAGCTTGAATGGTAATGGAGCCATCGCAGATACGCTTCCGCGCCGCTGATCTCTAACGGTCCGATGGTATCCAGCAAATCGCTCATTGCAGTATGCATGGCGGGCTTGTCATACATGGGGCTGAGAGTAGCTGTGATTTGGTCATCCGGTGCGTACCTGGTGCCCTCGGTATCACCACGGGTTGCTCGACCGGTCAAGAAACCACCAGCAAGAGGACTAGAGCGCAGTACGTTAGCTCTGCCTCGGAAATCAACCTTTCACCTAAAGAGCAGCATACCTATAAGCATTGAATACGATCCTATGTTTTCGCAATAATGGGAACAAACGTCTGTTCGCTCTCGCGACTGAGAAGGTTATACAAGTCCTGATACACGCTTGACTTGATGTAATCTTTTTCCTGGCAGACTGCGATAAATTCTGCGACTAACTCGGGTGAAAAGTTCGAAAGACCAAACTGATCGCAGTCAGCAACAAAAATGTTTCCCATCAATGAACTGAGAGTGACGAGCCTTCTCAAAGCGCCCTTCGAGATAGTGCTTATTGATTTCACCCGCTTGTTCCTCGACTGGACTCTAGGGATCTGGTCTATGAAAATCCAAGATATTCACCTTGTCCACTTTCAGACGAGAAAAGCTTTCTTCAATTGGCAATATTGGCAGCCGATAGAGAGCCAGATGCATCGCCTTTGGAGGGACCCTCTGGGTTGGTCTTGGTATCTATAACGAAGACTTGTTCCTGGGCACGAACTTCGCCTAGCAGTCGCTCAGAAAAGCCTGGATTTGTGGGTGAATATCTGGCTGCGGTGTCGATGCGGTCAATACCAAATGATTTGACTTGGTCAAGAAGCTCCTGTACTTGAGCCGGGGTGGTAAAGCTGGTGCCAATTAAGCAACCGCCAAATAGGGTGTTGGGTCGAGGCATGTTTGATGTCAGCTTGGGCAATTTCTCTGGGTCGTACAGGCTGATATGGACCTTTATATTCAGCTTATCTCTGGGAGATATAGATGAGATGAATGATTGTCAGCTGTATGTATTACCAAGCATGCTCCCGGGCCTTGTCGCAAGGCTGAGCCCGGGCCATCGGGCATTTGTCCTCCCGAGGACAGGACGGCCTTCCGATTATATATTTTTTCATAGTCGGCCTGGTAGCAAATAACCAGTTCATCAAGGATTAAGAACCACTTTTCTTTTTCGGGCTGGGCTTTTGCGCAATGACAACCGTGCATCAGCTGTTATCACTTGAAGCCCCGATGAGGGAAGTTGTGCATCCAAGACGGCCATTGTTGAAATGGTCTACCACCTGACATGCGAAAACATACTGAAACTGAGCCAGCGCCAAGGGTGGGACTGGGCTCTAGCGCAGAAACGCAGGCCTATCATTTTTGGCTGTTCTATAAGAGATGGGTCTGCAAGAGTACATCAATTGAAGCAATTGACCGGCGTGTAAGGACCTTTGCGACAAACCTCGAGTTCATAAATGAAATACAATATTCAAGACTCCCGGGATTCCAATCCAAAATATTATACGGCAAGATTTATGCTGCTGCTGCACTGAGGTTCATGAATTCTTCTTACTGAGATAGCACAGTGCTCATGTGCAATATTAGAGAAACGTTCTTTAACCTTATTGGTTGTGTAGTGTAATGGTCATCACTCCAGGTTCTGATTACCCGAGTATTCTGGCAATCCCGGTTCGATCCCGGGCACGACCTTTTTTTGGTCTTCATTCCCCCCGATGAGTTTTTCTTTACCTCATTTTTTATTGAATGTGGAAAGGCGTCACATGTCGAGCCGGAAGGCCCACATGCTCTATTTTAAGTGGCGTAGCCATAGTGTGCTCGCTTCGGCTAAGCTAAGCGGACCTGAATATTTTACTACTACTATGTGTAATAGAAACATCTCGGCTCGATGTGTGTATATAGTGCTGGCTTTTTGAGTGAGTATGCTATTGTATTTGAAACTGAATCCGATAAGAAATCTGTACATTATGGTCTCTGTTGTACTATCATTGATCCAATTTCATAGCTCTACAAGAACAAGCCGTGTGAGGTCATTTAATGACCAAAAACACAAAAATTGAAAAGTAGCGCGAGGTCGTGCCCGGGATCGAACCGGGATTGCCAGAAGACTCTATCAGAACCTGGAGTGATGACCATTACACTACACAACCTGATATGCTGAGTCAGGGGTAGTTACTAGGATTGAGAATCCTGCGGAGGGTTCTGCTATGGCCACTGCCGGAACTGAGAGAGCATCTACGCTGTTTTTTTTTTGGTTTTTCTACATTTTCCTAGCTCTGATAGCAGTAACTACTTGTGTATGCCTTACTTCCAAGTACTGCCAATATTTTACCATCTCCGGAGCCGAGACGGAGGCAGAAACCACGCGGCATTCACCAATACATATTCCCATTAATCTGATACCCGAGAAACTAGTGCTGACAGCGAACTGTATTTGAAGCTTAAAATGCTTCAATCTGTCTGCTTCTGGTGCCCCAGGAAGAATCGCAACCCGAACAAGGGTAATATCCATCCCCTAAAGCAAAAAGACAAGGAAGATTTGCTTGAAAGCAATGGGGCAATTAGAGTCGTTTCGGGCAAATTAATTTCCGATTGTGTAAATTTATATGGTATGGTACATGCAGCGGCAATATGAGAAACATGGTATTTGGCAAGTCATCAGTCAGTTCACAGCTTGGTTGCAATCTACACTGGATCGGTGCGTTTTGTCCAGTGGATCACAAAAAAAAGTAAAAGAAAAAATTAACATCCCTGTCAGGTGACCACACACACAGCCACCAAATATTACTGTGTAGAATGCGAGACCGCGAAAGGAGAAAGCAGAAACAGTAGAAACACAAAAAGCTAGAAAAGGCCAAAAAAAATAAGGTCGTGCCCGGGATCGAACCGGGATTGCCAGAATACTCGGGTAATCAGAATCTGGAGTGATGACCATTACACTACACAACCATTAATTGATTGAGTTCAAGCAACTTTGATATCGAAATGTTGCTCTTCTTGCATGCTCCACACGCGGAGATGTCAATTTTGTGAATGTCCGAAAACCTCCACATAACTGATAGAAAAGACCAGGCGTGCAATAAAATTCAAGAGTGAAAGTCTTTTTAAGGTACTCACAACATACTAACAGCTAAATTCCTCACAAAACTGAGAGAAAAGGTCGGGCGTGGGTCGGGCGTGCAATAAAAATCAAAAGTAAAACTCAGAAGGGAAAAAAGCCTTGAAACGCCCTCCCCATAATGCCAAAAAGGTCGTGCCCGGGATCGAACCGGGATTGCCAGAAAACTCGGGTAATCAGAACCTGGAGTGATGACCATTACACTACACAACCTGAGGTGTCGGAAATCGGGAGGTTTGGGCTCTATATTCCAATTTAATATTTTATTAAGCTATTTCGAAGCTACCTAGCTGTTGTAGCATGGCTAACCCGGACTAGGCAAAGGCCTTGCATCGGTAGCCACCTGCGGGTCAACTTGCTACGAGTGCATTCTAGAAATACTACCAACTGCCCATTCACTAGTTTTATACATTTATAGATGACAGATGAACCACTAATGCCGGGTATTTTCCAATATTTATGGACCGGTACCAATTGCTTTCCGGATACTGAGATAATGCCGTTGGTTGCCATAGTCATACACTGGCGATAGTAGAACAGCAATCGGAATTGTGACAGGACTTTCGATATAGAGGCTGCTGTGTGAAAGAACTCTAGAAATCCCATGGCAGTGATGCTATCTTGGGAGTCGTCGAGATGCGGCCGAATGTTGCCAGTTCCATTTAATACCGACATGCTACTGGTGACCTGGATACGAATTGATATAAAGACCAAGTCTTATTATACATCGGTGTGATCATGGTGTAATACACTAGCGTACTTCACAAGTGTTGCGTTTTACACTGCAACTTGGAAGTCGCCGTGTGATGCGATATATTTAGTGACCGAGATAGCTCGCAACTCACAGCTGCGTGTAAACAGGATACGAGGGAAACCGCGGGACCGTGCCTAGGTACTAGAGGCAGTCAGCTAATTTGAGATAGAAAATTCGACTTAAAGTATCTGAGTACTCGATGTGACCCCCTAAGTTCGGTTTATTAGATCAGTGAGGTACATCCATAAACAGACTCACAACCTGCCAATTCGGACGCATCGGTCGCAATCATCTGCTTACTTCATTATTCATTCATGTAGGTAAATATTGCCTGTACCCTTCAATTACAAGGTTGTGTAGTGTAATGGTCATCACTCCAGGTTCTGATTACCCGAGTTTTCTGGCAATCCCGGTTCGATCCCGGGCACGACCTCTTACTGTCCCAAATTTTTTTCCGGGCCTGACAGTAGAAAGTGATCTCATTCTCTCACAATAGTGTTCGTTGTCTCTTCTCTTTATTCGTCATCCTTTCTCTCTGTCCTATTTTTAGTTTTATTTTCTTTTTCAGCCATCCCCCGTGGAAAAGAAGGGCCACCACGAGGCGGTCGTATATTCATAGAACTATTTAATAATAACCACTTCATCACAACCATCCTCTTTTTGTCCCCTGGCTTAGACCGAGTATAGAGTACCATAAGGTGGTATCTGTTCTTCCCAAGTTAAAGTACTTGGCCAGACTTCAGAAAATATCATCGGTCCATATTGTTCCACTCTTGGTACCTCGCGGTCGCGGCCAGGCTTCTGCTCGTGCGCATGTCTTGTCGCATTGTCATCGGGCTACTGTGTACAACGCTAGTGTACCTCCGACCGACGTGACATTCTTCACAACCTGGTCGGCTTGTCTGATTGCGCGGGGAAGAATGGCTGTTGGAAAGAGTTCAAACTGAATCATCACACTTCCTAGGAACCACCCCCAACGGGGCCGGATGAGACTACATGTCACATACCCGTAGCTACGCAGATAGATCTTCCGCAGTGAATAATGAAGAAAGAATCTTCGATTTCACGCTAAACGCCGTTCACCATTTACATGCTGTACATGACAAAGCCAAGAAAAAGATTCAAGTAAACATATTAAGAGGGACGCATCCCCAACGTATCAGGCAGATGAAGCACCCAATACTGATCCAGCAACCCAGATTGCAGTACATGCGCCCACTACCGACAGGCCGACCAACCGCTTGCCCCAACTGTTGTCCTCGGCCATCTTCGTGGGCCCGACGGCCTTCTTCGGGGTAAGGTGCGCGGCAGGTGAATGTTGGTTTTCGGGTTGAGGCTTGGTCGAATTGCCGAGGATAGACGAGTACTCTTCACTTCGCTTGCGCCACTTCTCTGCCAGTCGAGCGATCTCAGCAAGATCCTCCTTGAGTGAGCCCGGCTCTGTCGTATTGGCGTTCTCTACTTCAACATTCTGCACATTGCCGAAGAAGTCTACCACGGTTCGCAGACGGCCCTCTGCCTCGCCACCGGGAAACAGATCCCACCGGACTCCCGGCTGTGAATGTATTTTCGATTCGTCATATGAGTCGAAGAGATCTCCCAAGTTCAGCTTGGAATTGGCGCTTGTCACTTGAGTTTCGAGGAACTCGAGCACATAGTAGGTCCAACGGTCGATCACAGCAACTCCGACATCGTTATCAGCATGGTGCGAATACGAGGATTGGTCGAGCTCGCTGGATCCCGTAGCCACGATGTTGGGTGAGTAGAAGTGGGTGTACATCGTATTGGCTTGGCAGGTATCAATCATGAACAGGAGTTCGTGATAGCGCTTCTTTTCCCACATCTGTCCAAACGCGTCGGCCAGATCCCACGCGCCGATCTCCTCCGCATCTTGGAATTTCAGGAATTGGTCTCCACCGTGCCCTGTCATGTACACCAACACATTGCTACCCGCATCTGATCCGAGTCGTTTACTGCGCGGTACATCCTCATCGAGGCGGTCGGTCAGGAGTCGGATAAAGTTCTCGACGGTGACTTCGTAGCCCCTGTAATCCACCTCGATATTATCACCGTACAAATCGACCGCGCGATCGGCGTTACTATACACGGTTCCGGGAAAAGCATTGCGAGGGTTGCAGGCCATATCATCGGGGAGCATTAAAATGATTTGTGAGTCGGGAATGCCGAGGCGCTTGACGGTTCGATATAACGAGAGGACATTGGCGAGATGGCGATAGTTAAACCAGAACCGGGAGGTAGAAACCAGCACCGCCCAGTTGGACGTATGCTCTGCGACAATGAAACCGGCGAGGAGAAGCAGGGAGAGGGCCTGCAACAGGCGAAGGAACGAAATCATTGTCGTAGGAGGAGCTTCAGGACATAGTAAGAAAAGGAGAGGGCGATTTTGGCCGCACAGCTGGCGGGGAAGAACAGAGCAGGAACTCCGGGTGTGTGAATCGAAGTCACAGTTTGACTGAATAGCTCGAAAAGTTATACCAGGGCCATTCTCAGGGCCAAGGCCAGGGGGAAGGTGGATGACAGGTGAAGCTGTCGCGGAGCCCGAGCCCGATGACAAACCCGGGGACGGCGATGGACACCTAGATCGTAAGGCAGGAATGAAACAGCCTTCACCAGGAGTCGTGAGAAACGAATAATTTTTTGGTTGTCGAGTAAACATAAGATTATTACAAAGGAAGACAATATAGTTTGTATCTCCCTCCGAAAATATCACTACTAGTCCGCTATATAGTCCCATGCCCTCATATCCCATCATTAGTCACAGGGACACCGCCTACGTCGGAGCCGGCATAATGGTTTGGCGGATCAGATCATCAACCAGGGCAATCCACTTTCCATCTTTTTGTTTCACCCGTTTGTCGGAACTTGTGAAGCGTTTTAGCTCGAATTATCAATATCGTCACAATGGGAGGCAAGAAAGCAGCAGGCGAGAACTCCAAGAAGGCTGCTGGCAACGCCCGCGTACGTTGTCCCCGCCCCCACCATCGCCACAGATGAAGCGCAGAAGACTGATACCCATGTAGAAGGCTGAAGCTGCGGCCGGAAAGAAGGCGCAAGAGGACGCTAAGCGTGCTGCTGAGGAGGACAAACAATGGTCTAAGGGAGCTAAGAGCAACAATAAGAAGTAAGTTCGATTGGAGCTGTTGTTCCGACGAGACGAAAGAATTCTGACCGATGCCTGTTTCTCCACTCTAGGGAGGACGCCGATGCCAAAAAGGCCGAAGCTGCCCGCAAGAAGGCCGAACGTGATGCTATGCTTGCTGCTGAGGAGGCTTCTCAGCCCTCCAAAGCCAAGGGTGCCAACGCCAAGAGCGCGCAGAAGAAGACTCGCGGTCTCGACCTTTCCCAGCTGGACGACGGCCCCGAAAACAAGAAGGGATCTTCTCTCAGTGCTTCTGGTATCGACAACGCCCTGGATGCTCTTTCATTGACAAACAAGGATACTTCGAAGGTCGAGCGTCATCCCGAGCGACGATTCAAGGCTGCCTACGCCGCATTCGAGGCCCGCCGTATGCCTGAGATCGAGCAGGAGAACCCTGGCCTGCGCCGACAGCAGCGCGTGGATCTTTGCCGAAAGGAATTCGACAAGAGCGAGGAGAATCCCTTCAACCAGGTTCATGTCGCTGTGAATGCCTCCAAGGACGAAATTGCCCAGGTTCGCAACCAAGAGCGGGCTAAGACCGAGGCTCGCCTGGGTAAATAATCGAACAAGTGCGGTTATTGGTACCGAAATGGAAGACAGCCCGTCCTTCTGGTCGCGGATATCGATGATAATACTCGGCATCTCGCGATTTTATTGGATTGTATCGGCGATGTGATTCTCCCAGATTGTGTTGATCTGAGCAGACCGCATATGATACCTTGTGATGATGATCTAAACTTTGATGCACCGGTAGATCAAATCAGGCACAATACCCTTAATTGGGTGTATACTTAAACGCTTGAACATAAAAAAGTTAACGAAATGCAATGATCGATATTCCTTCTCTCCCAATTCCGAGCCACGAAGTGTTTCATTGTTCGCTCTGAGACAAGGATGCATATAAACGATTACGAAGTTGTTCACTTCCAAGGAGGTTCCTGCCCATCGTTATTTGACTGGATATAATCAGAATCAGACTTCCAGATCAACTTCCAGATTCTCAGTGATATGATAGGGGCTGTATATCCTAGGTCTAGACCATAGCTGTTAATTCATCGAGGCTCGCACATCCCAAACGAAAAGATTCTCATCCCAGCCAACACTGGCGCACCATCCCTCGTTACCAAAGAGACACCAGTCAACGCCCGTGACAAATTCCGTATGCCTATCCATGGCACCCAACTGCGCTCCGACTACCGGACCTGCCGGACCAGAGCGCATGAGATCCATATCGCCAACCGCGCTAGCATCTGACCGATCGCTCCATACGCGGCAAGTCATGTCATAGCTTGCACTTAGGAGCACATTCGAAAGATGCGGCGACCAGGCCAGCTTGCGAACCGCATAGCCGTGACCCAGCATAGTAGCAAGTGGGCCTTGCTGCGGGGCCCGGATATCAAATGTCCGGATAGCACGGTCAACGCCCGCGGTGGCGAGAACCGTAGGGCGGTATTTGTTCCAGTCGTGGGTAAGACATTCCGCTGGTGCACTTGGAGCTGGTGGAATACCAGGCTGGGTGGGAATTGGCGGCGGGGTTGGGGCCGCATGGATGGGAATCTGGAGGGTGAGGTGGTTGGAGGCAGAGGCGGGTGTTCGCAAGTCGAAGAGGCGAACGTAGGAGTCGGAGGTGACGCAGGAGATCAGATCGGGATTATGAGGACAGAATGCGGCAGAATAGGTGCAGCTGTGTGTGGGTAGGGTGAGGAGGGACTGCGGGCGATGTGGTGACCAAACGCGTACTGTGCCATCCCAACTACTAGAGCAGAAGCGGTCTTTGGCGACTACGTTCCAGTTCACACTGAAGACCTCCCGCGCATGCTCCTTCCAGTTTTGTACGGGGAAGTCGTTGGCCGATGTGTCGAACAGCTTGATGCTGCCATCGCCGGACGCTGTGAGGACTTGATTTTCGTGGATTTCTGACCAAGCGAGATCATAGAGGGAGTCTTTGGTGGTAAACCTAGAATTGTAAATAAATTTGACTCATTAGCTCTCACGTTCGTTGACCAGATAGAAGTAATCTGATCCTCCGCGGGGAGCGCAATCCCAAGAATGCCACTTACCATTTCACCGGAACAATCCCGTTGGGCGTCAACTCCAGGATGTACAGACGGCCATTTCCAACAAGCCCAAAGTTCGCGGCACTCGCGACCGCAAGCCGATTGTCGAAAAAAGGCGAGTATTTGACCGCGCAGCCGTTGAATCCCTGTGTGCGAAACTGCAGCATAATGGACGACAGACCAGGAACCGGTCGAGGTCGGCGAGGGAGACGAGGTGCAAGAAGGAAAGAGAGACAGAGTCAGCTCAGAAAGGGTATCACACGTGAAAATCAGCAATCGGTGATAGGCATGGCGCGGTCGGAGGGAACTGAAAGTGACTCGGGATTGCGGGGAGCGAAATGCGATGGACCGAGGTCGACTTGGCCGGCGACCGGGCGGGTCACTTGCTCTCTTCGCAGCCACTTCCCGCGCGAAAGCAGCCCCGGATCGGCGTATGAGCTGCTAGCACTCCTAATGGCAATTTGAAGATAGGTTCCTCAATTTCATGCGATATGCATACTCAATGTAATAGAGTGGAGTGCAACACACCAAGCCCCAGGTTCGCTCGGTGAATTGATTGGTAGTCGAACAGGGTCCGGCAGCTTCAGCATCGTTGACGTCAATCCTTCACTATCCAATGGCTGAGAGTCCACGCAGTGCAAGGAACAAGAATTTTTCTAGACCTTCGACTTCAATACTGAATTTGACAGCTCGGACAATGGTTAAGCATACTACCGGAACCGCGTTCGGGCACTTTGCCTCTGCAACCGCACAGAACGACAATGACGCCATATATGGCCTTCACAAACTCCACGAACCCACCTCCACCAGAGCTTGTCCTGCATATCTCAAATATTTCCCCGGAGGCAAAAACCTGTTGTCTGCCTGAACTATGGGGTATTTCACCAGTGCACAGAGTTGAGACTAAATGAAGCTGAATTCCATGCCACAATTGTCATGGCCGAGTCAGAATCCATGACTTTTACCTCCCCTGCCAACGAGTTCCTCCAGCAGGAGGTCTACCGGTTAGGGACATCTCCCGGCCTGCGATCCCTTCCTCCCAGCCCTGATCGCGACTTTCTGGTTCTCACCTGGGGCCCCATTGTCTATCGAACCAGCTACGTTCCGGACAGCAAACGCCTTCTCCCTGTCTTCCTACGATGTCTCAACGATGCTGTCAGTCGATCACTACACCGCACATTGACCGGCTCAAAGGAGCAAATTCGCTCTCCTCGAACAGACCTACGCCTCGAAGGTCTTCAGTCTGCAGGATATGTACGACGGCTTGGACGAAAATGGGGTTCGCGAGGCCTTCCATGACTATAAGGTTTCTCTCGCAATTCCAGCCACCGAATTACCGAGCAGGTTACGTGCTTGTTTGATGGTAGATGATGGAGTTCTGTCTCACCTGCGGGCTATTCTGGATATCCAGAGCATGGCCGGACAAGATGCAGACTTGGGTCGGTGTTGGGTTAAGGTCGTTGAGAACAATTTTCCGGATTCTCGATTCAGCGACAAGCCATACATTGCGAACATCGACTGGAGCACGAATACTGATGCAACTGGAGAATATCGTGGAAATTATCATGGCTGGACAATGGTGGCATTGTCGGCATTGGTGGAAGTGTTCGATGGACTCCGGCAAATGAAATGCTTGGTGGAGTATCATCGTGAGGGGCGGATATATCTTGGAGAGGGGCAGTGGAGCGCGCTGTAGAGACTTTGCTATGATACACCAATATGAATTCAAAATTCCATCCACTTTTATTTCGATTCTTCGAATGAATTTATCGCTTGGGATCAAATGTTTTAATCAAATCTGCAGGATCAAACTAGTACCTTGGCCTCTGGATGATTGGTCACTTTAAGATCAATCATGTGCTGATAAGCCCGTTATCAAGATGCCTCATCGCAGGCTGGGCTTGGCGCTGAAGCATCACTTGGATTTCTAATCATTCGGGCTCCCTCTGCAAATATCGAATTCTTGCACAGAGTGAGAGGGCAGACATCGAATCAATGGATGCTTTCGTTTCTCGAAAGAAACGAAAGACTGCGGCATCAGAGGAAGTGACGCAGCCAGGAATCCCTGATGAACCCTGCAAAGTTCCGCCGCATCCAGACCTCGCAGGCGAGGACTCAACAGATGTCAAATTAGCCATCTTGATGTCCCTTCACCCAGACGTCGAACAAGACTACATTCTGGATCTCCTCGTTTCATGTGATGGATCGGTTGAGGTTGCGTCCTCGCTCCTCGCGTCACAACAAGCTGCAGGAAGTACATCCAGCAAGAAGCGAGCAGCCCCCTCGTCTCTCGGGATCCAGACATCACTATCGGCCCATGTCTTGACAAAATCAGAAGATGGATTCTTGCGAACTTTGGGTGGCAGCATGGCTGGCCGGAAGCCTCTTACAACTAAAAAAGGACAAACATTACATCTCTATGCGCCCGAGGACGTTGCTGTACACACGCCTTGCACGATCATACACAATTTTCTACCTTCAGAAGAAGCCAACAAACTGCTCGTCGAGCTTCTCGAAGAATCAGAACACTTCTCCAGATATGAATTTCAGCTCTTCAACCGCACTGTACAAAGCCCACACACCGCATGTGTATACGTTTCTACACCCGAGGAGTACAGACAACAGACCTCCGAGTATACCTATGGCGGCACGTACCGATCAAATGTTCGACAAGTGACGCCATACCTACGTTCCGTATCGCGAAAAGTGCAACACATCGTGAACGAAGAAATCCAAAAACGCATCCGTGAGATATATCCCGATGGGAAGAAACTCAAGTATCAATCGCCGAAGGAGTGGCGACCGAACGCAGCATTTGTCAATTGTTACGCTGGGCCTGCCGAGAGCGTGGGATATCACGCAGACGAGCTGACCTACCTCGGGCCACACCCAGTGATAGGCAGTCTGAGCCTGGGTGTGGAACGAGAATTTCGAGTCCGCCGGGTCGTCCCTCAAGATGAGGAGGAAGAGGATGGAGATGGAAAGCTAAATGGGAACGACCCCGATTCGCGCTCTAAGCCGACCAACCCTAGGAAGGATCAAAAGGCGGCGACAGATGCCCGCGCTGATGCCCAGGGGCAGATCTCCATCCATCTTCCACACAACTCTCTTCTCATCATGCATGCAGAGATGCAAGAGGAGTGGAAGCATGCAATAACCCCTGCCCAAACGATCTCTCCGCATCCAATTTCTGGTAATCGTCGAATCAACATCACCTACCGCTGGTACCGGGATACCCTGCATCCGCGATGCACGCCTCGTTGTCGATGCGGTACACACGCGATTCTGCGATGCTCACAGCGGAAGCAAGAGAGTCGAGGGCGATACATGTGGATGTGCTATGCGGGCTTCGCACCGGGTAAACAAGGGTGCTCGTTCTTCCAATGGGCCGAATTCGACGACGATGGCGATCCTGTATGGAACCACAAGCAGCGCGACGATGCCGCGCCGACTCTGGCCAATTTTTCAGCTTCGCAGTAGATCTTGTCCGATCCAAACTCGCCATGTCCTAAAGTTTCCCAAGAATCTGCCAGTCTGTAAAGGCGTTAGAGCGGATATGGTTAGCGGCGCGAACTCGAACTCGACCATAACAACTGGGTCCCGCGACCGGATCCAGTCCACTTCGCCCCTGCCTGAAGCGGTCGTCCGACCCCACGGGGCAGCCAGAAAAAGAAGCACATTTTGAGGGTTGAGGCGGGGAATCGCGATCAGATTGGAGATCCGGCGGCGTCGATTGGCCGCAAATAGAGTTGATGCGGGGGATATCGCTCTCCCCCGCGGAATTCGCCCTCGTTCATTCCGTCCTGCGCTCTCCCAAACACCTCGGATATTCACCGTAGCGACTGCAGCTGGCAGACGCGGTCAGCGTGATGGAGACTGCCAATGCAACTAGCTCGCGGTCTGATAAGATGAACCTGTTCACTTACTCAATTGGGCTAGTGGTTTCATGTCGTGCGGACAGCCTCGCGCTAGGCCGCCCCTCCCACCTACATTAGGCGGAATGCTGCCCCGTCACCTTCGTGTTTGACGACGAGGATTTAAAGCTGTAAGGATCGCCAGTACTTCAGCAGGAGCTTGTTCAAATTTTGACGATTTTGCTCTGTGTGTATCGCAGTGCAGAATACCATGGCTTCTTCGAGTGAGGTCTACGATTATATCGTTTGCGGGTAAGTCCAATCAGCTCCATTGCACAGTTGAATTGTTTTGAAGCTAACTTTGGAACTGTTTGAACAGAGGTGGCACATCCGGATGCGTGGTGGCTGCTCGTCTCGCAGAGAATCCGGATATTAAAGTCCTTCTCATCGAAGCGGGTCAACACAACCGAGACTTGGAGAATGTACACATGACAGGCGGGTACGCTGATCAACCCCCACACACAACGACGCAGTGCTTATTGAAATCCCTAGGTGGTCGAACAACTTTGACTGCGAGACCGATTGGAATGTAGTTACTCCTCCGATGCCTGGCGTGGTCAATAGGCAGGTAAAACTGAGCCGTGGCCGGTTTTTGGGCGGATGCAGTGGCTGTAATGGCACGCTGTGCATTCGTGGGAACAAACAGGACTACGATGATTGGGGACTGGATGGATGGAGCGGCGAGGACTTTTTCAACTACATGAGGAAGGTAAGTATTTCAATTGCCCACAACCAACGCAATAGAAACGTGGGCTGACAATTATTACAGGCAGAGACATTCCATCCCAAATCCTGGTTCAATGCCGACAAAGAAAGTCATGGCTACTCAGGACCATTGCATACCGAGCCGCACGACCTTGCACCTATCTCGAACCTTCTCATGGACTCATTTGTTTCAAAGGGCATGCCATTGAACCATGACATGTTTAGCACTGGAGACGTCGCGCAGGGCTGCGGACATGCGCCACGCACTGTGTACGAAGGTATTCGGACGACGGGCGCAGACTTCGTTACCAATAAAAACAACCGGGGCAATATCACGATCCAGACGGATACGACTGTGGACAAAATTATCTTCACAAAGCAGGGAGATCAGACTCGTGCGTCAGGGGTTGCGACGAAGTTGGCCGACGGCAGCTCGAAGACTTTCTCAGCTCGCAAGGAGATCATCGTCTCCGGAGGAGCATACTGCAGCCCTGCCATTCTCCTACGATCCGGAATTGGACCCAAAGAGGAGCTGGCGAAGCACAACATCTCATGCACTGTCGACTCGCCGGGCGTGGGCAAGAACCTGATGGACCACCTAGTCAGTCAGCGTGCAGCCCAAACAGTCAATTCGAAGATCTACTAACCCCCTGTAATTAGATCGTCTTCATGTTCTACGAAACCGAAAAAGCAGGCCTCACAAACGATTACCATGTCTACCACGGCGACAACTTCGACAAGACCTACGCCGAATGGAAAGAGAAGAAATCCGGCTTCCTCTCCACCTTCCCCTTCGGCGCCTTCGCCTTCGCCAGAATTGATGACCGTCTCAAGGACGAGCCCCTCTGGAAGAAAGCCCCTCGTCTCCCAGGCCGAGACCCCATGGGCCTCACTCCCAACCAGCCGAATATCGAGTTCTTCACGACGGAATGCTACGGTGGTCCGAAACAATACGATCAATTCCCGATTAACCAGCAACATGCCTTCTCGATGATTGCGGAGCTATTTGCGCCCAAGTCGCGTGGCTCGGTTACACTCAACTCGGCGGATCCTATGGAGAACCCCATTGTCGATTGTAACTACCTGGCTGATCCGATGGACTTGTTGGTTCTCAGTGAGGCATGTCGATTTGGTAATGAAATTGTTATGAATGGTGCTGGGACGAAGGATATAGTCAAGGGGTCTTGGCCGCCTAACCTTAACCACCATACCTACAAGGCCAGGGAGGAGTGGGTACCGTACGTCAAGGAGCATGCGACTACTTGTGAGTTCGAGCCTCAGCATACTTTTTTGACTGTTACTAACGATCTTATCAGGCTACCATGCCGCGGGTACGTGTGCTATGGGCAAGAAAGACAACCCCCCTCGCGGTGTTGGATGAGAAGATGAAGGTCCGTGGCGTTACTGGGCTGCGAGTCGCGGATTGCAGTGTTATGCCTACTCTGCATGGAGGGCACACTCAGATGCCGGCTTATGGGCTCGGAGAGAAGTGTGCGGATCTCATCAAGGAGACATGGCGCATGACTGGCCACGTTTACAGTCGGATTTGAAATCTACCAACTTATGACTTTGAATGATTTTGTACTAGATGGGCAATTACAGTCGCAGTATACGCAAGTGATTAGATACATACCCAGTTCAATTCATAAGGCTACCTAAAGCTTGTGATAGAAAAATAACCCGACCAGGGTGAGAGGAAGGAACAAAGTAAGCATACAGTAAAAGAATAAGTTTTCAAATGCAACACCCATGTGCTCTAAGCCGGATCCAGGACGAACCTCTCTCCAGGCTGGACCGACATGCCCGTATCTCTCCAGTTTTGCTCAAGGGTCCGACTTGTGTGCCGACTGCGAATAATCGTGACATGGTTTTGAAGACGGACCACACCCTTCGACGGTATAAGGGAATGGCGATATTCAGTATGCACTGTGAGGACTTGCTGAGTGACATCTTCAGCCCACCCCACTAAGAACTTGTTGATCCCGACAATTGATTCCATGACCAACGAGGGAAATTCCCTAAGCTCTTCTTCATATTTGTGCGGGAATGCCTTGGGCACAGCAATGTCTATCGGAAGACGCCAAGTCTCTCCTGGGCGGAGCGACGGGATTTGATACATACTAGTCGTCGGCTCTATCTGGCACCCTGATCCAGAGGTCAAGAGAACCTTGACATTCAAAAGCTCCCCGGGCCGTATGCCACAACGGATATGTCGCATCACCCTGGCAACTCTCCGTACAAAGTGGTTGCCAGTGTATTTTGTTTGTCTGGTGCCAATATCATAAGGAATATGCCATCCAGGCTGGGAGTTGGCATGCTTCAAGGGAAAATAAGCGTGAGGAGTGATAGTGTGGAAGCCAATAGCTTGATCAACCCAAGGAACTTCTAGGCCGGGATAGCGTGTTGCAGTGATGAAGAAAATGTGGCAGAGGGCGGTTCTGGAGCAGGAGCTGAAAATTTTGGACACTTGCTGGATAGCCTCCCGGATAGGAGGCGTTGAGTCTTTGGTCTGCGCGCGGTTGGCGAACACATTCAAGGCAGATCGGACATCGTCCACGGAGTGAAAACCCAGTGGAAGCAACAACTGAAAAGAGTTGGTTGCCTCCCCATCCACGTAGCCCACGGCAATTCGATCCAAATTAAGAGTTGTGTTCTTGGCCAGTATGGAGGATGCCAGATTGTATTGTGTCAGGGCCTGTGGGCTGACAGATAGGTCAGTTAGTGGGAGGCCAGTCAAGTTCAGGCACACTCACAGATTGTCGAGGAGGATGATGACGTCGAGGGGCGCAAGGACAGATGACTCGGGTAATGGAACAGAGGTGACATCGCCGGAGACATGGATCGAAGCCTGCAAACGTTCTGCCCCGAAGCCGATTTGTGATCTGTTCATGGTCATTTCTACATCAAGAAAAGCGACAGGCAAATCCATCGGACAGATGTACTGCGAGTTCTCCCGGGGCTGATGTCCTTTCGAAGACTGTGTTATTTCTGGGGGAGGATTCATCTCAACAGATGAAGTATCTGTACCCATGAGCAGGTCTGGTAGCGAAGCCGTGTACGACCCAGAGCTCCATCGGGTTGTCAAGATATGGGACTTCTGACGCTTGAGTTTCTTGTCCAGCGTTTTGAACTTGGTAGGGGTATCCGGGGCCTGGATATCCAGATTAGCGAGTGAAATCGCAGCGGAGACAGGAGTCTTACCATCGAATCGTTGAATGGATCATCCATTGAGCTGTACTGAATATTACTCGTTGCCGGTGTGTAGCCTCGTTCATGCTGCCTCTTTCTTGCAACTTCAATATGAGACGTGGCACCTAAGGAAGGTGTCCTCGTTGAGGAAGCCTGATCATCTAGGTTGATGCTGTGGACGCTCGTGGATAGCGAAGAGGATCGGCGAGGGATCCGAGGATATGATGGAGGCGAGCTCACACTTCGGCTGCGTGCGACCCCGATCCTTTTGGCAGTGAGCGGCGTTGACGCGAGATGGTCGGCCATGGTGGACGAGATGCTTTGGTCTAGAATTGTGATCGACTTCGAACAGGCTGCTCGTACTCCAGCGGCGACTCAGAGGACTCGGTGCCTTGACCGTTGCCACTCTCGAGGTCAGAGTGGAGGCGCTTCTTCCTGCGGAAGCGTTTCTGGCACGAGACGCACGAGAAGCACGAGAAGCTTCTGAAGCGGCCGCTGCAGTACTCAGAACAGGCAAGGGCGATGGCGACGGCACAGAATAAGATGACGACGGGAACCAGAACTAACGCAATAAGTAATGCAGAGCTCTTGAAGTCAAGAGATAAAGTATCGGGCATTGTGCGAGAATGATATGTGCATGCATGCAAACAGAAGAAACTGCTGGACGGATGAGTGGAAAGCCGGGCTAGGGCTAGGCTGCCGGCCGAGCTGACAAGAAGGGAAGGAGCGAGATCGAGTTCTAAACTAGCATTGGGTATATCGAAGGCAAGCGCGAGCATCACTGCATCATTATTTATGTACGTTGGCCACCGATGCCATCATCTCCTTCAACGAATTCAAAGTCGCGTCGTCCAACCTCGAGAATCGTATCTGATTTCGGGTCAGTGCTGTTGAATCCAGTTTTCTTGCGAGAGAGCTTACCATGTCATCCGTCCCTCGAGAAGCATTGCCAAACAGCATTGGTTCCGAATGACTGTTCTCGATTTCGGCCTCCACTCGACGAGCCCAGATGCCATCCCAATGCCAATCGCCAGGGAGCCGAGCCTGCGGGCTTCCCTGCTTCACATGGCCAGGACTGTGTCCACCTCTTCGATGAGCCTTCCACGCGTGCCACGCCCCCGGGTTCCCTGCAGCATCAACGTCCAACGAGTCCAATACCTCCTCATCATCGAAGGTTGACCTGATATACTCCAGAAGCTCAGCGACGGGAACTACCTTCCGAGGCTGAGCAAATCGATCTGCAGAGGGGACTTGGGAGATTCGAGTGGTCTCCTCTTTGGATTCTGAGCTTTCTTCGCCCTCGACCGGCTTGTCAGCTTGCGAGGTTTCAGGCACGCCCGAAAGTTCTTCGTCGTTCGGGTTCATATCATTGAACTTTGTCCCTTCGGCACCACTGGCAGACAATGTGCCCGCGCTTTTCCCGCTTACATTCCGGGACGATGCTCCAGATGTAGCACCTTTTCGGTCTTCCCTGCCAAACCAATGCGGGAAGCCATGGCGAAGGCTGAATCCACCTGGGGGTAGGCGTTCATCGTCCGTCGCGCTGACTGGGTTATCGCTCGCGGAGTTGGTGCTGAAGGTGTAGGTCGTGAGCGGCACGATCAATGGGTGGAAAATATCGGTTGCGAAGGTGACGAGGGGAGGTAAATCGGGATAAATGTCGGGGAAGCGGATTTGAAAGCGGAGGACAGCAGACGCATAGGGTCCTAAGACGGAGGGCATTCAGGTGAGCAAGAAGCAATAGATCAAATCAGAGAAGTAAAACTAACCAGAGCGGACGAAAATAACACCATTCCAAAGCGTGGGGTCTCCAGGCGCGAGGCTCACATAAACCCCTGGCGGTGCGGCATGCCGCAAACTGGCACTGCGGGGAGGTCAGTTTGCAGTCCCTTAGGAAAGAATTGAGAAAGCTCACAATTCCAGATGCAGCTGCTGCCGCCGGACCGACGGAATGCAGGGTAGCCTAGTAGTCGACATGACTGTGCGAGGCGTTCGAGACGTTTGGAGGACGTTCGGGAAGTTTGGAGAATCCGGGGCCAGCAACCACAACAAGTCGCTTATCGTCTTATCGCACGGCTCCAACCAATCTGCCTGGAGGATTTGAAGCTTCAAATTTGACATCCTAAGCAACGATCGGAGTCGCTATGTGATGTTTGCAGACAGGAATTTGCAAGGGAGCCTCCAGACCAGTTCTGAAACTTTCATGATGCTCAAACATGAAGTTTCACTAGGTGGCGTGGACATACTCCACGCGTCGTTACTCGAGCCGCCCAGCGATCTGCATCTTCAACCAATAATTGACCTTCAGCCTCACAGAGCCGAGATCTTCCTCGCTCTATGAAAAGCGCACGACTCATGGGAAAGCATGCAGCATCCGTTACCGGCCATTGGTCTTGTTATCAGGCAGCACTCTCGATTGAGCCACCGCACATGTGAACCACCACGGGTTGACATAATTGCAGAATCATCATGCATCAAACTCAACGCCTATCTACTTGCAGTGCCAGTCTATCCAGATCTATGCCTTGTTTTAACAAACCCAGATGAACCATTCCTTCGCCAACGCCCTCATACACGCCACCTGCGATTCCTTCAATCCACCACGCCGCCAAATTCCCTACCGCAGCTCCGACTCGCCCCTCGTTGAGTTTACAAACTGCCGACCCAATGTTGACGCCACTTTTTCCAAGACCATCTGCGGCATCCAGAGTGGTAGTCACAATACGCTCCGTGATGCGATGAGACCGCTCGTATTCATAGACCTGACGGAGAAATAACTTGAAATAAGGCAAGACAAACCGGATCAACAGGAATATTTGTACGATGGTCGAGGCAAGAAGTCTATGCAAATACGATCTCGATGGCGGCGAGTATCGTCTCATCTCTACTTGTCCTTCTCGACGAGCAAGCTGTGACAGTGGCGTGGTCGCTATGGACATCTTGACTGGTTCTGGCAGCCGATGTTGTATCATGGTTGTCTCTTCAGTGCTCAAGTCTGCAGGGAGCGCGTCGAGCAGATAAACCAACGCATTCATGTAAAGGGACCGAGCAAGCCGGCCGTCTGCCTGTGGTTGCTGCGCTTCATAACCGGCACTTCGAAGAAGATTGAACGCTAAGAGAAACAAGGCGTCAGAGAAACGAGCCCAGCTGGAATTGGAATCGTCAGGATCTCATAGTTACCTGGTACAACTCGGTTCCACCGCAGGCCAGACTCGGACTCGTATTTCGCAGGGAGGCCAGCCTCCTCCGTTCGAGGACTGTCCGATCCAGGCGATCCAGATCCAGAGTCAAACGAGTCTAGATCACCACTTGCGGTTGACGGCCGTTGGGCCTCTGTGGCGGCGATTTCAGCGAACTGGCCATGGCAGGGTAGATATGGTTCGGACGATGAGGCCAGCCCGGGACGCAGAGCCCCGCTGGACACGCCTTCAGTATCAGGCTCAGCCCTATGAGACGAGTACAGCCGAGGCAGCTGACGGCGAATAGATGCTGGGATTGGGAGTAGGGGTAGTCTGGAATACTCCATTCTTGGGTGACTTGGGGCTTCGGACTGGAGCAAGCGGGAGCAAGTGGAATCTTGTCGACATCCCCGAGAGTGCAGGAGTATGGAAAACGGCCGCGATGACGTGACCGACAGATAACGGTCCTGCGGCAATTTTTCTTGCATGCTGCAGTTTCACATGCTAGCGTTGGCGCATCTGATATGCCGATAAGCCCCGGGTGGGGTGTCTGAAGTTAGTGTCGATCGGTTGATTTTTGCTTGTCAATGCGAGCATGATGAATGGACGGTCGTGGATGTATATCTTGAGAAATCGGAGATTGCCTCAGCGCGTGTTGTGAACTGGCCTCCTGGAAAAGACAACTGCCACGTGACGCCCATGAGTGCGGGCCATCAGGTAATGAGGGTCTTCAGTCGAGTCCACTCTGGTCCGATTACAATATCGAACGCGCTGTCAATTGAACAAAATACCGAAGAGAATGCCCTGGATGATAAAGCTCGGCCGATTCTATGGCTCGATAACTATCGAATGATATGTGCAGCTGACTGCTCAGACACATCCTATATTCACATTGAGAACATCTGATGTGCTTCTGCACTACAAAAGGTTCTAGTGGTTACCCATGACGCAAATGGAGCCTAAAATGGTTATTCTTGACAGGTCAAGATGAAGATTCTTTGTCTCGATTCCACGTCAGTCCGTGTGTAAACCGTCCGAGATACGCCTGAATTGCTACGGTCTCGGCGCCTGGTCAAAACATCCTATTCGCCACTTCAACACCCTTTCAGATCAATCTGTGATTCTTTCGTCTAATTTTAAATCCCATATCAGTTTTGCTCTCTTGCAATGTCCCCATTTCTCCCCCAACCCAACAGCTGTAAGGTGCCAGTTTATGTCCGACAAGACCGAAGTCTATACCGGACCAACAAAGTAAAAAAAGAACGCAAGAGACCAATCGAAGCCATGAGAGTAAGCAATTCCAAATGCTTTCAGTCAGATGCTGGACTTGACCAACATGGGTTGCCTATCGATACCAGTAGGCTATTCGATTCTTGTCCAGTCCGGTTCGGCGGGCGGCTCTGGCCGTGGTACAATAGGGCTCGCGACCCACTGCAGCATGGTGGATTGGTGAACGCCAGCAGGCCATCCTTCACCCCAACGATTCAACAGATTCCGCATAAGTAAAATACTAACCACACGTCACTCACACGTGGAACCGAGGATGTGAGTTATAATATTTTAATCAAGAGGTTCATATTTAGAGATTGGAATGCGGGTTTATCCTTTTCCTTTTCCTTCTTGTACATTACGAATACATTATCGTTGTTCTTCCTCTACTACTTCTACCGCACATTTACTATTCACCTCAATTTGATCTCCCTACCACGGGAAAAAATCCCATCAAAATGGCTGGAACCGAGCCAGAAGATCGAAAATCGCACATTACCGAGCAGCCGATTACGCTGCATAACTGGCACCGCCACGTCAACTGGGTGAACACCACGTTGATCTTGATCGTGCCTATACTTAGCTGCGTCGCTGCACTCTTTACTCCACTGCGGATTCCCACAGCTCTTTGGACTGTTGTATATTATTTTTGGACTGGATTGGGGATCACTGCAGGCTACCATCGCCTTTGGTCGCATCGATCATACGAAGCGTAAGCTCCTCGGATCCCTCAAGATTGTGTCTATACTAACGAAGAATCGGTTCTATCTAGTGGCTTAACTTTACGAATTTTCCTTGCCTGCGTCGGTGGCGGTGCCGTGCAGGGCTCTATTCAATGGTGGAGTAGCAAACATCGTGCTCACCACCGATGGACCGATACTGTCAAAGACCCCTACAGCGTACGGAAGGGACTGGTATACTCTCATCTCATGTGGATGGTGTTGAAACAAAACCCCAAGGAACGCGGTCGCACGGATATTTCTGATTTGAATCAGGACCCTGTTGTCGTATGGCAGCACCGCAACTATGGCTTCGTTGTCCTGACTTTTGGCATGCTGTTTCCGATGTTCGTCGCCGGGCTGGGTTGGGGAGACTGGAAAGGTGGTCTGGTTTATTCGGGCATCTTGAGGTTCTTCTTTGTCCAGCAAGCGACTTTTTGCGTTAACTCTCTCGCTCATTGGCTGGGCGAGCAGGTGAGACCTTACCCTTCCCTTCGAACTAATTAGTTTGTTCTTCATGCTGACATGGCTAGCCTTTCGACGATCGCAACTCGCCTCGTGACCATGTCATCACTGCTCTTGTTACACTCGGCGAGGGCTACCATAATTTCCACCACGAGGTATTTATCTCATTCCCCTCCGTCCCGATTTCACCAAGAAAAAGAAAAGAGAGCGGATCGCTGATGGTGCCTGTAGTTCCCTTCCGATTATCGCAATGCGATCGAGTGGTGGCAGTACGACCCAACAAAATGGTCCATCTGGATGTGGAAGCAACTGGGACTGGCATTCAACCTGAAGCAATTCCGTGCGAATGAAATCGAAAAGGGTCGCGTCCAACAATTGCAGAAAAAGGTGGATCAAAGAAGAGCTCGCCTAGACTGGGGTGTTCCTCTAGAGCAACTCCCAGTCGTTTCATGGGACGATTTCGTTGCCGATGCACAGTCGGGCAAAACCCTTGTCGCTATTGCTGGTGTTATCCATGATGTGACCGATTTCATCAAGGAGCACCCCGGCGGAAAAGCCTTGATCAGCTCTGGAATCGGTAAGGACGCGACGGCTCTTTTCAATGGTGGCGTATACAACCACTCTAATGCGGCTCACAACCTCCTGTCGACAATGCGGGTCGGTGTCATTCGAGGTGGAGGCGAGGTGGAGATCTGGCGACGGGACAGAACCAAGAAGCAGAATCTCGGTACATCATTGTGAAAACGCCGATGACATTCGGCTGTGCAAAACTATGGCATCTTACACTTCCGAAGCTTCCAGTGTTTCGGTTGTAGGCCTTCGACTTCTTTTACGAAAATCAGATTGTCGGGATATCCGGTGCCTGCCAAGACGGAGTAATTTAGGCGGTTTCTAAATGGGACAGTGTATATTTTAGTCCCATCGCTGCTAGTACTAGTGTCCACTGGCTGCATTTGGGAGCATCGATATGATGAGGCCTCGGTTCTTCCCACCCCGGTCGCTAGTGGTGTGACTTCTTCATCCCCGCATAAGCTTTTTGTGATGCTTAATTCATTGTTCTCCCAACTTCTGCATCGACATTTCTCAATTGATCTCTGCTACAATTAAATTCTCCGAGCTGAAAAAAGCCATGAACCTGGCGGTCACTTTTCCTCGCATGCTTGGCCAGCTGCCATGCTACCGCCCATTTGATGAATCCAATTATCGCATTGATGTGCATTCCCATGCAATTCCATCTGGAGGCAGGCAATGATCTCGGCAGGCTTCCTCATCAAGAATGGATCTTTGTATAATGATGGTGCTCCTGTCGCAGATTGGACATTGGACTCTCATGTCGATGCCATGGACAAACTGGGAGTGAATAATTCAACTCAGCATTACAGCTCCTGGAGTTGCTTTTGTCAAGGACGCGAACAAGGCTAAATCCTTAGCCCGAAAGATCAATCTCAAGTTGCATGAATATACGCAAGCTTACCCCACTCGACTTGGATCCATGACATTGAGAAAAATAAGAGTATATACATCGAATATGCAGAAGACATTGTCAAGTCGTCAGCGCTGCCACAATTTATCAATGCGGGATTTAAACAAGTACACTAGAGCCATCACTCTTCGAGCATCCACAGGTGTTCGCGCCGGCTGCGACCTGGGTGGGTGTCCGAGAATAGCTGGGTGGCACATCGAGTACTGGGTTCCGGTCGAAGAAGTTACGTGGTCGGAGAAGCAGTGTCATCGGCTCAGCAGGCATGATGGGGTAGTCTTCCGGTGAAGGGAAGTGGGTCAGACCGAATGTGTGCCAAAGTACGACATCAGTGTTATCGATGGAGCAGTTGGGACCTGCAGCCTCAATCCACGCCGGAAGGCCTTGCGAAGGCTCGCCGGATGTCTGCGGAACGTGTCGACCAGCAGGGTGGATTTGGTCGTCGGAGTCTGTAGGGGTCAGGCGTTAGCGAGTGATACAATAAGTCGCGAGGCTGGAAAGATGAAATTCCGAGGTACTCACATTTGGTAACGTGGACTGCGTGTCGAGCGAATCCGGCCCGTTTCCAGACCAAGCCACCCTCCTTGGGCAGGAGTGGTGGTACCTCGCGGCTGACGAGCTTGTAGCAGACAGGCTTCTTGCTGTGGGTGTTCAGCTTGTTGGTGTTGGCCATCTCCCATGTGCGGCTGGTGGAGCCGTCATAGTCAGACATTGCTTCGAGTGGTGTGGTGAATTTGGTCTTTTTGGCATAGAAGGCGTTGCCATATGGGTTCTCTGCGCTTCCAACCTCTCCAGGTCCACGGACTGCATCAACTTGAAAGACAGTATTGTTTGGTCCGTCAATGTTGGGGTCAACACGCAGGCAGAAGAGGTGCTGGTGGTTGTGGGCATTCACGCCGGGATATACCTCAGTTCCCCAGCCCTTGGTATCTTCGCCTGGGTTGAGGGAATAGGTGTTCAAGATACCCGTCAACTTGATCTCAAGTTGGACGGTGCCATCCTGGTGGAAGATCCAGTACACACAGTATTCATAGTTGGCAGCGGTGAAGATGTGAGAGATGATCAGCTTCCGTCCACGAGTGACCACAATGGAGTCGTCACGGAAGTCAGTGTGCTTGTAAAGGATACCAGCATCTTCCTCGTGAATGCAAATTGCGTTCTTGATAATCGTGGATGCCCCAGCACGGTTCACAAAGGCTGCATCCATGTAGTGGATTGCACCCTTGCAGTCGCAACCAAGTGCCAGACTGTTCGTCATATAGCCACCACCGTACTCGCCCAGATCAAATGCGTGCTTTCGCTGATGGGGGTGCTCGGGGTTGCCATATGGAACCACCATCTCTGCGAGCGAAAGTCTCCAGAAGACAGGACGCACATTGCCCTTATCGTTGAATGTGATGTTGTTCAGAACGATTCCTTCCTTGTAATTAAAGCCCACATGAATGTTCCAGTTTTGCCAGTCAATAATGCGACCATCGACCTTAAAAGAGACGCCCTCCGGCTGAGTGATGTGAATGGGCTTGATATCATTGCGGTATCCACCCTCCTTCTCAATGGCCGCCGGGTGGTAGTTGTTCGGGGGTGCTTTGCTGAGTGGTCTCCGGACAGGAGGCACATCAATGTGAATTATTCGCTTCTCCTCCGCGCTGTAGATGGGGCAGAAATCCAACGGGTAGGTATACTGAGAGTCATCGGGGTGAGGGCGATAGTACATGAGAGCCTGCTGGAGCCGAACACCAGTGCCAAAGCGCTCATCGTATCCAATTGTCCAAGCTATACATCGAGCCATTTGTTAGCGAGATATAATTCTATACTCGGATGTCGAGAATGGCTGGAACCCACGATCACAATACACCTTGTGCATATCCTGGGGAGGAATGCCAAGTATCCCACATTGCTCGATGACTTTGGGGTCTTTTCGCACGACATGCTCAACCTCCTGCAGATCTTCCATCGTGATCAAAGGCTGGACATTTGGTGTGTGCTTCCACTCGACAATCTTGTTCTCGTTCAAATCCACCACACCATCGTACACTTTGCCGCCGGGTGCAATAGCAACTACATCCGCCGCACGAGTTGGCCGCTTCGCTGTCTCGGGGTTTGCGAGCCAGGCCATCATCTCCGCCTTGCGCGGCTCGTATAATGTGACTGCATTGAAATTGACCTGGCCATGTTCTTTGCGAATGAGAGCGACAGCGGCATCGATCTCGGACGTGGTCAAGGGATCCAATGGGTGAGGAGGGGGCGCTGTGGCGCTGACCTGGTAAGTCAACTGCTGGAGGCGATCGAGAACCATTCCGAGAGGTAGCGATCTATTAGACGTTGGTGGAATCGAGATGGCTCTGCTGGATATAGATCGGTCCTGGAGAGGGGAAGATACGCGATATAAAGCAGACGATGAATAAACACAGGTCTCACCGACTGCCGGCGTCCGTATTTAACAACTGCCCCTCACATCCCGCAACGGCCTGCAGCAGCATGATTAGATAGTCGCATCTGCTGTCCTTGTCCGATCGTCGCGGTGTGTGGAACATGGCAAATGCGGAGGCCGGATCCCTTTGCCCGATAGGGACTAGCGCGGTATCCTGCATCGCCAAAAGGGAAACCTGATGCTTGCGAGCGATAGACGCGAGTCCGAGGTATACCTTGAGCTGCTGCATAGTAGTCATGGATATGACCAGTGCGATTCTTCATGTCGGTTCATCCGGTTGCTCTCGCGAGACTCGCATCTCGCTGCTCAATACGGACAGGAAGCCCTCGTAAGGAGAGCACCAATCTACGCACTGCACGAACGTGATGCAGAGCCCGCTCTCCGCGTTGCCGCTGGGAAGTTGGGAAAATAGCGTGGACTTGGTACTTCATGTTTAGTAGTAAATATAGCGCTACTGTATGATTTTATGTGATGGAATAAACAAAAAGAAGTCCTCTGCGTGAATGGATGTGACAGTCCCGTTTTAACTAAACTCCTGGTCTAGTATCTACATACAGCAAAAGCAATATGAAACCAGACCGAAGTGAGAACAGGTAAAATTCATCGAGACCGAAACGCCTTCCAAATGTAAAAACAATCAAACACAACACCTGACACCCCCTGATCCACCGAACACCTTACAGACACAGTAGACCCCAAAAATGGAATCTATGCAAACGACAGGTGAGAAAAGGCGGTTCGAAAATTCATAAAAAACAACACGATGCTCCCGCGCATATGTACATCATCAATAATCGTATCAAGAGCTCCGTCGGTACAAACCCATCTATCCTCAGATACAGGTTGTCCTAGCCACATTCTGCCCAGGTATCATGACTTAGCAGTGTGATAGTTGCTGCCTGGGGTTTGGAAAGGGTGCTGCGGGGTGTGGGCAGTCCCAATATATGTGTTATTGGGAGTACTGGGAGTTCCGGTGTTGGTCGAGGCATAAATTGCGGCGCTGTTCATTGGGTGGCTAAGAGCAGGCATCTGTCCGTTCAGGCCCCAGATCTGGCCCGAGTACTTGTCGGCCTGGATCTTGCCGTTGAAAACGAGCTGGCGCATCTTCCAGTAAATTTCACCAGTGACAAGAGAATCGGAGCCCGCCTGGTGAGCGATGCCAACGCGCTTAACGCCGAGTTCGTCTGCAATGTCCTGCAGACCGGACTTTTGTCCGAGGGACTGGATGATCGTCATGGCCTGGGGAGTAAGAGGGCTGTCATTGACAGCGCCATTGCGGCCGGCGTGCTTCATGAGGTATTTGATGTCGTAGAGCGAAGGGAAAAAGATGGTCAGGAGCTTGTGGAAGTATTCCTCGTTTTCGGGCAACGAGGTGCAGAGCATGATCTTCATCAAGTATCCGAAATCATAACCCGAGTGGAACGAAACCCAGTGTACATCGTCCAAGAGCACCAAGCCGGAGCTGATCAATAGAGAGCCGAATTCGAATGGGTCGATACCGTTCTTCTCGTGCATGTTGAAATCAATGCCGGATTTGGCAAGCATGGTGGTTGAGTCTTGAGCGTACATGTCGGCTTCCAACGAGAAGCGAAAGTTGAACTGCCATGTGCAGGGAGCGGGGATTCCGTAGGGCTGTCCGTTGGCGTCGGTTCCGGAGATCGGGGGGACTTCTCCATTCTCGTTGAACAAAGTGATGCCGAGTTGAATCATCTTCAGCAGATCGACGTTGCAGCGTAGAGTTTGGTAGTGGTAGTCAGCTTTGTTCGTGAACTGGCCAATCGGACGGGCGACGATTCCCGGGAACTCCGTATCCTTCCTAGTTGTTAGAATCAGGAATATATTGTGACAAGCAGAGGGACCCGACTTTTGCGGACCGAATCCCTCGACTCCGTCACCTTAGCAAACGACCACAGAGTACTTACCATGCTGATGTAAGGGTATTTATCCACCAGGGATCGCAACACAGCCATTTCATGCGCCAAATTGTGTTTCCACACATCTCGGATCCGCGATTTGACGGCACCTGCTTTAGAGTCGAGTGCCAGACGTCCATCGTGTCCTTGGTGAAGCTGTTGTTGCTGCATTTGTGCGCCCCGCGCAAACCCCATCTGTGCTGCATGGCTTGCCAGGCCGGTACCCCCGCCATCTGCGCCAGCGCCAGCAAAGCCTGCAACAGACATGCCGTTTGCTACGCCAGCGCCAGAAAGTGTGAACGGATTCATGTTCGTGTTCGGATTACCCGCGAAGCCGGGGTGGCCACCCAGCGAAGGGGGGAGGAGAGTTGCCGGATTGGGGGTGGTGTTGAGACTGGAGATGGGCTTGTTGAAGAGAATAAGGAGCCCCTAGGGCTGATGACCCGTAACGACCGACGGGTGGTGGCATTGTCGGTATTCGAGTCGCATGGAGAGAGTGTTCAGGTTCGACCCTCGAACGTTTGGGCGGGAAGAGCTACGGCCGCTGCCGTATCGGGACTAGCGCGGATGGCAGCGCGCACCGCCTGCAACTCTGAGCGTGCGAGGGTGCGAGGTTCACCTCCTGCTCTTCTTCCTCATCAGATTCACCTCAACCCGCCACAATGCCTGCTCGGAACCCTACCGGCTTCGATATCAATCAGTTCAAGGCTGCGGCCTCCCCGTCCTCCATCTGGGCCAAGCGGGATCCCTGGGCTCGCAAGTACGATCGCTCCCGCCAATGACTGTACCTGGATTTGCGATTTGATGCTAATCTACGAATTAGTGAGGCCTGGCGCTATACCGGCCCCTTCAGCCGCTGGAACCGCTTCAAGGGTCTATTCCCCGGTCTCGGAATCGCTACTGTCGCCTTCACTGCCTACTGCGCGTACGAGCACTTCTTCCTGAAGGATGACCACCACCACGGTGATGGCCACCACGGCGAGGCCCACCACTAAATTGCCATCCCGGAGCAACGAATGAGAGAATCGCCGGCCGACCGGCGATTTCTTTGAGGACGAATACCCCACCAGATGAGATGCAGCCGTCTCATCCCGACAGAGGACCGAAAATTGTTATGTTTCGATGGCGGCAGCTGCGGCCCCGTCAGTTAGAGAGGGCGTCGAGTCATTGCGATGATACTGTTGTTTTTCGCCTCGAGACGTGGCCTGCAGATGGCGCTTTGGGTTGATTTGTCGGATGTACATAGTCTATGTTCAATTACTAAGATGTCTTCTTTACCGTTTTCACCTACAACCCACCCAATTTTCCTCACTGTCGACCCACAGAGTGGACTTTCAGAGAACTACCGGAGATTTTGAACAGTTATCGCAATTGGCCATAACAAGTTTGACATTTTAACCATGAATATGGTAACTTTCCCTTTTTCTATTGGTGTAACATGATATCATAAATCGCATCCGATCTCCCCCGCATTAACAATCGGGGCAGCTTTTCTATATACTGTCAAAGTTCCCAAACATACTCTACTCATCCTCAAACACCAGAGAGACACCGTCATCTCCAGCAGTGACAACGCGTTTTCCATCAAAGCCCTGGACAAAGCCCATGATACCGCCAGCCTGCTCACCATCCTCGTTTTCAGTGACACCCATGTGTCCCTTCCACTCCTTCAGGAGACCCTGACCAGCGGCAGTGGTTCCGCCGCGAGCATCCCACCGGCGGACGATACCATCCAGTCCGACGGAAGTGAGCAGCCATGACCGGGTCTGGTTAGCGGCACCAGGTCGAGCAGTAGCAGGAGCCCGGCTCTGCAAGAACTCAACCTTCACGACGGCGTTGCCCTCGTGGGCCTCCTTGACATGGCGACGAACAGCGAAACGGTGGGCAGCGTCATACAAAGCAATTGAGCCATCCACGGAGCCCGCGGCCAAAAGAGTCAGCGGGGGCTGTGAGAAAGACAGGGTCTCGATGCCATCTGACTGAGCCTGGAGATCAGCCAGAATGGTACCAGCAGCAGAAGCAGTAGCCGACTGAGCGGGAGCCTTGCCCTTCGCAGCCGGCGCGCCGCCAGACAGTCGAGGCAGGCCAACGACCTTGATGCGACCCTCGGCACCACCAACAGCGGCAATGCCACCGCCTGGCGAGACGGCGATCGAATACAGACCACCGTCGACGGCAAATCGCTGGTCCTCCGGGGTCAAACCAACCACGGCATTGGTACCGGCGGATCCGGTAATGCCAGCCGCAGCAGCGGCTCCAAACACATCATAGACATAGAAGCTTCCATCCTCCGAGACAGTCGCGAGCATGTTTCCATCTGGTGTCCAGGCACCTGCCGTACAAGACGCGGTGTGTTGGAAAAAGGTGTGAATGATGGTGATAGGTGAAGAATCGGTGTGGTCGATACGGAAGACCCAAGCGCTGCCGTCATTGGCACCCATAGCCACGACATTGCGCTTCTCCTCATTTCCCTGCTGGTAGGGGCAAACAGCCACCCAGTTGATCTCCTCTACCTCCTGCGCCTCAGCCACGAAATCCCATGCAAAACCAGTCTTCTGGGGCGTGGAGTCCCTCCATGCGCGGAGCTTTCCGTCCAAACCTGCGGTCACGACGTACTCGCCGGCAGGCTCGGTGAAAGCCACAGCATTGACGGTGTCGGTGTGTCCATCTAGCTTCGTGATAGGCTTGAGCGACTCGCGCTCGCGGGGCTGGGGGTTTGATTCATAGCTCGAAGGGAGAACAGGCCGCTCAGCGGGGGTCGAGTCGAAGATATAGGCGGTGTCGTCGCCAGCACCGGTGATGACAATGTTGTTGTGGGTAGGATGCTGCGCAACGCAGAATACGGAGTCGTTGTGCGCGTCGAAGTGTGCGGAGGAGTCGTTCTGGAAGGTGATCTGTTCCTCAATTTGCATGTCCTGGTCCTCGTCTTCGCCGTCTGACTCCATGGGGTGGTCCTCGTCGCGAGTGAAAATCTCCTCGGCCTCGTCGGCTCCCACGAAAGCATCCTCTTCCCCTTGACGGTGGGGATCTTGCGATGACATCTTCCAGGCGCGATTGAAGCTTAAATTTTGGTATGGTTGATCGAGATCTTGAGAAACGGGGTATAGCGGTGAATTTTTCGAGCAGAAGTCTGTAGAAATTATTTGCCTCTTCAAAATGAGTCAGAGCGAAAGAGGCAATTTCTCTCGTTGGCCGTAATCAGTGGAAGTTGATCGAGCTGAAGCTGCAGCTTTTTTTTCTGTCGTCCTCCCCCGCTTAGAAATCCGCAACCCCCGCGGGAGACAAACATAGCAAACACGCTTTATCGGCAGATCCATTGCTCCGCATTTCTCCAGTTGTACGTTGAAGTCTCCGAATCAAGCTGCAGAAGCAGAAGCGCGGGGAATGTTCGTAGTATGTGGTTCGGTCCCAAAATGCCTTCTCTAAATTTTGCTTCTATGCGGAATCAAGTGGCTTTCGGTAATTTCTAAGGAAAATGCCGCATATCCGTGTTCTATTGACAATGTATACTAAATAATTCTATGGATCATAGACGTACCCATTATTCAAGTCTAAACTCGCTAGAATTTCACGCTCAAAGCTTGGAGCCAGCTTTTCTCCGCGCCTCCTTCTCCTGGTCGCGGATCAGTCGTCGCAAGATCTTACCGCTCGGGCTCTTGGGAACCGCATCAACGAATCGGACTCCACCCTTTAGCCACTTGTGGCGGGCCTTGTGATCCTCAACGTGCCTCTTGATGGACTGGGTTACCACAGCATCGTCGGAGCTGGCAGACGGAGACTTGACTACAATGGCCTTGGGGACCTCACCCGCGGCCTCGTCGGGAATGGCGATGACAGCCACATCGGCCACGTCGGGGTGGGCAAGGAGGTGAGCCTCCAGCTCGGCGGGCGCAACTTGCAGACCCTGTTTCGCGCAGATGTTAGCTAATTGTACGATTGCGACACGTCAATTCTGCCACGTGCGACGTACCTTGACCTTGATCAGTTCCTTAATGCGATCGACAATGAAAATGTGCTCGGTGCCCTTGGGTCCGCGACGAACGACCGCTTCATCTCCCGTGCGCATCCATCCGTCTTCAAAGGTCTCCTTGTTGGCCTTTTCGTTGTTCAAGTAGCCCAATACCACACTCGGTGATCGGACAACCAGTTCGCCGGGAGTGTCGTAGCTGGTAATTTCTTGGCCCTCGGGCGTGATGATGCGAGCTTCAAATCCGGGGACAAGGCATCCTGAAGAGCCCAGCACAATATCCTCGGGGTGGGTTGAGCAAACCACAGTGCAGGTCTCAGTCAGACCTAAACATTGTCAGTTTTGGACCGTGTTTATGGCAAGATGAATGCTTACCGTATCCTTGACGAATGGCAACGCTGGGGTAGATCTTTTGGAAGTCGGCCGCCGTCTCCATTCCCAAGGGAGCTGCACCAGTGAACAGGGTGCGAACCGAGCTCAGGTCGTACTTTGAGCATGTCTCATGGCTGCGCAGCATGTTGATAATGATCGGAGGAACCTAGTACATGTAGTCAGCAATCAATTGCGCGATACTTCGATGATTTACGCGACAACTCACCAGGAACAAGCCTGTGATCTTGAAGTTTTGGATAGCAGCCAGGTAAGAGTTGAGCTCGAACTTGGGAAGAACGATGGTCTGGTCACCACGGTAGGCACCTGCGTGGCAAATGACAACGAGCGCGTAGATGTGACTTTGCGGCAGAAGACCCAATGAAATTTCCGAATACGCCGGCCGGCCATCTCTGGGCTTCTGGCTTTGACGATAGCTCTGCTCGAAGGCCTTGATCTGCAAGGTGTTGGCAATCACATTGCGGTGGGATATCTTAACACCTTTCTATTTTTCGACGATTGGTTAGCTGGATCTCGCCGGATGAATTGTTGTCTCAGGAAAATTCCTACCGGTAAGCCTGAAGTTCCGCTCGAATAGCACAGGAATGCAGTGCGTCGCGCGCCGTCGCCAGGTCCCCACTTCAACTCATCCACGGGTGGGAGGGACTTGCCGGCCTCCAGAATGTCGGACACGGACTTGAACTCCTTCGAGGGCTGGGCGCTTCCCAGCATCGCTTGTGGGACATCAATCAGGTAGATCTTGCTCTTGGGCAAGCCAGCCAGAGCAGCGGCTTGAAGGGCCACGGGCAAGAGGGGAACACAGGTGAAGAGGGCCTTTGCGCCTGAATCCAGCAGCTGGTGTTTCAATTCGGGGGCAGAGTAAGCCGCATTTGCCGGAGAGACCAGACCCCCAAGTCGGTGAACGGCCCAGAAGAAGGGCAACGAGTCAATCTGCCGAGATTCCACACGGTTAGCTTCAGAGTTCTCATACCGGTGTGGAAGTCGGACGAACCGTGTTGACGCTGAAGACGGCCAGCGTCTTGTCCCATTCATTTCCTTGGTTTGCCTTCCAGCCGAATTCCTTCGCCAGCCCGCGGGCAACCCAGTCCACTCGATCGACCACCTGGCGTGAGGAGTAGGTCTGGCCGGTGAGACCGCAGGTGTAGGGGTCGCGAGCGTGGTCATGAGACATGCGGCCATACTTCTCATTGAGCATGAACTCGCTGACAGGAATGTGGTCGGGGACGTGGCCCAGCTGGCCGAACTTGGCGTGGGGCAAGAATACCATGGTGAATTGGAGATTGTCGTGCCTCGGTCTATGTGGAGTGGAGGAAGAAAAGAAAACGAAGCTGCGAGCTGCGACTTGCAGGTGGGGCTGGGAGCAAAGCACGGCCGATTTATTTCTCGGACCAAGGAGCGCAAAGGGGGGATCTCCAGCGAGTGCTGAGCTCGAGGAATGAAGAAAGCGACTGAAGAAATGGGCGTCGCGGGCCTTTTTGAAGGTTAAGGGGTATCCGGGGGAGGCGTGCGGGGAAGAACCAGCCTTCCACGCCGAATCTACATTCTATCCTCCACCACAGCGGCGTGCAGCCGGCTGCGCTTGCTGACCCGAGGATCTAGCGCGAGGCTAAATCCATACTCTATCCTCCCCTGATCCAATCTCAGCCTCTTGTGCCTCCGGGTACTTCTGGTGGTTGCGCCGACTATGCTCAAGTGGGATAACCGAGCTGTCGGCGAAGCTGTGCCGATAACACAGAGCCGAGGTTTTTGCGACCGACGAATAACCGCCGGTGCAATTGTGAACAGTAAACCGTGGAAACCGGTCGCACTATTTGCAGTAGTGAATAAATTGGCGTCCTCGCTATTCGATTTGAGATCGAGTAGTCACATGCATCAGATCCAGTACTTTTAAAGTAGCTTAAGGTAGGTTACTATATATATGTTGCCCTGCAGAGGCCGACGTCATCGGGACTACACTATGTAGTGTTGCTCAGCTGGAGCTCATCGGAGGCCTCTCACACTATGTACTAGGTGTCGATCACTTCAGCTGTGACACTGTGAGGGAATCGAGGATATTCCCAAACGGACGATGGATTATTCCTCAGCTTAAATCGTAATCCGCCAGGTGAGACAAGCCGGCGATGGCGACATCCCACCGACTAGGATGAATTGCGTTACAGGATGGTCGTGGTACCGATATACTTGGATGAGCTGAGCCGAATCAAAAGACCACAATCAGACGAAAGGGATAACCTGGGAAAATGGACGAAATGACCGATTATCGCATAAACACAGAGCAACCTTAAGCTGCCAGGGGCGCAGGCTCAGCCTTGTTGCGAAATGACCTTAGAAATGACGGTGGGGCGAGAACAGTTCATCGGCCCCCAAATCAACTCGTGGCCAGCTGGGGGAGGCTCAAGTCTCGCCAATCTCCAGATCTGTACTGTACTCCCCAGCACCGTTGTGACCATCCCACTGTTTCGCGACCTGCGAGGCCTAGAGAGATCGTGGACACATCTCGGATTCTTCAGCCGTTGCCCGCTGGTTGTTGGCGGTGGAGAGTTCGCCGTTTGGGCCGTCCCAACTCCACGGGAACATCGACGACCTCACGAAACCCCCCTTTCTCTCTCGTCGCCCGCGCCCGTCACTCGCTTTCCGGGGGGAATGCTCTGAGACGACTCGTCTGCGGCTTTGCATCTGCCCGCTCCCTCTCAATCTTCCCCGCGACTGCAGCCCCTCGACCAGTTTGTCCCTGCCCGCTGTCCCGCCTGCGTGAGGCAATCCAAAACAACGTATCCTTCGATTGATCCCTTCGATTCCTCCGTGGATTCCTCGTCGCGCCGACACCATGTCGCATCCCAACGGTCAGCAGGCACACTACGGCCAGTCTGACAACCCGCCCAGCTCGCAGCCCACCTCTCAGCCGGCTGCCGGTCGCTATGACAGCTACGCGTCTCAACCAAACCCCGCACAGAATCAGCAGCTGCCCCGGCGAATGCCAAGCTACAATGCCGGAGATGACTCGTCACTGCTGAATACAGCGCGACTGCAGTCCACAAGACCCGCCGATGGAAGCGCACGATACGCCGTGCAAGGTGGGTATGCAGCCCAAGGGGCTTACAACGTCACGCCCGCGGGATACGGCGAAGACACCGGCACCGACTCGGGCTTCTCGCGCTCCTCATCGGACCGGTCGCGCATGTCGCCTACGCGCGCCACCTCGCACGCGAGCATGTCTAGCTATGGGTACCGGTACCCGGGATCCTCGGGCCAACCGGCCTATAACCCACAGCAGTACGCCCTCCCGCAGTCGCAGACTCAGCCGAACCTGAGCTATAACCCTTTGTCATATACCACTTCCAATAGCTCCTATACCTCGTCCGTTTCCAACCACCAACCCTATAACCCAGCTGCCTACCAGCCGGCGGCATTCGCGAGCGTGGCATCGCCAACTCTTGCGCGACGACCCAGCGAGGTTTCCCCGTATTCACAGACCCCGCCGACTCCCCAGTCCTACGGTTTCTCGCCTCAGTCTGCTCCATTGCCTCCTCCTCGTGGACCGGACCATCCATATGGATCGCGACCCTCCCCATATGGAGCCTCGCCCGTTAGCACAGGCCAGCCGATGGCGCCCCCAATCTCAACCTCGTACCAAACGATCTCATCTCCCACCTCGGGCTCATATGCGACGTCGAATTCCCCCTCGGGAGTCTATATGCCCCAGGCGACTCCTCGTACTTATTACCCCACACAGGGCTTCGGATCTGACTCGCCGTACCCCACTCACACTCTTCCTCCCGTGACCAGTGGCTACGACGATCAGCCTCCCGAGCCGCCTGTTCACCAGTCCCAAGGAAATGGATTCTATAGCAAGCACTCGAGCCTGTCCCACTCATCATCGGGTCGGACGCTACCAACTCCGCCAGTGCAGCAGCAAAACGATCTGCCTATTATCCCACCAAGACGAACTGATACCCTGACCCGACACCCGCAATCACGCCCATTGCCTGGACCACCGCCGGATGCCGACAGTGATCTTGACGGACCATCTCGTGGGGATAACTCGCACGTCAACGATGATTTGATCAAAGAAATCGAGAGCACACAGGCCAGTTTCCGTCGCCACAGCTCAAGGACGTCTCATCGTGGCTCCGCATCGCATATGCACTTGTCTCCTGACGAGCAGCATACTCATACCAACGGAAACATGGCAACTGGTACAGGTCAATATGTCATTTACGATGCCTATAGTGACGAGAGCGATGCGGAGGCCGAGGCAGGAATCGCGATGCTTCGCATGGCGGAAGAGGAGGAGAAGGCCCGCCAAGAACGGAGCTACCTGCAGGGGCGGTCTCGTGCCGACACAAGTGCCTCGATGCGCAGTACTCGTTCTCACGGTTCTCAGATCTCGCCCGGAGGCCCTTCCCCCAGGGCCCCCTCGCCGAATCAACCTTCCCCGAGGGGTCATTCCCCACATTCTGAGACTTTGGATGATAATGAATTCATGGGCCATGATTTGGCGTTGTATGGAGGAGGCTATCAGGGCAATTTGCACTATGGCGAAGGGCCAACTTATAGTTCGGAGGAGTACTCAGAGCCTACCACAATGGGTGGATTTCCCGGAACATCAGGCTCACTCAGAAGCTCGAACATCTCGTCCAACGAGCGAGCAGAATATTCTGACAATTATGACCACCCGCAGATTGCGTATGAATATGCCAATCGGCTCCATCATCTTCCTCCGGATGCGAGGGTGGATGCTGGTGGCACGGGAGGTCTTTCGGCACCGGGTACATTTGATCGGCGGATGAGTTATGATTACGGCGAGGAAGGCGACAGTTCTTATGAACAGCAACAGGACGAAGACCTTTCTGGCGATGAAAGCCCGCATAGGGCTGCTCATGAAGATCTGTTCTTCCACCCCGGGATGCGTCCTCTCCCTCCAGCCCCCGTTGAGCCAGCCAACCAAACCGAACTCTACACGCATCTCATGCCTGCAGGCACGTACCGACCATCGGAACAAGACGAGATGCAGGGTTACACACAGTATAGACACCCCTCCTCACCGACATCAGCGGACTATGAAGAGACTTTGCTCAGTCCATCCCAAGTTCCGCGGTCGTCGTCCCTGTCGACACCGATTGGACCTCGTACTGATCCGCCTATCAGATCCAAGACCGATGCGGATCGTGCCAAGTACAAGCAGCAGCAGGAATTCCTGTGGTCGCTCCAACAGAAGGAGCTTCCCAGGATCGATCCGGCAGAGGCGGCTGCTACTATGGCTTTGGATCTGCCCACTATCCCTGCCAGCCGTCGCAAGAAGTTCATTCCTACGAAATTGTCTTCTGAACAGTTTAAGAAGTGTACCGAACCGTGGGCGCTGAGCTCGATTCTTTCTTGGGTGCGAGACCTCAGTGAAGACGAAACCGATCTCCGGAAGAGTTCTGTTGTGGAGGCAATCGTGGCCTTGTTCACACACAAGGTTCCGACGATGAATATCGCGGATGCCGAAACCTTGGCCGCTCGCGTTGTGGGCAGTATGCTTGATGAAGGAGCGTTGGTCAAGGAAGAAGAATGGGTCAAATTCAGCTCGGGAACAATCTCGGGTGTCCTGTTTCAGGTCACTGGCACTGGTTGCTACTCCTCAAAACTGCACGAACGAGAAATGCGCATCCAGGATACCGACTCTTACGGACGTTGCTATTCTCATCACTGCATGAGGACGTTAAAGAAGGTCAACCTGAAGGCTCAGATGATGGCACCTCAGAAGAAGGCCGAGGACTGGGTCACTTTCTATAAGATTCCCAAGGAAGTGTTCGACTCTCACCCTAAGAAAGAGATTGAACGACAAAACACCTTGCACGAGATCGTGACCACAGAAGATTCTTTCATTGCACAGCTGGATGTCTTGCGAGAGCTGTACCGAGATCAGCTGGCGAACATGAATCCTCCGATTATCTCTGCCAAACGATTGAACAAGTTCTTGCACGATGTCTTCGGCAAGGTCGACGCAGTGAAAAAGGCCAACGAAGACTACTTGCTGGCACAGCTGAAATATCGTCAGAAGGAGCAGGGACCGTTCATCACGGGTTTCAGTGACATTTTCCGAGAATGGATTCGCAAAGCCAAGAACACATACATCGATTATGCGGCGACTTTCCCGAGTGCAAACTACTATGTCCGCAAGGAAGCCGAGCGCAACATCCACTTTAAGCAATTCTTGAACCAAGTTCGCGATCACAAGTTGTCAAACCGTCTCAGTTGGGATACCTTCCTGAAAGCCCCCATCACTCGAATCCAGCGATACACTCTGTTGCTTAATACCGTTCATCGGAATATGCTTAAGGACTCGGAAGAAAAGACCAATCTGGCACATGCGATTGAGGAGATTAAGATTGTGGCCTTGGAGTGCGACAACAAGGTCGGCGAAATGAACAAGAAGGCAGATCTCATGGAGCTGGCCGCCAAGCTGCAACTCCGACCCGAGATGAAGAAGGAAGTCGAACTCAATCTCGAGCACCTGGGTCGCGAGATCATCTTCCGGGGCGATCTTCAGCGCCCAGGAACTCGAACCCGATTCCTTGTCGACACACATGCTATTCTTTTCGACCACTACTTCGTTCTTGCCAAGACCTTTACCACACGAGACCCAACGCGTACGTCCAAGTATGAGCGGTATGATGTATCGAAGCTCCCCATCCCCATGGATCTTCTCGCCTTGGAGAGCACGAGCGATGACCCTGTTGTCAAATCCTCTGTCCGCGGTGTTGCAACCGTTACACCCCAAGGTGGCGTGAGCCCATTGACCCATGCTGGCCCCGGCACCTCTACGAACGGTGCGAGCGCCGTTCTCGACAACAAGGATGACAAGATCTTGTATCCGTTCAAAATCAAGCATCTTGGAAAGGATGGTACCTACGTTCTCTACGCCTTCTCTGCTTCAAGTCGCAGAGACTGGTGTGAGAAGATCATCGAAGCGAAGACGAAACACGCCGCCGCTTTGTTTTCACAGAATGCGGAGCCCTTCCGTCTACGGGTGCTTGCTGACACGGCATTTGCCTACTCCGACCAGACTTCTGGCTCGAAAAGCATTACTATCAAGGGCACACCACTCCACCGGGCGATCAAAGAAGTCGAGAAGAAATATGAAGGGTCTGGGTCTCGACCCACGCCGATTTGCAGAACGGGCGTCAACTGTGCCACGGTGTTCCAGCAGCCTCCTGGGCGGCAAATGTGTGCAGTGGGAACCGATTACGGAGTCTACATGTCTGATCTTAACAACCCGCGTGGTTGGTATCGGGTATGCTCGTCGCTCTTCAGTATTCTGGCAAGTTAATTAACATGATCGTCTAGGCAATTCCTATCATGCGTGTGACTCAAATTGCGGTCTTTGAGGAATTCAACCTCTTCTTGCTCATTGCGGATCGATCTCTCATCGCATACCATCTTGATGTGGTGTGCCCTGCGAGTGGAGTTTCCTCTCAATCACAAGACTCTGCTCGTCGAGCCCCGCAGAAGCTTTCTGGCACCCGAGAAGTTGGCTTCTTTGCTGCCGGCCGGATGAAGGATCGATACTTGGTTCTTTACAAGAAGCGAGATGGGTTGTCTTCTACCTTTAAGGTATGTTCCATCATTTCTGTCTGTGAGATGGTAGCTCATCACACCATCTATAGGTTCTTGAGCCCATTCTCCAAAAATCGGCTTCCAGCCGGAGCCGGTTCTTCCAATCACGCCGCTCCCAGACCGAGTTCTTCCGCGAATATGATGAGTTCTACATCCCTGCTGAGAGTTATGGCATCAACATGTTTCACTCCTCTCTTGCAATCTCCACCCAGCGCGGCATCGAAGTTCTCACTCTGGATAAGAAGCAGTCCTGGTCAGTGCCGGACTTCCGGTCTGAAACTCCGGATGCCTCCGACACCCTCCAGAGCATCGCCCACCGCATCAAGGACCTCCGACCGCTCGGGATGTTCCGACTCAGCGACAGCGAGTTCCTCGTCGCCTACCAGGAATGCGCGGTGTATGTCAACAAGCACGGCGATGTTTCGCGCAGTGTGGTCATGGAATTTGTTGGCAGCGCGCATACCGCTTGTCTGCATGGTAAATTCCTTATTCTCTTTAATGACGACTTTGTCGAGGTTCGTAATGCCATGAATGGTCGCCTCCGACAGGTCATCCCAGGCCACAATGTTGTTTGTCTTGACGATGGCAGCAAGCTCCCTGGCTCGTTCGGCCAAGCCAATGCAAACACAAACGCATTCTCTAGTTCACCCAACGGAATGTACAGTGGTTCAGCACAGCACAACGTCAAGATCTGCATGCAACACCCCGAGTACGAGCGCAGCCAGATCGTGTTGGAATTGGTTGAAAATGAAGGGCAAAAGGACTAATTTTCCTTTCACGTCGATCATGACATGCTACGCTGCTGCTATGTGCAATGTGACTCGTTCCCTGCTTCAACATACTAACAAATGGGTCGGCCCTCATCTCCCCATCTCCCCTGCATCGCCCCACGCAAGATAAAATCATCCAACTCTTTTGGTCAAACGGATCTTCGGACATCTCGGCATGATCCTCTGTCATCTGTTGCATTTTCTTCTTCCTGTATCCTGTTTCTCCCAGGCTGCGTTATTTTAGTCTATACCCTTGTCAGCTTCTTCCCCACCCACTTGCCTTTTCACCCCACTTCTCTCTTCTCCCATGCTCTCTTCAGGTATAATGAATGGCTTCTTGAATACGGCAGGGACGGATTGACGAGGCAATTTTTTTTTCTGTTTCAATTTGCATTGCACTCGCATGAGTTCGCAGAGCGCTGCTTTGATGACACGGTTGTACATAGAAATGCCAATGTGCCATCTCACGACTCTTAACGATTTCATTCTACTTTTTTTTTCCGAATGCCATGTATTTGTCCACACCCATTAATTTATCCGATCAATGATCTCATCTTACCGGACCCTGCTACTAACCCTTCCTCCACCCCGCGAAGAGTTTTTCGGGATTAATCTAGCGGAATCTGATATATCCAGCGCCATTTTATGGGGGCCGGCATGCGGGCGAATTTGAAACGCCGCTGTTTTGGGTCGTGCTTGGTGCAATGTGGCAGAAACGGTTCCTGCATGCGGGAGAATTAAGTATCGCGTGGTCGGTCGTTACTGTTTTGGCCATGTCGCAGGACCCTTTTTTGGGGCGGTCGGATTTGCTGCCTGATTTGCGCTTGAACACAATTTTGAGTTAGGAGCCGGCGTCCTTTGGTCGTTTCAGATTTGGGGTATTGCGGGTTCCCGGGTTTGCCGGTGCCCTAGTTGATCTAGTTTGCCTTAATTGTGCCGAGGCATGAAGGATTTGTTCTACAATATACCTGGCTAGGAAACATGAGTCAGGTAGGAAATATCAACGCAATTGGGATGAGTACTAGTATTAATGTATATAATTGCACTCAAGGAATACAGCACATCTTCATATTAGTTAATCTGATAGGATTAGATCGATCACACTCGAGGTCACGTTCTAGAAGCGAAGATATCCCGATCCTGGGATCAGGTTCCACGATGAAACAGAATCCCCCGTTTCATCAGCCTTGCAGGTTACTCGATAGAGAGGTCTCATCCGAAATCAAGCCCACTCGACAACTACCGAACCTCGGTCATCGGCATATACAGAATTGTCAGATTGTAGTATAAAGGGTCCGGAGGTCTCTCAGAACTTGCCAAGCCATCCACGATCAATCCGTCGGTCACACAGTCTTTCGTTTCCTTCTGCAACTAGAGCTGGTCTCTATTCATTCTTTGATAACGACAATCGACAACCGAAACGGAGTTCCATTCAATATGAAGTCGGCCGTTTTATTCTACATACTGAGCACCGCATTTGCGGCTCCCACTCCTACCATTGAGGAGCGTCAGCTGCCTGGTCTCGGTGGCTCTGGCAGCGACAGTGGCCTGGGTGCCCTTTCTTCTCTTTTACCCGGCCTCGGTGGCTCCAGTGGTAGCTCCTCTGGTAGTCTTCCCAGCTTCAGCGGCCTGCCTGGCCTGGGTGGTTCCTCTAGTGGCTCCGGCTTGGGTGCTCTTTCCTCGCTCTTCCCCAGCGGTGGCTCTTCCACTGGTTCCGGCCTTGGTGCTCTCTCCTCGCTCTTGCCGAGCAGCGGCTCCTCTGGTCTGGGTAGTCTTCCTGGTCTGGGAGGCTCGTCGTCCTCTCTCATCAAGCGCCAGGACATTAGCTCTCTCCTCGGCTCGGGCTCCACCGAGAATGGTGTGACCCAGAACAAGGGCTGCCAGCCTTTGACCTTCATCTTTGCGCGTGGTAGCACTGAGATGGGTAACATGGGCTCTATTGTTGGACCCCCTGTTGCTCAGCAGCTGAACTCGCTGCTGAACAACAAGGTTACCGTGCAGGGTGTTACTTATGATGCCGGAATTGCAGTATGTCACTCTTCCTCTCCTACTTCAAATCCAACACAATGCTAACTTACCAGAGCAACGCCGAACTCGGCGCCAACGGTGGCCCCATCATGGCCAAGCTAGTCAAGCAAGCCCTCAGCCAATGCCCCAAGACCAAGGTCGTCGTCGGCGGATACTCGCAAGGCTCGATGGTCGTGCACAACGCCGCCAACAGACTTAGCGCCGGCCAGATCAGCGCCGCGGTCCTCTTCGGCGACCCCTTCAAGATGCAGTCCGTCGGCAAGCTGTCCAGCAGCAAGGTTAAGGAGTTCTGCGCGTCTGGTGACCCCGTTTGCGAGAATGGCATGAACGTCATGGCTCACATTACCTATGGCAGTGATGCCAAGGAGGCGGCTCAGTTCCTTGTTCAGGCTTCTGGTGTCAACTCTTCTTAAATTATGATATATATGATATAGCCCATATTGGACGTGATGGGTGGATGGCTGTAAAACATCTACTGGTAGTCTAGTTGAGATCTCAACTACTGGAATCAGCTTTGTACATTGATTCTCTCTCATCGTGTCTGTTTCCAAGGTTTGGTTCTTTCCCACCATATATACCTATGTAGCGGATTTCCTCTGCCATTTCTTGGCTTTCCCCTTCCGTTTTAGTGCTCAGACCTTGCCGCTTTTTGCTCACTGAGTAGAACTGAGCACGCCTCACAGCGCCCTGACCTGATCAGTGATCCTTACATAAGCGCCCTGATCCGCTTACTGGGCATCACATGATCCTCAGCTAAGCAGTCTGACCCACTCACTGATGCTGATCTGAGCGCCCTGATTCGCTCACTGAGCAGAACCTGATCTAGGGGTGAGCAACCTCCTGAAGCTGCCTCGATAAAATGCAACACGCTAGTCATTGTCACGTGCCATCCGCCCTCTCAAAATTTCCCCCACCTTGCCACGTCAAAAAAGCGCTGGCATCATTAATGTGATCTATCGATCCAATGACCTTGCAGGCGGTGGTTGCGCTGCGCTGCTCCGCACCCTTCCAACGACCATGCCAGCGCCGGGCTGCCACCCCGTCACTTGTACCCTCGTCACCTCGTCGACCCAACCGCATCTAAGTTTCACCTCGGAGCGACAAGCAGCGTGTTCTGGATGGCCAGTCGTTGGCAGATGATTCCCCACTTTGGCTGGAACATCCCGGCCTCCTAACTATCCTCAGTTAGGCAAATTTCTTTGTTGCCAAAGAGATTATCCTAATTTGTGAATGCTGGTCCACTATGAGTGGAAGAAGAGTTTAATTCGGAACAGCCGCACGAACCCACCGATCGAGACTGGCTCATGGGAACATGTCTGCCGGGATGATCAGGCTGCTCGTCTCGGTCAAACGAATTCGACCATTCACAGCTCTCGTCAGAGCCGGGGCTTTTCCCGCCATAACCTGTCTTTATTTGATGCTAAACAATCACCGCTTCTTCTGCTGCTTCTTCGTACTACTGACCGGATTGCTATGATTGCTATTAAAATATGAGTAGTGTCGCTTCGAGAAAGACGCTCGGCCACCTTTCCCATTTAGATTGCTCTGCCTCCAAGGATTCTAGGGTAAATCGCAGCTCGTTTTCGTCTTCGACTAGCTTTTCTATGATAGGTTATCGTACCCTAGTATCCATGAGAATGATTTGTCGCCTGTTCTAATTGGTATATTCGCTGGGTTCATAATGGCCATGGCAACTTAAGGTCGTTCAGGGGGCAGTGGACTAAGGGGGTAATAGGTTCGGAAGAAAATAGGTAGAAGGGAATAATAGTCTAGGTATTCTTGTCAGTCACATCTGTTCTTCATAACTACTGCGATCAATAGCGATCATTTCATAAATACATCGCTCAAAAGTACGGTTTGACCAGCCGTACTTTTGATCAACCTACTTTTGATCAGCCATATAATTTCCAATCGTGGTGAAAAGTGAAAATCGCAGTTTTGCCCCGATGCTCATTGATAGCTGCCGTAGGACAACGTGTCACTCCTCAATTGTCTATCTGTACATAGAAAATTTAAGGAGCGAGATTCTAACGGTCCAAAGAGAAGCAAAGTCTAGATAGGGCTGTCTCTGGCCGGATCGGGCGGTGCATAAATGCGCCTTGCCTTGCCTTACCTGGGTCATGTTAGATTAAGGTGTATTACGCAGTAAGCCACTCTTCCCATTCCTCCCATTCTTCCAATTCTTCCCACTCTTCTCAGTTCTAGTGCTCGCCACTCCGTCCCGTCTGTCCCTGCCTGTCCTTGTCTGTTCCTTTGTGTCTAGTCCGCCCGTATCCAGTCCGTCGGGTGCATCCAGTCTACCGGGTCTATCTAGCCTGCCCGAGTCTGTCCATCCTGTCCATCCTGTCCATCCTGCCCGAGTCTGTCCATCCTGTCCATCCTGTCCATCCTGCCCGAGTCTGTCCATCCTGTCCATCCTGTCCATCCTGCCCGAGTCTGTCCATCCTGTCCATCCTGCCCGAGTCTGTCCATCCTGTCCATCCTGTCCATCCTGTCCATCCTGTCCATCCTGTCCATCCTGTCCAGTCTGTCGGGTCTGTCCAGTCTATCCAGTCTGTCCAGTCTGTCGGGTCTGTCCAGTCTATCCAGTCTATCCAGTCTATCCAGTCTATCCAGTCTGTCCAGTCTGTCCAGTCTGTCCAGTCTATCCAGTCTGTCCACACTGTCGGGTATATCGGGTCTGTCTAGTCTGTCCAGGCTCCACTAAACCTTGGCAAAACGTGCAAAGGCCCCCTGGGAAGTTTCGTTAACGCGGAGCCTCACGAATACAATAATTACCAAGGCTCGTTTTCTGACTCCCCGATTGGAGAAGTCGGGGCAAGTCACATAGAAAATTCGGCGGCTCACCCCTTCACCGCCTACTTTCCTATCTCCAGTCCACCTTATACAGGACAAACATCTATGGATCTTCTACCCACCTAGGCACACGTGCCCGTCTAAAATGCCTATCACTGCGATCACTGGCCTGGATAGCTCGATGCTGGTTCTCCTCATGGCGCTACGTAACAAGTTGTCGGGGAAGTGTGAGGGAACCTGATCTTCATCATAAATTCCTGCTCGAAAAGTCAGCCTAGAGACTTCCTAAGTAGGAACCCCACAAAAGGGGTGCCTAATTAGGAAACCCCCCTGGCTGGGTGTTCGGCGGCGCAAGCCATGTCCCGCGAAGTGGTGGGCCCGCGGACCTACCCGTAATACAATGTTCTAGGAATATTTTAATATAATGATGACATTATCTTACTGGTCCGGCTTCCATGGCCCGGGGTTCCTGCCGCGATACGTCGATCATAATGGCTGGAGTAAACCTTGGTTCGCTGAGTTCATCTACTCACAGCTTCCGAAAAGTGTCAACTCACAGAATCGTTACCAACTAACCTGGGCGGCTTGACATCTCGGGATGTTGGGGGCCAGAGGATCACTGCAGAATTTTCGGCTCGTGGTATGTGGTTTCCAGGCAGGACCTGTCGGTAGAGTCATAGTGTACTCTCAGACCCAGGTCTATCAAGGTCAATTGATGATTGCCTCACAATGGAACCGAATATAAATATCCTCTCCTTCCCCCAGAAGAATTTTGAGCATCATCTCACTCCCGCAACAAAGTTCATACTTTGCTAGCGGCAGGCCTCGAGATGGCCCGTCAATCTCGTGAGCTCGGGTTTGACCCATCTACTCCCTTTGCTGAGGAAAACCCAGACCTTTGGCAGCCTAGCAGCTTCCTAGGTCTATTTGGAGACCCGACACCAGTCTCTCAAACTGAGGATCATCAGCGCCTACATGTGGGTTACCCTCTCCGTCATGATTCTTTCTTCGAAGGCTTCTCGACTACGGCTGGCCCCGGATGGGCTGCGCCTACTTCGACTCTCGAGAACAATCCTTTCACCATCAATCATGATGCATTCGAGCCTTGGCTGCGTGCACCCACCAGTTCAGCTCGTGATATATTATGCTATGAGCGTGGGGCTGTGGATTCGACAGACCCAAAAGAACCTACGCAACCAGCGAAAAGGTCACCCAATCCTACCAGAGGCGGCAAGCGTCGCGTCAAGAAGAAGACATCCTCTGGTCATCAGCATTCGAGTCGACCAGAGTAAGTCACCTCTCAAACATGTCTATCTCCTTCCAAGTGAATTGCTCTCACAAATGATCTGCACTAGTGATATCCATCGCGATCTTAGATGCCCATACAGTGGCTGTAAATATGATCGCCCATTCTCCACCAAGGGAACATTGAGGCGACACATCAACACCCAGCATGAGAATCCTTGGGCTTTCAAATGCCCTGAACCGACGTGTGACAGGTTGTTTAAGCGCAAGGACAATCGTGACGACCACTTGCGAAAAGCGCATTGAAAGGAACGGCTTCATATACAAAGTCATGGTTACTGAAGTTCTTATTGTTGTTTTCATTCTGTTCGAGACTATGTATGGTTCGACATGGTTATTTTTCATAAAATCTAGCCTACCCCAGGATTGCTGTCGGGTATTTTTTTTCCCTGTCGGAATAAGAAAAACGGTAACAGTTCTCTTTTATATGACCTGTGACAGGAGTGTAAAGGGCCGAAGCCCGATATGGATCACGTGTTTCCACGTGACCCACATCTCCTTTTGTTTACTGCTTTACGTTCACTTCTATTCTTTCCTTCAAGCTTTTGGATAACTGCAAACGGCCTAGCTAAATTGAATTTAAGTCTAGCTTTAGCCCTTCACATTCCAAAAGCTTCCTCTTCTACAGAAAAGAGTACAGCGTAGCGATACACCAGCGATACACAGCGAAGCGATACATCAGCGAGACACCATAAACATGTTTTCATCAGAAGGGTCGAGTCCTCCAAGTTGGGCACTGACACTTATGCAGCAAATTGCTCAGAGCCATGCTGCTCAAGAGAGTGCTGTCAGAGCACAAAACGAACGAAACGCAGCGCAAGAGGAACGAATTCAACGACTCGAAGCACTGCTTCAGAATATGACCACCGGTAGTGGATCGACACCGGAACAGCCAAGGATCGATGCCGAACCGGAGCATCGAGAGAAGACAGAAGTCCATCGTCCAAGGGCACGCCTCCCGGACCCAGCGATGTTTTCTGGAAGCACGTCAGAATGGCCATCATGGCGCATGGAGAACAAGATTAACGTGGACGGTCAAGCGATTAGAAGCCCCCAAGACCAGTTCGCGTACGTTTCTCTAGATTAGAGAAAATGGCCCTTAAAAACACTAATTCCTTTGAAGCGAGCAGGGGTTGGCAAGTGAGAAGCCAAAATTGGATTTAGCGTCTTTCAGGTTAGGTGTTCTGGCTTTGGATGTCGTTTTGGGCCTGGAGCTCATTCTGACAGTGTTTCACTTCTTTCAGTTCGGCGTGGGTGGCTTGAATGAGTGTAGTTTGCTAAACAATGGTGCGTTGCAGGTGTTCGATAATCTGCCGCATCTCTTTGGTTGTCACTTGTCCGCTGCTGGTTCCGCTGTTGGTCGCTTCCACCGATTCCGAGCCTGCGTGGTTCTGCTCGTTCTCCACACGTGCATGTCTCCCAGTCCATGTTGTCGTTGGTTCAAGGTTTTCCGGCGCGTCAATCCTTGCTTCTCTCCGCGCGTCTGAGCTAGCAAAGGGTTCGGGAGGCCCCGTGGGTGGTGGGTCCGCCATTCCTCTCGGCACGGAGTCCCAACTCACGACCGGCTAAAATTCCCTCGAGATCGGATAGATCGGGTATCGCCACGTCTCTCTAAAACTACAGTAGGACTCGAAAACAGAATCCCCCACATACACTCACGGATTGTTTTCGGAACCATACCTTGAAACACCCTAATCTGAATTTGGTTACTCTCTCAACAACTCCTGCTTAGTTGTATCGTATCGACTGTCTCAAATGAGTCATTGTAAAATAATGTAAGGCCAAAATTCTCAGTCCCGAATCCATCGTAATTGCACCGCCTTCACATCTCGCACCTGCAAGGTCAACTTGGAAACAGAGTTGTCCATCAACTGCTGCAGCCTCCGCTGCAAGTCCTCCGGTCTATGTGACTCAAGGGTCGGGATAGGCTCGCACCGTGCAGATCGGAATAGCGTCGCCATAACCGCCACAAATTCCACTTGTGACATCTTCATTCCCGGGCAGACCCTCGGCCCGCCTGACCACGGCAGGAATGTGCCTTTTGGTGGGGTGATAATCTGGCCGTCGTCATCGAACCACCGCGATGGCTTGAAGTCCTCTGCATCCGGACCCCAGATTGTAGCATCAAGATGGATGCTCAGGTGGCTGACAAAGAAATCCATCGGAGGCGCGAGGTGGTGAGTACCGTCGGAGCTAACGAGCCTCTGCGGTGCGAGTACGGCGCGAGTGGAATGAAGAACAGGTGGGAAGTGGCGGAGGGTTTCCAACTGTGAGAAGCAAGTCAGCTACCTTTTTATAATGGTGGCAAGGAGAAACAGAAAGTTACCATCACTGCTCGTGTCCGTCGGCATTTGGGGTACACGTCCTCGTAAGTCCATGTCGATACGTCCGCGTCCAGGACGTGAAGCTCCTCGCGAACCCAGTCCTGCCATTCCGGGTGCGCAGCCAGCAGGATTACCGCATAACCCATGGTATTAGCAGTCGTTTCAAACCCCGCACTACTGAAGATGAACATGTTCCCAGTAATCTCCTCATCTGTCAGTGAAAACCCCGATTGGCCGCGGCGTTTCTCTTCATCCGAGAGCTGCAACAACAAGCTCAAAAAGTTATGGCGAGGGTCTGACACGACCGTGGCAGCCTGTCTCTCTTCCTCGAGCACTTCTTGAGTGTATTGGGGGATTCTCTCCAGGTGCTTGCCCATGCTTCGAAGGGCCGGTGGCATCAACGGCAATCTCATCAGCTTTGTCGGGAGCATCGCCGCTTCGAGAAACATACTCGTCACCATCGAGAGTGTCATAAAGTATGCCGTCCTCCCACTTTTTGCATCCACAGTGAGCTCCCGCAGATTGGGTGACCAAGGCCGCTTCTGGCTGTACCCAGACTGGCCGATCACATTGATCGCAATACTGCGCAGACCATCTAATGTCTCGCCACCCGGATGGTCTACCATGTATTCGAGCATGGTTTGGGCCTGCTGACAGCTTTTAATCCAAACCGTTCTGCTGATTCGCTCATCCAGATTGGCAGCAAACAACCTGCGGTGTCGCTTCCTGTGATAGCACTTGTTGAGCAAGGGGTGGACTTAAACATGAGTAAGGGTTGAGGGAAAGCCACCTACCATTCATCACCATTAACCTGGATTTACTTACGTCAGTAAAAGAAGCTCTGGTGCTCTTCTGTAAGGGATTTCACACACCGTAAACACATTCGGACCCAAGAATCCTAAAAGCCTAGCTGTAATAGGTGCTAGGAGAAAGTCATTCCTTCTCTGTAAGATGAGATTGCCGACGGCGGGATCGGCCACGCTGGAGCAGAATCAGAAACAGAAACGTTGCTTCCAAGGGCTGACCACTAATTTGAACTCACATAACCGAGCATTCATCAGGAGTGACGATGGCGAATATGCTGCCCAATCGGTCGTGGAACTCTCTTTTTCTGCGGAACTCCCAGCCATGAATCACCAAATCTAGTCGCTCATAGATCCACCCCGGAAGATATTTCTCGAGTTGAGGCTGAAAGGCTGGCGCGAGCACGAGCCATGGAATGCTTTTGGACAAAACAGGTGACAGGTATGCCGGAAAGCCGGCACGGTGGGCATGGATATAAAATCGGAGGAAAGATATCGATTTATAAAGGAAGTAGACGAAAAGCAGTGTCACGATGGTTGACAGAATGGTGGACCCCATCGTTGCGGTGTCTGGTAGAAAGGAGGGGCAGCGAGGTAGCACATGTATAGCTGTCGAACTGAGAAGTGATATTTTACCGCTAAGGACTGAAGAATCCACGGAGGATTCAACCCCGCTCTGTTTCTGTATGTTCGAGAGGGATTCCTCCGAATACCGGCGTCGTAACACGCTGAACCAGGCCCTTGAGCCATGAGACGCTTTCAACAGCGCTCCAATTCAGTCTTCTAAGCATCAGCCAATCCATTGATCTCCATGAGCAATCCTCAGTACTAGTCAGTACAGATATCCTATGGGTCGACAATAGCAGCTTCGCGTAAAATACAGTATTATAGGCTACATTACCCGGTAAAAAACCTAAAAAAAACAACAGCATTGTGGGACCTGAGTGCTCCTTGGGGTATGGGCTGAGCATGGTCTGAGTGCTCAATAGATGCTTACCTCAGTACCCTCAGACCTTATCACATGATCAAAAATTCTGCCGGATTTTTGGCGCACTAAACCTAATCGGGTAGCACGCTGATCTAAGGTCTGAGCACTGAAATTGCACTTTGCGTGCATTTTTCGATAGCTCCATACCAACTTGACCATTTTAACCAGGTAAGTCTTCGTATGATTGATATTGGCATATATAATGATTAATATTAATATTCTGTCATTAGTTTTCTAATTACTGGCTGTCATGTCTCGAAAACGCGTGTGCGAGTCACCCCCTAAGGCCCCTACGGCGACGCGTTCCCGACAGCCACCCAGGGAGGTATTCAACGAGCAGACCTATATTCCTGGATTGTCAGAACGGCAAAGAGTCGATATGATACTTAAGCATATGCATGAACAGCATCGTTGGACTCTCAAATCCTTCATATATCACCTAGTGATGGCACAGCCGGAAGAGAAAAATGCCCGGTCGGCCGCTTACCGGACACAGAAGCTATCTGAGGCAATATACGAACAGAAGGAAGTGGTCACTGAGTTGCACAAAATTCCTGAGACTGAAACCACTGAGTCCGTGAGAACGTCACAGCTGGTCGCTCACATTCGGTCCGAACTGTCTCAATTTGGCAATCCCGCCATCGGGCTCGCTCAATTTGATACAGAAGAGTCGGTGGATCAATTGGATATACCTGGGATTGCTTCACGTGTACAAGTTGCTGCTCCTCGTCTGTGGGCATTACTTGTCAGTATTATGGCACAGCAGCATCCTAGCGCTCGCGATACATCCAAGGATTTTCAAGGCAGCGTATTCATGATCTGTGTCATCTTGGCATCGGCCTTTGCTCCTCGAACGTGCAACAAGTTTCCAGTGTTGCTCGGCCTGCATTTACATTCCATGGGGGTGAAACGCCGTACTATTAATCTCCTCTATGGCTTGGGCGTTATTGCAAACTATATGACCATTATGCGCCGCCGTGACGAACTTGTCAAGTTAGGAAAGGTTGCACAATAAACCTACCCTGTGTCGTTACGAAATCACCCTTGATTGCTAATAGGAGTACAGGGGCAACTCAAGGAAGCTGCCCAGTCTTCTCATGGCAATTTTATCATATGTTGGGACAATTTCGACTACAATCAAAACGTCCGGCATCAAACCCTTCGGGAGCAGTCTCGACATATTTCTGCTACCACTGGCAAGCTCTGCATTGGTCAGTCCATTCCAGCCGGAGGGTTACGGAGATCAATGCTCCATCCAGATATCCCACTCAGTCGTCATGGGATTTATGATGCCCCAGGCCCAGATGATCAAGATGGTGTCATTCGACAATGTCAAATTCATTTTATCGCAGAGGCAATTCGTGAAACCCATCGGGAGGCAGTGGAGCCTTTACCACTGATGCTGAGTGATGTGTTGTATTGCCTGAATTCAACCATTTGTCCAACGATGCCTGCTCATGGCATGGTCCTGCAGTGTTAGAAGGGGACTTGCGACAGGCCCGTGCTTGGAAGGAAGGAGGCTTTCGTGCTTTTGGACGAGCCATTGGTGTATTCCTCCAATTTCCACTTAATTAGTGGTCAAAGCCAAGTATTAGCATGATTAGGACTAGAAAACTGTGCGATAAGGTGTTGTTTTGTCTGCTGGGAAAAAGGAGTAGTATGCGTTGGGTACAATTATTGTACCTTTAATTTTGGAAATTTGGAACAATTCCAGCACGAGAAGATAGAGGGCCTCAATATCTAGAGGACATCGTCGCCCAATTTTTGATAACTGTATTTGCTGTCGAGAAAATGTAGAATAACCGATTTTCGTCGCGCAAAAATTCCGAAGTAATTTTGGTGGGGAAACCATAGAAAATATCGAGCTAGTGCTACAAGCGACAAATTCTGTGCTCAGACGGCCCCAAAAAAAGGCTGAGTCAGCTTGTCTATAATCAGCAGGCGGTAGATTGCAAAAGTTACCGCTTTTCGGGGCCGGCTGAGGTAACTGAGGTAAATAGATGCCCTCTGATGAACCTCTGAGTAATCACTGAGCGCCCAGTGAGCGGTCATTGGACATCAGTGATCCCTCACGTGATGGCTCTGAGCTGCTCAGTGACCCTGAGTCCGGACTGAAATCTACTCGGTGAGCCTGACTCTGAGCATCCTCATAAAAGCGGCGGCAGCTCAAATAGGAAAGCCCCACCTGGCAGAGGAAATCCTCTACATAGAGCTACCTAGGTAGAGATGCAGTGTGTCAGGAATAGCGCTAGAAAATCTGAAGTTCCTAATATTTCAGGTTGGACCCTAGCTCAAATTCTAACACCATCGCTGGTATTGAAATGCATTGGCTCACGCCGTAATAATATTTGCAATATATATAGAAAAATAACGAGCACATTGCTTGTCAGAATCCCACCATGTAGACTCGCAATTCGAAGGTGGTGCTCAATCATCACACGCGGGTAGGCGGACATCACATTGGTGCTCAGATTACCTTAAGTTATTCACACTTAGTGTAGTATCAAGGAAGATTTATTGTGAAATGCTTTCCAAGGTTAACTTAAATGCGAAGGCCTCATGCGAATGCTGATCAATTGTATGAGTATCTACCGCCCAACCGACGCAAAATGCATCAACACTGAAAGAGAGATATATAATTGCACACCGATAGCTAACCAAAGGATAAACAGAGCAATACGGCAAACGCCTCTCCAAATAGTATCAAGAGCAGATGGGATATCATCACGACTCAAACTCAACAACCTTACTTACAACCTCCGACTCTGGCTGCGAGGACGCCGCATTGCCCGCAGGACCCGTGGCCTCAGCTTCTTCCTTTCCATCAAGAAGAGAGGAGTTCTCGCCCTTCTCTCGGACACTGACAACCTCGGCACCTTCGAGAAGATCGCGGTCTGCGTCCCGGACGCTGCGACGTTCCATGTCTGCGCCGTATGCACCGGCGCCCCAGCTTGAAATGCCTCCTGCCATTGCGGCGGCGGAGGCGCTATCTCGGCGGATATCATCGTCATCCTCGTCATCCTCGTCGTCTTCTTCACGGCCTAGGGCGTTGCGTTCCAGGTCACGCTGGGCTTCGTCCATGCGTTTCTTGACCTCGGCTGCCATCCGGATACCGTCTGTGACGATGTTGTCGAGAACGCCGCGAAGACCTTTTCCGGGTGGAACGATGCCCCCGGAAGCGCCGGCGACAGAGACGTTACCTGCGGCTGTGAGATTCGAGGGGCGGGCGCTGCCGAGATTGGAGAATGTGGTAAGATTGGAGGACAATGAGGATGATGCCGCGAGAGAGGCGGGGTGAGGGTGATCGGACAGGTGGAAGGATTGCGGGAAGTAGGATTCGAAGAATTGTTCCAGGAGCTCGTCTGCCAAGATGACCATGCGGAAGGTGGGAAGAGTGATGTGAAGCGGGTTGTTGGGGTCGAGAGCCGGGTTCGCGGACTCGGATCTTGGTCGAGATTTCTTGTTATTCAATTCGCTTGCGCTTGGCTTGGAGGCGGTATCTGGCGCGGGGGCCTCCTTGGGTTTGGAGTCGTCGACATCGATGAGATCCTCCTCATCATCTCCAATGGCGAAGGAGTCCAGTTTCTCCGTCGTTTCTGCAGTGGCATCTTGTTGCGAAGCCTTGTGGTACTCCGGGTGACCGGGATCGGCATATTCGAAGCAGCGACGGATGAATGCACTGACACTGCCAAGGAAACGCTCTTCGGTGGTGAGCGTATTCTGCTCCACATGATCACGATCACGAGGGTTGTTCAGGTCTTCTAGTGACTGCGTAGCATGAATAGTGCCCTCAAAGCCCCGGCGAGAGAGGAAGAGAAGTGCCTCGGAGATTTTGAGAATACCCTCGCGATCAACCTGACCGTTGTCACTATCATCATACAGGTTGAAGAAGTAGTTGATATTGTTCATGATGTCTGGCGTTCCCTTGAGCCTGGCCAGGCCATTCACGACATTCTGTAAACTCAATCCTTCTTCAGGATCCGTAGCCCATTTGCGGTACAGACGTTGCAAGAATTCATGATCGGCCGGTTGCCTGCGGTTGGCCCATAGAAGAGATTTGTTGCTGCGTATGCTGCTGAATCCAGAGGCCGACTCTTTCCTGGCCGAAGCAGGGGAGTCTGATACAGCCCATTTGGCAGTGGCAGCCATAAACTCCCGGAAAGCGTCATAGTCCATATGAGTTGGACTGGGGCCGAGGCCAACGCGGCCAACTTCTCTGTCTGGAGGCGGCCCAAGAATCGACAGACGTTCCGACTTCTTTTTCTCCTGTTTCCTCCTCTCTTCCTCCACCACCTTCTGATGTTGTTGCCATTGATACAGAGTCTCGTAGAAGCGGTCGTAAATCGTACCAAGATCGTCGACGCTAAGGCGTTTGCTCTCGGGTCCAAGGTTGCGAATGGAAGTACGCTTCGCAAAGTTCTCGATATTTTCCAGAACAGCGTCCTTGTGCTTCTCGCGCTGTTCCTCAATGGTGCTGTGGGTGATTCCAGAGAACTCTTTGAAAGCGACCACCATCAACTCTTGGAAGCGGGTAATGGCACGCAGCTTCGGGTTCTCGGATCTGGGATGAGCCGATTCATCCAGACGCGAGAAATAAGTTTTCAGCACGGAAATGAATGAGCCATCATCCTGGACATCAAGAAGCTCTTCGCCGTTGATGCGGAGAATGGCCAAACCGACCTGGAAGAGAACCTTGGGGCCCTCGAGGAAGAAAACATCCAAGACACGGAATGCAAAGACAAGGGGCATGGAGTTGATATACAATGAAAGGAACCAAGGGAGCGAAACAACCGAAAGCTGTACATCAGTCTTGATGAGGTGCTCCCAAAGCACAGGCATGGTCTTCTCCACAAGGGATTCGAAGACTTTTTGATCCAAGAGGGTGCCGTACATGGTAGTTGAGTAATACCCTGGGAGAAGTCTATCGCAAAGGACCGAAAGAAGGAAGAAGGCTTGGGCCTCAGACATATAACTGGCAGTGAGTTAGCAAAGACCCTTGAAAAAGTTCGGGCTGTTGGATAGACAAACATCAACAATGCGGCAACGACAATGTTCATAGCTTGACAGTAACCGATCTCCGCATTGATCCAACTATAGGCAGTGAGAACGCGACGTAAGCGGCCAATGCCCTCCTCGCTCTGGAAACCTGGGTACTCAGGCAAACTGCGATTCAAGTCCTTTTCGATCTCGTCAATTGCAAGGGACTCTTGACCCTTGAACTGGGCTAGTGTCTCTTCATATAATTTGGGCGAGCGAATGCGAAGAAAGAGGGAGCCCGATGCAAGCTCCCATATCTCACCACGCAGTCGGTTAGGCAGACCCACGCGAATCAGCTTGTGAAAGGTCGGTTGTCGAACGAGTGTGGCATTGCGACCGTTTTCTAGAATTACAAAGGTCAGAACTCATCTCAAAAAACCCTTCAGATGAAGGCAACTTACCTCGGAAATATTCACCCCAGAGTCTCATCTTACTCCGGTCTCGAAGCTTACGCGCATCACCAGGATAGCGGAAAAGCATACCCAGCCCTGCATCAGGTGGCTGGCGACCATCTCCTTCCACGGCACCATCCTGTTGTCCCTTGGTCTTCGCTCCAGAGAGCAAGTATTCCGAGTAACAATCCGTGACAACCGTTCTCAAATTGTCAACTTCCTTCATACCCTCCCGCAGGCCTTTCTTCAGAGTATCGCAGAATCGCTCGCATGCTTGTCTGCTACCGACAAGCTGAAGAATGAGGCGCTGGGGCGTGAAATTGGGTTCTTGCTGCTTGTTCAATAGACCGTTCCAAGTGGTCAATGCCAGTGAGAAAACATGGCTGGCGCTGTGAAGTCGTTCGACGCGACGGATGCAGGACAGGGGCAGGGTGAATCCATTTCCAGAAGGGCCGGTACCGTGTGTCTGCCCAGTAAAATTGGTCGAAGCACTGAGTGTGGCCGAGGGGATAAAGCTTGTTGGTTGTGTGGAGAAGCAGATAAATCGCTCACTGAGATGCAGACGACCGGTATATCGGCTGCCCGCGCGGTCGACACGACGGGCGCCATCTCCTGAGCTAGAGGAGGAGTTGGGTAGGGGGAGGACGAGTTCAGCGGTGATCTCTTGCAGCGGGTTCTGCGAATCGGGGAGGCGGAATTGCTGGCGGAACAGCGACGCTTTGGAGGGAGTGCCGTCAGAGGACCCGAGGGAAGGAATATTGAAGTTGGCCGGGTCAATCAGCGATTGAGCCTTCTGCACGAAAGACGACCACGGGATCATGGTGGGCAGCAGTCGATCCGAGGCGGACCCGGCGTTTGAGGGTGTGATGTCGGAGCGGAGCTAGAGCTGCGGCCTAGGACGAGGAGCCGATTGAGGCGGGAAGCTGTGCAAAACGGCCCGTACTTGATTCGAATGTAAGGTCCAGGGTCATTGTACAGTACAAATCATACTTGACCAAGCTCTGGACCTGCAGCTCGGAGAACGTGGGGGAAACCGGGGGTGTTGTTGTCGGATCGATAAGAGGGGGAGACGATGGTGATGTCCACCCCGTCACGTGATTATCAGCCTTACTGCGGACTGGCTAGAGCTTACTCCGTTTGAGACCTAAGACACGACTGTGCTAATTTAAAGTAAATCTAGTTGCTTACTTGAAGTTTCTACAGGGTAATATATGAAATTGAGAAAAGGAAACGGAGTATCATTGTAGAGAGAGATAAGGGAATCGCTGTACAAGCTAGACATCAAAAGGAGAAAGGAAAGTCAAAAATAGAGACGGACAAGGAAGTGGATCCTAACTGTCAGGTCGCTGGCAGTTGAAAAACTCGATCACGACTAGTAATAGCCTTTTGTAACATAGCCTCCAACTTCATCGCAAATCAAACATGCAATTTACCACGTAACCCGGTTTAGTTCTTATCCATCGAGCCTCGTCGCGACTCCTCAGCGTATTCGGGGAGCACATCTTCCGACTCGACCATCAGACCCTGCTTTTCACAGGCATCACCCTCTTCCCAAGCAGCCTTGTGTTCCTTGGGCTGGGTGCCGCGGTAGCGCTGCCAGCAGAAGACAACAGCCTGGCCCACCAGCATGCCGACGGCGCTGGCGGTCAGACCGGCCAGAACACCGAGGATGGCAGGCACAACAATGAAGCGAACAACACGGGAGAAAGTGTGGGCGAAAGCGCCGTTAGGAGGAGGGGGGCGGTTGTGGTGAGGACGGCCGGCGTTCTCGGGGACGAAGGGACCGGAGTGATGGTGACCTTTGGGTCCGAAGTCCTCGGGACCGTTAAATCCGGGGAAAAGTCCATCAGGACCGAAATCGCCGTGAGGGTGAGGGCCGTGGTGACCCATGCCCTTGTTCTTGCCGTGGCAGCCCTTGCGACCGCCCTTGGAGGTCAGCTTGAAGAGACGCTCCTTGGCAGAGGCCAGCAGACCACGGACACGAGCGACCAGAAGCTCCTGAAGGCACTTGGGCTTGCCCTGGCATTTCTTCCATGACAGGCGCTCGGGGGCCGGGGCGGTCTTCTCGACCTCAGTCTTGGCGATGTAAAGTTGACCACTCGGGTCAACAATCAGGATGATGGCAACGGTATCGACGGGCACGGGGTGAGATTCGAGATCAAGAACGGTGAATCGGACATCGAGGAACTCGGTTTCGGGGGTATCGGCCGGAGAGGGAAGCGGCATCACCTCCAGCGCGTAGCCGACAGGCATGGGATCGGATTCTTCGCCATCTTCCAATTGCTGTACGGCAAGAATAGGGCTAGGAGGGATAGGAGGGAAGATTTGACGGCCATTAGCCATCAGGCGGTTCTCTTCGATAGTGAAGTCAAGCATCTTTGTTTACCCCTCTCATCAGTACGCGCAGAGCATATATGGGAGACAAAGACCTACCAGAGTCGAGGGCTTGTTGTCAGTCCAGCTGACGGCGCCATGCTTTTCATTCTCGCGGAAAGGGCATTCGGTGCAAGGCACGTCGACGGTGGCTCGACGGATGTCCTCGAAGAGCATGGGGTGGACATTCATGAAACCGTCCTCGACGGCCTCCAGCTTGGGTTCCATCTCAGGGACGACCAGCATCGCGCTGGCGCTGAGAGCGGCGGCGCCGCTCAGCAAGATGGACCGAATGTACATGGTCGCGGGTATGTAGTAAAGAACGGACGTCAGAGACAATATGATCTGGTTGGAGTTGTCAGAAGAGCAGAAGAAGACGTTTAGAGGGGGAGGAGAGATTAGGAGTGGAGATGATCAGTCGTTCGCATGGGGCGAGCCAAGTGGAGCAGGTGACGCCAGCTGCTGCCGTGGCTCGCCCTTTAGGGGTGCCACCGCCGGGGATTCAGGGACTTTGATTGGTTGGTCAACCAGGCGTGGCACTGCGGGACAGTACGTGACGCTAAAACCGTAACATCACTTGCAGTAAAGGCCGCGAATTGACTTTCGCGGCCGGTAATACGATGACCACATCGGCAGCGCTTGGTCTGCAAACGATCGGCGCCACGGCGGAGCAGCAGTCCGGCGGCAAACCTGCAAAGAGTCTAGATTGCGTTGTATGCAGCCCGAGAGAAACGGCGATTGGATCCAAAGAGATCAACCAGATTTGAACGAGAAGACAGCATTATAGGCATATGAATGATTCGATCATTTTGTTAGTAAATACAGATCGTTCGTGTTTCAACCGCACACGGTTGGACCCTGTTTAATGCCCATCAGTGCCTATCACTATTGCAATGCCACGCGATCGACATCCAACCACCGCCTCCACTCCCGCTGCACATAACGATCCACGGGCGGCCGAAACTCTGCCTGCGCGCGTCGCATACGGTGCATCATTCGATCGGACGTGGTGTTGAACGCGATAAAGCGTTGGTACAGAAGGTACTCTCGCGTCAGATGCATAACACAGAGTATCAACACCAGCCCGAGTAACGGCATCAGCACGACCTGCGGCCTTTTCCTGATCTGACGCCACTGCCGCCGAAACGGGCGACCGTTTCGATCTCTGTCCCTAACGAGAATGTGTCTATCATCAGCTTCAGGTGTTGGGCTCTTGGGCCATTCGGCCGGCATCCGCACGTTGGCAATCTGAATCAATTTCTCCTCGATCAATTTCTCATCGCTGATGTTGGATAATGGTGAGAGCGACATTCCTCGGTTCCAGGAAGGCACGCAACGAGCCGAAAGACTAGATCGGACCCTTGCTACTTTTGAAACCCGCTCGGGGAAGTGCCCCCGGATCTTCGTCCCCCTGAAGAGAAGAGCATGCTCATCGTCCCGTTTCAAGTATTTGTGAACAACCGACGGTCGGAGTTGCAGCTTGGGGTGTGTGAATGGACTTTTGGTAGTCATTGATGAAGGCTGCAGCTGGAGTAGATTCAGCAGGGGTTTGGTCGTGTTCATCATGTCAAGCTTGGAGATAGGTAGGTCCCTCTTGAGGCGCTTCCCAAGCGGCCAGCCCTCGCAGTCATGGTCGTCCTTGGTAAAAGGCAGTTTGAATTTCCATTCCTCGGGGTCGGGGCCAGAAGATGAAGTCCTGTCGTAGATTGTGTATGGTGGACTGGTCTCTACCCCCTCCATAGGCCCCGCGGCCAGGGTTACCGCACGTTGCCAGGTTTCGTCGGCTATCTGTTGCCAGAAATCACTTTCTGACGAAGTGGGAATTTGTCTGTCCATATGTGTGTGAAACTGGAGGTCTCTGGGCTCCAGGCTTGCGTCGAGAAATTGTGCTACGGTTTGGTAGCCGGTATTCGAAGGCCCTGTGGCCCTTGAGTAGTGGAGATCTGGATCATAGTGAGAACTAGGCTGTCCCAGGTTGGAAACTGTAGTGGGCTGGTCTGGAATTGGGGTTTCGTAAAAGTTCGCCGCCATCGACTGACCATTGAATCGGACGTGCTTAGCGCGCTGAGCTTCGGTGCCCACGACCCCTTCTTGAAAGACCTTGTCTGCATTCTGGGACAGCTTCAAGGTCATCGTCATGAATCGGTCGAACATTTCAACAGTTTCCCAAAAGGTCTTCTCTGGTTGCAGGTCCAGCAAGGTGTCCCTGAGCTGCTTCCATTTTCCAATCTCCTCGCGGAGGAGATTGGAAGTGATATTCTCGGTGATAAGCTTGGCCTCGAACATGCGATCGAGTTCCTTCTCTAGCGTCACGATTCTGTGACCCATAAAGTCGAGTTCTTCCTTGAGCTGCGCCTCTCGACGCTCTGCGTCTTGTCGCTGTTCCTGGATTTCCTCATGGTCTTTCTCTAAACGTTTGATGTAGTGTTCTCGTGTCCGTGCCACACGGAGCTCTTCATACACTGAGCGTCGGAGATTCTGGATTTCTTCTTCTTGATCAGAGTGCTGGCCGATCTGCTTTTCGTACTCGGTTAGAAGATCTTTCAGATGAACGAGTTCATTGCTTTCTTCGAGTTTTCGGATCTCCGCCTTTGCAGTTTCCTCCCGATGCGCCTTTTGCTTTTCTGCGATAAACTTCGCGGCGGCCGTCGTAAGAGTGTCGTCTCCCATGATTGAGTTGGTATTCTATGAAAGTGAGTATAGAGGGTCCGGTCTCGCGGTCCCCAGAATCGCTGGAAAAATGGTCGCAAGGGAGACTGTATGCGCTGTCGCGCGAGTTTGATTCGCTGATTCTGCCAGTGCAACAGGGTGAATTCGGAAGTCAATATGTCGTATATGGGCGGTAGGAGATAGATCAAGTATTAAAAAGTTTCACTGGGGGCACTCAAGGGTATAAGTAAACCACTCGAGATATCCACTCTTTTGTTGGTTTCGTTCAAAGCCTATTGTGACGTTACGGGGCTCTTTGTCACCCTATCTTGTCCCTGATGCAGTAATATGCTTAAAATTGGCTAGTACGAGCGTCACGTTCTTTCTTTGTTTTTGCCACTTTGTTGTTTACGCTCAGTGATGGCCTAACAATCTCATTTTTCTTATGGAATAAATTAAAATGCTTTACTTATCACTCAGTTTTAGCTTACTGCTGACGGACTTCTGACTCACTTCTGGCTCACTCCAGATATTCTGTATCGTTTAACAAGTGTTGTGGTTCGGTTGAGCCTACACGTGGAATTAATGGGCCGACCCGTGGATCAGGTTCATAGAAAAGACGAGCATTTCCTGATGGCATATCAATAGAGAGCAGCAGTTTCAATAATATATAGACATAACATTCAAAACGATACTCAACCCAGTCTATTCGATAAACAGCAATAGCAAAAAATACCAAAATCAAAGCAAGTCTATAATACGATCTAGACAGCATCTGTGAGCTGTACCATCACTGATCCAACCAAGCCTTGAGCTCGCCAATATTCGGACACTCGATAAAAACAGAACTCTTCACATCGACATTGAGCTCCACCCGGAATTTCTCCGACAGCACCAGAGACATCAAAGAATCCACACCTAGCTCCACGAACGAAGCAGTGTCCACCAGCTCGCTAGGGTCCAATCCCGTCTCCCGAGCAATTATTTTCAAACAATCAGTGATGATTGGGCTTTCTGAAGAGGCCGGGGTAACAGATTGTTGCGCGATTGTTGGGGCGGACTCGGTAGCTTGGACTTGCGGCGCAGCCTCAACAGGGGGCGTTGAAGCCTTCGCGATGGAGACAGATGATACGACTGTTGCTGCCTTGCTCTGTGAAGTGGGAGTAGCAGACACGACTGAAGTGGGCACCGTCGTCTTTGATGAGGTGGCCTCTGACGGGGAGAAAAATTGGTTCATCAAGACGCGCGGCACGCGACGGAATTTCATCTCACCCATCATTCCAACGATCGCACCGTCTTGAAGAACGTAGACGTCACCTGCATACATGTTCTTCTCCTCGGTTGGTGCCATGCGCACGTAGCTGCGATATTTTCCACCAGCCACTAAGGGCTGGGCGATACGGCAGCTTCCCCAGCCTGGAGTGACGTAGAAGTAGTCCTTGGTGTTGGAGGCGTCGCTGCCATTGAGTACAAAGCCTCCGATATGGAAGAGGCTGTCGATCCAGTAGGGTGGCGTGTGCCAGGTGCCGTGGAGGTCTGGGCTGAGCGTGATTTCGGCGTATGCCTCCATGCCGTCTAGGACGACAGACTGCATACCCCGGTAGTGGTCAGTGTAGTCAACCACATTCTTGAAAAGGGTGTAGGCCATGCCTCGAGAGAGGCGGTTGGCTGTGCCATCGAGCGCCATCTGTGATAGAGATGCGATACGACTGTTGACGAGGTGCGATAGACGATCCCAGTCTTTGCGCCAGGATAAAGCATCGCCGAAAAGCACGGTGGCAGTAGCGTAAGGTTCAGCGGCACGTCCATTCTCACTCGAGACATTGAACCACTGAATAGCCATCTGTTTAGTGCTGAGATCTAACTTGGCCTCGACCTGAAGCAGCTGGGCACGGCTCTTGTCTGTATGTGCTACCTGCGCGTGAAGAACTTCCAAATTAGAGACATCCATGTGGATATCATGAGTTTGAGGGACTAGTCGTTTGTAAAGATATTCGCCTATGGTCATGGCCATGTCGCCCCAAAGAGACTAAAAATTTGTTAGTAGGTTTATCTATAGCAATGTCGGCAGGAAAACCCACCGAGGTAGCCACGCCGTAACCATTCATATGGTGGCCGTCCACCGCCGCACGGAACTCAGGGTCCATGATATCAGACAGAACAGTCAATGCCGCCGTTGAACCAACAACTTCTTCCGACATGATACGATGAATAGATGAAGTCCGCAGAGCAGAGCCCTGAGGCGACGATGCGACAGACCTGCGATCTTCCTGCGGATAAGCCTTGTCGAGAGTCCAGGTTCCAGTATACTGTAGCCAGTAGTTCTTCTCATTCCAAGAATACTTGGGAAGTGGCACGAGACGGAGAGATTTCTCGAATGGCTTGAAGTACGCATTCCAATCAATCTGCAGACCACTGCTCTGAAGACTCGCAAGAGAGCCGGCAAGAGTAGTGAAGTTGTCTTCACTCTTGCGCATGGAAGCGAGAATTTGAGCTTGAGGCATGTGGGCTTTGATGAAAGAACCGTTAATTGGGTGTGGGCCAATCTCGATGAACGAGGTATTGTCCTGGATAACACCCATATCACGACCAGCTTCCAAAGCTTCGACAAAATTGACCGATTCTCGTGAAGCGCGGCGCAAGTATTTTGCATTGACAGTCTTCCCGTCAAAGACGCAGTCGGACAATAGCGGAGAGAGGATAGGAACACTCGGTGTGCGAAAACTGACTTGCTGAGCCACCTGTTCAAAGGTGTCGAGGATAGGCTCCATTTGTTCCGTGTGGAATGCGAATGGCAGATTCAAGGGCGTGCACTTCAGTCCCTCTTTTTCTAGAGCAGCCCGAATAGCTTGGATATTATCTGTAGAGCCTCCTATGACCGTGCTCTGTGCCGAATTCACGCAACTGACTTCAAATGGCGCATTCATGGGTGCCATCTTCTCAATCTGATCCACACCAGCACGAACAGCAAGCATGACATGGCTTCCCATATTGCAAGATCTCAGGATCAGCTCCGCGCGCTTACCGACGAGGAAGATTGCATCCGCTGCTGATAGGACATCGGCAGCAACAAGAGCAGCATATTCACCTAAGCTGTGACCAATGACCACAGATGGGGTGATGCCAAGGGATGCCCAGAATCGCACAAGAGCAATTTCGGTCACCACGATAGCAAGTTGAGTGAGAATGGGAGATACACTCTGCTCGTCAGTCTCGGTTCCATCAATGAGAGGAATGACAGAGGGCAGACCCAGTCGCTGGGCTAGCCGGTCGAGCTCCTCAACTGCTGTTCGATAGGTAGGGAATTCTTGATATAGTTGGTGACCCATCTTGGTATAGAAAGCACCCTGTCCCGTGAAAGCAAATGGAACAGTCGTGGACGCATTTGAAACAGGACGGAGAGAAGAAACGGTATCATTGGCGAGGCATTGGCTGAGTGATTTAATAACTTGATCAATGCTCGACGCGGCAAAAGCGAAGCGGGTATGATGTTGGATACGGCGGACGCAGGTGGTATAGGCCAAATCACCCAGATCAGTCTCAGGGTGGTGTTCGAGGTATGCAGCCAGAGCCTCTATATTCCCTTTAAGAGACGCCTTGCTCTTGGCTGAAAGGGAAATAACGTGTGTATGGCGAGAATCAGATCCAACGCGCTGACTCTGGGGTGCATCTTCCAGAAGCAAAGTGGTATTACCACCGTGTGCTCCGAAACTGTTGACAATTGCATATCGCTTTTTCTCTGACATGCGGGGCCAAGGTGTCATCTCAAGTGCAAGGCCGGCTTTGCATCGTTCGAGATTCTTTGCAACGACGGGGTTGATCTCGGTCTTGATGCCGACGTGGGGCGGAATCATGTTCTTCTGGAAGATGAGAAGAACCTTCAACAAGGACGCAATACCAGCTGCAGCTTCACCGTGACCGATGTTCGATTTGACTGCGCCCATAAGTAAAGGTGCTTGGCGACGTGATTTCGGATTGGCAAAGACATCAACGACAGATTCTGATTCAACAGAGTCGCCGGCTTGGGTTCCGGTACCATGAAGCTCGACATAACTCACGCTGACGGGACTGATTCCCGCAGCTTGCATGACCTGTCGATAATTTTCCTTCTGAGCTCCAGCATGAGGATGAGTGATGGATATAGCATCCGCAGATTGGTTCGTATAAGCGGCATCAATAGTGGCGAGAATATTGTCGTTGTCGGCCACTGCATCCTCTAGTCGCTTGATCACCACTGATCCAATTCCATCAGCTCGGCAGTATCCATCTGCATCCTTGTCCCAGACTTTACATTGACCTGTCTTTGACAGGAAATGACCTTTGCAGAGCATGGCAAAATTGTCAGGGTTGGTGATGACGTTCAATCCTCCAGCAATGGCGGTGTCGACTTCACCGGCCCAAAGGGCACTGCATGCTTGATTGACAGCAGCCAACCCACTCGAGCAGGCAGTGTCCACATTGAAACTGGGACCACCGAATTTGAAGAAGTAGTTGATTCGGCCGTTGGCAAAGGCTCGCTCGCCTCCCGGGACGGCATAAGTGCCGATGTTCATGCCGGCGTTCAGCTCGCGCCAGTCATCACTAGCCTGACCGTAATATGTACCAATGCGACTGAGGATGGAAGAAGGGGTCCGATTAGGGGCGTATCCCGCCATTTCGAGTGCCTCATATGCAGTGACTAGAGCAAGTCGATGCATTGGGTCGGTTTGCTCAGCCTTTGAGCAGCCTTCGTTAGCATTGTCCCATAGAGTAATTGTTTTTAGATGTAGAAGCCTACCTCTCGCGGGGACATGTTGAAAAAATTGGCATCAAACATGCCCGGAGCATCAATAAAGTTGCCGAAAGGAGTTTGCGTGGTATTCCATTTCTCGCCTGTGGGATCATAGTGGGCGTCGACATCAAATCGATCTGCAGGGATACGGGTGTGGACATCGCGACCTTCTTCCATGATTTTCCAGAAAAGCTCTAGATCGTTGGCTCCCCCGGGCAATCTGCATGACATTCCAACCACCGCCAGCTTGGACTGGTGGGGAGACCGTGGGGTAGACGGGTAGAAGTCGGGCTCTTCAACGAGACACCAGTCAAGCAGGTCAGTCTTGCGAATGCTGATATCGGTAATATTTGATGAGATTGATGAGAGAATTCCTTGCGCAATCAATGAAGTTCGAAGCAGAAACACGTCCACTTCCGGTGATCCAGCAATGGAGATCTCGCGGACGATGCCCTCTGTAAGATTGTCGAGATAGATTCCACCAGTCAGAATCTCAAGAACAATCTCTTCCCACAGCTTTCTTGCTTGTGTGGCGACATAGGGCTTTCCGGTCTTTGCGGAAAGTACCGGGAGGTAGACACGACCAGTGGCAGTATTATCAGAAACAGCGAGGATGGAGCTAGAATCCTTGCTGGTATAGAGATGACTGGCATGGCACAGGCCATTGTAGACTGGGAGAGGCAGGTGCTTGGAATACCGGAGAACGGCAGAGTGGTGGAATGCATTAAGTAGACGAGAAGGTGGGCCGGTGACACTGACTGAATTTGCATCCGCAGCACTGATGAAGACTTTTGTGAGTTGTGGATTTGACTGAACTGTAGTTTTAGTATTCAAACTATCCAATCATCCATATCGGATAAAACTCACGGTTTCTTTGTTAAAGCGATCCAGCTCTTGCTGGATAACATCAGCGGATACACCAGTCACAACGTAAGCCCAACTCTTGGGAGGCCCTTCAGGTTCTCGGGCCTCAAGCGACTGCGAGACATGATCCACGTGAATTCCCATTCGGAACGCAATGCGTACACTTTCAACACCATACTTGGCGAGGTCGAAAAGTGTTTGAGAGACTGCGACAGCTGCGGCGGATAGGATACCAATGCTCAAACCCGCGAGAGTCGTTCCCGTTTCCGCAATATTGTACTTTTTTCCTGTCGCCTCATAGGATCTGTAGTAACGTCAGTTAAGTTGTACGTTAGTTTCCTCGAAGTAATGGAAAACATACCCGATGAGGACACCAACTTGAAGCATACACAGGAGTGCGCTCTCAAGGGCACCTCCAATTGGCGTCGTCCGGATCGCCTCCCATCCCTCCACCAGCCCCAGGATAGTTTGAAGAGCGGAGACTTCACGAGGAACAGGCTGCGATAAACCTAAAATCTCATTCTTGATAGTGGCAACACACTCCTCTAAGAACGAAGCCAGCGTACAAAACTTCTTGTCCTTCGACCACCGATGTAGACGCCGAAAGAGTTCCGTCAAGTTGTCGCTGGGAAAGTCGTTCCCAAAGAACGCCAATCGGGTATCGAGATGACCCATGACATCGGAGGAGATTGACGACGGGGTATCCATGTTGAAGGAAAGAAAGTCGCTATACAAATAGACCAGCGCAGACCTGGTTGAACATTGTTGGAAATCGGGGGTCGACGCGGGTCCTTAACTAATGCGACGCGAGGCGCTGAGGAGCTCCAAAAGGAATCCGACAAGGCGCTGACAAGCGTGGCATTGCTCGAAACACGAAGCTCACCGGTGGCGGCTGGTGTCGGGCGTGAGAGCTGAAGCTTGCGGTGGTTGTGGTCGGATGCCGAGTCGGAGTCCGGCCGTTGACCTGTTCGCGTCCTACTCTAACTTGAATTCGCTCACTGCTCTGCGGGTATCTAAAGACGCGGTGCCCCGCGGAAACAGTTCGACTTCTCGTATCTGAAGACGCACAATCTGTGGTTTACCTCTCGCTGCTTGTCGTCGACATTATGGTTCACGCCCTTTACTATCCGTTGTTGGTGGCTGGTGCCACAGTGGCTGCTTCGTTGACCGGTGAGTATTTTCGCAGCACGGGCAAATTGCGTTTCTGAATCTCTGCTGCATTCTCTCCGTGCTTACCCCGAAGTCTCTTTTCCATTGTTTAATTCAGGCTAACGCGGTCTCGATAGGCTGCCAGCTCAGCCTGTCTTACGTCTCAGTGCCTGCCATCTTGAGCGTACCTGACGTGTCGGAATACGCCATGCTCTCAATGTGGAGAGTAACCTTCAACAAGGGCTTCTATCTCTGCCCGACGCAGGCTCTTCTGTCGAGTTTGCTCTTCTTATTGAACGCGATTTTGACTTTCTTCAACCAAGATGCGTCATCTGCGGACTCGAAGAGCACCTATCCACTTGTGGTGGCTGCCGTATTTGCCATATCTTTGGTACCATACACATTGACTGTCATCGTTCCATTAGAAGAGACTTTGCTGAAGCGACAGGGCAATTTGTCTCGTGGAAATTTGGAGCAATCGAGCAAGGGAAAGGTCAAAAATACAGAAGCGACAGCCGATGCTATCAGGAGTCGGGAAATGATGGAGCGATGGATTTCACTCAACTATATCCGCACTTTGCTTCCTTTGACTACCGTTGTATGGGTCTGGACGAGATGCTGGTAAAGAACATCTGTCATCGGTATACGTTGAGCTATCATAAGTACCCTTTAGTCAGAAAGAGGCTATTCCTCTATGTTTTGCTCGAAGATTATTGGTTATAAAGCAAGCAGCAATACTTTTATAGCTGTTCTATACGAGAAGAAACGATGTAGAAAAGAGCAGCGAAAAAGAAAACAATGTATTACCTGGATTTATCATCCGCATCAGCTCCAGCCATCTCAAAAGCTATTATCTCATTTTATGTGTAGAGATCATACAAAAGTTGGATTATAAAGTTGGGAGGAAAGCATGCACTCAAGAATGAAGCAATGCCTGCGAACAGCCAGTGACATCGAGAAATATGAGAGCATGCGTCACAGGTTCTCATGACATGCTGCTTCATAAGTTCATAGAAAGCCCCATCGGCCATATAACTTGGAGCCATCTTTTATCGGGAAGAATGTATAAACCTATTTTTGAGGAATTAAGCAAGTGATTCAAACCATCGAATAATCCTATTGAATAATATGCGCGCAGCTGACCAATGTAACAAAGAGGAAAAAGCCCAGCGTATATCAACAAATCTAGAAAAGTCTAGAAGAGTACACATTTTTTAAGACATCACAGTCATGATTAATCACTACCTCCCAGAATCCGTATATCCCATCTGAAAAGCTTCATTCGTAACCAATCGCAGCCGCTGCTTGAGCGACTCCGCAAGTCCGGAAAGTGTACTCGACGACTGCAGCTGACTGTCCCCCTTGTACTTGCAAGAGAATTGCATCACCACATTCGCCAGCTTGGAAAGTTCCTCCAAGACCTGCATGGAAGATACTTCGCATTGAAACTCATTTTTGCTTGAGCGCAGGCTTGCCATTTCCCCGAAATCAGTCTGTTCAATATCCCCCTGCAGTCCCATGGACGCGTTTGCGTTTGGACAGGCATTCCCAGCCATAGAAGTCTCGCGATGAAAGAGTGAATCGTATACGTCCAGAATTGTCAAGCAGACAGAAGCAACCAGGATAGCCACGTAGGTCTTTTGTGAACAAGGACACACGAGGATCGTGGAGAGACGATTAATTGCCGATGAGGCTTTTTGCATGCGAGTCACAAGCCCAGATCCATCCAAACCATCACTTGAGGCTTCGATTCCCTTCTGAGGTTTCTGCAAGCCCCGCAGGATCTCGATGGCACTAGTCACACAATCTGACTCAGACGAATCGGAGCTGGGCGTTTGATCGCACGAGAGATTTCCATCGAACGCATCAGCACTAGTTACTTGGTCCATGCTTTGATCCAGTGCGAGAGGCATGTCGAGGAGGATATTGGAGTCGGCGTCCGACAGCTGGGCCCAGTGTGAGGAACTATCACTGCTCAAAGCGTCCGAGAAATTGAAGAGATCCAAGTCCATCACCGGCTGCATCTGGACAGGACTCAATTTATGCGCTTCGAACCCTCCCAGCGCGCATGAATCTTCTGAAAAAGCAGTGGTGCTTGTCGCATGCTCTTCCATCATCGGAGAGAGATATAGTTCATCAAGCCAATGCAGTGGATTCTGGCTATCCCGCTCCCAACTACCAGGACTCTGCAGAAATGTCTCATCCCGAGTCGTCGGAGGTAGGTCCTTCGGAGTACTCGGGAGATTCTCGTTCGTCGTCCTCCTCGTCGGACAAGAACGCGCTTCCGGCGATTTGCGGATGGTGGTTCGACGGTTGGGATGCGGCCGTCCGATGCGCCGCGCCGGACTGTAGAAGCACGGATAGCCCAGCTTGCGACATCGACTACAGACCGGTTTTTCCTTGTTACATTTGATTTTCGAGGAGGAGCACATGTCACAGCTGTCTTTGAGCTTTGGAGGTGCGCCGCCGCCGCTTCGAGATAAGGCTGTGTTGGTATTGGTGCTCATTGTTGCATAAGTTTGTGAATTGTACGAGGTCTGCCCTGTTGCAGGTTCTTTTCGAAGTCGGATGTTCTGAAGATATTCGTGACAATCGCAGACTCTAATATCCAGAGCGCCGTCTCAATACGAAGCACTCTTACAAGTAGTAGTACTCTCCGATCACGCAGAAATGTGCCCCATCTGGCCCCCAAAGCCCACTCAGGCTTGAGCTGACACATGCCCCCATCTAAAAATCGACATGGACAAGCGGCAGTGCGTATTACGAAGCTGCGGGCCAAACTCGCAATCTATCGTCATCTCGTGCTGACTAGTTCGTGGGCGCGGTGTGGACAGTGCCATCTTGCATAGCAGTGCTTGGCCTGACGAGGCTGGTTTGGTGATTGGTGGGAGCAGTGCCCTTAAAGCTGGTTTGTCCGTTTAGGAAGGGTTAGCGTGTCTCAGTGGACAACGGGTATACCATCCGCTGTACTGGTGGGTTAAACGTAAAATGGAGGAAAGAATAGTCCAGCTGGCAATGAGTGGTCCAGTGTACTCTTAACAGTGAAGACTAAGTTTGAGGCTAATACGAAGATGCTAAGCCTTGCGACAATACGACGTTAATGCTTTGGTGGAGGTTCATTACGATGTAACAGAAGGCAACAGGCAAAGCAGAGTTTCCTCGTTTTCGTCCAGCTGTCATAATTGTTTTTGCCATGTTTGTTCAGAAGTGGCGTTACGAGGCGCCAAGCGCCCCATGCAGCTAGTGTTCGCCACCCCCCGGCCCCAAAATAGGTACGGATCACGATCAAAACCCGAAATTGCTATCAGCAGGTAAGCTTTTCTGGAGAAAACCATGTCGAGGATAGAATGCAGAGAGTCAAAGATTATGCACCCGCCCGTTTGCAAGCCCTCGATCGCCTGGTGCAGTTGCTGATGCCGTTCGCGCTGCTGTCCTTGACGTCTGTGGTTGCATCTTGCATAGATCTCGCGGCCATGTGGCCTACCCCTGTTATCATCGGGTGTGCCAGTGGTCTTGCTAAAAGCCGAGAATCATCCGATGCGTTGGAGCAGACTCCATGTCGCGTGCACCAGCTGGCAAGACAATTCAGCTCGTGGGGCGATTTACCCGGCTGGCCCCAGCATCGAAAAGGAAAGGCGTGCAGTGGGGAATTCTGCATTCCCGGTTGAGAGGGAAGCTATAGGTTTAGAGCCGTTTGCCGGGGAGCCTCCACGGCGATCCATCTGAAAAAGGTCGGTCGCCATCGCAGTCCGGTTCTGATCGCATAAGATCGTGAGGATCAAGTGGGCACGATGCCAGGCAAGAAGAGCCAGACACTGCAGTTTGCAGCTGGGAAGAATAGGGTCATCGGTTCGTCTGCCCTGGTGCAGGAAGCACTGCGATGATGTGGTAAGCCGTTGCTGTGGGGGCCGGTCATATCAGACTAGGCCAACTCCAACTATGCAGGCCGATGCGAGCCTGCGGCCCAACTGCGCCACCCAGATGGGTCGAATAACACGAGATAATCGAGAGGAATTACTGCTCGTGGTTAACCACAAGTACAGGGCTAAATGGGGAAAGTGACATTGGGTGCCTGGGGGTTCACGAGCGGTCAAAACAGGAGAGCTGTGCGAAGCGGAGCGCATCAGCAGTCCGCAATTCGGGAGATCGACGCTGCCGTTTAAATAGATTAGCCTACCCCAAATACAGCCAGGAATAACAGCATTGCCTCATAAACAATCACTACAGCAATGGTGGACACAATCAATTTCGAGGTAAATTCTACCAGTTGTCTAAACACTACAGCATAGAGCTAATAATTCTCTGCACGACAAGATTCTCGATCACTCCAAATTTCCAGCATATAACCTCCACGATCTATCTCCAGCCGAACATCTACAAAACCGAGAGCCTCAAAAACCAAACTTCTTATCTGCACACAAAATGCGCAACCTATCTCAAACCAGCAATCGGCATTCAACATCATCATGGCCCAAACAAAACTTCACCTGCACCAAAAAAGATAAAACCTGCACCTCCTCCATCCTCCAAGCCCTCCAAGCCCTCTGCATCCCCCCAACAGCCTGCCTCTCCATAACCGACGACCTCTTTACCGCCACCTGCAAACCGAGCCCAAATCCGAATCCCGGACAAGGACCATTCCGCAAGATGGACGAAGCGCTCATGACAAACCGCTCTATCATCAACCTCGCCTCGACCGTCCTACAATGCCCCTGCTCGGCAACGCCGTCCGTGCAGTTACTACTTGTTACGATCTGCGACAGACTGGTTGCATGGTACAGGGCGATGATGCGCAGTGAGGATAATTTTGCGCCGGTCGGATTCATGTCGGTGCAGGATGACGATGAGCGGATTGTACCGCTGCCTATTATGATAGGTGGGTTTGCGGTTGATCCGGTTATTCAGATGCGGATGCGGGAGCAGTTGGTTTGTGGGGAGCTTGGGAGGGTTGAGGAGTTGATTAGGAGGTTTGCGGAGAGGGTGCAGGAGACGAGGGAGAGTTTAGACGTCGGGCAGGGGGAGAAGATTTTCGAGATTTTGAATAGCTTGTTGAGGGATCAGTTGAGGGCGAAGGCTTGTGTTATGAGGAGGGTAGTTTAGTCTTATTGTGGTGTTCAAATTGTGCTTTATTCTTAGAAGGTTGGTATAGATGGTAAATTTACACTGAAAAGAGGACGGGACTATATAAAGGATGAAGAAACTTGGATTAGAACGATTCATGAATTATGGAATTTTAAAAGCATGGATTGAGAAGTACAATGGTATCAGTTTTCATCCTCAAAGGAAAATAACATGCATCACCAGATTACTCCCAAATCTCATAATCCGGAAAATACTTGTCATGAATCCGCCTCGCATATTCCACAATCGCCGGATACCCCTTGACAATTTCCTTGCTATCCGGAGCTCTGCCGAAAGTCAACACACGTTCTATTCTATTCTAGCGAAGCCACAAGGCCCAGCCCATTGGAAGAAGGGGAAATACTTACGCCGCACAGACCAAAGCAGCAACGACAAATCCAAAGACCACCGCATCAGCCTCAGTAGGCTTATCCCCACCCCACACCCAGAAAGGACCCTCCTCTCTCGCCTGGGCATGCGCTGCCGAAACAACGGCGTTAATAGATTCCCAGACCTCATCGCGCGCGGCAGCGATTTCCTCAGCGGAGAGAGTGCCGGTTCCTTGGCCCTGCAGGTTCCGGACGTTCTTGTTGTAGATTATGTTCCCGAGAACGACCTGTACAGGCCAGGGGACGCTGGCGAGGATCTTGGAGCGCATGGTGTAGTAGTTTTGGACCCATCGTTCGTGGCCCTGGATTGGTCAGTCATGGCTTTTTTGGAGGGTGTGGCGTGTGGCTTGCTGGCACGGCCTGCTGCTGTGGGGCTGGTTACCTGGTAAAAATAGAGCTTATCCTCCAACAGAGCCTTGAGGGCGAGGTCCTGCGCCTTTTCGACGGGCGAAAGTCGGGCGTTGAGATCGGTGAGACTTCCAGCCTCGATGAAGGATTTCGTGATCAGGGCGGAGTCGCCGAGTGATTCGGTCTTAACGTCGCGCTCCAGAGTGATGTATGGGACCTTGCCTCGAGGCGCTTTGAGGGGTGACCCTGTATCGACCTTGTAGGCAATGTTGTCGAAGCGCAGGCGGGCCTCGAGCTTGTTCACGAAGGGCGACCAGGTGTAGCAGCCTTTTTCGGGGAAGCCCCGGAAGACGGTGATGGATTTGAGTGAGGCGGCCATGACGAGCGATGATGAGGGAGGAGTGTGTTTTTGAGCAGGGAAGAAAAAAGCTGATTATTTAAAAAGGCGCAAGGGGGCGTTCCGGATTGGACATACATGGCGACCCAAGTAGCCCCGCGTCGGAGGCCGCACAAAGAACGCAAACCGCGACGGGCTCCGGCCAACAGGCAGGAGGCTTAGAAATGCGAGAACTTGGTAAGCATGTGCGAATTCGCTAAGAGCAGCCACCACATGAGTGGTAGGCGCATTGTTGTCGGCCCCAACGAGCATGGGGCCGGGCTTTGGCGGCCTTTGGCGAACGACCGAGCACCGTCAGCAAGAGGACAAAGCAGCGCCCACGCTAAATTGTCGGGGTCGAATCTTAACTCATGATCCGCACGGTCCGGCATCTGCGGCTTTTGGGCGCCCCACTTGCAGCCGCAGCTTACTGGAGGCCGCTATTACCAGTAGTAGTGCGTATTTCGACGTGGGGGTTCCGGAATACGATTAGAGTTTGACTTTGTTTACTCTATACGAGATTCTTCGTCTCGGCTAGTTGGGATCCCAATATTCATGGAATGTCCAGACAACCAATCCTTGTGCCTAGTTTCCTTTTCAAACCAAGATCGCATTCTGAAACATTTAGCGCCACTGACAATGAAGACTCAGGTTAGTGCTGAGAGGCGCTAGACTACAACCCTGCAGTGAGCTGTAGAATTTACCAAAAACTTATTTTTAAAGTGGGCCAATAATCAGCTTTGATTGACAATTAGATACTGGCAGCTCTATACGAAAAATCACAAACATGGAAAAGAAATCTCAGCTCCTTAAAGACGGCTCTATTGCGGCAGCTGGGCCACAATAACGGAGTGTCGCATCATAGGGTGATACGGCCGGATCTCCACAAGACTCAACCCAGCACGATCAAGCAGCGACCGCCACTGACTCTCCGTCCGCTCATGCGCACCGAGCATAGCCAACATATGCAAATCCAGACAAGCAGACCACCAGTGTACCTCAGTATCCGGCAACGCCATATCATCAATGAGAATTACCGACTCGGCATTCATGGCCGGAACCAACTGTCCCAGAATTTCGAGCGACTTCTCATCGTCCCAATCATGCAGCACGGTACGCAGGTAGTACGCCTTGGCGCCAATAATGGGCTGCGGCTCAAAGAAATTGTGCGCCATCAGCTCCACGCCTCCGACCGGCGGTGCGACCGCGATCGTCTCGGGTAGATCCTGGACGATGATTCGGCCCGGGAGGTCGGGGTAGCGCGCGCGCAGACGGGCGGATTGGTGGCCGATGTTGCCGCCCACGTCGACGAAGAGGGCTTGGTCAGGGCTGATGTTGGAGGCGAGCGAGGGGATTGAGAAAACGTCAAGCCAGTCACCTTCGCGGGGAACGCTCATAAGTGACTGGAACCATTTTAGGTGGTCGGGGTGTTGCTTGGCCCAGGGGAAGAAGGGGAGTTCTGTGTTGAAGCCGTTGTTCCAGGCGAGGGTCTTGCCGGTGTCGGTGTAGCCGTTTGCTTTGAGGGTTTCGGGGAGGGCTTGGTAGACGGGGCCGCCGATGTTGAAGCTGGGTGTGTTAGTGTTGATCCTCTGTTTTACTTGAGGATTTCTTACATGTAGTAGATGCAGTCTTGGATGACGGGGTTGGCCAGAGATTTGGTGGCTGGGTTTGCCTTGAAATGATCTTTGCTTGTTTCCGTCACCTCGCGGGTGGAGGCGAGGTAGCGAAGCAAACGGCGCAGCAGCGATGGAGCTGCTCGTGTTTGCTCGGCCAGGGCGTTGACACTGAGAGGCTCATCGCTGGCTGCCAGAATGCGGAATAGACCGAGGTCGCAGCCAATGCGGACGACAGTCAGCTCCAGTTGCTATAAGGTGGAACGAGTGAGCCTGAGACCGGGGGCAAGAGAGAAATGAAATTGATGTTGTATAATTTACCATGTTAAAGAAACGCAGCATCAGATCGTGTGAGGTCTCTGTCGCCTCGGCCGCTGACCGTAGGGCGCCCTGCATCTGGAGACGACCCGTCTCGTTGGAGAGGAAGCGACCTTCGTTGATATCGGGGATAGTCATTGTGATTAAAACTGAGAAAAGGCACTCTGAAATTTTTTGAATGAGGTGTAATGATCTATCTTCCTCGCGAATCTTGAAGTTTTTATGTTCGCTGTCGGTTCTGTTGACTGCCGGACAGTCGGGCGAGGCTGCCATCCAGATCCACGCTGACAGACATGCCTCTGCCCGGATTCCGACCTTGTCGGAGGCCTGTACCGGACCCCACGGTCTTTGCGCGGATTTTGTACGGGATTCGGTCGGTTTTTGATGTAACTGATTTTCTTCGACTGCATGTTAAATTTTGAGAACCAAGGGGCTTACGTATTGTCGCTAGGTTTCTGGTTTCCGGTGGCCGCCAAAAAGCGTCTCGACAATGTGGCCCGCATGTTTTCTGAAGACATTGACGGAACTACTTTTTCTTTCTTTCTTTTTCCACAAGTTTAATATTAGTTCAAAGGCGCTTTCAATAATAAGGTAGAACGAGAAAGAATTTGCTGTCTCGCAAATTCAATGTCTCACAGTTAATCTCCGTCCGATCAGAATGTCGAGCGTGTTATATTTTGCTTTAGGATCGAATATCGGCATGTCATAAGTGTGAAGATACATATTATAGTACATAGGTGAATTCATGTGATTCTTTGTATGTGATCAGTCAGACTTTTAGCTATTACTCCTTATGAATTTGTAGAATAATGACATGCAAAGAGCAGAAATTTCATTGACACTGGAAGCTGCTACTGTTCCGCAAAAAGGATGGAACCAGACAGCATATCGCAGAATAAGTTAACCTCTCCAAAATTAAAATGATCAGATCATTACATGGATCTGATCAGTTCTATAAGGATCATAAGATACCTAAACTTTCGAACAGATGAACATATTCACGATTAATTGTGAGATTTTCAAGGTGGATGGTTACAACAGGCGACTGCGATAATCATAAATTCTCATCTAGCGAAACTAACATATATTACCATCTAGTCACATTCTTAATCCGAATTCAAGGTAAAAATCTAATGAGCTTCAACAGCAATCTTCTCCTCCACCACAGGCTCAGACACAGTCGGTGGCATGGCACCCATCTTATTCTCACCAGTCAAAAGACCAAGAACATCCACCGTGTCCGACTTGTCCCCAGAGACGGGCTTAACAAGTCCCAGCTTGCCACGCTCCAGGTTAGCCGTAAGGCCACCAATAGTATCGGTGCTGAAAGTGTCGATGTTGATGGTATCTTCCGACCGGAGCATCTGACGAGCACGGATCGAGTTCATAATTCGAATTTCCTCGGCGGACATGGAGGACTCGAGCTCGCCTTTGGTTTTAGAATCGAGAGTGTCGTCATTCAGACCGAGCTTTTCCATCTTCTCCAAAACGGCGTCTTTCTGCTCTGGTGGGATGGGGATGAACGCTCGGTAGCAAAAGTCGATTGTTTCGGAGATTTCAGACTCGGTGAGGCGGGCTTTGACGTCGACAGTGCCCTGAATGACTGAATACGGGCAGTTTGTTAATATGTGCGTGCACTTAAGAATCTAGGACTACTTACTCGGTCGGAAGAATGAGAAAGCACGATCGAAGGTCGTCTCATCCCAGTCAGTCAGTACAGACTCCTCTTGGTCCTTGATCTGCTTGAGTGCACTCAAAACAACCAGCAAAAAGCGAGTGTAACCTTCAGCAACCTTCTTCGAGTGCCAATCAGCCGCAGAATTCTCATCACAGTCCCCACGCTTCACGGCACAAATGGTCGTCGCAGCGGACAGACCACTCGCCAAGGCAAGATGAACACCCGATGAAAAGAATGGATCAATAAAGCAACCCGCATCACCGACCAAGCGAACATTGGGACTAGCATAGCTGGAAGCACTGTATGACCAGTCGGAAGCCGACTTGATATCAGAGACCAACTCAGCGCCGACAAGCAGCTTCTCCACGCCCGGAACAAGTTTCAAGTTCTCGAGGTAGAACTCCTTGCTGGACGGCGATCCCATCTCCTTCTTCTTCTGCGTGGCAATTGTCTGATTCCGGACAATACCCACCGACACCACATCACCGTGCAGAGGAATCGTCCACACCCAGCCACTGGCATCAGACAAAGCCTCAAAGTACGGCTGACCCTCGTAGGATTTGCCCACGCCGTAAGGAGTCATATTCTTCCAGTAGCCCCAGCTAGCGATATTCTTTAGGCCCTGATTGTAGCGACGGTTCTTGTAGTGCTTGGTGCTGACGAGGCCAACGCGCCCGCTGGCGTCGACGAGGTAGTTGAACTTGATGGTACCGGCGCTGCCATCCTTGCGGGACCAGCGGGCTGAAACGGGTCGGCCCGGGTTCGGCGCTGGGAACGCGGCCAGCTTGGCTTCCTCTGCATCGTCGGTATTCCACGGAACGAACTCCAGATCGCTCACCTTGACCCCGTCGAATGTCTTTGCGCCATTCTCACCGGCGTGTTTGAAGATGAGATGGTCGGCCTCGGAACGGACGACGTTCCAGGCGTAGCCGTTAGGTCCTCCTGCTGCGACGAAGTCGGTGACTACACCAAGGTATGTTAGAGCGCGAGATAGCTAATGGAGAAGACTATACTGACAAACTTCAGGCTTGGAGTTCAGCTTAAACATGGCACCATCCTAATCACTGTCAACAATATCCAGCCATCGCATTGTTGATTGCATACCTTGCGCTTGAATCCATAGCTGTCAAAGGTCTTGTCGAGATCGATAAATCGCAAAAAGTGACGGATCGAAGGAAGCATGCTCTCCCCGATGTGGTATCTGCCAGTCCTGGTCAGACAGGTCGATTCAAAGAAAGATCCATCATGAGCTGGCCTACCTCGGAAAAACATCGGCTTCCAGCAGGATGGTGTCGACACCCTCCCGCGCCAACGCTGCTGCCGTGTAGGAACCTCCGGGGCCGCCGCCAATCACTAGCACATCGCACTGCTCTGGGATGTTGGACATGGTGCAGGTATACAGAGTATGCTTGAAATACGCAAGTCGAATGACTGTCTGTTGATTTGATTATTCTACCACGAAGAGCGCTCTTCAATCGACTATTTATTTTCCATCGCTCGTCCCCGTCACTGCTGATGCTAGACAGCGCAGAAGGCCGGAAACCGACTCTGAGTGTGGCTGTCTCATTATGGGTAAGCAGTATATTTGCACTGCCAGGCCGCTCTTCTTTTAGCCATGCAGCCCCGGCGAGGTGCAGGGGTGGCCTGTTGGGCGCTTTCGGAGGCGCACAATGGCCAAAAGCCGCTCGGAGTCCGATGCTTCGTGAACGGCCGAGCCGGCGATTCCCTTTAACTTTGTCGCTTTTGGTTTCGCTGTCGCTATACATTGCAAAATTTAGTTTCGACCAGAGTGAGACTTTGCAGAGCACAGAAAGAAAAAAAGAGAAACTTCTACGCCGTCGATACAATATGGCTACTCGGAGCTCGATTACTCTCCAAACCCTCCGGGACAGCTCCCAGGAAATACCCACGCGAACAGAATCCACGATCGAAAAACCAAACTCACCATTCCAGAGTGACTTTCCCGAAGGTGGTAAACACGCCTGGCTCACCGTGGCCGGTGCGTCGGCTTGTCTGTTTGTATCCTTCGGATGGGTCAACTGTGTGGGTATTTTCCAGGAGTACTACCAGACGCATCAGTTGAAGGAGTATACTGCCTCTGAGATTGCGTGGATTCCATCATTACAGGGTTAGTACAATTGCAGCACCTTTGAGCAATCAGATCCTAATGGCTGTCAGTCTTCTTCATGATATTCAGTGGCTTGTTCGTGGGAAAAATTTACGACGATTACGGTCCACGCCCCCTGCTCCTGGCAGGAACTTTTTTCCACGTCTTCGGCTTGATGATGGCCAGCCTGGCAAAGACATACTACCAAATCCTTCTCAGCCAGGCTTTCTGTTCTGCCATTGGTGCGTCGATGGTATTCTACCCATCGTTCACGACTGTAAGTTCTATCTCGAGCAACCTCCATATCCAAATCCATATCCATATCCTAATTTTCTGAAGGTCTCAACATGGTTCCTCGCCAAACGAGGCGCAGCCATGGGCCTAGTCGTATCTGGCTCCTCTCTCGGCGGCGTCATCTTCCCCATCATGCTGATCCACCTCATTCCGGAAGTGGGCTTCGCCTGGTCTATGAGGATTTGCGCATTCCTTATTTTGGCTTTACTGGCTTTTGCGAATGCGACGATGCGATCGCGCGTTCCGCCTACCAAGCGGCCATTTGAGGTTATGGCGTTGCTGCGGCCGTTTAAGGAGCCGACTTTTCTCTTGTTGACTGCTGCTGTTTTCTTCTTCTATTGTGAGTTCCTTCTGCTGGCTGAGTGTGAGTGACCATGGCTGATACTTGCTCAGGGGGGATGTTCATTCCCATTACATTCATTGTCGAACACGCTCTGTCCCACGGCATGTCGCTGCATTTGGCTAATTATCTCGTTCCTATCCTCAACGGCGCAAGGTAAGTCAAACTCACACACTCATTCCACCATTAAATCACTAATAATGTTATGTTAGCATCTTCGGCCGAACAGTCCCCAACGCCCTCGCTGACAAAGTCGGCCACTTCAACGTAATGATCGTCATGAGCGGCTTCACAGCAATCCTCATCCTAGCCCTCTGGCTCCCAGCCACAGGCAACGCCGCCATCATCATCTTCGCCGCGCTTTTTGGGATCGGCTCCGGAGCCGGTGTAGGACTAACTCCCGCATTGTGCGCGAAGATCTCGCCTTTGCCTGAGATTGGTACGCGTACGGGTGCTGCCTTTTCTATCTCGGCGATTGCGGCGTTGACTGGTTCACCTATTGGTGGGAAGTTGGTTGCGGATGAGCACGGCTCGTTCAAGTATGCTATTGTCTTTGGGGGTGTGTCTTGTGCGATTGGGTGTATGTTGTTTATTGCGACGAGGGCTTCGTTGGTTGGGATGAAGATGGCTAAGATGTGAAGTTGATTGAGGTGGGATGGGCTGTTAATACCTCGTCTACATGGTGGAGATCTATTTGCGTGAATTAGAATGCCTTCAGTGAAATATCAGTACATTTCTGTGAATTCCTCAAACACTACTTCCATCAGTCTTCAAACTCACAAGTTCATACTAGTCCTGCGTGGAGAAAAACGAGATTGTCTTCGGCAAAGGTGAAAGTCTGCTGCTTAGTTGTGGTTAAAACTTATTTACCAACCCTGTCTGGGTTAGACTTTGAATCATCAGATTGCGGTTTCTGGGTAGACTTACTGGTATGTTCCAGCTTAATGTTCCAGGGTTTCCAGCGACCACCATGCGCCATGGTGGGCATAGGCCGACTGCGTGGCCACTCCTCCAGACCACCAATGAACACCACTTCGATATCTTCCACCCCCGACGCAAATACAAGTGCTGAAACATGGTCCCTGATCTCCCTAGTATGTGGCGGCTTGAGGAGGATCATGTCGGCCAATTTGCCCGTCTCCAAACTGCCCACCCGGTCCGCGATATTGAGCACTTGAGCAGCCCCTAGTGTGTGCATGAAATAAATTTCATGAGGGGCCAGGGCCCCTGCTGACTGTTTGCTCTGTCGAACGCTGTACAGACCCATTCGCATGTTTTCGAAAGGGTCGCAGCGGCCGCTTGCAGCTTCACCGTCCACGCCCAGTGCGATTGGGATGTCCTTCGGTAGGTCGAGGACACCACTGCCCAGTCGGCCGTTCGACAGGGGATTCCAGGTCATCCGCATGCCCGCTTTGGCAGCCTCTTGGACGATTTCAGGTGCAGTGCTGGTATGAAGGAAATGGCCAATAGTCATTTCCTGATGCACGAGTTCGAACTCCTTAAGCCACGCCCAGCCAGCTTTTCCGACGGCAATATGATTGGAGTCTGGACTCTCGAGATAACTGATGTAGCCATCCAAGCTGAACCGCTTCTTGATCATTGCCTCTGTTGCAAGTGTTCTTTTCTCATCATACTCCAGACCTTGGAGGACCATTCGGGAGCCGAAAAAGTGATCTGGGACATCGAATGTCGAACACCACGAGCGGAATAGTTCAGTACGTGCAATGGCTCTAGCCTCAGACCATCTTTTCGTGACGTGACCAATACTGAATCCGTGTACGAACCTAATTCCCGCGTCGAGCACGGCCTCAAACTGGGCCCGTTCTGCTCGACCATCTCGGAAAGCAAGGCAACACGTGGAGTTGAAGGCCGTCGTTATTCCCTTCCGGACATGACCCAAAGCCCCGTTGAAGGTGACCATATACATATCACAAGGCCTGACGCGTCTCATTGAATTGCCAACGACGGTTGACCACTCGGCGACGTTGCTGTTTGGGGCTCTCGAGGCAAGCCCATGTTGCCAGAGGTGGCTGTGGGCAGATACGAATCCGGGGAGTAACCACTTACCGGTGGCGTCAATGACCCTGTCAGCATTTTCAATCTTGTCCTTGGTCTCGGAGCCAATATACGCGATAGTTCCATCTTGTGCGACGAGCAGGTCTGCTGTTACGGGGTTCTCAGGTTCGCCCGGCTGGATCATCAGTGCATTCGTGATGGCGAGTCGGTACTTTCCCTTGGACTCGGACATGTTGGGTCTTGCCAGTAGATTTGTGATAGCGGTTTGAAAGGTGAGAAAAATTTGGAAGGATGTTGACGTTGAAGGTGGGAGGCTGCTGGGGTGTGCGGGAAAGTGCCGGCGTTATGCTTCAACACTAGAAATTCAAGGCCGCACCTGCCGCGGCCTGAAATCCAAGGCTACACTGAAGAAGTCTCAGCGCGGCGAAATTACCACGCTCGATCAACTGAACCGCAATTACCTTCTACGTTAGAGTCATTCGTGTCTTATCTCAGCACAGTTGCCTTTGCCGAGGGGCCTCGACCCAGTTACGTGCAGCAGTCCAGGTGGCATACTTCGTGACATCGGATTCCGAGCCTCAGCCACTCTTTGTTCGCCCCATCCGCCATCGAATCAGAGCTGGAGTGAATCTTGTCAGGCTGTCTTAGGCTGCTGCCAGATGAGACTTGCGGGTCTTTTTATACGTCGTGCGCAGCACACTTTTGCTCTGGTTGTCGGGTCTCAACGACCGCGTTCTACTATCATGGCACTCAACCCCATCCCCCTCAACCAGTGTGTCTGGGAGGACTATTTGTCTGCCCAAGAGGCTAGTCTGCCTCCGCTTGATGAAGTTGAAGATGTCACCGACCGTGTCATTCGTATTATGGGCGGCAACCCTGGAGAAATGCAGCTCCAGGGCACGAATACCTATCTCATCGGGACGGGCAAGTCTCGGATCTTGGTTGATACTGGTCAGGTAAATTATCCTATTCACAGCATTGCAATTATGCCGTAGATACTGGCATAATTTTCAAGTCGTGCGGTATCTAATTCTCTTCTGTCCAGGGAATCCCCATCTGGGCAGACAACATCATCCAACTCCTCACAGACCGCAACCTCGAAATATCTCACATCCTTCTCACTCACTGGCATGGCGACCATACGGGTGGCGTCCCCGATCTCATTGCCTATGACTCTCGTCTTGCGTCACGAGTATACAAGCACCAGCCCAGCCCAGGGCAACTACCCATCGAAGACGGACAGATCTTCCAGACACAAGGCGCCACCCTTCGAGCTCTTTTCACCCCCGGTCACGCAGTAGACCACATGTGCTTTATCCTCGAAGAGGAAAATGCTCTCTTCACGGGAGACAACGTTCTCGGACACGGATACAGCGTCGCAGAGGATCTGGGGGAATATATGAAAAGTCTCGAGAGGATGCATGATCGAAACTGTCAAGTTGGGTACCCGGCGCACGGAATTAAAATTCTCGACCTACCCCGGACTATTCAGCTCTATATCCGACACAAGAAGTTGCGAGAGCGACAGATTTATCAAGCCCTGACAAAAGCTGTTCGAACTACGCAGAATGCCAAGGGGAGTTTGACCTCGCGGGAGTTGGTGCATGCTCTGCATGGGGAGATTCCCGAGGAGCTGTTCAAGAATGCCTTTGAGCCCTTTATGACAGAGTCTTTGTGGAAATTGGCTGAAGAGCGCAAGGTGGGGTTCGAGGTGGTGAGAGGGCGACGACAATGGTTTTTGAATAAGAGGGGCTGGGCGGTTGATCCTGTGGCGTGATGTGCACTTTTGACATACCCTAGATTCGAGTTGCTCTTCGTTTGTATTCATAGAGTGTGGAGGAATTAGTCGGCCGACCTGGCAGGCATTCTTCTGTGGCGATGCGGTTGAGTTTTTGGAATTATTCTTGTTTTGACCATGGTCTATGATATGTACACGAATTCCGATATTGCAAGTCATTCAAAGCTTCGACTTCTTCTTGCCAGTAACATTGGCCACCTCCTGGCCGGACAGAAGGAAGTCGGGGTACTGTAGGTTACCGTTGGCAGCAAGGCCGCCGCTCATGCGCCAGTTGGCACCGTCGACTAGAAGTGCGTTAGCATAGCTGCCAGTGGGCGATATGAAGATAATACTCACCAACAAGAGTCTGTCCAGTGACATAGCTTCCAGCCTCGGAGAAGAGATAGATAGTAGCATCAGCAATATCACGGACGTGGCCGATGCGACCCAAGGGCTGGGACTTTTTGTAGGCAGCCTTGGCGTCAGATGGCAGCAGACGCTCGATTCCCTAGGGTAGTCTTGTTAGATCATGAAGTAATAAAAAGCTGCATTATCGTACCTCGGTCTGCGCAATAGGTCCCGGAGTCACAATGTTAGAAGTCATTCCCCGAGGACCGTACTCGATGGCCACCGAGTTGGACAACGAGTCAATGCCAGCCTTGGCAACGGAGACATGGGCCTGGAAGGGCATGCCACGGAAGTGCATGGTGGCACTGACGAAAATGATTCGACCACCGGTGCCTCCGGGGTGTGGGGTAACTAAGTTGGTCAGCGTTGTACAGGGTCAGGTCAGTCACTATCGAGTGTGGCAGCTCTGGACTCACGTGTCTCGGAGTCCATTCTGTGCTTTCCACCTGACTCCATCAGATAGGGCAGGGTAGCTTTCAGGGTGTTGTAAGAGCCTAGAACATCAATGTCCATGACCGTCTTGAATGCATTGACGGAGAGCTGCTCGATGGAGGCGAGGAAATTGCCCGCGGCACCGGCACTATATTTGATCAGCGGGATCACACGAGACAAAGAGCAAAACGTACATGACAAAGTCAATTGAACCGAGTTCCTTAGCACAGCGATCGGCGGCTGCCTTCAAATCGTCAAACTTGCGCACATCGACGGCGCCGATGCCGATGACCTTTGCGCCCGGGCGGAGGGTGGCCATATCCCGCGCCGCACTTTCGGTCTTTTCGACATTGCGGCCGATGATACAGGCGTTGGCGCCGAGGTGAATCATCGCGCGAACCTGGGCGCTACAGATGGTGCCTGCACCGCCAGTGCAGAAGACGACCTTGTTGTCTGGGAGGATGGTTAAACATGATGCCACTGAGCAGAGAGGGATCGGGGCTCACTGAAGAGGCCATCCTTCCAGATGTCGCTCATATACTCGTTTTTGGCCAGCGGCATGGTGACTGATTGTTCAGGGGATGATATTCGGGTAAGGTAGATTGCTGACCGCGTTGGAGATATACGAGCGACGGACACGGGGAGCAGCAAGTCCGCTTTGCCCCACAGCCGACGGGGCCGAGGCTCGGGTGCAGTTATGCGCATTACGATGGTTCAACAGAAACACCCCGACATGCGATGTCATATTTACATTTGATGTACCCTAGGGTAGTGTTATCCCTCTCTCTTTCTATGCATTATTTGACCTCAAGTATGACACTTCTCAGTATTGCCTTTTTGCGACCGGGGCAGCCCGCCACCGACGTCCCTGGCATAACGGTCTCACCATACTTGAGAGGGAAAAGATGAAATCGACGACTGCAATGGTCGCTGCACTGTCTAATCCCTGCCTGCGCCAGCTGTCACTTTCAAAGCCCCTCGTTGGCAGACTGCAGTGCTGAAGAACGAGGGGTTTCTGATTGGCGCGCGACGTCACCTCCGCCAAAACGAAATCCGATTCCACTTTTACTTCTTTCTTTCTTCAGCCATTCTTCCTTCCGCGCACCCCCTCGCCTTTCGGATCCCCATAACTCACTCACCTGGGTTCAACCGCGTATTCGCAAATTCGGCATCATGGCGTGCCCCATCACCGTTTGCAAATTTGCCGGCACCGTCTCTCTCGGCCTGCTGACTGTAAGCTCTCAAACCCGCATCGCGTCGCAATCTGCGCATCATCACTAACAACATCGCCTCAATGCCAGGGTCTCTCCTACTCGACCTCTCACATAACCATCCCCGCCCTTAAGCTCCTCCCCACCTCCACGGCCGCCTCACGCTGCTTCAACGAAGTCAAGCGCTTAAACCGCAAGTACGCGCTGCGCCTGTCGGGCATCGTCAACAGCTGTTTCCTCTTCGCCTTCTACGCCTCTCCCCCATGGCGCCAGCACCCGTACATGATGTGGGCCTGCACCATCTCCAGCGCGGCCACCTGGGGTCTGGACTACTATGTCAACCGCCACCGTGGACTAAAGACCTGGCTCGTCGAAGTCATCCGCGACGGATATGGAGTGTCTCTGACCAATACCACCAGCAGGAAGGAGGAGGATCTCGTCGTGGTCGATACCGAGTCCGAGGAGGAGGATGTCAACGGCGAGTCCGTCCAGGCCGAGATGGCTAACGAGAGCACCATGCAAATCTTCCGCCTGTCCCTGTCTTACGTGGCTCTGTCGATTGCCATCGTCGGTCTGTGGGGCGACAAGAAGCCATCGCTTCGTTTTTAAACGTGTTCGTGGTTTGAGGCTGCGTGTTGCCCGACTACTTTTATTATTCCCTGGCGTCATGGCGAAATAATGAGGGTTTTCGATTCTACTTTTCGGGTTCAATACTGTCTGTGTTTATATTGACGAATAGCCTACAGTGCATTTACGACAACTAAAAGCGAAATCTCTCACTATTTTTTCTTCTTCCTTGTTCCGAGGCCTGCTTTCTGGATGTACATTGGTGAGTTCAGTAGATATCCGAGGGTACCTTGAACTACAGCTTCTACCGTAGAGTGAAATCCCCCTATCGATTTCCCCTCACTGCCCAATTCTTCCAAAGGTATCGGTGGTACTACGGTAGTTTCCGTGAAATCCAATGAGATCGCGGTGATTATGACGCACTGCATGCCTAACCAGCGATGGCGGTGGGGGTGGGGGTGGGGGGTGGAGTCTTTAGCAGTGCCGATCGGCCAACCTGCCAACAAACACCCCGGCTCATCCATATAAGACGACAGCCATGTCCTTGGGTGAACGACATATGAACGAAGACTCGAACACCTCCTGAAGATTCAACATGTATCTTTCACTCTTAGTTCTCCTCCCTCTCCTCATCTCCCTCCAATTCCTCCTCCGGCTTACACGAGCAACCCTCTCTTCTTTACGAGATATACCAGGCCCATTCCTAGCCCGATACACAACACTCTGGTATTTCAATCGCGTCCGTAAAGGCGGCTTCGAACACGAGAATATCACCCTTCATCAACAATACGGCCCGGTCGTGCGCGTGGCACCGAATCAGTATAGTATCAGCGATCCGGCTGCTATCAAGACGATTTACGGGACGGGCTCGCGATTCGCCAAGTCGGCTTGGTATGATGGGTGGAAACACCCGAAGCAATGGACTGTGTTTTCTGATCGCGATATTAGGCGTCATGGTGAGTGCTTCTTTAAAAAAAAAAGGTACCCGTTTTCCGCTGTCTACTAACAAGAGCGCAGCGGATACTCGAAAACGATTTGCTGGCTTGTATTCGATGAGCTCGTTGGTTCATTATGAGCCTTTTGTCGATCACTGTGCGGATTTGTTTGACCGGCGTTTGGCCGAGTTTTCTCAGGATAAGAAGTCGTTTAACATGGGACACTGGTTCCAGTGCTATGCCTTCGACGTGATCGGGAATATTACGTTCGGCGAGCGATTCGGTAAGGTTCTCCATTCCCACTATAGGGCTTAGCTAACTCACGTAGGATTCCTGGACAAAGGCGAGGACATCGACGGCGCAATGGCTGCGGTCCATAAGGTGTTGATGTACAGCACCCTCGTCGGAATCTACCCCGAATGGCACCCGCGGCTATTCGGACTACTGAGCAAGTTCGCATGGACCGGCGCGGGGGGAAGAGCGTATATCGGCCAGTTTGTGCAGCAAAAAATCCGTCTACACGAGGAGAAAACAGACAAGCTCGAAAAGGGACGGTCTGAACATGTCCAAGCGCAGGATTTCGTCGACAAGTTGATTATGGCGAGAAATAAAGATCCGGAGAAGGTTACTGATTACCATCTGTTCATCATGGGACAGTCGAATGTCTCGGCTGGGTCGGATACTACTGCCATCAGTCTATCGGGTATAATGTGGTATCTTCTTCAAAATGAGGCGGTTTTGCGGAAGCTCCGTGATGAAATCGACGACTACACGAACAGAGGACTTCTCAGTGAAAATGTGGCTTTCAAAGAAAGTCAGGAGATGCCATACTTCCAGGCTGTGATGAAAGAGGCATTGCGAATGCACAGCGCAACTGGCTTACCGATGTGGAGAGAGGTCCCGGCCGGCGGTGCAGAGATTAGCGGACGCTATTTTCCTGCTGGAACTATCGTCGGCATGAATACTTGGGTGGCACACTATGATGAGCGGGTTTTCCCTGATGCGAAAAGTTTCCGACCGGAGAGGTGGATTGAGGCGGAGAGTGAGCCTGAGCGGCTGAAGGAGATGAATCAGATGCATATGCCGGTGAGTCAATTTCCGTCAGAATTTCGTTGATATCAGCTAATCATTCGTCGAATAGTTCGGTCTTGGCTCGAGAACATGCCTTGGCAAGCATATATCGATTCTGGAGATGTCCAAGTTGATTCCTAGAATTGTACGAGATTATAATTTTACGCCTTTGAGGAGAAGCTGGACTACCGAGAATTACTGGTTTGTTAGGCCATCAGACTTTGAGGTTTTTGTGCAGAGGAGAGTTAGAGGCCAGAAACTATCGACGTAACAGCTGTTATTGATGGATCTGTGTCGTCTACTAGTCATTTTATAATTATGTGCTCTTGCCGCCTTACAGTATAAGTCACACAACCCCCAATTCCATCCTTCTATAGTCCATAATCAGCTCATTCACATCTCCCATATCGGAATGATCATATCTAGACATCTGCTGCGTAGTCTCTTCCAGCTCATCGTGATCACTATGACTTGACGATATCATCTTCCCAAGGAGCAGCCGAGCCAGATGCCAGAATTCAGAGGCATGACGGAGGAATCCGACCTGTTTCCATAGATTGCCGGGGATATCTGGGATATCGTTATCCTCTGGGATGCGCACATTCCAGATGTGGTGCCAGTTCTCAAGACCGGTCTGGATGGGAGCTAGCGTTGACTCAAAGACGAGGGAGTTGTGAAGGTGGAACATTAGCGAGTGAATTGCTTAAGCAGAGAGTTAGTTCCATTCCGAAATCTCGAGGATGTGAGTTTTGGGACTAGCTCACATTGCACCATGGTGAAGAGGTTCAAAGTCCCCAATTGTGAGAACTCTTGGACAAGACTCTCATCTATGGCGGACTGACAAATGCGTCGGACGACCGAAACAATGGATAGTCTGTGTTTCCAGAACCTAGTTTTTGCCCAGAATTTGAGCTGCCTCATGCATTCTCCGGCTGACTCTGCTTGAAAGCAGGCTTCTGGACAAGCCACGTCCATTTTCAATTCTGGGACGACCATTCGTGGTGGGGAATTGTGGAATATGGTCAAGGCGGCATCGATGAGAAACACGAAGATAATAGTTCTGCATTGTTAGCATTTTTCTCATGCTGTAATAACGGGGGGCGTAGATACCGAATCAGTTCCTCTTCTCCAGCAAACTGCTGCCACCAGGTATTCGACGCTTTATTAAGCTCGAGGTGCCTATGAGACGCCTTTCTTGGCCCGATATGTCTTGCCAGCTGTAAGAAATCAGTGATCTGTCGAGACCAGAGTATTATGTTTGAACGGTCATTAACTTACCGCCACCATAGAGGCATGTCTGTGTCGTCGGATCCTCGCCTGCGCCTCCGCAGAGCCCTCACGTTTCTGCAAAGAACTGACCAGATAAGCAGCTTGAATACACTGCACAATCTCTTTCCTCGGACGGCGCTGCTCAGGCGAGAGCTCCCGATCACTTCGAAAATAAGAGTGACGAAAGATCAGCTCCTCGACACAGTCGAGCCATTTCCGTGCTGTCGATCGATCGCTTTCATCTGGCGAAAGACATGCTCCGATTATCAGCATCACGCACAGTAATGCTGGAGACGCGGAGGACGCATCGAAAAGGGGTTTGTGGACGATCGGGCAGTGCGGATACCAGAGAGACCAGAAGTAATCTAGGAACCGGCGGGTTTTTGATGCTGTGAAGAAGCCTCTGCACATCTGCTCGGTCGACGCCGTCCATTCCAGGGTTATCACGTCGTCATTTCGTTTGTTGGAGACGATGTCTCGAATGTCTCCGATCAGCTCCTGGCACTTGAGATCAGGTATGTCACTTCCGTCGAGCCCTCCGTTTTGAGTCAGGGCATATTTTGCTTCGTGTGCATCGTGGGCCATTTTCTGCCTCCGTCGGAAGGATTCTTGATCGGAAAATGTTCTCATCCCTTGCGTGCTGGTAAAATATGCCATGAATTCTAATCGCTCCGCGATGAATAGATCGGTATTCATTTGAGGGAACAGAAAGCAGTCAAGGGACGAGAAATCGAGGGGCGATGGCATGTTCAATGCTGGCTCATTATCGCTACCGATGGGATCAAATGTGCTGTTTGAGAGTGCAAGTTCATTCCCGCGCCAGACTAACTCACTCTGGCAGTGCAAATGAGGATTGATTGTCGTGCTTGGCTCGGTGAAAGATGAGGACAGATGTGGCAAGTCCACATATCGAGGGTCCAGAGTTGTTTCTGCGGCGAGCGGAAAAGGACCTGGGGCTGCTCTTAAGTCTATCCCACTAGCGGATACCGAAACGCGATGTCGCTTTTGTGCTCTGTCATCCGAAGGGCAGCTCTCCTCCACCTCCAAGGGCTGGTGTTCGGTGCCAAACGAACACCGTGACTTGCAAGTCCTTTCGTGGCGCTTGAGGACATCCCTACAATATATTCAGAACCCGATCCAATTTCCGGGCTTGTCGCCAAGGGATTCTCACCTCCGATTGAATGTCGAGTTGCAAAACTCACAGCTGAACGGCCGAATGTTATCGTCTAGTAGCTTAGTTAGCACGGTCGTGATCCCAAGTGAGCTGTGCTGGCATACGGGAGACAGAATGGCGTTTGAGATGCTCTGGTCGACTGAATGTCGAGGGGCATATTGGGCAGCTCCATTCCGACGACATCCTCCATGATTATCAACGTATGGCGGGCTGGCGCGTTGCTGCTGTTCGGACACGTCGGGGTTGGCGATGCCAAACGCCTGCGGGGAAGCGGGGAAGACCGGAGGACGACTCGGGCCGAACAGACCCAGTGAGGAAACACTTACTTTCCACCTCCTGGGCAAGAAAGCTTGTCTCGTGAGTGTCACATCGGTGGTCTGGTCTCACTTCACATTTTGCTCTCTCCTGATTCGGCAGGTCACAACTCCGATCTGACAGCTCGACCTGCACGGCGCCCGACATGGATTGCTCATCGTCTGCTTATAAATAGATGGCTTCTGACTTTCTCATCGACCTCACCAGGACTTTACATGTCAACATTTTCTCTCATCCGATCTCAAGTCATTAATTCTCAGATTTCTCTCACCAAGGAACCTTCCACATGACTGAACCAAAGATCAAGGCCGTGTTCTTCGACTTCATGGGCACATGTCTCGACTGGCATTCTAGTGTCGTCCGATCTCTCCCTTCTTCCATCCCTGAGGACGATAGATCTGAGTTTGCCCTAGAATGGCGAAGACGATACTTTATTGAAAACAATCAGCGTTTCAAGCAGGGTCTGTCGCCTGAAGACATCGACGTTACCCTCGCTCGCGTACTCGAAACCGTGCTTCCTGATTTCCCGACCTGCAGCGCCGCTATCGATTCCGAAGTGAAGCGCCAAATGATCCAAGCATGGCACACTCAGCCCGCATGGCCCGAGGTCAACAAGGCAATTCAAAGTCTCCGCGACGACCTCGGCCTCGAGGTTTTCGTCCACGCTAACGGCACGACCCGCCTGCAACTCGACCTCGCCCGCTCTTCGGGCTTGAACTTCAACATGATGTTCTCGAGTCAGTTGCTCGGGGCTTACAAGCCCAGCCCTCACGCATACATGAAAGCTTTGGAGCTTGTCAAATTCGAACCCCAGGAGGTTGTTCTAGTCGCGGCACATGCTTACGATTTGCGTGGCGCACAGAGCTGTGGGATGAAGGGTGTTTATGTTCATCGGTGGACAGACGATGTGGATGAGGATATGACTACCGTGAAAACGGAGTTTGATGCTTTCCTAGATGGAATGGAAGGATTACCTCGAGTACTTTCGAGATGGGCTGCATGAATTTGTCTATTCTGATTTATCTGTTTACGGCTACTGAATCGTAATGCAGCAATTGTATAGAAAATCAACTTTCTCATCCATCATTTTACATACAGAAACCATCTGCTCCACCCGTTCGTGTGGAAGAAATCATTCGGAAGAAGAAAGAGGCAGATGCGGAAGCCGCCAAGGTATGTTCCAATTTTTTCTTCGCCAGCACTCACTTTCAGATTCGTGGCTGTTCTTTTCCTAACATCCTAGCTTTTTCATTTCTTGTGCAGCCAAAATTCATTCCCAAAGCCGAGCGAGAGAGGCGTGCGCTGGAGGAACGATGCAAGGAAGTTGATGCCATGGCCAAGTACAGCTCACGCTTCTGGAGAGACATTTAGCGTAAAATCAAAATGCCACATAGACCTTTTACGAAATATCAAGATTAGCAGGTAGGTGACCGAGTAGGTGACCGAGTATACGATCAGGTATGTGAATGTGTATACTGCCAGGCATACAACTAAGTAGTTTGACCGGGTAACTAGATGACAAGTTAGATGATTATGAAATTGGATGAGCATCTCGGATGGGACGGGATTTCTTTGGTCTTAATTATGCAGGAGTATCCTACGTAGGTGAACAAACAAGCTAACCAGTCAGAGGTTGAACGGTCTTCGATAGGCTAATACGATAGGTATAGTCGATTAGATCATCATTCTATCTTCCTTCACATATCACCATTCCTACACGTTAGCACGGTGGCACGGTGTGGAGCATAAGAAGAGCTTGCGCTTCGCGGTTACTGCGAGGCATCTCCTCGAGTCCCAGGTTGAAGCGAAAGATGTCCAAATGGGACAATATGTGTTTACCGAAGACCAAATCTACAATGGGCAGTGAGGAAAGATAGACATACAAATTCTATAAATCCCAGGTCAAAAACCAAAAGTACAAACAAACGAGGAATAGAAAAGGCAAAAATATCCTATTGCGTGCAGCTGAGCATGATTGGAACGACATGGTTCCAATGTCCACATTTTGGACTCGCAGTCGAACTTTTGGATATTGCCCTCTTAAGGGGACGCCCTTTTTACTCAATGGGATTGCGTGACTGTTTTGGATTATTTTGATCTTCTAATCTTTCACCATTTTCCTCTAGATGTTGCAAGTCGCTAGGTTTGCGGCTCACAGGGGCCGAAATTGAAATGGGAATCTCTTACGACGGAGTCTACTTCTTGAGTCGGTCTATGAGCTTAGTTGTCGCGATTCATATGAAAACCCATACCACACCCCCAACGCCCAATAACTACATTGCCACATGCAGTCTGGAGATGCGATACGTTTCGGGCGTTCGTAACGTTCTTGCCCTTCTCCGTATTCGAACCCCTAGGTTAAGATAGAAAAGTCAAATAGAAAATATCAAGGGTTCTTGTGCTTTTCAGTCCGTCTGATCGAAAATTATTAGTCCACCACCACGCTAAGCTGTAAACGATGCGGAGACGTCGGAAATGAGTCCCTTGGCATTGGGACCCTCGGCAGTTTTAAACCATCGCGACGGGCATCACCAATTGCCAGTGGTAGTCCTTAAGAGGTCATCACAGTGTATACAGTCCTTCAAGGGGTTCCTATTGTACCCCACATTAGACTGTTAGCTATGGGCAACTTTACCATCGTCAACGGCCAAGTCTACACGCCAGGACTGGCCATCATAGACGCCCCACAGCCCAACACGCCGCTGGGAGGAGGCAAGTGACTCGACCACCTAGATAAAAAAAACGCGACTGACCAGCCGCAGATACTCTTCAGGTTGCGATTGACGTGTCGGGCAATGGGCAGCTGCCGTGGCCGCCTTCCACGCGGGCCGACGCCGCCACGCGCATCCACAACATCACCCTCTTCTTAACCTCCGAGTCACTGTCGCACAACTTCACCATCTCCAATGGCTCCACGCCCGCGAATAATTCGAGCTACGTCGGGCCTGTGCTAGACCTCGAGCCTCCATCGACTGTCAAACACGTCAATTGGGTGTGGCCCAAGTGTCTGGTCGGAAATGGCGACGACGACGAAGACGACGACTCGGCGCGAGGCGCGTACAACGTCTCGATGCACCAGTCCTTTCGCTGGAATGGAACGGACTATTACACCGTGTTCGACCTGCCCATCGCGGTGACCAACAGCATCCCTGAGAGCTCAGAACGGATGGACTGCGCAGCGCTGGAGAATGAGCTTCTCACGGCGACAGAAGTGAAGGATAGCAGCGACACGCTGCCGAGTCAGCCATGGGTGCAGAGTGGAGCGAGTACGACCAGCTCCAGCAGCTCCAGCGAGTCCAGCGAGTCGGGCGCGACGATGCAGAGAGGAGTGGGCACTCGCAGGATACTGTTTCTTGCGACCGCTGGCGCCGTGCTAGGTCGGCTTCTACTCCAGTGACGCGACCCCTTTGTGTTCCAAAATAATACCCCCTTTTGACCCTTTCCATCTCGACCTGAATCTATCTGCCTAGTGGCATTTTTGCCTCAGTACGACCATCAGAGGCACCATGCACCATCGATATAGATGCGAGTTCAGCTCTCCACGTGTGAAGATCGCCGTGCAGAGAGCAGCTTAGATCTGACGGCCGATCAGCGTAGATCTCCACGGCCGATCTCCCAGTATGGAAGTGGAAGTATGTGTACACCGTTGGGAGCAAGCATGAGAATCCCACGGGCATGCAAGGCTGCCCCTTGATTCGCCTTTCTCCTTGGAGGCGTTCTTGGATTTCTCGGCAAACCCCTCGCCTTCTCTTTCGCATTTCCCGTCCACATCCGCAATGCGCCAGACTCCCACTTGACCTCGAGTTCTAGCTCTTCCAACTCCCCGCCGCGGTATCTGGCGTCCGCTCCTTATGACCAAAATCACTCCCTATCCACGCACTTTTCGCCGAGTGCTTGTCCGTAACCGCCTGCTCCGCTCCCTGCTCCTCATCTTCATCGTCTGGAACCTGATCGAGCTCCACCTGATCCTCCGCTGCATCTCCGAAACCGACCTCATCTACCGCGATCAGCCCCGCCGGCGGGAACGCATCTACATCGCCAGCGTCAATTGGAACAACGAGCTCATTTTGCGGAATCACTGGAGCCAGGCGCTCACGGAGCTCGCATGGAAACTCGGGCCGGATAATGTATACATCAGCATCTATGAAAGTGGTAGCTATGACAATACCAAGGGTGCGTTGATGGAGTTGGATCGCGAGTTGGGTCGCATGCGAATTCCGAGGAATATTACCCTGTCGCCTGTTACGCATGAGGATGAGATTGCTGCACCTCCGGCCGGAGATGGGTGGATTGTTACGCCGAGGGGGAAAAAGGAGCTCAGACGGATACCGTATTTGGCGCGGATCCGGAATCTCAGTCTGGAACCGCTGCACGAGTTGGCGGCGCAGGGCATTACCTTTGACAAGATTCTTTTTCTCAACGATGTTGTTTTTACAGTGAGTTCTTTCCTCACATCTCTTCTGTGACATGCTAACACATCGCAATTCCAGGCAAATGACATCTTCGAACTACTCGACACCAACGACGGTGACTACGCCGCAGCCTGCTCGTTGGATTTCTCCAAACCACCCAACTACTACGATACCTTTGCACTCCGCGACGCCAGCGGCCACGAAGCCGTCATGTCGACCTGGCCTTTCTTCGGCGACCCCGTTTCTCGCTACGCTATAAAAAACATGGCGCCCGTTCCCGTTACCAGTTGCTGGAATGGAATAGGTATGCCACTACATCCGATTTTGTTTTTATCGTCACTAACAAGAAACAGTCGCCATGCCCGCCACACCGTTCACGGCATCCCCGCCCCTCCGCTTCCGCGGCATCCCCGACTCCCTCGCCATGTCCCACCTGGAGGGCTCAGAGTGCTGTCTCATCCACGCAGACAACCCTCTTTCCGAACAAAAGGGTATCTATTTAAACCCACTCGTGCGCGTGGGATATTCCGGCCCTGCATACGTCGCCGTGAATCCGATCATGAACTGGCTAACCCCACGCACAATCCTTCAAGGGTTGTGGATGAATCGATTGCGGAGGTGGACGCGCTTGACCTGGTTGAAGGAGAGATATGTTCAGTCTAAGATAGCGAGGTGGGCGGCGTTGTCGGAGGGGAATCGGGAGCCTGGGCCTTTTTGTGTTATCAATGAGATGCAGATTCTACATCCGTGGGGATGGGATCATGTTTAATCAATACCATAGTACTTTGCATAAACGGAGTTAATTTCTTTGATAGGGAGAACGATTTGAATCATTATCGTGGAGCGGCTTCATTACGATCTTCATGCTTCGTTACATGACATGGGTTGTTGTGGAAATGCATTGCCCAGAACGCTATTGACCAAGACGCTATGATGGGTATATATGCAGATGATTATAAACATTTCTCAGCGTTCATATCAATCGATTGAACAAGATTGCATATCAACGCTTATGAATGCAACCATTATGCAACAGGCCTCTGATAAAACACCAATCCAATAATCCTTGTCAGCACTGACAGTCGCCTCACTGCGACTCGAAAGTCTCGATCACTGCAAAGGCTGTCCTTGAGTCCAGTCCTTAAATCTACTCAAGAGTCCGGTTCAATTAAACCGATTCCTTAGGCAACTTCTCCTGCGAAGAATACGCCTCACCATTAACGGTCGACTCCACAGGCGCAGGCGCAGAGGAAGGAGCAGGCACAGGCTTCGCCGGCGAAGGTGCAATCCAAAAAACAGGATACCTCCGATGCATATTATTGAACAACAGCGCACAAACCATCAACAAGCTCGACGAAAGCAGCACAACAGGCAATAAATACCACGAGAGGTTCCAGACCGCGTCATCCGTGGCAGGGAGTAGAGCCGTCGCGCCGGCGGGCGGATGCGTAGTGCCTGTCAACTGCATGACCACGATTGCAATGGCTGTTGAGAGCGATGCCGCGAGCCAACGCAGCGATTCGAAGCGCGCTTCGTCGGGTATTAGGCTAAAGAGTTTTGTGATGCAGATGCCGATTAGGGCGCTGAAAAAGTGGCCGAAGATTAGAGCGCGGGGTTGTGCTAGTGGGCTTTCGATTGCGCCGAAGCAGAGGACTGCGGATGCGCCCTGACTTGGGTTAGTTGTGTTTCTGCTTGTATAGAAATTTACGTCAAGTGGCGTTGGTGAAGTCTGACTCAGATGTCGCTGACTGGAAGTGGTGGTACCTACATAGGAGGCGATGATGCCAGGGACGTGACGAGAAGTAAAGTATTCAGAATAATTAAAAAGACCCTGTATAACAGAGAGACCGCAGAAAGCGGCTATAAAGGACCACGCGGCGACCAGGTATTGCGGTAGGGGTTCTGGAGGTTCGGCGCGGTGGCCGAGCCAGTGGCTAAGCCATGTCGGGAAGCGGGAAAGACGCGATGCAGACATGTTTGGACTGCGAGGACCAGAGGCCTAGCAGTTACGGGCTGTAAATGAGGTGTTTGGCCCTGAATTGCTAAAGAAGAAGAGAATTGGAAGGCGCGGAATGCGTCTGCAAAAGGCGTTGCACTAGTGCCGTTTCGGAAGAGGAGAAAAAAAAGTTCGTGCGGAGAAGAACGTGCGGAGAACGGGCGGTTCCGAGTCGAGGTGTCGCGGGTAGGATAGAATATGGGATCTATTCATTTGAGCTTTTGGATAATTGATTCATCAGACGAAATCTTGTATAGATGGAATGACAATAGTTCAGCTACGAGATGGTGGTCGGCTACCTGGCAGTGGCTTGTTTGGGCCGTGCGGGGTCACCTGTCATTCATGAAGACATCCGTAGCTCCGAGTCGTCACAACGGCAACTCAGGGGGAAGAAGTTTATCAGATGAATCTCTATAGATTCAGATGAAATAAGCTTTCTAAGCGCTAGACAGGCAGATCTGGCCCCCGCGTCTTTAGTGTCACCATCCACCTCTGTAAGTGTACCCATTGGCTGCAGATAAGGCCGTCTACCAGACCCAATTGGACGATGCGCTTAGTTTGAGCGCACCATATTTAGACACTTTGGGTAAAATTGTATATACTCGATTCAAGCAAATCAAGTACTTCAATTATATTATAGACACCAGATGGAATATTATACAGCAACCTTGAGATCATTCATCAACTCCCGGTTCACAACATGCGACTCGCCCAGTGTACCTTTCATCACCAGCACCAAATCATCCACCGCACCCAAGAACTTGAGATAAGAGCTGACAGCGACGCAGAACTTGCGATAGTTCTCGTCCCGCATCAAGTCCTTGCTCAACTCAATCTCAACCTGGTGAGCCTTCCAGAATTCGAAGCAACGCTTCAACAATGGAGTGGGAAGTACCTCCGGCAAGGGATCGCCGGTCTTCAATGCCTGTTCCACGACCGCCAGAACAGCCATGATATCGCCAATGTTGCGGTTATCAAGCAAACCGGCGTGCCGAGCGAGTCGCTGTTGGAAATGCTCTGGCAATGAAGCTGAGAGGGAAAGCAGTCGGCCAAGGTGCTGGTTCAGTTCCTGGCACAGTGACTTGACCTGAGCGAGGCGGTCGCTGTCAAAGGGGGAGCTTGAGAATTCCAGACGGAGCAGTGCGACCGGTCCATCTAAAGAAGCCAAAGTCTCAGCGAGGTCGAGCGCCAGTTGTTCGGCGACGAGACCTTCGTCGCGATCGGGTTGGCCCCAGCAGGATAGCAACAGAGCATAGTGGTCGGATAGCGATCTGATGGCGTTGGAAAGAGACTTGCAGATGTGTCGTGCTGCGGAGGGCGGCCGAGGGAATACCTGGACGATCAGAGCGGCAGCGGAGCCAACCAGCACGAGGACAAGTCGTCGCCAGAATACATTATACCCCCAGCCAGGATTTCCGTAAGCGGGGAAGTGTCTGCATAGAGTTAGCCATGCGGTCGTCATTGGGCGAAAAAAAAAGAGTCGACTTACGTATCTTCGTAACTGTATCCAATGACCAGAATGCAGGTCGCACCGCCCATCATCGTCGCCTGCAACAAGGCCAGTGGCGCAAACAGACGTGCCCACATCAATAAAGTGATAACAACTGCCATGGTCGCGGCAAGGCCATAAGGATTGCCGTTGCCATTGCCAGAACCAATGTACCACGCCACTAAACCGGCGACACCACCAACGACAGTTCCAATAGCACGCGAGACGATCGAAAGTGAGAAATCCGACATGTAAATGACAACCGTGGTCTGGCCCATGATGAGCGCCCACAGACCTTTCTCACGATAGTAAAAACCGGCACTGGAGGGAATGGCAGCAGGGATAGCCAAGGCGATCGTAACAATCACAAGACGCAGTGCATACATGCCCTCAGCACTGATAAACCAGTGGTACGAGCCAAGAATTGCTTTACCCAGACCGCTTCGCTGTTTCACCTTGTACCCTCTGCTAATTCGAAGACTTTGCTGAGCTGCGTTGAGTTGGGCCTCCACAACATCAGGATCAGCAACCGGTGATTGTGCAGCAAGGACAGGTGCCACGGCACTCCGGCGGAAAACCCAGTTGTATGCATATCGCAGACCACGGGGCAGCCAGAGCCGCACTCTTTGGCGTTCTTTCATCAGCGCCACAAGCTGGGCCAGCACTCGCTCCCAGCCATCAGCCATGCCCAGAACCTGTTCCTCAAAGACCATTCCCAGAACGATACCCTGGGACCTGCGCATCGTCGCATCGTCGTTGGATTTGATGACGCCGTTTTCATCGAAAATATCCGAGTAGGTCTCGATGAGTCGCTCGGTGGTCTCGGCGGCGAACGTCGAGCGCAGACCTTGAAGCGTCTCAAGAGTCGACTCGCTGCGCTGAAGAAGCTCATCCATTCGTGTCTGGGAAGAACGGCCGAACCACCGGGCCGAATTCACTGCATGAACACTCTCCGCGATGATGGTACTCGCCTCCTGACAGGCAGGCAGGATCTTCTTGCTTGGTGGTTGAATGGCCTCGAGCATTTCTCTCCGCAGGGACTCGTGCTCGGGGCTGCGGAGGGTCTGGACTAGGTTCACGCTTTCCATCAATTGACGCATCCCGACCTCGCGAGGTCGCTTCTTCTCGCTCTTCTTGCTCTTATCGGAGCCGGATGAAGAGGCGCGGTCTGTCGTCAGCGCATGCAGTTTTTCGATCTTGGCCTGGCCGCCCAGTCGGGCGATGTGGAATTCCAGGAGAGACAGGCTGCTTAGCAACGCCTGTCGCAGCGGGTGCTTCAAACTTTTCACGTCGTCAGCGTTCCATCGGCCGACGGAAAAGTCCAGCTGTAAGAAGCCGAGAGCGGGTTCGATCTTCTTGTAAGCGGTGATTGTTTTCATCTTCAGCATTATAAGGTCTTTCAGCTCCAGGGTATCGCCCTCGATCAGACTAGAGTAAGTCACATCAGTCGGGCCTTTCAGCAGTCGCACAACTGCCTCCATACCATCGAGGACAGTGGAAGAAGTTGACTTGGGGAAGAATAGAATTGAAGATGCCAGACCCAGTCCAATTCCGATGGCAGCAGGCTCAATCAAGACCTTGGGGATGGTTCCACTAAAGGAAGGGAGGAGCGGACCGATTGTCAAGAAGATATCCAAGCTGATAGTTCCGAAGATCTGGAACAGTGCGAACTTGGGGTTTTTCGCACGGAGACGCGCCTGCGATAGTTTGTCAACACGGCCTTCAACCACACTGTACTGAATCACTCACCAGCAGGTAAATCATGAAGCAAATCATGCAGAAATAGACGGCAGTCACGCGGGCATCCAACATCCACCCTTCATAGACCAACACCTGCTCCACCGATGCCAGAGGCTGTCCCGTTGCATTGGCCTGGGAGTAGGCCGTCTGGCCCAGTATCTGCAGCTGGGCCTGCGTCTCAGCTGCCGGTCGCGCTGCCAGCGCCGCCTTCATCGAGATGATGCCCCAGACCCAACCCCAGGCCATACCGACGATGAGGGTCAGGGCGGCAAGAATGAAAATAAAGACGATTCCTGTCGGTGGAACCATAAAAAGAACCAATCTACCAGAGATTAGCAAATGCGTTCGATCACATCTAAACGTCGCATCACTCACGTCGCGAAGAAAGCCGCGGTACCGATACTTCTCAGCGACGGCTCGATAAAGATCAGCAGCGACGCGACCCAGGCCGCCACGGAGCAACGGAATAGCACTTTCAGATCGCGCGCATTGAAATGGTCTAGCCATCCCGGCAGTTTTCTGCGCGGCTTCGTGGCAGGCGTCTCTTTGGCAGGCGCGGAGTCCTCCGCGCTGGCGGGCGAGGGGCTCGCCGCGGCCTCGGTCTCTGGTCGGGTAGGGTCGGACATGTCAGCGTCGCTCCAGCATTGAAACCGAGAGGAAGCAATTGCCGGGCGCGTGTGGGACGTAATGAGGTCGGGCCGAGATTTAGGGTCGGGAATGCCTCCAGTGTGGTCTGGTGAAATGTGAAAAGGGAGGGAGACAGGGCTGATGTAAGAAGGTTGTCTCCGCTGGCATTGACTCGGAGCCGTGATAAAATGACAACGGATCGACACTATCGATGGAATTATTTGGCTCTAGAGCTAGCCCTAGCCATGTGTCAGTTCCGTCGTGCCATTCAAAGCCCGTCCTGATTGTGATCGACGTGAGACCTGCTCTTGCGGGCGCCCGTTATGCGCATTGTTTTAATGCAAGTCGGGCCAGCAAGATTTTCGGCTCCACTGGTGAGATTTATTTCAAATGTTTATTTTAGAAAGCAAGAGGCAGCAACAAATGCTTCTCGAGGTGTGTTCCTGGTTTGATCCGAGCTTACTTGAGGTGGGCTAAAAACAGGGGTCGCCGCAAACGGTCATAGCAGCATACGCGCATAACACTAGACTACTCGGGCCAAGTTAGCGATCTCCGAGCGGATTCAACATTGCGAAAATATAACACCTAGCGATACAATTTTCACCATTGAAATCCGAACCGTGGAACTCTGAGACCAAATGAACTCTATATTCCATCCAGTGCCTCGGCCGGTCTTGGGGTTACTAGCCTGGCGATATCCCCACAGTCTGCCACTAGCGCTACGCCTGCGCCAGTCTGAAGGAGACGTTAGAAATGAAAACCAATGCTGTTCATTTCAGCCTTCTAGAAATCAAGGGGCTCTTTGGTGAGTGCGAGTGTCAAGCCACACGTTCTACTACATAAATGTGTATGTAATCGTCACGACCGGTCGCACTCGCTTGATATCACTGGCCCGGGTACATACAAATCATAACAGCTGCCACAGTGTGAGTGCTATAGTGTAGGTACCTCGGCTGAAAGAAAGGAAAGTCGAGCTGGCAATTAAATAAACCACTCCTTGTATCCAGCGGGAAATACCACCACTCATTCATTAAATTACTAGACACTGTACATTGATGGTACTATGGTAGGAAAATAGGTTTGTTTCTGCCTCAGGCTCGCCGCTTGGTCCCTCGTTTAATCCCCGTCGGCCGTAGTTTATTTGGCTCCGGACCTCCTTCGAGCGGTTCGGCCCAGCAGGCGATCGAGAGATCTAGCCCTACAATCAGTGTGGAATTTCCCGATGCTGACCTTCCATATCCGTTGAATCCGGGGCCGATTCAGGTACGTGAGGCACGCGACTGCAGCTGCACGGCATCTCTGCGAACAGGGTGACACATCCGACTCCAAACGACATGCATGTCGTGCACGAGCAACCCCACCGCAACGACGTGATCTGAAATCCGAAGGCCTACGTCTGCAAATGTTTCGTTGGGCGAAAAAATCACTTTGCCTTCGAGCAAGTGGGGGCCCGTTGCTGCTCGCCCAATGGCTTCGGCGACGGTGGAGGCGCATCCGTGGTGCGAAAGAGAAACTCCGATGTCGTGATCCACGCTGCTCGGGGAATTATGAAAAAGAGCTGGTTCCCCTGTGGGCTCTGATTTCATAAATATTCTGAGATCGTGTTCTGCCCCTGGGGGAAAGCTTAGGTCGGAGCGTGGTTGTGCATATTGCCTCACAAGTGCTCGACCTCTCGCCGTCAAGATGGAAAAGTCCACCGTCGCCGCGGACACCATCCAGCCCGACACGGCCAAATTCGACGACTTCGATACCAACCCCAAGGATGAGCTCAAGATCAATGTCGGCGGTCGCGCGGCTACCCAGCGACGCCTGCGGAACTATCATGTTACCATGATTGGTTTCTGCAGTGGTATCGGAACCGGTCTGTTCATCGGTACGGGCTCGGCCTACGCGAAGGCAGGTCCCGCCGGCTTGCTGCTCGCGTATATCACCGTCGGAGCGGTGCTGTGGTGTGTGATGCAGAGCATTGCAGAGCTGGCGACCCTCTTGCCAACCGCTGGTTCTTTCCCTCACTGGGCGACTCGGTTCATCGACCCCGCCGTCGGATTCTCCCTCGCTATTTCATACGGATATTGCTACACGATCGCCATTGCCTCCGAAGTCTCTGCCGCCGCAGTCATTGTGTCATATTGGACGGATATAACACCCGCAGTGGTCATCACTGTGGGTTTGGTATTAATCTTAGCAATCAACTTGCTAAGTGTTCGATTTTATGGCGAATCAGAAGTTATTGGTGGTGCCATCAAGGTCCTCTGCTTTTTGGGTCTGGTCATTGTGTCCATCGTTATCACTGCTGGCGGCGGTCCGAACCACGAGACTATCGGCTTCCGCTTCTGGCACAATCCCGGTCCATGGACCAACTACAACGGCATCACGGGACCGACAGGCCACTTCCTCGGGTTCTTGTCCTCGTTTGTCAACGCTTCATTCAGTTTTATTGGAGTCGAGACTGTGGTCATCTCCGCCGCTGAGTCGGTCGATCCGCATCGCGCGATTCCCAAGTCTGCCCGCCGTGTCACCTATCGCATCGCATTCTTCTATATCCTCGGCGCTCTGCTGATTGGAATGATCGTGGATCCCCGCACCTCGGCCCTGACCAATGCTGCTTCCAACGCCAAAGCCTCGCCGTTCGTTATTGCCATCACCCAGGCGGGTATCAGCGTTCTGCCCTCGATCGTCAATGCCTGTATCCTGGTGGCTGCCTGGTCCGCCGGTAACTCCTACTGCTGGGTCGGCTCACGCATGATCCTGGCCATGACGACCGACCACCAACTCCCCCAGTTCTTTGGCCGCTGCAACAAGAAGGGCGTTCCCTATGTTGCCGTCATTACTTCGTGGCTGTTCGGACCCCTGGCCTACCTGAGTCTGGGATCGGGAGGTGCCGCGCAGGCATTTAACTGGTTGTTGAATCTCAGTACCGTCGCCGGTCTGATTGCCTGGGCTACGCTTTCTTTCTGTTACATTCGCTTCTACGCTGGAATGAAGGCCCAGGGTATTTCCCGGGAGACCTTGCCCTGGAAAGCGCCGTTTCAACCTTACGCGGCGTGGGTGGGCTTCATCGGTTCCACCATTATCACTTTGATTGCCGGTTTCCCTGTCTTCTTGAAAGGCAACTGGGATACGTCAAGTTTTGTGGCTTCGTACATAGGTATCCCGATCTTTATTGTGCCCATCATTGCCTGGAAGCTGTGGCATCAGACCAAGTTCGTTCGTGCGTCTACAATTGACCTGTGGTCGGGTCGTCTCCAAGAAGGAGAGATCTCACCGCGCAAACCTCCCTCCAACACTCTGTGGGGTCGTTTTGTGGACTGGCTTGTATAAAATTTCTCTGTTTAGATTTGCATATACTAGCATTATACCCGTCATTTAAGACGCCGCGTGTTCAACACATTTACATCTATATTTTCATTTCTTCGCTGGTTTCGTAGCCGACCTTTTTGATGTAAATTTACGCGGGAAACTGCTCCCGAAGGTTCTTGATATCTTTGTGCGAGGCTTTGCAGCATCCGCCCACGACGAAATGCTTGAAGGGTCCCTTTTCGTTTGCATCATTGACCACCTGCGCAAGTTGTACCTCCCAAGGCCGCTGCCATCGAGTCAGTAACCATCTCAAATCAAATTCTGAAGATATCACTTACAGCATCACGAGTACCATCCTGGCCTTCGGGCTTCTCCCAAGTCTGCGTCGTAGTATTGTAAACCTCCCCGTTCGTTCCATCGGGGTACAAAACCATACTCGGCACCTCGGACGCAAGTCCAGAAGCAACGACATCCTTCACACAGGCCCCAAATTTGGCCACAAGTCCAGAAAGCTTGTGAATCTTGGTGCAATTCATCCCAATCCCCCACGGCACAAGCCCACCCTCAATCGGAGCAATCGCGGCTTTCACAACCTCCTCAACACTACTCCCATCAGGAAGACACTCATCCTCCCGAGGGAAAACACAAGCAATCCAGAACCGCGCCACAATCCCCGAATCCCGAATTGCCCTCCTCACAGCTCGAACCTCATCCAATCGCGGCAGCGTCTCAAACGCAACATACTGAATCCGCCTCGTCAGATCCTCCCCCCTCGACATCCTGGAACAAACGCAATCGCTCCAGATGCCACTGATAGAGCTTCTCCTCGTCGTCGTGCTCCGCATCGTACTGGCCCCCGTACTCTTGACCGGGAATCATACACGCTCCATACGGACCAAGACTCAACGCGATCTTCGCGGACTCCCGCCCCTTGGACGCCTCGGCGACTTCCACTGCTGTTCGGAGGAATCGGCCTACATCAGACGCCGGAATACCCTCTGGAAATTGGGGTGTCTTGGTGCGGCAAAAGCCGTCTTTGTAGAGCTGGTAGGTGGCCGTCAGGAGGATGTCGATGCCTGCTTCGCCAAAGTCGGATTGGCAGGCTTGGAGCGTGTTGGTGTCTGAGACGAGTAGGTGCGAGGCCCAGAGGGGTGTGTCGGTGCTGGAGAATTGGACCCCGTATTTGTCCTGCAGGGATGTTCCCAGGCCTCCGTCTAGGATTTGCACTGAGGCCATTGTGTAATTGAAGATCTTGTAGAGCCGATCCAGTGGTGATTTGGTCGAGGCGGGGTGAGCTTTTGATATCGCTATCGCGGCTTCCTGCAGTGGCCCCACCTCGAAGGCGGTGGCTACACCACCTAAAAGTACACACCAATACATTCAGCTTACCCTAGTAGAGTACCCTAAGGCTGGCTGTGCGGAACCTTTAGTACATCTTAATTCACAATATTGCCTTTCCCTCTTTTTCTGACTACACACTAATAATTTTCTTCCTCGGCCTCTGAAAGTGTAGAATTTGTCCAACCTTGTGTTGTTTGGTGGCCATACCATCAATGTGAACAGACAGCACCTGGAAGAGTCCACCAGAAGTATTTGGGGCTCTCGGGCACTCCCTCAGTATTCGTCCTTTAATCCCCGCAGGGGCCAAGTTCTTTCCTTCAGTCCATCTGCCTCATTGGCGCACTTTTAAATCGATCGACATGACGATTACTCAGATAGGTATCCTGGAAATAAGGCCAGCCTTATACATTACCGTACACTCATAACGTACTGCATATCGTGCAGCCTTGCACATGCAGCCTCGCGATGACAAGCCAAGCCGGTGTAACCCCCTGGTAAACAATCGCTAGCTGGGTTTTATTTTCACCTTCTCATCTTTCCATTCTCTAACCACCCGAGGCACAAAGGGCTGTCGGGCCATTCTGGAAAATGTTTCCAATAATCCCTTACATTGTTTCGCTTCTTGCAGTCGCTCTTTATACCAGGGCAGATGGTGGTATCTCTACGGCGAGCGATAGTCTGCCGAAGAATCAGCAGGGATATGTCTCGATCAGCAGCAGTTGTAAGGAGTTTTCCTCCAATCGGACATGAATCAGGACTAATTTGTCTGCTACTATAGGGTCTGCGGCGACTTGCGAGGGCGACGGTCAATCCTATGTCATGTCAAGCACATACGGCCGATGCTGCGCCAATACCAAGTCAAACTGTGGATTCGCAACCAGCTGCAGGTCTCCTGCTTCAGGAGATGCCACAATCTTATACGGCGGTGGAGGAAGTTCTACATGGTGAGATCCTATTTGGAAATGGAAGGCTTTCATCTTTGCTAATAGACTTGTGCACAGCACCCAGGGTGACCCCTGCATCTTTATGACGATTTACGACACTGCAACCACCGACACCCCTCACCTGGATATATTTTGCGCGAACGGTTGGCCCACGACTGCGACTATCGCATTCCGAACTGTCCCCGCAGAGACTACGGCTGCCGGTAAGTTTGCCGATGTCTACACTACTTAAACATACTGACACGAAATATAACAGAAACCGGATCCCACTCTACCAGCATAGCAACACCTGGCGCCTCTCCCACCACATCCCTCTCCTCCTCAACCGCGACCTCAGACCCTTCAAACGAAAAGAAGGAAAGCAAAGCCTGGATTGCCGGCGCCGTCATCGGGCCTATAGCAGGGTGCGCGATTTTCGGAGCACTGGGCTTCTGGCTCGCATGGCGTCTGCGCAATAAGCATAAACACGGTGGACAACCTGAAGCGCATGACACGGTTTATTCAGATGCGCCGAAGGGTCGGCACTTTGTTGAGCTTGGGCAATCTTCTGCTCTGCATGAGATGCCTGGGAATTCTGCGAGTTCCAAGGCTGCGCCGTCGGAGTTGTACGCGGGTGATCATCGTTGAGCGAGTCTCGAATATCGCTGAGCTCGTTTCAATGAGCTGTTTGCGGATTATGCCCTCTTATACTAGAAAAGCATATTTTCTGCAGGGGCAGTCTACGACTGACTCTCCCGTTCTTCAACTACTTGAGATTTTTACGCTCAAAGATCGGCCTCTAGCCATTTAACGTCCGTTAACTTGTTAGATACGATAGATTAATAATATACCCTGGACGATATCTTGCCCCTTGTGACTTCATCACACACATTGAAATGCACGTTCCCTAGTTTGGAATTGACACTCGTGAGATTGTTCTGGCATCTGCCAGTTTCAATTGACATGTGAACCATACATACTATCTTAGGCAGGTTTGGACTGTTTTCGGGTCCCCAGGCATATACCTGAACAAGGCTTTAGAAACCGGCTCCAAATTACCCGTCAGTCCCTCCGCAGACCATAGCCTCGCTCGGCCTCTCCCGGTGCGCGCATGACTCCCAGTTCTGGGCGAATACTAATAACCCTGCATATACTCAAGCAGGCTTTTAGAATGTGATTTTAGAGTGTGAATGGGGATCTCCGAGAAACCATCATTTCACCAAGCTTCCCGGGCTAAATATCGTTCACTCTGCAATTCAGCAATTAATCTGGAGGGACTTCAAAATAAATACCCAGGGAAGAGCATGTTTTGGACCTGCTCCCTTGACTGGCGAGATAAGGATAGCCTTTTTTCTATTGGCCCGCAGAGATATCCCAAAATGGATACCACGATTCCATGATCCTATACTCTGCAGCCCAGCAAAAGAGCAGGCAGTCTATAAAGTGTTGGATTGCACTGGTTACGTCAGGAGTCCATCCAAAACTTCCATTTCTTGAAACACCCTCCTGCTTTCCTTTTCTTTTTTTTCAGGGAAAACCCCATCCAATCATGTCAAATCTACAACTCCCACAAAGCTCCAAAGCCTGCGTCCCATACAACTAGTCCATCCCAAATGGCTTTGGCTACCAACCATCACTACCCGCCGGAATCGTCTTTACGATCCTTTTCCTGATTACACACGTTGCGCACGTCAGACGGACGATCTTCCATGAACATTACTGGCTCGGCGCCGCGTTTAGTCTCGGATCCTCAGGGCCAGTTAATAGGCTGGGCCGCCCGGCTTGCTGCGAATCTCTGTCCATACTCGACTCCGTTGATGGACATGCAAATCGCTGTACTCATTATCGGTATTTCTTTCTTTCTCTGCATTTTAACACTTGAAGAGTTTTCTAATATTATTCTCAAATAGCCCCAGCTTTCACAACGGCCGGTATCTACGGAATCCTCACTCTCGTAGTCCCAATCGTTGGCCGAGACAAATCACTCCTACGTCCACGCCAGGACCTGATAATCTTCATGCTTGTCGACTTTTTCTCCGGGTCATTGCAGGCTATGGGTGGTGGCCTTGCCGCATCTGCATTTGGACAGAACAAAGATCCTGAACCCGGCACATATACAATGTTAGCTGGTATTGCAGCGCAACTCGCTGGGACTGCAATTCTCTCTCTGTTTTTTGAAGGCTGTCATTATTTGGGCTAGGCATGTCATTTAACATAACCCTTTTCATATTCATCTGCATGTTGCGACTATTCTTTTAATCACTTGTGTTGTTATTCGGGGGATATACAACACCATGGAGCTGAGTCAGAGCTGGCGCGGATATCTCATTACCCATGAGCGATATGCGATTGCTCTTGATGCTGTGATGATGTTTGTTTTTCTTGTTTGTTTTTAATGTTTGGAATCCTGGTTTCTTCATTCCCCAGGCGGCGCAGTCTGCGCAGAGTTTGAGAGATCGAGGTGAAGTCGGCAAAAGGTCAAGGGATGAATTGAGCAGGTCGATTCAAATTCAGTCAAACACCATATTTGCCGACAAATCGTTTAGCCAAATGAAAGGAAGAAAGTTTGGGTCAGGGATATATTCTAGACAGAAAAATTATTTTTCTAGAAATCTTATTGTACAGTGTTTATATACAGAATGCGTCGTGATGTTATCTGACCGGCTTACCGCCCGGGTACCACCGAGCTTGCTCAGGTAGCAAGCTTTGATCGGTCAACATGGCCAGCTCGCTCCACACTTGTTCCAGCTCTCCCTCATTTCGCTTTTTGTAGCCCGTGAGGAAGTCCAACTCCATCTCTTCATCAAAGTGATCGACCATCTTCTCAACAGAATAAGCCGGCAGGGTGTGTCGTTCCTCTGGGGCAAGAGAAACCAACCGACTGCGCATGCTCTTCTTGAGAACCGGGTCGGGAGATCGGTTTGTCCAATACTCATCACCCATTGACTTCTCTTCAAGGGCAGAGATGATATTATATAAGGTCGTGAGGTTGTAACTGGCGTCGGGAGAATCAACCTTCTTAGGCCCAAACTTTGTCTCCATAACGTGCTTCAGCCGTTGGGCCTCAACAAGAAAGTCGCGTCGAACGGGCTCGGACCGACTCAACACAGCTAGCAGGCACCACCAGACACCCCTCAGATTTTCAGCGTGGGTGAATGCACGAAGGCACAACTTGAACATAACTTGATCAAAGCCATGGGTCTTTCTCCATTTGGATCTGTAGACCGCTGTGAGAAGAACAATGGCCAGAATTCGGCGGCCATCAGAGATCAACCGCTTGCAGAGCGACGTCAACGCATGATGCTTGACAGTGAGGGTCGGTGTGGTCCGGCAAAGATTATAGTACTCGAACAATGCCATCTTCAGCAAATTCCCAGTCGTGACTTTATCGTGGATCTGCATGATCTGCTGGAAGAATAATGGCAGAACGCGCGGTTTTTGCGGATTGTGTCGGTATTTTGGTCGCTCGCTCCAAAGCGGCCATTCCCTCTTGATGAGAATTTGAGCATCGTGTAGACCGGCGGGACCGTTCCCGAGAATGGTGGCAATAACAGCCAGATGGACGTGAAGCGGTCTGATCACAAAACCTGCCCTCCTGGCCCCTCGAAAGACTCCAAGAGCCTCGTCAAATCTAGCTCCGTTTATGTGGTTCTCCATTTGCTTGTGGAGTGGGACAGAGCTGGAAATTGAATTGCTGCTGACGAGATCTTTCATGGTCTTCGGAAAAGTTTCTTCAGCGGGTACGTGGATCGGCCTCAAAACCCCTCGGTCAAGGGAGTAGGACGCATATCCAGATCCTAAAAGGCGCTGACTGCTAGATGCCTGCCCATATTGCTCCTTGGCAGCTTGAAGCATTCTCCAGATTCCGACGGGAGCACCTTCCATTGAAACCCGGCGCGCACCAAGAATTCCTATCAGCGTGTCTTGATCGAGTCCTGTGTTCCAATTCCGGTCCTCGGCCATGCGAGTTATCTGCCCGATATAGTTCGTGTCACCTCTCTCACACAGTGCCTCAAGAATGTGTCGATGCAGTACCTTGTCCGGGACAATCTCAAATTCATCGATACAGGTGACGAGGAAATCGAAGATTTGACGGCCTGCATGAGTGGGATAATATTCCAGAAAGACTCGATCGAAGATGAGGGCAAAGCTTCGCTTGTCACGCGTGAAACCGAGTTGATGCATTTCACGCAGCCCTGAAAAGACCCCTTCCCAATCGCATTTCAGAGCCCTGGCGTAGACGAGTAGACCAAGAGTGCGACATCCAGGTTGAACGTCGAATTTCACAGGCATATCTGCCACCAATGCCTCTGCATCCTCAAACTGCCCAGCCTCGATGTAGGCTTTGACTAGTGGGTTGAAGACTTTCTCCGTAGGAGTGCGTTGGAGATTGGCCAGTTTCGACAGAATTGTCCGGAATTCCACATTTACCAACTCAATATTTCGTGTCTTCCGCCAAATTCCATCCAGAAATGCACCGCAAAGACCGCCATTCTCATCGTTTCGGATGCGGGTGTAAAAGAGGGCCTTGGCGGGGCCCAGTCTCCTCGATTCCATCAAACATCGAAGCACAACTTCAAGCAGATGTGACGGGACGCTTAGGCTGGCACGGTGTCTTTCAAAGATAGAACCAGCAGAATCAACATGGCCTTCCTTCGCCAATATGTGCATCATTGTGGCCCACATCTCGGTATCAATCACAGACACTTTCTCCAAACGTTCGAAAAGAGTCCGAGCAAGAAAAATGTTGCCTTTCAAGCAATTCGCGGCAAATAGTTGACGAGCAGCTTCTCGTGTCTCGTAAGATATAGGTTCCTCGACTCGTGCAGGCACACGTTTCAAGAAAATATTCACGGCCTCGATCTCTTTGTCGTCCGCGATCAATGTACGTATGCGCTCCTCCAGTGACATTGCAACTTTCTCTTCGCCTTCCTTCGCCTGCCCAGCCTTACGAGCGAGAGCCACTCGGTTTATTGCCCGTTTCTTCGCCTCGACGCTCCGGGAAAGATCGAAGGAATCATAATGATGTGATTGCTTCGGTTTTTCCAGGCCATGACAAGGCTGGAAAGAGTCCGGGTGCGGTTCCAATATGCCTTGCGTGTCGCGCTGGTCTGTTCCGTCAACCTGTGGCAATCGTGGCATCTTCTTCAAGGAATCCAGCCCCATAAACTCGCCAGCCTCGGCTGCCTCCATCATGAGCGCGAGTCGCTTGGCGGAAGCGGTCGCATCGTAGTTCGGCGCCGAGGTTCGTAATGTTCGCTTGTTTTCGATGATCTGTTCGGCAACGCGGACTCGGCGGTGGACGTCGTAGGTCAAGACTCCTACTGTGCAGAAGCCGCCGACAGTAGAGCCAGCAAGAGCCAATTGGCGGAGCACTCGTAAAGCATTTCGAGATGGAACTGCTGGTGTCGAGTTCGCGGCTTTGGCAAACATCGTTGAAGCGGGAGCCGCTGAGTGCGCGCTGGTCTCACCAGCCGTGCATCAGCGAGCTTCACCGGCAGGAGTTTGAGTGTCAATGTCGTTCAAAACTCAAATGCTCGCCCCGGCGCCCGCCGTCGAAGTTGAAAGGAGGGGGATTGGCTGCTGGGCAATTGGAGATCAGGAGATGAGGGTAAACTCGGACAACTTTTTGCGGCACTCGCAAAACCGCGAGGTGGCCCGTGCATTGGCACATGGTCGGATCAGGTGATCCGTATTATTCCAAGGTTCAAGCTGGGACAATAGAGTGCCATGTACGCTCCTACGTAATATTCAAAGGGCCACTATAATTAAATATTTTCAGGATTGAGATTCCATTTAAGTCTAAATCGCAGGTAATGCTAAAATTTATATGTGAATTTCTTTCATGGCAAGAGCAGCTGATCTTCCTCGCTCTCGCCTTCTTCGTTAGCCTCAACAGTCACGTCTAGTGGAGGGTCATCGTCCAGGGTGACTAAAATTGTGTTAGTTAGCTGGGATATAGTGTAAGTTTCTGTAGAATAGAGACTTACCGTGGGGTCGGATAAGTAGACTCATCAGGAAAGTCAGTCCAAAGACAGCTGCAAGAGAGACAAACACCGTCTGAGGATAGGTTGCCACTGTCATACTGTAGATTAGATTGAAGACAGTGGGTGCAACCACTCGGGCCAGAGCATGCAACAAGCCGGTAGCACCGAGAAGTTGTCCAATACGTTCGTGTGGAACGTGTTTGGTGAGAGAAGATTGCAGAGTCGGCGAACCCATACCACCGATCGACGCGACAGCGCCAGAGAAAATCATCATTGCCGGGTGTTTGGACAACGCGTATCCGATATATCCAAGCACATCGAATACCACTGACAGCCGGATAAGAACTATGTCAAGCATGTCCGATCCCCGAATGATGCCATCGTTGGCGGATGGAGTGCGGAAGAATCGGGCAACAATCGGAAGGACGACAAACAAGTTGATCACCCGAACGATGTTGATGATTGACACAAAGAGGCTGGATTCAACATTGCCCCAGTTGAACATATATTCGGCATATATGATGATGACTTGCATAGTACCCATCGCGACACCAAAGACCGCCGTGTCCATCGCAGCCAACAGGATGATGTTCCTCCGAAGAGCCGGGCTGGCACCTCGACGGTTAGGGAACAAAACGCTTGGACGGCCAACGGCAGGCAATAAGATCGAAAGGGGTGATAGGAGGTTTATTGGGTTGAGAGTTTGCAAGGAGTACCATTTGGAAGGTTCGGTGCTCGCCTTCTTGGCAAGATGCCTCTCTCGTGCAGCAAGCTGGCGCTCCTTCGAAAGACTCTCGGGCACAATGAGAAACACTGATAGTACAAAAACGGCATGGAAGATGAGACCAATCAAGAAGACGATCAGCACTTTTCCAGTCTGTTTAATGATATATGCTGCGCCCGTAGGGCCAGCCGCGATGCCCAAGAACAGGGCGCCGTGAAACAAACCAAATGCCACGCTGCGGCGGTCGGGAGGCGTGCAGTCAGTGGCATAAGAATGAATCAGGGCTGTGGCGCCAGTAAAGGAGCCTCCTAGACCATCCATCACAGCTCCAAGGAAAAGCAAGTTGACCGGCATATGCTCAGGCCACTTGGCTAAGAGGACGGTGATGACTTCATTGAGAACAGCACCTGTCGCGCCCAGCGCGATCAACTTTGTGCGGCCATAGCGATCGGACAAGTGACCCAGGCGAGGGCTCACCAGTGCCGATATGATACCTGTGATAAGGTTCAGGTACAGCTGAAAGCGCGCCACCAAGGACTGCACTTCAGGAAGCCGACATTGGGAATTGTCTTCTCCAAAAACGACGGGCAAATATGTAAAATTTGAGTCCTTCATGGATCTCTCCGAGAAGTAATCCCGGCAAATCAAACTCATGATCAGATTAATTTTTGGGACAGCAAGGCCGCCAAAGCCCAGCGTGAAAAGCAGGCCAAATGGCAATAGCCACATAATCTGCAACGATCGCGATCAGATAAATGGTCTCGGCAACCGTTGCACCATAAAATGATCTCACTCACGTGTGGTCGTCTCCATCGCGGTCGACAGTCTGTTTCATCGGATTGCCCGTCATCCCGCGGCCATTCTTCCTCCAAGTCATCATCGCCCACCAGCAGGGGTTCCGTATGAACGCGCATCGGGGTATTCTTAGTCGCTGCAGCCGCAGGACGCTCACCCCCAGCCTGTTGTTGTGCATCGAGCGCGCTTTCGCCCGCAAAAAGCTCCTCGTTCTCCATGGCGGCAATCACACTGCAATCTGGATCTGAAAATGGGTCGCGACCGCGTCTACGGGCGCATTTTTGGATTCAAAAAGAGGGGACGCAATGGTGTCAGGATGACTTGTCCATAGCAGCAGGAGCCTCGGAACTTGTGAGGGGAAGAATGCGACACTCCGCGCGTCCCAGTTTCGTCTTATCAAGCAGGTTTCCAACGGGCCAAACGCTTTCCGTTCCCCGGGCCCGCTTGATAAGCAAGAATAAAGCCGGAATCTCCGGCCCCACATCAACAATTGCCATTTCTACTCGAGTCCAGGTCTTTTCCCGGTTGTACCTTGTTCCTATGGTAGTACATGTACTAGTCAGAAAGTTAGCGAGCGATGAGATAGACTGGTAGTTCGTGTTTTATATTAGTTAACGCCAGCACAAATTTTAGTACAAAAGTCCCGATTGCCGCCCAACGCCGAAGCCCGTCCCAACTAATAATATTTACACAATTGCAGGAATCCATACACACAAGATATCGCAATAATCAACCCACTTTACAACACCAACGGACCGTGTTGCTTACCAGCGAAGAACTTTTTCTGTTCCAGGCAGCGATCGCTGCGGCACCCTTTGGCAGCGTAGAGTCATTTGAGCCGAGCAGGGCTCTTCCTTCCGTAGATGTTCGTGAGCAATGTCAGCAAGTCCCTGGATGAAGACCGGATTTCCGTTCAAACTCTCAGCCCGCTTCACACCGGGGCTGTTGGCCTCCTCCATGACTTCCAAATCCAACTCGTACAGGGTTTCGATATGGTCGCTGGTAAAAGCGATGGGCACAAGAATGAGATCCGACTGGCCGCGCTTCACATACTCCATGACGGTATCCTGGGTCTGAGCTCCCAGCCAGGCCTTGGGGCCGACCTGGGATTGCCAGCAGAGACGGTATGGGTTGCTGAACTTCAGGCGTTGCATGACAGCGTGAACAGTGGCGGCCACTTCGGCAGGGTAGGGATCACCTATGGAAATTGGGTCAGAATAAGCCTGTCTTGAAGCAGAGACTTCGTTCGGTACTCACCTCGGTTGACTACATCCATGGGCAGACTGTGAGCAGAAAACAACAAAATGACTTGGCTCCGCTTCTCTTCAGGATAGGTCTTCAACTGGGCCTCAATATTTTGGGCGAAAGCCTCGACAAGACCTGGGTGTGTTGGCCACCGATCGATGACACTCCACTGGATCGAGCCGGTCGGGTCTTCCTCTCCGTTTGCGCGCTTGCCCTCCAGGCGGTTGCGCCACTTCCACAGCTCATTCAGAGAGCTTCCGGTCGTGGAACAGGAGTATTGCGGGTATTGAGTGAATGCAACGGCTCGACCACCCTTGCCATTTCCAAACCCATCTTCAAGCAGTTGGTTGTACATAGTCTCGGTCAAAGGAGCGGCGTATCGGAATGCGACGTAGGGCTTGTGCGGCGCGGTCTCGGGCGACATCTTGTCCAGCAGTTTACACATCTCGGCGCATTGATACTCGGACCACTTGCGAATAGGAGATCCACCACCGATATCTGCGTATTGCTTCTGGATTTTGGGTGTTCGCCGACGAGCGATGAGAGGTCCAAGATATGGCTGGAATCGTCCGAGAGGAATAAGGTCACCATCCGCCTTCAAGGAAAATTACAGTTAGCCACATGACCAAATTTTATAAATTGGATTGAGCAAGAACGGAAGAGCACTGACAAAGAGTCGACTCAGAAAGTCCTCCACCTCGCCCGTAGTCGAGGGACCACCCATGTTCATGAAAACCATCGCCGTCGGACCCTTCGAGCCCGTAGCATCTTGAGTGACGGGCGGAACCACCGTCGCAAGGTTGGATCGCTGGATTCTGCTGTGTGCCACGCAGCTCCGAGCCAGCGGCCGAGTACCGAACGTGGCACTGGTCACCAACCGGGGGATTGCGAAAGGACTGCGGAAGGTCATGACTGTAATAAGTAAAAAAAAAGAAAGAAAGAAGGGGAGATAAACTGCGCGATTGACACAAAACAAGAAAAGAAAATCAAACGGCCGCAGTCGACCAGAAACAGGTGTCGTTTGTCGTGAAGGAACAGAATGCGAAAGAGAGGAGCCGCCAGCTTTCCAGCTTTCCAACTTCCGCGGTCCGCCTGCAGCCATTTCCCGGAAGCCAATCACGTTGCCCGCGGGAGTCAGCAGCGAGCCGGTAGAAGTCACCTGACCTTCGCGTTTCCCCCGCGTCGATCGCGTCGAAGGCAGCAGCGCCGGGCCATCAGGCTGCATTGTCCGACCTGGGCAGTCTTACTCCAACAACCATCTACGAAACACCTCAGCAGCATGGCGGAAGATAACTACACGTGGGAAGAAGGGGATTTCGAGGAGGAAGATGTCGACGAAACGGTGAGTACAATAAAAAAGATTCGCCATTCCGCACACATCTATAGACACAAACTGACCCCATCGTGAATATCAGAGCTTCCGATCGGTCAAAGATGCTGTCCTTTTCGCAATCGATGTGAGCAGCTCAATGCTTACGCCCCGACCATCAAACGATCCCAAGAAACCCGGCGCAGAATCACCGGCGTCTGCTGCCCTCAAATGCGCATACCATTTAATGCAGCAGCGCATCATCTCGAACCCAAATGACATGATCGGCGTCTTGCTCTATGGGACTGAATCATCAAAGTTCTACGAAGAATATGGAGAGAATCGTGAAGATCTATCCTATCCCCATTGTTATCTGTTTACCGATCTTGATATCCCCTCCGCCGACGAAGTAAAGGCGCTGCGAGCTGTGGCCGAAGATGAGGAAGAAGCGAACAAAATTCTCCAGCCATCAAACGAGCGCGTGCCAATGTCTAATGTGTTATTCTGTGCCAACCAGATTTTCACTTCCAAAGCTCCAAACTTCCTCTCCCGGCGACTTTTCATCGTGACGGATAATGACAACCCCCACGCCGACAACAAGTCTTTCCGATCAGCTTCGACTGTTCGCGCAAGAGACTTGTACGATCTTGGTGTAACCATTGAACTTTTTCCCATATCGAGGCCGGACCATGTATTCGATACCTCCAAGTTCTACGATGTATGTTGTATATCGCCTCTGGAAGAGTATACGATTACTGACATGCTCGCAGGATATCATCTACAAAACAGCGCCCAGTGACGGCGAGGCTCCGGCCTACCTTCATCCTGATACAAACACCTCAACTGCCAAAGGCGACGGCATCTCGTTGCTCAACTCACTTTTGTCCAGCATCAACTCGCGATCTGTGCCCCGGCGGTCGCTCTTCACAAATGTCCCATTGGAGCTTGGCCCCGACTTCAAAATCTCGGTGAATGGATACTTGTTGCTGAAGAAGCAAGAGCCAGCGCGGAGCTGCTACGTTTGGCTGGGCGGAGAGACCCCGCAGATCGCCAAGGGTATCACCACCCAAATGGCGGAAGATACGGCTCAAACTGTGGAAAAATCAGAAATCCGCAAGGCGTACAAATTTGGAGGTGAACAAGTCTCATTCACGACTGAGGAACAACAAGCCCTAAGGTACTTTGGGAGTCCCATCATCCGAATCATTGGTTTCAGGCCGCTTTCTGCCTTGCCCATCTGGGCCAATGTGAAGCATCCCTCCTTCATTTACCCTACGGAGGAAGACTATATCGGCTCGACCCGTGTCTTTTCGGCCCTTCAACAAAAACTTCTTAAGGACCAAAAGCTGGCCTTGGTCTGGTTCATCCCTCGCAAGAACGCAACACCCTGTCTGGCTGCTATGATCCCCGGTGAGGAAAAGGTTGATGACAACGGTGTCCAGAAAATCCCGCCTGGAATGTGGATTATTCCTCTTCCATTTGCCGATGATATACGGCAGAATCCAGATTACCCCCGGCATGAGCCATCAGAAGATCTGATCGACGCGATGCGTGACGTGACTGGGCAATTGGAGCTTCCCAAAAAGTCATACGATGCTCAGAAGTATCCAAACCCTTGTATGTCGTTGCGTCATTGGAAGGTCAACGATTGAGATACTAATGCTTTGCCAGCTCTTCAATGGCATTATCGCATTTTGCAAGCTCTAGCACTGGACGAAGATGTTCCTGAAACGCCAGAGGACAAAACCACGCCCAAGTATCGACAGATTGACAAGGTAAGTTGCTCCAGTCCATGACGACAGAACATATAGAATATAAAGCTAACTTTGATATCATAGCGCGCGAGGGACTATGTTCTGGCGTGGTCTGACCTATTGAATGAGGAAGCGAAAACAGCGTTTGGCGGAACAGCTGCTACTAAGTCGACCCTTGTCAAGCGCGGCCCAAAGGACCGGGCCGACAGTGCTGGAGATGCTGCTGATCCCCCCAAGAAGCGGGTGAAAACAGAGGGCGATGCTGCCAGTTTAGACGACGAAATCAAGAGGAGTTTTGAAAAAGGAACAGTTGCCAAGGTATGCATTGTCCTATCTTGGCTGCTGATTATAATGCTAACAAATCCTAGCTTACCATGCCCATGCTGAAAGAATTTCTTACAAGCAAGGGCCGCTCCGCAGCTGGGAAGAAGGCTGATCTGGTCGATCGAGTGGAACAATACTTTGAGCAGAAACTTTGAGCTATTTTTTGTCGCTGGTCAGTGATAAACGATCTAAATAATGAATGATGACCATCCAATTCGAGTTCTTCTATCCTGCTTAGTATTCGTCGGCAGCAGCTGCTAAGCATGGTGAAACAAGTGTAATGTAGCATATTAAATAGTCCAGTGTGGAGGTAGAAGCTCTACAGGTTGATTTGAGTTCAATGCCAAGCTTGATGGGCGTCTCCATCTAGTATGTATGCAGTTAGAATATTCGCTTCTCGTACATGCGTATATGTAGTATTTTTCAATATGATTGGAGCTGCATTTGCAGTATAGTCTATATACATTCAACCAGGAACAAGAGCGAATGCAGTTCCAGTTGTACCAAAGCAGCATCGGCAGAAGTACAAAGATCCCTTCTCCGGGCGCCTAAACAGAATCGAATTTGATCGCCGAAAATTAACCGTTTAAAACTCCGCGGTCCGTTGGGACACATGAGGTAGATGAAAGAATGAGGCTCAGCGCAATGCGTATCGAAAATGCCGACAAATGCGTAGTAAGACGGTCGGGTAGCCTCTATGGGCTGACTGAAGACATTGGTGGGAATCGAATGGGAGTAGAACGTAATGGCTCAACACTGTCCATAGACCTGGCAGTAACAGAGTTGTTCGTCGGGGCAGCTGGAAGACTGTTATTAAATGACTTCAATGAATCTGAACGTTGAGTCGCAACTTACTATACCGAGTTCATGCCAAAAATCACATGCCACAAGAACTCCATCACCCTCCCAGACGAAGCATCATTCAGTTGCGTCTCGATAATCCACTGTCGGAATTTGACATAGTCCTGCCGCGGCCGGCGATGCACCTGGCTTCGCGAAACCGCAAATTGCGCACAGCAGGCTGTGCCGATTTGAGTCGGCTTGCGCATGTATCTCTGGTCGTAGGACTCCATCTCATACGGTGATGACATATTCAAGGGGGGTGTGCTCGTTCCCTCGAAGACATCCCACCAGACCTGCTCGGTGACATGGCGATTGAAGCGGTGGGCTTCCTTGCAGCCCGGGTTCCAATTGCAGCGGAGGTTGACGTAGCCATTTTGTTGAACAAAGTCGAGTTGTAGGTTGCGCATGGCAATCACGTTGTCGTGTAGGGGCGCATCGACGTGCCATGCCATGAGAAATCCCGCGCGGTGGGCGTGGAGAAAGGCGATTGTTGATGGGAGTTCGTAGTAGTAATCAATCACGTAGGTAAGGTAGGCCATAGACTCATGGCCTTTGTTGGTAGGGGTCGTCAGGATTTCGTTATTGGATCGCGTGTCTTCGGAGGGATTGACGATGTAAATGGCCCGTTGCCAGCTGAATTGCGAAGAGCGTACTGTGAGCCTTTTGACGCCTTTGCGCGAATCAAGGGCAAGGTGATACGTACTCCGGAAGCTCCTCCTGAACCCACTCAGTGTGTTCTTCTTCCAGTTTGGCCATCACAATGACCTTATCTCCCGGGTTGCCGTACCCTTGGACAGGGCTTTGGTAATCCTCATTGCGATCCAACCAATCAACCAAGTATGCGCCAGCGCGATATTGATTGCAAAGGTCTCGAAGATGGGTTTCCAAAAGGTATAAAGAGAAGAATAACAGGAACGAGGCGCATATTGCGAAGCGTAATCCGCCTTTCATGTTGACCACGAAGGGGGAAGTGTGGTTAGGGAATACCTCAGGTATCCAAGGGAGGGAAACCCTTAAAACGGATAATCCCGTTCAACTGCGCAGAAATCACCTCACAGAGGGCTGATCATCCATTTATAAAAGCAATTGATTCGATGGGACCGACAATTAAGTATTGGGCTCGTGGGGATAAGGGTGTCGAAGGGTGAAGAGGGAGAGAAATTTGGCTGCAGGGACGGAGGAAAGGAGACGGTACAAAAAGGCGCGGGCACAAATCATCCAGTAGCCACGCGGGACAAAAGGACGGGCAGTGGGGAGGGGAAAGGAAAGAGGAAAAGGATTGACCGAAGAAGAGTTTAAAGGAGAGGGAAAAGTGGAAATCGAGTTATCTTCCCGCACGATCTGGGAATGGTCTGGAGGTAAAGTAGCAAGACGGTGGAAGGGAAGGGGGGCGCGGGTCCATGCTCCCAAGTTTTCTTCGCCATTATGGAGTCTAAACTGCGTTTAACTTAGAATTGCCCATCTAATCTCACGTCATTGGCCACGGAGGAGGCGGTTCAGGGGATTTGAGAGGAGGGGAGGCCCAGAATCGAAACCGGGGGAAGGATGAGGGCTGCTCTGGCCCTTAGCACAAAGCTTGGCTCGAGGTTGCGTAGCGCCTCCCGTCCCCTAACCTGGCGCCGGGCCTAAGATCTGATTGGGAAAAGCGGTTCAGAGATGGGGAACGGGCGCGCAACTACCGCTGGGCGCGCAAGGATCGCAGCCAATCTGCATAGAATTGGCAGCTTGGACCCCCGTCTAAATGGAGAAGGGTCGTTGCGGCCATTCGCGTGTGATAGGTACCATGGTCCGCACGTGGCGAACGGCTTTTTGGAGAAACAGAGTCGAGGGAAACCCCGCCGTCTGGAAAAAGGTGGTGCCGTTGTGCAAGGACGACGCGGAGTACGTAGTTCCCCACCGCGCTATTGGTTAGTGTCGCATGCCATGTGGAGCGCAAAGACAACCCCTAAAACAGAAAGACTGATCGTTGGTGGCCGTGTTGATGTTCCTACCGAGAGCTCGGTCAGAAGATGTCAAGTGTGGCGCTGGCCAGAGTCGCCCGGCGGAGTCTCAAGACGCCTCTCACGGAAATTCACCACACGCCTTTTGAATCCGACGGTTGATTTGGGTTCTGACACGCGGCACAGTGTGGCGATGACAGAATTGGACCCACCACGTCCATGGCAGTGGCACGATCAGCGCAGCAATAAATGGTGCTCCCGCTTTTGATTTGGGGTGTTGCACCCGCCAAGATCACACACGGTGGGAAAAGAAGAAGCGTAAGAGGGGATCGGCTGTCCGTGAACCGCTCAACGCAGCGTCCCAGAGTGCAGAGTGGGCAGACGAGACTGGAGAATCAGGGTACCGGGGCCTTTGAAACGGGTTCTCATGACGAAGGAACGCTGATCCGGAGCCATTGCGTCAGTGACTCGGGGCCCTTGCTGTGTATTGTCCATTGATAGATAATGGCTCGATCATTCGGGGGCGCATTCTAGCGATTCATGCATAGGTAGAGGGACGCCGCGCTGGGAATCTTGCATCGGATCGGAGTACAGTCCGGCGGGACACGTCTCATTGGTGGGGTTCATGTCCAAGTCAGGTTGAAATCGGAGTTACCGCGTGGCTAGCAGTCTTGGCTGTGCTAGAAATCTGCCAGGTATACATTGACGAACAGTCCTGTTTCACTTTTGATCGAACCGAATGCGATCTGATGGAGCTCGGTCGGAGATCGGGTTGTGGGATGGGAGGTTCCCACGGTCAAAAAATGGTGGGGGAGCCAGGGTCGTCGTATTCGTACAAATTGCCGTTTTCGTCCTGATGAACTCCACTGGAGCTCCAGACTACAAAATTGCACTTCCAGGCAACGATTGCCATTGGTAAAGAAAGCTTGTGACTGTTTATTTGGTCTGACAGTTACAAATTCATTTAACCCGAATAATCGTACACGTTTGTTTGGTGTTGTGATATGCAAAGATCCCGAGGAGGCCTCGGCTCGGGGATGCGACGGGATATATACATCTACAGTACAGGGCCCACCATTCGGACATGTCAGTGGAATGACCTTCTCATAAACTTTGTCCATATCCACCGTAAAACCCCTTGTACTGCATGTACCCGCTCACTCCGATTGTCTCTGTGTAGGGTGGGGTCCCACTACCTTAGGAATGGCGTGTAGCCGACTCGATTTTTTGATGCAATGCAGTCCAGCTGCGTTTCTCATAGTCCCATTCATTCACCACCCTCCTCTTCGTCGGGAACATCCTTGCCTTCCGCGATTGCCTTTTCACGTAGCTTCCGCGCGCGCTCGCGTTTCTTGTCCAGCAAAGCGTTGAGCTTCTTTGCCGTGTTGAAGACACCACCAGTCCCGGCGCCACAAGCTGCGCATTTTGGGTTCTTGCGATACCGCTGCAGAGCGCAGGATTCGCAGAAATAGTGACCGCATTTGGTCATGATGGGATTGTTGTAGGATTTCTTACAGATGATGCAAGCGAAAGGGATGCTTTCGAGCAATGCATCGTCCTCATCCTCGTCCTCCTCGTCGGCCATGCCAGCGCCTTTCCGTTGGGAAACGACCTTTCCGTTCTGATTCTTGCCAGTCCCAGACTCCCAGTCACGATCCAGCTCCCATCCTTGTTTGTAATCTTCACGAGCATGCAAGAACTTGCAAGAATCGCCGAAACCACAGAATCTAAGAATAATTAGCATACGTTCGACATGATGATGGGGTCAGGAATCACAGAAGAACTTACCCAGTCTGCTTGTAGTCCTTGCAAACATCCGGGGCGAAATCCATCGTGGTGACTGTGCGCACATTCGTGGGTGCCTTCATCGGACCGAACTTTTTGCCCGGCGCATCGGGGTTCTTCTGAATGAAGGACTGGTAGTTGGCAGAACCCTTATATGTTCCGTCGACGACTGGCTCATTGGAAGTATTCTCTTTACCCGCGCGCGATCGTGTTGACCCTAGCAGGTTCTTTGCGTTGAGATCTTCATCGTACCAGTTGGCGGATTTGGTTGCATCGTTGCTCGAGGTCAAGCGCACGGGCGCGGCGTTCGACGTTTGGTCGGCCTCGGGATCTTTTCGGGGGGCATTGGCAGTGGAGGATGCGGAAACAGCGACATTCTTCCGGCGTCTCTTAATGCGATGTCCCTCGTCATCGTCTGAGGAGGTAAAGCCAGAGTCGTCATCGGAGGCCGGAGGTGGAGTGGCGGGCTTCTTGCGAAAGTTGGCCTTGGCTTTGGAGCGCTTCTTGAAGCCGAACTGGAGGACAGGTTCTGCGACGGAATCTTCGGCCATGGTGGCGGTGACGGAGAGGGAGAGTGAGAGTATGGCTGAAGTTGCGATGGTAACTACCAGTAGCAGCTTGGTAGATCTCGTAGTACCATCATGTGTAATCGATAATCGGCTAGCCCGAACCATCTCGAAGAATGAGTCAGCAATGCAAACCGGGCAAACACGACGCGATGCGACGAAAACAACCCGCGGTCGAATCAGAAGCCCGGCGGGTTGTTTACTGCGAGGTATATTTGGAACAGCTGGCCGTACATGAGAGAAATGCACATCCCAAGGTACCTGCCGATGCCCCTAAACCCCCTGAATGTAAAATCAATATGCATCCTCTTCCCACGTAGATGTCCCCTTGTATCTGCTTTACTCGTACAATTTTACAATATTGGGGCACGCCCTCGCCTGGGGGTCTCAAACACCGGCGTCCCTGGGGGAGAATCACCGCTTCGGCGCTTCTTCTCTTTCCCTCCTCCCCGCCCGAGTCGCCCACCACCAGATCCCACCCTCCATACGCTCCCTTTTTCTACTTTCCTTCTGTTCAATCGTCCTTCCTTTCGTTGAATTTCTTTTTGCTTTTTGTGTGCTCGAATCGCGCGAGTTCCCCGTGTGATTTCGGCTGCAGTTGGCCGTATTACTGCTCGGCTGCATCACACAGCTACGCGCGTGTGCCTGAACGATCTCGCCGGACCGGGATCCCTGCGGATTGGCTGCGAGTGTTTGTTGTTTCGGCTCCCCCCTCATCGCCTTCCCATCTTGACACCTCGCGCCTTTCCCTCCCACCCTCCAGTTGCACCCGCATTTCCGCACGTGGTGCTACTCTGACGATCCGTGGTCGCTGGTCGGCTCGCCCATCATCGACCCATCGAGAGGCGTTCTCCGCGGCACCATCTTGAGGCGCACGATCTCGAACGATGCTCGCGTGAACCACAACAGCATTCCGCATCACGAAAAAAATTGCGCCAACCCCACCTCTCTCCCGGCGATCGATCTCTCCTATAGCAGGGGATTCGGACGCCGCGTGAGGCACGGCTTCGCTTCCTCGGATCATGACCGCACCCAACGCTGGAGCCAATAGCTCCCTCGCCTCCATGATGGAGGACCCGTTCGTCTCGAATGCTGGGCAGCCCACCGCCCCTCGCGAATCTCACCGATACTCGTCCTTTGATACGCAGCTTTTCAGCCTCAATGCATCGTCACCCGCACAAGCCAAGCGAGCCCTCGAAGCTCACCTCGCGGAAACTGAGCGCCGGCTGGAGGAGGCATCCAAGTTGGGAACCGCCCTCATCGCTCAGCAGCAAGAACTCTCAGAGCAGCTGAAAGAGGTCGAGCAACAGCAGGATGAGGGCGAAATGGGCCCAGAACTGCGGAAGAGACTGGCCGATCTCGAACAGGAGTATAATGAGATCGGTCGGGAATCGGCGCGCGCATTTCTGGCCCCGAAGCGGCTGGCAGGGAATTCGGAGGAGGCCCAACTGGGTACCCCGTCATTCGACCAAAAGGTACGACACCCAAAAATGACACGTTCTCATTCAACATAGCAGTTCTAACGCAACCGCATAGTCACCCATCAGTCCCGCTTTGTTCGCCGGCCAGGCAACAAACTCCCCCAGTAAAGTTAGCGTTCCGTCCCGCAAGCAACGCAACCAGTCGTCGAACCGGGTCCACGATATCGAATTCGCGACCGAAATTTCCACATCGCTACTCGCCCAAGTCCGTCAACTACAGGCGCTCTTAGCGGAACGAGAAGAATCTCTCAAATCCGTCAACCTAGAGAAGTCGCGCCTAGAGCTCGAAGCGGAAGGCTATGCGCAGCGAATCCGGGCGCTGGATGACAGCGAACAGCGATATAAAGATGAGAACTGGGCACTGGAGACTCAAGCCCACGAACTGATGGCAACGATTCGAGACTCCAATGAGCGAGAGAAAAGACTCAACAGCAGCCTGAGCGCATCAAACTCGGAGAAAAATGCCGTTGAACGTGAACTGGAGGAACTCAGACAAGCCAACTCGAAGCTGGTGGAGGATCAGACGGCCGCGCAAAAATCCAACGACGCGGAAATCCATCTCTTGCGCCGCAACTTGAATGCTGGCGATCTGGAAAAATCCGCTCTTCAAAAGAAACTCGAAGAGCTGACCTCGCAGAACCAAGAGTTGGCAAAAGCAGTCGCTATGCGGATCCGACAGCATGAGTCCCAGGCTTCGCGGGACTTGCCTGACGATGTCAATGGCGACGAGCCCGAACAGACGACGCCTGACAACTCTCCCCCTCCGTCACCGAATAAGTTCACTCCGCGCCACAATCACTTGGAATCTGAAACCTTGAAGAGCTCTCTGGGTCATGCTCACCGCATGATCCAGAACCTCAAGAGCACAATTCACCGCGAGAAGACGGAGAAGATTGAACTCAAGCGCATGCTGCAAGAGGCTCGGGATGAAGTTGAGCAGCGCCGTCGCGAGAGTGCTGTGCCCAACGGATCGAAGAAGAACCTCAAGAAGAAGGATGATTCTTTCCGGAAGCCTGCACGCCCCGATCTCCTGGGCGCAGGCCGCAAAGAAACATCAATGGTTGAATTTCACGACACCGACTGGGAGGACAATGCAAGCCAGATCAGCCCAACTCGACCAGCAGTAACAAACGGGCCTCGAAGCCGCACTGGTGCTCGTTCTCCTGACGAACCCAGCGATGTCTATCAGACCGCTACCGAAGCTGAGGATGGATTTGAAACCGCCAACGAGCGTGCGACTGCAACGGAAAGCGAGGCATTCCAAACCGGTGTGGAAAGTATGGCAGACGATAGCAGCGACTCGGCAGACCTCACCGAGACCGAGAACAATGTTCAGACCACCCCTCGTAACCGCGTTTCTTCGTCGCTGGTTATGGCTAAGGCCCGTGACCGGACCTCCTATCATAGCTCGGCTTCTACATCAGATGATGAAGAAACTGATAGCGGCTTCCCCTCTCCCAGCCAGATGCACATTTCTCGCCCTCGTGTCCGATCCAAGCGGAGCGTCCTTTCTAGCAGGCGGATTCGACCTTCCGGGGAGGCGCCTATGGCCTCAAACAGCCGTCCATCCAGCGCAAGTAACTCTCCTGCTCCAAGCTTTGAGCAAGAACCCATGGCTCAAGAAGGCCAGAGCTTGTTTGCAGAGCTGGCAGAGCTGGAAGGAGGTGAAGAGGAAGAGGAAGAAGCTGGTGAGGCCTCCCAGGCATCCACCCCGCGTATGCAAGCCGCCTCAGGCTCTCGCAGGCCCTCTGAAATCGCTCTGGACAGCTTGCCTAAGCCTGTCATGGTGGATAGCGGTATGATGACTGAGCCTTGGGAGCCTCAGGCTGCTGCGGCGGCTGTCGTGGGTGAAGGCAACCTTGACAATGCCCCGGCTACACCAAAGAGAAGCCAGGCCGTTGATCGCGAAATTGATGCTGAATCGGAGACAACCCCTAAACTGATCAGCTCGGGCACACAATGGACACCACTCAAGGGACCTGTTGTAGACGGGGATCACTTGTCCAATGTCCCGACACCGCCGAAAATGGCCTGGGATGAACATGCTGAATCCCAGCGGGTTGAAGCGGGTACTCAGGCCGAGTCAGAGGCACCAGAACTGGGCGTGGCGGCCATTTCTTCCCAAGAAACTCGACCTGCTGAACCCAGGTGGCGTACACTGGAGGTCGCTTTTGTCGCCGGAGGCGAGACTCTGCCCGTGAATCATGAGCTTCCTGAGCCCGAGGTCCCAGAGTTCAATGTTTCCTCCATCTCCTCACAAACAACCGAACCCATTATGGCTACTGTGCACGAACCCGAGCCAGTGGTCGTGGAGCCGGTGCGAGAATTGCCCGAGCTCACCCTCTCATCTCTCTTCACCTATTCTACCGTACCTGTTCAGGCACGCCTCCCCGAACCTGAACCGGTGGCTGAGATTCCAGAAGCCACTCCGGCAGAGCTGGGCATTGCTTCTATCTCGACTCAACATACTGAACCAGTGGAGCCCCGGCATCCCGAGCCTGCTCCCGTGCCAGAGCCCATTATCATTCCTGCGCCGGCGCCTGAGCCAGTTCTTCCGGAACTGTCCATCTCCATGCTCGATCCCGCTTCTACGCAGCCTGTTGCGCCGAAGCCAATCGAGATACCCGTTCCGGAGCCCTTGCCCGAGCCAGCTATTCCGGAGTATTCGATCTCTTTGATGGATCCGGCCTTCACCAAGCCAGTGGTGCCGACCCCCATTGAGGTTCCTGCTCCACCCGTTCCATCAGTATCTACCCTGAGCTCAGTGGAAACCCAGCCCGTCCAATCTGTGCCGCCAGTGGCTCCTCTGATGGCTGAATTGGGTATCCAAACAGAACCCATGGAGGAACTCAAGGCTGCTGCTGCTGTGGCCATTCACGAAGATGAGAATTGTGAGGCAACTCGCAACCGTGCTAGCACCAGCGCCAGTGATCGACGCACGAGCATTGGTCTGGCTCTCAGCGATATTTCCGGTAATGCCTTGCCGCAATCTACTACGGAGAACCCCGGATCTGTTAGCATGGACCAGGGCTCGCAAACTATTCTGTCCGCGAAGCAGATTGATCAGATTCTGCTCGACCGACAGTCCGCGCGACCAATTTCCTCCGCTGACAGCAAGACAAAGGATGTAGCTGCAATGGGGGCTGCTTCCGCTGCCGCTGCATCACCTTTTGCCACGCCTAAGCTCAGACCTCGTCTTCAAGGACAGTCATCGACCAAATCCTCAACACCAAGTCAGCGACGACCCGATAGCTCTACTAGCCAGGCGTCTGGTCTTAGCGCTCATCCGCCATTGCCCTCTGACCACCGCGAGGCGATCATGGCCGCCGAGAAGAAGTCGATCGATATGCAACCAGCCGCGTCTCCAGGTGTAATGGGACCTCCTCTTGCACCTGCCTCGGCATACCGCATGAACGTGCAAGGGCCGCGAACCCCGGGAGAACAAGCACCGGGGCCAGGCTCGACAAGATCCGTCTCTACCCAGGCCCGGATGAGGAGAAGCAGCCAGAGTCAGATGTCAAGGAGGTCTTCGGTGTCCTCGTTCGCATCCGAATTGGAAGAGCGGTTCAACATGGCACCCAACGCTGGCGCCATGCCTCACGGATACGGGCCCAACACCGACCCGCGCATGATCCAGGCAATCACCCAGACCATGATCGGCGAGTTCCTCTGGAAGTATACCAGGAAGACTGGATCCGGGAACATGTCGTCAACCCGTCATCGACGGTACTTCTGGGTGCACCCGTATACTCGCACTCTTTACTGGAGTGAGCAGGATCCACAGACAGCCGGAAAGAATGAGCTTCGGACCAAGAGTGTTCCCATTGAAGCCGTGCGAGTCGTCGCCGACGATAACCCTTACCCCCCTGGACTGCACTGCCGTAGCTTGGAAGTTGTCAGTCCGGGCCGTCGGTTGCGATTCACTGCTACTACGAGCCAAAGACATGAGACCTGGTACAATGCTCTGTCCTACCTGCTTACTCGAGAGGAAGATGAGAACTGCGAAGACCATAACAACAATGTAACCCTGGATGATATTGACGAATTCAACCCCGGGTTCCGCTCGGCTTCTCGCCAGACAGGTCGCATGTCCCAAGCCTCCCACAATAGCCGTCGACAGGCACCCAAGCAGCAGCGAGCTGCCTCTGCAATGTCCATGCGGTCAGGAACACAAGGACGCGCGTCTCCCGCATTCAGCTCTCCGGGCCTCAACTCCACGTTGCAAGTACCGGAAGATGCTCCACAGCGATCTGCATCTCGTCTCAGTACAATTCTGACCGGCTCGATCCGCGGCTCAATTGCTAGTCTCAAGGGACGCCATGGTCAAGCTGAAAGTCTTCACAATGAAAGTCTACGCGGCCAGAACAGCGTTGAAAACTTTGGTCACACGCACGATGCCGACGAAGATGAGCGACTTGAGAACGTCCGTGCCTGCTGTGACGGGAAGCACGATGTCGGCTCCCTCTCCCGCACCAGTCGATATAGCCCGAGAGTTGATCGCATCCACTCCCACCATTAAAAGCATTGCATTGAAATTCGGCTTGGCTGAGTTTGCGGGCTGGTCCTCAAACCGCGACGGCTTGTGTCACTCATATAATTGCCATGGGGCTTCTTTCTCTCGACAAGCTCCTCTCCTGCCCACCACTGCACCAACTTGCATCCACTTGGACGAAGATAGAAGGTGCAGTGGTGAACGTTCTTCTTTACACCTTCTGCATGAACCATGTTGCGCTTTTTGCATGTGCATCCGTCATGCCATCACCTACTAGTACTACTTTGACCTCTACCTTTCCTTTTTGTTTACCGCTTGTCTCTCCGGACCATGCACCATCTCCTATCACCGTCCCTCCTTGATCAATTCGTGCTGCATATTCTTTTCAGCCATGTTCAATCTGCTCAGACGCTTTTCTACATTTCTTTCTGTTGATAATTCTGTCTCGATTGCCGTTCCACTCTTTCTGTGATCGTGTTCCTTCATCGTTTGTGCCATACGCACCAGAACGTGAGCCTACTAAAAATATTAGTCTTCGTTATGATTCTGTCTTGTCATCCATGCGTAGAGCGAGTTTCTTTCCAAGTCCCAATTGATAGAAAAAGATAAACGCACACGATCATGATAGAAACGTCATTTCATTTGTCTAGACCCGGTCTATTACTTGATCTAAATAGCTGCGATGGAACTACCTCAATAAAACATTTCATCCGAATTATTACCCGACGTCGTTTCGAGCAATATTTAGACAAATTGCAGATTTCACTCGTAATAAAACACGGCCACTTGCTCCTCTGATTAGCGGTTGGTTCGTCGAGAACGGCCCTCACGATGCCCCTCGCTGTATACAAAGCAAAATCAAGCATGACCGTCTACATAGCACAGCGGTCATCAATGCTTCAAGAATAGCATGAATGTAGTAGGTTCGCCTTAAAGTTTAGAGCCCACCCTCGCCTCTGTCAAATATCATGGCCGGTTAAGCCTCGAGATGCTGGTCGTGGGAGATAATTTACGGAGGACATCTAGCAAAGTTCATTCAATAGCCGAGAAATCCGAAGTAGTCTTACCAACTGTTGACTGAACACACATCGGAGCCGACTCACTTCCGAGGCCAGGGTTACCAACAGGCCCATATGGGATGCAATGCACCTACCTCGCCCATCTGTATGACCCAGACATCAGATACGCAAATACAAGACGTACTAAGCTACGCGTCAACGTAGATAATCCCGCCCCCAATGTTATACCGATGGTGCCATCGTAGACGAGGATGATGCCCCGACATCCAGTATCAAATCACATGACCCACTTGGCCTATATCTTCGACCCGTGGATATCCTCTTCTCTACTCATCCAGCACATCCCAGCAAAACGATTTGCAATATGTCGAGCGATATTCCCCCTCCCCTCGGTGAGCGGATTAAGGGCCTTTTTGAGCCCGCTCCACTTATGACCTGGGCTATGTCTCGTGAGTATTTGTTTATAGTCGTCTGAATAGATTGTTCGACTTTTAACTTCGGCGTTTGGTTTTGTTCGGTGTTTGAAACTTGCCTCGTGCATCATTTCGTTTTATTGTTCTTCAAATCTTCTCGCAATGGTTTAATGCAATGATAAAGTCATTGTGTATTCCCTGGCAATACTTCATCGCTGGCTTACAAGAGACCCTCGCTTACGACCTACGGTTGTTGGGGCGTGAGGTTGCATCTACTCCCTTTCTCAGTTCTTCTTACCTCCATTCCCCTTTTCATTCCTCTTTTACTTCCAACATAGCAATTTGGATCAATCACGCTAACTCATTACGAAATACAGATTATATCCGGGTGTGTGTCGAGGCCGTCTTCCAGAAGGGCGAGATCCTTGCGCCTATCCTCGCCACCCGCAGACTGCGAGATGAGGCATTTGGTCGGTTCTGGGTGGAATTCAGCAGTAAGTCTCACCAGCACAATGAAAGAAGAAAAAAAAAAACCTTGCGTGATATTCCTCCCATCCAATCATTATATCAACCATCTGATCGACTAGACCAAATCACCTAATAGAAAGAATATACTAACTCCTCACAGCCCCCGCACAAAACGCCCCGCCACCAACCACTACAATCGCAAATGAAGAAGACTCACCCCAACCAAGTAAAAACGCCCACGGCTCCTCGGACCTCATCCCGCCACTCCTAAAAGCAGCAAACGGGATCATCCTAGACATCGGTCCAGGAACAGGCACGCAAATGCCCCTCCTCCGCTCCCCGTCCATCACAGCAATATACGGGCCCGAGCCCTGCGTCGGACTACACGCACAGCTCGCTAGGAGAGCGGCGGCTGAAGGTCTCGCGGATAAGTATTACATTCTCCCCTCCGGCGCTGCCTCGTCTGAACTTCTCCCTGCCCTCCGGGAGACGGGAACGGGTGTGGTGGATGAGTATGAGCGGACTGGAAAAGGAATCTTCGATACGATTATCTGCGTGCGTGTTCTGTGCTCGGTGCCGGAGATGGAGAAGACAGTGGATGAGTTGTATACCCTGCTCAAGCCGGGTGGGAAGGTGTTGGTTACGGAGCATGTGGTTAATCCGTGGCGAACGGCAAAGGGATCGATTCTTGCAAGGATTGCGCAGGGTGTTTATCAGTTGCTTGGATGGAGCTTTTTTATTGGGGATTGTGCGCTTGATCGGGATACGGAGAGTGTGCTCAGGAAGGTGGCGGACCGGGATGGGGGGTGGGAGGTTGTGGATTTGGAGAGATCGTTTTCTTGGACGGCTATGCCGTATATTTCTGGGACTTTAGTCAAAAAGAGTGATTAGATTGGTGGGTTTAGTCTGTGAAGGTGGTGCTGTTATTTGATTTTATGGTATTAGAGGAACTACAAGCATTCAAGGTGAACGTTTGATCGCTCTGTACAGTGATGTTTCCTCCCGCTGATAAAAGCTATGGGTATGCATAGCGATTCATTGCTTTAAATGGGTATCAAGTCATAAGAAGATAAGAATGTACACGATCCAATGCGGGCATGATAAGCTGCATTATAAGAACTGGATAATGCGGAACAATGGGTATTAAAAATGTCCAAGAAAAGATCTCACATCGGTCAAATCAGTAAGGCTTAGGCCGCCCCGGGGGCCAGAAATCAAAAAGATCTAATGCCTCTGATGTCCAGGGCCCTTGCTCATTCTCGGTTTCTTCTGCCTGTTCAGAAGTAGTACTCAGTGCGCTTCGCATGATTGTGGGCCGAGCCTGGAGGCTGGGACTTCCCGTAAATGCAGTGGGATCAGAAAGTGATTTTCGTAGTGGTGCGTCGAGGGATCTCTTCGCAGGGAGATTTCGTGGTGCTGGTTGGCTTCCTCCTTTATCGGAACCACATCCTGGATTGCCCGCCATCTCCTCGAGGATGGATTGGGTGGACACTGAGGGTATGAACTCCGTGTTGGTAGATGTCGGATCCTGCGTCAGGACGCTAGTTGGTCTACGGGGTAATTAGTACAGTAGGCAATCAGATATTGCGGGCATGTACTGACTCCGACTTTTTAGGGCTCGGATTTGACGCAGGATGGCTTCGCTTGCTGGGAGGGCCCATGGGAGGGCCCATTGATGAAACCGAGGACGACTTTTGAAACCCGTCACTGCTACTCGAAGTAGGCAATAGTGCATTGTACATCAACTTCCGACGGGGCTTTTCCTTTGCCATGCGCAAAACATTGCCGGGTTTCTTTGGTGGCTCTTGATCATTATTTGGGCGTGAGGGTCGTGAAATATCGTTATTCGGGAGGTCGCGATGTTTAGACGGTTCGACACTGGCATCCTCACGCGCCGTGTGAGCAGTAGAATTTGGAGGTCGCGGTCTTGTTTCTGATGGCAGGGGCAGAGACGGTTTCGCAAGTGTACTGGCAGGATTACTCGGAGGATTGGGAATCCGAGGCGTTTCTTTCGGTTTCGGTTTTGGCTTTTCGAGCGGCGTAATAGGCGGGTTAGGCCTCGTGTCCTGCTGACGTCTCACTACTTCCCGTGCAGGGGGACTCGGTGGTGCCGTCTGTCTTTGTTCCGATTCCGTCAGGTCCACGACTTCCGCCGGCACATTTCTACTCCTACCCGGGGGTTCTCGGCTGAAACTCGCGGTCGTTTGGGGGGTCGTGCGGAGGATCCAGGAAGGCTTGGCGTCGGTGGAGGATGACGTTCTTCGTACGGGGACACAAGATGGCCAATTGGTGTTCGTTTAATCCCCAGCAGGTCATTCAACGAACGAAACGACTGCGAGGATCCGCCGGTAGCTCGAACGGGGGTCGGCGTTGGACGCGGCGGTTGCGAGGGTTGGGAGTCTCTGTAGTGAGATGGCGTTCCTGGGGACGCCTGGCTGGAGCGCTTCTTCTCGAACAAGTTTGTGAGATCCTGCTGCGTGGTGCTCATGCGCTCGCCGACTTCAATCAACACGCCCTTATCGAGCTCCAGCTCGTCGCCGTCTTGCACCTCTTCGGCGGCCCGCCAGTGATGATCGCCGATGTAATTGCCATGTTCGTCATAGACCATGACTCGTTTATTGAAGGCATGGTATCGGAGGTAGCCATCCTGCCAGCGTTTCGACTTGCGGCGCAGGTCATGGGTGAATAAACATCGGAACTTGACGACGGACGCGGTGACGGGAGTCTGGGAGGAGGTCGGAGCGGTAACACGCGGTGCGGACGATGGGACAGACATGAGGGTTAGGATATAACGAACGTGGGGGCGGCGACAGGGTCCCTCATGCCGAGAGGGAGGTGGAGGTGGGTGACGAGGTGCAGGAAGTCGAGGAGGAAGATCGAAGTTGCGGGTGGAGCAGTGGCCGCCGCGGTGGACCCGCTGGCGGACTCCAAGTATGCCTTGCCAACTACAGCACTCTCGACTTGTGCGGTGGGTGGACTCGCCCCCACACGGCAACTGTAGGATCGCTTGTGATTCTGTGCAGTCACATCTACCTTGGGTATGATGCGTTGTCATCGTAGCTACAGATCAATTTGCCCATTCGCCCGGGTGGAACCCCTGCATCTTCCCCGGCCAAAATTAGGTGGAGAGCCGCAGAGAGAAGGCTGAAACGCCCTTCTCTTCGGGGGCCGTTCTCATTTCCCCTCTTCTTTTTCACACGCTTTCGATTTGATCAATTTCAACGGCTGGTCCGGTCCAATGCTCGCTTGTGATCCTACTGTCGTGTCTTTTGAACTGTTCTTGTTCTTTGCTTTTTGCTTTTGCTGCGCGTCCCCAAGCTCCAGTGTCGGCTCCAGCTCCAGCTTGAGGCTCCAGCCCCCAAGCTTTCTCGCCTCAGACTCTTCCAACCGTGAGGCTGCCAAAATGCAGGGCATGCAGATGCGTTTTGGTCGGATGACCACCAAGCGGACGGCCGACGACAGCCAGGTCGCCGTGCTCTTAAAGGATTTCGAAGATGCCGACATGCTTTTGTCCAGGGTAGGTGCCATCTTTTTTGCCTGGCATTGTTATTCTACAGTGACGCGGCCATCACTAACACTTCCGTTTGGTGTCTCTTTAGATCGCGGATTCGACAAAAGCCTGGCGCGATGCCTGGGTGTCCATCGCCACCTTCCAAAGCCGCATGATGGATGAATTCGATGGGTTCTATGCTCCCATCGCCGGCTCCGCTGAAACACCCTCCCCGCATCGACCCGTGGAAACCGACGCGACGCTCCTCGGTCGAACCAACCGGATGCGCAAGGAGTATGACGATCTCCGCGAGGAGATGATCCAGGAACTCGAGGTCGTCGAGGAGCGCATGTCGCAGCCGGCGGAAAATGCAAAGAGCTACCTGGCGCCGATGAAGAAGACGATTAAGAAGCGGAACGATAAGAAGGTGAGTGGGGCGTGCACGGACGGCCTCAACATCCCACTTGGATATCTGAAGTCAGCAACTAACCCTTCACTACAGTCCGAATTCGAAGTCTACCAGGGCAAGGTCGACAGCCTCATTCACAAGCCCAAGCGGACCGAACGCGAAAATGCCAACCTCGTCAAGGCGAGGACGGATCTGGCCAGCGCCAAAGAGGTATACACCTCCTTCACATAGTTGCCACCTGGGCAATAATGAGCAGGAATATACTAACATCGATGCATAGGTGTACCAAGCAGCCGACGATGACCTGCGTCGTCGCCTGCCGACGTTGATCTCGCTCCTGTTCTCGCTGGCTCCCATCATCCTCAAGGCTCAGGTCGAGATCCAAAATCGCATGCTCGGAACATACTACACGGTACTCCTCTCCTTCTGCGAAGAGAATGGATTCCCAGTTCCGCCAGCACCGATGGACCAAATTACCACCGACTTCGAACTTGCCCACGACCCCATTCGAGGCCAGATCGAAGGCATGGGCTGCCTCGCGCAGGGCAAGGCAATTCGACAGGCGCAGGCCAATGAACAGAATAAACGCCCCACTCTTCAGGGTCGCACCAACAGCATGGCAACGACGGTTTCGACGTCCTCGCGTTCTTCCATTCCTTCCATTGCTTCTTTTCGCGGTGCCCCTGCTCCCCAGCGCCCGATGCCCACTCCAGTCACCTGCGGATCTGAGGTTTCGTCGCCAGCCTCTTCGTACATGACAGCCCGGAACTCCGTCTCTGTAGCCTCGGGCACGTCGCCTTTGCCATCAGGAAGTGACTCTTACACGCCGCCTCCGGATTCGATGCCACCCCCGCAAACAACCACCCCGTTACCCAGCGGCGTGTCGTTCTCTCCTGCTGCCCCGCCGCAGGATCATTTCCAGCGAAGCCACCAACACAGCTCCCTCAACGCCGGGCCGAGCATCCCCTTCGCGAATGGGGAGCCCTTCGCCATGGCCGCACTGAAGAAGAAGAAGCCCCCGCCTCCACCTCGTCCCATTTTTGTCACGGCCATGTATGACTTTGACGGGCAGGGTGATGGGGATCTGGTGTTCCGCGAGGGTGACCGCATTCGTGTTATGAAGAAAACGAGCAGTACGGATGATTGGTGGGAGGGTGAGCTCGCTGGTGTGCAGGGATATTTCCCTGCCAACTATGTTGAGTAGATGTGGCCTACTCGTATTCTACTGGTAGTAGGAAGATTTATACGCAACCTCTCGTGCTAGGATTTTGATAGGTTTATGCAGGTTAAAAATACGGATGGATACCCGAGGTTTGGATGGACAATGGATATGCGGGCGATTTCCTTATGTTTTAATTAGTTAATATCTGAGAGTGCTATTACACTTGATTCTTCTATTTCCGCATTCTACCAGGCATGTGCAACGGTGACAACGGGTGATACATATGGGCGAAAGGCAACAATATGCCTTAAATACATGAGTGGTTTATAGTTCAATGTCATAATGAGAACACTTTGTTAGGACAACAATACTATCGTAGAGCATCGAAATAGCTGAAGATATATTTCTGCACAATCTCACACACCGCGGATCTGAAATTATATCTGAAATTATAACTATTGAATAGGGATTACGAACAAATTATGAGACAGTATAATTTGACCATCGAAGACATAAATAGAATCATCACATTGAATGCGATGCGTTCCGCGCTGTGGAGTTTGCGGAAGAAAAGCATCATGGAAACATCATGGAAAAATGGAGCCGTCCCAAAGTAACCTGGCTTATAAAATTTAAAAAGTTAGCCCCTCCCATCAACCAACACCAAGTGGTCGAGCGGTAACTCGGCTATCACGTCTTCCTTGGTCTAGTGGTCATGATTTCCGCTTGTCATTAACACCGATAAGCGCGGGAGACCGGGGTTCGATTCCCCGAGGGAGAGATCTTTTTTGGCACTTCGCTTTAGGCGTCAGCAATTTTTTTCGGACACTTTCTTTTTGGAACCCTCCCTACTTCTCAAAATCATATTCACAGCGTTAAATGCTGCCCAGGACACTGATTGCCGTAGACAGCAAGTGCCAAGGTCAGACTTGGCTCACATCTCGCACACGGGCAGCAGCCTCTACACGGAATTCGTCGGGCAGACAAACCCGACAAACACACTGCAAATTTGTCAATTTCGCATAAGAGGGGAAGAGAGGTTATCTGAAGTCCCTCGACTGGTATCATGTTGAAGTTAATTGATTAAAAATGGAATGTCTGTTTTCATTATGAATTTACTACAATACTTGCACCCGGATGTATACATCGGCCTGCGGACATGAACACAAATGAGCGACAAGGAAGAATATTACCAGGCTACAAGTTTCAAAGCAGCACCATAGCGAAATGCCAACTCGGCACCATCAAATGAACGCCTCACCAGGCTTGTTCTCTGACGTTTCTGTCCCGGCTGGACGCCGCCGACTATTCAAAAACATCTCCACCATATGCTTGCTGGAGACCGTAGACTGTCCGTCCTGACCCTTGTAGTACTCCTCCATCATCCTATCATGGGATTCCCTCTGCCATTTGTTTTCATTGCTGGCTGCGTGGAAGTCACGGTAGCTCTTCATAGACCGGAATGAGCTGGGCTGGCCGATTGCCACCATGGGACGTCGGGCCGAATATCGTCGATACTGATCTGCATTCAAGTTCCGCTTTTGTATTTCGGTCATTTTGCGCTGCGGTGTTGGAGACTCCTGAAGACTAGGCGAATTGGCGGTTCTCATGCGCATCGGCGACAGATCCCGACCAGAGAGAACCCGGATGGGTGGAGACACGACATCGTTGGCGGCGCTATCGACTTTCAGAAGCTTGGATGGAGTCCTCAGAGGATGGATAGGGTCGACGTTTTGGGATGGGTGAATCGTCCGTACGCTGGAAGCCCTGCTGAATGGACGTGAAAAGTTGTTTTGTGATACTGCCCTGGACTCCTCAACCGGCCGCATTGCGTCCTGACCAGGCTCACCAGTGATATACGGCATACCAGTCGACTTGTTGCCGGGAACAGGTGCTCGTCGCATCATACCCATGAAGATCTCATCGTCATCTTCTTGGAATTGAGCCTCCTCGCGAACATGCTCTCGTGTCGGGCTTGTTGATTCAATTCTCTCGATTTGCGAACTCATCCACTGCTGCCAGTCCACGCTTGGCTGCACCTGGGTTTTCAACGGATTTGAGCTGGACCCACGCTTCGGGGACCTGTAGATGGCTCTCTCAGACGTAAAAATGGTCGCCGTTCCCGGCACCTCTGTGTGATCAGCGGTGGTGTCCTTGATCGGCGTGCCTCCGTTGGTGGTTTGCGAGTAGATACTGGGAGAGTCTTCCACGGTTTTCGAATTCCCATGGTGAAGAACAATGACACTTCCGGTCTCATCATCCGAGTCCCCACCACGAGGACGAGGCGAAAAAGGTGATGTCCCGTCCACATTGGCACTCAACGGTCGATTTTCCTGTCCAGGTTGAATTGGAGATGTCGTCTTTGGCGATGGAATGTATCTAAGCGGGCGAATATAATGTTTGTGTGGAGATATAGAATTACCGGCAAGAGCAGTCGCAAATGATCCAGGCGTCGACGATTCCTCACTGGGAACATGGCGGACTGTGCGTCTACTGCGACGCGAGAATGCAGAAGAAGTGCGCTCGGGAATCACACGGTGCCCGGGGACGGTGCCAAACACGATATCCTCGTTTGGGTCTTGTACAGCCTGTCGTCCAATTTGTTGCATCAAAGCATTGTACAAGTCATGACTGTCGACCCAGTCGTTGAATCTGCGAGAAGCGGATATCCTTGCCGTGGGCGAAGTCTGATCAACAGGGACGGAGGGAACCTGGGGTAGTTGCTTATTTAGGCCATCATGTTCCTCAATCAACGACAAGGATTGGCGATGACCCGTCTTGCGAGTCAGGACCGTGTTGGCTACCGTCGAATCTGCCCAACTTGTCACGCGCGACTTGGAAGTAGCCAGACTGACACGGCTAGGGGAAATTCGTGGGACTCGTAGCGGGCTAGTCTCCAGCTCCTGAGTATCACCCACATGTTCACTAGCAGAACAGTTAACTAGACTTTTGGCAACGCTGATGACCGTTGGAGCAATCGCATCATCCGATCCACACAGAGACTCGGTCTTTTGCTCCACCGGCTTGGAGATACCAAACACCCTCTTGAGACCGTTCTTGAAAGATGCAGAGAAGGTCCGTCGTCTTCCGTGAGGCTGTTCCCGACGGGACTTTGCTCCCATGCTCGTCTCACTTGTGACTCGGAATGTCTTTCGGAACGGTTTGTCTTCTCTCTTGCGCCGGTGTATGAAAAACGAAGAACGTCGAGGCCGGGCATCTACCTCGTCGATCTCGTCGAGGAATTGATCACGAGCAAGTTGAATAGCCGTATCGTGACTCTTGGAATGTCGGATTGCCCGAGACCCTTCGCGATTACCACCTCGAGTGAAAGATGGGGAGTTCCTCATCGTCCGAGGCAGAATGAACTGCGGACTCCGGTCAAGATCAATGCCATTCCGTCGTGGCAGCGGCGGTGTTCCATACGGGGAAGGTGACGGTCGTTGTCTGGTCGAGAACATCGATTTTGCCTTGCGCAGTCGACGGTATGAAGAGGGGACGGAGCTGTCTCTGCCGTCCAGGCCATTGGGCTCCCTGGTTGCTGGCAGCATGACCGAACGTTCACGAGCGTGGATCTTTTCCACAGCCTCGGTTTCGATGGACGGACATGGTGTGGTTAGGGGTCTTGTCGGTACGCCGCAGGATGAAGAGCTGTCCTCGGTCTGGTGAAGACTGGACCTCGCTCGTCGTCGTGGAATCGCAATCTGTGCCGGGCCACCGAGCCGATCGTAGGAGGATCTGGACTCGATCGAGTGCTGTTGACTCGAGCGCATCGCACTCGAAGCGGCCGCAGCAGCGTGCAGCTTGGCCACGTCGGGGTTGACAACGACTGCATCTGGAGGAAGTCGAGGTTTTCGGATGGATCGAGTTGACATGGACTTGCGGAGCCGGCCGCGAGTACTGAATGAGGAAAACATACTGCAAATGCTGTAGCATATGAGGTACCGATGGTACTGAATACTGCGCAAAGGAGATTTTGGAGAGGCGAAAGAAGCGGCCGACCGGCGGTCCATTTGTGTTGACATGTTGTTGACGCAGCGGCAGGAAAGAGCGCCGCGTCCCAAAACGGTAGGAGTGAGGCAATTCCCTTCAAAAGTTACGGACATTCCGCTCGAACCACCGCCTTCAAAGGCCAAGATGGGATTCAGATTTCCATATCTCACTGACTTAGCCATCTCCGCCGATCACGAACTGGCCAAGTCCTAATGCACCCCAAATCACATCGCCCTGACAAGTTGGGACGATGAGCCACAGCACAGCTTGACTCAAACCAGCCTCATTTTGCAGCAACGCAACTGAGAGGTAATGCAGCAGAGGAATATATAAAAAAAGGCGGAAACATACAACAGCAGGGATTCGCATGTGGTCACACACCATACTACGTACCACGCACAAAAGAATCAGGGTCGGACATTGATACGGACTGATGCGTTCAATCTGTTCAGTTTAGACGACTTGTCAATATTAGTGGACATTGAGACGGGTGATTGTGATAGCAGTGTCCATTTCTTGGGCATCAGAAAACATCCTCCACTGTATATTCTAGCAGAGTATATCATTCCATCCGGCTGGTTATTTCCGGAGTTGTATCCAGTGACTCTTTCCCTAGGTAGATTTAGACCGATTTTGTCACGTCCCTTTCCTATACTCGGTTCTCCCTGCACAGTCTTCGCAGTCCACGGCTTGCATCCAATGGCTTCTAATCCGTCTAATATGAACTCGTTCCTTCAGCACCTTGAAAATATTCGGAAAGAGTGTGTCTCAGTGTGTAAAAGCGCAAGCCGATTTTGTAAGCCACTGTAGACCATCGTCTGAATACTTTCTTTCTTAAGAGAGGAACACGGTCTTACTTAGCCAATTACGTCTAGCCACCACCCTCCATCAACCATTGCCCATCCGGACTAGCTGGTCTGTCCTGACTTACTGGGGAGACCGTGCTACTCCAAAGTGGAGAAAGGAGTAACATCGAGCCAATCATATAATTGAGTAGTAGAATTGGTTGAAGCCACTCATGTTCGTTTTTACCCTCCATTAAACAAGACAGCGAAACCCCCCAACTTGCTCCAGGCCCAAGGATTACCTCAATACCTGTAGATCAACATCTCTCTTTTAGCACTTTACGAATCTATGAACAGGAAATAAACGGTTTGATTACCTGGGTGAAGCTGCTCCAAATCACTCTCAAGCTGCAACTATTGAAATGAAACCAGTCTCTCTTGGGACAGGAAGTCCTCTAGACCTAAGCTCGCTAGGACTTTTAGCCCTTTCCTTCGAAGACAAACTCCCCCACTTTTCATACAGAGTTAAGTCCGACCATGAAATCCTCGCTATGTGGCTCTGATCAGGAGTCTCTTGTAGTATTTCGGCATCAGGCGTACCTCCGGGTAACAAAGAAGCGCGCGTCCAGCCGTCGGCATTAGCAGGCACTTGGGGAATGGTCCACTGTTCGCTATCTCCTTCATCAGGGATCTCTTCTGGGGCAGGCTCAGGCTCTTCGTAGACAAGCTCAGGCACTTCGGAGATATACTCAGGCTCTTCGGAGACAGGCCCTTGGAAAAGAGATTCATCTGAAATGATGCCGTTCGGTATCTTCATTGATGATCCCGCAAAAAGTCGGCTCAGCCTGATTACCGTATCGTTAATTTGTAGGAGGTGACTTACCGCGCTGTTCTTTCATAGAACATAAGCGAACAGATAATATCTCGAGAATCATTTTCATCACTGCATTATCTAGAACTCGCGTAAACCAAGCCCTCGATCTTCAGGCTTAAGTAATCGCTGCAGGTTTCCTTGAATGTAACTTGGAAGCCAGGTTTCACCTGCGGGGAGGCTTGAGAACACGTCCCTCACAGCCCGCAGTATTTCAAGAACAGTAACCTCATCATCTAAGTGCTTCATCTTTTGTTTAGCAAGGATTTCAAGGTCAGTCAGGCCCCAATTCCTTGATGCGTGGTAGACTAGAACGCTCCTCTTGTATTCTCTGGCGAGATCTGATGTGCCTTCGCCAAGAGTCGAGCTGACCGTCTCGTAGCCGCCTGTGTGTAAGAAGTGCACCACGGTATGCCCAACGTCTTCAGTCGTCAACTTGAAGTTGAAGTCAGCACAGTCTCACTGGCAGGAATCCTCTGCGTTCCAACTTGAACCTTCCAAGATTCAACTTGAAGTTGCCTTGTCTGTTTATTAGTAAGATCGTACTACTAGTGGAGTTTAGATTGTGTTATAGCTTTCCAGAAGTTTAAACCAAAAACTTCTTGAATGCCCCCAAGGTTCTTAAATGACATTACTAGTATTTCTTGTTTCTGGCGCACCAAATAGCTGGAGAAGGTATTATCAGAAATCCAGGGACTCCCCAGTCATCTATCCCAATTTATTCCTTGCTAGTAACCCCAAGACACGCAAAATCCTTCTCCGCAGATTTGTACATTTTTGAAGCGCGGCAACCAAGAGCTTCCTCATTCCCTCACAGATCCGCAAGGACCTCAGTCAATTGATACAATTCGCGCCCCAGATCACCGTTGACTCGATATCTCTCCGAAAGAGTCGAATATTCCAAAAGATCACTCGTTTCCATCCATGACCCGACAATACTACCGATATCGTCGCGCTCGCCATCAATACGGGCCTCACGAATAACCCGTCGAAAGCCGTCTAAATAAAGCACCAGGAGCTTTCCCGTTTGGAAGGCTTCCTCATCTGCAATGATCATATACGTGCTTGTAGCAACTTTCTGTAATGCCGTCCCAGTTGATTCAATTACTGAATCCCGCTCATGAAGCCACGCTCCGGGGTCGTTTTCTTTTGCGATAGCGAGATCCCTCTTGAAATAAGGGTACATATTCTTCAAGATGTCGTCGCTTGGCTCAGGGACGCGCTTGACTATACGTTCACCATCACTAGAGCGAGAAGGTTGGATTAAAAGCGGACCAGCGAGCTCGGGTAGGATATCGTAGATTCGGCGCCAGGAGTCTGGACCGGGGCCAAAATTGAATAAGTCCTCACTGTCGAGAACAGCCCATTCAGCTTCTTCCCCAAATATTTCTGTGTCGATCCATTCTTCCATTTGCGCATCATCTTTGGCTCTCTGGTCCTCTGAGGTGCTATAATAAGTACGCAAGAGATAGGGACATATATCATCTGGATATGGATCCATTGCGTACCATCGCAATTCTTCACAGCGATAAGGTCGAAGAATTATATCAATTTCTTCTGTTGTAGGTAGTCGAAACCCGAAACCCTGGGCAGGGAGGTCTTTGGGAATTTTGAACCATTTAAGAGGAAGAATGTTTAGGTTGAGAAAATCAGTGACAAGCCTGCTTCGTTGCTGGTCTGGATTTTCGGTCGAGGAGAAGTCCCAGTTTAGCTTTGGAGAGTTAGAAAGATACCCTAGCTGAAGGAGAAAATGATTCCGATATAAACCTACTATAAAGTACTGCTCAATCAGTAATCTACCCCAAGCGGGCCCTGTCTTGTCCGAGTCAGACATGATGACGGTGAAAGTATCGTAGAGCGGCGGAGTTATGGGGGAATAAAGACCGGAACTTGAAATAATTCACGGCCAGTTGCAGCTGCAGGGCTTGGGGAAACACTGTTTAAATAGGTTGTGCCAAGATAAACTGCAGGCTGTATTTCCGACACAACGCAAATTTACTGGATCATGACATCGATACTCCAGATCTGGAATAAGCACCCATAAGCTCAGAACGTCACCGGGCAATGTGGGAGGCAGTTTCCATTGGCATTAATCCCCCCCTTCCCCTGAACACCCAGTCATGTCGTTCAGCCAGCGAGAAGGTTCTGCATGCAAGCATCCACAGCTCATGGCCCCCAACGTGCGTGCGCCACTAGCGAGAACCTGTTGTTGTGGGCTGACATAACATTGTTCTTTTTTCAGCTTGCCTCCGTCCATCCACAGTGGGATGCAATAAGTACGAATCCAGCTGGAGGTCATTGTGGGTGATAGCGCTAGTCATGCATGGCAACTGGCAAGGTTGCGGCCTTTGACTGGCAGTGATAAACGATATCCCACAAACACTTCTCCGCCTCTCCTCGTGTGACTCAACTTCAGCTTCCTCGTCGACGAAGTTAACCGCAGAACTCTGTCTTTCCACCGGCCTATCTGACAGCCTCGTGCACTTCCCTCCGCACCATGGCATCCCAAAACACCCGCGACAGCCCCGATTCTTATGCCATCGCCTGGATCGCCGCTCTTCCCATCGAGCGGGCCGCTGCACAAGCGATGCTAGATGAGGAGCATGCAGCTCCAACGAGCTTCACGCGGCACCAAACCGACACAAACGTTTATACCTGGGGTCGCGTGGGAGAGCACAACATCGTGATTGCCTCTTTGGCCGCCGGAAACTACGGGACCACGTCGGCTGCAACTACAGCTTCGAGCCTGCTTGCCTCTTTGTCATCCATCCGTGTTGGTCTTTTGGTGGGCATAGGCGGTGGCATCGCTCGACCGGAGGAGGGCTACGATATCCGGCTAGGTGACATTGTCGTGAGCCAGCCCTGTGGGACCACAGGCGGCGTCTGCCAGTACGACTTGATAAAAGCAAAGTCTGGGGACAAGCGTGAGCGCAAAGGCTTTCTCGGACGGCCTCCAACGGTCCTCCTCAATGCGCTTACCAGCATCCAGGCCGATCACGAGCGGAAAGACTCTAAGGTTCCCTGCTTCCTTCAAGAGATGCTGGAGAAGAACCCGAAGATGGGCAAGAGATCCAAGCAAAATCCTGGCTATGCTCACCAAGGCTTCGACAACGACCGCCTATTCAAGTCTTCATGCGACCACGTCCTCGGCCCGGACTGTCGGGGCTGCGACACTGCTGATGAGGTTCAGCGCGATCCTCGAGACACTACCGACCCCGATATCCACTACGGGACCATCGCATCCGGTAACACACTCGTCAAAGACGCTGCCGCGCGCGATCGGATTGTTGCTGACCTGGGCGAGGATTGTATCTGCTTTGAGATGGAAGCGGCCGGCCTGATGAACCACTTTCCCTGTCTTGTGATCCGAGGGATCTGCGACTACGCCGATTCTCATAAGAACGATCGATGGCAGCGCTACGCCTCGGCGACTGCCGCTGCTTATGCTAAGGAGCTTCTGGCGTACGTGCCGACCGCGGAGGTCCAAGAGACCAAGAGGGCACTGGAAGTGCTTCAATTAGGTTAGTTGTTGTTTCGTTCACTAGGGCGCAAATACACGAGACCGAACAATGTTTGAAATTGTAATACGTCCTGACTGCGAGTAGTTCAACAACAGATCGATGGCGTGCAGCAGATGACCGTTGCAACGAAAGCTGCAGCTGATTCCATCCGGTCTGACCTTCATACCGATAAGATCAAGCGCTGGCTTTGTCCCCCGGATCCGTCTACAAACGCCAACCACGCGAGAACACTCCGCCATAGTGGAACAGGTGTGTGGCTTCTGGAAAACCCGGTTTTCCAGGAGTGGCACTCGGGGTCGCGTCAGCATTTATGGCTGTACGGACTTGCGGGGTGTGGAAAGACGGTTCTCAGTGCGACTGTGCTTGATCACCTTGCGAAGGGAAACGACCGTCTTATCCTTAGCTTCTTCTTTGACTTTAGTGACACCACAAAGCAGACTGTGGATGGCATGCTGCGGTCGCTTGCTTTTCAACTTTACCAAGGCGGGGTTAGCTCTGCAATTCATCTCGATGCATTATTTCAAGCACACCAAAATGGCAGCGACCAACCTGCGATAAAGGCGCTCTCAGATATTGTATTCAAAATGCTGCTTGTCCAGAAGAAGGTCTCAATCGTTCTTGACGCATTAGATGAATCCAAAATAAGACATGACGTTCTCCTGTGGATCAAGGACGTGGTGTCCAGGCCGGAGTTGGGCCATGTCCTGCTGCTTTATACCGGTCGACCTGAATCCGAGTTCCAACGCGATATTCCCCCAATGATAGGAAATCAAAACTGCGTTTCTCTTGACAAACACGCTGTCAACGCGGATATCCGATCATGGGTCACAGCACAGCTTTCTCAGCGGCGCGATTTTAAAGAGAAGCCCTTGTCTCCGGAGCTGCTAGAGAGAATCCGGAGGAAAGTTGGCGACGGGGCAGACGGGATGTAAGATATTATTTCTTCGATTCGATATGCTGACGGTTTGCTGACGCCCTGTTTAGGTTCAGGTGGGCGTTCTGTCAATTGGACAGCCTGGCTCGATGTCGCCACGAGGCAGCTATGGAGGAGGCTCTCGTATCTTTGCCGCTAAACCTAGATGAGACATACCGGCACATGATTGCAAGCATACCGACGGAATTAAAAAGCGACGCGATACGCCTCCTACAATTTCTAGTGCACTCCAAGCGTCCTCTCAAGCTGGCCGAGGCTAAAGAAGTAATAGCGACGCAAATCGAAAACGAGTCGCGAGGGTTTGACATCAAGCGTCGACTGTTTTACGAGACTAATGTTTTGGATTACTGTCCCAGCTTAGTGACAGTCGTTGACGCAACCGATAAAGAGTTACATCTTGCCCACTTTTCCGTCAAAGAGTACCTTCTGAAACAGAATCATTTCAAAAGTACGACTGCCAGCATTCCCATCACGAGGACGTGCCTGACCTATCTTACGGACATCAACGGTAGTCACAGAGAGATCAAGCGAGGTTTTCCGATGGCAAGATATGCGGCGGAACTCTGGACAAACCATGCTGCGTTGGCCCAGGCTTCCAAAGATATAGTTCGAGTAACAGTCAGGTTCCTAGAAAAGGAATCGACTTTCCAACGATGGGCTAGTTTGTATCAGCCGGATAGGAGATGGCCTAAACCTGGTCTTCCACAAGGGTCCGGGCTCTATTATGCTTGCTTTCTTGGGCTCATAGCGCCTGCACGAGATCTTATTAACAAGGGAGCGGACGTCAACGTGCAGGGCGGCCGCTACGGCAATGCTCTCCAGGCCGCTTCGTTTAGTGGCCATCAAGAGATTGTCCAACTGCTCTTAGACAAGGGAGCGGACGTCAATGCACAGGGCGGCGACCACGGCAATGCTCTCCAGGCCGCTTCGTTTAGTGGCCATCAAGAGATTGTCCAACTGCTCTTAGACAAGGGAGCGGACGTCAATGCACAGGGCGGCGACCACGGCAATGCTCTCCAGGCCGCTTCGTTTAGTGGCCATCAAGAGATTGTCCAACTGCTCTTAGACAAGGGAGCAGACGTCAACGCGCAGGGCGGCGACTACGGCAATGCTCTCCATGCCGCTTCATCAGGTGGCCATCAACAGATTATCCAACTGCTCTTAGACAAGGGAGCGGACGTCAACGCGCAGGGCGGCCGCTACGGCAATGCTCTCCTGGCCGCGTCGTTTAGGGGCCATCAAGGGATTGTCCAACTGCTCTTAGACAAGGGAGCGGACGTCAACGTGCAGGGCGGCAAATACGGCAACGCTCTCCAGGCCGCCTCGGTGGCAGGCCGTCAAGGGATTGTCCAACTGCTCTTAGACAAGGGAGCGGACATCAACGCGAAGGGCGGCGAATACGGTAATGCTCTCCAGGCCGCGTCGTTGGAAGGCCATCAAGAGATTGTCCAAGTGCTCTTAGACAAGGGAGCGGACGTCAACGTGCAGGGCGGCCGCTACGGCAATGCTCTCCAGGCAGAGTCATTAAATGGCCATCAAGAGATTGTCCAACTGCTCTTAGACAAAAGAGCGGACGTCAACGCGCAGGGCGGCGAATACGGCAATGCTCTCCAGGCCGCGTCGTTTAGAGGTCATCAAGGGATTGTCCAACTGCTCTTAGACAAGGGAGCGGACGTCAACGCGCAGGGCGGCGAATACGGCAATGCTCTCCAGGCTGCTTCATCAGGTGGCCATCAAGGGATTGTCCAACTGCTCTTAGACAAGGGAGCGGACGTCAACGCGCAGGGCGGCCAGTACGGCAATGCTCTCCTGGCCGCGTCGTTTAGAGGCCATCAAGAAACTGTCCAACTGCTCTTAGACAAGGGAGCGGACGTCAATGCGCAGGGCGGCCGCTACGGCAATGCTCTCCAGGCCGCTTCGTTTTGGGGCCATCAAGAAACTGTCCAACTGCTCTTAGACAAGGGAGCGGACGTCAATGCGCAGGGCGGCCACTACGGCAATGCTCTCCAGGCCGCGTCGTTGGAAGGCCATCAAGAGATTGTCCAAGTGCTCTTAGACAAAAGAGCGGACGTCAACGCGCAGGGCGGCCAGTACGGCAATGCTCTCCAGGCCGCGTCTTTTAGAGGCCATCAAGGGATTGTCCAACTGCTCTTAGACAAAAGAGCGAACGTCAACGCGCAGGGCGGCGAATGCGGCAATGCTCTCCAGGCCGCTTCATCAGGTGGCCATCAAGAAATTGTCCAACTGCTCTTAGACAAGGGAGCGAACGTCAACGCGCAGGGCGGCATATACGGCAATGCTCTCCAGGCCGCTTCGTTGGAAGGCCATCAAGAGATTGTCCAACTGCTTCAAAGAAGGCACGCTATTACATTGTCTTCAAAGCGGTCGAGCTCTAGGACTCCAAGTTACCCGACGAAGAAACTTCGTCCCATGGACTCTGAACCTTCTGATCAAATTCGATAATTCGTTCAGTAGACCCCACCATGGTGTCTATCTATTGCCTAAGCTCAGGTGTGATCCCTCTAATCACTTTGCCGATTCTAGGTGTGGCTAGTTAAGTCATGACAACCTGCGAATGCTACTTTGTCTGGGCAGCGGTTACTATTTAATCCAGATTGTATTGGGATCCCATATGGATTATCAAACACGGACAGGAAGACCGCGAGTCCACCTACGAACTGGGGTACTAGTTGGATAAAATGGACCCGATCACATGTTATTCTTCTGCGAATCCTGAGCAATCATAAGCACCCTTTTATATTAGATACGGACACATGTAGCCCCAAACAGGAATACACTACAGGTATGAATCATGCCGCGCGGAGAGAAACCCGTTAGAAGAGTTGACAAAATGAGAAGAACCTCTTATGTCAATCGTGGGACCATGTAGAGCTTCCTGTCAGAAATGTTGTACTGTAACGTATGTGAAGGCCGAGAAGCTCTCGACGCAGGTTATGGAGACTCGAATGACCAAACTCAGCGAGGACTATCTTGCTACGCTATCGAGCATGGCCGATCTCGTTTTCACCCGAAATCATCGCGTCGGAGCAAAAGTGCTCTTGATTTACCACGACCTTGCTTAGCGACGCAAGACAAGTTCTAGGGCTTATAATAGTCTCTCACTGACAGCAATGGCCCTTGAAGAGAATACGCAGGCGCGGTCGGGACGGATTCGGAAACCAAAGGTGCCAGATGGGTTTGAGATTGACAGGCTGTGAATTGTGATATTACTCTACCTTTCTACAAACAAAATCCTATCACCTCGTCATCTTTTCATCATTCTCCGCCCATAACATTACCCTCCGGTAATCTGCTTTCGAATGTTACTATATTATTAGAGCAGCGGGTAAACGAATGACAATACAAGTCGAGCGGGAATTCTATTGGATCTTACAGGTACCTGCCCGCGAAAGAGACAATATAAAATTGTTGTTGTTGTGTGCCGAGCGGGAGCGAACCATCAAGCCATTTCACAGCTCTATACGAGTAAGCCAGTAAATCCAATACTACTTATATACTACAGGGAGTAGTCAATTTACTAAGGCAATGAATGTGAGCTCGTCAAATTCTTTGGACACCTTGAACATTAGATTTGGACGATTTGACTCAATAGTGCAGAATTGGCGGGAATGGATTATTTGGGTGTGAGATCGATCATGGAAACGTTAGAAGTAACATACCCATCAATTTCGAGACGCCTTTGGCCCCCTGCATCCGCCCGAACTTTCAAATCCGCCGAGTCAAACGCTTGACCAAACATCACAACATGACGCAAGGTGCAGTAGTCTGTCTCTAGGTTGTCTCGGAACACACTGCAAATTTTTATTATGAACTGGTCGGATATTTACAAGTTCTGCAATTTATGGACGCGTCGCGTTTTACGCAGAGTTTGGCCACTTTCATTTGACACGACCGGCTCATCCCGTCGCTACTTAAAGCTGATGAATTTTGAACCCATAATTTGAAGATATTAACTTATTACATGGAAGATGATTTGTATCAGATCAGCAATTAGCTTGGACCATAAACTGGACCATAAACCCCCAAGAAACTCAGCAGAAAATCCAGCGTTTAAGTAGTATGTGTTTGAAATTTGAGCATCTCTGGGTGGAGCGACCTCTGTGGTCAATTTAGTTTAGACTGAAGCTTTAATCATGTAATTAATTCACTTTTTGGATCGTCCAAATGAATCAATCGGCAAATGAACATGGGGAGTTTGCGTCTGATTGAAAACCGGTTGCTTGTATTTCATTCTTAGCGAGGAGATTGGCATAGCTCGAGCCTAAATAAGCCTTCGACCGACGATTGTCTGTCTATCCACGACCTCAGAAACTCAACTCCTGCCTCTAAAAGCAACGCACATCGCATTGAGCAGTATGAACAACCTACGAAACTTCTTTGGACACAGGAGAACAATCTTTGGACTCATGTGATATTCACAATGATCGGGGCTCACTTTGACCGTATATTGAATCTTTACGTGGTCGAACCAAGGGATATTTGTCGATCGGCGGTAGATCATTCACTAAAATAATGAATGTATGAAGTGATTTCGACAACGAAGGGTAAATGCTAAAGAATCATCGGCGATGACCCATATTGCTCCGAGGAGGATTTTGAATCATTGATTCGTCATATGAAGACCAAATGACCTCAACTTTGCGCCGTATTTGCAAGAGTTGACACGCTTGGCATTGAACTGCTCAGTTTAACTGGCGCTCAAAATTGGCGGGCTTAGTGAAGATGTGGATCTCGAAGCAATTGCAGCTGAATTCCAAAAGGCAGTACAGGTGGATCAGGCTAATGCTGCCCGGGGTACGTGTGAATGGGCTTCCATGGAGTGGAAATGGAAACAGGCGAGATGAACAATGATAGAGCCGTATTTCCTTCACCCCCCAGGATTGTTTGTTCTAGTTTTAAACAAAGCTTTGAATTAGTCTATTGACTCAGGCTTTGAAAGTTCCTGTACATAACTAGTGTAGTGGAGGATTGCTGGTCAACTTGGCGCAGGATACCTATTTCTGTTTCGTGGTTGGTTTCTGTCGTTATGGTGGAGAATTAGTATTGTAAGGAATTGTCAGATTGTAGTTGACTAACCTAGTTACAAATTTGTGTGTGTACGAACACAACCAATGCAGACGACTAGGTATCGGTGATTCGTGCGTGTGATTGGGTCCGAAAGCTGTTCCGACAGTTTCTCTTATACTTTACCCGGTCATGTTTCTTCCTGGAGACGGGGATTGTCCGTTGGTAGCTAGACAATCCCTCTGATTAGAAGGACTCTTGATAATCCCAATGTCTAGTCAATAAACGCACAGAGATATTTTGGAGCCTCTTTTGGTGGCTCATCGGTACTCTGTACACAACCTCCAGGATGCATCTCTTGGGCCCCTGATGATGGGTGTGACACTCGAGCCTCCGTGAATCCTGCAGATCCTTTTTGTCGGCTCAGCCCCACAGATAGTTACCCAATCAAAAACATACCAGGGGGATCAATGCCCGACACTAGCTTAACCAGTAGACAAATTTAGGAACGATACACGGAAGGTGTGTTCAGAATACGAGAATCTCAAAGATAGCGTCTTGGCGCCAAGTCCTTGGTGGATGTGCCACTTTTAAGCCCCTTGAAAGCCTCGTCTACCTTATCGCTATTAAAGTTGCATTGTCTTTTCATGAACAGGCCTCGATACATCTCCTGATTTCCAATGTTCAAACCACACGCCCAGCATGGGGAAGATCAAATATCTCTCGATGGTCTTGATGACCAGCTCGCTTGTGACTGTAACAGTGACAGCGCTTTTGGCATTCGCAGTCTATGTGAATGTGAAACAGCCAGTGGCCGGTGAAGTCTCCACGCCGGGTTTTCCAGCCACCAATGTTAGTGCATCCCAGTGGAATGTCGGCTGCGCTGTTTTAGGAACTGCAGTTGGGATACTGGTGACGGCAGGCCTTGCTTTTGACGATGGGTTGCTCACGCGGGAAGCTATACTTCGCAAAGAAGGTGTCGCTCCCTTTTATCTCCGTCCATTGACTATACCGCGTGGAATGGACCAAGTCAGAAATGGCTGGTCCCATGTTACTCGTATGTTCCTTCTATTTCTTACAATCGTCGCAACATTATCTACCACAGCAACTGTGGCCATATTTGGCGTTCATAATGTGGAGCAATCCCTTTATAACCCAACAGCGAGCTGGCCCTTGGCAACGATTCTCAAGGTCGTGCAAGAACAGAGACATGCTTCACCATACGTCGCTACAACTTCCTACAATCTCGCGACTTTAGATGCGTTCCTGTTTAGGAGTGCGTATATAGTGGGACTCAATACATCAGTCAAGTGGAAATCAGACTACCCAGGCTTCCTGTCGACATGGTTGCCAGAATCTGGCTCATTGGGGGACACATTGTATCCCACCTTGCATACAAGCGGCATTGGCCTGAACGTATCGTCCTACCTAGACTACACAGGACGCCCACGGATTGGATTCGATGTCCCCGCCACATACACATTTAACAAACTCTACGGGGACGTATTCGGCACGCACATCGACGTTACATGCACAGATGCGCAACACACATTGACGACCGACATGATGTCGAACAGTGGGAATAATTTCACTAGCTGGTACTATCAAATTGATACCCAGAAAGGGGCCCACCTGGCCCTCTCTTCCGAACTTATGTTTTCGATAAGCCAACAAAAATCTCTCAATGGCCACCTGACCGTTTGCTTGGGCGAACCTTGATGCGCGTTTTCTCCTGATATCAAATTCTTCCGTATTTGGGTGCTTGTCCAGCAACAATCGCAAAGTGTGGAGTCTGCCATTCTCCGCCGCACCCTCTATCGCACTTCTTCCTTGCTCAATTGCGGGTGCTCCGTTTATCTCTGCTCCGCACCGGAGCAAAATCTCCACAATGCGGATGTTTCCCTTGATGGCCGCCCCCTGCAGCGCTGAGACTCCCCTGTTATGTGCTGCCGGGGCGTTGACGTTGGCTCCACGGGCTATGAGATATTCTGAGAGCTTAACAAGTCGGCCTTCCGCAGCAGCCTGAAGCGCCGTACGACCCCTGATGGGGCTAGGTAAACCATTGACGTCTGCACCATGTTGTATCAAGAGCTCCACCATCTCAAAATTATTTTTTGATACTGCTGTCTGTAAGGCGGTCATACCGCCAAGTTTATTTGCTGGGGCATTGGCATCAGCACCTTTCTCGAGGAGTACCCGAGCAACATCAATATTATTGCGAGAAGCAGCAGCCTGGATAGCTGTCACATCACCAGGGGAATCGCGAATCCAGCGTTGGTTTGGGTTAGCACATGCAGCCAATATGCATCGGAACACGTCAAATTTGCAATATGTTGCAGCCTGCATGATGGAGGTTTCCTTTGTGGAAACCTCATTATTTCCAGCGCATGCTCCTGCCTTGAGTAGAAGTTCAAGGAGAGACACATCAACCATCACCTTCCCCAAGGCTAAAGCTAAGACTCGATGTCTTGCTTTTTGGTCAGAAACTATAGCGTCGGGACATTTCGCAAGAAGCACGCGAACGAGCTTCTCGTTTAATGTCACGACTGCCGCTTCAATAGCTGAAATACCCCCGTAAGAGGCTGCTTCAGACTTGATATCTGCTCCAGATTTCAAGAGGAGATCCATCACCGACTGCCTATTCTTCTCAGCTGCCGCCTGTAGGGCAGTGCGCCCCTTATATGGATCAGCGGGGGCATTGATATCAGCTCCATGCTTTATCAATAGCTCCACGAGGCTTTCTTGGCCCTGTGCTGAAGCTTCTTGCAGAGGCGTGAGATATGATTTGGCAGAGTATCCCGGATTGGGGTTTACACCCTTTTCAAGAAGTTTTCTTGTTGTTTCAAGATCTCCGCACTCGACAAAGGAATGTAAAGGAGCATTGCGACTTTGGTTTGTGGGTACTTCGGTATCTACCCCTGCACGCATCAAAAGACGAAGTATTTCTTCCTTAACTGCTGGGTCTTGGAGACGAGCGGCTTCTTTGAGAGCGGTTACGCCACCGGTGACATATGGGTCGGTGTTCACAGCTGCCTGAGAATCCAAAAGTATTTCTACTCCCTCGATGTTTCCAGCTGCTATTGCAAACTGCAAAGCAGTCTTTCCATTCCTCTTAGATGGAGGAGCATTGACATGAGCCCCATTTTCCAGTAAAATCCTCAGGATCTTGGTGTCAGAATGTTTTGCTGCAGCCTGGAGGGCAGTCTCCCCGTAAAGTATGCCTGCAGGAGCATTAACGTCTGCCCCTTTTGCCAAGAGCAGTTCAACAATTCTTTCGCTCATAACCATCACAGCTATTTGAAGCGCTGTGTGACCTTGATTTCCTTTCGGTCTAGCATCAATATGAGCACCGTGAGTTAAAATCATGCGAGTCATGGTGATGTTCTTTGCGAGGACAGCTGCCTGTAGCGGAGTAAAGACCGGGGTCGTGTGAGGTGACATTTCATCGTCCAACAATTCTGTCTTGCATGTTCTCCAGCTAGGATTTACCTTGGCTCCTTCGTCCAACAGAAGCTGAACAACCTCCCAGTTCTCTCTAATGGATGCGATAAGGATAGGGGGCATGAAAGAGAATGAGAGACTTTCAGCCAGATATATTGCACCCTCGTCATTGGCAGAGTAGTAAGAATCCGAATCGGATTCTGAATCCGAATCCATCTCGCTATCCTCGGTGCCAACAGCATGTAGGTTCCCCTTTTGGTAACCCGAGCGTGAATTAATATTTGCACCTGCTTCAAGTAGAAGCTCTGCCATGCCTGAATTTTCAGAAAACGCGCTTGCAAGTTGAAGGGGTGTCCCACTCTTTGGATTGGCAAAGAAATCAGGATCTGCCCCCTTTTTCAAGAGATATCGGGCTAATTCAGTATCCTCTGCTCGAATCGCCAACTGCAGGGGTGAAAGACGGGAGGACTTAAATGGCGGATTCACAGCAGCTCCGAAGCTGCACAAAAGACTCACTCGTTCAAGTGGGTTGAGATATCGAACAGAACATGCAACCTGAAGTGGAGACTGTTTGTCAACGGTCAGGTTTGGATCTGCACCTGCTTCCAGTAACAATGTCACACATTCATTCCGGGCCTTTTGAAGAGCTCGGTGAAGAGCTGTTGTTGGCACGACATCTCCAGTCAAGCAATCGAGATCCGCCCCAGCTTGGATCAAAATGTCGCAAATCTCAACTTCTCCTAATCCTGCTGCGCTTCCCAGAAGATTTCCCATGAAGATCTCAACTGCTGTGTCGTTTGATTTCAAAAGTGTTCTCAGCAAAGAAAAGGCACGGGATTTTGCAATAAGGGATACCAACTTAGCAGTTGAACCGTCGCTAAGATGATTATTCGATGACAGGTAGATGCAGTAATTGAGATAGTCGAACAACTTATCTCGCAAGGGGGATTGGATCGAGGCTTTGGCTTTTCCTGCACATCCGAGGTTGAAGTTTTCAGATGTTATGGGCTCTAGTTTCGAAAAGAAACTTGGCCCGTCTGAAACATCAGACGATTTAAACTGCTGCGAGAGAATCAGGCGAGTCTCCTCGGCCATGCTCTCGTTCTCGGTGTTTGCTATGCAGTTCTGGGGCTGAACCCCCCAATCTGCGCTTTCTGATGTAACAGAAGGAAAAGAAATAGGCATATCACATTCAAATATGTTGCCGGTATGATTGAACGGATCTGTAGCAGGCTCTCTGTCCCCTTGCAAGATAAAATCTAACGAACTCGGATCCGACAGAATGATCGGCGGTGGAGAGGGCGCACTACTGAGCTGCACCGCTTCTGGGATTACCCAGTTCGGAAACTCAAGGCTGGGGGTATGTGACCAGTCGTTCAGTAGGAGAGTTGCCTGACTATCGGGTTCAGTGCCAATATCGTGAGGTTGCGCTCCAGGTGTGCACACAAGAATTCCTTCTGGTGTCTTGGGATCTGAAACTACAAATGAGCATTTGAATCTTGGCTTAAATCTTCCAGGTCAAGACCACAACACAGTTGTAACGTACCAGACGTCTCTATCCCCGAATATTTTGAAGATAATGGAACATGGCGAGATATCTCTTTTCTGACTTTGGCGTCAGGGACGCGCTTTCCACGCATCCAAACCCACCCGGGGTCTTTCCCATCCCGCTTTCGTTTTTCCTGGCGAGATGAGACGAACTGCCAGTCTTCTCTGGTTGCGTTTTTCTTGTACCCCCATTTATTGAATTGACGAGCAAACTGGCTTTCACTTGGGTGGAATTAGTCTTTTTGCTCATACAATAAGCAACACATCTCGCGATTTTTACGACTGACCTTCTGTAGAAGCCGTAGCATTGGGACATGTATTTTTGAACTTGTTTGGCAGTCCAATCTCGGTCGAGCCACAGATGTTTGAGCTCCTCGCGGTGGGTTTCCCACTCATCTTCGTGACTCTGTGCCATGAGTCTGCCTTTTTTGGTCTTCTGGATGGGCTTTAAGGGCCTAGGTTTGAGTGTGGTATACGATTATTATATGCTTGTGGGTATTGAAGCCCTTTAAATTATATTCGTGGGGATGATTCTTAACGTTCTATTGGGTATTGCCAGAATCCAAAAAAAATTCTTCAACCCTTGTCAGTTTTCCCAGCACAGGTCATAATCGCTTGGGGCCGTTTCTGGCCGCGACGAATGAGAGCATTGAGCATGGCGCCTCGATGGGTCGACAAGGACCTCTGTGATTGGTGGAGTCCCAAATGTCGATTGGCGAGACGAAACGAGCTGAGTCCTTAATCCCTGTCATTCTGGACTTTTTGCTTATTATGCCCGGTCGCAAATCTGGATATGGTGCTTACCCCTTTTCTCCTTCCCCTGTTTTTCGTCCTGGTCTCTCAAGCTTCGATGTAGATACATATTTGCCATAATTCTCCTAATTTCTCAAACGCGCCAGTCTCTACTGAGTATAGTACGATCCATTGTTTAGTAACTCTTCGCATTAATCATATCATATTTATGTGACATAAATGTTATGCTACAATATGATTGGCTCATTCCTGATTTTCGTGTTCTGAATTGCAAATGAGCAAGCATGCGATGTTTTGATAAGAACCTTTAACGACTCTTTCTCCACGCTCCACTAAAAATTTCGGCTTTGACGTGTCTAATGCCGCCATTCGTTATGCGTTTTGGCGGCTCCTTCAAGATTTTAACCCGATATTTTGATATGACAGTTATTGTCGGGACATAACATCCCTTTCTTGGTGTACGCATTCTTGCGCGGAGCTGCGGCTCCGGTGTTGTGAGCGCCGAGTGTCCGTGCATGGGATTAAGGGGTATCTTGGGACCTGACCTGACCTGACCTGAGAACACATCTACACACATCTACACACATCAAGATCTATCAACAGAATCAATTGACTTTTGCTTTGGAGCATACACACTGTCCACTTAACTGTGTACACAGTATCTAGCTGGTGATACCAACAGTTATCTCACCCACGTGAACCTCACGAAAGCGCAGAATTCGCAGATGATGTACACCATTTGTGACTTGTTAGTGCAGCAGACCGCAACTCTTCATCATACTAATGTGATCAAAGGTAATCTTCTTGAGCCGCATTAGAGGCTGCACTAAGTTGCTTTGGGCCTAGTAAAATAACACGGAGTAAAATATTTTCAGCGATTATAGGCTCTATCTGTTGACAAGGGGACCCGGTGAAAACCTCCGCGCTGGCAACGGGCAGCGCCGGAGAAAGGGTATCCTAAGGAGACGTGACAAGCGCTTCATCAATGATAGGTTTTAGAAAGTCCGATATGAAGTAAAACAATTGACGTATTCTGCAAAGGCCGGGTGGAAAACAACTCTCCATATTCAATAGATCACATGCTGGGGGTACCCGGGTGACTAAATTGGGATTTGAAGTCGAGAGCACCCCACTGTCGGAGATATGTATTCCCATGCCTACACCACTTCGGGCATCGAAATGGTGTTCCCCGACTTCACCCTGCTATCGTACAAGCTAGATAACATCGTGTGAACAAGAAATTAGGAAGGCTACTAAATCCACGAGCTAAGATCCAATTGCATTTTGCGGGGAAAAAAGGGGGCACGAACATATATTAACCATGACCGAATGTCCTGGCATAAAGAGGGAATTGCCAATTTTGACAGGTCGGATGCAAGAAATGCTATGTGTACTTATCTAATATCTGTCTCTGTATTTCTTCATTTTTTTCTAACTTCACAAATCGGATAAACCCGTACAGCAAAGACTCCCAAGTATCCTTACTCACTCACTCAAATGGCCAACCGTGGCTGCGTGGCTCGTGAATTGGGCCATCTGTAGTGATAGAGAAGTCTATGTGATGTCTGGTCTGGGTCTTGAACATCTTTCAGCTCCCATACAATTTGGAGGATCTGAAGAGCTGCTGAACCGCCTACCGCAGCCTGATTCTGTGCCTGGTAAAGGTTGCTACCAGTGACAGAAGCCTTTGCTTCAACCACCAAAATTGGAAAACGAAGGCCCCCAGGGATGATTTTTGGATCACTGATCAGACTAGCAGTATCTTGCAAATCAAATAAGAAGCTTCGCGCAGCACTACGTACCCCTTCAAGCTGAGGATCCCTCACTAGGCTATCGTCCGACAACCCAAGACAGACTTAAGGACTTGGGGCTTTCAGCCTGAACTGGGGTTCCGATCCCGAACACTCGCGCTAGGGGTAGCTTCCTGTGTTGTTTGGTTCGGTCGATTTCGTTCCCGTGGAACGGTGGGCGGAGGATTATGCACCGGCGCTTTTGCATCTTCGCGTCAGTATGACGAGGAGTACGGTAAATAAGTGTTTCAACCACGAGGTGTAGGAGTTACCTCGATCACACATAGGCTCGAGTCCGTGAGATTTTAGCTCATTGATTGACACATCTAACGCTGCTGTTCCCTCGGCCTCTCCTAACTGCTTTTTGACGAGATCCCTATGCTTGATCCAAAGTCTTTCAGGCATTCGATGCAAGCAACCTTCGTCTTCAATGTTACGCCAGATCTTCTTCGCAAAGTCCCAGATGTCAGGTGATATGTCGCTCGCCATCTATTAAAATGTTCGCACGCCGAATATGATTGACACGATATTGAGCATCGCTAGGGCTGAGCGAACTGCTAGGTCGTGGTCGCTGTGAGTAGATAGAGGACGAGAAAGGGAGGAGGACAATGATCGGGATATCTGCTAGATTTGAAGTCATCTCTCGCGGGGAGGGAGGTGAAAGGTACTGTGCAAGTGAAGAGCATTCGAAGTCAGCTTAGCGTCCCATCGCCATTTTTTTGGCTGTTTTGAGAGTAAAGACCCGGAAAAAGGAGAACGCATCCGCTTCACCGGGGAGTAGCTGGAGCTGAACTTGGACTGAAGGTACATGTAAGCCCTTTCGTCCTTTGTCGCGCTGGCAATGCGAAGTGTTCTGCTTAACGCTGAACGTGCTGACACGCGCGGGCAATAAGAAAGGCGGTGGACTTGATCAGGATTATCATTGACCTAGAGAAGGGGTCAAGGGTACAGAAAGCATCTCGTTTTGCAACAAACAGAGCTCGGAGACCGACAGTGAAGTCACATCCGATCCCGAGCCATGGGCTCAGCCCTCTGAAAATTATTGATTATTTTCTCACTCGGTACAACCAATACTCAAATTATCATTGCTCACCTAGGTATACGGATTACTCTGATGATATGAAATCCGTACTGCTAATAGTAGTAGTATAATCTGTATATTCTCCCCTCTTCATTCCGCATACTGAGGCAGCCATTGGAAGGAACCTTGGACGTGGTTGGGCCTGGTGCGCACCTGCAAATCCCTGAGGGCGTTCCTGCCAGGTTTAGCGCTTGTTTACATCCAAAGTCTATTACAAAGCATTCCCAGGTCATAATCTCCTCATTACACTACCACTCTATAGTAGTACATCCTTGTGCTTTGTTGTGCTTTGTGTTTGTGTCACCAATGCCTCACTTCCTCGTTACGCACTCGCCCTTCTCACCCGGGTTGCGCGATGGAAAAGCGGCGATCAGCTACTTCCCCACTAGGCTAGACCTGGCGATTGGCTAGCCTGGCCATTGGGCGTGTGGGTTAAGTACGGCTGAGCGGACGGGAATCCCTGTTCTCCACACCCTATGGTCGTATGTAACAGACTTGGGATGAAAAGAGGTGTATGAAGAGTATCAATTGGGGGGCAAATATGAGAATAGGCGACCGCCGCTTTAGCGTCGCGCGACCAGGAGTGAAAAGGGTGAGTGTGGAATAGTCAGGGTGCGAATCTGGGCGAGAGTGGGTGATTCTCGCCTTCTAGGGCCGGTGCACAGACCGTCTTAGCTGAACTGTCTCTTGGCATCTGCACGCAGTCACAGATGGGATGGGGCCAAGGTACGAGTATCTACTCACACGCTCTTTTAAGGTACGGCTCATAGAGTCTAGACATTGAACATGCTCGTGATCTTACCCCTTCCATCTTGGGGCAAACCCCGAGCCTTATGTCTTTGCTAGGCAAACCGCATCGCTTTTATCCCAACAGTCACGTACTATGCTCGAATTAGTTTGCTCGGATTATTTTAGGCCCAAAATAAAACAGGATCAACCCCTAACAATAATGGATCGAGTACAGAGTACGGAGTAGTTTAGCAATTCGAAGAAGCTATCAATCTACACTAGCCGTGACACACCCGTACTGGCAAATGGTTGGAATATGTCCCTCCAAAAACGAGAACGCCACTGTCACATTGGAATCTCAGACCAGCTCAATTAAATCACGCGGCGTGGCGTATTTGTTTGGAGGAAGTAAGTATCGCTAAACACAATAGGGAAGTGGTGGGGGTGATCTCAATGCCGCTAATGCAAGTGCCTTTCGAACTAACTTGTTCGTTTTATAAACGTAGCGTTTAGCGCCGTCTGGATAGACCAAGCTCGGGCCGTGGTAAGTCCTAGCCGTAATAGATTAGCTTGGCTCGCAAAAGTACCAGTGTAATGAAGAAATTTACGTGACCAGAACTCGCTCAGCTTACTTCAGTACGTGCACGTTTTTCCAGGAGGCTGAGTTTCATTTCATCGATCTCAGTACCTCAAAAATCTGGCTGTTGGCATGCGAATTATGCGCAAATTTGAGACAGGAAAAGTCATTGAATCCAAGCCCAGTTATGGAGTACGAAAAGGACCACTTGAAGCTGAGATGGCTCTCCGAAATTCCGCGCTGTGCTGTATGTCGCATCCTATTTCCTTGTCGCTGGTCCAGGCCGACCCAAGTTTTGAGAATTAACACTGACTCTCAACAATGACAGTTTGATTGCTTCTATTCACAAGCTTTGGAGCGCGGCTGCATATATCAAGATTTTAGTTGCATATGTTTAGCGATCGCAGATCTCGCAATAGGTGCAGATGCTGAGGCCTGCATCAGCGCGTGCCCTGTAAACCCAGACCAACGCTGTTTGTAACCGTCTTCTTCTATTCATTACTCCTATGTGACTGACCTTGATTGATTTGAAGGGGCGCCATCTCGAATCCTAGACTTTTGCGACCTGGTTGGCGAACATATTCAGCTACCTGAATATATGAATCAGTTTGCTGGAATGCATCGGCGAGCTGCTTTCAACTTTGATGCCAGTTACTCCGATTATGGCAGCTTTTTCTCTGATTATAGCACTGCCGACTTCGATTCTGCTAGCACCGCCAATGCCCAGCCAACATTGGCATCAGCGACAGCGATACCGGCACCAGCGACAACGACACCGGCGACACTGACTGGTTCACCGACATCGTCACCAACATCAGTTACTTCCACGGCAAGTGCACATACTACTGCTATGACTGGCTCAGCCTCTTCTGGTCTCTCGACTGGAGCGAAGGCCGGGATCGGAGTGGCAATTCCAGTAGCTGCCATAATCCTCGGGCTTTTTGTTTTCTGGTACCTGCGTAAGCAAAGGACCAAAGAAAGAAATTCTGCGTCTTGGGTCGACAACAGTAGTAATACCCCGGAACTCAGTGAAAATAAAAATACAGTGAGGTCATTGCCAGCTTCGCAAACCCACATTGCTGAAGCAGATAGCAACACTATTCACGAGTCTGGCGGCAAATCTGTCGTTCCATCAAAGTCCCCGACTGCCGGGATGCAAAGTCCTACTGTTTACGAATTAAGTGGTAATTCCGTCATCGAATATCCTCCTCCCGTGACAGGTTCCTCATTCATACAAAGCGACTCTATGGACAAACGAGTCCACCCACTCGTCGGTGGAAGAATATCTCAAAAAGCAGACATATCAAGCAGTTCTACGTCAGCCACTGAAACTAAAGAGAGCGGATCCAGTTTGCATATTTCTTTGGGTGATTTTATCGACACCAGTATATCTCCTCAAAGGCTCCAAGAGGGCTCTATGGAAATTACGCAGCGGTTGCCGACATCTTTGGAAAGCGCTGATATGCCGCTATCACAGCTTGAGGCCGAAGTCGCGCTTATTGCGGAGGAAAAAGAGCGTTTGCAGCAATTGCAGTCCCTAGCAGAAAGAGAGGCAGAGCTTAGAAGACAGATTTTGGCACGCAAGTCTGCAATGTAACAGGCAAAGTATTACAGATAGTCTAATCTGTCTAAATTCTATGTGCATATCATTACATTGGCTCCTTGTAATGAAGTTGATCCCAACCCTCAGCCACGGGGCTGAGAACGGATTGGCTTTTGATCTAGTGGTAACGTCTAAATGCATAATAAGTTGATCTTGTCAAGTTCTTTTCAGATGTCCTCAGGAAGCATGTTGGATTCTTGGCTGGATCTTCCAAGCAAAATGGTGTACATGCTTCAGCCGACCACCAGATTTCTTGGTGACATCAAGCAGAGACGAGGAAATGAGATGTTGCACTCCAGTCTCCTTAGAAACTTCGGTGACGTTCTTGCCGCGCACGAACTCGGCGTCAGAGCCTGCGACATCCCAGGCGGGCGTGGTGACGAGGAAGACGGAGTGACTTCCTTGGATGGCTTTTACCAGAGCGTCTTTGGAGTTCATGTCAGCTTAGAGAGAGTGTTAGTTTTCATTTGAACATGTTATTCGAGAGATAGTTGCCCACTTACCGAGAAAAGCTCGAATCCCTGCTTCACAAGAGCCTGAGCCACTCGCTTGGAGGTATCGGGGGTGATGCCCCGAATCTTGAAATCCTTGGATAGAGTTTCATCTTGAAGGATTGTCCGGGTCACGGAGCCGCCTTGCTCTCTGGTCACCACGAAAACGGTGTGAGTTTGGACATGATTGATTGCTGGTAATTGGTCTCAATTGGAGATTGGAGAGATAGTCTTTGCTATAGCGATATCTGAGACTGACTGTAGTCAAGCAACATTTAAATAATGCCGTTCAGCGATGTCAATGACGCTATGTTCCACTGGATGTAGAGAAGGAGCCTGTCAGCGATATCTTGGAATCCATGCCATGGGCTATCGACAACAACGAGGATGCTGACCAGGTTATTTCTGGACCAAGTCTGGATATACCTCAGCCAGAGAAATAAGCCACTTCAAAGCTAGTGGAGCCTCAACAGATGATATCACCGTCACCCACGCCATCCATTCAGCCTATACAGGCCTCAATGCATCGCATACCACCAGAATCAATCCCAGGTGCCTTTCCGGAACCACTAACTCGTGTTTCTCAAGATCAACTCACTGAACAACTTCAGAGAGAGCTCTCAGCCGCTACACCTACACAAGGGACTCGCATTGCGCCTAGAGACATCGTGGGAGATATCTCGACTCGGAACATTCTGTCAGGCTCACGTAAACGAAGATCAAGAGATATCAGCAATTTAGCCATCTCAGCAGACGAGGATGCTGAAGAGGGTATACTCGCAGCCTTTGCAACTGGCCTCAACGGATCTCACTCACACACGAGACCTCACCGTGACGATCTTCCCCCTGAACTCCGGAACTGGCGAGAGATAATAAATCACCCGTTCAACGAAGGTTTCCTAGCAGCCGCCGGCCTCGAGGTAAAAACTATCGAACGAAAGGGCACCTTGGATGTCATACAGCGTCCAAATGACCGCAGCGTGCAGGTGCTTCCGTTGAAATGGGTATTCAACTATAAATTCGATAGCGATGGATATCTCGCGAAGCTGAAGGCGAGAATCTGTGTGCGAGGAGATCTCTAGAAGCTCTCTACAGAAGAGAAATATTCAGCTACCCTCGCTGCTTGTACGGCCCGCGCCGTTCTCGCCCTAGTCGCTGCATTTGATCTTGAAACACGCCAATTTGATGCCGTCAACGCCTTTCTCAATAGCTCACTGGATGACACAGAGATAACCGAGATGCCAGAGGGATTCAGACAGTCTGGACATTGCTGGAAGCTCTTAAGAGCTCTCTACGGCTTACGGAAATCTCCGAGGCTCTGGCAGTGCGAGGCCTCAAAGGTCTTTGACTCAGCTAGGTCTCACTGTCGTTCAAGAAGATCTTTGTCTCTTCGCATCGGACGGCATTATCATATTCTTCTATGTGGATGATATAATCATTGTCAATCACCCATCTCAGCGCCAGCGCACGGCTGACATCAGAGAGAAACTCAACATAACATGGGAATTGAGAGACGTAGGCGAAGCTGAATGGTTACTAGGGATTCGTATCGTCCGTGACAGACAACAGATAGCCCTCTGGCTATGTCAAGACTCATACATCTCCTCTATGGCCGGCAGATATCACCTTACCACCTATCGCCGCTTCGATACACCCTTACCACCAGCTACATTGAAGCCGTACGCTGGGCAGGCCACAAAGGAACGGATTCATGAGTACCAGGAAAAGGTAGGCTCCACTCAGTATGCCACTACCATCACACGGCCAGATGCAGCCAAAGCAACTTCCGCGTTAGCTCAATTCCTCACGAACCCGGGACCGGAGCATCTCGAAGCGATCAACCGTATGATATCCTACCTATGCCACACTCGTTTTCTTGCCCTTACCTACCGGCCACGCCGATCTGAGGACAACGAAGCCGTCACTCTCTTTAGTGATGCCTCGTTCGCTGATAACCCTGACCGGAAGAGCTCGGAGGGATATATATGCACCATTTTCGGAGGACCAGTTGACTGGAGAGCTGGCAAACAGCGTACAGTGACTACCAGTACTACCGAAGCGGAGCTACTGGCGATCTCTGAGGCTGCAAGGAATATGAGCATGTGGAAACGTCTCTTTGAATCTATTCGCTTTGATCCAAAGCACGAGCTTGCTATCAGATGTGATAACCAGCAGACGATCCGGCTTCTCACTAAGGAAGCTCCTCAGCTGCGCAGAAGCTACGTCACGTTGATGTACACAACCACTGGCTCCGTCAGGAGGTCCAGGCAGGCAGAATTCTCATCAGATGGAGCGAAACAAAGGATATGGCTGCGGATTTGGGCTCACCAAGCTACTGCCGCGTCAAAAGCACGCAGAATTCGTTCAATTGATGGGCATGGAGGATATCGGAAACCTGCTCGATTAGCAGAGGATTTCTGGAGATTGTGCGAACGCTGAGGGGGTGTGACAAACTGAGGGGGTGGTCAAATACCACTAGGACCCTTCGGGATTGGCTTATTCATAGTTCACCCAATTTCCACCTAGTATGGTGTCATAACACGCCATAGTTCAAATATAAAGACCCCTGAGATCGCTCAACCGATCTCAATAACCTTCAATCAATCATCTTATTCTGTTTGGACATCTTCAGTACTAGCAAATACATCGATTCCTCATCCTGACAGATAACTATAGGCTCAGGGATCTTTTTACCCTGACGAGATCCCCACATTTCGGGATCATCTCAACGCTTTGTTTATCCCCGCTCTGGTGTGAGGGCTCCCAAGGGCTGAGATCCAAGGCCATTGGGCTGATTATGGCTACGGCCGACCTTGGGAAATATGGAAAGACCCCCCGTCCCCCGTCTTGGGTCTTTGGTTGAATCTCCTCAAGATTCGTTTTTGTACTATCTTCACACATACAACTGGAATGCATACGGTTTCACTACCATTACCGAACCGCACGGAGGGGAGACAAGGTTTCATTATTGTAATGCCGAGGGAGGAACGGCGTGCCACATATGATCAAGATATCTGCTTCGTATTTTGACCTCCAGGACGGCTATACCGAAACCCATGTTTCCTGAACTCTATCTCACCTCCAGCCGACCCTCCAGAGGAATGTCCAAAACACTCCTACCCAAGTAAATCTTGTAGGTTCCCCTCTGAAGATCCCAGCCCTGCTTCTTTGAGTTCCACACACTAAGATCTCTGCGCGTGAGCTGGAACTGGAGCTGCACCTTTTGACCTACATCTAGCATCTTCTTCTTGTAGCCGCGAAGCTGCTTCTCCGGAGCTCCTGGAATACCAACGTACAGCTGGACGACTTCGGCCGCTGCCATTTCCCCGACGTTGGCGACCTCCATGGTGACCTCGGCGACGTTGTCCCAGAGGGGAGCAGCGCCACCCCATGGTAGACGCTCGCCGGTGGTATCATCGCTTGTGGCATTGTCTTTAGAGTTTGCCGTCTCCACCGTGCCCTTGTAGGCGTCCACAAAGGATGGGACGATATCGTCACGATGGGTGATCTCCATGTTACTATAGGTGAAGCTGGAATAGGTGAGACCATATCCAAACTCGTAGCGTGGGGCGATGTTGTTCTTGATGAAGTGCTTGTAGTCAATGTAAACACCTTCGGTAAAGTTGGCTAAGAAGACTGTGTTTTAGTGGCTTTTTGTTCCCTTTAGCATTACTGTGAAGACGTTTTGATGAACCTACCTTGAGTGTGATATTGGCTGCTACCGTCGGCATGGGTGGGCTCGAGCAGATGGCCGAAATCAGACTCCTTTTTAGGAATGGTGTACGGTAGTCTTCCAGACGGTGAAGTCTTGCCATACATGAGGTCTACCAAGGTTTTGCCCGCTTCCTGACCAGGCAAGTGAGCCAAAATGACAGCGGTGATGTTGGGATGATCAATCCATGCATCGACGACTCGAATGCCTGCGTTATGAATCACAACCATCGTGTTGTCGCACTTGCTGGCGACATTGCGGACAAGCTCGTCAGACCAAGGATCTGCCAGCCCACTGCGGTCGAAGCCCTCAGAAGCGAACTCATTGATGAAGACGATGCACGCATCGCTGCCACCCATGACGCCGGGGTCCTGGTCCTTGAAATTCCACGAGAGCATGGTGAGATCCTCGCGGGCCTGTTGGGCAAACGCAGCATAGGGAGACACAATCCATGGAGGGTTTGACGTGCTAGACCCTCCGCCAGTAATGAGAGTTCCCTCGTAGCCTGCCCTGGGCCCGTTAGGCCAGATGTTTGTCCCGTTGCTCCAGTACCCGCTAATGTAGAGTTGTGCCACGGTCTCGCTGGAGTTAATGCTCTCGTATCCGAATAGCCACTTCACGCCACTAGCAGGATCAACCACAGCGGGAGGAATCGCATCGTATCCGTAGAGGGACAGAACCGTGGGATTTTTCAAGGGCAGCGCGTTGTTGACGTTTTTAACAAGCACATGTCCTTCAAGAGCTCCTTGGAAGACAGTGTCTTGCGAGGCGTGGCTCATGGCATTAGTGTGATTATGAGGTAGCGACCAGTCAACAGTGGGCGGGTCCCCGTGGCCGGGGTTCGGGATAGAGCCAAATTTGTTCCAGACGGCCACGATACGCGTCGCCATGTCGTCGAGACGCTCCTGGGAGAAGGATCCGTTTGTGACGGCCAGAGACAGGTTGGTGCCCCAGAAGCCGCCGCTACTGGGCATGACCATATCGAGACCGGCATCGGCTGCCTCGTAGCCAGCGTGCAGGGCTTCCCAATCCGATATGACAAAACCCTCAAAGCCTAGCTCCGTCTTGAGCAGGCCGTTCATGGTCTTACTATTCTGGCAGGCATAAGAGTTGTTGATGCGGTTGTAGGAGCACATCACACTGCCAGACTCGGCCTTCATAGCGTCCATAAAAGGCCAAAGGTACAGCTCGTGCATGGTCTGGTCATCGACGTTCGATGATACAGACTCGTTGTGTCCGATTGGAAACCGATTTGTCTCTTGCTCGTACGCGATAAAGTGTTTGACACAAGCAGACACGGTGCCTCTGTTTTGAATCCCTTTGATGGTCTGATAGTTCATCTGTCCGGCCAGGTAGGGGTCGGAGCCATAGCCTTCCCAGTTGCGACCGTTCTCGGCGATGCGTCCGACGGGTCCACAGACCGGCTCCAGAGCAACGTTCACACCCTTGGCCTCGTACTCAAGCCCGCGGTGGAAACCAGTGCGGAAGGCCAAATCGTCATTCCAAGAAGCCGCAATGGAGATTGGAGCAGCGTAGGACGTGACGAGTTCCGTAGGACGGAGACCAGAGCCCGATCCCTGCATACACATGCCAGGGAAGCCAACTCGCTCAACAGGGGGAGCCCAGCCAGCGCAACCATTATTCGGGTGCGTTGCCCCCGTCGTGATGTTAGCCTTTTCCTCGTTGGTCATCTTGGCAACCATGCTGGCGGCTGCCTTGTAGGCATCGGCCCAGCCCTCCGAGGTCCCTACTCCCTTGGCTATGACACAAACCCAGTGTTAGCCGTTGCCCCAATATTCTTGTGCTGGAGCTGCTCTGACTTACGAGAAGGATACACTGGAGGCGATCTGCCATAGTCCCAGAAAAGGCTCAGAGCAGTAAAGTCTGTCGATTCCGAAGTGGAAGGATCGCGAGGTGTAACAGCAGCCGACGTCGAGGCGGCTAGATAAAGCAACAATGAATTCTTCATGATGGTTAAAAAGAGGATAGTAAGCCAATCAAGTGCATCTCAGTTTTCCTTTTTTCTTGAATTCTTTGTATCCTTGAGACCTTTGACATGATGTGTTGGGAGACCACCGTCGGTCTTTTAACGACTTGAATCGCGAGTCAATGGATCAACCGAAATGCGGAGAAGGAGTTGCTCCTAAACCAAACCAATCCATACAGCTCTCACGGAGCCCGACTGCCGAACGCCACCAACTTAACCCCGACTGCCGGCGATGACGATCACGGAAGCTTTCATCTTCGTGTGGTATTCTGCGTAGATGTTGGGGAGCTCGTACCGGGGCCAACAGGATTTGGCTGCTCGCACGACATACAAAGTGCTTAAAGCCTCTTTGGGTAAGCTGAGAGAATAACACGATTCTCCTCAACTATTGTGTAGCTAGTTAACTAAAAAATCTTACTAAGCTCAGAACTATTCATAACGTAATCGGTAAGCGAGCGCCGCATGGGAACGAGCGCCGCACCCCAAAACACCCTATTAAGTGCGACAAATTACCACTTGATATCCTGCCAACAAATGTTTATCGTAGGGTGTTCCTGTGATCTAATATTCTTTGTGATATATCTAGCCTATTTTTAAAGTCTCTAAGAAAATTTTGAGGTTGGTGATGCAAAAATATATAACTGCAGTGTACATCGCTCCAAATCGTTGTATTTTACTGTATCAGGATAAAATAATTATCTCATTGCCCTATATTTTACCGTATGGCTTATTACATCCGTAGTAATTAGTAATTCAAGAATAAAAGCAAGAGCTCTTGTCGTTGTTGAGATATTCGACTTAAAATATCGCATTTAATATGATGTTTTTTGGGGTGCGGCGCTCGTTTACATGCGGCGCTCGCTTACCGATTACGTTAGTTAAATAGTTAATCCTAATCTTGTGTTAACTCCTAACCATATTGATACTTGATGTTCTTTTATCGTATTTTTGATATATTCTCATCTAATCTAGTTAACTAGCTATACGTTAAGTAACATTTCAATATATTTAAATTGAATGGTCGAATCCTAGAGGGCTATGTTATGTTTTTGAACGGTGTCGGGACATATCCTTTTGTCAGAACAAGCTAGCGGCAACTTACCGCTGGCGACTGATAGATCACATTCCTGTGCTGGGTGACCTTGCGCTAAGCTGCGGCACTGGCGTTGAGACCACCGAGTATCGGCGTACGGGATTCAGGGGTATTTTGGACCGGACCTGGTACACATCAACATCTATCTACATGAATCAATTGACTTTTGCTTTGGAGCATACACACTGTCCACTTAACTGTGTACACAGTACCTAGCTGGTGATACCAACAAACGGAGATTTCAACCTTATGTTAGACTATACCCCTTTCAGGGCCGTCAAACCTTTTCCTACAGGGTTTAGTTGCGCGATGCAACTAACCATTTTGGGCCAATATATGCGGAGATATGCCGATGCACATGCAGCATTGCCTTCCGAGCAGGGTCTGGATTCAGAGCAAATACTCCACCTCCCCCCATGGTTTCAGCTCTCTCTGGAAGAGTCAATTGTCCACATGTAAAAATTGATTTCGTGTAACTGGGACTCACAGATCAATCAGAAACCTCGCATAATGCCTCGCCTAGTGCCGCAGTCGTCGACTCGCCGTTGAACCATTCAATCGACTCCCGGCGTAAACATTTCGGGCAACAAGGGCTCCATTACCCAGACCGGGTCACCAAATCGCAGTTCGTCATTTCGTGCTCCGACTGATCTCTGCTCCCGAAAAGGAAGTGAATTTTACTTTGCTCTACTCCAGGGGACACGAATTATCCAACACGTCAAGCCATGAAATGAAGGGATTTGGCATGTCCCAAGCTTGCAAGGGCATGAACGAGGTGAAATCCCAGTCCTCGCCCAGTGGAGCTCCACCATCCTGTGCCGTCATGAGCGCCTCTGTCAAAGCATCGACACTTAGATCTTGGACAATCATCGACTGTCCCGACAACCCGTCACCCGCTGTGATCAGTCTATGCCCGGTCAGAGGGTCAAATGAAGCCACAGAGTCATGGCCACCTTCTGTCTTGCGAGGCGTCATCCCAGCGATTCCAGGAGAATCTGTCTGGGGAAAGATGCTGCTGGTTTGCGTTGTAGCTGAACTACCAGCTGACAGGATACTGGTCCCGCCATCGGCATCGTCTCTTTCCGAGAACCTGGCTAGTCGCAACAGACTATGGACGGCCAGCTTTTCGTTCATCTCGGATGTTGGCACTCGCGACGCCGAGCGGGGAGTCAACGTAGCCAACTTGTGCCTGTTGTTCTCCATCTCCGCAATGATGGGACCTACAAGCTTGTTTTGGGGGAAGAATCTCCGCAGCGCTGCAAGGCACAGCTCCAGTCGACTGGCTGCAAACTCCTCGGATGGTCGAGTTGTGGGGTCTCTTCCAAACCTAGAGATGAAAAAGAGCAGACGCGTAGCATGATATGCACATATAGTCGCGTCAAACTCTAGAAAACAAAAGCGGGGTGATTGTTGATTCAACAGGGTCAGGGTCAGGATGATGGCGTTCGAGTGCTGTAAACACTGACGCTCTGCGCGGAGTAATAGATTGTTGCAACCATTCTCATCATGATCATTGGTTCCCTGCCGTGAAAGAACTTCGAGAGCAGGTCGAGGTACTGCCTCGGGGTAGCCTCGTAGTAGCAGTCGATAGAGGTCGCAGTGGCATTGATGCCAACTTAATTGCAGAGCTATGTGTCTCGGTAGCCAGCGTGACGTGATCAACGCGTTGATCTGATCAAATGATAGCTCTGGGCCATGAGGCATCTTGGCGCCAATGTCAAAGAGTGTGCGCTCGAATGAACGAATCAACGATGGGATCTGCGGTGAGATGCGCTCGCAATGTGCAAAGGCTCTACCTAGCTTAACAATGTCTCGGCGCAATGACTCCAGATTGACGCACAGTTGATAGGCGCCGTAATCGTCTTCCAATGGCGATGAAGAGTTGAGATTTTCGGGGGTAGACTCTTGGGTTGATCCGGCATCGTACGCAGACTCGACGCACGGTAGCTGAATATAGATACTTTCAAAAGGGCACAGTTCAAACTCCGAAAGACCGATGCTGAAGTATCGTTCGACGAGCTTTAGACTCCACACGATGCGTCTTCGGGTCTCTTGCGCCACGAAATCTAGGCCTTGGTGTTCACGGTGGAGTCGAAGAGCAGCAGCAAAACGCGCCGCCATGGCAGCTAGCATAAATGCTCTTTGGAAACGCCCCGTATGCATACAGTGGTTGATGCAAAGAAGGAGGGCCTGCAGTCTTGCAATGGTTGGGCTTTCGATACTCGACCATATGATCTGCTCGGCGACTTGTATTGGTGCGAGTCCGTGACATGTGCAGTCGAGAGAATGCGTCGTGGCGTCATCTTCATTTTGGGGGACAGCACCGTTGTCGTGGCCGCCTTTTCCGGTCTGTAAGCGTATAGATATGTGTAGAGTTGCGACTCCAGCGAGGGCGAGCGAAAGACAGGGGTCGAGGGTGCCCGCATGGCATTTCGTTATGGTGGATGCAGGATGCAGAAAGGAATATGAAGGTAGAGGATATTCTTCGTGGAAGAAAGATTCGACAAGTGCAATGAGGAGGTGGTTGATATTGCCACCAGGTTGAGCTGGAGAGGCGTGGGCAACATCTGTGGCCATAGCAGGAGAAGACGCGGCTGGGAAGATTCCTAGGCGATCTGTACATTGACAGTTTGACTTCGAACCCATGTCAAGCGGTTCTTGATTGTCGGCAGATAGAAAAGAGGTGTCCTGGTGAATAGGGACAGTTGTCCCTGACGTATCCGTGCCCGGCGTTGGCGGTAGCAAGCTCCCTTCGCTCTCCGGGGGAGGCACCTCCAAAATTCTTTCCGCATCCGCAGGTTGTGCGCGAGCCGACAGGCCCATGACGGAGGTTTGCGTCACCCGTCTCGGTGTAGGATAGACGCAGGTGATGCCGCGTTGCTTACATTTCGAACACGTTGGGAGTGTTGCCGAACACTTGACCTTCTGCGACTTGCATAACCGACAAGCAATTCTGGCCCGCCTCCGCGGAGGTCTCGACAGTGGGGCATTACTGATGCTTACGGGCAATCGGTCGCTAGTCGAGGCTAACAGTGAGCACTCAAAGCCCAGGCGCTCACAATTCGAGCATGTGTTGTATTTGCCGTCGCAGCGAACCTACACGGCAATTCAGTTTTCATGATCAACATTTTGCGTTTAAGGGGAGAGGAAGACCTGGGGACCACACGATTTGGATCCCGCGAAGGCCAAATTGGAGGTAACCCTTAAGGAACTTGGGAAGTCATTTGGGTCTTACTTTTCGTAATCGGCACTGCACGCATGTTTGAGCGGGGTAGCGCGGTGCGACGGGAGTCGGGACTGTGTTCGTCCCATTCATGTTGATCGCATATCGCTAGTATTGAGGGGGGAGGGGTAATGTGTTGTCAAGTTACTTGCCAACAAGAGAACGAGAGGGTGAGAAAGTATTTGAGAGGCTTTGGGGTAAGAAGAACACGACCAGCCGGCCAAAATGCGGGGGGAGCCGGATTGGCGGAACCATGGGATAGTGGGACATGCCGATCAACCAATCACTGGGCGAGATTTGCTCAAATGCCCGTCCGACAATTTACAGGCCGCGGAATACCCTTCTTCCTCTCCACATTAGGCATTCCGCCATCTTAGTATTGCCCCATGCCATATCACCCCATCTACACTACCGCTAGCAGACCGGCAGTTCAAATGTACCGCTACTATGCTTGGATTTTTGGAAACGTTCGAATGTGGTAGCTATGCTATTTCTTCCTCTCTCGTAGAAGCCATGCGGTACGGTTCATTGCCGTGCTTAATACTCTGTATAATCAATTGAGATCGATGTTATCGTCAGACGTATTGCCCCGACTTGACTCTCTATAAGGAATGACAAGATTGATCAATTGTGACTGGCATGAAAAAAGTTCCGTCATCTTTGCTTATCGACCGGAATCCGTTAGAGCCTTGCTTGAAGCCCAAGTGAACGAGCCACTCCCCTTGCACCGGGATGAACCATCTCATCCCCAATCTCGTCCATCTTATCTTCCAAAAGCTCTGTCATATTCCTGACCACGTCATTGTATTGTGGATCCGAGTAGACGTTGAACAACTCCAGAGGATCTTGGTCACAGTCAAACAACTCCCACTCAGCGCCATCGACGGGACCGGCGGGCCGTGAACCCTCAACGCCCAGACTCTGATTGTACCAGTATATCAGCTTATATCTCTGGTCACGGATACCATAGTGAGCCACGGTCTGGTGAATCTCGTCATTGTTCATCCAGTACCGGTGGTACGCAACCTGCTGCCAGTCTGCCGGAGCCACCCCGTGGTTTTTCAGGAGAGGCAGAAACGACGAGCCTTGCATATATGAGGGGATTCGCAGGCCGGCCAGGTCCAGGAACGTGGGCGCAAAGTCGACGTTGCAGACAAGGTTGTCGCATACCGAGCCAGCCGCAATCGCAGCCGGGTAGCGCACGAGGAAGGGCATTTGGAAGCTCTCCTCGTACATGAAGCGCTTGTCGAACCAGCCATGCTCGCCCATGAAGAAGCCTTGGTCCGAGGAGTAAATGACCACCGTATCATCGGCGAGGTCCTTCTCCTCCAGATACGAGAGTATGGTGCCCACGCTGTCGTCGATGGCCTGGATGGTGCGCAAATATCGCTGCATGTATCGCTGGAACTTGAACTGTGCCAGCTCATCGGCGGTGGAGAAGGTGAACACCTCGGCGGTCTCCTTGTCAATCAGGCGCATGGAGGTCACGTCAGCAGGGGATGGAATCTTGCGCTGGGCGTTGCTACCCTCCTGCTGCACGCGCTCGCCGACATTGTCGCCACCTTCCGGCTGGACCAGTCCAAGATCCTGGTAGGTCAAGTCCTCTGCCACGCGCATCTTAGCCGCCTTGGCCGCTTGGGCTCGGTTCCGGTAATCGTCACCAAACGTCTCCGGAACCCGAATCGGGTCCTTGTACATGTCTTTGTGACGGTCATGGGCCTCCCAAGAGCGATGGGGCGCCTTGTGGTGGCACATAAGGAAGAATGGTTGTTTCTCCTCACTGCCCTCGGGCTGCTGCTGGTTCAGCACCGAGTCAATCCACTTGAGGGATTTGTCTGCGATGATGTCGGTCGCATATCCGCTCTCCACATGAGTGCCCGTGGGGTCGGTGAACTGGGGGTCCCAGTAATCACCTTGGCCGGGAAGAACGGACCAGTAATCGAACCCCGTAGGCTCATGAGCTGTACCTTCCCCAAGATGCCACTTGCCTATCAGATTCGATACCACAGGTCAGCGAGAGTGGTTCAATCCTTCCTTTTTCTTCGGCATGAGGCTTACCGATCATTGCAGTAGCGTAGCCACCCGAATGTAGCGACTTGGCCACATTGGGCAGATGCTTGTTAATCTTGCTGTCCAGCGTCATGACTCCATTGACATGGTTATACGTTCCAGTCAGGATCGATGCCCGAGAAGGTGTGCAGATTGAGTTGGTGACGTAGCAGTGGTTGAACTTCATACCCTCCGTGGCAAGACGGTCAATGTTGGGTGTGTGGTTGATGCCAGCGCCGTAGGCACTGATGGCCTTGGACGCATGGTCATCGGCAAGGATGAAGATGATGTTGGGGCGTTTCTGCGTCATTGCCGAAGCTGGTTTGTGTCCAAGTGAGCCGAGGAACAGTGCGATCCGAGACTGTCGCTGTGAGGGTTTGAATGGTAGTGAGGTCTCAGGCTTTAAATCCACGTTGGACGGGCAGAGAGAAAAGGAACAGAATTCACTGGGAAGAAAAGAAATCCCACCGGGCCTGACGTTCTGCTTATGTCTCTGTGGGCATGCTTATCGCCCCACTGCCAATTACCAGATTGCATCGATTACCATTCATCGCGTTCAATATGGTGTGTCTTGGACCCGCAGAGTGGCCATCTGCACGTTTAATCCAGAAATTCCAACTGTGGAACTGCAATCGGACCAATCTAAGACGTTGCCGGCCGACTACCGAAAGCCGTGGTCGACCGACTGCCGTAAACCATAACGGGACAACGAAGCGGAGATGCGCCCACAGTTTCGATTCGTGAGGGGAATCTGGGGTATTTTAAGTGACAAGCGCATGAACGAAGAGGAATTCGCCATTCCCCATGTCTTTGCGCAATTCCACCGCATAGTCACACGCCATGCTCCGACTGCCGACTGTGAGAACTTAAAGACTTTTGTGGCTCAACCCCCCCCCCCCCACCCCCCAATCACCAAGCTGGTGGACTTGATCAACCAAGGCGATAGATCTGAAACCGATTAGGATAAAAAAGTACCCCGTCCTGCTGTCGATAGCTTATATTTCATGTCGCATTTTCCTTCTCTTCGAGCTCAAGATTCAAGATGATGTCTGTGGGAACATTCCGAGCAACCTACCTGGTTGCGTTGAGCTGCATTGGATCCTTCCTCTTCGCCTACGATACCGGAATCGTCGGCGGTGTTCTCACCCTCGAATCCTTCACCCGAGACTTAAGCGTGTCTTCTCACGATTCAGCGAATGTCAGCTCACTTTCGGCCAGTCTGCTTCAAGCGGGAGGTAAGACCGTGGCGACTCTATGCGGCTAACTTGCCGGTGTCTGTTCGCAGGGAATTCCACACTGACAGTTAATGATTTTCTAGCTTTCTTCTCGTGCTTCTTCGTCTGGCCCATCACGGCAAGATACGGTCGTCGACTCGCCATTGTGCTCGCCGCTCTCATTTTCGATGTCGGTGCCATTCTTCAGCTCTTCCCCAACGGTGGTGTCGCTACCTGGTATGCTGGCCGTGTCATTGCGGGCGTGGGCATCGGCATCGCCACTGTCATAGTCCCCCTCTATACGGCCGAAATGGCCCCAAAGAGCATTCGTGGTCAGCTAGGTAGCATGTTCCAGTTCTTCTTCACCCTTGGCGTTATGACATCCTACTGGGTCGACTACGGCGTGTCTAAGATGTCGTCTTCGACCAAGCAGTGGCGCATCCCGGTGGGCTTGCAGCTCATTCCAGGCGGCGCCCTTTGTATGGGTATGCTGCTTGTCAAGGAGTCCACCAGATGGCTGGCCAAGAAGGGCCGTCACGACGAAGCCATGGCCTCCCTTATTTGGGTCCGTGGAGGCGATTCCCCCGAGACCCACGAAGAGTGAGTCTTAATTTGTCCCTCCTAGCATCATGTGCCAACATGTGCTAATCAATCATTAGAATGGCCGAGATTCTGGCTGGTATTCGAGAGGAAGAGCTTCAAACCGAGGGACTTACGTGGAAGGAGTATTTGCTTCCTGCCAACCGCTTTCGCCTGTTCGTTGTCATCACTCTGCAAATCGGTGAGTCGTACAAGTCTTCTCCTCCTATTTAACCGTTTCAACATACTGACAAGATGCTGCAGGTGTGCAACTCACTGGCAACACTTCTCTCGCGTACTGTAAGTACTAAAACTCTCCAAACTGCCAATTCTCTAATATCGTGATCTATTGTAGTCTCGCCTCAGGTGTTCAAGTCCGTCGGTGCCGGAAGCAATGCCCTCTTCTTCAGTGGCTTCTTCGGCGTTGCCAAGGTCATTGCATGCTTCGTATTCTTGTCTTTCTTGGTCGAGAGAATTGGCCGCAAGGGAGCCCTGGCCGTCGGAGCCGCTCTGATGGGTGCCTTATTCCTCATAGTGGCTGTCTTGACAGTCATCCACCCGCCTAATCCCAATGGAGGCCTCAGCAGCACGTCTGTTGCTTCTCTTGTCATGATCTATCTCGAAGCCAGTAAGTCGCCAAACAAAACCATTTCTTCTTGTTCCCTAGGGGACTAAACTCGTTCTCTTAGTGGTGTACAATATGTCCTGGGGTCCGGTGCCTTGGGTAAGTCCAACTCACAAACCCGAAACTATACGCGCTTGCAGCGAAGGAAAGCTTAAGACGACTAACCTGCTGTTCTCTTATTCCAGCTCTACACGGCTGAGATTTTCCCCAACCGTATTCGCGAAGGTGGCGTGGCCATGGGTACGGCCACACAGTGGTTGTTCAATTTTGTCTTCTCCCAGATTACGCCTCATGCCGTCAACAACCTCAAATGGAGGACATTTTTGATGTTTGCTATCTTCAACTGGGCACTTGTGGTATACGTATGGTTCTTCATCAAAGAGGTTGGTCTTAACTTCGCGCCCATCATCCGCTGTGGCACTTTGCTAATCTTGCGCGCACACACAGACTAAGGGCAGGTCTCTCGAAGAGATGGAGCTCATCTTCAACGCCCGGCATACTCAGCTTGACCTTGAAGAGGCCTACCACAAGACTGGCCAGACTGTCAAACACGTCGAGAATGAGGAAGTCAAGGACAATGCTGGTAAAAAAGCTTGATTAATGCCATTCAGCTGCAAGTATTGCCGCTGGCTGATGTTACATGTATAATTGCATGAAGCAATGAGCTTTTGAATCTGGCTACGTGTTCAATATATGGTCAATAGCTTCACAGGAATTGATAGTCTAATTTACAAGTGATACTTCGTACTTGCACAACGCACAAATCTTTGCTCTATACGCCAGTTGACTATATGTACAAAGAAAGCTAGGTAAATAGTGTAAGATAGATAATTGAGTCTATAGCTCGACGCCGCTCTTTCCGCTTAAAGCTGTAAAATATAAGAATAGACGATTAGAGAGACAAGTAGAAAGTAATCTCGACAGTATTATTAGAAGAACCTTTTTATCTGCAACTGCGTGAGATTATATTTTTCATAGACAAGGCCAAATATGAAGGCACGGAACCGCCTTCATGGAGGCTGGTCACCAAGTCTTGAAAAATAGACAAACTATATGTCGTATATCACGGACTTATAAACGAAGGATAGACTTGGTAAAAAATCCAACCTACAGTATCAAAGGCTAATTCATTAGAGGGAAAGAAAATCTATTATCCTTGAAGAAATCAAGACTCTCAATTTGGAGAACAAACAAATTTAGCCGGTACTTATTTCTTTTCCCTGAGGCGATGAGGGCATCACAATAGCTTAAGATACCACAATCCTCCAAGGAGGGCTCCTACAGCTTTCCAAATTTTGCATATACCCTAAGAGGTATCGGCAAATCGAAACCAATCTTTCTTGCATTCACCATATCGTGTCTACTCAGTAACAGTTTTATTCATCATCGCTACCGCCAGGTCAAACGAAAACTGTGGAACGGACTGCAGTAAGACATGCTGGAAGTGTGGCGGACCTTCTTTATCTTTGGTTCTCAACCGCATGAGATGATCCTAGTTACTCTGACTACCAAATCTCGTAGGCCTCTGTCCTGTGATAGAGTGGAGTTATAAATCTCCACTATCGCGCTAGAAAAACAGCTTGCATCCAATCGCTGTAGCAGCACTTGTTCGAATTTTCTTTTGGAAAGACCTTTGAGACCAATGATGAACATGCGATCTGCAAGAGCGCACATTAATATGTGAGATGATAATGGATCGGAACCATGCTTGATTCACTTGTTCTCCGTTCTCCTTCAATAGTCATCTCTTGACAGGAGGAGTCTGCCTTGGTTGAGGCAGACTTGGTTAGCTCGGTCGGCATATCCTTCAAAGTGAAGGGCGCAGATTCTGACAAAGAGTCCATTTGATAATCTAAAGTGTAGAGGTACTCAATCATCTGCTTGACCAAGGCTGGCTCCTCTTACAACGTCAATATATTTGTGTAGGCTTCCTAAGGTAGAATTGTTAGAAGTTTTCTTATATTCTTCCCACCGTGGTTCATCGCACCTGGAAGTTCCCATTACATGCTGTCAGGACGTATCCTTTTGTCAGAACAAGCTAGCGGCAACTTACCGCTGGCGACTGATAGATCACATTCCTGTGCTGGGTGACCTCGCGCTAAGCTGCGGCACCGGTGTTGAGACCACCGAGTATCGGCGTATGGGATCCAGGGGTATTTTGGACCGGACCTGGTACACATCTACATCTATCTACACAATCAATTGACTTTTGCTTTGGAGCATACACACTGTCCACTTAACTGTGTACACAGTACTTAGCTGGTGATGCCAAGAGTCATTAGTCAATCAGGGGCGGGGCGAGACACACTTCATGACGTTGGACATCGGATGACTGTATCACTGGGAAGTAACTACGAATTAAGAAAAGCTCTAGTAGTTCGACACCGACTAGCATAATTTCTGATCATAAACCCTAAAACCCTAAAACTCAGTTCTCCATCGTTCGCTTAGTTCCTGCTGCATTGGCTGCAGGGGTCGGCCCGCTAAACACTGAGCGAGAGCGCTCATGTTCATGATAGCGCCCTCAAACCCAGATGCGTCATATCAACACCACCTCCAGGCCCGTAAACCCTGCCAAGGGGCATATTGGAAACTGATTGTAAGAGCGCTCAAGTTTCCAGAGTTGCCGAACACATTGGTAATTGCAATACAAACAAAGCAAGGCTGGAATAATTATACCACAGCAAAACCCAGAATGAATATTGAGCGTACATACATCAGCTACTCACTTAGTCACCAGTCACCTGACTCTGTACCTCTTCTCTCACTTCCCACGCTCTCTCTTCCTTCCTCTTCTCTCTCTCTCAGATAGCAGAAGATAGCAGCAGATAGCCAATACCACCTGCTTCTCACCCGTTCACGATCATCCTGTACATCTCACACTCTCAGTTTCAATTGACGATGAACCGCCAGGGCAATGTCCTGATGCCAGATCCTGGTACACCTGGTGCGCCATTATTTAATAAGAAAGATGCGAGAAAGTTTCGAAGGAACTTTGAGAAGTTGTGTCAAAGGCGTGGTATCAGCGATCCTGCTAGGCAGTGTAAGATGTTTGCCGATTATTGTGAGGACTCTATCCAGTCGTGGGTGGAGTAGGACCCTCTGTGGAAATCTCGCGATTGGGAAGCGTTTAAGGACATGCTCTGTGATCGATACAGAGATTATGACTCTGAGCGCCAGAGGTTTTCGAGGGCGCCATTGATGGAGTTTGTGAATCAACCAAGAGACCAGAAGCCACACACAGGCCGGATTGTAGTATGTTGATTGTGCGAAGACAGGATATTACTTTTTGTAATTATATTCAGAATACATACGACCATAGGGTGTGGAGAACAGGGCTTCCCGTCCGTTCAGCCGTGCTTAAGCCACATACTAAACGTGGTCAATAGTTAAAGAGCCCTGGGCTCTAAAATAGCGTCGTGTTTTGTCTTGGGGTGAGTGCGGGTGATATGGGTGAGAATTTTGGAGACTGGGGGTGAGAGAGGTGAGAACGGGGTGAGAGTTTCCACTGCGGTTGGAAAAGCTACTAGTTTGCCGCTGTGATTAAACTTGAGGAGTCCGAGAGTCATTAATTCCAGATTTCCAAAACGCATTGATTTCAGTGAGAAAAAAGCCACACATGTATGGACATAATTCCACGCTATGCTTTGTTTGGCAAGTACTTAATTGAGTGATCAATACATGAGAGGTAATGAGGGTAAGCAGCATATGTGCGATACCGTAGTATTAGTCCGGCAATGTAATGAGTGTCTTGATTCTTGGCAAGCTCCAACACAGAAAGATTTTCACTAGTCCGATTCGGTTCCGATTCAGGGATCAAATCCACTGATCAAAAAGCATCCGTCACTAAAAGTATCCCTCCACTTATAGATTGGCAAGGCCATCCACAAAATATGACCTGAAGCCTTATTTAACCTACCACAGGTCAATGCAATCTCCACATGCGCTCTATATGCATCGTCAGTTATGCAATTTCTATCAAAAATGAAGCTTAACAATGTAGAGTTTCCTTACCGCACCACCGATGGCCGAGACAACACACCCAGGGGAGACCTCGGGAAGTTGCGAAATGAGCCAAGCTGGATTGTATTAGTATAGATTTTCCAGCAAGCTGGGTTCATTCACATACGGAGAGTTATTCCATCGGTCTCGGCCGTCAAAAGAAAGTCGGCGATAATTGTACCGCAGTCCAAGCCGGTACCTGTCAGTCCAGAAATACAAGCTTTTTATCAACCGGAGAATGTCAGTGGGCAGTGCACTATCGATCATATTGGTTTGGATGGTACGTACCGTCCCAACTGCAGTCGCGAGCCACAAGGTTGGATTTACTAGGGGTCACAGGAGCCGGAGAGGCAGCGGCGAGCGCCACGAAATAAGAAAGCATGACCGAGAAACGCATGGTGATGGATTTGATTTAACCTTTGAAAAGTTTTTTTTTCATAGAAATTGAATGGATTGGATAGATGATAGTTGAGCTTGAGAAGATGGATGGATGAAAAGTATAGTCGAAGGAGAATAGGCGTACCTTTATATATTTCGTTCGAAACACCAAATCTGCCATGTCACACGTGGTCTGCCTGCTCGTCGCCTGGGCAAGGCTTATTTCCACCTCGTGTTCATCTTTCATCTTTGAGGCTGGATATCCTTGACTCACAAATTCGTCTTGGCTCACGTCATCGTAGTAGTGCCCGAGTGATCATAGTAACCAATGGCGGAAACTGCTCACCAGATATTTTCGATCTGAAGTGTGTAGTTGATTTCTACAGCACTGCTCACCTACACGAGTCTAATCCCTGACCGGGTGCGGTTCGTTAAAAAAAGAATCCTGTTGGTCTCTGGGAACCAATCTACATGTTTCAGACCCCATGTAGCTGAAGGCCACAGGCGCTATAATAGGGGTCGGGTATTTTATTTTCTTATAGTCTCTTACCATCGGACTTAGTGTCCAAGGGCTTTGACTACTAATAAACTTCCGCTATCAACATAATTTATTTCCAACGGAAAATATACAGAAAAATGTTCGTTTTACTGAGGGCATATGAACTGTCTCAAGCTGTTTTATTCTTAAGTGAAAGCTGAAAGTTATAGATCAATCTGCCTTGCCAAGTCTACAACCCGTGAGGCTGAAGGCATAAGCTTCCCGCCCCTGTTGTGAGGGGGCCAAATTTTGTGATGGTCCTTCGGAATTTCCTCTTTCGTATTGTGTTTCATCGCGATCAAGCTCTTGTTTTTGCCTTGGCTTGATCTTGGCTTAGATCATTGTCTGACTCTTATACGAACGATTGTAAACAAGAGCAGTGTCAATATACGAGGAAGGAGAGTCAGCTGCATTAGTCCACTCTCAAAGTTGACTTTATCTCGCCGTCGAACACCTAGGACCTGCCTTTTGTGGAGGGTGTGTTGGCGATCGTTAAGGGGCTGAGGTTTTGATCCCGTATTTATGGATGCCGCTGCTTAAGCGTGGGCCCCGCATCAGCACAGACCTAAGCCTCCATGACATTAGTCAATCAACCTTGCGAGCTTCTCGGTGCATCGTCAAAAGCCGGCTTTGTGATTCTTCTGACTATCCCACCGTGTTGAAAGATAATAATACTCTTGGAAATGGGAACTTCCGTATATCTGGCGAGCTAGTTAAGATGACAAGAATAGGGAAGTGCAGGGCGAGGATACCTTTCAATCTTTTTTGGCGAGATATACAGCCACGATATTCAAATTAGACAAGTCCGAGCGATATTTTGGGCCGTTTGGGTCATGCCCAGGTCTACCTAATAATGATAATACATTAGAGATTTTGATCACTACAGCGCAGGAGGCGTAGCAGCAACTTGATCTTACTATTTTAGAAGGTCAACCACAGAGAATGCCACGTAGAGTGCAGGCTATAATTGAGTCTAATGGATGATATACTAAATATAGTAGTTAGCAGTGATATGAATACGATGTGGAGTTTTTTTTTAGCGCGGCAGGTGCCAAGAAGACTAGTGCTTCAGACGGTGGTAGACCAGCCAATGATGTATGCTTCGTTTCAGCTTAGAAGAATCTAGATACAGGAACAAAGCTAAAAGCTACATGAAACGCGCAGTACAAACAGAGGCCTGCAAGCGAAGCTCTAATTTGCAGGAGCTTAGCAGTATCATGTGTCTGCCACCGTACTCAACAAATTCAAAGTCGAGATGTTTGCTCTTGGACAGAGCCTCGCTCATATTGGAATGCCCTGGCAGAAACGGTCGAGGCCACCGGAGGTCCAAGTCATTACCTTCTCCCTTTTTGCCTCCTTCACTTTTGCCATTTCACAAAGTTGTGAAATCCAAAGGTTTGCAAAAACTCTGCACAATGCGGCCTCCTGTCGATATTGTCCCCTTGTGGTTCCAATGTGACTATCCAGATTGAAACGCTAAATATCTGCGTAAAAAGCACCTGAAACTACATCGTAATCATCATGATAAGGAAATCAATCTCGCCTGTCCTTATTGTGAGAGCGCCCTGGCCAGGAAATGAGTAGTTTCTTCGATCCCGTGGGAAGACTTGCAACTCAGAGAGTAATCAGCGACCTGTTCCGACGCCATATCCGGACTTACCATCCGCAAAGAGAACTGCCGCCGTCTCGAAAATATAGGGCATATAGTGCATGTCATGCACGGAAAGTCCGTTGTGAAGGTGTACTACCATGCAATGCCTGTCAACATCGCGACGTCTTCTGTGTGCATAGTGGGGGTGAAACTGTAAGCGAACAACAATTTTCGATCGATGATTCCTGCCCTTTGTCGCCTGTTTCCACGATTAATGATTCCGTTTCTGACGCTCCCGGTGGATTGCTCATGACTATATTGATATTTACTTTAATACTTTTCATCCAAGATGGCCGTTTCTCCATCGAAGTACATTTGACTTCGCCAACGAACCTTGTGTACTTGTTCAATCTGTTGTCGCCATCTGACTTTGGATGAAAGGGTCTCAGGAGGCACGAGACGCATTGATACGTCTACATAATTGACTATGTTCCGCATTTTACGCTCAAAGGGTGAGAAGAAGGAGCATTACAATAATAGCTGCATATAGAATTGTGTGTTGATATCATCCTTTTGCTCTAGGACCAATGGTGCATCTCCAACTCGAGTCCACGCCAAAACTCAAATGCCTCGTGGCCGACAACATTATTTCAGAGTCTGCTCTTGAATATCATTCTTTGTCTTTTCATTGCAAGAGAGAATGCTAGTACAGATTTGAGTATGCGATGCCGATTACCAGACGACAAATACGGCCTTATGGCTGCGCTTATTCAAAGCTGTCGAAGATGGGGTATTTTCTACTACCCTAACATGCTTCTGCAACACGATGCCGATGCACCACTCGCGCTTGTATATGAGCGTAGAAGAGATCAAGAGATTTTGACTAGCGCTCTATAAGGTGTGTCGATTGTCCACTCCCACTTCCTTTAATTTGAGCGGAGAATGTTCCAATGGCGGCAGAAACGATCTTTTGACCCTGACCGACTTGTCCTTTTGCATAACAGACAGTGATGAGCTGTGGAATGCTCCATTGGGCGGTGAGTCCGAGGTCATAAACAAGTCTGATTCATCCGCGGTCGAACGGAATAATGGAGATGCGAAAAACTGATATCTCAAGCATCTGCTCTTCTACATGACGCACGGGTTGGCTTTGATTGGATATAGCAGGAACTATCATCGAAGATGCGGCTATTTAGCCAGATATCAAAATGCAGCCTATAAAGGCAACGATCAAACATATTCCCTTACTATTTTCTTTCATCCTAGAGGGGCAAAGTCTTAATAAATGTGACGAAACAGGAGCGTTACAATGGTTAACTCGGTCTTTTCATGGAAACCCTTTCCTTATTTTTCAAGGCTTGTATGGCTAAAGAAATACGATCCTCTTGTTGTATTGCATCCTGCCGCGATTTGACCCGCTTTGGAGACATGGTTGTTGATGATGGAAGATAGAAGGACGCGCGGATACGCGATTTTTTGGTTGGGCGGCTCAGTAGTGAATTACGTTATCTACATAGTATAAAGGGGGATACGCTCTAGGCAGCCTAGTCAAGCTAGGTAGGTCGAGGCACAAGAGAAATAACCACTCAGCAGCGCGCGTACACACGAAGGAATAGACAGCAAAGCAACAGGCGGGACGGGCAAAGCGAGACGGGCAATAAGCAACGAGCGATTCTTGACCCCTAGCTCCTTGACTAAGGCGAACAAGACGAACACGACGAACAAGACGCGCGGTTGATGAAGGAGCGAAGGACGAATCCCCATAATTGCTAGTAGGACTAGGCTATTTTATAGTGGGCCAGTGGCGAGGTCAACAAAAAGATCCGTCGCCAAGACCTCTTCTCAATTCACTAAGTGCAACCAAATCCCATTACAATAGTTAACTAACCTAACCTAACTTAACTAGTAAATGGATGCCTTAGAAACCAGTCGTCAGCTAGCAAACCTGAGATTGGTAACACCCAAAGTCTAGTGATAGAAAAATTCATGGGTGCTGATCTGCTCTCCACTCTCGTTGTATCTTCTAGGAATCACAACTGAGACACCATCAACGCCTCGAGGCTCGTAATCCAGATTGCGGGCAGCATATGTAAGAATCTCCAGTCCGAATTTCTCCTTGAGCCAATATGCAACCATATCCATTCCCGCAACAGCACCAGCTCCAGTCCAGATATTTTCGTCGGTGACCCATTTTTTTCCTTAGTCCAGTTGACGGCAGGATAATTCTCCTTCGCCCATTTATACCCGGCGTGGTTGATGGTTGCGTTCTTTCCATCTAGAAGTCCCGTAGACGCAAGTACGGCTGAGCCAGTGCAAACCGTAAAAAGCAACTTTCCAGCACTAGCGTGTCGACGGATGAAATCAATGTATTTTGGGTGCAGCTTGAAGCCTTCCGGATTGGGACCCCCTAGCAATATGATATCGAGATCGGGACACTCATCCACTGATGTAGTCGGAATGAGGGTAAGGGCGCTAGTGAATAGGTGGAAAGGCTCTTTCGTGATGCCAACATGGTGAAAAACAAAGTCTGGAGCCCGAGAGATAGCATCATCATTGATGGGGCCAAAAATTTTGGACACTTCTAAGAACCCAGAATTGGCGGACTGAAGGAGATCAATTGGGCCGACAACATCAATGGCCTGGTAGTCATAGACCAGAATACCGACGTGAATTGACGTCATTGTGATAAAATAAGTACAAACAGGATGCGGCTTCCAAGACTAAAAAGAAAAAAGCGTCTTGTAAGGGACAATCATCATATGCTTGCTCGTCGTACGTGAATTGTCAAGGCATTTGTTGCACTCTTAAGTACTACAGTTGTTCGGAAGCGCCGGGTATTTTCGTATACTTTTGAAGGAAAATCGAGGGTCAACCGGAATTTTTTTGTTATGGTGCTAACTATCATCCAAATGACCTCGGAACCTATCTTACCAACCAAATCTTCGTTTTACAAGTAATAAGGCCTGGCGGGGAATCTAGCCGTTTCAAGGCAACATACCGCGCAAGGAGCGCCACAGCTGTTTGAGCTCTTGTAAACCATTGCCCAAAGTATCGGGATATGCAACATTTAAATTAATTAGGTTGGTTAGGTCCTAATGGCGAATGTGGGTTGGGGCTAACTGTATCAGGAATCAAAATCCGCCAAGACCTCATCGTAAAGCTAGGCTCCGCCCGTAGCCAGGGACCCAAAGGGTTTTCGAAAGTAATAATCCCCATCCAATCACCAATCCCTCCTGTGGGTGCCACTCGCTCTAGCTCGGTCCCTGTCCCCCAAATTTTTCTACGGGCAATGTAAAATCCAGTGGTCAAGACTCCCTTACGTCCCCAGGAATGCTTCACTTATATGACGTACAGCCGAGTAGGCAACTGTTGCAACGTCTCTCCGGTTGAGTGTTGATCTTTGCGCTACCATGAAAGTCAAACAAAAATCGGTTTGTCAGACCTGTCGCGATCGAAAATTCGGCGTATGACCCCCCGTAATCCAGCGATTTACTTCGTGCCAGCTTCCATGAGGAAATTTTCGAACTAATGAATGCATTAGTGCGACGGAAAACGGCCGGCCTGTTGCCAATGCGTGCCTACCGGAAGGACATGCGACGGGTACCAAGGCGATTGGACTTTCGTTCTATAGGGAACTCCCAGGGAACTGTCTGCTTCAGGACTGTATCAGCAGACGCCGGAGAGCACTAAACTCTGGTTGGGTGGCTCGCTCGCTTACATGGCTCATTCGCTTACCGATCACGTTAGTCGGAATACTGCTCATGGTGCACCAATAGGATATCAACGGGTCTAAATTGCTATAAAGCTCCTTAACTGGCAATTTAGATGGGCTCAAATACATGACTAATCCTAGTGGGAGATAACGAGTTAACGTAATCCACTAGCAAGTGAGACACACGGGCGCGTGAGACAGAAACCGCGGTCGCGCCCCAGCGCGTCAACCTCCTCATTTCAACTACCCACTATGCCCCCAATTCGCAGTCAAAATCCTCAAAATTCTATCAACCAAGAAGGTAGGATCCAGCTCGCAATACAAGCCTTTCGGAACAAAGAATTTCGATCAATTCGCGAAGCTGCGCGCCGATTTCAAGTACCTACCGCAACTCTCCATCGCCGATACAATGGCAAACTTCATCGATCGGAAACCCGCGCCAGCAATTATAAATTGACTCCAACTGAAGAGGAATCGCTCCTACGGTGGATACTCTCTATGGATACACGTGGATCAGCTCCCCGGCCTTGTATGGTAAGGGATATGGCCAATATTCTACTAGCAGAGCGTGGTAGTCAGACTGTTGGAGTCAATTGGGTTTACAGATATACAGAGCGCTATGATGAGCTCAAATCGCGGTATTCTCGTCGATATAATTATGAGAGGGCAAAATGCGAAGATCCGAGGGTTATTAAACCATGGTTCGACCTTGTACGACGCACGATCGATGAGAATGGTATCCAACCTGAGGATATCTACAATTTTGATGAAACTGGCTTCGCAATGGGGCTTATAGCCACTGCGAAAGTCATTACAAGAGCTGAATACTATGGTCGGAGGTCAGTTCTACAGCCAGGGAATCGCGAATGGGTCACATCGATTGAATGTGTGAATTCAACGGGCTTTATACTCCCACCATGCATTATCTTCAAATCGTCAAAGTACCAACAATATGCATGGTTTGATGACCTACCCGACAATTGGAGAATCGAAATCAGTGAGAATGGCTGGACTACAGACGAAATTGGGCTTCGATGGCTAGAAAAGCTATTTATCCCTGCGACTACTAGTCGTACTAGGGGTAAATATCGACTACTAGTTCTCGATGGCCATGGCAGTCATTTGACCCCCCGTTTTGATCGATTGTGCGAGCAAAATGATATTATTCCAATCTGCATGCCTCCGCATTCGTCTCATCTACTACAGCCTTTGGATATAGGCTGTTTTGCCCCCTAAGGCGCGCGTATGGGAGCTTGATTGAGCGCAAAGCACGGTTGGGGGTCAACCATATCGACAAGTGATTTCCTTGCAGCATTCCCACAAGCTCGCAAAGAGGCCTTTAAACCAGAGACTATTCAAAATGCATTCGTCGCAGCTGGTTTAGTACCATATGATCCCGATCAGGTCATTTCAAAGCTTGATGTTCAACTTCAGACACCTACCCCCTCAGGTAGTCGACCAGGGAGCCAATCGAGCGCGTGGAGCCCTAAAACGCCGGCAAATCTCAAACAATTGAATCGACAGGGCTCTTCAATCAAGGCACTGCTTAAGAAACGTTCGCAAAGCCCTCCGACGCCTACGAATAAAGCTATTGATCAGCTCCTCAAGGGCTATCAGCAATCGTTGCATTCTAATGCAATCCTTCTAAAGGAAGTCCGCGATTTACGGGCTGAAAACGAGACACAAAAGCGAAAACGCAACAGAACGACTAAGCGCGTAGCTCATACGGAGGGTTTTACGGGCCAAGAAGCCAGGGAGTCGATGAACCAGGCTCATGAAGCTCCTAATACTGCCCCGGCGGAACCAGCTGCGTCAGCTTCCCAGCCAATTACACGCGCACCCCCGCGATGCAGCGACTGTCATCAAATAGGGCATAAAAGAACGCAATGCCCTGATAGGTCTAATAGATAGAAATTTGAAATCAATGGCGTTGTTGGTTTAATAAATTGGTTTGAAATTATAGTAGCTGGTTTTCTGTCTCACGGGCCCGTGTGTCTCACTCGCTAGTGGATTACGTTAGTATCTCCTACTTAACTAGTTAACTAGTTAACGTAATCCACAAGCGAGTCGATCACACAAGCGAGTCGATCAGCCAACGCGGTCGCGTCCCCCATTTAATCTTCCACTACCTTCAACCACCCACTATGCCACCAATTCGCTCTCAAAATGCCCAAAAACGTGTCGAGCAGGAAGGTAGGATCCTCTTAGCTCTTAAAGCCATCAAAAACCATGAAGTCTCTTCTATTCGTGAAGCTACGCGCCGTTTTGATGTGCCCTTTGGCACGTTATATAGCCGGCTTCGCGGTCAGCAATACCGACAAGAATCACGCGCAAATGGTCATAAATTGACCCAGTTCGAAGAAGAATCGCTTATTGAATGGATACTATCTATGGATCTACGTGGAAATCCTCCCCGGCCAAGCCTGGCTAAAGATATGGCCAACTTACTACTCGCAAGCCGTGGACCTACACCTCCTCCGACCGTTGGCATTAATTGGGTCCCAAACTTCGTCAAACGTCATGCAGACACGATCGCGAGTCGCTTTAGTCGTCGATACGACTACCAAAGGGCACAATGCGAAGACCCAGCTGTCATTGGCGAGTGGTTCGACTCTGTACAGCGAGTTATAGCCAAGTACGGCATCGCCAACGAGGATATCTTCAATTTTGATGAGACTGGCTTCGCAATGGGCCTAACTGCGACCGCTAAAGTGATCACTCGTGCCGAATATTATGGGAAACGATCGATGCTACAACCTGGGAATCGTGAGTGGGTGACTGCTGTGGAATCAATCAACGCCGCTGGTTGGCACCTTCCACCGTATATCATCTTTAAGGGCAAAGTCTTCATCGAATCGTGGTTTGATGACCTTCCGGATGGCTGGAAAATCGACAAAAGCGCAAATGGATGGACTACTGACGATATTGGCCTTAACTGGCTTAAGAATCACTTTATTCCATACACTAAAGGCCGCTCGAAAGGCAAATATCGACTACTAGTCCTTGATGGACACGGCAGTCATTTAACGGCTCAATTCGATCAAATCTGCACGGAACACGATATTATACCAATTTGCATGCCAGCGCATTCTTCGCATTTACTCCAGCCACTTGACGTGGCTTGCTTTGCCCCCCTAAAGCGTGCATATGGTGAGCTTGTCGAAAGCCTAACTCGGAATGGCATCAACCATATCGACAAGCTTGACTTCCTTTCGGCATATCCTGAGGCCCGTCTACGAGCATTTAAAGATACCACTATACAAAGTGGCTTCAAAGCAACAGGATTAGTGCCATTTGATCGTACTCAAGTCCTTTCGAAGATCAATATTCGGCTAAAAACTCCAACACCACCCCGAAGTCGTGGAAGCAACAGTTCAGCCGATTTTATGCCTATAACACCACACAACTCTAAGCAGCTACATCGGCAGGCATCTTCGGTTAAGGCACTACTTAAATATCGATCTCAAAGCCCTCCTACGCCCACCAAAGCGGCCATTGATCAACTGATTAAGGGCTGCCATATGGCTATGCATAGCGCAGTACTTTTAGCCGAAGAAAACCGGGCCTTACGTGCTGCAAATACAAAGAAAAAGCAAAAGCGATCAAGATCCACTCGTCAAATAGCTCATGATACAGCATTAGGTGCTACAGAGGCGCGTGCGTTGATACAGGCCAGCCAACAGCCAGCTGAAGCCGAAGCTACAACCTCCGTGGAGATCGCAAATCAGGCCAGTACGCAACGAACTCGGGCTCCACCAAGATGCAGTGGATGTGGAGTGATAGGGCATAAGATAAATAGATGTCCGAAGCAGTAGCTATTAATTTAATTGCGTTGTGGTGGTAATATATGCAAATCAAAATTATGACTGTAGTTGGCTGATCGACTCGCTTGTGTGATCGACTCGCTTGTGAATTACGTTAGCTAACTACCTATTATGTAATAGTGGCATCATAACTAACTAACGTGGATCCCGGCGGGTCCGTCATCCCTGCCGGTCCGTCACCCCATCAAAACTTCAAATTTTTACCCTTTTTTAAACATCATTTACCCAACCAAAACACCATTAAATTGACAAATTAAATCTTTTGCGGGCATTTAGAAAACCTATGCCCTTTTCCGCCACATTTAGAACACGTAATTTGCCGACGTACAGGGGGCAAAACAGGAAGTGTAGGTTCAACCTGGGGTTCTAGAGCAGGTGTAGTATCAGATATATATCGTACACCACCACCTCCCTCACCACTAACATTAGTAGTGGGGTCTAAAACCTCTGTTAAACTACCTTTATTAGGTATTCGCTTCTTTGATTTCTTCCTCTTTTTCGTCTGCTTTCTGTTTCCCTCCCGTAAACGCTTTATTTCATCCCGCATTAAGATGTGCTCGTGAACTAGCTTAACCGACATATTGTAAAACTGTTGAAGATCACGTTTTGTAGGCGAAGAGATCTTATTAGCCGCTGAATTTAGACCAGAATCGAGCCTAGATTTGCGTTTTTCTAGTTGCTTAGTCGTTTGAGGGATGCCAGTGGAGATATTGCTGCCTGATGTTGAACCTTGTGAAACTGGTCGATCTGGTAGAGGCGGAGATTGAAGACGAATATTGAGCTTTGATAACACCCGATCTGGGTCTAGTGGTACTAAACCAGTAGCTGCGAAGGCACTCTGAATGATAGACTCTTTGAATGAATCATCACGGGCTGCTGGAAAAATATCAAGGAAATCATCTTTCTCGATAGAATCGATGCCTAATCGGGTATATTCTGCAACCCGCGTTCCATAAGAGCGCTTTAATACAGCAAAACAACCAACATCAAGAGGCTGTAAAAGATGAGAGGCATGCGGAGGCATACAGACTGGTATGATGTCGTTTTCCTGGCAAATCTTGTCGAATGTTGCTGTAAGATGACTGTCGTGGCCATCGAGGACCAAAAGACGATGTTTCCCTCTCGTCTGACTTGTCGTGTGCGGAATAAAGTGATTTTGGAGCCAATCAACACCAATTTCATTACTTGTCCAGCCGTTTGGACTAACGTTAAGAGCCCAATGTTTTGGAAGGTCGTCAAACCATCGTACCATGAAGTGTTTCCCCTTAAAGATAACGTATGGTGGGAGCGCTCGTCCAGAGGCGCAAATTGATTCGATAACAGTCACCCATTCGCGATTGCCAGCTTGTAAAACGCCCCTCCGACCGGTGTAAAATGACTGCGTAATAACCTTCGTCGTCGCACTAATTCCCATCGCAAACCCCGATTCGTCAAAGTTGTAGATATCATCTGAAGTGATACCATATTGAGCTATCGTTTTTTCGATAAGCTTAAACCACTCGATAATAGTATTTGGGTCTTCCATTAGGGCGCGTTTGTAGTCATATTTGCGAGAGAATCGAGTAGTAAGCTCAGGATGTCGTTTGATATATTGTGTTGGCCAATTTTTGCCAACGGTCTGGAGGGCATTATCTCCGCGGTGTTTAAGCAGTAAATTGGCCATATCTCTCAACATCGCGATTGTAAGCGCAGCGCCTCTCTGATCCATAGAGATTAACCAATCCTGAATTGATTCCTCTTCCAGTTGCGTGAATTTATGGCCTGTACCTCTTGCTTCATATAGATTAGGAATGCCCTTCATCCGATCAGCAAGAGTTGTGCGGGGGACATCAAAAGAGCGAGCAGCAGCAGCTATCGTGGTATTTCTGCCATTTTGAATAGCCTTAATAGCAAGCAAGATCCTGCCTTCCTGCTCAATTGATTTTTGAGCTTTTTGACTGCGTTTTGGGGGCATGGTAGGCGTTCAAGAATAGGTGGCTGGGTAGGGGCAGAAAATTTGAGGAGAGATGACGGACCGGCAGGGATGACGGACCCGCCGGGATCCACGTTAGTTAGTTAACGAGTATTGATTCCCGTCGATGCATTAGAGGCTTAAAAAGATTATCAAAATCCACCACTTGCCGCTTCGGCGCCCCACCCGTCCGCGAGTTCATTCCTTCCATCGCGTACAGTTATTGCAATGTAAGCGTTAGTGGGAAGTGTGTTGGCCATGAACGTTCGCAGAGCAACAATACTAGTTACCAAGGTATATTCTTACTTAATCAGCAGTTGACCAGACCCCAGATTAGCGCTATGAGTGCTGTGTCTGCTGCAGCAGTTATCGTAGGTTATTGCTCGAATAACGTTGACGTCCCATTATTCTGACTGCTCTAGGCTGTTGACTGGACATTACTGGGACTTTGTCTCTCTTTGATTCTCGCTCGTCTTTACCTTCGACTGCGCCTGCAGCATCAAAGGCCGATCCTTAGCGACTGGTTCATATGCCTTGCATGGCTAAGCGGTATCTGGCAAGCAGCGCTCGACATCGAGTTCAAAAAATTAGGGCTTTTAAGCTCATCATCTATATGGTCCAAATTCGAGTCTACAACAAGTAATCCTTTTGTTACGCGAGAGGTTAGAATAGAACAGCAACTATCTAACTATAGTGCTAATATTTCAACAGGTAGTATTCATTGATTGGTTTCCACTTTTTACAACTCTATATCTCAACAAAGCCGCCCTTCTCTCTTTCTTTTTCTATATATTCCCGTCGACTTTACGATCACTCCTATATCCTTTATTGACAGTCACGGTCTACTGCGTTTTATCATATATTGCATCTATCCTGCTCGTGTTCCTGATATGTCTCCCGGTCGAGGCGAAGGGGTAGGTAGGACTGGCCCCGACACCATCTTTTAAGCTTGAGATATTGACTATTTTCAGCCTTAGCTTTATGTACTGCGGTATTCGGGCTCAATTCGTACTATGGAACATCACCTGGGCCCTCCACTTCACCTCCGATGTCTTCATTTTTGTTTTGCCTCTCTCTATCCTGCGAACCCTCCGGCTCGATTGGAAAAAAAAGTTTGGCCTGTATGTCACATTTGGATTCGGTATTTTTAGCATAGGCGCCAGCGTCGCTCGCTTTGCCATTATTTTGTCCACATATCCTAATGTGCCGGTACCGGTTATTCAATTCTGGTGCGCTATCGACTCCTACACTGGGCTTATCGTTGCTTGTCTCCCGTCGCTCCGGCCGTTTCTTAACCTCGAACGGGAAACCTTATAGCAAACAACTCATAATATATTCCCTGAAGAGTGTTTTTCTTGACAGGTTCTCGGCGTCAGTTTATTCGTTTGGCACTCTATAAGAACATTATTGCCGGCAAATTAATTCCGGATGAAGCGAAAAAGGGCCGATTGGAAATCTCTTCTTTTCTACTACTTATGTGACCTACCGCTTACTGTAATCCTAGGGAATACTACCTCAAAAATTAACATAATAGACAGAAATCAGAGCCGTTAGAGCAACTTAAACAGTGGGGTTACAATACCGCGAGACTAAAAATGCACCACGGGCGACATTCTTAGTCTATACGGTCATTTATTGGTGACCTCACGCAGTCAAGAGGAGCAAGAAGAGTGTAGTTTGGCCATAACGGGTCACCTGTCGCTGCGGTCGTAGACCGTAGCGTCAGATGGGGCCCGTCCGCGCTCCCCTGAGGGGAGGCAATGTGTCTGTATTGTAGTGGATTCTATGTACAGAGGGAAGGCGGGAGGGACAAAATCAAGACTTGACTGCGTGAGAGATGACGAGCTACCGGCAGAGGCCAGCAACTGACTCTCGAGGCAGCTGTAGGAGGAAGAGGTCCTCCGTAATGTCGGTGTAGATATCACGTGAGGCTACATTGTGAGGCAACCCCAATAAAACCACTCCCTTTAACTAACGTAATTCACGGTCAACCCGATAACCGGGTCAAGTCGATAACCCCAAAACACCATACTAAACGCGATTTTTCACAACTTCATATTTCAACCCCCAAGACGAAGAGGATATTTTTAGGATATTCCTAGTGTTTGATATATCGTACTAAGTATCTTCACTAAGTCGACATATATTTCAAGGTGTGATAATGTTGAAATATAGAGGGTATAACGCTCGGTCTCGGCGTATTTTGGGTAATGTAAGTAAATAATACTTTTCTGAATATTTCAGTTATACTACACTGTTTCTAATACTAAGAATCTATATGTTACTGAAAATAAAACAAAAACTGCTCCTGGTTGTTGATATACCGTGACCTGAAAAATCGCCTTTAGTATGGTGTTTTGGGGTTATCGACATGACCGGGTTAGTTAGCGGTAAATATGCCTTCCTTAAGATCGTCATTTTTGGTTAAATGTGCTCTCTAGAATCCAGATGCGCCGCTCATTTTTGGCCTACGTGAAACTTTCATATTTAGCATTTTACTGAATTTGTCCCTCTTAAGACCCGCCGACGTCCAGGTGTAGGAAGTCTGTGCACTGTCTACTTGTCACCACAGAGGCTGTCCCGTAGGATGAAAACGTCGACAGCATGGGAGACTGGGCTAGTGGGAGGCCGGTGGGAGGCCGGTGGGATGCCGTAGACCTGGAGCTTATTAAGGTACGGAGGCATGGGTGCGGAGCAAAATCAAGCGAAAGATTTACGAAACATTAGGTTTTCTCAAACTTTACACCAGAAACAATACACCATCTATTTCTCACATCTCGTTCCCATCAGCTTGCCAAATCAGCAATATGAAAGAAGTGATCAATGTCGCAGGTCCTGTAGCAAGGATTGTCGAACGCCCGATTCCGGAGCCAAACGATGACCAGGTCCTTATCAAAGTGGTGGTCTCCGGATCGAACCCTAAGGATTGGAAGATCCCAGATCTTGTGGCTTCCTGGGACTCTACCCATGGAATATGGCTTGAAGCGAAGAAAGGGCTAAATCAAGGAGATGATATTGCTGGCCTTGTTGAAAAGGTCGGCTCTAACGTGGTTGAATTCAAAGTATGCGTTACGATTGTCTCTACTTATGGGCTCACCCTAACTTCTCTGTTAAGCCAGGTGATCGTGTCGCAGCGTTTCATGAAATGTGCACACCCGGCGGCTCGTATGCGGAGTATGCAATTGCTTGGAGCCATACGACGTTTCATCTGCCCAAACATACATCATTTGAAGGTGGGCGGAGACATCGATTTTGAATAGATAGTATCTGACAAACGCAAATGACAGAGGCCGCGACGATCCCTCTCGCAGCGCTGACCGCTGCTGTGTCTCTGTATGCGCATCATCGCCTCCCCACCCCATGGGCCCCCGCTATGAGGTCGATTCCATTCATTGTTTACGGTGCGAGCACAGCTGTCGGGTCGTTTGCTATCAAATTGGCGTTTAATAGCAACATCCACCCCATCATTGCAATCGCCGGGAAGGGTTCTCATTACGTGGAAAGACTTATTGATCGGAGCAAAGGCGATACGATTATTGATTACCGGGGAGGGGTTGAGGCCACAGTGCAAGAAATAAAAAGCAGCCTGGAACAAGCTGGCCACACTTCTGCGCAGCATGCCCTGGATGCTGCCATCGTTCCGGAGAGTGCAGAGGTGTTGCGGCGATCTGTCGTTGCTGGCGGACAGGTTGATTTTATATTGCCCAACAACCTTGACGTGTTGCCTGCCATCAAATCAATCACTTCCGTTGGTTCTGTACACAATCAACCTGAGTACGAAAACAACGAGGAACTAGGATTTGTGTTCTCCAGGTATTTTACAAGGGCATTGCAGAGCAACAGATTTTCTGGTCACCCTTTCGAAATCAGACCAGGTGGCCTGGAAGGGGTTGAGGAAGCATTGAATGATCTGAAGGCGGGGAAAGCCAGCGCCACAAAGTACATTTTCCGCATTGCTGATACACCAGGATTAGCGTCGCGTTGAATAAAGTCGATTGAGCTTTGATCGTATGTACGAGGCAATTACTGTGCGTGACAAGAGTGTTCATTGTGACTTTAAAGAGGCTGTTAAAAGGCACGAGTTTATTGAGGATATTTATAGCCGAAACACCGAAGTTTGAAACAAGGAGCTTATGAGACTGTTTTCGGGAACTTGGAAGATCTTCTAGGCAAAATATGCAGCCTCGGATGGTAGCACATCCTAGGACACATACCCCGGGAACCGCCAGTCACAATGGCGTTTTTGTTAACAAGCGAGAGCGTCATGTTGGTCGTGAGATTCGGAGATCCATAACAACTGAAGAAGGATGGCACGTATCTGAGACAGCAGTCAACGCAGCCTGAAGACTGATGGCGAACCATATAAATTATATACGGTAGAGGACAAGCCTCGGCTGTCAAACATGCAGAAAGAAAGTTGCCGGGCGGGCAGGGGGTGGGGTTCTCCACCCGTGTGGGATCATATCGATGGAAGTGGCTGTACTCCCTCCATACTAGCATGATTGAGTTCACGACCTGAGCGCGGCGGTAGACGGTAGCCGGTAGACGGTAGTCGGCAGGCGGCAATTAATAAAATTATCGGAGTTGTCATTGCAGGCTGGAACGCCGTTTCTCGCACCTGAGAAAACTAGATTGTTCGGAAGGGGCTGCGGTTCACAATGGGAGACGTGCGCCGTGGATGAAGGGATAAGACTCAAAACCCTAAGCCCCTAAAAAGCCTAAACGGTCGAAATCTTATTTTAAAGGTCGACTACATACTCGCTCCGTTATCTTTGTCTGATAAGGGTCGAGCTTCCTACAAAGGTAGCTATGCATTTTCGTCGGATCGCCACAAATAAACGAGCGGTGCATCAAAGCAGAGACATCGCTTACAGGCGGGTTCGAGTGGCCGGGGACTCTAATAGGTGAGACCAAACAACACAATCAGACACAGTCCAACAGATCCCGCGCTCTTCTTTGAGATTTTGAGTGTTATTTCCACCATCTCTTTAGCGTGGCAAAACAAATTGCCTCGGCGGCATGACCAACATCATGACTGCGGGGCTGGTCCTCCACATAGCGTTGCTAAGAAACAACCTCGGTTGGATGGATATCAAAAGTGAGAAAAAAAATTGGAAAACTGACCCCCGCCATTCCGGCTAGTTTTCCGTCAAGTATGGTGAGGACTGACGCACTCCTGAATTCAACACCGGGGGGGGAGTGCCACGGGTGAACGAGTGAAAGTGCCCGCGAGCTTGAAAATCGTACAGGATTTTTAGAGGGAGCACTGAGGGATGGATCCACGGCGGCAGGTCAGTCCTTGAACAGATTCCATTGGTTTAGTGACCGTGTCGCACGCTCCGTCAGAGAGTGGAGCCAAACCTAGTATCGATAAACGGATGAACACACGGAATAAGAACGCAAAATGGTCTTCTTTCGGATGACGACCATCTGAAAGACAACCAACAATGCCGATCTAGAGGTGGTGAACCATACCCGGCAACAAGAGGCCTTCACATTGTAGATACAAAGTAACTCTTTAAGATGATTGTCCTATCTATTTCCATGGACAGATTAGCAACTAGACCTCGCCACGACCCTGATATTGGGCCCCTCCTACCGACTCGCGACCCGGACCTGGACGGTTCTTGTTGATTTATAAGTGATGCTTCAGTGTTCATGTTATTGAGGGGAGTTAATTGTGTGTGGTGTTGCATGTATTATCTCAGATACAAGTAGGCTGAGAGACAGGTATATATTGTAGTGGGGAGACCCCCTCCCCCTACTACATGGGTGCCATCCAGACTATGTGACATAGCCGGCAGTATACAGTGGCCGGATAGCTAGTTCTAGAATACACCTTTTTACACCTCCCCGACCTGACCCCTACATTTGGGATTCTCGCTATTTCCTGATTGCTACGCGTGTGCTTTGTGGTGGTTTTTCTGCTGAATCGACCCGCACGTCTCAGCGCGTGCTGCCATCGAGCGTTCCCCTCTTCACTAGGTAGATATTTCTAGGTTTTGATTATAAATTAGCTTCTTTTTGGACTTCTACCATAAGCTTCTCCAATTCTTGCTCTATATTATTACTCCTGTATAAGTGGTGGATTATCTGTTGTTAATTACTATTACGGCCCCCACCCAGTCTACTATTACTACTACTACCTAGGTGCTACTACTAAATACCGAGTACAATACACGAAAATCATGTGATGCCACTCCGGCCGCCAGACCGCCTCTTTCGAGTGTACACTTTCCATCCTTTTCACCTCTCCTCCTCTCAGATAGTTTGCAAACACACGTGATATTCACATTACGTACCTTGCGCTCCTAGCTCACTCTCTCATTCTCAACTACTTCTGAATGGAGAGATTGATCGGACGGTGGCGCCGGCGCGAGAATGTGTCCAATGTGCAGCACACCGAGAATGGCAACCTCCTACCACCCCGCAGCAGCGAGCCAGCCTTGTCTGACCCTCCTCCTCTTCCGACTTTTCCAAACGGCATCAAAGTTTTGCATGACTGTCCGGATGCAGCGATCGATGTCTGCTTTGTACACGGCTTGACCGGTGACCGGGAGAGAACCTGGACCGCTGACGGCCAATCTATTCCCTGGCCACAAGCACTCCTCCCGCAGAAACTCGACCGGGCCCGCATTCTTACTTACGGCTACGACGCATACGTAGTGCGCAGATCAGTTGCATCGTCAAACCGGCTGATTGATCACGCCGGCAACCTCTTAGTCGATCTTGCATCAGATCGAGATCTGTGCAATGCGTCTTCTCGTCCGCTAATTTTTGTCGCACATAGCCTGGGCGGTTTGGTCTGTAAGAGGGCCATTCTCCTCTCGCGCAATAATCCTGAAGTTCATCTACGGAGCATCTTTGAGGCCCTTAAAGGCGTAATATTCATGGGGACCCCCCATAAGGGAGCTTGGATGGCGGACTGGGCTAAAATTCCTGCATCTGCACTTCGCGTCGTGAAGTCTTCGAACGTCGTCCTGCTCGACGTTTTGCGGGGAAGCAATCAGCTTCTTGAGTCAGTTCAGGTCGATTTTTTGGCTATGGTGCGGCAGCTACGCGAAGAGGGCCGGGGTCTTGAGATAACCTGCTTCTTTGAAGAGCTTCCTGTATTTGGGGCTGGAACTATCGTCTCAAGGGAGTCTGCCACTTTTGAAGGCTATCCAACTCGTAGCATTTATGCTAATCACCGGGATATGGTCAAGTTTGCGACGGTGGAGGATAATGGTTTCAAGAGATTATTGTGGGAGTTGACTCGATGGGCATCGAAAACTGGTGAGGATGGTCCAGAATTACATCAAAACGAGTCTAATTACCAATAGATCATTCTCCACTCATACAAGAAGCCACAAACCAAGCTACATCGAGTACTGCAGATCAAAATTGTCCTCGAGATCTACAAATGGCTAATTCTCTTGACGACGAAAATCGAATCGAGAGTTTCGAGAACAAATTAGTCAGAGACTTTGATCGCTGGGTCCTTCATGATGGTGATTCCAAGCGACGGCACTATGACAGGGGATCACACTCTCAGACGCTCCAGGGGCATAGCGAATCCGTCGAGTCGCTTGCATGGTCCCCGGATGGAATGAGACTAGCGTCAGGATCGGTGAATGATACAGTCAGGATCTGGGACCCAGCCAATGGACAGTGCATAACGACTCTTGGAAACCAGGGCACATCGACTCTCAATGGGAATAGCAATTTGGCTTTATCAATTGCCTGGTCACCGGATGGAAGCCGACTTGCATCTGGTTCAGAAAACAACAAAGTCAGGATCTGGAACCCATACACTGGTCAGTGTATATGGACTCTCGAAGGACATGCCGATTTAGTTTTGGCAATTGCTTGGTCACCGATAACGGACCGACTCGCATCTGGGTCTGATGATAACACAATACGGATCTGGGGGTTCACGAGCTCGGGGCAACGCTCTTTGACCCTTGTGGGACATGAACATTGGGTTAGATCGATTGACTGGTCACCAGATGGGCGTCGATTGGCATCAGGGTCATACGACAATACAGTTAAGATTTGGGACCCAGACACCGGGAGGTGCATATCGACCCTCCAGGGGCATAGCGATTGCATTAGATCTATTGCCTGGTCACCGAGGGGTATCCGACTGGCATCAGGGTCAAACGATAATACTGTTAGGATCTGGGATCCGGACTCCGGGCAGTGCACGACGATGCTCGAGGGACATAGAGATTGGGTCAGGGTGATTGCCTGGTCACCAGATAGACGTCGATTGGCATCGGGGTCATATGATAATACTGTCAGGATCTGGGACCCGGCTTCCGGGAAATGCACGAAGATCCTCGAAGGGCATAGAGATTGGGTCCGGGTAATTGCCTGGTCACCAAAGGAACAGCGGATCGCATCAGCATCGTGTGATAATACTGTCAGGATCTGGGACCCAGTCTCCGGACTGTGCACAGCGATGTTTGAGGGGCATAAAGACTGGGTCAGGGCGATAAAATGGTCACCAAGAGGAAAGCGACTGGCGTCCGGGTCAGATGATGATACAGTCAGAACCTGGCATCCGACCGCAGGACTGTGCACGTTAATACTTGACATCTGTTCTCCCGATGGTTTTCCAATCTGGAATCCGCCACCTCTGCCAGACTGAAGAATGAATTTAGCGCAGTTATATACTCCAGGGTTGTACAGAGCCGTTCTTATACCCGAGTGGGCCGAGAAATTCTCTTCATATATAGCCAAGATGTACCTCACGAGCCAAACACACAAGCCAGCCAACACTCCAGTCAATATTCATAAATGAGATATCTTAGAGGAGAAGTAGTGTCGGGATATATTCTCCTGTCAGAACAAACTGGCTGTGACCCACTGCTAGCGACCGATGGATAACATCCCTTGCTTGGTGTACGCATTCTTGCGCTGGGCTGTGGCCTCGGTGTTGTGACCGCCGAAGGCCGGCGTGTGGGATCTAGGGGTGTTTTTCCAACTAGACTGAACATCTATCTACATCTATCAACACAATTGACTTTTGCTTTGGAGCATACACACTGTCCACTTAACTGTGTACACAGTACCTAGCTGGTGATACCAACAAGTAGATATGGGACATGGAGTAGTGTAGGTGAGGAGTGAGAGTGCCCAGGTGGGGAGTAATGAGAGGTAGGCAGTCGCAACACCGAAGAATAAAGCAAGATCCAGCGGTATCCTCTCCGAGTAGAAACCAAGTGTAGACGAGGTAGCCAGTTTCCCTTTTGCGGTTCTATAAAGGATGACGAAGCCAAACATAATCTCACGTCTACGAACGCTACTGTTATGCGAGCATTCAAGCGGGACCGCAACCTTACCGTTGCTGTGTTTAGCCTTGTACGGGCTTGGGTTTTTAGGATGCCTGCCAAGCAGCGCGCGCTGAGACGTGCGCGTCGATAAGCACTATTATCCACACTGCACGGTCGAAAAATTTCCTGTCCCAAAGCAACAACAGTATAGAAAATAAGAGTAAAGCTCAAAGACATAAGCTTAAACATAAGGTTGGAAACACAAAACTGAAAAAAAAAAAAAAAAAAACATACAACAGCAGGGATTCGCATGTGGTCACCCACCATACTACTAACCTGCCGGCGTGTGGCTTAAGTACGGCTGAGCGGACGGGAAGCCCTGTTCTCCACACCCTATGGTCGTATGTACTGGAAAATCGTCCAGAACAGGCTTAAGATGCCATTGTTGGTTTGCCTCCAAATGGAAATTGAAGATACCGACAGTAACCTCGCTGCACGCCTGTTCCCAACAGTCCGAACACATTCCCGTCCGAGCCACCACACGCTTGCATGTCTTTTCAAACAAAACGAGGTAGTTCAAGCAATTCAAATCCATTGTAGACGTACCTCCACAGCTCGCGGCGATATTCCAATCATAAGCGTCTCGCCATCGTCTCCGGTTCTCGGGTTCTGTAGGACCTTGGTAACCGGGCGAACTAACGACGCAGAAAATGAAACGACTAGCTGACACAACGAGGATTGAGGGATATGTGATCGTGAGAAAGGAGATTTGCAAAGAGAGGTTCGCGGAGTGAGCACAGCGCTTTGCCGACAGGTAGCGAATTCGCCGACGGAGGTTGCGGAGAGGCGCAAGGCGGGTCGGATACGAAATTATATGAAATGAAATTCCCACAGAGGTTGAAAATGATTCCTCAGCTGCACACGATCGATATTTCCAAGTCCATCCCATGGCGACATCCCGTTCTGCTACAAATACCATTGGAGCAGCTTCCCCACAAAGATCGCCACGCCATGTCAAGCTGGACGGACGAACTCTCGAGGGCGGTGGCCAGTTAGTGCGCAATGCATTGGCTCTGTCTGCTTTGACTAGCCAACCGATTACAGTCGAGCATGTCTGCGGGAATCGTGGAGGAAAGACGGGATTGAAGGCGTCTCATGCGGCAGCCGTCAAGCTTGTTGGAGATATTAGTAGAAGCAAGGTCACTAGTGGCCAAGTGGGATCACAGGGGGTGACATTCGAGCCACCATGTTCTAGCAATGCCGATGGTGAGGAAAGTTTGCTTCGAGAGGATGGTCCTTTACATTCCCCTAATGCAATCGCAGGAGACTCGGCTGCAAGACTCGTCTCCTTGACTCGCCGCAAGCTGTGTTCGGAATACAATATACGACTGCCCACTCCAGGCTCAGTATTTTCATTTTCCAGGCATTGTACCCATACCTGTTGTGGGCTGGATCACACACAAGCACACCGAGCATCAAGGTGAACATTATCGGTGGCACAAATGGGACGAATTCCCCGTCCTATGACTATGCCGCGCAGGTCATGGTCCCGAACTTCCAGAAGTTGGGACTTCCCCCGCTGTATGTTGCTTTGCATAAGCGTGGCTGGACAACAGGCGTGGTCAGCATGGGATTTGTCACTTTCCATATCCATCCGCTACAATCATGCGAGCAGACTAGAAATATCGGAACCGCGCTGCCCAAATTTCCCCGCATCAACATCATGGATTACGATCGAGGGAAGATTACATCGATCAGGATTACTGTTCTCGCACTCGATGCTCTCCTCCCCGGAACGACAATCGGGGAACAGCTACAGACTGTTCGCCAGTTTGCCGAAAGACACACCCGTCGCACCCTGCGCAAGGCTCTCAAGACTCTTGATGCATCTCTCTTTGACCAAGATTACTGGAACTCCGGAAGAAAAGTCCCCATCGAAATTCATACCTCAGAAGCTACGACTAATGTTTCTCGGTTCTACATTTTGTTGGTGGCGTGCACATCCGAGGCTTCAGGATAGGACACGATGCGCTCGGGACTGCGAGACTTGATTCCCGCAAGGCGAAACAGCCGGGAAGGAACAAACACAAGAAAGCAAGGGAATAATTTTCAAAGGGTGATCATCGGGAAAAGCCTGCTGTGGAGCACATCCAGGAGTTCATTCAGGGTTGGGTTCCAAGGCTTCATCGAGGAAATCGCCGAACCGAGTCAAGCGATCAATGACAGTAGCGACAGCGACATACCCGATACGACACCTGTCAGACGATCATGCCTAGATCAGTATATGCGAGACCAGATCGTCGTATTCGAGTCTCTCGGGCGACTTGCTTCAGATCATCCCGCCCCAACCAGGGATATACTGAAGGAGGACGAGCGATACTGGTCACTACGCACCAGGACTGCGCAGTGGGTGTGTCGACAGATGTTAGGAGACTGATGAGCAGATCAGAGAACACGAGCGACCTGGCAAGAAGCGCGAGATCCACATCCAAATAAGTTCGACATGAGATTGATTGTTATTGTTGCCGGAGAGCCGGTCTTTGTACCCTTGTCCTGCAGTATCAGGTTGTCCGTTAGGGTAATTACAAAATGATTCGCGGCCACAAGAGCCGATCAGAAATTCTCCGAATGGCCCACCGCTGCCTGCTATCAGGGTGACAGCCAGGGGCTCGCATCTTAGTCCGCGTCCGAGATTGCAGGATCCATGGCCCGGCCACGATTAGAGACGAGCAGGTCGTTTCGCAGCCGGCCAGTGAGAGAACGGGGGATACATTGCTGCTTAGTGAGGATTCGAACTCCACTAGGCCTAAGCGCGGGATGATTGGGTCTGTAGCCATTACAGCACCGTAGACGTCATTTCCTGGCATACCCACCGTGGGTGCTACTGTAGGTGCTACGCTGAAGGCTGCTATAAGGAGATGGAATAGGATGGCAAGGTTTCAGCCCAAGCTTTCATACAGGTACACACCTCAGCCAGACCCGGCAGAGATTTTCTCCAAGACATCAAACATGAATACTGAGGGTACTACCGGCTCTAGGGCAAACTAGTCCCTCGTAACCGTTGAGAAATACCAAAACACAGGATCCGCGCTCGGCCCCAAGCCACACCGACAAACCTAACGACCCAACCACTGCCACTGCCACTGCCACTGCCACTGCCACTGCCACTGCCACTGCCACTGCCACTCACAGAGCGATCGAAGCGATCACCAACCCTCCCTACCGAATCTGGTGCCCTGAAGAAGCATGTGGACCCGGCGGTGGTTCCCCACAGTCCACTCTGAAACAGCGAACTGATCGGACTGTGGCTGGGCGGGGCGGTTCTCGCGAAAAAAAAGGGGGAGCGAAGCGACCAAGTCCGTCTAGAAAACACGCAGAAAACGAGCCCCACGGGCTATTGTTTTACTTCTCGGATCAGCAGTCCACCCCAGTGAACCATCTGAACCAAACATTCCGCTCTTCTGGTGGTGTGGGGGTCCGGGTCGGGCTCTGCTTTGAGGCGTTGCGCTGTCACAGGATGGAAAACAGCCAGCCCAGGATTACTACTGATGTGAGCCCAAGGCACTGCGATGTGGCAGCCATGGCCGTATGTCTTGAATGATATCTCCGGATCGACACTGTCGCGGTCCAGAAGGGAAGAACCACGGTCTTTCAAGGTCTGGCTGGAGAAGGAGAGACACCGTACCGACTAGTGAGCTCAAATCTGAATCATTTTCGGCAAGGTGAATCGTCAGCCCTCGAAAGTGCGAGTTGAAAAATTGCAAATAATTACGAAACTAATCACGACAGTCCCTAGAGTATGCTGTATGTAGTGTCCCCACATTTGAGATTCACGCGAGATCAAAACCCCCGGTCCTCACAGATGCAAGGGGCGTCCCGGGACTGCAGCATTGGGAGAAGATCAAACACCCCGTGAATGCACGTAATGCGTGCCAACGGGCGGGGGTGTTTGGAGTCTATCGGACTCTTGGTTGAGTGTTCGTATTGATTCAGATTTAGATTCAGTCAGGGGTTGGCTGGCGAGAGTTTCGAAGGACTTAGCAGATGTGCCTAGTCCTGTGGGAGGTGGACGGAGTTGTCCGTGTTGGGCACTGAGAATGTGATCCTCCTCGAATATACTACCAGGCCCATCGTTGAAATTGCCAGATCGCAACAAGATCGTCTTGCTCAGCACATGTCAACGTCTGCACGATTCAAATTTGAATTAATGTACGATGTAATTGCCAGGAGCAAGGAGCAGCGATTAGATGTCGGATAGATTAAAGCCGTTAATCGCACCGTTCTAGAAGCAACAAGCGCTCGGGGCTGAAACGCCCCTCGGCTGTTCCCATTCCAATATTTTCCTTAGCACCGTTCAAAGAGTCGTCGGACCTGGCCCCTTGATCCCTGCTAGCCCGGAACTCCCAGACCCGGACTGGGGTTTCCGATCTTTTCTCAGCCCCAGCTCAGCTCAGCCAACAAAGAAAGCTGCCCCTTCAAGTCAGGTCAGCCTAGAAAAGTGTCAGGTGGCCCCCATAGCCCCTCTGGCCCCGGGATCCCGTTTAAAGCCGAGGCTTCCCTTTTTTTCCCTATAAGAGTAATCCGATGGGATGGCTCGGATAGGATAGGTCAAACGCCCTGGCCGCTACTAAATATTAGGTACCGAGAGATCCGAACGAATCACAAAGTCTCGCAGACGTGAGCATAAGCTGTCACAGCCACAGCCACGGCCGCTGCCTAACCGGCGGAAAGGCCGCACTCAGCCTCTGGATGAGTGCGTCAAAATCAGAATCCTTTGGAGATCCACCTGGAGCCTTCTGTTGGAACTTACTGTAACAGTTTGCCCTGCATTTAGTAATATGGTAATGTAAATGTCTTATTATAGAATGGGGCGAGCGCAGAATAACCTTTGACAAGGCGAATTCGGGCAGTGCGATGCCAGAATCGGCGTGTGGGGAGGCCGAGATTTTGAGATTCATTGGTGTGAGATCTGATGCGTTTCAGCCTTGGTTCTGAGCTTTGCTTTCCATGGTTGTGGGCGGAAATATGGATCAAGTGTCATGGGTGTCATGGGCTGGGGCTAGTTTCGGGGCCCATCGAACGCTCTAGAAGTGTCGCAGCACTGACACATACCCATCGCTGCGAATTCAAGGAAAACAGTCAAGTTACGAAGTGTAAAAATAGACAGAGTCAAACATGAAGACATGATATGCGAGGAATCTAGTTAAACTATCCTAGGGGAAATGGATCATGGTGATCATGGGAAACTGGTAAAAGCATTAATCGCAGAATGGGGGGTATGACATCGCGGTAAACATAGAACCAAAGACTAAGAAAGCTGCGGCATCGCGGAAGAAGACGTATGCGCAAGGAAAACAAAACGAAGGGAAAAAAAAAGATCGATCACTGATCGACCACCATTCGCGCCACTGCCCGCCAGTGGCAGAATCCATGGTATCCATGCAAATAAGTAGATCTATCCTCCATGCAGGTAAAAGATCAGAGCGACCGTTTCAGTGTTCCATAACTCGAAGCGAGTGGAGAGAAGGGGGGACAGCAGCGATTTGTGTCGCCCTTTCGCTCATGTGGTTTGCGCCGAGGGCATGCATTGCATCCCGAGGGTAGCGAGATATGACGGCATGAGGAGATGGCCGTGTTGAGGAGGGGTATAAATTCAAAAAACGCCCAGTGATGCAAATGAGAAATGAGGCAGAGAGGAAATATTCAGGGCAGGCGGGTCGACGACCGTGGAAACCAGTCTCTGTCGGAGGTCGATCCCGTCACCGCTGTTCCTGAGGTTTCCGGAGGAGCGCATTCATCGAAAGCAGCTGAGTTACTTATGGCGTAGAGCTTTGAAGAGGTTGCGCGCGGTTTCCGGAGTGTTGAGCCATTTACAGCTCGAGGTCCTCTGCCTTGAAGACTGCGCTCAGGCGCTCTGATGGCAGTACGCGCTTGTAGTCTCGCGGTTGGGCAAAGGGGGATGCCGATGCCGGTCGTCGAAGGTTGAGGGTCTGGCGGTGGTTAGTGATTTGCATAACTTTTTTTTCCCCTCTCTACGACACTGAACTGAGAAGGTGGCAGAATATACGAGAAAACATACAACACAGTCAGAGCACTTGGCTCCTTGACGGTTGACGCGGCCTCGGCAGCCGCGGGGATAGTTGGCGCAGGAGTACATGGTGATGGAGGAAAGTCGCGGGGTAGCACGTGGAAGTGGATGTACCAACTGATGTCGATCGTTGGGTTGCGTAGTTGCGGACGTCGTGGTCAGCTTTAGCAGCGCAGAAGTGTCGGAAGAAAATCGCGGGGAGAGCAAAGTTTGCGGAGTGAAGAAAGTCGCGGTGACGAGCGGAGGGGCTTTGGATCTTAAAGAAGTTCCGAAAGGGGAAGAAAATTCGAGCTAGGAAGTTTTGAACTCTAACGGAGATAATGCCTGAGGGGATGACGTCGGAGAATGGACAAGACGAATGGCGTAGCAGTTGAGGGCGTTACTGCAAGGGGAGCCTAGGGCAGGTAGTACGACTCGTAGGAGTATATCCGAGGTTGAAGAGAAAAGACTCTGAGGGCCTGAAGGGGGAGATGAAAGGGGGTTTATATCCAGAGGCTCAACAAGCAATCCAGACACAGGAAAAGGAGTAGAAATTTTAGGGTTCCATTGTTACGGGTTCCCTTTGGTACGACTCGGCGCCGTTTGTAGACTGGGGTTGTTCGTTCCAGTTTTTCCGATTTTCTGGAATTTTTTTTTTTTTTTTTTTTTTTGTTTTCGATTCGGAAAATTAAATTTTTCCCCCTCCTTTTTTTATTTTCTATTTTCTGACTACTATTACCCTAAACTGCCTAGACTGGGCCAAGCCAACGGTGAGCTCAGTCTACAAACTAGCCACTCCGCAGACCGTCGTACGTACCGACTACTCTACACTGAAGTATGTACATAGTATGGTGTGAAAAAGGAATGTCTACAAGTCGAATGCAAGCGGGGTGAGCTGGATGAGAAGAGCTGGAGCTGTCAGGCTTCTGACACCAGCAAGTACCGTACTTTGACCGCATTGTGGGAACTCCGTTCGCACAAAAGGGCAGATCGGTCGATCTCTCCTTTCGACCCGGCAATGCGGGTTTCTGATCGGCTTTCGATGCTGGTCGTCGATGCATGACGCCCTGCCGGCCAGCAGGGGCCAATGATAGCAGCAGCAAGACCGCAAAGAATGCGCGCGCTGGACCGGATCGCACTGGAATGACTCGCAGCCCTCACGCCAGTCTCTACAAGACCAGCCGGGTGGAGCAAGTGACGGCGTTCCTGGCCGGATGTCGGTTGTACCAGCGGGTTCGAACGGCGCCAGATTGAGTGCCCTGGAGCAAGTGCCGACGTGGCTGTCTGTTCAGAAGTACCTCAGGACTACTCAAGACTTAGTGTGCCTGAGGGTCAGTTGTTTAGCCTTGCGCTGGCGAACAATGCGACAGGCGAACTAGGAAGTCCCGGGCCCCCTTTTTTGGGGCTCTTCCCGCGTCCCTTATCCGGCATTCTCGATCGTTTCGAGTGGATATGCTCGCCTCAAGCCGTCTCCCGTAAACTCGTATTCTGTAACATGCGAAGAAGTCGGAGGAATCGGACGCTGCTTGAGTCTGGACTTGCGGTAACCAGGGGTGCATCGGGCAGTGTTCTGGAAATCCCCACTGCGCATTTGCCCGACATGCGCTAGCCAGTTTGGGCGTGTTTGCATGCATTTGCACTGCACCTGTCCGTACATACAGTACACAGGACCTTAGGGTAGTAAACAGATGTAATGGATGCTGGGCTACTGCTGGACGCTGCATGCCGCCAACCTGTGGCATGACTTCTAGAAGCCTGACGCAGATCCGGCATACCATACCTGCTAGGGTACCCAAGGATAAGTACACCAGTGTAGACTCAAACATTCACATGGGCCGACGCGGCTGCTTGCGCTGGCCAACTCTTGCGGACGGTGGAGCCCGCGCGAAAAAAGAAATGAGTTGCACTTCCACAGCTTTGTGTTTTTTACTTCAAGGCGCTAGTCTGGAGTGTCTGTTTGACAGCTCCGATAAAGCTTGTCAGATCGGCCAACATCCAGTGCCTACCCTAGGGTATGTTTACACTCGATTTGTTCTGTACAATTGACTATGGCCTTAACTCTCCTTCCCATCCTCTCTCTACTGTCTAGACTCATCCCGCCCAGCCCTGAAATTATGGTTTCGTCAGCACCGCGTGTCGCACAGCTGAAGAGCCGATTAAGCTCGGTTGGGGTCATTTGACTGGCTCAGCTGGCCTTTTCACATTGAGAAAATGCTGTAAATGCCGGGAAATGTACTCGGATACGACGGCAGTCGACGCGCTTCTGCATTGGCCCTCGCAGCATCGGCAATGCACGCGATGACAAAAAGCCGTGTCAAAAGACAAAAGTCCAACCAATTGTGCTTGCGTCTGGGTCCTTCTAGGGCAGCTGCAGATGTCGCGGACCGCAGAGCCCAACAGGAAAAGCCCGACGGGGTTAGGCACCAACAATCCCCATCTTGGGACCCGCGACGTCTAGAAGCCACTGGAAGACGCAGAAGCCCTAGAATCAACACGAGCCTCTGAATCTGGACCTCGCGGTGTAACTCGGACTCCAAAGTGTAGCAGGATGCGGCTGCAGCCTTGTTGACACTGCCTTGCCAAAGCCCCTCATTGCGTGACAGCAGAATACGGGGTGACCTCATATTTCCGGCTTGACGCCGCAGTCCGCCACGGCGCCCCGGGGCGGTGATGCATCCAGACCGTTTGGATCCATGTGACTTGGACCTTGCGCCTGTCGTGAATCTTGGAAGAGCGGCCACTACTGGTGCAGCCGGGTTTTGCGCTGGCGTCGGCCCGTCGCCGGATCGAGACTGGCGGGCCATCAGCACAAAATTGGTTATCTGATGGACGTCATTTGACCTGATGCAGGGGTACTACCATACTCTAAAGTATTCTCGGAGTACCCTAGTCAGTACTAAGGGGGTACCTTACAGATGTGCCTTCAACACTACTAGTAGTGTAGGAGGTGTTCCTGCTGCTAGAAAGATATCATCCTTCTTGATATAGTTCTGGCATGATATTTCCGAAAAGCATAGTATGAGCTGAAGTGCTACTAGTCGTATGCATTAAGCCCCCCACAAAGACCGAAGGACCATCCACGTCCCCAAAATCCCAATTGTCGACGCAAGAAGCAGCCCATTCCCTTCCCAGGTCAATCCTAGGTACGCCAACACGCCCACCACCACCTCCTTCCGCCGCGCAACCTCCCGCCGACTCCTCCATCGGGGATCGATTGCGAATGGAGCCACCCGCGACTCGTCCGTGTGATCAGCCCGCGAGCTGGTGCGTTTCAGCGGCACGGGTACAGAAATCGCCAGCGCAACAGGCCGGTGGTCTGACTGTGGGAGCAACGGGAGTGCATCGTACGCCTGGGGTTTGACCCGTCGCTCACCTCCCTCTGGTGCGTCGAGGTAGAGGATTCGGTCGCACCAGCTGGGCCAGCGGTGGCTGGACCATTTCCACTCTGCGTCGCCGCTGTCCACGCCGAGTCGCGCGGCCTCGCGCGCTGCGTCGGAGTATTTGTATGTTGGGGGGAAGTCGATGGGGGCCTCTGAGAGGCCGTGGAAACTCTTGCCTTGTTGCATCTGGCGCATGAGCTGATCTTCTTTGAGGAGGTGTGAATAGTGCAAGGTGCTCTCGCGATTGACGAGTCGGCGCGGGAACCGAAGGACATCGGCCTTGGAGGGCTGGATGTCCGAGGTGCGATAGTTCAGGTCTCCGGCCAGGAAGAGGTAGGAATTCGGTGCGAACAGGTCTCGTCGCGTTTCTGGCTGAGACTCGGACGATCGATGCGATCCTAGCAGTGTGGCATTCTCGTCGGCCCCCTCACTATCACCGCTCTTTGACGCAGTGTCTTGCTGCGAGAAGACCAGTCGCTCGACAATACTCTGCCAGTCTAGATTCCGCTGTTCCAGCGCATTCTCCATCGGCGCCAGATGCGCCGCGACAAAGGTCAAATTCATCGTTTGCGCCGAATGCTCGTCAACCACATACCCCAGCCGCGCGCCCACAGCACCCTTATTGCCCATTTCCTGAACACCAAACCCAACATACGCCGTCTCTATCCACGATATCCTATCCGTTACATCGGAGCGCGCAAATACCATCAACCCAGTCATGCCGATATGATCCTGGAGTACACTTTCGTAGGATCGACCAAATTGTTTTGTCGCGGCCTTTTGAACCGCCTGAATAAAAGCATCGTAGTAGGGAATCAGGTACGATCCGCCCAAAAATGAGTAGGCGATTGGCGCTATCTCTTGTAACGAGAGTACGATCAGCTCCGGGGCACTGAAGCTTCCCGTGGAAGTAGGGAGCGCATTGAAGAAGTGCTCTGCGAAGCGATCTATGTCGATGAGATTCCGGGCGCAGTTGGCCGTCAGGATGTAGAGATTGAGATCCTCCATGGCCGGTTGACTTGCGAAGTGGGATAGCTTGATGGGGAGAATGGCGGTGACGTCGTGGGAATAGCTGCACCGCCACGTGCCGAATGGAGAGTGGATCAGCAGACGCCCGCAAGTTTGGAGTCGTGATTCGCGCAGGTGATGAAGTTTCCAGCAGGGGATCGGGGGAGCAAAAGCAAAGATGGGGGAAGCAAAAAAAGAAGAAAAAAGAATTGCATCATCCGTGAATCGAACACGGGCCTCGTCGATGGCAACGACGAATTCTACCACTAGACCAATGATGCTAGTTGATATACGACTGCCAACTCTTAATATTATCAGCTATCAGGTTCCGTTAACGAAATAAGAGCCGCAACTAACGCGAGTATAGAGATTTCACTTTCGCTATATCCATGCTACTATGTCCAAAGGTATTCTCTAGGCACGAGTAGGATTCAGATATTATGTAGAAACTATCTTCTAGTTCCTAGTATAGTAGCATTTCCATCACAGCTTCTCTCGAATCCGACTCTGCTCATCCAATTCCACCAACAACATTCCCTCCGCTACATCTTCTTCGTCTTCCTCCATCTGATACACCCATTTCACCGTGCCAGCTCGAGGACTCCGGACCTCCAGCTCCATCTTCATCTGTTTGACAAAGGCCAGCACCTGATTCTCGGCAACAGCCTCCCCATCAGAAACGAGTATCTCAATCAATTTCCCCGATAGCGGGAGGACAATGTGTCGCGGATTCTTGGGGTCTCCTCGTCGGTGCGTGGAAGAGACAAGCGCCGACGCCGCGGTCGAGGTTGTGTCAAGCTGCATCCGGTAGGGTATTGGGGTCTGCGAGGTCGGCGTTGTGTACTCGATTTCCGCGGATAGTGAGGTTGGGAAGTCGTTTCGTAGTACGCGAGAGAGACGCATATGGTGGGATACTTTTTCGGATGCTTTGCCTTTTTCGAGGGACTCTAATGAAATGGACCATGCGTCGCCTTTGCGGAATAGCAGGTTGGAGGTAGGAAGTCCACTCTGAGACATCGACTGCTGAAAAGCGGTGCTAGAGATCAATCTCTCTGCGCGCTCGCCAGCTTCCATCAGCTCACCATGCCGATAGACTTCGTCCAGCTTGAGACTCAGCCACTGTGTGTCGACACGACCAGTCAGGAAATCAGGGTTCGAGACAATCCCTCGGAGAAGGTTAATGTTCGTCTTGACGCCCGAGATCCGGGAGTCAGCCAAGACTCGCTGGGCTTTTCGGACAGTCGCCTCCCAGCTTGAAGCAGTAACAATGATCTTGGCGAGAAGATTATCGAAATTCGATCCGACCACCAGAGGAGATGTACCAGAGGAATCAATATGAGTGTCGACACGAATTCCATTTCCGCTTGGCACAAAGAATTCCGTGACCTTGCCAATACTCAGGGCAAAGTTGTTGCTTGGATCTTCGGCGCACAGCCGTAGCTGAATCGAAAAGATTTTTGGCGGAGTTGCCCTTGCATTGAACTTGGAGCCCAGACCAAGCTCCTCAAATGTCCATCCTTGAGCGAGCAGCAGCTGAGTTTGCACCAGGTCGATCCCGGTGATGGATTCTGTAATCGTGTGCTCGACCTGAAGGCGTGGATTGATTTCCAGGAAATAAAACTCTCCCTTATGCTCGCTTACCAGAAATTCAAACGTCCCCAGTGAGCGATATCGAATCTCACTCGCCATTCTCAGTGCCGCATCAATGACCTTCGACACCAGCCTTCTATCATTCATCAGGGCAGGTGCACATTCCACCACTTTCTGGAATCGACGCTGCACACTACAATCTCGCTCCCAAAAATGTTGAACCTGGCCGGTCCCGTCGCCAATCACCTGGACCTCGACATGGTGGAAGCCATCGACCGCAGCCTTCTCCACAAACACCGTCCTCGACGGCGACTCGCCAATGGCTCGCTGAATACTATTATCCAGCTCATGCTCTTCATGAACCAGACGAATTCCTCGCCCACCGCCTCCATCGACAGCTTTAATCATAACGGGGAATCCAACTTGTCGAGCGAATGCCCTTGCCTCATCCACATTGGACGTTGGCTGCCTCATAGCCTCCAACACAGGCACTCCACATTGCCGAGCCAGAAGTTTTGCTTGCAGCTTGTCGCCAGTCCGACTCAGATTCTCCGGCCCAGGCCCAATCACCATGACACCTTTTCCCGCCCACCTCTGCGCGAACTCGGCACTCTCACTAAGGAAGCCATAGCCCGGGTGCACTGCGTCGGGCTGGAACTTACTAGCGAGGTCAATTATCACCGAGGAATCCAGATAGGAAGATGCAGATGGAAGCTGGACTTGGAAAGTCGGGCGTCCGATGTCGCAGTGTGAGCGATCGTCTTCTGTGTACAATGCGATTGTCTCGACTGGCACGGGCAGTTCCCGTGCAGCATTTAATATTCGCACGGCGATCTCGCCTCTGTGAATGTTATCAATATATGTATATGCAGTATTGCAGCTGGGGGTGAAATAGTGTCTCACCGATTGGCGACCAAAAGCCGCTTAAAGCGCCGCGAATGGGGGGATGCCGACATCGCGAAATCCGGGGTAGCACGCAAACACAAGACTAAACACGCAGTAGCGTCGACCAGGATATGAGTGGTGATATGTATAGCGTAGGATAATGGGATGTCTCGAGGTTTGATTTCTTATACTCTTAGCATAATTGCAAGAGGGTTGGCAGTTTCGACCGCCGAGGTACCTCGGATGGCCCCAACCGACTTCCCCTCAGCGGGCCCCGTCCATTACCAGCTTCGTCCCCCAACCATTCATGTACTCTATACTACAAATAATACAGCATGCGATAAACCAGCAAACAACAAAATGGCAAAAGAAAACGACTCAAAGCTGCCAAATGGAGGCAACGAACAAGCCACACAGCGACTCAACCAAGTCTCCGCACACCTCGCGGAACCATCAAAGAAGCAATCGCGCCTACCAGCTGACCACTCCGATGTCCTCGGCCAAATCGCCACCCTCAAAGGTATAGCCGCAAATCCCGACCCCAATCATCGAGGCTATGTGCGGCAAAAGCAAGCTGGAAAGCTTTGGGTGCGCGAGCGCATCGACCAGCTCCTGGACCCAGGCTCCTTCACGGAGATTGGATCCGTGTCTGGAACTGTCACCTGGAAGAAGACCGCACCGATGCGCGAGGAGCCTGTCTCGTTCGTGCCGAGCAATAATGTCCAGGGCGCGGGCTTGTTGCGCGGCAGGAAGGTGTTGCTTACGGCGGATGACTTCAGTATTCGGTCTGGACATGCGGATGGGGCGAGTGCGGGTAAGACGGTTTATGTGGAGAAGTTGGCAATTGCGTTGAGGGTGCCGGTGGTGAAGCTGGTTGATGGGAGTTCTGGGGGTGGGAGTGTGACGACTATCAAGAAGGAAGGGTGGAGTTATTTGCCTCATGTTGCGCCTTTTAAGCCGGTGATCCAGCAGTTGAATATGGGGATTCCGAATTTGGGTGCTGTTGTTGGTCCTGCGGTATGTATAGAATCATGCGAGAACCAAGCTTTCATTCCTGCAGGGCGCAGTTGCTGATTCTGCATAGATCGGCCTTGGCGCAGCTCGAGTCGTCTCCTGCCATTTCTCGGTGATGGCAGCGGATATCGGAGCATTGTTCAATGCCGGACCGAAGGTGGTCGAGGGCGCGACCTTTGAAGAAGGTCTGGACTTTCAGGATCTGGGCGGTCCGATGGTCCATTGCACAAATGGCACGATTGACAATCTGGCTGCCAATGAAGCCGAATGTTTTGAGCAGATTCGCACAGTCTTGGGGTATCTGCCCAATTCTGGCAGTGAGGCTCCTCCCATTGTGCGGTGTGATGATCCGGTTGATCGCGAGGATATCGCGCTCCGCAGTATCATTCCTCGTCGACAGGCGCGTATGTATAATCCCCGCACCATTATCACTTCGGTTGTGGACCGGGATTCCTGGTTTGAGATCGGTTCTCTCTGGGGGAGGACAGCGATTGGGGGTCTTGCACGTTTGGGAGGTCATCCTGTTGGGGTGGTATCGTTGAACTGCGAGGTGAATGGCGGTGCACTCGATGCTGCTGGAAGTCAGAAGCTCACGCGACTGCTGAAAATGTGCGATGTGATGAATATTCCGATTCTGCAATTCCTCGACGTCCGTAAGTACACTCTGCCCGCCCTTTTGTATCTGCTGTTCTTTCTAACAAGTGTATAGCTGGATATGCCATCGGCACAGTCGCCGAACGAACCGCAACCATGCGCTGGGGAGTCGAACTAGCCAAGACATACTACACGACCACAGTCCCAATCTTCAACGTGGTGACTCGGCGTGTCTTCGGCGTCGCAGGCGGAGTGATGCTCGGTTCCCGCGACCCAGTCATGCAAGTTGCGTGGCCATCCGGCCAATGGGGCTCATTACCTCTGGACGGTGGGATTGAGGTAGGACACCGGCATGAGCTGCGCGAGGCTGAGAAGATCGGGAAGAAGGAGGAGCGGTATCGGGATTTGGAAGAGGAGTATTTGCGCTTGATGAATCCTGTGCGGACGGCGAATGCTTTTGGCGTGGAGGAGATTATTGACCCGAAGGATACGAGGAGGGTTTGTTGTGAGTGGGCGGGACATATTTATGAGGTGCTTATGAGAGAGAGGTTGTCTGGTCGGGCGAGTGGGAGGATTCATCCCTCTTTTGCTTGATCGCGAGCAATTAATACTGCATCAAGTGGCTGTATTTTTGGTTCCGAGAATTCTATGGGAGTATCATGGTTATAGGCATGAATACAATGTATACAACATCATACATACTCCAAAGTGGAAAGGCAATGCAATACATACGCTGAAAATTCAATTTGAAATCTACGTGCTTAAAGAACTACCTAGAATCAAGAACCCAGACGGTAAATCCTAGCAATTACTAGTACTTGGACCTTTTCGTAATCTGCATCGACAAAGAGACACTGGCACTGTTCGCGCTGACCGTGCCTTCAGAACTTGGGACATTTCAGTACACACAGATTTAAAAACTGACTAGAACCAGAAAAGTATAGCACAGGATAGTATCTACACAGCAACAAGCCAACGAAAAATTGGCGAATATTTAACAGACAGGTCGGAATGCCGCCCACGTGACCGGAGTTTCGCCGCGATGGCAGTCTACGGTGAGGAGTCGCAAGTATGAAAGTGCTGTGCGCTCCCCGCTTTTTGATCAATTTGTCTCATCTCCCGTATACACCAGAAACACTTTGGGAGGCAACCATGGAAAAGAACAGCAAAATAGTCATCGTCGGCGCCGGGGTATTCGGGCTATCTACGGCCTACCAGCTGGCAACCGAGGGCTACACTAATATAGTAGTGCTTGATCGGCACATGCCGCCGGTGGGTCGCCAAGAGCATCACTCGACAAAGGCAAATCATCGTTCCTACAGCGAAACTAACAATGCCAGGTCCCCGATGGATCGAGCTCGGATATCTCGCGTGTAATCCGCTTCGACTACGGTGATTACGACTACCTCAGCCTTGCCTACGACGCGTATCTGAAATGGCGCGATACACCCAAATACAAAGGCATCTTCTATCCAGCTCCATACATTCTCGTTGGGAAAACAAGTCCCTACGGCCAGGACTGGATCGCCAAGACAACCTCGGCACTCAACAAGAAGAAACTACCCTGGACAAAGCTGAAGGACGCGGCCTCGGCGAAAGAAAAGTTCCCTGTGCTGTCCGGAGAGCTTGCGAAACCTGGATTTTTCGGATATCACAACCACCAAGCTGGATGGGCTGATGCGGCCAAGGCTATCAGCCAGCTTCGTGACGACTGTCTCGAGCTCGGTATCTCATTCATCTGCGGAAGACAGGGGACTGTCAACGGATTCGAGACTGACTCTAACAAAACAATCAAAGCGGTCTCTACTCTGCACGGCAGTCAAGTGGAGGGTGACCACTTTATTCTTTCGACCGGCGCCTGGTGTACAGGATTAGTACCCATGTACAACTCAGCCTTGTCAACAGGTCAAGTAATCGGTTATCTCCGTCTAACCCCAGAGGAGATGAAAAAGTATCAGAATCTCCCGATCTACGCGAATTTCTCAACAGGATGGTTCAACTTCCCTCCGCATGAAGACACCAATATGCTGAAAATGGCAATTCACGGATGGGGATATACACGCACCCCCAGTCAAGAAGACCGCACCGCTATCAAGTCGAACCCCTCGGCGCCACCACTGATTCCCCCGCGCGAACGCCGCAATTTCGTCCCGGCCGATGCAGAAACGCGGCTGAGAGACGGTTTGCGTGAGATCCTGCCTGAAGTGGCTGATCGGCCATTTGAGAGGCTTGCTATGTGCTGGTATACTGATACGCCGAGCGGCGATTTTATCATGGATTATCACCCTGATTATAGTAACCTGTTCCTGGGCGGAGGAGGTAGTGGACAGTATGTCACCTTCTCAACATACCGTGTATATCCACTGACCGCATCACACAGTGCTTTCAAATTCTTACCCCTGCTCGGATCTTACATGTCGCTCGCCATCAAGAAGAATCTGCCGCCGCACCTTGCTCAAAAGTGGCGGTTCCGAAAGGACTACGCGGCGCAGAATGACACTTTCTTGGGTGATGGGAGCCGGGGAGGGCCAATTCGGCGGGAGCTGAACACTGAAGAGAGAGCAAAACTGTAGGTAGCAGCGTATTGTCTTTTGCATTTAGGTTTTCCAGATTGAACACGCTAATGGAAACACTTGTGTCGTCGATCTACCCACCTTATTGTTCTGTAATGCTGTCGCATAACCACCCTTAATTGTTTGCGGAAAATCATCACTGAAATGACATCTGGAAGAATATCAAAAAAATTCCATGGCATCGAAAATGTATATACAATTGTAGTAAGGCTTTCCGATGAGGGGTACCTTGGAAGTGCGGGGAAATGTGGGGTGTGTTTTCCGTGCCACGCGAGTTGTCCTATCTATAGGAGCCACAGTTGATAAGCGGTTGAACTTTGTCAAAGCTGGTGTCCAGTTTAGCGGTCGCATGTGATTGCATCTTTATTGAGTGAAGTCCTCAGCCTGGAGGTGACCAGAACGGTTTAACGACAGCCAAGCGTCTCGTCCGACGTTTGTTCGTCCCGTCTAAAAAAAAATACTACGTGATGGAAAGAGTAATCTCAGATAGCGTATCTATCGCTTTGAAAAGATCACACTTTCCCAAAGGCTCTACAAAATGCAGCAGTCAATAGTGGTATCCACAAGTCATAAATTTTCCCATATGTAGACCCCCTTGAACGTCATTTTGTCGATTTTGTCGATTCTAGCTCATGTCCACAACGCAGCGAATGCAATCGCCTGACTTCATGAGACCAAAGGCCTCGCCCAGACGATTCAAAGGTAGACGGTGAGTGATAAATTCGTCTACCTTGAGCTGACCATTCAGATAGTCATCCACCAAGCCCGGCAGCTGCGATCGGCCCTTCACGCCGCCAAAGGCACAGCCCCTCCATTTTCTTCCGGTGACAAGTTGGAATGCTGCATATTGTGTTAGTAAACACCGAGCCAGGTACTTAAGAGATTTGACTCACGTCGTGTTTTGATTTCCTGACCCGCAGCAGCCACGCCAATCACAATGCTCTCGCCCCATCCCTTATGGCAAGCCTCCAGGGCAGTCCGCATCACGGTGACATTCCCGGTGCAGTCAAAGGTATAATCACATCCTCCGTCCGTCATCTCAACCAGATGCTCTTGAAGCAGTCTGTTCCTCGAAATCTTCATAGGGTTAATGAAATCAGTCGCACCGAATTTCCGTGCCCAGTATTCCTTGGAATCATTGAGATCAATAGCAATGATCCGGCCTGCCTTCTGTCGCGCAGCACCCTGCACAATCGATAACCCAACACAGCCTACACCAAACACAGCAATGGTCGAGCCTTCTTCAACCTTGGCTGTAACCACTGCTGCTCCGTATCCAGTTGTGATTCCGCATCCAAGCAAGCAAGATCGGTCAGTGCCGATTCGATTGGTGACCGCAACAACGGAGATATCGGCTAGAACGGTATACTGAGAGAAGGTCGAGCAACCCATGAAGTGAAGAATATCTTTTCCACGGGCTCGGAAGCGTGAAGTGCCGTCGGGCATGACGCCTTTGCCTTGGGTGTCGCGAATCTTCCCGCAGAGATTGGTTTTGCCTGATCGGCAAAATTTGCAGTCGCCGCATTCCGGGGTGCTAATACGGTAAGAATCACTGAAACCCGGTTGGAACTCTTGAATGACTCACTAGAGTGCAATGACATAGTCGCCGGGCTTGACATTAGTCACTCCTTGACCGACGGATTCAACAATGCCAGCACCCTCGTGACCGAGGATGGATGGGAATGCGCCTTCTGGGTCGCTACCGGATAGTGTGTACTGGTCTGGATGGCACCGTCAGCTGTGTTTAGCTTTGCGTGATGAGAGCCCTGCTTACCCGTGTGACACACTCCAGTGTGAAGAACCTTGATGCGCACCTCGTGGGCCTTGGGAGGTGCTACCTCGACATCTTCAATGGAGAGAGGCTCCTTTGCATTCCATGCAATTGCAGCCTTTGGTTTGCCAGTCAGTCCGGTTCCTGTCTCGTCTTTTTTCTTCGTTCGTCTCGACTTCGAATCGCCTCATCACTGGTTCTCAAATCCCATGTCCCATACCTTGCATGTAATTGTCTGAAATGTTCTGCGTTAGCGTTCAAGTATATCCAACGGGGACGAAGGGGACATTGTAGAATGACCGCACCTTTCCGACCGTAGTCGCCATGGTAAAAGGACGCTGGAAATTGAACAAAAATATCGTAAGAAGCAAAAAGTACTTGGTGAGATTCATTTTTTCTTGCATCATATCTATATTCCGCGGGATACCCCGCTCATGTGAGAGGGGAAAGGGGCGGAAGTGCGGGGCGTGCGGAGAACTATTTCTAAATGAACTCCGAAATTCCGGCCTGGGCACTTTATATCGATGAAAATCAGACTCGAATAGACTCAAGGACCGGGTCTAGGAAGTACTCGGGGATGTTGTTGCTTTGGCTCGATGGCACAACAATAATGCCATATAGAGTGAGGCTTTCCATAGAGTCATCCTACCCAACACGTCGGCGGCTGCGAAGAGAATAAGACTCTTATCTCCCTTGCCATCTCTTAAACCCCTATGTCCCGATGCCTTCGTCAGTGCCTCTCTGACACCCGCAAGGAATCCATTCAATTGTGTAAAGTCCCGAGACGCCTCTTGTAGAGAAACCACCTGACCGCGATCAATGCAACTAATCAAAGCCCAGACAAAAACGCCACTAAGAAAACATGCAATGATCCTCGGAGGTTCCATCAGCGCAAGATATGTCGCGCTGTGTGAAGGCTCTAGCTGGAGGTCTTTTATGGTCTGAAGACAGTGAATAAATGCGCCGACTGATGTGTCGGGATGAGCTTCGAAGATATGATGCATCTTATCCATGGTCGGAACGATCTTCGAGGTCCCTGACTTTCCAAGCACATTTTGAAGATCCAGAATGGGGAGATGCAGTATCAGCCTTCCGAGTCGGAGGTGAATCGCTACAACTTGATCAAAATGTTTAGAGCAAGGGTAGGCTGGTATTTCGGTGACAGAGATTATCGAGTATGCATTTTCCCAGATAAGGAGCATTTCTGTTCAAGCCTTAGCAAGGAGCAGAGGAATTATGGCTCAGAAATGAATATCGAGCTACTCACGTTCAAGATTGGACTTTCTCTCTGCCGGAGAGCGCAATACTTCTTGCGTAGATACTGACAGCCTCGGACTGGGCTCGTTTCTCGAAGAGCACCGGGTAACCAGCTGTGCATAGTGCTCTTGTATGTCCGGAGTCAAAGGCCCCCGAATCCAGAGTCAACTACGTGGATCGAAGCCGCGACAGCTTCTCCCGCGGTTTGCCATGTATTCGATTCGAGTGTGGCTTCGGCAGTCATGGTAATCTGCTGAGAAAGCTCAAAGCTCTGCACCAAGATTGTGGTGAGAATCAGGTAGCGGGTCCATGAATTTAGACCGATGGAGCTTGATAGTGAAGGTTGCACGCGGAATGAATCCGAAAGAACACTGGTAGCGCGGCCCAAGTTCGGAGGGCCTAAGAACGGATGAATAACCGAGGCGAATGTTCTCTCTGGAGGCAATGACGCGCAGCCGAGTAAGTCTTTCCAGTGCTGTGAATTTACTGCGTGCCAAAGCTCCTCATTGCATGGACATCCCATGCTCTTGAACTCTGCAATGCTGTCTGCGGCGGGGAGATATAATAAACATGGGAACGAACTGTCGAGACCATATATAACCCAGGCAAGTCTTTTCCGAGTCTCTTTCAAGATCCACTGACTCCACTGTCCATCAAAGCTATCTCGGAATATCTTAGCCTCTTCTTGAGCAAGGTGTATCTCGCTCTTCAGAATGTGACGACCATATTTTGATTTTTGGCTCGAGATGCAACTTGATACGAAGACGTCTCTGTTCAAAGCCGCAGGAACATGATAAGATAGAGCACCCTCAAACAGTCAGGGCAGGAACTGTAACAGGTCTTGAAATTGTCAAGTGTGTTGACTTAAAAGTCTCATGCTAAGTACTGGTGGAGGTTGTGCGCCCCATATCGTCCGGCTCCTATGGAGTGGTGTGAGTGCCCGAATGTAGACCTCCATCCAAGTAAAATCTACTGGCGGACGGGCAGGAACAGGGTTGATATAATTGCACCGGGGAGGCAGTAGCAATGATCGAGATACTTGAGTACCGGTAAATATCAAGAGGATCTCGCACGGGCTGGGCTTTGTTCTAGAAGGGTCGAAAGGGTTCCAGGCGAAAACAATCGCCTAAAGTCTTGCGTACATTCGTGAAATTGACAACCAAGAAGTCTTGTGTGACGTGGTGATTGTGGGCACTCATAAAATGGGTACTGAATTGAGGGTTTATCATTTCTAGTATACGTGCAATCTGAGTTACTGAGGTTAATGTATATTTCCCACGGTATATCATATGCATTGTTTGTCATTTTTTTCATGTTCAAAGAGATCTAAATGTTTGGTAGAAAGAATGGGAAATGTTTGGAGAATGTACTTCTTATGCGGCTATGCATTTTGTTCTTGTTCCTTCAATACATCCTCCACTGTAATGCGGATAGAGTTCACAAAGTCAGACTCGGTGTTCACAGGCCGCCATCCCAAATCATATGCTTTCTCAGTTCGAGTATGCGAGCTGTTGGCTTGTTAGCTTTGGTTCGTGCTTGAAGTCAATCGAAAACAATTGAATACTAACTTGGAAGCAAAACATGCCTCTGCATATTTGACGTCACCATCAGCAAACTTGTGTGCTGCATCTTCAAGACTGATAGCCCTAGGCATGGGAGATTTCAAAACACCAAGTTCATGGCCGACCTTGCCGATTTCGCTGGTCACTTCGGACCATAAGTGATAGCCAGTATCTGCAAAATAATAGCCATGTCGACCGGAAACAATGCTTGCTCCCTCCACGACTTTCGACACGAGCAATGCGTATAGCCGGGCAAGGTCCTCCACGTGAACATGGCCGAGCCGTGCGACCCCGGTCTCGACATGCTCAGCATATCCAGTTTTGAGGGCATTTCTAATCAGTGTTGGAATCTGGTGCGACTGGGTCCGGAAGAATCCAGTACCACGGCCATAGACAGTTGGGGGCATCACGATGTACGTCTTGACCTGGCAGAGTTCCCCGGTCTCGATGGCGGCAACCTCGGCGGTTCGTTGAGCGTATGGCTCGTAGGCTTCGCGGAGTAGTTCATACTCATAGATGTCTTCGTCCCGGTCGGAGAATGCTCGTAACTCAAACGGTGACTCTCTAGTGGCTGGGACAGAGACACAGGTTGTTCCGGATAGCTAAGAAGCGCTTGTAAGTATTTACTTGCCACTATAAAGCGCTGTAACAACTTACGTGGAGGTAATAGACGTCCTTTCCTGTCTGCTCTCGTCTTTTTCCGAGTCCTCGGATCAGCGACTTGGTGGATGTGGCGTGGAACCCAGTTGCGACGTTCACCACGATGTCGTGCTTGCTGGCTGCTTGTTCGAGTGCTTCGTCATCGTCAAGGCCATTCACAAGAACAGTCTGGAGTCCTTCTTTCGCCAGTCGATCCGCATCAGCGGGTTTGCGAACGACGGCCGTGATAGACAGAGATTTGATTCCGGGGTCAGATGTGTTCAGTAGCTGATGCAGCACAGTGCCCCCGCTTAGATAGTCATTGTCAGTTCTAGTCTGTTCCTGTCAGATGAGGCGCAACGATTTGAACATACATGAAGCCTGTCGCGCCTGTCAGGAGTAATTTCGATGGCATGATTGAAAAGATATGACTCCTCAGATCTTTAATGGCACCCTGATGTAATGTGAGAAGGAGATATATAGGCCAAATACACTCACAGGTTCTAGAGCAGCGGATTAACAATCAAAGAGAGGCCAGGCGGGGCTGCAGCCAATTATTGCCATCAGCTCAGCGGAAAATATATTCCTGCCGAATCTTCACCAGAACGAGTAGATCTGAACAAAAACAAACCCAAATTTACCCTAGGGTGGTCTCAATTGCAAATATTTCCTTTGAAACTTTTGATCTGTTACTATTCTCTATGCAGCGGTGGTATGCCTGATACTTTTCCTCCGGTTTAACCTAGGCTTGAAGCCGAGTGAGACGCTCTTGCCGTATCAGCCCAGCACTGGTAAATAGATAAATAGACATACCACACACACGGTCAATGACGCACTTTCCTTTTTATTGCTGCTGCCCCCTATGGCTGACCTCCTACTGCTAAGGCTCAAGCTGGGCTGTATAGTTCATTATAAGGGTAGTATTGGCAGATAAAGTTGGCCGATGCCAAGACCGTTATCACATGTCACGCCACTCCCCCTTTCCCCCAACAATCGAGCCTCCAACTTTTTGCGCATCAGCCCATATCGATCGTCGCTTAAAGCAAGAGAATGTCCCTGCGGCCCCGGCCGCCCTCATCCTGACCTCCTCATTCTAATCGCCTCCACGTCCCGCTACAATGGCCCCCGTGAACGGCCATGCCTCGAAATCTCAACAGGCCGCCCAGCGCCGCATCGAATACCACGAGGCCGACATTGTGATCGTCGGTGCCGGTGTTCTGGGATGTGCCCTGGCTGTTGCACTGGGAAGACAAGGGCGAAGCATAATCCTGCTGGAAAAGTCTATGAAGGAGCCCGATCGCATTGTTGGCGAATTGCTCCAGCCCGGAGGCGTGCAGGCGTTGGAACAGCTTGGCTTGCGCGATTGTCTCGAGGAGATCGACGCGATTGAGGTGAAAGGATACTACGTGACATACTTTGGAGAACCCGTTCAGCTCGAGTACCCCAAGGACACCCCCTCGTCGCCCGCTCCTCTCGGACGGGCGTTCCACCATGGCCGCTTCGTGATGAAATTGCGGGAGGCGGCGCTCGCCTGCCCCAACGTCACGGTCATTGAGACTACCGCAACTTCGCTGGTGATGTCGTCGACAAAGCCGTCGCAAGTTCTCGGTGTGGAGTGTGTCACGAACGATCTCAAAGACTGCTACTTCGCCCAGCTCACCGTCGCCGCTGACGGCTACGCCTCCAAGTTCGGCAAGATGTACCACCCGCACACCCCCAAGCGCCGTTCGAAGTTCTACGGCCTCGAGATGATCGACGCTACCCTCCCCTCACCATGCTACGGCCACGTCCAGCTTAGCGACAACCCGCCCGTCCTCATGTACCAGATCGGAACCCACGAAACCCGCATCCTAATCGACATCCCCGAAAACCTTCCGGCCGCGTCTGTGAAAAATGGCGGTGTCAAGGGCTATATGAAGAATGTCATTCTTCCCTCGCTCCCTAAGGGTGCTCAGGCATCGTTCGAGGCGGCCCTGGAGAAGGGCAACCTGCGGTCAATGCCAAATTCATTCTTGCCCGCCGCAGCCAACAAAATACCCGGTATGATGATTCTGGGTGATGCGCTCAACATGCGGCATCCTTTGACCGGTGGTGGAATGACTGTCGCGCTCAATGATGTGTGTGTCATTCGCGAGCTCCTGAGCCCCGAGACTGTTCCCGACCTGGGAAATACCACCCTGGTCTTGAAACAACTCGCTCGATTCCACTGGGCCAGGAAGAACTCTTCGTCTGTCATCAACATTCTCGCGCAAGCTCTATATTCCCTCTTTGCTGCTGACGGTATGTCCTTCTCTCTCTATTAATTTTATACTCGTCCAGTACTGATTCTTCGCAGATGTCAACCTCCGCGCTCTCCAACGAGGCTGCTTCCGCTATTTCCAGATCGGTCCCGTCGGGGGGCCTGTTGGTCTTCTCGCCGGCCTCATCAAGCAACCTCTTATCCTCTTCTCTCACTTCTTCACCGTAGCGTTCCTCTCCATTTGGGTCCTATTCCGTGATACCCCTCTGACACACCTCATTCTCTTCCCATTCCGGTCTGTCATGGTCTTCTGGACAGCCTGTGTTGTAATTTTCCCATACATCTATGCCGAAATTTGGTACTAATGATCGACAAAACCTTCCCATACACCTTTTGATGAACATATTGTGTTTCTCAGCGGCGGGTCCTCCCCTATTACTATAATCTCGCATTTTCGTTTTGTCTCGGCTTGGGCCTGCTTCAGCCCTTCTATGTGATTTAATTCCCCCGCCGTTTTCGCCCCCAAAAAGCGATCAATCATCCTGACATATACTGCCCGTTCGGGCTTGAGCTTGATTTCTGATGTACTATAACCCCGCTCACAACGTCCCCTCAGCATACTTTTGTTCCAGAGGATATGCAATAAATGCCATTACGTATACGTGTCTATAAAATTCGAATCTCCACTGTAAAATTCACTTCGTTATGGCGACATCGTGTTCTTATGCAATGCCAAAAGTTGGAGAAGCAACAGCGTTCCAAAAATGATCAAAGACAGATGCCGATAGACGATCAACAAACGGTTCCCGCTAAGTTTCTCAAGACTTTTGTATGTCATCATCCCTCTCAATCCATTTCCAAATGCACGTCAAAAGCATCACGCTCTAGATTCACGGCCGTTCGCAGACGAGGTTGATTCTCACCAAACGTGCAAAAGAATGGCGCAACATGTTCCCTGTACGCTCTCTTTAACCCCGACATGTATTTTGACATTCTTGTACTACCCAGGCATGACGGCAAACGTGATATGCATGGCACAATGACAACGCAACAAGGGCTCGTAAATTGATTGATAGAAAGCAGCTTGCGCGTCCTGCTTCTTTTTTCCTTCTTTCTGTTTCATCAGTCGGTGATCTTATTGTCGGACTCAGTTGTACAAAAAGCTGTCGCCATGAAATTGACTGTTTGGCCGATTACAGGTCTTCGGTGCTCTATTGTTCTATCTACGTCCCAGCGATGAACCGACTCCGATCATATTTTATCCCACGCTCGATCATCGCTGATCGCCTTCGCTACATGTATGAACGTTATTCAGGAACAGCTACAACTACATGACAAGATGAAATGCATTGAATCTTTTTTCGATTTTTTTTTTGGTGGTTTCTCAATGATATTTGAACGGCATGGGGATCTGTTAACTCTCTTTTTGTACAACCGAAAAAAATGGCACCATAAGGATCCAGACACTTCACAAAAAAAGAGAAAACACGGCAAAAACAGAACCCCGGGGATCTAGCCCTATCAACACATGAAAAACTCCAGAAAGCTTCAACGAGGAAGCACAAAAACACGGGTTGTGAAAACAGATTCTCGTTGCTGTGCGTCGTTGCGTGGATTCTTGACAGATGATAATGAACATGACGAATCTTAGGTCTCTTTCCTTCAATCTTCTTCTCTTTCAGTTTTCGTTGATGGGATTCGATTCGCGTATGACCTCCCACAAAACCTTGACACCGGAATGAAAATGGAACATTGATGCAAAGCAGAATGCCCAGCGAAAGGATTTGATGCTGATACTCCGGAAAAAACACAAGGCTGAATATATGGTTTGAAAACACGGGAGGCTCTGAAACTGGGTATGTTTTTTGAGGATGGCACTAGCGCTTTTGGTTTCGTTTCGTGAGATTTAACTGATCAATATGACAGTAATTTCGATATGGCGGTCGCCCTTCATCCGCCCTTTCGCATGGACTCGTCAGCAGGAAGGGGTTCTGGACCGCAGGTGATGACCACATTGCGTGGGTCGGCAGATGCCTTGGCATTGCGACGATGCTTTTTCTTGGTGGTCTGCCATCCGCCGTGGTTGTGATCAGTTGTTCCGTTGGTTGCCGCACTGGATTTCTTCGGCGGGTGATCCTTTGAATCGCCGTTCGTATTGGAGGAATTGTGCGAAGTATCCTGTCGACCCTTCGGTTTGGACTTTTGACTATGGCTGTGGCTGACGCCATTGGCCTTCTCCGAGGCATCGGCCCCATTTGTGCGCCGCTTCGAATTTTGATGGGCCTGTCGGCTTTCCTGTGCACCTGAAGCTTGGTTGGACTTCTCGTTGGATGACGCTTGATTCTTCGACTGGGCCGTATCCTTGCCAGAAGCATGCTGCGAAGAAGTGTTCTTGCTTGTCTTGCTGGTCGAGTGAGATTGGGCGAGTTTCTCGGCATTTGACAGGTGGAAGTTTTGCAGTCGACTGGCAAGCAGCTCAGGCTGGCCATTTGGTTTTTCTTGTTGCGTCTCCACGTTGCTATTGTTCTGCTTTTGCAACTCAAAAGGAGACTTGAAAACAGGCACTTGTTCCATCTCGAAGGGACCTGGATCCTGGAAATCCTGAGACAAGGAATCGGAGAAGCTCGCCGGCGTGTTCATAATGTTCTCATCGGAAGTTGACGTATAATGAGTCCCCGGGGTATACGGATCCACTGGCAGGTACTCCGATCCATATGACGGGCGGTGCTCAGTCGGACGTACTGAGCCATCCACAATCAGCGGACCGCCACGATCAGCAGTTGTGGCAGGGCGCGACGATGCTGAACGAGGCTGCGACTGTGATCCGGAAGATTTCATTGGCGCAGACGTGGCAGTCTGATCGGGGCGCATACTCGACTCCTCCGCTGAGAAGAAACTTTCAGCGGACCGATAATCCGGATGACCAGAGAGAAATGACGGGTATCCATTCTGCAGCATGCCCATATTAGCTGCCAAGGGTGGCAACATTGAATGTTGTTGATAAAATTGGAGCTGCTGGGGGGACAAGTAATAACCTAACAGGTCCTGAGCACGGTTCTCGTCTACGGAATCCGAGTGAGATCCATTGCTCGAGAGACTGTTGGGAGGCATTGTGGTTTCGTCTCCACTGCCTTCTCCACCTTCCGACGGCTCGGGCGCAGGGCGTTGTTTGGTGACATAAGATATATCGTGAATTTGCGGAATGCTCGTGTAAAGGTGCGTGAAATTCGGAAAAGATGGCGAGTTTTGAGGTCGTGCAGGCTGTGACTGCGCCCGAAGCGAGGCTTTTGGTGACTCATTTACAACAGACGACCGGCGGGGGTTGCGGCGAAGATCAGGAACAGTGCTGGCGGTAGATGGAGAAGGAGGATTCGTGGTGCTACCCTGTGTGCCAGAAGCACTCACGGAGGCATAGGTAGGGTTGGAGATTGGCGGCTGCCGTTGAGAGGGGGTAAGTGGCGGATGGTTCACTGTCCCTGATCGTGAACGAGAATTCTCTTCACCGGAAGTCTCTTGCCCTTGAAGCATTGGAAAGGAAATGAAAGGCTGACGTAGAAAGACTGGAGGAGGCCGCCCAGTGATCAGAGCTTGGTTGTGCAGTTGCATCCTCAGCTCTGCCTCTTGGGCTTGGAGAAGTTGGATCTGCTGATACAGCTGGTCGTGCAGCATGTACTGGGCCTGCTGCTGGGCCTGCAGGGATAGGTCTGAGGTATTCGTGGGGTTCAATGGGCGAAATGCATGATGATTAGACCGCGGCCCCGTGTTGGATGTTCGACGACCACCGGCAAGCCCGCTTCTGGATTGACCGTTGTTATATCGCCCCCCACGGCCTCCGCCATAGCTGCCATTGGTGCTACCGTTCATGCTGCCATTGCTGTTGGCACCGTGACTTCCACTGACGCCGTTTGTCCCATTGGCACCACCACCACTGCCAGTGCCATTGCCATGGAACAGGCTGCCGTTGGCGCCGCCACCTCCTCGACGGTTTGGGGGAAACGGAGTAATGATCGATCGCGCCTGTGGTCGAGGTCGCTCGACTCTCCGTTCCTCGCGAGGAAACTCGTACTGTTCGCAACATTTGGCAAGGTCGCCTTGCGCTACATGCTTGAAGGCCTGCCGCAATTCCATATGCAAGCCCCGGAACGAAGTGTCATCGGCAGTATTTCCCAGATTCCGTGAGGTGTTGAAAGGTTCCTCCACGCACAGCCGATTGTTGGAGAGGAAATGCCACCCCTTGAGATCTTTCCGAATCAGCTTGCCCTCACGCACCGAGACGACATAGTCCTCGTAATTGATCTCGTAGCCATAGTAACGGAAAAACTCGAAAAACAGCTCTCCCACAGACTGCTTGTTGTCCCAACCAAAAGTGCCCAAGGTGTCGAGATCATCGTCGAACGAATAGACCAAGCCATCGGGGGTAGTCTTCTTCGGGTGGGGACGAGCCTGAAGACTCGGAAGAATCGGGGGATTCCTCGTTTGCAGAAAGTTGATGATGAGGCAGATCCAGGTGTACGAGCTCAGGGTACCTCCCGTGCCGGCGTCATTGAGCACCCGTCGCTTCGTCCAATGCTTGACGCACATCGCCAGCGGTCGTACGCGCGAATCAACGTCGACATAGGTGCGGATCATGCGTGTATTTTCCAGGGCCAGTGAATTATTCACGTTCATGTCACAGGCCAACTTTAACTCGGGGTCCCAGATCTTCACAATGGGAACCTTTGCATGGGAGACGCAAACCACACGTTCCATGCCGTCTGTTCACCAGGCGTATTAGTCGAAAGCCCCACGAACTCGTTCAGCTCTTTGGGGGTTCTAGAATCAATACTTACGATTTGCCAATACGTCTGCCAAAAGACACACGCGCTCCAGCTCTTTAAAGTTGGTCGTAATACAAATGTCCACTGCCGCAAGTCAACCGCCGAACTCCTCAGTATTGATCTCTCGACTCTCGATTGAGAGCCGAGACCAGGTAAACACTTACCGTCCGAGTCACTCGAACAGAGTTTGTTGCCCGACGAGCCAAAGACGTTGGCCTTGATCTCGTGCCCGGGCCACTGCTCATTGAACAACTTCTCCAACTTTCGTACCAGTTGATGGCGGCGATCGTCGCTCTCAGCCGAGGGCAATAAGCGATCGTAGAGGTCCATGATGGCTTCTGTCAGTTTCTTCTCGTCCTCGGGGTCCAACTTGTCTTTGATCTCTTCCTCTTCGTCTTCTAAAAGGTCCGCGCCGATCGAATACGGCATTCGCCGTCGAAAATTGGCCATGGCCGTTTCGTATTTGCATGCACCAAGCGGTACGCGAGCGGAGGGAGGAATGTGTGCGGATTCGGAATGGGTTGAGCGAGGTGAGGTGCTCCCCCGAGCGGGGGAGGGCGAGCGAGAGTGGAATGAAAGGTTGCGCGCATGTTGGTAAGGGGTGGAGGGGAGTGAGTTCGACTGCTGCGACGTCAATGGAGGCCGATGCGGGATGTCGGACGCGTCGGACTGCGGCATGCAAGCCATGGCGGGAGGCTGCTCCGACGCTATCGGTGAGATGTCACCACGGTGGTGGGAACAGTTCGCAATCCCATCGGTGTTGGAGACCATAAAGCAGTGTCCTCCAACCCCAAGGTTTTTGTGTCGGGACTCGGCGATTCAGCAACGCAGCTGAGAATCCACCACCACAACTTCAGGACAGCCCCTCCGGAGCCCGGTCCACTCAATTCGCTGAGCGGCCACAGAAAAGCCCGGCCGGTTTGGTGGTCTGTCTGTTCGGAAAGTCGAATTCTCCCACGGCTGGGAAATGCGCGATTTGGTCGTGGAGTGGGTTTTCGAGGGAAGTAGAATTTGGTTGCGAAGCGGGAGGGTGGAGGTGAACAGTCGCCTTCACCCACCTCAAAATCGGCACGGTCACACTGCCCTGCGCCGACGGGGTTTCGGGGACACAGGATCGAGGAAAATCACAGGAATCACAAAAGGGAACGGAAGCGTCTCAACCAGGAGTCACGGGTAAACGAAGCGAGCGATCTCGAGACCGAGGCGGGATTGCCAGGGAAGGCGTCGAGACGGGGAAAGAAAGCCGTTTCAAGGGGAGCAAACGTGGCGTTCGGGGAGAAGCACGGGGGCGGATTGGAAGAGTGCGTTAAAGGTACAAGGCTCGAAGCGAGAAATTCGGAGGAACCAACCGGGGCTCCGATTGAAGGGAAGCAAGCGGTCGTGGAGGGAGGAGTGGAAGATGGAGGTTCGGGTTTCCAGAGGCAGCCCCTGTCGGCGGTAAAGACGTAGGAAGCAACACAGCGAGAGAGGCACCGCCGACCGCGCTGGTTCCACCTCCCGGCGAGTGATCAATACCCTCAGTCAATGCCCCAAATAATCTCATCATGATAATAATAACCAAGCTGAAACCCGTCGAACTCAGCCAGAATACGAAGGGCGCCTAAACGATCTCTACCTGCGACAGGCGGCCTCTTCGGCATCCCAAGCATCCTACAGTTTTTTTGGGAGGATAGATCGACCCTGCACCAGACCGTCGCGCTATTCGAAGAATCCACGGGGGGGGCTAGCATTCGACTACTACTAGTAGGACTTGACTAGGACTGTGCAGTCCTTTCTTTTTTTGTTTTCGAAACGCCCCTTTTCAATTAATCTCTTTCTCCGCCAATGCCTCGAGGCAGCTGCAGGTACGGAGATATTGATATCGAGGCCCCCTTTCTGATCGACGCTCTGCTTGTCCCCGCGATCCTGCGCGTCCTTGCACGTGCAACTATATAACCTAATCCGTGTTTTCAGCCCAGGGGAAATCTGACGCGGTTCTGCAGGACCTCCGACCCCTATACTAATGGACTCCCGATGTTCTATGTTTTCTACCCTGTGAGCTGTAGTTTCTCCGTTGTGGGCTTCGCTCCCTTTCTTTGACGCAACACTGGGGCCCGCTTCTCTGATCGATCATTGGACCCGCTGCAATTCCCCAACCCTGGCGAAAGAACCTTGTGGCGGGATGATTTCTCTTCGACCTTGCCGTCACTCTTTGTCCACCCGATCGCTGTGGTCCACGCTGGTTGGGTGGTGTCCCTCCGTTGCGGCGAATTCTATGCTGAGACGCGCCGCACCTTGGGTTGTGTTCGCGCCGCTTGTGACGTGCAAAGAAAGCCCTTTTTGGACGAAGCTCGTTCCCGCGAGGAACCAGCTTTGTGAGGGTACATTGTCAGGTGTCAGAGCTTACCTACTGTAGGTACAGTACCATCTTCCCACTCGCAGGGTCAGTTGGCTCGACCGATCCAGCCCACGTATGACGGATCCCGCCCCCGAGGATCGAGGCCTCCTAGGTAACGCGAGGCGCACTCGGGAGTGATCATGCCGGTGATACCCTGATACGCTCCGAAAGGGTTTCGAGGAGAGGAAGAGATCTGACCAGATGATCGTGAAGGTAATTAGAGTTTCTGGGGAAAGCTGGGTCGGGAGTTTCCATGGGATTGTTTCGATGACACGGTATAAGATTATATACTGCATATACTATACATAATACTAACAGCACTACACTAGTGTAGTATAGGAATGAGTATTGGGCTGGGCGGAGGTATACATCCTGGAAGTATACCCGCCAGGCTAAGACTTTCAGGCCGGACCGTGCTGGTGCTGCGCTCCGGCTAGGTTATAAGGAGAAGTGGCCCTTTTTCCCACCACAGGTCTCACTCTCGAGCATAGCCCCGCCCGGGCGTCATGGGCTGCTGTTTCTCTTTCTGTGCTCTGTGCCGTTCTGTTCTGCATCCTGCGGGGAGGAGCGGGGGAAGGCAAGGACGCGGGATGCGCTGACCGGGCTGAAGGCGAACATGATCGCAACCTCCAGCCCGGCGAGGGGGCCGGCGGACCTTGCGGAAGACCTGGACGACCTTGAACAGTTACCTAAGGCATAGTATGCTGGCGGGCCCCACTTGGGACTCCTGAATTGACCGAGCGATGCGTTGGTCATAGCACGGGCCAAGGTGGATGGCAAAAAGGCTCCAGGCGGAAATGCGACTAGACTGCAGTAAAGGTCCTTCCGTTGGGTGCACTCCGCAACGGACTCTTGGGCGACGCTGCCTTTTCATTCTTCAGATCTTGGAAACTGCGCGCCATGCACGGCGGATCATAGTTCATGGTCGTGTAGGTCTTAAAATAGGCACTCACGAGGGCGAAGAATCTGCCGCAGCTCGTTTCGCTCGCAAAGTCAGCAAGTCACGAGAAAGAGGAAAAAGAAGTTATTCTTGGCAGACATATTACATGCACCGAGTGCAGCTGCGCAATGCAGTATTGCCATCATCATACAGCAGGCTCTGCGACGAACCCGCGCCGCGGGGGACGAGCTGAGGAATGGGTTGGGGACGATCGAATCATCGTCGACCGGACTGGGGGAGAGGGGGGCAAAGTGGAATGCGGATCTGGCAATAGCAGCGTTTCTCAAGCGGCCAGAGGATGCAGTGGAGAGGTTGGCTGAACAATGTCAATGTTCGTACGAATACACGCGGTGGAGAAAAGACGCGGATTGCCCCGATCGCGCCGAGGGGAGCGGCTCGGCGCACGCTGCAACAAGAGCTGCAGTTGCCAGCCCATGGCAAGTACCGTATACGAGGGACTACCCCGGGGTGCACGAGGAAGGTCGAATCAGCCTTGGGGAAACACGGCAAACGTTGAAGCCGACGCTTAGGCGCACGCCCCGTGTCCCCATCGGTGGTCACCCCAACGGCAAAGGCGAATGAGAGCCGCTGGGATGCCGGGAATTGCCGCGAGGGGCGAGCAGTGCGAGTGGCAGAGTGGAAGGAAGTGACGAGAGCAGTCGTGCAGCGCGGTCTCGTTCGGCAGGACGGCGATGCCCTCAGTGCGGCCTCAGGCTTCCCGCGTCCAAATAAATAATTAGAAGCAGCGAGCAAGTTACCACCCAGCAAAAGAAAATCAAATATTCGGAAGCAGTAGTATTCGAGGGCTATTATGAGCCAACAACAAAAACAAATCACCACATAGCAAATACAATAGCAAATACAATACCAGGCTGTCCTACAATACTAATCCTACTGACTGTAATCTCGGGTGCGCCCCTCCTCGAATCCACCCACACCACCCTCCCCCCAAACCCCCCCGAAATAGCACTGGACCCTCTCCTTTTCCTCTTCTCCTCACCCTCCCCCTCCGCTCGACCTCGTTGACTTGTGGGAATCCTTCTTCAGAGGCTTCTCCCTGTAAGTACGCTCGTCCGGATCTTCCCCGAACCCTCGTGCCAGCCCAGAAAAAAAAAATCCCTCCGATTCCGCCGGCACGGAGACCCGCGGCCATTTTTCTGAGGCGTCCATAATCTCCTTGACGACTATCGGAGCCAGGTCTTCCGTGTTTCTGGCGTCCCTCAACGTTCCTTCTTGTTCATGCCGTCGATGTGTGGTGGGCTTACGATTTTTTCCCTCTCCTAACAGATCGCCTCTGATTACTCGGACGGATTATCTCCTCTTCCCGCTCCCCCTGAACCGCCGTCGTTCCTCCGCGAAGATTCCTCTCAACTACCATGTCTTCGTACTACGAACCGCAGGGCTGGCAAGCTCCCTCTGCTACGCCGCGACAGGTCTCGTGGGAGCAGCCGGTGCCCCCCTCCCGTTCTGGTATGGAAATCAACCCCGGACAGCCTCGGGAAAAATACAACGAAAGCGAAAAAAAACCTCCCTAACCTGATTTCGTGCTAGGTTCGAGCTCCGTCTCGCAGCGTGACGATAGCCCGGCTTTCTCCTCTCAGTTCGACGGTAGGCACACTCCGCTCAATGCCAATCATGTTCGCTCCCGGGTCTGGGTCGTCTGGTCGCAGGATCGATAAAGCAATAAGACCAAAGAAAAAAAAAAAAAAAAAAGAAGAAGAATTTTTCAATATACGTGGCATTTCGATACAGCAATACATGATATCCGAGATATCTGTGGGTGAACTAGACGACGCAGGCTCGGAAAGGCATCGTGAATTGGTTGAGAATCTACCTAAGGGTACAGAGTTGGAATTGAATGCTGATCTGGTTCTATGCAGAGGTCGACCGAGCGATCGACAACCTCGTGAAGAGCGGCAAGCTGTGGAATGCTCCTCGCCGGGACTCAATGCCCATGATGATGGGCCGGCCTTACCCTGCTGAGTACGGTATGTGGCAATTGGATCCGAACCGACGAGGAGTTCGACCAAGTTCTGATTCGAAATTTCGTGATAGACCCTCGCATGGGTGGCCCGCAGCGCCATCACTCGGTCAGCGAGTTTGACAACAACCGCGCCCACCCGTCAGGCAATGCGCAAGGATTCTACGCCTCCCAACGCTACCAGGGCCGACCGAATGAAGTAGAGCAGATGATGCAGGCGAAGCGTCGGATGGCAGCACAGCGTGAGCGGGAGCTCCGAAACTACCATCAGGAGCAGCAGTACAACCGAAGTACGTGGTAGCGTGTGTTTTTCTTCCTTCCTCCTCTTCCACTTTCGTCACTCCATCTTCTCTTTTCACGCCATATTCCCCGATCATGGTCCCAATCTCGTGTCTTATCTTCCTTGCATCTATGTATCCGTCGGCCTTTCTGTACAATATCATTTTTCTTCCTTGCCTTGTGTGAAAACGCGGATTTTAATACGTCTTCTCTCTCTTCAAAGGCCTCCTCGCCGAAATGTCTGCAAGCAAATCCGATCGGTCCCTCAGTCCCGCCGCCATGAGCGAAGAAAGCCGCCGTGACCTGTTGGCTCGTCAGCACCGCGCCCTGTATGGCAACGAGAGCCCCGCCTTCTTCCCTCCAGGCCCCCTCCCCGATGACGCGCCCCGACCCGATAGCCAGGCTGCCGGCACGCCTACCTCTGCCGGTGTGCGTGGAGCTTCTCCCCGTGGAGTTGATCCCTTTGGTTTGACGCAGACTCCTGGCCCCGAGGCCACCTCCGGCTTGCAGTCCCCGTCCCGTGCCAACAGCACCTCGTCGCCGAGCTCCGCCATCAACGCCGGCTTCCCTGACCAGCCCGGCACTTCGGCCTCATCTCCCGGCGGGGCCGACTCACCATCGCGCCAGGGTCCCCCGAAACCGAACGCCGGTACTATCGGCTCCGTTGGCCCCATCGGCTCTCGCCCTGTCACCAGCCAGACTTCCGTTCCGCCGGCGAACCCAGCTCTGAACAAGCGCTCGACCACCCCGCTTCCTTCTCCTCTTGGATTTGGATTCACCCCGGGCGAAGCTGCCGCCGCTGGTGCCGCTGAGCGTTCCACCTCGGCGGCGTCGAACCAGGCCGTGGCTGCTGCTGCCTCTACTGCGGGCACCAAGGACCCATCTACTGGTGGTGTTGGTCTGGGCTGGAGCAATGGCAGCGGCGTCTGGGGTTCCAAGGGCGGACTCGGTGTCCAGGCCTCCGTCTGGGGTTAAACGTTTACAATATCCTAAACCCATTGGCCGATTTATGTTGCTATGCATTTTTATCTTAGGACCTTCCCTTTCCATTTCTTTCAGCGGCGTTGTTCGAGAAGAAACGGACTTGACATTACTATGGTGAAATAACGGCGACTTCGAGCAACGGTATGTACATGACAGAAGCTGGATGGAGCAGAAAGTAAAGACTTTTAAGAGTCTTTCACTCTCTCGGTCCAGGTTTGCTTTTTCTGTTCTTGTCTCTTTTTTTTTTTGATTGATTCTCTTTGGGATATAATACCCAACTGGCTTGGGCGGATGAGGTTTCGCCACTGGTTTTGGAGTCGGTATCGCGTATTGGTGTCTGTGGATCGGAAATGCTTGCTTGGGAAAAAAAAAACACACTCACACATGGCACCCCTGCCCAGGATTGTCTTTCTATTTTCCGGTTGACTCTTGTTTCCTGCTTTATTCTTTGCCTTTATATGGTGCCCGTGTCGATTGGCTTGGTTGGAAATCTTGGCGCTTATCATCTGTGAAGCTCACGGACTCTCATTTCTCGGTGTTCACTGTCCTAGGATTCTCTTTTTTTTTTTTTTTTTTTTTGCACATGTCTTTTTTCTATCAGCAGGCGCGGATTCGGGAAATTTCTGCTCATTTGAAATCGGTCAGCCCTGTTTTACTATTCGGCAGGAAGAGAGGGGCGCAAATCGAGGCTCAAAATCGGAGTTCCTCATCACTTTGGGGCTTGCTACCTATCTTTTCTTTCTGGGTTTTGGTTCTGGCGGGTGGCGAAGGGAAATATGCTGTATCTCGGGCTACGCAGATGTAGACGAGTTCACTGGAGTCTTTTGATTTACCACTGGTCTTTTCTATTTGGATATGGAGTCTTGTTCTATCAGTCATCAAAGTTTTGACATTACTTATTTTCTTTTCTCTTATACGATCTCTAATTCGCCGACAACCTCCTGCTCTCACTTGTTTCTTACCTCGGGGACTGATTTACCTTAGCTTTAGCTTGATACTTACTACGTAAGTGTTAGCTCACAACATGAACGAACAAGGCATATATGGAGTCACATAGCTTGAGGTTTTGGTGTGTTAGTCCTGGCAACCTTCTTCAGTGGAAGATCGCCATGCTTAGTTTCCTAGGCCTCGAGCTGTTGGAAAGTATTGTGCCAAATTTCTTGTTTTACGGAATTTATGCAGTTTGCTAAGATAATATTGTAGATTAAATTAAGTATTAACATGAACGAACAAAATTAACTTCTGAACCAGTGAGTCATGATGAATCTGATATCCCGAAAAGCAAAACATCCCAAACCACCCATAAGTGCTGGACGCAGCTATAGTGGTCTAGTATGTGTTTTGAACATGCCCCAACGTTCATTTGGAGATCAAACATGAACACGAAAGAGAAAGGCCTCTCGATACAGATTAAGCTCCTAGACAGTGCTATCATTGGCAGAAGGCCGACGCTCAGGATCGTGATCGCGGGGATCTGTACCGACCGGAGCGGCATGCTCAATGCGCTGCTTCGCGGTGAACAGACCCGCCACTCCACGCTCTTGATTTTGGCCTAGCCAAGGTTTCCGGGCCTCTGCCAGCGCTCTTTGGCCCAAGTAGTAGATGAGCTGACCCACGATGATCAGGACGAACGCAATGGGGTACATCCAGTGGATGCTGTAGTGGAACACCTTCACGCCGATGCAGACACCCCAAAAGTTCATGGTGAGCATGGAGACGTTGAAGAAGGCAGCAGACGAGAGACGGAAAAGCAGCGGGGCCAGGCAGTAGAAAAGAGTCAGGCACAGTGTGAAGCCAACCAGGTAGCCGCCGACCTTGCCGTCCCAGGTGGAAGTGACGTAGTTGCTGCGTTCGAAGATGGAAGACTGGACACCGTCGATGATGCATGCGTAGAAGGAAAGTTGTCCCAGCACTTCATAGACGGGGCGGGTACTCACGAAGTACTCTTCGGCAGTGTTGGTCAGACCGTAGAAAGACGCACCCAACAGTGCGAACAAGTCTCCCTTCAGCTGGTTGCCGCTGGAGATGTCGCCACCATTGGTACCTGTGATATGATCCGAGGCAATGAGAACACCCATACCGCCGATACAGATGACGATACCGGCAATCTGGGTGATGTGGTAGCGCACGCGGAGGAAAAGGAACGAGATTACCACGACGACAACAATGGCCCAGAAGTTGATCAGTTGCGCGCTCAGCATAGTAGTGTATTGATATGCCAGCACAATAAAATAGTTACCCTCTACATCGCAAAAAGCAAGGATGATGTCTGTTGAACAGAGAGAATTAGTCTTTGCGGGTCACAGCGCGTTGGTCCGAGTCCATGGAGAAAGAACATACATTTCCAGCCGTCACGCCACACCAAACGGAGCCAGCCCTTGAGGCCGTAACGGTACATTGTGTAAGGGGTGAAAATGACGTTGAGAAGCGCATAATTCAGCAGTGTCTGGAAGGTAGGGATCGCCCAACCCTCAGTACCGAGGAGAGTGGTGAAGGTACTTGTCGAAGTATTGGCAATGGCGAGCAATTGTCTGTAGTTTAATGGTTGGTATACTAGCTTTCGCCACGCCTATAAAGAATGTAAACTCACCCGAGAGCCAAGATAATATAGAACTCCTTGGTCTTGAAGAATGCCAAGAAACCCTTCTTCTCCTGGTCGATCTGGTCCGCGAGAGCAGACTCGGTGGCCGACGGGTTGCGCACGACCGCCACAGAGGCATCTTTGGGCAGCGACGGATCCGACGTGGTCGCGGTATCCGCCTGCGCGGTGACCTGCTTCTTGTAGTCGGACATGATGGGCCAGACAGCGAAAAGCGCAAAAGCGGGGTTTATGGAGGATTTGTATGCGCGCGCAGATCAAGCGGCGGGGAATGGATCTCTCGTCGAGTCGCAGAGAAATAGATGGGGAGTTTTATAGCCAACAACGAGCGCAAAACTCCCAGAAGTCGCTCGTTTTGCGGCGGAGGGTTGGAGCACGAAGGAAACGGTGAAAAGGTGGGAGAAAAATTCCGGTTCTCTTAGGCGCAGCGCTGGTCTGGAACCTTTCCCGATCGGGCAATAAGAATCTGCTGTCAGGTGTCATGACATTAGTGCCTCGATTTTCAGGTGTCACAGCCACGATCTAATCTTGCCAAGCCCGATCCGGCCACACGGCCACAACATTGCTGGCAGCAAGGCAGAAATTCAGGCTGTAAGGCAGCAACTGCGAAGGAAGGCTGATCGAAGCTTCTGCGGAAGGTTATTTCGCGTGTTTGACGAGTGGGCGATCACGCATTCTCCAGGCTTTTTGTAGCAACAGTAAAAGTTTGTACAAGGGGCAATGGTAATAAATCGGGTAGAAAATTAACGGACCGCCCGTTAGGCATGACAGGCTGCATGCAAGGGCCGCTCCTCATGGCCGTGCAGAATTGGAGATGCGATCGATCCGCCTGGAAGATCCGGAGAGGGCAGTTTGGCGCTGTGAAGGTGCCCCCCAACAAGCCAAGCCGGTCGCGTGTCGAATCATGGATTGATCCACGCCGCCAACCCTCCTCCCTCCGACTGCCTCCGCCCCGATCACTTTGCGAGTACTCATCATCGTTTTCTCGTACCTGACAAGCTTCCAAATTAAATTCCACGCAACCCGGGAACGCACTGCGGAACTCACTGCGAACCTGGCCTCGGCCCCATCAGGTGGGCCCCCTTCCACTCCGAGATCATCCCCTTCCCTTCCGTCATCCCCTCCGCAGACTCTTCCATCACATCTCCACACCCACACCCTGCCTGGATCCGTGGCCTCCCGCATCCTCGATCATCCTGGAGAGGCCCGGAGCGATTCCCCTTCTGCCGGATCATGGCGCTGGACCTTCAGCCGCCCGACGGTCGCAAACGAGTCAAGGTCTACGAACTGAGGGATAATGACTGGTTCGATCGCGGTACCGGTTTCTGCATCGGTCAGGTCCTCAATGTAAGCTCTCCCCTCATTGCTTTTGTCTTCTGAGCCCTCGCCTGCGATGCTCCGCGACGGCCGCACTCCAGCTCACTGCCACGCCCGCCGTCGCGCGACGCCCACATCTTGGGCGCATGAGATCATCGCATCGCACCACATGTCGCTCTCTCCTCTCCCACATGCACCTTTCCACGCGCCCAACTTCCGAAAGCTAACGCTGTCGCGTCAAATCAGGAAATCCCGCGAATATTTGTCGAGTCGGAGGACGAGCCCAATCGCGTCCTGCTGGAAACGAGAATCTCGAAGGAAGATGGCTATCAAAAACAGCAAGGTTCTGTCCCACCCGCATCCGCCTAGTCGTATCACCAGAGAATGACTATGTTTGGACTGACTTGTATCACGCAACTAGACACCTTGATTGTTTGGACTGAGCGGAGCGGCACGGATATGGCGCTGAGCTTCCAAGAGGCCGAAGGCTGCGCGGTGATATGGTGAGGCGCTTTTACTGGTGTATCGTGGCGCGCGCACAATGGAACCTGGACTAACCACCACCTGAACGCAGGGACTTTGTCAATACTGTCCAGCAACAACTTCTCAACTTAGCGGCGGCTGGTGAGTGCACGGTGGAGCAGGTGGAATATGTGTCTGTTGACCCTGAGCTGTTACTAACTGGAAGCGATTTATCCGCAAAAGACGATGCTCTCTCCGACGACCTTGAAAGCTATCAATCTGTGGTCTTGCCTGCCCCGGAGCTGGGCAATCTCCCGGATATCGAACAGATCGTTCGAGCCGCCAGCATGACGCAAGCCGGACGCGACGCGCTATCAAAATTCATCATTCGCGACGAGTACATCGGAAAGCTGGTTCCTCTCGTCACCATGGCCGAAGACCTCGAAAGTCTCATCGATCTGCACCGACTCTGCAACATCATGAAATCCCTCATTTTGCTCAACGACAACACTATCATCGAGACTGTGGTGGCGGATCAGATTATCCTGGGCGTGGTCGGGGCTCTAGAATGTATGCCGAGTAACTATTTGCGAGTGATGGAGGAAGTTCAATGCTAACTTTTTATTCCACAGACGACCCCGAATTTCCCACACACAAGGCAAACCATCGACAGTATCTCGCCGATCAGTCGCGCTACAAAGAGGTCGTTCCAATCAAGGACCCGCTGATTCGAAGGAAGATTCGGAGCACATGGCGATTGCAATATCTCAAGGATGTGGTCCTCGCTCGCATCTTAGACGATCCAACGTTTTCCGTGCTCAACTCATTGATCTTCTTCAACCAGATGGAAATTGTGAACCATATCCAATCGAATGCGCCTTTCCTCCGCGATCTCTTCGCTGTCTTCGACCCACGGAATGCCGACACCAAGCGCAAGGACGATGCCGTTCAGTTTCTCCACCAGTGTGCAGCCATTGCAAAGAATCTGCAGGCTCCATCGCGCGCTCAGCTGTTCGGCAACTTCATCAGTCACGGCCTGTTTGCAGTCATCGCTTTCGCCGTGAAACACCCAAATCCGGCTATGCGCACGACAGGAATCGATATTCTCGTGGCATTACTGGATCATGACCCAGTGATGATGCGCGGATACATGCTGAAAGCTGTGAACGAGAAGAAGACCCCCCTTACCGATACCCTGATAGACTTACTTCATGCCGAAACGGACCTTGGTGTCAAAAACCAACTTGCCGATGCTCTTAAAATCCTGCTTGACCCCCAGATACCCCTGCAGGATCCCCTCGGTCGGGCTGGTCCCGATTATTACAAAGTCCGCACTTCCAATCTTCTCTCCGACGCATTTGTCCAGCAGCATTTCGATGAGTCTTCAAAGCGACTCTTCCAGCCTCTTAAACTTCTCGCCAATCGTGCAAACCGTGAGTCATGGATTTTTACTGATGACATAAAGTCCCTACCAGCTGACGTATTCCCCCAAGTTAATGACTTGACGTTCCAAGAAGTCACGCTCTATGCGCACCTCGTTGATATCCTCACCTTTTTTGTTCGTCAGCACCTATTCCGGACACGGAATGCGATCCAGAGTGAATCGCTCGCCCCTAGGGTTGCTCAGCTTCTCAAGGCTCCTCAAAAGCATCTGAAGCTAGGTAAGTGAAAACCAAAATTAACGTCCACTTGAGTGATCGCCAGCTAATTTTGTTTGCTTGTCAAGTTGCCCTCAAATTCTTCCGTACCTTGATCAGTCTCCACGACACCTTTTACCAAGCTCTCATGACACACAACAACACATTCGGATTGATTCTCGATATCGTTCTTGAGACGATGCCCCGTGATAACCTACTCAACTCTGCTTGCCTCGAGCTGTTTGAGTTCATCAAACGGGAGAATATCAAGCCGTTCATCTTGCACGTGGTGGAGAAGTACCGCGAGAAGCTGGAGGCCATCACCTACGTCGACACATTCGAGAGCTTGATCATGCGCTTTGAGCAACTGCAGGGTTACGGCACCGAGGCTGATTCGACGCTGTTCAGCCAGGACGAAGGCAGCACCCCTCGCAGGATGCCTTTGAATGGTCAACGCTGGCAAGGCATGAAAGAGATGGACCCTGATGAAGAACGATACTTCGAGACGGCCGATGACGAGGATGAAGATGACTGGGCGCCGGAGAACCGTACTGCTCTTACGACTGGAGCGCCAAATGGGTCGGCCTCCCCGATGGTCAAACCATTGGTTGATTACCCTGATGACGATGATGATGAAGACGCAATGGACACCACCAAACCCGATGATTTTGCAGGTGGAGCTACAGACCAGCCGGCAAGTACAGCAGGTGTCGAGGTAAAAACTTCACTCGAACCAGCCGCTACGCCATCATCACCGGTTCAAACGCCCCCAGCACCGGAACGCTTAGCGGAGAAACGCCGACGTGAAGAAGAAGACGATGATGAGCTGTCTAAACTTGCAGCAGGTCCAAAGCGCCGCAGCTCAACTAGCAGCAACTCTGGCGCCGGAATTCTGAACCGAAAGAAGCCCCTGTCAGTCGGCTCGGAGAAGGGCGCTGCTGTCTTGGGAGGTGTTGCAAGTGCAGCACCCAAGAGAATTGCTATCAACATCGGTCCCACGAAGACTTCCTCCTCGGAAGATGACCCATCTTGTGCCGGCGTGTCTACCGAGGGCAACGAGAAAGAGAATCGAGACGACAGTCAAGGGGAGGGAGGAGAATGATGCCTTTCTCTTCTGTGCAGTCGCGCGCGCTTTGATTTCACCAGTTCAGCAGCGTTCTTCCTACCTTGATCTTTTTTTCATTTTGAGTTAGATACCAGATACAGTGCGGGGATACCCAAGCCTGTGTTATTGAAGCTTGGTCGACTCCCGCTGCTGTTGCCGTTGTCGTCTTTGTTGCTGTTCTTTGGCGATCATCACTTTTCTATCTTTCTACCTTTCTGCTACAGTTCTGCACCCCTTCTTTCTATTTTCTTTTCCCCTTCATCCGCTAGCATACTCCGCCCGATTTTTTACAACCCGCGGTGTTTTCGATGCTGATAGTGAATGGGATCAATGATGTACATTGCGCTCTGCTGGCGTCCGGGCATTGCATGGAACCGGCATCGAGCTCTTTTCTCCTTTTTGTTTTTCTTACTGGGGTTGGGAGCCGGGTGGTTTTGGGGAGGATCCCTGGGAATGGGGAACGGAGTCGGGATCAATTGCAATCCATCTTGCATCAAGTTCATGATTGTTCTTGAATCGTAGGGTAACCAGTGTAGATCATAACAGCTGGACCCATAAGAGTACTAGTGTAGGGTATCTCACCGCGACCAGGAACCCGGGATAGTCCGGGTGTTCCTGATAATGACGCGAACCTTCTCGTAGATCTCCAACTGCAGGCCAGTCGGAATGGCTCGTGTAGATCGGCCCGTGGGAAGCTCGGTTCACATGGGATCCACTCGGCTCCGCAACCTCAACCTTCAACTCACCTCCCAACGCAGTGCAGCAAATGGCCCTAGTGGCCCCTCGGATATTTGGTACAGCAATTAGACCGCTCTCAAATGGCGTCTGTACTAGCTTGCTCATATCCACTCGCAGACACGCCTCCCCTGGACACACCATAAGACGTCAACCAGATAGACAGGGCGTCGGCTATACGCCCAATCACTTTGCCAGAGCAATGGAGGCTCAGGTCACACGCAATTGCTTTTGCACCTATACTGGTGCCCAAAGTCAAGTGGACACAACTGTCTTCTTTATTTCTGGGAACCCGGGGTTGATCGGTTACTATCATCCCTTCCTCTCCTTGCTAGCACAACACCTAGCTGGCCCAAAGCAAGGGTCTACTCAGAAGGCATCTACATCTTTCCAGATATACGGATGCAGTCTAGGCGGGTTTGAAGTTGCTGATAATGGCGACGAGCGTGGATCTTCAGCTTCCAATGGCTCTAGGGCCAAGGATACAGCGGACGGGAAGAACCGGTTCTACGACTTGGAAGAGCAAATCTGCTTTGTACAGGATACCTTGAATCAAGTGATGAGCAAAACCGCTAGCTCTGCACCACTGGGGAAAAAACAGAAGGTTATCCTTATTGGACATTCTGTGGGGACGTACATGGCCATGGAAATACTCAGACGGCACCGTGAAGCTACGACTCAATCTACTTCTAGTCCGGATTTTGATATCACAGGGGCTGTCATGCTGTTTCCCACTGTGATGGATATCCAGGCTTCGCCATCAGGACAGAAGTTGACGGTATTATTCCCCTCCCATATGCCTTTGCATTTGAATTGCTGGTATTAATGATGTCGAGCAGACTCTACTTTCAATGATTCCGCAGCTTGCTCTCGTGGTTAGCATCTTCGCTAGAGTCCTCACGCTCATCCTTCCCGACGCTATCTTGAAGTCCGTGATCCGTCTTGTCATGAAGAACCCCCCGCCCCACGCTCTCGATACGACATTTACATTCTTGAAGAGCCCTGGAGGCGTGCGACAGGCACTGTGAGTTCGAGAACAGATCCTACAAAGCATACGCAGTCTGCTAACTATCACAGACATATGGCCGCCGACGAGATGCGGACTATCACAACCGATAAATGGAGCGATGATGTATGGGGCGTGGCTTCTACTCGCGATCCTGTCGCAAAGCTGTTCTTCTATTTTGGGCGGAACGACCATTGGGTCGCGGAAAAGACTAGAGATGATATTATTGCATTGAAAGGGCGTCAAGATGGACTTGGCCCAAAGATGCTTGTATGCGAAGAAGGATTGCCGCATGCATTTTGCCTGAGTGAGTTCGCTTCTTTCTTAGTTTGATGATTCCTCCCTACCTTAGGGTGTGACTGGACTGTGCTGACCATTCAACAGAGCATAACGAGATCATGGCTACGAAGGTTGCTGGGATGATCAGGGAGATTGAATCGAGTTAGCGATAGCATCAAAGAGTTGAGATAGCCTAAGAAGTTAAATGCCAATGGTATTCTAGGCATCAAACCTAAACCAGCACAACGGGTATCTTGAGTGATGTCGCGCCTCTTCAAACCACCAAGCCGTACAAGGCCCCAAAAAATTCTAAAGGATGAGAGCAGATGCAGCTGGTCATGGTACATTAATATAGCCGATGCCATCCAGAAAGTAATCGCAACGCCAGCGTAGACGCTCCGTCCGAATGGATGCAAGAATGTGAAAATTCGATAAGCCGGTAAAACGCCATCCCCCATTCCATGAACGTAGCACAAAAGAATCTTTCAATCCTTTAGTTCTTCTTCAATTTCCCGGACCAGTACCGTTTCTTGCCAGTCCAGCTCGACGGAAGAGATCCCCCAGTACGTCCGGCTGAGGCTGAGCTGGGGGCTGCTGGGATTGAGGAGGAACGGGGAGTTGTTGGTGCCAAGAGGGTTGGATCGGCACGCCCTGGATCAGCATTAGGTTGGGTGGAGGATGTCAGGGTACCTGAAAGAGTAGTACTTACCTGCGGAGTGGTGCCCACATAACCTCCAGGGTGCTGAGTTTCCGCTGGGCCAATGTGGTGCGCCCGTACACTCCATCCATCATCTTGAGCACGTTGCTGTCCAAACAAATCCTGAAGCGAAATCTGACGACCCATGGGCGCGGTGGCCTGTACTTCTTCCAGTTGCGGTGCATGGGTTTCCGCAATAGCTGCCGCAACATGCAATCCGTCCTGGCGCATGGCCTCGAGGCGCTCGCGGGCCGCCTTTAAGCTACCTGCAGCACGCGCGGCACATTCCCGGATCATCTGGGCGTTCACGGTACGAGCCTCGGCGGTGGAACTTGGCGCAGGCTCAGAGTAGATCCAAAGTCCATAGATGCGGACATCAGCTGCAGCGCCCTGCTGGTGGCCTTGAGGATTGATAGGGTCCGCAATACCGCTCGCACCTTGCTCGCCATCGGTACCTTCATCGGCTTTCAGGATCACGAACTCCTCCGTGATCTCGACATTCTCAGAATCGGTAAGGGGAAGATCGAAGTTGTTCAGTCCGCGGCGGTTCAGAATGAACGCAGTGTATCGTTCTTCACCCAGTGGTCCTTGGGCCAGCTGGCAAATGAAAAGAGTACCCTCGATGCCATGCTTCTCCCACCCTTTGGTTGTCGGGCTGAAAACGTAGACCACCGCGTACGGTGCCAATGAGATGATCCTCTCCACAGCGGGGTTGTGTCGGCGGAGGACAGAGAGATTAATCTCTTCATTTGACTGGTGGGGTCGTGCGGGTTGCGTTTGGGGCGGCATGTTGGAGTGAGGCGCGTCCGATTCGTAGTCAGTGGTTTGATGATTGGTGTGATTACCACCTTGCTGATGGTGCTGGTTGTTCCGCCGACCTTTGCGGTGGCTCATGGTGGGCGAAAGGGTGGTAGTAGAGGTAGGTGGAAAGGTGAAAGTGAGAAAGAGTAAATGTGGGCGACGCGCGATCCGAAGGTCCTGGCGGGCGGCATATCGTCATCGCTGGAGCTCTCCGCCTCCTTGACCAACTCGGCCTTCCCAGTTGCCCCTCGCACCCTAGCACCCTCGCACCCGCGCACCCGCGCAACACTCATCCTAGCAGTTGCGACGCTACAATCGCCTCCGTTAATTTGGATTCTATTGCTTTTCCTTGTACCTGACCACTGAAACTTTTGCACAATGCCCGCATTCACCCTCCGAGTCTTGCCGTGAGCTCCGCGCCGATATGATCGACCATTGACTACTTTTGCGACGCAATATTATTGAGCAACACTTGGTCAATTTTGTCGCCTGGCTATATACTTTACTCTCTCGATATACCACCGTCTATTCGCCGGTATTTTAAACCACCGCAGGCTTATGCGCATAAACAGTCCCACTTGGCTAGGGTAGATGGTTTTGGAACATAATCGCTGTCGCATCCACGCAACAACTATCGAAGATCAATTGAGACGCCCGTTATACTTTACCGGCTCGCAAGGAATTTGCATTTGAGATGTCTGGTGCCGACAATCGCGCAGCGTCGCCGGCTGCATCGGACCCACGAGAGCATGCAGAGGAAGGCTTAGCAGAGGATATTGACAATCCGGCCCTCGATCTACTATCACTTTCCCGGGCTGTCAAAGCTAGAAAGGCAGAGTATACGCGACGGCAATCAGTCCGGGTGAAAGTCGGGACCTGGAATGTGGCTGGGATCTCCAGCACGGAAAAGGATATCGGAAAGTGGTTCGTTCAAGGCCAAGGCGTTTGTGAGAGGTTCTCGGGCTTGAAGGGAACGCAATCGGAGCAAGCGGCTTCTACAAGCGGCTCGTCAACAATGGAAGACCCTTCACGTAAGAAACCGTTCCAATGCAGCCCCGAAGAGGTGGATCTCTATGTCCTTGGATTGCAGGAAATTGTCGATATTTCTTCCCCCGCCGAGACCTTACGTCCTTATACCGATCCCGGTCCATCGAAACGATGGAAAGAAGCAGTGCAAAGGGCGCTGCCTCCTGGGTATCAGCTTGTCTCGGAGGTCCAGCTCATTGGGCTACTGCTCGTTATCTATGCATCCCCGCAATCGCGGACAGTGTTTCATCGATTAGCAGTACCTCTGTTGGAACTGGATTGATGGGGTATATGGGCAATAAAGGTGCAGTTGCCACTCGTATTGTCCTAGGCGAGACCACGCGCCTGGTTTTTGTGAACTCGCACTTGGCTGCTGGTTCAGACAAAGGCAGCCTCGAAAGACGCAATTGGGATGCATCCCAAATCGCATCCAGAGCAAAGTTCGAACCCGTTGATGCAGATCTGAAGTCACAGGAGACTATTGATAGTATTGGTGACGAAGACTTCACCTTTTGGTTTGGTGATTTGAACTATCGCCTTGATGACATACCCGGCGACGACGTGAGACAGGTTCTTGCTCGTCATGCCGTCAATGCCTACGACACTGCACGGATGGAGAAGAAGGGCTCGGGTAGTCGTCGGAGCCTTAATGCTGGATCGGGTGGAAATTCGCCACCTTCGCCTATTATTCACGATGAGGAGGCACCAGAGCCAGTGACTGACGACGAAATCGACCCACACAATGACCCAGCATCTTTGCAAACCACCATATCGTCCCTCGTTGTGCACGACCAATTGCAAATTCAACAGAGAAAAGGCACGGCATTCCATAAAGGATGGCGGGAGGGGCCGATTTCGTTTTTGCCTACCTACAAATACGATGTTGGCAGCGTGGCAACATTCGACTCCAGCGAGAAGAATCGCGGTCCCAGCTGGTGTGATCGGATTCTCTTCCGTACCCGCCGGGACAAGCTCAAGCATGAACAGCTTGACCGCGAGACGGAGGAAGCTCGAAAAAGAGACAAGGAAATGCAAGCCCGCGGACTAGACAAGGCTGTTGCAGATGATAATGTCCTATTCGATTATGACCCCGAAGTTGATGGTATTTATGGAAATGATGGTGCCGGTGATGCAGAAGAAGTAGAGTATAATCCAGAAGAAGACCAGGAAGAAGACGCTTCAGTTTCATCAGACGACTCATCGCCTGATCCTATTCGCCTCGACCACTATGTCTCTCACCAAGGCATTCTCTCTTCGGATCATAAGCCGTTGGATGCCATATTTACTCTGACTTTTGATGCGGTGAACCCGAGTTTGAAGGCCAAGATCCATCAAGAGGTCGTTCGTGAGCTCGACAAGGCCGAGAATGAGGCGCGACCTGGTCTGACGGTGGTAGTGGACACTCATCACGAGGATAAGCGGACGCAGCAAGATCCCAATACTGTTGATTTCGGGGATGTGCCCTTCGATGTATCTGTCCATCGATCCCTCACTATTGCCAACACCGGCGGTGCTGAGGCCACATTCACATTTGCCGGACGACCAAGCTTCCATGATGACTCGAAGCCCGAATCTCCGGACTGGCTTGATGTTAGGGTTGAGAGGGCAGGAGAAGGTCAACCGGAATCGACGTCTTCTGCTGGCAGCCACACTCTCCTTCCGGGGGAAGTCGCCAATGTCGAACTCACTGCGCATGTTCGCTGTATCGAACATGTCCGGCTCCTAAATTTGAGAAAGACCAAACTGGAAGAGATTCTGGTGCTACATGTGGACAACGGCCGCGACCATTTCATTTCTGTCTGTGGACGTTGGCTGCCCACCTGTTTTGGGTGCAGCGTCGACGAATTGACTCGTATGCCAGAAGCTGGCGCGCGCAGTCTTGCTTCCACCGACGCACCCATCCCCTCGAAAGACAACACGGAAGTACGGCTTTCCGCGCCTCGCGAGCTTTTCCGCCTAACCGAGTCGATTTCCGAGTTAACGGAGCGTGCTGTGGCGGAATGGAGCATGACTAAAGGCGAGACGGAAGAAGAAGCGCCATGGGCAAAAGACCCATCTGGAACGGCATGGCCATTCCAACCAGATACCTGGACTCTTCAGGACCAACACGGGCGCGCATCCCTCCTGGAGTCGGTCCGTGAATCTCTCGATATAAACGGCTCTCTATCCGCTATCTTCCCTCCTGAAGTATCATCTGTCCACCGTCTCGAAGTCCTCGCCGAGACCCTCCTCACCTTCCTCAATTCCCTCAGCGACGGCATCGTCACAGCCGCTGTCTGGCAAAAAATGGAGCAGCAGATGATCGCGCGCGAGAAATCAAAAGCACCGCCCCGGACGTGGGAAGAAACGCAAGCCTGGGTCCTCGAAAGTCTAGCATATTCACCCGCCCATAGCGTCTCATTCACATTCGTGACTTTCATGCTTGCCCGCGTCGCCAACGAAATCGCTCCCGTCCCCTCCATCGCTCAGTCCACACCCGAGACATCCAAGTTGAAGCTCAGCTGGAAACATCACGACGACGACAAGCATAAGGAGACTAAGAAAGAAGAAGAGACTGAAGAGTCTCAACCCAAACCGCCTACTCCGGCCTCTGCAGCTGCGTTTATTTCTGGTGGTAGTTTCCGTCGAAAGAATCGCTCACAGTCTTCATCCACTGGCTCTGATACGATTCTCAGCGCAGGAACGAACAATCATCCCGCCGCGGCTCGTCGGCAGGTCGTTGAATCTTCGCTGGCGTCTATATTTTCCCGGGTTCTTATTTCTGCATCTGTGCCGACTCCTGCGAAAGATAAAGAGCGGCGGGCATCTGATGAGCGGAAGCGGAGTATTATAGAACCATTCTTGAAGATGATTGGAGTTGATGAGCGTGGTCCGTCGGGTGGTCGTTAATCCTAATGGCTGGCTGGATGGTCATACCTCACCGCTTCGTTTGTATTTTGATGTGTATATGAGGAATTGGTTATAGACTTGATTTTTTTTCCGCGTTGAACCTTTGTGTAAATGCAGTAAACGATTCATTTGATCCTGTACCGTTCGACGTCGGAATAAGCGTAGAAAACCGAGACTGATACGCTGATCGTTAGAGCCATACAAGAGCAGTCGAGCATTATCATGCCACCGTATTTGATACAAAAAGAATCAATTTTGATCTTCACAAAGAGTGAAAGTATTATATACATCTCCTGCTATTCGGCTTGATTGACCATATCCATCAATATGTGATCCATATCCCCTCTTCAATAGGGATAGAAATAAACTCCAAAAATACAAAATACACCTAGATAAATAACCCGAAATATATCCTAGTAACGAAAGGCGTTAAAAAGGAAAGGGAATGTCTGTCCTATATGGACCAGCTAGTGAGTCCCTTTCGGTTGCGTAAGAGGCGACATAATCGGCGCCCTCGGCTGCGGCGACTGCGACCGAAACCTTGCCCCGTTACTCTCCTGCACTGACTTGCCCTTTCCAGGCCTCGAGCGTGGCTTCTTCATAGGATGAGGACGATCCAGCATCCGCCGAATAGCAGCGATACAGAGGGATGCGGCGCAGGCGGGAAGATTCAAGATTGACAGGGCTAGCCGGGCGGGAACCACGATACAAGCGCAGACCCAGTCGATTAGAATGAATGCATAGCTTTGTTTGTGGGAGGCGCTGGAGCGCTGTGCTGCGGCGGCCAGGGCGATGGCGTCACGGGTGCTTGCTTCGAGCTGTTGGAAGCGGGTATCTGTTTGTAAGGCTGAGAGGGTGGTGCGCTTTTCGTAGCGACGGACGGCACGGTTGAGTGCTTCGATGTCGGGTTGAACGGCGCGACGGACTTCGACGACAGCTTGCGTAATGAGTGTCGGGGCATCGGTGGGTTCTGCTTTGGGATCTGGTTTGGACGGGGAGAGGCGTGCGGCCGCGGCCTCGGCGACGTGCGCTTCGAGTTCTTCCAGGCGCTTGGTGAGATCCTGGACCTTTTCGTGGTCTATGCATTCTTCATTTGAGGTTGAGGCCGATGCTACGATGTGTTGGAGGTGGAGGGTACGTGCTTGCACGAGTTTTAGGAGATGGGAGAAGGGGCGCACTTCGGAGGCTAGCAGGAAGACGGTGAGGTTGTAGTTTGATACCAGGCCTTCGGAGGGTCGGGAGAGGCTGGATCGAATGGCGTGGAGCAGCCAGGTTCCGATGACGGGGAATATAAAGCACGCCGCTAGCGCGGCCAGCTCGTGGATCTGGAGTTCTTTGGCTGCTTGTGTTTCGACGGAGTCACGGTGCTGCCTTGGCGGCTGTGAGTCGTCGGGGGATTCTACTGCTTCATCGTCTTCTTCTTTCAGGTCCATTCCCATCGGACTCGACTCGGCGGCTGTCTGGAGGCCGCCCTGCTCTCGCTGTATGGCCTGGGCCGAGCGATACCAGTCCCTGTCGACATTGTTAGTCCTTGGCCATATTGAAGTATGTAGATCGACCAAATCGGCCGAGCGTGAGTAGTGGTATGTGCTACTAGCAGTTTATTACTAGTAGGACACTATAATAAATAAAAGGAGGGCCAGACATACCATGGTAAGCGAACCGACCAATTTAGAAAGATGGCAGCCAGCACCAGCAACGTGACGTCAGTCACAAATGCGCTGCCATCGTGGAAGAAGACACCCGCGATGGCCGGCAACAGCGCCAGCCCCAGCGGCGCTGAGTGCCAATGCGACTCGTCCGTCGCGATCGGATCGCGCCCCTTGGCCACACGCGGCAGAAACAAATCATCGGTCGACGATCGGATGGAGTTGCGGGCCTCCGAGATGGAGTCGGACAGCGTCGAGTTACGGCGCTGCCAGTCGGGCATGGACATGCCCTCGACAAAGGTGGCGGCGCGCGCGGGGAAGGGGCCGCGGCGACGCAGGGCGCGCGAAGGCAGGGAGGATGAGGCAGGCGGATCAGCCATAGTTTTCTGCAGGCAGAGCCGAATGGTTGACAGAGGGAGGAGTTCACGCCGCAGCGTGGAGGGGTTCGCGCAGCCGAGGTCGATCTGCAGCTCAGCTGCCCGACCTATACTATCCTAGTAGATGAGTACAACTAGCACAGTCGGCCAGGCCCAGCCCGTTCGGCCCAAGCCAGCCTGGCTCGCAAGATCGACGAGATTTCCGAATTATTGAGACGACATATCACGACTTGAATGAGCATGAATCTGGTTCGGCAGTGACAGCCTGGGCGGGATTATTACCGCATTTGGGTGACAATAAGCATTGGCGCTCATTGAGGCCCTCGGCCTGTCTTCGAACGGCTCGCCTTTCACCCATCCCTGCTGCCGATTCAATAGTCCCGTTTTCTTTTGATCGCCCCAAATGCTCCTTTTGAGCCCTGCTTTGGTCGAGCGTTACTTCAATGGCCATGTTCCTCGTCGCACGCGGGCTCGTTTCAACTCTTGTCCCGAGTGACTATCCCGTCTGTGTGCCGGCCGTGGGCACCAGGCCGACTTGTGCGAGAATGTCTAGGCCTTTGGTGAATCACTCGACTCCTGGTTTTTATGATTGGGGTCTCTATAAGGATGTTTCGTCGCATTAACCATTCCCTGGAGCCTGTGTGGTATCTATAGAAGCAGAGATATTCTTCTTCTTCGATATGTTTTTCATCGCTCGTCTTCTATTACAGCCTGCCAATCGAACGGCTCAAAACTTTGAATACTACGCGGGCTATCATGACTACGGAATACCCTCGATACCTCGCCGCGGTGGCCCTACCTGTGCTCTCCTTCATCGGCATCGGCTTGAACATCACGCCGCTGATCCTCCATGCAAAGAACCGCAACATTCCAGCAGTCAGCCTAATTAGCTGGTATCTCCTGCTGAACCTGTTCAACATCATCAATGCCCTGACCTGGCCGACGGATGACCTGGAGTCGCGGTGGGATGGCACCGGGCTGTGCGATATACAAGTCAAGATGCAGGTTGGCGCTTTATTTGCAGTACCCGGCGCCCTGGTAGGCATATTTCGGGGCCTGGCCTTTGTACTTGATACAAGCTGCGCTACTCTCATCCCCGGCAAGACCCAGCGCTGGCGTTCCCACATCATGGACCTGATTTTCTGCATCGCCTTGCCCATTGTTGCCATGGTTCTGCATGTTGTGTGGCAGAAGGATCGATATCTGCTCTATTCCATCTCGGGGTGCGTGATTAACCTGGACGAGAGCTGGGTAAGCTTTGCGCTGTGCTTCATCTGGCCGCCGATTATCTGCTTTGTCGCGGCCTATTACTGCTGTGTGTTCTCCTCCCTACCTTATCGTGTTCAATGGCTAACTCTTTATAGGTCTCATTCTCATCCGACTCCGCAAGTACCGAAGCGAATTCGGCATGATTCTACACTCTTCCCAGAGTAATCTGAACAAGTCCCGCTTTTTCCGACTCTTGTTACTGGGACTGGGGTTGCTGGTCTGTATCCTTCCCGTGGAAATCTTCACCTTCTACCTAGACCTGAAGGGCTCGCTGCCCTGGCATCCCTACTCCTGGGCTCAGCTCCACGGTCCAGGATGGCCAACCATCACCAAGGTCCCGACGCACGGCGAGGTCTTCTTCGACAGATGGTCACCCCCAGGCGCCGCCTTCGTGATCTTCGGCTTTTTCGGATTCAGTCACGATGCCACCAAGATCTATCGCACGATGCTCTGGGCCCTTGGTTTCGGATGCTTCTTGCCTCCTACCGACTCATCGAACTCGACTACCCTCATCGGCACAACACCCAGTCGCGCCAAGCTGATGTTCTGGAAGGGCAAGTCCTCTGCACGGTATGGGTCATGTCAAGCTCCTCTCGTTCGTGTCCAGCACTGAAACTAAGTCCAGTGATGGCAGTGATTCCCAGCCATCCCAGTCGGGCATTGTCGATAGTTCCGATCGCGCCTCTTCGCAGTCCAGTCCCACCACTACACCTGTGAAGTCATGGTTCCCCCGCTGGCTTCTATTCAATTGTCGCGCGAACTGTCACAACGAAAATACACTCCTGGAAGATCTGCCTGCTGCCGGTAACACGGTCTATACCAATGCCTGGGCCGGTACCAGTGTGAGCCGTGCTGGTGAGGAGTTTGAGTCTGGTTCTACGCCGTCTCCGCCTGTGAATAAGAACTTTATTCATGTTAAGCAAGTTATTTGCCAGCAGAGCGAGTTTCAGATTTGAGGCCTACATCCAAGGATGGTTATCAATACATTCTCATGTATCATAAATACTTTGCCACGGAAATCTTATTTCAGACCTGCAGCTGCATAGCTATCTCAGTATATTTTATTTTTTGAAGACGACGCTAGTTTTCGACACAATTGCTCGGTGGATAGATATTATTATTATTATTATTATTATTTCTCCCAACACTAGTAAGACTTCATCGTTGATTCTCCGTCTACGTAGTGTTTAGTTCTCTTCAAGATCCCACTCATAGAATACACAGCTAGACAGAATCAAAACCTGGCATCATCCTTGTCAATTCACGCAAGCCTCAGATCCAATCAGCCAAAGACACTATTCCCATACAGGAATTTAACCTACGAGAGATTCCTGACAGAACGGAGTGTATTTAGGTAGGGTATACTCGTACAATAAACACAAAGCAAACAGACAAGTCTCAATCAAATCCATACTCCGCATAAGAATCCGAGCTCAAGGTAGGTATCTGCCAAAGTCGCCGGGCAGTAGATTTTATTGAGACTCGCTCTCGGAGTTGCCGCGCTTCAGAACGTCGAGGTGGCCTATCCGTACGTGCAGTTAGTACCGTGCTCCAGCCTTGACGGCAGCTCGGATCATAAAGGTCGAGTAACGTACGCTGCACAATGTTGAGGGAAGTCTGCTTGCGGCCTTCCTGGTCTTCATAGCTGCGGATGCTTGCGTCGCCTTCCAGGTAGACGAGGGTACTATCAAACATTAGCAATCCATATCTCCACTATTTATATTTCAGGTAAAATACCCCTTGGGCAAGCTCAGAATGTAATCCCGCTGCGGACCCTCGGGCAAGAAGCTAGCAATGCGGAACCAGCTCGTCTGCTGCTTGTCGCGGGAGCCGGTGGTTGTGCCGACGGAGTACTTGATGATATCCTGGCCGGTGGAGGTGGCCTGGAGCTCGGGTTCGGCGCCCAGACGACCGGTGATGATCATGCGAGCGACGGAGCGGGCAGCGGAGGAGCTGAAGGGGCGGGCGGAGCGGGCGGCACTCGCTAGACGGAGGGTGGGACGGACGGAGCTGAAGGCGGACATGATGGAGACGTCGAGAGTTGAGGTGAATGAGTGGATGTGCGGGTGCGCTGGGTTGGATTGCGGTTCGTAGGACGCAGGCGTCTCAGGGGAGCGCGGCATTGACGTCGACGCGGACGCGTTGGTCATGTGACCTGGTGCTGTCGGGGTCTATACCTTGCATTGTGATGGAGTTCCTACAGAGGTATTGATTGACCTAGCTCAGCACAGATTCCTGCAAGCGAAGCTTGTCTGGAGCTTCACTGATAGATAATAGTTAGGAAGACCACGTCATTCGTGTTATCAGATTCGTCCAAAGTACGACCCCATAGGATGGACATCTGTACTAGCTACTCTTGAGGTAGTCGATGTATGTGAGATCATTGGGATCGGGTCTGGGAGTGTCCGGAGCTCGATTGATTGGATATCCACAATTAATCAAGACCAGGGTCTGAATCCTTTGAGGGCGATTGGCGTAATGACAGGCCTAGATCGAGCGTACAAGACAAGAATATAGCATTTAATCCTTCTCAATCGGTCATCGCTTCGCGATCGACGTCGCCGACTACCGCTTCATAAAATAACAAACTGACTGAACCACGGAATTTCACCGCTCAGACAATCAGATCCTACAAGCAGTGAGTAAGTTGAATCGTCAAACCCACCGTTTCGGGCAACGAGGTCGCACTCGCGCGAGTTCCGAAGGCTGGCGCATTAGAGTTGGCTTCAATAAGTCGGCAGCCACGGCGATACCCACCCTCCGAGACCGTATTTCCCTCCAACTGTGGGAGAGTAGACGTCAATCTTGCTCTCTTCGGGTCGACGCGAGAGAGCAACCGCCTATGACACGCAGCAGGATACACGTGAGTGGAGCCGCGCAAGCGGTTCCCCCCGTTGGGATAGATGGGAAAGCCCCTCCCATCGAACCGTGCATTCCCACGGACAGGGGATTGGAAATTAGATTGTCGTCGGTGCGAGCTAGCGTTGCTCGGGCTCCTCCATAACGGCCACGGCCTAGACGCGCCGGATGGGGCAAATGGACGAGTGTAGCATCCGGACGTTAGTTGATGGGTCTGCCAGCCACCGCGTTCTGTAAGGTGTAAGGAGTGCCATTCACACTGCAGTGGGCGTCGAACCACTGCGGACGACTGCACCGCACTGCAGATGGCGCGCGCTACTGCAGGAGCAACCTTAGGAGAAAGGCAACGAGCGGAGATGGTGTGATTGACCATATCTACTGTAAGGCGAGACGGATGATCGGCTCTAGAAGCATATTCGAGCACACCGTTTCCCCGTACGACGTGCTCCGGCAGGCTGGAGACGGGAAACAGAAAACTCAGATCTCCGCTCGGGTAGAGGAGCCGGGCGGTAACAAATGAAAAGGCGCGAGGTGAAAAGTGGTGAGCAAGCAGTGGAGTGGGCGTGGAGGGGCCGGTGGGGGGCAGTCTACCCCTGACACGAACAGGCTCTCGCAGCTGTCAGTGCGGATCAGGAGGGTGAGAGACAGAGAGACCGAAACGAGTGGGTTCGACAGCCGCACTGGCCAACGCGAAGGGTGAAATCTCCGAAATGAGCAGAGGAAGGCTGGCCGAAGCACCTGAAACGACCCGGCAGATTGGCCGGGCCCGTGCTTCGTGCATTAGTCAACGGGAAACAGAGGGAGAGAAAGTACCCTAGGGTAATAAAGAGTAGGATCTGGCATTTTTGTCGAGGGATGGAGGGACGGGGAAGGCTTGTGGGCAATATAGTTACCCCCTGCAGGCCTAGTGCTGACTGGGGAATATCGCCGGTGTCGACCAGCCATCGGGCCTGCTGCGTCCGGATCTAATTAGCATGACTAGCAGGCAATCATGTGAAACGGAGAGTATACACTAGCACCTAAGTAGTTACTAGTACCTGCAGTATAATGTACTGCAGTGTGTAGGGTAGCCTGGCTTTTGTGGTAAAGCAGTACACTATAAACAGGTACTCCTGCATACTACCCTACCGGGAGTGAGCATCCTAACTACTACTACTACTACCACTACTACTACTAATACTAGTAAATTGTAGTTAACTACTACCTAGAGTACCTAGGTATAGCCTTAAGATACCACACTGGTGCGAATTCAACAGTTTAACCTTCCTGGTACCCTACTACACTAGTACTGGCCTCGCCTCAGTCGCGAGAAGCCGGGTGTTAGCCCTAGTCTGCCAGCGTACCAGAGATTGCTTGAAGATCCCTTCGATATACGCGACGGCCCATTCCTACAGCAGTAGGCGCCCCACTAGCTTCGGGGCAATCCAGACATAATGCCATTATTACCTCGACGCACTCACCTACCTCTTTGAATCGAGTCTGGACCCTCGATCGTGTGCTAGCGATCTATACATTACGCGGCGTCGGGCTCACAGTCTGAGGGCTGATGGGAATGAATAGGAATGATATACTTACTAGCTTTCAGTAGTGCATTGTAGTCGAGGGATTACTCGCTAGATAGTGTCAAATTAGAATAACTAGAATCAGAGCCAAATTGGATGAATCGGTCGGCCTGATCTCCTCGCCCGAAGCCGGCAGTTGGTACTGCATTGGCACTGCGAACTCCCCAAGTTCAGACTTCTCCCCCACTCCCTGCCCTTTTTGCCTTCAGGGGAGCCCTCTTTTCTCTCTTCTCTTTTCTCAGTCGCTTCTGTCTCTTCCTTCTCGTCGCATCCTCCATTCCCTCCCCCGGCGACCTGCGAAATTATTAATCGGCTTTTGTTTTTGCATCCCCACTTGCACGCCGGACTACCTACATTCGTTCAGGAGATTGGAACAGCCCGACCGCCCCGCCCCAAAAAAGATCCCCAGGAGCTCCGGAATTAAAAAGTCTTCTGATCATAGCCTTGAGCTGGTGACCGACTAGCAATCACCTAGAACCCTGCTTCAGCCGTGCGTTGGGAGCGACACCGCATATCAATCACCCTTTCTCCACTGGGCCTCCCGGGGTCAACCCTGCGCGATGGGCCTCTTCAAGCGCAACTCCAAGGCCTCTGTCCAGAGTGACCGGGACGAGCAAGAGTCGTTCGTCTCGGTCAACTCCGCCCGCACCTCCAACACCTCCCTCCGATCCCCTGGCTACAAAGGCAGTGGCCTGCCGGCCTCCATCCCCGAGATGCCCATCGCCAAACCCCGGACCCAGCCCTGGACCCCGCCGCCTATCTACGCAGCATCCACGCCGTGCGCGAGCGTGCCACCATCGTCCTCAACAAGGCCAAGCAGAACCAGCTCAAGCATTTCGACGTCGACCTCTCCAAATTCGCCGCCACGGCCTCCTACGTTGTCTCCATCATCAAGGTAAACAAACCAGTTGCCCATCGCGTTTCATCGCTTGCATGTGATCGGACCACCTTCTGACTCCTGACAGCGAGACTACGCCCCCGACTATGATAACATCCCGCCACACGGCCGCTGGCAACACTTCGACGTCGGCGGTCGTCCCCGCATTAACCAGCTGCTCCAATCCTGGCCCAGTCAGATTGACGCCCAGGAGCGCACTCGTCGCCTGATCGACCTGTTCGTCGTGTCGGTCCTGCTCGATGCGGGTGCCGGCACGAAATGGTCTTACAAATCGAAAGAGTCCGGCAAAATTTACTCCCGCAGTGAGGGTCTGGCCGTGGCCAGCCTGGAAATGTTCAAGTCCGGTCTGTTCAGCAGTGACCCGACCGAGCCGTGCCATGTTGACGGCGAGGGATTGAAGAGGGTCACCGTCGAGAAGTTGGCCAAGGGGATGCAGCATTCGGAGCAGAACGCGCTGGCGGGACTTGAAGGCCGCGCGGGACTCTTGCAGCGCTTGTCAGATGCATTAAATAACCAGGATTTCTTCGGAGTAGATGCTCGACCGGGAAACATGCTCGGTGTGTATTCGTAGCTCCAGCCAAGGTGGAAGCAAATGCGACCAGGCAACTAATCAAATGATTCTCTTGCAGACTACTTGCTCAGCCACCCCTCAACTCTGGCTTCATCCGTGCCCATTGTTCCCATCACTACCCTTTGGTCCGTCCTGATGGATGGGTTCTCCTCCATCTGGCCCCCGTCCAGAACCCAGATCGACGGCGTATCAATTGGAGATGCTTGGGAGTGCTCGAGTCTCCCTCCCTCTCCACCTGCACAGGCGTGGGAAAGCATCATTCCTTTCCATAAGCTGACGCAATGGCTCTGCTACTCGATCATGGTCCCCATGTCCAAATTAATGCACATCCACTTCGCTGGCAGCGACCTCCTGACCGGACTTCCCGAATATCGCAACGGTGGCCTCCTGATCGACATGGGCCTTTTGAGTCTCAAGGAGGAGGATATGGAGCGTGGAGTCCAGGCGTTCAAGGAGAATGCGCAGATCAAGGGCCAGCCCAATATGGAGGTCGTGCCTCTTTTTTCCACGGACGACGATGTGATTATCGAATGGCGAGCGGCCACCGTGGGCTTCTTGGATGAATTGCTCGATGAAGTCAACAGCCAGCTCGGATTCAGCGGGACAGAAGAAATGCTCTCCTTGGCTCAGTTACTGGAGGCCGGTACATGGAAGGTATGTCATCTTGTAACCCCTGCCGATCCTCTCGATTCTAACCATTCTCAGGGCGGTCGTGAAATCGCCGAAGTCTCCAGACCAAACACAAAGGAACCCCCCATTATGATCCGCTCCGACGGCACCGTCTTCTAATGCCCTATACGCATGAACTTAATGGATGATTGGATACCTGACTGGCGCCGAAGGCCCTTTTTCTTTATATTTCTGGATTGGCGCTGGTCCTAATGAATTGCTGACGACCCCTTGAACTTTTCACTTTTGGCCTCTTCGTTTGTTCATTTACTTCTATTTCTTGGTTTCCTTCCGATAGAGGCCCTTTGCATCGTGTGCCCGCACACGTCTACGTTTCTTCTCGGATACCACTTTTACCATTTTTCTACCCTATATTTGACAACTAGCCTTTTCAAAATTACATAGCCTTTTTCAAAATTACATTTTTTTGTGTCAAATTTTTTTCTTTTTTCTACACTGACTGTATTTACCCTCACCAACCGCCAACGCGTTTGGATTGCGTTCACTGTCGTCATCCCGTTGCCTCGGCTAAGCGCGGGCTCAGCAATCTGGCGGATTCAACCATGGGATGTCTTCATTTTCCAAGCTAGCGACGGGACAAAATCAACAGCCTTGTAAGCTTATTTGCATACCGAAAGAAAACCCAATCTGTTGGTAGACGCATTTTTTGGGTCCTCTGAGAATCATCCCCGGCCATTGAATGTCGCATTTCGTAAACATCACATGACCCAGCCACCGGGGCAAGGTTGATCCTGATCCGTCACTCCGCATCTGAAGGTGGAAGCTCCTCCCCTCCCCACTCTCTGTGTCCTCCAATTCCTCGAGCAGACCCCGGCGCTGCACTCTCCTCCTCGAAAATCCGCTGACAGCCCCCGGAGTCTCTCGCGACAGCCCGGATAGACCTTTGAGTCCCCCCCCCATAACTACCCGAGTGGTCCCCGCTCTTGCGGGGCATCCGAGCTCAGCAACCGTTAGAGGATCGACACCATGGACGCCCGCAAGAAGAAGAGAAAGGTTTTGTTGATGGGCAAGAGTGGCTCAGGGAAGTCATCGATGCGCTCGATCATCTTCAGCAATTATGTCGCGAAGGATGTGCGCCGCCTCGGCGCTACCATTGACGTGGAGCACAGCCATGTCAAGTTCATGGGGAATCTGACACTCAACCTTTGGGATTGCGGAGGGTAGGTATTTCGTCTTATTTCTGATCTATCATTTCGGTTGCTGACTTTTTATACGTGTAGACAAGATGCCTTTATGGAGACCTATCTCGCTTCTCAGCGCGGCAACATCTTCTCCGACGTTGCGGTTCTAATCTACGTGTTCGATATCGAGTCCCGGGAGGTCGACCGTGACTTGGATACTTACAATGCGATTATCGATGCACTCCGCGAGTTCAGCCCGAATGCCTATGTCTTCTGTTTGGTACACAAGATGGATCTTATCCAGGCCGAGCACCGTCAGCGCATCTACGAAGAGCGCTCCGCACTCATACGGTCTCGGTCTGAGGGGTTTCGCGTCGATACATTTGCGAGCAGTATCTGGGATCAATCACTCTATAAGGCGTGGGCAGGAATTGTGCACAAGCTTATTCCCAACCTCACTGTTATAGAGCGGTTCCTCTCCGCATTCGCAAAGAAGATCGACGCTGAAGAGGTCATTCTTTTCGAACGATCTACATTCCTCACTGTCACTTCAGTCACGTCAGAAGTAGGCGAGTTGAACCCCGTTTTCGACCGCCATGAACGTCTCTCGAACATCATGAAGGCATTCAAGCACTGCGCCGCCCGCAATACAAGCACCACGCCCGCTTCCGCCGGCTTCGTCGTCATGCACACCAAAACACCGCAATTCAACATCTTTCTCGGCAGATTCACGGACAACACCTACATCTTCCTCGTTGTGCCGCCCGGTGAGGCGGCGTACAATTGTGCCGTGCTGAATACCATGCTCGCCCGCGAGGGATTCTCCAAAGCAGCAGCTGCGGGACGTACAGATGGCTTCCCGCTCCCGCCGGCGGAGACTCCCGATGACAGCACGAACGGCTCTGCATAGTACAATTACTACTCTCGGTGCTTCCGAGGAGAGGTCGTTCTAATGCAGCCGCGGTGTAGGAATGTAGAGTCGGACGGCAAGAAAAGTCCATCTTACTTAAGTTCATGCTTACTAGCACTGAATGATTACGGACGCTGAAAGGCGTTGCGGTACGAATTGAAGATTCATGCATGCTCGCGTTATCTGGCTGCTAAAGTTGGTTTTATGGTCCTGAGAATCGAGATACCCTGTGGCATTTTTCCTATCTCATTCTTCCTTCAATCGATCTAATTTTTCCTTCAGCGCTTTGCTTCGATTCAGCCTGGCCTTGATAACAAGGCTTGTGTACTATAGCCTTGATCGCGCCAGATTTGCTCTTCATAATGCTTTAAATTCGAACTCTTCCTTGGCATGGAGGTTAGATCCTGTCAGGAGAGATTTGGTTCGGCATCGAGACCCTGTATGCAAAACCGAAAAATTTTGTCATCTAGAGATGGCGTATTCGAAATTCGCGAGGGCAGAGTCTTAAGTAGGGTATTAGCGTAACGGATAATCACCGAATAATAAATGACAATCTTGAGCCAAGGTGTGCCAGGCGACTCTCGTTAAGCCGTTCAACGTGATTCTCGGGGATGTAAGCTTGATTGGATGCTCAGATTATAGCAGACTCAATCAAAATAGTTGGTGGAATATGCAGATATCCCCATCGTCTTACCCTCGGGACCGTTCATGTAGTTTAGCATCAAGTTCTTCCGGTGCAGGTTACACACGGATCCGTCGGAACTATTCATATCCTTCACTAGAAGCCTCTATTCTCACATGTAAGAGAATTCGGAAACAGAATTAGTGTTAAAATTTTTGTATGTAGTATGGGTGGGACTATGGGAAGCTTCCTTGCCAGACACAGACAGATATTATCAAACAGAATCCGAAAAGCACGAAAGAGATGGCCTGTCTCTGTCCGTCGTCCTTGTGGGCGCAGTCAGAACTATGAGGCACTTGGTTCCCATCTTTGCAGGTTGGAGAAGCGGGGGAAGAAGTGTGTGTTGTCTCAGTCGAAGAACAGTACTTCTTCGGACACGATCCATAGTAGCAGGAGAAAGAACATAGCCCCTCGTAGCTGTCGTTGCCATGTTTGGGGTATCCCTTGACCTTCGTGGCCTTTGGTTTATCTTTGGCGGCGCCCATTGCTGTGCAGGTGCATGTATCAAGAGGACAGTACCCATATTTGCAGGTGAATTCGCACAGATCAGAAAAGTTGGCATTTCCAGATCCCTCGATACATACTTGTTTAGAGATTGGAAGGTCTGGAGAAACCGGCGAAATGGTCGCCCCTGAAGTTTCGCTTCCGACCCAGGCATTGTAGTTGGCGAAACCACTGGCGCAGTTGGTGCTGAGTGAACGGCCACTAACTCGAACCGTTTCTTTATCATCGCGCAGGACGGTGACAATAGGTTTTCCAAGATTGTCAGGATCGTAGGCAAAACTTCCATGGTAGATACCGATTCCTCCATCTGGTTCATATTCCCATCGAGCATCATTTTTCGAGTCGCCGATGCTCACTGTAACCGATGCCTTGGACTTGAGCAGCGCCGAGAAGAATATCTTGTCCTCCAACCACGAATCAATCGCTTTTTCAACTTGTCGGTCCAAAGCCGCGAAGCCGGTGGTATTTCCCCCAGAGCAAGCGCTTCGAGGCTGAATTCGATACCACACGACAAGACTTTCTTCTGTCAGCGACGCTGTTCCCTTCTTGTAGAGATCAATTACGAATGGAAGATGGAGCCTCCAGCCGTCATGCGGCATATCTCGCGCGTAGTTGTAGGGTGCCTTGCCGGCAGTGAACATCCCGTATCCTTTATCGTTCAAAGGGCCGATATAGTGCGATTCGCCATAGTCGTTCCAAGAGATTATCTCGATCCATTCAGGCTCAAGGAAAGCAACCTCAATCCATCGATCGTACCATAGATCGTCTCCATAAAAGGCCCAGTTCTTATCGTATTGCGGCATGTTGGTATAGAACCAGGGAGAAACTGGCATCATGTATGGCTTTTTCGCCCTTTTCAGACAGTCAATGTACGCTGCATCCACGTATGTATTCATTCGCTGCGCTTCCGTCGGCCATGCAGCCCAGGAGAATAATCCATCTGCAATGCCACCCGCGAGCTCAAGAGCAGCTGGTACACCGACAGACGACCAGTCGGGGACAAAAAAGCATCCTGTCTGATTCTTGATCGCGATCCAATCATCCGCACTGTCCGGTCCTTCAAATGTAGAGACGAAGGGCCGATCGCTGAAGTGGTAATACGCCGGGCTGGTGGAGAATTGATGCAGAAAACTGATGACTTGCGACTGCGGCCAGGATCCGTTGCCTGCGTAGTCGAAGGAGAAGAAGAGTTTAAAGTCGAGTGTTTCTGCCGCGGAGAAGGCATTCGTCACTGATATTTGGTTGGTCGGGACACCGTAGGCCATGTTCAGTGCGAATGCGTCGATGTGTGCTTCTTGGGCTAATGAGATTTCGTGTTTCCAGTCCGAGAGCTCGTATTGTCCGGTATTTGCCGTCTAAATATCTGTTTGTCAGGATTTGTGAAAGGGGAAAGGAGTGCGAGAGTACCATACCATAAAATGAGCAAATACCGCTTTAGCGGAGACCCGAGATGCTAGCCATAGCAACTGGGACAGAAAAAGCCAAAGCCTCGACAGGTATAGTCCTGTCAGATCCATTCCAGGATTCACATAAATACTCCTCTAACAATTCTAGGAACAATTGCCCTTGAGAGAGTGTAAAGCGTGTAAGGTGCGCTCTTCTATATTCTCACAACAGTAGTAAGGCAGTATAAGGTCGTAAATATCAAAATATCTAACACTGGAATGAGCGATCGTAAGGGCTTGCTATAGCAGGTATGGGAAATGATATCAGACAAGAGTGCCAACTCGCTCACCCGATATCTTTTCAGTGGAGAGGGAGATTGTGTCTCCGAGCAGATCCGGAATAGAATGTGCAGTATGCAGGGATCCGGAGCTATGGAAATGATCCGAGCTTGCTCAGAGGAGAGGGAAAAGCTAAAATTTATAAAGAGAGGTCCAATCATCAGATGAAACATCCTGTCCGTCCCATTTGTTCACTTTGATGGCACGTGTCCGCCAAGGGCATTCGTCTCGTCCGATTGCTTGCCTTCGTTCCGATGTCTCTCTTCTTTTCTTGTCCGAGTACATAAACTTGCCACTACTCTAAATGTCACATTCTTTTTGCCCAAAAGTCGATCAGATGGAAGTGTAATCCAGGAAGAGATCGAACGCGTAGTTATTTGACTCTACCAAGATTCTTTCTTAAGATGTGCAAGGCTAGAGATACGGAAATATTTCTAATGGGCAATAGTGCGGGCATGTTTGTCTGGCGCTTTAGTGGGGTTATACCAAATTCTTGGTCACACTTGATAGTTCATACCAGGTACCACTGCCGTCTTGCGTTCCATGTGATGTCTACTTGTACTCCGCATGCTTCCCGATGGCTTCTCGTAAGAAATTGACTATTCGAGGACGAGGAATCAAGTGATCTTTGATTATGGCATAGCGTATAACCTTAATCTGTTAAGCTTAATGTTCCACGTGTCTCCAGCGGTATGAATCAGATTCCGACCCGCCCGAAGCTATCACTTTATATTGACAACGGATTCTAGGGCGCGGTAGCTACTTTTTGAGCAGTAGACAGGTTGGACCAAAGACCTTTGACCATATAAGAGGGGTAGCGATGCTATCCGGTAGTACAATTATACTCCGTCGTTCTCGTGTGACAAACCATACGCCTAATTGCAGGCTGGTTTCTTAGAGTTGGGGTGGTTTGCGTTACATATTAAAGTACATTTATGTGACACAAGGTACTATGTATGTAGCGAGAACTACTATGTAGCGACGCGACCATACACTAGATCAAATGTAGTGATAGGACGAAAACATATCGATCCATCTCGTCGTGGCTATGAATAGATCTTGAAGTAGCAACGAGGTTCACGTGAGTGATCCGTTATCCCTACTTGGGACTCCTATTATTATTGCGTCCCTTGCTGAAAGGGGCTGCTTAACTCCTCCAACCCGCTACCCTTGAAATTCCAGTACGAAGATGTACAATTGTGCTTGCCGGCCTCGCCTCTTCCCCATCTGTTTGCCAAGCTTTGCCGGACAGTCTAGCACTACGCGCCCAGGGTCCACTGAGTGGAGATATATCGAGCTGTGTGCATGATGCCTATCTGTGCTGTTCAAAGCACATTACATTTCATGACATCACATCGACACCAACGGCAATATTCATCCAGTTTGAAGCTTCAGTAAGCGAATGTCATTCCCAGGTTTCATACAAGGAACCGAGCACCATAACTATCTCAATCTACAGCAACTTCCTCATGTTCAATCAGAACGGGTCATGGTGCCCATCGATCATCTATTCTGGTCGCATCCAATGCAGTAGCAAATTAAAAAGGTAGAACGGACAAGCATATCAAAATTGAATTATCTATCGGACCGGCCGGCCACAAGGGGGAGCACATAAAGTCTGCAGGGAAAATGGGAAGGCGGAGATAAGTGTGGAAGAAGAATGGCTGTACAAATCAATTATGCAAGATCGGAAACTTTGAATCCCTATTGCACATCGGGCATGCGGACGGCAATGTCACCAGACTGTGTGATATAGCGAACCCAGGGGAGGGAGGGGTATTGCAGCTGCATAACTCGTTAGCGGTGGCTCATACAAAGAAGGGGGAGTGTCACATACCTTCGGCTCGGTAATCTTCAAGTAGCGCACTTGGATACCACTGGTGGTGAAATACGGGATCTCGAACTTGACGTTGATGGGCCGCTTCGACTTGCCGGCGCCGGCACCACCCATGCTGCCTCCGAAACCACCAGTCATACCACCACCGTGCTCATCGTCACCCTTCACGGACGGCAGACCCAGCTCCGCCCGCATGAGGAATTCCTTGCCACCGCCGAACTGTTTGATCTTCCAAATGATCGCCGACTTCTCAGGCGCGTAGTGGACCGTTCCGATGTTGGTGCGGAATCGAGGGGAGTCTGCGTCCTCGGGGACAGGAACAATGATCTCGACGTTATTGGCGGTGCTGCGGCGTTTGAACTGTGCCTTGGCCTATTTCATACACTTTATTAGCATATCACAACCCCAGAGACGACGAAAGATAATGAGAAATACCTTGAGCATATACTCGATTCGTGACCCAGAGTGCGATTCAACCAGACACTCGACCCAGATCAACGGCTTCACTTGTGTGTTCAATCGGTAGCTCATAAGCTCGAATTCACCATCCGGCGGAATAAAACTGATTGTGCGGTCATTTTCGAACCGCGACAATCGCACACACTGGTGGAACTTGACATCCTCCATCTCGACGGCCTTGCCTCGCGTCGCACGACCCGTTGTCTCAAACATGGCCTTATCGTTCAGGCCCAATCGCAGCTCGGGCATACCACTCAGATAACACTTCATCTTGATCGCACCTAGAATTTCGGATCTCAGGACATTTCCGTTCGCCGACACCAACAGGTTGAGGGACTCGACCACGTCCAGGAAGACCTCGTTCTTGCGGTAACGGATACCTTCGCTTCGCCAGGAGACGGCATTTGTTACGGCGATAGGTGGTCGTGCTTGCACTTCGAGTTTGTGTGATTCTTGAGTGATGTATCTTTTGAGCGGCCAAGTTAGCTCCGTGATCCCTAGCCAACAAGAAACGAACTGCCGACTTACTCTTGCAAGATCTTGCTTTCTGTTGTCTGCGGGTAGCCGAAATCCATCATCTCATCCAGCAATTCATAAATGATGACGAAGTTGTCTCGGATACTCTCCTCCTCCAGCACCTTGAAGTATTCGGTGAATACCTCCACGAGTTTATGGAGGAACAGAAGGATCTCGGTGGCATTGGTGTTTCTTTTTGTCAGGGCGAGGATGTACAGGTTGCTGTGGCGGATATATAGGTACTGTGTCGTGTCAGCCGGGGTCGTGTGCGCACACAAAGTGAGAAGAGGAGTCGAGGCAGGTCGAGCGTAGCGAGGCAGCGACTAAACACAAGGGAGAACGTACGTTGATTCCTTCATGAGAGAAGCAAGGAGGCACGGCGGAGCTTTCTTCTTCGGCTTCGCTGAGGAGGATGGGGAATTTCTCGACCGCGGACATGGGGATATCCCCGCGGTAGTTGCGGGCCAACAGGGTCTGTCGCCGTGTTAGCAATGTCTCGCACACATTGCCGGGTGTCGACCCGGAGTATCGCGAAAGTGCTATTTCCGGTATATCTTGCATACCTTGCCCTTCAGGTCCAGAAAGAAGAGAGCGGACGCCATGACGTGTCAAGGTTGGGGATTTGCTGGGTAGGTGTCCGGAAAGTGCGCTGTAACACAGGGAGGACGACGGAGGAAGGAACAGGTGATTCGTAGCCGCAGGCGGCGCCCTTACTGCAGCATGGTCTTCTTGGGGAGCGCGGGAAAAGAGAAGAGGGATTGCGAGAGCTCGATGGAGACTGGCGACAAACTGAAGGCCGAAGCTGAGAAGGGGAAACAGCGTCGCCCGCAGTGGAGTCTGGCCCTTTCCCGATCGGGACTAGCGCGGGACTACAAATTCAGCTTTTCTTCGCGCCCGCTGCTTCTTCTTTTTCTTTCTTCTCCAACGCCCTCAATTAGACAGTGCAAGGCTGCAATCTGCAGTCGCCGGCATTCTGCTTGGCGGCTGTCAGCCTTCAATTGCTTTACTTGCGATACAGAGCGCGGAGACTACGCATCGGTAAAACGAGGGTTCCATTAGAGCTGGCCGTGTATTTTTCGCTGTTACGCGGGCGGTGTCATAGGAGCCGGACATTCCTCTTCAGAAGATCGTGTGGTATTGTGCAATAATATAATCCAAGTGAAAGGAGAAGACAATACATCCTCGTCCAAATAATAGTACATGTACAGCAGCTGTCGGGATGACAGCCTCCCTTACAGTCACCCTGACCGGCGGGCGAGGCAAAAATATCAATCAAAAACGCCATGGAAATGCTGTGGACGGCTTTTCCAGATCACAACCCCCGCAGGTCAGTCCTCACAGGACTGCCTTGAATCCCAGAGGCTCGAGAATCCGCTCGCGTGCCACCTTGTTGGCAACCTGCCCTCCCTTCTCCAAGGCGATGGCGCCAATGATCGCGTACAAGGTCTGTCCCAGGACCAACTCGATTCCGGACTCGTTCAGGTTCTCAGGCTGTGGTGAGATCAGGTTAGCGGGAATTTCTGCTTTCAAATTGGGAGTTCTTATCGTACCAGCCGTGGGTTCCAACGAATGATATTGTGCATCTGATATTTCTGTGCAAGTTCGGCCAGTTTCGTCCGATCGGTAAGGGCGCTCTTGGTCCGGGGGGAGAGGTTCTGCAAGCCGTTCAAGGCTTCATGTTCGAAAGGCTTGCGGCCAAACTCATCGGGTTGAGTCGAGGGCACGGCCTCGGGGTTCTGGACGAGGGCGAGAGAGGCCTGCAGTTGCACAATGCGTTTTCCTACACGTCTCATGTCAGCGATGGAACAGTAACAATCTGCTCAGATTCAATTGCATACCTAGGAAAGCCAAACGGTCGTTGAATCCGCGGCGTCCTTGGTCGAAGCTCTTGTGCGTCACGGCCAGCCACTTGACCTCGTCGGACAGCATCTTATCACCCCCATTACCCAGCATTTGAATATAGAACTTATCCAGAACTCCTGGATCCGAATTCACATGGAAGCCCCCCGCTTCGCGCCATTCAGATTGTGAAGGCTGAAGGGAGCCTTGGTGCGCGGCGGAGTGTACGACCAACGGGGCTTGTCCGACTCGGCGGTTGGGACGTCCGGCTCTGTGACGAAGGTGCGGCGAGGGGTGAGCGTCGCGAGAGGACCGGGTGCAGACCGTGCAATGCGGGCGGCCCTGACCGCACGGGTGGACAGATTCGAGGCCATTGTGCTCTGCTTGTCTGGGTAGTTTGCAAAAGCGGATGGTCGGCGGTTGGAAAGAATTCGGTCGATGGTGGATACTGCCGCTTGGCACCGCCCGCCAGTGTTTATGTACATCCGATCTGTCCCAATGTATCGGACGAATACAATTGCAGAGCAACGAATCCTTGAGAAATCGAAAAGGCTGTCTTTTCATTGACGCTTACTATGATCGAACTAGGACACAGAAATCGATTTGATTTTCAGACGAAACAAGGCTGGAGCGGATGGTGCATCAAACTTGTGCAAGACCGCCGTTTGGAGGCTGGATACAGGCTCTAGGTATCCGACTCTCCGTCGCACGCGCAAGGTCTCTTTCTTACATTGTGTGCAGTGGACTTGTGTGATTTCCTCGGAGAAATGGCACCACTCTTGGATCCGACGCTGTAACGTTTGCTCCGAGACGGGACTCATGGCCCAATAATACCTTGATGACAACGTGTGCCTGCTCTCAGCAGTCCCGGAATATCATGTGTTCTCCGACATCCTCTCTGGAATCAGCATTGCTACCTGAGCATCGGCCGGGTCTACCCAGCACACTCTGTGCTCTCCCACTTCTCCAATTGAAGGCCCGAGAACACTGCTAGGTAACCCCATCCAGCACCATGACTGGATGTCGACGCAACGATACAGAAAAGCCGGTGGCGCAACCGTCTCTAAGCGCGGCCCAACGACCGGACTTCAGGTGTCTAGCCGCTGCCGAGAAATGACACAAAATCCCAAATCAGAAAGGTTCTAGATGGCCCTGGGGTAAAGTCTAGGAGAATATTCCGTGGGCTTCTGCGGGACTGCAGAAGCCTCTTCCTCGCCGGGACGGGGATTTTCAGCAGACTGGACGTTCCGCGCGGCCTTTGGCCGAGCTAGAAGGTGGAACAAGATCCGCTCCCGCGAATGCACGGCCGATATTGAGATTGCTTGATGTCGCCAGCGGGTATCAGCAGCCGGGACTCAGTCGAGGCGTTGGCCTGATTGGTTCCAACGGCTCTTGTTTCTCCCTCCCCCCGGTTGAACGAGCTGCAGAAAACGGCCCCGTGGTGCGATGGTACTCCTATGGCAACCCCCTGAATCAGAGCTTCGTCCAGAAAAATCCCCGTTAAGAGGGGTAAAGGCGGGAAGAAGGACGTTGTGGCATGGCGGGAAGAGCGAGTTGACCCACGTGTATTGATGGCCGGCTGAGTGTACCTTCTTTTTGATGTTCGTTGCTTGGATACACGGCCATCTCGAGGTACCCAGCAGTTGAGGCCTCTGACCCTGTTACTCCGCCGGACGAAACAATTACCTTGCACCAGGTATAATTCCATTGTAAAGGAAACCACGTACGCATCCAGTATAGAGACAATGGCAAGTCAAACGACCGAAGAATCTAGACCTCTCGATTTTGCAGAAGTGCAGGCACATGACGTCAAAGTGTTGAAAAGAAACAAGGAAAAGAGCATAGCTTGCTCTTAATATAGAAGCCGAAATCGCCAATCCTTTCCCCCCGTCAAACACCCGCCGATAGAGCGGTTAGTAGCCGCCTAGAAACGGTACTCTCAGATCGTATCGGGGAAAGGCCCTTCCCTCAGCGATCCGCCCACCTTCGCGAAGATGATAGCTGCAGGAAACCGCAAACCCACAGCTCAGACCGCTGGTGTCACTACACCGAAATCTGCAGCTCTCGGGAAGGTCTGGGGAAAGGATCTTCAGCCACTGCTGGGAAAGGCCGCCGCCATTTGAAAGATATGATTTTGGCTCGTATAGCTTTTGAGGAAGAAAAGCATCTCAGAAAGGTTATTTCCAGACTTTGCGTGGTTGAGTTTGGTCCCCCGAACTTAAGCTTGTATTCAGCTTGGGCCAGCCTCTGCTAAAGTGGGCAGAGATAACGGGTGTGACGGCATCGGCGCTGTCAACGGTTTATACATCAAGTCCTTTCCGTCGGGCCCTTGCAGCCGGGAATCCAGAAGGCTCCCGGACTTCAGTGGCTGGATGGCCATGTCTATGGCCGCTGTTACTGTGGGTAGAGTCTTCTCCAAGCAGCGTCCTGCTTTGTTCTGGATCCTTGATTGGGATGCTCGACTGGATGGCGGTGTACGACTTGCCGTGGGATTGATGTCTGGGGGCTCCAGGGTCGTCGGACTATTAAATGGAGGCTTCGACCTGAAGATTTTGCTTTTCGTCTTTTCTTAGATCTGGTCAAAGAGTCTTTCCAAGCCGTGCTTTTCGTCCTGATTCGCAATACTCTCGCTGAGAACTCGTCCCAACTTGTATACTTCGGATTTGTCATTCGTCACCACATTTTTCCACTCTATCAGACACAAGAAAAGATGGCCTCTTATGAAATCGCCGTCTTCAAGTCTCGAGCGATCGATTCATTTTTTACTCAACGGACCTACACCTTTGTAGGAGGAATGCCGACCACCAACCACTCGGTGCAAGATCCACCCTCACCACGGCCATTTCCTCCAAACCCGCCTCCAAGCCCGGCGTAAAAGGGCATTGCTGAATTTGCTTTATTTGGCGTTGAGGAACAGCAGGTAATAGGTAAGTAGAGCGTTTGAAATCGGGGATGTATGCGACGAGGTGTGAAAGTATATTGACTCCCATAATCTTCAGACCATAATCACCGCACGAGTTTTCGCAGCTACCTGCACGACATCATGAGTGACGATCGAAGCTCTTTCAAATATTTTATACCATCATTGTCGAGGCTTGGACTTGGATCACGGAAGGATTGAAACGACCACATAGATTGTCGAGGACGTGGGAAATACCGGTCAAAGTTAGGACATTTCAATTCTGTTCACCCGCTGGGCTCAATGAAGATCCCGTTTCTTATCAAGTAATTTCAAAATATGCAATTGGTTCATGACAAGCATCATTGGCCTATTTTGTGTTTGAAACAGACAAACTATCTCCAAGAGATATCAGTAACCGAGATTTGCAACTGTAGCTAGTCCAAGGGTGAGAAATCGAACCCAACAGTCAAATCCAACGTCTACCACAAGGAGGATCAGGAAATACGGTACATAGAAAGAGAAATCCGCGCCTTTTGTGTTCACGCCGTGGATCCGGACTTTCCGTATGAATTGATCGACCAGAAAAAAAAAAAAGGCTCACTATAATAACACAAGGAGACTCAAGAGATAGAGGTATCAATCAGAGCAAGGCAAGAGCGATGGCGCTAGTGACGCTCAGGCCGATGACGGTCCAGCCGGACTTGATAATGGCGTTGTTGCTGAGACCCTTGCCCAGATCCCAGGTCAGGTGGCGGATACCGTTCATGCTGTGGTAGGTAAAGGGGAGGGCCAGGATGGTCTTGAGACCGATCTTGACGGCAACGGGGAGAGCACCCATGGCGGCAACCATGGAGGCGGACTCCAAGTGCCAGCCCAGAGCCGGGGAGAATAGGTAGGCGGTGGCCCACAGGTAGAGGGGACCGGACAGGGCGACACCAGAGATACGGTGCAGGGAGGAACCGATCCAACCGATCTGGGGCTTGTAGATGGACAGGTGGGGGGAGACCGGGCGGTTCAGACGCTGCTTGGCGAGGATCTGCGTAGGGTCCTCAGTGTTGGGGGACGAGGTAACGGGTCTGGAGGGGGTCGAGATGTTAGGGTAATGGTCGTTCGTGAAATGACGTCGCCTGTCGCGGGATTTTTGCCCATTCCTGGGGAGCAATTTCAAGGTCCGCAAGACAGTCAATCGGTCGTGGAAGTCACTCACCTCGACTGGATACCCTTTCCAAGGGCAACAGCGGCCGGGGAGGCACGCATCATAGAGGCCTGCATAGGGAGCGGTTGCTGGACGGCAACTGGAAGTTCGGGTGCATTGTCAGCGCGAAGAGGATCGTAGGGTCGGGAAAAATGAGGGCACACATACGCCGTCGCAGCGACTGCTGGGCAACCTTCGAAGAGAACATTTTGGCGTCAACGTCGAGGTGTTCTCACTGTTGAGAAGAGGAGAACGGTATCGCGAACGATCGGAACGGTAACCTCGGGTTTGGCGCCGTCACGGGATTCCGGCCCGGGAGCCAATGGCGGCTGGTGCATTGCACACCCGGAAGATCCTTCTTCCCGAGGTCAGGTGACTCGCTTGTCGCACTTTTCCCTTTGTCGGCACCTCCGTCTTCACGACTTCTTCCTTCCTTCACGAGTCTCCGCTCACGTTGATGTACCACCTCGGTGGGATGATGTCGGCGTGTATAGCGCCTTGTTGTTTCGACATTCTGTCGCGACTGTTCAGGGACCTTCGAGACTCGCAGAAGGACTTCCCGTCGTTAATCGCCCATTCCCTCTTTCCATGAGCCGGATGGGTTTCATATCAGGGTTACATATCAAATTACTAGACCAGTAGATGTTGACATGTGGGAAGTTATGAGGGGTTTAGCATTGTATTTCTGGACATCTATTTCATAGCATGTCTACGAGTACTTTGTTCATCTCATCCATCGTAATTGGTCGAACGTGGGCATAATGGCAACTTGAGGACTTTAATGTTCTTCAAGTCTGAAGTACCACCGTGCATAAATGGTACCTGCTCTGGTAGCTGCCTGCAACTGCAAGAGTCGGCTGTTAAGCTGTTTCAGCGATGCCTAAGGGGAAACCTCGTGTTAAGGCTGTGTTGCTGGCCTGAGGCAGCCATGGAGTCATGGGGCTGCAACGCCGTCACATGCGAATCCAGCTGGAGCAACTCTCAGCTGAACAAGTGTTCATGGCTACGGCCGTAAAGAGTCTTGGGTCCTGATGAGTTTTCGCTGGGTTATGTGCACCAGGCCGAGATCGATCCCAGCATTGCGCGTCCCTCAGGCGGTCGGCAGAGTGAGCTGACTTCGGCCCTGACGAATAATCACTGAATGCACACCGAACCTCGGCAACTTGACTCCCCCACAGCCCAGGTCCGCGGCTACCCCGGGCTCGGTGCTTTTTAATCGTCTTTGTCCATATGTCTTGAGTACCAGCGTTTCTGAATACGATTTTGTTCTCTTCAACCCATCTCGAACAGCGTTGTGATCTGAAACCTTCTTCCCATCGATCTCATCCCCGTTGATACCCCGGAATCTCTGCCTAGACTAGATATTGGTCTTTTGCGCCTCAGCGACGACACGATGCCTTTCAATACTGCCTTGACCCGCAAACTGGGCATTCGAGGTATGCGATCTCCCACGAAGACACTACTACGACCAGGATATTAACGATGACAAGTGCCCGTGGTGCAGGGAGGTATGCAATGGGTGGGATATGCCGAGCTGGCCTCGGCCGTTAGCAACGCCGGTGGACTGGGTATTGTATGTCTCCTGGTCCTCAGATTCAATCTCAGGACTCTTGCTAACTCCTCCTAGCTTACTGCTCTCACCCAACCCACCCCCGAAGACCTGCGCAAGGAAATCCGACGATGCCGCACCATGACCAAGAACCCTTTCGGTGTGAACCTGACCCTCCTCCCCGCTCTCGTCCCCCCGACTACGGCGCCTACGCCCAGGTGATCATTGATGAGGGCATCAACATCGTCGAGACGGCCGGTAACAATCCGGGCCCCGTGATTCAGCAGCTGAAGAAGGCCGGCTGCATCGTCCTGCACAAGTGCACAACCATCCGCCACGCCAAATCCGCCGTGAAGCTGGGCGTTGACTTCCTCTCCATCGACGGCTTCGAGTGCGCCGGCCACGTGGGCGAGCACGATATCACCAACTTCATTCTTCTCAGCCGTGCGCGCCAGGAGCTCGGCGTGCCTTTCATTGCTTCAGGTGGTTTCGCTGATGGTCAGGGTCTGGCTGCTGCTCTGGCGCTTGGTGCTGAGGGAATTAACATGGGTACTCGCTTTATGAGCACTGTTGAGGCTCCTATTCACCAGAAGGTAAAGGAGGCTATCGTCAATGCGCAAGAGACCGATACTGCTCTTGTTCTCCGTCGGTGGAAGAACACAACCCGTCTGTTCGCCAATAAGGTCACGCAGGATGCGCTGAAGGTCGAGCGTGAGAGCACGACCGGCGAGTTTAGCGAGATTGGACCTTATGTTAGCGGCAAGCGTGGTCGTCAGGTCTTCCTGAACGGTGACGTTGACTTTGGAGTAAGCAATATCCCTCACCAGTTATTTCTGTCTACCCGTTTACTAACACAATTCTATAGGTTTGGACTGCTGGCCAGGTCATCGGTCTGATCCACGACATCCCGACTTGCGCCGTCCTCCTCGACCGGATCGAGAAGGAGGCCCTGGAGGCCATGCAGCGCAGCCAGTCGCTGGTCACCAACGCTCCTGCTAGCAAGCTGTGAGCCTAGCGATCATGTTTACATAGCTTTTCTTTTTCATATGAATCGGTTTTGTAAGACACCCCGCGATAGAGAGGAGTATGACTTACGGTTGTCTCCGATCAACGACCTCCTTACAGTTTAGTATATTGCGATATCGTCATTTGTTTCTGCAGAACAATCCATAAGCTTCACTCAAGAGACATTTCCCATTCCTCTTCTTCGTAGCGACATGAACCTGCTGTCAAGGTATTGAGGGTTGATTCTTACTGGCGGAAGAGCTTCACGGATGCGTGGCATCTGGTTTGCCTTTTTGCAGTGTCTTGGATGCATCCCCAGCTGGCCAATCGAGTATAGCTGGACCATGTGGGGATAGATGCAAATTCCATTTTTATTGCATCGGCATCTGCAATCGTGGGTTTGGCTCCTTCCAAGTTGAAGTCGGGAAGGTCGCCGAACCTGTATGACTTGCGCACCCCAACATCGAGGAGTAAGGGCAGATTCACTCACGTGTCTGGAGGAGAATGAATCTGAGTAATGACGCAATTATTGCAAGCTTTTGGGCCAGTTTTGATACATTGATTGACCTGGAGTAACTCCTCTAATCCGACAAGTCACACTTTTTCTTATTCTCCATGCAGTACGCGATAGTATTAAGCAAATAGGAAAAGCAAGGCTTGAGTTAGTACTCGGATAAGACGAATGATGCCCGAAGCTATACTGTAGCATAGGGCGATTCATAGTCCATGTCTCCTCCAGCAGTAACCAACTGGGCACTGGCAGGGCCATGTTTCAGCAAAGTCAAGACACCGCCATTTCCCAAGGGATCAACTCAACTTGAAAGGCCGGGACCCATGCGCGACATTCTCCAGAACGCCGACATTCCTCCTCGTGGAGGTCGGCGAACGACGATCATCAGGGTCTGGCATTCCACTTGCACGAGTACCCCAATCGCCGACTGAGTATTCAGCATTGGATTGCGCATGCCGGCATACTACGATGGAGAACGAGTGAGAGGTGGATCGACGAGTTGCTCGTGTCAGGAAGGAGTCAGGGCATCCTTGCATGCGCCCTTGGGAGATCTTCAGAATGCGGCGCTCCGGCCGTCGCCATTGGGCTTGTTCTGATCGGCTCTCCGCTTTGCAGGCGGGTGGATCCTGCAAGCTCCGATCATGAGAGCTTCATGTAGCTGGCGTCGTGCATGAGATCATGCTGATGAGTAATTTGTCTTGTCGCGGGATGAGTTGTTTTCAGCAGACACACGGCGGAAGTATACCACGGATGTTCCGATGTACCGTACTACCCGCCACTGCTAAGTACTAGTACAATGACTAGTATTTTAGAGCTGGGGCGATCTTGGCTGGTCGATTGGCCGACGATTTCGATCCTCGACTCGCCGATTTGGCTCAAACAAAGACAGCTTCAGACGGAGCTCCGACCGTCGTAGCGCCGGATCGACCGTCGCACAGCAGCCGCTAGCCCAGCAATCCCATCACAATATAGCAGCACTCTAGTGTCCTCAAAGTAGATCTGTACACCGTCCACTGAGATAGCACATACCTAAATTTTACCGGTATCGAAGATGTAGCTGCACGTACAATGCAGTATTCGCAGCCCAAGACACCCCTTGCCCCAGCCCCAGCACCTAGTTTATCAGCTATACAACCCCCCACGTCCCAGCACCCCAATAAACCCTCACTCTCCAGATACAAAAGGGTCAGTCCGATCCGCCGAAATCATGGGTTTCATCTCCTCCGTGGCCCGCTGCGTCCGCGACAACAAACTGTCCCGCAAGCTATCCACCAACTCCAGACCCCAGCGTCTCGAGGACGATTACAACGACCTCATCAAGATCTCCTCCAACGACATCTCCCTTGCGCGAGCGGAGAGTATTGCCTCGGTCTCGACGATTGTGCATCGATCGGCTCACGAACCGGTCCTGCCCACCGAGTCACCGACACAGCGGAAACAGCTCAGCCCGGCCGAGTTGAATCTGAATAGTCAGATGCAAACATTGTTCGACAACAAGCAAACACTGGATCACGCTAACTATCGGGCTGCACGCGCGCTGTCGAGACCTGAGTATCCTATCTTTAAACTTGAGACCGTTCAGTCGCCGCACGATACTCCGACGAGGAAACTACAAGATCCGATTGAGACGGGAGAGATGATGTTCGGTGATAATAAGGCTGCTGCTCGGGAGGGGAAGCTGTTGAAACGCCAACGGGAGGAAAAGGATGAGAAGACAGCGGAGGAAGGGAAGAAGGGTTCGAAGTTACGGAGATCCATGACAGGCTTCTTCCGGAAGACCTACAGCTTCCGACTGCCACGATCGCCAGTCTCCATGAAGAATATGCGTACGTCAGCCTCACCTTGCTGGATTGATGTCGATGCGTCCAGCTTGGCAGATGAGGAGTGTTTAGTATCGGAGAAGGATGAGGAAAAGTGGTTGGAGGCGCATGGACTGGGCGGAGGACGAGATATTGGTATCTGGACTGCAGGTGGAGAGGGGATGGGACGGAACTACTGATGAGATTAAATGGATTCATGAATAATGTAAATATCCCATCATGCTACATGGGATGCATGTCATCAGAAACGAAGTTAACTTGCAATGAATTAGTTTACTTGAACAGTGGTTCGACGAATGCAGGATAGGCCCTGGAGAGATGAGGTGCACTTAACACTGAGCAAGCCAGCCTGTCCATAGCTGGATACTAGAGTAAGGAGAGATAGACAACAACGAACTGACTTTACGATTTTAAACAACTGAGAATCTACGATGTCATCACATGAATGGATTTTAGATGCTCAGAGCCGAGACTACGTAACATCAGAGAAAGTACACCGTCGTGTCAGATAGGTGAAGGCAAAGGAGGAACCCAAGGATGCGATGGCTGTTTGTTGGGGCATTGATGAGGTTGATTGACGAACTAGGATGGGACACTACGGCTACTCAAACACATTGCAGCAAATCTAATGAATTAAAGATATATACGCGAAAGAATCCCGGGACTGACGGCAGCTAATCCACGGTTCCAATGCACCAAAGCAAGAAGCAGAAGCACCATGCCAAAAACACAAGCAGAAACCAAAAACAGTCTTCTTCCTCCTTGGGGTGCCACACGACACAATTAATGATACACGGGTAGCAAAAAGATCAGATCACCTACCTATTCAAACAATTGCCAGCAATGCCTGCTTTCCACCCCGAGAATCGATAACAGTTCTCGTTAGTGCTCGTGCTAACCCCAAGCCCTTGGACCACGGAAAAGAATTGAGCACCGTAATACTGCTAAATTACGTCTCTCTGCAGGTAATGCGACCATGACTCTAACAGTACTGAGGGTTGCACTGAGCCTAACTGCCCCAGCGGCCAGCTATGTCTAGGCTCTCGTCGTTGCGCCCATTTGCCGCCGGCTTACCCAGAGAGCTAAAGTCCATATCCCGAAATTCCCTTCGGAAACTTGAGCCAGGCAATCCAGAGCCCCTGCCTTTGCGTATCCCTGCTCACTCTTCTAATGCAATAGTCTCCTCTCGCCTAGCATCTAGTCTCATTACCACGTCGGATCTTGTCTTGGTTCTTTGAGATGGAATGATGAAAAGCCCTACAATCTGTGCTGTAAATCTCAATGTTCTATACACTACGTGAGTCAGTTGCAAATATGTGATTGATGCAGTGCCGGGTAGCCATGCATAGGGTTAGGACGAGATCTACCATATAGTCAATTTTTATGACAACGTTTCATCTCACCACGCTTTGATGCTATCTTGTTCTTTGTACAGAAAACAATGTAGTATAGCGTAGATTGTTCTAACTGGCGGGAAAGGGGTTTCCTGTGATTTGATCGAAAATCTGTTGCTATTTATTGCCGTACAATGCTGTAAGCGAGGTGGCGCTGGCAATACGCTTGCGTAATTCCGTGTGAGCACCTGGGCAATGAGGTGCAACGAATATCCAGGATACTCGGACAGCAACAGCAGTGTCATACATTATTGGTTTGGTTTCTCTCATCGTGGAATGAAGATCAGATCAGTATTTTCATTATCGGATGAAAAGTCAACTTGAGTAGAGTATTATACCGTGATATAATATACATAGGTCAGGTGCATGATTTTTCGTCTCGAGTTTCGCTTTCGCAGCAACAACTTAAGTATCAAACCTCTGACAATAGTGTCTGTCAAGGTAAGCCGCGCCATGATTGTGTGGCTGAATGGCCCGACCGCTTTGGGACTAGGCGGTGAGGCTTACGCCATCGAATTCCGTCTTCCCCAGACTCCGATGCGCCACGAAAACCGCGCATTCTCTCCTAACTTTCACCTGAGAGGAGCGTGAGCAACACCATGTCAGAACCTGCACAGGCTACTACAGCTGCTGCGGAAGAGCGCACCGACGCTCCTTCTGCGCCCGGCTCGCCGCAGCCCGCCGCGGAAGAGAAGCCCGAGACCAAGACAACAGCAACGAAGGAACGTGACGATGACGAGCATGAGACGGATGAAACGAAAGAATCGAAAAGATCGCAATCAGATGATGAAGAACCCACACAAGAAGATACGTCCGCGCCGCCTTTGCCCGACGAAGTCCCTCCACCCCTCCCGAAAGAAGCTCCGCCTGGCCAAGCCCAGGACGATGGATGGGAACCCGTGTGGGACGCCAACATTGGAGCATACTATTTCTACAATCGCTTCACTGGCCAGTCTCAGTGGGATAACCCCCGCGTGCCGAACGCAGAAGCAGCCGCCCCCCCCTCCAGCTCCAGGTACGGAAGCTCCGAAGGAAGCGCCTGTACTGGGTGGCTACAACCCCGCGATCCACGGCGACTACGACCCCAACGCATCTTACGCACAAGAGCACGAACCGCGAGAAGAAGCGCGTGCCATGACCGGAATCGATCCGATGGCTTCTTACGCTGCTACGGGCGCATTCAACCGATTCACGGGCCGCTGGCAGGCCGAGGGAATCAATCCTGACAACCATAGTCAACACAACAAGGCTCACCGGCAAATGAATGCGTTCTTCGATGTAGACGCCGCAGCCAACAGCCATGATGGCCGCAGTCTACGTGCGGAACGCAGCGCCAAGAAGTTGACCAAGAAGGAGCTGAAAATGTTCAAGGAGAAGCGCCGGGAAAAGAAGGAGGAGAAGCGGAGGGCATGGCTACGGGATTGATACATGTGGCTTGCCACAGTGAGAGGCCCCTCGGCTACTCTCACTTACAAATTCGCATTGGGATTTTGATACCTTCCCACATCCGGCGTGGGCTTTGGGGCGTTTACGGTTCTTGGACTTTCTTTTTTTGGCATGCATTAGAGGCGGACTTGTTAGTCCTGCCGGGATTTTTGATTCTCTGCGTCTGTAATATTATACTTTTTAGCATAAGCACAATTGACTAGCGTGTAATTTGGACCCAGAACATCCTAAGATTCGGTTGAAGACAAATGTGGGAGCTTGCAGTCTGTATAGAGCTATCCGGGCGACCCCACCAAAGTCACGTGCACACCGATATCAAAGTTTCTGCGGCGAGTGCGGTCTTCACAAATCAGAGATTCTACGCAGGCTGTGTCCGACTCAAAGGTAAGACATTTAATTTGTGAGATGTGCAATTGCACCACTGTTGTTTTATTACCCTCGAATCCCCACCCCGCTATCAGTTGTGGTGGGCTGGGAGTTCATCTGCAATCAGTTTGCTTATCAACTCGAGTCCTCAAATAATTGTCCTAAGGTCGAGGATCCCTTGCGATCGATTGCATGACCAGGCTGGAGCTTGCTGAGACTGTTTATTCGGAAAACTTTACCCTCCACATTGTGGTTTTCTTAAATCTTCCAGGAACCTATTCGCTAACACCCTACCAGCCCATATCAATTTCTCGGCCCTCCGCAAAAAATAATTCCATATCCATTCCGATAAAGGGATTGGATATTCGAGTCCTCATAAAAATCCAGTCTGATTTTTTCATCCAAAGAGAGAATTTTCCCCACATCAACATGACTTCTTCTACACCAAAACCCAAGCCAACTGTGCCTGTCGCACTCTCCGCCGAGGCCATCGATGACCTCATCTACGATGCCCGAGCTGGCGATCTCGAGGCTTTGACGGCAGACATCGCCAACCTGGCTTCTCAAAACACCTGTGCCGAGTCTCAGATCGTCGCATCTGCCATCGACATGGAGGATGAGAGTGAGGGAGGCACTGGGTCTTGCGTCCTGCACTTTCCTGCCGCTAACGGCAATATCGGTATGTTTCAACCAATCATCTTTATGCATTCTTGTCTTCATCATAGATGAAGCTCGGATGAAAGATGCTAACTCGCTCAGAAATCCTCAACTTCCTGCTCCAAAAGCTCTCCACCGGAGACGCTGCCCAGCGCACAGCATTCGTCAACCACACTAACCACTCCGGAAACACACCATTGCACTGGGCCGCCCTAAACACGCACATTGAATGTGTGAAGGCGCTCGTCGAGGCTGGCGCAGATGTCACCGTCAAGAATGACGCTGGACACGACGCTGTCTTCCTGGCTGAGCGGGCCGCCTGGTCTGCCTCCGCCGAGGAGGTTAAGGAGGATGAGAACGGGGACCAGGAGATTGAGATGACTGTTGGCGAGGGTGAGGATGAGGGTGAGAACCAACAGCCGGCTGGTGAAATGTCTGCGGGCAGACAGGTTGTCGAGTGGCTGCTTAGCTCTGAGAAGTCGGCTGGTCTGGAGAGCTCCAGTGGTGCTAAGGAGGGTGAGGGTTCGGCTTGAGTTTTTACGTACATCATGGATTAAGATAAAATTTTTTTTTTTGGCAATATAGACACGTTTTGATACTCCGATTACACATGGACTGGATGAGACGTGCACATCGACACGGTGCTAAACAGATCATATTTTATCATGTAGCAGAGTTCTATGCTTTATAATATACAAATGAACACACGATGAATCTAATAGTCATTCAATGCATTGATTAGTCTCGACGGACTTTTCCCGCCACTTTACCTGCCTTCCCATCGGTATCTTGGGGAGACACAGGGAACCAATCAACCACGGAGCTTGTCGAGTACGAACCTTCTGAAGCCTCGGGGTCAATCTCCCGAACTTTAGCGTCAAACCCGACCTTGAAACGTCTATCTCGCCAGACAACAGTCACACCGCCATAGACAGCGATGACCCAAATGGGCAATGCAAGGAGCTCACGGCCCAGCCATGCGGCAAACCACTGCCGGAAAGTCCGACGTGTCGATTGGGAGTGAGGGCGGACAGGCCGCGCAAAACAAGGCGTGCCTTCGTCTAATTCAATGGCCTTGGCGGAGTGCAGTTTGATGTAGAGGGTCCAATCGACAAGAACCCAAAGAATCATTCCGAGGACGAAAAGTGCAAAGAATGCAGTCCAAGAGGTGAAGTTCGAGGCCAGGCCGTATCCTCTGCGCTCCATGTACGGTGCCAACGCTGTTGTAACGCCCCAGGCGCCATAAATGGAGCATACAAATGACTCGGTCCCGGGCTCGACAAGGGTTGCTAGTAGCACAGTGAACTTGCGGACCCGAAGCCAACGCACTCGTCGGGCAATGTATCCCCGGACACTCATGTTTGCCACTGGCTGAATAGCCAGGTCTCCAAAGACCATGGCATGCTTGCCCCAGCGTTCACCGAGCTCTTTCTCTTCACGTACCTGCCGACGCCATAGTAAATCCCCAATAAGATGGTCTTCACAGATGTTCTCAGAGAAGAAATCAATACCAGGCAGGCGAGCTTTGTGCTTAGAGGGTGGTGTTGCGGTCAGATAGTCTAGATGGGAGCGGCGGAACATATTGGATTTGCCCACGATGCATGGCGCAATGAGGACAGTGTTGATCGCAGTGTACATCTTCGCGTGAGCGGAAGAAAGAAACAATTCCTCGAGACGACCACCTCCGGTAGCAACTGTGTTTACAAACCCGTCTTCGGGGCGACTGGAGGATAAGGCAATTTCGGCCTCCGTCGCCTCGGGACGAGCATCCAAGAGAGCTTGTCGCTGCTCCCGAACATTGCTCTCACCCGTGACATCGACTGCCAAAGGCAAGTGGTGCACAAACTTGTACTTCTTCCCCGGCGTAGCACCCGTTCCACACAGTCTGTCCACCATGCGCGCGCAGACACCCTTCCCGACCCAGACGTTGCAATCGATAATCCAAATGATATCGCCTTTTGCCTCACGGTATGCTTGACTCATGTTTCGGATCTTAGGATTCGGCCCCAGCGCGTAGGCATCCGACCCGCTGCCTTGTAAGAGCGGATCCTCCTCCTCGACATAGACTCGCGCATCGACATCCGGAAAATCGGCGATCAAATTGCACAGGGTTGGGTAGGCCGGGTCATCGCGAGTCTCGACGCAGAGACAGACCATCAATTTGTCACGGGGGTAATCCTGCTGAAAGGTCGCGGCGAGGCAGTCGTACAGATGTGGCTCGAGACCTTTGACAGGTCGGATCGCGGTGACATGGGGGGCGTGGCTGTCGGACGCCAGACTGGAGGGGCGTGGCCGGCACAAAAAGTATCTCCATCTGCAGTTCCCAATGGGTCAGTTAGCGATGTGATTCAAGGAATTGACACCGTGACTTGTCGGCAAGCTCTCATCTATACTCCGTATAGAGTCAGAGCCAGGCCGCCACGAACGCGAACAACGAAAAAAGAGCAGAGCAGGCAGCATACATCTGAAAATACCCCAAGGCACACACGACCAGCACGGTGACATACCAGATCAGACCGACCCAGGCCGCCGCGATGGACACAGATAGAGCGCCATCGGTGGGCGATTCACGGAATACCAAGTTCGGCTCTAGCATGAGAGTCGGAGGCAGCGCGACAACGAGGAACACATTCTATGACTGGGAGTGGACAGAGAGAAATCCAGCTCCGTGGTGGGATTGTTGGTGGAGGCATCTCCGAGCAGCGCGGATGCTTCGGCTGCGGGTCGTTTTTGCCAGCATACCGCCTCGCCTCGCACAACGTGAGCATACCTACTACGCTCTAGGGTAATGGCCAACATCAAATTGGCCAACCTCCGAGTCTCTAGCCGAGTCCTGTTTGTTTAGCTTTGATCTCTATGCTGCCTGGAATCTATTTTAGGCTCCTGCATTGTACATGGAAAACACTATATCCGGGGTCCACGGTGGCTAGTAGCAGGGAACCCACGGATCCATTCATGCAAAAATTAACCCACAATTGTAGACTCGCGAACAGGGGGGCGATCAAGAGCATTGGTGACAGATCTTGGCAGGGCGCTCGTACTAGCCAATTTGAGCCTGAGCAATCCGTCTGGGCGTCTACGCATTATGGACCCTACTAGTAGTAGTTACTAAGGCACGGAGTACATACAAATCTCGGGCTCTTTAATGAACGCTGGTCTTGCAAAAGGTCAATTCATATTGAGACGGAAACAATATATTTTGTATAATTTTGATATACTTTCTTTCAGATTAATCCACGTCCAGTGTTGTTTTCGGGCTATCTCGCCAAATCCCTCCGGCCCAATGCAAAAAAACGCCTCCTCCCATACTCCAGTTCCTGTATAAAGCATATAAAATAGAGCATCAAAATCTCAAGTCTTCTTCTTCTTCCGTACCAGGCCTGCACTCAGCACGTTCGCAGCAGCCGGTTGCGACGGAGCGGATTGCGTGCCGTCCGGCCCACTCGGCTGTGCTGCACCACTGCCACTATCACCCTCCGATTTCTTTCGCTTGCGAATCAAACCGCTGTCAAGGAGGTTTCTTGGAGCCATAGTCTCAGTCTTGGATTCTTCCGGGGAGTGGGTGCCCGTGACCCGCTTCCCCCATGTCAGCTCGTCAGCAAGGGAGGCGACCTGATCAATATAGGCCTTGGTACTGGCGACAATCTCCTTTTCGTCGTAAAAGTTATCCAGGATCCCATCCATCATGCTTTTGTAGTCGGCCTCGTTGAGAACAACCTGTCCACGTCCAGCTTCGGGCCATGAAAAAGGGCTAGGGTTGGTAAACTGAGATGTCGGAGGGTGATCGAAAGATGAGGGTTGTTCCTGACTTTCGGGCACGCTCTCGGCGGTCACAATTTTGGCGAGCGCTTTCTGGGACTCCTCTGTTTTAGACAGCTCCGAGATGTCCTCGATCGACTTATCATCGGTAGAAGTTTTCGAAGGGGCGGCATTTGCGGGAGTAGGCAGCGCAGTTGCGGGGCCGCGGGTCTGGCTTGCCATCGTTGTTGAGTTCATTAGGCCTGGAGGATTGATAACGAGCCACAGGAAGCCGACCAGGCGGCCAGCCGAGCACTCCTGCCGGAACGACATCATCTCCCAGAATTGATCCAGAGAGCGGACGCTCCGCCACAGACCCGTACCTGGAGAGGCATTCTCGCCCTCGACAGGCTCAGGGAGCTCGTCGTCTAAATCGATGAGGAATCGAGTCTTCGGATCATCTGGGAGCCGGGGAATCAAGCAGCGCGGCGGAGCGGATGGATCATGAACCATTTGTTGAAGCGGGTAGCTATTCAGCCATCGAGGACGATCCTGAGGGTCTGACTTGGCCGTCGCAGGGTAAAAGCTGCGCGTTTCAAGTCGGTCACAGCCTGGAACAATCAAATAGGCGGTCGCAGAGGCCTTCGCTGCTTCGCCCGTTTGGCTTTGCTGTTTGGAATCCTGGGAAACTGACTCAGGCTCATGTTCACGGAGGATGAGGTCTGCCGACCGGCACCACCATTTGATAAGACCTCGGTCGTCAAGGACATGCTTTCCGGCGTTTTCGATGCTGCCCGGGAACAGATACTGGTCCTGGGCACGCGCGAACAAAGAGATCACAAGGCGTACGCCAGGACGCTGATGCGTACGAGCCAGATGAGATAAAAATGTGTTCGCAACCAGGCGTAGCACAGAGACCTTGCGAGGGAGCTTGAGGAGGTGGAGGAAACCCGTCGAGTCCGCTTTGGAGACGAAGATGGTGGTCAAGTGGGCCGTGTTGTAGACCATCACCTCCATGCCAAAGACAAGGACTTCGGCGCCGTCATCCTGTTGAGAGTCAATTGAGACCGAGAGAAAATGGTTCTCACAAAACGTGGCCTCAGTATCTTGTCCTGGCGCAGCTGCGAACAGAGCCGCCGAAGGGGCGGGTGTGGATGAAACATGACGGACGGTGATCTGGGCATCGGTGGGGAGCACCTTGGCCAAGAGATCCCCCAGATCGCCCTCCGCTGCCATTGTGCACCCACCAATGGGATTGGCACTGGAGCGGTGTTGGAATGGAAGTTTGTGGAGCTTCTGAGCCTGTTTGTCTGCGTGCTGAACCTGCGCTGCGCTTTTTAGTGCAGCGCCGATCACGTGCCGTGTACTATAAGCGCAGAGGCATGAAGAGAAACGCACGTGAAGATGGTCGGATTCACATTAAACCTGGTATAATTTACTCAAACGGTGTTATTTTATTTCATATTCCAATGATGGCGTTTGGTTTGGATTTGTTCATTTGCCCCATTTCCGAGCCTTGGTGGGGGTGGGGGATCTCACGGATCATCATTTACGAGTTGATATGATGAAAGCTCGATACAATATTCGAGGATCACAACTTGTTACCGTAGTTCATTGATGCTTCCCTCATTACACTAAGCGTATTTAAGAGCCCTTTGACGTCTTCAGAAGAAAGTAGTGACCGCATCTAGGTCATCCGCGTTAAGGAGCCCAACCCCTTCTTGTAGCAGAGTCCTCCACACGAGGTTTCGCTGACGAACAGGCCAGTTCGGCGTATTCCAGTATCTCGCACCAATACCTCGCTCCCTGGCCACGGAGATCTGGGCACGAAGAGATTTGAGCTGCTCCTCGCGAAGAACCGGCTCAGTGTCGATGGCAACTTTCCCGACGGCCTTGACAAAGTCCGTGGAAGCAATGGGCGAAACGCGGTAATCGATCCGCGAGTATTTGGATTCACTCAAATCAGCAAGAGGTGCGTCGAAGAAGTAATCTCGGTCCATGACGGGCAGGATCATGTCGAGCGGTGTGTCTCCTGTGCCGATGATGGTGACGGGGCCGGTCTCCACGGTCTTCCCACCCTTCAGTTTAGTGAGATAGCCCTTTTCGCGCAAAGGCTCCAAGGCTTTGATAACGGCTTTGAACGTTTCATGGCCCGAGGTCTTCACATCGATGAAGAAGTAGAGGGTTTGGGCAGTGTCGGTGTCCCAGACACCACTGTTTTTGATCAGAGTTAGACAACTTTACATAGAATTGAGTGCTGAGTAACTCACTTCTTTGTTGGTGCAGTCAAGAACGGACTGTCAGGATTTTGCCGGTCCAGCACATCCAAAATGGGGTTGATGTAGAGATTTTCCAAGGTGCGCTCGTATGTAAGTGCAGACTCATCATGGCCAACCTGACAGAGGTTAGAATGGCAATTCAACAGTTTCATAGAGATTTCAGAAGGTTCGAACATATAGAGTCCCGTTATAGAGCCAGACGTCTGCCTCGGTAGATGTGCAGCCCTTTGATAATCCTTCACCGTAATGTCAGCAGGGGAGTTTCAAATAGCAAGCACCTTCAAGGGGTCGCTTACCTGTGTAGAAGGGCCTGTCGCGCCAGTAGTCACTGAACAAAGCATTGAAATGTGAGTTCACAGAGTTCGGTACATTGATCATCAATCTCATTGAATAGTAGGGCTGCATACTTGTGGGAGTGCACGGGAATCTAATGATGACGTTAGCCAAATCCCCGAGACATGCCGACCGGAGCCAGAGTGAACAAGGCCAATCCGAGACATTGTGCAGGAGCCGGGCTTACTGGTAAAAGATCTCTCGTCAGATCTGTGGGATACCCATATTCTTTGCTGGCGTGGGTATTCTTTAGAATGCTGTGTAGGCCGGAGGTGATTGACCCGATGACCGGTTCCGGCGCCGCCGAAAGGGTCGTGGCCACGGCAATGAGGAACAATAGCGGCGAAATCATGGCTCCGGCACGAAGTAACACGGGCGGTTTTGAGTTCATGAATGGGGTTTTTCTCGGCCAGCGGCTGGATGAGAAGTGACGCGTGTTGATGGTAGTTCAGGGCGGAACTGCTGGGATTGTTGGTCTCCAGCACGTGTTCGGCCGATGGCTGGTTGCATCAACAACACACCACTTGCAAAGACTGACTGTGGGGAAATTTCCTCAACAAAAAAGGAAATCTACCTATTTTTACTTCTTATTGCATTATCCGCGTCAATTCTGTTGATTGTCGTTCCGACTTTTGAACTCAGTGGCAAGCGCCCACTTGGCAATTCGTCGATGTCAACGAAAACCTCAATCTACCCCGCTAGAGTATCGAGAGAGCTAATAGATACCTTCCCTGGTATTGTAGGGAAGACCAAATCATCCAAAGGAAACTCATATCATAAAGTAGTGTTACTATGTACATCAATAATCCTTGCGCATCGTATATCCCTAAACCTCCCGCACGCTCGGGGTTGAACTAATCGGAGGCTCCTGCGAGGTCGAGTTTCGGCCGCGGAGGCTGAGATTGCCAATCCGTTGAACGAGGTTGCTCCCGACTGCATCAACTGCTCCCTTTGGAGCAAGTAAGGTCGGCCCTTGAGCGGCAGCCTCCTGAACCTTGAACAGGCGGATCCCGGTTCCATTCCACACCCCAACGGTGCCTGGCGTTGCACCTGCGGCAGTACCGACAACCATCTCGCTGGAGAAAATGAAGCCCCACAGGAGAGACTCATACCAGCCCATGGAGAGTGCAGACCATTCGAACGATTGTGCACGAGTCGGAGTTGGTTCCACGATGATGCTCTTGACCTGGGGCTCATCGGCGAAGGACGGAAGGTTGCTGATCAAAGTACGAGCCTCTGGGCTAGAAGTGCTCTGTAGCGCAGCATCAGGAATATGAGGTGCGATGGCGGAGATGATAGTGATAATCGTGTGCAAAGGAAGCTCCGGAAGCCAGGATTCAAGCTAGTAAAAACGGTCAGCGGCCTGTCAGATAATAAGGTTCACAGAAACATACCCAAGCAACAGTTGGTGTAAATCCGATAGATGGCGACGTGAAAAGAGCAGTCATGCTGGTTTGGCTGGTAACACTGTTCTGACGCGAGAAAGGTGGATGCCCAGCAGGCATCTTGCCGCGAGCCTTCTCGGACATGCCTCGCACTTGCGAGCCCGTCTCATCGGCTGTGGACGCAATAGAGGGCCTGCGTGAGGTTTGAGCCGAGGGGGACGACTGGGAAGGCGTATGTTGTCCTTCATCGTCGGAATCATCATCCCCAATTGCGAATGCACTGTTCTCCTCTGGAATTTGAGTCAGAGGGGAGCGAGCACCTGACTGAATGTGCAGGTCCTCTTCCGATTGCGAAAGTGTCGGGCTCGCAGACATATCTCGAGGAGTAGATCCAGCCTTCCGTCTCTCCCTTTGACGTTCGATTTCCTGTTGGCCACTTTCCAGAGTGAATTCTCGTACCGCTTCAAAGCGTTGCTTATACTTCAGGATTGCGTAAACAAAATATGGGTTTTCTAAGATGTTAGTTAGCAAAGTTCGATAGACTGATGAACTTCGAAACGTACCCGTGAATTTGTATTCCAGGATCGCATTGATGAAGTCAAGCAGCGATGCAAGAAGAGAATGATTCGTCTCGTTGGCCAGCAAGAAGCTGGGCGCGGACATGGAAGAGAAGAGCTGAATGATCTTGGAGCTCGCGCTTGGGGAGACATGCTGAATATGAGGAGCAATGTTGTTGAGAATGATCAGAAGGGAAGGATAGACCGTGTCAAGGTTACCCTTGCTGGTAGTCATGAGAACATGGATAGACTGCAGAGTATCATTAGTGATGGTCAGCCACAATGAGAAGGAAGAACTCACAATGATGAGAAAGTCAGCATAGGAGCCGCGGAACCTTGGCAGCCTAATAGATTGGGGTAGGGTCTCCTGAGCCTCGAATTTCATGTTGATGCTCTTGCCAAAAGTCGTCTCTGCGCTCATTGTCTGGAGAATGAAAATGCACATTCGGACCACACCTTGCTTGGAAGGATCGTTCCGGTACTCCATTGCGTAAAAGATGCAGAGGATAAGGAAGTCGTGCGAGCGATTGGAGTCGATGATAAAGGACCTGAATCGCTTATTGCACTGCAGGGTCTCCCAAAAGAGAATCAGGATTTCCGGTGCCCACTTTACTGTCCTTTGACTCCCAGGGAGATAGGAGCTGGTCGCTTGCATTGGCTGATTCAAAACCCTTGTCATGCCATCCACAATGAACTGGAAGTCTTGTGGCCTATGCAATCTTCCATAATAATGACGGTAATAGTTCTTTGGTGGGGTCCCACGACCCTCTTCTGGAATGGGGTACATGAGGAGAACCAGCAGGAGTTGCAGACAATAGATGACCATGATTTGCTTTGAATCTTTCCAAACCACATGGTCGTATGGGACCCTCCACGATGCAGGATTGTATTTCATAGCCGTGTTCAGAAGCGAGCAGAGCAGTGTCAACACAGCCTGTTTATCCTGGCAGCTGGTGATGTAGGTGATAGCCTTGACACCTTGTACCGGAAGTGTGTTTGATGGCAGGTACATCGCTTTGCCGGTCATTGTCAGGAGAAGTCGTAAGATCTCGCATCGGTTGTTCTCCAAGTTCTTATTGGACCCCATTGCGGAGTTGCAACCGACACCACTTTGCCATATCGCATAGGAGATTTTGCTCTTTGCAGTCGGAAGAGTAGGAATGGTGAATTCTGCGAAGAAGAGCAGGTCGAACAGCGTGTCAATCAGCTCCTCGGCGAGAGGCTTCACATCCTCGTATTCCTCCGAGCGCGGAGAGGATCCATCCTGCTGGTCCTCCAGCTGAGCTTCATCAAAAAGAACCTCTCCGGCAATTTGCGCCTGTCTTGTCTTCTTCTTGCGACGTGACCAGAAAAACTTCTCTTCCCATTCTTCGAGATGGTCGGCTTCGTAGACAAAGGGGAGGAGTCGGGTAAGCACGCGGATACAGTTGAGCGCATCGCGGTCGGGGGCGAGATCTGGATCGGGGAACGACGGGTGATTCTTGAGAACTATCAGTCGCGACGATACTGAAAGCAGTAGAGTCTCGAAGTTGGACAGGGCGTGGTCTCGCGTTCGTCGAATGTCGGCCGGCGTGAATAAGCTGAAGACATCTTCGGTAGATTCAGGGAGCTCCCAAAACTGTCAAGCTTGTTAGCTTTTGCAATCTGTGAAGAGAAATCCAGGACTCCGGCAAGAGAGAGATGACATACTCGCGTCCAGTAGGGGTCGTCTGCGGGGATCTCTTTCTCCTCGGAGAGGCGAAAGATGCCCTGCTTGAAGACTAGCTTGGACTCTGAGGCCCCCATTTCTGAACAGATGAATTGCTCACAGCGTGAAGGTCATGTAGGGGAACCGGCAGAAAGCCTCGCGACCAAAGGTGAGAGTACCAAGTAGTGTACCTGTCAGTGGATAACTTGTGCTGGGTTGGTTCGTGCCTGCGGAGTGGGCGCGGACACATGGGAGATCTGCCGAGAGCCGCCAACAATCTGCGCAATGGCCACTCCGGCTCAGGACAAAAGCTGACACTAATTTGCACCCACAAATCATATTCTCATGGAGAAGGTAAATTGTGTTGAGCATTACTACCTTAGGGTACTTGTCCACTCATGGTCACTTTATTATTGATTGGATTTTCCTCAAAGGTCTGAATGATGTTGTTTATTATGAAGAACCCGCTAATCGACCATGACCGAATATCTAACAAACTCCTATCCACGCAGCCGATGAATAAACACGAAGTAAATCAAAAATCAAAGAGTACCGTTGCCGGCAGATAGCCGCCGGCTGCGCTCATAAAGCCATTTGTTGCTAAGCCCCAAGCTCTGTCGCTTGCCGGCAAGAGGAGAAGGGCTGCTCGGGCCCATGCTCGATTCTCCAAAGGAGGTGCCCAGGAGGCACCCAAGGAGTTACCGAAGGAGTTGCCGAAAGAGTTTCCAGAATTGCCCAATGAGTTGCTAAAGGAATTGCTGCGCGCAAGAGGGGAAGAAGACCCAATGCTCTGTCTGCGGACACTTCCCCGAGCAACATTCTCATTGGAAACTGCCTTATGGAAAAGCGGACTCGAAGCTGGCGAGAAAGGACCGGAAGAGACTCGGCGCCCCGAGAGACCGGGGGTCGCGGAAAGCGGAGATGACGGACTGTGGCCATTCGCGCTCGCGGGACTCGCCTTGCGCGAGGTAGACACTCGGTACCGCGGCGGGGTCACATACGTTGTTCCAGGTGTCGCAGGCGGGGTCGCGTTGGGATCCAGGCCAAGAAGCGCACGTTGGTTCGGGGTCAGGGGGATATCGGAGAAGTCGTCCTTGCGCCGAAAGAGAGGGTACAGAGCGATGAAGATGTTGAAGGCGAAGAACAGCTGCACGAGCAGCAGTGGGAGGTGATGGTACACAGGGTGATTCTCGGGATCGAAAACGTGACGCATGCTAGTTCAAGTTGTTAGCAGTGTGCACACGCAGAGAATTGGGGAATCATTTCAACTTACTAGCTCTTGAAGGTACTGCCATAAACCCAAGTCACGACCAAAGCACCGGCGTTCGAGACCAGCCTCCTCAGGTTCTTATCATCGAAGGTCGACGCATTCTGGCGTCTGACGACCTCGCCCAGCTGGGGATGGCGCCACTTTCCAGGAGTATCTGACCCCGCCGAGGCAGGAATACTGACAGGTGCAGCGGCCTTGGGGGTCGAGGGCAGAGATCGAGAAGCCATTTATGGGGCGGATGGTTGAAAGAGGAAGATAAGGCGATTGGGCGCAACAAACAGAATAATAAATGGCGGGCGTTGTCGCGTGCAGTGGCTATATCTTGAAGTTAATGGGAGAGCTCGATTCTTTCACTGCGACGGGCTGGGTTGACCGAGACTTACCTTTTCCACCTTTTGAGAAGGATGGGGGATTTGTACTTACCTTGGCGGGAGCAATGGGTGGACAGGGTCAACAGCGACACGGCGAGATTGACATTTGATGAGAGGGGGGTTTCAAATGGCCATTGCTCAGGAGGTCCAGTGTTGTGGTCGCAAGTGGCTGGGCAGCTCGAGGTACTGCCGCACGCGCGAGACTTTAGACGCCCGGCAATACAGTTGACCCGTTGCCGCCGCACGCGCGCAGCCCCTCAACGTCATAATCCGGGGCGCGGATGACTGCCTGGCCATTTCATTGTTGACACCTGCACTCCTCGCCGTGCTGCCTTCCCGGTTATCAAAATGGCGGATCAACTTTCGATTTTAGAGCAAGTAGATGCGACCATGTCGAATGTGCTGGCCGATTGGAACATCTACACTACCGTTTTTGCCGGCATTCTCGCTGCCTTCGCGCTCTACTCGCTCGTCTCATCCAAAGACCCCGACGTTCACCCATTTCTCCTCGCCCGCCAATCTACTGCCTCTCCGATCAGACGGTCTGGTGAATCTGCAACTTATCGCAGTCTGGAGACACCTTATGGATTCCCGCTTCGATCCGGACTGAATGTTAAGGACCCCGGACAGCCTAAGTATACCGCTGGTCGACGGGGCGATCTGCGTGATATCTGGAAGGCTGCTGTTCGTGGATATTTGAATCCAGATGGGTCTCCATCCGGCAAGCAAGGAAAGATATTTACCGCGCTCGGGAGAAATGCCGTGCAGCACTCGCTGTCTCAAGTTACTCAGGAAATCAATGTGGTCGGACAAAAGTTGCAAAAGTCCGGTGCCAAAACCGTTGCTGTTTGTCTGACGGACTCCGTTGAGCTTCTTGCATCTATCTTTGGTAAGAAAAATCTCATATTTATGCTTCATCGTTTGGTTATGCATACTAACTTTCGACACCAAAGCCGGCGCCTTTTACGGATTCAAGACCATCATTGTCCCCCACAATCTTCCTGCAGACACACTCTGCGCACACCTTCAGAAATGCAAGGCTGATGCTCTGATCGCTGAGGCTGGCTCACTCGATCTTTCTCTTGTCGCCAGGGGCAACAAACAGCTCGAGCTCGTTCTTTGGGTCGCCAAAGAGGGCAACCGACACATGGACTGGCACGATGTGCCCACGGAGGTCAAGGGCACCTTGAAGACATCCGTTTGGCACGAACTGGTTGAGGAATATAAGGACCTGGCGGGACTAGATGTCCCCGAGTACGACCCCACCACTCCTGCCCCGGCAGTCAACACAGTGTGGCCGTCCTCTGACCCGTCTGGCGAATTTATTGATTTCAAGGCAGAGGTAAGTGATTGTTACAGGAATTGAAGATCTCTCTACAGCGATAATAACCCTATTCTCAGAACCTCGTCGCCGCAATTGCCGCTTTGGGCTCTGCTCTTCCTCGCGACCAGCGATTTACCCCTTCGGATCTCGTGCTGTCTATCGATTCTCTCTCCCGTTCCTACCCTCTGCTGCAGATCATGAATGCGCTCTACTCGAACGCGTCTATCGCTTTGAACTCCGTGGCTGGTGAGAAGGTTGACTTTGCCCTTGCTACTCTTGGCGTGTCCCCCACCGTTATTATTGCATCCTCTCGCACCATGTCCGACTACCACGAGCGTGTCATGAAGCCACACACTGGGCCAGTTTCCTCTCTGGGCCGCTGGGTGCAAGCACGTACCCTGGATGCAGGGAACATGCCTTCGAAGAACATCTTCAGTCAAATTGCTCGTGTTGGACCCACTTCGGAGCTTTCGTTGGACAATTTGCGATTGCTGTGCATTTCCCACCGCGTCGATGCTGAGCCCGCTGTCCGTCTAACCTCGGAGCAACTGACTGAACTCCGAATCTTCACCGATGCTCGCATTGTGTATGCTCTTACTGGTCCTGGCATCGCCGGTGCCATTGCCCAGACCAATGTCTTCGATTACAGATGCCTCACTGGACCCAGCCACTTTGGTGCTCCGTTGAGTAGCACCGAGCTTACTTTGACTGACGTTTCGGAGAGTGAAGCATCTAATGACAACCTCGAGGGACAGGTAAGCAAGATATATGCCCTTGGCAATTTTTTGATCTTCTACGGTGCTGATTTTTTTCTTTTTCTTTTTTTTTTATTAGATTACTGTCTCTGGTCCTGCTGTCGTTGATGGTAAAACGACTTTGTCTGCCCGCGCGCGTATCACCATTGATAACACCCTTGAACTGTGTTAAAGCTGAGCTTTATCATTGCAATAGGCACAACAGAACTTAACATCCACCTTCGGTTCCTGAATGGAATTGAATAAGTCGGATTTCCTTAAGATGTGAATGTTTCATTAGCTTCTAGCACTCAGCGGGGATAACTCAACAAAACGCCAATGGCGATGATTTATTCAAAGCGATATCTTCCATCTTATGAAATACAAGACTAACCCCAAAGATGTTGGAAATGAAGGTAATATACATGCTATCGAAGTCAAAAAAGCAAACCAGCTGCAGTCAACAGCAGTGGTTTTCTAAAGTTTCAGCACAGCCTGGAAGGTATCATAGCTGAACGGACGCTTGGCACCCTCGGCGGAATACTTGGCCATCTGCTCCTCAAGCGCCGCCTTGACCTGGTTAAGGTGTGATGTGATTGAAGAGTGCAGCTGCTTGTCGGTGGCAACACCGTGAACCAAGAGACTCAACCGCAAGCTATTGTAGACTGGCACGGTCTCCTGGAGCCATTTCTCCCCGGTAGCAACGCTCTCGTCGGCGGGGGCCTTCTCGTGCTTGAACAGAAGCTTGGAGCAAATCAGCTTCCGTACATTATTGATCACCTCGTTGGTCTCGTCCTTGCCAGCAAATTCGCTGACAGCACGAGCGGCACTGAGTTCCAGCAAAGTGCCAATAACGAATGGCTGCCGTAGAGGATCGTTGAACAAGCTTGGCTTCCAGTGCTCGTCAACATAATGCTCTGCCTCTACCAAATCAATTGCCTGCTTTGCCAAACCCAAGGCTTTCTTGACGGCCTCGCCCTTAAATTCCGCCTTCTGTGCCATAGTATGCAATTCAAAGAATAGGCGTCGGTTCAGGTCGACATCTCGGAGTTGCAAACCGGTCTGGTTCTGTTGCTTGGCGCATTGGAGGATAAGGGAGAGTTTGTTGAATTTGTTGGTCACGCGCATGAGGTGCTCCCATTGGTCAGAGCTGATAACAAAGTTTGACATCCCAAGGCCGCTCATGAAGGGAACGAGGTTCTTGAAGTCGTTGTTGGCTTCCATAAGCTTGAGGACTTGCAGGGCCTCCTTCTTCGTGGGCAATTCGCTGAGCTTCATGGGTCGCAAGGTGAACTGTTCATTTTCGTTGATGCTAACAGTGATTGGCTCGTGGATCAATCTTTGCGCATGCTTTTCCTGGAACATGCTCCTCCGTTGCCGCCTGGGAAGACCATAAGGAATGAAAAGTTGTTGTCGAAATCGGCCGAGAGCCTGGTCCAGTTCGGCGGAGGAGGTCGGAGCGAAGGTGGGAACAGCTAAATATCGAATAAGAAAGAGTCATTTAGAGTCCCATTGAAATATGAGACCAAACAGTTGTATCTTACCCGAATAACTGCGGACTTGCGAAAAGGTCACCGACTGGCCGATGGTGCTCGGCCAGCGGAAGAGCCTGCCCATGGCAGTTTGCGCCATTGTCAAAGATCAGTTGGCGACAAAGAATATGATTGATGCAGGGGAGATAACGTAGAAAGGCTGGTCGTGGAGCAGAGAGGCTAAGCAAACGCGGATGCGCGAGAAAGAGAGACGAGGCGGAGAAGAATCTCGACGCCGGGCGGCTTGGCGGAAATTCTGCCGGTCCGCCAAAACTCGACGCCGACCTTCTCAACTCCTCAACATCACAATCATGGCGGCTGTACCAACAATGCGGCAGCTGGGCTGTCTCAGGTCATTGATCAAGACCCCTGAGGTCACTCAGTCACAAATTGGGCGTCGATTCATTTCGTCTGCCTACTCCCAGCGACCGGAGCGCGTTCCTCTCCCTCCTAACCTCCCCAAGCAGTTCCTGTCACAAATTCCGGAGCGCATGCAGCCCGACAATGGTATGTGATTACTTCTCAACTGCTTCAATATTACGTGAACTAACTACTCCGGTGATCTACAGGCCCCAAGCCCGTCAAGGTCTACCCTCCGCCTCCCTCCACCCGCGCAGCCTGCAAGGACCCCGTCGCGAGTGTCACGGAGTCGCAATTGTCCGTTCTCGATCCCAAGGGTGACCGCAAGGCCCTGTTCGACTACCGCAGAAACCCTCGCAGCGTTAAGCCCGGTGATATAGTTCGAGTGACCTTCAAGAACGGCGACCCATTCAACGGTGTTGTTCTGAGCATCAAGCTGCGCGGCATTGACACCTCTTTCTTGCTGCGCAATGAACTCACTCGTGTGGGTGTGGAAATGTCCGTGAAGGTGTTCAACCCCAACGTTCAGAGCGTGGAGATTGTCCAGCGTGCCATGCGCAAGCCTCGTCGCGCTCGTCTGTACTACATGCGGTATGTGAACATCTTAAATTGGTCGAGCCAGCCATCCGTGCGGATAAAGATGCTAATATCCTTCTTTATAGGTCCCGGAAGCACGATCGCCGCAGTGTGGAGAATGTTGTCGCTGCTTATATCCGCCAGAAGAAGGCATTCCTGGGCAACGCCAAGCGGTAATTGGACAAAAGCTGAGCGTGGTCTATCTTGCATATCCAAGGGTGTATTATTATCTGTCTATATTAAACCGAATTTCCATTTCATTTTCAAACACGGAACGTCTCGTTGTCTACAATGAGGTACTTGTCGGACAAAAACAAACACTGTGAATGAACAGTACAGGCCGCGAACATACTAATCGAAGCGACTGGGCCGAAGGCAAGGAGACAAGTTGGTCGTATACGGTGCTGTGTGGCCATGCAGTGATTGTGCGTTGCAATGATTGGAGATGGAACATATTGAGTGAAGAAGTAAGCTTATTGATACACTATTTACCTTTGCAGCGTCGCATGGTCACAGTCGTCGTATATACATCTCTCATGACCACATTACAACGTGATCCGTCGGGCCTTCAAAAACTCATAATCAGGCATCGAGTCTCTCACGCGTTCCTCGATCAGTCCAGCGATTTCTTCGCCGAACTCAGCCTTCCACTTGGCTGCTTCAGTGTCGATATCAATGGTGGCAGGCGCCTTATCCTTGACGATACCCTTTGATTCCTCGAGGGTAGACAGGAAAATCGAAGCAGTCTGACGCTGGATATCGGGCTCCTCGGCATTGGCATTCGAGGGTGCCTCCCAGCTGTCGGATCTCTTCGGCTCGCCATTGTTATTCCATTCAAACTGCAGGACACTCTTGTCAAGACCAGTCTGCTCACAGAGCTTGTACACGATCTCCGGGTTGTGGATCAGGTCGTGAGCATCCACCAACGGCGGCGCAACCGGGACATCGGGCTGTTCCAAGCACCACTCATAAAGCATGCGAGTCCAGCGCATGGTCATATTGGTCAGGGATGAACCCTTGACACCATCCTCGTCTAGGAATCCACTGTCGGCAACCTTTTTCATCGCACGGTACATCGACGGCCAGGCCAGAGCTGGGTGACGAATGATGAAGGCAAATTGCCAAGAACACATATACTCGTCCGGCAAGATGGTTTCGTTGTGGGCGGAGTAGCTCCTAGAAGGGCCGTAGGAATCCGAAATGTCCATGTGGAAAGCTTTAAAAAACTCTGGGTCCCCGGTGCCTGTTCTCATCTTGTCCAGGGCCGCGGGATTAAAGAACCAGAAGGCGTGTTCTTTTGCGAACATGGCTTTTCCATCTTTCTGCGCCAGCGCAGATTCATTCTCCAGAGCATCGAGACACCCCTGGAAAGCACTTTTCACGGAGGTCTTGTCATCCTGCGACCATTGCTCCGCGGGTTTGCCCAGATAACCGCTCTGTGCAGTTGAGACGAAAGCCGGGTAGAAGAAATATCCACCCTTTTGGCTGGTATGAAATTGAGGTTGCTCGTGGATGTTGAGAATTTTCATGAGAAGATTGGACGCAGTACGGGGCACTGAGATGAGCAGCATACGGCGGGGGTTGCCAGCGCCATTGACGTTTTGAATACTGTCGGTGACAGCCATGGCGAACAATCAAGATAGGGTTGGTTATCCGGGATAAGCTTAAGTGGCTCAGAAGCAATGAGGGCGCCTGAAGATGACTACATTACGGGGGTTAATGGCGTGATTATATATCTAGTGTCGATCTCAAAGACCCCAACATTGCAGGCCAGTTCCGAAACCCTAGCCCACTTCATGTACTGCTATGAGAAAAGTTCCATTTCGGCCTTCGGCGGCGCGGATCGACACCGAGGCAGTGGAGCAAGGGGGCCCGCCGGCGTGGCCTTTGACTGGATCTCTGCGTTTCGATCAGCGCCCTGAAAGGTCTTCTGGGATGGTGCTGGCTAAGATTACTCGGCATTCGGGGGCTCGGTTCTCCGAGTAGGAACCTTTTTGGTGTTCTGCTATCATGAATGGGTGCTTGGGTCTCAATGTAACCAAAAAGAGTTGCATGCATTGCGGGCACGATGCACACTTTAGCAGTCACCCCACACAGGGCGCAGAAGAGGAACATGGCATGAGACCTATATTCCGCTTACATAAACGATCTATCCAACAAGCAGGTGTCAGAACGTAAGGCACTCATTCAGGATGCATCGAATCAAAGTGCATGCACAGTTGTCGAGTGTGGGATCTTCCCACTTCCTGCGTTGTGTTCCTGCGACCCGACAGGCGGTCTGAGCAGGAGATCTTATTCATTGAGAGATTCCAAGCCGCTTAACATCACTTAATGTTTATCTGATCTCACATGTGTCATCGATTTACGGCCACTTCCGTTCATGGTTGTGCCCGCTCAAGGGGTTCCAAGATTGTCCCCTCCGGATATCGGGAATTTATAAAGAATTGCACACGACATTGAGAACAATGAATTGTGAGGGTGGGTGCCTGGAGCTTATTTTTAGCAGCACCTGACAGGTGCAGGTATACTGGATAAGTACAATTGTATTCACAGGATCTCAAGCTAGAGCCTCCAGTAAATTAAGCTACTACTCGCGTTACGGGCAGAGAAATTCGAATTTGAAATTTTGCGCATCTACTCGCCTTGCGAAACAACCTGCCAGGCCCGTGAGAGAGTGTGTATCTAATAATCGGTAGAGAGCTCCACTCGGTGTAAATATGGTATGTACCAAGGACATCAGATCGATGACAGAAAGAACATATTACCAGTGAACAGGGACTCGTACGCTTAGGGGAGCAGTATCAAAACGTCACGAAATGCAATCATGCTTCGGAAGGTCTATACATAATACGAGAAGCAGAAAATTATTATTACAGTGTTGCGAAATTGATGGTAACATGATAAAGCGACTCAGACGTGCCGGTCATGATCTATAGGCGCGTCGGGTAAGCAGACGGTGCATGTTGTGAGCGCGTTCTTGGAAAGTTGTTGTGTTCTTGGAAATATACGGCGACATCAAGCAGCCAGTGTTGTTAATTATGGGGCTATTTGATATGAAAGACGTGCCCTGTTGCATAGCGAATGCCGATCGAAGAGACAAGAGTGTGAATGTTTGAGGATATGGATTGGACACGGCCACCAAATTTAGAGTGCTGGCCAATGTCATGTGTCGAAATTGAACCCATGTCAACATGCGCTATTTGCTTTGTGAACCTTAAATAGAACAAGAAGGAGAGCGTGACAGTACCTAATCTGGGTTCAAGGCTCCCTCGTGGACAGGGTAGTAGAGACTTAAGAGCACCTCGCTACCTAAAGATTTGCCTCTTGTTTTGCCTCCTCACATTGGAGGTAATGTACAGATGCTAGGTAGTACCCGCTTAATGGGCTAGGCAGCAAAAAGCACAAATCACAACTGCGGACTGGGAGTCTATGACGCGGCTGTGCTTTAAGCGACTTGGCTGAGTATTACAAGAAGAAAGGAACATATCCAGCGTATCGATCGATCGGGGATGAGTGTATCACGGTTTTCGCATTGTATTTGGCATGATAAAAACATAGTAGTAAGGAGTGGTTCCAGTTCGTTAATATGAACGTAGAAAAGAGTATGGAACTTTTTCCACTACTACAGGAAGGTTAGAACGTGGCGCAGTTGATAGTTGATAGCAAACACTCAGCCTAAATGAGTTTACAAGGTCCAAAACCATGTGGAGATGGTACTTTGGTGGAGCCGCATAGATCTCGCGTTGAATTTTGGCTCAGCTCTACCCGCAGACAATCACGAGACAGGAAAACTGTTTGCAAGCAGAGAGAAAAAAAAAAACAAAAAAAATTTTCTCCGAGAGGAGACGAATCGAATATTTCACGCCCAGCTTATTTCCGAGGCCAGAAAATGCCGAGAAAAGTACACGGGCGTCCCAACCGATCGGGTAAGGTGCGGGTGCTATCATCGCTCCCCGTTTCCGGGGTCCGTCTCTCTCTTCTCGCTTTTATGAGCTGTGTTTCCTTGACTTCTCGCTGGTCTGAACCTCGTCTGTCACAAAGTTCGCACTCACCGGATATGCAATCATGATGTTGTTCCTCCGGCAGGTGTGGACCCTCACACTGAAGAACTTGCTCATCACGCTAGTCCGCCCATTCACCACCACTTTCCTTCGCGCGTTCGTTCTGCCAGTGGTTTTTGTTGCAATCATCTCATACGCAAGGAACTTTTTCGTTCCACCGTCGGTGTACGGTATCGCCGATACGTCACCTGTGCGATCATTGACAGATTCCCTGAGCGCTGTGTCTGGAGGTAGAGACAAGCTTGTCTTCGTTAATAGCGGATTTGACAGCGGAGATATTCAGAAAGTTATCGACGAGGTCTCGGCGCCAGTCAGAGCCCATGGAGATACCGTCATCACGTTGACTTCCGAAGACGAACTCCGAGAAACCTGTCGCACGACCCTTAGAGGGACCTCGTCATGCATTGCGGCGGCTGTCTTTTATTCCTCTTCGAACGAGGGCCCTGGTGGTATGTGGAACTACTCAATTCGCGCCGATGGCTCGCTAGGTTCGAAGATCGACACCCACAAGAGCAACAACGACCAGGAAATCTACTTGGTGCCATTCCAGCACGCGATAGACTGGGCCATTGCAGGAGTCAATGCTACTGCAGATGAGGGGAGTCTTCCGAATAAGGTGCCTATTGAACTCCCCTGGTAGCGGGCACATTGCCAAATCGAATTCAATATAGATCATGGAATACCCGTTCACCTCCTTGACCCAGGAGCAACGCCGAGACCAGATTCGTGTCCGCTACATGAGCGCCATTATCGATATCATCAGTGTCGCCATCTTTATCGGAATGGTAGGTGTCACTTATCAGCTGACGGAGTTGATCGCAATGGAGAGAGAATTGGGTATGAGCCAGCTGATCGATTGCATGATCCCAGTGTCATCGCACTGGAAAGCTCAAGCGGCCCGCTTTATAGCGTGTCATCTCGCGTTGGATATGATCTACGGACCAGGTTGGATCGCCACGGGTATCATACTGAAATATGGAGTCTTTGCGAACTGCTCTGCTGGCATTACTGTTGTCAACCATATTCTAGTGGGCCTAGCGCTGTCGTCGTTCGCCATATTTGGCGCATCCTTTTTCAGGAAGGCGCAACTCAGCGGCATCTCAGTGGTCATCGCCAACCTGCTACTGGGAGTAATTGCTCAGCTTGCAGGAGTCACGACTAACGGCGCAGTCGTTGTACTGGGACTGTTGTTCCCATCAATGAACTATGTCTTCTTCTCAGTTCAGATGGCTCGATGGGAAAGACAAAGCCTGCCAACGAATCTGGTCAAAGCGGCACCGGAGAATCCATGGAGCATACCCGGTGTTGCTCTTTGGATTCTTTTGATTGTTCAGATCATCGCGTATCCGATCCTTGGTGCCATGGTCGAGCGGGTCCTCTATGGCACTGGCTCCTCTGGCAGGAGAACCGTTTCCAACCAAAATAACTGTGCCCTCTCCATCGATGAATTCTCAAAGGAATATCGACCATCTCTGCTGAGACGAAAGCTTGGAAACTTACTCGGTTCCAAACAGCAGAGTGTCCTTGCAGTCAAAAACCTTAGCCTGAGTGTTGTCAAAGGCGAAATCATGGTTCTTCTAGGAGCAAACGGCTCTGGAAAGTCGACAACACTTGATGCAATCTCAGGCCTCACGAAAATTTCCAATGGCTCGATATCCATCGATTATGGCACAGGCGACAGGAACTTCGGGCTGTGCCCCCAGAAAAATGTTTTGTGGAGCACATTGACAGTCAAAGAACACGTGAGGATATTCAATGGCCTGAAGTCCACCAGCGGAAGAGACCAACATGAAGATTTACTGCAATTGATCGACCAATGTGACCTTGGAAACAAAGCCAACGCTCGATCGAGAACCTTGTCTGGAGGTCAGAAAAGGAAATTGCAACTGGCGATGATGTTCACGGGTGGATCCTCGATATGCTGTGTGGATGAAGTATCTTCAGGCTTAGATCCGATTTCACGCAGGAAGATCTGGGATATTCTGCTCGCAGAGAGAGGGCAACGGACAATCGTTTTCACAACACACTTTCTCGACGAGGCCGAGCTTCTTGCCGACCATATTGCGATACTCTCAGAGGGGTCGCTGGAAGCAGAAGGATCTACTGTCGAACTCAAGAATCGTCTCGGATTGGGCTATCGTGTTCATGTTCATCACGCTCCTGGATCTACAGATCGTCTTGGCATAAAATACGATGGCGTCAAGAAGGAAGTTCATTGCGATGAAGCAATTTACACCGTCCCGGACTCTTCACTTGTCCCGCAACTTGTCGAGGCTCTCGAAAATCGCGGGATCTCAGACTACCGAATCAGTGGTCCGACCATCGAAGACGTTTTCCTCAAACTTGCTCGGAAAATCTCAGATGTTCAAGTATCCCCTGAGTCGATCCAGCCTCGCCTGTCCTCGATGTCGGAGAATCTTGTCCAAGACACGAATGAAGACGCCACCCTGCAGCTGCTGAAAGGAAAGCGTATTGGAATGAGACTTCAGGCGGCCACGCTGTTCGCCAAACGTATCATTATCCTGCGTCGCAATTATATACCCTATGTTGCTGCACTTCTCATACCGGTCATCACGAGTGGCCTCGTCACTCTGTTTTTGAAAAATGCACAGCCACTGACATGCTCCGGAGCGAGGCTCTTTAGCACGCCTGATCCTCAGACCTTTAGCTCGATTAGCGATGTCAGCATCATTGCAGGTCCAGTCAATCGGTTACCCATCTCTACCCTGAACGCCTACATCGAATCTGCCCTTGGAGCATCCCAGTCCTCGACCAAGAGCCCTGTTAACGCATCAGACATATTCCACTTTGTGAACAGTCTCGGTGATTTCAACTCCGAGGTTGCATCTCGACGACTAAATACCACACCGGGAGGTTTCTGGCTTGGCGATTCATCTTCGCGGCCTACGTTTGCATGGAAGGGTGACAATGGCGCATTCCCCCTGGCAGCGGCAACCCAGAATCTGATGGACAACTTCCTTACCAATACGTCTATTGGATTCCAGTACCAGGCATTCGATATTCCGTGGCAATCTGATTTCGGAAAATTACTACAGCTTCTCGTCTACTTTGGCCTGGCTTCCGCAGTCTATCCTGCGCTCTTCGCCCTCTACCCCACTGTGGAGCGCTTGCGCAATATTCGCGCCCTGCACTACAGCAATGGAGTTCGTAAGCTACCACTATGGCTTGCATATCTCAGCTTCGATTTCTGCATAGTCCTCTTAGCCAGCGCCTTGGCGACCATCATATTCCGAGCTGCGTCAGATATCTGGTATCATGTTGGATATCTCTTTGTCGTGTTCTTCCTGTATGGATTATGCGCGACCCTTTTCGCCTACGCGGTCTCTCTGATCGCTAGATCGCAATTGGCAGCATTTGCGTTTGCGGCCGGAACGCAGTGTGTCTTCTTTCTTATTTACTTCATAGGCTACATGTCTGTTCTCACCTATGCGCCTACGACCCTGATTGACAGAAATCTCTCCATCGTTCATTTCACAATCTCCGTTGTGACACCTATCGGCAGTCTTTCCAGGGCGATGTTTGTCTCTTTGAACATCTTCTCCATCCTGTGTCGCGACCGAGAGATCGTCTCATATCCGGGCGAGATTACAGTCTACGGCGGGCCTATTCTCTACCTTGTCATCCAGTCTCTCATACTGTTTGGCTTGGTCGTTTATTTTGATGGAGAAGGACATGGGTTTGGTTTGTGGCCGCTGAAGTCAAGATCAACCCATGTCGAAGAAAAGCAACAAGTGGACGAAGATGTCGCTCTTGAACTGACACGAGTGAATAGCTCCAATGATGGATTGCGAGTCCTCCATTTAACCAAGGCATTCAAGAAATTCACGGCTGTCGAGGATGTTACCTTTGGTGTGGGCCGAGGAGAGGTATTTGCGTTGCTCGGTCCAAACGGAGCCGGAAAGACAACGACGATCAGCCTCATCCGAGGTGACATGAAGCCTTCTGAAAAAGGAGGCGCTATCTTCGTCGAGAACGTCTCTGTGACCGAGAACCGTGCCAATTCCCGATCGCACTTGGGTGTCTGCCCCCAATTTGACGCGATAGATCAAATGACTGTGATAGAGCATCTGAAATTCTATGCCCGCATTCGTGGCGTATCCGATGTCAACTACAACGTCAATCAAGTGATTCAAGCCGTTGGACTGACCCAGTTCCAACATCGCCTGGCAATGAAGTTGTCCGGTGGTAACAAGCGCAAGCTGTCTCTTGGAATCGCGTTGATGGGAAACCCCACAGTTCTCCTCCTTGATGAGCCTTCATCGGGAATGGACGCTGCATCCAAGCGCGTGATGTGGAAGACACTCGCATCTGTTGCACCTGGTCGTTCTATCGTGCTTACAACTCATTCAATGGAAGAAGCCGATGCCCTTGCTAACCGTGCTGGCATCATGGCGAAACGCATGCTTGCACTTGGTACCACTGACTATCTCCGATCCAAGTACGGCAATATGTACCATGTCCACCTGGTTCATTCTGGCGCTCCGCATACATCGGATGAAGATATGAACCGCATGAGAAACTGGGTACAGGAAACGTTCCCCGGCGCCGTCATTGAGCAGAAGACCTATCATGGACAGTTACGTTTTAGTATCCCTACTTCTTCTGTGTCTACGTGTGGCGAGAGACTGTCTCTGTCGACAAACGAGATTTTGCCCGACCAGGGACAGGATGCCCTAAAACAAGGATCGACATCAACTCCAATGTACGACAGTACCGTTGGCAGTCTGTTCTCGTGCATGGAGTCCAACAAACCTCTGCTCGGGATTGAGTTCTACTCTGTCAGTCAAACTACCCTTGACCAGGTCTTCCTATCTATTGTGGCGAAGCATAATATCGAGGAAGAGAATTCGGCCCCCAAGTGAGTGACCGCACAGAGCCAGCCTGAACTTAGCAGTGTCTGTTATTTCATGGTATACTATCTCCATTCATGTACGTCGTCTCAAATGCAACGAATGTAGCCTAAAACTTGTATTTATCGTATTTATATCGCGTAAGTCCTTAGTAAATGTATCGGAAGCTGGGAAAAGTCAGTCAGAACTGTGCAATTGAGGGAAAGGGCAAACGAAGAAACATACTTGAGATTCTCCCGATCTGTCAGATCCAAGAAAGCGGTCGAGTCCAGATCTCTGCCTTCAAGACCACCTTCCATCTGAGACTGGATGCGATCGCGCTTCTTGTTCTCCCATCGTAGAAGCAAGCCGAGGACAGTGATGAGGACAGCCTCGATTAAGTGCGAGACAATCATCGACCAGATTCCGAGCTCGTATGTTGGTCTGAATTATCTTGTATTAGCTTCGCACTTCCCGAGAAGGATGCTGTAAGGAAAACCCACGATTGATCAGTCTTATAGAAGAAGGGACCTGCAATGTTACCGGTACAATAGCCGAGGAAGAGCACGGCGTTGGTAACCACCTTCTTAGTGTGACCTATTGCGAGAAGAAACATCAGTAAAAGCAGATTAATGGTTAGTAAAGGTCAACCTACCAGCTGTATTTGCAATTTGCATGCTGAGAATGAGCACAAAAGCAGCGTTATATGGCCCAGTGAGGTAGTAACAGATTAACCGGCCAACTGGTCGGTCAATGGGCACAAAGCGTAGACCAAAGGCACCGGCAAGGTTCGGAATGAGGAAAATTAGAACGAAAAGGCAGCGTCTGTTCTCGAATCGATCATTCAAATATACACATGTCAAAATTGACAGAGCGATGAGAACGCCATATGGAATCTAGAGAGAAAAGTTAAGATAAGTGACTTCAATATCTGGTTCTCTGCCAAACATACTTGCATGAGAGTTGTAACCAAGGTGGAAAAGCCAAAGCCCTGGATAATGATGGTACCGAAATTGGAGATACCGCCGTTGGGAACGTTACCTATTTAAGAAGTTAGCAAAATGATCGCAGAACAAAATACCTTCTACTCACAGACAACACCGAGGATGAAGAACATGTAGAGTTTGTAGTCCATGAATGCCTCGAGGATCTGGTATGGTTTGAGATGTTTGTTTTCCACACCCGTTTGATTCTCTCTGATCCGATCCACAGCGATCCGCTTTTCACTCAGGGTCAGGCCGCGAGCCGTGACAGGCGAATCGGGAAGGAAGATGAACATGACAATACCCCATGCGGAGCAGAGTGCACCACTGAGAGGATTTAGCATCGAAGTCTGCAAGAAATGATGAAAGAGATTCTTACATTACAATGAATTCGTACTTCCACGATGGCAAGGCGCCTTTAATATGACCGATTCCATATCCAAGCAACCCACCAAGAGCAATTCCAAAGCCATTTGCAGTATACCAGAGACCAATCCGGACAGGCTGCTCGCGGCGAGTATACCACATGCTAGTGATGAGCATGAAAGCAGGGTCTGCACAGGCTTCGGCGGCACCGCCTAGAGCGCGGAGAACAGCGAGTGTTTCGAAGCTATTGCATGCTGCTTGAATCATGAGGAAGACGCCCCTATCGAAGGAATTATAATATGGTCAAGAGTAATGGTTTAATAATGCAAACTCACCACATGAAGATGTTGGCCCCAAGATACTTTCCTGTTGACAAGTTGTTAGAGACGTCTTTTCCATAGTGTGAGACCAAGAGGCAGATATTACCAATCGGAAGCCGTTGCATGAGGAAATTCGTTGGGAATGCCCAAGCCAAAAAGCCAAAGTAGAAAATACTACTGAGCCAGTTATACTGAGTGCCATGGAGATTGAGGTCCTCGCGTATGTCAAAAATCGCGGCGTAACTCAATGTTGTCTACCGCGATTGGAGAATGTCAGAATAATACACAACTCGACTAGAAGAGTTGGGGGAGAGGGGGGGGAGGGGTTGATCACCTTATCGATATAGAAAAAGGCGTAGCAGACTGCTAAGTAAGGCAGGATCATAAAGTCAATCTTCCAGAGAACTCTTCTCGCCTCGGCGGGATCGATCGCTTCGTGCAACTCGTCCGGGTCGTCGAACAGCGCCATGGCGACATCGCCGTCGGCGGCTTGCGCAGACTTCCATTTCGCGCGGACCTGGTTGCTTTCCGAGTGAGAAATGGTGGGGACATCAGCAATGTCGGCTTTCGAGCCAGATGAAGGCTGGCTCATATGACTGTCCGCCATCTTGGTTGATGGTTGGGACTCGATTTTTCGGTGAAAAGAAAATCAGCAAGATTGCGTGAGGAGAGACTGGATGGGATAGGACAAGTGCATCCGATTCAAAGGCGAGGGACAGCAAGATAAAGGAAACAGACACCCCAAACAGGGGCACTATCAAGCTTCTGCCCGCGGCGTCACACGCTGCCCGTGCTCATCTGCGTCTCCCGTCTTCACTCCAGCGGTTACCTCTTCATCTCCGCAAAAGACAAAGCTTAACCAACTCCATGGGGAAATCGTCGAGCAGCATCAAACTGCGGGGAAAGACCCAAAGTCCCGAGCTGGTCTCCACATCAACACGATCAACACGAAGAGGTCGGGTCGCCGAAGACCTGGAGAAAGAAGCGGAGACAATCCCAGTCTTGGCTGACGACTATCCTCGCAAGAGAGAGATCGGAGTTTCACCGCGGTCGCTGTTGAGTTGCTGAGTCTGGTGTGGTGTGAGGTGCCAAGAATGCATTCGCTGCGAGGGATTCAGCTATCGGAGGCTGGATGCGCCTGGAATGTGGTTGGGAATTGTCGGAAGAAGTCCGACTATCCGGTGACCTTCCCGCTCGGATGGCAGCCACTGAGCGTAGCTTTCTTTTGCGGTCGCAGGATGGTGGTGATGATAAGCCGACATTGCCTCGGGTGTACAAACATTGGGGGAACAAAGAGAGGGCGTGGGGCGATCGACGGCGTGGGGGTCAAGCGGGCGATCCGAGGGTGCGGAGGAGGGGATGGAATATCCTCTCGGGCGAAAGGCCATTCAATAAAAGACCTGGGAGTCTGGACACGAGGTGGGCATTATTTGAGTGGAATTAATTGAAAAGCTTTTATTTGTTGAAATAATCTCCTTTTATTTTCCCGTTTTTGATCGCTACTACCTGCATGCAATTTGCGCTGTTCTCTTTTCGTGTTGAAATCCATACCAAAGGAACATGTCGACACCGGTTGACACCTATCTCCGATTGAAGTTGAAGTAACGCGACTGTTGCAGTCAGTATCGAGGTCGAACACCGTATCTTGCAGAGCGAACTTACTGCCAAAAACAAAATGATCAGGTTAGACCCGACGTACGCAATGAAGATACCCAGATCTCGCCAGCGGTTTTCAAAGTCCATGCTGAATGTCGCGTAGAATTGATCTCCGACCTTGTAAGCACAGTATTGACAAGTCTGGGTGGCATTCTCAACAAGATACCCGGCTCCGCCGCGGTTGAAGAAAGATTGCATATATTGTCCACAGGTCTCACCGTTGGGAGCAGTGAAGCTATTGAGCTCCACTTCGGCGCAGGAAACATCTCGCCCGTGAAGCTCCGTGACGACCATTCCGCCGATCAACCGAGTGAAAGGGTCAAGCTGGTAGAGCCAGGCGCGCCAGAACCCGGGCATCTGCGGCTTTGGAATAGCGACACCACAGAAAAGCGAGAAGATGATCACGATAGGCGGGTTGAGCTGTGATGCAATGAAGCTGTTTGGCGTCAAGGCCGATATCATCTGGCCCAGAGTCACAGCAAAGATCTCAGTAATCAAGACCATGAAGAACTGGTACCCGGCGCGACTACTCTCAGTCTGGAAGCCTGGTAAATAGTAGAGGGGTAGGAAGAAGCAGACGGCACATAGAATACTGTAAGGAAGCTCCGCCAGGACAAGCGAGAGGGCGAAAGCGAATTGGCTGTAAGTCTTCGAGGCAGATTCGCGATAGAAGATCAATCGAGAGAGATCGTACTTTGGCTCGACTTGCTGGAGAATGATGGCAGGAAGTACGGTTACATTGAAGATGACGAAAATGCGGTATTGAAGCGAGGAGCGAGAATCGTCAAGTTGTAAGAACGCTAAGCCAGTTATGAGTGCGATGACAACGTGGGTGAACAGGCGAGTGAAGCCGTAGTTTCGGGACCGCCAGAAGGATAAATGAGTTCGACGACCGACAACCTTGATCTGATGCCAAAGCGGCGACGCATATTCCTTCTCAATGATGGCGTCGCTTTGAGTCCCCTCCTGATGAGATGCCTGCGCGCGACTGGTTTTGATTTCCATAATATCCTTCTTCAGCACTTCCAGCTCAGGCGAGGTCCGCCAGATTTCGCCCCAGTCGCGATCGCCAAGCCGGCGTGTTTGACCTGCACCAATAGCATCAAGCATCCACTCCGCCGGATTCGCATCAGCAGGGCAATCTGCACCATTGCGACGGAAGTACTCCAGGAGAACATCTGAATCGGGGCCAATTTCGCCAAAGTAGACGCATTCACCTCCCTTTTGGAGCAGTAAAAGTCGATCAAAGTTTTCAAACAGAGCTGAGTTCGGCTGGTGAATCGTACAGAGGATAGCTTGACCGGCCTTCGAGAGCTTCTTGAGGAAGCGAACTATGTTCCAAGCAGATTGACTGTCCAGGCCAGATGTGGGCTCGTCCAGGAACAGGAGCAGTTCGGGCTTTGCTGCCAGCTCCACACCAATCGTAACGCGCTTTCTTTCTTCGACGGAAAGTCCGGTTTCAGGGGTACCGATGATCGCGTCGGCCAGGTTTTCGAGCTCAAGAAGACTGATGATCTCTTCAACGTACTCATACTTTTCCGATTTGGGGGTCTCGAAGGGCTGGCGCAAGTCGGCTGAGAAGCGAAGTGCTTCGCGCACAGTGGCCATTCCTTCGTGGACATCCAGTTGCTCGGCATACGAAGTACTTCGCTGGAAAGAGGTTGCTGGGGCAGATCCATCGACGAGGATATCACCAGTGATCACACCGATATTCTTTCGGGCAGCCAGAACATCCAGCAGTGTTGTCTTCCCTGCACCAGATGCACCCATCAATGCGGTCAATTTGCCAGGCTGAACATATCCATAGACAGAATTCAGCAGTCGTCGGGTGCCCGATGGCACCGGAACTTCATACGAAACGTCTTCCCAAGTGAAGATAGATTTCGACGAGATCTTGAGTTTGGCGCCCGCATCCACCGTCTTGGATTGACGATTGGCCTTCTTAGTCTCGAGCAGTTTGTTTAGTTCCTTCCGCTCATTATTTTCCTTTTCGAAAAATGTGATTGTCTTGCCTCCGGCGTTGAATTGCAGGGTTTCACCAAAATACAAGTTGGTCGTGAGGAAGCCGGCAATGAGTGCAAGCATGATTCCAAAGTTTCTCCAGAGATCTGGTTTGTGATAACTGAATGTGGTGGCAAGATAGCTGGACCCAGGAATAATGTCTGACCCTGGCTCTCCTCCGGCCAGAGTGCATGCCTGGTGTGCAATATCGCCGTAGCCAGGACCACTAGGCACCAAGGAGTCTTGTGTACAAGTCATTGTCAGACGACTGAACTCATTGACCATCAATGATGCAAATCCAAGGCCAAACGGGTTGATGTAATAAATCCATCTGAGCCACACCTGGGAGCCAGACCATTGAATTAAGTAGCCAGATGTCAGAACGAAAAGGGTGATGACGACGGCTGCAAATTTCATGGCATAATCAAAGTCTGGGCAGAAGCATCCGATTGTTCGAAACAAAACGGTCATGCAGACATACCCAGTAAGGATGATCAGAACGAAGGTGAAGAATGCTCCAGCATCAAGGACCAAGCCACACATGAAGTAGACTATGATGCTGAAGACTAGAATCCGCGCGATGGCGAAGGTGGTATCCACTAAAATCTGGGCAATGAAGAGCGCGCTAGGTCTGTAAAAGGTGAATGATCGATGTTTGTTGACAATTGATCGACCCATCATGGTCGATGCTAGTTCGGAAAAGGCTTGGAATCCGTTGAACAGCATGCTGATGAAGAGGAGGCCACCGCGAGTAAATGCTCCTGCACTGGTATCTGGCTGCTTCAGCCATACAGTTCCCAAGATGATAGCGATTCCCGTGGAGGTGATCCAGGAGACTGTCAAAGCAAACTTGTCTTGCCATTTGATCAAAAATTGTCGCTGCATCAGTGCCCATATCTGCAGATGGAAAGGAATGGAGTAAACGGAAGACTTGGGGGTGAATTTTCGTTTGGCTTCTTGGTTGGCGATTTCAAAGTCATCATAGACCTGCTTTTGTTGCTGGATCTGGGTTCGGTATGCTTGCATCTCTTCGTCCAGCCTCTTGCTGTAGGCTGATAGTTCAAATGCTTCGACCAGGGCCTTCGGCGTGGATGGAACATTTTCCGCGTTTCTTCCATCTTTGAACTCCCGCTCGAAGGGATCAGTACAGCCGGTCAGGTAGTCTGGAGTCGTTTGTCGAGGCTTCTCTCGGAAGCCCAGTCCTTCAAAATAAGACCTCGCTTCAGTGGTGGGACCAAAGAAGACCTGTCTTCCGTTGTCGATCACCAGGACCTTGTCGAACTGCTTATAGATGTTCTCGGAGGCTTGGTAGAGTGAAACGAACGTGGTGGTTTTGTAAATGTTGGTCAGGATACGCAGAGATTTGGCAAAGTCAAGGGCCGTCGAGGCATCTAAGCCCCGGGTACTATTATCCCATGCCAGCACGGTCGCGGCAGTAACCATCGTCTCAGCTATGCTGACGCGCTTTCTCTCGCCACCACTCACACCACGAATGAACTGGTTGCCAATGACGGTATTAGCCGTATGCTCGATATTGAACATTCGCAGCAGCATGCTGGTCACTTTATCCTTGAATTCAGCCTTGGATACGCCGAAGGGCCGTTTCCCGGGCGTTTTAGTATCGAGGGCAAACCCGAGGGTCTGTTTGACGGTCAAGGTCGGTTGATGAATATCATCTTCCTGGTTGTACACAGCCTCCCCACGGAATCGTTTGGCAAATGTCTCCGATCCGAAAGGGCCGTATAGAACTTCTCCGTCAATGCCTGTATATCCAAATCGTTGGTTTGCAATCACTTTCAGGAACGTAGTGCAGCCAGAACCTGGACGTCCAAGAACTAGAACCATTTCGCCAGGGCGGGTGAGGCCCCGAAATCCTTCCAAGATATTGAACTCTTTTCCTTTCTTGCCATAGCCCAAAGTGTGCATGATTGTCTCGGGAACGTTGAAGAAGTCGATCACGGCATCTGGAAATGTTTTTATGAATGTCTTGACTCCACCCACTCCTCGGACAGACAAGTTATTCCAAATGACGCCTGTTATAGAAGTCAGCAGAGTTGTTCCTCGTTATAAAACTTATGTTCTGATACGCACCGATGTGCTTGTCCCTGATGCCTGCCTCTTGCTCCGCCGCTCGATTGCCTCTCAGTGTAGTCTCTAAATCCCAAGGCTCCTCTGAGTCGGCCGCGCTTCCCGCCTTTTCGACATCCTCGGTGGTAACCGCAGGCTTCGAGGCTCGAGATGCTTGCTTGGATAGTCGGCGAGCTTGGTGGGAGATACTTGAGAACTGTCGGTTGAGCTCCTCAAAGTCCTGCTCTGCTTTCTCCACATCTACTCCGGTCCGAGTCGAGGTGATGCCTTGCGGATTTGAGTTGCGAAGCTCTTCTCGTTGTTGCTCATAGCTCCTCGTGCGGAACGAATCGGCCTCTGAGTCGAAACTCGCGTCTCTAGACTCAGTCTTCTCCTTCTTGTCCATCACGACCGGGTTGAAAGACGAATAAACAATAGACTTCGCCGCTGGTAAACAAGATGTTCCTGGTTCCTCCTAGACCCCACCAGAGAGTAAATTCCCGAAATTGCTTGGGAAAAGGCTGAGAGCAGTACGTGTGTTCTCGTAAGTAACCGAAACACCCCAAAACTGGATTTGGTGGAGCCCGAAAGGCCAAAATATGGGAATTTCAAAACGACTCCTAGGAGAGGCAGAAGAAGCAGAAAGAAGGACAGACAAAAAGTTCTCTCGAAGAGCCAAGCACACCAACCCCAAAAAGTACATGGATTAACCCCTAAATCCGTCCAGAAGCCTGAGTCATCTATTGAACTGCCTCCTACTGCCCACTCGGCTCCACCTCGACAAGGATCCGAAGTCCTTGGTAGGCAGATCCTAGATAACGAGCAGACATCCCATGAGATAGGCCCATGGTTTAGCGTTGACGAATAACCTTGAAAAGCTCGGAGTCGGAGTTCAGTCGATCTTGGCTTGTTCGCGACGGAGGCCCGAAGCGTCCGCGATGAGCAGTCCGCGGCGCGGCAAAACCCCGGCACTACACCACGTTACCTGCGGAACGTGGGGAGACGGGGATGCGGTGTCTGGCGACGGCAATTCCCGGTGGCGGTCGCATTCGATGCGACCTTTGAGGGATCGGAGTCCTTTTCGGGATGGTCATGGGCTTGACTCGTGTTGACTCAACGTGAACCATGCAGGTCAGATGCACGCTCAATTCAGTGCTGTCCCTGTCGAGCCCCAGCCAGCCCACCACCCCATAATTCTCCGTCGAAAGTCTCCGGTAGAAGTTCCATGTGGGGTTGGACCGGGGAGGCGGGCTGGCGCGACAGCTTATCGCCCATCAGGGACTCTTTGACCGTTGCAGGTGCAAGCCTTTGTCTCATTAATAATCGGCGGGTTCGCTCCGCCTGGTTGATCGGAGCTCGCTTGCCGGGCCTCGGCGTTGGTGCCGCGGCGACTTCGACTGTACCTTGGGGTAAGATTTCCGTCCAGGGGTCTACGAGGGGATCACGGTGACGATGTCATGTGATCTATCCTGGGACGGTTTCCGTTCGATCTCAAATATCACGATCAGATACTTCGTGCCTACCCCAATGCCGTCCACGATCATCTCTGGTAGCTCAGGATGATTGGCTTTTGTGTGAGGCATCCCTCCGCCTGACTCGAGCTGTTAGAGGCAAATCCTTGTCATTTCAATAGGCTTAGCGAGTACATTGTATTGCCATACAATGTACTGGATGCATTCAAGATACTACAATGATATGAAGGGTTTCATGCACAATTCCGATATTTTCGTGGGATTTCATGGTCAATTCTAAGAAGTAAACAGTACATCTTTTTCGGAAAGAACGGATGGCATATTTTCAATTATGTACAGTTAATCCAGACCTCGGCGACTGAGATCCATAATTTGCTTCAGCGCAGTTATTAAAATTTTCATTGAGACCCAAATTGTAGCCAGCCCGACTGCCACTGACTCACACGGCAGAGTCGGCCATCCTGGCGCTCGGCCCATTCGTCGGATCCGACAGCGGTTTTTCCGTAGAAGATATCTGCCGGGTCATACTTGGCCTTGATACGGCGCAAAGCATGATAGTTGCGACCGTAGAAAGCTTTTTGCCAATTTGGCTGGCGAAAGTCAGCCTCGTTCATATAGGCTCCTGAGTGCGGCGCAACAGCCTCGAGCTTCGGAATGAACACGTCGGTCATCTTGCGCTGTAGGGTAATCATCTCCTCCTCGTTCTGGATGCCCCATTTCCACGGCGTTGTCAGGGTAGTGGCGATGATGGCTTCTCTCCAGGCAGGAAGAACCGAGTTGTAGACATCACCGGTCACTTCGCGAGACACATTCAAGCCCACACCAATGAAGGTACCTCCATTCTCGGTGATCTCACGGTAGGCCTGGGTCAGACCTTTGTTGTTGTTTTCGACAACAGATCGGGGGATCAGCCAACCGCCGTACTGGGCCTCGCCGACTCCGATCGCGCCTTGTTCGCCCTTGAACTCGCTGTAGTATGTGTCGTATTGCGCGGATGACATGGTATATTGGATACCGAGCTTTTTCAATCCTCTCAAGAACGGCTTGAGCAGGGATACCAGCTCATCTTTGGGGATATTGGGACCGGTCAAAGGAGAAATAGCAAAGCTCGTGTTGGTATAGTACCAGATGCTCATAGCGCCTGCGTCCACGAGCGCTGGAAGGCTGGTGTGGAAAATCGAGATTGCGTGATAGAACGTGTCTTGGGAGATGTTGGCGTTTGTGAAGGAGAGCTTCAGGCCGGAAACTGGGGTTCCAGGATGCGCCTTGGAAGTCATCTCGTAGACAACACCGTACGTTCCTCCTCCGCCACCGCTCAGAGCCCAGAAAAGGTCGGAATGCTCATTGTCACGGGTGGCAGTGATCAGTTTGCCCTGACCATCGACGACCTTCCACTCCAGCACTTGGTCTGCACCCAGTCCATAGCGCGAAGCAAGCGCAGAGTGCCCACCACCCTGGCTATATCCACCCGCCAAGCCGACAGTTGGGCACTCGCCTCCTACGACCTGGAGGTTTGCGCGATCGGCCGCCTCATACGCCTCAAATCCCTGAATGCCGGCACCCATGGTCATTGCTTTTCCACGATAATGATCGTCTTTGTAGTCGTAAATCTTCAGCTTCTTGAGGTGGTGTGTCCAGATTCCTAAGGCCCCTGCGCCCGTCGACTTCCCATTGTAATCGTGACCTGTGTTCCTCACCACCAAACGGATATTGTGCTTCGCGGCAAACTTCGTGGCTTTCGAGATATGTTGGGGCTCGGTGGCATTGACAGAGTAGACGACATAGTTACCCAAGGTGCACGGCTTGGAGATGGGGTTGTAAGGGTCGCATGTCCCATTGGCAAAGAAGGGCGCCATGACGGAAGATGATGATTCGTAGCTGTCAGAGTCAGAGTGCAGATGTTAGCTTGGAATTTGTAGCATGTGCGATCGCGCGATGGATGCTATAGACATACTGCACGTCAGGAAGCTCCCATCCACTTTGTAATTTGGCACACTCCTTTGCGTCGTAGTGAGGCGCATGGCATGGAGTACCAAGAGGAACAGTCTTTACCAATTGGCCATCCACGGACTGGTTGAATTGAGTCCAAACATCCGCAGATGGCCAACAGGCATCGCCTGGGAAGCAACGGCAAGCCGACTCTGAAGCGCAGGCCGGGATCGCCAGGAGCGAAGCCGCCAAACACGTGTGGAGGAGCATTGCGGCGGCGACTCTGAGGCTCAAATTTGCTCCGATTGAGAGCTTGTGTAGAAAGAGTCTGAAGAGGGGGACATTCTTCTCACAAAATAAGTCACCCTAGCGCGTTTCGCTTAGACAAGGCTGTGTCTTGCCTCGCAGCCTTGCGAAAACCGCATTTTGCAGGGCAGCTTTGCTCCGCGAAAGCATGCGGAATCGCGCTCGCAAATCACTGCGTCCAGTGCTAGGTCACCCCACTTCTGAATGGGCTGGCCAAATGGCTGAGTTGCGCGCCTGGAAGGGGCAAGGCAATGCAGGACATGGACCCGTGACGATGGGGGCCAAATGCCACTGGCGTCGGTGTCTGGCCCACACTAGACAGTCGACCTTATGCCAGAAACCGAGCTTCGGCCTAATTTTCGCCTAATTATTCTGTAGCAAGAGCCCAGAGCGCACCCCAAAGTGCCCTGTGTTTGATAAGAGGTGGGAAGGTTCCATTGTCGAGTCCCCTTTATCAAGATCTCTGATCCGCGTGACACAAGCGGAGATGGTTGGCAGATGGCGGTTGGGAATCTGCAACCTCAGGCATGGCATGACCTCGACGACCTACTTCTGGCATGATCAGAGCCGATAAAAGCGTCTCTTGACTGCAGACGAGTGATTTCGTCGGGGTCACCTACAGAGTCTTGGAGCCAGTCGGACCCCACTTCACAACCGCGGAACCAAAATCCGGGGACCCGTTGAGAGAGCATCACTCCGTCCAAACTGGTTCGTGTTGATACATCTACAGCTTCTACAGATCTTTCAGCTTGACTCAAGATTCCTCGGTAACTACCCGGTGGATGCGAAGACCTTGGTATTCCGACAACGACGTCATGTGCCAAAATGGGGAACAGCTTGCAGGCTGCGTGAGCAAAGCGCATGGCATAAACCAATGATCTCTGCCAGGTCGATGGCCGAGATCCAGCTACCCCTCTTGACCTCGGTCGACTACGGCCCGACCCTCGAAGAGCGACCTGCGCAAATTGACCACGGCCTGCTGTTTACACATTCTACTACCAGGACAAAGCTTGCGGCAAAATGAGCTCCCGTCTCTTGAACAAAGTGAGCATTGTGACTGGATCATCCTCGGGTTTAGGCCGGGCCATTGCACTCCGGTTTGCCCGTGAGGGTGCAAAGGTTGTCTGCTCAGATCTCAGACAATCTTCTCGACTTGAAATCGAGCAAGAGATTACCCATGAGTTGATCAAGAAAGATGGAGGACAGGCAATCTTCGTCAAGGCCGACGTTGGGGTTGCTAGGGAGATAGAGCTCCTCGTCAAGGCGGCGGTGGACGAGTACGGGAGACTAGACATGTACGCATTCCGTTTCAGGTCGCATTTCTCTCGTTAAATGATGTTCTAGAATGGTCAACAATGCCGGCGTTGCTTTGGAAGCTCTTCGTCCTCCAGCAATGTGCCACCAGACTGATATAAGTATTTGGGACACCACTCTGAACATCAACGCCAGGTCGGTATTTCTGGGCTGCAAATATGCGATCACGCAAATGCTCAACCAGGAGCCCCACGAGTCTGGAGACCGGGGTTGGATCGTCAACATGTCGTCTATTATGGCCTTGATTGCGGGACCAGGAAGTCGTATGTTTTGAAGCCACTTTCATTCTATCAGAAATAGACAGTACTAACACTCACAGCATCATACTGCGCTTCGAAAGGTGCAGTGAGCAGTCTGACTCGGCAGGTGGCTCTTGACTATGCTCAGCATAAAATCCACGTCAATGCAATCTGTCCAGGATGTGCGTACATGACCTTATTTTCCACATTTGTATAGCCCGTTGAGCTTATCCTGCCACAGACACCCAAACAGCTATTTTTAAAGACACGACAGCCAACAGAACATCCATCGAAGATTTGCAGCGAAAGCACCCCTTCAATGGACCCGGAAAACCAGACGACATCGCCAAAATGGCTGTGGTTCTGACTAGCGATGACGCATCCTGGGTCACCGGGGTATCCTGGCCTGTTGATGGAGGCTACACGGCACGCTAATGTTCCGCAATCATTTCAATCTCTGATTCATGAGATGTATTGGTCGACGATTACGTCTGGCTCTCTACACATTGTTTCCGCACGGTCCTTAGTCTAGGATGCAATCGCCACTATTCGAATACAAATTTCTTTCTGCCTTTTATCGGCATAATAGAATCCTGGAGAGTAGGAATTTACTTGGCGTGACAATGATGGCTCTTGACACTGGGGGTGATGACGCCAGGCCTAGAGCTCTGCAGAGAAGAGATGAGCGGAGCGGAACTGCAATCATGGCTCTGATTGGACAGTCTGACGTCCCTGGATCAGCCAAGGGGGTCAAAGATAAGCAGAGAGCACATAGATGGGGCGGAAATTTGATGGCTTCTCCCTGGAAAGAACATCTACATCTACTAACGTTTTGATCATCAGTAGTACTCGACAATGGCCCGTAAGTCTACGACGATCGAGCCAAGAGAGGAAGTTGAATAGGTTTATCGGTTGCAGCAACGCGAGAGAAAGGATGAAATTGCCGATTCATTCCTTCGTTTAGGTCCACAGGTACGAGTGTCTCTGGTATTTATGATCAGGCAACCCCAATACCACAATATAATTGATACAAGATCAACTCAATCTATCCTCCGGCATTCCAATCCTCAGGATTTCACAAATTCTCGCAAATTTCTAAATATCAATTATGCTGAAAACCAACACCCTTGCAGCAGCACTCCTCATAGCAGGAACTCTCCCAGCAGCCATGGCGGACAAATGCTACGCCCTCGGCTACTGGGGCATGAACTCCGCCGGCTTCGGACCAGGCGGGACCACTTATGCTGGAAGTGAGGGTCTCGTCCTCTACAACTCCGCCGACGAGGAGAGCGGTCGATACGAGAAATGTGAGCACTGGTGCAGCGGCGTCTGCGCGGACTTCATCGAAGTCCCGACTGACAAGCTTCCCGCTGTTTTTCAATGGGGAGCGACCTGTAGAGGTTCAGGTTTCACGTAAGTTCCTCCGCCGTCTATTTACTACTTCCTCCGTCAGACAGACATGCTAACTCTTAGTGTCCGTCAAGTGAATGCCATGGTGCGTATGGTGATCAGACTCATATCGAAGGCTTGGAGCCCGAGTCCGGGACCGACTTCTATGGACTTGGTATCATATGCGAAATCGTGGTGCCGGGTTGATTTCGAATGATGATTGTGCTTAGCATGACTCCCGTTACCTCAAACACTTCCTCTACGCACGAATTTACTATCGTCACCATTGAACATCAATTAATCTTGTATGTAACCTAGAAATCTAACTAAAATCCTGAGAGATATGACACATACTTGTCCATGAGTTCTCGATCAAGAATCGGGAACTGAAGACCACCCTCCAAAGTATTCAGCATGTGCGCGGTGTTCGTGGTATCATACACAGGCATATTCTCATATAACTCCCACCGAGTCAACCCCTCGTGCGCTTTTTCAGCAAGCATGGGCTGGAGCGGCTGCAGTCGTGCTGGTGACTTTTCCACCAAACAGTCGATCCACTCCTGGTAAGGGACTCCCTTAATAGTAGTACCGGATGCAGAGCTGACAAGATCCATGGCTGCGTTCATGTCGATTGAGGCGTTGCGGCTTGGCGGAACGATGTGGTAGGCATGACCCAGTGAAGACGAAGCAGGAGACGAGGCGATGTGTAGAATCGTGGCATTGACATAGTCAACTGGAACGAATTCTTTCCTTTGATTTGGGAGCAGTGGATAGCAGCCCATTTCAGCGCAGGAATGAATGAGGCGACTGAAAAAGTCATCGGGGTTACAGGCTCCTGTCTGACTATGACCAGTGATGAAACCGGGCCGGTAGATGGCAATTGGGAAGTTGCGGTCCATCACACGTCGCAGCAGCGCTTCGGCAACCCACTGAGATTGGGCATAGCCGTGGTCGTAAGGGAGCGCCTCGACATGTTTGAGAAGCGACTCGTCTTCAAGGATTCTATTTGTTTTAGTGACGTATCCAGTGGGACCGAAGCAGCTAATGGAGCTGACGTAGTGAACGCCCTTGGTGCGGCCGCCGGCACATGCGAGTCGCAAGATGTTTCGTGTGCCAATGACGTTGGCAGGTCGATGGAGAGAGTATGGCTGCGTATAGTTGACTCGGGCACCGAGGTGGAAGATCACACTGGACCAGCTGGCGATCTCATGGAACCGCTCGAAGCCGAGGCCCAGGTAGACATCCTCCAGAACTCCGCACAGAATCAGCAACTTGTCACTGAATCGCTCCTCCCACTGGCCGTATTTCCCCATCGCCTGCTTGATACGCTCCAGACCAATTGCGGTATCCGCGGCACGCACCAGGCAGCCTACCTGGTGAACCTCACGAGTGCGAAGGAGATCGGCGAGAAGGAAAGCGCCGACAAAACCAGTTCCCCCAGTGAAGAAGACGCGCCCTTCAGTATCCCGGCGCCAGTCAATGACCGGTTTCGACGGAGGAATAAGGTCGTCCGCGATATGAGTGTCTTGAATCCAGGTCTCTTTCTCATTGCGAACCGTTTCGGCGATGCGATCTTGTGACTTTTCAATAGTTGATGCCAGGTCAGCGAGACCGGAGTGGTCGTAGAGTGTGAGAAGTGAGATATCTGCCCCGAGATTCTTTCGAATTTGGCTGATGAGCAGCGAAGCCTGGAGGGATGTCGCCCCGAGTTGGAAGAAATCGGCATAGGGGTCTTCTGGCAAAGAGGAGAGTCCAAGGATATTCACCCAAAGGCTTGCCAGTCGCTGCTGGGTACTCCCAGTATTGATCTCTTTGATTTTAATGGTGTTGGAGGTTGCCCAGCGCTCGCGGTACAGATTGGAAAGGTGCTTGCGATCCACTTTTGCGTGACTGTTCAGGGGCATCTTGGATATTAACTCGATTTGAGGAACCATGTAGTCTGGTAGTGCAGTCCTCAGCGCTTCAATGGCATTAGCCATTGCTTGAGGTTTGGACGAGGTTGCCACGGCGAAGGCGACGAGGATCGACCCGGCATCACCGCCTGCTTCAACCTTCAACGCAACGGCCTCAGAGAACTGCCCAGTTCGAATCATTGCGGTCTCGACAGCCTCGAGCTCGATGCGATACCCACGGACCTTGACCTGGTGATCTTGTCGTCCAACATAATCGATCTGCCCATCCGGGCGTTTCTTGACTCTGTCTCCCGTGCGATAGAATCTTTGCACCTTGTTCTCGGAATGCAAGTAGACAGACATAGACTCATTCTTCTCAGGGCGGTTGACGTATCCAGGGGACACACCAGCTCCGCCGATCCAGAGTTCTCCTTCTTCCCCATCAGCGACAGGTGCTCCAGTTTCATCACAGATATGAGCAACGGTTCGGCCAATGGGCTTGCCAATACTGACGGTACCGGCTTGTACGTCCTCCGGCGTAATTTTATGGGCGAGGCAGAAGATGCAACACTCCGTTGGTCCATACGCATTGATCAAGTTTTGTGGTGGACCTTGTTGCATGACCGTTTCAATAGCAGCCACGTTGGCTGCCTCTCCGCCAATGAAACAGATCTTCAGTTGTGAGAATGCACGCGGATACGTCGACGCGGCCAAGTTCAAGAGGGCAGTTGTCGTTGCCATGATTGTGATTCCTTTCTCCTTGATTGCGGCCGCCATGGCGGGAAGGTCCAGCAAGATGACCTTGCTCAGGACCGCAATCCGAGCGCCACGCAAGAGAGGTACCCAAATATCAAACAAGGAAACATCAAAACTCGTATTATTGACATGCGCAACGGTATCCGTAGAGTCGACGGGCTCGAAGGGTGCATGGTAGACGACTTGCAAGATCGACCGGGCAACGATTTGGACTGCTTTTGGCTCGCTAGTTGTGCCAGATGTGTGGATGAGGTGGGTTCGGTGTTCGAGCGTAGTGGTGACGGGGAGATTTTTATCGGCTGTCCAGGCGTCTTTCGACGTCCAAATTGGACAATCCTCCAAATGAATTTGCTGGAATGGAACCTCCCGGCTCCTGTTCGCATTATCGACCAAGATGTATCGGGCTCCCAGTTTCTCTAGACGATCCTTGATCTGAACGTCTGGTAATGTTGGGTCCATAGGTGCGCAGCTTCCTCCGGCATAGATGATGGCCATCTGAGCCACGACATCGGCCCAGCCATGCTGCACAATGATACCCACGGGCTCCTCGATCTGCAAGCTCCCTTTGAAAAGTTTCTGAGAGATTTGGAGAGCCTGGAGGTGCAACTGTTGATAGGTGAGACTGACTTTCTCATCGACCACCGCTACTGAGTCCGGGGACTGTCTAGCTTTAGCCTCAAAAAGCTGACCGAGCCCCTGGCCCTGGTTAACGACCAGGTCGTATTCTTCCGAATGAGACAGTATTTCAGAAGGCATCGATGCAAAAGTATAGAATTATTGTGTCAAGTTGATTGTGAAAGACGTGATGCGCCAGAATTCCTTGAATTTTATAAGTCCCTTTGCTCAATATGCTGCTGCAGTGCCGAGGCAACACTGCAGGAAGCACCTGTATCCTGTAAAATTACCCTCGAATTTGTCAATCGATCTATTGCTGTACTACGTGGCCAGAAAAGCCAAGAAAAACCTGCATTGTGATCTCAGCCAGCCAAAGCTGTTCAAGGTGGAATGTGATGAGTCAGGGTCCGAAGCGGTGCACTCAGGTACTGCCCAGCGGCATACTATTGGCAAGGTCCAGACACAAGAGGTGCTGGGAGCAACAGCCGGTAGCTGAGATGATGCGTCTACGCCCACCTGCGGTGTATCCATTCTCGCGCAGTGCTAGCTAAAGGTATTTACGTGAAATTTACTTGGATCGATTCCACTCCACAGGCCCTTGTTCAGTGTCACAGCCCCAAATAAAAGGCAAGTAACACGTCAATAAAGATAAAGATGAAGCTCCAATGTGGGTCAGTTATGCTTGCCACTGGCTATTTTTTCCGTTTTCACGTTGCACGACAGCTGTGATTCTCCACCCGCATGCGCCATGCAGGCCTCTTGATCGATTTTGCTGGGCGGGTCAATCGCTTATCCTGTCTTAGGGGATGGAATAGCTAGCTTCAATTTTACATCCCGATCGGTATTGTTACAACCCCGTGGGGCAAGGAGCTGAGGTGTTGTAACCCTGATTATCGCTTCGCATTTCCCTCATCATCGCGCATTGAACTTCTAGGCCGCGTAGCTGTCTTGTATCTTTGGTCCACTAGTGAATAATTACTATTTTATTTTCCACATACCGCTATTTCCTGTGATCTACAGGTGTCCCAGTAGTGCAGAGTATGAATTGCAAGTCCTTAACTGATTGAATGATAAGCTTTTTTAGAAGGATACGAAGGCAATTGAATAGTGTTACCCGAACGCAGCCCCTCATATTCATGTCTCGATAGTGACCTCATTCAAGGTCTTCCTAATTCTGCTCGATGACTCCGTTTTCCTTGCACCAGGCAGCATTTCCGAATCGAGCAGCAAACCATTCCTTTACAGTCACTAGACCGTGCTTGTCCTCCGGATATCCCAATGCCACAGCTGTCGCCTTCTTCAATTTACTAGCGGTGTGCAGTTCCGTAGTCTCTCCAAAATACTTACCACCAGTGACCTGCGTGAAGCCAAACATGAGCTTTACGTCTTCCAATTCGTGGATCCCGTGGGTCTGGAAGGCCTCCCAGGAAGGTTCGATCGGAGACCAAGTTGCCTCACGCGAGGTCACTTCCTGGAAGTCCTCAGTAAGCTCCTTGAAGCTGCGGATATCACTGAGTCCATGAATGAAATGACCATTCCAGGTTTCTGGATCCAGCAAAGCACCTTGGACAATGTCTCCGAAGTCGTCGGAGATACTCAGCCAGGGTACATCTTCCTTGCCACCCCAGTGGGGTGTAGAGAAAACGCGGCGACCTTCTTCGTTCGGGAACCAAGGGAATCCGCCGAAGACAGGGGCCACTTCTTTGCTCAGGAAGTTCTCCAAAAACCAGCCGGGACCAAGTGGAAGCACTGACTTGAAAACTCCGAGGCTTCGGATGTACTGCTCAGTCTTATATTTCACTATAGGAATGTTAGCCAAATAAATTAGCGTCGAGAGTGTCTTTTCGCTTACTGTCCATTGCCTTCATTGACACTTTGCCATTGGTCATCTCTGTGCATGGAGGACCAGAGCTGAAGACGAAATGTTGGACTTTCTCAGATGCCGCAGCGTCCACAATGATTTTGCCCATATCGAACTCATTTGGATTTTCCGGGCTTGTGAATAACTGAACATCTTAGTCGATTTTCTCAAGGTCGTTCAAGATTAGGTCCTACCTTGTCATCCGAGTTGATGTTCAGAAAGACACCCCAGGAGCCCCGGAAGGCGGCTCTCATCTCATCAGGGCTCAGGCCATTTGCCTGTACCATTTCGGCACCTTGCGCGATAAGGGACTTGCTTGCATCTGACTCCGGGTTGCGAGTGATTCCTCTGACTTGAAATGCTGGGTTCTTCAGCAAAGACCGTGCCACTGATCCTCCCTGGTTGCCGGTGGCGCCGAAAATGGTGATGATCTTGGCTTCCATTGTTGATTTTGGTATCAAAAAGCAGCAGTATGGTCTTTCACGTTTATTGTTGAACTCTTTGTGTGCCTCGGACTTTCACTGTTTTGAATGGCAGGTGGCCAGCTCCCGTTGCCTCGGTTATCCTGACAAATATGACTATTTCGCCGATATGCACCATGCAAATACTTCCATGTCGATTCTTGATGTATAGAAAAACGAAGTACATGTGCAGCTCCACACCGAGAAGTTCAGCTCCCGTATCCCTCGGATTCCTGTTTGCGGATCTAGAACTGTGGGGACTGTCCTCATGCAGGACGCTTGCAAGGTGCACGGTTCCTGCTCCACTTGCACGATCGACACCACCGCCCACGCTGCTCGCTCCGAATTGCCGTACTCCATATTATTTCATCACTCTGCAAAGCCGACGAAGCCCGTGTCCAAATCAGCTCGCGCCCATTGTGGCTTATCTAGTGCACCCCACTCGCTTACGCCCGCACATCTTGTAGCTTCACATTGAGTGGAACCTGACCCTGCCAGACCCCGAACTCCTTTAGCTCATGCGGATCGACATTATCGGGCTGCGCCTCCAAGTCAAAGTTCCACAGGATTCGTGCCACGATCAATCGCATGTTCAGGTACGCCAGACTGGATGGGGCGTTTGATCAACACATGCTTTCCAGCCACTTCAGCTCAGGGGGACTCACTTGATTCCAATGCATTTTCTGGGGCCAATGGAGAATGGGGCCCAGATTTGGCGATTGTCCGAATCGAATTCGGGATCGCCCAACCAGCGCTCCGGAATGAACTCCTCTGGTCGCTTCCAGTACTTTGGCGATCTGTAAGCGGCAAGGAGAGCCACTGACACCCAGGTCTTTGCATAATCAGTGAGTGACCACATTAGCGTAATAGCTGAGCTGGACTTACCCCGCCAGGTACCCATCGTCCATCGATAAAGCTGCCAGCTTTCGGGGTAATGCGGTGTAGCCCGACTGGAACTGAAGGGTGAATACGAAATGTTTCCTGGATGACGGCTTTCAGGTATTTCAAGCTTCCCACGGCATTGAAGGTTATTTCCTCCTCGGTCGCAAAAGTCGATCGGATTTCGTGGACGAGCTTTCCGTAGCTTTCAGAGTTATGTGTCAGGTAATAGAATAGCGAACCGAGGGTGGTCGCAGTTGTTTCGGAACCTGCTGTCGCGAGGATGTTTACATTGTCGACCAGTTCATCCTCGGACATACCCTTAGGAATGAAGGAGGCAAAGTCCGCCCGGGCAAGGTTATCTCTGGTTTCTCTCTCGCTGAGGTTCTTCCTGACGTTTTGCATGTGTGCCTCGTAGGGGCCACTGATGTCTCCAGGGATCAATCTTTCGAGGATCGGGTGGTAAGGCTTGAGGCGATGCGCGCACTGAAGGAAATGCGAGTGCTTCATGGCTCCAAATATAACATTTGCCCATTCGTGATAGTCAGCTAGTTCGAGGCAGCCGATGGGCTTGCCGAAGGAGAGGCAGCTCAGAATGTCAAAAATGAGGAAGTTGCACCAGGCGGCGATGTTCACGATTCCCGAACCATCGGGGTAAAATGCTTTCCCGGATCTGTTATTTCTCAATGCGTCGATCATTGTAGTCGTAAATTGCTGAATTGTTGGTTCCTGCTCTTTGATCGCCTGCTCGGAGAATGCTGGGGCCATGAGCTTCTTGAATCGCGGGTGTTCTCCCGTACTGGCGAAGAGGATGTTCTGCGCTGTGCCTTCGCCCTGGATGTACACGGCTGGGTTCTTTTCGAAGGACGTTTCCTCCGTGGCTTGCTTGCCGAAAATAGTTTTGTTGGCGCTGACGGTAACATAGGAGATTTCGTTTGGTCCAGCTCGAACCACTTCGCCATATTTCTCATGAAGGCCGGCGAGGTACTTGCAGCTGTCTCCTTTGACCATATGGTAGACGTATACCAGTCCGGTAGCGGCGTCCAGCTTCGGTCCGGGGTAATTTCGTAGAGGGTGGAAGAACAAGTTATATATGACGATGCCGAGGTGGACAGTTACCCACTAGATAGCGGTGCGATTAGTTGCCTGCCTGCGTGAAAGGGAAGATGAGCTCTGAACGAGAGGTGTCATACCGTGCCGGCGAGCACTATAGCCCATTCCAGAATTTGCATTGTCGCTGTAATGATTTCGACAAATGCCTGTGGGTGAAGAAAACAATGAAGACGGCCAGTCAAGTCAAGGCTAAGCAAACCAAGGTTAAGGTCCCCAACCTTGGGAATGTTGACTTTAATGCCGTGTGCGGTCAGTGCCTCATCCCTCAGGCTCGCTCAGCGGTACCTTTATTCTACGAGGCACCTTCATGTTTGTATTGAGTTTTGTAATCCTCCATACACCTAGCGATCGCTGTATCACATACCGATCACCGCTCAGCTCGGGGTCCTCCCGCTCGCAGTTCGTCATCAAAATAATATCCAGTCGATTGGTCGCCCTACCCGACGGTGGGTCTTGCGGTGGGTTTCACGGTTGCACGACAGGAATTATTGGTGCCTACAGACTGGAGGTACCCCCTCATTCTTTCTCTTTCTTAGACAACAGTTGGATTTGACATTTTTATGATTTCCCCTCCCTTCTCTTCCTCAAAATTCCCCTCATCAAAACTCATCATTACAAACATGGGCCGCTTAATCGATCGGGAGCCACCATATGAGCCCGAGACCCCTTTACGGCTGGTGGTCGCAGGACTCTCCCGCACTGGCACAGCATGTAAGTCGTCGCCTGTGATTATTTTCATCAGACTGCTACTGATTTCCCAGCTTTGTATCTCGCATTACAGGAACTCGGATATACACCATGGCACATGTGCGAGCCCATCGATGATCCCAGCCGCATGTACAACCAATGGACGGAAGCGATGAAATGCCGCTTCTTCGGAGAGGGTCTTCCATATGACCGGAAGGATTTCGACAAGCTGCGAGGCCCTTACGATGCCCTGTTGGATATTCCAGCTTGTCTGTTCTGGGACGACTTCCACGAGCTGTATCCGGAGGCGAAAATCATCCTCACTACTCGATCCGCCGACTCGTGGTTCAAGTCGATTCACAGCACCATCATTCCCTGGCTGGAGAAGCCCCTGCTGAAAGTTCTTCAACATTTCGATCGCAAGCAACTGGGACCCGAAATGCGCATGGTCAAAACGGCATACAAGGTCATTTGCAACAACAATTACCACAGCCCCAAAACTAAGGAGCGCTATCTCCAGCACAATGAGCGGGTCCGGAATGGTGTTAACTCCGGCCGGTTCTTGGAGCTCCGACTCGGGGATGGGTGGGAGCCCCTCTGCGAGTTCCTTGGTGTGCCTGTGCCCGATAAGCCATACCCCCGGGTCAACAACACGAACGAGTTCAACCAGGGAGCGGGAGAGGCCGATGCGGCAATGCTAGCCGGTATCATTAAGCCGTGGCTGGCTGTGCTCGTTCCGGTGGTTGCCGCTGGCTTGTGGTTCTCTTTCAAATCTTGAACATTGTATCAGTATCGTACCGGAGGATAATCGAATGTACAAAGAGTATCTCAGCTAGTGAATAACAGTGGAGGCGCTGCAAAGCACCTATGTGGAGTCCAATATCTCGGTGATGACCTTCCCCGTGAATAATGGCAGTGTTGACCAAAACCTTTTCTCGTCTGCATCTTCTCGGCTCGGCTACTCTATTGGCGACTGTGTATGCAGCAGGTACTCTAGGGTAGGATGCCAATGCGTGGAGTACATAGTACACGTCGCCACACGGAGAAGTTAGGCAGCTTTGGCCATGGCCAATGATAGCCTTCTTTACGGTTCTTCTGGCTCGTACTATTGGTCGATTTACTGCTCCAGCGGGCCCTCGAAGTCATGCAGTACCGCAGTGGAGTAGATAGTACTCCGCGTTTACATATCTAGTGAGTGGAACGTGCGAGCTGTCAAGTTGGAGTGCATGCGTCGAGTTTTAGCCAGCTGGAACTACATCGGTGGGGTACATCACACTTTCATGCAAGGCCCCCACATTTGCTGATCGTCGCTCTCAGCCAGCCCCTTTACCCTGCAGTGTTACACAAACTACGTCAAGCCACAAAAAAGCAATTATCTTGTGTAACTGAGCGATCGCTATCGCTTTGGATCTAGATCCAGGTGGAGGAGAAGAGTGTCCAGAGGAGTCGTGAAGCTGTGTCACAGCGCCAGATGTGTGTATTAGGCTCCCTGGACTGAGGTCTGGCTGCCAGGTCCATTTATTTCGATTGCATTTCTCGACCGGTGCAGCTTACCCCATCCAATTCTTTCAATCATGACTGTCTCTACTCAAGACCGACCTAATGACCTGTATAGCTCGCCCTATCTGGTCGACTACTATGACATTGTTGCGCCGAGCTCCGAATCCGTCGACGATGCTTCGTTCTACTGGAAGGTCTATCAAGACCTCAAATCTTTGCGTTCGCCCCACTTCGACGACCCCTTTGTTCTGATGGATGTCGGAACGGGTACGGGCCGTGTTCTTCATGGTCTAGAGCGTAACGCCGTCGAGAACAACGCCGATTTTTCCAACACGGAAGTCTTGGGGGTGGATAATGCGCAACATATGCTTGACAAGGCCGAAAAAATTACTTCAGGCCCTCTGAAGGGACATGTCAGTTGGATCAATGGCTCTGCTCTTGACCTGGAGGCCGTGATGCAAGACAGGTTCCACAAAAAGGTTGATCTTCTCATTTTCTCCATCGGATCAATCAGCCATCTGTCTGAGGATGGTCAGCCACAGACCTTCCTTAACCAGGTCTCCAAGGTGTTGCGTCCTGGAACCGGACGAGCCTATGTGTCCATCTATGATGGCTCTCTCCTCCACAAGAAAAAGGACATTGCCTTCCATCAGCCGAAGGGTGTCACTGAGATCAAAAGCAAATTGTTTCCCCATATTGTGTACCGCGAATCGAACCACAGAGGCGACTTGGAAGGTAACATCAAATACGTAAAGTTTGATCTGGAGGCCGTGAACAGCGAGGATCAAAGCGTCGTGGAGAAAAATGACATATCCATGAAAATGAGACAGTGGGAGGAAGACGAGTTGGTGAGCCTTTCGTCCAAAACCGGAGTGACTTTCATTGAGAGTATTCGGGGCGCCCACGAGACATTCTATGTTTTCAACACGGCAGAATAGAAGATAGTCCTGCTATATGTAGTTAGACTCTTCCTCGGCACATCAAGACCGCTGTTCATGCAAAGTTTTATCTCTCCATCCAATCCTTTCGTCCGGTGCGGCTGACTCGTATGCATGAGCTGAAAATCAGTCAAAAACCATTAGATTCTGTACCCCCCTGCGTCTTCAACGTCACCTGGTCGATCATCCATCTTGTTGTCTCTGGTCTCCTTGCTCATCGCCACTTCCTCTTGATTTTGGAGTCTTTCACACCCGCAAGTCGCTGTTATTCTGCTGCGGTCTTCTTTCACATCCCAATCCGCTGCTTTCATCTGTTTCAACATGGGACGCATTCGCGAGTTGCGAGCGTCGGGCGCATTCGTCCTTGTGGCGATGTGCCTGTCGACCTTCACAGACAACTTTGTTTACGGCATGGTAAGTTCCCTTGGTGGAAGTCTGCCTGGTCCTTTGATGCTGATAGAGTGTCTACTAGGTCATTCCTATCCTGCCCTTCCTCCTGATGCAAAACAGAATAACTTCAAGCGACGAAGGTACGCCGAAGCATCCGACTACCCGAGGGGTTAATTCGCGGGGATACTCATGAACCTCACAGTTCAAAAATGGACATCAATATTGTTGGCAGCATACGGTGCTGCACTCCTTGTCGCATCCCGTAAGTATCAAGAGAATTCTTCGGCACGGTCATCAGCTCATCAACATGCACAGCACTTGTCGGCCTCATAAGCGATCGCATCCAATCCCGCAAATCACCCTTGATTCTCGGATACGTCGCCATCGCACTATCCACCTCGGTCTTTCTCTTCGGACATTCTCCAGCTCTACTGGTCATCGCTCGGATCTGTCAAGGGTTTTCGGGGGCCGTGGTAGGAGTCTTGAGTTTCGCGATCGTCGCAGACACGGCGTTGCCTGAGAAGCGAGGAGATTATATGGCGTTCGTATCCACTTCATATACCTGGGGAATGATTTCGGGGCCTGTCTTGGGGGTCTTCTGTATGTCTCATAAACTGGTGACTTGCTGGAATTTTGCTCACAAGAGGTACAGCTTTGATCACTTCGGCGTTCACGGAGCATTCGCATTTCCGGCTTTTATGCTAATATGCGATATCGTCCTGCGCACAATGATGGTTGAAAAGGGTAAATTACTTCCACCGGTATCGTCCTTGGGAGACCAAATGCTCATCTTTGTTCAGATCAAGCAGAAAAGTCACCACCCTTGATCGGAGAAGAGGCACCATTGCTGCGCCCGAAGGATTCCGCCGAGGCTTCTTTGAGTCTTCGCAACTTCGTGGACGTGCGCTTCATCACTGCGATCTTAACGCAAATCACCATCTCGTCCATCCTCGCCGCATTCGAGACGGTATGTGTTTCTTTCAGCGGGCTTCTTCGGCGTCTAACATCATTTTAGACTCTCCCACTTTTCACGAAGGAGACGTACAAATGGTCTTCCACAAAGGCAGGCTTGGTCTTCCTGGGAATATCTCTCCCGAGTTTTCTCAGCATCCCGCTAAGCAGGTACGGTCGAGACTGGAAGCGTCGTCGAACAATCGCTGTCGAGTTGATCCTGGCCTTTTTCCCACTGGTCGCGCTTCGGATCATCGACGGACCGACAACTAGCCATCAGATTGGATTCATTGCGTTGGTGATTGGAGTGGGCCTTTTCATGACAACCTCCCAGGCACAGGTCATGGCCGAGGTGTCAGATGCTGTGCGGGAGATTGAGGTGACGCATGGGGTGGACTCCAGCAAAAGAAGTGGGATGGGTACCGGCTATGCGTTTTGCAGCATGGCTATCGCCATCGGGCAGTTTGTCGGGCCTCTGATCGCGGGTTATGCGCGGTTAGGCTTTGGATGGGGAGGCATGACTCTGATATTGGGTGGGACAACCGGATTCGTGGGTCTCTTGTCCTTGATTGTCAATTCGTAGATCATTAGTATCAGTTGGAGTCAAATATACACCCTGTGTGGGACGAATGTTGAGATTGAACATCGGTTGAATAATGTGGTCAAACAACTTCAAGTTGGAGCAGTGGAAGCCGAAGCTTGGCGCTGACATCTCTCCGCACGGCGCTCGCAATGCAAGCAAGCTGCTCTGGCACTTCCACATCCACCTCGCCGCGCCCATCCAGCACTGTACCGCAACCATGTATGACTCGAACCGTAAGTACCCCGAATCAATCCCTTATCACATCTTGCATTAATATGTCTGACGATTTTCGAGGCCCCCACCCCCTCTTGGCCCAGGTGCCACTGACCGTGTCGCCCTTCATCAACCTCCCCACCTCTATCACCCTGCCTTACACCTACAAGTCCGTTCCCTCAACCCTCCCACCATCGGCCACTGTCGACCCCATCAACCCCGACGCCAAGGCTCGCTATGTAGTCTCCTCTAGTGGCGAGCACGCGGCCCATCCGGGGGAGATCCTTGCAGCCTGCCAATCTCTCGAACACCACTTGAAGAAGAACCGTCAGGAATCTGAGGACGCGATCAAACTCTGGGAGGAATCGATTCAACAACGCGAGCTGGCAGAGAAGCGGCGCGTCGCGCCCGGATGGCTTGATCGCGACGAGAAGCTCCTCCAGCCCAGCCGGTCGGCTATGTCACCCGAGGCGAAGGGAGAGAGTCTGCTGGATAGCTCATCGGCCGATCAGGGAACCTCGATGCCATCCATGGTGCCGCGCAATGAGGGGGAGGAACTTGACCGGGCGTTTGGTGGTCTGGATGTGAAATGAACCCGGAATCTCGACACATAGGAACTCCACCATTTTCGAAAGCCATCTGAACGGATGATCCCCACGATGGGGTTCAACCCTTGATCGCTCAAGAACATGCCTCAGCTCTCGCCAGATTGCTACCAAACATTCAGGCATCTGTACACTACATTGTGCATCGACCGACTTCTTGCTAACAGGGGCACCGTGCGACAGCTACCTTCAGTGTTCCCTCGCTTCTGTTCACTGCCTCCCTAAGAATACCCTGGACGCGTCGACCGCAACTCCGTCGGTCGTTGATGAGGACCACTGCTGGGAGGATGAACAGCTAAGAGGGCGTTGAAGCATGCAAGAGCAAGACATGGAGGCGCTTGTTGTTCGCTCGACTTTGCATGCTCTCTGTATGTTTTTGTGTTCGATAGGAACGATCAAAGCTTCAAAGAGAAATGCAAAATTACGCTATTCACGCGAATACAGTACACATCTCCCTTGCTCCTGTAGAGTTCCGGGTGGGCTTGCATTCTAATGGTATCCCTTGACTGGACTGTGGTCGAATCATGTCCAATGTAGTAGTCACTATGATGACTCACAGGTGCTGGTTAGCGCAGTAGAGTAAGATAAAGATTTGAATGCATGCCGAATTCCGACCACTAACTATAGTATAGTCATGGTTAGGTACACTAGGCACCGAGCATCAAATAAGAGAGTTGAGAAGCGCGGGGTTGTTGTGGGCACTTACACGGGTTAGAACATACATATATATCGAGAGATCGTTTGTAATCATATGATGTGTTGAAGCAAGTCCACTAGAAAAGCAAGAGAGTAGTAAATCAATTAAATGCTCTGCTCTGCTCTGCCTATATCTAAGGTACTACGCGCTACTCCATAATGTGAAGAGTGCTATCACATGTTTGGGCCATCCCGATCGGGATAGCTCCGGCGGCGTGTGAACCAGGGAAAGCACCTCACCGGCGATAGCTCCAACAATTTCACATCAAGGTCCCGCATCCGCGCTGAATTCTTTCCCTTTCGCAACCCCCTCTCCACAACACCTCCACAACCCCTCTCTACAGGACCTCTCTACAGCATCTCCAGTTTCGAATTATCTTCAACAAACTTATGGCAACCTCTATGCAGCATCTCGGCCTCGCGCCCGAGACGCAGGCCTTTGTCCCGCTCGCGGAGCACCAGTCGCGCACCCCGGCCTCGTTCTACGACGGCCCTCCCGTACTGCACTATCACAACACCGACTGCAATATCGTCATTGATAAGACCCAGCTGGAAGACACTCCCCTTCAGCGCGTTCTCGACCACCAGTCTCCTACCAACGACGATATTGCTACTAACGGCGGTTCTGCCGATGACTTGGATGATGGTGACAACAACCTGGTTGTTTTGCATGGTTTCGAAGTCTGGGTCGCTACTGAGTAAGTCGAGCTCCATACCTGAAGCAACTGCTAGCGCGTGCATCCAGCGCAATGGAACGCACTCTGCTTCGCCGGGAATAGCTAGATCGGGCCAATTAACGTATTCTAGCCAAGTTTACCTGTTCTCCCGCTCTGCCTCCACAGGTGTTACGATTCCCTACCCCGCGATCATTGTCCATGCCACCCGACGCATGAGTTTTCCTGGTCGTCCTGATGAACAGGTCCAAGGCCTGTACATGCAGGTCGCAGGCGACGAGATGGACGAAGAAGACGCCGACCAGGAAACCGTGACCATGACGATCGTGCCTTCTGACACGGAAATGGACGAGGAGAAACCAGAACCTGAGAACCAACTCCTGTTTAATGCCGTCACTGCCTGCTCGAACCTGTGCCCCGACCCCGAAGGCAATGACGACGATGACGATGACGACATCGGCAACGGGGCTCCCATCAACTTTGACGGAATGATCACCGCGGACAACATGCACCAGCTCATGGATAGCAACGGCAACTTTGTTGGGTTCGGCGGTCCTTCCCCTGCTTTCCCTCTTCCTCTTGGTCCCGGGGCTGGCACCGTGCACGCTCGAGAGGATGCCGAGGAGGAAGATACCGATGAGCATGTCAATGGCGCGTCAAATGGTGAGGATGATGAAGTGAAGTGGCGCCGAACTGACTGATCTGTAGATGATTTTATGCCTGATATTTGAGGTGGAATCTTCTGCAGATAGTTCCAAGGGTGCAGGCGACGCCAGTGTACACTACTTCACGTTTACGAGAAATGACAAGAATTGATGATTATCAGGGATGTTCATTTAATAATTACGACTACCTTAAGGTACCTATAAACCGTGGATATCAAAACAAGCGTTTCACATCAGATGGGAGAAAGAGGGCAAATGCACCAAGAGAATGGAAAGAGGTATAAGACTTTTGAACAGGAGATCGCCACCATAAAATACAACCATGTTAAAAGAGGAGCAGAACGATGTGCCTGACGCTACTACTCTCGCAAGAATCCATCACCATCGTACAGACTGGCCGGGGTACCCGTGCAGCCAATTCCAAGACCAAGCGCTTTACCCGTCGGCGTCGTCATACCCTTGCGAGCAGAGTTGGGCGTCGGCGGCATGCGCTGACCTCCCGGGCGCGGAGGGGAGTTCTCATTGCGCGACAGCGAGCGAGGGATGCTTTGCTTGTTTGTTGGCGAGGTGCTTTCGGGGAAAGTATAGAGACCAGGGAAATGCGCGGCAGGCGGTTTCGGCGGCGAGGCACTGCGGTTGGCGTCCTCCCAGATCGTGACTCGATCACGGACGGTGTTGCTTCTTCCTCGTGTACCGTATAGAGGCGAGGATGGGTCGATATTCGTGCCGAGTCCGCTTGCCAGGGAGCCGTTCAGCTCGCGAGAGCGTCGAAGTGAGCGATCACCTGCGTCGGTGTTGTTGCGCTGCAAGGAATCGGTGGACTTGCGCCAGTCGCTGCCCTGGGTACCAGTGATAAGAGACAGACCGGTGGGTGAGCTGACTTCCATGAGAGGGTCTAGAGGCTTGGGCCGGTGGTGTGTCGAGCTGCTACGGGCAGGTTTGCCAGGCTGAGTGCGTGGACCCTTGACGGCTGTTCGACGTGGGCTACCGGTACTCGAAGCGTTGTCGTATGTCTGGGAGGGAACCTCCGGTATTGACCAGAATCCACCAGGTGTTCGATCCGGGGAGGGAGTATGAGACAGGCTCAGTCCAGTGGATGGTGGCAGTGCAGTGAAGAGCTCGGGTAGGTTGTGGTTCTTGCCGGAGATGCTATTCGCTTCGCCTGAACCGGGACTTTGCTTCCTCTTCTTGGATGGTGTGCTGTTCAAATCGCACTGAACTGACTGTGGCTCTTCAGCAAGAGGGCCGAGAGTGCTGGCAGCAGGCTTGGTACGTCGACTACCGCGCTTTGACAAAGGCGTTGGCGATGTATTGGTTGAAAGAACGGGGGGTGGCTTCGCTGGACCATTGATGGCGCTTTCCCGCAAATCCACTTCCTCCATTGCATCGAGGTCATCGGGTTCCTCTTCAACCGTCGGAGAGAACGTAGATCCCCCAAAGGTCATGGGTGGATGGATGGAGATACGGACACAGTTCTGGCGTCGGTGACCCTTACGCTGAGAGTTACTACCCTTCAGTGCAGATGGCAATGAGCTTCGCAGAGACAGACTGGACCGTTGCATGGGGCTCGGAGGCATTGAACCACCACCTTGACTGGGTGACCCCATTGAGAACAAGGTTCCGTTGGATTGAGGCGAGCCACCGTAGAAAGGATCGTTCTCACGCTGCTCATCATAGATATTTGGGTGGTTGAATTGGCTGAAGTGAGGCACATAGGCCATCTGAGAGGCAGGTGATCGCCTGTTGGGTGTGGTCGGGTTCTGGAAGCTGGCCATGGAGATCGGAGTTCCACTACGAAGTGATGAATGCCTCTGGGGTGCATTAGAGGAGACTGAATCAGTACGACGTGGGAAACCACCAAATCGATCGCTTCCATTACTGGGGTTCCGAGAAGCCGTGGTCATACTGCGACGAGGCTCCATAGGTTCCATTGACGATCTCCGACGAGCTTCGGCGGTCGATGAAGAACGAACGGGGAAATTGTGCAGGGGTGACGTGCCCTGAGAAGTGTTGGCGGCAATGAAGCTGCGGCGTCCGTTCTTTACACCGACGTCGTTGGCGCTATACGGAACAAATGTACCACCAGACGGGAAGATAGGCGAAGTAAGCTCGGTATCAGCAGACCTGGGACCGAACCTGCCATCATCGAGAATAGAGCTGTTGCAAGTATCGAGGCTCATGGACGAGAGTCTCATAGAAGAATCGTTTCTTGCGTAGCTGAGTCTGTCGGGAGGCCATGCAGCTGCTGGCGGAGGAGGAGGAATCTCTTCGGGAATAGTACCTGCTCTTTGGCTTGTGATACTACCCCCTCGAAGTCGCTGTGGAGATTCCTCGAAAACGCGTGGAGGTGGGTCGAACATGTCTTGCGAGTTTCTGTTTTCTAGAACTGGGAACGGGCCGGATCGATCCTTTTGGCTGGGCAAGGGCCATCCTGGAGAGACTGGTCGCATCCCTAGGATAAAACCAGTACCCTCCTCATCTTGATTCATTTCGGGAGTTTGACGGGGTGTCCGCTCGGCTGAAAGTTCGAGAACTCCCTCGATCGCGGAAAGAGGGATGTCCTCCTTTGAAATTAAGGGCCGAGGAGGGCTGGGCTGTTGGATCTCGCTCACAGTGGCCATGGAGCTCATGCGCTTGTGCGAGGACCTTGACAGTCGTTTGGATTGAGACCGACGGAGTGAGTTTCGCAGTGATCGGGCTTTTTCGGCGAGAGGGAACGACGAGTCCGAGCTGTTCTTCAGCCGCAGCAGACTTTCTCGAGAGGCTAACTGACCCCATTCTGTCGGTTTCCCATAGGGTAACTGGCCATGCGCCCTGAGAGCAGTCCCTTCCTCATTTGATAGTTCGGTCAAGGTGTTTCCCGTGAAGGTATGCAGGCCACGGGAGAACTCCCCTTGTTTGAGCCCCAGTACCTTCAACGCATGGCGCTCTTTTCGAACTCGAACCCAGACGACGATAGCGACGACCGAGAAAACGATGAAGATGGCCGCGCCAGAGGCGGCGATGGCAACCACGCCGCTCAAGCTCACCATAGCCACCTAGCGGGCGAGTCACCTATCAAATGTTTTCGAAACAGGGCGCGCGAGATCCGCGAGTCGATCGTTGTGCTTTCGTTCATCCGCTGCAGATATCGACGATGTCTTGCCTTGTTCTTGTCCGATATAAGTTCTCCGTCGTGATATAGATCGGCTTGGCTTGTGAATCGGGATAAAGCAGCAGGCTTGCACACCATCCAGGAGCAAAACAGAAGTGTCCAAACGAACCGAGAGACAGCAGAGGCCCGTAGCCGGCATTCCCGCCCACTGGGGATGCTATGTTGTTATTTGAGCATTGGTAGCCCAAGAATGTCACATCACCCCCGGCACCGTGTGGAATGTTGGCGGCCACACCACCCTCCGCCCCTTTCGTGGTGGCCCATGGCACCCGGAGCTTAGAGCCAACGTCAGTGGTGTATTATCAGTGGAGCGCGTGATGGGAGGTGATTGCGGCGGATTGGAATGCATCCTCAGGGAGGTTGGGTGCTTTGCCCTATCGCACTACCAGTGGGCTGTATGCGGAAAAGAGTCTGGAGGTGCGCATTCTAAGGGTCTAATACAGTTGGGCGAGTGGCTCTGTGCTGTTAGGCCGAGTGTAACTGGGTTCAGGGCTTTGAATCGAGGTTTGATACCTGGATAGCGAGCTCATATTCTTCTGATCCATGTTGTGGCTGCCGGCGGGACGGGGGAAGTCCGACCAAGCCCGCAGCTCAACGTCCAAAGTTTCCGCCGGGCCTTTCACCCATCCCTTCCTGCGGCATCTGCAGGTTTACAATACCCCGCCACGCCAGCAGCCACAGCTCCATTTCGTGCTAAGAAACTCGGAACCGGTTGGTCAGGCGAGAGTTGAAATATTCGGGGTTGTCCTAAACCACTAATCCCTTGCAGCCATCCCACCACCATGCTCGCCCATCGCGCACAATCAGGATAAAATCAGACTGCCCACGAGCACCAGTGCCGACGAATAATCGATACGGGTTTGGCCAGCGTCGGTGGTATCCCGAGTTCCTGGGGCCCGGTTCAGGACTCGGCCACGGTCCGTCCCCATGGAGCAAATTACCCCATCAAAGGACACGAGACCCGCTGGGGTGAGAGATGTCCGAATTGTTACCGAACCGGGCCAGGTGACAGCTTCAGCTTCGTCCGGTTGACGACACTAGCGTACCGTGGACCCTGATTGCACCTTCAGACAGACGTGCGGCAGAATCTCATGTCCCCGACCGATTGATTGCAGCTTGCTCGCTTTCAAGTGCTCCGATGGACTCACACGTCCGCGATGTGATATCGCAACATCCCACCTCCGCGGCTTAGCGCGACCCACTCGGTTCTTCATTAATTTATTGAGATGGATATCGTCATTGTCCACAGGAACCAGTGACCGTCGTTGCAATAGTGGGCCGCCAGAGCTCCCCCGCCAGCGCACCGTACACTCTGGGGGTCTCGAGTGGGGGTACGCTCTTTGCCAATTGCCCCTCCAGGTCTTTATCTAACCGGTGCCCCCTGAAGAAGCCCCGCGAACTTCTTTTTCTTCTCAACTGACACACAGCTTTGTTTACCTGCTGTTCGTCACTACCTACCAACACGATGGCTGCGAGCCCTATCACCGAGGATGGACGCTTTGTCCACGACAACACCGTTGCTCCCGAGCACCCGAGCCTGATGAGCATGTTTTCTCTGAAAGGAAAGACTGCCATTGTGACCGGTGCCGGCGCAGGCATTGGCCTTGCTGTTGCTCAGGGACTGGCTGAGGCAGGAGCCAACATTGCGCTGTGGTACAACAGCAACCCCAAGTGCGAAGAGCGCGCCGCCGAGATTGCGCAGAAGTACGGCGTGCAGGGTACGTTTCCCTTCATTGTTTTTTCCATACAGTAACTGACTCGTTCGCTCGTCACAGCCAAGGCCTACAAGGTCCAGGTTACCGATGCAAAGGCCGTGGAAGAGGCCACTCACACCGTCGTGAAGGAGTTCAATGGCCGTCTGGATGTCTTCATTGCTAACGCTGGCGTCCCGTGGACTCAGGGCCCCATGGTCGACGGCTCCCTGGATCACTACCGCGATGTCATTGGCATTGATCTCGACGGAACCTTCTACTGCGCCAAGGCCGCTGCTACACACTGGCGTCGCCAGAAGGAGGAGGGCACCGACGTCAACGGGAAAAAACTCACCAACTTTACCTATGGCAGCTTCGTTGCCACCGCTTCGATGAGCGGTCACATTGTCAACTTCCCCCAGATGCAGTCCGCCTACAACGCCGCCAAGTCGGCTGTGATTCACCTCTGTAGGTTCTTTTGAGTCAATACATTCTAGGACCGAGCTAATGTATCGCACAGGCAAGTCGCTTTCCCTGGAATGGGTTCGCTTCGCTCGTGCCAACACCGTCTCCCCAGGATACATCGCCACCGAGATCTCGAGCTTCGTTCCCGACGACACCAAGAAGGTCTGGCGCGACAAGATCCCAATGGGTCGTGAGGGTGAGGCCCACGAGCTGAAGGGTGCTTACCTCTACCTTGCCTCGGATGCCTCCAGCTACACCACCGGTGCGGACATTATCGTTGACGGTGGCTACTGCGCCCCGTAAATTCATGAATAGTGCCAACATTTTGGGATTTGGGTTACGATATGATAAATGCTTATGATAGACAAAACAGCTCAGCGAACGAATGCGATGCATAGTATTTCTTCAGATTGAATGTGCCTTACTGGCACGTGGCTTGAAGTATTGTACACCACCATATCGTACAAAATCTCTCTTACGCCCTCATGCTTTCACTGCACTTTCATCTCTCATCATACATTCCACATCATATCCGCCTCAAAACGCATCTACATGTGTGTGGAATTTGAAGAGTACATGCGCTGGTATGGCAGCAAGGTTCCAGTCACACCGTCATGTCATTTCGGCTAGTAAAGCTGATGGTGAGCATTAATTCATCGAACAGCCCAATATACACTCGACTGGATGAACCCACCATTCTCTTCGGGCTCGACGAAGGAGAGAAGCGAACTCGGTCTCATCAGAGTCATCCGAGTCAGAGTTATCGGACAGATCCGCGACGTAACCCGACTCGGCGGTCGAGGGGTCGTCGGAATCGTCAACAAGTTCGTACGTGGGGGAGGCGATTCTAGTCCATAATTGGGTGAGGCATTCGCAGCAGCAGCAAGTGGACCAGAAGGTTACTAACGGGTTGCGATTGAGAATGAGGATGAAGATGACGGCCAGCATCAGGCTCAGGAGTGGGAAGAGGAGGGGGGCGTTGTTTTCCATTTTGACATAAATCCTACTAGGGAAGGATTGTGGTTAAGGTGCTTGTGTTATTTATGTTAGTCTGCCACAGGTGTTGCCTGGATGGCAGTGAATGGTTGATGGCGCTGGAGGCAGTACCTGTGAAGCTCCTTCCACAAGATTGCAGAGGAGATTATATTCACATTGTTCCAAGTTCCTTGCAAATATAAGCAGCTTTCAGACAACACAACCTTGACTTATTTTAAAGCAATAAAAATGTATCTACTGAACCCGAATGTTTACCCTGTTTAGTGCTTTGATAGTAGGCATACAACCGGTCCTGGTGTGGAGCACGTGATTTCCTACTAGAGCCCTCAGTATAACTTGAGGGTACTGATGTCTCCAACCAATCACTAGTAGACTGCTTTTCCCTATATCCTCACTAGTATTATGTATGTTGCTAGTAGCCGAAGGTGTTGACATTTCAAAGGAACTACTAGTAAATTCCAAGAAATGACGTGCGGAAGACTCCACTCTATGCTGTGCAGCCATGTTGACCAATATGGTCATATCTGGTATTCAATTCCAGTTCACTTCCAGCTCACTTTCAGTTCATTAAGAGCCCATTTCCACTCGGAATCAGCTCAGTCCCGATCAATCTCAAGTTGGTCTATGACGTTGTCGCCTGAGCGCCCCTCTACCTCCTTGCATTGATCAAGCGCCTCCGAGGGACGTGTGTGGGGATGTCATTCGGAATGCGGACGACCCCTCATCAACGGCGCACAGGGTCCGCTCAAACGCGGCCAAGCGGCCGCGATTCACCAGTTCCTGGTTTTTGAAGAGCCGAGGGGAGCGCGCGGTCGAATTAAAACCAGTGACCTTGTCACGCCCCCGCAGATTCATCGCTTCGCCGGCTTTCGGAGGGCGGGTGACCAGCCACGCCCAGATAATGTCATTTGACGGGGCCGGGGCATCGCGACCGGTGAGGAGGTCTATAAACATGAGTCGACGCAGACACACCCCTAAGTCCTTAAAAAAAAGTCATTGATCTCATTGTTCGCGCGGCGCCCGATCGGTCTTTGTTCCCTCGACGACGTTGACAAAGCGCCCTTTGTTCCTGCGGGGCAGAGTCCAACGTGAATCTAGAAGCAGTCCGCAGTCTTTTGTCGCGACCAAAATAACAGCACCTGCTGCGTCCGCTGGTCTGCTCGGTGTATCTACGTCGAATCTGAAAATGCTCATCGTCGTGGTTTCGAATCTTCTCAACTTTGGCGTCACTTGACTATCCGTTCGGCATTCGATTTCGACATCGTTATACTTCTATTGTATACACCCGCCAGTCAGAAGTACGACTGATACCTTACCAGGGGAATACCTTCTCGCACCATGCATGAGAGCGTGGTGGAGGATTACATGGTAATTAAGGCCCAGGAAAAGGCTTGGGAAGAAGCCTCTGAAAGTGATATGGTACGCGGTTTCCACATGAATTTTGGTAGTTTGCTAATGATACTCGGATATAGCTAGAGGTCTTGGAAGAGGCTCTCATCTGCACCAAATGCCAGATCACGGTCACAGAGGCGATTATGAAGCTGGACGTCGATAATGGAGCCTACATTGACGCTCACTACCCACCCTTCTTTGCCAACACCCGCACAAGGGATGACAACATATCACCCCTCCATGCCGACTCCTCGAAAACCAAATATGAAGATCCTTCGTGGTGGCGAAAGATTTCGTTCTCCCAACGGGAGCGGTACTACGCCATGGTCGAAGAAAACCTCAACCGATCCCTAAACGAGAACAAAGATATCGATCCCGAAGTGGCCGTCCTATTCGCCCACTACCAGGTCGACTATCACATTCGACAGCACTATCTGGCTCGGCGTGGGGTTCTAAGCCTCTGTCGCAACGCAAGTGACCTGCAAGATTTGCGCACCTGGCAGTGGGATATGGCTGCTATCGACCGGATCAACATGGGGAAGGACATTGATGTCTCTGATCCCGATGAGGGTTGGTTGCCTGAGGAGCGTCAATGGGGATGGCCAGGGGATCGTAACCTGGAAAAGGCGCATCAAGTGCCGATGTGGAAACGCAATTCGCCTGTACGGCGAAAGCGACTGCGTGCTGTTCGGGCCAAGTGGGCGATCATCATGGAAGAGCGCCGCAAGCAACGGGAGGAGTTGCTGAAAAAGACTGGCACCACGGTGACTGTTCGGCTGTACCTTTCCGGTGACTTGATGACTGTACGGGAGCTTCCGAGAGTGGTGGAGGTAGAGTCTGGGATGCGACTGGGGAAGAAGATGAAGAGTTCTACGTTCTGAATGCATTCCGACGGCGCTCCGAACGGAAAGCATCACATGGCGTTGGGTAGCATAGGAATAGGTGCATGGGGATTTGTATAGTGCTGATCACTGTTCTATGACAGAACCATTGAGCAGTTCAGTTGTTCCTCCACAAGTTGACATAATTTTCGGCGAATGTTGTAGATCATATACGGATGTAGTGTAGACTTCTCACAGGTGATCCTAACGACCTCTCTTGATATGTATGGACTTTCCCCATCTATTATGTTTGATCAAATATGGCAGCGTGTCTTGTGTTAAGGTTATTCGCTGAAACGCCTCTACCGTTATAGTCTCAAAAAAAAAAAAAAAAAAAAAAAAAGAACAGAGCTTGCATGTTTCTGATCTTGATTGTCCCCTTGTATGAATTATCGGAATTCTGTAAAATCTGACCGAATACCGATTGACTCTGTGCCAATTGTGTGGTATACTTCTCTTTTTTGTCAGACCTTAAGGTGACCTAGAGTCACAACCAATTACTTGGCGTTGTAATACAGTCACATTTTACCATGTCACCACCCGACAAGCTTGGCAGATTATCTTTCTCTGCAGTATATCAATTATTTGAAGCGGGGAGATTTCTCGGGAATATTCTACCCGAGGACACTGGACACACTGCATGCAACATGATCACCAAGCGCTCGTGGATGTTACTAGCTTTTCTGCTTGCTCTAGTGGCTATTGCAGTCCCGTCATGGGCAGCAGAGGACACCGAGTGTATCGAGAACGTCGCCGACGATTAATGGACAAGGAAAAAAAAGTGTAAACCGTGGAAATACCAGAAGTGCATCGAGGTAGGAGTTCACTCAGAGAGAACCAACTAACTGCTTGCAGAAATGCGACAAATACATCTGTCCTTAATCTAAACTGGCGTGAAGAACATGACTCCCAGGGCTCCATTCAGGCAGGCTTTGAAGTAAGGGCTGGGCTTGATTGACTCGGTCGACTGGGATGCGATAGGCGGGTGTATTCTCCTGCAGGATCAAGGGAGTTTCAGACAAATTTCTACACTGGTGTAGTGACAAGAGAATGATTTAATCTGCTGCCACTCTGCAGGCCACACTGGCAGTTGTACTACTCGTGGTGAGTCGCGCGACTCAGTATAGAGAGTGGCCGAAATCAGGTGCTTCGCCGTTGCTTGCCTTAAACCTCGACGTCCCAAAACCTGACCATCTCACTTGCGGCACCCGCGACAAGCCCGTTTTACTTTGACCAGACCTGCAGGGGTTATCTCATCGTCGTCCGTGCGAATACAAGAGTCGGCACACCTGCAATTTATCGGTCTGCAGGTGTGCTCCCCCCGACCAAGATGACTGAGAGCAGTGGGGTCGCAGGCTATGTGACCTCACACGATCCCACCCCGCGATTCCAGCGCATGACCGCGGGGAACGGCCGACAGCTCTCAATTTCATGCAGGTCTCACGTTCAAGGGCATGCATTCTCCAGGGTAAATCCAGTCTGGATTCCCGAGATCGTCATTGGCGCCTACTCGATCCAGCGCAAATTCCAGCTCTTCGCCAGCAACCCCACCAACCAACCCCTCAATAATACAATTCACAGGGAGGATCTTGCCCGAGGTAATCCGGGGGGCTGAAATTTGGGGTTCCCTTCCTAATGCGGCTTGTGGGCATCGCGGGCTACGGTGCTCCGGCGCAACGGCGACAAGAACCACGAAGCCTTGGACCAGGGTTTTCGAGCCAGGCACCGATCTCCCGCGCTCGGGGCGGTTGTGGCTGGCAATCCCGACACCTTACTGTACAATGATGGCGTCCTATTTGCCATATTACACAGCGAAAACATGGCTTCTTGCCAGTCGATACAGTACAATCCGACGACGGCGGCAGTAGCAGCAGCGCCTTCTCGACAATCCCACAGCCGCATCGCATGGGAGTCCCATTCGCTGGCCGTGGACGGGCATCTCCGTTTTTGGGACCGGCTGTCATCCAATGAGCACCGCGCTTTTCCGTGACTAATCTGGCTGGCATTTCGTCACCGGCCATCAAGGGACCGCCACTGGGCAGAACTTGGCTTCATTTCCAAGGCCGCCTTGCAGATCCGAAGATCGCTGACGTGGGGGTGTTTGAGAATGCGGATGCCAAAAACGCATCTGTTCAAGTAATGTGCTGCCATAGAGTGACCAAAGGACCGAATCGCAGGACTGCAGCGCGGGTGATGTCCTGATGTTCCCACCCGACTACAGCACCCGACTACAGCACCCGACTAGTTAGCAGATTCCTCGCTGGCTCTGGCGCTGGGCGCTGCCGCTGGCACATTGCACGACAGTCTCCTGGCCCAGATCCTCCCTCTGACGAATGCCTCAATTTTCACGATGCCGTGGACCGCAAACATCATTCGCGACCCAGACCGGGAAGCCGTAGGGGCATGACGTAAGGGCGACACCGATCCAGAAGGGGTTTTGCTCCCGAGCCCAACACCGGCCCGTGAAGAATACTGGCGAGTGGCCGACCCGACAATGCGACAAAGAAGAGCAGCAGGCTTCCCTCCGTACGTTTATATGTTATATACTCTAGGGTATTCTAGCCTAAAAGATGATCAACCATGACGTTCGTCTGTTTTCTCTCGAATTGAGGGGACCGACATCCACCGACCCACCATCGTCCACTCCGGATGGCAGAGTGGGTAGCAACCTTGGGTGGGCTCGCTGGGAATTTATAACGTCGCCAGCTCCCTTAATCCTGTTCGGGTCCCGTTTCCACTCTTTCCCTCCCCAACTCTCGCCCTTATCCCCCATTGTGATACACCTGCCGACTACTTTATCGGCACCCCTCTTACTCACCACTTGCATTCCATCCGCCCGCCAACATGTCGAAGATCCAGGTTTTGTTGGTCGGTGCAGCGGGTGAAACCGGAGGTTCGATCGCAAATGGACTTCTCGATGATGGCAAATTCGTACGCATGCGACCTCATCTTTCTCAATGTCTTTGATCAAGCACTAACAGTACCTCTTCTTTAGGACGTCATCGCCCTGGTCCGCCCGGCCTCCATCCACAAGCCCGCCATCCAGCGACTGTCCGACAAGGGAATCCACATCCGCAAATGTGACCTCAAGGCCCCCGAGGAGCACCTGATTGAGGCTCTGGCCGAAATCGACGTCGTCATCAGCTGTGTCGGCCCCGCCGAGCAGCAGGACCAGATTCCGTTGGCCAAGGCCGCGAAGAAGGCCGGCGTCAAGCGGTTCATTCCTTGCGGTTTCATCACCGTGGCGCCCCCTGGTGGGGTGATGTGGCTGCGCGACGAGGTAAGACGAACCCCGAAACTCGGACTCCGCATAAATTGCGTAGAACAGGGACTGACTTTGTATAGAAAGAAATTGTCTACAACCAGATCCGCCAGCTGTGGCTCCCCTACACCATCGTCGATGTCGGCTGGTGGTACCAGCTGTCCTACCCCCGTCTCCCCTCCGGCCGCGTCGACTATGCCATGACCTCCGGCAACGATGAGATCATTGGTGATGGTAACATGCCCACCGCTCTCACCGACCTGCGAGACATCGGTCGCTACATGGCCATGATTATTCTCGACCCCCGCACCCTCAACAAGAAGATTCTCGCCTACAATCTGGTCTCGACCCAGAACGAGATCTACAGCTTGATGGAGGAGATTGCGGAGGAGAAGGTCGACCGCAACTACGTACGTGTACCATCGAGCTACGCTGATGTACGAACCACGAGCTAATTATGTGTCAAAAGGTCCCCGAGGAAACCATCTGCAGTCGAGTCGTCGCCGCCCGCCAGGCCAGTGAAACCTATCCCTTCGACCCGATCAAGTTCATCCCCCGCTATCTCGCCGAATACCAATACTCCTGGGGCATCCGCGGCGACAACAACCCCGAGTACGCCAAGTACCTGGGCTACCACCTCACCACCGAGTTGTATCCCGACTTCCAGCCCACCGATTTCCGCGAGTATTTAGAGTCGGTCATCCGCGGTACCGCCAAGGGTGTCTACCAGGACCGTGTCATTTCCCGCAAGCACCAGCGACACTTCCCGCGCACCGAGTCCAGCGACTCCCTATACACTCGCATTTTCCCCCGGACCGAGTCGAGCGATTCTCTCATGTCGCGATGATCTGATGAATTTTATGCATTGTTTATTTCATTTCGGGAGCAGCCTCCAGGTGACGGTTGTTCCACTCCGCTTCAGAGTTGGCTATTACTTGACGGCATCCTCCCCTCATTTCCGAAGCAGCGAAACAGGGGTCACCGGCCGGTTCATTGGGGGCGTCTGCTTAGGCGTTTGCGATTCACTCTGTTTTTGAACGGAACCACCAGCCGCTCGGCGACAATAAACGGGGTCTTCGTGGCAGTGATCTCCCTAGTGGTTGCTGGCATCCAAGCTGAAATTGCGTTGATGTTTTATATGAGTTTTGTCCCCTCTACGGAGGCGGTTTCGTTGCATATAGAAGAAATATTCATGATTACATGCTTTCCGCTTTTCCTAACTTGCCAGTGCCAGTGCCGTAGCTCGGGTGCGCCTTCCACTGAAACCGCCGAACTTGCCTGTCGGCTTCGACGATGGGAGACCGCTGACTTCTTGACTTGCAGGGCGGCTCCGCAATTTTTCTGCATTCCTGCAGGTCTTCCAATGCAGTTCATACGCCGAATGGAGCGCCCGAGGCGCAGAGTACGCTCGACTAACGACGGGGCTGACGTAGAAAATGCACCCAATCCAACAACTCGGCCGGCCGATCCCACGATCCACGAGGACGGAGTTGCGACTGGGTTCGCTGACATTTACGGATCTTTGACCAGCAGGCAGACTAGCGTCATCAGTTCGTGTACTTCGGTTTCCTCATCGATTCAAGCTAACGGGTTGCAGCAATTGGATCAGCGATTGGGACCGGGTTGATGGTCACGAGTGGGTTGGCCATGTCGATGTAAGACTCCCTACACTGGTGTCTCGAGACGATACTCACTTCATATCTTTTAGGAGCGGCGTGAGTGATTCCAACCTCGACTCCTTCGATCTCCTCTTAATTCTTCCCTCCAGCCCGTCGCCCTTCTGGTCTCATACTCGATCGTCGGATTCACAGTGTACCTCGTGCTCTCAGCCTTGGGAGAGGTGACGGCCTGGCTTCCAAAGACATACACAGTCGCCGATCAGGCTGTCCGATTCTGTGATCCTGCGCTGGGCTTCAGTCTCGGCTGGATGTAAGTCAAGCAGCCTTGGCCAGCCTCATTCCCTCCGGTCACTAATCTCTTGCGCTGGTAGATACTGGCTGAAATATGCTATCATCACCCCCAATCAGCTCGTCGCCGCATCGTTGGTCATATCATTCTGGGTGGATACTGATATTGTCAACCCAGGCGTGTGGGTCACGATTTTTCTTCTTGTCACCGTCGCCTTGAACTGTCTGCATCATGGCCTGCCAAGCCAAGTTGAGTTCTATGTCTCGTCCTTTAAACTTCTTGTCATGGCTGTATTGATGATCTTGTCTCTGGTGATTGCACTCGGTGGAGGTCCAGACCGAGACCTTCGTGGATTTCGATACTTCAAAGACCTTGACAGTGGGGACGCTGGAAGCAGCGGTGGCAACCATGCTCTCCATCAATTTTTCAAAGCGTGTGGTACCATGTCCCCGGCAACATTCGCTTACATTGGAAGCGAAAGATCGGCCATCGTGGCGCGAGCACCGAATACCCGCAAAGTTATTTCTCGCTCAATCAACCACACCTTCTATCGACTGCTCGTCTTCCACCTCCTCGGAATTATTCTGGTCGGCATGATGATACCTCCAAAGTATATTTCGGCCACGTGGGTCCGTGGAGATATTGATAGTAAAAAGGCAAAAAATCCAGCCGTGTCGCCCTTTGTTGCTGCTCTCTGTCTTGCGCACATCGCAGTCGCGCCGCACCTTTTGAACGCCTGTATCTTGATATTCATTCTCTCGATCGCGAGCTATGATCTATACCTGGCCACAAAAGCAATCTGTGACCTGTCGTTGAAGCACCGTGCCCCTGGTTTTCTATCACGTACAAATCGTCGCGGCATCCCCGTCTACGCACTCGGGGTATGCGTCTCACTCGCCCTACTCGCATACATCAACGTCGGCCGAGACTCATCCCAAATTTTCGACTACTTTGTCAAAATGGTAACCATGCTCGGAATCCTCACATGGATGTCCATTCTGTTAACCCACATATCGTTCGTGCGAGCTCGACGGGCCCAGGGCATTTCCGACTCGGTTCTGGTTTTCAGAGCATCCTTCGGTATGCTAGGCAGTTGGCTCGGGATGGCTCTTTGCGTCTTTATATCGTCAACTATGATATTCAACAGCATCGACTTTGTGGGAAGTAGACCCGTGTTCGATTATAAATCGTTTGTGGCTGCGTACATCGGTGTTCCCATTTACCTATTTTTGTATCTTGGATACAAGCTTGTGGCGAGGAGCAGCCATGTCAGTCCTACTGATGCAGATCTTTGGTCGGGGAAAACGGATGCTCAGTCGCGGCGACCGCGACCAGTTACTGGCTCGGTGTTTGAGCTTTAGTTATCCGAATTGAACGACGCTGTCTCTACGTTCTAACATTGCACCTGTTTACCTCCCCCAACTTAATATGTCTCCTACGATCATGATCACCGCTTTTTCTCCCTGCTGTTCTGTCGATCATCGTACCTTGATACGTAGTCGTCCTCATGTTCTCCGCAACAAGCACGAGCCGATCAGATCTATCGAAAGAAAAAGAAAATCTCTCAGGGGGTGGGAGGAAAGGCAAATACTTTAGCCATCTGCAGCTGAATGGAACTCCCCCATCTTCCGCCATTGTCCTCTCCCCGCCTCTTTTCTTTCTAGGTCGCACATGCGAATCTATATTCTTCACCTACCGACGAGTTCTATTGAAAAATAAAGAACGATTCTAGTGTTGTCAGGCTCGGCGTCTACCTCGCCCAAATAGACTGTGCTAGATAGAAGTCTTTCCAGATTTCTAGAACACGAGCTCATTCTGGTCGTAAAAGGAGACCTTAATCTAGAGAGTTTGGAAAGTGCGGCAAAGACTCTCCTTTCTTGATGGTCTATCTTGGGTGCAAGGCTGCACCTGTTGAGAAACACCTCAAGCTTCTACTTACGAGCTAATGTACTGACAAATTACATAGCGCACGGTGATTAATCCACCCAAAGTGGTGGTTGATAGGACAAGGTATGAGAGATTGTTGCACTCTGCTCAGTGCTCATTGGCTGCATTGATGTCTTGGATTAAAGTCTGAGCAAGAGGAATATCCTCATGGCGGACGTAGATGCGAATTGGCTCGAACCCTGTATTGCTGTAGCCGCTGAGCAATCTCCTTGTGGTCTTATATCTGTCAGGATGGAGGGAGCATCGAGAGGTAAATCTGAGAATTGTCGCCTCGTGAAAACCGCTTTCTGTAGGGGAAGTATGGGCGGTATTGTGTTCTTCATTCCATCTGGGGGAGGGAGTCATTTGGTGTTATGAAAAGGAAAACCCTGCTTGCCGCTTGCTGAATATCTTTCAGTACCTTTATAATGACTGAGCTGCATCAGCCAAATGGTGCTTATCCACCGCATCGGCCACAATGGCACGTCCGGAAACATCGAGCAAGTAGCCAAATATCGGACTGCAGATGAGAGCTGCGATCGCCTCGGAGATCAGCAGGACGCTGATCCAGAATTCTCCTAAAAGGAGATACATAGTGTCAATTCGGTCTTGAATTTCGGTGGATATACCCACGGTTCGTCAACGCTAACCCCAGCTCGTGAAACCAATGCACTGAGCATGACAGGCACAATCTGCACATGGTCAGAGGAAGCAAACTCTGATTGGTAGGGTGTATCGGTACCATTGCATAAAGAAAGAGATCCTGTGCAAACGATGAGACAAGCTGGCCTCTTGCTGTACAGATCACAAACTAATTTGAACAATAGCCTATAGTCATCTAAACGATGAGGGTATCCTTGCTACGTGTAGTCAGGGCATGGGTGGTAGGCTGTAGCACGTCGACAGCCTGGCCACCAAGACCCCTAGAGAAAGCCCTGTAGTAGCATGATGTGGATAATAGCAGATAAGTGCAGGCAGAACGAGTCAACCCCTGCTTGCCCCTCCTTTGAAGCCTAGCGATGTCCAAGGTGGCCGTGGCACCACCGGCAGCCAGACGAACAAGTAGTAAGCAAATGCCTTTTTTGCTTGGTTCGTTTCACGGGTATCAATGCTCTCAGTCATCCTCTCAGTCGTTCTCTCAGTCGTTCTCTCTGTCATCCATCAATCGTCCACTCACTATTATGCCCGTTCGGGGGGCTAGCTGTGGACATCGTGATCAGTCGGGAGCGTAGCGGCTGCAAGGTGCATCCTCCTCATCCCACACTCCAGGGTTCTTGTTGCGCGAGTTTATGAATACTTTACAATATTCCTTTGACTTTGGATATGAACTAGTCATCCTCTTCAGCCCCCCTCTGCAGTCCGTTCTCACCCATTCTCACCCATCTATCTAATGCATCACGCCTCCACCAGGGCTGTGTGGGTCATGTGATCATTGATGGACCCACCCGCAGTGATCTGTATACTTCCTCGATTTACTATCTGAAGCATTTGTAATTGAATTATTCAAATCTCCTGCACGGGTATTCACTTTGCAGATTGATAAGTCAGGGGATGATCCGCAAAGCAGATCACCTTTGAATGCGGGGAACCAAATGGTCTTGTGGGCTCAGATGACCACAGACGGGCTTGTCGACGGCGATTAACCCCACTGCCATTTAAAATAAGTCGGGTGTTATGTATTCCATTCCAGATACTTTGTGTTCTTTGAAGCCCTCGAATGCTGATGCCACACACATGCCGTAAGGCGTTGCTCTCTTCGAAGTTTGGGACATCGAGAGGAAACATCGAATGGCCACTCTCATACTTTGATTACAATAATCGAGTTGTCCCGAGTTGTGTACGACGTCCTACCCAAAGCACAGCCCAAAATCATGACTGGCTACGAAGCTCTCTGAGCATGGGTCATTGCTGTGACCTGCGGGAAATCTATCGGCAGAAACAGCCATTCTCCCAGCTCAGAAAAATCCAAAGCAGCCACCTCATCATCCTCCGAGACGCCTGGATCACCCGATGCTGACTTCTGTGGGACTCTTTCCAATTTTGCAGAGCCAGAACCAGTCCAGAGATTGTCGGATACACGGTTAGAGTGCAGCACCTCTCCAGAGGAAGGCTATTGCGACTGCAAGAATGATATATGTGGCAGTCTCAGTGAGATTGCGGCGCCGGAGCCTGTCAAGAGATCAGTAGAGGATGGATGACACTTTAATTCGGATGGCTGTTGCTGGACCTTGTTCGCTTAGTATTTCTTTCATGTCTCATCACGAGCAAATACTGGATCGAGCAGGGTATATTTGTCCCGCCCTTAATGCTGTGTCTTATTCTAATCTCGTCTTTTAGCTGGAAATTTAGATTCGAGGCTTTTGTGAAACGGTTGCATAGTGTCTCTTACCTTTGTTAAGACCCGATTGCGAATAGGTAATCGATACTACTGTTATAATAGAACCTTTGGGAAGGAAAAGCCATTGCCTTTGACCAAGTTTTGGATTACACCAGACCATTGAGAAGACATTTTCCTTTTTGGATTGTCTCTATTCTTAAGTCAGCGCTCCCAGTAGTTGCTAAGAGATCTAATATGGCAATAAAGATGTAGATCGCACCAGCCTTAGTTTTTCACTGGAAGCCACTCAAATCCCAGGGATTCATATCTCCGGGGTTGTCAAGGCTGAGAGGGTTACTCTCACCAGGTCCGAGACATGCTTTTGTACCAGCCCTTTCTGATTCGCTCCACGCATCCTTGATCTGGATCTAGAACGTTCATGCAAACTTCAGTGTACATCGAGAGCCAAGAAAAATTTTGGTAAATTCACTATGAGCTACCCACATGCCAAAGCTTCCACTTGCTTCGAATCTAATGCCGTGAAATGCCGCGGGAGTAATATAAATAGTATTTATGAATCGATCAATCTTCGATCTCGTCAGATCAGGAAGAGAAATCGCCATCTCAAAATCTTAAATCACTGAGAATCCCTTCGATCAACATGATTTGCAGACTCGCGATTGCGGCTACCGTCCTGCTTGCCGGAGCGCAGGCCCAACAAGCTACCAACTGCGAATACCAGTCATTGAAGTGCGGATCGGCGCTTCTTGCTGCTCCTTTTAGTAAATTGTCCCTTCAAATTTTATCTTGCAGTCGATCTAACTGCCCAGGCTATACTGAGGCGCAAATCGCGGCAGCTGTCAACGACACTGCCTCCATTCCCCCTCTCACCACGGATCAACTGTCCCAGACTCTGTACCACTGCACAGACATTTTAGGGACTATTACTGGAAATGCTTTCTGCTTCGCTGGCTGCGACGTCAAGGGTACTACTCGAAATGATCAATGTATCATGTAAAGTCCGGGGTAGGAGCTCTCTGCATCTTTTAGTCTAGTCGGACGAATAGATGCGTGTTGAGGCCCATTTCGAGCTTTTCAGTTCATGTTGCAAGCGTCAAAATTTTGTGCGCTTTGGCTATAAATTGTAGTTGGTGAATTATTTGCAGCTCGGTAGGAATTAAAGCCATTCGTTCATTGCAAACTGAATCTGTGATACTTACATGGTAGTATATGAATATGTGACATAGGAAAATGTCAATTATTTGATTGTTTTAGCTTAAAGTCATATCGTTCAATTTCACAATCATCCGTCTCAGACTGACTCGTATGACCCAATGGCTTCTCGCCTAGTAGCACTTGATACATACTCACATTCAGCGACCCTAAGGTACGTAACTATAGAGTGATTGATACACAGATTGCTATAGTTGGGAATATTCTCTGGGTGTAGTGTTTTTGAGAGTCATCTGAGATTACAACTTAAAGTAAGCAACTCCATTAAATCACCCTGGTATCTTGATTTTTTTTTATCTGGATCAAAACACCGTTGGTAGTATTGGCGGTACTGAAAGTCCCAGAAAGCTGTTGTTATCCCCTAGACATATAGTCTGGCACTGGCGAAAGCAAAAAGTTGTCGTGTTTCCTGTTACGGTAGTCGTCGTCACCGATGTGGTCGTTGTTGTGGATGTCACTGTAATCGTGCCATTTGTGCATGTACCGTTACCCCCTACTGAACACTGATCATCTCGAGTAAGTGAGAGAGCACCGAGGCAGCCATTGACACAGAAAGAGTTTCCCGTAATATTCCCAAGAATATCCACGCAGCGAAATATGACTTGCGGGATTTGATCCGCCTGCAGCGGTGGTATCGACGGCGTCTCGTTGACTGCGGTGACCAATTCAGTGAGATTGTAGCCTATCCAGAGTTAATCTCTAATCAAATTGTAGTTGACAATAGGCCTTGTACCATAAGCTGATATCATCGTAAAGCCACATTTTTCTGCTTGGTAGAGACATGGTGTCGTGAAGGCTGCGATTTCCAGAAAAAGCATCGGGGCGATCCACCCCGTCATCCAATATTGCAGCCGCATATTGGCGAGATTGGGCGTCAACCGATATGATGAGGGTTGACTGCGTGGGGACAGCAGTTCTACCCAGAAAAGTCGATTAATTCGCCCCGGTCAGTATACAATCACTTCATCGAGCATATAACCTCCGCTGTTTTTCCTTGGGTCGTGGCTGTCTCAGCGCCCTAGGATGCAACCCCCGAGTCTTGATTTGGCCGCGATGGTGTCATTGTAACTCCGAATCAGTGCTCATTTAGCATTAGACACCCCGGACAGCCAAGAGAACGCTGTTTTACTCTTGGCCCCCGCTGCTAAAGCTTGGTCTTGAGAGTGTTCACCTAGAATACAAGTCAAAACATGTGGCCGTTGCTATCCGAATTTCAGGTCACATCCAACCTGTTGTGTTTCACGGAACCGTCATTCTGTTGTGATACCGGGTTGAAAGCACGATCTAGTTAGCCTTGCAACAGTCTGGCCATAAGCCACCCTTGGGGGGGGGTTATTGTACCCGACCATGGGAAGGTTGGTCTTGGTCTTAAATGATCTACTGTGATGTGCTAGAATCATGACGATAAAGCCACCAGACTTTCACGTGTTCTGGAAGCTCCGCGTGTCTGTGAGAATTCTTTGTGTATCGCCTGTATGGCTGATGGGGCTGTTAAGGGTTAACAGGAGACCTCGACCACTCATGGGCCGCGACTTGTTCACCGCTGCAAATCAGATAAAATAACATGTCAAATCCAAAGTCCGTCAAGTGCGTAGTCCGGTATCAATAGAGCAAAAATGCAGAGTACTTGGCTGGGCTGGGCGGAGTATTGGAAATCGGAGCCACACTGTGGTGCCCGTAATAGTTAACTAACTAGTGTAGTGGGGAGACCCCCTCCCCTACTACATGGGTGCCATCCATGCTATGTGACATAGCCGGCAGTATACGGTGGCTGGATAGCTAGTTCTAGAATACACCTTACACCTCCCCGACCTGACCCTACATTTGGGTTTCTTGCTATTTCCTGATTGCTACGCGTGTGTTTTGCGGTGGTTTTTCTGCTGAATCGACCCGCACGTCTCAGCGCGTGCTGCCATCGAGCGTTCCCCTCTTCACTAGTTAGTTAATGGGTGGAGATTGGAAATGGACCGTTGGTGCCTGAGGCAGAAAGGTGTTATGACCCCGACTGTTTTGAGAGCGGTTCTGAGGCAAACGCACATTGCCCATCGCACTGGCAGTCAAGCTGAGGCCAGGCACAATCCCCCCACACTTTCAGGTCCTTTCGAGATCCGCGACCAAGGCTGGTTTGTCGTATCGTGTTGGCATCCTGGCACTCCACTCTGGGGCGGCTAAGCTGAAGCGCCCGCGTAATTTCAAGTTGTTTCTCTTTTCCTTCACCACGACATCTCCATCTTCGGCGTCCACCACGCAAGCGATTCTGATTGCTGCCCCTCCCGCCTATCTTCACGCCTTTCTATCTGATCTCTCCTATTCTTCGCGAAGGATCCCTTGATCCCGCGCTGAAACCCCGTTTCCCTCCCCCCCCCCCCCCGGCCAGCTGAACCCCCCGCCACCTCGCCCGCGCGATCTTCCCTCCCCCTTACTCCGACCCGATCGTCGACCTTCTTGGCTGTGGCAGATTCAAGATGGATCGCAATCTTGCGCGCGCGGTGACCGACAAGAAGCCGGTTCCCGAGATCGATTTCTCCCTACACCAGATGGAGGATGGCTCGCAGGTGTCAACATTGGAGCGTGTGGTCAAGGGTAAGTAAAAAAAAAAGCCCTTTTCCCCCGCATCGCAACTAAAGACCCCGTAGAAGTCCAGGCCCCTGCTCTGAGCGTCCCGACCGACCAGCAGTTCTTTAGCGACCAAGATCCTTCCAAACCCGACCTCCAGTTTCTGAAGCAACACCTGTATCGCGAAGGCCGCCTCACCGAGGAACAGGCGCTATGGATTATCCACGCGGGTACCGAGGTCCTTCGATCCGAGCCCAACCTTCTCGAGATGGATGCCCCCATTACGGTGTGCGGTGACGTCCATGGCCAATATTACGATTTGATGAAGCTTTTTGAGGTCGGCGGAGACCCGTCGGAGACCAGATACCTGTTTCTGGGCGACTACGTGGACCGTGGTTACTTCAGTATCGAGGTGTGCCTACCTTTTTCTTTGCGAGTGTCGATGTGATTCTAACTTTTGGACATAGTGTGTTCTATACCTTTGGGCGTTGAAGATCTGGTATCCAGATTCGCTCTGGCTCTTGCGTGGTAACCACGAATGTCGCCACCTGACAGACTACTTTACCTTCAAGCTCGAGTGCAAGCATAAATATAGCGAACGGATCTACGAGGCCTGTATCGAATCTTTCTGTTCTCTGCCGCTGGCGGCGGTTATGAACAAGCAATTTCTCTGCATCCACGGTGGCCTCAGCCCGGAGCTGCATACCCTCGAGGATATCAAGGCTGTAAGCATTGATTTGGTCCTTTTCTGCCGCGATGATAGCTAATCCAGGCCAGATTGACCGTTTCCGCGAACCCCCAACCCATGGTCTGATGTGTGACATTCTCTGGGCCGATCCTCTGGAAGAATTTGGTCAAGAAAAAACGGGTGATTTCTTTATCCACAACAGCGTTCGTGGTTGCTCTTATTTCTTCTCCTACCCGGCTGCCTGTGCATTCCTGGAAAAGAACAACCTCCTCTCTATCATTCGAGCTCATGAAGCCCAAGATGCCGGGTATCGCATGTACCGAAAGACCCGCACCACCGGTTTCCCGAGTGTGATGACGATCTTCAGTGCACCCAACTATTTGGATGTCTACAACAACAAGGCTGCCGTGCTCAAGTACGAGAACAATGTGATGAACATCCGTCAGTTCAACTGCACGCCCCACCCCTACTGGCTGCCGAACTTCATGGATGTCTTCACCTGGTCTCTACCCTTCGTTGGTGAAAAGATCACCGATATGCTCATCGCCATTCTCAACACCTGCTCCAAGGAGGAACTGGAAGAGGATGAGACACCTTCGTCGACGGAACCCCACCCCTCCTCCCCGCCTCTGCCTATGGATACTACCGATGTCAGCGAGCTGAAGCGACGCGCGATCAAGAACAAGATTCTTGCCATCGGTCGTCTCTCCCGTGTCTTCCAAGTGCTGCGTGAACAGTCTGAGAGTGTCACCGAACTTAAGACGGCGGCAGGCGGTCGTCTTCCCCCCGGAACACTTATGCTTGGTGCCGAAGGTATCAAGCAGGCCATTCACAACTTCGAGGATGCCCGTAAGGTCGATCTGCAGAACGAGCGACTACCACCCACCCAAGAGGAGGTGTACCAGAAGAGCGAGGCAGACCGTAAGGCTGCCATGAAGCGCGCCGAGGACGACGCTAACAACGATACCGGGCTCCAGACTGTTGCCCGACGAATCAGCATGTAAGTTGTTACAGTCTGGGTCAATTGATGTATTGTTCTAACTGAAATCGACAGGTCCGCGGGTTCTGGCCGCAACCGCAGCCAACGTTATGGTCCACGGGATTCTCAGGATGCCTAGGGCATTCATGGCCTAGGTATTTATGGGCCTGGCTGAGCTGATATTACGACGATCTATGCATTTCCTCTTCCTGCCCTCCAGCGCGCACACGCCTTTCTGCCACGTCATGATCGATACGATACCCTATCTATCTGTTTGGACCCAGCCTTGCTCAGTTCATGTTAGATCTTCAAGACAGACCAGATATGAAGTTTGTCTGCCTCTCCTGTACTGGACTTGCATTGTAGATCTGCCAATATAGCCGGGCTCGGTATACATGGGTTCCAGGCGCGAAAAAAGAATATCATGTAAATGATGGCTTAATTTAGCGCAATCAATTTCGATCGGTCATACTCCAATAGTGTAATTTGAAATAGACTGGATCGCTTAACATGTTGGTATTACTAGTAGTGTCGTGGGCCCGCACCTTGCGAGTAAACACTACATTCAGCGGTGGAGCAGTCATGGTGCCAAGCCCCGACGCCGCCCTCTCTTCTCGAACCCTGCCTGCCCTTCAACGACCAGACGTCGCCAACGCGCCCATCGACCAACCCAATGCCGTCAAGATTGCGCAGCGCGCTCCCGAGGAGCCTGTTGCGTCCGCTGGACTCGGGCGGTGCCTACTATTGCCCATCGTGCGCCACCCGCCGGCCAACGCTCGCCACGCGCACCGCACGCCAACACAGTCGTCTCCTAGACCCTGCCTCCGGATCGCATATTCGCTCGTTCACCACATCGCCAGCAATCAACCCTGGCAAGACTGTCCCGCCGCAGTTCAAGGAGCTGTATGATGCTTTGAGTGGGGTCAGGGATGCGTCCATTGAGCAGGTCAGCGTCAGCCGGCTGCAGCTTGCTCTGCGCGGGCTGGAATCGGAAGCGCCTCTTGTTCGAGTTGCAGGTGAGTTGGAATGGAGAGGAGTTTTGTGACTGCTGAACCACTTCATATTGATGTGAATGGGTGACTGATTCCTTACCTCTTCAGTTCTTGGGCTCGACAACGCGGATTTCGCGCGTAAACTAGTGCGCTTGCTCTTGGCCGATCCATTAGGACCGCGCGAGAGCTGGGAGGATCTACTAGATGGATACGACGAGAATCCTACGCGAGGTGTGCTCATCCGGTGAGAACTTTCTGTGATTGAACTCGATGCAATATCATCTAATCGTCTACGGGTTTACAGATACGGCGAGGTTTCCGACTCCATCCCCAATGCCCTCCTCCCTACCATCACAATTCCATCCCCGATTCTCAAAAAGAGCAACATGGAGATCCTTGTTAGCTCTCTCGGGTCCGACTCGGCCTCGTCCGGCGGCACACTTTCCGCCGATACTTTCCTTGTTCCTAATGTCACGATCCAAACATCACATTCCGGCCGGCAGAACGTTGTGCGGTATCCTGTGCATCGCAGCATCGTGTGCGCAAATGGGGTCGATGGCTTGCTGGCGTTCAGTACGCTGATGGGCCGGTCAAACCTCAAGAATGAAGTGGAATCTGTGCGCGGCGCAATTGGACTGTCTTTGTCAGAACAAAACACCAACAGTGGTCGGCTCTCCTTTGTCAATATCCAGCAGGCCACGACCGCGCTAGACCGTATCCGCGAATCTGTTCAAAATGCCATGGAGTATGAACGGGGATGGAATGGCAGTGGTATGCAGACCGTGATTGATTGGCTCTCATCTTCTGCTCAGGCTGCCCGAGAGGACGCGCTGAACCCGGCTCTGGTTCCGCTAATTGAATCCCTTCTCGACGCTGCCGATCAAGGTGTCATTGCCCATGATGCCCAGGTCGCATATGACCAGACTATAGGAGTCGCTCCGGAGGAGGTACGCTCGGAGCTCGAGAGTGGAGTCACCACCTGGGCAGAGAGAGCCCACACGGAACTCCGCAGTTCGCTCGAGGCAGGCTTTGCCTCTCCGCGATGGCGAGGCCTGGCGTGGTGGAAGCTGTTCTGGCGCGTTGATGATGTGAGCATGATCACCTCGGAGATCCTGCAGAAGCAGTTCCTTCGCCGTGCAGAGCAAGAAGTCATCTGGACTTCTGGCAAATACGAGCAGGCTGGCCTGCTTTCTTCGTCTGCCGAGTCCATGTCCACGTCCACGTCCACGTCCACGTCCACCTCGGACACTGCCCCTGCCAAGTCGACTCCACCTCCTTGGCCAACACAAATCACCGATATCCGCACCAAACTGCTCACCACCACCGTCCCCTCCCTCCAAGCCCTCGCCCAGAGCCTGGTGCTCTTCAGCGTCTCCACCACCACTCTCACCTCCGCCCTCTCTGCCCTCACCTACGTTTCTATCCCCGCCGCCTCGGTCTATGAATCCTGCACTCTGGCTGCGGTGGGTCTGATCTACTCGCTTCGTCGCCAGCAGAAGAAATGGGACGTGGCCCGTGGGTTCTGGGAGGACGAGGTTCGCGAGGAAGGACGGAACTCGCTACTTGATACCGAGACTTCTATGCGGAAGATCGTTCGTGAGGGTGGAAAGCAGGCCGAAGATCCGACTGACCACCGGGCCCGCGAAGCTATTGTTCGTGCCCGCAAAGCCTTGGAGGATGTAAAGGCATGAGTATCTCGTTGTAAATGTACTATGACTTAGAATAGACGTGACTGGATGTAGAATCTACTCTACTATGTATCACCATGGCTCAAAATCCTGACTTTTAGCGTTCCCAATGCTGCCCAGATGAGTAGGTTAGCAGATAAACACTATATTTGTAGAAGTCTTGGCATGACCCTTGCCAGTGGCGATTCAAGTGTATCTCCCGCCTCATGAATCTAGACATATACCGTATGGTATGACACTCGTGGATAATTATTTATTGAGCGAGATCCTCGATATCACCGACCGACAAGCTTTACACTCCACCGACTATTGTTTCATTGTGATTGACGGTAATCGCGATTCTGCTCGAGCCGAACGTCCACTCCCCACATGCCCTAGATTCCCCAGGCATCAAGACACCTGTTTGAGTCAGGATAGATTTCGCAATTTAAACCATGGCTGAGTGCAGTTACGAGTCCGTCAGTGTTCAAGCGCGCTGCCTTGTGAAGTAAAGTAAATTGTCATTACCATGTGACCGGCATCAATATAAGTGGGAGCTTGGCATCTGGTACTGTGTCGCAATGTTTATCGACTCCCCGTGATATATTTTGATCAGTACGGAGACCACCAACCGCACCCGATTACCAGCAACACGAAACAAACATCAAGCAGAACGAACGAGGATCTTAATAACAAGGCCATTTCCTGCTCAGCCGAATCCGCTGATATGACTTCAGGGATTTAGGGATCGCGAGTCGTTTCACGACGCGCCGCGCAGCCAATCTAGCGGCGCAGCTCACCCCGGTGGGTCGCCCCGATATGAGACGGTGGAGGTGTGGCCGGTGGAGCACTAAGGATGACTTGCCAGGAACAAGTTCGTTTCAACGTCCTGACTCGAAGAACGCCAAACGGTGGGCTATGCCGGGAGTTAGAGATCGCAGTTAGTTTCGCTTGGAGAGTCGCTCACTGCCCCATGGTGCCTGCCTGTCACCGTCTGTTTGTCCACTCGTGGACCTCCTGTGGATCGCCCTGAATTTACTCCCCAAATGAACCCAATCGTCCTGGCCAGGAGACGGGTCCGCAACTCCGTGATACACCCACGGAGGGGCAGAGGGGCCTAATATCTCGGCCCTCGAAGGGATTGGTCGAGTCATTTAATCACCCCCCAGGAAAAAGCGACCAAGGAGGGAGGGCCATAGTGCCTGGTCAACGCTTGGAGTACTTGATGCCCTTGATCTGCCGATAGATTGGGACTTTTTTCCTACCGATTGTCTTCTGCGCCGCGTCCGATTCCTACTTACTTCTTTCCCTTCTAAGCCCTATCTCAGGGCGTCCCTGTCGCTCGTTGACCCCTACGGCTCGACCCTCGTTTATTCTGTCGATTTTGAACTTTAAAGAGGTTCTTCTATCGACCTTTGTTTTTCTGGTGGGACCTTCCACTGCATCTGCCAGTGGCAAGGCTGCAAGGCACCGTTGGGAACAATATCTAATCAGCTCGAGTATATAGGTGCAGATATCCGATTTGAACTTCACCGGTGATCGGATTTGTTTGTTTACGTCACAGAGAACGCGTTCAAGATTAAACGGTAAGCAGCGTGCCGTTTTCCTTTTCGCGGTCCTCTCGTCCCTGCGCGTCTCCAGCGTCTCAAGGGTGGCCGCCCTGAAGCAAGGGATCCTCATTCTTGCCCCCCAAGGAGCACCCCATTTATCGTCTCTCTTGAATGAAATCGTCCCAATGACGAAAGATAAATCCCCCGGAATCCCACTCTGCGACCTCGCGGCGTTTTGCTAAAAGGGCTTGTCACTCTCCGAGCTACGCGTGGCTTTCACCATCACCTTCGTTCGACTAACATGCGACCTGATATCTAGCGACAACCCTCTCTACCGTAAACAGCCCTTCGTTTGCTGTTTGAATTCGCGCACCCCGCGCCTGACCGATTGATTCGGTGCTCCTGGCGAGTTCTTACATTCTTTTTATTTGCCATTCCTTCAGAGAAGACGTCACTCCTTTTTCAAACCGTACGTGAGCCCTCGACGCGGCTCTTTTTTCATCGCGATATGCAGGATTATCGCCGCATGGCCGCTTTGTTGGCATATTTTGCTATCTTTCCCTCTGTCGCCAATGCTTTTTGGCGTCTTCCTTGCCGTGGGCGAACTGGTGTCGCCCGCTTGGATCCTATTGTCGACCCTGGCCAGATTTCCGGTCATGTTCACGCCATCCATGGTGGTGGCAGTAAGTTAAATCTGAGTCTGTTGCACTGAGCGTCGCTGACATTGATGCAAAGACTTTGGCATGTCGACTGATTTCCAGTCACTGCGTGAGTCGAGCTGCACCTCGTGCGGCGTGACGCAGGATATGTCTGCCTATTGGACCCCGGCTTTGTATTTCATGCATACTGATGGCACTGCTGAGCTGGTCCCAGAAGTTGGAGGAATGCTTGCGTAAGTCCCAACATATGATGTTCTACGCGGAGTATATGAAACTGACAATGTGGATCAACAGCTACTACTTCCTCAACAAGGTCGGCGACGAAAAGATCCACGCCTTCCCGGATGGCTTCCGCATGCTTGCGGGCGATCCTTTCCAGCGCAACTTCACCTGGCCAGTGCCCGACCCACCAAAATCTTCTTGGGGATCCGCCGATGAGTCTCAGCCAGCCCTTCGCCAGAAAGCCATCGGCTTCAACTGTCTCAACTACGCGACTGCGGCAGAGGCTACTCTCGACCGCCACTATATGCCCAACAAGACTTTCCTCGACGAGCACTGCACTGACGGCATCCGCCTGGAGCTGATGTTTCCCCAGTGCTGGAACGGCGAGGACTTGGACTCTGACGATCACAAGTCTCACGTTGCGTATCCCTCGACTGTCATGGATGGCGAGTGCCCGATCGGCTACAAGACCCGTCTCCCTGGATTGATGTACGAGACGATCTGGAACACGTATGCTTTCAAAGATAAGGACGGCTATTTCACGCTTGCCAACGGCGATCCCACTGGATATGGATACCATGGCGATTTCATGACTGGCTGGGAGCCGGGTGTCCTCCAGGAAGCCGTGGACAAGTGCACCAGTCTTACCGGCGAAGTCGAAATGTGCTCGGTGTTTAACCTGCAGAGCCAGACGAAGCAGCAGCAATGTCTGTTAGAGGAGCCCGCGGCTCTTAAGTACGAGAACACCCACCTGGATACCAACGGAATTCCGGGTAACATGCCCATCCAATGGGGTCCAGAGTACGCTACCATGTCGATGCCTATGATCACAACGTCGGCCGTGCCGGCAATTCCCTCGCTGAGCATTCCGTCTCTTTCCCTTTCTCTCGGTATCTCGGTGGACGGCAATGTACTCGGAAATGCGGCCATGATGGCTACTAACGAAGCCGTCACGACGACGGCAGCTGCCACCACCACTTCCAGCTCGACGTCCACTTCAACTCCCACACCTACCCCTACCCCTACCACCTCCATTGCCATCGACCCCATCACTGAGGAAGTGGTCTATCTTCAGCGTGATATCATTGTCATGATTGACGCCAAGGGTGTGCCCTACAGTACGGTGACTGGTACCCCGCGCACCATGTCAACCTCGATGTCTACTCTGACCCAGACTTCTACTGTGGTTTCATATGTCGAGCGAGACACTATCCCAGAGGACGCTCAACCCGAGGACAGTGAGGGTGAACGGATTGCGGCGCACACACGTCGACACTTGCACCACCACGGCCGCCTGCACAAAAAACATGGATTCTAAAAATGCGAATATCTGACCCTGGTACTCAAAACAGCATCGTCGAACGTCTGTTTCTACGAGTCGAACCACGACTGAGCTATGGTTTCATCAGCAGCGTTCATGATGCATAGCACAGATATGGTCCAGACTTCTATTCATGTAAATGTTTCTTCCTGTGGTGACTGCATCTATACCATTCTTGTCCAAAATTTGAACCTGTCCCGTCCCTGAGGAACGGGAACTTTGATTTCCTGACACAACGATTAAGTCAATGTGTAATCTCCGAGCTTCGGTTATTCTCCATTCCTGGTCTTATACACATAAGAATATCTGCAGGTGGAACGACATATTGTCTTAGGTGGGCTGATACACACCCAGGATCAGCTCTTAGATCAACACTTGTGAATGAGACAGAAGCCCTCCTCCATCAATGTCGCAGACAGCCTAGACGTGTCTCGGCCCCAGCCCGGTTATTTGTATTTCTATCGTGTCACCATGCAGAATCGACGCGACATAGAACTCGACCTCATGCTGTGTGAGGGCGGCGCAACCTACGAACAGATAGCCCGCCCCTGACAAAGTGGGATTATCCAGGGAAATGGGAAATCCTGTACTAGGGACGAGTAGCAGCAAACCAGAGGGGACAGCGTAGCAGTGTGCCGAGTTGTCTCGCTCAGATCGATCTTGAGAGAAGGTGGACGTCACACGCCGGCTGCACAACTCGAATAAACGCTTTCTCACTATCAATCAAGATGTTACATCCCAACACAAATTATTGCAGGAATCCCGGCCCTGCTCATCCTACGAACCATCTTACTGCTTTCATTGCTGCTTGGAGCTGACGCCATCCGCGCTGTCCTCCTCTTCCAGGCTATTTTTGTCAAATTCGGCTCAGACGGCATTTCAGGATCGATCAGGCCAGTGGGAAAGGTTACATGGGCGACTGCCACGCGGTGCATGGTGCGGTGTCTATTTGGGGTAGCCCTGTGGCTTTTGCTGATACCTTGCTGCGATTGTCAGTGTGGAAAGCTCCTTCTTGTTCTAGTGATGTAATAGATGCGTGTTGTCTTGCTGCTTACTTTGCTCGGTGGCATGTCGATTCAATCGGACATAAATAAAGGCCACACGACCTCAATTGCTACTTAAAAGGCTGTATTCCGTCGCTACCGAAATTTCATTCCACACTCACTCTTCCCAGAGTAGACACTTCTATCAACATGTATACCTCCAACATGAATTTCATCTTATGGACAGCCCTTCTCATCACGGCAAAAGCCTTCCCCGCGAAACAACCAGCGAGGGACAACCACTGGTACCAGCAACAGCAACCCCTGCACCACCCGCCGTGACCGAAGCCCCTCTGCTCCGCTGCACGGATGGCTCAACGGTCCTGCACACAACGGACTGCACGTTGGGGACTCCAGTCGCATATTGCCACAAGCCCAAGCCCCCGATTAAGTGTGAAGAAGGCTTCTTTCCGTCTGTCTGGCATCCAGATCATTGCGGAGAGGAACAGACTTGTTTCCCACTTGACGCGGATTGGATCACGACTGAGTGCTCGAACGGTGCTTTTCCGTTTACCACGACGACGCTTTATGAGGGGACGTTGGCTGATGGGGAGTGGACGGCTGTTAGCGGTAAGCAGGCGATATTTGAATATGATTCCCCCTGGAAATCGGCTAATTGATGTTTTTTTGCTGTCTAGTCGTCTCCTGTGCATGTGCGACAGACCAATGGTATAGTATGACCATGCTGGACGGCCGGTCAAACTTAGAAACATTCTGTATGCCGTACCGGTCGTGTCCGCCCGGCATGACGACCTCTGTTAGCATGAACCAGTACTGTGCCACGGCCACTGGAACTGGTAAAGAGGATGTCTGCGCGGATATCCAGACCAAGACGGAGTATTGTGAGTGTGCGAATCCGATGCAGACTCCTGTGTATGCGGATGATCCGGGTGAGGGGGCTATTGGGTGTGAATGACCAGAGTAGAGGTGTTGGTGATTGAGATGTTGTATTTCCTCTGATTATTTTGTCTCATTTATTATTGATATTCTTAATGTTTAATCAAGCCTCGCTGGTCAGTTATCGTCATTGATATATTGGTCGAACACGTCGGCGTAGAATTTTCTTCCTGCATCACGATGACTTCGAATCTTGGTGCGTAGCTGAGACTCGCCCCATGTGTCATACCGGCCTCGCAGAAAGGCCGAATCAATATTGGCACCGACATCTGACTGTGACGGTGGCTGTTGGATAGGGATGTAGTCTTTTAATGCGTTTAGAGCCTCCGATTTTGTGAGGTTCCGCCGAACACCCTGAAAAAAGGGAACGCTATACCTCTCCAACGAACCAGATAGAACACGGTGGGTAGTCGCTTTGCACATCCCATGAGTGACGACCTCGAACGCCTGGCCGATGTTGACGACGAATGTACCCTCAATCACCGGAATGTCAATCCACTCCCCATTTCTGTTCAGTGCTTGCAGTCCTTTGACGTTCGGAGGAGATGCCTGCAGGAGAAATGTCCACCAGCCTGATGAATCCTTGTGGGGACCGACGCCTTGTCCATTTTTATCGGCCGATATCTCTGAGGGCGGATAGTGGACGAGCTTAAGACGGTGCTGGTCGGAAAGGAAGGAAAAGAGCACCTCTGGCGGTATGGAGAGAGCCTCGGCGACCAGGTGTAGGAACCTCTCGCCGAGACGGGTGAGTTCCTCGATGTATCGCTCGATGCTGCAGCGGATATCTGCTTCGGCTGAGGGCCACTGACCCACTCATTAGTACATTCTCCGAATGTCGTTAGGTTGCCTTCCTAGATAGGAAACCTCTCGATAACAAACTACCTGATTAGGCCCCCGCAATCGCTCGTAGCGGGGTTGACCCTCCGCCCAGCTCTCCTCCAGCTCAGTGGCAAACTCGAACTGCTCGCGTCGATCTTCTCGTCCCGCCGTCGTCTCCGAGCCAACCTGGCTGTAGCCCAGGAAATGCGGGGAGTGGTGCAGAGCCACTGCGTCCTTGCGGCCTTGGTCGAGTTCGAAAAGCCGCGGGAGAACGGCCTGCAGGTCGGAGATGACGGATTGTGGGACACCGTGGTTGGAGATGTACAGGAACCCCACTTCGGTGAGTGCCTGGCGGAGCTGGCGCAGGAGTTGCGGGCGAGTTGGGGGGTTGGTGAGGAGAAGGTCGATGACCGGGATGGATTGGAAGTTGGATGCCATGGCGCACACTGCACAGTGTGTGGTATTGTCGCGGGCCTTGCAGGACTTTGCTCCAGCACTTGTGAAGTTGTAGCACCGGGGCCTGAATTGCGTAATTGGAGTCGATAGCGGGGTAACTATACCATGGAGTACTTTGACGGCGACAGAGACATTTCAACTCGATCTGCAGGGAACCCCCCCCCTTTTGTGTACAGTACACTAGTGTAGTAGCGGGGTCTGATCATTGAAATAGTCTCCTGATTGATGTTTGCATTATTCTCAATACTGACATCTGCACGCTGCATGCAGAGCGGATACGGCAAGGATAAGTACATGTACTCTCAGGTAAAGTAAGTACTAGCAAAACTTGAAATCATGTCCATACCGTAGCGTAAGTGTTCTGGATATAATTTCGCTAATTTATCACAAACTGCGCAATCAAATGCACTTGCCGCCGTCCACCACCATCTCCGTCCCGTTGATGAAGCTGCCCTCGTCGCTAGCCAGGTACAGGCACATATTGGCAATGTCATCGGCCTCGGTCAGCCGGCCGAGAGGCACATTGCCGAGGAACTTGGCGCGGTTCTCGGGGGTATCCTCCATTCCGGTGAACATGGAGAAAAGACCCGTTCCTGACAGCAGGGGAGCGACGCAGTTCACGCGGATATTCTGGGGGCCGTACTCGGCGGCGAGACCTTTGGTGGCCTGTGCACTCATTAGGACTGAGCATTTCAGATCTTAGAGATAGTAACTCACGTTCGTCACAGCTCCCTTGGAAGCATTGTACCACACCAGACCCGGTCGGGGCCGTGCTGCACCCGTCGAGGAGATGTTGATCATCGAGCCACCCTGTCCCTGCTCGATGAGACGGGGAATCGCGATCTTGCCCGCCAGGTAGATGCTCTTCACATTCACCTTGAAGACACGCTCCCATTCCTCGTCGGTCACCTCCACGGTGGGCTGTTCCCCAGTTAGCCATCTGCATCTCCACCGGCAGTTGTGCTGAGCAGGTTACGGTGGAGAAAGGACATGATACTGACCTTGTTGCGATACGTCGTGCCCGCATTGTTGACCAGCACATCCAGACGACCAAACTTGGAAAACGCCAGATCCGTGACAGTCTTCCATGCATCGTCCTGTGTAACATCCGTCCGCTGGAAGACCAGATTCGCAGGGTTCTGCGCCGCGACCTTCTCGCCCCCCTCGACATTGATATCGGCGACAATAACCTTGGCGCCTTCTTCGCCAAATCGCCGAGCAATCGCGGCTCCGAAGCCGGACCCTCCTCCTGAATGGGCGATTGAATGAGCATGCTAGACATGGGATAGCGACCCGGAAGGCGAAGATGGGGAAAACATACCGGTGACAATGGCAACCTTGCCTTGCAGTCTCGATCCTGGGCCCGACATGAGGGATAGTACTGTAGTTGAGAAAGAAAGGTCACCAAGACGGCGAAGAGTTGCCGTTCTTAAGGGCGAAGAGGGGCGGCGATCGGCATGAATTCCGTGGGTTCCCCGCACTCGCTCTTTCTACTTCTACATTGTCCAATATTCAGAGAGAGACAAAACCATTACTCATTATATTCCAATAGTATTAAAGTACTCTATCACAATCAAAACATGCGCAACAAAATACCGCTGCTCTCCACCTGCGCCATCTTCCTCCACTCCACCATTCCGAGGCTATCGGCACCTTCAAGCTATAGCTGAGGGTACGAAGGCGACTAGGCACCGCCTCCAGCACCACCCCAAGCCATCTTGGGCCCAGCACTAGCTTTGATCCTTTTTTTCGTCATTATTCTATGCAATGGCGGCAGCGGTGGTGGTGGCAGCCCTGCCACGGACCCCGGGGGCACGTAGGTTGCCAAAGCCCCAAGCCACGCAGGAAATTGACCAGCAGGGAGACCGTATGTTTGGTAGTCTGGACCACGAGCACTAACGTATGCATTGTCCACACGAGGGAGCTCATTCGTGATGCCGGTCTTGAGTCTACTAAGCCACAGCGTGCCGTTCCCATCGGGGGCAGTGGCCGTGAACACCAGATGGCGCAGCCAATTCCCACTCGTTCTTGCCCAACCGAGCGGGACTTGCCCCCGGCGAACGAGACAGAAGCTTCTGCACCAGCGAGTGTATTCATAGTTGTTTGCGTCTCGCAGGGTAATGTCTATCAAAAATAAAGGCTCAATGTGCGTATTTCGCGCTGCGTCAAAAATTATGACTCCGACATAGCTAGCTTGAGTGAGGCCCATCCAGCAGAGGTCGTATAGCTCGGCTTCGGAGATTTCGGGATGTGTTGAGCCTGTGTCATCCAGGAAGGACAGGGTGAGGGTCCCCGCGTCACCCTGCGTGTTCCCTGGAAGGCTGACAGTGCAGTCGATCTGGAAAAAGAGAAGAGGGAGGGTTAGGTTGCAATTTCAATATGGAATTCAATCAGAGGGTTTACATACATTGTGTAGGTGATCCCTACCTCTAGGTGCAACCGGCATGGTCTGGGCCTTCTGCATGCTTGGTCCCGGTCCGCTCATCTATTCATCGAGGATAACGCCATGTCAGCTTGTTGACCCATCGACATCGCTGAACGGCATCCGGGCCCGGGCCGAAATAGACTTCATGACCGGCGCGGGTGAACCTACTCCTTCGATCCAGAACCCTTTATCCGCCGGCCCATGCTGGCTCAATGCGAGATCGACATCATTCCAGTCAAATGGTACCTGCCCTTGACCCATACTCGTCCCGTTCGACCAATATGACACATGTCCATCCTTCCATGCCAGCTGTCCTGATCGATAATGGGCCATAATCGCGTCCACATTAGGGATCTGCTGCTGCGGATCCCCGTCCGTGGCAAGATGGGTCCTGATCGCCTGTAGACTTTTCAGTCTCGTAACAGTGTCCTCGCTGAGACCCATGGGCTCGGAGGCAAGCATTGCGTTTTTCACTTTCAACCAATATTCGTACCGTACAAGGCGATGCTTCCACCAGTCAGGCATGATACCGTCGTCAATTCGGTCTTTGCATCGTTGGATGTGCCTCTCGATATCACTACAAAGCCGCATCAGTACCTGTATCATCATCCAATCAACGATTTGGCCGAGAAGGCCGGACATACTGCTCTGGGATATCATTGTCATGCGAGTTCCAGTCCAATTCAGGAGGAATCTTTTTGTAATCCGTAATGGGCGGGTTCTGCTTTGGATATCGTGTGTATGGAGCATAGGGGTTCGGTCCTGTGTACAGGCGCACGTCTGCGTGGCCGCGTGGTGGCATGTTGCAGGGTGACAAGCGTAGTTTTGAAACAAAGGCTTGGGACACAGAAGGAAGCAAGAGAGGTTGATGTGAGGGTTGAGAGAGTTCGGCGGGGTAAAGAATTGACAAGAAGACAGAGATGAAAGTAGAGGCGGACTCAAATTTATGCATCGGAGGCGGTGATGAACGACATCAAGAACACTCGGTGAGCCGAGAGTGAAAAATCAAAGAAGCTCGAGCTCTTTGGATCTTTTCAATTCAAGTTCTCAAAGGACTTCTAGTAGGACTTTTCACAGCCTGGTGCGACGCCCACGCGCGGAGCCCCGCTGAAATCGACCATGCACCGAATGCTCACCACAAAGCCCTCTCTGTGTTTCCGATTGCTGCACTCCAACATTCAAATTCCGTTGAGGTATTTCAACCGCAACTTATCAGTCAGCATAGCTTGTGAAAGGCGGAGGTTACAATCTTGAATGGGCTCACAATGTTGGGATCCCCCGGTCCATCGTGTTTACTGCTTTCGAGTGTTCCTCTGAGGATCGAGTGCCAATCAGCAACGAACACCCATGTCAATCGTTGCTGTCAAAGAGAATCTTTTGTCCCCTCTCTCTTTCAGTCACATTTTCCTTTCACTTCTCATGAGAAACGTATCCCTGCGCCACCATTCACTCGTCGCTCGCGAACTTCGACAGGTAAATCCGAATTCCCATCGGGCAGGATGACCACCGCCACTTTGTCCTCCTTGTTAAGCTCAGGCCGGCCCGTCACCAACTGAGCAAGTGCTGCGATGGCCGCCCCAGAAGATCTCCCACAAAACACTTCCTCCTCTCTCACGAGTCGACGTACAAGCTGAAACGAGTCTCGATCGAAGGTCTTGATCCAGATACTGGGCTCACTCTGGTCCAGCACTGCCGGCACAAATTCATACCCCATGCCCTCGACCTTGTACTCGTCTTTGAGTTTGTCGAGGGAGTCAGGCTGGGCAAGAACTGAGCCTATTGGGTCCGCTCCGACAACGAGGATGTCCGATTTGTGCTTTTTCAGTCCCCTTGACAACCCAGTTACGGCCCCCTGTTCCAGCGCCACTGACCACCATGTCCACTTCCCTTTTGTCGGCCAGCAACTCTCCTCCGCCGTCCCAGACTCGTGTGCCGCCGGGTTCTCGGAATTCGCATATTGATCCAGGATATAAGAGTTTGGGTCTACTCTGGAGACGTTGAGCGACGCTAATGATCGAGTCGGCAGAGTCGATGGGTACGCCCGCTGGAATGCGAACAACTTGTGCACCCAGCGCGGTCAATATCTGCTCTTTTTCGAGGGACATCTATTCGGAGATCGTGATGATACATCTGTATCATTTGGCGGCGGCCATCATGACGATGGCAAACCCTCTATCGAGCAGAAATGAGCCTTGATTGAGGAGTACAGAACGGTAAACAGACTTACGTGTGTTGCCGCTTGGTGCCTCGATTAGTGTATCGCCCGGCTTGATCTTGTCCCCCTTCTCGGCATGTTCGATCATTCGCTTGGCAATGCGGTCCTTCACTTAGCCCCGGGCGTTGATAAACTCCAGCTTGGCAAAGGCCTGGCATTTGATTCCAAGCGCGGCCGGAAGACGGTTGATGCGTATCAGTGGTGTTCCCTCGATGCAGTCCGCAATGGATTCGCCTCGACCAAAAAGGCACACCGGGTGTATTAGGGACCTTCATGGTTGATTGGTTGAAACAGATGAACTGACAAAGAAGGGGTCAAAATATATTTTCAAATAGTTTCATTCAATTTCTAGTCTCAATGGGAAATTTACAGGGTGAATCTTGCTAAGACTCATTGTTCCAAAATAGGGAACAGTAAGGGCCAATTCAGAAGGGGATCGAGCGCCACTGTTTTTCACCCTCTCGAGCCAGCCTGTGCCTACCTCGACTGGTTCTTACTCTACTATTTAGGGGGGCTTTGCGCTGAGTAGCCCTTGTTGCATCGGGTTTGGATTTTTGGGACTTTGACGACTTCTGAGATACCTGTATGCCCTAGCCATGCCGACGCCGGTGGATGGGATTATGCTCCTTAACCATTACTTGCTGTCAAGTCACTAGTGTAATCAGTGGATTTTTCAGTGAATTGACGCACAAATGCATGGCCAAGAAATGCCCCATTGGCTGGTGTTCGCATGGCTAGAGCGTATAGGTATTGCAGAAGTCGCCAGCTATTCCCTTCTTGCGATGTTTTGATTAGTGCGGTGGCTTTAACGGTTCCGAAATCTTGGAAAGTCTCTCTTTCATCCAAAACGCAGCGGGAAGTGTAACAAGTCCCTTTGACTGTCGGCTCGCCCACCGAGGACTCAAAACCTTGCATTTCGCAATGCCTCGGCTCTCACGACTGCCCTCGAGGGATCACCTCATGTTCTCAGCGTCAATTACTCTGGTCTTGCGAGTCATCCCCAGCGGCGGATTGCGATCCAGCAGCACCGAGATGGCATGGGTGGAGGCATGATCTCGTTTCGCATTCGAGGGGGTTCAAAAGCAGCTCAAGCGTTCTGCACCTCGTCCAAGCTGTTTTTCTCGGCGGAAGGTTTGAGAGGCTTGGAGAGTATTTGTGCGATCCCCACGGTCATGACGCATAATTGCATGTCGAAAGAGGCAAGGCATCAAGCTGGTGTTTTTGATCATTTGATCCGGCTGAGTGTTGGTGTGGAGAATGTTGGAGATCTGGTGGAGGATGTGTTCGAGACGCTGAGGGCTGTAAGTACCCGCCATTAGTATGCCTTTCTCTAGGATAGGGTACTATACGCTTGGATCGCATGGTAAACACTGCACTTGCCTCTTCAAAATCACACTATTTTCGGCTGGCCATTAAGCATTTCAGTTTTGGTGTATTCTTGAACATAACAATTACTCTTCCTTCGCAGACTCTTGTCGAACTTCTTCACGCCGATCGCCGTGGCTGTGGCGAGGCTCTCTCCGCTTTTGCGCTAACAGCCACGACATCCTTCTCAGCCTTTTCTTGGCCTCGTTTCGTCTTGATCTGTCGGCCATGCTCCCACCCCGGACCTCCTCGACTTAATGTCGCTGCTGCCCGCTGTGCTGCCACTCACCCCCCATGGAGATGCGTGAGGGCGCTCCATTGCCGACCGAGTCGCCGTCCCCCACCACCGATGCGACGACCGACCAACCGCGACGGAAGCGACAGCGTCGCTGGCACCACCGAGGTTTTACTGGGTGTCAGACATGCAGGAGGCGCCATGTGCGTTGCGATGAGGCCTCGCCGACTTGCAACAACTGCATGCGGCTTGGGCTGGATTGTTCTGGCACCCAGGGCATGACCTTCAAAGTGTTCGGCGGCCCGAAGAAGGACAAGGAGACACCACAGTCCAATCCGCCGCAGAAACGGAGGAAACTCGACAGCCCGGACTCCTCGAGCGAGTCGTCGACCGGGAGTCCGGGTATTGTGGTCAAGAGGGAGGAGGAGCCGTGCGATGGCCTGGTGGTGTCGCCGACGACGCTGCCGTTGCCCAAGACGATGCAGTTTCAATTCCGCTTCCAGGAACCCATCTCCCCGGCCAACCTGATGGCCTCGACAATTCAATCGCCTGACGATCGCTACTACACGCATTTTATCGATCAGGTCTCGACCCTGCTTTTGATCTACGACAATTCCATGAACACGAATCCGTACCGGAGTTGTTTTCCCGATTTCGCACGATCGTCGCCATCGATGGTCGGCGCCATGCAGGCCCTGGGCGCATTGCACCTCGCCAACACCTCGGTCGGTCCACCGCGCAACAAGCATTTCCAGCATGCCATGGGCAAGTACGGAGAAGTGGTGAAGCTGTTTCGCGATCGGTATACCCAGCCGAGCGAGCAGCTGGGCATGACGGACTTTGCGACATGTCTCTTGTTATGTTTATTTGAGGTGAGTAAAGGACGATGCACGAATGATGGAAAAAGTGCTGACACTATTATTGATAAGATGATGGACTCGCAACAACAGAACTGGAAGGTTCACCTCAAGGGAGCACGCGCAATTTACAACCTCATCTTTTTCCCACACGCCAATAGCCCCGCTCACGAAGAAAAACGACTCGTTGAAACAAATCACCCTCTACGATCGTTTCTGGTCTCATTATTATCATATCTCGATGTGGCTGGTGCCTGTGCGACCCCCGGTGGGACAGTCGTGCAAGGCAATTACTGGAAGACCCTGGGAGGCGGATGGGAATACAATCTGGGGATTCCGAGCTTGTCCTCGGGGACGATGCCAGACAACCCCCGTCTAGTCGAGCTCCGCGCCGCATGGTCCGGCATGATGGAGGTGCAGGCGGAGATTAGCACCTTTGCCCGCGATAAACAATGGATGTCTCCCGAACACCAGGATATGATCTACAAGGAGATCTTCCATCGGTTGGTGATTTGGCGTGCCAGTACTCCGGTGAGCCTGCAACTACTTGGGGACATGGACCTGGACGATGACTCTCTGGCTCGATTTCCGTTCCCAGACATGCTGGAATACGTGGGCTGCATCGAGGCCTACGAAAAGGCGACCTTCGTGCATTTGCATCAGGTGGCTGGAGCCGGCCGACCGAACTGGATCTCCGATCGAACGTATTTGGACATGCTAATCACGCGTATCATCACCTTGATTCGCAAGCTTTCCAAAGACGTAGGCCAGCTGGCTGTGTTGTGGCCACTTTTTATCGCGGGCCAAGAGACTCGACAGAATCACGAACAGGAATACGTCCGTGCCACCATGCATGAACTCCGGCGTTTTGGCTTCAGGAACGTTGACAAGGCTTTTCAGCTCCTAGAGGATCTTTGGTTCAAGCGACGCGTTTTCCCCGAGGGATGGACTGAAACCCTGGACGAGATCCAGTCGAATATTCTTCTTCCATGAGCTTGCTCATCAGACCATGCATCCATATATAATACTCCGTCCCCACTCAGCAATCATTCTCGACCGGCTTCGACGCCGTCTACACTTCTCTTTTGGAGCGTATCATTTCGCGGACTGCTTGTGACACATCTCTTTGACATTACCGGTTATTTTCATCCTTGCATTATTGTTTCATATATCCATCACGCTTACATATACCACCCGCCAGACTACTGCATCTCTGGCCTACATACACCATGTTACGATCTAGCACATGCATGTCCCAACTTCAATCTCCCGATACATAGTTATTTGTAGAGCGGACCCAAATTTTGCACTTTTGCCTTTTTGCACATAATACTACGACCATACACACTCTAAGAAATCAGGCCCGATGTCATCTCGCAGAAATCAACTTGTCATGTCGTCCCATCTGTCGATCGAGGCTTGATCGCGAAGCTGGCAGGCCCCAAAAGTGGACCCGCTCGCAACCGGTTTCTCAACAAATGAAACACGCCGTGGCTGTTGATCTTCAAGATCCTGCGGGCATGCGATGGCGCAGTGACGCTGTCAGCGTATCGTGAATTCTGCGTTCGTTTGACCCCGTTTTGTACCACCCTTTTTCCGTCTCATCTAATGTGCATGGTCTGATATCGCTGGGACCTTAAGGGTAGATTAAGGACTGATCCCCCACCGTGGGTCGCGACTAACCGTAGCTAAAAAGAACGAAGCACTTGCGGACCAGACAGCTCCGGTTGTACTATTAAATCTACGAAGCTCGATTCCGTTCTTGCAACATCACAATGTGATAAGTTAGGTCAGCCTGCGTCCACCGTCCGCGTGGGAGGGTGATGATTGGATGACTATTACAATACATCTTCGACAAGGACGTTTTCATTTTCTTATTCTGCAATTTGCCTCGCCTCGACAGTTATAACTTTTGTTTTTATTTTTATTTTTATTTTTTTTCTTTTAGCAAAAACAACCGATATCGGGCAGTGGACCGGTTAGTGTAGTGCTCTGGACTAACTCTGGTGCTGGGTGTGTACTTCGCGGACTTTCCCGTATTTTATTTTAGGTGGGCCCGCGCGACTCGGGGCCAAAAGCTAAAATCGGGGAAATTTTTTTAACCTGCAACAAACCCTTCACGTTACACTGCGATCGGGACAGGGAGTCTATACCGGTGTTTGCGATTCTCCGCTCTTTCTGGAAATGGTGCACGAGCACGAGGATCTGGTCGTCGATCGCGACGACCTGGTCGCTGGCGAGACCGATCGTAGTGAGACAGAGTCCAAGGACGATGCCGCCCTGCTGGTGAGTACCAAGCTGTTGGAAGATTAAGATCGGACTATTCTAACAATGTACACAGCGGACGATGGGATATAAGCCGGTATGTGATCACTATTATCGACACTTCTAGCGGAATGCTGAGTGATCGACATGCTTGATGCTTATTTCATCCATGACAGGTACTGCACCGGACATACTCGCTCTTTGAGAACTTTGCCACGACATTCGGTACGTATCAGATCTTGTCTTACCTGCCATGCATCTGCTATACATCTGCTAAACTCATCCAGCGGCCCTCTACTTCGTCGGCGGAGTGCGCGTCACCTTCAGCACTGGTGTCGCCGCCGGTGGAAACCTGGCCTATTGGACCAGCTATCTGGTCACCATGGTCTTCACCTTCATCACCGCCGCTGTCATCGCAGAGGTCTGCTCGGCCTCCCCGTCAGCCGGCTCCATCTATCTGTGGGCTGCCGAGGCCGGTGGTCCTCGATACGGCCGGCTGCTCGGCTTCATCGTCGCGTGGTGGAGTACCACCGCCTGGACGACCTTCTGCGCCAGCAACACCCAGTCCGCGGTGAACTACATGCTTGCCGAACTGACTGTCTTCAATGTGGACTTTCCCAAAGACACCGACGACGTCAAGTTCCGCGCTGTTCAGTGGATCTGCACTGAGATCCTGCTGGCCCTCGCCGCTTTTCTCAACTTTATGCCGCCGCGGTTCTTCAAGGCTGTTTTCTGGCTCTCGGCCAGCGTGGTCATGTTAGATTTCTTCCTGAACCTCATTTGGTTGCCCATCGGTACGTCCCAGACCTGGGGCTTCCGCACGACCCACGAGGCTTTCATGACTACCTACAATGGAACCGGTGCTCCGGATGGCTGGAATTGGTGTCTTTCGTACCTGGCTACTGCCGGTATTCTGATCGGATTTGATGCGTCTGGTCATGTTGCCGAAGAGACCAAGAACGCTTCGATGACGGCCGCCCGTGGTATTTTCTGGAGTACCGTCGCTAGTGGATTCGGCGGGCTTGCGACGATCATCCTGTTCCTGTTCTGTGCGGTAGGTTTCAGTCTGACACACCCCATAATTGCACCTGTGTTGAACTTTGTCACTAATTCTCGTTCTTATGAGTAGCCCGATACTGAGACGCTGATGAGCTTCGGCTCCCCTCAGCCATTCGTCATGCTCTATGAAGCTGTCCTTGGTCGGGGCGGTCACGTCTTTATGAACGTCATCTGTGTCGTTGCTCTATGGCTGGTAAGATACATCCTAACATTCTTCTGTTCTGTCTGACTTGTTGTAGAACACCGCGATTGCAATAATCGCCGCCTCACGTCTCGTCTTTGCGGTCGCCCGTGACGGTGTCCTCCCATTCTCTGGCTGGGTCTCCCAAGTACACAACGGTCAGCCCCGGAACGCCGTCATCGTCGTCTGGGGTGTTGCCGCCCTCGTGACATGCACCATTCTCCCCTCAAACGTTGCTTTCACGTCCCTGGTCTCTGCCGCCGGTGTTCCGAGCGCGGCCGCCTACGGCCTTATCTGTCTGGGCCGACTGCTCTGCACTCCGAAGCGATTCCCCAAGCCTGCTTGGAGTCTGGGTCGTTGGAGCAAGCCGTTCCAGTTCATCGGTGTGTTCTGGAATGGATGGGTAGTTGCTGTTCTGTTCTCCCCCTATGCCTGGCCTGTCACTGGCGCGAACCTGAACTGTGAGTTCCAAGTTTCGTTATAGGAGGTCTTTATATTAAATGCTAACCTCTGACTAGACGCCCCCATCATCATGTCTGGTGTCACCATCTTTGCGCTGATCTCCTACTTTGCCATGCCGGAGAGCGCCTGGCTTCCCAGCAACCGCATCTCGCACTTTATTGACAGCAAGGGTGCTGTCGAGACGGTGGAGGAGGTCGAGCCTTCGACACAGGATGAGCCGAATGTTGTGAAGCGTCGATGATGTCGGTCATCAAAGATTTCCTTAATAGTGGGTGAGCTCTGCGAGGGAAATACCCGATGAGATCGAGCTGGTTAGAGCCACCATAATTACTGTACATTGGAGCAGCATTAGTGCTCTAGAGTTGCTGCCATATTAGAAACGATCTCTGCATCTATGTTTTGAATTATAATTAAAAAATTTTTTTTTGAGGGATGATAGGACAAGGAGAATATAGATTCGAGGTCCAGCGTGTGTCGAGAGTACATGTGGTAAAGGTCATGAATCACATGACTTCTGCTTAGGTACGGACTTCTTAATCAGGACTCCGTGGTCGAGATTTGCTGCAGTGTTGCTGTGTAGGGTAATGATATGTCTGATACTACCCTAGGGTAGGGCATCTGACAAGCTATAGGTCCGATCTTTAGCCAAAGAGGAACTCGAGAAAACAGCTTGAATACCGAGCCTCAAAGCTGTAAGATCTTAATTAGAACTGGTGCAACCGACAGCATTCTCCATCAAGCAGCGTAGCTCCCCCATCGAAGTCCTGGGGCTACCATTGCACAGTTTTCATCTAGAGGTATGGTGCGTCTATTTACGAATCTCCTGTGGGGGTATCTATAGTATACTATGGGACCACTATTACTACCGCGGCAGAACTGATGTGGGACCCAGCCGGGCGATCCGCGACCTCCACCACCCCCGCACCCCACGGGGATTAAGTGTGGCGTCCTCCGTCCAGTCAATCCTCGCTGCGTCCTGCGAACGGCCCCCAAACCATTCGCAGCAAATCAACGAATCCTCCGACGCGGACTGTTTCATCGCAAGGTCGCTTCTCCCCCTCACACGAACACCTCCGATCCTCGCTACTTTCTCACCCAAGCGCCCTCCGCCCTTCTCTTCTCCCTCTCAACCTCCTCCACTCCTTTCGATGCGCCTTCCCTGGTGATACCTTCGTGCCCTGCGATTCCATCATGAGTGCCCCGCTGCCTTTGCGGTCGCTAGGGCCGTGTCTCGTACTAGGTGCGCGTGTGGGGAGATCCTTGACAACACAAGGTATGTCGCGCGTCACAGCAGTGCAGGCGGTGCGATGCACCAGCAATGCATTTTCTCACCAGCTGGTCCAGTTGCTAATTCCTTCTCGAACAGTCTCTCAGCTTAGGCAGCTCGCGTTTCTTTCAACTTCGCAGCGAAAGCCCTGTTGCTCGCTCCAGCCGCCCTGTCAATGGATCGCCAAGCGCGCTGCTTCGACCACCCCTCCGGCCTCGGATCCCGTCTCGACCATCCCCTACAGCTCGTTGACCGTGGGCGTGCCCCGCGAGACATACGAAAATGAGCGCCGTGTGGCCATCACCCCACAGAACGTGGGCATGCTCCTCAAGAAGGGCTTCTCGCGCGTCCTCATTGAACGCGGTGCTGGTGAAGGTGCGCAGCTCTTAGACGATGCGTACGTCAAGGCGGGCGCGACACTGGTCGACCGCGACGCGATCTACTCGGAGAGTGACATTGTCATGAAGGTCCGCAACCCGCAGATTGACGGGCCTTTCAACGAAGTGCAGGCTCTCCGCAAAGGCTCAACGATTATCTCTTTCTTGTACCCGGCCCAGAACAAGTCCATTGTGGAGGCCCTCGCCGCTCGTGGTGTGACCTCGTTTGCTATGGACAAGATACCTCGAATTTCCCGTGCTCAGACCTTTGATGCACTGAGCTCCATGGCCAACATCGCTGGTTACAAAGCTGTTCTCGAGGCATCGAACCATTTCGGACGCTTCCTGACCGGCCAGGTTACTGCTGCTGGAAAAATCCCCCCAAGCAAAATGCTCGTCATCGGTGCGGGTGTTGCGGGTCTGAGTGCAATAGCCTCGGCCCGGAGGATGGGGGCTATCGTGCGCGGCTTCGATACTCGTCCCGCTGTACGCGAACAGGTGCAATCGCTCGGTGCTGAGTTTATTGAGGTCGATATCCAGGAGGATGGCGCGGGCCAGGGTGGTTACGCCAAGGAAATGTCTAAAGAATTCATCGAGGCCGAGATGAAGCTCTTCATGGAGCAGGCTCGCGAAGTTGACATTATCATCACCACGGCATTGATTCCTGGACGGCCTGCGCCAAAGCTGATCACTAAGGAAATGGTGGCTGCCATGAAGCCGGGTTCGGTTATTGTTGATCTTGCAGCCGAGGCCGGTGGAAACTGTGAAGCTACCGTGCCTGGACAGCTCGCCAGCTACAAGGACGTGACGATTATCGGCTATACCGACCTGCCTTCGCGTTTGCCTACCCAAGCCTCAACCTTGTACTCCAACAATATCACCAAATACCTCCTGTCAATGGCTCCGAAAGAGAAGTCATTCGGTATTGATTTCAATGACGAGGTAGTCCGTGGTTCGATCGTCACTCAAGACGGCGAGATCATTCCTCCGGCTGCGCCTCCCGCTCCTCCCCCCACTCCGAAGCCGGAGGCCCAGGCTGTTGCCGCGAAGAAAGAGGAAAATCTTGAGTTGACGCCGTGGCAAAAGGTTACTCGGGATGTTGCAACAGTCACCGGCGCAATGGGCACTACCCTGGCGCTCGGAAAAGCCACCGGCCCTATGTTCATGGGTAATATGATGACATTCGGTCTTGCTGGCCTGGTCGGTTACCGCGCCGTGTGGGGTGTTGCCCCTGCCCTGCACTCGCCGCTGATGAGTGTGACCAATGCTATCTCCGGTATGGTTGGTATTGGCGGTCTGTTCATTATGGGCGGTGGTTTTGTCCCGAGCACTCTTCCCGAATACCTCGGTGCTGCTTCCGTGCTGTTGGCTTTTGTCAATGTGTCGGGTGGGTTTGTGGTCACCAAGCGCATGCTGGACATGTTCAAAAGACCCACTGATCCGCCAGAGTATCCATGGCTCTATGCAATCCCGGGATTGGTGTTTGGCGGGGGCTTCGTCGCAGCTGCCAGCACGGGAATGGCTGGTCTCGTCCAGGCCGGGTATCTCGTTAGCACGATCCTCTGCATGAGCTCTATTTCCGGTCTGGCCTCGCAGCAGACTGCTCGACGTGGAAACATCTTCGGCATTCTTGGAGTGATTTCTGGAATTCTGGCTTCTCTGGCTGCTGTGGGTTTCGACACTGAAACCCTCACACAGTTCGCTGTTGTTGCTGGAACAGGTGCCATCCTTGGAGGATTGATCGGTCGTCGCATCACTCCCACTGGACTGCCACAGACTGTCGCTTCTCTGCATTCCGTGGTCGGTCTTGCGGCCGTCCTCACCAGTATTGGCAGTGTGATGGTCGACATTGATCATGATATCTCCACTCTCCACATGGTCACGGCATACATGGGTGTCCTCATCGGCGGAATCACCTTCACAGGCTCAATCATCGCCTGGGGAAAGCTTGCTGGAAAAATTTCTTCCAGCGCTAAAATCCTCCCTGGTCGTCATTTGATCAACTCAAGTCTTCTGGCCAGCAATGCTGCCACCATGGGTGCATTCGTGACGATGGCCCCAGGTAACCCTGGCATTGCAGCGGCATGTCTGGGTGCAAATACTTTGCTCAGCTTCACGAAGGGCTATACCACCACCGCTGCCATCGGCGGTGCCGATATGCCTGTGGTGATCACCGTGCTAAACGCGTATTCCGGGTTCGCGCTGGTTGCCGAAGGTCTCATGCTCAACAACCCCCTTCTGACGAGTGTGGGGAGCTTGATTGGCGTGAGCGGCTCAATTCTATCATACATAATGTGTGTCGCCATGAACAGAAGCCTCACAAATGTCATATTCGGGGGTCTGCAGGCGCCTCAGACACAAAAGAAAATCGAGGGCGAGGTCACACAGACCAGCGTCGACGATACGGTGGATGCGCTCACCAATGCTGAGAGCGTGATTATCATCGTCGGATACGGAATGGCCGTCGCCAAAGCGCAATATGCGCTGGCCGAGATTGTTCGCCTGTTGCGCGCCCGCGGTATCAATGTCCGCTTCGCCATCCACCCGGTTGCCGGCCGTATGCCTGGTCAGTGTAACGTGTTGCTCGCCGAAGCGTCCGTGCCATATGATAGTAAGTTTTGCTCCGCCCGGCTGTAAGACATTGACTAACCCGCTTTGTAGTTGTGCTCGAAATGGATGAGATCAACGACGATTTCGCCGACACAGACGTTACGCTAGTGATCGGTGCCAACGACACCGTCAACCCTATCGCGATGGAACCCGACTCTGCTATCTCGGGAATGCCCGTGCTCCACGCGTGGAAGAGTAAGGAAGTTGTTGTCATGAAGAGGGGCATGTCTTCTGGATATGGTAAGAAAAAATCTATATTAACCGTTGCTCTCCATTCCGTGCCATTGACTAACATCTTCTCCATCAATAGCGGAGGTACCCAATCCGATGTTCTTCATGCCAGGAACCAGAATGCTCTTTGGCGATGCAAAGACCTCATGCGATGCCATCAAGTCTGCCCTGGAGGCACGAAAGTAGGCATTTCATTTGCACTTAGCGTTCTCGTTTTTCGGATTGATCCCTCTGGAAGATCACTAGGCTTTTTGCCTTGGTTGTATCTTCCATGTCTGTTCTTTTGATCGGGGTTATCTGGCTAGCAGTAGCGCTAATTGCCGCCATATACCATTTGCGATTTCCATTGTAGCCTGTGCATTCTCAACAGTCAACATCAAGGTAAATTAAAGGTTACGGACAAACCTTGGCCGAGCTGAGGCCACGAGCAACAGGGCTTCAGCGACCTACCCGCATTAGGCGGTACAGGACGAATATCCGAACTCAGGGTTCTGCTCCGAAGACCAGAAATTATTTTATTACCATAATAGATACCCACTGTTAACTAGCCAATACTGATAGTGTTCACTCTGATACAACTAGCCTCATTGGATTATTCCTTCCCACAGTTGTGGAGTTAGATCATCCGAAAATAGCATGACATGTCGATCATTGGGCCGTGCTTAGTCTCGTACTGTTTCTCGCTAAGCTACGATGAAAATTTTGCAAGTAAATTTCACCAATGTCACTGACAGGTTATCATTCCAAGCATATCGGAGTCTATCTGATCAAAAGGAACATCATCCTCCAAGCCCGGTAGTCCAGCAATCGAAAGAACAACGATCATGAAAAGACTTACAACAGCACCAATGAAAAGCAAAAACCCGACCGAAATGTGCGCTCTCCAGCCACATCCATTCCCTATTCACTCAGGTTACCTAATGACGCTCGTAACCAATATAAGACGTCATATAGAATAAGACAAAATGACGCGTCAAGCAAGGCCAAGCCAGCCAAAGACGCCAACCCCACCACTGGCAGGAACATCGAGTCCAAAACCAAAAACGGAAAACAATCCGACGTCAAATTCAAATTGGGATAGAGACAAAAATCAGAAGAACCGCCGGTATATTCGCCGATCGAAAGGAGTAAACCCGTTGCAGATCCATAATTAAATCAAAGTCAAATCAGAAACAATCAGACCAGCCATTCCCGAACCGCACCGAACTGAACCGAACCAAACCCCGTTAACTGAGTAATTGAGTTACAAGCCAAGACTAAAGACAAATCCGCTCCATAGAAAGACATTACCAAATTAATATACTTCGAACGTGAATAGAACCGGGTGAGTGTGGTATGCGTAAAGCAGAGGGTAGAGTAGGTGAGAATTAGGAATTAGGTTCTCGTAAAAGCCCTCTTTCCAAACTTGATCCCCATGAATCCCTTACCCGCATGAGCAGAGCTATTATGTCGGGCATGTCGGCGCTGACTCGGTTTGCGCACGACGTGCGCGTCATAGTTCATCGTGCTGACGACGGGCTGGCTGGAGGAGGCCGAGGCGGTGGGTGCTGTGTCCATTTCCGAGCGGAGACTGCTCATTGAGTGGATGCTGGAAGAGGCAGAGTGTTTGCGGGTCACGCGGCGCATCATCGGGGAGCGGTGTGCTAGGATATTGGAGACACTGCCCTTAGAGCTGTGTGTGGGACCACACTTGGAAAAGGGCGGGGACGAGGCTGTTGAGGCTGGGCTGCAGGTGCGGGTCAGCGAGCCGGCATCGCTGTTGTGATCAGCGATGTAGCCTGGTCGGATATCGTCTCGGAATGGAGAGACCGGGCGGGAGATATCGCGGTAGCAAGGCACGCTGCTGTTGCTGTCGCTGCGGATGGAGGCTGGGCGCGGGGGTGTATCTGTTGGCCGGCGGGGGCGGGTCGAGGCCGGTGGAAAGGGCTTCTCGGAGCCTGCTGTGCGTGGTCGGGGTCGATACATGGATTGAGGTCGAAGACGTGGTGAGGGTGGGATGTAGGGAACCACCGGGATCTCAGAGACGTTGGCAATTGTGGCTCCGGGAGGTAATTGCGTATCTTCCAGTAGGGGAGTCATGGAGGGTGTGGAGCAGGCGGATGATCCACCTCGCTCGGACGAGGCCATGCTATCCAGGCCTCGCGGAGAGGGTTTGGAATCCATCAGCCGGGGCACTTCCAATGTGCTCTCGGTTTTGGGGAGATATATCCGAGACTCGCGGTTCGCCCGAGTCCGAGAGTTATTCGACCGCGATCTCGAGCCCTTGGAGCGGGTACCCAGCGAGTTGATAAAGACCAATGTTGGTCGAGTGGGAGGCTCCATCATGGTGACTGTCTTGGCCGTCTGGATTTCCGCATGCTCGACGGAGAATATAGATGATGGGGAAGGCGAGCGGGACCGAGATTTGTTGGTGGGTATCGAGTTGGGTGCCACATAGATCGAGGGCTTCAAGAACATGCTCGATGCCAGTGCTGGAGTGCTTTCTGGAGAGGGTAGCTCCAAGACCATATCCTCTTCGGGGTCAAAGACGTAGGCGTCGTCTCCAAAGGTGGCATTGCTGTTGCGCTTCAGGGTGTCCATCGAGACGGGCCGTGGTTGTGGCTGTGACCGCTTGTTGGTTGTCGATAGCGGCTCCGGTGCGAGCAAGTCATGGTGCTCCTCTCTATCTGAATCCGGATCAATCTGAGAGGACGCCTCGTCAGCACTCAGATCCGAATCGAAAGTACCAGCTCGCTGGGAGCCGACAAGCGAGGGAAAAAAGTCATGGCCGCCAGCATCCGATTCGGAGACAGCCTCTTCGTCTGATTCGTATCTGTCGTGGAGGCTTTGTCTACTCAGACGGTGCAGGTCGAGTGAGGGCGTAGAGTCGTACATTTTGCCGGTGATACTTCGGGCGTCATGTAGGTGTCAAGTAGTGGCAGTATGGGTATGGTCATCCGTATACTGTGCCAGACAGGAACAGCAGAGAGTATGCGAGGGCCAGCCCGTCGTGAGAGAAACACAACAAGAGGAAAATTCAGCCAGGTACCAGTGCCGCAGTCTAATATGGCACGGGTGTAGAGTCGCAACGGAGATCCCGTCGGCTGCACGACACGGGCAGGGAAAGGTCGTTAAGGACGGGTGGGACCAGGGTGAGCTGATGAACAGGGGAGCCGCCCTCGATGCCATCCACAGGAACCTTGGAACCAACGGGCGGAAGGGTTGAAGAAAAGACGTGAAGAACCCGGTTCCACTTGAATGAATCCACCGGGAGGAGCCAGGGCCTTTTTTAGAAGTGCGCCGGTGGAAAAATCCAAAATCCAATAAATGCATTGATCGAAAGTAGAAAATAGAAAGCAAAGAGGGGACGAATCCCTGTCCACGTGTTGGGGCAAGATAGTCCCTGGCGCATTACTTTTCCTGCTGGTGGCTTGCCCTCGACTAGCGCTGTTCTCCTGCATCTCCTGCGTCTCCTGTCAGTGCAGGATCGCGCGCTCTCCTCACCCTGCATTACTTTGACAGGGAGGCTGCTCCTGTGGGATGGGATGTCATCGATGTGATGTGTGATTTGTCAATAGCAGAGGAGGGGGCACAACCCCTCCAGCGCGAGCCCTTGCATGGGATGGCTGTTGGGATGGGATTGGGGGGATGGCCAGGAGACGAGAGGAGCCCGTTTCACCAGGGCGACGCGCGCCCTCTCGTCGCGAGAGGCTGGCGACGAAACCTAAATGAAGGCTGCGACGCCCGGGAAAAATCTGATAGATCATCGTGAGCTGTCGTTGGCTCTGGTCCATGCGCCTTACGCTGGGGCTGCATGACCATCCGGCGGCATCATTGGGCCGGGTGCTCGCTAGTGTGCAAAGGAAGAACTGGCGGCGACAGCTAGATTGAGATTGGGTCAGGGGGAATTGCAGTGCACATCCATGAGAATGCCTGGCACTAGCATTCGCAAGTGCTTCGCACTGGCGGATGCTCAGCGGGAGCAGGGTCGCAGCGATCCTCGGGACAAAGCAGGGGACGATCAAACCACCGGAAGAATATCCAGTCGGTTCACCATTCGGGTGTGGAAGACTGAGAATTGAAGCGCCGGGGTGGAGCAGTGGATGGGATGGCATCCAACGGAGGCGCAAAGAGGAAGTGCCAAGTTTAGCCGCCGTGCCAGCGCGGTGGGGCCGAGTATAGCTCAAACACACCACGAACTCCCTGGGGGGTGCGCTAGCCTCACTCCGAAACAACTACTCCGCAAGCAGTCGGGCCTAGTAATGTGTATAGTACCTGCTCTACTACCTTACTACATACTGCTAGCTACACGATAGTATAGTAGGTCCTAGAGACTAAGAGCTACAAAGCGACAGTAGGTGTAGATACCGTGGTGCCCTATCTGCCCTAGAGCACCCTCCCTTCGGGTAGGTAGTACTAGGAATTGTCACGACCTTAACCCGAACGGGCCAGGAGTGCGCAATGCAATGCAGAGGGTCTTCACGTCAAAATACCCTAGGAGGGCGACCGAGGGCAGTCTGAGAGCAGGAGAATGAGGGATGGTCTTCCTGGCGAAGGAGTACTCTCTCCCACGAAAGTACTAGGACTCCTAGGACTCCTAGATATGGACAGCAACCACTATCTAGGACGAAGCCATCCATTCCCTCCCTCCGCTGCCACTCCTCTGCTTCTGCAGATTCCTTCCCCCGGTATCCCTCAAGCACTCCCAAACTACTAAGTGCTAACTGCATCCAGCAATGACCAGCCGCTCCTTGCATCGCCCACCCCGGCGAATCGGCGAATTCATCCGTCGGAGCTTCGCACTATCGTTTCGCATATTTATAAATCACATTTGGCACTCGCAGCATCGGGTAAAATTCAATAGAAAATGCCGCCCGACCCGCCCCGCAACCATTGCAAACCATTCCCACACCATCTCACTCTTGCAGTCGCCACGTCAGGCAAGGAACTCAGTAGTCCAACGCCCAAGCTCCTCTTCTCAACGACATGACGACATGGAGCATGGCTAGTGCCAGACTGGCTTGAGGGGGTTGACCGCCAGTACACTCGCTGAGTGTAGGCCAGTCCCACCGAATCCGCACTCCATCCTAACTGTCGTTCGGTATAGAATGCCACTAACGGCTCCAGGACGTGTGCGCTAAACCAATTCTCCCATAGGTACGGATCATATGTATGCATATGTACGTGCGTGTATTCAAACACCGAAGCAGGACCACTTTCCAATCTGCCCGGTCCGTCCCCAAACGAGAAACAATTCATGCTAGTCACGATGCTGCGCGAGACGCCCACGCCTTGATGCTCCAGAGTATCTCCACATCTCGCCTGTTTACCGCCGACTTGCTTTTGCCTGTGTAAACATGGCATGGCAGCGTGGATTCCGCCGAGCCCTGCAGATCGTATTCTCGGATCAAAATCGGCTTTGTCATGGCGTGCAAGCAAGGCGCCTGTCCAACTTCCCACTTCCAATGACAGGCGATATGCTAGACGCTGCTCTCCACATTTCGGTCTATTGAAAATCTCCCGGCCACGCTGATGTGATGCTGATCGCTCCGTCAGTGCATCGACGACCGTTTGGAGGCTGGAAAGCCTATTATTGCTCTGCCAGGATGAAGGTCCTTCATGCGCTTGCATGGCAGATTCCCTGCAGTTGGGCGACTATCGGTCTCCAGGATCGGATGGGATGGCTGGTGAGGCTGGTTCGGAATGCGATCTGCTCTGCTCGCACGGGGGATCGGAGGCTGCTCCATACATGTACATCCAGGTGCGATGCGAGTTCTCTTAGTCGATCATTGCTCGCTGTAAGCCTGACGATATGCCGAGGGTCGACCTGTCACTTGGTAGCATTGTTTGTCCCCCGTCGCACAAGCCTCCTGCATGGATCGACGCCCAGCGACGGTGGATCCGCCCTGCCCGGCTCCGGAATATACCTCGTAGCCTGGTGTGGAGGGAAAGTCTATGGGTTGCCCCATCAACAGAATGTTTTTATTGACAACGATAGATGACTCTTCGATGTGTATCTGGCCGCGTTGATTTTGTCAATTTTGTCAGCTCTGGGGTTGAACATCTAACTATGCGGTTGCTCGCCTGGAGCTTGCGGAGGCTGCAACGCGGTATGCAGGACGCTATCGAATCGCACATGCAATGTATGGAGTACGGAGGATTAGATAGGCGTTCCCCATGAGGATCTCAGCTGCGAAAGGGAAGACTGTGTCCTTGCTTTTGTGTGGGCTTGCCCACCATATCCACCCATATTGGCGATTACACGTCGATAATGTGTGTCCTCGCTTCACGGGGCTGGGAGTGAGCAAACTACAACCGACTTTCGTGAAATTTGTTCAGCCCCATCAGCCAGCTATTCGGTTCGTTCTTTTTCACATCAAACGTAATTGTAAGCTAAGAGTCAATCTAATCCACCCAGGTACAATTGTCAGCTCCATTCCAGCTTCCTCTTCTTTTTGCATCTCCCTGGCTCTCTTTATCTGGAGCAAGTACTGTCATTCGCAACCTTTTCCGTTGATATCTACCCACTTACTATCTCGTCAAGATTCTGTGAGCTCACACAATACCTTCGGCAGGTGTGCTTGAACCCACTCCGAGGGCCACAGAAGCAGCGATATTGATATTTGATCTACAATCGCATCGGAGTGTGTCAACATTAGTCGAGATAATGTGCAATACCATCAATCGATTGGCCCTACATTGACCGAAATGTGAGCTAGACTAGCTCGATGAAAACAATAGGAGCGCAGCCTTGAATGCATTACCCCCAAGGGTTACTCAAACAACTTCCCTGCCATATGAATACAGCAATCATGGGCATCTCAACCCATGAGACTGGTCCATGTGAAGCCAATCGTTATAGGGGATTTATATCGGCCACAATTAGAACCTGTTTCTTGAAACAGTAATTTCTTAGTGTCGAAACAACAACATGGCTATTGGCCAGTACTTCCAATGTCATGGTAGAACTCATCCAAATTTACATGACTGCTCAATTTTACATGTTCTCGCCTTTCGGTGCTACTGTGAATTGAAGTCTACAGCTAAGCTGTCTTGCGTAATTGATTACATTTAGCATGATATATAACTAGCATCTATAACTCCTTTACGAACAATGAAGGTAAAGGATGCAATCGAAAGGTCCGCCGCCGGCAGACTAGGGTGATAACGACAAACATGAACAGAAGAAGGTCACATTATAAAATACAACCAGGAGACTGCCCGACAGTCCGCCCGGATGAAAGGGGTAAAAAGGAAAAAAAAAAAAGGAATGCCTTCATGCCGCAGGTACCAGCTTTCCGACCACCCATCTCGACCATCCATTCCCACAGCCCAGGACATGCCGCATAGACCACCAGACAGCTGAGTCTGGTTTCGTGAAAGGTCATTCATTAAAACAGTATAGATTGAATCACCAGAGCAGCGATTCTGCCCTAACTCCGTACTTGTCCCCTGCGGTTTGAAGCGCAATATGTTCGAAGAATTTTGTATCGATGTCTCTTGTCATGAGTTACCGACGTCGCAGCATACTCCGTTATCCATACAATGTTTTGTTGCACGTTACCCTAACAATTGCGTATGCGCGTAAATTCAACCGAGGTTGGTTTACCGGAAGAGACCGCTTAGGCCTTGCGGGAGCGAGTGACGGGGCCATTGGAGCGGCCAGTCGAGGTGGCAGCACCGTTGGAGGCGATAGCGCTGCCATTGCTCTGGGTACCGGCGGGGGATGGGATCTCGAAGTTGCGCATGTCGATCAGGGACTTCTTGCCGGTGTTGCTGCGTGGGCGGCCGACCTTGGCCTCCTTCTTGTAGGTGGCGATGTAGAAGGAGATGAACAGGAGCAGGTAGGAGGTGATAATACCAATACCAGCGAAGGCGGCAAACTCCTCACCAGCGCACTGGCCCATGTTGGGAGCCCAGGGGAAGTAGGCCGAGGAGAAGTAGGTGTAGGAGGCGAAGTAGATGAAGCCTTAGGGAGTCATTAGTTTCCAGTTCTCCTAGGCGACACATGCCAATGCGATTTTTGACTTACCCAAATCAATGACGAACTGCACAATCTGCAGCATGGTGATGTACTTCTTCCACCAGATGCGGATGCCGCGGGCACTCTGGAAGTAGTACCAGTACATCACGACGTGGACCAGCAGGTTGATGGTGATGGGAACCCATTGCACAGCAGTCAAACCAATCAGCTGGGTGTAACAGAGGAGAGCGGTGGCACCGTGGTGGTAGGTGTGCAGGAAGGTCAAGGGCTTCTTCTTGAGGACCAGGAAGACGGTGTCCAGGAGTTCGACGTATTTGTTGATGTAGTTGAGCTAGAAGAATAAACTAGTCAGAATCGACGTCCATCTTCAATTTGGCCGTGTGCGACCGCATTTGTATACTTACGTAGTACAGAATGATCAGAGGCTGGGTCCATCCACCGCGATGGTCGCAAATGGCGTAGAAAACACCGTTGCGCATGAGGGTGGGCAGGAGCTGCTCGACGAACAGGGCCAGGAGGATGGCGCTGATGGCGGTCAGAAGGAAGTTGTGGATCATGAAGAGAGTGTTGAGCTTGAAAGCCGGCAGCTTCTTCATGACCTCACGGCCACCGAAAATGACCACATAGTAGGTGACCAGGACGGTGGCGGTCTCCTTGAAAGTGGAGAAAGGAGTCACGCCCTCGGTGAACTTGAACTCGCTGGCGGGGTAACCCATGACCATCTCGTAGGCCTGATCGAACAAGGGCCACAGGTGGACGCCGAATGGGCGATCCAGGGTCGGGAGGGGCACATTCTGGAGAAACTCGGCCATGTCGACGGAGGCCTTGGAGGCAACAGTGGAGCAAAAAGGGTAAGCAAAAAAAAGGGTAAAAACCAAGAAAAAAAAAACCCCCAAGGCAGGCGACCACTGATAGACACAGAGATCGCAGACGCGACAAGGCAGGGAGAGGAAAGGAAGGAAAGGACCGAGGATGGGGAAGGAAGAAGTTCTTGAGAAAAGGACAGGAGTAACTTTTTGCGGCGCGTCCGTTGGGCGCCCAAAGCAGACTAGCGCGGCAGGGAAAAGGGGGCAGCGTGCAGCCGCAGCTTCCGAGATGCCAGCCCGCCTGACCGGCTGCAGTTGTCTCTATACTTCGGGGTACATAATGAGAATAAAATGGTTAGAACAAAGAGAAAATTCTATTCTATTTCTGTATTTCCAGATTGTGCAGTAGTAGTATGCAGACTCGCTGCTATACAAATTCGCTGATGCTCAGGTACGGACGTCACATGTCCGTCTGCAGCCACTCAGGGCCCGCCTGTTTTCGGGTCGAAGTAAATAATAGACCCGGGGTTCCGCCCAACCAATTGGCCTCCCATAAAATTCGGCTCGGTCAGGACAGCGATATAAAATGCAGTCAGATGACAATTTCGTCTCAAAATCGACCGACGATTCTCCCCGGGCCGGTCGAAATAGGGTTGCAACTGAAGGCCGCGCCAAGGTACCGTGTCACGCACGCTCATCACATCCTGGGACTGCCGAGGCTGTACCACCAAGTCCAGGGTCCTCGCTAGGGCTGCTCCGATTGAGAAATTAGCTTCATGGGGTACCAATGCCTTTCCACACTCGGTGATTTGCACAAATAGTCGGATGGGCCAGCGCTTTATTTCGGAGAAGTAGAGTTTCGCTCTTAATCTGCTGCGCTAATATCACCGTCTGAACTATCACGGATGTTCTCAACTCGAGGATTACAACTAGGGAGGATTTTGAATCAAGCACGTGGATCCTTGATGAAAGTTTCTTTGATTAGAATCTATGCATCCTTCCATTTCATTACATCATTTCATCCCATGCTTATTGCTGCATTCTGCATAGAGTATCTGATGGCATGCCGGGCCGATGCGATCCATAGCAGTCGCCGATCGAATTGGACCAATACCCAGTCGGGCTGAGAAAACTCCGCGGGAAATAAAATCAAATAGATTTCCTTTAAGGATGCGTATTTCGGTATACATTACCCACTGCTGTGTTATCCCCAATTGTGGTGTTGTTTGGCTTCATTGTGCTCACAATCAGTCGTGTACTTCGTCGCCAATCAATCTCCGACTTTTATATATTATAAACCATCTCATTGGACGAGCCCTGAATCTCTTCACTGGCACCATAAAATAGTTTCTCGCACTCGGGTTAACCAAATACTGTCAAGCACTATCATATCATAATCATTCACCACGCATCTTTATGATGGCATACTGTCTATCGCTGTATAGCTGTCATGACACAAGGTGCCCGCCGGCTCATCCAATCACGGAGAAGCGTTTGCGATCAACGGGCCACATCGGGTGATGACTCAGCACAAGCCATCGACACCTCAGGCAGCAACACCACACCACCCGCAAAATCCAGCCGGCTACACGACACTTCGTTCTCCCTTCGCACCCCCCCCATCGACTCTCCCCTCACCACCTCCCCCATTGACTCCGGTCCAACAACCCGCTCCGATATGTCGTCCCTCTCCATTTTCCGTGTTGCGACGCGCGCCGTCCACCCTGCCAGCTTCGTCCGAGCTCCGATCGTCCGCTCCCGGGTGCAGACCCCGGTGACTCTGGCCACTACCCGCGCCCGTTACTTCGGCATCACCCCCAAGCGCATGTCCGGCCATGAGGACGAGACCTACGAGGAGTTCTCCGCTCGGTATGATGACACCTGCGACCCAATGGCTTCGGCGGAAGTCGGAAGAGGGGACGGGGTTGCCGGGCACGGCGATTGAAGACATCCTCTATTACCTGCCCGATAACCCACCCCGTCGGCTTCTTCTGGCTATTTTGATAAATTGCCATGCTGACTCTGTGTCCGAATCGCAGCTTCGAGAAGGAATTCGACACCGTCCAGGACGTCTTCGAGCTCCAGGTAAAACCCGCTGCCTTAGCCCCCAGCCCCGGATATGACGGCTCGTCAACGCGATTTACATGATCAATCGCCCCGCCGACCCCGAATGAACAATTGCTACGCAAAACATGCAATGAGTCATGACTAACATCAACTCCAGCGCAACCTTAACAACTGCTTCGCCTACGATCTCGTTCCCTCCGTTGAGGTCCTCACTGCCGCCCTGAAGGCCGCCCGCCGTGTCAACGATTTCCCCACCGCGGTCCGTGTCTTTGAAGGTACGCGCATACTAGGACATCCCCATTCATACTGCCAATGGAACTGTGATTGGATACATGGCTAACGCACGGCGCAACAGGCATCAAGGCCAAGGTTGAGAGCCAGGAGCAGTACAAGCAATACCTTGAGGCCCTCGAGAGCCTCCGCCAGGAGCTGGGTGTTGCTCTCCGGGAGGAGCTGTACCCCCAGGAGGAGTAAATTAGCGTTTCGCCATTTTTGTTTCCCCTTCCCATCACTTTTCTCGCGAAGTTTACCCACAACAAGCCAACATGTCGCCATTGGTCAAGCGCATGTCTCCCTTTGGCCGCGCCGAGCGGAGGGTAGCAGAGAAAGCTGTATACATATACTTTAGAGATCTCCAGTGTTGTTAGTCCCATCTTGGAAAAAGGTCCAATCTAGTGTGGCTGGATTGGTGCTTAATCTACTTCCTCTTGTTCACACGCATTTGACAGAAGGCTATTCCCTACTGTGCGCCTTGGAATTATTTCATCGACATCTAGACAGCAGTATACGTCAGGTACTACATGAGAAGGGTTCCCGGTCAAGAACACTGCAACACTACCTTCGGCTACACCCGGGGTACACTTGTGTATGTGTTGAAATAGGAGTAGTTTCTACAGCAAATTGTGCAGAGAAGAGAAGAGTCCCAGAAGTTGGCAATGTACGATCATTATAAGTACAGTGAAGTGGAAATCGCGAAACTTGTAGCAAGCTTCGCAGCTAGGAACGTATTTTATGTTTACAAGAGCAAGAGCAAGAAAGAAAAAGTTGTCGAATCGCAAGTGGGGAAAAAGCGGCAAAAGTCGTCAATAGATTGTGTATGTTCTTCCGCTCAAAACGCCGGAAACCGAACCGAACCACCGAGGCGGGAATTTACTCATCGGATAATGCGAAAATGATGATGCAAAGGGTCGTGAACTGACAGGCAAGTCATGGCTTCTTACTCAGTGCGTCCCAACATACTTGAAGTAAGTCGGGCGGCAGTCCTCCTTCTGAAGCCAGTCCGCGCCAGCGTAGGACTTGCCTGGGGTACAGCCAGAGCACTTAGGCGAGTTGGGGCAGTTGTAGTAGGGGATATGGTTGTAACCGATATCGCGGAACCTGAGCAAGATCAATGTGGTTAGCGAGTGGGTCAAATGTGATTGATGTGATAGATGTAGTGTGGCATGGGGGTGAAACGTACCAATGCACGTTGGCGGCATTCGCAAACAGACCGACACCCAACGAGTGAACAGGGGCATCGCCCCATCGCTCATAGAAGAAACCTCCGGCACGATCCAGGAACTGGAAGTAATTATCATACTTCTCACCACGGAAGAAGTCCAAGTCACCGATCTCGAAGTTGGACCAGAAGTGGCAAGTGGAGTATCCATTGGCGATCTTGTTGTGTTCGGGACGGACAACATCGTCGGTGATCCAGTCCATCATGTTGTTCTCGCTCAAATAGCTGGGGTTCGCTGCGAGGAATTTCTTGGTCTCGGGCCACAGTGTTTTGATCGTCTGAGGAGCGTCGTAGAGGTTGATCGTGAAGCCATAGGTCTTGTTGTTGTCCTCCATGTAGCGAAAAACGTCATAATCGACATTGCAGAAGAACTGGACCTTGGGCTCGATGCGCCAGTAGTAGCGATAACCCTCCAGAGCGGGATGCTTGTAGAACATGCCGCTGTTCCAGCGGCACATTTGGTGGTAGGAGATTTTATCCGCATACTGTATGTTTTCCTCCAGCAGAATCTGGGCCGATTCCTTGAACAGTTCCTCATCGATCCATTTGGGCACATCCCAGTGTTCCTTCGGGACCAATTCTGCAAAGCGCCAGTCAGTTCATGTCCGTATGTTTGGGGTCGATCATATTAGGAGGCGGGGTTAACGGTACCGTATTGACATTTGGCCTTGGTCTCGGCCTGGGTCCGCTGCTTGAACTCCTCGGTGAAAGGCTTGTCGTTGAAGAAAATGTAGGGGTAGTTGAACTTGTTGTTCCAGGTGCGCTCGAGATCACGCATCGTGCTGATCATGTCGTTCAGCTCTTCGTTACGGACGAGGGAGATAAGGGCGGCATTGGTACGGGCAGACTTGTCGCTGTTTGGCTGGTAGTCGTGATCCTCCGCGCGCCAGAGATTTCCTGCCGGTTCACCCGTGGCTTTGAGGGGTCAGTGGAGGATGCGGGCGAAAAGATAGGAGTGGCAACTAACGATCAAGCAGAGGGTCCCTGGTCATGCCGTGGGTAAGTTTCGAAGTCGGGTTTTGGGACTCATTGCGTAGATTGAAAACGAGAAAGAGAGTCAGCAGGATGCATGCCGCACCCAGCATGCGAATTGGACGTGCTATCGCCATCGTTGCGGATGGAGGTGAAAGGGGGAGAGCTGGCGAAACCAACTTCACTTCGCGCCGGCGGCCCCGTCGCTCCATTTCCCAATCGGGACTAGCGCCGCGTGTCCAGTCGGCGCGTCATTTGATATTCCATACTACCTTCAACTATTCAACCGCGCATCTTGCATTCCCCATCGAGCATCGTACACAGGAACAGCACGACTGCTATGGTACTCGCCATGGGCGAGCTGGCGGAGCTGACCGACCAATTGGTCACGGCGGTCGCAAAGCTCTCGCCCAATAAGGTATGGCGTCAACTCCTTCCAAATAGGACCACCGCGCTGATCCCATACAGGACTCGTCGCGCGCGCAGAATATGCGCCGACGCGTAGAAAGAGTGCTTCGTCCTGGCTCCCATGGACGTACCGATCAGTTCCTAGTCGCACGCCAGTTGGAAGGTCTGCAGGAGAAGTTCGAAGTTGTGGATCGATCCGACTTGACCCAAGCTCTCCGCAGTCGCCTCTTGGAGCTAGAGGGCTATTCGAATGACTGGTATCCTGAAATACTGAGCTTAATGCTGCAGCTGTCGAATCGTCCAGCGATCTTCTCGAAGATCGAGAACTTGCCGAAACGTGCAACTGCACCTGCACAAGACGATGCTCTCCTGTCCTGGTCCAAATTAAATGCGGATACGCAGGACACCACTTTCAACGATGACATTTGGGAGGAAGTAGACTTTGCTGCCGGTTCCTCAGATGACGATTTCTCATCCGTTGCCAGCGATGTGTCTCTTCCCCCGAGCCCGCAACAACCGAGCATTGACCTAGAAACTGAGTATGTAGTCCCAGGCAATGTCTTCGTTTCGGGTGACGATGAAAAGTTCATTACCTCAATAGAGAAGGCTCAGTTCTGGAGGCCTGAGAACAAGGCCCCAACGCCCAAAGGAAAGGAAATTGCCTACCAGACCATCACGGAATTGCAGCTGGCTCGTGAGACATTGTTCATGCTCCAAGGCCTCCCAACATCGATATTCTGGCGCCTGGATGATGAAATCACAGTGGATGGCACTTATCGGCTACGGCATTGCTCGAGCAACGCTTTATCGGCACTGCTTCAATCATTCACGGAGATTGGGTGCCAAATCGATGCATTGCGGCGCTTTACCAATGCCTCGCAGACCATCCCTTATATGCAGACATTTTGCCGAGGGATCGAAGAGCGGTTGCTCGAATTCGATGCGAACCTCTCGCAAGTTCAAGTTTCCTTCCTTTCCGCCGGCTCTACAGTCAGTTTGATTCAACTGCTCAACGATGTTCGCCAGTATTCTCGCCATCTACTTCAACTGTCCGACCTGGTATCTAGGCTAGGGAGACACATTGACACGCAACCAATGAGCTGCTTGGATCTACTCTATGACTCGATATGCTTGCAAGAAGCACTAGGAAATGACACTACGACACTGGTGGCCTTATTCTCAGCCTGCTTCAGGACCTATTCCCGATCCATCAAGCTCTGGATGTCAACTGGTCATCTGGATTCACAAGATTGTGCATTCTTCGTGCGGGCGAACCCCGAACATGGCGAGCTCAGAACTCTTTGGCACGATTGGTATATTCTAGACGACGGTACCAGGCGCCAGGAAGTTCCCAGCTTCCTGGAAAATGGAATCCACAAAGTATTTACGGCTGGTAAAAACATGGTTTTCTTGCGTCACCTGAATGCACTCCCAGACCTTTCAGAACATCCCGATCTCGTTCTGGATGAACTGTACCCAAACTCCTCATTGTCACTCCCATTCCCCGCATTAGTTGAATCTGCCTTTGACCGTCTGGTAGATGCAAACCACTCTCTTAGTGCTGGTCTCCTCCGGACAGAACTTGATGAGCAATGTGGACTGTGGGACTCCTTGGATGCCCTGCAATATGTCTATTTGGGCGGCGACCTCAGCATCCTTGGTGCTATCGACACCAAGATCTTTGAGCTTATGGATCGTGGCCGATCTTGGGATGACAAATTTTTATTGACGGAGGTAACACGCTCGGCATTCAGCGTGATGCCCACCATTGACCTATCAAGGATTGTTGTTCGATCAGCTGGCACTCGTCTATCCGACTACAACATTCCCAATCGCAGCGTTCAAGTTCTGGGGTCTATCTCGATCGACTACATTCTTCCCTGGCCCGTCGCAAACATCATCACACAGGACGCAATACAGTCGTACCAGCGCATCTCCACGTTTCTGCGTCAGATTCGACGTGCAAAGTATGCCCTTGTTAAGGAACGCATGCGAGACGCACGGAAAACCACAGCAGAAGACGAGAATGAAACACTCATCTATGCCCTCCACCACGACCTACTTTCGTTCCTCAACTCCATCTACTCCCATCTTACCTACCTTGTGATTTCGACCTCAAACCAATCTTTGCACTCGGCGTTATCCGATGTCGAAGACGTCGATTCCATGATTGACGCACATCAAGCCTACATGGCTTCTCTCGAAGACCAATGCCTTCTCTCTGAGAATTTGTCACCGATACATGACGCTGTCATCGCCCTACTGGATATCGGCGTACATTTTGCAGACTTGCAGGCTGTTCGAGCATTTGAAGAGGGCTTGATCGACCCTGATGACACCCGCAATATAGAAACCCTGCGCCAAAAACGAGCTGCGGGGTATGACTCGGACTCGGATTCGGACGAGGAAAATGATCAAATTGACCACGAGCAAACTCTCACAATTTCATTCCGCGACTCTTCATATGAGGATCAAATGCGGAATCTGAAGCAGCGATATGACTATCTGGTCAGTTTCGTTGCGGATGGGCTGAAGGGGGTTGCTCGTGCGGATGGACTGCCGGGCTGGAACATTTTGGCAGATCGACTGGAGTGGCGGACAGGATGGCTTCGGTAATAGTAGAATTGGAGCTGATGTTGATGGCCTGAGAATTTCTTGCTGTTTCATTCGCCTTACCATCCTGGCTATAGATCTTGGTGATTTCCATCGATGGTTGATTCGATCTTCATGTTTTTGATGCTCTTACGAAATTTCGCAACCTGCGCTTTAACGATTAGAAGAAATGCCTTGAACATAGAAGTTTGATGTTCCAATATCTGAGAGAATAGAACTCGAATATTTTCACCTCCTGGCTTTGAGTGTCCTTTCAGTGTTCTTTCTTTCATCTACTAACTGGCTCGCTGAACCGCGGGACCGGAGCATATCGGGCCTGGCCATTGTCACATACCAGTAGAACTAAAGATGCATGGTGGACGAATATCGAGGCAGAATGGAAAAAAAGTATCGTCTATGTGCTATATTTCATTCTCTGTTTCGTAAATGCTTTTTAAATATGACATAATCCATCCCACTCCAATGTAGCCTGAACCAAATTAACTATAGACAGGAAAACGTGAAAAAAACATGAAATACTACTAGCCATGGGCATGCGAGAAGCTTTCTTAACAATTAGCACTTTAACCGACCCAGCGTCTGGCGCTGAAGAAGATACGTCCCCAGGGACCAATGTCACCCCACTGCTCGGCATCAGGAGACACGTAGCTAGCAATGCCGTTCATGACAGTACGCTCGGGGTGAGGCATGATGGCCAGCACACGACCATCGGGGCTGCGCACTCCGGCAATACCCTCGGGACTGCCGTTGGGGTTGAAGGGGTAGCGCATAGTAGGCTTGAGAGTGGCATTGTCGACGTAGCGAACAGGAGCCAGACCCTCGCGCACGAAGTCGTTGGCAGTCATACCGGAGGTACCAGCGAAAGAGGCGCGACCCTCGCCGTGGGCAACGGCGATGGGCAGCGAGGTGCCATCCATACCGTGGAAGAAGACGCCAGGGCGCGAAGGATCGGGGTCCGAAATGCGAACCATACAGACACGACCCTCGTACTGCTCACTAGTGTTGCGTTCGAAGCTAGGCCAGTTGCCGGCACCGGGGATGAGCTCCTTCACGCGGGACAGGAATTGACAGCCATTGCAGACACCGAGAGCGAATGTATCGGGACGCTCGAAAAACGACTGGAATTCCTTGCGGGTGTTCTCGTGCAACAGGACAGACTTTGCCCAACCCTGACCGGCGCCGAGGACGTCACCGTACGAGAAACCACCACAGGCGGCCAGACCAGCGAAGCTGGCCAGGGAAACGCGGCCTGAGATGATGTCGGTCATGTGGACATCAACGGCGGAGAATCCGGCGGTGTTGAAGGCAAAGGCCATCTCGGCCTGACTGTTGACACCTTGCTCACGGAGAATGGCGACACGAGGCTTGTTGCTGAAAGGCGAATACTGGGACAGGCTGGTCATGATGGGCAGACCGCGGTCCTTAGGGTCGAAAGTAGGGTTCCATGACAGACCAGGGTTCTTGTCATCGAGGATGTTCTCGAACTCCTGCTCAGCGCAATCAGCATTGTCACGCATCTTCTGCATGTGATAGGAAGTCTTGGCCCAGGTCTGCTGGAGCTTGGACCGGGATTCGCGGTAAACCAGAGAGGCCTTGTGGTAGATGGTGAGGTTCTGCTTGGGCTGCTCAGAAACGCGACCAATCTTGTGAATCAGGCCGGCAGGAGGACCGCAGGTGGCGAAGCAAGAGCGGAACTGAATTTCGTGCTCCTTGCGGACCTGGAAGACAGCACCAAGTTCTTCGTTGAAGAGAGCCTCAACGACATCCTGGGTGTGGAAAGAGGAGCAGATGTTGTCGGTCATGATCTCAACACCGCAGCGGCCAGCAAACATCATCTCAGCCAGGGTGGTCAGCAGACCACCATCGGAGCGGTCGTGGTAGGCCAGGACAATTCCAGACTCCTGAAGTTGCTGGGTAGCATCGAAGAAGTCGCGGAAGATATCGACATCGCGAACATCAGGGCACTCTCTGCCGACCTCATTGAAGACCTGGGCAAGAGCAGAGCCGCCGAGAGTCTTCCGGCCAAACGCCAGATCAACGAACATAAGGACGGTCTCGCCGACATCCTCGAAGCGGCGGAGAGCTGGGGTCCAGGTCTTACGGTAGTCGCCAACAGGAGCGAAGGATGAAATGACAAGCGACATAGGGGCAGTGACCTCCTTGGCCTCGTTCGAAGCCTCATCCTTCCACTTCATCTTCATGGACATGGAGTCCTTGCCGACAGGAATGCTAATGCCAAGCTTGGGGCAGAGATCCAGACCAATGGCCTCGACGGCCTCATAGATAGCAGCACCCTCACCGGGGTGACTGCCAGCGCACATCCAGTTGGCGGACAGTTTCACCTGGCTGAGGCGGTCCACGAGGTCGGAAGCGGCAATGTTCATAAGAGACTCGGCAACGGCCATACGAGCAGACGCACCGGCAGAGATAAGAGCCAATGTAGGTTTCTCACCCATAGCCATGGCCTCACCGGTTTTGACGCCCTGCAGCAACGAGGTAGCAGTGACCGAAACATCAGAGACGGGAGTCTGCCACGGGCCAACCATCTGATCACGAGCAGTCAAACCACCAACAGTCCGATCGCCTATGGTGATCAGGAAGGACTTGGAGCCGACAGCGGGCAGGAGAGAACCCGGTTGACGGCCTCGCCGACCAGCTCGACCTTTGAGGTAAGCGAGGGCAGGTACTTGGTGAGGCTCGAATCCACGGCAGGAAGGGTCAGCTTGCGCGAGTCGACGACCCGTGTCATGCGAGGCGGCTTGCCGAACAGAACCGACAAGGGTAGATCGATCGGGGTCGGGTATTCCTTGGATTCGCGGTCCAGCAAGATGAGTCGCTTCTCCTCCTCAGAGGTGCCGCCACCACGGCCGACGACAGAGAAACCACAGCGCTCACGCTGGGCGATGGCAGTGAACTTGTTCATACTTGCCTCTCCAACGGCGAGGACATAACGCTCTTGGGCCTCACAGCACCAGATTTGCATAGGGCTCATGCTGCGGTCAGCGCTGTCAACTTCACGCAGCTCAAACTTAGCTCCCAGGCCTGAGTCATGGATAAGCTCGGGAAGGGCGTTGGAAAGACCACCGGCGCCAACATCGTGAATGAACTTGATAGGGTTGTTGTTGCCCATAGCCACACATGCGTTGATAACCTCCTGGGCTCGTCGCTGAACTTCGGCGTTACCTCGCTGCACACTGGCGAAATCAAGGTCCGCGGAGCCTTCGCCCGATGCGATACTAGAGGCAGCACCACCTCCAAGACCAATAAGCATAGCGGGCCCACCCAGGACAACAAGGAAAGAGCCGGGCTTGACGACATCGGGGTTCTTGAGAGCATGCTGCGGGCGGACAGTGCCGACACCACCAGCAATCATAATAGGCTTGTGGTATCCACGGAGCTCCTTCTGGCCGTTGCCGATGTCGATCTCGGTAAGAAGGGTGCGGAAATAACCACCAGTGCAAGGACGACCGAATTCATTGTTGAACGCAGCGCTGCCAATAGGAGCCTCCAGCATGATATCCAAGCTGCTCGCGATGTGGTTTGGCTTGCCAACATCGAGCTCCCAAGGTTGCTTGTGCTCGGGGATCAGAAGGTCAGAAACACAGTAACCGGCCAGACCGGCCTTGGGGCGGGAACCACGACCAACGGCACCTTCATCACGAATTTCACCACCGGAGCCAGTGGCGGCACCCGGGTAAGGAGAAACCGCAGTAGGGTGGTTGTGAGTTTCAACCTTGGCGAGGAAGTGAACAATTTCCTTGGTGTGGTTCCATTCACCAGTGGTTGGATCAGGGGCCCAGAAAGCAGCCTCGCTACCCTCCAGAACGGCGGCATTGTCGCTGTAAGCACTGACGGTGTAGTCGGGGTGCTTCTTGTGGGTGTTGCGAATCATGGCAAAGAGACTGTTGGGCATGGGCTTGCCATCGATGACCCAAGACGCGTTGAATTGCTTGTGGCGACAATGCTCGGAGTTGACCTGGGCGAACATGAACAGCTCAACATCGGTGGGGTCGCGCGCAATGGCACCGTTGGGACCGTAGGCCTCCGCCAGGTAGTCGATTTCGGACTCATCTAGAGCGAGACCCAGCTCCTTGTTGGCTTCCTGGAGAACCTCCTTTGGGGACTTGGAGCCACTCTGCAGGGAAATTGTCTTGAGAGGCTGAGGGGCATGCTCAGAGAACATCAAGTTCAACTCGGGCTCGTCCTCGCTGATAATCTGGGTCATGCGATCGTGCAGCAGATCCATGTATCCGGCCTTGTAGTCCTCGGCACCCTTGCGGAGACAAGAAACCTTCATTCCACGCTCGATGCGCTTCACAGAGTTGCGAAGACCGCAGACATGGGAGATACCGGTGGCCTGAGAGCTCCATGGCGAGATAGTTCCGGTTCGGGGGAAGACGTAGAAGGTATCGAATTCGCCGTCGTCAGAGGTGAAGGTGGGGGGAACGTCGGTGATATCACCGTAGCGGAGCAGTTGCTCCAGGACGGAACGCTGGGTTTCGTTCAGCGGCTGGGAGGTGTGAACATAATGAATCCACTGGGCTCGGACATCCTGCACACCCAGGCTCGAAGCAATGGCCTTGCCGCGCGAACGGGAGAACGCCACCGAGCCCGGGATGGCAAGGTATGAGTCGGACATGATTGAGAAGTAAGTGTGAAAGGTACCAATCCTCCCTCTGGAAAAAGGAGGTGGAGTGGCTCGGATGCCTCTCAAAATGAGCTTGAGCGAAGAACCCCCGCGATGACTCCTCAACTTTTTTTTCGAAAACTGAGTGGCCCCGCCCTAAGCCGATTGCGGCGGGTGCTTATCGGAGGTCACGTGGTGATTACCAAAACGTCCCATCACTTGATTTTGAGACGAATACAATTGTTGAAAGGAACCTCTTGATTTGAGCTCAAGAAAGAAAGAGCAGGAGATTCCATGGTATTCTTCAGCGTTCTGTTTTATTTTGATGTAATACAACTTGAGTCAAGACGTGCCTTAAAGTTAGGGTAATTAAGTAATTCCTGCATTCGTCGCAACTTTGGCAAATTGGGACGGTTTTGTTAATTGATTGAAATTGGAAGAATTCCGCATTGACGTATCATATGCCATCTTCCTACTCAATTCATTGGACACATCGTCTTTTACCCTAGCATAACCGTGTGCATTGATCCAGCGCGATGACGATGTACAACGTTGCTCCAATGGGGACAAGATTGGTTCCGGTCAATCAGGTTATCCAAGCCGATCAATTTTATCATCTGGGGGATCTCAAAAGACCCTCGAAGCAATAAGGCTGATCAAAATGTGTCTAGACCACCGGAGATAACTCGCACCTGGTCAAGTTTGACAAATTCCCTGATTGGGTAGGACCCACACCCCCATAAACGGCAACATGCTCCGAGGATTTCATCGTGAGACAGACCCAAAGACTTTGACATCCAACGGGCCGTTAGTCTCAAAAGAGTTTGCTGGAATTACAACGGACTCTTAATTCTCCACGTGGTTTCAAAATTCGGGTTGAAAATTTAGCCAAAGCTCGAGAATAAAACCACGTGCTGAAGGCGTCATATGGATCTGCTGCATTATGTAGTGTACCAGATGACCAGCCTCGAACAGAACTTCGACCATGCAAGTGATGCCTTTTCAAGTTTATAAACCAGTCAATCACAATGATTTGTTCTTTGTGTCCCTCATCCAGCCCGACCAAGTACAATACTAAGTCTCAAGACCATCAATGTGGCCAAGACTCTGGACGGGACAAGCACAGATACAAAGGCGGCCCTGAAGCTTAAAGCAAGTTATACATGTATACTAGCTCCTATAGAATTGAAGAATCCAATTGTTTAGATATTGATTTTTCACACTGTCTCAACTCTGGAGTGACAAGGAGTCCATGCTTGATCTAGAGTTTTCTCTTGTTACGGACGGCTACTAGGGAGGACGGTGTGATGGATGGCCTGTGCTCGATGGAGGCTGAATTAACAACGTACAAATAATAAGTCGTCGGGTCCTATCCGTAACTGATAGGATATCCGTCAAATTTTCACCCTTTGCATCTTCGCTGATTGTGGCGATCTTCCGGTACTTTCGTAGCAACTTACCGTTTTCAGTTAGCGCCACATATCCATTTCAGGCAATTCACTACCCGGTGGGGAATCGCCCCAGCCTTGCGCGAAGTATACAGCAACGGGCGTGGAACGGCATCTTACGTGACCATGCCGCATATCCCTATCCACACGGACCGGTACCCAGACTTTGTGACGCCAAGCTCTGGAAAGGAACATAAAACCCTGGGAAACCCCTCTCGACTGTAAGGTGTTCAAGTCAACGAGTTGACATACGAATCGAATCATACTCTGTCTGGGCATACACCGACCCGAGTGTCCCTCTACTGACAGTTTCGATACACCAAAATACCATCAGCATGGAGACACCCAATTCAGACCAGACGCACACCAATGCAACGAGTCGAACGGCGTCCACAGGATCTGGCCCTGGACAGATGGATTATCTCGACCTCCCTGTCCGCGAACTAAACGATGGCGCCGACCTCCGCGAATACATCACCGAGACCCGCACGGGCGAAATAATAAAGCCAATGAAGTCTAATGCTACTGGTCAGATGGAGGATTGGAAGTTGGTCACTTTCACCATAGACGATCCGGAGAACCCCAAGAACTGGTCGAAGCTGTACAAATGGTACTGCACCATGGTCGTCGCCTTCACTTGCTTTGTCGTCGCATTTGCCAGCAGTGTTATCACAGCTGACTTAGAGGGCCCAATGGAGAGTTTTGGAGTTTCTCGCGAGGTTAGCCTGCTGGTTGTTACTGTTTTTGTCATCGGATTTGGTGTTGGTAAGTTGGAAACTCCTCAAATTCTTGGTATTTTTTGCTGATCATGCCCTAGGACCCATGGCATTTGCCCCAATGTCCGAAATGTTTGGAAGACGCCCCATATATGCGGTGACACTTTTGCTTGCTGTCATCTTCATCATTCCTTGCGCTATCGCTAAGAATATTGGCACGCTGATCGTGTGCCGGATGATCGACGGTATTGCTTTCTCTGCGCCCATGACTTTGGTCGGCGGTACCCTGGCCGATCTATGGAAGAACGAAGAAAGAGGTGTTCCTATGGCTGCATTCAGCGCTGCTCCCTTCATTGGGCCTGCTATTGGTCCTCTTGCAGGTGGTTTCCTCGGAGATAACTGCGGCTGGCGATGGCTCTACTGGCTGCAGCTCATTCTGTCCTTCGTTGCCTGGGTCCTGATCACTTTCACTGTTCCCGAGACATATGCGCCTATCCTGCTGAAGAAGCGGGCTGCGAAGCTGCGAAAGGAGGAGAACGATCCGAAGTACACCACCGAAACTGAACTCGACCCCCGTCCGATGGGACAGAAGTTGCGAATCTTTCTGTTCCGGCCATTCCAGCTCCTTTTTCTCGAGCCTATTGTCTTTTTCATTGCGATCTACATGTCGGTCTTGTATGGTCTGCTGTACATGTTCTTCGTTGCGTAAGTTACTTGATATCTTCCACTACCTTGATCCCGAGCTGACGATTACTTCAGGTACCCTATTGTCTACCAAGGCGGAAAGGGCTGGAGTGCGTCTATGACCGGTTTGATGTTCATTCCGCTTGCCATCGGCGTGCTTATGAGCGCGGCATGCGCCCCGTTTGTGAACAAGAATTATCTCAAGATCAGTGAGCAGCACGGTGGGAAACCGCCTGCCGAGAAGCGCCTGATTCCCATGATGTGGTCGTGCTGGCTCATCCCAGTCGGTCTTTTCATCTTTGCTTGGACATCCTACCCTACCATTCACTGGTTCGGGCCATGCATTGGAGGATGGCCTGTTGGGTTCGGGTTCATCTTCCTCTATAACTCTGCTAACAATTATTTGGGTACGTTCTTAAATTTGATTGTTACTTCCGAGCAGAAACTAATGAATCATTAGTGGATACATACCAGCACCAGGCTGCCTCAGCCCTAGCTGCGAAGACATTCCTGCGATCCATGTGGGGTGCCTCGACGGTTCTGTTTACAGAGCAGATGTATGATCGCCTGGGATACCAATGGGCTAGCTCGCTTCTAGCATTCATTGCTCTGGCTTGCTGCGCTATCCCATATGTCTTCTACTACAAGGGAGAGGCTATTCGCCGTTTCTCCAAGTATGCCTTTGCTGATGATGAGGAGCAAGGCACTAGCGTTAAGGCTTAGGATTTGAACCAACATAAAAGGTTGAAGAACTCTCGCCCAGGTGCTCTCTCGTGATTACCCGCTACAGCGGAGCCGCAGGCGGCGGGCTTCTGAAATTGTTATGTTCCCCACCCCTACACTAATGACGATTTATGGTCGTCAAACTCATATTAATGATAGACAAGTTATGTTCAAAATAATATAATCATTTTAATAAGAAGTATTCAAAGCTGCTTGTAGCGTGTACAGTTGGTGTTCGACACGGTAAAATTAGAGAAAGAAGGAGTCAAAGCTCTGGAATTTTTTTCCCCTACGAAAAAAATCTTTCTAAACAGAGGGCATGCTTCAATCGCCTATCTTTAATTGATGAACCTGCCGCTGACGTAACCGGGCTGCAGAACCGCATTCCGCATTGGGTCGCCCACGTCACGTGTCTGACAGATAAGGGTCGACGATGATGCTCTGTCGGCTCTCTCCAAATTGTTCCGATCCGAAGCAATTGCCTGCAGCACAATGATCTCTCTCGCTGAGTAATGGATTGACGCAGCCCTGTCACGCTACACTCGATATACCAATTAACACAATCACATTTGACCATCTGCACTGCGTCCGAAATCCCGAAACCGACCGAGGTTGTCGTTGATTGCATCAGAGCCCGCATTGCCGGCGCATGGTACACTCGACTTAACACCTACGGTAGCTCGACACGAACGACTATTAACGGACAAGATGACATCGCCATACCCCCCGAACCCTTCCATCTCGCCTTCCGACATGGCCGCCGCACAGAATCGGTCTGTATCTGATTTGCCGCAGTCGCAAGTGGACGCTATCATTCGAACCAAGCGCAAGGCGCGAGAACCCAAAGCTTGCTACCCATGTCACGCGCGAAAAGTGAAATGCGATCGAAATTTGCCGTGCGATGGCTGTGTTAAACGCGACCATGCAGATCTTTGCTCATACGAACGACCTTCTAAAAAGCGCTCGCAGGCTTTCCACGAGAGTCCTGTAGGTGGAAACTCGGCAACATCCACGTCAGAACATCACGGATACTACAATTATGATGAACAACCGGCGAATATCAAGCCCGAGCCGATGATCAGTCGACCGAATGGCGCCAATGCGAGTGGGCGAGTGTCCATTGCCCGGGAGGAATGGGATAACGTGCGCAACCGACTTCGCGAGATGGAATCGACAATATCTTCATTACGTGTGGGGCTTGACCGAGCCGAGGATGGACCTCCTACCGGTCCAGATGGCGGGAGTGTGCAGAGCGGCGATGCAAGTTCCCGGTCGAAGGGCGCCTCACCGGATCGCGAGGGCATTCATGCTGCAAACACACTTGGAAAAGGAACCGTTCACCTTGGATCGCGGTCTGTGCTGGCTTATATTTTGAATAACAAGTCTGGGTCAGACCAACTGCAAGCTCTGCTTGAGGGAGGAATACTGCCTAAACTCGGCCTGGATAACGAATCAGCAACTTATCCGTTCGTTGATCTATGGTCATCGGACATGTCGACATTCGATGTCACTGCTGTCTGTAGTGCACTTCCCACTGATCAGCAGTGCAGAGAGTGAGTTTAAAAAAGACCGCCTGTCATACACATTGCATCAATCTAATGCTGAACTGTACAGGTTCTTCCTTTACTACAAGGACATCGCTGGTGCTATCTACCCGGTCCTCGAAGATGTGTACGAGTTTGAAAATACCCTTGAGCTCTTGCTGCAAAGCAGGATTGCATCCGGGGGAGTCTATCGCGAAGATGCCGACGAGGCGCAGAATCCCTTTGGAGTAAGCATTGCATACCTGGGACTTCTGTTTGCCGTCTTGGCGTCCGGCTGTCAATCCTCGGACCTTGGAAGCAAGGAACGAGAGCTGACTTCCCAAGTTTATGGTAAGTCAAAGGACCCTAGATTCGGATCAATGGCTCTTGACTCATTATTCTAGTCTGCTGCTCCTACCAATGCCTGCGCATGACCAACTTCCTCTCCCAGCCAACAATAGAGGCAATCCAAACCCTGCTGGTGATTGGCAATGTATTGTCTTACAATATGAACCCGGGTATCTCTTACGTCCTCCTGGGTATGACACTACGCATGGGATTGGCACTTGGATTGCATGTTGAGTCGAGCCGGTTTTCATCGCTCGAGCGATATCGCCGGCGGCATGTTTGGTAATTCTTCACTTCTTGGCATCATCAATCACTGATTTGATTTACTAATGAGTGCCCACCAGGTGGTCAATGGCATGGCAGGATAGCCATTTCTCTCTATCCTACGATCGTCCTTCCACTACTGCAGTCAGCCAACCTGAAATTGCATACCGCGAGGGCGGAAAAGCTGGCGATCTCTCCTATTTTGAAACTCTCTGCCGAGTCATCTCTCTCGCTTTGGAAGTTGTGCGGATTCGAATGCTGAGCCCTCATGCCCAAATAAGTTTCGAGAGTATTCAAGGCTACAAGGAGAGAATTCGAAACATCATGATCGAAGCCAAGCCCTATTTGCGCGAGGCAAAGTGGTGCTCAACTGCAACGGAGCACTTGGAACGTGTGGTATTGAAGCTTCATTCTTCATACTTCGCCTCCGAGCTCTGTCGACCTGCGCTCAAACCGACCAACGATACCGGGGACGCTGGAACTGCTAGCATGCGAGCGGATTGCGTCTCGAACCTCATGACCACCGTCGAGGCGTACATTGAAATGCACAACATCAGCTCCCATGCCTCCCGTTCATGGATTGCTCTGCAGCGCGCCATCAGCTCTGCATTCCTGCTTGCCGTCATCGAAGAGGCAAAATCAGATGCAAATGTTTGGAACCTCCTTCGACAGTTGGAGGGCATCATTGCACAACGCGCAAGCACCGAGCGAGCCTATGATACTGGCGACGTCACTGCATCTGCTGCCAGCATGACTTCCCCAGTCCAAGGAATGAACACGTACGATCCGATCACTGGGGCTACAAACCCACCGGCCGCTGTACAGCCGCCCGTCGTGAACGCTACGTCCCCTGCTGCTGCTGTTGATACTGGAACTCAATGGGCGAAGTCACTCGCTAAAACCCACCGTGCTCTGCAGAAGCTTCTCAGCGCTTTTGGGAATCAACTATCGCGACCGGCAAATGAACGAAGCCCTGTTTACTTTGCACAAGCCAATCTGAACCCAGCCGCCGCTCCAGCCGGTTCATTTGTTCCTCCTGCTTCGGCAGGAATGACTCCCAGTGTGGGATCACTCCCACCTCCTACTCCGGAGAGCTCGGGCAGTGGAGAATGGACAATTCCAAATATTCTGGACCGCGCGTCGGAGTATATCCATCCACCCCTCTGGAGCTAACTATTGCAAATCTTCGGCTTCGTTTTCGTTATATTTGTTTCTTGGTATTCAATCTGCTTCAGCGTGGCCCGCGAGCATTTCACTGGCGTCGGGTATTTTTCAATTTCACGAGATGAACGCGGTGATGCATTGGTTTTTGTGGGATTATTGGGACGGCCTTTTCGATTTCTGTTGATTAATTCACGCATACCGCATGTCCCTGATGTCCATAACGTCCTATCTAATATCTGCGACATTGATGTTGCAAACCGCAGAAAAAAAGAAAAAAAGAACATATTCCACCATGTACATGTGTCCCCTGCTATCCTTCCGAGACTAACCACTGCCAGCCGCACTGTTCTATGGGACAACTGACCGAGATTGCGAGACGTTAGACAGGAAAGTTCTTCTACGCATCCAATGCAGGCAAGAGCTGGCCGACACATTCGCCAAATCCTACCCCGGAGTTGGCGCCTCCAACTACACCGGTCATGCGGACCGTGTCACCATCCAGCAAAAACTTTCTCTCCGAACCATCAACGAGAGTGATGGGCTCCTTGCCAGCCTTTGTTGTTTCTAAGAGACAGCCAAAGCTTGCTTTTTGGGGACCGCTAACAGTCCCCGTGCCCAAGAGATCGCCAGTGCGAAGGTCGGCACCCGTACTTGCCAGATGAGCAGCCATCTGGCGTCCACTCCAGTGCAGATTTACCGCGTTCGACTCGCTCACTGTCGTTTCCTTTCCACCAGAGAGAATCTCAACCTTGAAATCCATTGCGTAACTCGATCTGCTGACATCTTCGAGATGACTTGCCAGTGCAACCCCGGGCCTCGGGCCGGGTATTCTGAAAGGCTCCAACGCTTCCAAGGTGATCACCCAGGGAGAGATGCTTGTTCCAAAGGCCTTACCATTCATGGGGCCTAGTGGTACCATCTCGCAACCTTGAATATCACGAGCTAGCAGGCAATTGGGTCAATTATGATCGCTATGCTGGCGTTGGCTTTGAAGTACTCACAGCTCCAGTCATTTAAAATCACCATGCCAAAGATATGTTCGTCTGCCTCTCGGGCATTCAGTCCCTCCAGCCGGGGTATACCCTTGCCTACGACAACCCCGATCTCCAGCTCGTAGTCTATCGCTTGCGAGGGCCCATAGATGATGGGCTTCTTCTCCGAGGACGCAGAGCGATCGAAGAAATGGCCTCGTGGTCGAACAATTGGCGTCCCCGAGACATACACCGTACTAGCGCGGCCGTTGTATCCGATTGGGAAATTGAAAAATCCAGGTGGGACCGATTCATCATTGATGATGATTCGGCCTGCATTACGGACATGGTGTACACTGCACGAGAAGTCTGTTCCGCGTCAGATCTGCCAATGACTTCTGCACTCATTGCTCAGAATCGCGATATCGCAGCGATGGAACTCACCCGTAAACCCACCCACTGATACTGGCAAATGCAGAGTGACCGCGCTGATGTCCTCGGTGAAACCCGCCGGTAGGGGGTCTTTCAACGCCTGCTGTAGTACATACCTCACCTCGCGCTGGGTAAGCTTTGGCAGAGTGGCGAAGTCATTCAGCGTTTCCTTGTCGAAAATCCCTTCTGGCATTTCAATCTTGGCGAAGACACCCGACCGTTGAAGCTCAGCCAGGAAAATGACGGTATTCTCCAATCGAGTGACGCATTGTGGACGGGGGTGTCTTTCGGACGATGCGACCCCAAAGGGTATGTTGGCGATGGAGAAGTGAGTTCTATAGTCGGGAGAGGACATGCTGACAAAATTGCAGCGACGAGAGAGCGAAAGGAAATAGGAAAAGAAGTCACAATGGGGGATTCCTTCTTCTTTTTTGGAGGAACAATTTGAATGCGATTGCAATTGTTCGTGTTTTCGCTGCAAGGGTGCTGCATCCCCCACTATCCGACATCGTGGGGAGCCCACATCCCGAAGATGAACAAAGAGGGGGCGAAGGAACCGCTTCTGCTCCTAGTATATACCGATCTAAAATGAGGCATTATCGAAATGCCTCGCCTATTTTGGCCGGGTATTATTGGGCCTATTTCAGGTCGTTCGTGCCACAGTTTCGAAACACCCTTGTGCCATCCCGTTCTTGTGGCAGGACACATGGAACCCTTGCAGCATGTGTCGTTTTCGAGCTCACCGCTGGAATACTACCCTAATTGAACATATATGGATTATTCAAATTCAAGCTTCATTCTCCTAGCGAGGAACGAACAAGTGTGGATCTGCCGGTGACACGACATCGGTCCATTTACGAGCGGGCGTCAGCAAACCCGTTTGATATCCACCGCGGGAGGGCAATTGAACATGATCAGAATTGCGAACACATCGAAGAAAAGAACCTTGGCACCTTTATCGCACCGGGCTGCTGTTTTCTCCTCAGACATTTTCGATTCTTGGAACCACAATCTGCCCAGCGTCGCATACTTTTTTTTTGAACCTCAACAGGACGGTCCCTCACCGGCACAATTATGGCAACCGCGAACCCCAAGCTATACTACAAGGTTGGCGTACTGCTTTTCGACAGAGCGGATGTTCTCGACTTCACGGGACCAATGGAGGTCTTGTCGCATGTTTCGCATAACCGCAATCCCGACCAGCCGGATCGGATGTTCACCTTCGAGACCATTGCGCAGACCTCGACGATCCGCGCGGCGAACGTGATGAACGTGGAAGCCGATAGGCTCTTGGAAGAGGCAGAAAGGGACCTTGCGGAATATGACATCCTGATTGTTCCAGGAGGACCACCCGCCGTGGTTAAGCCATTGATCGAGGGAAATGCACCGGAAGTGGATATGATCCGCAAGTTTGCAGCGCTGCCCTTGTCAAGCTCCCGCAATCCACGGATCCTCTTCTCCATCTGCACTGGTGCCTTTCTCCTTGGGCGAGCAGGGATTCTATCTGGAATGACCGTCACCACCCACCATCGCGGTGTAGACGTGCTACGGGACATATGTGCTCGCTTTGGCGACAAAAACGAGCCTCCCGTGAATGTAGTGCATAAGCGCTACACGGATGGGAACCTTCTGAAGGGGAGATCAGTGCAGCTCATCACTGCAGGCGGGATTAGCTCTGGCTTGGACGCGACATTCCATGTCGTGCGTCAATTGTCAAGCCCGGATATGGCGGCCTTTGTGTCGCGAGTGATGGAGTACGATTGGACCGAACAGGGCAATTGATCGATGATTTGATTATCCGAGTGGCTTCCACAGTCAAATGCAAGACGCTGTGGGGCTATCGTTTAGAAAGTGGCAAGGGCTGACGCGGCGACCATATAGAGGATCTATACAGGCTCCGTTTAACACCAGAACCTTTGGTTTGCTTCTTACTTTCTTACGCCATGGGTAGCTCTAAGCCCCCAAGAGGGTCCGTACGGTCAGCATGAGAGCTCTAGCTGATCCAAATGATCAAGTTACACTTTCCTCATTATCAAACTGGAGGGTGGGATCTCCGTTTGAATTCTGAATACGAGGCGAGCTAAGCCATCGAGCCGAGCCGGGCTGCAAAAAGCTCTGGCCGCCTTTATTTGAACCGAACTTCGATGGTGGTACGCGTCTGCAAATCTAGTCATCTACACATGGCCGAGAAGAGGCTTCTCTGCGGGGGTCCTGCCAGGAAGATCCCTTATTCTCCGTGGCCCTAGATCTGAGTACGGGCTCTGCTGACAACCTCCAGATAACCTCTGCACCTCGAAAATTCCCCTTTGTTCGCCCACCCACGCCCTGAATGGCATTATTCGCAGGCAAGGTTGTCCGTAAGGCCCTGCGAGGTCCACTGCTCTAGACTACCGCAGGAGAATACGCGGAGATCCACCGGCTCCGAGTTGTACAGGACCAATGGGCTGGCGCATCCCGATCCAGTAGGTTCAGATTCACCCTAGGTATCTGAGTCCGCAGCAATGAACACAGTCATCCGGCTGAATGAACGCCGGCGTGGACATAATTCTGAGAGAAAAAAAAATATCCCGCCGAGACGGAAGCGGGTATATATCGCCATGTCGCTCAAGCGGGAAGCTGAGCAGCCTCGGGATATTTCGAACACAGAACAACAAATACTTTCTAACAATAGAGATAAAAGAGGGAAAAGACTCTCACTGTTTGAGCCAGTCGTCATCACAAGAGGAACGCGAGTACCAGTGTGACCACTTACTACTCAAACTCCGGCCACCATGATCGCCATCGCTCCTATTGCGGACACCGTTCCAGACCGATATCCACCAACGCCCCTTCAGAATGGGGTTGTACATCCCGGAGACTCTGTATCGGCCGTTATGACCCCAATTCCCATTGGACACGAGAGTGTGGCACCCTCTTCCGCAACTGACAGGCCCGATCCCCCAACGATTACCGCAAACGGCAATGCCTCTACACAACATGAACAAAATGGTCTCCACGTCGAAACTCCGCTTTCTGCTGACGAGGCCACTGTTTCTGAGGAGCAAAAAATGGCTGTCGATATTTTGAAGGTGATCGAGAGTTATGGGGTGGACTACGAGAAGAATGGCGGGTCGTGGAAGGGGCTCGAGTCATTTGTCCCGACTGTCATGGAGCAGGTCAAGCGGCAGGAGCCCATCCGCATGATTCTACCCGCCTTCCCCTTCAAATCCCCCAACATGCGGGACAAGGTGCTGGGCACTATGCCCGACTTTGGCGAAGAATTGGCCCTGGCTCATCTGAACGGGCTTTGCAAGAACATCGGCATAGTATACGAGCCTGGCGCAGACGTATACATCAGTTCCGACGGACTTGTGTACAACGGTAAGACCGCAGCAGCGCGAACACCTCGACCAAAGTCTCTGACTTCTTTTTCCAGATATCCTTGGAGTCCCAGATGAAACTGTATGGGACTACGGCGAGACGTTGCGACAAATGGCCGTCGAAAAAGGCCTGCACCACGTGAAATTCATTCGCCTCTTTGAGCTGTTGGAGCACCCTTGGTTCAAAACCGAGACCCCAGAGGACGCTAAGGCATATTATTTGGCCCATGCGAGCTGTCTCCGTCGCGAGCTAATGTTCGTCTTCGGCGATCCTTCCTTCGATCCCGACGAGGCCATCAAAACTGACAACGATACTTGCCTGACGTACCGTGGCTACATCAAATTCTTGACAAAGGATCTGGCGCACCAAGAAGCAACAATCTCGCTTTCGAAGCGTGCTCGACAGACCCAAATTTCTCAAACTGCACGCCAGATGATCGTTCGGGGTAAGATGTTTGCCGCGGCCATCAGGGCAAACCGGAAGGATTATGTCCGATTGTCGATCCACGAATCTGCCGGTGAGAAGAAGCTATCTGTATCCCTGATTCCGCAAATTCGTGGATCGCTAGGCTTTACGCCCTGGCATGCATCGGTGGCGGTGGGTTTGGATGGTTCATATCGCACGGTGCATGCTGAAGACGTGCGGGATACGCACGACTTGATTTATCGAAAAGGACAGCCTTATTATTTTCGCGAAAAATCGGATATCTTCGACTGGGCTGCCGATGCTGTTTCCGTCAAGTTCGAGCATCTCTACCCATGTGGACTGATCATTCGCCCTGCCGATATCAATAATGTCAACCCGCCGCCGTCTATAAGCGACCTGCCGATGCATAAAGTTCGCAAGCTGTCCAATATCATGTCGCCGGTCATCCTCCGTGGCTTTTCCGAGACGCTGGTTGAAGACCTATATGTCAAGGCCGCCTCTGAATTGGGAACCATCCTCCCCTGGAGCTTCGGCGTTATTCAGAAAGTGCGCGATGCCGGACGCTCCGATAAGATGGGTAATAACGTCACCTCCAATGAGGCCATGCCGATGCACTTCGACGGCATGTTCAAATTCGAGGAAGTCGAGGATCCAGAGACTGGCGAGAAGAAGAACGTTCAGCGACCACCTGGCTATCAATTCTTCACTTGTCCCGCGACCGCGCCCAAGGGAAGCGGGTACACACTCTTCGCCAGCTCACGACTTTTTTCAGGTATCTGCCTTTTCCCTGGACAGCGGAGCGTCTGCAGGGTATTAAATGGGCCATGGATAATGATGGATTTTGGGATGCTAAGCTCAAGAATCTGCCGTTGACGGTGACACACCCCGTCTCCGGGCTGCCGTGTCTCCGCTGGCATCAGCCGTGGGATTCCACCAAGACCAAATTCTCGACTTGTGATGTGACCATCGAGAATGACCACCCTAGTCTGGTGGGCGTCATTGACAGAGTCACCTACGACCACCGAGTCTGTCTCCGTTTCGAGTGGGAACAGGGTGATCTGTTGGTCAGCGATAACACCGCCATGCTGCATACCCGAACATGCTATAAGACGAACTGCGACCGTGAGCTTTGGCGGATTCATTTTGACTAGATATACGACATTGGCGACTTTGCGATTCATTTCTTTTGTTTAAATTTATGCAGCCTTTTGTTTGTCCTTTTGAGTTGTTGTCGATGTTGTCGACCTCGACTCGTTTGTTGACTATTCGCAGAGCTTTTGTTGAGCCATGGTGAAGTCAAATTGTGAGATAAAATGTTTGATATAAGAAGAGAAGTATCCTGCCAGATGACTCTACTATAAGTTCTGTATTATCTTTCCACGCCAGCAAGTTTGCTCCAAAACTAGCTCCCCAAGTGTGATCCACGTTTCCGGGCCCCACAACTCAGATATTCCACCCTCGAAAAGGCAATCAGGGTCTGCAAATTTTGAAATAGCACGTAAGAATGGTACAACACAAACAACCACTTTGAATGTGTGCAAGAATTGCAAGACAGCATGCGAAGTGGTCGCAGTGTTCTGCTAGTAGTGAGGAAGCATACTCCGCCGCCCGGGCGATGACAAATGAATTGCCACTCTACCCGCTTCCGTGTCCGAGATATCCGATCGCTTCTCCCTCGCCCTCTCCAGCCACTGAACAGCATATCAGCCAGGCCGAGCCCGGGGAAGCCGCCTTTGAAACACTGCATGATGAATCAAACCGAGCCGGCCGGCCGATCTTCCGTCATTCATGCATGTCTGGCATGTCGGCAGTCCAAAGTCCGCTGTATCTACAACCCGGCCGATCAGCCACCATGTCAACGGTGTGTTCTTCATTTAGGGCTTTCCATAATTATGCACATGCAAGACATGCTAATTTTGTAAAATAGGTGCACTCGGCTAGGCAAGGAATGCCTTCCGCAACCGACTCGCAAGCGCAGGAGTCCCCTGCCAAGAACGTATGTCCATTACACCACTGTTTGGCTCTGCAAATTCTTTTCTAATGGACTTGGCAGGCGATTCGATAAACTGGAACAGCGTATTGAGTCGCTAATCAACAATATTGGACCTCAGCGACAGAATGATAGCATTTTGCCCATCCCCACTCCTCCGCAGTCCTTGGTTTCTACAAGCTCGACGACCAAGAGAAAGCATGAAGACCCCCAGACATTTGTCTTTCCACAGGCATCAAAAGCAATCAGATTTAATCCTCTTCCGACAGAGGTGATTTCTCCTGGGGGCGACATCTGGCCACCAGTCGATACAGCAGAAATGCTCTGCTCGATCTATCGAAACGAGCTAAGCATCCACTTTCCTTTCGTCACACCTCCAAACAAACCTGTTCCAGAGCTGCAGACCAACCATCCTTGTCTTTTCAAGGCTATGGTTATGGCCGCCTCTTATCAAAATCGCGCGCTTCAAATGCAAGGGGTGCAGCTTTGACAGAGGAGTTATCAAAGCGATTGTTACTGGATGGAGAGAAAAGTCGCGATGTCTTGCAGGCGCTATTGTTGTCGATTGCTTGGTAGGCTTTTCAATCCCCGTTCGACTCGAATAAATTCACTTATCTTCTCATCTAGGTACCATGGCCACTTGAAGGCAAATTCGCAAATGACCAACTTGATCCACCTGGCTCTTGCGGTCCTCGCCGATCTTGGATTTGACAAGCCTGCTCATGTGAATGACCGGCGAACAGTCATCTTCGATGGCTCAAGGTCCAGCTACGGATTTGCCGAAGAGACTAACCTCATGGATAACGAAGACCGGCGGGCTTTGCTGGGCTGTTTCTACGTGACTTCTGTGTTTGTGATCCATTGCGATTCCACCAGCAAAACATGTACTGATTTATGTATAGGGCTTCTGCTGTTTTTCGTCGCGTCGATGCAATTCCATATACGCGACATTTGAATCAAGCCCTGCAGACGTTAATAGAACGAAAGGAACAGCCGATAGACAGGTTGCTCGTTCAGCATGTCCGGCTGCAAAATCTCGTCGAGCAGATTGCACAGGTAGCACCATTCGACGACCCTCAAGGACCTCACAGTTCCTGGGCGCCGATCACAATGCATATTCGTTACCTGGATCAGCAATTGACAGACCTCACCCAATCGGCCGTCGGGCTACAAGAAAACCGTAAGATCCATACCCATAATCCCCCAACAAGTCACTGACACTTTTAAGACTTATGGCTCATTCACGTCTATGCGGCCCGTATATTTCTGTATGAGGCTGGGCTGTACGATTCGCTATGGCAGTGGCAAAATGCAAACAGTGGCGCTCGGCAACAGCGGCTTGATACTATGTGGAAATGTCTATCCGCGACCAAGTCCCTGTTCAACACCTTCCTTTCCATGCCCGCGCATGTGATCTTCACCGCTTCATACGCAACCTGGGGACTCTTGGCCTACGCACTGCTGATTGCGTCTCGCCTCTGCTTATCCAAGGTTGAGGGCTGGGATGTAGATCTTGTCCGGAGGGAATTCGACTTCTCCCAGATCCTCGAGTTGGTTATCCAAAAGATGGAAGAAGGGAATGCCTTTGCTCGTACGCACTGGTCGAAGGATGCGGGATCTGACGAGATGATCGACCGTGTGAAGATAAAAACTAGGCGGGTACAGACTTGGTTCAATGGGTACCTTCCTCGGCTTTCTGCCCAGAATGATCTGCCTCTGGAGATGGGGCCGGATTACAATTTTCTCTTGGGGATTGACGATATGTTCTGGGAAGAGTTGATAACAGGGTTACAGCCAGGGGGCGTGTAGGAGTTATGACGGCGTTTGTGGCACGCTGAATTTCCAAATAGAAGACCTAATAATGTACACTAGTCATCGACAATATCAGAAGCACTATGCCATTCACGACGTCGGTCATCCCTGGCTAAAACTCTTGAGTCATGTCTTTTATCATTTATAGAATCATCACAACATTCACAACATAATCTATCGTTTAAAATCCGAAGGCGGACGGGGCCCGCTGCCTGTACTGCACGCTGGGTCTTTCGTGACGCTCATGCTTGGCTCGCAACTGCTAGTACCTCACGTCATCCCAGCCCTGAAAAACCTACTCCCGATGAAGCTGGTAATTTCTGCAAGGAGCATCCAGGTCCAAATGACCCAGACCCAGACCATCTACCACCAACACCAATTTGCGTATTATTAGTGGTTGACTGGGAGGGGTGTACCTGACACTGGCATGGCGATCCTTGGATTGTTGGCTGTGGCGACACAAATGTGTCTAACCCATTACTTCCTAGTAGTGAGGGTGGCGAGGATGCATATGTCGACGGCGACTCTGTAGGGACGAGCACTATGATCTTAGACTGTGGAGAGACGGTGCTCAGGGCCTGTAGAATCTGCGGCAGTGCTGTTTCTGGTTATCATCTAATGTTAGCACTTATGGTCTAGAAGGTATTTTTTCGAGTCGTGCGCTCACCTGTTGTAACGTAATATAGTGGCTGGTTAGATGGAGCGGAGCTTGTTTCGCCATATAGCGAGTTCGGGCTCGCAATCACATCTTGGACAGTGTCTCCCTCGTGGATGCCCGTGTGAGCGGGTAGTTGGATCCCTGATGGCATATATGACGCCCGGGGCATCGAGCAAATTGAATCGTTTGCGAAGCCACTTCCATCTACGATAGAGGGCGCATCTCCGGAGAGCCACCCTGGTGAATGTGGAAAGTTCAAATCGCTCGTCCACAAGGAGGTAGCTGTTGCGCTGCAAGAGGGCACAAAAGGTGTAGATGGCTCTGTAGTCATCGGCGAAGGGTCTCGTGAAGCACTGAGGTCATTCTGCTGATGGGAGGTGTGGCGTGGAGAGAGAAGCGGCGACGACGTGAAGGGCTGATCCCAGCCGTTGAGGGCGGCGGCGGCCCGCAGTTCGTTGGCGATCACCCGCTCTTGCAGCTTCGCGATGCGATCTCGGATCTTCCGTCCTGCGAAATGTCAGCACAGTCACTCAGCGCCTTCTTTGGACGACACACGATGGTTTCTCTGTGATAGCCTGTTTTGTAGCCGGCGCCTCTCCAAAGGATCCTGCTTCTGGCTGGGGGTCTCGTCGTTGCGGGGAGACTCGGCGGGTGGCTCGACTCTCATATCTGGTATGATTCTGCTGGAGGATGTGAAATGGAATATCTCAGTTGATTGTCCTGATTGAGGTGGCTAATCGGTCAGAAATAGGCATCGGGTCCCGGCACCGGCCACATGGGGTCAACATACCGTCTTTATACAGGCCATACATGCGCCCTCCACTCCAGAAATCAAACCAAACCAAGAAGGAAAGATTGCCGCCTCGAGTCAATCTCACCGTGACACGCAGCTGTACGACGGGGGCGAGCCAGTCAATCGAGCACAATTTCTACAACGACTCGAATCAAGGCTTTCAGCCGCGTGATGCCCCCGGGGCCATGCCACTTTGCATTTCTCAGCTGGTGCACCCTGATGCGGGGGAGAGGGTCCCTGTCTCGTCAATACTGGATGATGATTTGCTCCGCACGGGCTCTGCGCTCGTTCCACGAGGGTATTCCAAATATTGAGGCTAGTCCCGGGATGATCCAGTCTCTGGAGACGGAGCTTGCCCTGGATCGGTCCGGCTACCAGCGGTCTGGGATGTGGCGTAGCACATGAGCTTGGAATCTTCGAATGCAGTGAGAATTTTCGCTTGCTCCATCATCTTTCTGGAGCCACCTGGCGTGGCGAGGACTGTGTCACATTCTGTGATGAAGGGCGGCTCCTACCCAACTTCTCACCAGCAGAGTAAAGACGGGGTATGTCCTCTCAGGAATCGCCCTCACAATAAGCCTAGGCGTCGTCATACACCATGCACGGCCGGACATGACTGAAAGTCAAGAAGGTTGATGAAGACCAAAGTTAACTTGAGACGCGGTGAGAACTAAATGCGTTCGATCGTGATATTTCGAACGTGTGGCGAGCGTTGGCCTCGATCTACCCTGGCATCCTTTCCTTGCAATTTTTTATTTCTTTTGGGCTCATCGGAGTCTCGCCCAAGTCTCGCCCACTCGATAAGACACCGGATCCGAAATGCAGCAATGCTCGTGCTGTCTCAATTAATGACAGATTGTCTGCATTCTAATGCTTTGGCGAGGTCAGAACCACCAAGGCTCATACCTACCGGACCAAGTGATAATCTGGGCAAAAGCAAAAAAGGCAAACTATTTCCGGCGCTTGGCGAATTAAAAGATCGACTTCGTATATGAGAGTTCCTGTCTGAAATACAGCCTAGCGGCGGACAAACGGCTGCCAGTGGTAACGCTGGCTTGACTGTTACCCATACCCTGGTGCATCTCGCGTATGTCGACCAGGGAAGCCCAGACCGCCAGCTGCTGGCGGAACCTTGTTGATGCCATGTGGATGATGGTCCAAGGGCTCTCATTTGTTCCGAACGTATGCATGTGAGATCCTACCGCAGTGAATGATGGCGGAGCATCCGGTTTCACTCGTCTATGGCCTTGAGGGGAGAGACAGATACCTTGTGTGACCATGGTTCCGGCTATTGGTGGGGGGTATTTTTGGGTTACGACAGCTGCAAGTGCTTTTTCTGTTTAGAGCGTTAGATTCTGATATCACGCGTAAAATTACTGCATTAATGTGGCTGCTTAGGCATTGGATGAATGAGGAAGGCCGTTAGTGAGCGGCCACTTTTTTTCAATCGTCGGAAGTATACCCGACAACGGACAAGGCTCTTATCCGACCCTTTTACAAATAACTCACCGGGGGTTGCTTGCCGCAAATATGCAATGAGTTTTGAAGATCAATTGAAAAGTCTCTTGTCTTTCAACTATTCTGCCAAGTTGCGAAAGCCTTCATCCCAGCCTCAGGCATCACCTGGAATGTGTAACCTCGGACACTTGACCTTGGTCGCCAAGTGCATTGGCAATGATTGAGTGTCATTATTCTATAATTCTGACTTTTATTTTGATCTCCCCCTTGGACATCCTTGAGTGGCAACGGTCTCGAGAGAAAGCCACAAAACATGGAAACGTTGCACGAATTTGTTTGCGGGGAAATATTCTCTTCCAGCTCATCAGAGCCAAGAAATAGGGTTTACTCTGTGCTTAAAATACTTTTTTCACAAGAAAAGTATTACTGATTGATTTTAAAAGTCAGTTTTAAGTCTAGTAGCATGTTTCTCTCATTAATTGTCTCATTGGTCTGTTCTATAGATGCTTATGTTATGGACCACTTGGCAGAGCCGCAACGGTGCGCTTAGTGTTTGCAGAATTGTGCCGATCAGTCACTAACCTGGCCTACTAGTAAATGTCAAATGCATCCCCCCTTGACGTGCAGCTCGGCCGAATGACCTCCGAAGCCATTGCGTACTGATTAGGCCATCGTTGCGGATCCCCTGTCGAGTGCTGAACCTTTTCCAGGAATTGCGCCATCGTCGATTGTATAAGCCCGGGAGGCGATAAATAACCGCAAGGTTTGAATCTGCATTGTACTTCCACGTCCAGATTCGATTTATTGGATATTCATCACAGATCGGCACATTTATTCCGCCCTAATAGAATACGAGACATTGTAGAATTCGATTTGAAGCGATATAAGTTTTTTAATTTTAATTTTTTTTTTTTGCCTTGGTGATGCCTGAGACTTCATTCATCTATATAAGAGTCATTTAACAGCCTGGGGGTTTCTGTGACTAGGAGACAACTGGACGGCACATCGTTCAATTTGACAGCATCTACGACAGTATATGGATGATGACGTTTTAATTAGCCGGTCGGGACGTATGTGAGATTGTTCAGGTTTTCTCAGTCGGAGTTTAGGGGATTAAAGGGGCTTACGCAACTTCCCTATAGTGTTGTGATGGTACACATAGATCTCCCCCGCAAAGGGTGTAGGGATTGACTTACTCTGATTTCTGTTTCTACATGAACTGGCCAATGTTCAATCTTTTGGGGAATACATATAACAACTCAAATTGACCAATGCACGTTTGAATAGATAGCAAAATCAACAGGCGCCTGCCACAACCTCCCGTCAGCCGCTAGCCAGGCAGCCACTTCGGCCGGCCTGAGTCCAGTTGGCCCAGGGTTTCTTCCGTGCAACCGTCCTCGTCGCTCCTGCCTGCTTACAACTCGCTCACCTGACTCGCCCGGTTGTTCCCGCGCACTCTACCATAACAACACGCTGCTACCTGCACTTCAACTTCCCTTTTCCATCACCCTCATCGCATCCACAGTTACAACCACAATCATCATCATCACCACCATCATCAAAACCTTTGCTACGTTTCTCATGCAACTCCCATCCCTACCGCTAACCATGGAATCCACTCTCGTGGCCATTGTGACGACTGCAGGTAACATCCTGCCCTACCACCTCTTCGCCTACGGGGCGTTGCTGGGTACCGAACTGTTCCAAGTACACACCCCCACCCAATACATTCATTATCCCATCTATCGCAAACAATTTCTTCAATAGCTAACCCATAATTAGACATTCATCAACACAAAGCTCTGCTACAAGCACCTCCCCATGCGTGAGTTCATCGCCCTCCAGAAGCGCGTTTTTCCCGTCTACTTCGGAACCCAGGTCGGTCTGGCTGCACTGACGGCTTCCACGGTCCCGCCGTTCGGCATCATCTCATGCTTCCATGACAAGTGGACTGCGATCCCTCTGACCGTGGTCATTGCTACCGGCGCCCTGAACTGGGCTGTGTATGGCCCTCGTACTACGACGGCCTCGCTGGTGCGCCGTGCTGTTCATGGTAGGTGATTCTTCTGGCTGTCAGACTGTGAATTGTACTAACTCGAAATGAATACAGATTCGGCCGGCAAGAAGAAGAATGACGATGGCGTTGATGCAGATGATCAGGCCAAGATCCACCGTGCCAACCGCGGTTTCTCCTTCAACCACGCCATGTCCATCCACATCAACGCCATCTCTCTGGTGGCCACTATCTGGTATGGTTTCTCGCTGTCGTCCCGCCTTCTGTCAGGACTTTGATTTTCTTTTCAGTAAGCAAGTAAGCAAAAGAGGGATCCTAGATATCGCAGTTCTAAGCGAAATTGAAAAAAATCAAATTCTTTTTACGATATCACCACCAGCCCACTACAAGTACGTACTTCAAGATTTCCTCTTTTGTAAAAATGATCATTTCGAAATGAAAATAAGCAAAGAATATTATTATTAAGTATATGCATGACTGCATGAGTCACAAAAAAAAAAAGAAAAAAAGAAAACAAAAGCAAAAACAAAAACAAACAACCAGATATTCGCCCCTCTTGGGCCTCCCCCTCCTCCTCAGATCCCTCTCACTGGAGAATCATTTTCTCATCATGAGATCATCTCCAGGAGGGGCCACCGGCGGGTGTTTTTCAACCCATCGCGGTGGAGCGAACAAAGATTCGCTCGGGCTGTGACATTAGATTAGCTTTGATTCAGAAGGAGGGGAGAAAGTGAGAACAAAGTGAGACATACCTTCATGAAGAGAGCCCCAGCAACAGCCACACAGCCAGCAGCGACGACCAGCCAGTAGTTGTGGCCCATCGCGTTGACGATCTCATGGATCGCCGCCTTCCGAACGTCAGCGGGCAGCTGCTTGAGCTGCCCGCTGCCCGCACCGACCAGGGCACCACGAAGCGCCTCCCGGTTCTGGCCGGGCAGCAGAACCTGCAGCTTTTCCAGCGCCTGATTCTGGAAGACGGTGCCAGAGATCGCCAACGCGATGGTGATCCCAATGTTCTGGGCCAGGGCGATGAAGGACGAGGCGTCCGACTCGCGGCCAATGGCCTTCGCCTGGGCCACAGAGAACCCGGTCTGGATGAACATACCGGCTCCAATTCCGATCAGGGCCGAAAACCCATAGACTTTCGAGGTGGCCGTGTTCTCGCCGATGGTGTCTACAATTTCTGTCAGTTATATAGAACAAAGTGAAGGAAGGGTCAACATACTCATCAGCCCGCCACCAACAGCCGTGAAGATTCCTCCGCCTAGGTACCACGGCATGTACAGGCCGGTCTTGGCCATGGCGGCACCGTTGCTCAGTCCCATGAAGACCATGGGAATGATGAACGGAAGGAGTCCAACAGCGGCTTGCAAGGGGGTGTCGCCGCGAACAAACTGGAAGTACAACGGGATGTAGTACGTCGGGACCTATAATCAATCACCCATAGGTTAGCATAACCTGTTCGTGATGAGGGACTTACCTGTGATCACCACTTACGAAAACGCAAGTCGCGGCGCAGCACATGAGCGTGAACAGATTCCACATCAGAGGCTTGCGCAGAAGATCGGCCGGGAAGATTCTCAGCTCCTTGGTGGTGCCGAAAGCGAATCCCTGTTGCAATGCGAAGAGAAGCAGAACGACACCTCCCGCGACCCAAAGCGCAATCTCACTGCCAGAGCTCCAGGCGTAAAGGTTACCGCCGAAGTTGATCGCCATGATCAAAGCCACGAGTGCGCCGATGTTGAGCACCATTCCAAGAAAGTCGATCTGCTGGATCTTTTGCCAGAAGGTCTTGTTCTTCTGGGGGTCGCCGCGAGGCAGCTTCCAGAGCCACAGAAGTGCAAAGGCAGCACCAATCACGAGGTTGATGTAAAATGCCCAGCGCCAGGTTGCATGGCGATTCTGTGCGAACGCACCTCCGACACTGCGAGGAAGTTAGCAATGGATGAACCGAGTTAAGGGTCGAAGGGGGAGGGCATTGTGATACGTACACAGGTCCCAGCACCGTTCCAAGTCCCCAGGCTACAAACGAGTTAGCTTTGTCTTCTTTTACCGGGGAGCGAAAGTGAGTTGGCTTAACACTTACTGATACCAGTGTAAGACATGTACTTGGGTCGCTCTCGGATCGACGTGGTGATGGTGAGCAGGGTGAGACAGCCCAGGTACATACCGGCACCCTGTAAATAATTTAAGTGTTAGCACATTATGACAATCATGGGGGGATCACAGGGGACAAGGTAACACGAACCCCAATTCCAGCGATCGCACGACCAACGACCATTGCATTCATAGTTTGAGCCGAGCCACAGACAGTACTGCCAACTTCGAACAAGAAAACCGAGGACAAGTAAAGATACTTGGTGCTGAAGATTCCGTAAAATTTACCCCTGTTGAACAGATTAGCATGAATTCATCTCAGATGTTTTTCGATGATGAGACTTGATAGACTTGACTTACCATATGGCGATGGTAGCAGAGCCCGACAGGGTGAAAGCCACACCCAGCCAGACCAACTTCTCGACCTGGCTCAGACGAGCAATGATGGGAGCCTGGATATCAGCGACGATTGTGTTGTCGAGGGCAAAGAGGAAAAGCGAAGCAAGCATCGTCAGGACGATGAGACACCACTGTTGTTTATTGTTAGCCTCGTTCCAAGTAGGGCACAGGGACATCGCTCGAGAAAGTCACATACCATGCCTGTGTTGCAACTGGCCCGGATATTTTCCTGGACATAGTCGACATCTTCGATGTTTGGGTTGTTGTTTTCGGTGTCAACCGGTGCTGGAGCCTCATCCTTAGTGGGCATCTCAGTCAGTTCGGTCACAGTTGGGGCTTCCTTGTTTCGGAGCCTGTCGTGAGCTTTCCGAAGCCACTTGAGGTGATGGATCTTCATGATGAAGATGATTGAATCGATAATCGGGATGAAAATGTGAAGAAGGGGAACGGATTGATGGGAGAAAACGGAAGAGTTGGGGAGATGCAGAAAGGAAGAGGAACGGGCGACAGAACTCAACGGATATGTCCAAAGGGAGACCGACGGCAGAAAGGGAAGGTGCGACACCTGCTGTAAAATTGGAAGGAGCGTCGCCGCCTGGGCTCGTCAGGCCATCCTCTCTGGGTGTCTGTATAGCCAGCCTGCAATTGTAGCAGCCTTTGAATAACAAACAAGCTTGGGGATAGAGTACGAGTCCGGGGTTCATGAGGTCGTCGACCTAAAGGGTGCCGCCAACATCGCATCATCACAGTGTATAGCTGAGGGTCCCCAGCCAGCTCGCTCGCTAGTAAAGCTCTGTCGAGCTCGCGGTCGAGGTGGGACAACCTTTTTGCGCCCGTGGTTCCATTTGCTCGGATAGCTCCGAGGAGTCGCATTATACTTTGATGGATTTATCCTCCGGCCCTCCATTAATGGATCTAAAATTATTTTTGTCGTCTTTAGGGGATTTGTTATCCGGTCATTGCTTCTGATGGTAGACAAGGGGGCATCCATGGGTGATAAGTCTTTATGAGCTAATCGCATATTCAGATCGGTATCTAGTTATCCCATAGGATATAGAGCGGATCATCCCAAATATGCATTGTCGTCGAGCCCCACCGAAATATGGAGGAGCTACAACGCATTGGGTCTAGGCCGTCCCTTGCAGACGTTCAAAGTCAATCCAACATTGGATCTCAAGACTTGCGAAGGCTCATAATGTCCCTGGGGATATCACCAGGCTATTCATACCGTCCAATAACAAATACATGCATTGGTTGCCCTTTGGCTGATGCCTGCCTCAAATGAATAGTCCCCACGAGGGTATATGCCGTATCGATGATCAAGGCCAACGCATCAGCGGCATCAACTGACCTTCCGTCTGAACTTTGATGTGAGATGCTAGAGCGAGAATTCATTGGCTGGATCCGAGCAAGTTCCGCTGACATAGTATATTGAGTCTGATGCGGTCAGCGGACGAGGTGTATACTCCAAGGCCAGTGTAATTATAGGGTCATGTTATAGCGCAGAGAATACAGTGTACAATGACATTGTACTCCAAGGGGTATCATGGGAGGATAAAGCTACTGCCTACAATCGTGCCTTGTACCATCGCCAGCAATGACGCGTTGATACGAACATTACCCTAAAGTACACGCGATACAAAGGTACTTTCGGTTTATAACTTACCGGGATTCACGGACGATTCAGAAACCTAGACCTAGCGAGATGCGAACAAGCCGATCAGGGTCGACTCCACCGCGTATATCTCTACTCATCTTCACCCAGTCGTCTGACCTGCGGAAAAATGTGTAGGAGGCAGCTGCCCTCACAGATGGATTCAGTGCAACCCTCGAAACAATACTATGTTGGTATGAACAACGGACCTCGTCTCTGTATTCGGTAGGTATCTTCTGTGCAATATGTATGAGATGACAAAAATTCGACACAGTGGTATCACAAATCGCGCGCTTGAACGCCTGCCCGCGGAGCAGATCAAATCTCCGTCGGGTACCATCGGTCCCGCCATCCCACGATACAATAGTCGCAGGAGGGTCGGCGTGGTTGATTAACATTAATGCAGGGAGTTTTTAAAAAAAAGAAAAAGAAAGGGTAGTAATGTCGTGGCGTCTATATTCTCAAATCCAATCCAAATTTCGATAAGAAATGGACAGACCTATGCAGCAAGTCCCGAGAATGCATACTCGGCCTTGAATTCGAATTGCTCTGGGCTTTCCAGGAGCAAAAATGACTCGTATCGCAGTCCGCGTTCTTTGCCGTGCCGGACAGACCACGGATTGACGGTGCTATTCCACACGTTGCTGTATCCATCGAACAGGGCGCGCCAGTAGCAGGCCTCGGAGGCCGGGGTCAGATATCGCTCACGGAAGGTCTTGACACTGTTTTGCGCGATGCGCTCGGCGGCGGCGGTGTTGTGGACAAGGGGTTCGATCTTTTCGGCCAAGTCGCTGAAATCGCGCTCGACCTCGACGTAATTTTGGTTCGGTCCTTCGGCAACCAAGAGGTAGTGATGATGTTGAATATACTGGAGTTTGTGTGCAACGATGACGGAGTTGCAGGCTTGTCGGTATTTCAGGGATGCGGAGTAGGATCGTCCTACCGAGATTTCGTCAGTGGGCCATTCCATCACTGATAACGCAAAACTCATCTGGTGTCCGCCAAACGGTCTGGAGAGAAAGGAAAAATGATACACACCTTCAACGTGGGCAATGAACATGTAATGACAATGGTCCTCCATTTTGAGGACGTTGGTCCCCGTCGACCACTCCACCTGCTTGACATCACCCCACGGCTTATCTCGGGCAGCCTCCATCAGCGCCCGACGCAGCTTGGGGGCGAAACTGGGCTTTCCGCGCCACACGAGCTGGGGCTTTTTCTCGTCCCAGGGGATATCGAGTCGCTGAATGCGGTCCACGACCTGGTCATAAGGGCCGATGTAGTTGTTGGGGTTATCCCAGGCCCAGAAGCTGAAGTCGGGTATCAGCCAGACACCTTCTTCGGTCGGCGTGCGCGCAAAGACCCAGACGGGGTGCTCCGGGTTTGTGACGTCCTCGACCTTGTCCTCCACGGAGAACACAAATTCGATGTCGCGCTGGGCGGCCCGATCCCGGTCGGCGACCAGCGCACGGTGGATCGAACTCAGGACACCCAGGATCTTCCTGCGGTGGTCCTCGCCCTTGGCCCGAGCGGCCACCACATGCAAGTTACCCTGGGAGATGAAGGCGCGGGCCATGCCAGGCTGGATTGTAATGGCGTCCAGGTTCTCGGTGACGAGGCCCCCTGAGCACGCCAATGCTGCTGGCCGCGGGCGACGTCCTCGAAGAGTCCCGGGAAGGCGGCCTGGCATTGGGTCGAGTCGAGGGCATCGTTGCGGCCGTCACGGGCGTAGTCAAATTTCCAGGTCGGGGAGGTGGGTTGTTGGAAGGCGGCATCGGGGCAGGAGAGGCAGGTGGAGCATTGGAATGTGGTCGACGTTTGACAGGCACAGTGGCCGGCGGGGATGAGCTGAGTGAGGATGGGCGATATGTAGGGCCGGTCGCTGTTCATGGCATACCAAATGGCGACGATGATGCTGCAAGAAAGACACGCTATGACGCAAAGCAGCGACAGACCGCGTCGCGGGCGCATCATGGGGTATGCCGCGGTCATCACGGGGGATCACGACAACGTTGGGAACATGCTCTCGCTGGAATTGACAAGGAAAGGTGGAGAGGGACAGGTGGGATGGAGAAGAGGTTAAGGGGGGGAAGAAGTGGGTGCCCCAGGCGGAAATGAGGCCGAATCACAGGAGGATTGTCTGGAAGCTCCCGAGGATCGGCCATGCCGGCTACGATTGGCGGAGAAGAGCCGCAGGATGGGGCAGCTGGCGTCATTTTAACAAAACTGCAGTGCAATTCCCTGGTTGAGCTGCGCCCTACGCTGGTGCCTGTTCAGACCAGCATTCTCTGATACTACTGTTAATGTATACTGTAGTAGAATACATTCCCTTGGGTGTAGCAGTGTATCTTTTATAGAATATGTTGACATATATCACAACTACCTTACTCAAGGGATGCTTAGAAACAGACTTTTCACAGCCTCGCCTTGGCGCTGCCTTACGGCGCTGGCCCTCTCTGCCTTGCGATTTCTCGTTTGGCCCCGATGCTCGTGTTGGGCGGAGCGTGGGGGCCAAATGCAGGGCATGTTTCTATTCTATGTTCCGGGTTCCAAGACATCACCCCAATGTTGGTGCGTTTGCTCTTGGCATCTCCATCCGGTCTAGTTGCTCCCCGTGACGCCCAAGATTCGTCCAGCAGGATCCTGAGGACCCCTACCCTAGTCTACGTAGGGTTGTACCAGTCGACGGGCTCAACCGGTAGGGCAAGTCCGGGCGAACGCTCTGATCCACTCGCTTATTCTTTGATCTCCATCATTCCAGTGTCGCGTGTGGGCGAGTCTGCATCAGCCACCGAAGGAAATGCAGGCCGCGCTCGTATTGCCATGCGACTCCCCTGAAATTTAGGTTAAAATCTCCATCATCGCGCACCGCGTGCAGCGGCAGGATACGAAACCATCGAGCAAATTGTGATAACCGGGATATCTGCAATTGCATCGGCATAAATACATTGGTATCGGGTTCCATCTTGGTACTGTACAGGCGATCACTGGAAGAAAAACACACTAATACAAGAGTAGAAAACATCGCGAGACTGCAGAACGCAAACAAAAGCAAAGCGCTACAACTATTACCATGGGATTAGACTCATCCATGATTGTTGTACTAACTGGCACTAACCTGACCGCCATCTCGGTGCACATTTCTTGAGTGAGCCATCAAATTATCTTTCCGATTAAAAGATCGGAAGCAGTTAGGCTCGGGACAATCATAGGCTCCGGGGTTGATATGCATGGCCTCGATATGCCGGAGCAGAACCGCCTTGCGAGAAAAGTGGCCGCTGTACTGGCAATCCTTCCATTGGCATTTAAAGGGACCGCTGTGGTTGAGTCTGGGGACTATCAGCTGCATGATCTCATCAGGATCCATGGTGAAGGCCAGGACAACTCACCGTTCAGCAGATATGCGCCGAGCCTTTTGGGCCCTGCATGATTTCGCGGACGCCTCTTCGGAGATCTCCTAGATCGGTCGTTGTCGGAGTCGTCTGTCAGAGAGCTCTGTGACTCCGGAGCATCGCTTGGGTCATAAGACCACTTCCGGCTGTTGGAGGATGTGTGGTCGACAAGACTAAGGTCATGTTGATCGACCAATCCTTCTGGCGCCGTCGTTTGTTTGAACGAGGTTGAGAGAGCACCCATCATTGAGTCGGAAATGTATTCCTCGGCCGTAACTATGTCGTTCCCCGTTGGAGCCACGTCGTGATATAGCGGCTCGTTCTTGCACATGCTCTCATTAGACATGAAGCAACTAGGCCTCCAATCTTGTTGGCCTGCCAAGGGGGCTGAGGCCACAAAGCTGTCGTGGCAATAGTACCACGGCATATCGACCAGCTTGATGAGGTCGTGATGGTCAAAATTCGGATAGTGAAAAGCAAACAAGTAGTCAGGATAGTTACCAGTCGTCGGGAACAAAATGGACAGGAGAGATTGTTTCCCAGTACCATGGTCATTTATAGTCGACAGAATCGAACACCAAATGTGATCATTGACCTGGATGCCATCAAACCATGTGCATCGCCCTAGCCTCAACAGGATACAGTAAATGGGATACAGTAAATGGAATTGCCCCGTACGCATACTCTGTCTACTCGAAGTGGGGGCTGTACGAACCCTTCTGGTGCCCCTGCACCAGTGTGTTACCCTAAGGACGGTAGTTGAAGGCACGTCGATTGTCCGATCGCAGTCCTTTACTCGTCCTTGACGTTTGTGGAGAAGGCGATCGCCATTCTTCTGAAACTCTAATATCCAAGTAGGGTAAACAGTCCAGACTGAAACCAAAACTCGAAAGAGCACCAACTCATGACTCAGAAACAATCTTTGGGATTCTTCTATCTTTTTCACCAGTCCGAGCATTGGCAACTCTGTACTAGTTCACATCTACTGTAGCTATCATCTCGAATTTGTCCTCGGTGTTCGCCTCGTGAGTCAGGGGTTCGGTCGGCAAGAAAAGCGGCTGAGTAGCCGGGCCTCGCATCACCAGGCGGACTGAACACGCCGGCCGGGAGATCACAATTTAGAGCTGTCTCCTGTATCTCCTCTAATTTCCGCTGGGACTTTTGCTCTCAAGTGATTGGGTTTGGACCTACCTTTTGGGAAGTGCATTCATAAGATCTACTCAGCCGCAGGGAGTCAACCCGGCGCAATGGTACCTCAACCCGCCCCAGCGGTACCCCTATCAAGTCCAAGGATCAGCTGAAGTTCTCGTGCTTGTCAACAGCAATGATCTGCTAGATTATATCTGGTCCTGAAACAACTCGAGCGTTTCACCTGTCGTCGTCATCGTGATCAGCGAACTGCACCTTATTTCCCCACAATAAACAACGTGGCCACTCTAGCCGCGGAAGGGTCCGTAAATGGGTCGTTCATGCCAACATGGATTCAATTATAGAAAGTGGAACCGTGCATGCGAGGTCAATGGGAAGTAGTGAGTTTGTTCCGCTCCGTGGCCCCGCAATAGCATGCACAAACATGCAGCAACGCACGTCCGGGCAGCTTCATCGTCCTGCGCCTTTCCTAATTGGGATACAGTGCTTAGCCTAGGGGTGACCATGGCTGTACAGCTCAATTGCCAGCTGCAAGCGAGATGAAAAAGCAAGGTATATTCCCTGGGGTTGCCTGATAATTATCCCCCCAATTGTCAATGTGCATGACCTTGATGGCCTTCCCACCCCATATTATCCTACCAAAGAAGCTCTCAAACTATACTTAGTTCACATCTACCTTGACCCTGGACAGAGTTAAAGGTACGTCAGGGATAGTGAGTAGTTTAGATAGAAATTTGTGACGGACCTCCCCTCAATGTTAGTTTTCATCAAATATGTTTGTTTATGTAGAAGTGTTCGGTGACGGCAACGGAATCGAAACCGCGCCAGATCTCGACCCGTGCTCTCGTGCTGAATTCCCTTGGGGTCCCGCAACGACATTGCGGGACACAATTCAAATTTAGATGATCGATCTAATATTTAACTTTCGTGTTGGTTTCAACTTTGAATCTCAGGAGGTAAGTAGTTCCTTTGTTGGGCAGGACGGTCTTTCCATTTTTATCTGAATGTCAGAACAACACACGTGCCTCCCTCCTCCAACTTGATAGAGAAAGAACAGATATCACTGATATTAGCATGAATTTTGTATCTCTATCCTATCTGGCAGTTCCAACTGCATCGACGTGTATATTCAACCGTCCGAGGCGAGCAAATAGTGCTTACTACGCTTCCCGGTTAAAATGCGCTGCACGATAGTCAACTACCTTAAAATAGTTTCCAAAGGACCCTTCTTATAAATAATTCCATACAGACCCATCTTGCTTCGCATCAACTCAGAACTATTTTCTTATCTCATCAATTCAAAATGTCAATTAGCAGCTCTGCTCTCCTCAGCGCCCTTGCGGGCTTCGTTCTTACTACGTCCTTACCTCCAAGTCTCCCATCCCAGACAAGAAGATCCACTCCATCCTCAGCCACGTGATGCTATTGAAACTCTCGGCCTTCAACTCGCAGACCACACGCATCATCGTCTGCCTGAAGAAAGAACACGAAAAAGTGTGGGACATCACGAAAGAAGTCCTGCTGAACCGCATAGGAGCCGAAAGATTCCAAAAGATCGCCCCGAAGCTCAATGGCTTCCAAGCCGCTTACGGCACGATCCTTTTGTTGTCTCCGGTCTGAAGTCGCAGTTTGCGTCCTACGCTGAACATTTCAAGGCCTGGTCCGAACACACCAGTGGCATGCATCAGTTGATGGCTTGGGTTGCTCTCGAGGCTGAAGGGTTCGGGGCGAATCTTCAACACTACAACGCGATTATTGATGAGAAGGTGGCTGCTGCTTTCAATGTCCCTGATACCTGGAAACTTTGCTCTCAGCTGGTTTTCGGGGTCCCTGAGGGCGATGCCCCGGCTCCCAAGGAGAAAAAGCCTTTGAAGGAACTGATGAGATTTGAGGGAGCCGAAATTTAAGTCAGCTAGACCATGCCATGCCCAATATCAAATGCAAGTCAGACAATGAGTAGCATTGCCTCAAAAGTATCTATGAAGTGTTGGCCTGCCTCAGTAGAAAAGGGAAGACGTGAGAGAACATTTGAATCCTCTCTATTAGTCGCAATTATTTGTGAATTCAGTGACTGTGGAGTGCGCCTTACTAGTACAGAACTACCCTAAGTTACCCCAGTAGTCACCTTGGTATCCAAAAACATGAAAACATCCCATCACCTCCCCGGTTTCTCCTTCCAAACGCCGGCTGAAATGCTAATGAACATGAATCTCACGTCGGTTTAACACATGAAAAAAACTAATAGCTACGGGCATTACTTTCGTGGATGACCCCGGCCAGACCGCGGACCCCGATTTCCGGCGGGCGTCTCGATCGAACTCGACCCTGGGGTCACCGGCGCTGCAGCACGTCGTGAACGACCCCCTCGGACTCGGTCCATCGCCCTGCGCAACATCCCATCCGCCTCCTCATCGAGTTCCATTTCAACTGTATGAGCATCCCCGGAGCCGGCAACAGGTGTCACTGCATGGGTAACCTCATCAGTCCACTCTTCTGTGTAAGTTCCCGGAGGCATACGCCTACGCGAATCTTCTGGCATCACTCGGTCCTTACCCATTGTCTCACGGGTCCGGTTTGCGCCCCTGTTGTTCGATCTTGAACCACTCTCGCCAGTCTTGCGAGGCTTCTCGCTACCCTCATCGGCCCACATATCGAGCGCACGGGAAAGCAGTGTGCCGGCGGCTCCCGCACCACCTGCAGCATCACCACCACCGCTGGCTCCCAAGACACGAACGGCCTCGTGCAGGACAGTCACAGCTTCTGAGATGCGACCCAGCTGCATGAGAATCAGACCACGCGAAGTGTGTAGTGACCCGACCAGGCCACGGTCTTCATAGCCTCCCACCCCAGATGCCGTAGCCACTGCCGCAGAGCCTCCCGCACCACCGCCCAGGAACGGCGAGTAGCCCATGCCTTTTCCTCTAGCACCGACACGCACGCATTCATCAAATTGAGCAAGAGCTTCGTCAAGATGGCCCATTCGGCGGAGTGCATGGCCCAAATTCGCACGGGTTGCAATCCACGCGGCAGGCTCACAGTTTAGAGTATGAGCCAGCTTCAACGTTTGTTGGAACAGTTTGGCGGCCATGGGAAGGTTGTTCTGGTGGTAATGCACCACACCAAGCTCATTCACTACAAGCGGGTCACCTCCCAGGGGATTGGACGATTCATTGGACGGCAGACTGGGGGTGGAACCAGGAGCACCTGTCGACATGGAATACGCCGCGTTGAGATATTCCAGTGCAAGAGTCATGTTGTTCAGTGCGAGGTGCTGCATCCCAAGGAAAAGCTGAGGCAAGTGACTGCCCTGAAACAGACGTGCAGCTGTGCTGTATGCTGCAATTGCTTGATCATGTTCACCCTCGGCGGCAAAGGTATGTGCAAATCCGATCCATGCAGGCGCGGAATGGGGGTCAAGGATTGAGGCCTTGGAGAAATACCGTCGGGCCTCGGCAATTTTGGATACTGCAAGGTAGTACACACCAATAGCCAGATAGGTGTAAGGTTCTTCGGGGGCATGGTCCGCTAGGGTATGCGAGAGCAGAAAAAGGGCATTGGTGGCCCCGGTCTCGTACAGACAAGCCAGATGGAGAGGATAAACTCCGGGGGAATGGCCGATATGACGATGTGCGGGAATGCTGGGGCTGTTGATGTTTGTTTCTTCGTTGGATTGAGAAGCACAGAGGATGGAAGTGGTGAGCTCCAGAGCTTCAACAAAGCGACACTGCGTAAACAACGCCTCAGCGCGTGCCAGAAGGATATCTGGGTTATCTGCAAGGTTGTAATGTGTAGAAAGAGTCTCCGTCGCATCGGAGAGAATATTTGGCGCGGCGTACTTGGAAAGACGGGTGGTGTAAAGCATTTTGGTGAATTCGGCCGCTTCTTGGGCAACGGCCTGGTCAGGTGAGGACACCGAGTCGAAGTCCAGTGATTCGAGGAATTCAAGTTCCTCGGCGGGCGACATGAGCGAGTTCTTCATGAGTTGATCAAACGCCTCGAAACACTGCACGTCAATGCGCACTGCATCCTTGTAGCAGTCCCGGGCACGATCGAATGCGTTCTGCTTTGCAAAGCACAGGCCCCTCAGATAGCACATGGCGGCCTCAAATCGAACGTTGTTAGAATCTTCTCTTTCGCGGTCATCCCCTCGCTCGCCTCGCGAGGTAGGGTGCTTGCCATTGCGCAACGTGACATGCTGGACCTTCCGGCGGCTCTTATTGTTGCGAATCAAGTCAGTGGGATTGTGCTCGCCAAGGATCGTCAGAGCTTGGTCGAAATTGTTCTGTTTAATGTAGCAATGGGCGGCGAGGTAGCGACAGGCGGTGCTGCGTGCGATCAGGTCTTTGCGGGATAAGAGGGCCAAGGCGCGGGTGAAGTTGTTGTTCGAGAAGTGGACTTGGGCCAGCCAGAAGGCGTCGGAGTCATTGTCTTCAAATTCATCTATTCTTAGCGTGCTTGCTTCGGACTCAGAAGCATCAGGAAACTTACTGGTGAGTGCAAGAACCTTGTCACCGATGTAGATGGCAGATTCATGCTGGCCGCGATTCAGCGCGTCCTGTCGCCAGGACCGCAGGTATTTCTCCATGGCGAAGGGTTAGACACGTCAACGCCTGACAGGAGAAGATTGGGAAAAGACAACGGGCATGGGCTGCGGCAATCCGCCTTCGGAGAATTTGGCAGTCGGGCGGCGCGGTGCTGTTCGCATGGAGCGGGTCGACGGTGGACAAACAATGGCCCGTGCACAGGGCCGCCGTGGAGTGGGATGAATGCGCGTCGATGGGAAGGGATGCATCAAAGGGGAGAAGATGGCGTTGAAAGAGACGAGAATCTATATAGCACGCTGATTTCCCCCAAAGCTCCCGCGCTTCGTGTCTCGCGCTTTCCTATTCCTCTGGACTCGTTGGACTGTATGCACGTGATTTAAAGGTCACGTGGAGATAGGCTGGGAGATCCGCCACTTCGACTGCTTTCTACTTGTTCCTGCTCCAGCATCTCCTCGCGCCACTTCTTCTTCACCTATCCCCAGAGAAAGACCGCAGACGCCAGAATGTCCGAGCGAAAGGTCTTGACGAAATACTACCCTCCCGACTTCGACCCGTCGGCGATCGGGCGCACACCCAAGCACTTGCGCAAACAGGGTCCCAAAGTCATCACCGTCCGATTGATGGCCCCATTCCCCATGAAATGTACCAACTGTGGCGAATATATCTATCGCGGGCGCAAGTTCAATGCGCGCAAGCAAAATCTGGAGGAGAAGTATCTCAATATCCCGATCTACCGGTTCTTCATTCGGTGCACACGATGCAGTGGTGAGATCACCTTTCGGACCGATCCGAAGAGTAAGTCCTCCTTCGCACTAGTTGGTATTCTCGAATGGTGACGCTAACACATATTTAGATATGGATTATGAATGTGAGCGTGGCGCAAAGCGTAACTTCGAGCCATGGCGAGACGCGAAGGACGGTAAATACAACGAAACGCAAGAAGAGACGCTCGACCGACTAGAGCGCGAGGAAAATACGGAACAAGAGCAACTTGAGCGTGACAAGATGGCCGAGCTGGAAGAGAAGATGCAGGATTCGAAGCGGGAAATGGCAGTTGCAGATGCGCTGGATGAGATCCGAACTCGGAATGCCCGCATTGCACGAAACGAACAAAAGGGCGACGATGTGGCTTTGGACCTTGTTCACAATGAGGTGGATGAGGCTCGACTGCAGGCCGAGAAGGAAGATGAAGAGGCCGCGCGTAAAGCATTCAGGACGGAAACCGGAGAGAGGGTTAAGCGAATCGTCGAGGACCACGAGGCGCCGAGTCCCTCGATGCCACCACCATCGGCGTCTTTCACCACCGCGAGAGTGAAGAAGACCAAGAAGAACAACCCGCTCGGCATCAAGAAGAAGCCTTCTTTGGTTTAATCCTTTTCAATTCTTTGTTTCATTGGCGCTGGCGTCTGGTGATTTGCGATCAAGTCAAGCAAGCTCTCTACTTTTCCAAGATTTCTGCTAGCGTCTACGAATACTAAATGTCACGTTTTTCACGAAATACTTGAATGATTCAAAGTAAATTAAGAAAGCTAGTACTTGTCTACTAAGTAGAAAAACATGTAGAAAAACATGAAGCAACAAAGTCATACAAGAAGTAAATCGGTATCATAATGATCACCCTAGAAAGAGAGTAGTTTACCCTCACCAATGCGCCACGCTCAAAAGCAAGTAGAAAACCCATAGAAGCCACCCTTGGGTAGCCAGAAAAAGAGAGAGATGCATTTTTGCCACCAAGAACGAACAAAACAAAAGCAAGAAGCAAGCCTCACTCAAAGATATGGCATCCACAAAGCATCGCAGGAAGCCAAGTGTTGAGGGTTAACCGCCCGGGAGATCAAATCGATCGAGGTCTGGTTGGCAGGCAGGTTACCCTCCGGCGGACTGGCAAGGCTGACGGCGCGATTGACAATGATCTCGCTGTTGTTGTAGACCAATTCGCGGAGCTGAGGAACGAGCAGTTGACCACGGTGTTGAGCGGTAGCCCAGAACATCATCTCGTCACGCACGAAAACACTAAGCTGTTGTTCTAGCTCGTGACGAGGCTCCGTCAAGCAACGTGCAATAGCCATCATGGCACAAGCGAACAGACCTTCAGTAGCAATGGGGCCCAGCAGAGTTTGGATGTTGGGGGTGAAGCGGAAGGGAACCTGCTCTGGATTGTAGAAGATAGCCTTGGCCGGATTGATTGTCGGGATCAGCTCCGCTCCCCAGATGTCACCCGTCGATCGAGAAACCAAGATCTTGTTGGGGTAGCGGTTGCCAATGTGCATCACATAGGTCATGAACGCAACTGCGGCATACTGGTACGCAAACTGTCGACGGAAGAGCCAGAAATCGGCGAAGTTGGGATAGGTTTGCTGGAAGTACTCTAGTACCACAGTACTGGGAACCCATTTATCTTGGATTGCGGTCAGGATCTCAGTCCGAAGAATCTGCTGTTGATCGGCCGTGCGCTGTTTGGAGTTGTTAGCAGTGTCATGTGGAGAATTTCCGCCGGGGTCACTCACATTTTGCTTTGTCTCTGCCAGAGAACGCATGCGATCCATGGTAAAGAGCACTGGCTCGTCCTTGTTGATACCAACCCGTCTGCAGTAGTCCTCGTAGATGCCTTGCATGGAGATGTATGACGAATCGTCGCGAACCAAGCGAATGTGAGGCGCCAATGGCACCATCAGTGGAAGATGGAAGTAGAGGTTACGGCGTCGGCTGTCCTTCCGCTTGGCCAACAGACCATTGAAGATACGGAACAGCTGCAGGATGCGCTCCTCGCGACGGCAGTGGCGTGCGGCGGGGTGCTGTACGGCGAATGCATGGATGCTACCGTCATGGCCACGAATCTTGAGACGGCGGTGGCAGACACCAATGCCACGAACCAAGTCCACGTCAGGCAAGAAGCGGTCAATGCGGACAAAGTCCTGGTTCTTGTCCTTGTGAAGCAGATACTGTCCAGGAATCTCGACCTCATCGAACTTGAGGAACCGGAATTCGCTCAGGTGTGGCGAGTAGGTCTCAAGGAATCCGGTCTGGGTTCGGCGATCCAGCTTCTCCTCAAACTTGTCACGCCAGCGACGCAGCTTCTGAATGTACTCGTACATTGTAGGCTTCTTGACTACGAAGTCCGCCTCAAAAGACTTGCGGATATGCGCCGGAAGGATTGTCTCGGCGAACCGGGTGATATTGGCCTCAGTGGCTGGCGGAAGCTTGGTATCCTGCGCATAGGATTGGGGCATACGACCCACATAGGCCAGCCCATCGTTCAGAAGGGCAACAATAAGACGGTATGCATCCTCGTCGGGGGGACACTTGAAGTTCTTGTGGATTTGGTCGACCATTGTCTCCATAGACAGAGCAAGCAGCGGGAAAGCGGTCTTGAGACCGGACATGATTTCATCGGAGTATTCCCAGGGCTTCTTGAGCGGCTCCTTCTCGGTTGATTCCGAAGGGTTAGGCTGGTTCTGCTGTTGAGGGGTGCCCTGTCCTGGAACTTGAAGGTGACCAGGCTGTCCATGGTTCTGCTGCGCAGGAGTTTGACCAGCTTGTCCCTGACTGGGACTTTGGGCTTTTCCTTGGTGCGGTGAGGCTTGCATCTGGTTTTGTTGCTGGGCAGGAGATTGGTTGGGCGCCTGCTGGTTCGGGGCAGGAGACTGGCTTGTCGGCAAGTTGGTGTTTTGACCGGCTGGCGAGGCGCTGGGGGCTGGCGCGCTAGTCGGGGGCTTCTGGGCTGGAGATGCTTCGCCTCCTGCGGGAGGCTTCGAACTAGGCGAAGATCCCTGCTGTTGCTGCTGCTGTTGTCTGGCACGGTTGAGCTTCTCTTGCTTCTGATCATGCTGTTTCTTGATACTGAGCATGTCCTCCCGGTTCGTGCGCAGGAGGAAGAAGAGGGCCTGGGGGAACAACTTGGCAATCTTCACAAGAACGGCCTTGCACAGACGAGCCTCGCGGTGGGATAGGCTAGTCAAGAGCTGAGGAATAAAGGTAATCCAATACCAGACAGGAGTATCACCCTTGAAGTCTTCGAAGGCCTTCGCAATCTGGCCCTCCTCATTGTCCAAACTGAGAAGCCACAAGATACGGCTGAGCAGCTTTCGCGACTTGGCGCTCTTGTAAAGACCAGCAGCTTCCAGGTAGCAGCTGACGGCGTTGCTAGCCAGTTCGTAGTCGGAAGAGTCTGCCTTGAAACGCTGGTCACTGTACTGTCCCCACTCAGACCAGGCCTTTGCGAGACGCAGATCATAGTAGAGAGCAACACCAAATGCTTCGTTGGCCTCGGTGACATGGTCCAGCTTGGCCAGGAACATTCCCTTCAGAGTATAGAACTCCGCCTTTTGTTGAGGGCCAAAGTAGTTGAGGTTGGTGTTGTTGATTACATCCAAACCACTGTTAAGCTCCTTGGGGTTCTGGTAGTGGCACTTGGCCTGCTCACGCAGCTTAAGGAACGCCTCCTGGATTTCGATGTTCGGAAGCGTGTAGATGCGACTGAGCTGATTGATGCACACCTCGGGCATCTGGTGCTTTCGTGCCACGTGGGCAAAGCGGTTAATGATCCAGGCGGTCTCGTGGTATCCACGGTAGGCGTAGGAGTTGCTGGCCACATTGTTGGTCTGAGGGGGAAGCAGACTAAGGTAAGTGCCGTTGATAAGCTGGAAAATGTGCTGGCGCCAGGTAACAAGGTCCTGCCACGTATTGATATCGTCCCAAAGGTTCGGCAAACGATCCCGCCACGTTCCAAGCAGAAGCTTCAGTTCCGCTGATTTGGTATCCAGGTTCCGCTCATTGGTCTGGGCCAAGCTGCCACAGATGTGACTGGCATCGTGCAATTCAACCAACAGTTGGAAGTGCTGCAATATGGGAATGTGGGCATTGGTAATTCGCTTCGGCAGTTGCAGCCACTTGCGAATCGAGAGCTGGATAGATTCATCACAGACGCTGTTGAAGTCCTGCATGTTCTCCTTCTTCACGTGGTACTGCAAAAGAGCCATGAATGCCTGGAAGAAGGTGCGTCTCGGTGTAGGAGCATCCGAGACCGACTTGATCAGAGACTCCAGCTGTTCCCTGTTGCCTTCGCTCTGCCAGTTCTCGATGTTGCGCCAGGCAGACTCCAAGAGTAGATCATTCAAGTTCTCGTGTTTGGCGAAGTCACTCAAGATGTCCCACTGCTGGAGCTTCTGGGCGCAAATGAGCCAGTGATCTTCCCACACAAAGTATTCGCCCTGCGAGAACGGCATGGCTCCTGAACGAGCTTTGATTTGTGCATTCTCATACAGTTGTTGAGACTTATCCCACATACCCTGTTGCTCATAGGAAAGGGCCGCGTTAGTCTCGACAAACCGGCAACGGCGTCGCCAGGTTCCGTAGAAGAAATCGTCCTCTTGGAGGCCGGCATAAACTTCAACCAGTGCATCAAGGTTGCTCTCACGCACAGTGGATGTGTCGATGATAGGGTTGACAGCACTTTCCTCAAGGTAGGTAGCAGCAGTGTACCAGGCATCGTAAGTACGGCTGAGGTATTTCATGACATGAGGAGGGACCTTGAAGCGAGGACGGGCCCGGACAACTCCCTCCAGAAGGGCTTGTACCACGTTCGGGCGCTTGTCCAGCTGTCTCTGGTGGTACTCGCGCGTGAGCAATGTGACCATGCCCTTTTCAAGATCAATGCGATCTTCCTTGGTTAGTGTTGACCAGAAAATAGGGAAGAGCGTGGTCCACAGCTTATACGACACGCTGGAGTCGGTGTGCTGGAGTTGGATAAGAGGTTCGATCAAGTCACGAACCCGAACGTCACCGACATCCGACATGAAACGCTTGCGCTCAGCAACAAAGGTCTCCAACTGGCTGTCAACCATCACATCCGATTTCCTCGGATCCTTCTCGCCACCGGAAAGCAAGAACGACAAGGGCATGAGTGTAAAATCGTCGGAATGGAGGCGAGCCGACGTGTTCATGTCCACGCATCCAAGGATTAAATGCGAGGCCTGCGCCAGCCAGAAAGAATCGGCAAGGGTATCCCAGTTCTGGCAAGTAAGAACATAGCTCAAGCGTGAGCTGGCGAGTCGAGTCAGACTCTTATCGAAGATGCCCATGAAGCGATTGCGCATCTCAACTTCCTGCGCTCTTGTGCCGATCAAGAAAGCGTGCTCTAGTCGGACTGTCAATTCAGTACGAGTTATCTTTTGGTCCTCGTAGATGCGAATAACCAAATCGAGGAACTTCTTGAGCATTGTCTGATCAGGTCGAGACTCGAACAGCAGCATTTTGTGAAGGACTGCTGTCTTTTCCTTCAGAGTAGGCCAGGACTCGGTTGAGTGGAAAATCCAAGACTCTGCCATCCCCAAAACCTTGCTGCAAAGCTTGATGTTCTGGGAACGCTCCACGATTGAGGCCAGAACGCTGAGGAAGGGACGCCGCTGGTCGCCGAGGTGGGACATGCGGACCGAAATCAATTCAATTGTCTTGGAAATAAGATCAACGCCCAGCTCAACTTCTTGTTGATCGGGGACTCCCTCAGCAGGCTTTGGTGTTTGCCCGTTCTGGCCGTTCTGGCCACCGTTCTGGGTGACATTTTGGGTGGTCGACGCTGCGACGTGTTCTTTGGCCAGTTTTTGAGAGAATGCCTTCATGACAGCAGGGATATGGGTGTCGATCTCCGCAGGTTTGAGTTTGGACAACGTCCAGAGGGTGTTCAGACTGGACACGTAGTTGCTTGCTGAAAGCGTCTCGGTAGCAATTGCCGACAGGTAAGTCGCGAACTCTGAAGGCGTGCTTTCTGTGTCCATAGCGTCTTCATCGTCGGGCTGGTCATCGGGAATAGCCTCAAGAACACGGCGAACAGGAGGGGGCAGCTTCGGCGAAATTTCCATGTCTTCTTCGAGGCCGTGCAAACAATCCTGGATTTCGGGGTTGTCCGACTTCAAGGGCTTCTCAAGAAGCTTCTGGATGATCGGAAGGCGAGCTGTAATCCACTCGTCTGGTTTTGCAGCAATGAGAACACGCAAGACCTGAAGAGCATTGATCATGAAGGTGGTCTGCTTGTCATCAGGCTTATCTGCCTTCTCTCCAGCCAAAATAGGCTCAGTGGCCTTCTGGTACAAATCAATATCGAGGTCTCCCCAGTATCCGGGCGAAAGAAGATTTCTCAGTAGACCGATGGCTTTGTTGATCATTTCACCAGTAGGCACGGGCGGCGTCTGCTTGGACGAGGGCAATTGGCGGATATGGGCAGCAGGAACCAAGAAGCGCTCTGTGGTGGTGGTGATGAACGTGATGAGATACTTAATCAACGCACCACGAAGCTCAGGGGGAACAGAATAGTCGGCTTTAGAGGCAGGAGGTCCCAGGGAAGGTGATTGAGACGCTCCTTCGGCCTCTTCCAGCTTACGCTTCTTGGTATTGGGCGATTCGATAGCTCCATTAGGCACATTTCCGTGGCTTTCTGTGGTCTGGGCTCGCTTCTCCTCCCAGTGCCAGATAAGGCCAATGAGATTCAGCGCCAGTTTCTTGCTGTCGTTGGAGGCATTAATCGGTCCCGCAATTTTGATGAGCGAGGGCACAATGAGGGGAATGAAGTGCTCGCGAGAATCATAGAAGAGATCAGGCTGTCGAACCAAGAATTGGAAGATGCTCATTACCTGCTGTAAGTTGGCGGTCTCCTCGGCCAGGATCCGGCGAGGCCATTTGGCCCACAAGGGATACCGGGCTTCTGCGCCTTGGTTACCAGCAGTGCGCGTGGGTAGCACCGGAGCAAGAACATCGAGGGCTTGAGTGACGAGAGCTCGGCCTTCATTCTGGTGGGCTCGCAGCAATGCGACGTACACTTGAATCACAATCTTGAAGGGCGTCTCGTAGTGGGCGATAAAGTAACTGATCAACACGTACGCACCGTACTTGTTGATAATATCTTCGAGACGGATGTAATTCCAGGCGAACTTGATAATGTCCTTGCGAGAATCTTGCACGGTCTGCGAATGGTATTTGATCAATAGGGCAGACAGTTGAAGCAATTCCATGCGCGAGTGGTCGACACCTGCTTGGCTCGATTCCTCGCTCAGGTCGGCCAGCTGGGGTTTCCACAGACGACTTTGGATAGATTCGGTCATGCTCTTGTCCATCAATTTAGGGCCGGTGGATGGGCCATTCCACGAGACCTGGACATCCATCGCAAAGATCGGGTTGACCAGATGGCGGAAGGCATAAGTCTTTGTCTTCTGAGAGCAAGCCCGTTGGCTGTAAAGATCAAGGCAGCGCATGATGACGGAGCGTCGGTAATCTATCGACTCGTTGGTAATGATGTGCTGATAGATGAACTTGGGGAGGGCCAGAGTGCGCTTCAATTCATCTGCGGAAAGACCATCAATAACCTCGAAGAGGAAATCCAAGTCGTGAGGGGCTTCCGCAAGGTAGACGGTGAAAACGTCCATCAGCTGATCTTCAGCCTGCTCCACTCTAAGACGCTCATCGGGAGGTAGGCTGTCGCCCCGGAGTTTGCGCTCGAGCTCTCTCCCGGATGTCAAAAGTTTGGTCCTCAAGTCCGCGTGAGAAACGAGCCAGCGCTTGGTAGAAGAGTACGAGCAGATGGAATACGCAACGTAGATACCATTGATGGCGGCGGTGTTTGTGCCATCAGTGTTCTCAGGTGTGAAAGCGTTCGAGATGAATCCCTCAGTATCGGCTACTACAGCATTCCGCAGGGTTTCACTCTCGGGGTCGGCCAGGATCTGCCCGAAGAAACGACCAAATCGCTCGTCTTTGAAGCGTGCAAGGAAAAATGCAAGACTCTCCTTCGGATAGCGGTTAAGATACTTCACAAGAGGCTTCCGGAAAGGGCTGTGCGAAGTTCGTCGAAGCTTTTGCTCAAGGTCAAGAACCTTGTTGACGAGGTGCTCCATAAAGGATGTGGCGGCGGGAGGAAGTAAGTGGAAAATATTAAAGATTGCAGCCACAATCTTCATAGCAGGGTTCTGTTCAACCAAGCTGAAAGAAACTTTTTGGAGTACACTATCGTCGGCGATGACCTTCATGTGGTCCAACAGACGAGCACCTATCTCCACTTTGAAGTAATTGGTCAACAATGTCAAGAGCCTAGCCAGTCCATCCAGACCAGCGACGCTCAAGCGCTTGGGATCCTGGAGGTTCATAAGGATAGGACGTAGACCGTTTTGGAGCAAGTCCTTGGGGAGCTTGTTGGTCTGGGTCAGAACATCCTTGAGACCAGCGTTCGCGGCTTCGATTACTTCGGGTGAACGAGAGTAAAGCGACTTAAAGAAGACTGAAATGATGCGAGCGCGACTGGTGTTGTTCGGGGTGTTGGCAAATTCCTGAAAATTCATTGCCATCGACAGCAGACGCAAGCAGGCAACACGAAGATTGACGATCATTTCGGCATTCTTGAACTCGTTGGGCTTCGACGCTAGTGATTCATCATCGGCATCGGCAAGAGCGAGCGACTCCAGCATTAATCGGTTGAGGGGCTCATTGAATGTCACGATCTCATTGTGCAAGCTCAAGCAATAGGTGATAGCATCGATGAAGCCAATCTGGGTGGCGAAAGGCAAGGCACGGAGTGGCTTGTTGAAGATTGACTGGAGGAGACGGTCCCGAACAGGGAAAATGAGTTCGTACACCTCGCAGCCCAATTCCTCCTTGAGAGTTGCAAAGCAACGACGACAAGTCTCGCGAACATGTTTGTTCATATGGCCAAGCTCGAAGACGAAGAAACCGCACAAGGCATATAGGCGACTCTTCTCATTCTTGATGTCATCCTTGGGCACCAGCTTGCCGCACCGCTGAAGGATCAAGGTCAGAGTGTCCTGGGACTGGATCCGCGTGGAGGCAGGAAGATCAGGAGGGGTGTCCTTGATGACATAGATCAGGGCCCGAGAAAAGTCGAGGTGTCGCTCATAGAGCCAGGAATCACCAAGTTCGAGCTTGGTGGCCAAAAGTTGGATACCCAAGCTTCCGCCTGCTTTTGTGAACCACTCCTCGCTGTAGCAGCTATGGCACAAGATACGGCCTAGCTGCTGGAAGAATGGAAGCTTAGCTGCTTTCTCGGGAGCACCAAACATAATGCCCGCCGACTCCTTGACAACCAATAAAGCCTGCTCAGCTGCGTCACGAACATGGGCGTTGTCTGAGGAGAGTGTTTCAACTATAGCTTCGGCAAGGACCCGCGAGTCAAGGTAAACGGGACCCTCTCCATTAGCCACATCAAACGCCTTCCGATTATGACGCGCGGTAGCAAGAGCACGTCCAACCTCCAGGATAGCAAAGTGTTTGCAGACATCAGTGACAAAGCTCTTGGCAGTAGTCTCAAGCTCAGGGATCGTTGTAGCAAAGATACACGCCTTGATGAGCTTCTTCACTGTAGCTTCCTGTGCCACCTTCTTCGGGATGGAGGCGGTTCTCTCGGATCTCTCAAGGATGTCGGGCATAGCCGCGAACTTGTTCTCAATGAGATCATTGGCGTGAATTCTGATGAGAGACGCCAAGTCATCGGGAAGGTTCTCAAAGCCGATTTGGAGCTTGAGGTGCGAGCTGAGCATACGGTATGCCTGCTGCTTGTAGTACACATCTGAACCCTTTGCAGAAGTCGATTTGGGGGCTTCCATCAATTTACCGATGGCCAAATCAATGCCGGTGTCAATAGGGAAAGGTCGCTTCTCGCCAGGACCAATTAGTCGGATATCAAAGCTAGGGGTGTCATCAGAGTATTGCTGGAAGTTCAACTCAGGCGGGTGATTCAGGAATTTCCGGTTACGTCCACCAAGCTTTCCAAGAATGCGCATTGTAGTGTGGGCGTGGAAGTGGTTATAAGGATGAGGACGCAGGTGATCCCAAAGAGCGGTCATAAGCTCATCCATAATCGGCGCCATGATGGGGTCCAGGTAGTCGGCTGTGAGGTTGTCCACACAGAGTTCGAGAGTGCGCAGACCTTGGCCAACGAGATCAGAATCAGCACGCAAAGCCACGACTATAGGACGCATGAGGTAGCTCAAATGAGGCAAAAGATGGCTCAGTCGAGCCGGAACCGTCAACGTGAGCTCAACATAGAGATCTCGCTCTTGAGGCTTCCGCGCGGCGAGAAGCAAGTTATTGAAAGTCTCAAGAAGCATTTCGAGGAGAGGAAGAATTTCCTTGTAAAGAAGCTCGAATCGACCGCCACCAATGCTGCGGAAGAGGGACCTCAGCAGGAGGAAATAGTTCATGGGCTCTTCGGCGGTCACAGACAATTCAATACACTTTGTGACAATCTTTGTCACATGTGGGTGGAGCACTTGCTCGTTCTGTACAGAGAAGAGTGTGACTGCCATGAAAGAAAGCTTGAACATTCTCAGGAGAATCTTCGCCTTGGTCATGTCTGAGGTGCCGACTTCGTGGATACGCTCCATGAGGTACTGGAGCACCATTCCGGAGAAAGCGGGTGATGTCGCCTCGCTTGCCAGGAAGAATTGTGGCAGGTGGAGGAGGGCCCCATGTTCAAACATGAGTTCGTGAAGGTAGGGAATTTCGGAATGGAAGACCTCATGGAATGTCGCGGTGTCGATGCAATGGAAAACGGTACCAAAGCTCTCCAGGAGCTCTTTCTCTTCCCGAGACATTGGTGCTGTGTATTGGCTCGCAAGGAAGTCGAAGGGAGAGGAGTAATTAACTTCCGGAGGAGATTGGTCAACGCCATAGTAGCGGAAGACTCGAGCACCTTCGTGGAAGAGCTTCTTGATGACACCAACCTCTTCCGCATTGTATCCATAGGAAACCTCTGACCAGTTTATGGGAACGCTGTTCGGGTCGATTTGGATATCGTCCGGGTTGCAATTCTTCAGCTGGTGGAAGATGTTCTTCAGCCCGTTGATGAGATTTCTAAAAAGGAAGATGTTGTCCGAGACAGGATCACTGCCACGGTCACGGGGGCTAGAGGTCTTGATTGGGGAAGCGGAAAAAATGTCAATTTCATCCCAGTCAGGTGGTTGGTCCGTTTCAGCAAGATAAGACTCGCTTGACGGCTCGGTTTCCTTTCGAGACTCCTTGAAGAACTTGGACACCTTAACCGCATTCTTGAACTGGTGGTTCATAGACGCGAACTTATCGCCAATGGCATCCAAGATCATAATGAGGAAGTACCGAGCCTCGCGCTTATCTTCAAGCTTAGAGATCTTCTCTGCCATATTCAAGAGCAACTTGGCGCTCATCGTCTGGAAACTGGTACCGGGAAAATCATCATGGAGATTCTTGGTATAGACTTCCACTGTCCGGCGGATCTGATCTCGGCTCAAGTGATCACGGACATGGTGGATGAGATCTGCCAGCATACTGTATGCCAATGGTCTCATAGTCTCATAAACTGTGAGACCGTCACCAATCAATGTCCGCTCATCCAGAAGCTCATCGATTTTTTCGAGGAAGATTTTGCGATAGTTGAAGTTGATGATGTGCCTAATCGCAACAAGCAATTCCTTCCGGGCACCAGACTTCTCGCGCGGGCAGTCTTGCAGAAGTCGAACAACAACAGAGGGGAGAGTGGGGAGAAAGTCCTGTAGTTGATGGGCATAGAGACGAAGGAGGTATGCCAAGAAACTCATAGTTTTCACTTGGGCAGTGATGAACTCCCCGAACGCAGCTCTGTTCTTGATCTCCTTGCAAACTCCGGTAAATATTGTACCCTGAGCAGCAGCATCTGCATGAGCTTTCTCTTGTGGCTTGGCCTGCAAAAGCAGAATCGTCTTGATGAGAGGTACGAAAAGCTTGACATTCTGTGGAACCGACGAGCGATGGGTCTGAAAGATCGAGACGACGATAATGGGGCATTCGGCGAGGACCTTGAACGACTGCATGCCCTTCAAAAGAGCATTGCTGGATTGTTGTTCAGGTCCCAGGTCAGAGACAGAAGTGGCAGGTGAGCTCGGTCGGGGAGATTGGAAGTTCTGTGCGCTGGCATTTGGGGTCGACGGCATTCCGGAGGGGGTCGCTTGGTTGGGGGTATCGAAGGTGTCTCGAACGACCTGCTCCATTGTTTGGAACATCTCCTGGATGAGCTCCAAGAAAGGCTGTACCCGGGCCGCGGTTGCCTTTGCTTGATTTCTTTCAAGGTCCATGATGGTTTTCATGCACAGGACAGCATTGTCTTCATTCTCGATGCGCGCGAGGTCCATCAACAGATCAACCATGTCCGCAGCATAAGGTTCGACGTCGGGAGGGGCCATCGGTAACCTGTGGATAGTCTCGAGGATACAGTTCCGGAGTTTCTAGATGGCATCAGCAATTCCTTCTTTCAAGTGTAGACCCAAGTCGCCGAAAGCGATCGGGTCCTCGATCTTCACGGCGTTTAATCTTACCTGTTCGTGAGACATGCTGAAGAAGACAGGGTCCCCCTTCAGGATGGACTTGAAGACCGGCCAAAGCTTGGCCAGGAACACGGGGTAGTTTGCGCCCGCGCATAGTGGCTCGATACTGTCTCGCAATTCAGTTGCGACATTTGCTCGTACTTTCACGTCTGCGAAAGGAGGTCAATTGGTCAGCGAGTGGTCTTTCAAATGTAACAGACGACGCTGCTATCACTGAATCGAACATACCCAGCTTCTCATCCCCCAACTTGCTGGCGTAGATATCGATATTCCGCTCCATGACACCTGGTCAGGGCCCGTCAGACGGCCAATCAAGGGAAGAGGACTGTAGTCACGGCCAGGCCCGGTGGCCGGCTGATATATATCCAGCCTCGCGCAGTGTTTCGCGATCAAAATCAGGGTGGCATATGCGAGGTCGAGGTGCGGTCGAAGCTCTGCGGACTTGGTTGCGGTAATGCCGAAAAGATCGATCGCGGAGAAAGGTAGGATGGGAGGTTCGTTAAGTCATTTAATTGCCGTCGAAATAAGTCTTGAAAATGAGAGACTAGACGGCAGTGAGTGAAATTGAGGAGCCCCGGCAGGGTGGAGGGTGTGGAGGAAGCTAAGAGAGAGCGAGGGTTGGAGATTGAAGCGCGCGAGACCCAAGTGAGCGAAGGACGCGGGCTATCGCAGAGACCCCGAAAAATACACTAGTCCGCTTTGGGTAATTCGGAATGGGTTGATCCGCCCCGGTAACGCGCGCTTGATTAGCGACTAGACGCGCGGGTCCAGGGTCAGGTACATACCACTGTACGCGGTCAGCGGTGTACCACGTCGGGTTCTACAAATTTCAAGTTCATTGCAGTGCTTGCTTGCAAATATAAAACATAAGATAACTCTCTTGACTTTTGGAACCCGTCCACACAGGACTTCGTCGGTACGCAGTCTGGCTTTATGTATTTTCTGGGGTATCTCAATGGACGTACTACTATGTACCTTAGGGTATGGTCATTGGAGCCAACGGTTATGACGGAGCTGCTTACAACACCAATGACCAAGGAGCGCAGGCATCTCAACCCTGCACCAGTGTCGAATTGATTGATGGGCCGTTAAATACTACGGGGAGAAGTCTATCAAGGATTTCACAATATGTCTTGCGATCCTGGGGACAAGAGAGATTTCCCAAGGCGATGTCATGTCTCAGTACTTGTCTAAAGAGAATAAAAAAAGTTGGCAACACATGGAAAGCCACCGACACCTACGATCGGCAGATGGAAACGCCATTCGCACCCTCATTTTCCAGACCCGAACACGGTTCTAAGACGGAGTCCAACTCAGAAATCCGCTCAGCGAGCGCCAACTCAGAGAGAGCCGGCCATAGAAAGGGAATTATCAGAAAAGCCATGTACACAGAGAGGAAAATAAAGAAATAGCAAGGCAGAATGGAATGGCACAGTGAAATAGGGAACCTTAAGAAGGTAAGGGGGGATCGATTCGGGCAGGTTAGGAAATCAAGACGAAGAAACATTTGGTGCAGGCCCGGTTCGCTATGCCATGATTGCAGAAAATCAACGCAAGTCACATGTCCATTATCTGCCTCGTCATCTTGGAAGGCCATTATTTGGTCGAATTGCTTCGGTGCAGAATCTGTACATTGGTCGCGCTGGTACCACTGCCGACCGAGCGTCGTCGCGGGCGGATCTCGCTGCCGCTGCCACTTCGTCGCCTCCGGGTACCTCGAATAGAGCCACGGCGTCGAGTCTGGAGCAAAACGGACGTTTACACGTTAGAATCATGCTGGCTGTACAAGGGTGAACAAGGTTTTTTTAGCAAGAGGCAAATACACGGGTGGTTGCGTTGAAGATTGACAAAAGAAAGACGGGATCCGAATGGGAATGCATTGGATCTGAGTAGCATCGTGACATGAATCAGAAATGCATGAGACTCACCGACGTGGGGGTTCCCTCCCGAGCAGGCCGCTCCCTTGGGGTCTCTGTTTCCTCTTGTAGCTTGAGGGTGTTCAATCGCTGCTGACTCTCATGCGTCATAGCCTCCACTTCATCGATCGGCTCTGGGACGTCAAGAGCCGGGGCTGGGGGAGGCGGTGCACCATTCTTCCGCATGGTCGCTTGCTGTTCGATCAAGTCCCAACGATCCAAACGAGACTTCTCCCGCTGCTCGGCGCTGTTCTGGTGCTCGGTATATTCATGCGAGCATTCGTCAAAAAGTTGGGGGTTAATCTCCATGAACATCTTCATGGCATTGTAAACCATACTGTGGATAGTCCTGTGATGAAAGATTTGTCAGCGAGTGCGAGGAGACGATGATTGTCGAGGATAGAAGTGTGGGTACGAACCTGTTCCAATGACCCTTGGAGTTCTCATAGAGCGGGGCGAACATGATCGGGAGAATGGTCTCAACATTGTCGCTCACGAGGTTACAGAAATACTCGTTGTTCCAGAAGTACAGAGCACGTTCGGCAACCTAAAAAGAAAGTCAATCAGTAGGGGGTCGTTAAATCATATCGTCTCGAGGTTACAGACCTGGAAGTGAGGGCTGGCAACGGACTTGGCCAGCTGGTGGAAAAGAGGCTCTTGCACTTTGGCAAACTCTCCAGGGTCCATCACTTCAAAAATGTCCTCCACCTCATTAAGGTACATGACTTCCTTTGTGCTGTTGGTCTTTGGCCAGTAGCGCAACAATCCGAGAACAACCTATACGCTAATTAGTCAAGTCCAGGATTAAAAATGAGTTCAAGGGCAGTGGCTTACATCCTCGGTAAGGGACGAATCTTTCTCCAAAAACTGGACAATACAGTAGGCCAGTTGAGGATGATACATGCTCAAGCTCTTCACCTTATGCATGGGAAGTAAGACCCGGGTCAAGAAAAGCTTGTGCTCCTCCTTAAGAGGCAGTGCAAAGCCATTGATGATAGAACCCAGGATTTCCAGCAGCTCAGCAATTCCGTTGTGTCTTTCGGTCTCATACATAAACTGGAAGAACACATTGTTGATCGACCGCCGAATGTACGACCGCAGGTTGAGAAATTTGCCGTAAATACGGTGCAGAGTTGTCTTGAGGAAATCACGTTCCCGGGGGTCCTCGGAGTCAAACAGGTCCAGCAACTGTGTGTGTAAGTTAGTTATCGCCGTACACCGGGGTGTGCAAGGTGAATTCGTGGACCCACCTGAAGCACAAATTGATGATCAATGTAAGCCTTTGCAATATTAGTGTTGAAATCCTGGCTCTCGATGAAGCGCAAAAGAATTCGTAGACGACCTGGATGTGGGGCCAGGCCACTTCTAGGACAGGTTCATCTTCCTCAGGATCGAAGGCTTCGCCCTGCGGAGTCATGGGAGGTGGAATTGGCCGGAACAGGTTCTTCGCAAACATCTCCACCACACGAGGATACATGGGCTCCGTGATCACGGACCGGTTGTTGGCAACGTAATCTAAGAGCTCGTGGAGAGCCAGCCTCTTGATCTCTTTGGATTTCATGTCGGCCGTCGGATCGTTGAAGTCGAAGATGATATTGCACTGGTCAATCTTCTGCATGAACAGATCCTGTCGACGGTTGGGAGCCACTTCGTGGAAGCCAGGCAGCTTCTCTAGTTCTCTCTGGCGCTGGTCGGATATGTCGAAACGCGAGGAGTGCTGGCGCTTCGGGGTCCGGATTCCTTCCGACATATCCTTGGGAGTGGTTTGGAGGCGGTCGAAAACATGAGACTTGCGGGGAGGTGCCAGGTCTCCAGGCATCGTCTCAGCGGCACCGGGAGGGGGGCATGCTTAGAAAGTACGATTAGTCCAAGCTCCTGGTTACATTGCGATGGTGAGGGGCAGCAACTTACCGGTGCGCTGGGGCTGATGATCACGCTCGGGGCAACTTGCTGGCCCTGTCTCGTCGGAGTACCTGGGCCATTGTTCGCCGGCTGACCTGCGATTCCCGCTCCTTGAGATACATAATTTTGAGCGGGTGCACCGGTGGCGCCTCCGGACGGGGTTCCAGCCGGGGAAGCATTGTCTGGGGACTTGCCTCGTGAATCATTCAATGATGTTGTAGACGAGGTGGGAGTGCCTTGGTTGGGGGAAGTCGACTGTTGTGTTTGGGAGATGCCGAGGGACGCCTGGTTTTGGGACGAGGAGTTCGAATCTTTCTTCTTCGAGGACTTGTTGGCGTCCTTCGCCCGCGACAACTGCTCATGCTGAAGGAGTGAAAACAGATATTAGCCAGGCAACACTCGTGGAGCCACGGGGGAAGGAGCCGTCCACCATTTGCACGGTGGGGGTGAGGGGGGTAAGAAGAGGAGATGGTGCGGTGCGGTGCGGTGAGCACTCAGAGAGTAACACTTACCACTCTCTGTCTGAAACCCTTCATTTTCACGTCGATATGTAAAGCCTCATGTACACCGCTATGGTTGTCCTTGCCAGCGCAGCAAGCTGCCGCACTCTAGCCAGAGCGACTCAAACGGCGGCAACGGAGAAGAACGCTGAAGGAGGCCACGAGAGGGAGGGGGTTATTTGTATCGACCTAGCACCACAGGTTTATAAGCACACCTAGCTCACACGACGTGTACAGGGTGTCGGGATGAGGTAGATCGATTTCGAGCTATCGAAACCAAATCACTCGAAGGGGTCAGGTCGGGGCCCAATGGCGGCGCTCCAGACGGGTATGTAGCAGCACGCGCACGGGGCAAGACACTTCGGTGTTGGGGAGTAAAGGGACGGCGGAGGCAAGGCGACGGCGAGATCGATCGGAACGTACCTCTCTGGCCTGAAATGGGACAATTGGCGTTCGGAGTGTCGAGAAGACCGGCTGAGTAGCGCAGAGGATGGTCTGGGGCGGGCGTGCTTGATCCGCTCAGAGGGATCTCCGTGTCGCTTAGTGGTAGGCTGGGAGCGGGGGGGATCAAGAGCGCCAGAGCCACCCGATTGCGAGTCGCGACCAGAACGAATTCAGCTGTCGATAAGATGGACGGACTGACAGAGCCAGAAAAGAGCACTGGTCAGGATCGTGCGTGGGCGGGTGGTGGTGGTGGAGGGGGAGGGAGGAAATGCCGTGTTGTTGAGGTAAAGGGAAAGGCGGGTTCTCCTGGCTGTGATGGTGATGGGAGGGGGTCCAGCACTACGAGCCCAGCGCACCAGGAGAATTGGTCTACTATCGCAAATGTACCGGTAAGACCACCCTTGCTCTGGGCAACCGGTTCAAACTATTTGAGGCCTTCTACTGGCATATCTCGCCTCTTACTCCCAAGGCTACCCTATTTTGTACGCGTTTTGCCGGGTCTTTCGTGCTTATGTCATCGCGATCGTGGACGGTCACGTGGCTATATACTATACGCTTTCAGTTGCGCGTCCTGTGGGGTTTGGTAATGAAGTAACCCTTAGGAAGGTGGGAAAAACGGTGTGCTATGTTTCTGTTTGCTTTTTGGCTGTTTAGACGTTTGTTTGATGCTCTTGTACACAATGCTTATTTGTGTCTGCTTCAGGAATAGAAGATATATAATGGAATAGAACACTTCAACCTTTGGAAGTAGAGAGCGACTCGTAGAGAGACACACCACACTGCTACATTTTCTGCACCAATATCAAATAATATGTGCATAAATAATTTGAGGTGGATACAGTCAGATTTCATCAAAGAACAATGTCTGTCTTTGCCCGTCTACTAGAATACAAGGCGTTCATGGACAGCGTCATTTGCTTTGGCGAGAGTGCTTAGTAATCATTTCCGATGACCATCCTTGTGGAATGCGACTCACGGTGAAGCAGTCACGCGGTCAATTGTATGATTGAGTCAAGCGAAAGAAGCCGACAAGCTAACACATACACCACCAGACCACCAAGTCAATAGGGCTCCTGACGCGACAGCTCATGGCACGAATCCCTGTATAGGATTCTGGGCTCATTTTTACGTCGCGACGCCTACCACTCGCCCGGAGGGCTTCACAGGTTTGCGCAAAGAATCTCCTCGTTCACCCCAAGCGTTCTGTCATCATCGGAAGGGGCCGCCATCATGGACGTGCATCGCGACTCCTTGACCGCGCCCTTCTTCACGGTTCCGCCTCGGCGGCTGGTCAGCGTTGAACACCCTGCCGTGGTTCGAAACCCCGACAAGGCGGTCGAAACATTGCAGGGAAATGCAGGGATTGAAAAAGTAAGATCGAATCATGTATCTCACATGACTACCTCTAACTCCAGATATACTAACCTGCAATAGATCCTGAATCCACCACCCAGGATGGCTGATGCGCCAGCTCAATTGTTACTGCGGCCGGAGGACGCTATGTCGCGGCCACTGAAATCAATCAGCAACGTCTCAAACAATGTTCTGCTCCAAGTGACTGTCCCGAAATGGACCGGTCGCAAGCGCAAACGAGGTTCGAATGAGCCTTTTCGAGATGCCACACCAGAGCCCGAGACGCCCGCCGGATCCGTGCGACGGCACAAGGCCAAGGATCTGTTGCGCAGTCTTCGGGACAACGAAGCAAAGTACCAGGTCAGACCAGTCGGCCGAGTTGAACGTACCCATATCTTTCGAGGTAAGGATAAGCCGTCTCGGCATGATGCAGGAACAATCTGACAACTATAGGTATGCCGGACTTCGTCTATTCGACCGCGAACAGTGCCTTCGCTACGAAATTCCGAGAGAATATTTTACCACATGACCGTATGCAGAAACCTATTGAACGGAGCAAAAACAAAGATCTAATATTCGGGCAGTGGCGAAACTCAAACAGTTCGATATTGACATGACCAAAGCCGTCAATAAGAATACTGATATCATTCCACCACCATCATTCAGCCACGGCGACGTTCCATTCCCGTACTTGTATGGAAATTCAAATGTCTTTATCCTCATTCCACAGAAGCTAACAGCAGTCAACAGCTACCGTCAAAACCCAACAGTGAAACATGCCATCGGCCAATCCGGCAACGTTACAACAATCAACACACAACAACCCTCAAAGATCGCCACTCATCTGCTGCCATACGACATTCCCGAAGTCCCATCAAAGCCTCACGAGAATATTCCCCCTATCGAAACTCAGGACCCCGCTCTCCGCCGGACAGTCCGAGACCTTCAAGTCCTTTTCGAGGAACGTCCTGCCTGGACCCGTCGCGGTATTCGCAATCAACTCACCACTGAAGAACAACTCACCTCTCTCCGATTTGCAATTCCGTATGTGGGATACATCTTTCGATCTGGACCGTGGCGAGATGCCATTATAAAACTGGGTGTCGACCCGCGCTCATCCCCAGAATACCGCCACTACCAGACCTTCATGTTCCGCCTGATGCCCCGAGAACCGGAGGTCGCCCGAGATGGCAAGCGCCGTCGTGACCATGATCATGACTTGCCGCTTGAAGAATCTTCGGCCGCCGCCAAAGATCCTGAGTCTCATTTATTCAAGGGAACCCTTCCTCTCCCGCTTGATGGGAAGATCTGGATGGTGCGGGATATCGTAGATCCTCAAATTGCTTCGGTCCTTTACCCGCCCGACGAGAGAAGTTCAACGGACCATCCCTTCGTTCGAGAAACCTGCGAGCCTGTCAGCGATGGTTGGTATGGGAATGGTACACTGGCCAAGGCAAAGACGATTATGCGGCAGAAGATCAATACGCTCATCGAAAACCGCCAGCCGGATGAGAACGAGTTCGTTCGAATCATGGAATTTCCCGACCACGCGCATGGCCCAGATGATCTGGTGAAATTTATGTGTGATCCAGCTACCTCAACGAAGCGAGACGATATTCTGGCGACGGAGGTGAGGGCTGCGATCAAGGGGGCACCGATTTGGCGGATGAAATTTGAAAGCAATAGACGAGATAAAGGCAAGAAGGGCAAAGAGAAGGAGGCAGAGGTGGAGATGGAGACTCAACAAGAGCAAAGTGAGGGCGAAGAGGAAGAGATGGAGCGGGTGGAAATGTTGGAGAATGAAGTTGCGGCTGCTTTGGCAGCACGAGATGCTGCAGAAGGCGATGAAGGTGACGAGGGTGATGATGATGGGGAAGCTGAGGAAGACATGGACGAAGGAGACGAAGGAGAAGTTGATGATGGTGATGAAATGGGCGACGAATTATGATTGAGCACGGGAGAGCTAATATGAAGATTTACAATTTTCGAATCTTGGGAATGTCGCAGTAAATTCATTTCAATCATTGCTGAATCTCATAACAAGTAAAACGTTTGCGGTGTACATCGTGATCCAGACATCAGACATAAAGACTTCTCATTAATTAAACGGACTCAAAACAAGGCAATATTCAAGAGAGAAGTAACCATGATATTCCAAAAACCAATACTCCTCAAAAACAATACTAGACAGAAGGAGACCAGAAAAAGAAAGGGTATTCTAGGATAAGTACCAACTGGAGATCCAACACCGATGCTAACAAAAACAGGAACCCAAACACCTTGCGAAAGACAAGTATAGTAAGGCCAAGCCAGGGCCCAAAGACGCCGAGACCAGATGCAGATGCAATTTGAATATTTTGGGTGATATCGATCTTTCAATCCGACCGATATAATTTTGAATGTTTAGGGTTCAGCTTTTTCTTCTGAATCCCCAGCGGCACTGGAACTTTCCCAAATTTCAATCTTCGCATCAGATTCGCCAATTTCCTCTTCGGACGTAGGCTTGGATGGAACGGGGGAGTCCAGCACAGAGTCAATGGAGGCAATGATGGCCGGCGACACGAAAGTTGACTGAATCGGGGGAGTAAGGCCAGTAGCCTTGTTCGAGGAAGGAACGTTCTCATCGTCGTCATCGTAGACGACGGTGTAGGAGAAAGCATTGCAGTCTTCCGAATAGTAGTCGGAAGCAGCCAATTCGCCGAGCGGAGCCCGGTCTTCTTCCATCTTGGAGGCCTTACGAGCAGCGGTGGCCGCAGCGAGGGAGACCGAAGCGCGAGAAGGAGGGAGGTCAATTCCCAGTTCCGCGGGGGGCACGTTCTCCTTGCCGCGGCCGTCGATGACAGAAGCCTTGCCCTCGTCATCGCTGATATCAAGGACGCCGGTGGAGTGCTGCATGAGGTTGGTCATTTCCTCCTGCTCGGTGTCGACGTGGATGTCGAAGAACCAAGAGGCGGGGGCCTTGGATGGAGGCTTGAGAGGCGAAGGAGAAGGTGCGGCCTTCTTGCCCTGGCTGAGGGCAGCTGCAAGGGAGAAGGGGCGGGCAACTCCACGTCTGCTGGCTTCCGGCCGAGGCTTGGCGATGGACGAGTGACGACCGGATGGCTTGCTGGACTTGGGAGGTGGGGATCGGCCAGCGGGTTTGAGCACGGGAGCGGATTTCGGAGTTGAGGGCCCATTTCGCAAAGGGGTGGAGAGCCGAGGGGAGAAGTTGAATTCGCGGGTGGTGAGGGCAATGCGGGAGGTCTTGACGGGTTTGGGAGAGCCCTTGGAGACATCTTCGTCGTCCAGGGAGCGCTTGCGCTTGGCGGAAAGGCTGAGGTTGTTGGGATCGACGTTCTCGGAGTCATCGATGAAGATGGAGTTCTTGGACGAAGCTGAGAGAGCAGCTCCTAGGTGGTTTTAGTATCGATTGATACTCCTGGTATAGTCCGGGTGGACGTAAACAAGGGTGCAATCCTTACCATTCAGCTTGTTCTGACGGTTCAGCTTGGACCGCATGAAAGGCCGCATCCTGGGGGTGTCCAGGCTGGCAAACGGCTGACGGGAGGGAGTCATGGTGAGGGCAGCCATGACGATGGTAGAAGCAGAGCGCGATGTATCGGTTTGTTTTGGCGTCGCGGCGCTAAGTGGGGAGTGGAGGGCGGTCTACACTAAGTCGGTCGGGCGATCGACTGGAGAATATCTTTTGATCCGGGTGAACACAAAACGAGACGAGAAATGTTTAGAGATTGAGACTGGAAATTGGAAAGATCAGACGAAGGTCGGAGGATCGAGTGCCTGTCGTAGTACTATAGTACTCGTCGCAGAAGCGGGTGAGCCTGAAGGAGAGACGGTGCCAGTGAGACAGTGAGAAGGGCTGCACTGAGTACGTCTTGTGGAAGTGGCAGGAAGTGACAGTTATAGCTGGGAAGTGCTCAGATACTCGGAGGCTTTCCTTTTTGCAAGTAAGATGTGATCGAAGGGAGCAAGGAGGAAGGGCTCGAGGGCGGGGGGAAGTATTTTAATGGCGGGACTCTTGGTGTCCATCACCGTCACGTACTCGCAGTATCTGCGGGTATGTAGTATGCACAGCGCGTCTCGCGTTCGCATGCAAGGCGTCGTGGGGATTGGATCATACCAGGCCCGAGGTGGCGTTCGTGCAGCAGACAATCCAATTATGGATCATTCTTTCGTGCGTGAACGCGAGGAATGAGGAATGTCGATCGGCGGGAGGCGACAGATCTATACACTCGATGGAGAGCACCCCTCCACTTACTATTACAATGTAGGAGTGTTGAATTCGTTAATTGACTACGGGCACTCTAGAATAATGACTAGTATACTAGAGATCGATCGTACTGGGATATTTGAACCCGATCGACTCGGTGGGGTCAACGTTACGGTACTGTGTATCCCTACGACGCGTCGGACTTACTAGCATCGTACACCCACGCGGAGCCCATCACTCGACTCGTGTACAGTCACGAACCCTGAGCAGTGGCAGGTATAAGTACACGAGTATCGCGAAGAACGCCCCGCCCCGCGGAGTACCGAGTACCTCAACGCGCGACACGCCCCCCGCGCTCACCACACGCTCTCACGCATCGCACCTCGCGTCCCTTACCGGCGAACTCGTTGAAACTTGGCCAGCGCATCCCGCCCCCAACTCCACTGCCTCGATGAAACGCTGCGTGCAGACCATTTTCCAGCGGCCGTGGAGACTGAGAAGGCGCCTACAATGCACTCTCTTCCCCAAACGTAGGACATACATAGGGGAAAGAAGGCGCAATGGCTGGCGATGGAGAATGTCTCGTTCCCCCCCCCAGACATCCAGGCGCGCGATGTAGGATGAAGAACGTCGGATGCAGGCGCGAGCTAGGATTTGCCACGGTCCGTCTGAGCCTGTCGTCCTAGAGGATCGTCCGATCCTATGGTCCTCCGCGCTCGTGGCAGATGATCCTGGGGGCTGCATTCCGGACTAGGAAGCCCGAGCGGTCTATACCTGTCAGCGGTATTTTTAGATGACGACCTGAGGCGCAATCCATTCAATGAACCAAAGCTCATGATGTCGATGGCCTTGGTTCTGCATGCTAATTGTCAGAGAGTCCTACTGAATGCTCGGAAGAGGGAAGAGATCTACCCGCCACGCAGTGCTCATTCCTCCTTGCCTCGCTCTTACCTTGGATACCCTGAATGCTTAATGCCGCAGACACTTACACCTACATCTACTGTATAATTGCAAGGTGCAAGGTATACGTACCTCAGAGCCTTCTGCAAGGCTGCCAGTCTACGCCCTGGTCGTGGGTACTAAATCATCATGAATCGTTTGTAGAGCAAGATTAAAAATGATCTCAGAAAACCTGTTGAATAAACGGGGTATCTTAAGACCGGGATCAGTTGGCAATAACTTGCAAGCTCTGCAGACCTAAATTAGTTAGTATTCAAAACAAGACAATCTTGTATGGTCTATGTCTTTTCAAACCGTTCAATGCTTTTACTACGGCGGTACAAGGCAGGACTGACATGGCGGGCTTGACCCATGTTGATCAACCCATGTCTGGAAACATTCTCAGATCCCAGCATTGACGTGAGCAGAGGTCTCAGAAAAGGGCGACCAGGAAATCCTATAATCAGCACAAAAAATGAGTTTAAAAGATTTTCTTGTCAATAATGCATCCGATTGTCTTAATGCGTATCCACTAACTCGCGCTCCTTCCCAAGGGTTCTCTGCTCTATAATCCTGTCGTATTTCTTCAAGGGGCAATTTGGCTACGTCTATAATATGACAAGCAAATGCCTTTAATACAGGAGCATTTTGATAGAATCAATGGGTGAATCTCGGACCTTCGAGGAGGCTCATCTCCTGCGATCCTCCGCGCCCCTTGAGCGGGCTGGGGCAATCACTACATTCCCCCAAAAAAAGGCCCGACGACGCGCCGACAATCCTTGTGGCCGGGAGTTGCTCTCGGAATCCGTGGCTTACCCCAAGGGGTAAAGTGATAGGGCAATGGGCAGCTCTAATTCGAGGGCGATTGGGTTCTATTGAATGGTATAATTTACATGACGCCAAAGTCTATGCTGGGTAGAGAAAAGAGGCTTCTTCAAACCTCATCCTCAAAGGGAATGCTGTCCATCGCGCCCTGGCGTTCCACCGCACGAGCTGAAGCTCGCGCGGCAAACCGCATCGCGTCGTCCATGAACTCCTTGTACCGATGCGGCTTCTCGGCATCGGTGACGTCCTGGCCGGCCTTGTCCTCGGCGCGACGCTGCTCGCGCCACCGTGCAACCTTGACCGCATACGCCCCTACGAATGTGTCGCCTGCCGCCGTCGTGTCGAGCACTTGAGACACAGGCGCGGCAGGAAGTTCGTTCGTAAAGCGCCCAGCCCCATTGCTGGGGACGGTGGAGCCCCCGTCCGCAGAGCTGTACCAGACTCCCTTGGAGCCCAGAGTAATGAGCAAGTAGGTGACGCCGAGCTTGTGGAAGTATCGCGCAACCTTCTCCTTGCTGCCGAGGCCGTCGGCGTCGGGGACAACACGCAGTAGCTGGTCCGGTGGCGGAGTCATCAGCTCGGCCTCTGTTTCATTCAGGATCAAGTGGTCGACGGCCGCATATACATCTTCGGGCAGGCCACCCGGTGGTGCCGGAGCGGGATTGAGCATGACGTCGGGCCCGCACTCGATGCCATGCTTACCAGCAGCCCGGCTCTTCGCCTTGTATGCGGCGACATCTCGTAGAATACCGATCACGGACTTGGTCGGAATTTCACCTTGCATGACAATCACATCTGGCACTGGTGCCGCAAGAGCAGTTCCCAACACCTCCGGGATTGGCTGCATGCCATCGTAGTTTGCACCGGGGGAGAACAAGATACGGTTCTCGCCTCCAGCAGAAGAATCGACAATAATGACGGCCACGCCGGTGTATGCATTGTCAACAACTCGCACCCGCGACGGGTCCACGCCGGATTTCTCGAGCGTCGGCTTCAGCAATGCGGAGAAGTGGCCGTCCAGTGCGCCGACAGCGCCAACCATTTCAACGACGACATCGCTTTTGGTATTGAGGCCCTCGGAGGAAGGCTGGGGTCGTGAAATCCGCCCGCATGCAACAGCTTGGTTTGCACCTTTCCCGCCGGCGCTGGTGAAGTAGGATGATGCGGTGATGGTTTCGCCGGGGTCGGGGAAGCGGGGGGTGACCGAGACCATGTCAGCATTGAGGGAGCCGATGACGCGGATAAGAGGAGCCATGGCTGCTTTGCAAGAGATTTTCGATCTGGCGCTGTATAATTGTTCGGGCCTAGTAGTAGCTCTGAAGCTTCGAGTCGGCAAGCCGTGAGGTTGGCGGGGTGTGGGGATGCAAATCAATTGCTGCTCTGAAGCTCAATTTTTGGTAGGGAGGAGACGGATTCTTCTGACGGAAGGCAATGGCTTTGGAAAGCGCTAGGCTCTCCACTGCTTCTCGTTGCTGTGTTGTTCACTCTTTTTCGTGGTGGTGCTGAGAAGTCGAGAAGAGGAGCAGAGTCGGCGAGTGACGTGAGGCGCGGGGCATTCATCCGCAATTCAGCCGGGCCGCGGAGCTCTGACCCACCCAGGCTCATTCCCCTGCTTATACTACAGCCACAAAATATACACGAGCTTCGAATGAGAATATCATGATATCGTATAAAGTCAACGCCAGACCCAAGGGGTATGTATACTGTACAATGCAAATGCAACGCTAATCCTGTCCATCTCGTCTTAATAACGAGTCATTGGGCCGATCTCCAGATTCCAAATCACTCAGATCATCCAGCTCTGCAGCAGAATGTACAGGCTCCCATTCTTGGGCATCTTTCTCCTGCCTATGGCTCTGGCCGAATAGCTGCTTAGCCGAAGCAATTGGGATATACCGGCAAATCAGCAACGCACAAAGGACAATGATTGTGGCCGTCATGAAGCCCAGTCCGAACATGAGGGCAGGACCAATGTGGGTATCATCTTCCTCATCCTCCCCATCATAGATTGCGATTTCGCTGCTGAGCTCCTCTGGATCCCAAACCATGACCTGTGATGTTCCGAGTGTTGCTCCTGTCTTGTCAAGTGCCACGATGCGCAACGTGCTGTACAAGGTATCTGGGGGAACGGGGATGAGGGTTTCGAATCCACTCTTTGGAACGGCGAGGATGAATTGGAACTCTTCCTCATCTAATTCTTCGTCTGAGGAGCGTCGGACGGCTTCATCGTCTTCATAGGCCGCAGCCGCATTCTCGGGTCCAGCAAAGGAACCCTGTAAGACCCAAGTCGCAACTTCTGTAGCTCCATTCCAGCTAACAGCGGCATCGGTATCGGAGAGGGCAACGTCAGGTTGGGTGAGAGGAATACCAACCCAGTCACTTTTGAAAATACGGTACGAGATCACATGCCCAGTGTAAAAGCCTGATTGGGGTCCAAAATGTACCTCGCAAAGCACTTCGCCATCGGGAGAGAACTCGGACCATGCCGAATTATACCCGTACCCGACAAGTACGTTGCCGTTTTCAAGAACCTGCATAGAGCCCTGAGACTGGCTACTGATTGAGGTCGGGTTCCAATACTCTTTGATGACCTTCGCAGTCATTTCCTTTTCGTCGATTTCGATGAAGAGTCCTCGACTGGGGTTCTCAGGTGCACCCTTGCCACGGGAGGCATTGTCGAAGATAGAGATTGCGCGAGTCGACGAGGTGTCGTAGTCTGGTTGGAATCGAGCGTGGTGCTGCCAGCTGATATTGGTCGCCGCGCCATCAGACTGGTCAGTAAACGAATTCTCTTTGCCGCCGAGTTTCCAGATCACATCCCCCGTTTCCCCGTCAACGTAGGCCAGCGAATTCATATAGCGCGAGGAGACGAGGAAGTTTCCCAGATGGTCCTTGTCGATACTGTTGATATGGTAGAAGTCCCATGGGTGGTCTTCATCGTCGCCATTTCCTTCGCGGTCTCGCTCACGTTCGTCCAGTGAAATGTGTTCCGAGGCGCGCCATTGGAACAGGAGCTCGTTGGTTTCGATGTCCACTTCTTGAAATACGCCGTCCCATATCCATCCATTTTCAGGTCCATCAGCATCTCTCAGGTCGAAAGGAATGACGTCGTAGACGGCGAACACAGCTGTCTCGTTAAGGGTGATATGGAACTCGTGCAGATCAGCTGGCAGACCATTTGCGCCTCGAATGGTGTAAGCTTCTTCATAGTGGGAGTTGATCTGTATTTAAATGTTAGTTTTACGCGATCTTGAACTCGTGATAATATCGGATGACAGCAACCCGGTACATCACATAAATAGATGCAATAGATATCCTGGATCTAGGTCAGAATTACCATGTAGTATGTTCCATCGCCATGGCCTCCGATAGAATCGTCGCCGGCCCAAAAGGTCAGATACTGCTCTCCCTTGTAGGTATAAATATTCGCATTGTATGTGGTCGGATAATCCTTGAACCACACCAAATGACCCTCATCGTCCAAAATCATCGGCCCAGAACGACGCACCGAGTCACCACGCGGACCTAAAATGGTATATTTGCCGTCATTGCAAGCGGTACTGTGCTGCCAGTAGTTCAGGATAGGGCCCTGTACACTACTGGAGCGATAACGCTGTAACGGCCAGGAGCCTTCGAAGCCCTCGGCGTATCCCTCCGAGCGGAAAAGATTGGCCTCATCCGCGAGAGCCAATTCAGCGCAAAACAGCGCTATCAACGCCCACAAGGAACAGGGCAGAAGCACCATCATGGGATGGGAATGGAGAAGGACATTTGGTTCCTAGAGAGAGGATCGAACGGGGTTGAATGGGGTGGTCGAGATGGGGGCTCCATTTAGCAGGACCCTCCACCTCTCCCGCTACCGCGACAGCAAAGCCTCGCCCTCGTGCATCGTTTCGCCTTTGGGAAGAAGCCCACGCGGCCAGGACCAGGCGGAGTATCGGAGTCTCTGAACGACAGATGCTGATTGGTGACGGGACCACAATAGGGGGCGCGATGTGGATCCGCGCTGCGACGAGTTCCGCTCGGCACTTCACGGCGCGGAGGCTATTCGTATTATGGTTCGTATTGGGGTTGACAGTGCCCATCGCAATCTCGATCCTCGTGGCATGCCACCATGATCCATGGGCGGTTGTGTAGTTGGTACACCAGGTGGTGTTGCCGACGGTTGTCGAGTGTTTAGTTGTGTCCGCAGCTGTGTACACCAAACACAATTGTAATTGCTTGGCTAGGTTTTGTATCCAGAGCAGTATTGTCGCTCTTGTAACAGGACCGGTGGCTCTCACAGAGTACTAGTAATTATTACAATTGTCATCGAAGGCTCTGATTTTCCATGCCTGATAACATCACGTGGACCCGGCAAAGGCTACCAATGGGCGCTAGGACAGTAATCCCACAAGAACCTCCTTCATTGAGATCCCATTCAACAATGATCTCTTATTGCCACTTCCTTACATAGATAGCTAATACTGTGAAAGACCTTATAGTGTCGAAAATAGCACTCCATAGCCCTGTCAGTGTGCGCAGCATGTTGCTCAGAAGCAAGTATATATCAATAAACTGGAAACGTGACCAACTTCCAAATTGTAATGTTTGACTAACACCTTCAATTGACCGATCAAAGTCCATCTCGTCAACCCTATATAGGGAGCCACCAACCACAGCTCTCACATCTCTCGATCTCGATTCGGGTTCGATTTAATTTCTTTGCTGCCAAGTGGAGCCCAGAGGCAAACCTTAATCTTGCTCAAAACGGCAGCGGGTACGAGAACGAGCTGGTCGCGATCGACGGAACTGGCAGTTTTCGAGACAATTCAATATTCATATTCAACGTTTTAAATATCCAACATTTAAATTATCATATGGACCCAACATGCCAACATCACATATCGCAGATTATGCGCCGCGCTGGGTATCATTTTTGTGGCTCCCAAAGCGCCATCGTCTAGTCATCTATTTGGTGCGCTTGTAGATCTTGGCCAGGAACGACTCGAAGACCTCCTTCATAAGGCCAGAAGACTCGTCAACAGCAGCGATCTTGGTGCGCAGTTCTCCAACGACCTTCTCCTCGTACTCCTTGTACAGCTTCTCCAACTCAAGCTCGTCAAACACCTTCTTGACCTTAGCCTCCTGCTCCGAGTTCTTGCGGCCGTAATTCTCGTCCAACACCTGACGCTGCTCCGGGGTGCAGCGCGGGATGGCCTGGTTGACCAGCCACGAGCACTTGTTGTCCTGGATGTCGGTACCGATCTTGCCAATGACCGAGGGGTCACCGAAGTTGTCAAGGTAGTCATCCTGGATCTGGAAATATTGACCCAGCGGGATCAGGATGTCGTGGGCCTGCTTGAGGTTCTCAGGGGTAGCCCGCTGCAGGTAAAGCATGGCAAGAGCGACGGGTAGGTAGAAGCTGTAGTAGGCAGTCTTGTAAGTGACAATGAACATGTACTTCTCCATGGAGAAGTTGTTCAGGTTGACGTTATCCTCGGGAGCGGTGATTAAATCGCACAGCTGACCCAGTTCGGTCTGCCAGGTGGTCTCGTGGAAGAGCTCCACGATATCGATGTAGGAGGGGTGGGTGCGCAGACGCTGCTTCAGGACGAGGTAGATGGCCGACTCCAGCATGAAGGCGTCGTTGATGGCAATGAGGTTGACACCCTCGTGGCGGTACCAACAGGGCTGGCCGCGGCGAGTGATGGAGCCATCCATCAAGTCATCGCTGACCAGGAAGAAAGCCTGGAGCAGCTCGGTCAGCCAGCCCAGGATGCTGAGGTGCTCGAACTGCTCGTCGGTCAGGGGCTGCTTCAAGAGGGCGAGGCCGGTGTCGGGCACGGAGAGACCGCGGTTGAGCTTGCCGCCTGGAACATTGACGTTCAGGGACTAGATGATATCATTCGTGAGCTTGCGGTCGCAATTGGCATGATGCGAACCCCTCATGTAAGGGAGAGGGGTAGTGTCCCACCTTTTCAAACCATTCCAAGGCATTGGCGGGGAGGTTGTACTTCTTCGCATGAGCCAGGATATCCTGGGCCAGGGAAGGGAAAATCGCCTCGAAATCGGCGCGCTTGGTGGTGGAAGCCATGATCGGACACTGGGGCAGACGGGGAGTCGGAGAAAGAGAGCCTGAGGACTCGGAAGTGGGACAAACAAATCCACCTTCTCGATTGGTTTGCCCCGCGGAGGTCCAGTTTGTGGCGTTTGTCCTGTTTGCCGCGTTTGCTGTTGACAGGCGCAGCTGCCAGAGCTCCAGCGGTAGTGCTTTCTTCTTGCTTAAATTTAACCTCGAACCAACCTGCAGTACGCATTTTCTCAATCCGATCGACTCCGCTCCTTACCTTTGGCCGTTCCCTGCTTTTCGTGCGATTTTCCTACCCTGATCGCCTGCCAGCTCCGCAGTTCGCCCGCCGCGTCAACAACGCGCCGAACCCAGATATTTGCTGCAACTCCGAATCGCGCGCCAATTGCGACAGACGCACCCGAGTCGCCTGATATCGAAGACCAGCTCCAGAGGGATCCGCACGGCTACGAAGCAACCACAAGCAAATCCGCCAAAGTGTATGAGTTCCGGTCTGCATAACTTCCAAGTCTTGCGTGCGTTGCGCCGGCGTCAGTGACAATGGACGATAATTTACAGGAGCTGAGATATCAACTTGAGGATGCCACGATCAAGTGCTCAGAAAGATGTCTATACCAGTCGTCCAAGTGGTAGGTATACACGCCTTGACTTGAGTTTAAGAGTGGATGAAGCTAATGCTAGCGTAAATGGACAGGGCAGCAGAGATGCTGGATTCTCTTCTACCGATTGATCATGAAGATACAGATCCTGAGTCCCCAATGGATATCACGAAGCCAACTTTCCCGCCTGTCAACAATCCCTTTCGCGTTCAAGATCCCGCCGAAGCTGCCCTCGAGGCCCAAGAAGCCCACAAGTATCTGCTGGCAAAATCGTATTTCGATACCCGAGAATACGACCGCTGTGCAGCCGTGTTTTTACCATCGGAAACTCCTCTAGTTTCTCTATCCTTGAACTCTCCGAGCTCGAAACCAAAACAATCACGATCGTCGCTCAAGGGAAAAGAAAAACTATCTCCATTCCAAGGCTCAAAAGGCCATGCTCCGAGAAACCCATACCCCAGACTCAGTCAAAAATCACTATTCCTTGCGCTCTATGCGAAGTACATGGCAGGGGAGAAGCGCAAAGATGAGGAAACCGAGATGGTGTTAGGCCCCGCAGACAATGGCCTAGCAGTCAACCAGGAGCTTCCTGACATAGCCCAGGGTTTAGAAGGGTGGTTTGAGGAGCGGAGTACAAAGGGGCTTGATGGAAAAGGACAGGGCTGGCTAGAATACCTCTATGCTGTCGTTCTTCTTAAAGGGCACAACGAGGAGTTGGCGAAGACGTGGCTGCTCCGAAGTGTGCACCGAAATCCCTTCCACTGGGGCGCATGGCAGGAGCTCAACGATTTGCTTGCCAGCACTGAAGATGTATGACCTTTCAACCGCTATCCTACCGTGCTAAGTTCTGATGCTGACGACTCGAACAGTTAAAACAAATAGTGGGGGAACTACCACATAACGTGATGTCCCTCATATTCCACGTCTACTGCAGCCAGGAGCTATACCAAGCCACTGAGGATACATACCAAGCTCTCTCTGAGCTGGAGTCCATTTTCCCTACCAGCGCATTCTTGAAGACTCAGCGAGCTCTGCTATACTATCATTCCAAAGGTGATTTTTCTATCACAACCATTTTAAAATGCCTGTCTAACGTTGCCTAGATTTCGAGGAAGCCTCAAATATCTTTTCCCAGATATTGGCCACTTCCCCCATCGCCTGGATAGTCTCGATCATTACTCGAACATCCTATACGTCATGAATGAACGGGCTCGGCTGGCCTTTGTCGCCCAGATCGCGACCGCAACCGACAAGTTCCGACCAGAAACCTGTTGTGTCGTCGGTAATTACTACTCGCTCAAATCAGAACATGAGAAGGCTGTGATGTATTTCCGCCGTGCACTGACATTGGATCGGAGCTTCTTGTCGGCATGGACGCTCATGGGTCACGAGTACATCGAGATGAAGAACACGCACACTGCTATCGAATCCTATCGCCGTGCTGTGGACGTCAATCGAAAGGATTACCGTGCCTGGTACGGTCTGGGCCAAGCATATGAAGTGCTCGACATGTCTTTTTACGCCCTATTCTACTACCAGCGCGCTGCAGCCCTTCGGCCCTATGACCCAAAGATGTGGCAAGCGGTCGGATCATGTTACACGAAACTAGAGCGGCTTGAACATGCTATCCGGGCCCTCAAGCGTGCTCTCATTGCTGGGTCTTACTATACAGATGATGCAGCGCCCAACGCAAGTCCTGGCGTGGGTGCTCGTAGAGTTCTCGAGCCCGAAACCCTGTACAATATTGCTTCTCTCTATGAAAAGCTCGGCGAGGAGGAAGAAGCTGCAGGATACATGGAAATGACTCTTGCACAAGAATCCGGCGGCGCGCTTGTTGACGACGAGGAGTCTGATGAAAACGAATACTCTTCCGCCTCCGAAGATGCAGCTCAAAGTGATATGGAGGCTGAAGTCTCTGGCGATGATGCGAGCAACACGCTCCATCCCCGCCGTCGACGCAAGCCCCGTACATCATCCTTTGCGATGCAGAATAGCGACTCCAATGTGGCAGAAACCTGGCACCATCCTACTGCCACAACATCGAAGGCACGGCTCTGGCTGGCTCAATATGCTCTGCGAAGGGAAGAGTTGGACAGGGCGGACCAGCTGGCGGGTGAGTTGTGCCAGGATGGCATGGAGGTGGAGGAGGCGAAGGCGATAATGAGAGATGTTCGTGCAAGGAGAGAGGAGGCATGATACCATGTTTGCATAAGCAAGTCCATTCAATGATCCCCTAATTGACCATTTCAAAAATATCCATATGAACCGGACTAATCACTGAAACGATCATATGTTCACTGTGAAAGCTTCTGTCCCTAACGCTCTGGCGAGACTGGGTAACTTCATTGTTGTATGCAACGCGCCACTTTGATACTCCCACAAAGTAGCCCGTAGTAAATATGAGACTTTACTGATAATATGCGGCTCAAAAAAGGTGCTCGCAGTTTTGATTCCAATCCGGGTGGGGGATTCTTTTGGATGGTGTTGCTACTCGATCGCCCGTTCGGCGGATGTGCATTCCCCCAGAGCCAGAATGTCGCTCTTTAGAAATGTCACCGACAGAGCACTGGGAAGATCGCCGGAGGTCTTCAGTTTAAAACTGCTAGTATTGACTGTCGCACAAGGATTTGCATTTGCAATAATACCCGCAGCTGACTCTTCCTCGTACCTGCCTAGGTCCCAGCAGGCGCAAGCGTAGAAGAATAATGGGCCCAGTCTAGACCAAGTTTCTTGTAAGCAAAATTTCTCGTCCTCAGGTTGAGGGACATGTGCCAAGATCGCAGCATTTAAGAAGAAGATTTTGTATGTAGTGAGGCCATCAGGCACTTCATGGCGGAATGAATCAGATAGCACTTTGAGAGCATGCCCTACCCGCAGGATATCCTGTCCAATTATTGTTTTGCTGGGGATAGACAGGACCAGTCCGAAAGCTGTCCCATCTTCCACAGCGCGGGGATTTGACTGTGCAAGGGAAACTCTTGACTCGTCGGAATTCAGCGCCCGGATGAAATCCATGAGCCCCGCATCGGTTTCTGAGGATCTGCCGGTCATGTAGACTGGAATTGTCATTAGAGGGGATCGTAAAATATTGTGATGATTAGATCTTGTGTCTTTGCCAGCCTGAGGGTGATTACTGGACTGGATGCACGACCGACGTGCATTTGGAACGAGGCGATTGTTTTGTGAAGTCGATGAGATATCAAATTCGAAATTGGCCTGTGCTTCATAATTTGCAAAGTTCGTTTCCTTTCCCGGGGCCTCATCAATATTGTCACGTCTTCGTTGACTGGAGTTCTGCCGATATGATAAATTCTCGTTCTCAGTCAAAACATTTCCATCGCAAGAAAGGCTCTTTGAAGCTGGTGAAGAAGCCGACTCGTCAATGTATACAGCTGGAAGCTCCTTCGGTCCTTCACATGTCTGATCATGACCGCCGGTGCTCACAGAAGCCAGGGGCTGTGCATGACCCGTCTTCAATGCCGAGACTTGCATAACCTCCTTGCAATTAGGCGCAGTGGAGAGGTCCCCTGACGCAGAATCCGCCTCAGAATCAGAAATTGAGCTGCACGTCGACGACGATGGGCTTTGTGATCTTCGAATGATGTAGTGGCTGGTCAGTTTCTCCATTTTCAGCCGCTTGCGCCATTGTTCTGTCTCTGTAGACAGTTCATCAGTCGGTATAGAGCGGGCATCATCGGCCAGAAGTTGTAATTCTTGAAAAGACGCGGCATCGTCAAATGTCCGATCCGTGTAGATTTTTAGAATGCGTGGGAAACGAAGTGCGAAGTATCTGGCACCAGAAGGCTTTTCAAAACCGCTACCCATCAATTCCACAACAAAAGGCTTTTTGAAGAAAACAGCAGCCTCGGAGAGGTCCTTGCGCCCGTATTCGACAGAGAAAGTCTCGAAATATTCCGGCTCGCGAGCAGAAAATTGGCCAACATGGTTCAGGATTCGAAGCAAATTTTTGTGCATGCAGTGATGATTGAGTGCGTCGACAACTCGGAAACGAGGAGTTTCCCCGAATTCTAGAACCGCATCCTTGTTCAGAAGACACCCAACCAAGAAATGTGTCCACTTGAGATTTTCGAGTGCCGGCAGAGCGGCCGCATCTCGATAATCATAATAGGCTCCAATCAATGCGAGGTCTACAGTGTCTCCAAGGCCTTGGACATAGTCTTTCTTGAGCTTGATCCATCTTCCAAATGAAGGACTAGTGCCAGCCGAGTAGATGGGGAAGTATGGTTCGTCGCAGGCCTTCAAGACGTATCCCTCCCAACGTTGGGCAATAGCTTTAGCAAAACTGACTCCAATTCGTTCTTGGCTACCCGGACGACCGAAATCGAGTATTTCCTGCTCTGCAAGATCCGCTCGACCGTGAATTCTTTGGACTACATCTTGAAGTAGCAGTCGTCTCTGACGATGGGGATTTCGTAAACAGACGTCGTCGTCTAGGAGAAGTATGTCGAAGAAAACAATCATCAGATGCTCGTAAGGCTGGGGGCTAATTATTCTCATTAGTGATGGTCCGTACATGTAGTAGGGAGGTTTCACGGACGGGGAATCACTGTCAACTCCAATCAAAGTCCCGGAGCGAGAAAGGAACTTTCGAAGTTTGTGAAAGCCTGCAATACCCTCGCGCTTATCACTCCATACCACTAGCTCGCCCTCGAGAATACATCGATGGATGAATCTGCATTTGCTCGATCCGATTCGGAGTGAGTCTTCAATCACAGGAATAATGCCGGAACGATCCTCGGTTGAGTCTTTGCCACTCTTGGAGAATATTTGCACCGGTGTTCGCTTATGTGTGAGATCGACGTGTATCTGACAGTATTCCCCGTCGTACTTTCTTTCGACACTAATTCGGCGGCCATTGGCCATCTGATGACAATGCTTGATACTGCGAGCCTTAAAGTATTCTGGTCGACCGATCTTGATCCCCGTACGTGGCCGCAGATATCCCAAAGCAGTCGCACACAGACTGGCAGCAAGTTCTGATTCCGGACGCGGTGGAAAGTGAGCAAACGGTTCTGAGTCGAGCATTTCCAACGCTCCTTCGAACGTGTCTTGGAATTGGAGAAGATGTGGAAGTAGAAAATGAAAACGCTCCAAAGTGTGCTTCAGAGGGAGTACTACAGGGGCGTAACTTTTGAGGATCATTCGAGTGAGCCATTTTGCATCACGGCTGCTCAGGCGACGGTAAAGGGGAGAAAGAGAGCTTTCAACGTCAACGGCAGTCTGCGTGCGGCGGACCTGGGGTCGCGAGAAACGACAACGGGATGCAATCATCCCCAAGGCATGATCAATCTCTTCCGTAGTCACTTCTCGGCCGCCAGAGACATAGTTCTCCGCTTGTCGCATCACATTTTCGACACATTTCCCCAGATCAGGACCACCCGATTCCCGCCATTGGTCTAACTCTGATAGTCGTGACGAGCCTAGACCTAAGCACCGGCCGATGACTCTTGCTAAGGACGTGGCCTGGAGCCAGAATACACGGTCAGTGCGTTTTTCTGGGAACATGCATGAGAGCAAAGCTAGCCTGTTGGTGTCCTCGTGGTTGATGTGACGGTCATGTCGTGCAAACCACTGTCGGATTGTCTGAAGGTTAGGTTGATCGGGCTTAGACGCGGTCTTCGTGATCCGGTTCTCCTCTAGACTTGATAGCAAGTCACAGAGGAAGGAGAATTTGAACCCCATGAAACTTCACGTGAAACAGCTTCCATTCATCTGAATCCAAAGTGACCCTTAGCAGTTTTGAGAGCGAGTTAGAACGCGAAAATTCGCGAGTGGACCGTTCCATGGAAACACGAAAACACGTGACTACTGGTGATATATAGAGGCGCTCATCCCAGTGATTAGGAGAGCATAAGGGAAATGCACCCAAGGTTGTTACAGGTTCTAGTCTCACTTATGCAAAATGGCCAGCAGTAAACTGTATGAGTGCAGTGACAAAGCGACCGGGCCCGTGTTATTCGCCGAACTCCTAGCTTCTAAATCATACATAACCATGGGGATGCACCGTCCCCGAAGAAAATAACCGCGAAAAAACACTCCAAGGAGCAAAAGAAACTGCAAGAAACACCATCCTGATTAGATGATACCCTGCTTGCGAAGACTGAAAACTGTTAGCTGGTTCATGGCGGTGGTGGTGGTGGTTTGTGGGGGGGACTAACTCATCGTAAATTCTCTTCGGCATGACATTGCCGCGGCTATCCTCCATCTGCTCGACGTTGTCTTGATCTTCCTTCTCCTTCTTGCGGTCAGCCTCCAGCTTATCCCGAAGCTGGATAGCGTCTGCGATGCCAGTGATTTCGTTGTAGAGTTTGGTGTTCGAGGTAATGCCGAGACACTTCAAGCCGTAGAGGTGCGTGCCTTCGCTGAAATGTTTGTCAAAAGCCCGACGACCCATGTAGACGAAGTTACCGCAAATCTCACACGGGAATTCAACCCCGAGACCGTGCAATTTGTAGAGCCAGAAAGGAATGGGGCTTCCGTCCCATTGCAGAGGCAGTTTAAGGGGATTGTAGATTTTGTTGTCATCTTTGTCATCTTCATCAGATTCAGGCTCGTCGTAAACATCCTCAGTGTAATCGGGTTCAGCCATCAGGTCGTCATATTCATTCTGGCGCTCCCGCTCCGTCAAACCGCGCTTGCGCACAGCCTCGGTGCGCGTTGCTTCTCGTACGGTTTGAAGCTCCTTAGTCAGGCATCGCACGCGGTGTTCGCGCCATGCAATAGCACGTTCCTGGGCGCCAAACGGGGAAGCATTGGCCGGAGGCGCCGAGGACTTCTCACCCGACTCGCCGGCGGCTTTCTTGGCCTTGGCGGCACGAATGTGCTTGCGGCCGGAGAAGTGGTGCTCGTAAATGTTGTGATTCATAAAGAGCTTTTCGCAGTCGGCACACCACGTGCCCCCGGTCCTTTCAAATGTCCATCCAGGGACCTCGTTCGCTGCCCATTGCTTATCGAATTCGTCGTCAATGCCTGCAAGGATTTTGCGAAGGTTCTTAAGTGGTTGGGCACGTTTGATGAAGCCCTCCAGGTACTTAGCAAGGTTGCCGACGTAATTGAAGTATTTGTCGGAAATCTTATCCTTCCGCTGGAGCGGGAAATCGGGCGGAGTGAGCTTGTCGAATACGTCAAGGTACTGGATGTAGGGCAGGCGCTTGACCCCAGGCAGGTTCAAGTAATCTTGGTGGATTGTGGTCAAATCGAGATACCATCCATATCTCTCCTCGCCGGTGAACATATTATCAACCTCTTCGCCGATTCTGGTTCTTTGGCCCTCCTCAGGCTGACGGCGCTTGTACGAACGTTCGAGATTTTCGGCACGAATGGTCGGGTATCTCTTGTAGTAAGCCTTCATCTCGGCAAGCTTGTTGTAAAACCCCTCGAATGGGTCGCCGGTCTTGATCGACTGTAGTTCCTTTGCGCGATCTCCATGATTATCTTCGTAAACCTCCAAGATGTACTTAGATCGCTCCTCGAGATTTTTCAAAAAACCTGCAACTTCATGGTCACGGATCAGAGGCCGTCGAACCTTTGGACGCCATTGTTTGTTAACACCTCCCTTCTTCCTAAAAGCACGTTCTTGAAGACTTACACTGCGCGGATCTTCGAGAAGCCGATCGGCAATGGCAACCTCGAGTCTCTCCAGATCTTCCTGACCGGTTCGCTGGTGATCGGACAACATCTTGAAAGGGCGAGTGCGACACAAGTCGGTGGGGTAGGAAATGTGTGCACAAGTTGAAGGTGTCCGGTGCCTTGGAGGGGGAAAGTTGCGCGAAGGCGGTCGGGTTCGCGTTTGAAGCTGCAGCTTTGCGGATGGGCACGTGATACGATGCGCGATCGCAAAAAGTCATATGATCATCCAGGTCCCCGTGAACTCAACTTCTTTTCCGTTTACCTTTCGGATCCCCCAGGTTACTTCTTGCCGCCAGAAGAAATCGCGATCCCTTCATCATGGCGGACGGAATCGACAAGCGCGCTGATGGTGAGTATTCCCACACTCAATCAATTATTTCCACGTTGACGAGATTGACGTTTAAGACCGCATGGAGTTCAATACCTCCAAGGAGGTCACGGTAGCGCCGACCTTCGAGGATATGCAGCTGAAAGAGAGCCTTCTTCGTGGAATCTACGCTTACGGTTATGAATCTCCTTCGGCTGTTCAGTCGCGTGCGATCGTCCAGATCTGCAAAGGTCGCGATACCATCGCCCAGGCCCAGTCCGGTACCGGTAAAACGGCGACTTTCTCGATCAGTACCCTGCAGGTAATTGACACTGCTGTACGAGAGACCCAAGGTATGCATACGCTACAGACCCAGCTGGTAAGAGAAGTGAACAATGCTAACTAAGTTATTTCCGTATAGCTCTGGTTCTTTCTCCGACTCGCGAACTTGCGACACAGATTCAATCCGTTATGATGGCCCTCGGCGACTACATGAACGTTCAATGCCACGCCTGCATTGGTGGAACCAATGTTGGCGAAGACATCCGCAAGCTTGACTATGGTCAGCATGTTGTCTCAGGAACCCCCGGCCGTGTCGCCGATATGATTCGCCGCCGTAACCTGCGCACGCGTCACATTAAGATGCTCGTTCTCGATGAGGCCGATGAGCTTCTCAACCGCGGTTTCCGTGAGCAGATTTATGATGTCTACCGTTACCTCCCGCCTGCAACACAGGTAGTGGTTGTTTCGGCTACTCTGCCCCACGACGTATTGGACATGACTACCAAGTTCATGACTGACCCCGTCCGTGTTCTCGTCAAGCGTGATGAGCTGACGCTGGAGGGTATCAAGCAATATTTCATTGCTGTTGAAAAGGAGGAGTGGAAGTTCGACACGCTCTGCGATCTTTACGATACCCTGACCATCACTCAAGCCGTTATCTTCTGCAACACCCGCCGCAAGGTCGACTGGTTGACCGACAAGATGCGCGAGGCTAACTTTACCGTGTCGAGCATGCACGGTGAGATGCCTCAGAAGGAACGCGACAGCATTATGCAGGAGTTCCGCCAGGGCAACACCCGAGTGCTGATCTCAACTGATGTCTGGGCCCGTGGAATTGATGTCCAACAGGTTTCACTGGTCATCAACTACGATCTGCCGACCAATCGTGAGAACTACATTCACCGTATTGGCCGTAGTGGTCGATTTGGTCGCAAGGGTGTTGCTATCAACTTTGTCACGAATGATGACGTCCGCATCCTTCGCGACATCGAGTTGTACTACTCGACCCAGATCGACGAAATGCCCATGAACGGTAAATTGTTCCAATGTCCTCTTTTCCAGAGCATAGCTGACGACGTTTTTTTCCCCCTCTTTTAGTTGCTGAACTTCTCGGTTAAACAACACACATTGTGTAACCATTGCTTTCTTCAATTGTTTGTCTATGTGCGAATGGAGCAGAATGCCGGGGGTAATGCTTTCTCATGCGCAGAGACTCGGAATTTTTTCAATCTCGTTCTTAGGGTTATCTAAGGCGATTCAAGCGCGGAGGAAAGGGAGAAACTCATGATAATAGTAAGTGTAATCATCTTCAATCGCGCATCTGACAATTTCCTGACACGATCGATACAGTTTGAAATTGCCAGACAAGATGTCCATTCGCGGATAATGATACTTACGAAATTCATTCAAATGCCCTGGAGGTTTCACGTGCGACTTACGACTCAGTTCAGAAAGACGACGAGGATGGTAAAAATTAGTACTGTTCAAGGTCGTGTAAAACCTACAATTGTAATATACTACTATATACTGCTAATCCCGTGAAATCCCGTCGCCGCCAGCAGTTGTCATCGCCCTGGACGGGCTGTAAAAGATGCTACTGGGAAGGCTTTTGCTAATAAGAGATGTCCGTTGCCAGCAAAATGTGCTCATGGGAGAGGTTTTTATTAGCCCGAGAAACACAAATATTTGTAAGAGGGCACCAGCCTGGAGAATCTCAGAAGTCCTGAGACAAGATAGTCAGCTCATCTCCACAGGTGTTGTTTTACAACGTGGAAAGTTGCCCAATCCTAGTAGCCGGGTGGATATGGTGATCAAGTTGTAGAGGGTCCTACTAGATGCAACTCTCTTCCGTCCGATAACACTGCGAACCTGAAGAGCCGGGGCAGGAAAGAGAAGAATACTACCTCCACGATAGAGCTTAAGGGATCAAGCGGTAGACTGAAAGACATGGTCAGGTTCGAGACGATAGTGAAGCGAACCTATTATCGGCAGCTAGATGCGAGGCGAGAAGGGCGAACCATCTCCGAGATTTGAAACTTGATATCCTCCCACCGCAAATCCCACAGCAATGGAATGTCCGGGTCATTCGGGCCTAGGCCATGTTAGACTACGCTGCTAGCAGATAAAGTATCCAAGTCAACAGAACAATGATTCATGGTGCAGTAGATTTCCTTGACACTTGATGCTAACTGCTAACCCTAGGTAACTGTTGAAACAGTAAACGGCATGTGGGCTCAGAGGTGTATCTGTACACGGGTGAGAGAAATGGAGGAACAATAGGGGGTAAACATAGATGGGAAACATAGGTAATCAAGCAGAGATAGAAAAAAAAGTGGCAAACAGTTTATGGTTGCGACAATCTTTCAAAACAGAGATAGTAAGGTTCGTTCCCTGCCCTTCCCACCGAGTACATCGAATACAAACCGTCTGATGCAAAACGAGAAAAATGAAACTAGGCTTATCATTCAAATAGCCTAGAGTGTACTTGTCGTTCTCAGAGCGCTGGTACGGAATCCATTCGATGATTGTCCTGTTCGTTGAGCTTGAGCGGAACCTCGCGTGAGGAGAGGGCGGTCGTTTTCTGGTGACCAGCTATGGAGATTGTTAGCCGTCTGCAAGGGAAGGGGTTGACGAAGACACAAAGCATACATTCGTACAACGCAATCATCACCTGCCGAGGCAAACATCCTTGGGTTCGTGGGGTTCCAGGAGATAGCATTGACACATCCCTTGGCATGCCCGTCCAAAGCCTCGACGAGTTGGCCGTCTGTCTTGTTCCAGATGTAGATCTTCGAGTCTGATGACTGTGATTAGCAAAGTCCATTTCATTTGAGAACCAAAGGAGTACTCACCTTCGCTGCCACTCACGACAAAGTTTTCCCCCGCACCGCCGAATGAACTGCGGATCACATATACGCCTTGCTGGTAGCCCGTGTATCTTTGCACCACTTGACGCGAATTGAGATCAATCAACTGGATCTCGCCTTCCGCAAGGTTCAAAAGCAGATATTTGGAGTCTTTGCTGATAGACACAGACGTTCCCTTGCTGGAGAGCGAAAGACAAGCAACTTCCTGGTAGGTAACGAAGTTGTAAATATGAACCTTGTGCTCGGTATCGGCTGCGACCAGCCACTTCCCGTCGGGACTTATCGTGCAATCCTGAACACGGAATGTGCCTTTCCACCTGAACAATGACGGACCGCGGATGCTCCAATGGCAGAGCTGCGAATTTACGTCGAGAGAGCCGGTCACGAACGATTCGCCGTCCGGGGCCCATCCAGCGGCGGTAACAGGCTCGCTGTGGTGATCAATCGTGAGAAGGCAACGGCCATTCTGTTGCATTTGGTCAGTCCCGCTTCGGAATTGTTTCGGTCCCAGATACCATTACCTCGACGTTCCAGACACGAGCTTGCTTATCGTGAGAGCAGGTAATGAGCTTTGTGTCATCCGGGCTCCAGCTCACGCAAGCAACTCCATCAATGTGATTTTCCGCCAGCTTGGTCTTGACCGAGAAGTTGGTTGTATCGTAGATGAACACCACACGATCCTTGCCTGCAGTAGCTAGCTTCGTGCCATCATGTGAGAATTCGCAGCACCACACTTCATCGCAGTGCCGCGTCAGATCAAGAGCAGCGGTTCGGGGGAAATCGTTCTTGTCACACAAATGGTCCGAGTAGAGCGAGGGTGACTCGACAGTGTTGTGATATGAGCAGTTACTGATTTGCGTTTTCTTCACGAAGTCTAAGAGAGTTGCTAGTCGGTGTTGGGGTATCATGACGGAAGGGGAGATAGATTCTTCGACGAGGTCAGCAGAGTTCGAACTGAGTAGTGGCAGCGATGGATTCTTACTGGAAAGTTCGGCGAGAAGTGCCTCTCTGCCTGTAGTGATGGAGCCCTGCGCAGCAGTTGTATTCAGTAGCTCGGAAGGGCACATAAGAAGACTTTGGGGGCGAGGCGTTAGTGGAATTGGTATTCCGGGAGATGGCTTCGGCACACGTAGAACAACGAACCTTGAAAGGGCATGCAGACGATCGATATCATAGTTCAAAGGGGTCAGCTCCTGTCTGAGGACTACGAGCGCCGATGCGAGATCGTGGGATTCCAGGAGCTCGAGGAATTTCTGCTGGCGCAGGAGGAAGAGCATTTCATTCCGCTCGGCTGTTTCTGTGAGCAAAAGAGGATGCTCCTCCCACGTTTCCCATGGTTTAGCATACGCGGGGTACTCGTTGTGGAATGATTGAATGAGGATCTTTTCGGCTTCCGACCACCGACCATCCAGCACGGCGTTCCGGAAGTTGGCGACACCGTGGGTCTCCAGTTTATGGCCACTCTCGGCAGTCAACGTAGAGGCCGCGTCGTGATAACCTAGCTCGTAGAGGCTCTGAATCAAGATGCGCGTGACCTCCTCCCGGTCATGACCGTAGTAGGAATCATCTCGTGTCCGCGCGGGCTTCATATATGAGTCCCCGTTGGCGGTCCCGGGGCGGGAGGACTGGCCGTTCAGGCTGGACTTTCTCGAGTGCGTGGGCCCATTCGCCGCCTGGGAAAAGCCGTTTGTGGACGAGAGGGTGTCGGCAGAACGCATGGTTACCAGACGCCTGCGTTTGCGGGATGGAGAGCGGCCTGGATCCCGGCCGGGTGGGTATCTTGCGTCGTCCTGAGCCGTCGCTGCCCCAGCGGGTCTGGAGTCCGACGCCGTTGCCGTGAAGGACGTTGACTCAGAGCTTTGGGGGCTAGATGACGGAGACCGCGGGCGCCGTAGGTTTGCAGGGTGGGTGGCAGGGCCGACGGCGGGTGCGGAGGTGACTTCAGAAACGGATGGGGATGGATCAGGAGGGCCGGCGGATGCAGGCGTGGGGTTGCTGGGCAAAGGAGGATCAGGGTCGTCGGAGGTGAAGGATCGGTCGGGCAGATTGGTGGCCAGGTCGACAGCTGCGCTCTGCTCGGTCCCCTGGCTCGTTGTTGGAACCAGGTGAGCAGACCGTGGGGATCGAGCAACGACTCGGAGAGCTATTGAAGCGTCCGATGATCGATCGAGACCAGCACGAGACGCCGCAACCACTGGCCAAAGAAGACAGGTCGATTTGAAGTGTTGCAAACGCGTCCCACGGCGATGTCGATGTTGGACTGGGTGGGGAGGCGCCGGGGGAAGAGGACTAGGTTGAAGTGTAGGTGGTGGGCGGAGGTTCAGGTGGTTGCTTATCGCAGATTGGGGGAGGTCCACTCTTGAGCTTGGGAGGCCGGCAAGGCAGGACCGACGGGAACCCACCAGGCGTCAAAGTGCGGTAAATCGCGTCACAAGATGAGAAAAGACCCTCAGCTGATGACTGCGAAGTGCCGACCGTGCGATTTTTCTCGGGGAGCTGCTGACGCTGGGGAGCTCCTGGAGCTGTCTTTATCCTGCCGTGACTATGAATGAGTACCTGAAGGGCCGCCCAGGGTTGATAGCCCGATCTGCCAAGCGCGGTGAGGTCGACTGACTGTGTTCTCTGCAGTGATGAGGGACAAACTACGAACGTTAAGCTTACGTCTGGAAATATTTGTACTATTCGTTTGCCGTATATTCGCCTACTATACCCGCCTGTTGTGGTTGGTAGTATACGAGTCGAACCCTGACACACCAAGTACTTCTCGCCCCAGAGAGACTCGGAGTATAGGGAGAACTACTATGAGGACCCGAGGATGGTTTAATGGTATCCATACTCGTTCCTCCGCTCAGCTCGCATTACATACGGTTCTCCCGCTGGATTGCCGGCTTGATCCTGGGTTCCTTGGATGTGAGCTCCGAGGATCTCACGACTGGCATGCCATCGCTGGTTCAGTTTCTCCACTGACGCCATCATGATGACCGTCCTACCAGCAGCCTCCCGCCGATATAAAGCCATTCCGCGCGCGCGTCGTGGAGAGTTTTTCATCGATTGCTTAGATCACGCAATATCAGATTTCCATTCTACATTGCTACATACCACCCATCGATCATCGTTCTGAATTCTTCAACATGGGCTGTGACTGCGGATCGACTTGCACCTGTACCGGTCCCCAGGGCTGCACTTGCGACGACACCTGTTCCTGCAAGGGATGCGGAGTATGTGACATCCTTGGCCTCCCGAGACAATTCTACCCTAGGGTAAAGTGTGATGAGGATGGAAAAGCTGACTCTGTGTTCTTTTTCTATTTCTAGAAGTAAATCCTGCCCATGAAACGCCCCGACTACGCACCGAACAGTACCTATGACGATCGTATAGTAGTCGACGAGGGATGGTGCAGGCGAAATGAGGAGTTCCACGAGAGTTAATGATGTGTGACATCGAGCCTTCCTTTTTGCCATGATGTATCGGTAGTACGGTGAAATTGATTGAATATTGAATGCCTTCGATCTCGGTCGTGGAGTGTAGACGTCATAGCGCCATCCGGCGGTCCAGCAAGACCGCCTCCGACGCCTTTAAAGGCCCCGTGATCGTAGAGCACACGCACGGCGTCAGGGCATACATGATCTGGTCCTATCAGCAGCTTTGCCCAGTCCAGAAGTCGCAGTGGGGCCGCCAGGGTCTTCGCGATCGCCATCTTTTCCGACTCGGACTCCTGGGCCAGCTCTGCCAGCCCCGAAATGACCAGCGCCGGCGGCCCGACCGGCATGAGCATCATGCTGAACCACAGCATCGGATCATCCCCGAGAAGCGCCGTCCACCACGCGAGGCCATAAACCAGCGAGATGCTCAGCGCCGGCCAAACCATCAACCGCACCAGGAAGATCGTCGTGATGACTCGCACTGCTATCCGGCCCGAATCGCCCTCACCCTCGGCGACCATTCATTCAATCGTGACGCCCAGTTTTCACCCAACCATGAAGATCTGCAACGTCGTGAAGGGGTGCCCCATGTTTCGTACGCTGGTCATTAGGCCACGCATGGAAAATTCCTCCATCCTCGTCGCGTGCGAAAAAGGCCCGATGCAGCGCCCGAACCAGCCCCAGTAAGGCACCCAGCAGGGTGCACCCGACGGCGAGGTCTGCGAATGGATCTCCGAAGGCAGCCATGAGCTCCTGCTTCATACGATGCGGGAAGAGCGAGCCGAGCCAGTGACTCCAGCACTGCATGCGATTGCTCACCACCTGCTGGGCGCCTTCTGGGCCCGCTGGGGCAGCAGCGAGGTGTTCTCGGTGAGCTGTTCGTCGTCGTCGCGCTCTGGGTAGTGCTGTGGCTGCTCTTCAGTACTTGAACTGTAGTATCTTCATCCGCTAGGTGGCTGTGGCTATCAAGATCGGCGCCATCGTGCAGCATCTTCGGTCCTACGACGTATAGGCGATCGTCTTGCTCACCACGGCACAGACGAGGAAGTAGCTCTGTGCTCTCTCGATCTCCTCCATCGCATCTTCTCCTTTTCGTAATATAACTTGCAGGATTCCAACGCTGTCAAGAGACTGTAAGAGGAGGAGCGGCAGGGAAGTGGTATTGTTGAATGCGCACGCCGGTGTGACCAGTTGCGGGAGTTGGAACATCCGCGACACCAAATGTCCTATACCGATCGAGATGAAGGTGTAGATGCCAGCCCACACTCGCAGTGGTTGCCTCTCGGAAAGCGGCCGTTAACAGATGCCCATCAGATTCGAGGCTTATCCGAGGGTAGAGAATCAGTCACCTACCAGTACAGGAATGTAGTTCAGCGCGGTGCCCATGTCAAGATGCTTTCTCAGGATGACCACGATCAGGGCTAGCAGAAACAATTTGTCACCCAATACAGCCATGCCATTTATTGTGGAATCATGGATCAACCGGAGTCGGCGTCCGGTTACGCCATAGCACATGGTCAACAATACGGAGACGCAGGCTTGAAGCGCGCCGAGGAAGGGCGCTATGAGACCTTGATCAATCATGGTGGCGCAGGAATAGTCTAGATGCCTTGACGCATCCAAACGACATTGTGAATGTAAGACACAGACAAAATATATTGGAAGATATAGCTATTCATGGCGTCATGGTGATCAAAGAATTTCAACAATACAATTGTAGCAACGGACTGCCGCTCAACCAAATCCATCAAGCAATCAGACTCGCACAACTTGAAGTAGCGGGTTGGCAGGCAAAATCCTCAATGCAAAGAGGAGACTTAGGCAGATTGTGACGATGCCAGTAAATGCAGCCAGCAAGCCCAACCTCGCCAGGTTCTCGACGCCTGGCCTTTCGAATTTGGTACTGCGTCGTTGTCCCACGCGTGTGGTCCGCGTCAATGTGGGAACATACTTGAATTCGAATCGCGCTTCCCCTCCCAGTCCCATTTTCTCGTCCAGGAGCATTCTGTTGAAGAATTTTCGGCGGACCTGAGTGAAATGTCAGTCAAGTATAAAGTGGATCACGCACAGAGATAGGTTACATACCGATATTGCAAATCGATCGAGGAACGAAATCCTCGGAACAACATACGAGACGCCCGAAACCCAAAAGCAATATCCCCAGACCATGAGACGATAGTAGAGCGTAGATCTCGGGATATCGAGCTCATCCGCAAGCATATCACCATTCAAGAGCCGACTCAACGCTTCCATGAATTCCTTCGAGGCATAGGCCGGGGCGGTATTTTCCAGACCGATAATGATGTTCTTCGCCAGGACTTTGCCGATCTCCGTGGGATCGATCTCTGAGATCAAAAGAGACTCCATCGTTGCGCGAGCTCGAGAGGCATTTTCGAAGGGTTCGGTCGGGGTTCCCATGTAGTAAGCCACGAGCCGCCAGAGGGCAATATAATCTTCAATCTCCTGTGTACTCAAGAAGATTCCCTGACGAGGGAGTCCCAGATATACGACTGAGCTGCAGAAGGTGTTGATGGTGCCGATGCAATCCAGGTCATTGATCGGTGTCCCGTATTTTTCGATATCATAGTAGTCAGGCTTTTGCTCCACAAGACTCATGATCTTCAAACGGACACAGGAATGAAGTAGCCGCACACGAACGGACGAGACGTGACCCTCCCCTCCTGGCTTCATTCCTTCCGCCGAGCTATTTACCTGAAGAACATGTTGGAGTGTTTCGAGCAGACGGCGACGGACTACTTTGGCACCGAAGCCACCAGTTCGTGCAAGGGTCTCGACGACGCGGATGGCGCCCCTAAGCCGACGGACAGCATATAGTCAGATAATACTACTACCTGTGATAGAGGGTAATCATTCAGGGTTAATATCACTCACATGCCGCCTAGCAAGCTTTCAAAGCTCAGCTATTCGAAATCATCAGGATCAAGCAGTGTACCATGACAAAATTCAAACTCACCACGTTCAATATCGGGAGACCATATCGAAAGAAGACATCCTGGCCGCGCTGGATCTGGGCCCAGTCCACCCAATCCGGGATGGTATTGACCTGCGTCCACAGCTCCTGCAGTTTTGGGTCTTTATCGGCATGCTTCTCTAGCAGGGCGTACAGGTCCTTCTTGAAAGGCTTGTCCGAGTCTCCCTCCGTCGGGATCCTGTTCAACCTTGTCACGCACTCGTCGGCTAGCGAGTCATAGGTATGAACCAAAGGGTGTAGTTCTTCTTCCGAGCGGTGGAGATCGGTCCAGTGAAAGGAGTAACCCCAGTAGTGGCACTCGGTGCTATTTCCCTTTCGGGGCCTCTTCAAGACCATCGTGTTCGAGTCAAAGTCGTAGATTGACACTTCAGGGCAGAGCAGTTATTGCCGTTGCAAACAGATCAGCTTGCATCCTCTCCGCTTGACTTTTGAATATATAGAGTGCCGCACAGGTTGCTCATGACAGTCGTGGCACCGCTTCAACCGTGGTCCGTGGTCCGGGGCAAGGCGGGGTGAAGGCTAGCATGTGAACGGGATCGACCCCGTTGTTGATCTCCGCGTTTTGTCTGGTCTTCGCTAATATGAGTTAAGTCATAGCAATACATTGGGGTACTTCATAAATGCACTAATGTCCTCCGAGCCTCTGGTGATTGGTCTTGTGAACATCGGTCACAAGGGCAACAACTTGTATGCCTCTTTAGGACACCTTCCCTCCTACTGTTCACCTGAGGTATCACATGCAAGTTATGTAGCACGGTCGTCTCTTCCGTAAAGCATGAAATAACTCTCTGCGAAAATGAAGAATCAGGGGCTAATGTGTGGTACAAAAAACAGCTCGAGGTGGGGATATATATCTGGGCTGCTACTTTGTTTACGCGGGTACCTGCAGACATACGCTGGAGCAAACATAAAGTAAAGAGCACGACACACTCGAATTCTATCAGAGATTAGAATAGCGGATCAATCTGATGATTTGTTCAAATTTCGAATTATCCCAGATTTACGATATAGAATCTCTGCGAGGGTTGGGTGTATAGATGGGATATCCGGGGGATGTGCGGGGAGGAAGGTCGAGATGAAAAAGTCCACGCTGCTTCTCTAGACTCATTCTTTGTTTGTTTCCTCCACACCCATACCATCGGCAGTGCCTACCCCTGTTCTTTCTCCAAAAACATGGCCGATGCCGGCCGCCAATCCACCGGGAGAGGTCGCTCGAGGATTGGATGACAGTTTAGGGGGACTCCACGACTGCTGGGCACCCCCTCGTCCGACCTGCACCGTTCCTGACGACAGACCCAATCTGCCACTGCTATCCCAAGCGAATGCTAGGAATTGGAAGGCCCCGACTCAAAGCCCGGCCGTCCCTGCTGGATCTCTTGAGCAGACGTGAGCGCAGTCCCAGTCCCCGGCGAGCGCCTCCACCGCCCGAGCTGCCACCGCTTCCAGACTCGCCCGCTACAGCCAGCTCGACCTCCACCTCGACCTCCATCTCCCCGTCCACCCCTCCCACTCCCCTGTCCAAGATGGCCCCGGCAAAGGATAACAAGGAGCTTGGCTCCATCTTCTCCATCTCCGGCCCCGTTGTGGTCGCTGAGAACATGATCGGCTGTGCCATGTACGAGCTGGTGCGTCGCAACCTGAGCTCCCCGAGTGCCTCCCCCGGAATGTCTACCCATGCATTTACTGATGCCGCCGCTCTAGTGTCAAGTTGGTCATGACCTGCTCTCGGGTGAAATTATTCGAATTGATAACGACAAGGCCACTATCCAGGTCTACGAAGAAACTGGTATAGCTCCTCCCTTTTCCCCGGGCCACGTATCCTCCGACCGGCCCCCCGATAACAGTGCTAATGGGAATTCTTTCTGCAATCTAGCCGGGCTGACAGTTGGTGACCCCGTTACGCGGACGGGCAAGCCCCTCTCCGTTGAGCTCGGTCCCGGTTTGATGGAGACGATCTACGACGGTATTCAACGACCCCTCCGTGCCATCTCCGAGAAGTCCAAGGGCATCTACATCCCTCGTGGTATTTCCGTCAATGCGCTGGATCGCGAGAAGAAATGGGACTACAAGCCCGCCGACTTCAAGGTCGGCGACCACATCACCGGCGGTGACATCTGGGGTACCGTCTTCGAGAACAGTCTGGTGAACAACCACAAGATTCTTCTGCCCCCCCGCGCCCGGGGTACTATTACACGGATAGCCCCCGCTGGAAGCTACACCGTTGAGGAAAAGTTGCTGGAGGTCGAGTTTGAGGGCAAGAAGTCCGAGTTCGGGATGATGCAGACCTGGCCCGTCCGTGTACCCCGTCCCACCAGCGACAAGCTGTCCGCCGATGCGCCTTTCATCGTCGGCCAGCGTGTGCTGGATGCCCTGTTCCCCAGTGTCCAGGGTGGTACCGTCTGTATCCCTGGTGCTTTCGGATGTGGTAAGACTGTCATTTCGCAGTCCGTATCCAAGTTCTCGAACAGTGATATCATCGTCTACGTTGGCTGTGGTGAGCGTGGTAACGAGATGGCTGAAGTCTTGATGGATTTCCCCGAGGTATGTTTTTCTACGTGCATGCACATATGATAGTCGAGCGAGGACTAATTATCTTGATATATATAGCTTTCTATCGATATCGACGGTCGCAAGGAACCCATCATGAAGCGTACCTGCTTGATCGCCAACACCTCCAACATGCCCGTCGCTGCCCGCGAGGCCTCCATCTACACCGGGATCACCATTGCTGAATACTTCCGTGACCAGGGCAAGAACGTGGCCATGATGGCCGACTCCAGTTCGCGTTGGGCCGAGGCTTTGCGTGAGCTGTCGGGTCGTCTGGGAGAGATGCCTGCTGATCAGGGTTTCCCCGCCTACCTGGGTGCCAAGCTGGCGTCTTTCTACGAGCGTGCTGGTAAGACCTGTGCTCTAGGTAGCCCCGAGCGTGAGGGCAGTGTCAGTATCGTCGGTGCCGTCAGTCCCCCCGGTGGTGACTTCTCCGATCCCGTCACCAGTAGTACCCTGGGTATTGTGCAAGTTTTCTGGGGTCTCGATAAGAAGCTGGCCCAGCGTAAGCACTTCCCCTCCGTCAACACCTCCATGTCCTACAGCAAGTACAACGCCGTTTTGGACAAGTACTACGAAAAGAACAACCCCGACTTCCCTCGCCTGCGTGATCAGATCCGTGAGCTGCTGTCCAAGTCCGAGGATCTGGACCAGGTCGTGCAACTGATCGGTAAGGCGGCGCTGGGCGATTCCGACAAGATCACATTGGATTTGGCCGCGATGCTCAAGGAGGACTTCCTCCAGCAGAACGGATACAGTGACTACGATCAGTTCTGCCCCCTGTGGAAAACCGAGTACATGATGAAGGCGTTCATGGGTTACCATGACGAGGCACAGAAGGCTGTTGCTCAGGGCCAGAACTGGAACAAGGTCCGCGATGCCACCGCAGATCTGCAGAGTGCCCTGCGGAGCATGAAGTTCGAAGTCCCCGACAACGAGCAAGAGGTGTCGGCCAAGTATGAGAAGATCCTCCAATCCATGACGGAACGATTTGCTTCAGTCTCGGATGAGTAGATGGTGGACCTTGGCCTATGAATTTGTCGCTTTGCATCTATCTCTTTTTCCGGCTTTTGTTATCAGCACACATTACCCTGTAGTTATGTTCGAATAAGATTCTTCTTTGGGAGGTATAGATTCTCTAGCAAGTCTTCATTTACTAGTAGCAGAAATGTAACAGGCAGCCGAATAATTGCATGTAGAGTACCAAAGTTCGTCAATGAGCGCCTACAAGTGACACCTCGTCACTGGGCTCTTCCCCGTGGGTGCCTACCGTGGACTGCGGCTCCCGTGTGCTGCGCGGCCCGCCACCCACTCCCATCACCGCCTTCTGCCAACAAACAGTCTTCCGCTTCCATCCCTCGAGGTTCTCCCTGTTGCCCTCTGCTCTCTCTCTTGTTCTGTCCTTTAGAACCTTCTCTTCGCTCATATACACCTCATATCTTCGCCAGCCATGGCAAGCCCAACTGGCTACTCGTGCGCCACCCCCCCTGTCACCCCCCTCCACTCCGATGCGGCCCTAAGCTAACTCGTGCGCAGCATAAACGTTAATGATCCCAGCTTGATCTCGCTGGTCAACAAGCTGCAGGATGTCTTCTCTACCGTCGGAGTGAGTAGAAAACGGCCTTGATCGCATATGCGCTATTCGTGGCCTTTGGATACCTGACAACTGACACCGCCGCTTAATTTAGGTGCACAACCCCATCGACCTGCCACAGATCGCTGTCGTCGGATCGCAGTCCAGCGGAAAGAGTTCAGTACTAGAGAATATCGTCGGCCGGGATTTGTATGTGCCCTCAGTTCCCAGAAGTCTCCCCGCCGCCAGGTGTCCGCGACCGTGGTGGCGGGGGGACCATTCCCCGGTGTCGTCATGTCAGCCATTGCTAACCGCAACGCCTCTCTCGTTTTTAGCCTTCCTCGTGGTTCGGGCATTGTGACCCGGAGACCCCTTATTCTGCAACTCATCAACAAGCCCGCGAGCTCGCAAACGAATGGTGAAAAGAAGCTGGAGACATCGGACAGCGAGGCCAATGTCGACGAATACGGTGAATTCCTCCACCTGCCCGGCGAGAAGTTCTTCGACTTCAACAAGATCCGCGATGAGATTGTGCGTGAAACAGAGACCAAGGTCGGCAAGAACGCCGGTATCTCGCCCATTCCGATCAACCTGCGCATCTACTCCCCCAACGTCCTCACCCTGACCCTCGTCGATCTGCCCGGTTTGACCAAAGTGCCTGTTGGAGACCAGCCCAAGGACATTGAGCGCCAGATTAAGGATATGGTGCTCAAGTACATCAGCAAGCCCAACGCTATTATCTTGGCCGTGACCGCGGCCAACCAGGACCTGGCCAACTCCGATGGTCTTAAGCTGGCTCGTGAGGTAGACCCGGAGGGACAACGCACCATTGGTGTGTTGAGTAAGGTCGATCTGATGGACGAGGGCACCGACGTTGTGGATATTCTCGCTGGACGGATTATCCCTCTGCGCCTGGGATATGTTCCCGTCGTCAACCGTGGCCAGCGTGACATTGAGAATAAAAAACCCATTGCCTACGCTCTGGAGAACGAGAAGAATTTCTTCGAGAACCACAAGGCGTACCGGAATAAGGCCTCTTATTGTGGTACACCATACCTGGCGCGGAAATTGAACTTGGTAGGCTTTCCACCGTTTAGAGCATCCTAGATTGAGGAGTGGAGTGGCGAAACTAACATGACTTGCAATCTAGATCCTGATGATGCACATTAAGCAAACCCTCCCCGACATCAAGGCTCGAATTTCCTCCTCCCTCCAGAAGTACACCTCCGAGCTGTCACAGCTTGGCGATTCGATGCTCGGCAACAGCGCAAACATTATCCTCAACATCATCACCGAGTTCAGCAACGAGTACCGCACTGTCTTGGAAGGAAATAACCAGGAGCTGTCTAGCATCGAGTTGTCCGGTGGTGCTCGTATCAGCTTTGTGTTCCACGAGCTGTACTCCAACGGTGTCAAGGCTGTGGATCCCTTCGACATGGTCAAGGACATCGACATTCGCACCATTCTGTACAACTCCTCAGGATCTTCTCCCGCCCTGTTCGTTGGAACCACTGCGTTCGAGTTGATCGTGAAGCAGCAGATCAAGCGCCTGGAGGACCCAAGCACTAAGTGTATCTCGCTTGTCTACGATGAGCTGGTGCGCATCTTGGGCCAGCTTCTGAACAAGTCGCTGTTCCGCCGTTACCCTATGCTGAAGGAGAAGTTCCACGCTGTGGTGATTGCTTTCTTCAAGAAGTGCATGGACCCTACCAACAAACTGGTCAAGGATCTGATCAACATGGAAGCCACTTATATCAACACTGGTCACCCTGACTTCCTCAACGGTCACCGAGTGAGTGTACTCTGACTGAAGCGGCTCCCATGGACCCGCAACTGACATCTATAGGCTATGACTATTGTGAACGAGCGCCAGGCTGCCGCCAAGCCCACACAGGTCGACCCGAAGACCGGCAAGCCTCTGCCACCCCGCGCACAGAGCCCGTCCTTGGACACTACTGGCGAGGCTAACACTGGTGGTGGATTCTTCGGCAGTTTCTGGGCTTCGAAGAACAAGAAGAAGATGGCTGCCATGGAAGCTCCCCCGCCTACCCTGAAGGCCTCTGCTAGCTTGTCTGAGAGGGAAGCCACCGAGGTTGAGGTTATCAGTAAGTTCTCAGATCGAGAGATGGTCCCACTACCTTTTTTACTGATCTTTTTGCCACAGAGCTGCTCATCACCTCCTACTTCAACATCGTGAAGCGTACAATGATCGACATGGTCCCTAAGGCCGTCATGTACACCTTGGTGCAGTACGTAGTTTCCCCGATCACAGTTGCGCGTGGAATTCTAACTTTTTCTAGATTCACCAAGGATGAGATGCAGCGCGAGCTGCTGGAGAACATGTACCGTAACAACGAGCTGGATGACCTGCTCAAGGAGAGCGACTACACCATCCGCCGGCGGAAGGAATGCCAGCAAATGGTGGAGAGCCTGGGCCGTGCCAGCGAGATCGTCAGCCAGGTGCAGTAAAAAGGATATTGGGAAATTTTTATTGGCCGGAGCCGAAGACGAGCCGAATGTATCATTGAACCAATTGCGTTGGCGGAGTTGGGAATGGACCGCATTTCTTTTGTTCGCAACGAAACGGAATTTTTTTGACCATACTCGTACTTTTCGCACCGCTGTCTCCTCTTTTCCTTCCACCATTTGCCCCCGTCGACCCCTCGGACGGAATCTCACATTTTCGTTTTAGAACTCGGTCTTGTCTAGCGGTTTCTTTCTCTCATCTGCTGCGTTGGAGGAAGGAGTTAGCATTCTCGTGATTGCATTTTGCAGTCTTGAAATCGGATTCGCTTGCGTGCGTGGTGCTATTTTCATTGCCAAATTTGAGAGCTCTATACCGTTTGCTGCTGAATTACTGTTGCTGCTTCTTCTCTATGCGTTCTTTTTACGTCTCCACTCCTGTGTTGTCAACTGGATCAATTAATGATTTTCTTCTATCCCTGAGATACCTATGGAACTAGAAATTACTACTGGGGACGCTTTGAATGTTCATGTAGATTCGGTGCTGTAGACCGAGCAACCCCAACCACCAGTATTTCCGAGTCTAGAACGCCCTCTTTTCAAGTTGGACCAATAACGATGATACGCCTAAGGCTCAGTACGAACGCGAATGTGAATGCGAATACCAAAGGCCTTCAAGTTGGGAAGTGTTGCAGATGTGTGGCTGCCCAATGGGGATGATGTCTAACCTGTTTAGGTGTGGACGCCACGGTCAGCCACGGGGCCAGCCACTCGGCTTCTGACCTTCACTGCAACCGCCTTACCTTGTGACTGCTCGGACTGGCTGCCACTACTAGCACCATCCACGATGGTGCAGACCTACTCTGCCCTTACAAGCACCACAGACATCGAAAACCAGCAATATACCCAGGAAGATACAATCTATCAGCTGCTGTGAAACGCAAGTTCACAAGATCCTGAAATCGACGAATCAACGGACAGCCAGTGGAAAGAAGCGCTTGACATTGGAGCGACAACCCCTTGACCAACTCCGTATCTGCGGAGTAAATATCCCCAAAGCCTGAAGAGCTCACGCCAGGGCCATTGCAGGCCGAAAAACACAATCGACGGGTATTTGAGTTTAAAAACCTGCAGATCACCAAGGGATGCCCTTACTATCCTCTATCTCAGAATTCGGCAGCCGAGAGTCTCTGTGCACGATTGGAGGGCGAATGTCTTACCCCGCTACAGTAGGTGTGTCTTTAGAGACAAGGAGACAACCCCGTTCAAGGGTAGGAATTGACTGTTCAACATGGATTTAATACGGACTACTCCGTACGTGGATCCAGTCCGTCGGCGAAGCTAATTCGCAATCGCACATGTTCTGCGCTCCTCGACCAGAGCCAGCCAATGATTACATGGTGCTTCCGACCCACATGTATACCATCATGCTCTGTGCATCGCGATTACAAGGCCTGGGCTGCAAATGGCGCCAAATGTGGGCTCTGAACAGGCGAAGATTGAAATGCTAGACCTTCGTGCTGAGTCAAAGCAGACAAGGAAGAATCATTTCGAAACCATTTCGTCAAGACGGACCCGCTCAGGGCATGGCTGTGAGTTGTTTGTTGCTGGCCATATCATCTTCCCGTTCGCCCATATGGATTCCAAACACTCCTTATACCCTACGGTTCAACATGGCCGCGTGAATGGGAACGCGTCCCGAATGCATTGACGATTCCTACACTGTCAATTTGCCGCTTGTCTTGATTCCCAAACTTGAGACATACAAACCCAATCCACTTCCCCAGCCTCGAATCACGACCCGTGCTGCACCGAGGATGGCCCACCCCACCCCTCCTAGGACAATTGTTGACGACTCAGATCACGACAATTGTGAGCGTCGATTTCCCCCACTTGGGGAATTTAGTCAACCATTGTTTGATTGTGTTGATCGGAAGCTCAAGCACCATAATCGCGGACCAAAAAATAGTTAAGCCTGCCACGAGGGCATCGACTGGCCGAATGCCGGGAACCCACTTGCACTCGGGCACTATCCGCTCGGTTCCGTCCTTTGAATCGAAGATGGCATGGGGATTCGCGCAAAATGCCAAGTGTTTGTTTCACTGTGACTGGAGATGGATCCCCATCGCACTGCGACGCCTTGAATCTACTGCATCGTCTCCCGAGCTGAGCCGCGTGAAAATCCTTCGCAGATCTCTTGGCCGTTGCAACCGATGGCAAATTCCACGTGGACTCTAGGCTGGCTTTTTCTCCGTACGAGGGGCAGCCATTATTTCTTGTCTGAATGACTAGCGGCAATAAATTGCCCTCTGGAACCCACGAGGCTCCACCGACGATGGGGCGGCGGAGATCTTCAATGGTCGCGCGGGAGCATCAAGGTTTGGGTCGGAGATCCTTAGTGATTCATAGGGCAAGGAACTGCTTGACTCCTCCCGCGTCGTCCTCTAGGTTTGGAGTATCTGCCTTAATTTTGATGGCAAGGCGTGGGGCTGTGGACAAACCAAGGCCCTCAGGGGTTGGTCGCGACGACATACCCCAAAAAAGAAGCGTTCCATATAAAACTTCGCTTGCCAGCTCCGACCCCCTGGGTGAGGCGATGTCTCCCTTTCGGCCGATCTCTGAACCAATCGCCCACAACCGTCATGTCGAGTTTAATTCTGCAGTGGTTGATGGCTCGGAACGTGCCTGACACGAGTCAACTTCAACGTCGCGAATTTGACTCGTCAAAATCCGTGGCAGCCAACTCGGCCAACTCAGCGGCGGGCTCATGGGTGATTGACCCTTTGCCCTCGCTTCAGCGAGGAGGTTTGATTGCGATTTCGGCTCTGGCGATGATTTCTCTCATTGCAACCTTCTGTCTCTTATGTTTCTTTACCTATCGATTCATTTTCTGGAAAAAGTATTACAAGCGTTACATCGGATATAATCAATATGTCGTATTGATGTACAACCTCGCTATCGCGGATTTTATTCAAGGACTGGGGTTCATTGTCAGTTTGCGGTGGATCAACCAGAACTCGCTTCACGCAGAGGACCCCGGATGCTTTCTACAAGGCATCTGGCTCCAAATGGGCGATCCCATGAGTGGTGTCTTCGTGCTAGCAATTGCATTGCACACTTTCATGCATGTTAGCCTGGGTCGCCAGATCAGTCACCGCACCTTTGTGTCCATCGTCGTTGGGCTATGGGTCTTTGGGGTGATCTTGGTCATCGTCCCCATCGCAGCCCATGGTCCCCACGTATGGATGCCGTCTGTGGGATGGGTATGTCCTTATCCTGAATACCGATTTCCGAATGATTGATTACTGACCATTTTGCGTTTGCAGTGCTGGATGACCACACAACACCCGGCCCTTCGTCTTTGGACACATTACTTCTGGATCTTCTCAGCTCAATTCCTGAACCTCGTCTTATACGCCATCATGTTCTTCCAGCTCCGACGCAAGATCTCCCAGTCCAAGATTCTGGGTAGCAGCTACACAGAAAGTCTCAAACGCCTGAACCGAGTCGTCTCATACATGGTCCTCTATCCGATTGCCTACATTGTTTTGACATTGCCGTTGTCCGCTGGCCGAATGGCATCCGTCAGTGGTCGTTCACCTAGCGTGGCCTACTTCTGTGTTGCGGGTGCTCTAATGACACTATCTGGCCTGTGTGACACACTGCAGTATACGCTGACTCGCAAGAGTATTGTACTGGAGTCGGAGATCCGGTCCAAGCGAGAGGATGGATACCACGATATCTCGAGCCACAAGAAGACCACAGTGGACAAGGGCCCAATCTCGACTGTCTGCGCCGCCCACCCCGGGAATGACTCCACCGAGGCCATCGTCCAGAGCCAAGATATAGAGCTTGCGAATGTCGACCACCAAAATGTGTACCAGCATACCACCATTACCGTCACGCACGAACCCGCATATTAATACATTCTACGACTTTCGACTTCTTTCAGAACTTCACATTCATGGATTATGGTTACTCTTTCCTTTGACCTTCACAATTCTTACTGTATATACTTAGTCAACGGGATCCCACTTTTCTTTACTTCTTGTATCGTATTTATCATTATTCCATTCTGTCGGACTCTCGGATATCGGTATCGACTAGTACTCGCGAGGGGCCAATTGAACCATCTCAGCGATTGATTGATTGACTCAAGAACTATCTCCCGGCTCCCGTTCAGGATGCCATCTATTCAGGGGTATTTAGTGTGTTACAGAGCTGCTTTTCCAATAATACCCGATTACCATACAAAACAGGTAACTAGGAGATTGGGTATCTGCTGAATCATCCTGCTCCAGATTGTAATATCAATCTCTCCGATCGACACACCCCCCCAGCGGATACACTATCTCCTTCAGTCTAGGAGATGCTGAATATCCTGCATTCTTAGGGAATTGACGATCTTCAGGTGTTTCTGGCGTGGGAGCAGCTTTGTCAAACCGCTGCAACCATGTCCTCCGTCTCAGCCCATCGTACGCCGATTCTCTGTGCCTGGACCTCTTGTCGTAACCAGTGTTGGTGTATATCGATATGGCGAAGCTTGGTTTTCAGTTGAGGCATTTCCTTGGTGAGCACGCCAATCGTCTGCTGGTTGTCGCATTGAATGTCAATGGGGTGTCCAGGGTTGAATCGAATAGCCGTGAACAAGCGCTCCCACATGGATAGGGTCCTGTCAGCCTCTGAAATTGCCAGAAGTTCGGCTTCAGTAGTACTGGTAGTCACCGTACGCTGCTTGCTGGCCTTCCAGTCGACAGGTCCTCCAAAAATCATGCAGATATATCCTTCCAAGCTCTTCCTGTCAGGATTATCACCAAATGAAGCGTCACTGAAGATTTTGACCACTTCCTCCTCTCCGTACGCTGTGATATGCAATCGCCAGTGTTCGGGTATGATAGAGGTAGGATATGACTCGGTTGATTGCTTCAAGATGCTCGGGACCAGGATTCGGTAGGAACTGAGCTAGCGAGGCTGTCGCTTTCGCGGCATCGGGCTGGGTGATGGTTGTAGCATACTGGGTAGAGCCAACCTTCTGTTGAAACTCTTTTATCTGCGCAGACGTAGCTTGGCCGGTATATGGCGACAGTGAGGTTGGTGTAAGAGGTGTCTCGTATGACCTGTTACCTGTCAGGTGATACCGATTCGCTACCGCAGAGATATACGAATCTTGGCACAGCCAAAGCACCTTCTGTTGCCTGTCTCGCAGTAGCCTGATGCCTAGGAACCACTGCGCTTCACCCATATCCCGAAGCTCCCAGTGAGAGTTCAGACTGTTCCGTAGCTCTCTAGCCCTTTCCTGTTGCCGTGGATGATTGACGACAATGATATCATCCACATAAAAGAAGACAATGATTCCATCCTCTGCGAATAGACATGTCCTCTTGTACGACCTGTAGACCTAGAGACGTGAGGACTTTCGACGCCTCGCGCTGCCAGAGTCTTGGGGATTTGCGTAGGCCGTATAGCGCTCTTAGCAATCTCCAGCATCTCTTTCCATCCTTCCGAAATCCTTCAGGAAGCTCGGTATATACCGTCTCATCCAGTAAGCTATTCAGAAAGGCGTTAACCGCGTCGTATTGGTAGGTCTCGAGGTCAAATGCAGCTACTAAGGCGAGTACTGCTCTTGCCGTGCGTGCAGCCAGTGTCGCTGAGTATTTCTCATCGCTAGTGACCCTCTGCAGGTCTCCTCTCACACAGATCCTCACTTTTAACTTAGCAAGATATCCGTTGCTGTCCAGCTTGTATGAGAAGACCCATTTCAATGGTAGAATCTGAATACTTCTGTCATTCGGGCGCTTTTCCTCCACGAAGGTCTTCTTTCGCTGAATCGTTTCAATCTCCAACCCACAGGCTGTCATGAATCCCTCGTTGAATGGATGATTCACCATCTCCTTCCAGGTCTGTGGCTCTGGAGGTAGGTCATCGCGGTGAGTATTCATGTGTGAACGAGAACTGCTGAGGCCTGTCGCGAACGCCGCTAATACACCGTCGTGGTACTCATCGGGGTCGATCATAGCTGTATGAAACGACTGGTCTATCGGTTTCTTTCTGCGTGAGCCACTGACGATATTATCCTCTGAGATATCTCCGATAATATCCCTAGGCGCCCTATACAACGTTGCTGTCGAACTGAGCTCCTGCTGAAGCTGCTCTGCGGGTCTAGCTCTATATGAACCATCGGGGAAAGCTCCTGGAGGCGGTTGCATGTCTTGAGACAACTGTGGTTCGGCTGAAGGTGTCGGCGACGGCGTCATTACCTGCTGAGATGCTGCTATCGCTGATTCTGGATTCTTTGATCGATGCGATGGTAATGGCTGCGTATCTCGAGGCGTTTCCAAATTGGTTCCAGGCGCATTTAGGCTATCAATACGCTGTGAGCCTTTGGATATCTTCCTCATCCTCTTGACCAATTTCCCATGGCATTACTTCCAGAACATCGCTGACAGGTGCTCTCTCTAGCTCTTTCGGATCGAAGAACCTGTTCTCATCGAACACAGCATCCCTGACCTCCCGTACAGCACCGCTCGCAGGATACCATACCCTCCAAATATTGGAGGCAACATAACCAACTAGGTAGCCGATCGAAGCTCTCGGTTCCATCTTGTCGCTATTTGGGATATCGTTTCGCCGGGTGTAGGCGCAGCAGCCATATATCTTCAGATTTGAAAGATTGATGCGCTGCTTTTGGATTTTCCCATTTTCCATAGCGTCAGCGTACGGCACAATCCACCGTCCGTCTGGTAGCTTTGTGGGCGATCTGTTGATTATCCAAACCGCTGCCTTGACTGCTTCAGGCCAGAGAGTCTTCGGAAGTCCTGCATCTAGCAGTAAGGCTCTCGCGGTCGTAATGATCACCCCCCAGATCGTTCAGCGAAGCTGTTCATCTCTGGGGTGCCTACTACGCTATGTTCCACGATGAAACCCATTGAAGCCAGTAGCTCTGAGACTTTCCGTCCAGCAGACCGTTCGTTATCATATCGGAATGCTTGAATTGGCAGGTTCCACTGTGTTTTAGCGAAAGCACAGAAGTTCTCGACTGCATCCTGACAACCACTCTTCTTCTCATGGGTATAGGCAACATGTAGGCGTACGCCTTCGATATAAAAGTGCGTCATCCACTTATCACCATTATATCCAACGGGATACTGAATGAGGTCCCAATGGATTCTCCCATATTTTCCGAAGGTCAGTCCTTGAGGTCTTCTCGAAATTTGACGTCTCGCGTTTGTCAACTGACAGACCTGGCATCTCTCAGGATTATCCTTTTCATTATCAGCCGAGTCGCCAATTATCTGGATCCCGTCAACCATATCCGCTAGACGCTCAATTCGCTGATGATACATATGTCCTAGACGCCGATGCCATCTTTCAGCAGTCGCAGACGATATCAGAGGCTTTTCTGAATGCTTAACAGCGAAAGATGCTGGCGGAGGATTATATTCAACCACATACAATCTCTCCATCTTTGTCACCTTGGCCACTGGTTTTGATAGTTCCTCTGATCGCACAATCGCACCTAGTTGGATGTTCCAATCGAAGCCATTCTCCTGAATCATCGCCAAGGACATCAGGTTCGTTTGGAAGCCGGGCGAATACCGGACATTCATCAAGCGGACGCCAAATACTACCCCATCGGGGCCAGTGAGGTTGACTCGTACGTCACCATAGCCAGAGTATCCTGTTGACGCATAACCTGTACGAAGACGGCCCTGTTCCTCTGTGAAACTGATGAACCTATCTCTGTCATTACAGATATGACAGGTTGAAGCGGAGTCAAGTATCCAGCTATTGACCATATGGTAACCTCCCTTAGGTAAATTCACACTGACCGCTGTCTTCGCAGTGAACATCGCCATTCTTATCCTCTGGCTGTCCTGCACTGACTCTGAGGTAAACTGAGCAGACTCTTGCTTCTTCATGAGCTTCTGAATAGCCTCCTGGTCTTCAGGATTCATGCGCTTGATGGCTTCTGACATGCGCTTTGCTGTATCTTCTCTCGGCTTCCACCAGCGTGGTCTCTTCGAAGACACTATATACCAACACTTCTCATAGGAGTGGCCTTGCCGACCGCATGGGCAGATTGGCCTCTTTGAATCTGTCAAGGTCTTCTCTGTCTTCGCTTCAGGTTGGCCATCGAGTGTCGCGAATGCCGCCCTTATTGGCTTCTTCTGGGTTGAATTCTGCTGGGCTCTGCGAACACTGTACGCCGTCACAACCTCCTGGAATGTCACATCCTTCGTTAGGATCCTCTCCTCCCAGGTTGATGTGAACAGGTCGTCAATCGGCCGTATTGCTCGCAAGAAGTCGCGGATAGCATATTTGACGTTATAAACGATATCAGGTACGTCTGCACAGCGTCCTTCTTCATAAAGGTTCTTCCACTGTGCTAACCACCTATCGATATTAACATCCTTAGCCGGTTGCTTGATCATCGCTCTCCATGCCGCCCGAAGATCCTCAGTACGAATCTCCTGCTTCGGCTTAAATTCCTTAGCTAGTTTTACCAGCTTCTTTCGCGGTGTGTCCTCATCGACGACGAGATAGTGGAAGTCGGGGTCCAGAGATCTTGTGATGAGGCTATTGATACGTCCCATCACCCTCTGTATCCTCACCCGCTTTGTCTCCTTCCTCTCATACGCCTGAATTCGAATGAGGAACTTTTTGTATTCCGCTTCTTCAAGGTCCCATTCCTCCTGAGCACCATCACGAATACTGCTAGGTGTAGGCTCTTCGGTAGCCTGCGGCACCTGTCGTATGCTCTCCTCACTGGCGTCAGGATTGAGATAGTCCCATATGTCCTCATTAATCGCTGCTGACCTGATATGTGCTATCCAGATTCTCCACTGGTCTTCGGAGCGTAGGCGCTGGTCCTGTGGAACAGCCCTCAACTCGTCCAGTTGCACCCTATCAGTCATCCTCGCGAGCCTTTTCGTTTTCCGGATGTGTCCTAATTTTTCCAAGCGTCACTACCACTCTGTGTGCGTGAATAACCTATCACCACAGGGTTCAGGGGTATCGGCTCGTCCGTCGGTCGGGGGAAACTCGTGCGAAGCAGGCCAAGATCGAATGTTATGATCAATATCTTCTGCTCCGTGCTACCGGGCTCATAACTGTCAGACTTTGGGATATCGGTATCGACTAGTACTCGCGAGGGGCCAATTGAACCATCTCAGCGATTGATTGATTGACTCAAGAACTATCTCCCGGCTCCCGTTCAGGATGCCATCTATTCAGGGGTATTTAGTGTGTTACAGCGCTGCTTTTCCAATAATACCCGATTACCATACAAAACAGGTAACTAGGAGATTGGGTATCTGCTGAATCATCCTGCTCCTGATTGTAACCTAATATCAGTCTCTCCGATCGACACTTTCATTTCTTGCGACTTGGCACTGATTCATCTAGAACTTACCATGGTGGGGGTTCCAAACCACTCGACCGGAGTGACTAATACTAGCAACTACTAACTAGGAGCATCAGAAGGACACAATAGCAATTAGTGTTGTCTTGTAAACGACGGCGTAGACATCACCCGAGCTTTGCATTCATCCAAGCTAATCCACAGCCCACAGTGAAATCATCAACAAAGCATGAATCTCGCTCTCGAGTTTTCAGCATGTATAGAACGTAAGGGAATTGCCGAAATTTGTCGAAAGAGCTTGAGGAAGAGAAGACATAAAGCCCACCACATACAAATGCGCGCCCGTGACCTTGTGGAAGGTTTTGTGACAAAAATTTTCATAAATATTCGCAGAATCGAGTAAGGAGCCTAGTACACCCGGGCTTCGTGGGATCTGGCAAAGCGAAAGAGACAGAATAAGCATTGGACATGCCATCGGCGATACTGAGATTTACATCCTGGATGAAAACTTGGAGGCAATATGGGCGCCCGGCATTCCGGGAAAAATCGCTATTGCTGGACCAGGAATCACCACTGGTTACTTTGGCTTGGACGAGGAAAAATAAAAGAACTTTATGAATTTGAAGATTTCGCGCCACGTGGAAGGCAAACAGATGAACAGAAGAAAGATTGTGCCGAGTTTATAAGACTGGCGACATAGCTCAATGGCGACCCGACAAGCCTGACCGTCTTGATTTCATCGGCCACCGTGGCATGCAGGTAAAACACAACGGATTTCGAGTGGAACTTGAAGAAATCGAGAGAGTATTTGAGAAAAATTTCGATGTTATGTCTGCTTTGGTATTTCAGAAGCACCCCGAATCCACCCGGTGGCATCGCTTCTTATTGCGTGCATTATCCCATAAGATACATGGCCAGGAGTCAAAAATGGAATAGCCGAACACGCCCACAATTACCTTCCACGCTATATGGTATCCGATAATGTTAAGCTTATGTCCAAATTTCCCCTTACGCATCGAGGAAAATTTGATCGACATGTTATAGCCAAGGTGACTTTCTGCCGTGACGCGAGCCCCGAGGAAACGGAGAGCCATATCGATACAAATGTTGATACTTTACGGTGTCCACTCCTTGGCTCGGATATGGCAGGATGCTCTGGGTGCTCCCAAGTCCACGACGATGATGACTTTTTCCTTCTGGGTGCCGGTTCTATGCAATCTGCCGCCTCATCGCCAGCATATACAACAAAATAGGGCATTTGATTACGATGGACGAACTATATCGCAACTTGAAGCAAGCAGATCTACAGAAACTTCTTGATTCAGGTTGTACCGGGGTACAAGATGCTCCCGACGACACCATGATCTGGAAGAGATATATTGATATCGTCGACGAATTGGAGCTTCTTCCCAAGCGGGAGTTAGGACGTGAAGGGAAAGTGGTCATCACTGGTGCAACTGGATTTGTTGGCAGTCATCTGCTATGCTATCTTCTCGAGCGACCTGGAGTGAGACAAGTTGCATGTCTGGTCTCCAAGAAAGGAAACGAGAATGCTTCATCCCGTTTGCAAACGGCGACGGATCGATACGACCTATACCCACCAACGGTCCTTGATATTACAAAAAATTATCATAGCTATCGAGGGCGACATGGCTAGGGAGAGATTGGACCTAGATGAGGAAACATTCGAGTGGCTGGCAAACTGGGCCAGTGTCATATTTCACGTCGGAGCAAAGGTCGATTTTGGCAATAAATTTCAGTAGCACTATTGTGACACTGTTTTGGGAACCTGCAACATCTTATATCTGGCCGCGACAGACTGTCGCAAGGCTTTGCATTACATGTCCAGCTTCATTATAAGAACAAAGCATCTTCCTGAAGATAATCCGCACTTGCCTCATCCCCAAGTAATGCGATATGATATTGGACATGGTCAGAGTCAGTGGACTGCCGAAGGAATGGCCCGACGCATGCAAGAGCGAGGTCTCCCTATCGGCATCTATCGTCCTGGTTTTATTATGGGAGACAGCGATACCGGAGCTATCAATCCAGATGACTACATTTTGAGGTTGATTGTTGGCTGTTTCCAAATGGAAATTTTCCCAAGGGTGATGGACATGCGATTGCAGCATCCAACAATTTATTTCGTGATCTCCGCTCTCATGCAAAATTTCAAGCTCCAATAAGAATCTCGGTCATGGATATCATAATTTTTCTCCGGACCAAAATAAGTCTGTATCGGTCGACGAGGCTTGCTCCGTTATGAATAAGCTGGATACTCTGTAAAAGCTATTTGGTATCATGAATGGCTGGGTCAAGTCATTCACACGCAGAAGCCACATGGACTTTTGGTTCCCCTGTTACTATTACTCAAAGAAAGAGCTCTAGGAAGACTTATCCGCTGGGAAGTTGGGCAGTATTCACCTCGATGCGACTGCTCCAACACTGTGCGTGCATCGGACGTCTTACCGAAGTCAACTACATCCCCATAACACCCGATATCCTAAAAAGATACATTGCTTTTTGGAACCGCAAGGGCTTCTAGTAAATCTGACGTCTCGGGGACTCATGATATTTCAGGATAGGCTCAACATACTATTCTCACAAGACTTGACTCCACCGCATTTCCTTTTTTTTTCGCGGCTATTTCTACCAGATTGGTATAAACTGCAGTACTCATACTGTAGATTGACCCTTTTCACTCGTCGCATCATTATTCGCGACTTCCATCACCTCGACATCGGGGCTTGCAAATGCCTTTTCACCAAAAGCCACAGCAATCTCCTCAAGAGAGTGATTGGCTGTTTCCACGTAATAGAAATAGGTCACCGCAGCGGAGGAAAGACAGAAAAAGGCAATTATGAGATAAAAGTAGCCATGAATTCCGGCAAAGGCATCCGGCGACACCATACCGATGATGAAATTGAAGACCCAGTTGCTTGTTGTGGCCAATGCCATACCTTTGCTCCGGCCACGAAGTGGGAAGATCTCTGCAGGTAGGAGCCAAGGCATTGGCCCCCAGGTGAATCCATACAGTATGTTGTAGAGCATGACGAATGCGTACTGGCCGTTTGCTTTCGTCTGGATGCTCAGCGAAGCCTCGGTAAATACGCAGACAATCGCGAGGAGGACAGCCATGCCGAAACCACCGACGAGAAGTAGTGGCTTTCGGCCCCATCGGTCTGCTAGCCACCAAGTGACGACGGTTGCGGCAGTATATGGCAGAGAGTTTGCAGCCGTGAGCAAAAGGGACTTCTTTTCATTGTATCCGGCAGAAGACAGAGTGCTCGGAAGGTAGAAGGAGATGATGTTGATTCCGTTGATCTGCGCATACATCTGGGCCGTGATTCCGACAATCGTTCGTTTCCGATATCTTGTGAACATTTCCTGATCAAAGAATTCGTGTAAGTAGAAAGCAAGCCATATCTGTCATGAAGTCTTACCTTCCAGCTTGATTTGCCCAAGTTGGCTTCGTAAATGACTGCTTCTTGAATTTCGAAAAAAACTTTCTGAACATGTTCGGCGTCGGTGTCACCATTCGAGTGCAGGTCTGCAACTGTTTGAAGACTTTCCTTGCTGAAGCCATTCATAGCGAGCCATCGAGGAGTTTCCGGAAGGAAGAAAGACATGGCTAAAAGGATGAACGAGAGGACAATCTGAATGATAAACGGGCCTTGCCAGGACATATTGCTTGGTAACGTAAAGAAGAAGCCATAGTCGACCCAGCAAGACAGCATGTAACCACCGATTTGAAATGTGTACTCTATACCAACCATCAATCCTCGACGATGAGGCGCAGCAATCTCCGTCTGAATAATGGGGACCGTCATTGATAGGAATCCCACTCCCAGTCCTTGAATTGTGCGACCTGCAACGAAAGTGCCGAATCCCGGCGCGAACATTTGAATGAAGGCGCTGAAAAAGTAGATGAAAGCGCCAATACGAACACACTTTTTGCGACCGATGATATCACCCAGTCGACCTGCTACGAGTGCTCCCACTGCTGCAGATGCTTGAAGACAGGCAACTGATATACCTGTGATTGAAGGGTCGACGGCATCGGTGCTACCATCCGCACCACCATAGTCTTTGAAAAAACGGGAGACGAAGACCGAGTTCACCAGCAAGCCGGACATGATGCCTTTTTAATTAGCTTATGCTCTTTTTTTTACCCTCGCGTTTTCAAGGTTTCCATACCAGAATTGTACCCGAAGAGGGCATCTCCCAAGCTGCCAAATCCACATGTCGCCCAAAGCAAAGGCTTGCCCTTGAACGGGTATCGAGATGTAATTTTCTTGGGCTTGAGCTTCTTTTCCAGCCAGCTTTGTTGTTGCTCTGCTAGTTCAGCAATCGCTTGAGAACGATTGTTCGAGGCCGGAGGGCCTGCTTCCGCAAAAGTTTCCTCCGTCTTCATGGTAGTAGATGAGGTCGAAGACGAGCCCAGAGTTCAGTTGTAGGATAGATCAGACTGAGCAAAAGACTGAGCAAAACGAGTCCTCCTTACACGACAACTGCTCGACGCGGGACAAGGGACTCTCATATTTCTACCCCACGGCTTCTCCACGGGGAGCGTTAGTCTTCTCCGACATGATGGGAGAGTGGAATCGGAGTCACCATACCCTGGTGCTCGCCATCCTGATCCATGTGTCCTGATGCTCGTTAGAGCCCGGTTTTTACCTTGGTGAAGCGATCGACCCAGTCCATTTCTTAGTGGTTTCTGGGCAACCCCGCAAAAGTTCATGCTCTTATCCAGAAGCATCAAAACACCCACGGTTTACTTTAACCAACGGCTGGTGATTGGTCGGCTGTCCGGAGTCTAAAGGCTTTCCGGGATGCCGGTGGGGCCCTTTTCGGTTCCGGCGGCACAGCGTGTCTGTACTTTCTTCGATTCAGAGCCTTTTTGGTCGTTGTTTTCCTCGGCCCGCCGGAAAGACTGCAAAACATGTCCCACAAAGATTCATAAGATGTGCCGAGAGATGGCTGAAAGACAGAACCGGGAAGGCGATGGATATTGTCTATGGCGATCGGTCTGGCCGGCCTCGAGCAGCTCGGACACGGGCCGGTCTATACCAATGTGGAAAAGTAGAGATGCCCCCGGAACCGTACCCCATGCTAGGCGCAACGTTATACCTGCGTAGAAGTGGGAGGTAGTATGTCCGGCCAAGAAGAAAATATTTAGATCGCACAAACAGCAGTGCTCATCTCTTCAGTCTATCGCGAAAAGTCCCCGAAAAATGACCGTTACGAAAAATTCACTGGTTGGTTTAAATCCGGCTTGGAAACCGAGTACCTGACTTTCACGGTATCTAATATTTTCCAGTCATCAAACCGGGCCTTTGTGCTACACCCTGGGGGAACTTTCACGTTTGAGCAACGTGAGATACCTGCCCTTGAATCCGACCGAGATGTCTTAGTTCGAATTGTTGCAACCGGACTGTGTGGCTCCGATGTAAGTGACCAGCCATCTTAATATGTCCAAATTGAAGCAAAGCAGGCTGACCGTCACACCCATTCGCAGGTACACTACTGGCAGCATGGTCGCATTGGTCGATACGTCGTTGAAGCACCGATCGTTCTAGGCCACGAGTCATCCGGTGTGATTGTGAAATGCGGAAAGAATGTCACAGGCCTGCGAGTAGGCGACCGAGTCATGCTCGAGCCAGGATTTGCCTGCAATATCTGCCACTATTGCCGAGGCGGACGTTACAACCTCTGTGAAGCTATGCGCTTTGCCGCAACACCCCCTTACGACGGAACCCTCGCCAAATACTACCGTGCCCCCTCCGAATCCTGTTACAAGCTCCCACAACACATCTCGCACCGAGACGGGTCCTTGATCGAGCCTCTCAGCGTTGCGGTGCACAGCTGTCGACTCGCTGGATCCATGCAGGAGAAATCGGTCGCGATATTCGGAGCGGGCCCGGTCGGATTGCTCTGTTGTGCTGTTGCCCACGCATTTGGTGCGTCGACAGTCGTTGCTATTGATATCGTTGCGAGTCGTCTGGCTACTGCTTCAAAGTATGGTGCTACGCACACATACCAAATGAGCACCGAGTCATCGGATAGGAACGCACAGGATCTGGTAGCATCCATTGGGCTGGAATATGGAGTTGATGTTGTTCTTGACGCAACTGGCGCAGAACCCTGTCTGGCTTGTGGCATTCATGCCCTCACTCGCGGTGGTACGTTCGTTCAGGTTGGACTGGGAAACCCAACTCCTACTGTCCCAGTTGGGCAAATTTGCGACAAGGAGGTTGTATTCAAGGGAAGCTTTCGTTATGGACCGGGTGACTTTCAACTAGCCATTGATCTGCTGAATTCTTGCCGTGTGAACGTCGACGGCCTAGTAACTCACGAATTCTCTTTCGATCGAGCAGAGGATGCGTTTAAGAATGTCGTCAGTCGGGTTGGGATCAAAAGCGTTATATATGGGCCGGATGTCGACGAATATGAAGCGAAAAAGCGCTCCGATTAGAATGAACCTTATCAGCCATACCATAGACAAAAATAAAGCATCTTCTCTTCATGATGGCTAATTCTATTGTCGTTCAAACCCATTCCACGTAGTATCCCATAGCCAACACAATCCATCGTCCATATTCCCATACGAACTGCCCTGGTTTGGATCTTCAGGGATGCTAAACATGTTCCAGTCATAGCCAGCTGGGAGCTGCAAGTTGGACTGTGGTTGGATTCCATCATCGGGGAACGGACGTTGGGTAGGGATGGGGATTTCTGTGCCTGGCTGGTTGGATTGACCGTCATTTCCTGTGCCAAAAACTGTAGAGGCGTGTTAGATAGAATTTTCCTGTGGGTCTTCTTGATGAGATAGCAATAAGTACCATGTTGGACCGAGGTCAAGCTCTCATTCAGGCGGTCCGCTCTACTGGGAGGTGGCCACGATTGGTGGCCGGTTGGCTGATGGCGGGAATCAAGAGTTGTGTTAAGCGGAAGCCGCAGAGTGTCTTCAACGGACATCAAATCATTGTATGTTGGGTTTGACTGAGTTTCAGTGCGTGGCCGTTGATTTGTGCCAGATATAGGAGCAAATATAGCAGCCGACTCGCGATGCAGAAGCAAAATGACGACGTTTTTCAGAACTGTAGTGCTTTGCTTCGATAGCGCAGAGCGTTTGCCGAGGAGATCCTGTAGACGCAAAATACGGGTGATTGTTCGTTTGATATCCTGCGCCATATCCGAGAGTGGCTCCGAAAGTGCCATCACGGCCAGGACGATTGCTGCGTTGAACAGGTTGATGGCCAGAAAAGCGACGAGATGGCTGTCTGTGGCAAGTTGAGCGAGCACGGGTAGCTCTGTCACTCGTGATGTTCTCACAGCGGCGTTCATCCACAGTTGTGAGCTGTCTTGGGCTCTGGGATTCATCGGTTCGAAGCTCAGGCTCGACCCGATAAATGGAACAGAGGTTCCAGGGTGCTCGCTTGGACTATTGTTCTGAACACCCACGACTGCTTGATTCTTAGTTGAAAGATAATCAACCTGTCGGTTCAATAGAGGCCGGTGTAAAACGATGAGGACATTATCGTAAGTCAGCTGCAATGACAAGGATTGTAATGCGTGCGCTCTGGATCTGAGATCCGCATCGGGGCGGAAATCCTGTTCCAGATCCAAAGATAAATGGCTGGGTAATGACAGCGACCATGCTTGAAGATTTTGTGTAGCTTCTCTAGCTAGCTCGTAATATGCGTCGCCAGTCAATTGATCCGATGTACCGGTCGTCCTGGAACCGAAAACCTCTTTGAGAGCCGGTGAGGCAATCAAGTAGAGTCTATTGAGCTCGCGCTGATATGGCGAATATGTTATGAAACTGCTCGGGTCTGAGGTTGAAGAGACGAAATTCGGGTTCTCTGGCAGGTCTGCAGGCATCTCGACATCGCAGTCCTTGTCACTTATCCCCAGTGGTCGGCCATATGCAATGGAAGCAAACCTGTCCCAAGTGTATATTGTCCACCAAATTCGTTTTTTCTCTTCAATATCTTCTGTTGTCCCCCTTGAAGAGTGTCGATGCAATCCCAAGGACTGCGACATTTTGATTGTAGCTCCCAAGAGAGAGAAGGCAAGGTTTGGGCGGCCGTGATAGACATGATGAGATCCTAGTAAAACGCATGTCTGAATGGCGGTGATCGACGGTCGGTCCATGACCTCAACCAGGTTTGACTCGACGACTTTCAATAGATCTGTGCTCCACACCCGCCACTGGTCACTATTTTCGGTCAGATCAGTACCGCTTCTCTGGGAGCGATACCATGTAGCCATTCCCAGCATCACAGACAGCAACAGAATAAAGGGCCTTTGTGAAGGGTTCGCAGACCCATCTGCGATGGAATTAAGCAACTTGCGGAATTTGGGCTCGTATATAGCCAATGAAAACCAATGAATGGCATCAAAGTAGTCTTCCAACAAGTCGAAAACGAGATCCATGGGAGGGAATGGCCCTCCCAGAATTGAGGAGATGGAACGGCGCTGACCATGTTCGGAATTGACTGTTACTGCAACATTGTTATTACTGTTGATTCCGGCATGGTACCCAGGAATGGCAGAGGTAGTCTGCTCATCGATATGTTGGCTGGAAAGCTCGAAAATCCTCTGCGCTATTCCTAGCGCGGACTGAGCCTCATCGCAGTGGGTCGGCGGCGACAAAATACCCATGGCTGTCACGGGTTCTGCCCTATCTGCTCCTGTGGGTGACTCGGTCGACCGAGGTCGATCGGATGGACTGTTAGCATAGCCTCGTCCATTCCTCATGAGCTCACTTCGGTGCGATGGCGGTTGTGGCTCATTTTGACGAGTCGCACTGTTTCTTTACCCATAGTTAGCTAGTGCTTCACGCCGAAAGTAGCTTCTTCACTTACTTTCGTATATGCAATTTTCGTGCCCGACTCGTTGGAGTCCGATTTGTAGGCAGCGGTCGACAATCAACCCCGGCTCGGACACACAGTAGGCATGGTCTCGCGTTGTCGCACTATCGGCAATGGGATCAATTCAGTAACGGCCCGAAGGGCGACACCGACAATATCGGGACGGGGTGACTCTACCCGAGATTTGTGATGCCGACAGCGTTCACAGGCGGTTCGCACGCGGGTGGGCAGTCGATGTGGGGTATTTCCCTCGTGGGGAACCGAGTGAATAGAGGTCATATTCTCAGTCCACTGCCGTATCGACGATATCAAACAACAAATTCACTGTGATGTCGCTGGTAGGTTTCCATGAGCGCGGCTGGGGGGCGGAAAAAAGTGTCTCCGTTGATGGAGTCCGGCATGGCAGGTAGAGTTTCAGTGGAAAGCATCCCGCGGGGAAAGCGAAGGTTGCCTGAATCTTATTTTGCCCGGCTTCAGGGTGCTTTACGGGTGGTGGTGGGGCCATCAATATAGGTTTCTCAATTGAGCCTTAACGTAGCAGAATATTTCAATTCCGACTGAAATTATCATCATATGCGGTATTTCTATGGATTTGGATCCACGGGATCTATATAGTGTTCAAAAGAAGGTAATATAGTTTATCGCTTCATGTGCCGATAGACATAATGCCAGTCATCCCTCTTGATATCCTGTCTAACCTTATAATTTTGCTCGGCCACCTGGAGCACCCGCAGATCCATGTCCGCCACGCAGATACCTTCTTCGGAGCCCATTTTCGCAATGGGCCCCACGAGAGGAAGTGTGACTTGCGATAGACCGAGGAAATCCTTCGAGGGGCCGGTAGCGTTACAAAAGATGATACCACAAGTATTTTCAAAGCAGCGAGCTGTCAGAGTAGATTCCAGAAAAAGCGCTTCTGTGTCGGGGTTGTAGGCGATGCAATCTTTAGATGCATCGTGTGGGGTCCCTGCGAAGAATTAGAATCCTTTCCTTCGTCTAGATTGTCGACAATCAAAGTCAGAGTCCTTACAATAAGTAGGGATGATCACGATATCTGCTCCATCGGCAATCAGTTCACGGAATGCTTCAGGGAAGGCCAGGTCCCAGCAGATCAGCATGCCCACGCGACCGATCGGCGTATCAAAGGCGACGTGGCGATCCAAGCCGGAGGAGGTGAGGTGAGGACGCTCCGGGTGCCAGATATTCTTTTTCACATAAGAGCTGAGAATGGAGCCGTCGTTGGAGATGAAATATGCTGTGTTGTAGAAGATGGTTGATTGGTTGGGTCCCTCGTGTTTCTCAATGATGGTTCCAGGGACGACACAGATCTTCAGCTCCTTTGCGAGGGCTTGGTAGTTAGCCAGATACTTGGCAGAGTCACCCGCCTGGATAGCCCAGCGAGGGTCATCAGGGACCATGCCGCTGAGATGATACCTGGTTTGTACATGTTAGTTATGATTCATCTTGGCTGGTTTTGCCAAGCCAAGGGCATGGTTGAAACAAGCAGGCTGGGATGAGAGATTTACTCGGGAAGAACAGCTAGTTCCGCGCCCTGGGATGCAGCCTGACGGATATAATTGCATGCTGTAGTGTGGTTTTCTTCAGCTGCGACATCCTGCATGGTGATCAGCCACTAGTCGTCACTGCATCATAGATCGCCGCAGGCCATTTGCTACCCCAAAGCGTGAGGCTTACCTTGATATGCCACTGAATTACTCCCACGCGACGAATAGGTGCCATACTGAAGATTGTACGACCTGTTGGTAGGAGTACTGCGAATTTTCCACAGTTATAAGATGTGGAGAGTTCACGATGACACCTGCGAGCAATTGCTACCCCGACCCCAACGAGTTGGAGACGGTGGGGCGCGGGCCCAACCGCCAATCATCGCGTCGCCTGCGCAATCCCCGCGCCGAAAGTCAGTTGCAGTTCTTCAATAGGAATATATGTTCGATTAAACGTTCATCAATCGCCATTAACACATTAAAACATTTCTAAGTTTCGGATGTACATGAAATAGAAAAATAAGAACCGATGGCCGTCGCAATTGTACAAAGATACAACGCAGCACGGAGGCTAATGGAGCCTCATGCCAATCCCACCGCCTCCAAGGAAAAGGTCGGCTTCTTACTTACACGATAGACGAGTCGGTCGGTCCAGAAGTGGGCGAGAACAGCGTGAAGAGTCGGTACAGCACCGAAAATTGTACCTGCGACGGGGAAGCAGATCCGGTCAAAGAGGAATTGAGGCTTGTTCCACAAACGTCGAGCAAAGCCGGTGTCGGGCAGATCCGCCTTGCGCATGTCCTCCATGCGAGAGTCAAGACAGAGGGTATGCCACTGCTCATACAGGCTCAGGCATACATTCATTCCGACCAAGGAAGACATTCGCAGCAGGTCGGTAGTGGTGAATGCCCAAGCCAGAGTCGGATGCATCTGTGCGGCGGGTACCCAGAGGGTGTAAAGCACGGAGAAGATCATCACGATCGTCAGATGGGCTGGCAGAAAGTGAGCTTCCCACAGAAGAAGCAGCAAGGCAAAATGGCGGGGATGCAGGAATGCGCATCGCTGGTGGAATCGAAGATATCCGAGTGTGCGTCGTGCCGCAAAGCCCGTGTCCAGTGCTCCCCACATATGCCGCAACGCCTGTTGATAACGTGCGAAGCAGGTATCAATCGTACGGCGCCAACCACGGCTGCTGTCACTCGACACATTGCACTGACTAGCAGGGGAGTGGACAACTCGAGAGATGACGTTTCCAGCGGTTTCAAAATAGCATTTGAGGAGCATGTGCATATCTTCACCAATGGCTGTTGGGTCACTGTCCCATCCACCCACTTCCTCTGCCAACGAGAGCGGCAGGGAGTATACCGAGGTTGGAATAGAAATCCAATTTCCCGGATACATGGTCGACAGGCCCGCAAAACCCCAAAGCAAGTCGGCGCATCGAACAAGGCTCGGCACTTCATGAGAGTTGCGGTCAAATATGATGGGACAACAGTAGATCGAACGATTCGCTTCGTCGAAATGAGCATAGTGCAGTCGACGGATCTCGGTGAAATAGTCGCGAGAGAGATGAGTATCCGCTGGAGAGAAGTCAGTAATGCAGAACAACTACTAGGATCACCTGGGTTGAGTATCCATACCATCCATGACTGTGACGACGACATTGCAACAATCGAAGTTCAGATCTTTACGGTGGATCTCCACGATGTGCCTGGCAGCACAGGCGACATTCGAGCTCTTCCCGGCGATTTCTCCGGCAATGCCCGAGGGGTGGAAGGTTGGGTGGATTTCCAGAAAAGACTGTTCAAATTTGGAGATTAGGTGGCTGGCTTTGCTGGCTGCGGCATCTTCCTTTTGCTCCATCGCCAAGTAGATCTGCTGCAAGTTAGAATTATGTCTCTGGCCTTCTTCATCGTCTCGGTGTCTCGTTTCTGTGATCATACCTCATAGCGCGATCTCGCGCGCGGATGACTTGCCAGCACCTTGAGCGTGGTTTCCAAGGTCTGAAGGTCTTCGCAATAGTTGGGTACGATAATCGCATGAACCAGCTCCTGCTCTGTAATCTCGTTGATTGTGACAAAATTTTTCTTGTCGATAGATGGAACGGGTGACCCTTCCAGCGAAACCGGCGTGAGTGGCTCATCGGAGTAAGTTTCGCATACGGATCGAGGAGACTGGGGGGTCAAGGTCGGGGACATGCTGAGGCGACGCTGGAATACCTTTCTTGCGTCCTTTGTAGCTCGGTAGAGGGACCATCCTAAGCGAAAGGTGAAACCAAATGTGTGGACATGAAGCACAACGGCGTAAACAACAAAGATCTTCTGCGCCCATCCGAGCCCGCTCCATGGTCCATCCTGGGTCGGTTGGTTGAAGCTTGGCGGGAGGAAGTCCTTAAGCAGGGGTGACTGGATGATATCTGTAAAAGCGCAAAGAAGCAGCAGGGTCAAGGCAATGAGGCTGAACCCTGGCAGACAGCGGGTCAGCCACCCCAGCATGATGACGGCGAGGAAGAAAGTGAAAAGGGACAAGAACGAAATGGGAAAGGGAGCTGGGCTGTCTTTCGATGATAAACAGAAGAACAAACCTGGAGGTCTTTGATGGCAGTCGGACGAAGGCGTGTGGGCGGAGGAGACTTGGAGAAAGGGGAGCTGGTGATCCGAAGTATACAAGATGGTCAGCGGGCGAATCAGGCCGCACACCATGGCCACCAGCGCGGGGCGGGCTGCCGATAGGCACTTTGTTCTGCATCGTATGGATTACGGGGCCTTGTACACTAGGGACTACCCCTAATCTTTAGTATCCAGTAGTGCCTTAGAGTACCTGAGAGTATCCTGGGCTGTCCCTGTGCCGAGAGGTACTTTGAATTGCATGTAAATTGTATGGAAGACGAGGTACCGGTGGAGCAAAGCTTGGCGCACCGTGGGGGCTCCATTGGCTGAGAACCATCCAGGATCGCCAGACCCTCTCGTAGATCCAACTAGAACTGTTTTCGCAGTATCATCTTCACATTCACAATCACAAGATCACCCTGCCTGTCCTATGACACTATTCTTCTTAGGGTCACTATCATCGGACACGAACCAGGGCAAACGCAGGATGCGTCCAACGCACTGAAGCCCAGTTCCACTCCTCTCCAACTAATCCATAGCTCTCCCGCTCCCCCGTGGCCTTGCGCGCATTCAGCGCCCAATACCCCCAGCCAGTGCCAACCTCACCCAGATATTGCACCAAATGCTGCCAATAATTCGTGTCTCCCACCGTCGGCTCGTCAGGTGTGCCCACCTCCCCCACCCACACCGGCGCAAGTTCCTCCTCTATCAGATACCCCCAGTTCTTTCGCATCGCCGCCGCAAACTCGTCATACGTTCGCCGTGAATACGGGTACAGATCACCCCAACCTGACCACTGGTATACGTGTACGGAGTATACCACGCGATCTGGCACGCTGAGCTGCACCGGGCGGCGTCGGACACCGGTTAGGTCGTTGGCTGAGGAGATTCCCTCGACAATCATCAGCCAGTCTGGGTTCAGTGCCAGCAGTCGCTCCGATGCCTTTTCAGCTGCCAACGCCCAGACTTCCCAGTGCATTGTCCCCCAAACTCCACGCACCTCATTGCGCAAATCTGCACCCAGCACCAGCGGGTTCGACACCAGGGGCTGCATCACCGTCTCCCAGTTCTCGATCCATTCCTCTTCGCTCTGTGAGACACGGCAGAATAATATCCCCAGAAACCACTCGTTGGACCAGCCCGCGTCGCAGGGGTTGGCGCCACAGCACCACGTTGCTTGCGTGATGTGATTGTTGATTATTACCAACAGCCCGGCGTCGGTGAGACTCTTTACCACGGCATGAAACACATCCAGGGCACGAACTGGGATCGATGGACTCTTCTGAACTAGGTCCGGGTTGGCAGCAATCTTTGTCTCGTCCACGGCCGGATCGTCTCTCACAATTTCGTCAGCGTACGATAGCCGCACACTGTTGAACCCGAGCCGGCGGATCAACTGCGCAATGTCATCGCGGTGCTGGACGTCTAAGCCTCCAGGTACGAAGTTGATGTCGCTTGCGCCATACCAGTTGATACTAGCCAGGATAAGGGTAGTGCCATTCGCGTCTAGGATATGACGTCCCTTTGTGTGGAAGGGCGGGGTGAAGTTGAAAACGCTCAGTACGTCGGTTGGAGCCGATGATACAGGGTTTGTTTGTGCTGGCTTCGAGAATGACGTACCCCTATTGGCTGGGACCGGATACACAGATTCTTTAATGATGGATTGGGATGGAGCTGGGTCTTGACTGTTGAGCTTCGAGTCCACAGAGCCGGATGGGGCGGAAGAGGTGTGGTCGTTATGGATGCCCACGTAGATTGCCGAGTTGGATTCCAAGTCTCCTTGCTTCATTCCCCACAATTTTAGATGCAGTACCACCATGACAGTGATGATAAGCAATACTGTCGCCCGACGGTGTCTTCGGATCCAATGGACCACAATCGACATGTTCAGCATCCTGTCGACAAAGCCTGCACGGGGTTGGTAAATATAGTGCCGTAGTAGACAGTCAGACCAATGGAATGAACACTTTACAGTGATGTTTGATAATGAGATACCTCTTGGCATGTCCTGATGAAAATAATGATGATGGCCACATCCGAGGGAGCCACGCGGTCGTGGGATTCTAACCGGGCGTCGGCGAGCCAATAATGCGTGAGGCCGCTAAACCACCACTGGCCAGCAGCGAACTTGCAGTTGGCGGAGATCCCTGCTAGTACTCACAGTGCTGGGGGTACCATGAGTAGTGAATAGCTTCTTTGAAAACACAAGAAGGGTAATTCATATGGAATTTGTCATTGTGAGTGCTTTTCAATTTACTTTTTCCATGGCCTAAGTATACTACGCTTGGGTACTTCATTCCAAACGCTGGTATCCTCGTTATCGCTGTTGTGAGCCTACCTAGGAGTTAGGGTATGGCAATTTGACCTGACTTCATACCGCCCTGGAAACCATCCCCCATCAACCATTTCCATCACACATTCCCCATCTACCGAGGATCGGCCGGAGCGGCCCAGAAATTCGCGGCCACGCCTGAGACCGAGACCCTGACCAGTCGACCCTAATTCACGGAAGCTCTGAAGAAGCGATCCCCGTGGATTCCCATGCCGAGCGAAGAGACAGAGGGGGCTCTGGAGAGAATCCAGAATCTCGGGCAAGGTAACAAGTCACTTGAGGAATACATCGAGGAAGGTAGGGGGCTTGAACAGCAGTCCCAGAAATCAGGTTGGCTCATCCTCTTCCTCGCTGAAAGCTGGATTGTCGGGCTCAATCACAGAAGGTTGGCATCTTCCCTCGAATCCGCGCAGCTCAAATGGGAAGAGACGCCCACTCTTCCCTCACTTTATTTTCGATATGATGGTCAAGATGGCTAGGAAAGAAAAGTCAGAGAGGAGCGTAAATGCCGGACGCTCCGATGGTTAATAAAAAAGGCCGATTAATTCTCTCAAAGCTTTCCATGGCAGCCTGCATCGTTTTATTGTGAATCTGCAGAATCATGAATGACTGCAGGACAAGGGGCCTGACTCGTTCAGATCAGAGCAGGCATCGTGATGGTTTGTTTACATTTGGGCTACAGCAGTGGGAAGCCCATCCCGGCCAACCGAAATACCTCGAAGGCATTCGCATGCTTCGCAATTCCTTTATGTTTTTTAGGTGAATCTACTATTCGCAATGGTACTAGAAATTTCTCTTTGACGACAGAGAATCTGCATTATCTCCCTTCCATCCACCACTTTTTACTGTAGTGCGGAATCAGGTACGTTCTATGTGCAAGGCACGAAATGTTCTAAGATAATATGGCTCAGCCAGAATATCAGCATTCTAGGCCACAGATAGTAAGCGAATCACACTTAAGGAATTAGTTCTGATGCTTGGATGGTGGCTTTGTAGCGCCATGTTAAGCACCGGCGATCCAATCGAGACATACTACGGCCTTGCGGTCCCCGCAACGTGTTTATTTCGCTCCATCGACGCGGCCATTTCCCTCCTCGCCAGAATTTCTTTTATAAGTAAGAACAGACGGAAGCCCGTCACTTCTGTCAAAATGGCTAGCCAGTACGCCAACTTGGCAATCCATATTCGAAATGAACATCCCAGGGTAGACCGATCCGAGCTATCCACACTATGATTGTACCTGGATGGCGAACTCCCTCTCCAAGGAGCAGTCACTCGCCTCACGGCCCCTGCTCGCCCTCACCCCGGAAACAGCCAAGCTGGGCGACTTTGATATATGATATTTTCCGCGACCAGACACTACACCGACACCCATTCAGATTTTATCCACCTCTTGCGTGCCATCTTTGCACTGCCGCTTCCGTCATCTGCCCGGGAAGTCGATTGGCCCGATGCCTGCTCGTTTATACTTCGGATGACAATTTTCGAAGAGTTGGACAGTAAGTACTGCTCCTGTGGTGAGCTCAACACGCTCTCAGCGTATATGACTGACATGCTATATAAATGGCACCAGTGCCGTGGAATCAGCATAGTGAGAACCCACTTCAAGATCCGATCCATGCGCAGTGGGTCAGCGTCAACGCTTTCCTGGCCCATCTACAGTCATCCTCGGTGTTTCCAGCTTGTTTAGGTCACGCCTCGAGCCAAACTGTGTTGGGAACTGATCCCAATATGGACTTGACTAGGGTGTGGCCAGAGATGAAGCGGGTATTCAGGCTGCGGCACAGCTCCTGACCGTCGAGGCTAGCGACTTACTGCGCACGCCAAATGACATCACGGCGGACTCGCAGGATACAACATCGGGCGACGGTAGCTCCGGGGGGCAGGGTCAAACGGTTCGATATGGAACTATGGAAGGGCTGGAAGAATCGACTGGCCGAATGTCGGGGCAGTGCCGATCTTTCGGAGAAGACAAATGATAGTGCGAGGGCGGCCGTTGTCGCAATGGAGAAGGCTGAGCGGCAGTTGAAGAAGCAGCGATAGAGGGATGCTTTGTAATTGCGCCGTGGTGCCAAGATAAGTAGATGGGGACTTGAATCAAGGGAGCCTAATTCTATGTCTTGAACCGGAATCTGGGCTCGGATTCGAGGATGCGAGAACGAGGGCCACCTTCTCTGGTAGGGCGTGTCGATCACTGATTACCTCAGTAGAGGAATAGGAGAATGGCTGAGCCCTATGGCAGCCTTAGGTAAGGACGATGACTGCTTGGCGTTGTCAGCGCCCGCAATCGCCCTTAAATCCGGGCGCCAAGCAGCGCAGCCACTAGGGAGATCGCTCGGCGCACGCCCAGCGGGGCCGCACGCTGACTGGATGTCCGCATCTAGCTTGCCTTTACTGCGAGCTCGCCAAGTGACTGCCACGCCGGATTAGTGGGTAACCTTCCACCTTTTGAAAGTCCTCATGCCTTTTAAAAGCTATCCTCCTGCCTTCGGCCTCTTTCCCCTTCATCCAGATCATCATCCAGACCACCCGCGGCGATGTCGCTCCCGTCGGTCCTCACCTGGCTCCTCGTGCCTCTTCTGGGCATCTATGCCATGGCCTCTGCGATTCCCCCGGTTCACGATCTCGTTCTTGAACAGCAGCCAGGAAGAAACGAGCAGCTACCAACCCCCACGCCAGTGCCAAATCTTATCACAACACCCTCGACCGTGCAAATCCAACTCGATTCCGATCGCAGACTTCCAACCCGAAATGGCGATCCCTATGGATTATCCGATTTCGGAATCGACCCGGCACACGTCACGCGCAAAGAACTAGATGCCCTTCGTGAAGCTGGTGCTATCCCGAGCTTGCTGGATCTCGAGAGGTAAGTTTCCATTCTGATCAGCAAGCCATGCTCCCTAGGTCAAACACCCGGGGTAGTAATGCTTATCGCACCTTCTACTTGTCCAGCAACTCACATGAAACTTCCTTCAGCGACGACGAGTCATATCTCCCCGACTTCTACCCCCTGCTCAAGCTGTGCCTTCTCGGCGCGACGGCCGTGGGCGTATTAAGTGCCATGGTGCACTTTAAAGAGCGATGAATGACGCAACGACGACTGATGTATCTCTCCTTGCATGTTAGCGAATAGTATTACCCCATCCAACCGGATTCTCCTCCACCCGCAATCCAGCCATCGTATCAGCAAACCCGGGGAATGGCCAGAGATAATGGAACCGGCTTGAAACTAGCGCTGGCCCGTGAGTGGCTGGCCCTGGTCAGCACCTCGCATTAGCGCATTGGCGCCATGAGTCTCGGCATTCGAGGCATTCGGCTTACCCCGAGATATTTGCCCACACCGGCAACCCGTGCTCTGCTTTACCCGCTCTGCAACGATCCTCGGGCATCCCTCAGTGGAGTCTCCCCGAGATAATCCCCATCCCAGGCCCCGCCTTACAACACATTCTTGCAGATGTATATTTAGTGCTCAAAGGTGTTGAAGATGATGCGAGAGTAATCGAATCCCTGCTCGCTTCTCTATTGACACGAATTCTGTAATTATCGCTTATTTTTGGTGTATTTGGTAACGAGATTTGAGCGCATCAATCACCTTGTAATTTTTTGCCTCGATAAATTGTCATGCATGTTATTTGGACATAGAACCTCACACTAGACTACGGCGCAAAGTACTATTCATTCAACATTACAGGTGTTAGGTGTTGGTAAGCAGCCTTCCACCACATACTTGAGTACTTATGTCCAAGAATAGGCTGTTTGCCTTGGCCTTGGGCACTGTAGCTGAATCCAAACAACACGGTGGTGTCAGAATTATAACCCATGAAAAAATAAAAATAAGAATAAAAAATAAACTAAAAAAAATAGCAATGGTCGCTTTGCTTTAATGGGGAGACGACTATAGACCATCATAATTTCGAACTTCCTAGTGCTCTTGCCTAATGCAGTACTCTCCTGATTTGTACCAACTCTAATCCAAGCCATGAGACGATTTCTATGAGTGTTACTTGTCGCTGCGATCACACCAGAGTAAATGCGACAAAGGTCAAATTGCACTTCTCATTTCAATTTGCGGGTTCAGACCCCACACTATTTCCCCACTCTAGGTATGCATCTACGATTGAGAGTATGGGAATGCTCATGTACTAAAGGCACGGGCTCATCGTATCCAATTGAGGTCGAAATTACCCCATCTGGCCGAGTCAAATTTTTTCTCTGAAGGGTGAATCGCCTACGTGTTGACCCATAGTAGTACTACACTGTGTAGACACTAGCATGTACAGGTCAGGTCTGCAACCATCTGTCTATTCAGTAGGGTGGTAGTGTTCATGATGGCAAATATCATATATTACTTGCGGGACCTGCAGCATGATTGTCGCACATAGAAATATTTCCTGATTGGACGATAACCAATTGAGGCGGCCACGTTGTTTTCCAAGTAATATATCAAGAACTATATGCGCCGTTGGATCTGCAGGTCAGTTTAAAATGCAGAATCGCGTCTATGGGTGGCTACGATTCGACCCATCCAGCCACCTGTTGCAGCGGGAGGCGGCGGTCAGATATCCACGGCCAGTATGGGCGCCGCTTCTGTGATTGTTGCTGGGATGGCGTCAGTTGTGAGTTGGACTACTTGGAGTCGCAACTGGACATATCGCTTTGCAGTAGGTCGTTCGGGAATTCCGGGACGTCCTCCGGCAAGAATGTCACGAGTTGGTGAAGACAGTTTATCTGTTCAGCTCACATCCAGGTCGGCTCCTTTGGCCCGCCGTGACCCCTGTCGAAAAAATATCCCACGTGTCGACCTGGTCCATATCCGGCATTACTGTGCATGGCCTACATACCATTAGGAATGTCGGTTCCCAGCTCGGCGCCGGACCTGGCTGGCCATCCCTTTTCCCAACCAATCGCCCTATGTATCTCGACATGCCAGCCCCGTAGGGCGTGATCGATTGAGCATTCACCCCCAGGAATGGAAGCACGCCGGGAACCAATGGGTTGGATGGTGGTACCCTCAGTCTTTGCTGCTGTAACCACTGGGGCTTGTCGGGAGGAGCAGGGGCAGCCTAGGGACGGGCCACGACATGGCGCGGAATGAAAAGTGGACCGCACGATCTGGTTTCCCCTGACGAAAAATCCACTAGCCTCAAGCGGGTGGGAGACCGGAGGACTGCGACTGCGTACTCCGTCCGAACTTCTAATAGGACCGGGACAATTGGGACAATTGAGAGATTGAATCCATATGCCGGATGCAGGTGCTTGCAGCGCGCGTCTCAGCCTCCACGCCACCTGGCCGGATTGGCAGCACTGCAGGCACAATCTCAATCGAATCACGGTGGATACCGTCGCCACAGGAATAGAAGATGGAAAGCTGGAGGTCGCCCATCGGAGCTGCCAAGCCGAGCTGGAGAAGGCCAGACGGGGACTTGCCAAAGCAGCGCAAAGCTTGGCTGCCACTAGCGGTGTGGAATCCAGCCCAGCGCAATTCCTTGCTCGCAGCTCTTTGCCAAGTGAGCAGGCAGCTGCCTTTCCCGGGCTCTGAGGTCAGGTCCGATCAGACGAAGAAAATAAATAGAAAGCGGCTGTGCTTCAGTGGCGGAGTTGGTCGAACCGCCGAAAACCAAAATTTCCCGCGATCGACACTCTCGTCGCTGCACGTTTTTGGCAGCTTTACCGTAATTTACAAGTACGCAAATTTCCCCGTTTGCGCCTTTTTCTGGCGCAACGAGGCTTTTTTTGCCTTTCACGCTGGCGAGCGACTCTTCACCTCCCACCTCACCTCCATGTCATCGATTTCGATCCTCGAGCGAGGCCCATTGCCCCGCGGCTAACAGCGGCGCTGCGCCCGTGCCCTCCCTGCAGGTATCTCAGTCGGTCAGCGATCGACGGTACCACATGTATGGCAGCTCCGAGCGAGAGTTTCCCTCGTGGCTCATGCATTAAATGTTTCGCACAGGCTCGAAAAGTTCCCCTCGTACAGAGAGCATCCTGTCCCGGTCTCCCCTCCGCGGCCGGAGGTCTTCGCCAGAGAAAGACGGCATCGCCGCCTCTCTCCATTGACCATGTTCTCGGCCTTTATCCGTCGGCTCAACGCCCTCAAACAGCGCGTCCCGATGCTGAACCAGCTACATCTCAACTTTATATTCCTGCACTATACCTACATTATCTCTTGGGCACTCCTTGGCTCCGTCATCGTCTATGCCCAGGGCAATATCGACTACACCGATGCCCTCTTCCAGGCGGGGGCGCTGCCACCCAGAGTGGCCTGAATACCATCAACATCAACGAGCTGACTCTCTACCAACAGATCGTCCTGTACTTCATCGCGATCATGTGTACGCCGATCTTCATCCACGGCGCCCTCGTTTTTATCCGTCTATACTGGTTCGAGAAGCGATTCCAACATGTGGTCCGGGATGCGCGGGCGCTGCGCACCACGCGGTCGCGGATGGACACTGTCACCCAGGACAAGAATAGCGATGAGATTAATCGCGCGGAGCAAGGAGTGAGTGGTCGGTCGATTGTGGTATTGCGCAGCAACACCGGCGATGCGCTCGGGAGCAAATTGCCTGATCCGACGGGTGCGAATGACGAGGTGAATGCGGGGCCCGAGGCCGATATTCCTGACGGCAAGAGTGTTAGCGGACGATCCAGTGGCGACGATACGAACCCCGTTCTGGAACGGCGATTTGGTCTGGGAAGCTTGAGAGTGCCCACCCAGCTCAGTCCAGAACACCACATTGCCTTTGTCGAAAACCAGCGGAAGAATAAGGGAGCGCTGCGCATCCCCAGTCCTCGCGAGTACGACCGCGGTGGTGTCCCCGAGGCGCTGGACGATGGCGAGGACGAAGAACCGACCCAGGAACAATCCCAGCCCATCGGACCCCAAATCGATCGCCGGAGGGATTCGGAGCATTCGGAGCATGACGACCAGGTCGGTCCTCTGGAAGGACCGCACATCACCATCAATGAGCCAGAGATCACCCGTACTCGCACCCGTGGCAATACTTTCCCGCGACTAGACACCAGGCCTACGGTCCGTGACACGAAAGATGTCAATGACAACGCGGAACTCAACCAAACAGCGACGAAGAATACAGTCCGTGGAATTTTCCGATCGTTGACGCAGGAGAGAGATCGCTCTACCCAGCCGTATCTTAGTTGGAATGCGACTGTGGCGCGAAACTCCAACTTCGTCGATTTGACCGAAGAACAGCGCGATGAGCTCGGTGGTATTGAATACCGTGCTTTGAAGACCCTCGCTGTTGTTTTGATTTCATATTACGTTGGATTCCACCTCTTCGGTATCATTTGCTTGGTGGGTTGGATCATGACGGTCGATACATGGGGTGATGTTGTCAAAGCTGCTGGGGTTGGACGACCATGGTGGGCTATCTTCACAGCTGCGTCCGCCTTCAACGATCTTGGTTTTACTCTTACTCCGGACTCCATGAACTCCTTCCAGAAGGCAGTGTTTCCCTTGTTGCTTATGGCATTTCTGATCATCATCGGCAACACGGCTTTCCCATGTATGCTTCGATTTATGATTTGGGTTCTGTCCAAATTTGCTCGACAGGGAACTGCTCTGTGGGAAGAGCTGCGATTCCTTCTGGACCATCCTCGTCGATGCTTCACTCTTCTCTTCCCGCGTAACGCAACTTGGTGGCTGTTCGCCATTCTCGTCGCTTTGAATGGTATTGATGTGATCTTTTTCATCATTCTGGATGTAAGTTCTCGTCTCCTGCTTCATTTGATAATCTTGATTTGAAATAGACTGACTCGTGTCTTTCAGTTGAATGACTCGACAGTTACCCAGCTGCCGCCTGGTATCCGGGTCTTGGATGGCTTTTTTCAGGCTGCTTCTACGCGAACTGCTGGTTTTGGAGTCGTGAGCTTGTCAGATCTCCACCCAGCCATCCAGGTCTCCTACTTGATCATGATGTATATCTCCGTTTTCCCCATTGCCATCTCGATGCGACGTACGAACGTCTACGAGGAGAAGAGTTTAGGTGTCTACGGCTTTGAGGAGGATGAAGACGACGACAATCAAACCGCCCCCAGCTACATTGGAGCTCACTTGCGGCGCCAGCTGAGTTTTGATCTTTGGTACGTCTTTTTGGGGCTGTTCATTATTGCCATCGCCGAGGGTAGCCGGCTCGAGAGTTCAAGCGACTACAGCTTCCAGTTGTTCTCTGTCCTATTCGAGGTCGTGTCAGCTTACGGAACCGTTGGCCTGTCTTTCGGATATCCCACTGTCGACACCTCGTTCTCGGGCCAGTTCAACGTCGTCTCCAAGTTGGTGATTATCGCAATGCAAATTCGCGGTCGCCACCGTGGTCTGCCTTACGCACTGGATCGTGCTGTCCTGTTGCCTTCCGACGCGCTTCATCGACAGGATACCGCTCTATCCGAGCGTGCTATTCGCCGCCGCCCTTCCAACCTCAGCGGGCCTGGATCTCTTGGTCGCCAACAGTCTCGCAGCGTGTCACAGGCACAGGGTGAAGGTTACACTACGGGAATGCAATCTTATGATTGGCAAACTCAGCAACCTCAGCCAAATGGCGATGCCTTTGTTCACCGCTCGTCGACGATTCGCTCGAACCGATAGGGGACCCCCGGCATGGTCCTATTTACCTAGTTACTGCTAGGAACTTCGTACAACTCTAGACTTGGCGTTGTATCTCAGGGGCTATCTTCATATACACGTGATATTTGGCGGCCTGTTTTGCTTTTGCATTTTGAACGTATATGAAAAATACATATTTATTGGCACAGTAATCCACATTAATAATATTCCCTCGATCCATATGGCCATGACGTTGGGGTCCCCGCGCGCGGCAAAAAAAGCCCGCCGCATTCCAGTCTGAATGCGGAAACGGGAACATCAACGTCGACCGAGGACAAGTGGTTGAACTTCCCTACCGGAGAGTACCACCAGAGCTTCAAATGTCTATTTAGATGGTTCCCTTCTGAAATTCGTTGCGTCTCTACAACGATGCTGCTATTTGAGTTGTAAGAACCGTGGAAGTATACAGCATCGAGCCTCACATTGCCCAGATTTGGTCCATCGCAAACGGGCCGCCCTGAAATGATCGGCACTATGCCTGTCCGGGCGCAGGGGTTGGTATGACGGCATCAACACTCGTGCCATTTTAAAAACAATGCTTCGACTTGACATCTCAAATCTGACACTTGCTTGTCGGCCCCACATCATTTTCCATTGTCTTTCGATACGTCTCAACGCTCGTTCTATCACTCAATATCCACCATGGATGACAGACTACTTCCACCCGAGTATGCCAACCGTTATAGCACTGCGACTTCTCGTATCCCCCGGTTAGGCTCTTCGCCCAGGACACCCCGGCCTCCCAAGATCTCCGTGATTCCCGAGGTGACGGGTGCTGCGATGTCGCCAGAGCCCAAACCGGCTGAGGGCGACGAGAATGAGGGCATTTTCCCATATGCCTGGTATGACCCTCGAGGCTGGTCAATGCGCAAAAAGCTGCTGGTTGCGCTGGGATTAGCGATATTTATCACCGTGGTTATTGTCGGTCCTTATTATGGTGTCAAGCTCAGCCGCTATCCGGACTATACACGCCTGGACTATAGGCTTGTTGACAGCTACGAGGGAACTTCATTTTTTGAACAGTTCAACTACTTCTCGGGCGAAGACCCCACGAATGGGTTTGTGGTCTACGTCAACGAGCAAGCCGCGCAGGATCTCAACTTGACCTACGCCACCGATAAGTCTGCCGTTCTCCGCGTGGACTCCTTCACGCCCAAGGCTGTGGGCGGCCGCAACTCGGTCCGCATCGAGTCGAAGAATACCTATGATACAGGTCTCTTCGTTTTTGACATCATTCACACCCCCTACGGTTGTGGTACCTGGCCAGCTCTGTGGCTGACAGATGGATACAATTGGCCTAATAACGGTGAAATTGATGTCCTGGAAACGACCAACGAGGGATCTCATGGTAATGAGGTCACTCTGCACACCACCAAGGGCTGCAATATGGACGTCAAGCGGAAGGAGACTGGCTCGCCGGTGTACAAGTCTTGCGATAACACCACGAATAGCAACTCGGGTTGCGGCGTTATGGGCGACGAGTCCACCTATGGAGAAGCTATGAACAACAATGGCGGTGGCGTAAGTCTTCTTTTGCACCATGGCTCTGTTTCTGTGCATCCAAGTAACCAAATAACAAGGTCTACGCACTCGAGCTCCGAGAAGCTGGCATTCGGGCCTGGTTCTTCCCCCGAAATTCCATTCCGGACGATATCACCAACTCATCCGCCGTCCCAGATCCCTCCACCTGGGGCACCGCGCTTGCCGATTTCCCCAGCACAGAATGCAATATCCCGTCGCACTTCCGCAATCAGAGCATCATTGCTAATATTGATATGTGCGGTGAACTAGCTGCCCAGCCCCAGTACTATGATCAGATGTACAAGTGCCCCGGGACATGTTCAGATTTCGTGGCGAATAATCCCTCTGCATTTGAGGAGGCGTATTGGGAGTTTGCTGGATTTCAGGTGTATCAGGCTATTTGATACCTAGGTATATGATGGTGATTTTACGTTGAGGCTGCTGGAAGGTTCTGGTCTTTGGGACACGGAGTCTGGTTTATATTTGCTAGTACGATGTGTACGATATATTTTAGTATCTTGCCTGTTGCTTTTCCCTAACGTGTTATGTTGAGATGGGTCAATAAGATCATGATACACGTCGTACCGAACTAGAATTCTTGTAGCAAAGTGGTCGTACGATGATCGATCTGCTTCCTATTTCAAACAGTACCCTACAATCCATGTTGCGGTGCATTGGTGTAGATCACAGATCCCCAAAAAAGTGAATTTGCATCTTCTACTACCATTAAGATCATGGTACATTGCCGAGATTGCAAAAGGTAGTCATAGCACCTGAATCTTCGGATCTTTTGAAGATTTATTGCGACATAATGGGTATCAAACAAGCAGGGCCCGAGCGAAGGCAACCCTGGATAAACAAACAAACAGTTTACACTAGGAAAACATAATCCAACAAGATCCAAAGAGCTGAAAATTGACTTGTCAATTCTTAAAAATCCCGAAATTAAACACCTAAATCCGCAGCATGTCATCGTTATCATGAAATAGTCGAAAATCAGACCGGTCGCAAGAGACTGCCTTCCGCGAAAGGGTTCTCAGGGGACATATCCAGCATTGGACGGGTGGCATTGCGGTCACCGGTTGCCACACCATGACCGGTATACGGCTTGCTGGGGACGCTGGTCGCTTGGCGACAGGCAGAATGCGACAGCAAGGTATTGGATATAAATGGATTGTTGGGTGAGGATGGACTGTTATTCACAGAGCCGGCGCTGCAGGCTTTGGGCTCTGGAACGTGTCGTGTGCCGCGGAGGGTGTTCGAACGATACCGACTCTGTGAAGTCTGGGGCGAGACGTCTACAGAGGGACGGCGCCAGGCTGTCGCAGGAGGAATGTTCACGATGCCGGGAGTCAGGTCAGGGCCCGTGGCAGCGTCGATCAATTGGGTGCCTGGATCAACCTTGACGCCACGGCCTTTTCGCGTGTGCTGTGGAGGCTCTTGGAAGACCGGAGTCAAGTCAACTAAGGGTTTTTGTTTCTGACTTTGACTCTGGCTGACAGGCTTATTGCGATTCAGAGCACCACTTGGGGGCGCTGTGCTAGTCATAGTAGCGGTGCGGCCATTTTGGTAGTGGACAGGATCAGAAGGGGAGTAGCTGGGGCTCTCGTTGACAAAGTCTGGCACCGCGTAGGGATCCTGCTTGTTTCTCTTTTCTCTTTCCTCCATCACCTGTCTTCGGTGGGTGTAGGTTCGTCCTAGCAGGCCTGTAGGGGAGAATGTAGACGCATCAATTTCCTCCGCCGTGACCCCCTTGACCAGTGGACCATCGTCTGAGGCGCCGGTGTCAAGGGCCAACGCCTTGGGAAAGGCAGATGGAGGAGGAGCATGCTCGCGCGTCGACTTTTTGCGAGAAAAGATATCCCTCGCAGGGGATGGCCGGGATCGAGCTGCGGTTCCTGCTCCGAAAGGCAACAGGGGCTCGGGATCGGCGAGGATGTCGACTAAGGGTGCCTCATTGGAGACCGACTTCGGGTTGCGAGAGCTTTTCTGTGTCAAAGACCGCTTGGGCAGGCCTGTCTGTGTCTCGCCTTCTGCCTTTTCGGCGACTCCCAGCTGATTGACAAGGTACCAGCTCCGCCAGCGCTGGACAACCCGATACCACTTATCTGCCATGGCCCGATCATTGCTGCTGAAAAAATGTACAAATTTCTCGGTAGAGAGAAACATGGACGATTTTTGCTGGCTCTTGATCGCGAAACAGATCTTCTTGGGTGGTTTGATCTCCTTGGCCATTGCTCGGGCACTGGGAGAGTAGATGTCGAAATCGGACAAGTGACAGATGCTGGCAGAGTCTTTCAAATTTTCTCTTTTCGCAATGAGCACCTGGCCGTCGGGGCGTAGCGTCACATAACGCTTGTCCCATTTACCAGGACGCTGGGAATGGTATAGATAGACGGTGGTCTCGGAGGGTTTCTCGGCGGGGACTTGTCGCGCATCAAGTTGAGCCAAAGCATCCATACTCGAGGGAGGAACAACGACCAGCCGATTATCTGCGTCGTGCGTCCAGGAGTTCATAACATCGCGCACCCGCTCATACCGACGCAGAGAACGTTCTAATCCGACTTGGCGGAAGGACTCGATGAGAATGAACTTTTCAGGGTCGATCTCCGGAGAAAGTTCCCGGGAGGCTGTCTGCAGCAGGTCGGTCACTCGCGTGGATGGCGTCACGACGAGATGATTTGAGACATCGCTATACTGGACCAGTACTTGACGGTTCCCAGCGTTGACGGCGGAGACTGGTGCGTCTGTTCCAGGGACAATACCTCCCCCGCCCACTCCGATATATCGTGGCGGGGGCTCGTTCATCGTTTCTTTGCTCTTCGACAATTTGATTTTCTGCAAGAAGGACTTGCGGTGTTCATCGCTGGCGGGACGTGCGCCGCTTTGGTGGCGACGTCCGTCCACCTGGCTCGCTAGCTGCTTTGCTGGCGCTGGCTCGCTGGTCTGTCTTGGCTGCAGGTTTTTCTGTGATCTTTCGTGTCGCCTGACCGGCCGTGATGGCAGGTCCTCACCGGTCAACTGCGCCATCGCATCCTCCCGATGTTTCTCGCGCGCGCGTTCTTCATCCGCTGCCCATGATTTCTGGGTCTTGTCAGGTAGAGGCACGGGCATGGGCTGATTGTATGCAGGATGTGGGATCGCCGGCGTAGGAGTCGGTGCGTTTCCACTGGGAGGACGTCGATTGCGGCGATATCGAGACATGCTTCGAGCGATTGACGGGTTCTGTTCGTTTGCCTGACCGTCGCCCGTCGCAGGGCGCACGGGTGGCTCGCCTTTTCTTTCAGTCAGCATCCCCACGGCGTATTCGTCTTGTGCCGGATAATACGATGAGCCCTTGAGCGCTGTTTGTGGCACTGGAACGTCCCCACGATGTTTCGCCATAGCGGCAACGAAAATTTCGGTCTCCAGTACCCCGCGGAGTGATCTCGGTTTCAGATGTGGCTTCGTGAGTTCACGTAGCGCGATGGTCGAAATTGCATTCTGCGGTACGGCGCTCGAAGTATGCGGAGGTCGTGGTGGATTGGACGCGAGAGTAGAGGAAGATGGACAGTAGCGCACAGGGGGCGGTTAGAGACGATCAGATCTCAGAAAATCGGGCGGGTGGGACGACAGCCCAAAAAAAGCAACCAGGGGCCGTCTAGAGACGCTAAGGTATGAGGCTGGAATCGAATGCGACAGCCCTGAACCCCCATCAAACCGCTGGGATGGCAATGGGTCTGCGGGCCCTCGTTGGTGGGAAAACGCGCCTGTTGAAAAGGCGCAGACTGCCGAGACTCAAAGGCGGGGCCGGAAACGCGTTCGAGCAGATCGAGATCGAAATGAGGAGCTGGCGAGATCGCAGGCAATGCAGGGCTCTGGAGGACCCTCAGAATGGCGAGCGCGTGAGACTGGAAATGAGCGGCGTGGTGGAAATGAAGGGAGGGCGGGCAGTGGCTGGGGAAGACGTTTCCGGCTCGTCTTCACCTTTGCGACTTGCGCGCATTCGGGCATCGATCGCCCACGCCGGCCATCTTGGCTCGTGTTTTCCAGGTTCTCGGTTTCACTTGCGGTCCTGGCTGTCAGACTATCGTCTCGCTACTGTCGAACTACTGCGCCTCTCCTGCGGTTGCACCAGACTCCACTGTGTTGATCGATCCGACGCTCCACAGGTGGAGATCAGCCCTGCAGGTACAAACCTGCCTGAAGACCATCCGATGCAGTCAGCTCGGCACTCTATAGTACTTGATCACTTGCCCTACTCGTCTACTGTGCGTCACTCATTCGATGATTCGAGAGTGGTTGAACGGGTCTATGGGGTTTTTCGCACTGTTCCAGTTCTCACCCATGTTGATGCCCCGTTTACACACGTTCTCCCTTGGACGCTCACCTCTTCAGCAGTCAAAGTTTATACAAACCCTCAGGGTGTGGCTAGTGGATCTCCACTGTCGGTCGCCGATCGCAATGGCTGCCTTCTAGCACGAATTTGAACGCCTTGGCCCATGAGGTACCGAACAGGGTACATGGAGGTATACACCGAGTCCGTACCCACGTTCAATTTCCCAGGTGGATCTTTCGCTTTTACATACAATGAACTAGTAGGTACACAGGCCGCCTATGTTTCATCCCAGGCACTTGCGCAGTGATTGATCGCGATCTAGTGCGAGGGAGTTCGTTCGAGCGATGTAGATGAAGAGGTACGTAGAGATGAACTTGATGGGTGTGTTTATAAGCTTTTGATAGAAGCACTTTTGACATTGTTTCTGATTCCAGTTCACCAATTCTAACTTGTCATCTATGCGTGATTCAAAAGACTTTGAGCGGGATGTGTCCTCCGTTTCTCTCGCGCCTATTGCTTGCGATGAGCAGCCATTTCCCTCCGCCTAAAGGTAGGTAACGTTAGCATTGAACACGGTCACGGGTGCTACCACTCGAGGGTCTCAAAACTTACCACCAGGCGGTAAAATCGGTAGTGCGCACGTCAATGCCGAGCTCCACCAGCGCCTTGGTCGACAGGTGTGTATCGTACGGCCGCTGGACACTCGCGTTGGGGTCGTTGCCTTGCTTGTTGCGAATCATACCAGGGAGTTGCACTCCCATCGCCTGGGCTAGTGTCTCACAGATCTCGTACTTGGTCATGCGGTCCTCCGAGGAGAATTGCAGGATGTGAGGAAGCTCCTTGATCCGGTGCTTCTCCTTCAGGTATTTGATGACGATGTCCCGGGAAACACGCGCCACGTCCTCCGTGTTGGTGGGGTAGCGTTGCGCCCAGTCGTCCATCTTGATGCCCGCGTTTGCATCCTGGGCCTTGCACACTGCATCCACTAGAGTGTTGACCGCGCTCTCGGAGTTCTCACTGGCAGTGCCATACAGCACCGGGACACGGAGGACGACGGCCCGACCAGATTCCTTCATGGCCTGCAGGACAGCCAATTCTCCATCGCGCTTCAATTGGCCGTACAGGTTGGGCGGGTGGGTGTCGGCGTCGATCTCGTAGGGCGCCTCGCCTTCCTTGCCGGGGAAGACGTAGTCGGTCGAGATGTAGATCAGGAAGGCACCACGCGACTCGCACTCCTCGGCCAAGATGCGAGTGGCCTCGACATTGACCTTGCGTGCTTGTTCCGGGTTCTTGTCGACCAGATCCGGCGATTTATTGGCGGCACCTATATACACCCCGCGTCAGTTCAAGTCGTTCGATCCCTGCGGGGTTGGACTCACAGTGAATAACAATCTGAGGCCTAGATGAGGAAGACCCATGGTTAGTGTCTTGATACAGCTGGGGGGAAGTGAGGTGAGAGTTGGGGGAGCATACTTGACCTCGTTGAGAATGTGCTTGATATCCGCTTCCTTCTCGAGATCGGCCTTGAGCACGGTTGGCGGGGCTGCGCGCGAAAAGCCCTGGCCGACCACCAGAACACCCGAGTGCTGGAACGTGTTAAACACCTGGCGGCCCAAAAGGCCGCTGGCTCCGGTAACGAGGACGATGGAAGTCATAGTTGCAATGGCAGAAGAAGGTTGCTCGGTGAGAATTTCAACCTGTTGGTGGCTTGCGGGGCGCCAGCATGACGTAACTGACTCTCCAGCTGTTGAGTTTCGCACGTCCCCAGCTCGTCAAATCCAGTCAAAGATCGCTCGACACGCGTGATGCGGGCGTAAGTGAGATCTCTCAAAAGTCCGACGTGTTATCGCGCAGCTCTTTGGCAGTTGTGTCTGAGGCTTGAGGGGCTTGTCCTCCGCCACAAATTAGCCTCATTTAAAGTTGTAAGCTTACCCAGCAGCTCCTGCCAAACGTCGGAGATTTTCCCATGGTGCCAGCCTGAAAACTCGTCGGAATATCATATTGGCGATATACCAGGGATATCATGCTATGCCTAGGGAGTGAGCCCCATCAAGTGTGCAATTCTGGTGGCGGCTCTCGAGTAACATTTCAACTGGCCTGCACTACATGGGACTGCAACACTGCACCTGTTGGCTACGGACAGTGCGACAAGTAAAACATCAAACTTTGAGCTCAAAAGGGGTCGGTTATCTGTAAAGCTAGTCATTGTATACTGCTTGGAGTATGATATTATGGGAAATGTTGAATGATACCTGAAAATATTATCACAGGTGCACTGTAGCTTCTTGCTCAGCGACTCGATGAAACCGTCCGATATATACCATGAGACGAGAATACTATGGGACCACACCAAACGCCCAGGTCCTACAAATTAACCCCTCACTGTCAACATCTATCTGTGCTAATCAAATACTCATCCGGCTGTAGAAAGGGAATATATTCCCAATTGCACACGGAGTGTTCTCGGACTATGACTCGGGCATACTTGCGGCTAAAGGTTTGGCCGTTGCCTTGAGTCGCTTTGCCGCATCGAGTATGACATTTGAAATCCTCGAGACTGCTATAGCTAAATTCGGGCATGCAATGCTGGAGAGCGAGGTACTAAGCACGATATATACATGATAGGTATACCGGTGAGAAAGGAAATAGGAAGGAATCACCGAAAAGCGCCGAGTGGAAACAAATCCGAACAAGAATATGGCGCGATGGCCGATCGGCAGCTCCACTCTTCAATCGACGGCAATCCACCCAAAATTTATCTTTCTCCCCAGCAACGTGCCTCCTGTCCACCCTTCCACAGTCCTCGCCATGTCTGGTGCTCGGAATCTTTCAGCCGCCTTGCGGCGGGTTCGAGTGTCTCGTCCTCGCATTGCCCTCCGTCCGGCCCTCCCTCGCACACCCTTCGCGACCGTCCGCAGCTTCAGCGTCAGCTCTCCCGTCCGGGCTGACAAGGAGATCAAGTACACCAGCGATGCCTACCCGAATGTCCAGCGCAACCCCAACTTCGCGGAGCTCACCGCCGACGATGTCACCTACTTCAAGGAGCTTCTGGGTTCCGAGTCCGCGGTCATCGACGGCGTGACCTCCGATGCGACAGACGATATTGAGCCCTTCAACAGCGACTGGATGCGCAAATACCGCGGCCACACTCGATTGGTGCTGAAGCCCAAGACCACCGAGGAAGTCAGCCAGGTGCTGAAATACTGCAATGAGAAGAAGCTGGCTGTGGTGCCTCAGGGTGGAAACACTGGCCTTGTCGGTGGCTCTATCCCCGTCTTCGATGAGATCGTGGTCAATACCTCGCGCATGAACAACATTCGCTCCTTCGACCAGGCGTCGGGCGTTCTGGTCGCCGACGCCGGTGTGATTCTGGAAGTTGCTGACCTGTACCTCGCCGAGCGCGACCACCTTTTCCCTCTGGACCTGGGTGCCAAGGGATCCTGCCACATTGGAGGCAACGTTTCGACAAATGCCGGTGGACTGCGTCTGCTGCGTTACGGCAGCTTGCACGGCAGTGTGCTGGGCCTTGAGGCTGTCCTGCCGGACGGGACAATCGTCGATGCGCTTTCTACCCTGCGCAAGAACAACACAGGATATGATCTGAAGCAGCTGTTCATCGGCTCCGAGGGTACGATCGGTTTGATCACTGGTGTTTCTATCCAATGTCCCCCGCGCCCCAAGGCTGTGAATGTTGCCTACTTCGGACTGGAGAGCTTCGAGCAAGTGCAGCGTGCCTACTTGGAGGCCAAGGGCCAGCTTTCTGAGATTCTGTCTGCGTTCGAACTGATGGATGGCCGCAGCCAACGCCTTGTCCAGGATTCTACTGGCACCAAGCAACCCATCGAGGGCGAGTACCCCTTCTACTGTTTGATCGAGACTAGTGGCTCCAATGCCGAGCACGACATGGCTAAGCTTGAATCATTTCTTGAGAACGTTATGGGTGAAGGTATCGTCGCTGACGGTGTCCTGGCCCAAGATGAGACCCAATTCCAGGCTCTGTGGCGCTGGCGTGAGGGTATTACCGAGGCTCTGAGCCACCTTGGCGGTACCTACAAGTACGATGTCTCGATTCCTCTCTCTGAGTTGTACCAGCTGGTGGAAGACTGCAAGCAGCGCTTGACCGAGAAGGGCTTTGTCGGAGATGACGATTCCTTCCCTGTTCGCGCTGTCGTTGGCTATGGTCACATGGGTGATTCCAATTTGCACCTGAACGTTGCCGTCAGGAAATACGACAAGGAAGTCGAGAAGGCCATTGAGCCTTGGGTGTATGAGTGGATCCAGAAGCGACAGGGCAGTATCAGTGCTGAGCACGGTCTGGGAATTGCCAAGCGTGAATACATTGGCTACAGCCAGAACGATACGATGGTCAAGTTGATGAAGCAGCTGAAGAACCTCTACGACCCGGTAAGTACTACCTGCAGTGATCAAACAAAGCAAAGTTTTCTTTTGGTGCAAGGCAGTTTTTCGCTAACTTGTGTGCAGAACGGTATCATGAACCCCTACAAGTATATCTAGATAAAAAGAGTAGAGAGATTTGCCTGTGTGAGTGCTAGAGCATATAGTTTACAAAAATAACAACAATTATTCCGCCCTCTTTCGAATGATTGGAATTATTTACTCCCAAGGGATACCGCATGCGACTGTATACTTCTCATAGTGGGTGATAGTGCGTGCATGTGACCTCATAATCCCGTGACCACTGGGGACCCTTGCCGCGCCATACCCGATATGGACTGGTTCCACCCCACTTTATGCCTTAGGCCGCAAGCTGGTTGCCATGCGAGACGGCTGTTGTTTGGGCATTGGCCATCTATGCTCCACCCCTTTAACCTGCCTGGATTCTTTTTCTCTTTGACAACTGCCATCGCGGATTCCAGAGCCATCCCTCGACGGCGCAAAGCTGCAAGCTCAAGCTCATCGGCTATCCTCCTCTGGGTGAGCCTACCCTGTTGCAGCCCTGTCCGACCGGAGTCGCGAGTCCGATCCGTTGCGCAACCATGGCGGACGATATGGCGAGCCGTTACCAGATGATGGAGGAGTTGGGGAGTGAGTACCGAATCGGCCACAGCCAAATTTGCAAGGAATATGCTGACCCGATCGTTTCATTGTTCACTAGGTGGAAGTTTTGGTACTGTCTACAAAGCAATTGACAAGGCCAATGGAGAAATTGTCGCGATCAAACATGTATGCATCTTTCCGTTCCCCCCCCCCCCCCCCCCCTCCCGCCCGCACGAACCCAATTGACCTCGATTGTCCGTACAGATTGATCTCGAGTCGAGCGAAGACGATATTCAGGAGATCCAGCAGGAGATTTCCGTTCTGGCCACCTGCGCCAGCGCCTTTGTTACACAATACAAGGCCAGCTTTCTGAAAGGTCATAAGCTATGGATTGTCATGGAATATCTAGGCGGGGGATCCTGCCTTGACCTAGTACGTGGACAGCCATGACCCTTGTCTGCTGATTTGCTGGGGATCCTTGCTAACATATCCAAAAGTTGAAACCAGGGGTGTTCAACGAAGCGCACGTATCAATCGTTTGTCAACAACTCCTACAAGGTCTCGACTACCTTCACAGCGAAGGCAAGATCCACCGTGATGTCAAGGCCGCCAACGTTCTCCTGTCGAACACCGGAAAAGTGAAGTTGGCGGATTTCGGTGTTGCCGCGCAGCTAGTCAACATCAAGTCGCAGCGCAACACCTTTGTGGGTACTCCGTTCTGGATGGCGCCAGAAGTGATCCAGCAGGCTGGATATGACTTTAAGGCAGACATCTGGTCGCTCGGAATTACTGCAATCGAGATGATCAACGGCGAGCCACCACACGCTAGCACACACCCGATGAAAGTGCTTTTCCTTATTCCCAAGAACCCCGCCCCACGACTGGAGGGACCTGAGTACAGCAGCACATTCAAGGACTTCATCGCGCAATGCTTGACAAAGGACCCGGAACGTCGACCTAGTGCGAAAGAGCTGCTGAAACACAAGTTCATTCGCAACGCGGGCAAGACCGAAGCTCTACAGGAGTTGATACAACGCAAGCAAGAATGGGATGGCTGCCGTGGGATCAGCAAGGACGTCAAGTACTATGCAGAGACTCTGTGAGTGACACAACGGCTATTCTCTTGACAAAGCAGTTACTGACCGCCTCCTGAACAGCAAATCGATCTCCAAGCCCTCCGTGGAGGACGAAGACGAATGGGTCTTTGACACGGTCAAGGCCCCGACTATGAGAACCCCGAGCAAGAACCCAAGCATGTGGGTTCCCAACGGCACTGATTGGACTACTTTGGACGAAGACGACGAGAGTCCCGACCCCTCCCAACTGATGGAGGATATGCATATCTCTCAACTACCCAAGCCGCCAAAACACCAGGCCAACTCTACAGTTCGACGTACCTCGGGCTTCGAGCGGTCTCCGTCAATCAGACGTGCTAATACAAAGCGACGCTCCAGCGGTGTAAAACAGCCGCTTGGACTGGATCTGAGCTTTGGAAATAGTCCTTCCACCGTGCGTCAATTCCGCCGCGTGTCGGACAGAGTCCCTAGTGAGGCTGTGCCTCCTAGGAGCTCGCACGGGCTTGATGAGAATACCAGTCCGAAGGTGATCACAGGAGACTCAACAAGCAAAGAAGCCCAGCTGGGTCGACGTGCATACAGCAAAGCTATTGGCATGTCGTGCCAAGAGGTTCTCTCGACTACTGGAGATGGCGAGAAGCGTGAGGCGATTTCTCGATTGGCCGAGGCCTGGAGCGACCTGGAAATGGTTGACCCCGAGGGTCTCTACCACATTATCAGAGTCATGAACGAGAGGCTCCAGGCCGACTCGCGCCTCTCCGCACTCGTTCCGTCTACCCCCTCAGCAACCGGATTCCCCTTCGCGTCCGCGCCTGGTCCTGGCGCAAAACAATCCTCATCTCAAGAGCCACCGTCGCCGACAATCGACAACTGAACCTCCACCTCAATCCCCCTTGTCCAACCTGCCCGGCCAACAAGTCTCCGGCATGGAACATACGAAACAACTTTCCGATGTACTCTACCAGCGCTGGGCGGAGGGACTGCGCAACCGATGGGGATTCTAAAATGACTTGCCCACCGACTACCATCTCCGGCCGCGCTCTTTAATGATTTTTTCCCTGTCATCTTCACGCTCGTTGTATAGACCACTTTCGGCGTTTTGATTGTTTATACCACCCCCTTGCGTTCTTTGCCCAACTCGCCTTGCATCCTTGGTGTCCGTTCTTTTCTTTCTGTCGACTATTCCCTCTGGTGAAACGGGCCCAGGCGTTTGTATGGAGTAATGATGGCTCTGATTACCTTGTTTGTTTTTGGGACCTCTTGGGCTGACCGTGTATGTGTGATGTGGTCTTGGGACGACAGACTGGTTCCTACCCTTTTTTACTTTCTCGATAAATAGCTTTTCTGGTGCTATTGTCATTTATCTGCACTTTTTTTATTCCTCGTGCTTCCTTGCATTGCGCTGCAAGGGAATGGAGCTGTGCAATATGTCTCTGAATCTCTGTGGAGTGAAATGGAAATATTTTCTTCGATTGTTGATCGTCCGCGGCAAATAACTTTGTACTGTGTCTATAGAAATGATAGTACGCCTTTGCTTTCTGAAGAATACACTCGACGGATTCGCCGAATTTCCTAATGCCAGTTCGATTGATCTCGTAATTGTACGGATTTCCTTTCTAGGTTCTGTCAATACGTAGTCATGAATTTCCAACAACCCGAGCCACCTGATTCTTAAAATGCTATGCGGCTATTAATACTATCGTGAGGCCCTTCACAATTGCCAGGGCGTAGTAATTACTACTGGCAACGGTGGCCATCACTCGCTTCTCTGACTGCCAAGCCGCCAGCAGACAGGGCTGCATCAAAGGCTGCTGCTGATGATCCCTCGTGCAGCTGGAACACCCCAGAAATCCTTCTAGGCACCAACATTTCTTGCGCACATATCCATACCCACACAACTGCCAGGAAATCTGATCTTGGCCTGCATTGACAGTGTAACCTCAAAGACGTCAGGCATGATCTTGTGGCTGATAATTGGGGGCTGCGGCATGCGCCACGATAATGTCCAGCAGAGGGAACTGACCTGGCGATCTCCTCCTCAAAGTCTATAGGGCTGCTTATAGAAGTATACTTGTGAGAATATTTGCTTTTTATATCTAATCCTCAAAAGAATAATTCTAGATTTAGTAGTAGTACGACCTAGCCAAACCTCATTATGTGCTCTTTCGTGGTGCTAGGTACATGGTGGATAGCCTGATACCTTCTGGGCTCCTCATGCCCCGCCCAGACCAGCTGCAACAGCCCAGTCTATATCGACATAGGTAGCAAATGGCTATTCGACATGTGTTGTACAAGAAGCTGGGCTGCAGTAGAATTATCTGCGCAAGGCTACCACGTCAATTGGCGGCTATAAAAGGGTGGATGGTCGCGAGATTGTGAGATGTATCATTACAGTTTCAAGAATCTAACCAACTTCCATCAAACACCATGAGTTTCCATCTTTCTGCTGTTAGCATCGAGCTAGAAGATGACCATATCCTCAAGACCGTACTTCGAGATGCAGATGGCGAGGAGCAAGATTCCGAGTTGGACCTGAACCAATTTATCGGCAACAATGATGGTCAGTCTCGCAAAAGCCTAATAACTATACTTTTCTGACATGATTTGTTAGGCTCGTTTGCTTGGGATGACAAGAATTTCCAAGAAAGCGCCTCAAACATTAGTCTTACCCGTGAGGGAGACGAGGAGATCCCTGTGCTACGTGCTACCTTGGGCACCGTAGAGGGCGAGGAGCAAGAAGCGGACATCAACCTTGCGGAAAGAATCGGAAATGACAACGGAACCTTGGTCTTTAACTGATGGGCTCTGCTATTTTGGAAGAAAGTTTCGTCTTGTATGGCAAGAGTCGCAGTACAACCGAGAATAGATCGAGTGAAACATAGCACAATATCCCATGCTCTAGAGCCTTTAAATCCTATTAAACTAGGTATAGTTATCCCTCTGGTTTCAGAGAATTTTAAATTTCTGAAGGCATGCCCCATAAAAACATCAGTGATACCAGCGGTCTCCCAAACGGCTTCCTGTGGGTTTTGTTTAGTTTGTTTTGTCGGCGTCTTCTTGAGTGCAACTGTAAAGATTAATAAGTATGCATCATTTATCGTATCGAAAATAAACAATGAGGAAACATCGCCTGCTTGGGACTCTCACAGTGTGCTTCGTTGTTCATGCCGAAGCAGCAGCTTCAAATCGTTACTGGTCAATTGCCTTCCCTGTACATTTCAACCAATAGAATTTCAACGTGGGCTGAGAAACCAACTGCTTGAAAATTTCCATCGTCCACGTAGCGGCTAGAGACTTGCTCGAGGCATCTCTGGGAATTTGACTTGGAAGAGCTATGGTCTTAGATGGAACATCTTTAGTTCAAGTACAACTTGACCTGTCATTTGCTAGGACCGACTAGACAATCCTGAAATTACCAGACTACAGGAAGGATTTCATTCAAAAAAATTTCTTCATTCATAATTCTGCATAGCAAGAACCAGGCTAAAGAGCGTTTGGTGCCTGGTAGCCCGAGAATAAACTCGGTACAGCAAGTCTCTACCCTGCTATCACTTAAGCAGAAGCGGAGACCTCCAGGCGCTTGAAGCCACCCTTGGAAGCGACCTCCTCCTGCAGCGCAGCCATGCGCTTCTGGTCACCGGTGGGATCGGTGGAGTCCGCGTCCAGAGTCCAGGAAAGGAAGCTGTTGGTGTAGTTGGACTCGAACTTGTCGTCCAGGATGCCGAGGCGCTTGCCGTAGTTGGTAACCTTGTTCCAGTCACGGGCGACATTCTTCAGGTCACGGCTGAAGTAAGCGTATGAGCGCTCGAAGATCTTGCGGTTGACGGGAGTAGCCATGATGGGCTTGATGTCGACGTATTCCTCATAGGTGGCCTTGGGGTCGGCGAGGACATCGTCTGTGGCGCGCTTCACGGCGCGCATGAATGCGGACACCTTCTCTGGGTTGGCGGCAATGAAGGCGTCGTTGGCAATGTACAGGATGGAGCAGAAGCAGCAGCAGCCCAGCTCGGCCAGCTGGTCGATGCGGAGCATCTGGACGTCGGAGCGGGGACGACCCTGCTCGGCGAGCCACTCGGCCAGCTCGACCATCTGCACGTTCTCAAGACCGATACCGGCGTCGATGTCACCGCGGATGATGGCCTTGGTGACGTTCATACCGCAGCGGACGGCGGTGTAATCATCGGTGCTCATGCCGTAGTACTTGGTGAGCTCGTCGATCTGAATCTTGCCGAACTCGCCGACGTAGCCGATGCGCTTGCCCTTCAGCGAGCGAAAGTCCTCGGTGATACCGCTGGACTTGAGGTATACGACACCGGTGAAGGGCTCGTCGAGGAGAGAGCCGATAGAGGTCACCGGGAAGTTGCGTGCCTTAGCCTGGATGGTGTTAAGAGTGCGTCCTGATAGGAGGAATAGAGACAACATACGGCCAGGGTGTGGATCATGGCCTTGAAGCCCATATCGACCTTGCCGCTGCCGATGATTTCGGTCACATCGGAGGGGTCATTGGGCTCCAGCAGAGCAACTTTCAGGCCTTCATCCTTGAAGTAGCCGCGGGACTGAGCGAGGTACAGCGGGGCGTGGTACGGGGTGGCGTGCCTGGAACAATTTAGCCAGAGCTCTGAAATAGGGAATAAACAGAGAAAAGAAAAACGACTAAAATCGATTAGCATACCAGTTGGTCAGGAAGGTGATCTTGTCGGTAGCCATTTTGACACAACAAGAACTGTGAATGCTTGGGACGAGTCAGAATCATTGGGAATAGGCACCTCTCTGCACAGCTCTCCACACCATAGCACGATGGCTCAGGGCATTGAGCTAAACAGATCGATGCAAAACACAAAGGGGGAACAATCAAGTCACGCATGTCCTTTCGCTAGTATTATCTAGATCAAGTTTTGACAGTATAATCTCAGAACGACTGCCCATTCCTTGACTTGTTTCCAAGCCAAGGAACAGATGAATCGAACACCTGTCATGCGTGCGCTGACTGTTATACCAAGTTCAAATACCTTGATCCACGATCATCATCGTAGCGAGGACCTTGTCCGCACTCTCCCGAGGCCGCCGCCCCGGGAGCGGTCGACTAGGACGTGCGTGACTCCATTTGGGAGAGTCCTACCGATAGGTAGTGGGTGCTTGGTTGTTGGAATGAAAACAGAAAGCTGTTGACCTGAGAGCGTTACAGGAGAGAAAGAGAGAAGGGACCGACCGGATGGAGGGGTAGAAATACCCTCAGCCAAGAAGCTCGGAGTGGGGTGCTCCAGCAGTGCATCATCATGACTGCAGGCCACGAAAAAGGCTCACCGAGCGAGAATAGGCGAGAATGATCCGCAGCCCTCATTGGATTCGCGCGCAACTCTATTGAGCTGTTTATCCACTGCTCCGAAAGTAACCGGCTTTCAATTACTCAGCCACACTTCATCGTCGACTCGGAGAAGGAGAGGAAGCGGGCAACGACTACGAAAAACACAAGTACGACAGAGAGGAGAAATACGCAAGTCTCAAATTGGGTAACTGGGCTCCAAAATGCATGGATTGACATAGACAATTACAACAAGTGAGTATGGACGGAATGACGCCGAATGTCTCGGGAAGGGAGGGAAGGTAGGGAAGGAAAGGAATTGGGAAGAAGCAAACACCAGATGCAGCAAAACGGGGATCACAGCGAAGGGCCGAGTAGCTTCCGATCATCGTTGCGAACTAGGCATCGGTCGGGGTACTGCCCTCCGCCTGGTGGTCCCCATTGATCGATATACTGTCGAGTGGGGACTGCGGCCGATTACCGGCCTTGCGTGTGCGGAGCGTGAGCGGGAAAAAGTGATCATCTGGTTCTTCCTCCTCACTGCGTGGATTAGTTGGCTGAAATGGCAAAGAAAAAGAACAATTATCAAAGAGAGAACTTACGGAAGTTTCCACGCGACGTAGTCTTCGGTGCTGAGTCCCTCCCGGCCTTCCTGGAGCGAGGCAAAGTCACCAGGCGTCATCATGCCGGATCGATCCCGCGGGGAACCAGGGACCGACAGCGGGCGGGAGATCTTCTGGTCAGTGCCTCCGATGATATCAAAGTAGTCCTCGGGCCCTTCGAAGGACGAGGGATAAGCTATTGGCCACAGGTTAGCCATTATTTGTTGCGGGGTATATGTACCAGCCTTGCAAGGCGTACGAGGGGGGTGGCACAGGATGGGGAAAGGATGCATACCTCTCCGCAGGGCCAGCTGGCGCGCCTTGACGTATTCCAAGCCCATTCGTTTCCAGTCCAACAAATCACTGAGTCGCTCAGTGCGGTTACGTTGGTTGATCCGCTGTCGGCGACTCTTCATGGTAAAGTTGTACATAAATTCGGTGAGCTGGTTGACCGAATCGTCCACTCCCTTTGCGCGGCGGTCCACGATGTAGATTCCATAGTCCGAGGAATTTTCGATCAGCTCCTCCATGTAGCACCCGAAGCCCGACAAATTGGTCGTTATGCTGGGCACGCCCATAACCGTGCATTCCGCGGGGGTGTAGCCCCAGGGCTCGTAGTAGGATGGGAAGACACCCAGATGGGTACCGCGAACAAAGTCATCGTAGTCCAATGGAAGAACAGGGTTCGAGGAGTTGAGGAATTCAGGGTGGAAAACAATCTTCACGCGGTCATACTCGTTGTTGAACAGCTCCACGCGGCGGAGTTGGTTCAAGATCGGGTCCTCATGGTCATTGACCATGTTATGGGTAACAATCGGGGGCAGGCCATGGCGCTTCATTGCAAAGAGTCGACGACGCAGCAACACACGGTCCTGGCTCGTAATCAGGTCCTTCTCGTCGGGCATGTTGTCACCTTCCTTCCACGCGAGGCAGCGCTCGTACATGCGTCTACCAATGCCTTTCTCGATATTTTCAATGGTGTCACGCAGGGATTTCACCACAGCCTGGCCCTTGAGGGACTCGACGGTCAAGGATGACGTTTGAGCGGGCATAATGATAAAAGCAACGACGGTGGTCTTCGATCCACTAGTCTTGAGACGGTGGTTCAGGCGAGCCAGGCCCTCAATGAACATGTCCACACCCTTGTTGCGATACTCATACCGACCGGCGGTGAAGAGATAGATGGTGTTGTCCAGATCGAAATTGTTGTGTCCGTAGAAGTGACCGCGGACAAAGTCGTTGATCTTCTCCTTGGCTTGCGAGTGCAGGTTCTGGAACTCGTGCATGGCGGAAAACTTCTTGACATTGAGACCGTTCGGCAAGACGCCATCCGGCTTCCGCTTCAGCAGATGCTCGCTCTCAAAGGCCGTGATGTGCGAAACGGTGGTGAAGACATCGGCGCTGTGAGCCGCAGCCCGTTCGACGCAGTATCGGTGATAAATACCGCGCTTTCCGGCCTCGGCGTCCACATCGAAGTACTGCAGGTTGTTGTAGAAATCCACAGAGCCTGCACAGAGGTAACGACCCAACAATGTGGCGTGTGTCGTGAAAATGGTGGTCAGATCCATGTGGCGTTTCTTGGTCAAGGGTAGGGCCACACCGGCGAGCCATTCATGGAAATGGGCCACAACGGCCCGGCGACGCTCGTGAGCAATGTACTATTTTGGGCATGGTCAGTTTCATCCCCTAAGTGTCATGATCAGCTAATTAGAAAGGGGAACAGAGCACTTACCTCTCCCAAGAACCAGGCGACCATGTAACCAAAGACGATCGCCTCGTTGGTCTCATGATCGGCAGCGGGGGACGGGATGCCGGAGGTATTCCACAGATCTCCCTTCCATTCGTCCAGCCATCGGTAACCCGTGCCGGTATTGATGAGCAGGACCCGCGGGGCCCCCTCGATCAGCCAGCGACCGTAGACAATCTCAATGCCGCGCTCCTGCATGGACTGAATCGTCTCGCGCATGGCCGGGTTGGACGGCGTGAGCTCCTCGACCTCGACCGCAGCAGAGGCCTTGTTCAAGGGGCCGATTAGGGTATACCGCTCGCCATACTCGGCCGTGGTGACAGGTGCCTTCGATTTGAGCACGGAATAGATGCCCCCGACTCGGTTGGCGACCTCTGTGGCGACCTCGAACAGCATGTGGTTGCGCACATCGCGCTTGATGGGCTCGGCGCCGCTTTCGTCGGCCATGGCAGCAGCAGCAGTAGCAGCAGGGTAGCAGCTGAAACAGCTCAAACAGATGCACAGCTCAAACAGCTCGTCCAGATGAAAGCTGGAAGATGCGATGGGAAAGCAAAAGCAGAGGCAAAAGCCCGAGGAGGAGAGGAGGGGAGAGCTTGGGGTCTCGGTCTGTGCGGGGGTCTTCCCCAGCCTCCACCGGGCTAAACGTTGGGCCTTTGCAACGCCCAGATGAAAATTTCCCACTCCGCCAAAAACTGGGAAACCGGACGCTAGCGCACGAATAAGGGGCACTCCTCGTTCCCAAACTGTGTCTACTAGCGTCGCATCGACTTTTTCTTCCGGGCGGGCCTAGCAGCCGGACTGGAAACACGGCACGACCGTACAACACGAGCCGACTGCACGCTTCTTCCGATCGCAGCCCGGGACCAGGCACTCTTTCGGCCCCTCGGACAGGCCCAATGGCTTTTTCAGTGGGGTTGCTCTGGACGTGAAGCTCGGGTCAGCATTGCCAAAATTACCCCTGGCCCGCATTTCCTGCCTGCTTTACTTTGCTGCGTGCGAAGTGCTGCGCGCCGCACGCCCCCAAAGCGATCCTAGCTCCCCAACTCGGCCCGACTTGCTTCTAACGTCGATCAATTTGCCTCCCACCATGGACTCAACCGCATGGATTGCCCTCGTGTCCTCGTGCAGACGGTGCGAATGCTCTCAAGGAGGGTGGGCTCGATGTTCGTCTGGGGAAAGCTGACTCCATGACATCATCGATCGGGGATTCTCCACTGCGGGCGCAAATCCGTCAAAGCTGTCAGATCGCTCGCGCCAGAGGATAGTCGGAGCGTCTGCAAGCGCCGCAACTTGCGGTGTACCTCCAGCTGGACGGCAGTGCCACGGCTGCTGCAGGTAGCCCGGATGTACTCCCGATGGCCAGCTCGGATTCGCTGCGGCGGGAACACAAAGGAGCTAAAAGGCCCCGTCCAACCCCCGAACGCCGTGGACATGCGAACAAACGCGCGGCGACAAAGATCAGCGGCAATCAACCGGGAATGGGCACCCCCGATCCTGGTCGACTTCAATGAACCATTGAACCCATTGTTGCTAGGCAAACACGGAGACAATGGTTTATACTCGGCAGATGCCATGCCAAACCGTCGCAAGATAAGACCGATGGCAGCACGGGGATGTCGTGGGGTGTCCCGCGTCTCACACTGAGGTTCTATAAGAATTAGTCCTTGTCCTCCCCTGGTCCAGACCTGACATACTACCTAATACACCTTCCATCTTGCCACTTCGAATATTCACTATGGGGGGAAAATGTCGAGACGAAGAGGTTGGGAATCCCGGCCGGGCACCAATCGTCCTAACTACACCCCTTTCGATGCCACCGAGCGCCTAGGTGGTTGTGCTGGCATCCATATGCAACGACTATCTGGCACTGCATTCTCTTTCCTTCGCTGTATCTGGGAAACAGTGCCCAAATGCTGGACATACCGAGTATCCTCCCATTTTGGCTTGTCTCGTCGCCAGTCAGAAAACGACTCAGTTGTTCCCGTAAGCGTGGACTCAGTGGAGGTCGAATCTCTAGCAGATGTGCAGCTCCAGTACGGACGGGCAACGGGGAATCCGGGTGGTGTTCTGAGGGTAACCAACCCAGACTTCTTATTTGGAGATGCCAGTCACACTAGCTCTTCGGAGGTATTTACAACGATCAGTCTACAGACCCGCCAGATCGTAGCGTCACAGCCTCCATCTGTCCCAAGTCTGGTATTTGAGGACTTCGCACATGGCTTGCTGATCGAGATTGCCGACAGGATGCCACTGGATGCCACGACTTGGCAGCCTCTGGTAAACGACCTTGTTTTGCCGTTGGAAGTGAACGAAAACTTAGAAACGCGACCGTTCGTACCACCTCATTTGGAAAACCTGCCTTCTAGTCTTGCTATTTCGGTTCCTTATTCAATTTCTCATCGGCCACCTAGCTCTGGTTTGACCCAAATTTCCATGTCAGATGAGCTCTTTCTTCCCTTGGGTCCAGCGATTTCACGTCATTCGGAATATCCTTCTAGACACAGTGCTTTCTGAAGTCAATGAGATTCACGCTTTCAAAGCCAATCACTTACAACTCAACAGGCTGACAATTCGGATTTCGGAAAGTCCCGTCGGCAGCTGTGTGTGGTCTGCGAGACGTTAAGGCAACGCAGCCCTTGGTTCTGTGGACTGATTTGCTTTAGCCATTGTGTGAAAAGAAGATTGGGCTCTTGTTTTTGTCTATCGGCCCCTGTCGCTCGGCGTAGTGTGCGTGATGCTTCTACTGCAGGCCATAGTCCTCGTGGGCTGGGCGACAGGAGTGAAAAGAAGAAGAGGGAAAAATGCCGTTTTTATACATGATTCGCTTTGAATGAAATTCCCGAGTATGACCTTATTGACTTCTCTTATTTTGAGTGATTACTGGTACAGTAAATGGTCGAATGCTATCTGGGATCCGCTGTTGAGCTCAAACCCAGGATTCAGACCACGTAGAGTCCAAAATTAGGAAATCCTCGAAAGGCAAAATAGCGAATAGACTATCAATTTTCAAATACGTGTATGGATTAATGGGTATAAGTTTGCAAGCTAGTAGGTACTACCTTAGAAGTATTCAAAGATTGTCGGAGCGGAGGCCTCTGGCTATTCGTGCGTAGGCGACCACAGCACTACACTAGTACAGTAGCGACTGTGACACCATCCATTTCGCAACCCGCTCATCACAATTCCAAACTGTCTTCTGGAACATACCTTGAATCGCAAGCCCCCATCATCGTCACCCAGCTGGACCCTTGTGCCAAGTGGTTGTCGATGACCGACCAACGATTGTTGCGCATTCGGCGATGAAGTCATTGTGGGGAGATGACTTCATGATGCCGTCACCCCGGTTCACGATCTCGATAATCAACTATTTAAATGTTGCAACGAGCAGAGGTCATTTACTTGTTATCACGATTCGATCCAATTCATTCGAAGTAAAGGTTTGTGTCTTGCGAATGATCCGATTGCTTCCAGTCAGCCAATTCTGACACTACGGTCCAGAATAATATCCCAAAACCTACTCTATACGATCACAATGGTTCGCGGCGCCGAGTACGACAACGGAGTCCCTCAGAGCGACAACGCTATTGAGAACGGCCCCAACAAGGCCCACGGTGTTGGTGCTACTGTACGTTCAATCTCGAACACAAATCCAAAGACATGAGTCCATGCTAACATGATATCAGGACGCCCCCCATCAACCGCACCCAGAAGGTTGCCCCCATGCCCGCTGAGACCGGCTCTCAGCGCGACGTCTTCAGTGGCCTCGGCAGCGCCGGCCCTACCCACTCTGGTAGTGGTAAGGGCGGCCACGAGCCCAAGTCTATGGGCGAGCAGAAGGGTCTCGGCACCCAAGGCAACTAAGGTGCTGGCATACGATTACCCTACATCTTTATCCTATACCTACCTACACCTCTTCAGATAGGGTGTGTTTTGCAAGAGCAAAGCAACACGGGCTACGCATCATGAGACCTGCGGAGTTTTGTGGATCTTTTCTGGGCTTGTTATTAGCATAGCTTCATGAATATCAGAAGAATGTAACAATAGCCAACTGTTCTGAAATACGTAAGAATTTTTGGGAGGGCTCCTTTTCAGCCCTTATGCTGAAGATTCGTCGCTAGCCCAAACATACATCGAATCTCACTAATTATTTAAATGTAGATGTATTTTTTGTCGTTCTATTGTTACTTGCGAGGTGTATCATCCGAAAAACAGATCGGATGATTACTTTAGGCTATAATTTCAAAATGAGCGCTGCAGATTAGGCACGTTTGCAGCTACTTTGTGTGCATATCTTCCCAGTTGTATGTGATCATTTGGCTGCATTGAGCTTGAGAAGTCCAGGAGACTGCTTTTGAGCGAGCTTGATTCAAGAAAATCATTGATCTCATCATCCAAATTGTCCAAAAATTGCGATTCGTCCCAACCAGGTCGCCAGCCAAAAATATCTTTCTTCTCGCACATTACCTTGGGACTTTGATAATCATTCTCATTAGTGAAATCCTCATATGAAATCGGCGGTTTGTTTAACTTACTCATAGTTCCACATGCTGGCGGCAAACTTCACCGGAACTCCCACAGCTTCTGCTACCATCTCATCGGAAGTCCAACTTGCTTGGAGGGTGCTGTACAAAGCCTCGGGCGTACAGTTTCGCGGCCAGCTGTTCCAGGATCTCTCACCAGGGCATAGTATGAGATACTGGAAAATAGTAGCCCTGCTCGCCGGATGGCAAATTCTCTTGCCTGGGAATTGACTCGACTAGCTGAGTGTAGAGCCTTGCCAAGTCCGATATTGTGTCAAAAGGACATCCTGCGGTCAGTTAAATATACCTCATTAAGCTTTGAAGAGTTGGATGAATTTCAAAAACTCACCCTGTTCTCTGTAAACTTATAAACATGCTTGCATTGGATGTTAGCTTTGACCAGGGCTGGTATTTGTGGTGGGAGCTGATTCCATGTCCCACCGCCTCTTCCATCTTGAAATTGTTAGATAATGTATATTAGCAGAGGTATTCGTTCGTCTTGAATATGCACGAAGAGTTGGAGGCATGATTATAAACCCAGTTAGGTTTGCTGCTTTCAACTGCTCCACGACAAATGTATCCATCTATTGCCACATTAAATTCAAAATTCGACATTTAACAAAATTTGATCTTACCTGTCAAACTATGTATGTTTCTGTAGACTTCTTCTTCAGGTCATACACCGGATCAGTATCTCTGATCTCGCCAAAAGGCCATCAAGTATTCTCATCAAATGCAAGTAGTCCAGAAGTATATAATATCGTGGACAGCGCGAAACATATTGAAGGGGCTGTACCTTACATGCACAAAATAGCATTCTTTCCGGATGGCTTTTTGGCACACTCCTAACACATCAATGAGGTTTTTGAGGACATCCCTGTCAACCGACGTTGCTGTGTGGACAATTATTTCGACTTTACGAAGTCTTCAGGTCAGCGAACAGCACTTATTCGAGTGAATACAAACTAGAGATTTGAAAGAGGACTGGTACTAACTCATATTTGCTTTCAAATAATCCGCCACAGCCTTTTCATCTTTAAGTCCAATCTGGTTACTGAACATTTAGCCTCGATAGGCTTTTGGCCTGTTCTTCCGAGCGAACGGCAGTATAGATTTGTACAGTTTCGATCAAGCCCTCCTTGCGTCTGGAGAATTCTGCAGCTAGAGAGCCACCACGTGCAAAAAATGTTAGTATGCGGGGGTCACTTCGCATCGGGATCTGACTTTGTCATTCGTACATGTAACCAGCTGCGCCGATGATCAGAATATTCGCAGACATATCAAATCTGTGAGATGCAGTGGGACGCAAAAAAAGAAGTTCGAGGGTTTCCTGCTTGATCAGCACTATTTTCACCTTTCTGGAGTCTTTAGATGGCGACGTCTATCATGAATGACTGGCCTGCTTCCAGAATCAATGAAGTCAGTCGGGTTAGCGGACTTTAAAATAGTTTCTCCGCTTGACGCAGGGAACAAAAGAATGTACCATACTGAACAAGCTGGCTACTTGGCACTTGTTCACAGACAGACGAGCAACGATGGTGACCAAGATTCAGCGCAATAATCGCCGTATTAAGTAATGCTATCTACCTCAACCTTATGTACGCCTCGCCGATTACTGGCTCTTTGTGAGTCTGTGCGTTTCACCAGACAGCTACGTCGCCCATCGTCATACCTGGGACGTGGATCAAAATATAAATATTTGTTCAGTACGTCCGCCATACGGTGCATGTGTTTGTATCGAGGCGTTTGGAGTATGCAGCTTTCCGGTGTACAAGGGGTATCTATTGTGCGGCAGATGGCAAAGTGCGATAGGATGGGGTCTTCGTACTCGTTTGCGGCGTTTCAATCGGCGAACGGTGCTGGATGCAAAAGCTCAATCGCTCTATGTCCCGAACCTCGAGTCAACATTACCATTCGGATTCAAAATATACATGAAGTAAAATCAAATTCTTCACGTGATATCCACACAGCTAACGCCAGGCTATTCTATAAATGCATCTCGTAGAACAGGTTATGTGGTTGGATGGATGACAAGAAAACGATATCGCTTCTGTACAGCATCTAAAAAGGTTGATATAGGGACTTGAGGGTACAGCAAGAAAAGAATTATGTGTAGTTAAGTAGAGGTGTTTCCGCATGCAAGGGTGTGCTGTTATTATTTCAAGAATTTGAAATGTCGGATGCTTTCTCTTGGTCTTGCTTGTCGTTCCCTGGGTCAGCCTTTTCTAGCTCTTCCTTGGCCGCAGCGATAGTTTTGGCTTCGATGATCTCAAGCAGCTTATTGGCTAGCTCCTCAGAGCCATCGATCTTATTCAACTTGGTCTTCAGGTGCTCGATATCGCTTCGCATCCTGATTTGAATGTGCATGGTTAATGATTGAACAGGAAATGGTTCTTCTTGCAGTCAGATCTCACCTTTTTTTACCGCCCTCCGTGTGGACATCGGCTTCTTCAAAGGCCTTCGCCCACTGATCTCGGTAGCTATTGAACACAGGCACCATGATCATATCGACAGCTATTTCAGGAAGATGCTTGCTTAAGACTCGATGAAGAGTACCAGTCTCTTTGGCAAGGGTCTCCATGAAAGGATGAACGCCGGTTGAGTCGCCTTCACCATCCCAATCAACCTTCTTCATGGCATTGACATGAACCGATGAGCGAGAAGTCATGATATCCACTAGTTTTTCGTGGATTTGGTTCTGATGCTCTTGGCACAGTCGCTTGACCTTATCAAACTCTGCCATTACTTGATTTGACTGACCATGCCGTCTGACAAACTCCCGTACATATGGCATGAGAGCAATGACGAAACTTAGCGCTTGCGATGAGAGGGCAAGATGTTTGGTTGTGATGTTCTTCAATCCGGCACTTCGTGTGGCACCCGCCCCCAGAATCAGCTGAGCAGATCGCGAATTGAACTGTTTCAAGATCTCCAAGAGTTGCGGGGCAATATCTTGGATCATGCTAGGAATGTTGGCCATGAGGAATTCGAACTCTTCCATACTGCGCATCATGGCCATAGCTGACTCAGGCAGGATGTGTTTCTGCTCGTCGATGACCGCAGTGCGCACCTTATCTTTGCCATTCCCATTAGCAGGTGGGTTTCCTTCCGATGTGTTGGCTTGCGACTTTTCGCTTTCAGGGGTCCAGATCTTGGAGACTTCTACCCAAGCTTCAATGTCCTTGGTGCTCGCGTCCAAAATGCGGTTTAGAATAAGGTTCTCAGCGTCCCCAAAGTCTCGTGCATCCCATCGATCAGCGTCCATGAGCTTGACTATGTGATGGCGTTGAGAATCACCAAAGCGATTGATGAAATCGTGGATCTGATTGCCAACAATTGTTTTGAGTGCAGTCCCGCCTCTACCAGAGATCGCTTCACATTCATCTGCGAAAAGTCGGTTGAGAGTGAAGTATCTTAGGAATTCTTCCTTAGGAAGCTGCGCAGTTTGTTCCGACCGAACTTTGAGAACTTTAGTGATTTGAGATTGGGCAATGTCCACTGCCTGGCCAAGGAGACTCGACATATCTAGGACCTGTAGAATCTCATCCTGAGCCATAGCGGAAACAGACGATCCACTGGCGGCCTGGTCAAGGCTATGTGAATTGGAGCTCCGAGGTGATCTCACGCCTGCCGAAGGCGACGTTCCGAGACCACTGGCAATATCCAAAAGAATCTTTACCTGAACGCTCAGTCGACGCAAAGATTCGCTGATTCCTGTGTAAATTGCGACCAACATCGCATAGGCATCTTCTGGCTCTAGAGCACGGAGGTTACGTGCAAGAGTAGAGGACTTTTCCTGCTGGCTTCGTTGGCGGTCGTTATGTGTGGACACAGAAACCATCGATTCATTGTCATCGTCGCTGGAGCTTGGTAGATGCTTTCGGATGAGTCCCTTCATCTCCCGCAAGACAGCAGTTTTGAAGGAGGTAGCCGCCGGTGTCGTGTAGCGCGCGCGCGCAAGCCCTGTGAGTTGTGTATGCAACTGGGACCGCATCTCATTATCGAAGTTCATGTATGCTGGAGACACCATTGATACGGGGCGCTGGCCGCCACGTTGCCGTTGGAAAGAAGCTCCCCAGCGTTGCAGGGTCACGTCTGAGGACACATTTTGAACATGCTGTCTCAGGTCTTCAAGCAGATCGTTCAAAAATCGGGTTTCGTAGCCCATGCCAATCCGCTGTCTCAGCTGGGACAAGTCATCTGAAGCCCCCTCGAGGGCTTTGAGTCTTCGAAGGTCGATAGCCTGATGCGGAAGGCCCTTCTCCGCATCCCCTTCAACAGGTTGGTCGGGAGGCTTTTCGCCTGCCATCAACTTTTCCACTTCTTCAAGTTCATCAGCGGCATTCTCAATGTCTCCCTGCTCGACCAAGTCTTCGCAGCGCGCCACAGACCCCACTACGTCGCCAAGCTGAGCGACAGCTGCAGCCAGCATCCGCACGTTCTCTCGGCGCCTTCTCAGATTCACAATCTTGAGACCACCAAGAGCCATCTCCTTGTCGATTTTCTGTAGGTCTCGACGCAGGATTTGTATCCGTTGCACCGAGTCTGCCGCTTCTGCGTGCAGTTCGCGCAATGAGCCAAGCGCCGTGAAGAAGGATTTCGACGCTGTAGAGATGGACGAAATGAGATGTATTTCCACTGTATCCATGTACCACGACAGCTTTTCTTGGAGAATTGCGTTGGTGGCCAGGGCTTTCCTCCCAGTATGGGCAGGCTCCAACGCGCCACCATTGGCATGTTTATCGTCCTTCACCGGGGGCCGTGGAGGTCTGACGACTTCTGACTTTTCTGATATCACGTCGAAGGTACGAGGATTTTCTAAATGGAAGTCCTCCTCGAAGTAAACTGGCGGAATTGTCGACAGCGGTGTCACGGCGGGGCCACGGCCTCGGCCGCCAGAGGAACGTCGGCCTCGAGTGCTGTAAGGGGAAGTGGGGCGAGAACTGGTAGACATGACTGAAGACCGTCGCTCCGGACTCCATGGCATCAAGGAGTCCGTATCCTCGGGTTTAGGGGATTTGGCCCCTTGCACAGACTGGTTGTCCTCGCCAGAACCTTCTTTCGACTGCTGGAAGACATCGTAGAGAGTGCCCACTTGCGAAAAGTAGGGTTGGAAAGCCTTCGAGTCCACATGATTGATGTTCGTCAACGTGACTGGAGGGATGTCGCGGGAGGACGGGGGTTTATATCCGGTGGAAGAGACAGCGGATTGAGGGGTCAAGCCGGTGCGGACAATCGGTGCGTGGAGAAGGGTCGAAATGGCTTGACAGAGATGACTCGATTAGCATTCGGTCAATGTAAAGCGCTTTGCGCATGACATACCATTCTGGCCAGATTCCGCGATCGAGCCATGGTGCTGAGAAGTATCCAGGATACCTCCAATGCTCACAATCGAGCTCGCAGTAGATCCCCTCCTCAGGGGGTTCCGTTGGGGAGGAACTCGCGGAAACTCTAGCTGAGTGGTCGAATAGTGGGAAATAGGCGGAGTTGATGAGGCTGACGCCAGACTGTCAATTGATTTGCGCGGACTGGTTGGCGTCATCTTGTCCATGGCCGCAATGCGGATGCGACAGCCACCCGGAGTCGATCGTTGGGGAAGCTCGGAGTTATCTGATCATGACAGATGGCCCCTTGACAGAAGAGCTCCAGGCCCGCCACAGCTGGTCGCGCCTAACACTCAAATTCGACAAGTCACCAGTTTCTGCGCGACGGCGTCCACGGGAACACAGCAAGGCTGACGTAGAGGTCGAGGTGGCTTTGTTTCCAACGCTATGCGCAGCTCCGCCCAATCGGGAAACACGCTAGGCCGAAAGAGTCACGTGGGGATAATGACCATACGTTCTGCCTTGCTGCCTTGCTGCCTTGCTGCCCTTGGAAAACCACTTAACGCGTGAAATGGGTAACCGCGACGCGACGCGTCGCTGCTTTCCGCCCAACTCCAAAAGTTCTCCCTTTGCCGGTCTCCCACCACATCAACCACCACACCATGGATCGACGCACTCCCTATACCCTGAGCGTCCTCGCTCCCAGCACTAGTGGCGGTGACGAGTCTCGCACAGTAATTCAAAATCGATTGAGGGATTTTGTGCTCGAGTTTCAGCTGGACAATTCTTTCGTCTATCGGTTCGCATCCCACCCGCATACTTCTTGAAAGCTGTCAACACAAACTAATCTCGCCCATTCAATAGCGATCAACTACGCCAAAATGTTCTGGTGAAGCAATACTACTGCGACATTGACATCGCACACCTGATCTCTTACAATGAAGAGCTGGCTCATAAACTCACTACAGAGCCTGCCGATATCATTCCTTTGGTAGGTGCAATGTTCGAAATCTGGCCTCGCACTTATCCTAACCTCGAATAGTTTGAGCTAGCTCTTCAGGACTGTACTCGCCGAATCGTTTTCCCGGGTCAGCGTGATATCGACCTCCCCTCCCACCAACTCCTTCTCCACTCTTCGGCATCGCACATTTCTATTCGTGATCTCAATGCCACCAATATTTCACACCTCGTCCGCATTCCTGGCATCGTGATCGGTGCTTCAACGATATCTTCCAAAGCGACTACTGTGCACATCCGTTGCAAGAACTGCGACCACAGTGAGAATATCCATGTTGACGGTGGCTTTTCTGGCCTATCCCTTCCGCGACGATGCGGTCGTAAGAAGGAGCCTGGTGACCAGCCCGGCGAGCAGTGCCCCTTGGATCCTTATGTTGTACACCATGAGAAGTGCCAGTTCGTGGACCAACAGGTTCTCAAGCTTCAGGAAGCTCCCGATCAGGTCCCAGTGGGTGAATTGCCCCGCCATGTCCTGATCTCCGCCGACCGCTATCTGGCCAACCGCGTTGTTCCTGGTTCTCGCTGCACTGTCATGGGTATCTTTTCCATCTATCAAGCCAAGGGTGGCAAGAAGGAGGCCGCCGTGGCCATCCGCAACCCATACCTGCGTGCTGTGGGCCTCAACACTGATGTGGATCAGACCGCCAAGGGTAACGCGGTCTTCTCGGAGGAAGAAGAGCAGGAATTCTTGGAGATTAGCCGCCGGCCTGATCTTTATGATGCTCTGGCCCGCAGCATTGCTCCGTCCATTTATGGTAACTTGGACATCAAGAAGGCCATTGTGTGTCTCCTGATGGGTGGCTCAAAGAAGATTCTGCCTGACGGCATGAAGCTTCGTGGCGATATCAACGTTCTGATGCTGGGTGACCCTGGTACTGCCAAGTCTCAGCTGTTGAAGTTCGTCGAGAAGGCCGCTCCCATTGCCATCTACACCTCCGGTAAGGGTTCGTCGGCTGCTGGTTTGACCGCCTCGGTGCAGCGTGACCCTGCGACTCGTGAATTCTACCTGGAAGGTGGAGCAATGGTTTTGGCTGACGGGGGTGTTGTGTGTATCGATGAGTTTGACAAGATGCGGGATGAGGACCGAGTTGCCATCCACGAAGCTATGGAGCAACAGACCATCTCCATTGCGAAGGCCGGTATCACGACCATCCTGAACTCGCGAACATCGGTCCTGGCCGCCGCCAACCCGATCTTTGGCCGCTATGATGACTTGAAGACACCCGGCGAGAACATTGACTTCCAAACCACCATTCTGTCCCGTTTCGACATGATCTTCATTGTTCGTGATGACCATGAGCGAGGCCGTGATGAGAAAATTGCCCGTCACGTCATGGGTGTGCACATGGGCGGACGTGGTGTGGAGGAGCAAATTGAGGCAGAAATCCCGGTGGACCAGATGAAGCGGTATATCAGCTACTGCCGCAGGTATGTTTTTGACCACATTTCGACCCCTCATTGCTTGAGTGCGAGACTAACATCGTATGACAGTCGCTGTGCTCCTCGTCTCTCCCCAGAGGCCGCGGAGAAGCTGTCTTCCCATTTCGTGTCCATCCGCAAGCAGGTGGCGCGTGCTGAGGTCGAGGCTAACAGCCGCTCCTCCATTCCGATCACTGTGCGTCAACTGGAGGCCATTGTTCGTATCACCGAGTCTCTGGCCAAACTGGCTCTCTCGCCCATTGCCACCGAGGCTCACGTTGACGAGGCCATCCGCCTCTTCTTGGCCTCGACCATGGATGCCATCACCCAGGGTGAAGGCCAGCAAGGCAGCAAGGAACTCATGGAGGAGGCCAGCAAGATTGAGGACGAGCTCAAGCGCCGCTTGCCCGTCGGATGGAGCACCAGCCTGGCCACGTTGCGCCGCGATTTCGTGGATGGCAAGGGGTACAGCGAGCAAGCCCTCAACCGGGCCGTGGTGGTGCTACAGCGACGGGAGACGGTGCAGATCCGGTCTGGCGGATCGCAGATCTTCCGGAACCAGGCATGATCCAGTGTCTCTTGCGATGAATCTGATGTGTTGGTTTTGATATCCTGTGTATGTGCTATGGATGACGGTTCTGTTCTTTCAGCTTTATGGCATTGGTCTGGCTTGCGAGGGCATGGCGTTTTGTGGTGTTTGTGCCCTGGGGTTCCTGTGTCTCCCGACATGAATGAAAATAAACCTGTCGTTATTTGACAATAAATATATTCGCTATGCAAACCTGTGAAGTATATCTCGTGGTGCTCATTAGTGTAGTGCCGAGCATCGAGCCGTCTGAGTATCATCCGTCCCAAATCAGGAACTCGGTTGCATCCGATCTATAGGGCACACCCGGAAAGTATAAGCAGGGGAACGTGGCAAAAATAAAAATACAAACGGCACTCAATGATCGATAAAATGCATCCCGGCCTTGTTAGCGTGAATGAATGGAACGTCTTTCTGTTTGCAAAGAGCCTCGATTCCCCTTAGAGCTGCAGCAATGTGCAGACGATCGATCGAGTCATGACAAGTAAGATGAGACGTGCCGATCAGCCCAATCCGGGGCACCTCAAGCACATCGAGATACGCCCTCGGCCATTATGATGATTACCACGATTTCCGCTATGCATTGATGGTCTAGACTTATCCACCGGGTACGTCGTAATACATACAGGCATTCCTACTAATCATACCTCGTCCCGATGGCCTTCGAATGAGAGGGCCCGATGGAGCCCTGGAAATGACAGGCAGCTCCAGCCCTCAGCAGGCCCCCCACAGCCCCTGAAACACTCGTGGCAAGGATGCGCGCTCCCCGACCCGCTGTGGGCTCAGGAGTCAACGACGCCTTTTTTTCTTCTCTTTGTTCTTTGTACATATCACATCGCTCGAATCTCGCAGGTCAATGCCCGCCATTCTTTTCTAGTCTGCTGCATTCTCTCCCTGCTGGCTGGCCCACCATGGAGAGTTCCGCGGGAACCGGCGAGGCGATCCACGGTGCTCCGGATGCGTCCCTCACGAGGTCTCCCCAGCCGGAGCCTGTCTGCGACCAACACTCGCTTCCTCTCTCGCGCTCCTCGTCGCTTTTACAACAGAAACGCTCCTCGCTGCCGCCGCGAACCCGTTCTGGCGCCCGACACGCCAAACGGCTGACCCTGAACTTCCCCATCAACATCCCGCTAGACCAGCCGCCGGCTGCAGCTGCCGACCCCCTTGCCTCACCTGAGTCCATGACCCCCGTCACTCACTCGTCCACTCGGCCCTCTCCAGCACTGCCTGTAGGCACCCCTCTCCCCTTCGACACGGACGACGATGGCTACGACTTCCTCCGAGCCATCGCCTCCCAGGAGCGGAGAGTGATGGAGCTGCGGGAAGAGCTGAATAGGGCCGAGACCGAACTGTCCACCCTCAAGAAGCAGTGGGCGCTGTCCGAGAAGTCCAAGAAACGCACCGAAATCAATCACCACGCTGAACCATTGCTGCCGCTTCGCTCGCCCGAGTTTAGCGGATCCGATCCGTCAAATGCCTCGTTGCACCTTCGGGAGCAAAGCATGAGCTCGGTGGGGAGCTCGTCGGTTTCACAGGAGCGACGCAGCCGTGAGCTGGAGCTGGAGCGGCGCACGAGCTTGCGTGCCGCCGCGAATCCTCCCAAGGGCACCACGATCTCTGCCAATGGTCGCCGTGTGTTCCAGGGCTCTCATGCTCGAACGCTCTCTCTCTTGTCCCCCGTCACAGCTCCCAGTCCCTCCAGCGACGGTCCTGGACCGGTCGAAGTGGATCGCGTGGGACGCACCCCACGCTCAGCAACCCTCCCCTCAGTCGAGCGCAACTCCGTTGCCAGTATCGGAATGCCGACCGATGAGAGTCAAGTGCCGGAGCATGTGCTGGCTCAGTGGCGCAAGACGATGCCGCCGCCCTCACGCGAGGCTCTCATGCGCACTGGCAAGCAAATGGCCTCCGATCTTCGTGAGGGGCTGTGGACGTTCTTCGAGGATATTCGACAAGCAACGGTGGGCGAAGAAGGCATCAACGCAACGGAATCGCGCACCATGTCTCCGAATTCATTAGCTCCGCCAACCTCCCGCAAACGAGATTCACTACAGGCCAAATCGCGCAGCCGGGACCGGTTATCGGCCGTGGGGAATAAGTCATCACGATCATCATCATCGTCATCGTCGCGGGGTAGGGGCCCAGCGGCCGAGACAACATCTGGTAAAGACACCACGCCGGCAGACATCTCCAAGTCATTCTGGCACGAATTTGGCGTTGATTCACCAGCGCAGATGTCGCCCGGCGCTCGTCGCAGCCCCACCAACAACACCGCCAACGACACGATACCGCGGGGCGAGAACGAACCCGAGCACCCCGATCACCGCTCCGGCAGTCCAGTCGAAACGGAGGATGATACGATGGACAATTGGGACATGTGGGATACACCGCTACCAGCGGCCAAGATGAAGCATACACCCTCATCGAGCCGGTCGACGGTCGAGTCCTCGAAGCACGATCAATCCCCCACAACACAGGGCAGCAGTCCTCGTACGAGTGCTAGGTACATCTCAACTTTTCCTGATTTCATTTATGACAACCTCGTTATGCGCTGACGCCATTCCCAACCCAGTTTCGGTGACTGGAACCCGAGCATCGCCGCGCCTGATCCCGGCGTGACCGAAGGCATTCCCTGGCCTGCCATCACCAAGCTGGCCCCATCTAAGCTCCAGCGAACCGCCTCGAATCTCATGGCGGAATGGGAGCGAAGCCTGTCGCCTTCCCCGGAGCGTCAAAGCTCCGTTGCTTCTTCCAAGAGCAGCAAAAAGGACTGAGTGCACTTATTTCTTTAGTTCGTTTGTTCTGCTTCTTTCTCTGTATATACTTCCCCCATTTCCTTCTTCGGCCCCGTCAGCGAGGGTCTCCGTTGGGCGAACTGGCACGAATACACACCACGGACTCATGCAAGGCTACGATTGTTCAACCCACGAGAGCGTTGTTTTCTTTCCTCTGCGTACATTTGGGAGCGTCTGGTTTTGATTACTTTCCGATTCGTCTTGGCCATATATACCGGTTTGGCATACTATTTAAACCCACAGATATTCAATTAAATAAACAGAATCAACGACTAGATCATTTTTGTCTTTTGTTACATATAATTCCCATAACTTGCAAGTATCCTCATTCTCATTGTTCACAGTCCTAACGATGATTTTCCGGGTGGTCACGTGAGTATTGCGTCTTAGGTCTGTCCCGGCCACCGCAAAAATAAATTTGCGTGAGTTTGCCTCTCCGCAAGATCCTCCGCGCCCGGAGAACCAGCTTGCTTGCATTTACATTTCCTCGAGGGGATCCGATACCCACTTCCATTCGTCTATCCCCAGCCATTTTTCGGATTCGAACCACGAGTACATAGTCAACATTTTAACTCTTCTTTTCTCCGGCTTAAATCGCATACCCCGTTCATTATGAGTCTTCCGGGCATGTCGGCGGGTGCCATGGGTGCCAACGGCCAAATGCAGGGAATGAGTGAGCAAGAGCAGGCCATGGTGAAGATGGTAAGTCGCACTCGTGACACTCAACGGAAGGTCCCCTAACAAACGCGTCGTAGATGCAATCCGGCATGGAATCGTGCCCCGTTAAGACAGTCATCTCCGGTACAATGGGTTTCGCTCTTGGTGGTGCCTTTGGTCTCTTCATGGCCAGTGTAAGTCGACCTCGCTACACTCCCAGTCTTATCGCGAATACAGCCCACTAACACATCTCATTAGATGTCCTACGACTCCTCCTTCACCCCCCAGGGCCAAGAAATCGCCAACCTCCCGTGGCGCGACCAGGTCCGCCGCGGATTTAAGGATATGCGCGCGCGCTCGTGGTCGTCCGCAAAGAACTTCGGTATTGTCGGCGCGCTGTACTCCGGAACCGAGTGCTGTATCGAGGGACTGCGTGCGAAGAACGACTTGACCAACAGTGTCGCGGCCGGTTGCGTGACTGGCGGTATTCTCGGTGCCAAGGCTGGCCCGCAGGCGGCTGCCTTTGGTTGCGCCGGTTTTGCGGCATTCAGTGCTGCCATTGATGCTTATATGCGCATGCCTGATTCGGAATAAGCATAGCTTCAAGTTCTTATGCTTCAGGGGCTCTGCTGGGCCCAATATGGCTGATTGGATGATATGCCGTGAACCATGGCTATTCGCCCTTTTGAACCATCGGTTTTCTCGCTTGTATATTTTTTGGCGTTTGACGACATTCTGGGATAGAATGGAAGCATACCGGGCGTTCGGGTTGCTTTATGTTTTCGTTTTCTCTACGAGATTTGTATTATATCTGCATGTCCTGTGTGAACATAGGTCGGCAGGGACCTTGACACCGAGAAATTCCTCTCTCATCTTTGATACCAACTTAGATCACAACTTGAATACTCTCAATCATTATTTTTCGTTCGGACTTGATGTAATTTCATCACATTGTGTTTGGCCTGACTGGAAGCGTGCTAGACTAGTGTCGCGGAGGAACTAGTATTCCCAACGTTATACTGCAATTATAATTTAAAATATTCTATAGACTTGATATGAACTAAGTGGATCGCAATTACGGTCTTCAAATTAATGCTTCACAAGTGTTGTACAGTGTACATTAATGTACGTGACGGAGTATTGAAACTTCGCAGATCTATATATCTCAGTTGGGATGGAAGGTGAACCATGCTATTATGGTGTTTCGTCAGATATAGTGTAATCTAGTACTACTTGCGATAAAACTCAAACCTTGATACCACTACCATTCTTTGAGTCAACAAGAATACTCCAGAAGACCAAAATATATTTTTACTTGATTTGTGATACAGACTATATACCAATTGGACTGAATCTAAGGCAGAACAATGTATTTCTCGAGATGCTTGGGAATAGCACCACGGAGGTCCTTGCTCTTGAGCCAAGTGTTGGAGAACAGACGGTCCGCATAGCGGTAAGCACCGTCGCAAAGAACAGTCACAACAGTGTTACCCTTGCCCATCTTCTCCGCGACCTCCTTGGCTGCCACGACGTTCAGAGCAGAGCTAGCACCGAGGTACAGACCCTCCTCATCGAGGCAGCGGTAAACCATCTCGATAGACTTCTCGTCGGGGATGTTGACGGAGCCATCAATCAGGTCAATATCAGGCTTCAGGTTGTCCGTCACGCGACCCTGACCAATACCTTCGGTGATACTGCCGCCTGAACGCTCACTTAGCTTACCGCCGCTCTGGATGTAGCTGTGCAGGACACTGCCCGGCGGATCGGCCAAGAAGCACTTAACGCGGCCATCACTGGCAGTCTTCAGGTAGCGGGTGATACCAGCCAGGGTACCACCAGTACCCGTAGCACAGGTGAAGGCATCAATATTGCCACCGGTCTGCGCCCACAGCTCCGGACCAGTGGTCTCAATGTGCGCTTGACGGTTGGCAGTGTTGTCGAATTGATTGGTCCAAACAGCATTGTCCAGCGACTCCGCGTGTCGTCTGGCCTGGTGGTTGTAGTTTTGAGGGTTGTCAAATGCGACAGCAGGGACCGGGTACACCTCCGCGCCCAACAGACGGAGCAAATCAATCTTGCCCTGAGACTGAGTGTTGGGCATGTAGATTACCAGCTTATAGCCTTTTGACCGGCAAACATGGGCAAGGCCAATACCAGTGTTGCCCGCAGTTCCCTCAACGACAGTGCCGCCAGGCTTCAGCAGGCCTTTCTCCTCGGCATCCTTAACGACAAAAAGAGCGGCTCGGTCCTTGACGCTACCACCAGGGTTCTGGAATTCCGCCTTGCCCAAAACATTACACCCGGTCTCTTCAGAAAGGCGCTTCAACCGAATAAGCGGAGTGTTGCCAATTGCTATTCCAAACAAATTGTAAGCTTCAATGGTTCATATGCCGGAGGCCGTGTCGGTGCTCGACATACCTTCGGTCAGGCCGTTGACGTAGCCTTGGGCAGTAGACACGCGAGTGGCATAGGCAGTCGACCCTTCGGCAGCGCGAAGGGCGGTAGTGCCAAAACGCCGAATACTTTGGCGGAACATCGTGCACAAGTGCAATTGAGAGGGGAGCAATTGCGACCAAGCAAGCTCACCAAATGCCGCGATCACCTCATCGGCGTCGGCTGATCGGCCGAGGAGCTCCGATGACGGGATTAGTCAGAAACATGTGACCCTTATCGTTTCTTCCCCGTTTGGGCTGTTTGTTTACCGCCCCTCTCCATCTCGTTCATCTGCGGAGGCGCGCGTGCAATGGTTTTTGCTCCCCGTTAATTGCGCCTTGATACTATTTCACACCCACAATGCCCGGCCGAGTCGCCGCCCGTTCGACTTCTGCGGCCACGCGCAGGTCGTCGGCACAGCCCTCCGCAGGGCGTGCCCCCTCCGTGACCCCGTCATTCGCAATCCCCGAGGAACCAGCATTGCCATCATCTTCGCCAAATCTCCGTCGTGATGTATGCACAATTTTCGCCGATGCTCAGCGCTCGACAACCGGTCACCGTAAGCTAGTGGTGCGCCTGCGGAAGCTACAGGAAATTTGCGCCGGCATTGCGCAAAAGAGCAAAAAAGGGAAGGACCAGGAGCAAGAAAAGATTGTGATTCCCGAGGAGGAGACCGTTGCTGAGAAGGAGTTCAATGTTGAGGTCGGCCGCTGTATGCTTCGCATACTTCCGATCAAGAAGTCGGAGCCTGTTGGCGACCGCGTCTTGCGGTTTCTGGATACCTTCCTTGCCCACGCGGCAGAGAAAGACAATGAGCTGTTCGCTTCCAAAGGAGATGATGAAGATGAGATGCAAAGTGCCCAGGAGACTCCCACGTCTCGCCTGACCTCCAGCCTGGTTGCCCTTATGATCCCCATGCTTGCGGCAAAGGACAAGATGATCCGGTTCCGCGCTACTCAGATTATTGCCCACATCGTTAACTCGTTGGAGTCTATCGATGATGAGCTCTATCATACCATTAGAGGTGGCCTATTGAAGCGCATCCGTGACAAGGAGTCCTCTGTGCGAGTGCAGGCTGTCATAGGTCTAGCACGCCTCGCTGGCAACGACGAGGAAGACGACGGCAACGACGATAACTCCACGGCTCTCCTCGAGAAATTGATCGAAATCATGCAAAATGATACCAGCGCCGATGTTCGCAAGAGTCTCCTCGCCAACCTCCCACTCGCCCCCGTTACCCTTCCCTACCTACTCGAACGAGCCCGTGATCTTGATGCTCCCACACGACGCACTTTATACTCACGCCTACTCCCTACCCTCGGCGACTTCCGCCACCTGTCCCTATCTATGCGTGAGAAGCTTCTTCGTTGGGGTCTTCGAGACCGTGACGAGAGCGTACGGAAGGCGACTGGGAAACTGTTCTTTGACCGATGGGTAGAGGATTGCGCCGGCACAAACAACGATCAGAACGAGGGCCCCACCGGCCAGCGCTCGCCACCTGATATCAATGCCCTCCTGGAGCTTCTGGAGCGAATTGACGTGGTCAACTCGGGTATTGAGACCGGAATTGCCCATGAAGCCATGCGCAGTTTCTGGGAAGGCCGAGCAGATTACCGAGAGGCTGTCGTGTTCGATCAGAACTTTTGGGAATCTCTCACCGCAGAGTCGGCTTTCCTCGTCCGATCTTTCAATGACTTCTGTCGGGTCCAGAATGAGGGCAAGTATGACGACCTCGTCGAGGAGAAAATGCCTGAGGTTACAGCACTTGCCTTCTTCCTCGGAAAATATCTCGAGGAGCTTCTACAACGTAAGAAGTCTTCCAAAGAGTCCGGAGAAGCAAATGATGAGGATGCGGTGGAGCAAGAATTTATCGTTGAACAGCTTTTGCACATTGCCAGCACCCTGGATTACAGTGACGAAGTTGGTCGTCGGAAGATGTTTTCCCTCCTGCGAGAGTCATTGGCCGTGCCAGAGCTTCCCGAGGAGTGCACCAAACTTGTTGTAGAGACATTGCGGTGCGCATGCGGTGCCGATCTTGCTGGCGAGAGCGAGTTCTGCAGCGTCGTTCTGGAAGCGATTGCTGAGGTTCACGATACCATCATTACGGAGGACAGCTTTGTGTCTGCCAAGTCAGAGATCAGCGATGATACCAGCAGTCGACATCAGTCTGAAACTCCAGGTGAAGAGGAGGATGTGCCCTTTAATAAGGAAGAGGCCAAGGCTAAGATTCTCAAGGAGATTGTGGTGAACATGAAATGCCTGCACATCGCCCAATGCATGCTTGAGAATGTTGAAGGACACTTGCAGCAGAACATGAACTTGGTGACCATGTTGAACAATCTGGTCGTTCCTGCTGTACGAAGCCACGAGGCACCAATTCGTGAACGTGGTCTTCTCTGCTTGGGTCTCTGCTGTCTGCTCGACAAGGTGAGTGAGTCCCCAGAAGAGACTTCGGAGTCTGATGCTAATTGGGTCAAGAACCTGGCGGAAGAGAATATGTCCCTGTTCATCCATTGCTACAGTAAGGGTCATGAGGGCCTGCAAGTTACTGCTATCCAAATCATCTGTGATATGGTTACAACCCACCCTTCACTGCTGGCCCCTATCACCCAGTCGGACGGTGAGACAGTCGTGGCCCCGCCTATGCAAAAGCCCTTGTTCAAGGTGTTTACACGGGCCCTGAAAGCCAGCTCCCCACCCAGTGTGCAGTCCGGCGCGGCCACAGCGCTGTCGAAGCTGCTACTTACCAACACCTTCGAGCCTTCCGGCGCTAACATTCCAATCGCCATTCAAGAGTTTAACCGAAATGCCGTGGAGAATCTCCTGCAGGCCCTCGTGTTGGCTTTCTTCCATCCACGTACCCGCGAGAATCCCGCACTCCGCCAGTCACTAGCATACTTCTTCCCTGTCTACTGTCACTCGCGCATTGACAACACCCAACACATGCGCCGAGTGGCGGTACCGGTGGTCCGGGCAGTCATCAATGCTGCGGAAGAGCATTATTCGCTCGAAGCCGAAGAAGATAGTGATGGGGAGATTGACGAGAGTGTGGGTGAGCGTGAAATCAAGGCACTGATGACCGGTGTCATTGGAATGCTCGCCGAATGGACAGATGAGCGCCGAGTCGTGGGACTTGGTGGTGAGCGAGTTCTGGCTGGCGGCGCAGCTAGCTCGACGGCCTGCGGCTGGGTGCACCTCGCCCTGGTCAAGGATATTCTGGAACGTGTTCTCGGGGTTGTGGCAGAAAGCAAGACCCGCTGCACTCGGGAAGAGCGTAAGCTTCTCTTCACCCTGCTTAGCAAGCTCTATTTTGCCGCGCCGACTCTCCCTTCGCGTGCCGGTTCGCGCGCCCCCGAAAATCCCGAGGACCAGTTCCGAAGCAGTATTCGTAGTGCGACTGCTGGTGGCATCGAGATTGATCCCGAGAACACCCAATTGGCTGAAGATGTCAAGGAGCTCTTGGACCAGACTATTGAGGAGGGCATTGCTGCCGAGGCGTCCAGCCGAAATGCCCTGGTCAAGACTAAGAACTCTGTCTTAAAGATCCTCGCTGTTGCGCAAGATGCTCGCGCGGCCAGCGCGCGCCCCCGCGCAGGCACCGAAGATGTTGAGAGTGATGCTGGAAGTGTTCGTTCCGCCAGTGTCCGTCGTTCGGTCGAGCCGACCGCGGGTCGCCGTCATGTCTCCGTGGAGCCCAGCATAATGGAAGAGGACGAAGGCGACCATGACAACAGCCGAATTCGTTCTGGTAACGTGAGGCCCTCTGTCGAAGGCAGTGGTCCTAACCGCCCTGTGGTGTCCATTGAACCGAGCATCATGGAGGAGGATGAAGACGACCATGACACTAGCCGCGGCACGGTTATCAAGGAGGAAGCTGTTGATGAGTGATGATTGAATTTTCGCTCTGGATTTGGTTGGCGTTTGTTGGGTTCGGGCTCCCAGGGACTGTAATTTTTTCTTTTTTGACGGATTATGAATGGGGCGGTTGGGCTGGCCTGCTGTATATGATTCGATTATTCTGTTGTTCATGATTTAGATGGTCGAATACCATTCCATTGCTTCAAACTTTCAAGTACTAGCAGTACGTTGTATCATCTGATCTGATTGTTTTGGTCCCATGTCTTCGATATGAGACGATCACAGTACTACTCGATATATTGAGTACTGGATTGAACTCCCTTTAGTATTCAGTGCTAAGTCTCCTCTTTGAGGTATTTTGTGGTGGTCTCGAATGAGGAGGATGAATCCAACACGTGATCACAGGGGCAATGGGAATTGCTGTCCGACGGTCGGACGAAAGAGAGCAAGTTGAAGATTGGACGAAACTGGTCTGGGATGAAAAGAATACTTTATCTCTTCTTTGCCGCTGATCGCCGATACTAATACAACTATATACTCTCTACTAATCTCCTCATCCGCAGCAGTAGAAGCAGGAGGAGCTGCAGTCATCTACTATACTCTTCCTAGTATGGCCTCCTCGCCAGTTCGTGCAGCATGGGCCCATTCCCAGAATTCTGACAGGCTCCACTTGCATGCCAGGTGTCGGGAAAATAAAACCCCTCCTTTTGACGTAGCGGATGAGCAGAGCAGATGTCCGAGAGAAATGAACTGGACACGAGCGCATTAGTGAGACCTCCAGGGCCGGGATGTTGACCGGTTGGGTTGTACGGGGGACGAGGCGATCAGGGGAACAGCACAGCCCATGGCCGTCGCGAAAGGGGCAGACAGGCTCTTTTTTCTGTGCTGCCAGCCGAGTCCAGTTGCCTCGAGAGTCGTGGTGGGCGCTCTTCAGCCGGGCTGTCCTCATCGGTGGTGGATGTTGTAGTTGTAATCTCCGTCACCCGAAACTTTTCTTTTCTCGCATCTCCACCTTCGACTTTCGCCGTGCCTCGCTTTTCTTCCCTCTTTCCCCCCTTACCCTCTCGCTCCCCCGGGCTTCTTTTTTCTTTCGTCCTTTCGACACTTTTTCGTCCGTGTCGAATTGTCTGCTGCACCTGCAGAGACAACACCCCTTTTCTTCTCCCTCTTTTACCCCCGGGCTCTCCCCCTGCCGCTCTGTTGGCAGCGACTAGTCAAGAGATGGCGGCCGTCTCAGCACCCACTCCTAAGCTGGATCGCTACGTTGTCATCCACGTTGCAACCACCTGTGACGAGCATGGCGTGTATGTCACCAAGGATTCGGCCGAGGTGATCGAATTGGGATGGATCTTGCTGGACAGCAAGACCTGTGAGGAGGTACACACAATTCCCGCCCCAACGGTTCCACGCTGGAGTTCCCCTCCCGTCATCAAACCACGCCCAAAAAAACACAGCACATTGGGGGCGCACGGAAGGAAATGACAATCAATGGCTGACGATCATCAATTCTAGCTGCACCGCGAAAGCGTCCTGGTCAAGCCCGTGAACACGCCCATCACCCCGCTTTGCAGTAAGCTCTCGCTTTTCTCCCGACCACAACCGCCCGGGTTGGGGCGAAAACAGCAACAGACACTAACACCCGACGCAGCAAGCTTGACCACCCTCACATGGGAGCACGTCCGCTCCGCAGGAACCTTCCGTGATGCCATCTCCCGATTCGATACCTTCGCCACCGAACACCTTACCAGCAAACAACTCGAGTTTGCGTTTGTGACGTTGGATTCGTGGGATCTGCGCGTGCAGCTGCCCCGCGAGGCCCGTGACAAGGCCGTCGTGCTGCCCGCATACTTGCAGCACTCCCGTACCTTTGACCTGCGCACCGAATATCAACGCTGGCAAACCCACCACCCCGAGTCGCTGCCCTTCGGTCCTAGCTCTCTCTCCAACATCTGCGCTGCCCTCGAGGTCGAGCCCGTCCAGTCCTCTGCCCCCATCAAGCACAATCTGCCCTTCCACTTGCAAGCACTGGCCCCCGCCTCGCCGCGCCGTGCGATGGAGGAGTCCATCACCCTCGCCCGCGTTCTCCGCGGCTTGATCCGCAAGTCTCAGCCGCCGCAGGACCACCCTGAGATCCTCACCCGCCCCATGGATGCCCACGCCGACGTCCGGGCGTTCCTGGCAGAGCGGAGCAAGGTGCTGCATCTCAGTGGCCTGCCCCACGACACGACCCAGTCCGAATTGGAGAGCTGGTTCACCCAGTTCGGCGGCCGTCCGATTGCCTTCTGGACCCTCCGAACCCCCGATCAGCACAAGCCCACCGGTACCGGCTTCGCTGTCTTCTCGTCGCACGAGGAGGCCGCCGAGAGCCTGTGCATGAATGGCCGGGCCCTGAATGAGAAAGCCATCGAAGTTTCTCCTTCCTCCAGCCGCGTCTTGGACCGTGCTGCTGAGATCCTCACGCCCTTCCCTCCCTCTAAGAACCGTCCTCGTCCTGGTGATTGGACTTGCCCCTCTTGCGGCTTCTCCAACTTCCAGCGCCGTACCGCTTGCTTCCGTTGCTCATTCCCTGCCATGGCTGCTGCTCCGGACCCAATGGGCTACGGCTACGGCTACGGCCCGCCTAACATGATACCTCCTCACATGGGTCATGGCCACGGAATGGGTGGTCACTCTCGTGGTATGGGCGGTAACGGTGGTGTTGTTCCATTCCGGGCCGGTGACTGGAAGTGTGGCTCTGAAGGCTGCGGTTATCACAACTTTGCTAAGAATATCAATTGTCTCCGCTGTGGTGCTCCTCGCTCGGGTGCTGCCGTCGTGGCGGACTCCGCGTTCCCCTCCCCCATGGACCCTCCCTCGGGATTCGGTATGGGCCCTAATTCGATGGCGAGCACGCCCGCCCCGGGTCCCTTCGCCTCGACCGCCGGTGGGTTCGGCGGATTCAGCCAGCAGTTCGGTGGCCCGCCCAACAACTATGCCCTCCCTAGCGGTGGCCTAGGCAATGCTGCCGGCGCCTACCCGCCCATGGGCCAGGTGAACTCCGGCTACGGTTCTTCGTCCACCTCCCACTCGGCTGCCTCCTTCGCCAACCCGGCTACTCAGGCGGCTTTTACCGGAGCTGACCATGGCGTGCCCTCAACCAGCGCCTCTAACGGTGCTTTTTACGGCTCCGAGGGTGCCAGCGACCCATTTGCTTTCTTGTCGACCGGTCTCGGTGGCCTAACCGTTGCTGATGATGCTCATTCCCGTCGCAACGGTGCTGGTGCCAACAAGTCCCCTGCGTAAAGTGGGAGAGGCTTGCCTCGATATCTGAAAAAAATTACATTAGCCCACCCCGAGGGGTCACACTTACGTTGTCCATATTGCAACCCTGCACTGTGGCAGGTATATGCGTTGGTTGATATTCGTTGATACGCATTTGTATAAGGGTTCTGCGGTTCTGGTGCATCGGGTTGGAAGGAGCAGGCGGGTAGCGCGTCGATCATGATGGTTCCGGATTCATTTGTCTCGCTGCGCGGTCCTGTGATTTGTGGGATATTTTCATATCATTGATTCCATCTTCTGCCATGGTCTTTTTTTATGGTCTGTGTTTTTATCTTCCTCGTCGTTTTTTTTCATATTGTTTAGGGATTGCGGCCACGGGAATCCCGGGGCGTGGGTTCGTTTTTTTCTATCGGCTGTTGTCTGTGTGGGTTTTTCGGACGCGAACGCATAGTGAGCTTGGGTTGAGCGCTCGACCTGCTTTGCATTTTAGATCTTTTGTCGTCCCTTTCTGCGTTGGGACCATGTCAAGCGTCGGAGAATTCACGGTTTGATCTCACGGGTGGGATACACAATGGCTCGGACTCCGTGGGGGTGTTGGGGGATTTCCTTTTGCGCTTGCTTTGGCATTCGATCGATATTTGTATTGATCGAAATTGTATCCGGAGAATGGATACCGCCAGGCACCTGTGAATTTCATCAAAAAAGATTGTTTGTCTATATCTACCTGCCTCGTGTATCCTTTTCTCATCCTTGTATTTGTCCCGGGCGGCTTCAGGGAAGGAGCCCTACCTGTACAACATCTCAGGATGTGCCGAATGCATTCATCCCTACATGAATAGACTTCTTTTTCTCTCAATCTACTCTCCCACGCAGTTTGTGATTAAGTAGCTAGTAGAACAAATTTGACTTTATTTTTTAATGCGCTATTATGATGAACAAGTGTAGGCCACTCGAATTTCGAAATGTGTCGTTAGACAGAGTATCCTTATCTCCATTACTACGAGAGAAATACGTAAAATATTGTAGCCCTCTTAAAACATCGAGAGATACTTTAGGCATCGGATTTAATGAGCTTCAATGAAGGGAAGTTGATACTTCATGCCCGCACGGCTGCGCCAAGGCAGCCGGATGCTGTCGCGTCCACCGCCCGCGGGACCCCGTCATTGCTGCCGCAACTCCATCGCCGTGCTCGGTCCAGCGTTTCTACCCTTCACTGCCCCATCAATCCTGCAAAGACCTCTTTGTTTCTCGATACTCTGCATCTAATTCGATTACATTACCTCGCGACACAATGTCCGGTTACGACCGAGCTCTCTCAGGTAAGCAGCTAGCTCCCCCGACCAGAGAGCTCCCTTTGCTCTCGTCCTCGACAACCAGCTCAATGTGCTAACTCATCCCAGTATTCAGGTATGCAGTATCTACGCCAAGCTCCAGCTTCGTGAGTTACTAACGCAACTCAGTCCCGATGGACACGTTTTCCAGGTGGAATATGCCATGGAGGCTGTCAAGCGCGGTAAGGCCACACCTACCCTGACCCAGGACTTTTCAGTACCTTTCCTCGGCACTGTTTCTCCATTCAACTGCTTCCACAGCCTGCTGATGGTTTGTTTGTGCGATAGGTACCTGCGCTGTCGGTGTGAAGGGCGATGACATCGTTGTCCTCGGCTGCGAGAAGCGCTCCGCCCTCAAACTCCAAGATACCCGCATTACCCCCTCGAAAATTGCTATGGTCGATGACCACGTCTGTCTTGCCTTCGCTGGCCTCAACGCCGATGCCCGTATTCTGATCGACAAGGCCCGGTTAGAGGCTCAGTCTCACCGTCTGACGGTCGAGGACCCCGTCACCATCGAATATATTACCAAATACATCGCCAGTGTGCAACAGAGATATACCCAGAGTGGTGGTGTTCGTCCGTTCGGTATTAGTACGTTGGTTGTTGGCTTCGACAAGAACGATGGAACTCCTCGCCTTTACCAGACTGAGCCTTCTGGCATCTACTCTGCCTGGTACGTATTCAGTCCAAGCTACCGACCTGTTTGTTGGCTTTGATTTTTAACCGGTGATTCTTCTTCCAAACAGGAAAGCCAACGCCATTGGCCGATCCAGCAAGACCGTCCGCGAGTTCCTCGAGCGCAACCACCAGGAGGGCATGGACCGCGAGCAGACAATCCAGCTGACCATCAAGTCATTGCTCGAGGTGGTGCAAACCGGCGCTAAGAACATCGAGGTGGCCATCATGGCCCCTGGCAAGCGCGTTGAGATGCTGCCCGATGACCAGATCGAGTCTTACGTTAAGAGCATTGAGACTGAGAAGCAGGAGGAGGCAGCCAAGAAGAAGACCGGCCGGACAGGCACTACCACCGCCGCCATCCTGACCCGACCTGGCGGTGAGTCGGCCGAATAAGCGGAGCAGGAGGGTGTCTGGCGTCTGTAACCAAGGCGACTGGACTTTATGTTGTGCCAATTTACCGTAGCGCTGGTCTCTTTTTATTATGAAGACTCAAAACCACGAATTTCTACACTCTACGTATTCACCGATTGTGTATTTGCAGTAGCACCTCACTATTCTTAAGTGACTGGAGACCTTACGGCGTATATGCTCATTGTCCTGGGGGCGGGGGAAGAAGTAGACCAAAAATATTTGACCTCAAATTAGCGCTTGCTGCACTAAAGTGCTTTGAAATATCACGAGCCCAAACATTGGCGAGAAAAATACTATCCTAATATGTGCAAGAGCTGCTACGGCTTAAGATCTTTGAGAAACAGTATCTTATGTCTTTTTTAAGTCTTGTTTACACTCCCAACTCCACTTGAATACTTTCTGCAACTTCCCCTAATGTACAACGTAAAATAGCAGGGTATTGATGCCATGGGAATCTGGGTCTATCACCAGGAAAAATCATCGTATCGTCAACATCATAAATTATGTGCAGGGCATATCCCCTTAACCCATTCGATCAGACACATCGCGGAACTTGAAAAGAGATCTATCATGATCGCCACGGACACGATCATCCTTGAGCATCCTGAATGGTGGGTTGATTAGTCTTCGTTTCTGCTTCGTAATGCGGGATGCCTGGAATTTACCGGTTATCCATGCGCGCGTCGTCACCCTCCACCTGTAGAGATGCCTGTGGCGTCACAGCCTCCAGAACGAAGTGATTATCGCAGTGTGGGCAATACTCGTCGCTGAAAAGGAGATGTTAGCTTCTCACGGTGCTGCCAGTCGCTAGCGACGGAGATATACACGGACCTTTCCTCAAATTCGGCGGCGTCCTTTCTGAAACACTTCTTGCACTTCTTGCAGGCAAAGATCTATTTTTGGACCGTCAGAACCAGAATAACCCATAGCCCTCTTCCTCGAAAGATGTTCGGACAACCATACCATCTCAGCGGACTTGGCGAGTTGGTGCGACTCCTGCTCCTGGTGGCATTCAGCGCAGTCGAACCATTTGCGGCCTGATAGAAATCTGTTAATCACCCGTCAACCGTGAAATAAACGGGCCGAGAGTAGCGTACAGCAAGCAGACCGAATGGCCACTTGGGCGTTGAGGATGTGTTTACTGCATGGCGGGGCGAATTAGCTTCAAGTTGAGAACCTGCAGGCCGACTGAGGGGAGTTGGGAAACTGCTGCCCCTAGTAGATCTGCGCAGACCAAGCACGAGAGCAAGACATACCACATGGTGCACGAGGCAGCTGGAGGGTCGGCGTGGGGAGGGTACGGCGTGGCCAGGAGTTGCGGAAGAAGCGCGCAGGAACCATTTAATCGCTCCCGTGATCGTCGTCAGTCCTCCACTTTCCTCCCCGCCACACCATTTCACCTCTTTCCCTTTGCATGCCCTTTTGCCGACGGCTTCGATTCCTCGGCCTTTGTGCCGCCTACGATTCACAGCACTCTGGCTTTCCTCGGAATCTCCTCGTCCCTACGTGAAGCTCTCAGCCCGCTCCGAACTGATTACAACATTCCCACACTACAGCAAGTGTACACGAGACCCTCCCCCAGGCACCGGCTGCCAGGCCCATGATCGACTCGCCCAGCTGGCCTCGGCGACAGACAAACGGTGATGGCGATGGAGGGAAACGGCAGAGAACCGGAGAACACTGACGATGCTCCTACTGTATGTATACCCCGTGAGCTTGCCCCGATGTGGCTTGCGGAGCCACTAACCCGACTGGCATCAACAGAGACCAGTGTCCTCCCTGCTCTCCCATTTTGAGAATCTTTCGCATCGCAAGACTCAATCAACTGTTGGAATCAGACAACATGACTCCCCGAACCGCTTTTTGCGAACCCCCGAGCCCAGTGACGAGCCGCGCTCCTCCAGCCGCACCTCCCTAGACTTGCCCCGGCCACACTCTCCATGGAATGTGACGGTTGATGAGCGACAAGGCCGACAGCCTGATCAGGTCAATGATGACAAGCTCCGGGCTCGCGGATCCCCCCAGGGCCATTATGGTGATAGGCCCATCTCCATGAATGTAAACCGCTCGTCGCCACAACTCCCACCTACCTTGACCGTCCATTCACCCCAATCGCCGCCTCGGGAGCTCCAGCGAGACCGATCACTGCCTCGACAGGAAGACCGCATGGCTAGGAGCTCTGTTCATCTTCCTAGGGCATCCGTGTCTGCTGGAGTATCACCGGCACACGTACCTCGGCCGACTACGCCTCAGCCGGCATCTTCTGTGACAGTAGGGGACACGGTTAAGCGGCTATCGCCTGGTGGGTTAGAGGTCAATGGGAATGGGAGCATAGCTGATCGAAAGCTAAAGAGTGCTTCGTTGCCTCCGCCGGCGAACCGCGCAACGAAGCCTAAGATCCCAGCCAAACCAGCATTGTTGTCTCACCCGGATACCAATTCTCTCGCCCCACGATCAGACCTGGCCTCCTCGGATGACCATGTATCGCCCTTCAACACTCCGCCTAGCAGCCCCGAGAAGACTCCGGCGAACCCGGTATCCACTGGGAAGCTTCCTCCTAAGCCGCTAGGCCGACCTACCACGGAGCCCCCGAGCCGACGCTCGTTCGATGAACGTCCGCCTGCTCCTAACTTCCAGGTCCGACATGATGCGCGAGATCTAGGCTTCTCCAGGGCTCGGCCAGTCCCTGAGCCTAGTCGAGCGACCAAGCCACTAATGGTACAAATCCCACCATCCCCTGCGATCCCCGAACCTTCTACCGCGCCACCCCTCTCCACGACAAAGCTTCGAGCAAGCGATAGTCCTCATGACCGGCCGGGTCTTCCTCCTCGGCCTAGCGCATCTGTTCCTCGTCGGGGTGGGCTCTCGCCTGCCCGGGAATCCCCTCAACAAATGCCTCATCCCGACCCGATCATACCGATAGCTCGATCAGCGCCATCGCATGCCAATTTGAACGAGGCTCAGAAACATCGTCCCCTTCTTCGGCAGCAATCGCTGCCTCGCGAATCACATTTTCCATCAGCGTATCAGGACCGACGTCCACCGCGTACGGATACAGAAGAAGAGGAAATGGTTGCAGATGAACCACCCATTTCGCGGACAGATTATCCTGATGCTTCACTGGCGAATCGAAGACCACCAATTCTCAAGACAGGCCCAAAGGAGATTCTCACACGGTACGATACGCGTCTTCTGGACGTATGCGGCAAATACGTATGTACCACTGGGTATTTGACGCGGGTATGGGATCTTACTACTGGTGAGCAAGTCATGAGTCTTGGACATGGCGAGACTGTTAAGAGCATGTCTCTTGCGTTCAAGCCAGGAACATCACTCGAGGAAGAAGGCAAACGCATTTGGCTGGGGACAAGCGCGGGCGACCTTCATGAAGTTGATATTGCCTCTCAGTCTATTGTGGCTACCCGTGCATATCCTTCTCGTCGAGAGGTGATCAAGATCTTGCGTCACAAAAAGGAGATGTGGACTCTCGATGACGAAGGCCGACTGTTAGTGTGGCCGCCAGACGAAACCGGCACCCCCAGTTTACAGTATAGCTACCATAGCCCCCATGAGCGAGTGGCTCGAGGCCATACATTTTCTATGGTTGTGGACGATACACTTTGGCTGGCAACGGGCAAGGATGTCCACATCTACCGTCCGAATGCGCGCGACGATGCCTCTTTCAGGGTCTTCAAACGACCCCTGGGTCTTCAACACTCGGGCGATGTGACCTCTGGAACCTATACCACTAAGGATGGCGGGCGAGTGTATCTGGGACATGCTGACGGCAAAGTAACCATCTACTCATCAGTGGACTACTCGTGCCTCGCTGTGGTCAATGTCAGCGTCTATAAGATTAATTGCCTGAGCATCGTTGGTGATTATTTGTGGGCAGGTTATAAAACAGGCATGATCTATGTCTACAACACCAGGACCGATCCATGGACGGTCAAGAAAGACTGGCGGGCGCATGATAGTCCTGTGTCTGCATTTGTGCTTGACACTAGCAGTGTGTGGACCCTGAACCGCCTGCAAGTGACATCGCTCGGCACGGATAATTGTATCCGTCTGTGGGATGGCATGTTGGAAGATGACTGGCTGGGTAAGTTGTTGTCCCCTGGCCAATTTCAATGCTGGCCCATCTAACCCTTCGCAGATAATCGAATGCAAAGCAAGGATGTCGAATTTTGCACGTTCCGCGAGGTCCGAGCAGCCATCGTAACCTGGAATGCCGGTGCTTCAACCCCCGGCAGCGTGCGCACGTCTGACTTCATCCGAGATGCCGTCAATCCAGAAGACCCGCCGGACATTGTGGTATTTGGATTCCAAGAGCTTGTGGATCTTGAGAATAAAAAGATCACAGCAAGTAGGTACCCCAAGGACTGGGGTCGATGACCAGCGACTAACTGCATCACAGAGAGCTTACTGCTTGGGAGCAAGAAGAAAGAGAACGGAGAGAAAGAGCATATGAGTCGACAATACCGCGTCTGGATTGATCATCTCACCCGGACTCTCCACGAGTGCATGCCTCTCGAAGAGTCCTACGTCCTTCTCCACAGCTCTAACATGGTCGGACTCTTTACTTGCGTGTTTGTCAAGCATAAGGAGCGCCACAATATCAAGAACATCAGTGCTTCGGAGATCAAACGGGGCATGGGCGGGTTGCACGGAAACAAGGTTGGTGGCGCAGGTTGCTTGTTAATTCCCGAGGCAATAAAAGACTAATCCATTTGTATAGGGTGCGCTCGTTTTTCGCTTCGTTCTCGACGATAGCTCGATGTGCTTTATCAACTGCCATCTTGCAGCCGGTCAAACACAGACTGCCCACCGCAACAACGACATTGCGGCAATTCTCGAGGCCGAGACCTTGCCATCGGAAAGTAGTCTGACTACTCGGACCGATCAGTTCGCCAGTGGTGGTGATGGTTCGATGATCATGGACCACGAGGTTTGCATCTTGAACGGGGATCTCAACTACCGCATTGATTCCATTCCTCGAAATGTCATCATTGATGCCGTTCGCCAAAACAACCTGACCAAACTTCTAGAGCGTGACCAGCTCCTGGCTTCTCGACGAAAGAACCCCGGATTCCGACTGCGGAGCTTCATTGAGGCTCCAATCACCTTCGCCCCGACATACAAATACGACGTGGGCACCGACCAGTACGATTCCAGTGAAAAGAAGCGCTCCCCCGCCTGGTGCGACCGCGTTCTGTATCGTGGCATCGGCCGCGTCAAGCAACTCGAATACCGACGGCATGAGGTCCGAGCCTCCGATCATCGACCTGTCAGTGCGTCCTTCAAGGTTCGCGTCAAGACGGTCCTGCCGCCGGAACGCGCGGTCGCCTGGGAAAAGTGCCAGCAGGAGTTCCAGGATGAGAAGCGGCGGTTGGCTTCGGAAGCCAGGTACGTTGAAGTTGCCATGCCAATCTACCCTAGTAGTACACACACGAAGACAAACTTGACTCACAACCTCAATTAGCATCGAATATCTCATTACTGTTCTCGGTACCGATCCCCGTCAAGCCCGTGCGCTCATCTTGAAGGGTTAGTGAGGTGGATTTTTGGCATTTGCGATGTCTCGTTTGGTTGCGATAAGGAAACCAATTTCCTTTTATGGCCAGGGTGTATATTGTACGAGTAACGAATTCACGAATAGACATGTATCATGAGCGAAACTTTCCAGGGACTGCTACTGTAGTATCGCAGCGCCATGCCGATCTGCATGGCATGCGTCATTAACCGTTTAGTTGAACCAGCTAGCCACGCCGATCTACGGGTTTTGGCGGAGCAGATTCCGATTCCCCAGCTTTTGCGGGCTATACTCACCATGACCCGGGCTGTTGGTTCAGGCATGAAAGATTGCAGAAAAGGACGGTCGTCGACTCAGCTTGACTCCATTGAACGCTGGCAACGCAAGCACTCGCCTGATCCCACGCAGACAATCTATTGCCGGCCAGTGCGGATGCCACCCTGCGCGCACCACTGCAATGATCGGCATCGGCTTTGCCATTTATTCTCCTAGCTGGGGAACTAAAGGTGCTTAATTATCCGGTCGACATCAGCCTCCGTCACCCCGCACGAAATATGGGCTATAAATACTCGGTGGGTGTGACACCGACATGAAGCATATCAACAGACACATCGTCGGATTGGCCAATTCACCATGCTCACATTGTTGATAGTTACGCTGGCCCTGTTGCCGGCAGTAAACGCGCTTGTGAGAGAAGATGGTGTGGTATGCTTGCTGCCTAGTTCACAGGGCTGACAAAATCAAGATACTGATCCATTACAATAGGGAAGGCTGCCTGCTCTCGGTTGGAACGCTTGGAATGCCTTCGGCTGCGATGTCGACTCACAGAAGATCATGAGCGCTGCCAACCAGATGGTCAGTCTGGGACTAAAGGACCTGGGATATGAATATGTCAGCAGTGAGCGGTTCCAATTTACTCTTAAGCACATTTTGGGTTCTGGCTCTTACTGATCTTGAAAAATAGTTGATGACTGTTGGTCAATCAAGAACACTCGCAATGCAAGCATAACACACATAATCCCGGATCCTTCCAAATTCCCTGACGGAAATTCTGGAGTGGCCAGTCAGGTGCATGAACTGGGCCTGAAAATTGGCATCTATAGTAGTGAGTATCTTGTAGTGTATGGTATAGACCAGAAGACTTAATAGCACAGGTGCCGGCGAAACCACTTGTGCTGGATACCCAGCCAGTCTGGGATACGAAAAGGTAGACGCCGAAGTCTTCGCAGAATGGGGTATCGACTGTAAGTCTATGGTCTGTCTCGTTTTGTGCTGCCATCAAAAAGATTCTAACCGGCTAGACCTCAAATACGATAACTGCGGCGTTCCTTCCAACTGGACGGATCAATATACCGATTGTGTCCCTGACGAAAATGGGAACTTCCCGAATGGCACCTGTCCTGATCTGAAGATGCCGCGCCGGAGGACTACGATTGGACCAAGTCTAAGACCTACACTCGCTATATGAACATGCGAGATGCCCTTCTTGGTGTGAACCGAACAATCTTCTATTCCCTATGTGATTGGGGCCAGGCAGACGTGAATACCTGGGCTAATGGGACGGGTAATTCGTGGAGACATCTCCGGCAGGTCTACTCTTGTAGGATTTTTATTTCAAATTGTCTTTTAACACTGAACAATAGCGAACTGGGCGCGCATTTCTGAGATCGCCAACGAGAACACCTTCAAGATGAACTGCGTCGGATTCTGGGGCCATCCTGACTCGGACATGCTTGAACTTGGCAATGGCAACCTCACGGCATCAGAGAATCGGGCTCACTTTGCTCTCTGGGCGATCATGAGATCACCTTTGATCATTGAAATCGTGGTACGCTTGGTTTTTTTTCAACCTTATCCGTCTGCCGCGTGGCATGCTAAGACGTGGTCAGCTCAATAACATCAGCGACTCCAACCTGGCCATTCTCAAGAGTAAACAGGATCCAGTTATCGGGCGCCCTGCAATCCGTATAAGTGGGGATACAACTCCGATTGGACCTTTGACCCTGATCACCCCGCCGAGTACTGGTCGGGTCCATCCTCGACTTAAGAGGGCACGCTGGTTCTGATGCTGAACTCGGAGGACGAGACTGCATCGCGCACAGCGGTGTGGAATGAAATTCCAGAATTGGATAGTGACTCATACCAGGTCATTGATGGGTGGACTGGAAAGAACCTCGGCTGTGTCAAAAACCAGTACACCACGTCTTTGTCTAGGCATGATGTAGCTCTTCTGGTGGTGAAGGGTAAGTACTAGAGAACCTTTTATTGGCGACAGGGCCTAAACAGGCTAGTTGGGTCGATCCTATCCTCCGGAACCTATAGCATTTGAGATTCTTTGAGCTTGTTTTCTTTGAGCTATCCGGTTTTGCTTGTAGTCCACTATTGGAGCTATCCTTGGATCTTCCCGAAAATAGTAAAGACGTCACCTTACCGACGCCAAAGAGATTGGATTGCAAAGTAGAACCATAAATGCTATTTGACTCTAGACTTACTTCAAATCGTAAGAATAGTAAAATGGTGGCAAGACTCCGGAAAGCTGTTCTTTGTTTGCCGTGTTTTCATCCAACTCTTTTGTGGGACTTCGGATCGAAGCCAAGACGTTAGTCTAATGTAATCATCTATTCATCTGGTTCTCTGTAATTCGAGTCTTTGTTACTATTGTAGTTATGAAACGTCGAGGTGGTTGATTTTTGCATCTTTAAATTGCAGCCCATATTATCAAATCCGGTGCGCCCTTTGTCATTGTCAGTGCAGCACTGTGGATGGTGGCCGCGGGATCCTGACCTGTGATACCTTCGTACTATATTTAATCACACCATGGCATTCAAGGCCAGCGAGGACTCGAAAGGGTAATATATAAGCAAGGCCAGGTGTAGCACCACTTGCTACTTGAGAAGCATTATTCACAGTGTTCTGCCTCTATTAATTCGAAATGACCCAACATTCATGTGGCTGTGACCTGGACCGCACCGGGGAATCTGTTTATCTTGGACCAGATGAAGGTCCGGAGCATCAGAATGATGTTCAGCTTGCATATAAAAGGTTAGTACCATATCACCCAAGTGGCTCCCAAGCCCCATGTGAGATGGTGCTTATTCCTCGATCAGTTCATTCCAAGAACGGAAAGCAGACTTCCATATTCGAAGCGAACATAATCGCGCGTATTATGTCTCGGTGCACAAATCTGATGTAGCTCGCGAATCACAGCTTCTTGCGCCCCTTGTCATGCCGCGCCAGGTAAGTGCCCAAACCCCAAAATCCAACTTCGTGGCTTAGCCATTGCTTTATTTTCTATTACTTTCTTCTAGCCGGGATTCGTGTTTCTAATCATGCGCGGCAAAGGGAGAACGATCGGTGAGCACTGTCACCCTCCAGAAACCGGTACTAATGGAACACTTGATCATGTTTGGCCAATTTCTATCCACGGGAGACTATGCCATCAAGGAATCTGATGTGCTTGGGTTTACCGTTGACACGAGGAAAAGCCCTAACGTCTGTTACAACTGTATGTGTAGCCTTCGCCTGCTTGGCCTCCATCTCAGCATCTTCCATGCCGCGCGATACCTGGGCATGGATACACTTCAGCTACTGGTAATGCAAAAGTTTTGTGCCATTTCCGACCACGTGACATCTACTGTGCTTCGATATATCACACAGGAAGTGTATACGATCGAGCTTTCCAGTCAACTGTCGTTATATCCGGGTATGTATTCCTTGGCTGGATGGCCTGATTATCGTCCTCTTCTGGTGCTACCGGCGATCATGAACTACATCAGAAGACATAAGCCGGCAATTGAATTACACTATGATATTATGGTGGTCGACGATGATGCCCCTTGGCCACATATTGAGAAGTTCAGGGCAGCATATGAGGAGACCGATCAATTCATGTCAATTCGGTACCGGATCCCGGAATTCGATGGGCATATGTCCTGGGCGGAAATGGTACTTTCCGAACAATTGGTGCAAGATGAGCCCCCGCAGCAAAACCGGTTCGAGCCGATAGGGGACTTACTGGACTTCTTTGAGAAGTCTTCTTTTCACCAGCCTGGACCCACCGATCTAGAGGTACAAATTTCTCTTGGTGAACTTGGCCCTTCATTGCCTCGATTGGCAATGCAGGAGCAGACTTATAGCGAGAGTATTGATGGTCCGGAGCTGTTCAAGTGCTTCGATGACTTCTGTCAAGCATTTCCAGAGTATCACAGTCTCTGATTAAAATATTTGTACTTAACCTGAATTGTGTAAGATTGGGAGTACATTATGTAGGACTCGTTCTCGTAACTCGTGAAATATCATTCAAGTTTCATCCGTCTATTCTGCTGTTTACCTTGAAATGTAGATCTTTATCTCTTGTAGGCTGTGCTTTTTTCTTGCTATTTGAATGAGGGGGTTTGCTCCATCAGCGGCTGTGTACTGTTCGACGGGCCAACAGCAATTATCATTTACTGTCGCTTGGGATTTGGTCCTAAAATCGATATCGAAGTGGAACACACTGAGAACACTTGTGTACTTTTCAAGCCCTGCAATGAGCCAACCCGGAAGTTGGCAACGTGTATAATAACGGTGTATTTCATACTTCATCGCATTCACGAAGACGGTGCTGGTTTATCTTCTGTATGTATTCCACGAAAGGCCATGATATTCTCAAAGAAAGTAATAGAACGAATGCTGTTGGTAAAGGGTTCATTTTACGGCTAGATGACTTCTGAAGTCAGCAAAGACGTAAAGGTCGACAACATCATTATCATCGACAAAAGACGTAGTAGGCCGACTTCGTGGGTGGTAAGTCCATCCCACCCATTGATAACAATGTCAAATTTGCTGTATGTCTTCCTCTATGTATGTTAGAGAGGGGCTTTATCATACTTGATGCTTTACCATTTCGACCAATAGCACAGTTTGAGTCATTAACGAATTGACAATACCAACTGCCTCGTACTCTTCCTATTGATACCACGGCCTTTACAGACCTTTTTGTAGGAAGATGTCTTCTATTGCACCTGGCCCGGCTGCTGACCGAGCAATAGAGAGAGGAATTTCGTGGCGGCCGGGAATTGTCGCCTGAGGCCGCGCCAGTGTGTGATAATCCAGGGTAAGAATTGCAATGTGATAGCCCCTCGCACCGTTTTTGTTGGTTGCAGTGACATCCAGATGGTGGTACTGGAAAAGTTGTCGCAGGGAAGTCTCCTGACGTTTTCGCGCCGCGTAGTGTAGTGGGGTGTCTCCGTTCTCATCCCAACTATTGATATCCGCACCATGTGCAACCAAGCTACGTATTGCTCTTTCCATACCACAAGCCGCTGCAACACTGAGTGGGGTTATCTGGCGGAAGTCCTTCCAATTGGCATCCACTCGAACATCAGAAACCAGCAGTCGGACCATTTTGATGTGTTTGGCAATGATGGCATGAAAAAGTGGTGTCCGTCCAAGCGCATCAGTAGGATTGACTTGGACCCGTGGGTGGCGTAAAAGGTGCTCCAAGAGTCTTCTTTGGCCATGCTTTGCGGCCCACAGCAAGGCTGAACTGCCTTGGTGCCGCAAGTCGAAATCATACAGTGAATATTGGAAGATAATATGCGAGCGCTTGCAGGTGAGCGTAAGTGAGAGCACCTTTTGCGAAGTGTGAAGGTTTCTAGCGATTAAGTGTAGCAGTTCAGGGTGTAGATTAAGAAGAGGCATCTGTGAAAAACTTGACCAAGGGCTCACGCAATGGAAGGAAGAATTAGGCAAACTTATATAGTATTGAATCAGCGACTATTCAATATCGCCTGACCCATTGAATAAAAAAGCCTTTTAGCAAGGCTGTGCTCCTGTGGCCTATGCGGAGCAACATCAACAACCGCGCTAGGAGTGATTTTGATCCTATGCTCAGCGTCATTGATCCCCAAAGCCGATATAAGCTCCTAGAATATGTATGTTCCCAGTCTCACAACATTAGCTCCTAGGAGCTTGTAAATTGGAGGGGAACGTGCAGGGTTACGGGTGGTTTGGGCCTTTTGTTCCGATATCGTTGCTATAAATGCCCATTCAATCCTTCGTATTGCCGAAAAACCCTTTTCTTTCTCATTGAAATCAGAATTCTCACCCTTTTCACAATGGTACGTTACCCTACTTCTCTTCTATTGCCCTGGAATAGCTATGCTGATTTGGACCTAGACATGCCTGATATACGAACCTGCTGTCCAAGACAATGTGCCGTGCTCATACGCCAATGAGTTTTGCAGCAGTGAAGAAACAGCTTTGTTGACAGCCATCATGTCTTGCTACCTTGAGAACGAACGCCAACTGCTTAAAGCCGGAGCTGACCCCATCGCGCTTGGCCAGAGCGGCGAATCGGCCTTTGAACTCTCGGTCTATTGCGCAGAAGATCCGAGTCGCCATGAGAGAAAAGAAGCATTTCAGGAAATCACAAAGCTCTTTCTCGAAACGTTGAGACCGGCTGGACTCAAATGGTTTGCGAGGCTGAATACGCGAGGCCTGTCGCCCCTTTGCTGGGCCGCGTGCCACAACGCCATCGATGTCATGCGTTACCTCCTGGATAGCGGAGAGAACGTCAACCAACAAAGCTGTCTAGGTATGACTCCGCTGCATTGTTCAGCGGAATGTGACCGGGAAGAGGCGTGTCGCCTTCTTGCGCAGAAGGACATTGAAGTAGAGAAAAAGGATCACCACGGCGCTACAGCCATTCATCACGCCGCGAAGAATGGGGTGATTACCGTGCTGAATCGGCTACTCTTGGTGTCCTATATGGATATCAGCCGCGAAGACGTGCACGGAAACACTGCAATCTGATGGGCGACCCAGCATGGCGATGAATCTGTCGCACAGCGTCTTCTCGCCGAAAATACTGAAAGAGATATCGCTATGGAGGTGATTGGTTATGATCCGCGTACGAGAGAATCATCAAGCGTGCTTCACAACGCTGTGAGACACTGTAGCCTCGAAATCGTGCGCCGGCTGCTTGTGGTTAGGTTCTTGATCTATACCATTCCAGAGTTAATCAAACCTGGTAAGTGGGTCGAGAATATTTATTATAAGGTAAACTAAGTAGCAACTAGATATTTTGAGCTTTGAAATCTTCAAGTCGGAGATGCTTACTCGAGAAAGCTACGTGGAGGAAGCGACAGAGCTATATGATTGCGGCTACCCCGCGGATAAATGCCCTCCATATATGGTTATTTATGAAACACTACGAACCATTTGCGAGAATCAACAAGAAATTGTGGAGAACCGTAAAGAGATAAATGTCTTGTCCGTTCTGGCCGCTTTGCCTCGAACCACAGAAATAGAGCTGGACTTCCCTCAATCGATCGATGAGCCTCAATGGGTTGACTCGTACCTTTCACTAGACATGACCGCGAAAGAAGTGTCGAATACACATCACCTACAGGCTATTACAAAGGCTCTACAAAGGAGACCAGAGTCGAGGGCTTCCTTAGTAACAATAGAGTTGTCCTCTCTGCACCTTCCGTACTACTCTCCTTGGGAACTGCCAAATTTTTCCGCTCTATCTGATGCATTAGAACGCTTGCTCGAGCAGTGTACGACTTTGCGCATCACTGAGAGGAGCGCTTCCCTAGAGCTACTCCTCGGACCATTGTAAAGCTTCGGCAGCTGATTCTAGGACCTGTAACTATTCCATTCAAAACGTTGCAGGATTTCCTGGAAACCAATAGGCAAACTATCACCTCGTTTGGATTTAATGACACGCGGCTTCTCGCTGTGGACCGACCCCGCCGGAGCCCTGGAATGGTTACAGAATTCCATGCAATATGCTGATGGAAATTTAGTGACGCAGCTACAGAGACGCTCTTCGCCGCCCGCGCGGACAACCTCACCGAGGCAATGCAGCGGCATACTCTGTAGGACAAATTTCTTTTTTCTTTTTTTTTTCCTTTTTTTCTCTTAAGCCTCGACATCTATTATTCTAGATCCGAAGTCACTAGTTGAGTACTAATTATATCTATTATCATATTTCCTAAATTATGCGATTATTAGTTGTAACAACAGCCCATTTGGGTACAATTTTATGCGATTCATCTGTCTCTGGGGTATCGGGGTAATGGATTGCAGGTCAATACACTCCTTCAAACCGTAAGGCTAGAAGAATAGCCGGCAGTTATCAGTCGAAGCCGTATTAGCTGTGCTAGAGTCGATGGTTTCTTCCTCCTCTGTTCTGAATATACCATGGATGACCCCGTATCTGCCTCCTCTCGTTTCCTTTTCTTGTTTCCCGGATGATAGCCGGATTTACGAGATCTACTAGGAGAAATCATGAGTCAAAAACCGCCCAAGATAAAACACTACTTCCTACAAACCAATCTATCGGATTATGCACAAGCAAGGCTTGGGTGTTTCACAGCATTAGCCATACCGAGACTAAGGTAGACAGAACGAACCGGCGATGTGGATACTTGAAGAAGCTGAATCTTGTTGTTACGTTTAGCGGCAGGTGAGCTTGCCCTTGCATTTGTGGTCTGTAGAGATACGAGAAAGATAAATATCTTGCCACACCCGGGCGCGGTGATTAGGCCTAGTTCCCTGGATGGCCACACCCGTGTGGTTTGCCTCGTTGAAGTCTCTAAAACGGGCCAGCAATACTGAACCGGCGTTTCTGCCCCGATCCCTAATGGGACTGGCACAAGCTTAAATGTGTATGAGGCCGCACAAAGTTCGCCTATCCTTTTGGAAGTTCATCCGCAGTTTTCTGCGGGTCATCATAAGTTAATCTTGGATTACATGCCCCACCCAGTAGCCTGTTGCGTGGATACGGCAAAGTCTAAACTGTACCATGGATACAGCAAGTCACAGGAACACATCTGGACTCCGTCGAGGCCAGTCTGGATCCACGTCTCCAGATAAACCGACGGATAAATGATCTGCAGATGTCTCTATGGGCTTCAGCGCGAAACTCATCCAAGAAACTCGTTTCTTCCAGCTCCCCAGACATCGCAATAGCAATGCCGTTCAGACACTTCTTGAGACATGCCTTTGACACACCAGCGCAGCAAACCTGGGATGCTCTAATAACTACATCTAACCAACCCACCCCACTGTTCACCCGGCTACTTGATGCAATCTTCACTTACTTCACCAACACCCCGCCAGTCGACCCCACGGGCTTTGATCCTGTCAAATATGCGGCGGTCTTCACGGCCCTGTTCTACTCCGACAATAACAATCTCAGTCGCCGGTACTTCATCTTCGCCTCAGAGAACCATATGCCCGCGCCCGAGCAGTTCTCCTATCAGGCTCTGGCCATATTCTACCGCACCCACCACATCCAACACATAATGAATGGCGCCACTCCAGTACTCACAAGAGAGGGATTCCACCTCATTATGCTGAGAGATACATTGGGAGATCCCGAGACACAATACAGACGATTCAATGCGTTTTTGGCCGCCCACAGAGGTGATTTGGTGGATCCGATGACTGGTCAGCGGTTTCCGCAAGTGCCTATTCCGCGGGAATTGTTTCCCAGGGATATGGATTCGGAGACCTGGGAGCGAGAGGTGCAGATGACTAGAGCGTTCAACGAGGATTTGGGAATATATCTGGAAGAGCTGAATCAAACGGGAGGCTGGAGGCATGACGTGACCATGGCTAGTATGTCGCCTGGGGTGTGGGTGAGTGGATATCTGCGATAGGTAGGTGTCTACTGGTTTACTCGAAATGGCTGTGATGCACCATTGTTTTGAAATTTACATTGTCACGGTGGATGGAAGCAGGGTTGACGCGTATTGAATCAATAAGATCAAGACCAATGCACTTTAGTCTGGGACAATACTCATATACAAGACGAAGCTGGTTTCGTAGAGAGTCACAATAAGAACCCCCTAATCGAGGCCACGATAAATTCCTGGAGACAGGGATAAGATCGTAAACCAGCTCTATGCGTATGAGCAGGCAATTAAAGTCCTGAAAAAATGCGTGGAATTTTCGATATTCGGCTCAGTAAATGCAACATGACACATGTAATCAGTTTGGCAACTAACAACCCCAAGGCTCATTCGACTTTTTATCTGTGCTGATGCTGGGGCTCTCCATCAAACTTTTGATCAGAACCAAAATCATCAAGAAATTAGCATAATTTCATACTTCCCCGGCACCATCAACGAATCCTTCCCTTTTTTTGTCTGGAGCTGATCCCACAATCTGGACACTCCCACATCCAACCAGAGCAAATGGAGCCCAGTTGCATGGGGAGGTGAAGTCCGCTTGTCCATTAGTTATTTTCTCCCTTAATTCATCCAGCTGGTACTTGAGATCAGTAAAATCACCTTCCGGCCTAGTCCTTTTATTCTTGGTGGCTCGCCACAGGTTCTCTAGTTCATCAACTAGTACCCCTGCGCTTCGTTTGTCTAGCTGGTAGAAACCTCGGACGGCTTGATGCCAGGCGTCCGCCACAGATCTTTTAATACCCGTGGAAGTATTTCTGGGTGCCGATAGTATCTGATAAAATAAATGCATCAACAGCATGGTTGCGCCGTCGCAGACTTTCCATAAACCCCCAAGAACTGCTTGCGCGCCGGATTGAAGTACAGCATGTGCGAACCCGACGAGGTCGTCTCCGGAGCTGATTTGGCCTTTACCACTGAGGCAGCAGCTGAAGACCACAAGGGACGCACTACAGTCCATTTTTGCCATGTCGAGGACACGAAACTTGTTGCCGAGGATTGTGGATTCCCAGGGCGAGGAATAGTTCTCAGTACCGTGAGATGCAACATGTATGAGTTCAGCATCTTCAATAGATTGCATGAACTGGTCTCTCTTGATCGGTTCTGCGCCAAAGGAACTGCAGACTGAGACCACTTCAGGGCCAACATAAAGTATCGGGTTCTCTTCACCACAGTCTGCTACCGCAGTGATCCTGGTGCCTCGCCTGGATTTGGCTGCCTTTTCGGAAATCTGTCGGAGAACAGCTAAGCTCGGTACCTGGTAAAAAGGCTTTGCCAATACCAGAGGTTCGCCGTCCAGCATCAATGCGCCAAGAGGAAAGACGTTCAAATATGAGGTAGGCACAAAGATGACAGTGTCGCTTGCACGGATATATGGAGCAAACGGTTCTATCAGGTGAATAGATATCTGAGCCGCAATATCATTCAGACTCGCCTTCAGCTCAGCCGCCTCAGAGGGAGTTGGGTCCTTCTGAAAGGCTAATATTTTTCCAAGAAAACCAACGACTAGTCTGCGTAGTGCGTATACTCCGAGGCTGGACTGGTGCACAGATTGAATACCTGACGATGAGATGCACATAGCTATCATTCCACTCATGCAAATGCCAACTTCAATGACGATGGAATTGGGAGGAATTGAGCTAAGAAGTGCATGCATATCTGGGACGAACATGGTGTTTTTGAAAATCTGTGCTGTTGTATCGCTCCTGCCCCCGAGAGCTTCTTCAACTGGATTGAATGTATCCTCAGGAATCCCGAGCTCTTTTGCCACATTGCGTGCCCTCTCAAAAAAATCCTGCTCATCCCCAGGCTCGCACTGTGAATGAATCAATGTTGACAGCAAGCGATTTCGAGTCGACTCTTCCATCCACTCTTGAAGGCCATCCACGCTTACAAAGTCATGTGCCTGTAGTATATCGAGTAAGGTTCTTGCCCGGCCTTGCTCGAGGAAGATGAGCGTCTGGTCTAGCCAAGAAGAGGTCGGCAGACGCCACTCTTGTGGACTTTTGGCACGAGCCCGCTGAGAGAGCGCGAATGACGTTCGAGCGAGCCCGCAGAACAACTCTGCAGTGTGCAGCGTCGAGTAAGCTCTGCGTCGGTCGTCGGGGTTTGGTATCATAGATCTCAAATTTTCAACCTGGTATAGACCGTCTAAATAATTATCGAGTGCTTCGTAGAGCTTCCATTCCCGTTCGTAGAAAGCACCAATGAAGGTGAGCAGTTGCCAGCTGTCCGGCTTTGGCTCTGACCTCAGTTTTTCGAAAAAGTCTGGCAGGACCGTGGCGATATTATGCAGTATCGCAGATCCCTTATCCCAGGCCTGGGCCATGAAACACATGGAGATGTCCTGTTGGGCAATATCACTGCGCACCTGTATGGCCTGTTCCCGAACGTCCCTCGGTACTCCTCTGCGATCGCAGACGAGACGAATATCCTCTGCCCCATATGTGGCGAACCAATCAGAAAGAAAATGTGGGAGAACCTGTCTCATTTCATCTACCCGGCCAAGCTGTGCTAAAGTAGGGATTTTGTGGTCGAGCACATCCCTTACCCTCAAGGCGTTCTGTGAGTCGCAACTGGAGACAAATATTTCAAGTTGGGCGTCAGCGGCGGCCATGTCTCCTCTGCCGATCGCCTCGAAGCAACGGTCAATAGCTTGGTAATAACCAGCTAAAAAGTCATTTCGTGTCTCATATGTTTGCATGAAGTACGCCATCTCAGCTTCACCGCAGCCAAGTAGTGGGTCATTGAGGTGACGTCTTGCCTCAGCACTGAAAGGTGCAAACCCCATGAGACTGGGTTGGCTTCCCGGTAGAAGGCCCTGGCGTACTGATTCCCACTGCGAACGTAGGTTCTCGTTTCCAGTCATTGAACAGACGGATTTGACCAAAGTGTCGAACTCGAGCAGGAGCGAAGCCCTTGGTACATGGAGATGTTGAAGGCTGACTCCGCGTGACAAATTGCGGTCAATATATGCAAATGCGCTCTGTAGAACTCCGACACCATTCATGGTCTCTCTAATCTTTGCCTCCGCGAGTGCCCAGTTGTGTGTTCGCTTGAACAGTGTAATAGATGCCTCTGCTGCAAAAAGCGAACCTAGAGGACTGTCCAATGCCTCATGGTAGACAGCGGCACATTGGCAACAAGTAGCAGCCACACTAGTGTTTTTATGCATTGAGAACTGAAAGTGAGCAAATCGAAGCATTAATGCCCCAAGGAAGTGGGACAATTTGTGGCTTTGCGTTCTGCGCAACTCTGTCCCTAGGCGCCTTGCCGTATCAACTGCGACTGCAGCCTGTCCACGGCTACAGCAAAGCAGGATGAGATGGCAGGTAACTAGCTGTTGGTTCATGCGGTCTTTGGTAAAGAGACCCACCGCTGTCAGTAAATCTTTCTCCGCCTGTACGAGATGTGCACTCTCAGGTCCTGCCTCCGATCGGATCCCTTCTGCGTGATTCACGCAGCCCCTGCGCAGGTAGACGGCAGCTTGGCCCCGTGGGGCACATGCAGCCTCCATATAAAAGAGGGCTTCGGCATAGCATCGCTGGGCTCGGTTGTCATTCTTCAGCGGCAGGGTAGACTCCAGCGGGTCCCAGGCCATATTTGCCCACCCATTGTCCCGGATCTCACAAATCAAATTGAACGCTGTGGGACTCGTATATGGGCGGGATAATATGCGATCTCCTTCAGTTATCTTGCACATGCCCATGCCCGCGTAGTCGGTGACATTTTCATATTCGGCTTCAAGCTGGGCAAGAGCTCGGCCCTCATTTGTAGCTCCTTTCGCCCATTCAATGTCGTTGGACATTCTCTGCAAGATGATCCGAAATGTTGGATTCCCGAACTGACTCATGCGGTCTGCCAGGGTATTGGACAAATATGGAAGTTGCATATTCCGCAGACTCAGGTGGCCTCTCTGGTCCTGTGGTAGGGACTCTGTTGTAACAAGTGGTGTGAAACTAGGGTGTGCAAGGTAGGAAGAGTGCAAAGTATCCAAGTATGACCATACGTCCAGAATCAGTGCCTGCTCTAACATCTCGACCAATGATGTAGATTGGGCAGCACATATGGCTCGACCGGCCTTTTTCGCTTGTATGTGCAGAGCCTTCAAAGCAGAAGTGTCCTCCCTCAGCTGTTCGTATGGATCGCCAGGGATCATCGCAAATCGAATAGCTATAGGGCGATGTTGCAGCATGGCAGCGTAGAATTCGTACATCTGCCCACGTAGTATCCAGATCCGGGCAAGCCCTTCGTGTTGCAGGGCTGTAAGGCTTTGAATACGTTCACGCGCTTTGGGAAAGTCTCCTGCAAGCATATAGTAGATGGCTCGGAGAAGGTTCGTTCTCGCTCTCTCCGTTGTCGAAAATTGTCTTGTACTAAGCTTCTGCTCCAGAGCCGAGATCTGCCGGCCGGCGTCCTCATAGCTACCACGACACTCGTCCGGGAGTATAGACCCCCCGAACACTTCACTGATCTCGATGAAGTCCATTGTCGCTAAAGGTGTACATCGAGGGGCGGTAACGAAGATGCACACTACTGCGACCACAAAAGTCGATCACTAAGTCGGCGGCATACTAATCTAATATCGAGAATTTCTCTGATGAAATGGAAGACTCTATCCCCATGGATCAAACCAGGCATGTGCGCGGCCACACGCCTTTGACTCTAATTTAGATTTCCGGATCCTCAATAAACCGATCAGCGCGTCTCCTGACAACACAGCCACTGTTCCAGATCGCCAGCGCCTTTGTAAAATATTTGGGGTCGAACCATAGAACCTGTACCTGGTTAACAAAAGGGGTGCAACCTTTAGGACTGACGCACTCCTAATTCTATGATCTTACGATATCCCGAATCATTGTAAGGCACACCGTCAAAATATAATATCCGCTCAGTATCGTCTTTTTTTTTGTGGCAGTCTACGAGCTCTACGCACTCCTAGCTATCCTAGACACACCCTGAATGTCTTGGCGGATGGATCGTCACAGAGCAGGATCAAGCTTCTTTTAAGGTCAGTGATTAAATCGATTACCGCCTTACTGAGCGGTTCAACCCGCTTTGCCTGTCGAGCGGCCAATCGAATTGTCTACTGAATCTCCACTTAAGGAAACCCATAGCCATGTTGGATCACGCGGGAATGATTGTGGGCATGGGCTGAAAACGGATAGCAACACCACTGGCTGTCCTTGGGATCAACAAGACAGCCCATGGTGACCGACCGGTAGCCACGCCCATCTAAGATCCACGCCTCCAGTACCGTGGTTCTATCGCTCTGATAAGCAGCTGATCAGACTGACGCCTAGAATAGCATCCACCTCAACGACGATCCTTGTGACCATCAAGGTCCCACACTATCTGCATCTCCTGTTGGTTGTCACTATCCTCCTGAAACTGGTACATATAACTCGGTCGAAAAATGCCCATGATCGACGTTAGGCACCTCAGGTCCTCTCTCAACGACCAGTCACATACCATGCCTAGAAACGACGGCCAAAGCTATTTTCTCTACGGTTACGGGAAGAAACCGGCGCAATTACGTCTTGGCCACCTGTGCTTTGGGCACTATTCTGAAGCGACCGACGATTCCCTGTGGTATTTTCCTGGAGAAGATCTTGAGTATGGGACACTTCCTTTTACGTCTGAAATGTGGCTTACTCGTAAAATTTATCATAGCGCCGCCGGACTTGCAAAATGCGCTGATGTTTTCAATATCGACAACCAGATATTCGGGACCGACCCATCTATAAAGATATCGACTGACCTCAACGCGCTCGATCTCATTACGGTGGGATCATCCTTCTCCAAGTCCCGCGCGATGTTTGTCTATGCCAAAACAGGGCGCAAGATTGAGCTGAAAGAGTATGTGCCCATCCAGAAGACCAGTGCGTCGTCTTAGATATGCAGCTGACCTATAGCGCATTGCACGAAAATTCCTCGACGAAAGAGTCTTGATAAAGGACTCCTGCAAAAAGACCCTCGAGAGGTGGCTCGTCGTAGCCAACCCCAGCCTCAAGACATTATTCACCAGCCCGAAGATTTGGTACTTGACGGGATTCTACGAACTAGAAGATACCTTGAGCTTTAGCAGTACCAAAAGCACATTTGGAGCCCGAGGTGGTATATCCGCCGAGTTACTCTCCCTCCTCGGTGCACCTGCGGGTGCCAGTGCAGCGGCCGAAACGGCTAAATCCCAGTTCCAAAGCGTACAAATCAAGGAGCCACTTGTCTGGGCCGCAAGATATCAGCTGCTAGATGCGAAGTATCTACACTTCAAAAAGGGTGAACCTAAGCCCGGAAAGTTGGTAGAGCTGGGTCGCAAGGCACTATATTCCGATGGCACCGTTCGTGGCCCGGGAGATGTCGCAAACTACGCTGAGCTTTCGCTCCTTGAGTCTGAAACAGACTTGAACACAGAAGGCCCGCCGACGGAGTCTGATGAGTATTGGAAAGCAATTAAAAAGGCACAGCATAAGTGGGAAAAAAGGGAAGACTCCAGAAAATCCCCAATCTAGCTGCTATTAAACCTGTGCAAGGGACTTGCTCCATCATTGAAAATTAAACTTTTATGCGCTTACTAGCCATGGGCCCTGGTGTCGCGTTATGAGACAGCGAGGAGTCTAACCGACCTTATTGGCTTCTTGAAGGCTTTCTTCCGTGCCTCTTCAGCGCAGAAAATTATGCGACCTCTTTGTTTCAACTTTTAAGCCAGATTTCAAATTATTATCTTTATTGGGAACCTTGATTTACTACTAGCTACCTAGAAGCTTACTGAAGTCACCTGGAATCTATTGTATTTATCCTCCGAGTAATTTGTCCGATGAAGGTCATTTACTGGTCTTTGAGCAAGATCCGTCCAGCAAACTTCAGATGAGAGCCAGGTTGTAGTAGAGCTCGTTCAACAGCATTATTTGATAACCCGAATCTCAGCTGCAACCCTGCAAGGTGGGAGTAAATAATAGTAATGTTATCAACCACCAATCCCTCTGCCTGAGACAGTCTCACGAATGCCCTTTTCAGCGAAAAGTGCCCGCTGGAATATTGTACTTGTCAGCAGCGCGTCTTCTGAGGCTCTCCTAGGTTGAAAAAGCCCTGAATGACTGAGGGCATTCACCTCATGCACTGAAGTGGGCGCGTGATTAGTGCATTCTAGCTCTGACTTTCCAAGCCCTGAAATTGTAAAGTTCAGACATTTCTCATCAGCGCTTACTCTTAAGCCTAGACAACGAGCGGCACGTGGTAGAAATATGCGGGCAGCTGCAGAAGCAACCCATTTTTTATATGAATGCGGGCGATCAATTCTATTTTTCTATCTTCTTATCTGGTTCCAGGTTTCGTGAAAGAAAAAGCCTCTTTTGGAACTGTGTTATAAGAGTTTCTCAATGGGGCTTTGGTAAGGAGGTTTTCAGAAGATTAATCAGATAGGCGATTAAAAGCGCTTTACATGTCCCGATCATCACCCTTCTTTAGATATTCTTTCTCTTTGCGCATAATACAGGCACTGAAGTACCATATTAGCCTTTCACCAGACACCGAAAAGAAAATCTAGAATCTGTATTCAATAGTACTTTTGAATCATAGGACGTGGTAACGCCAGGCTATTACTCGCAAACGGCGACTAAGCTATCCGGTCACCGCCTATACCATGGCACTTGCGACGAACTCGATACAATAGTTGAAATTTCCACAATAACTGCAGACGTCATTTGAAATTTGAACAAATGAAGGGGACTTTGAATGCTTGGCACATGCCGTCAAGACCCTAATCGCCATAATTTGGACCAATCTGAAGTCAAAGTCTTTGGCCTTCTAATTTAATGACCGGATGTAATTAGTACCAAATTTATTTTTATATTGCTAATCATTAAAGAATGTATACATTTATCGTCTTAGTGAGTTCCTCTTTGCAGACACTGGAATTTAATTGACCCGCAGTGCTATTTGCTCAAGCAGCTTTCAGGGAGCAAGCGATAAGACTGGTTTGATTGCAAACACGTGCTGTTTCGATGACTAAGATCTTGGTAAAATGAACGCTTAAACTGGCGTCGAATGTAGCCATTTTCGGCGCTCGATTTACCGTCACTTAGTGTTGTGGTGTTAAAATTTACTACTATGGGATCCTCATAAGACAACCTAAGGTCCCATGGGTATGGATTCCGTTGCAAATCATGACCGGTTGACCTCGTGCGGTTCTCAGTGCAACGTGTTCTTGGGTGGTCCAACGACTCGCTCTGCAGAAGTTATCTTGCGACACATAAAGCAAAGACTCGAGGGCGCCTAGAGCTCGGTAAGGGCTATTGGTAAATATTATTGGTGTTGGCTTAGAGCGCTTCGATTGTGTGCCATGGTATTACGCGTACGAGCTACTAGTAATTTGGACTTTTGGTTGCTCTTTAACTGCGGTGACCAGTCCGATTTGCCTGCTGCCTGCACCAATCTGCGCCTGGGCTTGCGCCTCGTGCGAGCTGGACAGTGCAGCATGAGTACCAATTGCTCCCACAAGGTAATCCCAACAAGCCTGCCAGAAGCCTCCAGCGCATACGAATCGTACGTAGAGGCCCCCCTAATTATACCCAGCTGAATCATGTCTCATACTTGATCGGACTGATTTGATCGACTGGTGCTCCACTCGACCCAAGGGGATATCCACTTCTTTACGTCAATCAGAGCCCCTCTTGCGCAGCTGGTCTCCTATTCTATTTAGGCGTCAATTCCACGATCTCTTCCTTCTTCAAAACCTTTGGATCAATTGTGCAAGTATAAGATGACCGGCTCATCATGACCTGGTTATTTCCCCACCAGTCCGACACTTCGCCAAGTCGTTCCCGCCTCTCCTTCCTCATTCTTGGCCTGACCGTGCTGTTCTTGTTGATCTCCTACCAGCTCGTGCTCAATCGTGAACTGCTTGGTTCGGTCGCAGAATGGGCTACCGAGAAGGGATTTCAAACGGTGGGCTTGGACACGCCCGGAAATGTGACGGAAGATGAAGCGGCGTCATTAGCTGCCGGCGCTAGCGATAGCATCAATATCACCGTTCCTACGTCTAGCGGCAATCCGATCAGCAGTATCACTGTCGCGCCAACAGAAACCCCGTCTGCGTCACCCTTACCGCCACGCGAAAAGGAGCTGGTGCTCGCGGCAATGCTCAGCAGCGATATGTCCTGGGTAGATGAGAATATCCCTGAGTGGTACACGAACATCTACCGCGCGGACGCATCACCCGAACAGGCAGAGTTGACCGTACCAGCGAATCGAGGAAACGAAGCGATGGTTTTTCTCACGTATGTGATATGCGCTGTGTGACATTATGATACTTGGATCTCAAGGTCCCAGTGTTCCTCGTGTATACTGGATCGCTAACATGACCCGTTGCGTGTTTTCCAGGTATATTATCGACCGTTACGACTCTCTTCCTGATGTTGCCCTCTTCCTTCACGGCGGTCGCTATCAATGGCACAACGACAATCCCCTGTACGACTCCGTCATCTCGATTCGCGACCTTCAACCCGCCTTCGTTCGCGAGGCAGGCTATGTCAACCTGCGCTGTACCTGGACCATTGGCTGTCCCGCTGAGCTCGAGCCCGCACGATACATGCGCGAGCGCCCTGATGATCCCGATCACATTTCGGCCGTCATGTTCCCGGATAGTTTCGCGACGCTGTTCCCGGATATCGAGATGCCGGAAGTTGTCGGAGTCCCCTGCTGCAGTCAATTTGCACTCTCGCGGGAGAAGATCCACGAGCGACCAGTGGAGGACTACATTGGCGTCCGTCAGTGGTTATTGGACTCGCCACTGGATGCGTCGATCACCGGGCGCGTTTTTGAGTATTCTTGGCACAGTAAGCTTACTTCCGCCCCCCTTGCGTAGCCACGTTTTGTGGGGTTCCCCCTTTTCTTTGTTTAATTCTTTGCTGACTAGAGCAGTCATGTTTGGGAAACCGTCGCAATTCTGTCTCGATCCACACGAGTGCTTCTGCAATACCTATGGTTACTGCAATATGACCGACGAGGATTTGGAAGCCCAGTGGAAATGGCGCGGCTTAGTTCTGCCAGAAGGCTGGCCCAATGTGACGGAGGAATCGAACGAGTCGTCGCAGAAACGCAGTCTGGCCCCGATGAAAGGAATGCCGGATGTTAGTGATGCTTCACGCAGGGCCTTACACAGACGCTCTGTGCAGCCATGACAATCTACAAGGGAGTTTAGACTAGGTCCCGCTGGATCGGGCCTGCGAAGTCTTTACGAATGACTTGGAGTAATATATTGCATGGGCTTAAGGGTTCGTTAATATCATTATGCACATCTCTCGTCCATAGATACGGCCGGTTGTCTTTTTGCCGTCGTAGATCACGTTCAATGCAGTATGAATCCCACCTATTTGCAACCCATCCTGGACCTCTTTCATCATCCACGAGTGTCGCTCATCGCCAGAGGTCCTGTCGGCTGGATCGCTTGTATCCCCCGCTACTCTTGGGGCGCTCGTTCTCGTCTGCCGGTACGGCCAGGAACCCGCCAAAGCCGTTGCCCACCAGCACGCTCTTGCGGGAATCCCCGCCCCATGACCGATTCAACTGCGCTTCATGGAAACTGACTGGTCGGGTCTTTGCACCACCCCGTCCGTAGACAGTGCCCGGGTCATAAGGGGTGAAATTCCACTCAAGCTCATCAAGACCCTTGCTATATACGTTCAAGGGCTGCGTAAGGCCACGGTTCCTCAACTGAGGACCATCCTCGCCTCCACCGAAGAGTCTGGGAGGAGGTGCCAACAAAAGCGTATCGGGGAAGTTGGCATCCCGCACGTACAAATCGCGGAGAGCCGGGAGAGAACGGGACATTAGGGAGGAAATGAGGTAGGTGTAGTACGAGCCTGCCACCGGGGGCAATCCGTGGGTTTCGGTCTCAGAGGTGATCTCGAAATGCAGCAAACGCAGAGAATTCGAAGTCAAGGGAGGAACCTGCTCAGCTGGGAAAGACCGGCGGACATCCTGAATGATAGAGAGACTGGTGAGTCGTGGGGCTGCTGCGAGTATTTGGTGCAAGGTCGACGGGATCACGTCAGTTGATGAGAGGGTCAAGGACTGTAGCGCATTCTGCGTGTAGGGGGAGGAGAGAAACGAGACAATCCCAGCCGCCGTTACATTGGGGGTATCTCGGATGGTGAGATTCAAAAGCGCGGGGATGGGTGGGAAAGGAGGTCTCATCAGGAAAGCCGAGTCATCGAGCCAGGGCATATCTTCCAGAGTGAGGTCCCGCAGTTTCGAGAACGATGCTAATCCATTACGTAGGGTCCCGGCCTCAATCTGGAGCCCGGACAGCTCTAGTTTCTCCAGATTTGTCCACAGCTGAGAGCCCGGCAGTCGGGCGAAGCTTCCCTCGGCGCCGTGCCGGTAACTAATTCGACGGAGATCGGGGCATTGGACGATCAGTTCCTGTTTCAACGCCGTGCATGATGGCTCGTCGCTGAACAGGCCGGACGGCAGATCAACAAAGCGGAGGTTATGGAGCACGGAGATGGTTCGGGCGATGTTTGCTTTGTTGGCTTCGCGGGTCATGTATGGCATGCGAAGCGAGAGGACCCTGTTAGCAAGCTTCTGATCTTCTCGAACGGTCCGCATGAGGAGCTCCAGGCGGACCTGTGGGGCATCGATCGGATCGCCGTTGCGATCAAAGAAGGAGCGGCGTTTGCGTTTGGCGGCCAGTTGCACCTCGAGCTCACAGTAATGGACCGGGTCGATGCGGATATGGGTATATCTATTCAACGGACAGATCTTAGTATGCATCCGTGTACGGAAATGGGTGCGAAGACGTACAGCAGAACGCGGGCCTCGATGAACCATCGCCGGCAGACCTGCGCGCAGTGTGCGAGGTCCCGCATGTCACAGAGCATGCAGCCATCGCTCATGGACTCCTCAGAGGTGTCATAGGAGTCGTCGAGGGTGTGGGGGCAGGTCAGGGCAAAGATGTAGGCCAGCACCGGCCGGGGCAGCCTGCGCGTCCAGTCGCAGCCGGTGCTTCTCAGCGGGCGGGGCGAGTTGGAGGGCGATGCCTCGGTCGCGTGCCCCGCACTGCGCCGGGGACGGGCCCGGAGCTTGTCCAAAAGGCCCATCCTGAAGGTGGAAGGCGGAGGGACCAGAGTAAGCGTAAAGATGAAGAACGGGGAGGTGGAGGAGAGAAAGAAAGAACGCCCATGCGATGCAGTTTGACGCAGGGCCCGTCCCCAGGGATGAAACGCCCACGGCGGGCCTCGTTCGTGCGCCGCCGCCCGTTCGTCAGTCGCTGTCTAATGTTTCATTGGCGCCGATCCAGCGCAAAGCCGAAGAATGATAGGGCAGCCGCAAGAGGGCTGGAAGTGGCCCTAATAATAACCCCTAGTCGGATTTGTCCTGCAGGTGTCGACGTGTCTTGCTGTTCTGTCGCGGGTGGGTTGTAGATGGCAGTTGTTGACAGCTGACGATGAAGCTACCCCAGGTGGGCCTCGACCCTTCCTTCGGGGCATTCACAGGGGCATTGGCAGCCTCGATGCTTTGTGACAGGGCAGCCGGTCAGGACAGCCAGAACATGTCCAGCAGAGTACATGATAGGCGGGTCAGTTTCTGGTGGAACCTCTGTGAAGAACGGGTTCAAATTCGGTGGGCGCAAAACGGCTGAAAGCCATCTCTATAGCATGACATCATCTTAAAAAACTCCAGAAGAAGAGCCGCAATTGGGAGCGAGGCAATGCCGATGTGACTGGCAGGTGGAGGTTCAACTCCGCGGTATAGGAGTTGGGAGCGCGAGGGAGGCAAGGGGAGATGCTGACGGCGAGCGGGAGAGGAAATTCCAAGGAAGTCGAGTGGAAAGCAACTGACATCATCTGCCCGCTGGTATAAAACGTACGACGACAAACTTGGAACAGCCACTTCCTCGCAATTGAACACTTCTCACAGCTTTTATTCGATTCCGATCCGAAGAAAAAATTATTCACTATGGCTGAAATGGGAACCGACAGCGCCGAGATGCCGCTGCCGACGCCGGCCGTCACCAACAACCCCCCGGAGAATACGATTCATGATGAGGCATGGAAACATCGTGCACCTTACCACAAAGTCAGCCACGAGAGGTTTGGGCCGGTGAAGTGGCGGGCTCACTGTCAATGCCGAAAGATCTCTTATGTGATCAGACAAGACCGGCCATTAAACGCCAAGTTCTGCCACTGCCGGGGATGTCAAGTCATGCACGGCGCGCCCTTCCAGTGGGCCGCCATCTTCCATAAGGAGGATGTGTCCTTTGTCAATGGATCGAGTGGACTCTCCTTTTACTCCTCCAGCCTGAACACCCAGAAGTACCACACGCCAACCAAGGTGTCTTGTTCCTTCTGTCACACTCTTATCATGGACGAGGGACGTAACACTTGTTTACTCTTCCCCCAATTGATTGAATTTGCGGGGTCACCGGAGGAGAAGAAGAACCAAAGAAATTTATTCAAGCCTACGTACGTTCTTCCTCTGGTTCTGCAGAAATAAACGGAGTAGCTAACACAGTCACAGATGTCATATCTTCTACGAGCAACGCGTCATGGATATCCCGGATGGAATCCCGAAGTGGTCCGCAATGAATGATGACAGCGATCGTCTGGATGACAGGGGAAACAAAATTGATCAATAACGAGCAAAATGTTCATATTTCAGTACGGGATGGGGTGTTGATGAGGCGCTGACACTACGACTGTATAGTCACATTTTCATTTGATAGCTTCAATTAACGATCAATTCTACTACTTCACAGAAGTCTTTCACAGAAGTCGCTATTTGTGAACTTATGCTTTCTGTGGTATCTTGGAATCTTGAGTATAGGATTATTAGCATAAGGTATATAGACTTACCAGACTGTTCTGTCACCCGGCGCAGTGGCTCGAATGATACTCCAATTAAGGATGACACGGTGAATGGGAGGCCAGAAACGGCCGCTTTTGACGCCGTTTTAAGCCGCTCGCTCACCGTGGTCGGTCTTGGCGTCACGTACACCAAAGCCCACGGCCAACCCCGTTTACTGCCACCTGTGCTTCGGGTTGGCCGTGCCTGGTGCCTGGGCCCATTGATCGACCGATGTCCATTCGTGCCGCAGCCGCCTCGGGGCCCCATGCTCGTTCACTCTCAGTCAGTCTCCTGGCGGAGGGGAGCCATTTTCGGCTCCTCTGTTGACCATTCTGCTTCCCTGAGTTTCCATAAATATCGACCACCATGGCCCCCGACCGACAGTCCTCCCTCGCTCTCCAACAACTCCTCCAGCCCCAGGCCTGGGTTTTCAACGGGTGACTTGCTCAAAGTGAAATAATATCACTCTCGACCATTCTCTCGTGCTTCTACTCGTCTTCGCTGCTCTTGCCCCCTCTTCAATCCTACACTGCTTTCCGCTGCCATGCCTTCTCCGTGGCCTGCTCTGTCTGACGATGAGAGCGACACTAGCTCACGCCTGCCCGAGATCTTCTCGAACAACGCTTCCGACTCTGATTCCTCCACCGCACCTAGCGTCTTCGACTCAAGCAGCGAATCCGAATCCGAGTCTGAAGATGAGTCCGAAGATGAGCTGGCTTCGGAAGATGAAGACGAGCAACTTCCACCAGAATACTACCTCCAGGAGGCCGAGTCTCTTGATGTCTCCCAGCTCCGACAGAAACGCTACAGCCCGAAAACTCAAGAGAGATTGGATGAGACCCAAGATTTCTGGGATAGGTGAGACATCATTGCAACATCCCGCTTCCATTACTTGGTTCGCTGATTGTTCTAGGTTCTGTAAAGGCACAAAGCGCGATCCGGTGGGATGTTTGTCCTGGCTCTCTGATACAGAGGAGACGGTTCGCTTCCTCAAGGCTCTCTTCTCCTGGCGGTGTGACCAGCGACGGGGAAAGGATGAACGTCGCACCCCGGGAGTGAAAACTAAAAGCTCGCTCGACTTGTTCTGGAAGTGGTGGCATCTGGTCTACAAGGCCGAGGTTGGACATGAGCTCAACAAAGATATCCAAGTTAAGATCCGCGATGTGAGATCCCGATTGAGTATCGATATCGGCATGGATTGTACGCGACTGACGTTCCATAGGTGCTCGCCATAGTTGCCACAGACAAGAAACTTTCCCTCAAAGGTCGACCGAAAGCGACCATGTATGTCGAGGATGTAGCCGAGTTTGCCCGAGTGATCCTGTCCACGACAGAGATGACTTTTCCTTGTGGCTGGTACCGGATACAACTCCTCCTTTTCTGCCAGCTGGCCAGTATCACCGGTAGCCGTCCCGGGGCGCTACTGAAACTTCGCTTCCAGGACCTCAAGTTGACATTAATTCGGGATCCGAATGGAGGACATCCTCGAATTTTCATCTACTTGAGACCGGAATTCACAAAATCATTTCTTGGCGAAAAAGAGTCGTAAGAATATCCCCTCACTAAGCCATTCCTTATGCTTGCCTTTCCTCCTTTAGTCACATGCTTCTGCTTATCATTTTCAATCAGAAACACGTTCCCGATTCCAGAAATCATCTTTGATCCCACGTTGGTCCTCAGTCCTCATGTCTTCCTGCTAGGCATGCTGTTCAGAATTGGCGCATTTAAAAGTCTGTCCAAAGACGGCCCTGTGATGGACTGTCCCGAGAAATTGTACCGTCTTCAGATCCTAGATGGACTTGGTGAGCAGGAATTAAAGCTGAAAGACGAAATTCTCGATCAGCATGTGTTTTGCCATGCATTACGAGAGGCTGATGGCATTCGAATCGCACTAGAAAAGGAACTTACCGGGGGATGGCTGCGTTATAGAATGAAACGAGGTGGTGAGATTACTGGCTTCGCGGAAGTCGCGAAGCCATATTGTCTCCGATACGGCGCAGCAAAAGCGTTCAACGATAGTCGTGAGTGACACATCTTGCATATAGAACTTTTTGGCTAATGCGTTCCTCTCAACCAGCGGACGTATCGAATGAATTGCAGAACGTGATGCTGCAGCACGCCAGCATTGATACTTTTGTCCGGCACTACAGTGTGGGTATCCACGTAGATGCCCAAGCAATTGTACGGGGCATGCCCGCTCAGAAACAGCTCATGCGATTTGCCTGCTCGATGAGTCGGTCGATTGATCCTCGCAGACCGTATCGGCTTGAGGATTCGAGCTGTATCAATGAAATTCCCCGCGTGCGTACCCTGGAAGATAGGAGGCAGGCAAGAAAGCGGATCCGAGACGCTAAGAAGCGCACCTATGAAGATGCCCAGGCTGCATTACAGCAGGAGTTCGGCGATAACCCACCGCAGAGTGGCACTCGTTCCCGAATCATCCGCAAGCGGTGGAAGGCTCAAGAGAAAGGTGTCAAAAAGTTACGCCAGAAATTTGATCATGCAGACGAGCAGTATGATCACGCAGTGAAGCAAGTACGAAACGAGAAGAGATGGCAAAAGCACCGATTGATTCGTGAAAATCTGGAGCGGTACAAAAATGAGCAGCCGGTGATCGACAGTGAGCGGCAACTTTCCGGAAAAGTTGTTGACGAAGAAGTTATGGGGGCGTTGCAGCGTACCGGCTATATGACACCGCAGCATATGACGCTTATCGACAGTGTTCTGACTATGCCCGGTACAACAGTCGAGAAAGAATATGAGCGTCGAATTGCTGCAATCAATGCAGTGATTGCGGTCTGTGATGCGGAAGAGGGTGCTCCCTCGCGGCCTTGTGCCCCGCAAAAACGCACCGCCGATGCTGCCGATATGCCACCTTTTACCCCCTGCCTAAGAAACAGAAGTCTATCCCCTCAGATGAGAATGGCGATACTTTCTCTCAAGCGATCGCTTCTGTTTGCGTCAAATGTCCAGGAGAGAGACCAACGATCTGCTTTATTTGTCTTGGTAATACTAGACTGCCAGAACGCGAACGCCTGAAAATGTACAAGAACCCGGGGTCCCTCAGCCGACACTTCGTCAACAAACATATCAAGCCGTTCCCAAATGACATGCACTGTGAGTGCAACATTTGCGGGGAGAAGCTAATGTCCAAATCGGGACTCTTGAACCATGCGCAAAGAATGCATGGAACTGTCTCCTGCCTACCTTTACCAGCTCTTGGCCTACCCCTCCCTTGTATGTTCGATGTTTCTTGTTTCTTTCTTAAACTGTCCTACAAAGCGAGGTCAAGCGTGTACAACATGCAAATATCTGATCGCACAATTATTGATTTTGAGGAAATGCCGTGATGACCACTCGTAGCCAAGATATCTAATAACGAGTCATAGTAATAAAATCAGAGCAATAATATGATCGACAAGTTATAGCACTACCTGCGCCGAATCTTCTTACCACGGCGAGCATTCGAATTTACATCTACTCATCCAAGGGTCTCACGCCAATCACGGAGCCCAGAACTTTACTCAGTAGGCTACTACGAGGCAGCGCCCCATACGATTTTGAGACCCGCACAGCCGTAAGTCTCAGACCTAAAGAGACCTGGTGACTCAAGGCTATGCTTAGAATTTGAATACGATGTTCCATCATTAGCATCAGTTGTTGCCCTTCTCTGGGCGTCCGCTTTCCCCATCTCTGCGACTGCAGCCGCTTTGGCCCGTCACCAGAGGACCGTACGATTCTAACTCCTGGGAGCGAGGAAGAGCGTGCCTAGGAACCATGCCTATGGATCCTGGGTCGAATATGATCTCAGGAACGTGAGGGTCTCCTGATTGCCCACCAGCACCGATATCTTTCCCAGAGCTACACCATTCACTCCCACAAGCTGACGATTTCCGCACCCTGAATCATTTGCTAATTTAAACAGGTACTACTTAATTAGTTACAACTACCATGTGACTACCCTTATCCCCAACGTCAATTACACAGAATGGGTTGACGTAAACTGGTGGATATAAAAACTAGAGATGCTAAAGCCGCTCAACTATCAATTTAGATTTCGTCTGCAGGATGTTGTTTCGACGTACCTTGGACAACACATTGGATATAAGCTTGGCATCCTCGGTATTGGCTCTTGAATATATTTGCTGCAGCACGGCTTTATAATCGTGTACTTGAGAAGACAGCTGTTCCACCTTTCTGTTTGCAATTGTCAATGGCAGTCATACCAGTTCTGACGGGAACAAGTACCACCTTTGTGTGAGTTCGTGTTTCCTTTGCGGGTACCAACATTCCTTCTTCGACGTCCTACAGCGCTGACATTCAGGGCTCTCCCCACTGCACCTTGCCTTTGTTATATGGCAAGGGCCACACGCATGTGACACTCTTCTCATCGAAAATGAGACCTCTTTGTGCAGTCTCGGGATACTTCTTTTGGAAAACGCTATTTGAGCAGTGACTGGGGCTCTCAGATGAACGTTGTCGAGCTCGGAGGGATTTAGTGACTCGGGGACGGGGGACGATGTCTGTCTTGGCGCTCTGGATAGGAGACTTGCCCGTTCTTAACGAGTCAAGAGACATGTTTTCTGATTCTTCGGTAGTGATCGAGGTGAAATCCGTGCGCGACGCCTCTTCTTGCACCTGAGATTGATGGGGAAAGCCGTTATCCCACATCGGTGACCACGTGACCGGTCTAATAAGGTTAATCGGTTCCGTTGGCATACGTCCCGAACTCGGTCGCCCGATCTGGTGCGACGACGGTGCCGTATGTGCGGACTGTATACGAGGGAGTAATATTTGCATGGGGTATGGCAGAGGAAGATTGTTGCCCAAAACCTCCCGAATACATGGAAGGGGGTGTCGTGGTGGTGCCTGCTTGTCTTTCTCGTCCTCGTTCACATGACACGACTCTGGTGGCGAAATGTTTCCAGTCTGCGCTGCAGTCCTGGCTGGCGCGTAGGAGTCGGGTAGGACCGGTTGTCCAAAGGACGTTGAGTTGGGGTTCATGAGAGGAATGTAGTCGAATGGTGTTTAGCGGTTAGTCATTCCTCCGCAGAAGCCTTGTTTCACAGGGGAAAAAAATGGTATCAAGGCAGAGCCGGCCAAACTTCGACCTGTTACTATATCCGCACTTGCAAACGAACCAGAGTCATAGAGCTCTCGCTGGAAACAGCGAAATTGGCTCACTGTTCTGATTGGACTATATCTTATCAGCGTTCTTGTTTTGGTGCGGTCTGTCTTCCGCTTAGTTGAATTTACGGAAGAGTATAGTGGGTATATCATGACACATGAGGTTTTCATGTATGTTTTCGACGGATTGTTGATGCTGATTGCTATGGTCGTTATAATTGTGTACCACCCGGCGGAGATTTTGGGACATGGCAAGGCTGGAACCAGACAGGACTCAGAGACAATACATCCATAGACCGCGGTGGATGTGGTTGCTGCAGTATAGAATGTGGTACAATATTGGAACTTCTCTTTGTTAGAAAGTTTCAAATACAGCTTTTTTTTCTATATTCAACCTTCGTCAGATTTGATCATCGAGAAATAAACAAAGATAGCGGGCTATAGTCACCATCTAGGTGAATAAAATCCTTGTCCCATGCGTCGGAGTGGGCCTGAATCCACATAGTGTGCCACGGCCAGGAAATCCCATTATCTGTCAGACTGGTGCTGTTTGGCTGGTGGTTCAATGCTTCGAGTATGTGCGGCAAGCAAGGCTGGTAAATATCGTCTAGGTACAGGTTAGTTTGCTACTAATCCTAATACGAATAGTGAGGTGTTTAGAACTGACCGAGAAGCAAAACGTGAGTTTTTCGAGGGTAGTATTGTACTTTGTGAGTTAATCTTCAATACTATTAACCACATGATAGATTTGCACTGTAGTAATTTGCCCATCCATAATTACAACAGGTTTGAAACAAGCGGGGTAAGGCAGCAATGCATTTAGGGCGCATATGAATAAAAGAATGAATTTATCAACGTATGTAGCAAACGCCAAAAACGTCAACTAATTCTGGCTTGCTTATATAGCTTTCTCGTTTGCCAACCCGAAAAGACTTTTGTTCTTCTTTTGGTGCCCGATCATGGTGAAGAAAAAAGGCAACATTTCAGCCTTCGCGACCAAGGACCCAGAACCTGACCCCCCACGTCTGACACACAAAGCAAGGAGGATCAGGAAACTATCCTCGCTCTCATTGCTAGGTGAGAATCGAACAATCAGATTGAGATCTTACAGAACTTCATCATTAATGTTAAATAAGCTTGCATCTTAACTCAAGATATAGTGATTTGACAATAGTTTGCAAGGGTGAGGCTTTCAGGGCTCATAGACTGGTCGTTTGCCCAAGATCAAAGTATTTCCACCGGGCTTGTTATGGCGGGTTCAAGGTGAGTCAAGTCAGACCTTTGAGCTGCTCGTGAAATAAGTCTGACAAGCGCTGTTCGCTGCTAGGAAACCGAAGGACAGCCCGATTCTAATCGAGAAAATGCTAGAATTTCTGTACACGGGAAATTACACCCTCGAACGCCTTGCAACAACATCGATGCACCCTGGCACAGAGAGTGCTAAACGACAAGAAATAAATACAAGGGTTGAAAATGGGCCGGTGCTGGACACGTCTTCCGAAGGGTGTGGTATTCATAAATCCTACCGCAGAAATGAAGGAGCTTTCCAATGAAGCCGCTGTGACGGCTTCAGAGACCATGGAGGGACTGGTGGATAGACCAGCGGTAGAAAATAACCGGCCCCGATTGACGAAATGCCCGCAGAAGAACCATTCGAGCAAGGGGTTGAGTTGGAGCCAATCGTCAATATATTGGCTGACTGTCATCCATGCTACTTCCATGTGCGCATGTATGGCGAAGCAGATTACTTCATGATCAGTGATTTGAAAGCCAGAGCAAAGGCGCACTTTCTTGCATCTTTCATGGATAATCCCAAAAGAACAACCTTCGCGGATACGATTGAGGAACTCTATTCAACACAAGCCGACTATCGGCAGCTAAGGCAACTTGCGATAAGGGGGTATATGGCATTCCAAATTCTTGGATTGGCATTCTTGAAAGATCCAAGCGAGAGGTCGTACTTCATCATTTAGGAGTACTAATCTCAGACCCGAATCAACTCTGAATAGCTCATCTCGAAATCCAGCCCAAACTGGAATTATTTGAACAAGTTGACGATGTACTGGTTTGTTTGCGAGTGACTAGGAATAGCCCATACAACCATGATACGACAGCTATTTTTGTCCCTTTACTTAATACCGCACTGAAATAAGAAGCCAGAACTGGAGCTCTTTCTTGGTTTGGACTTTCAATTTCGCGATGAACGCACTGTTCCCCATATTTCGCAACTTAACTGTAGATTTAGATGTCTATTGGGCTCCAAGTAGGATTTCCCTCGCCGTATTATGCCACCGATCGTGTCAAGTGTTTATAGGAGAATCACATGCATGCACGAGTTATGTTTAGTCAACTCTGTGTATCATAGATTCAATTAATTTCTAGGCAAAAAACTATTTTCCACAGTCATTCAATCAGTCTGGCCTGACAATTTGATTTATCTGGTGTGTAAAAGAGAAAATGCAACAACTATTTACTTCAAACCCCGGTCGAATAATGTTGAAATGGTTGAACTGAATGTTGGAATACCATTTCCTGCCTCGGGCATTAATCTCATATTAATCAGCACTCTTGTGCGTGGGCGAACTTCGTGAAGAAGCCCTGGTTGAACGCAGTTTATCAAGCGAATGATCGCAGCATTTTTCTGTTCAACAAATAGCTGTACTTGCAGTAGAAAATAGGACAGACCTAAAAGACCTCATTGCTCTGCATGCAATAGGCATCCTAGACTTAACAGCACAAATTGTTCATTTCGTCGAATCAACCGCTGCACTCTTCCCCGCCATAATTTAATTGTCTGTTTATATATTGCGATCCAAATATAAAAGCGAATGCCCTCAACCAGTTGCTGTCATCCCCTAAGCTGTTCTTTTCAAACTGCTATTAAACATCTTTATCAAATAAACAAGGGCTTTGAATTACACGGATTTTACTCTGCTCTTGCACCCCTTGTCGCACGACTGTGGACTCTAAAGCAGCTCTGCTTTATCGAATGTCCGTTTCTTCATAACCATGTCGGAAATATCATACTTGAGTAATTCATACCAAATAAGACGGCGACTAGGCAAAATACCGTTGTATAATGCAAGTATATTACGGAGCTGACCTTGTTTCATGAACCATACTCCTTATGGTCTGAAAGAGCTCCGCAGAGTGATATAGTGAATCCAGAATGTCTATTCCTGGTTTCAACTTCTCGGTTTCTGCTGTAAACTTGATTATTTCCATTGCAGTCGTAAGCATGCCAAAGAGCATATAATTATCTAGTGGGAGTTGAACAGCTACGGGTCAAAGTCCCGGCTCGTACCAAAGAACTCGAAGCGCGCCCTTTTAACCTGGGACACATCCAAGGACTTGTGGTCAAGGTACCTCAGGGAGATGGTCCAACTTGCGAATGGACTTGGGGCCGCATAGGCCATGACCTCGCCCCCCTTACCCACAATGGTACCCGATTCCTGGACTCCACCAAACTGACTCTCCCCATTGGAGGTAGGGAATAGTCGGTAGGACCAGGCTGGGTGGACAGGGTCATGCGCAAAGGCATGAGCCTCGCCTCGGCAATCATAATAGATACTATCGCCTTCGTGCGCGATGCTAATCTTAACTGGAATCTCTGTTTTCCCGACCGCTTCGGGTCGGATGAGGATGCCGTCCAGCCAGAATCGCACCCGGTGGACTCGCACATCCGCACACCCGCGAAATTCGGGTAGGTCGCTGTCATCGGGCTCGCGACGGGGCGCCGGTAGAGTCACCCGCACCTGACCATACTTCACCAGTGCATCGCGGTCCTCTGGCGTTAAATCAACGTATTTGCCGCGGTCCTGGTCGAAATTCTGCGGATAATAGGAGGCGTCGGAGCCAGCCTTCTCTTGCAGACCGACCATGTCATCATGCAGACGTTCGTACATGTTGTTGAGTTTGGCTGCCGGCAGCATAAGGTCAGCATCACTTGTGGCCCCACTGGTCTCCGTTTCTTCGGGCTTGGACAGGGTCGCCAGATAGATGGCACGGCGGTAGATAGAAATAAATCTCATGGCTCGCTTGCGATTCCAGGAGTAGATCTCATCGGCCATGTGGGCCATTTGACTTAGTTGGTCCTTGTCATCTTTCTTGAAGCCCTCACGCTGCAGCTGGCTCTCGCGAGTTTGGAGGCCATTAACAGCCTCGCTCGTTACGAGGAGCGCTTTCAGGCCTAGATTGTATTGGACCTTGTCATGGTTGCGATCTGAGAGTAGGTCGGCGTAGTGTTTCAGCGCCTCCTGGACCTTTTCGGCCTGCTTGCCAATGTCTGCGGCACCCCCAAAGTCCTTGACAAACTTGTCGATCTGCTCCTTACTGGTGACCAGCAGCACATCTTGCTGCTCGTCGAGCTCAACCGCATTCGTGTTGGGATCCGTCTTCCACTTGGCTCTTGATGACTCTCCCACCTTCTCCAAGTCACCAACAACGCTGCGGATTTGGCGCACAATCAAACTCTTTTCGATATTTTTGCCGTCAGCGCTCGGGATACTGGTAATCCCCTCATAGATCAGGTCAGTTATCTCCCCACCAGCCTTTTCGTAGAGCTTTTTGGTCAGTCCAAGGAAGTCAAAGAATTTCAACACCTCCTTTTCGGCTGGTCTCTTGGGATCGTCTGGTTTCTTGGGACCGTCTGGTTTCTTTGGATCTTCTGGTTCCTTGGGCTCTTCCGGCTTCTTGGGCTCTTCCGGCTTCTTGGGCTCTTCCGGCTTCTTGGGCTCTTCCGGCTTCTTGGGCTCTTCCGGCTTCTTAGCATCGCCTGGGTTCTTGGGATCGCCTGGATTCTTGGGATCGCTCGGGTTCTTGGGATTGCCGGGGTTCTTGGGATCCGCTGGGATCTTGACCTTTTCCTTTCTAGGCATGATCAAGCCGGAAACCTTGATCTCCTTGGCAACATTCCCGAAGGACTCAAGAACACGGGTGAAGGGAACATTAAAGCTGTTCTCAGTCTTGCGTTTCAGATCCTCTAGTGCGTAGGCAACATTGTCGGCTCTCCGCTGGAGTTCTGCCTTGAGCGTCTGGCCAAAGACGCGGAGTCTGAGAGCTTCGAGTTGAGCGAGAAGATTCTTTCGCTCATCTTTGATGTGGTTCCTGCCCGTTTCCACTTGCTTGATAGTCTCTAGCCGCACATCTTCGCTCGTTTCTACCTTATCCAACCGACTAGTTAGATTGAGGAAGAGCTGCTCAGACTTTTCAAGTGCATCAAGTGACAATTTAGTTTCCTTTTCAAACACGTGGACGGACTGGCGTGGTGCCCAGTTATCCTGGTAGCCATAGTAGTCCACTGACGTCCGGCTCAACCGGAAAAGCATGTCAAATGCATCGCGGCCGATCTGGCGAAGCTCACCCACGGGGTCGTTCATTTCGGGCGGGATGCCCAGCAGGGCTCGCTGGTTTTTGTAGACAGTCGCCAGCGCCTGAAGCCGTTCCTCTCGGAGCTTTTGGGCCTTTTGAGGCAGCGACTGGACGGCCAGGGAACCATCAGCGTCAAGGTCCAACACTGCTCCCATCTTGGCTACTAGAGAGGCGAGAGTCCGCTGAGCCCGATAGAGACTATCCGGGTTACCGAAATAGAAGAGCGTTGCGGCTTTCTCAAGCTGCATTCGACATTGTAGTGGGTGCAAAGGTGCAAATTCCAGCGGTCCAGCCACCGTAGCACTCTGCACCACTTTGGAATGGACGTCACCTGGTTCACCATCCTCACCACGCGTGCCACGATGCCCTCTCGTTCTGAGTCCGGACCCTCCTGAGCCCCCTGGAGCAGTGGTCGAGTCTCTCACATCCACGCGCTGCCGAGTAAGGGCTTGCTTCAGCTTGTCATAAACCGCCTTGAGACCTTTGAAGACTTTCTGTCGAGTATTCCTCTTATTGAGGTGGCTCAGAGGCTCCAGTGTGGTGAGAACTACCTTGCTAAGCGGGTCATCCTGTTCACACAGACGGCAGGTCATTCGAATGATGCCACTGATGCGCCCAAATACTTGAGGATCGGGGGGCAGGTCATCATCATCATCCCCATTATCGCTCGCGTCGGAGTCACTCGATTCGTCGAATATTATTTTCGGGCCGAGGATTTGAATTGTAGCCCGCAGGCTATGAAAGATGGTCGCCCACGTCGATACCACGAAAACAGTCGCCTTGCCCCCTTTGCCTCCAGTTCCAGCAGGTTGGCCAATCGCCTCCGTGGTTTCTCCGTCTCCACCCCGAGCATCAAAGTCCACCGCAAGCGGCCCTGAAGGCGCGTGGCCCACAAAGACATTGAGTGTGTGGCCAGGCTTGCCGTTTGTCCCGGTTTGTCCATCCTTGCCTCCAGCATCATTGGGGTCTCCCTTCTTGCCGCGAGCACTCACGACTGCCGAGGGAGATTTGGTCTGACTAATCAACCTGGTGGTGCTCAGCGTCACCACGCCCGCTTCAGTTGATCCGAATGTAATTCCTTCGTCGGCTTCGGGCTCACACAAGGTAACCGACTCTGCGAACACGCTCACAGATTCGGGAAAATTCTGTACCAGAGCCCCATATGCCTGGCCTTTGCCAAAAAAGAGGCCTTTCTCGGTGGCTGACAAGATGGTCAACGAGCCCGGCTTTTCAATAACCTTGTGGAATTTTGAATACCACAGGTTGTTGTCGGTCGAGGTCATGTTGATTGCAATATTTGCGAGCCGGTGAACACTTCTCAGAGACAAATCACATCTGTAGGGGCAAATCACATCCGAAAGGCAGGCAAATCTAGGCCCTAATCCAGAAACCAAAGGCTCTACCCAGACACAGCAACGCTTAAGGTAGCTTGAGAAATATACCAAGTATCTAGAACCGGTTGAAGAACATTTCATTCACCGTGAGCTGATGGAGGGGGATCTTCAGTACAAATCATTCCCCTTTTTGGTTGAGCCTGCAGCAAACTATTGTGGAAATAATATCCAAGGCTCCACCCCACAGCCCGAAGTGGTGCGCGATTTTTACGCGTCAGCCTGAAGGATGGGGGGAAGGTGTTGATTAGTGCCATAGTCAGTCACAGGGTCTACGCCGTACGGCAGTACAGAGGGGCAGAGGGCGAATTCAAAAATTTGGCCAATTATAAGCAATTGAATATTCACCGCTCCTCTGTAGATTGGGTGTTCGTCATGCACAACTCTCATGTGGCTGGCTGAGAAAAGAAACGGATTCGGTGGCCCCAACTTCTACAGGAGCGTCGGACGTCATACTACAGATATGAGGCGCTAACTGCACTAATGCGAACCCGGCAGATAATCACAGCCGGAAGATAAAATCCATCGATTGTAGGCCCGAGCAGCATTTCAGTGAATGTTGCAATCGTGAATTTTCTCAGGAATTGATACTGAAGCTGGACCCGTTCAGTTCTGATATTGTTTCTTCTTGAATCTCCCAATATTTCATGAACGAGAAGCAAGATGCCTGCACCCCCGCTTGATAAGATGCTTAAGGTCATGGTCGAAAGCACTTCCCCTCGACCGGAAGATGGCTGGACACTTGGCTGGGATGTAGTCGTCTCGTACTCCGAGAAGGAAGTCAACGCGACCTTGAAAAAAGCTGGGAAAAGGTCTGTTCAATCTGCCAGTGCGCATATGGGGACTGTAAAAGGCTGACAGAAATGCCCCGTGGAAGCATCGGGACGAAATGATAACCAAAATCGAAGCCAAAGTGTTCCTGGATGTGTTTGGCAGTGACAGTGACAGCAGCGATGACAGCAAAGATAAACCGTTCCAGGCCTACAGGTTAGATGTTCACGCACCAATTATCCAATTCGTGTCAAATGCACAGATTCCCGCGGCAGACCTGGTCATACCAGTGGCTTCAGGAACCTATGAACGGTCTGATAAGCCCGGCAAACTCCGTCAATTGCACACGAATGCGTACCAAATTCGCATCAAAGGGATCCCTATCGGCACAGTGACAGGCACGTACAAGGATGTCAAGGGCAACCAACGCGCGGGCAATCCCCTCGACGTGGAGCAGGGAGACAAAGAATGCCTCTTCAGAAACAGTGCTCCAGATCGAGCAGAAGATGACTTCGAGGTATCCTGGGTGGTGTTGAATTTCCCCCTTCAACAACAAGGGCTCGTAGTGAAGGCAGAAATTGTGCCTGGATATACCACCGACCCCACGATTCAGAAAAGTTTGAATAAGCACCTCAAGCACATCCAAACAGCGTCCGAAACATGGTTCGAGGGCACTCAAGAAAATGGGCGTCACAGTTTCAACCTCATCAGACATGCCCTGGCGACGATCAAAAATAAGGCACTGCCCAAGCAGGAGGGCATCAGTCTTGACCTAACGCCGAGCAAATTTTCAATGGCAACTTGCAGTGGTAGCTTCATCGAGGATCCGATTCTCTCCCTTTTCATTCATGTCGTCGGGGGGAAGGATCAGGGAGAAACGAAAGATCTGCAATCGGCCTGGCAGGGACAATGGATGACCGCCAAACCAGACAAGATTGCCCCCATACCTAATGATTACACCGCTTCTGTCCTGTTTCACCCCAAAATCATCGTCGAGAATGTCCTTCTGCCCTCGATGATGGAAAAGGACCAGGATGATTGGAAGTTAGAACCACTCAGTGGTTATGGAGGTGGCGGCATCGCCGTGAATGCTACCTGGAAGAAAATTTTTGATCTCGACTGGTTCTGGATTCCATATGGGAGAATTCTCGATTCTATGGGCGAGAAGAACCAATTGAAATTGGAGGTTTGCGGTCCAACTCCGAAGGATCTTCAAGTTAGTTCTTCTCTTCTTCTTCTTCTTCTTCTTCTTCTTCTTCTTCTTCTTCTTCTATTGCTACTACTACTGACCAGGCGTTGTTTCACATTGCAGCATATTCCAGCAAAGATCCAACTTTGTCAAAGGGTAAGCACCAAGTTTTCTAGGACTCGCTTCTGCCCGAGTATAATTCATGAATGTATGCTGATGTTGTCTGGAGTAGGATATGGACAAAGATCCAGTGGCCCGCATCGAATGGAAGTTTGATCTTGAGACATATATGCAAGTGATCTTCCACGTCGAATATCACTCAGGGGGGAGATCATTGCTCGTAGAGAAAGAATAGACGTGAGGGTCTCTAACCGTTCTTGGCTTCTCTCATATAACTCATTGACGGCAACAGAACAAAACCACCTTCTCTATTGATCACGACTTTCCTCTCGAGATCAAAACTACGGACTACGATGCCACCTTTGACATCAACACGGAGGGAATGGAAAGTCATTGGAAAGTGGATGATGAGCCGATGGCCAAAGAGGGAGGGGTCTGGCAGACAGTGAAAGACTTTTTCGAAATTAAAAGCATTCCCCCAACTCCTGAAATCTATGAGCAGCGCAAGAAAAAGCTGGCTGGGGTTAGTCCCAAGTTCCACTTCAAGAAGATGGGGCTAGGGTACTTCCTCACCACCAATCTGCTGAATCCTGGCTCCAAGGTCATTGAAATTGACAAGAGGGTTGGGATGCGCTTTCCTGGGAATATGTTGCTGGTGGGCCGTGTTGTTCAGGGGGTTGATAGTATTACTGGCAAAGCCTAATTCGAACTAAGAGTGTATCTAGGTAGCTGGAATGGATCAGCAGATTGATAGCAGACAGATATTTCCTTGTAGAGCACTGTTCTATTTGCTATGTCACTAATTTAGGAGGGCAACCCTCTCCGGGGGCTGGCGGTATATGGTGTTCCAAGGTTGAGCCTTGTATTATATTTATGTAGAAGATAGTTGAGCGCGATCAGCTGAGCGCAAAGTACATGAACCATTTGGAAATTCCGAGTAATATCGCGAAGTTCACAGAGTAAACCTTGTAGTTAACCCGGAGAGGGTGGGCAAGTATTCCGAGATTCATAAGGCGGCTATGCTGTTGCAAGTAATAAGAGAAATTAGACTGCAAGGCCTGCATAAGAAGAGAGTATGCCTCGTCAGCAGCGTATAAGTATGATTTGTCATATGTTAAACTCGCACAGGCAAAGACGTAGGGAGGGAGAGGTGATATCATTCTATGGGCCCTCGAGTGGCCCGCCCGCGTCACCCAGCTAATTGGACAGATTGGCCGCTACACACTATTTCTGCGTGCGCACATGTACAAAAAGAAAGAAATCACGGGGACAATCCTTACATATATGAAATGAGACGAAAAAAGTAACAAGCGGTACAAACAAGCGAAAGGCGCAACGTTTTAAATTAAGGCAGATAATATGTAAGTGCGATTTCTGGCATGAGAACAGAATACCAGCGTTGAAGCCGGACAAGAGTTCAGATGAATTTGCTTCTACCTTAACTTTTTCGGGGGCTTTCTTTCTAGTAACTTTCTAACTTACCCCTTACGGGTATCAACTAGTAAGCACATGGGGTTACAGTAGTTTTCGAAATCAGTTTGACCTTACACTCTTTCGACTTGATTCCAGGATAATAATTCCGGGATGCGCTAATCCTGTTTAGTCTCACCGCTCCCCTAGTTGGGCAGAAAAGACGTGGTAATGACCATACAAAATTATTAGTGTAATGTAATGAACTTATAATGGTACATCGAATCCCGTAGAATTGCTTGGTAGATCTGGCGATCTGGCAAGATCGCCTGCCCGCTCTTCGCTTTCCCACCAGTCCTAGCCCTAGATTGCCACTTTCCCGTCTTTCTTCCAGCATGCAGCGCAGACTTTCCTGTATCGCTGGAACGCCCGCCAGTTATAGCACAGAAGGCTTTGCTTACGCTGTATAGACCTAATCCTGGTGGGGAAGGATATTTATTTTTTTCTGCGGAGCATCTCATTCGTGCACTCGTTGCCACTCCCGAATCTATTATGGGTCATGCCGTAAGCTAATATGGGCGTTCCAAGGATCCTGACTACTTTGGGTCGGGTTGGGCCGGGTTTATAGGTTGGGTTTGAGCAATCTAGCTGAAAGGTCTTCCCGCCACTAGATGTGGCATCGATGGTCATATGATACAGCAGTCCACTTTCTCTGCTAGCATAGAATTCTGATTGACTCGCTCAAGCTACTGTATTGCTCAATTGTAGATAACCTTGTTTATCTGAGCCGGTCTATATAGTGGGATTTCCAAGTTAAGAATTCTCCTTCCACCGCATTCTGAGCTCATAAAGCACGTTCATCAGCTCCGGTCTCCCATCAAGCAGGGATTTCAGATCATTGGGACTGTCTTGGAATATTGCTGAGAGCTCAACCCGTATCTGCTCAGCAGTTCCATTAGTCCAAAGCTGTTTCAGTTTTGAGACTATTTCATCTTGACGCTCGGCCTTCTCTTTCTTGAAGTTCACACCTGCGTCATTTTCATCATCGCTCAACCCAAAGGCTTCCATTCTATCCTCATCTTCATTATATGCTGACTCGTCGATAGGATCTTCCTCGACCGGAGAGTCAGATCCATCAGGTTTGTTGCTCTCATCCTGTTCGGCAGGGGGTCGAGGCACTGGCAGACTGATCGTTTCATTTGCTACTTCTAGTGGCTGTAGATCAATTAGCTAGGCACGATGACGACGCGAAAAGTGAATACATACCACACTCCTGAAGAATTTAGAGAGCCTGCGAGCGGAGAATTGCACACCCGCAAAAGAGACAACATAGCCCTGAGTTTTCTGTATCAAGTTAGCGTTTTAGGATCAAAGAGAGGTGATCAGACAATATTTACCTCATCCTTATCGTAGGTCCACCAGCCCTCACGCTGAAGTTTGTCAAAAACTCCCACAGATGTGCCCAGCTTCCCTATCCCTGTAGCCCCCAAATCCATTGACACGTCGACGTCTTGATTTTCGCCGCTACTCATTTTCACTGCAGCCTCATCAGTGACCCATGCACTCATGACAATCCACAGCCCTTGGCTTTTGATGTCATGACAGCTTGCTAGGATATCTTGCGCGTTGCTCTCAACCCAGTCCATCATCGGGCCCTTGAAGTTTCGATCGAATCTATGATTCCGTACAGTAGAAGAAGTAATGAGGGAGGCACTTCCAGTCTTGGATTTCTTAGCCTTGACTTGGAGTGATGCTTCGACTGGGGCGGCTGCCATAGCGCCGGAGGCTTCGGTGGAGATACGGGAACTACGTCCAGTCTCCGTTTCTCCAGATGTGGCTTGCCATTTAGATTCTGTCACCTCCCGTAGGCTCAGGTTTCCGATGAAAGGCTTAAATCCGTCTTTCTCTGCAAGACCGGGCTCGAAAAGGTTGGTTATTTCTTGCCATTCGGCTGTCCGGTCAAAATAGCCAACTGATCCCAGGCGGAGTCTCGTGAAAGGCTGAGGCTTGAACACGTAGGTCCCGAAAGAGCTATCGCGGCCCATGATATCAGCATATTGTTCGCTTTGCTTAGACATGGTGGAGAGCACAAAAATATAGTATAAGAAGCGATGAAGGGCAGGAATGAAGGGTGATGATAAGCAGTTTCGGGATAACAAAATGTTTCGCGAAAAGATAAAGACCTGATATATGGCGAAGAACGATCCTGTGAAGGCATTCGAAATGAACGGGGTGGGAATAGCTTGTCTATTAATGCGCTAGTGTGATATCTCATGAAAATCTCTATGGTATGGGGCATCATGCGAAAGAATCCAAATGAGGCAACGATATTCTCCATCTCCACGACACACCCCACGAGGAATTGTGGATAATTTCCCGAAAGAGACTTCAGCAACGACGATCTTGATCTAAATATGCTCATTGGGCACTCGAGGCTCAGCTTTCTTCTGCAATGAGTAGCTGAAGGCCTATAATAGCACAGCGGAGACCTCGGAACGAACCCATATCACCGTTAAAGTGAGGGATCAGGGTAAATGAAATCATCATTATCATCATCATCATCTACTGTACAATGAAACCAATGATTTTCTGCCTTATGCGTCAAGCAGAAAGGAGTATGGCTATATGGCGGTTATAACCTGTTGTAGTGGGGTACCTGAACATTGACTACCAAGGCAAACCTACTTACATACAAGTATCTTCCGCTGAGGTGGAGGAAATGGAGCCGGACTCCACAAAGCGGGACGGAGTGACGAAGCGGCGTGGGCATACTTGATCCCAGCTAGCCACTGAACAGGTGGGGCTCGGGGCTTGCGTTTCTGCTGTCAACCCTGAGAGGTCGGGATGCTCCATATTTCTCAGCTAAAGATGCTGATCAGTAGCGGTAAGTTTAGCTCATATGTCATTCATCCGCCCATTGATGGAGTGCTGATAATATTGTCATCCAATTGCAATTTCCAATTATCACGCGCTCACCGTCGATCATGGTAATCGGAAGAACAGGATGGAGCTCCAAGTGCCTTCTGGCAGCTGTTTTTAGAGAAAAAGCTAGAAAAGGTTCTACGACGAACGATTGCTCGCCACTGTCGGGTGAGAGCTGATGACACTGCCGTTGTCGTTTCAGTGAAAAGATTGTACGCAGAGCAATCTGACTAAACGATTTGACGATACTGACATTATTTGAACAGCCATTGAGAAGCAGCTTATCATGTGGTAACGACTATTCTCTCGAGGAAAGGAACTTACATCAAGGATCTGCTTCAAGTACATACGTGGAGGAATCCATCCACTGCACAAATAGGGCACAATAGTGAGAGAAGTCTATCATGCTTAGTTGTGAGGGGTCAGGGTAAATGAAATCCATCCATCTATCCATCCATCGACTGTACGTGGAGGATCATCACATCCCTCCCCCCGCCCCCCCCCCCCCCCCCCCCCACCCCTAACCACCAATCCGTAAGGGGATTGGCATTTATCAATGAAAGCTGAAAAGGATCCATAGTTCAGCTAAAAGCACTTTCATCATATTGACAATATGATGTAATGGTGCGCCACGCCTAGCACCAATCTAAAAAAAAATATATGGCCTCGCTCCCCCCTTCAAATTGACAATTACTCTTCTTCATCCTCCGTCAAGGTTCATACACAGCATTTCGCCCGTCTTGACTTATTTCTTCATCTACGCAAGTTTATAAATTCTTCAAAATGTCAACCAATTATCAAATGGAAGACGAGGACTATAAACAGCTCGGCAAGGAACTTGGACCCCTTGGCTTTGGAATCTACTACCTTTGTAAGTGGACAACCATGGAATATAGAACAAAACTGATTTTGCTTAGGGAATGCAGCCGCGCCTCTTACAAGGGGAGTGGCAAGCCACTCACAGGCTGGTGTCTAGTTTTCAATTACGACAATGATCTTGTTTTTCTGAAAACCGAAGGATATTATACGGGTTATCTCAGGGATCATCCCGCCACGCGTAACTCGGACAAAGATAAAATTATTTATGCGCCGGCCGGAATTGATGTGAAGTCGCGCGACTCCGATTGGAAATTCATGGTTCTGGAGGAAATGTTTGGAAAACACTTAAGCAGGGATAAGCTAGTTGCATACGCCCACTGGTGGAACGGCTATGAAGTTACTGGGACGGAGAAGGATTATTACATGGGGTTAATTAGAGCAGCCCGAGAGGAACAGAACAAGAAGCTTGGGCCCGAGGCTATAAGCATAGAAGAACAAGACAAGAATGCTCGAGCTCGGGTTAGTGAAGGGTTTTAGCCGAATTTGTCCAATTGAGCGGTGCCACGATCTGTTTACATAAAAATTGAAGAAAAGAAAACAACTTGAGCATAGATCAGATCATCAGAATAAACATAGGGCTGAAGGTCACGTTGCAACACGTGACCCCATCGGCCCCAGCACGGTCAGCATTGATTAAGAACGTAACTGATTGCACTTTTATTTTTGACAATCTACCCCGCTATGAGGTTATCGAAAATCTCCAGTAACATTAAAAGTCTTTTTGTCCTGTTTGCATAAATATCGTAATACCATGGGATTCTATGTAGATGATTGGCCATTATCCTAATCGAGAGAATGTCTTACCATAATAATGTCTTATAGGGGAAGAGAATGTCAGGATGGTTTTTCTGTTGCCATCTGCGATTCTGATAGCTCTCCACTTGGATCTTGTTAGAGATAGGCACATGATTTGATGAGGCAGGCTTTGGTGCCATACCAGTATGGCCCACTCAGAATGATGGCTCAGCTCTGTGGTGAACCAGAAGATTAACCTTTGAGGTGGGGTATGAAAGGTGTCGCATGTAACAAAGTACAAGTGAATACAACCCCACCAGGGCGGTAGGTACGGTATGTAAGAAACAATACAGGCTCCAGTGCCAAGAATACTCGGATTAATTCCCAATAGGGACTAGCTAAGCTTAGTAATTTGACTCCGAAACACTGTGAAAGAGTAGAAGTGGTGGCACCAGTTTCGGGACGCACTGTACTCAGATTTCTGAGACAACTAACTAGTTGGTTTAATCACCTGCTGCAAGTTTGCCTGCCCGTTGACCTCATGTTTTCTCCATTCATCGGCTAGTCGATGATGTTCCATTTTATTCTACTGATATATGTCGTGGAAATCGTCGTTGAGTCAACTCACCAAGTACTGTAACCGTTTCATTTTACCGTCCATCAACATCAATCCTCTTCAAACGGTGTCTTTACACGATATTTTTGCCCAGTTAATCACCTCATCTTTCTATTGCCCACACTTATTACACGCATTTCAATTTGTATTCCTATTGTTTACCTATTCCGGAGCCCACGTTTTATGGCGCGAGACCCCTCACGTTCCTAGGATCATATTCGAACCCAGGATCCATGGCATGGTTCCCAGGCACGCTATTGATTGCTTCCAGGAGTAAGAATCACAGTTCCCAGATGTGTCAGAGATATACATGAAGTATACAGGATGGATGGAGATATGATCTGCGCGGGACCCACATGGTGTATATGGGTTCCCCTGAACGCGAGGAAGCTACCTTCCTTTTGCTTCCTCGCGCTACGTCTTGTATCTAGAGTCAACTATAGTTGTTCTTAATATCGATTGTTCATCCCGGAACACTATCCACCTCTATGTATACGTGAGACCTTCACAAGATGGCCTACAGCTCCCGGGGGTGAACTGTATAGCTCCGGGGAACGAGAGGTGGTCTCCTGGGGGCTTGGATTCCTACTTCTAAGAACAATCTATAGCGTGCCTAGGAGCATAGAAACTAGGACCAGATATCATCTATAACTGATCCAGACCTCACTGAATTTTAGATCAAGAAGGCGAGCCAAACGCCACCGCTGTATGAGGCGCAGGAATATATGTATTTAGTTTTGAGTCTTGTCTAGAAATATGAAGTCCGACTTATGACCTTTGTACGAACATGAGCTATGTAGTTACAGGAGAAACGTCTCAGGACAGTTTACCACCCGAGAGGCATCTCTTAATTCAGCATATGTAACGTAGAAAGAATTTTATGTGTTTCACTCTGCTCTCTGCGCACAGTGGATATAACAATCTGGCCTGGGGCGATATCCAGAACACCCTCACCACAGACGAGATCAACGCTGGCGATGCCAAGGACCCCAATGGTGTGCAGAACAACGACCATCCCAAGGTGTACGTTGCGTGGTCGAAGCACCCCAATTTTGACACTCGCAACACGGGATGGAATGATCCGGCCAGCCAGTCATTGGATGACGCTTTCCGCAGTGACGACTGGTGGTACTATGTTGATCCGCAGTACTATATTCGCTCGGATAATAGTACAGAAGCTGGTCAAGTCCTGGGGTCAGCGGATTGGGGTCATGCGACGAGTAACCCGCCATTGGTGCAGGCGAGTGTGTGCGATGCGTCGTAGATACAGCATATTGATGTATCGATGTATCGCATCATTCTCGATGTATGGTTCATGATGTAGCTGTGTACATTTGATGGCAATGTGAACCCGAGGTGCACCTTTCACCGCTCCGAGCTTCTTCGTACTTTACATGTATATATCCTTAGCTCATATACTCCGTACCGAACTTGAGCTCGCGACTACCACAAAACCCATCGAATTCCCTGCTCAAATGAATCAAAACAAGTTGAAAGTCTCGGGCATTGTATTTTATATGCTGTTTTATCTCATTTTATCTCATCTAATGGTCATTCGTTGCATCGACTCATCCCAAAGAATTCGAGTTCACAAAGAGTACAGACGAATCTGCCCGCATGACATCAGACACCCCACCCAATCAAACCCGTCTTATTTCCCCGCCATTCCCGCCTTTGAACTGAACAACTCCAAAACACCACCTAACGCTTCGCGGCAAAATGTCCTGGTCCCAAAAGAACTTCACTCTGCCTCCGCGCAGCCGCGGCTCCTACCTCATCACTGACCATGTCCTCTCGGAAGTCCCCGAGATCCGCGACTACAAGGTCGGCATGCTGAACCTGTTCGTCCAGCACACCAGCTGCGCCCTCTCGCTGAACGAGAACTGGGATGATGATGTTCGCGCCGATATGAGCGATGCGCTCGATCGCATTGCGCCCATGGACAAGAAAGGAAACCTCTATCGTCATTCTGCTGAGGGTGAGGATGATATGCCGGTGAGTTTTCACTTTTTTTCTTCCACTACTGGACGGATTTGCTCAACATTTTGAATGCAGGCCCATATTAAGTCCGCATTGATCGGTGCCTCCGTCAGCATCCCCATTACCAATGGTCGTCTGGCGACCGGTACCTGGCAGGGAATTTGGTACCTCGAGTTCCGCACTAGTCGGCATGCGCGCAAGGTCGTCGCGACCATCCAGGGCCAGAAGGCATGACTTGATTGTGTACGAGAGCATTTATGACTGTGATAGTGATCGGGGAGTACTGGGGCTGTATGTTGTTTTTCCTTTTTTGACTAGAGTGACAGTGTACGCAGCTCTACACGCAGTCTACAATTGAGCTCCGACAAAACGGGGCATGTAGATAGTGGGTCACAGCAACCAAAGATGCTGGGATCGAGATATCAAAATGTTGAACATACAGGTCTAGCTCACGCTAGACCATCGCATTGGCGAACGGCAGATCCATTGATCGATATTTCTGTACACGGCCTCAGGCCCAAAACCAATAACACACATGGGAAATGATAAACGCCGACAAAAGGAATCTGATGCTATACGTCTACCGCTGCTCCAGGCCGCCATCAGTGACGCGCTGGGCCTCGTTCACCTCCGCGGGGTCTTGAGTGGGCTCGAGAGGGTAGCTGGTGGCGGGCAGAGACTTGAGGTAAGCGCGGTGCTGTTCGTGAGCCTGCAAAAAAAAAAAAAACAAAAACATAATGCGTTAGTGTCTGTCATTCATTCTTTCGGCTTGTGTTAAAGCAGTTGTGGGGACCTACGAAGGGAACACCGCAGTATCCGCAGGTTGCGATCTCGGGCTTGTCGGTGTTGATGAAGATCTTGGGGTGACCGAGGGGGCCACCGCCACCGTCGCAGCTGACAACCTTGGACTTTGTCCAGCGGACGGGCTGCTTGTGAATGAGCTCAATAGCCGCCATGGGTTGGGGCTGGGATATCAGTCAGTAGCTGTCTTCCATGTTGCTACACAGGGTCCAATCATCCCCAGGTTTATCCATTGACCCCAGAAAATGACTCCTGCTGATCCACGAACCTGAGTCTGCATTATAGTCTGCTCGAAGCGAGGTCCGACCATGGCCTGCTCACGCGGCTGCTGGCTGGCAGCCCAGGTGTTGGCCCGGTTCGGGGCCTGCATGGTGCGGATGCGCTCAGCGACCATGGGGTCCTCCTGCAGAGAACCGTCCCAGCGACCCATGGAGTCGGTGGGCACGGCATTGGTGGCGGACACATTGGGCTTGACGGCAGGCGGGTTGGGGTCGTTGGCGGCCATGCGGTTTTCGGACAGGCGAGGGACGGTCGAGGAGTAGGTGCGGGCGGCGAGGCGCGGAACCGACGCCAGGGCCGTGATGCGGCGGGTGCAGGACATCATGCTGGACAAATTGAGTCCCGAGGGAGGCGGGGGTGGATGGTGAATAGAGGACGGAGGAAGGGCAGGTCAAAGGTCGAAAGGTCGAGCACTGAATAATCCGCAATCCGCGCCGTGTGGTTTGGCGGACGCTCACCGCCCGCGCTGGTCGCAGCGGGTTTTCTGCCGCAAAAAAGGCTTCCCACCTTTGGGCTGTTTGTCTCGCGACCTCAGCTTTGCGCTCTTCTTCCTGCCTGGCTTTGCTCTGCTTCGTGCACCCCGCCACGATGACAGACGAATTGCCAATAGGCCCGAAACGGGCTTCAAACCCGGATAAACCCATGTCGTCTCGACTGATGACCATGAAGGTACGTCAGAAGATCTACTGCACGACCAAATAAATGCTGACCTTTTTGGATTATAGTTCATGCAGCGTGCTGCAGCAACGGCGGCTGAAAAAGAACCCCAGACACCAGGATCGGATGAAAATGTGCCGAAAGCCAAGCGCCCGCGACTGTCGACAGAGGCTAGCAGCCCTGGGACTCCGCAGTCTGAGCTCGATGCCATCTCAGCGGCGCTGAAAGCAGAGGAAGACAAGCGACGAGATATCGTTACGCGCCAAGCGGCAGAGGCTGGCGACTCAGAATGGGTGCTCGAGGACCCGTTTGTCAATGCTTACCCTACGCAGCCCAACGTGGTGGCAGCCGACTCGCTTGATGCGCCCGATGATGCCCCTGTGGGCGGTCGTCGCTCATTTGGCAACTTCAAGGGAAAGAAGACTGTCGAGCAGGTACGTATTGAATCGACGCAGTATGATTATATTACTAATCAGCACCAAGACATCCGCTTCACAATCCAAAGATGATGATGATGACGACGACGATGATGAGGATGAACTTGTCAACCCGGCCAATTCCGAGCAGGTCATGGAGATCATGGAGAGAAAGCGAGCCAAGATGTTAGAAAAAGCCACGAGGCAAGCTAAGCAAGAGCGGAAAAGAAACCCTGACAACATCAAGCATTTGACAAGTATTTCTGGCGGACGCCCACAGCCGAAAGATATGCCGTCGAAGAAAAAGAACAAGAAGAAGCGCAAGAGTGAGTCATGAGATGCCACCCTTTCTTATGAAAATGTGGTTTTCTTTGGGTGGTGGGCATGGCGTTTTTTTCTAGCATGGTTCACGGGCGTTCGGCGATTGAGTACATTATTATTATTAGCCAGCATAGCTGCCTCTGTAAACCAAATCAAGTTCTAAGATCTATTGTGACGGCATACACTTGAATAATATTACAACCGCTTTCAGGAAAATAAAAGGAAAACACTAGTAGATATCAATATCGATGTCAAGGGCTCTTGCACTCTCAAAAAAGCGGCAGGGACAACTACAATCTCGCCTTCTCCTCCCGCTTTTTCCTCTCCCACCCTCTCTGTGTCGCGTAATTCACCACCAAATTCCATGCCGCAATTCCGAATCCAACAGGCGGTGCAACAAGCAATGCCCACGCCCACCAGCGCGGACTCGACGCCGAAATACTAACCATCGCTCCCTTGACCGCGCGTACCAGCTCATCTTTATCCGCATCGTTCCATACCACGACACCTCTCGTCGTAGCTGTCCCACGGAACTCTGCCTGTGCAGCTTTCATGCGCACGTCACCCTGGCTCCGGACACGGTTCTCCGCATCTTCAGCGGTGAGGTGGGCGTCTCGAGCGCGGAGGCGCGCCATTTGTACGGCCGGGTCGTGGACGCCGACGACGATGACAGTTCCGCAGATGAGGTCCATGCCACTTTCGAAGAGAAGCGGCACATCAAGGACGACAGCCCACTGGCCACGGATATAGTGGAAGATCAGTGCTTTGTAGACTTCCCATCGAACGGCGGGGTGAATGATTCCGTTGAGGACCTGGCGATCGCGCTTGCGTTCGTCTGTGTCGCCGAAGACGCGACGACCTAGCGCGGGACGGTTGAGTGGTTTTCCGGCACCGGGTGAGGGCTCATCGAGAAGAAGCTCGGGCGTGCTGGGTCCAAAGTAGTTCACGATCGCCTTGTAGCCGGCTGTGCCCGGTTCGACGACCTTGCGGGCGAGGAGGTCGGCATCGATGATGGGGAGGGAGTAGGGAGCCGAGGAGAGGATTGAAGAGACGGTGGATTTGCCGGTGGCTATTGAGCCCGTCAGCCCGATGATGAGCATTGTGGCGGCTGCGAAGAGAACTTGACGAAGGAAAGCGTTAAGTTGATGATGAGATGAATGTCGAATGCGGGGAGCTCCACTACCTCGGCCCCGCTTGGACAGCCCGTTTACCACTACAGTACCTTAGGATACAATGTACGGAGCAGTACTAGCAAAATGCAGTCAAGGTATGTACTGATTTCTTTGGGGAATAGCAGATATTTCAATCAGATGGCGTTTAGTGCAGTTATAAAAGTTCTTGAAATCGGCTCGATCTTATGCTTAATTTTGAAAACGTCAGACAGTCCAATCCAGCTAATCTGGTGAGCAGTTTTATTCAGATGACAAAATATGGTTTTTGAATACCGATGTACAAAATTTCAATCAGATCATGACTCGGGCAGTCCATAACTCGGGTTTTGAGCCTGACCCTTCCACCCAATGTATGGCCAACCCTTCGGCAACGAGGAGTAGGGCGGGAGCACATAGCGGCCATCACATTGACCGTCTACAGGGCAATCCAGATCGCACAGCCCAAAGACATTACAATAACATTCCTTTGCGGTGGGGCAGTATACTGCCTTTTCACCGAAGATCACTTGTGGGAGTCAGAATCGGTTCTCATGTGAGTTGTAGCTTGGGAGGTATTGTATTGTTCTTACTGTGCCATGAATATTCCATGATTCGCCCACTGAGGTCATCAGTCAAGTCAGTCGCGGCTAACCACTCGCGGAAGCGCACATAGTCGCTTTTAGGTCGCTCCAGCACTTTTTCGCGGGAGACACCAAATTGAGCACAGCACGATGCGCCGACCTCGTCCGGGACGGGGACTCCGGGGAACAGCTGCATAAAACCATCCTTGAAGTACTCGCCCGCGTGTACATCGTTGCGGTGGGTGTCGCTCTTGGGGTGGATCTCGGCGGGACAGCCAAGTGTCCAGACGCAGCGCAGATTCACATAACCCTTTTTCTGGAGGTAGGGGACCTGGAAATTGCGCAGCATGGAGACTCCATCGTAGTAGGGGTCGTCGTTGTGCCATTGGAAGCGCTGGGAGTGGATGAAGAGCATGGCGTCGGGAAGGTTATCGTAGTGGTCAATAATGTACCTGTCCATCGAAATCCGTGTAAGCGATTGACAATGTAGACAATTTATGCGCATGATGGACTCACGTTAAATACACCATCGACTCCCGACCCTTGTTCTTGGCCACGGTCAAGGGAGCCGACGTGTCATCGACAACATAGATGCTCTGCGACCAGTCGGGGAAATAATCAGGTAGCCAGGATGTATCGTCTCGCTTCATACTGGCGACAACCATTTCTTTGTGAGGTCGTACGATGGGACGAGCCTGCTCGCCCGTGGACTTGGAGGAAGTGTCCCGGTGGGTGTCTGGTCGCAGACCTGGGGTTGCAACGCCCGGGGGAGCATAGCGGGCCTTGTCGGTGCTGATGGCTTTGGCCTTGGGTTCGGAGCCGGCGAAGAAGAGAAAGTAGAGGGCGAAGACAATGAAGATGGTCAGCAGGATGGCCTTGATACGGTTGCGGCGGCGGGGACTCTGTGGTCCGCTCGGAGCGAATAACATGGTGACGGAGCTGTTGGTGGCAGCATCGGATCGGATCAGCGCATAGTGCAGGCCCTCGCAGAAGAGTCGGCAGCCCTCGGGGATTCCCGAGGAATTCGAGCTGCAGAATGCCCTCGCAGGAAGATGCGAATGTAGGGGAAGACACAGAGGTTCGAATTGACGGAGGTGAAACGTGTCGGGAGGTCGCGCCACACTCAGCCACACCGGCGATCGGTGGGTCTTGCCATAAACAGTTTGTATACTCCGACTAGTACGCTCTACACTTGACTATATTCAAACAGGTGCACGACCTAGATGAGGATTGTATCTCATAATACGTACTTTATTCGCTCGTTTATTCATATATTGCTAATATTAGAGTTTCCTCCGGCTCGTTCAATCGCATCCGTCAATGTTGACAATATACCAGTTGTGTGCCTCGATATCCGGGTTCACCGTTCCTGCATTACCATCCCTCGAGTTGATTCCGTCAATCTCCTCAATATCTGACGTGCTCACAGTCTCGTTGTTACTGCTGGTGATCCAGTATTCTGGACTGGCATGACTGAATCCGAAAGAGATCGGAGGCAGCTTGGGTACCACATCGTCATTATGAGTGGCGCGCCAGAGACTACCCTGATCGGTCATGTATGTAGCAAGAGCTTCATTGCCCACACGAGGCTGACCATAGGTGTACTGCCAAATGAGCATGCCTTCAATTGCAATATATTCCGAAAGGGACGACTCACCAAGTCCAGGTCATATCCTGCATTTCGCAGGGCTGTGCCCCCCAGCGCGGCGACGGCACCCCCGAAGCTGTGACCAGTGAGCACGAGCGTGTAGCCGTCGTAGCTCTCTCGCGCCGTGTTGATCTGGGAGATGAGATCGTCGGCGACGACGTTCCATGCCTTCCAGAATCCCCCATGGGCTTCACACTCGTCACACAGGTCACTGACATCGGTCAGGCCGTAGTCCAGGTTGGCAATCCAGGTGCTGGCACTGCGGCTACCTCGGAAAGAGAGAACCAGCAGCTGGTTGGTGTCATCGACAGCCAAAAAGCCGGCCACATCGCCCCATTGGGTGGACCTGGTGGAGATCGGATTAGTGGGTGTTCGGTGGAAGTCAGGCACCTTAGGGTACAATGGGTATAGTGGTAAAAGATAAACTTACTCTTCAAATTCGTACAGCGAGGTAGCCCCCGCCGACTGCACGGAGGGACAATTGCCGTCTGCACAAGTCACCGAATCGCCCGTCGAGTTGATATTGTTCGAGCAATAAGATGCAGCTGAATACTGCGCAAACAGGGTGAGCTGGTCGAGGACATCGGAGGAAACATCTGTTGGTGTCAGCCCTGTACCTTCGACACTTCTACTAGTATATTAGTAATATAGAGGTACTAGGACTAGCACTCGGGGTATACGTGAGTACTCCGAATGGCATACCTCGAGGTACTGGACGAGCCGGCGCAGCTGCCACCAGCACCGCAGCGAAGACTGTTCCGATGAGAGAAAACCGCATTGTGCCGCTCTTCTGGGTGCTGCCGAAAAATGCGCGAAAGAGCTACTCGTACCTGAGGCGCTCGGTAGGCACCGAATGTGCCTTGGCCATGGACTATATAGCTCCATTCGCGCAATAGCGGGGTATCCGCGCCAGAAGAAAAACAAAAGAAGACGGAAAATCTTGGAAGCCATCCCCTCGATCGGAAGAGGCTCGTCGTCCGTTGCCAGCCACGATGGATTCGCCGAGTGGTGGGGATTCCTGAGGGATCGACATTCCTGCAGTTCTTCACGCGCCATGTAACCGCCCAGACCGGGGCGTTCTCCCGTCGCCCGCTTCATCTTCATCCGGGATTGCTCTACTGCGTTAGTCGCCAGCGGGTTGTGGGATCGGGTGACCCGCTTGGACCATCTACGGCCGCACCAGAAAGCGAAGAAACCATGGGAGGTGACGCGGACACCGTCCGAGTTGGGCATTTGGCCGTAACCACTAGAAGTAGTACCTATGTAGAGAGCATATCGCAGGAACGCAGCAGCAGAAGAGGACATGAGGAGAAACGTTAATAGATTGCGCTTTGATTCTGGCTGATTTCGGCCTCCACCCTACAGCACGTCGTCTCCATTCTCGTATCCATTCTGCTTCACGTCAGTCATGCCGGTGTCCTGGCCGTCGTCGTCGCCTCCCGCCAGCACTTTCGTGCGGGGCAGATGGTCGGATGGCGTGCCCGGGGTGACAGCCACCACGTTGTCGTTCTCGTCCACGAACTCGAAGTTGTATCGCGAAAGGAGGTGGGGGATCGCGGAGAGTTGAGGACCATACCGGGCGGTGTTGTCGTACAGTTCGAACAACGGAACCGCCAGCAGCTTCATGTTCTTGGGAACCGAGAGGACCTCTGCCGGGTAATAAGTGAGTATGACTGCTTCCATTCCGCATCGCCAAAGATATTAAACATGACAAGGGAATCCACTTACTCTTCTTGGGCAGCTGGATAAAGTACAGCTTCTTACATTCCTTGGGCCGTGTGACGTGACCTGGCAGAAACGGGTACATGAACGTTTCGAAGTTGGGGCGCCACCACTGTGCCAGAGTATCGCCAATTTCCCAATCTTCGTTGACTCCCTCGCCGGAAAATTGCGAGCCCACTGGGGCCAGGCGCTCGTTCAACCGCTTCTTGAATCCATCAACCTCTTCGTCCTCGTGGTGAAGATAGTCGCCCGGGCTAAAGCAGTCAGTATCAGTTCCAATACCCATTGAACCCAAGGAGCCAGGGAACATAGATGAACACTTACAGTTTGAAGAAAGCATTGGCGATTTGCAGCATCAGGACGTGCGGGTGATTGTGTTCGTGACAGACCAGCACACCCTCGCACGTGCGCCGCATGCCATGGATCTCATAATGCTCTTCCAGCCGCTTTAAACGGGCCAGCACTGATGGATCTTCCTCTGGCTGTGTTTCTTTGGTACCAAATGTGTAGTTGGACAAGGGGTAAAGGCGAATCGTCTCCGGCTGCTGTGCGGAGAAATCCTTGGGGAGGATGGGGCTGCAGTCGATGTCGATGTTAGCAGACAGCCCAGGACTGAAGACAATTGTTGCACGACGGAAAAACTCACGGGTGGTTGCTTTGGATTACGGTCGCTGTTGTGGTCGCCATTTTGCTGGGAAGACGTGTGAAAGCGTGTAAAAGAGGCAGCTCCGAGTGCGCAACAGGGTAGCTCAAGTGCCAGGCAATAATGCGCGTGTTATCGCTATCACCCCCGCTCACCGCCTACCATTAACGGCAATATTGTCAGGCACTCCAGTATTTGTAGGAGGCGAGTCCTAGAAGTACGAGCAATATGAGTTGAATTCAAGATGCTATTACTGTTTGTCCAATGGTAGGGTCAGTGTGATATCATATGATCACAGTATAACAATTGTAGGAATACTTTGAGCAGTGAAATTCATTGATTTGCCTAGTTCATTGCCTATTTCATATATGATAACTACTATTCTGATGCTAGATCAACCTCTACATTCGACTCCCCAACTCGCATTCCATGCTGACCACACTCATACTCCAGACACACATGACCCATGACACACAAAGCCCTCACAGCTTCGCATCAAAATCCTCAAATTCGCTGAGATCCGTGACCGGAACCGGTCCGGTGCTGACGGGGAGACGGGCCTTGAAAGTAGTGACATCCGTGATGATGATGGGATCCTCGGGGCTGGCCGGGATGCTGGTGCCATTAGTGACGGCCTTGTCGGTGCTGCTGGTTTCCAGGCCCAGCTGCTTCAGCTGGATTCCAATGTTCTTGTCCAACTTCTCCGTCACAGGCGCAATCTGGGCCGGTGACAAACTCAGATCGGTGGCCAGGAAGGTCTTGACAATGTAGATGATCTGCGCACGATCAATCACCTCAATATCGATCTCATCAAAGGCGGACGCCAGACGAGCATTGTCCACCGCAAACCCGGCAGTCTCAATCTGTTTATAGATAACATCGACGAGGCGAGAGCGCTTTTCATTGGCGCTGGTCTCGGGCTGGGCGCCGGATTGCGCGTTCAGGTGGATGGCCAATTTGGCGCGAGAGGTCGAAGAAGGATCAATGTGCTGCTTGTAGAAAGCAATAAGATCGCCCTTGGTCAAGGTGCGGACATTAGCCGCATCAGACTCGTGCTGCAAGAAGTCGAAGTACTCCGAGCCAACGTGAGACCAGTAGCGGCCGGTCTCCGAACCCAGGTTCTTGAGCTTCTCCAGGCGCTTGTTAATCACACTGCGCTTGTGTCCCTCAAACTCATCATCGGGCATGTTCTCAAGAACGGGTCCAAACTCTCGCAGGAAGCTTTCGATGCGAGATTCCAGATACTGTGCGGTGCGCTCACTCTGAATAATCACGCGGTAGCCCATGGTGGTCGCGTTGTAGCGGGAGCCGCTCCACACCACATATCCGAGCTGTTCCTTGCTGCGAAGCTGGTCGAAGGCAGGCTCATCGGTCAGCTGAGCGAAAAGCTGGAGCTTCGATCGCAACAGGTCGTCGGAAAACAGGCCAATATATAGATAGTACTCGATACAGTGGTTCACGTTGTTCGGGTCCTTGAGAGTCCGCGGGTAGACGTAGTTGCTGCCCCGGGGAATCATCATGTTGCGGCGAAGGTACCACTGCGAGGGAGGCAGAGGGCGGCCTTGGAGGATCTTCTCCACGGAGTCCGTCATGCGCAACGCATCCTCTTTGTATAGGTTGCCGTGGGCCAGGGCCTCGATATGAGTCTGCTCCAACAGCTGCGGGTAGAAGTTGGTGATGTCCGCCGCGGTGATATGCTCGAGCTCCTCAATGTACTGCTCATTGATCCAGCTACGCTCGGACAGCAGGTACCGCGTGTAGTCACCGACTTGGTAGAAAGGCTGCTGGTACTCGGCGTTGCGGAAAGCCCGAATCAAACGCTCCTTGATAATGTTGAAGCGGTCCTGGTTGACAATCAGGCCACGCATGGTGGTCAAAACCTTCTCCAGCAAGGCAGACATCTTGTCGTTGTAACCGCCAACGGAGATATCCAGGCCCAGGATATTGGCCGCAAGGTGGTAGTCCAAACCGGCGAGTTCGGCATCGTAGGAGTACTCGTCCAAGGAATCCCGTACCAATTCGCAGTAGAACTTGGTCTTGATGAGGTTGGCAGGGGTTGCCCACACCAGAGGGTTGCGCAGTGTGACGTGGACAGTTCCCTTAGGCACCCAGAAACGGTCATCCTTCTTGAACCACAGACGGACACGGTCATCGTGGCGGATCAACTTGGGTGTCTTGGCAGGTTCAGAAATGTCCTTCTTCTCCACAGACAGCCTGGTCGGAACGAACTCGTTCTTGTGGGGCATGTGCACGTTAGATGTGCGAGTGGCCTCGGTCGACTCCAAAGCCTTCTGGATTCCACTCAGGAAGTCCCGCGGAATCTTTTCGACCTTATACTCGGTTCCATACCACTTCTCCTTCTGCTCCCACTTGCCTGGGTAGTCCTGAGACACGATGATCAAGCGGAAGTTATCCGCCCGCAGGTAAGACATGGCTTTCTTGATCAGCTCCGGGTCGAATTGACGCAGCAGCGACCCACTCAGCAGCCATTCGCGGGGCATCGGCTTCTGCATGACACTGCTCAGACGACTGGTAAATCGACTAGCCGGGGTCTTCTGCTTGAAGCGAAAGTCCACTTCGGCGAGATTCTTCATCTCATCGAAGATCCACTGCTCTGGCTCGCGCTCCTTGATCATGGCAATGTACTCGAAGATCACTTTCGCGACCTCCTGGTACTTGTCCAGACCTTCGGGTGTCAGGCGCACAGAGATGGTGAAGAAGGCCGAGCCAGGGCAGATGGGCATTGCACCAGCGGAGAGACCATTGGCCCATCCTTTGGCCTTCAGGTAGGAGAGAACACTGCCTGGACCTTCATGGCCGATGAGGTGGCTAATGTACCGACTAGGCTGGGTATCGCTCATGTTCTCTTCATCCAGGAAGGGGAAGTACATGTCCATCGAGCGAGAGTCCATGACGGGCTTCGCGAATACCTGAGTGCACATGTCGGTCTCGGAGAAAGGCTGCACGTCATCCCAACGGTTCTGGGCAAGATTCTTGTTCTCAACATCAGCGAACAGCTCACAGACCCATTGCTCCAGCGTGTCCAAAGTTTCCCGGCCCAGCACCACCAATTTAGCCCGGTTGGCCGAGTAGTGCTTCTCGTAGAATCGAATGAACTCGCTGCGCACTTCCAGGCCACGTTTTTGCGGCTCTTCCTTGAGGGTCTGCAAGTTACCGGTCGAGAAGTGGTGATATGGGTGTTTGGGGTTCGAGAGGGACTTGTTAAGCTGCATCAATCGCCACAGATCACTCTGCAGGTTCTTCTTGTTCTCTGAATCCACGGCCCGCAGCTCACGATCTAATGTGGACTCAAGGAAAAGCGGGGATACGAAGAACTGGGCGAAGCGATCCAAAGCACCGTACAAGGGTGATCGACCCTCTGTCTCTGTCGAGCCGCTGGAGGCATCACTGACGACGCTATTGGTGCCATTGGTCGAATCCGTGGTCGGGGTGTTCTGTCCGCTGGATTTCGGCTCGCTGGAGTCGCCCGTGGCAGACACCTCAAAAAAGTAGTTGGTTTCGGTTGCGGCAGTATAGGCATTAGAGGAACCGGAATGGGAGGCGAGGTACTGGTTATAGGCATTCTCCTTGGGGTACTAAATGCGGATCCGTTAACTCCTCTATCTCTAGTCTTCCCGTGCGGCAAACAATACAATAAAGACGTACCTTTTTTGTTCCCATAAACAACAGATGCTCTACCGCATGAGCCATGCCTGGCATATCATCTTCATCGGAGAAATTGCCGACATTGACGTTCACGGCGGCACTAGCCTTGTCGGTATCGGGATCATGCACTAGCAGCGCCTCCAACTGATTCGGTAAACGAATAACACGGTAAGAGCGGTCATCAAGCTCTGGCTTTTCCAGGCGCTCTGTGATGCGGTCGATCTGGCTCATGATTGGGGGATTGGCACACGCCGTGTGGGAAGAGGTATGGGAGAAGAAGCGGGTCTGCTGGCCAAACGATGGAGACGGAGAACGGGACCGAATGAACAGCGCGGGGCTAGTCGCAGACGAGATGCGTAACAAAAGACTCGGACGAGCGGTTGGATTGGATTTCAGGCCCCTGTACCACGACGAACGAAGCGATGGATGTGCTCCCGAGGACCTTGGGAGCATCAAGGAAGGGCGAGGGAGAAGGTAGCGATGCAAGGCTCTGATAGGACCAATGCAGGCTAATTCCAGGGTGTGTAAACAAACAGATGCGGATCCAAACACGCGCACAAATAGGAAGATTCGTGATGACGAGAGAAGCGTCTGTTATTGCAAAGACAACGGGGCCTTTGTGTCCCGCCGACGATAACTGGAGCGGTGAGTCTTTTGCCGGCAGGGCGGTGGGCGTCGACGCGGGGAGTGGGCGTGTACCTCTGTCGCAGCTATTCCGTTTCAGTGCCGATGATGACGCTGCATCCGTGTTGACTTCCCTGAGAGCAAGGTAGGGCCTGGTGTCATGCCGAGGTTCAAATCCTCCATTCAGGCCAACTCCGCAGCTCGGGAGAAAAAAAGACGGCCGAGAGTATGGAAATACTGGAGTTATGGAACTCGTATAAATACTCCAGCTTGGGTCGACCATTAAGACGTGACATATACACTAGGGTCTACATGGCTCAGGGTAAGCTCCGCGTTGTTACTTCACGGGGGTCCAGACGTGTCTCGGTCTGTGTCCCAACACCAACCAACAGGAACGCCGCGCGTTTGTGGCGGGCGCCTAGCACCTGTCATGGAAGTTCGAGGAGAGATACATCCAATCACACCGAAATCGAATTGCGACGAGTAATATTCTGCGTGCCATTGTGATCTCGCATTAACTAAATATACAGCACTACCAATTCGCATCAATGAGTCTCTTCCCCCACCTCGCCCAGGCAAACCACCGTCCAACGTGACTTGATGTTATCACTTGCAGCCTGGTAAATCAACCGCTGCACAGCCTCAGCCACACTGCAAAAACAAATATCATGCCGTTTTAGCGATCCACCGAGGCAGGTCCAGGAATTTTCTCTCTTGGTTCACATTAAGTGTCCACACCAACACTCAGATTATCCTGCGAAGTCGTTTAACACGAGTCGGCGCACAGCGTGAGAGTGACGTCGGCGTCCTGGGTGCAGGACTCAGTGTTGCTCACGTAACTGGCTGAGATACCGCCGTTCCAGCAGATGGAATTGCAAGTGTCCTCCGATGGGGAGACGTGGAGCGTGTGGCCAGCGAAAGGATCGCCAAAGACATCGGACAGATCGTAGGCGACACGGCCCTGGTTGCCTAGGGCATAGGCGAAGACGGTCTGTGGGCTGCCAGTGTACAGGCCGTCTTCAGCTAGGGTTATCTTGAGTGCAATGCCACCAGAGCTCTCATCAGTGTGCATCAGCTCCGAGTAGCCACCGTCTTTAGCGACGAGGGTCTGCATCTCGCCGACGGAACCACCGACAGACCACAAGTAGACGGGGAAGTCGCACTGGTTTATCACGATGGCACTGCCGACGGCGCTGGCCAGAGGAGTCATGGCTGCAAGAGCTGCAATGGTTGTGGTGGTGGTGAAACGCATGACAATGGAGATCGAAAAAGAATCGTAGTATAAGAAGTGTTTGGTCTCGGAGAAGGATTGGTAGTCGATGCTGCTGGAAAAATATCGATGATGACAGCAATTGAACAATTTATACATTTGGATACCACACTTTGCCGCTCTTTCCGTTTGAACAGCGAGCGCGATAGAACGAGGGTTGCATCTGGTGCGCCTGCCCTTTCCGAGACATCAGGCCGGCCATCGCAACCACGGACACATCACGGGAGGAGAGAACCCCAGTTCGCTCGGGCTGGCACTGCTGCTCTGATAATACATGCCAGGAGCCGAACCTTGGGCTTGTTTCTTCGTATCTTGCCTTGTGAGCCACGGCCAAAATGCATCGACCCTGAGCAAGCCATGGGTGTCATGCATATAACAAGATATCGGAGGCTAGCAGTGAGACAGTGACATCTTAGACGCTATGGTCCCGTGAACACCTCCAAATTGACCTCCAATTGCCTGACCACCAACGTCAATGGGTGGAAATACCGGAATCTACTAGAACTTTTTCAGGCGTTCTCTTTCCTCTCGTACACGGTGAGATGCTAAGCAAGGGTTGAGGTCTCGGCGCCATCGTTGACCAAAATCCGGGGGCGGGAGTGGCGCAGCCTCTGGCATTCCTACAGCGAACCTCAGCAGATCACTGTGAATCAGGAATAAGAGTTGATTGAGGCAGAGAAGACGCAGCATAGGAATCTCCTATAACTTATGAGCAAAACCACTCGTTGGGAGAACCTTTTAGTCTTTTACTACCACAATTTCTACCTTAAGGTATCTCGAATTATGTTCAGATATGATCTATTAACGGAAAAAGGTGCGAACAAAGGTCAGGCTTCTGGGGGAGTTCAGGAATTGTATCCGAGTATCTAAGCTACTTATTCTAAGTCAAATCGAGCGCAAAGACATTGGGATATATGAGCGGGTGCAAGCCAGGCCCCGCAGCATCGCCATAAGAGTCTTAGATCATAGAAAACTTGAATTGCCCATATAGCTTTGAGGAACGGCAACCGGCAAGAATAGTGGTTACCAGGCGCTTGGGCTGGACGCCTAATTCTTCTCCTCTTCTTCCTCCTCGTCATTCTCCTCCTCAGACACTTCGTCGGGAGTTCGCTCAGCAATCCACTCGAACACTTCCTGCTTGTGGTCGGAGAGCATTTCGCTCAGCTGAGTGCATCCGGATTTGCGTAGCGTGCCATATCGCTTGGATGGTTTGCGATCAGGGTTGCCCCAGACACCGTGCGAAGGGGACACAAAGACAAGCGAGCACTTCAACATTCAAGTTAGCAATGAATTCATGTGCAGAATGTTTGGATGGAAAACGCAAGGGTGGGACAAGGCAGAACAACAGCGCACGTACTTCGCGATACCACTTGGAAAGCCACACTTGCGTCGGGGAGGCGACCGCCCGAACAGGGTTCTCTGCCACAAAGGAAACAATGCCGGCAACCTTCTTGTAGAGGTTCTCTGCTTGATGTTAGCGACCTTTTCTGGGATTAGGTCCTTTCAGACCCGACGAAATCGGTGCATACCTCGGTTGATCAAGAGATTGGCGACGCCGTAGAACGCATTGCCAACTCCGATAAAGAAAATCTTTCGATCTTTCTCGCCGGCATTAGGCCTACCAAATAGACTTAGCTTTGAACCCAATTGACAGCCCAGAACCTTTTCTCTAATCCTTACTCGATGTAGTTGTCCCACAGATAACTTGCCAGCTCTTCGGTCGCCGTGGGTCGGTTCTCATCCTCGTCTTCGTACCTGCCGGTCATCTTGTCCCGTACAAGTTAGTCTTGCCGTGAAGCACTGTAAAAGGGGAGACGCCATGGGCTTTACCGGTTCTCGAGTGATGTGCTTTGGAATGTTGACGTCGATCACGGCGTAGCCATTGTTCATGAACCACTTTGCGTACTCCCTTTGGGTGTCAGCCTGTCAGTATGTTAGCGCACATGACTTTAAAAAAGCCTCTCCAATAACATACGACCCAAACGTTGTGAGCGTCGAGTCTGTTCGTGGTCGGATGGATTTGTCCCATAACTTCAGGCCTAAAATATCGTTAGTGGGGATGGTTGTCCCTGAGGTCCGAAAATATTACTTACGGATCGTGGAAAATGACCACAAGAGGCACATGTTGGTAATAGTTGGGGCTGTAATGATGTGAGCGTGTATGAAAAATGGAGCTGATCTGCTTGAGCAGCTTACCTGGCCAACACTTGATTCTTAAAAGACTGCGAAATGGCCGTGCGGTAGACATAGAGAGGAGTCATGTTGAACTCCTCGTACATCTGACTCGCTTGGTGGTGGCGGAGAATGTCTAACTCTCTTAGGAACTGCATAAAAGACATGGGTCTAGTACCTACCGTGAAGTCGCTGACCCCATGCAACATGTTTGGCCGGCTTGGGGAACATGCAAAGCCAGTAGGGTGCTTGAATCGACATGACTCGACGAACGGTGTCTGTTGCGAGAGCTGTAGGCTCTCTCGCTATCAAGCGGTCGGGAGGTTCGCCCATCAAAACTTTGGTTACGGCCAATGCCGACTTCGAAATCGACCGGAAATTGTAACCTCCCTAGTTCCAAGTTAGCTTTCATCAGTGATGTAGCTTGCTCGCATAGAACAACTTACCTCCAGGCAAACAGCCAATTTTCCGTTGGCTAGGGTCATTAGCATACTCGTCATTTGGCCGTAACAAGCAGGCGAGACAAAACAACCCCCCAGCACATCGCCGGCAGCAGCGTCGAATCCAGCCGAGACTAAATAACGGTCAATATCAGTGTATTCTGAGACATGGAAGGACAAATGGGCCATACTGATAACCAGGTCCGGGTCAAACTCTTGGGCAATGGGCATCACAATTTGCTGGAAGGCGAGCATGTAGTCGCCGTCACCCATTCCCTGGTCAGGCCAAGGGATATTGATATTCCTGGTAATTTTTGTCAGAATCTACCTGCCCTCAAGAAAACTGTTCATGTCAATAGATTCGTACCTCCCTTCGCCTGCTCCCTCGCCACAATGGTCCCAATCACCCGCTGGGCCCCCGGGGTAGAACTTCCCGTCCTGGTGGACATGGATCGAAATGTAGAGTACATTGGGATCGTCGTAGAATGCCTTCTGGATGCCGTTGCCTGCAAATCGTCGTGTCAGTGCTTGCATCATATGAAGTACGTGTTCTTGATAGTGAATGTACCGTGATGAACATCCCTGTATACGCGTCAATAACTTTCTTTATAACAAATTGGAAGTCCGGCTGCTCACCAGTCCAGGATCAAAATCTTCCGGCACTGATCGCCGAGTCTGTTCTGGCAGACGCGCGCCGCGACCGGTACATTATTGAAAAGGCAGAATCCCATAGCCGTGTCATGTTCTGCGTGATGACCGGGCGGACGAATTACCGCGATCGCGTTCTTTACTTTGCGCTGCGCAACGGCCAGGCAAGTCTCAATGGCACCACCCGCCGACAACAGTGCTGCCTGGAAAGTGAGGTTGTTGAAATAGATTGAGTCGCGGTTTCTTTCCAGGTCGAGAAGCTCTTCATTTCCCATATCTAGTAGTATTTTTGAGTTAGTCGTATGATCATCAATTGCTTGCAGACCAGCGGGAATACATACCTTGGGTGGAGCGCACGAAGACAAAGTGGGCGTTGGAATGGATATGAACAATTTCCTCTTCTGTGGCGTTGCGTGCCTCGATGCGCTGAAGAGGCCGTGAAACCAGGGGTCGGCATGATTCTGGATCGTCTACCAATCCAGCTTTGCAGAGCTCCTTGTAGATGTAGTAGATCCGTCGGGGATCTTCCGGGTGGACGTCCGCAGTAGGTTGGACTTCACAGTGGTACCGCATGCGAATATCATAACAAAGACCTGTTGGCAGTGACGCGAGTGGAAGACCAGGCTGCCCAATCATGTCATCATCGGACCAGTCCGAATTAGTCTCAACAAGACTGTCACGCTTCAAAACGTCAGCAGATGTGGTATCTGATTCACTCTGTTTGATCGGGATTTCAGAAGCTCCAGTGCCTGGGATAGATGAATCCTCGCGAGATGGAATAGGCATATTGCCTGGAGAAGAAGTGCGGTTAGGGAAGGTCGGAATAGGGGACGGCGCGAGACTCGTCGGATCCGCGATATCATGAGGACCGGAGTCCAATGGTTGAGATGGCAACGAGGGGAGCGTTCGCGACTCCCCCATGACAATGTCGTCGTCTTCCATATTGGACGATCCTAGCACAGCAATACCAGCCCAGTTTCAGTGGACCTGCTTACTGACGGCTAGTATCGCATGACCAGCTGCTAGGATAGCTTGAGGTAGGTCTTCGGTCTGTCACATGCACGAGTCGTGCTGGAAATCAGACTGACGCAAAGATAAAGCTTCGGGGTGAAAGACAGGCCTTGAATGGCCTTTAAATAGTCTTGAGCTACCTGGAGCTGGAGTTAGAGCCACAGCCATAGGATGTCGTCGACGTATAGAATCACGTCTTTGTATTGAGCAACAAAGAAACTCACCCTTCAATGCGCCCGGATGAAGGGTAAGCCGGAAAAGAGGATCGAGAATCAAAAAGTGTCAGAATATCACGAGATGCAGGTAGCGGAAAGGTGACTTGGACTGGTCAGAGATGTGGGCGTCTCGCAGGGTTGATGGGGGAGTGAATTGATGCGCATGTTGGATCCCTTTTGGGCGGGCGGATCGTTCTGCCAGACAATGGCGATCCTCACCGCCTCTAGCTTACCGCCTGCTGCATTGCTCCTCGAGAGTCCCGCCTCCCTTTGTGGCTTGGTGTGGCTCAGGCGGAATGGCTTCTCCGATTCGACCTCAAGGTACCCCCAGAGGCCGCTACCTGTGGTACCAATGTACTATCTAATAAGAACATTGACGTAGTTTTACATATTACATGGTAGTCAAGGGACTTTATGGGCATTTTTGAGAGGCACCATTGCCTGGAACTTTTAATAAACAGCAATTTAGGACATGGAAGATCCTTTGTGGTGATGACCTCATGACAAACTCCTTTGGACGACGAGAAGTAGATACGCGATCCCCAAATTACAATGTAAGAAAAGAAGCATGCCGGTGATTAACATAAAAGAACTGTGTTTCGTTTCATTAAATTGACGTTAACGGATTTTTTCTACAAGCAAGAATCACCAGCATTTCTCAGATCTGCATGACGAACTTCTTCCTTTAGAGAAGACTCCTGGCCCCAGGACGCCGTCCTGATTCCTACTGGGAATCGGCCTTGGCGATGTAGGCTGCGAAACAATGTTAGCAATTGTTGGTAACAAAATGACAAGTCGGAACCGAATGATGGACAAGAACTTACCAATGAGGTCAACAACACGGTGGGAGTAGCCCCACTCGTTGTCGTACCAGGAGACCAGCTTGATGAAGTTGGGGTTCAGGGCAATACCGGCCTTGGCGTCGAAGATGGAGGAGTGGTCATCGCCGTTCAGGTCAGTGGAAACAATGTCGTCCTCGGTGTAGCCGAGGATGCCCTTGAGCTCGCCCTCGGAGGCGGCCTTGATGGTGGCCTTGATCTCCTCGTAGGTGGCGGCCTTCTCGATGCGGCAGGTAAGGTCGACAACGGAGACGTTGGCGGTGGGGACACGCATGGCCATACCGGTGAGCTTGCCGTTCAGGGAGGGGATGACCTTGCCGACAGCCTTGGCGGCACCGGTGGAGGAGGGGATGATGTTCTGGGCCGCAGTGCGGCCACCACGCCAGTCCTTAGCGGAGGGACCGTCGACGGTCTTCTGGGTAGCGGTGTAGGAGTGGATGGTGGTCATGAGACCCTCAATGAGGCCGTACTTGTCGTTGATGACCTTGGCGAGGGGAGCCAGGCAGTTGGTGGTGCAGGAGGCATTGGAGAGGACGTTGACGTCCTTGGTGTAGTCGCCGTTGTTGACACCCATGACGAACATGGGGGCATCAGCGGAGGGTGCGGAGATGATGACCTTCTTGGCACCACCCTTCAGGTGAGCGGAGGCCTTCTCGGTGGTGGTGAAGACACCGGTGGACTCGACGACGTAGGCGGCGCCGGTCTCAGACCAGGGGATGGAGGCGGGGTCACGCTCAGCGTAGAAGCGGATCTTCTTGCCGTTGACGATCAGGCCGGAGGTGCCATCGATCTCGATAGTGCCCTTGAACTGGCCGTGGGTGCTGTCGTACTTGAGCATGTAGGCCTAAAAGAGAAGAGTGGGGTTAGCATTGAGCAATGCGAGTGGGGTGGGAGCATTGGGCCGGGCAGCAGGGATTGACCGGGCCTTGGGCTGATGGAGGGGCTTCCCTGCAGGTAACCCCGCCAAAAGCCACCCGAGCCCAGGCCAATTCCCTGGCCGAAGGAGCAGGAAGACCTACAGCGTAGTGGACCTCAATGAAGGGGTCGTTGACGGCAACAACGTCAACACCACCGTGGTTGATGCTGTGCAACAGTTAGAAGGGGGAGTTCGTGCCACGCGGATGCGGGGATGGATGGAGGGGCACTCACGCATTGCGGAAGACCTGCGGTCGGATGTTAGCTATGCGCCAGGAAGAACATCAGATGGAGGGGGAGCTGAAGACTTACAATGCGGCCGATACGGCCGAATCCGTTGATACCAACCTGGAGAAAGACAATCAGTACGATGGCGATCGAATGTTGCGTCAGACAGACGGTACCTTGGGGACCATGATTGCGGTGATTAAGATTCTGCAGAAGCTGTGAGCGATGATGTCAATGACGATAGCGATGATGATGAAGAATGTGGGTAGGGGAAGGAGGAGAAGATGAGGAGAGAGGGAGATGAGGACGCTACCCTTGGAGGTCGTAGGCAGAAGGGGAGGCACGTACTGGTTTGGAGAGTGATGGAGAGAGAGTGTGTGTGGGATGGGGAAAAGATAGAAATGGAGGGGGGACGGGGTGGTAGTAATAAGGAATGGCTGACGCAACGAGGCGATCACCTACACCGAGCAGACCGAAAGGAGACCTCCACTTCCCACTCTTTTGCACCACTGAATCCGCCGTTCCCCAGATCGGAGGGCCCAGCTGGTTCCCGACTGTTGCCGCCCATGCTCCTTTCCGGTTTCATACACCGGGCAAAGCAGGAAGAGTCACGATATCTGCGCCCTCCTGTGCCCCTCGGTACCTCCCGCTCTGCCAATTAGCGGCCCCGGATTCTCGCTGGCCGGGTCCCCAGCCTACGATTGCCTCGGAGATGACTCTCGAGAATGTTCTCCCATCGGAATCAAGAGGGTGCATCACGCTCGTCCACGAAAATGCCCTGGTGGCCGCAAAGCCGAGTTGGGCCCGAGCGATGACGGAGGAAGTGGGAATTGCAGGGGAGGAGGGGCATGGAGGGGCAACTTCTGCAGTAGTGGCATCACCACCTAAGAGTACCTAGTAGGACTAGCTCTAGTTTGATATACAAACAGTACCAGTCATACCCCGTACAAATAATCCCTTTTTCTCATTATTATTTTGTTTATACTGTTTTTTATTCTTTTTGTGCTGCTTCTTCTGGAACAGCTGCCGCATGCGGGCCTGCGGTGGACCGATCGGGCTTGGGGCGTTGCCGTTGCGGTGCTGCGGTATACCCAGCGTCCCTGAATGCAGTCACCGGTTGCTCTAGGGCCCACGCGGATGGGGTTTGGCAGATTTTTATTGTGATGGCTCGTTTCTTATTTTTCGGATTTATGATTTATTTATTTTTTTTTTGGATTAATTCTTACCTTTCGGGACTTGGCACTACTGCTGGTTCGATCAAACCCCAGGTCCCGGCTTATAAATCGAGGCGGTGCCGAAGACCAGATATACTTCGAATTGTTCCAATTGTCTTCTCATTTGCTACCAGAGGATTATATCAGATGCAATTGACTAATTACTATCAGCAGACCAGCCATGAGGCTGTCACATTCGATGGAGTTACCACGATGACATATCTCAGCTGCCGGCAGTGCCAAACCGGGGCATCGCCTACGTGGAAGGGCATGGAAGCGGGCGGATGTGACACGGCAGTCACCGACCAACCCCCTGGTCCAGGGAGGCTGAATCCAGAGAGCCTGCAGAACCAGACAATTATCGATCGATCTTGTGACAGAACATATGCGACTATACATTATAACAGTATTGCGTGCGGGAAAATCGGCATCCGTTCTACTAATAATGGATATAATACAACAGAAGAAGCAAGTCGTCGCATCTCTTCATGCCCCTGAGATATCCCTCCCCGCAAGTGAATGGACTTGATTATAAAACCCGGTATGGAGACAAGTCACTCAGTACGAGGTTAAATCTCCAAATCCAATGATGGGGGAGAACCAAGGCAAATAACCATCGGGCCAACGCCAACGCTTACTCCTCCTTGACACCGCCACGGTAGTTCTTCTCGGCGTTCTCAATCGAGGCCTTGTCACTCTTGGGGGCACCCTGGGACATGAAGCCGCCGCCGCTCTTGAAGGGGCGGGCTAGGTCACCGGTGGCTGGCTTGCCGAAAACGTGGATCTTGACCAGGTTCGACTCGATGGCGCTCTTCAGCGGGATGATCGACTGGATGAGTAGGGGGTTGGTGTAGTTGAAGTACAGGTGCATCACACCCATCATGCCGACACCCATCAGCTGGCTGCGCATCAACTGACGCAGCTGACCCTTATCGTAGTCCATGTTGGTGGTCGTGATGGGCTTGGCCTCCTCGCCGCTACCCATGGGGGCGGGCTCAACGTACTTGAGCGTAGACATGTCTATCAACCAAGGCACGCGATGTCAGTTAGGGACTCGCGCTGAGGGGGAAACGCGGACCCACATACCTTTCTTTCCATTGATCTTCGACTGGGTGAAGAGGTAGAGACCCAGAATCAGGACGTTCGACAGAATGTACATGGCGCGCACCAGCATCAGGACCTGAGGATCCTCGAAGGGAACCTTCTTGGCCAGCTGCATCATCGCCAGGATGATGGCCAGGTTGGTACTGCATGGGTCAGCATCGGGACGAGGATGAAAAGAACATCAAAATTTCCAGAGCGAGCATACATCTGCGGAGACACCATATTGTCGATTTGAACCCTTTGAATAACCGGAGGGGGACGGGGGAGGAGGATCGGAGTATGGGGACAAAACACAAAAGTCGAAACTGCCCCGGGCCACCTGGCGTTCGGCCAGGACGGATGAACCATCGGGCCGCGTCACGTGATAACGCATCCGCTCCACGCTCAGCTTGAAAGATGGACTATCGAATTGCAGCTTCAACCTGGGTTGAGGGCAATAATGATCAGCCACCACGAACCGACTGCTGTCAGCAGGGCCCACAAAGTACCCTCTTTGCCGCCTTGAGGAAAATCTTCACTATGACCATCCTGCATCTGGACTGCAGCGATCCCAGATGACATGGTGATGGACTTGCCCGCACAATGAGCTCGCGCTAGGCACAATCCCTGTTGGAGGCCCCTCTTAGGCACAGGCAGCCTCCCTGCTCTGTCCAGGTATTCGCACCTCGATGAGTCGCAACCAATATGAGCCGTCTGCCTGTCTGCTATCGCGCAGTTGCTTGCCCAGGCGACCTTGAGATGGTATTACCGCATCGGGACTAGCGTCGGGCCGTCTTTAGCGACCGGCCGCTTGGAACATTTCTAACCTCTCCAACCATCAACAACGCGCGTGTCTACCCACCTTTCAAGTCGCTTCTTCATCCCCTCTCGTGCCCGATCGCCAGTGATCCTCGTCTGTCGCACTACCAACACTTTTTGCGATTCTTAAATCTGTCAATATGCCTGGTGGAAAGGGAAAGTCCATCGGTGGAAAGGGTGGTTCCAAGGACTCTGCGGGGAAGGCCCAGAAGTCCCACAGCGCGAAGGCTGGTCTTCAGGTCAGTGCATCGTCGGTAATGTGGCGCATCCGTTGAACTGGTTGTCAAGGGAATGGGCGTGCGATAAGGGCCATCTGAGTGATGATCAACATGGATGCGAAGACGCGTCGTTCCGCCTCCCCCTCACCACCCGGCCGGCTCAGAGTCAGGCCAGGGTCTTTAGGCCTCACGCAACCTTTGTCGCATGCCCGTTCCGTTTACTTCCACTCTCGGATCACGCTTGTTTGGTCGTTTTGCGACAAGTTTACATCGTTACTGACACCAGTTCTCTTCTAGTTCCCCTGTGGTCGTGTTAAGCGTTTCTTGAAGAACAACACCCAGAACAAGATGCGCGTTGGTGCTAAAGGTATGCTCCTCCCTATTTTGCGATGCCGTTCGTCTCTCACGACGCTCACTCGTTCGCAGCCGCTGTCTACGTTACTGCTGTCCTCGAGTACCTGACTGCCGAAGTCCTGGAATTGGCCGGCAACGCCGCCAAGGACCTGAAGGTCAAGCGTATCACGCCCCGCCACCTCCAACTCGCTATCCGTGGTGATGAAGAATTGGACACCCTTATCCGCGCGACCATTGCCTTTGGTGGTGTTCTGCCCCGCATCAACCGTGCCCTGCTTCTGAAGGTCGAGCAAAAGAAGAAGGGCAAGCCTGAACTTTGAATGGGACCTTGCACATGAATGGCTGGCGTGACTTGGAATTTTTGGTCGCCTATCCTCCTCTCTTGTGATTTCGTTTATGGCGTGTTACTTCTGATGTATGAGTCTATTCCCCGGTTTTTGTATGTGCTTTTCGCGTCAATTTTTACTTCCAGTTCACGGGCGCTGTAATGGGAAAATGGGGGGTTATCCTGGTAGTCGTTGAATTCTTAAACTACTGTTTCTATTGGCTTGGTGTAACGTGGCAATGCTACTTGTAGAGACCCAGCCCCTGATAGTGCGTCGTAATAACAGCACGTCGAGACCGGGCAATCTTCAGACCGCATTAAGGTACTGAGATACTGAAAGTTTTTCGGTGCTATCGCTATCGCGAGTTGAGACGAATGGGCCATCGAGATGGGATCCATGGCAGTGTTGTCTCATCTCAAGGCCCGCTGAGGAAATCGCGGGCCGCATTCCGCGCGAAGCCGAGTTGCCTTGGCAAGTAGAAGTGTCGCGCGTACATCTTGTCGCGGCGCATTCGGATTTCCCTGTGGTACTATGTAAATTATTATGCGAACTCCATAATATAAGTAGTTTAAGGGTGCATGTCGCTTTATCGATGTTTCAGATCCCCTCATGCGCAAGTGGGCTGGACTTGGCGTGCATATGGGGGATCGACAGGAACATGCCGAGACAAACAATAAACAATTCGGAGGTAAACAATCGGCCGCGGAGAAGACAATCCACAGACCCAAATTGGATGGATCTGAGCTGAAATGGATGGTGCAGCTTGGAGTCACTATGCATCGCATAGGAGTTGGATTCTTAGACCAACACACTATGAATGAAAATAAACAAGCACTAGCATCTAAAATGCGATTCGAAACCCTCGCCGCTAAAATATATACAGCGCATCGATGCCCAGTATATATCAACCTCAGACTTGCTCTGCCAAAGCACGATCCTCTGCCACACTACCACTAGCAACCGGCACAAATCCCGATAGCTTTTCGAGTGTTATATCTTCACTCGTCCGCGCGACATTATCTTTTGTTCCAAAGCCACCACCACCAGGCGTTCCGATGATCACCCAACCCCCCTGCTCCACATGAACCGAATTCTTCCCCCAACTGAGCTCTTCAGCCCCGATCTCCGACTCACCCAAGAATTCCGACCACGCTGCCCACCTGCTCCCCCTTCTAGACCGTATGGGGCCAAACTGCGGCGCTCAGACAGGATAGAAGCGGACATGGAAAGTCGGAATTCCACATCGCGGATCACACCCTCGCCACCGTTCCAAGCTCCTTTCCCACCACTGGCAGGTCGAAACGAGAATCGCCGTAGAATGACTGGATACCGCTGCTCGAGCGATTCTGGGTCTGTGATTCTCGTGTTGGTCATATCTGTATGAACCAGGCTGGTCCCATTCCATCCCGGCCCGGCTCCGCTACCACCCGCAATAGTCTCGTAATACCCGAAGCCGTTGTCGCCGTCTAGACCGAAGGTGAAATTATCCATGCAGCCTTGGCTTGCGGCGCAGACTCGGAATGCTTTGAAGATGACATCGACTATTCGCTGCGACGTCAATACATTGCCGGCGCAGACAGCTGCCTCGACGCTTGGGTTGAGGAGCGATTTATCGGGGGTGATGATGGAGATCGGCTTGATGCAGCCATGGTTGAAGGGGATGTCCGAGTCTACCATGCATCTCAAGGCAAAGGTCACGGCCGAGTTGCAAATTGCGATGGGTGCATTCCAGTTACCTGTTTCTGTGTGTAAGTGTATTGCTTTCTGGCATGGGACAATGGGACTTGAGGATTACCGTAAACTTCTGGCCCGGTCCCAGGGAAATCAAACACAGCAGAGCCGCTTTCCTCATCAATTGTGACAATTAACTGAATCGGGGTATCGTCATCCATGTAGCCGACTGCGGAAATCGCGTTTCCATGGAATTTCTTTGATAGGTTCTTGAAAAGGTTGCGAGTTGCTAGCTCAGCGGAGTCCTGGATGGCCCCCATATACATCTATTATTCAACAGCCAATGTCTGGGGAGGAAGCAAACCCGCCACTTACTTGGACCACGTCCATTGTATACTCCTGAATCAATTGTCTGACGAGACGGATTCCGCAGTGATTGGCAGCTACCTAAGCCTTGATATCGGTCACTCGAAGCATCTCGAGCCACTTGAGCCGGGATATTTGGCAGGCTCATCGCAGAGAATACGCTTGAGGTTTTCTTCTGCAAACTTTCCTTGTCAAACAAGAAGGAACGAGTTGAACACGGTGCCCTCTTCGCATAACCGTTTCCATGAAGGAGGCATAGAGCCGGGGAAGATTCCGCCGACCTGGAGGTGAATTTAGTAAGAAAATTGCCGTTTAGAGAAAAAACAAAGAGCTCACATCAGCATGATGACCTCTGGAAACTGTCCAGAAGATAATATCCTTCCCTTCGGAATCAAAGACTGGCGTTATGACGGTCAAATCTGGTAGATGAACACCTCCAAAAGCGGGTGAATTGGAAAGTAGGGCATCGCCATCCTGTAGCTTGCCTGACCACTGCTGAATCTGCGACTTGACAGCAAATCCCATACTGCTAATAATTGCAGGGACATGAGGTGCATTGGCGACTAAAAAGCCATCCGGCCAAAAGATGGCACAACTGAAATCGAAGCGCTCCTTGATATTTGCACTCACGCTGACTTTCTGCAATACTCGTCCCATCTGCTCGGCTACTCCATAGAACCGATGACGGAAGACGGAGAGCTGAATTGGGTCGATGAGTCTGGCACTGACCGACCTTTCTTCGTAGCCGAAATCCAGTATCAGAAGATCCTTGGTAGCTGTTACCGAACAGTTAGGGTTGACAACTATAGTCTGCGTATTGTCGACCACCAAAGCCGGTCCCTCAACAGTGCTCCCAACAGGCAAACATCCAAGATATACCGGAGCTTCGACCCACCCAGGGGACTTGAAGTAGACGGACTTGGTTGACGTAGGCTTAGGGAGAGATGCTTTTGCGTTCGGATTAAGCAATGCCTCTAGCTCGGGGACCTCGTCGGCGCCAAAGTTGCTTTTCCCCCACAGCCCGAACGCGAATATTACCCACGATTATTTTCCGATTTACCGGGGTAAAACCAAATTGCTGGTGATGAGCGTTGATGAAATCTTGTTTTGCATCGCCACCGTTTCCGGCCTGCACCATCAGTGAAGTTTCACTACCGTCATAGCGCATGAAGAGAGATTGGCTGACCTCCACATGAGAATAACGACTCATCGTGGTGTGATTTCGCGAGATATTTGACAGCTCTTCTAGATCTGAATATATCGTATCCTTTGCTGAGTCCTCGAATGCTTTGCCATACGGCCTCTCTTCATCATTCACGATGTCGACCAAGCCAATGCCATACACAGACAGGATGGAAGAATGCTTATGGATGAGGACACGCCTGATACCGAGTGCTTCAGCTATAGCACAAGCATGTTGTCCTCCTGCTCCTCCGAAGGAAGCGAGGTAGTGTTTCGCAGCATCATTTCTTCTTCCTTCCGTCAGCTGGCGAACAGGGCCGCACATCGATGAGTTCGCGACCTGCAAGAACCTAGACGAACGTGATTTTAGCTTGAGAGGCATGTTAGATGTTGAGCTCTGATCACATACCCCTGTGCCACCTCTGCCCATGTCAAAAGCTTTCCAGTGTCGCGGTTGACGGCAGCAGTCAATTCTTTAAATTTTGAGAGGACAATATCACAAGCCAATGGTTCATCCTCGTTGGGACCAAATACCGAGGGAAAATGATCTGGAAGAAATCTCCCTAGGGCAAGGTTTGCATCAGTCACGGTCAAGGGTCCTTTTTTTCTGTAGCATGCTGGACCGGGATGTGACGAGGCGTTTTCTGGCCCAACAGCCATCAAAGAGTCCTTCCAAGAAAGAATACTCCCGCCTCCAGCTGCGATCGTATTGACATTCAATTGAGGAGATTAGATGGGGATACCAGGCGTGGTAGTCTCAAATATTTGATCAAACTGTCCGTCGTATCGACTGACATCGGTGCTTGTACCTCCCATGTCGAAACCAATGATGGGAACGTTCAACTTGGGATCGCATTAAGTCCGTGCATAGCCAACTACACCACCGGCTGGGCCAGACTGAATGGCATGGAGTCCGGATTGCTCAGAGGCAGGTACAAGACCGCCGTCGGATTGCATGAATTCCAACTTGGTGTGGCCATTCTCCAAATTGGGAAAGCTGGCGCTGAAATGGGAGAGATATCGCTCAATAGTTGGCGTGAGATATCCGTCAACCAAGGTAGAGTTGCCTCGAGGGACAATCCTCGATCGCTGCGACACTTGGTGTGAGAGCGATATGTGCTCGAAACCAATTTCCTGTGCCAACTTTTGGACTTGAAGTCCATGATCGGGAATATGTATGAATGCATCAGGCAAACCGTGACAGATCGGAAGCCACAATCGTATATCCGTAATAAATACTTCTGTGTGCTTTCAGCATCGAGTGGCTGGATGATATGAAGCTTTTGCCCGGAAGTGCCAATGACAGTCTGTAGTGGCTCTGGATAATGTAGGTCTAGATCACGAAGATTTGAGTCATTGCAACGCTCAAGCACAACCCTTTCGTCGACTTCGAAAACATCCGAATACAATGGTTGCGGTCGTTGGATTGCCAGGTCGAACATGTTCGGTCGGGCTTGGTTCCCGATCTGCAAGATGTCTTTGAAGCCGGCAGTCTCCATGAAAGCTGTGCGCTCGCCCTTGCGCTCAAGCAAGGCGTTGGTCGCCCACTGTCGTGCCCATCCGAATCCATTCTATGCCAAGACGTATTTTCAGAAAGATAAACGGGATAGAAGACAAGATCTAGCTATTCACCCACGTCTTTGCAGTCCAGCTTGGTGCCCCGGGGAATCGAACAGCCATTGTACTTTTCCAGCACTCGCCGGATAGCCTCTGCTGGAGCGTCAGGATAGTTCTTGTTGTCCACCGACAAGATCTTGATCACGATATCATCTTGGCTCGCAATTTTGCAAACGCAGTCCGTGAAGGTACCGACCCTGTCTGATTTCGGGTGAGTTATTCCGATTCATACCAGAGGGACAGACATGACCGACCGATCGAAACCCGTAGGGGACGCTGAGAGTCTGCAGCAGGCATTATGATGGCAGCTTAATGAGGAGTGGGGAAAGTCAGCCTTAATGCATCGGCAGAACGAACGTCGACCGGCGTACATTTGAATGCAGTCGTTGCCGTTTCATAACTCCAAGCGTCGTCGGCCCGTCAAGTCTTCGGGCCGTCGAACAACTCGCTGAGAAGTCCGAGATAAGACTAGAACGCTATCTGGAACAGCCAGCATGGTGTCCCGAATCATTTCCAGTCCTGCATTAGTGTGGATGTGGAGTGTGGGTTGGGAGGAGGAGGAGGAGGAGGAGGAGGAGGAGGAGGAGGAGGAGGAGGAGGAGGAGGAAGAGGGAAAACTGGCGGAGCTCCACCGAGAGAGTATGTTCTCACATCCATACGAGATTGCACCGAGTCTGTTTCATTATACCCTGCATCAGATACAAATCCTAGTCCTGTTACAGAATTTGTATGTTAGTATCAAATAATATCTTGGCCGTGAAAGCTTCATACCCTAAAAACGTTCTCCAGGTAAACCACCAACTACTTCCATGAGGGTCGGTTCAAAGTTCCACGAGACCCTGCTCATCGACATGACAATCTGCGATAAGAATATTCGCTTGTCTCGAAGGTGCTTCAACTCAAATCCATGACCTTCAATATGCAATAGATTCAAAAATTAATCGCCTTCGATGGTAATCGACAAAGATATCCCTTCCTGCCTCTGGCAGAAAAACGCCCCGCCTCAGTGGAAATTTGAGAAGTAGGGTTCACTCATTGGACCATCGCGTTGGCATATATTCCTGCCACAGAAGAATCTCAGACCATGGTCTCCAAATTCACAATAGGACCGCCCAAAGCATACACCACTAACGGCAAAAAGTGTCCATCCGACAAATGAGGTCTTTATTGGGACATGTCACCCACTCAAGACTTCCGTTGTGGAAGGGCAAGCGCAACGTCAATATGACCTGCAAGGAGATCGAGTCTTCCGGGGTGACAAAGATCGATGACCTGGTGCAATACCAGGCAGTTGGCTCTGACAAGGTTAAATCTGTTCATGGCCCCCGGGAATCAAAGTGCTTGGGACTGGCGTGGGAAAGGCTGGTTGATGATAGCAAGCCCGGACTGGGAGTGTCTTGGATTTGGCCATGCGGAGGATGGCACCCAGTCGGTGGTCACATATTTTGCCAAAATTCTTTTCACTTCTGCTGAGATCGACGTTTACTCGAGGAAGAAAGAAGGGCTCCCTCAGGATACAATCAACCAAATCCTCAAAGCTCTCAAGGATCTCGAAGTCAAGGAGATCGCCAATCTCGCAGAGAGAATATTCCAACCCCGAGACCGTGGCGATGCTTGTCTGCCAGCCGCGCTTATTGGCCTTGTTCAGAGGCCACGCAATGACGCCTCACGCCAGAAGCTCATGTTTATTTTCTGCATGAAGGTTTTCAAAATGAAAGTCGTGGTCCGGATTGGTGCCAGGGCGGTTGCAGATTACGGCGCCCTTTGACTCTTTGTGATTGATTCGCAGACGGTCAGCTAAATACCCTGAGATGGATCTCAATAATAGCCAAAGACTGATCAAGGATAATTACATGCAATACTTTCACGTTGCCAAGTCCCTAAAAACCCACTGCTCCGCACTACTCAAGCATACGAGTTGTTGAACGCATTTTACCTCATCTGGGGTAAGCAGAGTTGAAGCTTCCATGATGTGAACACCTATGTTCAACTGGCTACATCTATTATACTACGAAAACCCTTGGAAAATTAGTATAGCACTAAAGAGTACATGGATTGGCAAGATCTGAGTACAAAATCAAAGGAGAAAAGCCCCTATACTGCAAAGATACCAAAGATGAAGAAACGAACCATCGATGGACACCCGAACGGGCCATCACCAAAAATCGAACCGAGGCATGGATGATTCGAATCCATCAAAACCATTGAAGAAATCACGATCCCATCCATGTAACGAGTCAAATAAGAGGAAAGACCAAATCCGCCCGAGTACCTGATCGATCCTGCGAGAGCAGATCGGAACGTCAAATCAAGCAGGAAGGCAGAAGAGGAGAGAGAAAAGGGGATGCTTGTGGCAACTGGCGTTATATCTTGACTCGCTCCGGATCCCCGATCGACATTGCAGGTGCTGCAGTTCGAGTAATTAGGAGTCACAGAGGAGAACAACAGAAGAAAAAAGGCGCACCAAAACATTAAACAGATGCGAGTCGCCCCCCATGTACACAAAAAAGGAAGGGGAAAAAAGAAGAAAAAAACAACTTAACAGGCAAAAAATGCAAATGCTGATATTGTCGTGTCTCCTGCCTTGTCTGTTCTAAGGCAGGGTTCTTTTGAAGGTCATTCTTCGTATGCGTCCCGCGTCACCAAGCGGCGTGAGGGTCGTGATCCGCTCCGAGTGTTTCTGAGGGAACACAGGAAAAAACAAGCCATGGAGATTTGCAAACGGGCGCCCGCAGATATCAAGAAAAAAGAAGAAAAGATCAGATAGAAATCAGAAAAAGAAGGAAAAAAAAAGTAATAAAAAAAAGTCCAGAGTTTACTCGGCAACGGGGAAAACTGTGGCGAGTGCTGGGCTGCCCCAAAAATAACGTCTAAACTTGGCTAGATCAGCGAAACAATGGATTTTCTGGTCTTTTTGTTGGTTTGTCATCTCGTCATCCCTCATCGAATCGTAAGCCGGTAATTTCGCAGAACAGGGCCTCGTGATACAATGTGTGTCGTATTCGTTTGGCGGCAAATCAGGTTGGATGCTGGCAAGAAAATAGGGGAGTGGAACGGGGGGAGGGAAGTTCGCCATCGTCAAAAATCATATCGCTCGCCAACATTGGAGGAGGGTGGGTGTGTCAATGGGTTGGTAGTGGTGGGGAGATGGTGGCTGGCACGAAATGGGGTGTTCTTTTTGTCTACTCCACAATGATCTCGACACCGCCAGTGTTGGAACGAAGCTCGTCACTGCCGCGAGTCTGGTGTCCGTTTTGGCGGCGGAAACCGGTGCCCTTCTCGGGAGTCGGGCCACGGGGTTGGCGAATCGGCATGCGCTCTTGCTGGGCATTGTCAAATCCAACTCCCATTCCACGGTTGCTGCCAATGGCACCTGCGGCCGAGGGTTGGCTGTCCTGCTCCCAGGAGAACATACCGCGCAATCGCCGAGGGCTTGAATTCGGGCCCCCAATACCCGTACCCAGAGAGAGGCCACCAAGGCTGTTGACCAACAGGTTATCATCACGCTGCATACCGAGGGAGGAGCCGGATGGGGCGGAGGTGAGGGTCGGGGTGTTGGAGGTCGCAGTCGGGGCGCCTTCGTACTGCACGCGGGTTCCGTTGGACTGCAGGGCGGCCGGGAAGCTGGCGGAGGACGGGACAGGGGAAGGGGTGTAGGAGCGCAAGTCGGCGAACGACTTGGCGGCGCGCAGATTCTGCGTGTTGGCGAAGTTGCCGGGCGAGTCCATCACACCCAGGAAGTTCGAGCTCTGACCACCGCGGAGGGTGTTGAAAGCTCCGGGGCCACCTTCGTTGCGAGCCTCGCTGAAGTCGATCGTGGCCGCGCGGTTGAGGCCACGACGAGCACTATCGGATTGACCCGCGGGAGGGATCGAGGACAAGGGCGGGCTGACGTTGGTGCCGGGGGCCACCTTGAAGACCTGGACCTGGCGCTGATCCCCACTGCCGCGGGAGGCATGGGCCAGGCCCATGTTGTGTGCCAGGGTGTGAACCGTGCGGCGCTGGGACGGAGTGAGGTTGGGCGGGAAGATGACGGAGTCACGACTGTTGTCCTGCTTGAACAGGAGCAGTTCCGAGTAGTAGGAAAGCGTCTGCTTGTCGTTCAAATCGACCTCTACTTCATCCTCGCGATCAGGCACGGGAGTTCCTCGGTAACCCAGGGGCGTCATGTTCGACTTACCCAGCTTCTGGCCCCGCTGCGACACGGGCGACGGCGAGGTCGCCGGGATGTGGGAAGTCAGCGAGGACATGGAACTCTGGGTATGCAGCTGTGAGGACGCCATGGGCCGGTGCTGCTCCTCGAGCTGACCGCGACGCTCTCGCTTCTCCCGCTCGATCCGTTCCCGCTCCTGCAGAGGCAGCATCTTCTTGTATTCGACCCGCAACTTGCGACCTTGCAGTTCGAAGTGGTTGAGCATGTCGATTACGGTGGCCGTCTCCTCCGCGGAGGTGAAGTTGGCAAAGGCCAGGCCACGGAACACGCCATTGTCGAAATGGTAGTTGAACGCGTAGGGCAGGGGCAGGCTCAACTCGGTCATCAGTTGCACCAGCTGTTCCTTCTTGACGGCAAACGGGATGTTCTTGATGACGATGGCCGTGGGGATGAGTTCGTCATCGCCCTCGGACGAGGCGGAAGCCTCCGGGCGCATCGCGGCGCTCTGGACGGGACTGGGACCCATGCCGGAAAAGGCACCAGGGACACCAGGCTGTTGATCAAGCCAAGTCTAAAATCAAAAAGAATTAGCCAGAGACTCGAACGAAAAGGGTGGTTGGGTTGTGCGGTCGTGATTGTATTTTTTTTTTTTTTTTTTTTTTCTGTTGGGGTCGGATGCAGACTCTCACCGAGGGAGAGAAAAAAAGGGCAGAAAAAAAAAATAACAACACGCAACCACATGTAGAAATCATCATACCGTAGGAAGACCGGCCCGACCACGAGCAGCGGGCTTCAGACTGGCCGAAGCCGAGCGAATACCACCCAGGGACTGAGCGTTGGCGAAGCCGTTGGGATTCCATGTCTGGGAGCCGGAGAGATCGTAGGCATAGGAATTGTTCTGGATGGACGGGTTCAGGCGTTCCAGTCGAGCGGACTCATAGCGAGCCATCTGGTCCTCATACAGATTGACAGGCATGGGGCCGTAGGCGTCGAACTGGCGGGAGGGTTGTCGATGTAGGGGTTGTTGATGCCGCTGGGAGCCAGGGGAACGCGCGGCGGGATCGTGATACATGTCCGGTTGCTGATAACTCATGGGGGGTAGGGAGAGGGATTCCTTGAAGACCCGAGGAATGTGGGCGACCACAACACGCAACACACACAAGCAGGGGCCGAGACTCGAAATCCGTTGCACGGAACTACTCGGACATGGAGTCGTGGACGAGGTTGGACGAGGGAAAAGACGGTGCGGAGCAGAAACCAAAATCCAAATCGCTCGATGCAAAGTCGTAAAGGCCCCAGGACATGGAAAAGGGGGGGAAGGTGGGGGGAGGCAGTTGCTTTTTTTTTTTTTTTTATCTCCCAGCGAGACTTGACCGTGGACTTTTGAGACTGTCGCACCGGATGGGAGAGCGGGGGAAGAAGAGAGGATTTTGAAGGGGCGGAAGTGGGAGGTCCACACTCGCCAAGAAAGGAGTAGACCGGCAGTGAGCAGGCGTCGCACCGCAGACCGAGTCTTGCAGTATGTATAGGACTAGTAGGAGGTAAAGACCGGAAAAAGAGACAGCGAGCAGAAACAAAAGAAACCTTTGGCCGAGTCTATCTTATATACCCGATTATTATTACTCTTGCTAGTAGGTGAGTAGCCACTCGACAGGGTGCCTCCACTGCTCCCACCCCTGGACTCGGTCTGGGGCGAATCGGACTATCTATTGTTCTCCGCTTGGAACATTCGAATCCTCCGACTGCTATTATTACCTGTGCCCATCGTGCTCCCCTTGCGATCTTCGATCCCGACCTGACTACTAGTACATTCAGGACTTGAGGGTGGTGAAGAGACTCGGGTGGCCGGCTCAACCGGGGAAAGGGTATCGGATTACGATTCCATACATACAGCCATACAATACCACACTTACTCGTAGTACTGGCAGTGCCTCCCGTATAATCGTACCGTCACGCCCCGTCTCTTACCAGGCACCGGTAGGGATTTCATCCGATCTCCAAGTACTTGATTGTACCTCGATCACGCATAGTCACTGCGGTGGGTGTTTTGTATCTCTAGGTACCTGAATGGACTCGTCTTGAGTAATATTGGTAGTAATACCAGGGCGATCTCGCACGAGCAGTTTCACAGTGACAGCCCGCGGGTCACGGCCTGCCTCGTGCTTCGCCGCTCTACCTGACACACTCTAATTCCCCTATATTCTTATTCTTATTTTCCACCCTAACTTAGGTAGAGTTCTCCAGCCGACTTCCTTAGGGTCAGGTCTTCCTAGGATCTAATGTATACTACCTCCTTCATCCCATCTCCTCCCCCCCTATTCGAGATCCCCGTGACATTGCAAATGACCAATCTGGAAGCCCTTTGCGTCGCCACTTGACGAGGCATTATTCTGCTCCCGCCGACTATCATTCGACGCCACACTTGATTGCTGCTCCTCTCAGGGGGAGGGGGCTCCCTCTCGCCAATAGTTTGGTCCGACGGAACGGCCCAGCGATTCCCCGGCAATTTTTATTTTCTTCCCTGCGATGGAGCGATGGAGCTCGCCCTGATTGACGGCGCATGGTGCTATGTTGACGCCAGGCCCACTCCACGAAATTGAAACTTTCGTCCTTTTTGCCCCTCTCTGCTCCACGATCCGCGCATCCCCCGTTTCTAGCGCCTGCGCCGAAGCACCGACGAAGGGGCCCCGAAGCCCAGCTAGAATCCCGCTAGAGTCCGGTTGGAAACCACCGGTGGGAACGGGGCACAACGTGGGAACATCACTTGCCGCATTCCGATGCTCTGCAGCCGGTGGAGTGCTCTCGAGCTCCTGGCAAGTCCCCCTGGGTGCCAATGACAGGCTCAACAGACCGTGCAGAGGCCCCAGGATGGGTGGACGCCGGTGCAAGCTAGCAAGCTGAGGATGGGGAAGCTCCCGGAGCTACCTGCTTTTCTTCCGAGCATCCCCTCCCCCTTTTCTCTTGGTACTATAGTAGTCTCCGTGTCCTCAAGAGGGGCAGTGGCTATGCTGGAGGACAAGAATGAAGGTTTCTGATCTCCTGATCTGATCCTGCTTGTCTGCAGCTGCGTCCAGTACAAAGTATACGACAAAAGCCGTGGAGACCTGTCAGCCGACCCCTTTTCCCAGACGGACGATCTATTTCGACTTCCCCAGCGCTGCATGCCCGTTGCAGCTTCGGCCGGGCAGCAGGTGGAGAATCGCGGTGGGTTCGTCGAACCCAAGACCCAAGCCGATGGGTCCTGGCTAGTCCATATTGACATGGAGAAACAAGCCGGCGACAGGACGACCTGCATCAATAATAGCCTCACGGTCGAGCGGACTAAGGGCGAGCCAATGGCGCGTCGGGATTGGTCCCGGAGGCCTCGGGTGATGCCGCTGGTGATGCCGATGAGGATGCTGATGCCTGATTCAAATCCCAGATGAGTCCCACAACTGACGAGCAGGATGGTCATTCAGGACCATTTTGGTCAACCTGGGATTACCTCGGGGAAAAGGGGGGACTGAAGGCGAGACCCTTCGTCCCGGGTGTTGTCACCAGATCTGACGACAGAGGGATTGGCATGCACCGCAGTCTCCAGGAGGCAGGATTCGCGAGGCTAACTCGAATGGTTTCACCTGGATTGATCGTCGCCCAGCACGAATGATAGGGTCAAAGGATCACCTATCACACGAAGCACGAACGGTCCCTGAAGATCTTGAGACATGTCACAGGATGATACGAACAGGGCAGATACGAAGAGGGCAGATACGAAGTAGGCTGGGGCTGGGGTGAAGCATCGCGGCATCGAGCTATAAGAAAAGTCGTGCATAAGCGCGGTGCTACGACCACCGTAAAAATGGACGCAAACTACATAGAGACTAGAGGCTATTGGGGGCCATCGAGGTGAGCCTCATCCTGGACAAGTCAGACGAGCGACTACCCCTATCGGACTCCGTTCTCTAGTGAGCGTCACTAGTATGTAGTTTACTGAGTTCGTCAATCCTCCGTGTCCAGAATCCAGCACGGAGTTCTGGTGAGTTTGTGCCCGGTAGCAGTGAAATAATTCATATATTTCAGCCATTTCGGACAGGGCGCGATTATGGCATCGAAGGTGAAATTCAGCGGGGAATTTCGGTCTGCAGGAGAGTTGTAATATATAGCGTGAGACCCCTTGAGCCTGTCGATCGGGTTGTGTCCAGCAGAACAGACCGAGAACACAAAAAGGGTCTCGAGTTGTCTCTTGAGGGCCTAGTGGTAGTGTGGTCGTGGCTACGTGGGCGAGGAATGGACGGACACAGCCGGAGTCCTGCGGAGGACCGCAACGGTGCTGCTGCTACTCCGCTTGTTAAGCTTCTTTGCCGGGTTGCATTGGCACTGGCAGCGATCAGACGTCTGATGAAAGTGCCGAATCTGAAACGCGACGTGGTTCCAGGGGACCGCGAATCGCTGACGAGTCTGCGCCCCACGTTGGAGACGAGGGCGCTGTGATGGGGAAGCAGACAGGCAGCCACCGAAATATTATAGAACAAAATAGGATGCCAGTGGACGAAAGATTATTCGGGAAAGACCGTAGACGAGCTCGCAATTCAGTGACCATAAGCGCCCGCCTCGAGTTCGGAGCAGGTATACGACGCATGAGGCGCTGCGGCATCGCGGCTGGCGTGGCTACGTGGGGCCGGATACGACCAGATCGTCAAATGGCTTATAAGCCTGCGAGCGCCCGGTTCTTCACATCATGAGCGATGAGTCTTGACAATGCGACGGTCCAAGGGTTTTCGCGTCTCGGTCGCCTGCCTGCTGCTGCTGGCGCTCGTCTTCGCCAACCGCCATCTCGCCTCGATTGAGCGCCAAGATGGGACCGGCGAGCTGGAGCCGGAATTCGTGATGGAGGATGGCAATGGCCATATCGAGCTGGTCTCGGTCGACCGCCGTCCTCGCGCTGTGAACCCGGATAGAACCTCGAACTCGAAGTCAAAGTCGGCGCCGGTGCAGCAGCAGTCGCAATCGCAATCTCGGCCCGCGACATCGGTGAAAGTGCAGGGCTGGCTGCAACCAACCAAGCCGCCGGCGCCACCCGCCCGCTTTGCGCCCCAGCAGATCCCCATCGACGTGCCGGGCGAAACGTGGTGGGAGGAGTGGGAGGCCGAGCGCGAGGCGTGGAACGCGGAACAGGAAGAGGGCAATCTGGGCCAGCGATACCTCAACAAAGACAAGCCCACCGCCTCGTCGCCGCCCAAACCGAAAGTCACCCCCAAATCCGATCGCATCGTCGTGCTGGGCCGGACCTCGTGGGAGGATGCGTCGTGGCTGGAGGAAGAGCTGCCTGAGTGAGTACAAGCCATGAAGCATGAACGGCGGTCGAGTCGTTGCTAATCCCGGTACAGATGGCAGCACGCCATCTACGTGGTCGATGACCCCGACGCCGAGTTCACCGTCCAGGAGAACAAGGGCAAGGAGAGCAATGTTTATCTCCAGTACATCACAGACCACTACCCCAATTTCCCTGACTACATGGTCTTCCTGCACGCCCATCGCAGCAGCGGCCACGTCGAGTTCCCCGAGCAGGACAATGTCCTGACCGTCCAGCGCCTCCAGCTGGACTTTGTCAAGCGGGTTGGCTATGTCAACATGCGCTGCGAGTGGGAGCCCGGCTGTCCGGGCGAGGTCCAGCCGTTTCGACAAATGGCCGGCCGCACGACTGAGATCGCCTTCGCGGGCGCTTGGATGCGCATTTTTAACAGTACTGATGTCCCGGATGTGGTTGCCGTCCCCTGCTGCGCGCAGTTCGCCATCACCCGTGAACAGATCCTGTCTCGGCCGCTCAGTGACTACCAGGCCTTCCACCGCTGGCTCATGGAGACCGAGCTCGATGATGAGACGAGTGGTCGGGTGTTTGAGTATCTGTGGCACATCATCTTCGGGCAGGATCCCGTCTTGTGAGTTTTCTGCAGTAGTTGAGTTTATGCTCGTGTGAATAGCGAGATTGGTGTGCTGACCACTACATGCACAGTTGTCCCTCCAAGCAGCAGTGCTACATGGATGTCTATGGCGTCGAGTGGGATCCGTCCTATGATCTCCCCGACATCACCTGGGTCGATGATTCCTACTGGGATGATTTCGACATGGACAAGCTAGACTTGGAGGAGAACTCGTCCCTCGACGATGGCGATGGGGGTGATGTAGATAACAGTGGGGACAACATGTACAGCGGTCGCCCGGACCAGGAAAGCATATGGACACCACCATAAACGACACGGGCCGACAACGAGGATATGAACAGATGGGAGATGTAAATTGTTTTATGTGTACAGATACTGCCATTCCGCACCGGGAGTGTAGGACGAATAGATACCCCCATGATTTTATTTTTCCCATGCATTCTACAACTATACCCAGGGCTAAGATCCCCAAGGTTGTCTACAGCAGTGTAGGTACAATTATAACACTATATCCGGAACGAAAGCACGCTGTGGGCGCGCATAGATCGGGGCCGGGCCGAAATTCGATCTCGAGCGTGGATGATCGGTGCTTTCAAAATTAACTGAAGTGAGGGTATTGCCTCCCTCATCCCGATTTCTCATCCGAAACGTCAGTGTGCATCATGACGACAAACATCTGTTCGTCGGCCAGTCTGGTATATGGCGGTGGCATCTATCAATCACCTTGCTATCTCAATATACAAGCGATACGTCCAAACTTGGGAGTGCTTCGCATGCGGACGTTCCTTCGCGTGGGCTTTCAAATACGTTATGACGTCCATGATGTTCAGTTGAGCCCATTCCGACGGATCCTCAGCGTCTCTGGCCCAATTGCAGTCTGTGAATATGACCATTTTTATTGGACCCTATTGAATACACTGTAGAACCGCCATACTGCTTCTTGCATCATTCACCTACCAGTGTACATATAGGCCAGAAGCTCGTTTGACTTGTACACTGGCTATGGATTTTCACCAGCATTTTCAATCCCGAGTTGTGCCACCCTGGCGAATCACTGCAGGAATTTGTCGTGCTGACAGGCCGTGTTGCGGTCAAGTCGTCCAACAGTAGACTGATGGGGACTGTTGGTAAGAGGTTCGTGCCTTTCTTCGAGGTCGTGGAGTAGATATGGGTGCGTTTGTTGCATCGCTCCCAATGACATACACATTCATCTCTGTATGCCGACATTCAAAATCTCACACATTTGTTCGACGTTGACTCGAAGAAACGTCGAACAAAAAGAAGAGATGCTTGGGGAATCACATAAAAGGCCAATGAGAAAAACCAATGAGATAAGCATATTCACCGTATAAGAGTTCTTGTATTCCAAGGTCTCTCCAGATGATGGCGGAGCGGTGGTCTGCGGAACCCGTTTTGACTTTTGTAGGTTGGGAACTATGTTACTCCAAGCAACGTTGTTCCTGCGTTTGGAGATAGGCACCGCATTGAATGAACTTGCCACAGGGGCGACAGTTGCCGTTGATTTCGATGTCGATTCGGGGCGACACTGGTTGGGAATTGCTGAAGGCAGGTAGCATCAGCTCCCTGAGGGCCTGGCCTCATGAGCGTGTGAATGGACTCCACATTTGGCAAGGTGTGCGTGGTGTTGAAAGTTCTCGTCTGTTTCCTGTGCATTGTTTCATGAGCGTTGATTGTCAGTAGCGGAAGATCGAGAGTGGGGAATGAGGAGTTTGAAATGGGAGGATGAGAGATTATGAATGACAAGACAAGAGATTGAGGATGGGAAATGAGATGGCCCCAGTGTCTCCAGATATTATATGCGAACCGGTGTGGTATTGAGATGATTGTCTCAAAGTGATGATTTCAAGAGATGAACGATGATGTTATGTAGGCGTCTACCTTGGTGACAACGCCTCCTTGATCTCGTATGAATGCTTAGCTTGGTGCTTATGTACAAAGCCACTCCTCTTCTGCCTCAGACCACACTCCCTCCCTGACCTTTCAGGTATCTGCTATTTCTTTGTCTTGTGTGTCCTACCTACAACCAAGCACTTCCGGTCAATGGCGGCACTTTGCACACCAGACCAGGAAGAAGCATGGTGGTGGCAAATGAAAACTCGAAACAGTTCGCGAAGGCACAATACCACGTGGATACTCCCACTGTGTACTATGTATGCTGAAGAGCCGAAGCGGATACCCCACTTCCTCGAGGCCAACTTGGTTGAAGAGATGTTCGAAAATTGGCCACCTGACGGCATGCACCTCTCTGATGAATGGGCTATGACAGCCTGCCAATTTATGCTTGCGAAGGACCGCTCCGAGTTCCCGGATTTTGCTGCAGATGGAAACATCAAATCAACACGACCGAATGTTGGTCGGCCACCCGTTATATACGCCTACAGCGTGCCCTGGATCCCCATCTATAAGGGTTATTACGCGCTGCGTGCTGTGGTCCAGGTAGAAGACTGAACTTTGAGCTCTATGGGGGAACATTCTTGCTCGAAGCCCATTCATTCAGCACAGACTGTGATAGCACACGACTCTTCAGAGTAGCTATCCAGGCAGATGATCGCGTAGGTGACTAGTCAGATGATCAGGTAGCTGGCCGGGTAGTAAGTGAGCAATAATCCTGGCAGTAGAACAAAGGTTTCAGGGTTCAAGTATATTAAGACCATAGTGCAGGTGATATTGACCATCTCTGTGGGCATGCCATCAAATTCTCTGCTACAACAGGATATCATTTCAAATTATAAACAGTCATAATTGAAGCAAATCACACAGACAAATTGCAATATTTAAGGAAAGTCGTCAACATATCCATGACTGCGCATCACCGTTTACCATTCTCGTATCCTCATACACGTCGCCAACACCCCTTGGACAGTAGCAACTCAACACTGCAGGTTGAGCTTACAGCCACGCCAAGGGCATCAGACCAGCGAGGGCGGCCATGGACACAGCACCGGGTGCAGTCAGACCCGCGGCAGCATTGGTGGGGGTAGAAGAGGCAGCTTCCTGCGTCGCACCGTTGTCGCTGCTGCCACTGGTGTTGCTGCCAGTGCTGCTTCCACTGCTACTGCCCGTCGAAGAGGCAGCTATGGTTGCAGATACCCTCGAGCTGGTAGTGGTAGTAGACCCAGTGCTGGTCGCAGCAGCAGAATTGTAGGTGGTCGTGCTAAAGTTGCACGAGCGGACGATGTCGAGGGCCTCTGCAAGCATATAAGTATGCCACCTTCAAATATCGCGTGAGGATTCGAAACTTACCGTTGTCATCGTTATCATCATAGTCGTCGTCGCGATCGTTATCGTTGTCATCGTCGCGATCGTTATCGTTGTCATCGTCGTTATCATAGTCGCGGTCGTACTTGTCAATGCAAGCGGCACAGAGAGGAACCTGGGTCTTCGCCGCATCCCAATCGCAAATGCACTTGATCTCCGCCGAGTCATCATCGTCGTGTTGGTGGTCGCAGCGCTGAGCGGTATTCACGACCGAGCCACAGGCTTCCCAGCAGCGGTTGGGAACATCGTCGTGGTCCAACTTGGATGCAATGGCGACATTGCTGGCCAGCAGGAGGCCGCTAAGAGCGAGAAGTTGCTGAGTGCGCATTTTGCAGGAAATGGAAGGTTGTTTGAAATAATGTAGTTGTTGATTGTGGAGAGATATGATGATAATGCTTCCAACTGTCCGTGGCCAACAGGACATTCTTATATGTTTGCTTGGGCTTTAAGAGCCTGTTTCTATAAATGAAATTTTCCGTTGAACCCTGCCGATCCCAGTAGTTTGCCGAGCCTGTGGTCTTCTCAGTGAAGCCTAAAATTCCTGCCTGTCGGGCATTTCCGTCGATATTGGAGTACCGATGGAGGAGTATTGCAGTGCTAAGCCCCGCGAGGTATGCAGATTCTCTTTGTTGACGGGTATAGAGTATGCAGGCAAAGTCTATTAGCAGTGCTACCACGCTGATCCACGGGAACTGCCACCAATGTCATCGGTGCAAAAGCAGCTGCCTGCTCCATTATCGAAAAAGCCAAGAAACGGAGGTGGAAAGGAGGGCACTCTGATGATCGCGGAGATCTCGAGCTCGCGTGCACTGTTGCAAGTTCACCATGGCTTCTCTTCTCCACCAGGTTTGATCGATGATGACATTGTCTGAATCAGGCCCTTACGTGGAATGAAATAGTCGACAGCAGACCGTCAAACTTTCCATTGTTCAGCCATCGCGGCGTGATTTAGTTGTTCTCGTCTGCATCTGCCAAGCATCCACCGGCCTGCTAAGCCACGCTGTGGGGCCGCCCTACGGCTCAGCAATTCGACTTCTGCACTTCATCTCGTTTAGCTCTCCCCAAGCTGCGATGGGTCCGAGGGGCATCGAGCCAGCGCCCGCTCTGTTGTGTGATGCATGCATGCCTTCAAACCTGCCGGGTCGTGACGGGGCCCCGGAGGGGATTGGTGCGTTTCCCTGCCGCGACCCGATCCAAAACCACGATTGGAGAGGCTGGATATATAAATAGCAGCCGCTTGGAGATACCCTTGATCAGACATTTCTAGGCGTCAGCATTCCTTGAAAGACGGACGGAAGACCCTGGGCTGCTGCCATCAGCATGCAACACATAGCCCCCAACGATAGGTCATGGTCAACGGCGACACCGACAATGGGACCGGCGATTGTTGTCATCGCATGGGCAGAAATTCGAACAGGAAGATGAAACTGTTATAGAGTGGTTTCTTCACTTCGTCGACACGATGTGGTGTCGTTTTTCGATAAAGCCAGAAGAGTGTGACAGTGCGATTGTTGTATACTTGACATGGGTTAGAGCCCTGACTAAGAAGGACCCCACAGTCTGCGAGAGATGAGATCATCCCATCCAGTTACACCTGACCTGGGCCTGGAGGTAGTACGACTATCGGAATACTAGCAAAACACTAAGTCTACCACTACCACTACCACATTCATCATTCTACCTGAGGATACCGAGAATTCGACGATGGCTCGAGCTGCAAGCAAGATGTGGGAATGCTACTGCCTGCGTCCCACTCTCAACTCCCCCTCCACCCTCCTCCCCGTCTTTCTCTACGGCACAGCCTGGAAGAAAGACCAAACAGCCGACCTTGTCTATAATGCGGTCCACGCCGGCTTCCGAGCTGTTGACACCGCCGCTCAGCCACGACACTACCAAGAACATCTCGTAGGCGATGGCATTCGTCAGGCCATCGCGGAAGGTCTCGTCCGCCGGGAGGATCTATATGTATGTGCACACGAGTGTCCCGACGTCAATGAGACCAGTGTTCACTAATGAAAAACCTCCAGTTGCAAACCAAGTTCAGTCCGATCGGGGCCCAGGATCCAAACAACATGCCCTATGATCCCAGCCTGTCCGTGACGGAACAGGTCCATGCCTCTATCAAGTCTTCTCTGCACAATCTTCGTCCATCGGCAGACCCCAGCAGCGTATCCGATGCATACATCGATACGCTAGTCATCCACTCACCGCTCCGAACCATAGAGATGACCCTGGAGGCATGGCAGGCTCTGGAGACGTACGTCCCACACCGCATCCGCAACCTGGGCATCTCGAATTGCTCATTGCCCATCCTTGAGGCGCTCAACGCCTCATCCGCTACGAAGGTGAAGCCGGCGATCGTGCAGAATCGGTTCTATGAGGATACTGCATTTGATGTCCCTCTGCGAGCATTTTGCCGGGACAACAATATCATCTACCAAAGTTTCTGGACCTTGACTGCTAACCCAGATTTGGTGCGCTCTCAGCCTGTGCAACAATTGGCTTCACAGGTCAAGATTAGCCCGGCGGCAGCATTGTACGCCCTTGTCATGGGGTTGGGCCATACGACAGTGTTGAATGGCACGAAAAATAATGATCGCATGAGGGAAGATCTGGCAGCCCCGCTTCTCGTCCAGCAGTTCGCGCAGACGCAGCCTGTCGAGTGGCAACAGCTATTGACGGGATTCCAGCAATTGGTGGGTGACGCTTAAATAAGGATGTCGAATGATAGGCGACAACCAAGATCATAAGAATCCGAATGTGCGTCTTTGATAGAAGTAGACGGCAAGAGTACCTGCTGTGGCCCAAGTAAATCTCTAGCAGATAAACGGGGACGATCAGCATGCAAGGGAATGTACCGGTACCTCTGAGAGTAGCGGGCTCACCGCCGTGGCAGAAGTAGCGGTACGCAGCCCATCTGTCACATGCTGAGTCAGCTCCACCGCTCGATTGACCTCATCGCCAAGGACAGCGCAAGATTTCGTGTTCCTGCGCTCTCTCGCTCGTCTGTGGTCGCGGCGTCAATTCATATCTGTGGTGCATCCGGCCTTGTCGACCATTGCGCCATCTTGCTGGGCCCGTCGCCGCAATCCTGAATGCTGGTCTCTTTGAGCGCCTGCTGATTGTGATCTTCCAAAACCCATCGAACTCGTTCAAATCAGCCCGTCGCCCGTCGCCCATCGCCCGTCACCCTTCGCCCTCAACCCGTGCTTCGGTGCCACATTCAGCCGCGTGCATTTGAGTGTTCCCTGAGCGTTGTTGTTATCGACACCAGAGTCGGCCGGTTTTTTGCCCGATTCCCGCTCCACCCACAGTTTTTGCGTGAATCCGCGCCCGACGCGGGTTTGTCGACACTTATTTCAAAGAATCCCCGTGAAAAAAAAAATTTAGCATACAAGACCTTGATATCCCCGTACCCGCCCTCCCGCGGGCAACTTCCAGCCCACCACATTCGCTGTGATCGGATAGGCCTCGACCTGCCCCCACGTCGGGAGTTCGTCTACCTTTACCTTTGACCGATAATCCTACAATGAGCTCGCCAGGCATGACTCGCAAGCGACCGGCGCCGGGCACAACCCCAGCTGTTTCCCCTCAGATGGCAGGTGTCCCAAACTACGCCAACCCTAGTGCCTCGCTCTCCAACGACCAATTCTTGCAATGGGGATCAGACCCTTCAAACGTCATCAACACCTCCTCACTCCACGATCCCCCGGCGTACAATCAACAGGGATTCGCGACATCCCAAGATTTATCCGCGACCGCATCGAACCAGCTCGCTCGTCGCCAACAGCCCAGTCAACAGCTCGTGAGTCGAAACCGTGGATACGAGCAAGCACCGACGGTATACCCAGATCACAACACCACCGTCGGACCGCCCGGTGAATCAGGCGCATGGGGAGAGTCTCTGGAGGAACTGTATCAGAAAGCCCAGGTGGCAAAGAGAGAGGCGCAAGCCAAAAGGAAACAGATCCCTCCTTTTGTGCAAAAACTGAGCAGGTATGATAAGAGAAAGCCCTTTTGTCTTCTGGAAGCGGAAGCAGTAAACTGACAGAAAGTGTAGTTTCTTGGATGAGTCCAAAAATACGGAATTGATTCGGTGGTCGGATGACGGTAATTCTTTCATTGTGCTTGACGAGGATGAGTTTGCGAGGACATTGATCCCAGAGCTCTTCAAGCACAACAACTATGCATCATTCGTTCGACAACTGAATATGTACGGCTTTCACAAGAAAGTGGGGCTCTCGGACAACTCGATGCGCGCTAGTGAGAGAAAGAATAAGAGCCCAAGCGAATATGCAAACCCCTTCTTCAAGCGAGGTCATCCAGACCTGCTGTGGTTGATTTCGAAGCCAAAAAATGCGGCCGGCCACGCGAGCAAATCGAGTAAAGGCGGTACGCGGGTCAAGACTGAAGACGCAGATGAAAATGATCTTGACGATTTTGGAGAAGAGGGCGGGCAGATCTCTCGCGACGAACGAGGACGGCCAAACCAGTTGTCCCTCCGGACAGACAACGCTTTGCCCAAAGATCAACTGGCCGGAGTCTATCGAGAGTTGCAGGTCATTCGTGCCCAGCAATCAGTAATTTCCGGTACTATCACCAGGCTGCGAAAGGAGCACGAGCAGCTGTACTCCCAAGCAGCCAATTTCCAGGAGCAACATACGCGCCATGAGAATTCGATCAACGCTATTCTCACTTTCTTGGCGACTGTCTACAACCGAAGCCTCCAAGGGCAAGATGGGACGCAGAATATCGCCAACTCTTTCGCCGGTGCCATCTCCGGGGATCAAGGGAACATTGTCGATGTGGATGACTTCTCGCTTAATCACCTAGCGAACATGGCAAGTCCTACGACTCAACGAACGATGAAGAAGCAGCCCCTCCTTCTCAAAGCGCCCCCTATCACCGACGAAGCTAACCGAGCAACGACCCTTTCGCCTGCCAGCGGCCATTACGATACTCGGTCTCGTAGTCATACTCGCCAACCCAGCGCGACTCAGCCTGGTCATGTGGAGGAAGTCCTGGACAACAGCCCACGACAAAATGCATCCACAATCCCTCCAGGACATCAGGGCGACGAGCAAGACCCCCAGAGAGATATCATGTCGGTCATCCATAATTCCAATGCCCGAAACGGGATTTCTACCAACTTTTCCGATTTTCCGAATGTCCTTTCATCGCTCGAGACCTCGGGTGGCAATGTTCCGCTCACGCAACACCAGCGCGAGGACATGCTACGGCTCATGGGCAATGAGATCAACACGGCCAACCCAACCGGCCAAAGCTCTCACAACAATGCCCTCACTTCCCCTAATCCGCCACCGATGCCACCGAACTACTCCGGCCGTCTTGCGAGCACTCGGAAGGAGATCGATGACTTGGTGAAAATGCAAGCCGAACAGGATCGCTCTGTTCAGAATCTGACCAACCTGCTCCAACCGCTCAGCCCCAATGGTACCATTCCCGGGCTAGGTGACGGTGATGGCAATGTTCCTCCTCCCCCGCTTGATCTCGATCAAATCTTCAACAACGACTACTTCACCGATATTGGAGATGCGGACAACGACAAGAAATTCAATCTAGACGAGAATGGAAATGTGCCGGGTACGGGAACCCACACGCATGATCATTTGGGCAATCCTCCCGTACCTGACGACGGAGACGCCAACGATTTGTTTGACTTTGACCACCTCCCCAACGAGGCTGATCTCTTTGATAGCACCAACCAGGGCCACTCGGGCTACAATTATGGCTTCGATGGGGGCTTTGATGGTGGTGATTCTGCCGCCGGCCACAATGCGGACTCGGGTCGTGTTGTCGAGCAGTTGACGGATAGTGAGGCCACGAGTCCTGCCGCCGCGGATGAACACGCCGATGGCCCAATCGACGGCGGCAGTGCCAAGCGACGCAGGAGGGCATAGTCTGATGTCGGTCTAGACATGGCATGGGGTGGATTGCAAGGAAAGGGAACAGGAAGTCGGAGAACATACCAAATCCGAGGCGCAACCTAGGCGTTTATTTTGATTGCAGGCGGTTCTGCTTGCCGTGGGACGAACAGGCTGGTTCAATTGTTGTAAAAAGCGATCATGATTATGATCCCTGATGAAATTATTTCAAATGTTGATATGGGCGTATTTCCTGCTCACTATCTCTTCGTGACGAGACTTCCCATCTTGATACAGTTGTAGAGTTCAGTACTAGTAATCTGTCAGGCCCGCACCAGCTGCACTGCAAGTTCAAGTGGCTTGGTTCCGTGTATACAAGAGTGAGTGCCAGACCACGGGAGCGTCGGGCGCGACGGGCCAATCCGGACAGGCGCATCCTCCCTAAACCGGCAGAGTCGCGGGTAACAAGCCCCATTTCAGCGACAACGGAGCCTTGGAGAACCGTGAGAACAATAGGAGTTGAAGCATTTCCAACAAAGTAATTTTCTCTCACTGTGAAATATTCTAGACGCCCTCCAAATCTGGAGTTATCAGCAAATCCCCCCACGTCTTGGTTTTTCCCACGATGTGGAAAACAGCGGCTTTCGTTTTGCTCGCTGTGCAGGTATACTTACTCACCGCAACTGCTCTACCGCATGTCTCGAGCTTCTGCAAGCGACATTCCGAACAAACTACAAATTTGCCAAATGTCATTATTTTTGGCAAGGGAGGCATTATCGCAAGCAAGGGAGCGACGAACACCCAAACCACTAACTACAAGGTCGGGGTCACCGTCGAGGCACTAGTTGAGGCGGTGCCCGAGCTATGCGATATCACGAATGTATCTGGTCGACAAGTGTCAAACGTGGACAATGGATCACTCAACTCCACTATCTTATTGAGCCTTGCTCGCTACATCCATGAAGATGTGGCTGATCCAACTTCGCACGGCACTGTGGTTACGCATGGAACCGATACTTTGGAGGAGACGGCCTTCTTTTAAGACTTGATGGTCAAGTTCTCGAAGTCAGTCGTTATAACTGGTGCAATGCGGCCTTTGTCTGCGCTTGGTGCCGGTGGTCCATTGAATCTCTATCAGGCAGTCAAGCTGGCTAGCTCCGATGAAGCTCGTGATCGTGGAGTGATGATTGTATTGAATGAGCAAGTGCTCCCTTTCAATCTTGACAGATAGATGTACTAGCCTATATCTAGTCGGATATGAAGCGCATACACAGCCACGAAGAATAACGCAAATTACTTGGATACCTTCTACGCGACCGAACAGGTCCAGCTCGGCTTCTTCAGTATCCAAGTTCCCAAATCCTACTCTTCGCCTTGGACACCTCGAAATACACCATAAACGACATTTCTGTATTGGGAAAAATGCTGAGTCTCTATCCCAAGTCGATATTCTTTATGAAGGGTATGGCTGCGAGAAAGCGTCAGACTTAACGCGACTTGGACATTGTACTGCTACTCCCTCAATCGACGGAAAACTGCATACGCATATGCGGGACAGGCTCTCCGGCTAGCCAATGTCCTCGGATTTTCGAAAGTACAAACTACGGTCGATCCCGTGGAGCAGGAACACTGCAAGCGCATCTAGCGGACAACAGTCTGCATGGATATCATGACCTACACTGAATTATCGTTGACACCAGCTCATGCTTATAATGACGACAACAGCAACTATCCTGATAGTTTAAACTCTCCGCGGACGAGGTTGAAGAATTCTCAAACCCTCCGTATCTTACCGCACAAGTCAAGTTTTGCCACATCAAATATCACATCATCAAGACAATCTCGGAGCTTCATTTTGGGAATGCAGTCGAGGCAGAGGCACTTATTGAGCCCTCTTTGCAAATACTAGAGAGTTGGATCACGGAGTTCTCGCCAATCTGGATTTGACCAAAGATGGGTCGGTTTCAAACGAGACAATGGCTCTCCCGGCAATGCGTACTATCGCATCGCTACTGCTACGATACAACCAGATAAGTGCAAACACCGATTACCTTCTTAATTGAGGGAATATACTGATGGAACAGTGTTGCATCCTTCTCCTGCGCCCGCTGCTATTGAAACAGCTTTATGACCTTTTCCGCAAAAGTGATGGGCTGATATCCAGCAACGAGCTCGCAAAACTGAATGTGCAGTGCTTGCAAGCAGCCTCGAATCATACTGCAATGCAATTTGGGCTTTCAAAATGCCATCAAATTTGTATGCACTGGAACCACTTTCTCGGCCGTCGTTTGTTTTGCCGATTGAGCCACCACAGGATGCTAACATATCCATAGCAAAGTTCGATTTCTGGAAATCGCTGCCCATATTCTCAAGTCTCACAGTACATGTGATATCTGATTCCATGATGGAGAGGCACCCCACTGCTTTTACTCGTGTTGCGGCCAGTACAGCATACACCCCGATCAGAAAGTTATTGGGGGAGATGGACCGAATGGGCAACGTGGCATCAAAAGACCACGAGCGCATGATTTACGACATCGAGTAACTATTCTCTGCTCTCCACCCGAACAGGATTGACTGAAGGGATCGAGAATCTCGTTGAGTGGTCGGACTACCTGAACAATGAGAGCATAAGGTTCGACTTTGATGGAGAATTCCCTTCATTTGACTGGTCTTGAGATATGTACAAACAAGAGCCTCAGAGTTTCACGGTATCCATATCACTCTCATAAATTCACAACTGGCTCATTTAGGGTCATGTCTTCTCGCTGCGATTCACTGCGTGGACTGACGGGTGGGGCCTGGGATTTGGCCCCAGGGGCCAAGGCGGGCTCAGCCTCCGCAGACCAGCCTCGTTTTTCGACACTTACACTCCTGTCTGCCTTGCAGAACTACAGTGCGGCTATTTACATGGCGCGAAGACGCGCCCGCTGCTGACCACCTGTGCTTTTCATCCGGAAATTGAAGCACGCTCGCCATGTCTCCAGCTCCAAATGCCCACGCTAGTGGCGGAGCGGCCCTTCCGAAGCCCCCGTCCGACAAGCAGCTTGACATCCGTAAGCGATGTGAATTTGTATTTTATGAGACTTGCTCTGGTTGAAGCTAACATTTGCGGAGATCACATCTCGACACTCCCACTACTAGCTCGGACCCTGCACCGTTCATTATTTACAGCCCCAGGGCCATTCAAAAGTGTCCAGGATGGCCTCGCATTGCTGATCGTCGCCCTTGAGACGGCGGAGACAGCCGCACTGGCAGCTGACTCTAGCGATTTACATGCATCGATCGAGAAAGAGCTGCAAGGTTGTGACGAGACCTTGCTCGCGCTGCGGAAACTAAAACGCCAGTATAATGTTGGGGATTCTCAGTCCGAAGCGGATCAAACGCCTGTGAATGAGGAAACGACAAAGGAGCTCGAGGAGCTTCGAGAAAAGCTGACCTCTTATACGAGTACTTTGAACTTGCTCAACGCGAACACCGTACGGTCCGTTCTATCTGATCCAAGAATTGTTGAACATCGGACGAAACTGGATGACGAGTGAGAACTAATACATGACTAGATCATCGGAAGAACATGTCCAAAGAACAACGAAAGCATTTATTCAAGAAGTTCGCAGTGGGAAGCGAGATAAGTCGGTGGTTTCCACGAACGCCTTGTCTATCGGCAACGCCGATGGATGGAAACAACTACGCAAGGAGCTGCAAAGCGCCGGAGTCAACGCTGAGAGTTTCGCGCAAAACTTCGAATTAGTGGTTGCCGCGCTGAAGGAGTCCGAGTTTGGCGACAACATCCCTGATTTGGATCATATCAATCCATATTACATTGATGCTGCCCAAAGCGGGCTCTCCTACGGCCAGGTCAAGGATATGGCCACCAACATGGCTTCCGCATGGATGGGTCAGATTTCCGAATATGCCTCTTCTCCGCGATGGAACTCCATCGGCAATCAGTCTATGCAGGCCTTTGCTGGATTAAAAATACAGCCTACTCATGTAGGCCACATGTTTTCAAAGGCCATGGGGAACCGAAAGGACCTCGTTTCGTGTGCGGAAGACGGTGACTTGACTATGGTCATGCATCATTTGAAAAGGGGGGCGAATATCAACACCATCACCGAGGGAGAGTCTGCGTTATCTCGGGCTGCTGCCAACGGTCATAAAGAGATTGTGCTACTTCTTTTCGCCAAGGGGGCGGATCTTGATGCTGTGAACCCGCAAGGCGAGACGCCTTTCGTCCAGGCAGCGAAGAACGGGCACCGGGAGATAGTCCAGATTCTTCTGAGCCACGCTGAATCGGTGGCAAAGGGTCGACATGGAGAAGAAGCACTGAAAAAGGCAGCTGAGAGCGGTCATGAAGAGATTGTTCATATGCTACTGGAGAAAGGGGTCAATGCTGATGTCCTCGATCCCGATGATCGCAATGACAACACAGCTTTGTCCAAGGCTGCGAGCAAAGGTCATGAGAAGATTGTGGTCATGTTGTTAAATCACGGCGTCCGCATCAATGTCACAAATTACTGGGGCGAGACAGCTCTGTACCATGCTATTGCTTATGGGGATAGAAAGATCATCCATCATCTTCTCAAGTTTGACGTCGATGTCGACCCCCGGGCTGAGCACCGGGCACAGGAAAATGCCCGGTTGTTTGGCTGGTTGAAGGCGGAGCAACGTGCGAGAGAGAAGGGCCTGCTGGGGAGTGTCCCAAGATCTCCTGCTCCAGCAGAGTGCCAGACTGCTGAAAACAGCCAGTCCTAACCGAATGAGCGATCCTCAGAGGATATTCTGTCTGAAGACGGTTACTAGAATTGCGATATCTCATACGCTTTTTCGCAAGTTGAATGGTATATGGATTACCAAACAGACTCGAATCAGCTCCAGAAGACTACTACCACCACACAGTATTGAAGACGACCAGGGCCCATGAATTTGTCATGCATAATTTTGACAATTTTGACAATTTTGTAGCTATTTGTATTCAGAACATGCATGAGATGCACCGTGGTATCACTGAGATCAGATTTATCATAGTAATGTCTTCTACCGCTTTCCGTGACGATCCCATTCCAACTCCCCAGTTCGCTCCTTCTTGCGCTCTCGTTCCCGATCTCGGTGCATTCCTCGCTTGCGTCCACCTGTCAAGTCCTTCTCTTTCTCCCGAGGATCGATCACCATCAGCGAGTCTGCATCGTCAGGATGTGCCTTCTTCCAATTTAAGTCTTTACCCAGGGTATCCTTGCCAAATCGTAGCTCATGCGTTAGCCATCCCTCGTCATCTCGGTTTGCATCTTCCCCAGCTTCATCAGGGTCATCCCAGGATTTGCAGGACTGGCAGTTTGCAATAAAGTGGAGGTCACAAAGCTGCGCCTCTGCATCCTCCGCATCTTCTTCATCGAGAGCAGATTCTTTGTTCTTGCGGGTGCCATGTGAGGGCCCAGACGATTTTGTGTCGGCACCCTCCAGCTTCGCCTTGAAGGAATTGAAAAGCTGCAGGGCGTCCCGTTCTGCTTTGGACTTGGGGGCAGAGCTCTGGCCTACGCCATTGGAGCTTTGCGGCGGTCGTTTACGACCTCGGATTGCTGTTTCTGGAATCATGCTTTCCAGTGCTGTCTTCTTGCGGCCGGTGTCCGCAGGGCCAGTGTCCACATTACGGCGCATGGAGGCTTTGAGTGAAGCGATCTCAGCATTCATTCGCGACGCTCTTGACTCCTTCGCAGGCGGGGAGGGGGATCTATCGGGAGATTCAGGGTCTTGAATGGGAAGTTGGGCCACGGGTTCTGGCGTCTTGATGCGTTGCTTGCGGGGAGGTGACGAAGAGCGTTTCGGGGATGGAGATCGTGGCCGCTTTCGGAGCTTCGGGGCGTCCGCTGTTTGTGATTTCGAATGTTTTTGCGCTTCGTCCACGCCGCCAGCGACGTCTGATACGAGCTTTGTATTGAACTTCGGCTTTGCCGGCCGCATCGGCATTTCTTCGTCCCCTTCATCTCCGCCAAAACTCAGTAAGACCTTGCCCCCCCTTGGCTGGCTTCTTCTTCTTCTTCGGCGCGGGCTTGTCCCCTCCTGATGCCGTAGACACAGTCTGCCTATCTTTCAACTTGCCAGTCAACGGTCCTAGTTCCCCGACTTCACAGGACGTCACTTTAATCGGGTACATAGGCCGATCGGTTCCCTCAACACGATCGCCGTCCGCAATCTTGAGAACATTGTAGATGCTGTCTCCTTCCAGTCGTCCGAAAAGTGTGCATTGTCCATTCATCTCGCGCTCAGTGTTGGCTAACGTGATGAAGAATTGACTGCCATAGGATCCGTCCTCGCTTTTCGCCATGCCCACCCTACCACGCCGGTTAAATCGTAGCCGGCTATGTAGCTCATCTCGCAACACCACCCGTTCGGTCGGATCACGGGCCTCGGGGTCATATTCAAACTCGGGATATTCGTAGATGGAGGTTCCGCCAGACCCAGTGCCAGTAGGATCACCTCCCTGGATCACGAAATCGGGAACGACGCGGTGGAAGATGGTTCCAGTAAAGTAATTATCTTTGCAGTGTTGCAGGAAGTTTTTGCAGGTGAGAGGAGCCTGGTTCGCGAAGAGAGAGATGTGAATGGGACCGATGGTGGTATTCAGGGTCGCTGACGCGGTGGGGTTCGGCTCGCTGGCATATGAGGAAGACATGGTGATAAGAATAGGAGCGACTAAGCCGCCGCCAGTACAGGGGGTTCAATGGCGACGAGTCGAGTGTCGTCCGAAGCTTTACAAAGAGGATCTCCGTCGCGACGGCGGAAAAGTGGACGTCATGGCACGTGACTTTAGTGTACCTCGCTGAGTACAGTGGGCCAAAGCTACGCGATGTTGGACAGCAGGGCATCCGCGTCGATCCATAATCTGCGATCGAGATAGGCTATGATTTAGATGCTAGATACGATACATCGTTTGTCAATCGGTGGTCTATCAAGATATTCCGCAGAAGTCAATGCTCCTGGAGCTGTGTCGCATTCGGCAAATGTTAGATATGGATGTCGCGTCGGAAGTGAAGTCTTTTTTTGTCGCATGGGAATTGTGTCAATGGATATCCAGGGTGTAAGTCTGTCGCGAATAGAAAAGATGCTGAGGTCGTAACGTTCGTGATGGTGCTATGGAGAACCGGCTCCATGTCAAACCAACGCGGCAAGTGGGTGACTGAGAACAAGCAATCGACGATCGACATTCCCACCGGCTGCGTTGTTAAAATACAAGCCAATGGGATCATGGCGAGAAGGCATCATCTGAAGATGGTGGCGCATAACGGGCGAGAAAGTGAGAACTTGCTGATGCAGCGACGGTCCAGCCAGCAGCGACGAAATGAGTAGTGGCGCAACGGGTGGGGTGAAATATGAGAAAAAAGAAATTGAAAACAGAGTCCTTCGGTTGTCGCATTTGGGAAAGGAGACTCTGGTCAAAGTGTCGCATAAGGGTAATCAGAGTGGTTATGCCGGTCGAGGAGGACACCTGCGAGGTGGGGAGGATTTTCATCAGCAGACGCATAGAGCACCGAACCTGCGGGGCTCCAGCAATCCAAGATCAAGCACCCACTCCCCCTTCGCCATAACTGGAACTGCTACCGGGACTGGGACGTGGACCGGCCCCGGCAAGCGTACGGGGCTCCGCTCATGCTCGAGCGAGGCTCTCGCATGAAGGCCGAGTTGGAATCGTAATCGACGCAAGGTCCGTTCGGAGATGTCATAGCCGTCTTGCCGCAGGAGCTTCAGCATTGCCTTGTCGGTCAGCCTATCCTGCACGAAGAGTACCTTGATGCGTGCATGTAGGGTCTCATCTGCAGTTGTGGTGCGGCTTCGCTTGCGAATACCCCACTTGCGGAGGCGGGACTGAATTGTCCGCTCCTTCACTTGGATGTTGTATCGGCTCTCGAGTGTGCGGCTGATCGAGTCACTGCTGATTCCGTGTTGGAAGAGTGCAATAATCTCGTCCCGGTAGGGCTCGAGGTTGATCTGCTGGCGCGGCATGGTGGAGTTGGATAAAGAGGAATGTTCGGGGGGAAACGCGGGTTGAAGGCGGGCGAGGGCGGTCAATTTGCGGGATGACAGCCGAGGTCTCCACTTGCCCGGGACGTGCTAAGTACCGATCCCCCGACCCTCCAGGTGGGAGGAATGCGTTGCTGGGGCAGACAGGTAAATTTGAAACCGTGGTAATCAAAATCATATTCATGAGCAAATATATACGGGCTAACAGGTATTGGCTGTATCGGGATTGTTGCACAGTTGAATAAGATCATCCTTTTTCTGTACGATTGTTTGACGACTCGCCTCGGGGCTGAGCATGTCAAAATAGATAAATATAGTTATGATAGCAAAAGATGTTATTATTAATCGCGGTTTCCCCGCTGAGTCGTTACTCGTTGCAAGTCCATACAATGGCAAGTCTCAGACTTGCGAGATATCACGCAACCACACAGCCAGGAACAATATAGCAATATAAACTTCCGCTCAAACTCGGCTGAAGGCGCCGTGATAGTCATCATCTCATTTCCAAGGTTCCCTGTTCCTGAATCTATGATTTCTTATCGTCGACGACACCAGCAGCAGCGCTGCTCATCTCGAGACCACCCTTGCAACGTTTCGCAATGGTGAATCCACCGACCAAGAAGAAGAGAGCCTCCAGGCCCAGGATCACGGCAAGGGTCACCATGGCACCAATCACGCCAGCCACCGGGCGAGAAACACCGCCGGAGCCGCCAATGCTGTCAGTGCTGGCAGAGGTTGCATCGGAGTTGGAGCTGGAAGAACTGCACTTGCCCTCAGTGTTGCCGCAGAGGTCGCACCACTCACTGTCCGAGGCAATGGCGATCTTCTCGCTCTCGGTGACGAAGTCGGACCAGGAGATCAGATCCTCCGAACGGCCAAACATGGGGAAGACAGTGGGCTCGGATGAGCTGCTGACGGTGCCGTTGTGGAAGCTGAAGCGCACGCTGATGTCGTCCGAGGAGGGGAACTCGGTGCCTGTGGCGTTGCTGACCAGCTCCAGAGTGAAGGTCGAGGCGTAGTCCACGATACCGGTGAAATCATCGGAGGCCTTGGGCATCTGCATGATACCGAACCAAGAGAAGAACGTGCCGTACGAGCCGAATTGGACACCCAGCTTGTACTCGCCCTCGGAGGCGATGGTCTTGTTGAGGTTGGTCAGAATCTCACCGGCCAGGACCTTGCCATCAATGGCCCGCACGGGATCCGAGGAGTTGTATGCGAGGTTGTATTGCTGGTTGTTGGCCAGATATTGCAGCTGCACCCACTGAGCATCCGTCACGTTGGGCTTGGTGGTGTTGTGAATACGGCCATAGTTCAGGTAGTCGAAGATGATGTAGGCGTTCTTGAAGCTCATATCCTCATCGGAGAAGGCGTCGCTCAGCACGGGTGAGAGAGACTGGTAGAACTCCTTGGTAGAGGCCTCCAGGTCCATGTACGACTGCGAGGCGTAGTAGCTATCGCTGCTCACGGTGGCCTTGGGGCAGTCGCTGGAGCCCTGCAGCCAGGTCGAGCTCTCGCTGTCCTGGTTGGTGTCGGTGGTGCTCAGTGTGATGATCTGATAGCCATTGAGAGGGGCCACGATGGTCGAGTCATTGGCCAGCTTCTCCGTCGCCTGGCTGGTTGGGGGGTAGACACCCTGCAAAAAGCCGGTGGCCGAGTTCTGCAGCACCGCGTCATCCGGGGCGGAGGCGCTGAGCTGCTTCGATCTGAAGACGGGATCGCTGATGCCCTCGATATGTTTAACCGAGTCGTTCGAAATGTATCGTTCATTATAGAAGGAACCGGAGTTGAACATCTCCAGGTAGCCCACGGTGGTCAACTGGGTGTTGCCCCAGACCTTGGGCGTGCGATCACCATGGCGCGAGTAGATAAAGGCGCCCAGCACGCGCTCCGCATTCGCTGTCGAAGCGGAGAGCGAGGCCAGCAGCAGACCAGATTGAAGGGAGGCGCGCATCTTGGAGAATCAGACTCAAGACGGGACCGAGAGGAGCAACGAAGAGAGCCAGGATCAAGACCAGGCCGGGGACGGCGGCGGTTCTTATGGATGCAACGCATGTCGCCTGGACGGCCAGACCCTTCCGGGGCAGATCCAGCGGACGAGCATCGCATGCTGATCCGCGGAGCCATGGAGCGCATTGGGAGACGAAGAGGGGCAGTGGCAGGGAATCCCACGGGGGACAAGTCGGCGGGGCGTTGGCGGCGGAGTCGGCCGACTCTGGCACGCTGCCAGACCCTAAATGGAGTAAAATATTCCTAAAGCGGGCTAGGGCAAGCTAGGACAGTCTAAATGCCGGCCAGCAATCGTCTTAGGGCAGCCACTAACCGGGTGAGGCCCAGAGGCTACTGCAGCCAAGCAGAACAAGTCCGAGGACTTGCAATTAGCTAATTGAAACCGCGGAGATGTGATAAGCTCCCAATTGATCCGAGGATACATATTTTCAGGTAACTCGGAGTACCCTCAGGGTTCCTCAAGATGAGCGCCAGTTGGTGATACCGCTGGCAGTAGGTTTGCCGGCACCGCAGCCTGTCCGTGGTACAATACAGTGCGAGTGGACGCTGGCATGGTGGAGAACAATGAAGACCCTGTCTCTACAACTCGGACCTACACACTAGCATGGTGTCTCTTAGGGCTGGTCAGGCAGGTTCTGCCGTGCGCCGCATCGGCATGCCTTTTTTTGTCTTCAGGATTCCGAGTTCCGTATTCAGATTGCCCCAACACCCCGTAAATGCTACTAGTAGTCCCTACCCTAAGGGTAGCTACCGATGGTCGTGACTATCCAACGCCCTCAGGCCAATCCCACGCCGCGATCCCCCAGCAATTCGCATCCATTCCGCACGACTCCCACCAGTCCGCCGGTCTGGACCGCCTCGGAGCCGCCCCCGGAGAGCCGCCACTCGATCTCCGCCAGGCCCTCCAGCCAGGTGATGCGCGTTTGCGCCGGCACCTCCAATTGTTGGAGCTGGTCGGCCAGTGCCGAAAGAATGTCGGCCAGCGCCAGTCCCTTGGTCGCCTTGAGCGTGTTCACCGTGTTGAGGCACGAGGTCACGTCGCTGGTTGTGAGGATGGTGCTCATGATCTCTTGGATGTCGGATGGATGCGGGGCCGCAATACAGTCGTAAATCGTTGCGTCGGTGATCGTCTCGGCTTCGGGTCGGGGGGCATTCGGCGCATCTCGCATTGGTAGGGGAATGCCTAAAACGAAAAATGAGTCAACCAATGCAATTTGGAATGGTCATGGAACGGAAGAAAACGTACTGCTCGCGTGACAGGCCTGGAGCACATTGAGGGCCCGTCGCATATCACCTTTACTAAGGGTAACCAGGCTGTCCACAGCCTCAGGCTGAATCCGCACCTTTTCCTTCTCAATAACGTGATCGACGAGCACCCGGATATCAGCTTCCTTAAGTGGACTGAAACGGAACCGTGTACAACGTGACAGCAGGGCAGGCGAAAGCTTATGTGTATAATTGGCGATGATGCAGAACCGGGTATTGGCTGTATAGCGTTCCATAATGCGGCGCAGGGCCATCTGCGCCGTGGAGGTCATAGCATCCGCCTCATCCAGAACGATCAGTTTAAAGCCAGCGAGTTTCGAGTCGCCGGTGGCCTGCGGGGCCATGGAGAAGATCTGCTTCGTACCTGTGCCATGTTAGCAGCTTCCGACGCCGATCGAGGTCACAGTAGGTGAATTTGGTATCACATACTGGCAAATGTCTTAATTTGTTCTCTGACAACGTCAATGCCGCGGTCGTCACTGGCGTTCAATTCGAGCACCATCTGCCGCATATTTTTGCTCCCGTATATACGCCGTGCGAGGGCGAGAATTGTGGATGTCTTGCCGGTTCCGGGCGGACCATATAGAAGGAGATGGGGTAAACGCTATACAACGGTTAGACTCTCATGTATGTGCAGATGGGCTCACCGGCGGGGATTACATTGGCTTCAATAAAGCGATTGATGGTCGCGAGAATATCTTGGTGGCCGGACACATCGTCTAGTGAGTTCGGCCGATATTTTTCGACCCTATCCAAAGCGTCAGCACTTGCTTCATGAGAGAAAGCCCGAGTGTCGTTGCATACCAGGGGAGGTTGTCTTGAGCTTCAACAGGGAGGTCGGCCGCACTCCGCTTCTTCCCACTGGCATTCTCGGAGCTGAACTGGACCGAGGTGTCCTTGGAGGGCACGTCGACGTCCATCGCATCCTCAAAGTCCGACATGATGGCTGAATGTCTGTGTGAATTGTATGTGGCAGGGGAGATCGCGAAACGTCGAGCTCGACGCGTTCCGCGCGTAAAGAGAGGCTCGGGGCGGAAAATCATGGCAGCTCGGGGGAGGCTCCACCGGGCGATGACATCCTCGCGGCCTCAACCTCCACCATATCCCCCTCAATCCACACACCCCCATCCACCATGCCGGTAAGCTGCGAGAGATTGAGGAAAGTCTCACTATAGTGGTAACATAAGCTGACCATTTCTAGGCTTACCACTCCATCTTCCTGGAGGACCGCGATGTCCCCGTCATAGGTACGCTGCCCCTCCGCCAACGGCTGCCTCCATGCAATGCATCTCCGATCAACTCGGCCCGGCCAGCAATGCTGACGATGTCTTGTTCCAGGAAACTTCCCTATCCTGCCTCTGCGCACTCGCACCCGTGGTCCTGCGTATACTCTGCCCGCGCTCCCCCTAACACCGCCGACATCGATGTCGCCCCCGACAGCGAATCCTACGACTGTGTAGATGAGATCCTGTCCCTCTTTCGCGCCAATGTGCTGTTTCGCAACTTCGAGATCAACGGCCCGGCCGACCGCATGCTTATCTACGGAACCCTGTTCATCAGCGAGTGTCTCGGGAAGGTGAAGCCAACGATGGCTGCCCGAGATGCGGAGAAGGTAGATGCCACCTATACCCATAGTCCCGCAATTGCCAAACCCATACTCACGATTACGAACCGCTAGGCCCTGATCAATGCTGCGCTTGACAATTTTGCCATCCCTGGTGATGTATCATTCCCTCTGAACCAGGCCTTTGAGCCCCCGCGCGACCGCCAGGATGCGGAGAGCCTCCGACAGTATGCCCGACCCCCCGCAATTCCCACAGGTGCCCATCCAAAACTAACAATTGTTTGCTAGATATATTTCGCAGGTGCGGCAGGAAATTGCCGTGCGGCTACACGCGAGATTATACCCTGGTGGAGAAGGACCTTCCAAGGTACGTGCAAACATACTGCTCGTAGTACCCGCTCCCCATAAACATATTCGGACTAACTATTTTGCAGTTCTGGTTGAGCTTCACAAAGAGAAAGTTCATGGGAAAAAGTCTATAGACATAGCCGGAGGGGATGTATAGTGTTTCACGAAATTCAGCGCATCAATGAACTTTTCTTTTTTTGATACTCGGCGCCATCGAGCTTTACGCAGGCCCTCGCTGCCAGTGCTGGATCTCGGGCAGTATGGGCCGTCGTTCTATCAGTTCAATATAACCCAAGCTTTGAGCGCAACGCTGCATTATGATCGCGTCCCTGGTATACAGAGGCAGCATTCTGCTACATTTATTTCAGGCGAGCTGGATAGATCATTATATTCGTACAACTTTTGATATCTGTTCAAGGTAACTCCAGGTATGGTATGCGAATCAAGATGTCATCTCGACGTCTCGGTCACTCGCCGGTGTCGATGTTGCTTCTAGCTTTCTCTTCTTCCGGAAGGTACCCGCAGCCTGGATGTTCTGGGCTGTCGGTATGACCCGTATGGCGTGGAAGAGATATCCCTCGGCGCCACCGCGCCCAGTCATGAGAGGGTGTGTCCGGCCAGGCAGCACTTGCCAGGCACGAACACGCGTTCGGTGAAGTGTTGGGGGCAAAATTTGGGTAGGATCCAGTTCAAATTCGTCAAATAATGATGACATGTCGATGGTGTCCTCGTCGGAGTTCTTCTGCGCCTCCAGCTCTCGCTTGCGATTGATGAATGCTGTTCTCCGTGCAGTGGAGTAGAGGTCCACCAGTACAACCAGAGACTCGATGGTTGGGGAATAGATAGAGATAGGTGCAGATCCGGAGAGAAGGGGAACGAGGTTCTTCATGATACTGGGAGGCTCCAGCAAGGTGGCGACGACAAGGCCATCAAAGCCCCCTTCGCGGGTTTCCTTCGTCACCTGCTTGACTCTCTCATAGCGGTTCCGCTTGAAATAGTATGCGGTTCGCTTACTGGCCTTGGCTGCGGCCAATTCTTCCGCGGGCATGACGGAAGGCTGGTTGGCGAGGATTGGATCAGATGTCGGGTCAAGCAGTTGTAGCCAAGTGATTGACTTGAGATGAGTGTGAAGTGGATGTTTCTCGTCGGGCTGGTTGGTATCATAACCAAAGTATTTCAATAGGGAGAGGTTGGGCTGGGAGTAGGCGTGGACAACAGTGATGGTGTTGCCATCAGCCGACATAGGGCGAGGCCGCCTACGCGGCGGGATCGGATAGGTGTTCTGGGCCTCTCCGTCACCCTTGTTGACATTGGTTGTGGCAGATTGGTCGTCCACCTCCTCGTCTTCCTGATCCTCCTCATCGTGCGGGTATAGGATTCCCATGCGTTCCGCCATGGCAGCGACAACGAGGCCACCTGTCTCGTCGACGACCAGGTAACGGCCATTCTGTTTGACTGCCGGCAATGCATCCACAGTCGACTCACCGCTATGATGCACATTTCCCAAGCATCCTAGCAGACCGATATGTTCGTCTCGCAGCTCCATCGTCCTCCCTGCGTCCCGCTGGGCCAGCATGTAGTTGGCGAGGGTGCTGACATCCAATGGGAGAACGGTAAACCGTTTGATGTACTTCTTGCGTTTGCGGAGGGTGTACTTGGCCAGTGAGAAGGCGGTTTTCTGGTCCAGGGCTGTATGCGACTCCAAAAGCTTCGCAACGATTTCTTTTCCAGCCCCGCCAGCCTCTTTCTTGAGCTCCTCGATCTCCTGCAGGGTGAGTGTCTGGGTGGACGCATCGTCGACGATCTGGCGGTTGGTGCGCATCGGTACCCCAGCCCCAGTCTCCTGGTCGTCTCCCTCACCGTCCGCCTCGGCCTCTTCAATCAAGGTTTCAGCATGCAGCTCGGTGGCCGAAACGACCCGCAGCTTGTAGCCATCGCTGTCGGCGGTATCTTGAATTTCAAAGGTATAGTAAAATGGCCGTCCGATGATCTGGTTTGCAGCGAAACTTCCGTATTTGCCCAATTGGACCAAACTGTGGGAGCAGGCGTTAGTTCACAAAGTGTTGTGGCGGGGTGCGGATATATATTCAAGTGAAAGCACGCACGAGTTTGGAACCAGTTGAATGAGGCGGGTTTGGTCCGAGGGCAACTGGATAGCCACGAACTGGTTGGGACGAATGTAGGAATGCATGGCGTGGAAGGAGCCCTGCAGGGCGTCGATAGTCCGATCGTTGCAATATCAACGGCCACAATCGCGTGAGAAGTCGCGGCCTCTATCACAAAATTGCTTGTCGCAAAAGATTCCGGGCGGCGTTTCGTGCCAGATGCGCTTCTACCAATCACAGCAAAGGTATAGACCCATGTCGGATTAACAGCTGGCCCGGTACTGTGGAACGCGATATGACCGTATATTACGGATTACCGCCATTGGCCGGCCGCTACAGCCGCGCAAGTAGCCGTAATTCCCGTACACCCCCAGGAAAAGCGGTGCCTGCAAGGCTCCGCCAAGTAGCTGCGGGCCTCGACGAGGTGCTTCGCTTGAGCCACTGCAAGGCGTTTTCTCTCGCAGGCCCCAATGGCCCATCTTGACATCTTGCCTTCCTCGTTATTTTTGGCCTCTTTTTGGGGGCTGGTATTGCGTCTGGTGGTGGCCTGACTTTGAAATATACCTGATCGACCCGTCTCAAGCTTGAAGCTCCCCACACCTCTCCATCTATACATCCAGGCAGCCAACTTCGACCACCATCCTTCATGGTGCTCCGCAAACCTCCCCCGCCGCGTCTCGAGAATCTCCATAAGTGGCATGCTCGTACAGAGTCCCGTTCTCCCACCTCCCCTTCGTCGCATTCGTCGTCTTCACAACGCCGGACCCGTCCGCATCGTGTCCCTTCCCAGGAGTCCGTGTATTCCCCGGACCTCAACACCTCACCGGCCTTCGACCTCATGCCGCTCGAACAAGCCCAGCGATCGCCGGTAGGCTCACCAACCAGTCACCCGCCGAGTTCATGGAGTGATGGTTTGGCTGATCGACCGGCCACTGGCGACGGGGCGTATCCAGCGGGGTCGGAACCAAAAGGACACGGGCTCCCGGGTCTCGTTCCGGGCCCACCAGAATCTGCGACCGGGTATGGATGGCAGCCTGTCTCTCGGGATCGCAGCTCAACGACCGGGGAGGTCCCAGTGCAGCTTCAATCGAACAACCCGTTCTTGAAGCCGAGGCCCATGGATTCGCAGCCGGACTCCGCAGACCCGCTCGAATGGACGGATCGCCATTCACATGCCACCACCAACAGCGATCCACTGAGCCAGGGTATGAGACCTCAAGATCCCCTTGCATGTTTTTTGAGATAGTAAATGCTCATACTAACTCTTTATTAGCGGGAGGATACATCCCTATGACGGCGCGACTATCTCTGCTCGACTCCTCCGAGCACGAGTCTCCGTGGACGGAACATGAGTTGTCCCAACGGGAATGCCAACGATCTATCGCAAACCCTCAACCCTACGATCCTTCCCCATGGACAGGCCACGACAACTTCCGAAGAGAGTCTCAGCAATTTGCCGCAATTCCTCAGTCATCCGACCCTTCGCCATGGGGGTCACAGCATTCGATCAAGATCTCCGCCCCTCAGGAGATTTATCTACAAGGTGGACAGTCAAACCCATATGCACCAGCTCCGGCGGTGGTCGTTCAACCCTCGGATACCACACAGCCAGGCTCTTTTGATCCACAGCCGCCGTTTGACCATGATAGGCTAGCATCGGATGCAGGGGTTAGGACCCCCTCCGCTTTCTCCAGCGCAACTTCAGCCACTTCACATGAGCTGATTGATGTGGATGTACCCGATAGTCTCGCCGCAGGATCGGAGTCTCACCGGGCAACTTCGTCGGTGTATTCCTCAGAGGGAGCTGATAAAGCAGTTTCTAATCTACAATCTCCGTCTCTCGTGTCATCAAATGTTCAGCTGTCAGCAAGCGGCCTGCAGAATTCTACACAACTTGCCCCTGCTCGTAAGCTTTCTCCAGCCGAGGAAGCCAAACAGCAGAAGCAGAGACGCGAAACATACTCCATTCGGCAAATCAATCGAACGGATCGTCATGGTAATCTTGTTCAATCGCCCGTCCTGGTTCAAAATGAGAACGGGCCTTGTCCGTTACTTGCTCTCATCAATGCTCTTGTATTGCGTGCTGATCCCAAAATCCAACCACCCATCGTCAAAGCCCTACGAACCCGTGAGCAAATCTCACTGGGTCTGTTGATCGAGGCACTTTTCGACGAATTGACTACAGGCTTAAGGCCTGACCAAGACTTTCCTGATATTGAGGCACTGACTCAGTTCCTCACCATGCTACATACCGGACTGAATGTGAATCCTCGCCTCACGCTGGTAAGTAAATCCGAATTGCTGAGCTTCGTCAATGAAAATTATCAACTAACCTCTGATATAGGAAACGGAGGATTCACTAGGTACATTTCTTCAAACCCCAGACCTTCAGCTCTACAGTACATTTGGTATCCCCCTTATACATGGATGGGTTACATCTTGGTCTGACCCGGCGCACGATGCCATGGTTCGGGTTGGCCAATACCACGAAGACATACAATTACTGCATTTCAATAAACAGGAACTAGAGGACCGTGTCATGCGCGGACAGTCTCTATCACCGGACGAAGAGCAGAAAATGGCAGACATCCAGGTCATTCAGCATTTTGTGGAGATCGAAAATGCAACGCAGTTGAGTCCATTCGGCTTGACGCAGCTGACGACACGGTTGGCACCTGGATCAATCTCGATTTTATTCCGCAATGATCATTTCTCTACACTATATAAGCATCCCGAGTCACACAAGCTCTTTACCCTAGTCACCGATGCTGGTTACTCAAGCCATGCCGAGGTTGTGTGGGAATCACTCGTTGATGTGACCGGGTTTAATGCGGAATTTCTCGCAGGCGACTTCCGTGCAGTTGGTCACGGTCCATCGGGATCCTCTGGGCCGGCTGCGCCAGCTGGACCGCATAATTCAAGCCTCACACCAAACAACCCTACCCCAGCAGAGGAAGGATCCCATTCTCCGCTCTCAACCCAAGAGCAAAGCGACGCCGACTACGCATACGCACTTTCTCTGCAGTTTCAAGAAGAAGAGCAACGCGAACAACAGGGAAATCAACCAGAGCGAGACCAGCAAGAGGAACATCAGCCAGAGCGTGGTCCTCGTCCATCTGGCCTAACCCGTCCGCTGGGTTCTACTCGATTATCAAACAGCTCGTCTCGCATGTCGTCTCCTCGCATCAGTGGGCCAAACAGAACCTCGAGCATCGCTACTGGGCTGAGGCACCCACACAGCGAGTCTGATCCCGATGACCCCAATGCTCCTCCTCCCCCTTATGAGCAAGCTGCTAGTGGCCCGCGATACTCGCCACCTGAGCGACGAAATCGATACAGTGATTTTCCTGTCGATGCCAATGGCTCATATTCCCCAAGATATCCCCAGAACCGATATTCAAATCGACCTGTCCACGATCGATATAGTGCAGACCGGGTTCGGAGCAAGGACTGTATCGTGATGTGAGACTTTCATATGCGGAACAATTTCTCGGCCCAGTTTTAGCTGTCTATCGCTTCCCACCTTGAACGATACAATGAATGTAACGAAACAATGTACCTATATAGATTTCATGCAGCGAAATATTGCTTACAACTCCCGGTTTACCTTGTATCAGACCACCCTTGGCCCATCTTCTGAATTCTCCACGGCATCAGAAACTAACACGGACCGTTTTCGCCGCCGTGCGGGGAATATGGCGCCTGCCATCTATGTGGAGATGAGGAGGAAGCTCACAATCATACCTGCAGGTCCGTCAACTTCCTGCAGAATTCGCACTTGGCTGGGAAAATTTTATGCGGTGGTTTACGGAGGTCCGTGATCGAAATGGGACCGTTGGAGGGTATGTAATTGGAGGAATTTGATATTTGATGCGCCTCGCAGCAGGCCAAGCCTCTAGCTCGTATTTTACGATCATCCTGGTAATTTCCGGTTAAATTGAGTGAACCGATGCTCTCAAGATGCCTATGTTTGCAATATACCAGATTTGTCCTGTGGTGATAGCACACAGCACACTAGCGTGATGTTGCAAGACGACTAGTAGGCTAGTGTCTTGGGTAGTACGAGCATGTCCGTGTTCTTCTGGGACCAAAGAAGTTAGAAAGGTTTATTGGACATATTATAATATATGGCGATGGCCGGTAGTAATGTTGCATTTAAATGGGCAGTCGGACACATACCTTTTTCAAGGTAGAGAGTTAGAAGTACACTGGCACTCGCTATGCAAACTCTCTACGCAGTGGTCGTGTTGGCACTGGGCCAGTATGCCCAAGCACAAGTATCAGCATACGGACAATGTTAGTCTACATTACTGTTCAAACCCACACATTTCATTACTCACTTGAATCACTTACACTCTCAAACTTAGGCGGGGGTACTGGTTACTCAGGAAGTACAAGTTGCACCTCCGGATACTACTGTACTTCGCAAAATGCCTGTAAGTCCGTGGTCCTGTCATTTTATTACATTCTGCTAACCTAGATGTTTTAAGATTATTACCAGTGCGTTCCTGGAACTGCAACGACTACTATAACTACCAAGGCGACGTCTTCCAGCACCACAACCACAACCACGGTTTCCACTACTCTGGCGACAACAACCAAGACAACAGTGCAGAGCACTACAACATCGACTTCCACTGGGTCTAGCTGCACAGGGACATTTAGTGCAATTTCCGCCTCTAACTATGTCGCGAAGCTTCATCCAGGATGGAACTTGGGAAATACTTTAGATGCCGTTCCAGATGAAGGCTCCTGGAACAATGCGCCCGTTGTTGCCTCCACCTTCAAAACAGTACAAGATGCGGGCTTTAACAGCGTTCGAATCCCAGGTATGGTCTGTAAGATCTGATTTTCTGGATTACATACTGACGGTAATAGTCACCTACGCATACCATTTCACTGGCAGCTCCCCAGACTGGACCGTCAACCCAGACTGGCTGCAACGAGTGTCTGATGTGGTTGATATGGCCACGTCGTTGGGGCTGTATACCATTGTCAATGTTCATCACGGTAGGTATTCCACTCAAAACTAGGCCTGGATTTTCGTGCTACTAACGTACTAAAATCAAACAGATTCCTGGGTCTGGGCCGATGTCACTGCATCTGGTGCCAACCTCACCATGATTGAAGAGAAATTCTATCGACTTTGGTATCAGATCGGCACCAAGTTGGCCTGCAAGTCAAGTCTCGTCGCCTTTGAGTCTATCAATGAGCCTCCATGCAACGATGCGACCGATGCAGCCGAGATCAACAAATTAAACAAGATTTTCCTGCAAGCTATCAATGATGCAGGTGGATTCAATTCTCAACGAGTCGTCAACCTCGTTGGGGGTGGTCAGGACAGCGTGAAGACCTCGGAATGGTTCGAGGCACCTTCAGGGTTCTCAAACCCTTACGCGATTCAATTCCACTACTACAGTCCCTGTAAGTGAGAAAGTGTGACGCTTGGTATTAGGTGCAGTGACTAACGGCTAATTGCAAATAGACGACTTTATCTTCAGTGCATGGTAAGACAATCGACGTCAAGACGAACAACTCTTTCACTGGTACTAACATATCAAGGGGTAAAACCATCTGGGGATCTGACTCCGATAAAGCAACTGTTTTATCCGACTTCCAACTAATTCGGAACAATTTCAGTGACGTCCCAATTATTCTCGGCGAGTACGATGCTTCTCCTACCAACACAGAGCCTGCTGCCCGGTGGAAGTACGTTGATCAACTGATTCGCTCCGCGACTGGCCTGAATTTTGCTTGCATCCTCTGGGATAATGGTCTAGACCATTTAGATCGAGACGCTGCATCATGGCGCGATCCAAATTCCATCTCGATGATCACGAAATCAACTGCAAACACTGCGAACAGCTTGCCTGGTAGTACAGAGGATGCATCTGCGACTACCCAGTCCTCCTCAGCCTATATTTTTCACCAATATGGCACAGATGTGACAGCACAAACACTACCGTTTATCTTTAATGGAAATAAACTCACTTCGATTCAAGACTCATCCGGATCGACTTTGGTTTCAGGAACGGATTACTCTGTTTCGGGATCGAATATCATTTTCACAGCCTCATATTTGTCGAAGCATGTTTCTGCTACAACATCGCCAGGCGTGATCGCCAATCTGACGCTGAAGTTCTCTGGCGGTAATTCTTCTCCTGTTGTACAGCTTGTTCAATGGAAGACTCCGACCCTCTCATCCAAAACGGCGGTGGCATCATCCGTCTCGGGCTCAGATCTTTCAATCCCCATCACATGGGGTGGACTAAAGACAGTGGCGGCTGTCAAGGCTCTAACTACAACTGGGACGTATCTAGTGGATGATTGGACTGTATACCTGGGACCTATTCAACAGGCCAGAGCAGTGAGTTTCTATCCCACCAGAGCCTAGACCAAAGCTGATTTTGATTGTGATTATAGACCTACAGCAGCCAGTACAATTGGGACTCCTCGAATGTGATCATCACTTCGTCCGCCATTAACTCTGTCATTTCCGCCGGTGCCACTACAGTGTTCACTTTCGAGTTCTATCCTCGAGATAATGGCGCTGTGAATGCCGTCAATTTTACATTGACCGTTTGAGCTTGAAAGGGACAATGAGCCTTCCAACAAAGTGAGCAGACGATTTTATTCAGCCTGCGTAGCCTGGATTCTCGAATCTGAATCTCTTTGATGTTCTGGATATTTTCAATTTCATTAACTATTCCTCAACGCCAATCGTATAGGATCCCAGATATTCACCCAGAATGCCAGCATAGCCCGTTTTATTTACTAGTCATTCATCATTATAACATCGTCATTCCTATTAAATCGCGTTGCAACAAAAAGTAAAGACCATTAATACGGGGTCTTCAATTCCCGCAGAGGTAGATGGGGGTCGTACTTGTCCCACACGATCTTGTTCTTGTCGTTGAGGTGGGCACCTTCGTCAGTAATATCAATGCTATTGTCGGTTTCGATCACTTCGTGTCGACTGAATCCCCACTTATCGCGTGGAATCCAAAGCGTGGGCGCAGGAGACGCGACGCACGGTTCAAAGTATGCGGTGCGCATCTCCTCCTCGGTGTACTCCACCTCCGCGATATTTCGACGCACTTTGCGACGCAAAGCGGCGTAGTCCTTGTACACGTTCGGGTGGAACCATTTCCAGAAAGCCAAGGCTCGCGAGCGGCGTTGTTCATTGATCTCGGCAATGGTATCTTCTTTTTCCTGGAGTAGCTCCTCTTCTGCGTCCAAAGACCGTGGCAGGAAAGTGTTGAGAGGGGCGAGGGCTTCATTGAGGGACATGTGAGCCAGCACAGTGCCGATCGTGAATATAAGCATAATGATCACCGGGCCAATGGCGCTTTTAATGGCGAAAAGACCGATCATGCAAATTTCGGCGAGGTAGATTCCCGTGAGAAGGTGCTGGAGGGCTCGGGGATAGACAAGTCCTTTGGTATCGATGTCGATCTCGTACACGAACAAGAAGTTGTAGCGATATGCCTGGTAGACGAGGTATAGACCAACGAAGGCAAATCCGAGGATCAGTGGCGCAATGCAAGAGTAGGTGAGAGCTGTCGAGGTGTTAGAGCAGCTCAGATTTTCGGCCGTGACGGAGTAATCTTACCAATGACACCCATGTTGGTAAAAACCGGGAATACATTGCCCCAGCTCAAACTACCGAGCTCGGCCCATCGTCGAAATAGTCGACGCGGAGAGAAGGCGAAGAACGTTGTCACAAATTTGAACACCAGGGCACTCGCTATTTGGACGAGAGCCATAGAGCTCGTACTAAGCCCTTGAAGTAGGAAGTAAGAGATATAGAAGTTGGTGGCTTTAGGAAGATTCTGGGCCAAGAGATCCTTTGCCGAGAGTGGATCGTGAATGATTTGTGAGGTGGCAGCCGATGCGGCCGAGGTCAAAGTCGTCACCAAGAATACTTGCACCACTTGGAAAACGAAATGAGCACTCTGTGTGAATAGCTCAACTCTGGCCGTGGATGGGACACCAGCTCGCCTGGCAAAGACTAGGACGTAAATGTCAGCACCCTTTTGAATTTCATTCATTTTATCGGGCTCATTTCTGAAATATGGAAGCACTTACTGCGACAGATGATTGGCACCAACGACATCAAAGCTACCAGTGCGGCTGACGGGAGCAGACCTTCGATTGCTCCCTTGATCAGGTCGGGGAGATCTTCGATGAACTTCAAAGGCGGGATCAGGTTGGATAAATAGGAGATGTTGGAGATGGCTCCGACAATCGCAGCAGGGAAGGACCAAAAAATGACGAGTGCCGCCAGGGCTCCTTGCGCTGCGAATTTCCGGATGATGCGTTGCCACCAGCTGAGATTCAGTGCCGACCATACTACTTCTTCGGGCGACACCCCAATGAAACGGGGAGTCATGTGGAACGGCTGGTGATGTGAGAGGGTCTGCAGGGCAATTTGCGCATCGGACTGGGAGTTGAACTCGACAAAGATGGCAGAGAGATGCTTCGCCTGTCCATCCTGATGTTTCTTCTGCAGATCCGTCACCTGCTCGGTAATCTTGACCAGCTCGGACCGATACCAATGAATCGAGTCCACCTTTTGACCAAAGAACTTGAGTCTGTGAGTTGGACGCTGTACTTTGTGCGACCCAGCGGGATTGCTAGACTCGCAATCAAGACAAGTATCTGAAGAGAACTCGCCATTCTTGATCGCGCTAACACGCGCCTTGTTTGCCCTTCGGATGAGATTCGTCTCGGCGGTTTCCAGGTTGAAAGCCAGCTTGTCACGCTCATTCACCAATTTTTCCAATTTGGAAACGTCGGAGGTCACCCAGATCCGTCGGATTGTGTCGCCAAAAATGTGTCGCAACTTCTTTTCGTCTCGGTAGTCCTCTGGTGTGGACATGAACAGGACGGTGCGGGATGAAATTCGAGACGCATAGGCGGGGGAGTTGAGATAGGCTTGACGCAAGTTGGCATAGTAGAGACTCTCCCGAGTCACCACATAGAAAACAAAGGCTACACGCAAGTTAGGAACCTCCAATGAGCAGGGTTGGGCTTCGTCGAATGTTGACTTACTGAAATAGATAAGCGCAACGAGAACATTGGCATAGTACCTATTGGGATTCGCGACATTGCTGAAGCTGAGAATGTCGAGCTGGCCGTTGCCGTTGCCGCCCGTCGCATGGACGGGGAAGAGAATGGGCCAAGTGATTAGACAACCCGTGAAGCACGTCGCACACAGTACGCGCAGAAAACGTAGAAATAGATATCCGTCCAGCGACGAGTGATGCAACACATGGTTGTCCTCGATTTTGAGGAAAGTACCAAACCAATTCAGCCAGCCCGATGGCAGTTCGGGGCTGCGACGATGTTCATGAATATCCGGTAGATGAGATCGCGGCGCATACCATCGCCGCTGCGTTCGCCGGAAGATGATGAAGAGGCCAAACCAGAACAGAGCGTAGATCAGGGCCGGCAGCAAGGTCATCATCAGCGCCGAGGCCGACGAGCCACCTCCTCCCGTGAGGCTACTCACGGCATCGCCTGAGGTGGACGAGGCGTCACCTCGCGATGAACCGACGTTTGGGTCACTATTTGGATCCTAGTGGTCTGGTCAGCATCGATCTCTACCTTCGGTTCGGGCTGAAATGTACGACGAGCACGTACGGTGGGACTGAGATCAGACATGGCGGGGAATGTGTGTGCCTGGTTCCTGGCCTCGCGCCCGAGCGACGGGGGGAATGGCCATTAAATCCAGACAGGAGCACGCCGTGACAAGCTCGTCTTGACCCATAATTTCTCCGTCCGAGCAAGGAAAAAAAAAAAAAGGGCATAGCGGGCCGCCCCTCGTCGACATTCTGGCGTGTGGCATCCCCACCGGCTTTTCGACCTGTCACCCGCAACAGAGATTGGCATAGTTCAGTCGCGCGTTGTGGGCGCGCTGATAGGTGGGTCGCACTGCGCCAAATCTTTGGAACGCGATAGTTTGTCGATCCTGTATTTTGTGCGTCACACCAGACCATTCTATGCATCACCGGAGAAGGAAAGGTTGGATGCCACACCGTCGAGCAGCCCCTGGCCATGCCAGCCCTCATTTTCGCGGCTTCTTGAGATGCACGATGCTTGCTGCACGAGTTGGAAGCCGCAGCGCGCAAAGAGCGGAGAGCGAACCTGCACGATATGGGACCCACAGGAGCAAACTATCGGGTGGAGACGCGCTGATCGTGAAGTGACTGTCTCCCCTGAACACACCCGGCCGAGGGGAGTCGATCTACCTAGTGTACATAGGAACTGTCCGGAGCAGCGGAGACAGAGCTGAGCTGTGGGTTCGCGCTCGTCCTAGTAGATCGGGCGTGAGGCATAGCGGCATGTTCGCAACATCATCGTCCCGGGAAAGGCTGTGGTCTGGTGCAGCAGGGATGTGCTGCGCCAGCTCCTCGAATGGCATTCTTCGATCGCGGGCAAATCCTCTTTGTGCAACGTGATGGCGGATCTTTCCTTCCATTAGGGCTGAAGAAGCTTTGGTGACAGCGTCATCTCGCTCGTTCCCAGCTTCCTCGTTGCTCTCGTTCGCGTCCCCCGGGGGACTTGTCAACGGAGACGCAAGGGGTCCAGCGGTGATGGCGACTGAGTTTGCAGTGCAGCCTGGTCAGCTATGCGCATTCTGCAATTTGAGCACAGAGGCGAGTTTGTAGCTGCTGAGTGCTGGGATGGCCGATGCTGCAAGCTGCGCCGAGGGCTCAACTGGGACGAACGCGTGTTACCGCCGCGTTGAGGGTTTGACAGGGATGAGGGAGAGCCCTCCGTGCCTTAATTTGTGCTGGCACGTGAGACGTGTGTAATGATATGCAGCAGCAGCAGTGGTGGTGTAGTAGTACATACTAGAGAGGAGGAGAAGCAGAAAAAGCAAAGAGAGCGGCGACGGGTCCACGCGGCTTCATTCGCCGATTTTTGGAATTGCTCCTACTCCTCTGTCATTGTGCTACTAGTACTGTAGTAGCATCATGCAAGTCGCGATGGAGACGAACCGGATCTGCAGATGGTTTCTATTCGCTATCTACTACTCGTCAGTTCACTCTCGCTAGAGAAGTCATGCATCAGATGAAAGCAGCCTGCCCTCCTCCCAAACCGCCGCCGCTGCCAGCACCGTCGCGTCTTCCCATCGACGCCCCACCAGCTGCATGCCAATCGGCAAGTATGCCGCAGAGGTCGAATCGACACTCATATTGGGCCCTCGACCAAACCCACAGGGCACGCTGAGAGCCGGATGGCCCGTAACGTTGAACGGCGCGGTGTTGGTGGTCACCCCGATCGCCGCTGATAGCTTGTCCATGATGCTCGATGCCGGCCCATCCGCATCAGCCTGCATCTTTGGATGCGGCATCGCAACCGTCGGGGCGCAGGGTGTGACCAGGATGTCCACTTGGGTGAACGCCTGGTCGTAGGCGGCTCGAAGCTCGAATGCTTTGCGATGGGCTTTGGCTTCAACGCCTGCACCAAAGTGCTTCTCTAGGAAAGGCCCGCTCAGCATCACATTCACGAGGGCTGGGTTGGTCGCCGTCAGCAATTCATACATATCTTGGTCTGGAGGCCATCTTGCTTGGATATGCGGCGGCAGAAAGGAGAGAAACCCCGACGTCTTGCCTTGACACACCCATTCGGACATCGACATCCGGCTAGCTGCTGTCCAGATCAAACTCCCGTCACGGTGCATTGGAACGGATATATCGAGCACTTCTGCCCCGGCAGCTGTGAAGCAATGCCGCGCGGCTTGTCGGACGGCATCGCGAACCTCGTCGGACAGTCCTGGTACCTCGAAGGACTCGATGAGCAGACCAATCTTCAGCCCCGAGCCGCGTTTCTGGCCATCCTCAAGTGTGCGATTTCGAAAATCTGACAAAAGGCGGGGATGGTTCTGCACTTGGGATCGCAATGGAGATTCGGGCGTCATACGCGGATCGAGTCCATCATAGCCCGCCATCACCTGAAGCAAAGACGCAATGTCTTCCAGTGTGCTGGCAAGAGGACCTAGATGATCAAGCATTGGTGCTAGAGATACTGCGCCAGTATATGGGACCAGACCATAGGTAGGCTTGAGCCCATATATCCCACTGTATGAAGCAGGTATCCTCACGGAACCCGCTTGATCACCGCCGATTCCCAAATCAACCACGTCTCCAAATGGTGCTCCCTGTTCGCGTTCTACAATATTGGCCGCGACAAGACTCGCAGATCCACTACTGCTGCCCCCAGAGGTATACCCATGCAGCCATGCATTGTGGACGGGTCCGCTGGCTGCACTGTAGGAGAGAGGAGACGCGCAATAGTTTTCGCAATTTGAGGAGCCTTTGATTGTCGCTCCAGCTGCCAGAACACGCGAGACTACAGAAGCATCGATCGGGGAGATTGGGAGGGCACCGGTGTCGTCGCATAGAAGCTCGGCGAATGTTCCGACTGTCATGGGTAATCCACCGATTGAGATGTTGTCTTTGATTGCAACAGTCTTCCCGCGAAGTGTTGTGCTGGTCGGGTTGGCCGCAATCAACTGACAGCGATGCTTCCATGCATTCATGGGATTATCCGCAGCTGCAGGCTCCCAGTACAATCTCGGGTCCTTTGTTTCGACCGGTGACAAGGCTGGATGGATATAGTCATCGTCACTTTGAATCCGTCTCATCGCAGCCTCAGCTGACTGAAGCAGATGCAGATAGGCCTCTGCTTCTGGCCCATCGGGGATTTTGAATCCTAATTTGGTGGCCGCATCGTGTAATTCCTCGGCTGATATCCGGGATCTAAATGTCATTAGTTGTGCGTATCTCACTAGATCAGGTACGACGACACCCACTGCGTCTGATCCGCTAAGAATGCTACCGACATGGCGAATAATCGAATGATCAAGGGATTATTGTGTGAGCTGGCTATATTTTCATTCGAAAATTGCTGACCCAAGCTTGATTTCTTTCGGCATTGTACGTCTCTTGCTGAAGCATGTCCGAAGTTCCCCGCATCGGATTCGCCGATACAAAGCCATGCGGGCAGACCGATTCTACTCGACGCCAGGATAGCTAACCAAACGTACCCTACGTCAAATTGAGATTTTCACTAGACTTTGCGACTTGTACTTGGTACAGAGGGTTATAGCGACCAAAGCTCACTTTTCCAATCTCAGTTGGACTCCATGTCTGGATTATACCCTGAACTCAATCTGGTCGCCCTACATACATCAAAACAGCCGCCCAAACAGTCTTCTGGACGTTCAGCTGAACGGTCATATAAACAGTCATCTAACCTGTAATATCACCACTCCTAATCTTGTGAGGTCGATAAAGCTGCAATGAGTGTTATGGATATGGAACTTCTTGGTGTGTCTACCGTTTTTTCTTTCTGTCGGTGTTGGATCGCCCATCGATCAAAGGCAGGAAGTCAAATGGGCTAAAATAGGAAATTGAGCCCCGACCGATACCACTATCTGTATTTAGGTCTCAATTTCGGCGCTATTAGCTTACGTGCACACATGGTATCGTCACTCCTGCCCGTTGGCCAGCAAAACGCGGCCGCCATCTACACAAAGCGAAATTCCGTCAACATATGCCTATCTCAGTAAGATGATCGTCAGTTATGCGACATGAAATGCAGTTTCTATCTAGATGACTCACCCCTGCCCTGCTAACGAGATACAAGACCGTCCCTGCGATGTCTTCGGAGTTGCCTGCGCGCTTGGCCGGGACTTTTTCGAACAGGGAACCGAAAATATTCCCTTCAGCACCCACTGGGTTCATGTTGCTAGGAACAACTGGAAAAATCTGGTCAATCTCGTGGCTTCGTGGGTGGGAATATGGTTTCACGTACATCCCGGGTTGATACCGACCACACGCACATAGAAACGGTTGTATTTGGCGGCCAGCAACTTCACAAGATGATCGGTAGCTGCCTTGCTGGATGCATAGCTCGTCAGATCGACATTGGTAGCATTGTGCATACTGGCGCATGAGCTCGTCATCACCACAACTCCTCGTCCTTCGTCGCGCCCCTTTCCTCCATTAATGGGCTGATACGCCGCCGCGGCGAGGAGAGGGAGAAAGGCAACGCTGAGAAAGTAGTGGGCCGTCGTATTCACCCTGAATGTATTCTCCCATTCCTTGCTTCCGATCGACCACATTGAGGTCTGCAGCTCCTCCAAAGACGCAGTCAACACATTGCATGCCAGTGGAGGATCGTGTCGGACACCAGCGTTGGAGATCAACATGTCCAACTTCGGTTCCTTTTCAAAGACCTTCTGAGCTAGCTGCCATATCGCATCTTTGGAAGAAATATCGCACTCATATCTATGAATGGAGAGTCAGTATCCCCTTCCTCCATCCTTGCGACATACATACCCCTCTGCACTTCCCCCGGCTTCGCGGCCTAATTCGTTTAACTCATGAACGACCTCTTCGATGGGATCACTTGACAGTGCGACTAGATATACTTTGGCTCCGTTTGATACCAGTCCCTTCAAATTTGAATACCTGTTTCTTACCAGGGTGCTGATTTACCACATACTTTGGAGATCATGAGCCCAATACCACTGCTCCCGCCTGTTACCACTGCAACCCTTCCCTTGACTTCGAATAACCCTAGTGCGCGTAGAGACATGTTGATATGATTCGAATTAACATGCTAGGTTTGAATCGCCTGGTGAAAAGTCGCCAATATTTATCTGTTTTGGTCCAATAAGAAAGTGGGGAAATCCCGATTGGGCGTCGGGCCGGCCGAACACCAATAGTAACAGAGCAATGACAGCTAAATGAACAAATCAATCATCTTCATATACACGGAAATCAATTTGTTCCAGGCCCGCAGCCCTCCCTAATTATAGAACCTGCCATTGTAAATCAGAGTTTGGTTTGGTTTGGTTTGGTTTGGTTTACCTCTTTTGCCCAAGACCACACTCCTCATGACACGGGTTCTGCCTAGTAGTCACCTACTCTACGAGCCGATGAAGACTATGGAGGCAAACCAATGGGCTTCTACTCGGATGCGCTTTAATATCCATCACGCATAACAGAAGCCTGTTTGTACTCTACTCATGTAGTCAGGATATACAGTCTCAAGTAATATTGGATGTATGAAAAGCCATAATTGGGACTATGATCTGAGGCAAAGAACTGCGGCTACAGCAATCTTCTCTAAAAATCAAACATCATTCGAAAAGACCACAAAATGCATAATATACTTGAAAACATCTCGGCCTGCTTTACTCCTTGTAATGCTCCTTCGTTCTGAGTTCTGCCAGGTTCAAACACTCACTAGTCATCGCGTCATCCCGCCGGACCAAGCGAACTTTGAAGTCTCTTGGGATAGCAACTAGAGCTGTCTTGAACTGGTTGTAGTCCACATAATCCGTGTTAGGCGGGTGCTCCTCGCTCGCAACAATCTTGTACGTCGACAGAAGGCGGACCAACGCGGCGTATAGCAGGCGCGAGGCAATGTACTGGCCGGAGCAGGCACGTGAGCCCGCACCGAAACTGAGATGCGGCAGGCCCGTCACTTCACTCTCCACCGGCGGATCGAGTGACTTGAGCCATCGCTCAGGGTTGAACTGGCCGCCGCTCGCCCCGAAATGATCGACATCTACTCTTGGGTTAGTGAACAGCCAGGGACAGTGCAAGTGTCAGGACGAACCATGGTTCCCAGCCTGGGCGTTGATCAGGATCATGGTCTTTGGTGGGATAACCGCTCCATTCCAGTTGACCTCGGTGACCGTCTTGCGGGGCAGACTCATTGCGCTGACTGTATAGTACCGGCCGGCCTCCTTGATGATCGCATTTACATACGGCACCTTCTCCTCGTTGATCGAACTCGTCCAGGACTCTCGGATATCAGGATAGTGTCGTTTGATGTCTTCGTATGCCCGATCCTGCCAGACTTGGCCTTCTGGGGTGGACAGGGATCCAATGGCCGAGGTGAGTGTGCCCGGGATCGTTTCGAATCCGCCAGACACCAACGATAAACAGATTGAAGAGACTTCCACGCCGGTGAGCTTTGTTTCTTCGTCTTTCAGTATAGCAGCTGAGATGCAGGGCTTGTCGGTGCCCTTCTTGATCATCGCCCGCACTTTGTCCAGCAATAAGTTGAGGTACGCGTCTCGTCGTTCGCGCAGCTCCTTCGATCGTGCATTTTTCTCGTTATTGGGGAGATATCGGAGGGCAGGAATATAGTCCTGCAGATTCTCGGAAGCACTGCGAAGTAACGAAATGGCCGAGCCGACATGCAGAATTTCGCGAAGCAGATCATCATACACGGCGTCCATGCGAATACCGTAGCAGAGGGTCAAGGTGGTATTCAGGGCATATCGTTGGATATAGGGCCGGACGTTGATTTCCAGCGCTCCGTTCGAGCTGTCGCGGTACATATCTCGGACGATGCAATAGCTTTCCAGATCAAACATCGGGTGATAGTTGCGGAGGGCGGGCCTTCCGAGTGCAGTTCCCGATGCTTTGCGCTTTTTCTTACACGATTCATCCCACGGCGAAGACCCGATGGTGAAACCCTGTGTGCTGCTAACTACCCCATGGAAGGTGTACAGCTTGGGTCGGTCGATGACCGCATTTTGGTGGCCGAGCAGCATTTTGCGGCAGTCCTCGAAGGAGTTGACCACGACTGCCCGCGTGTTACCGAGTTTGATCTGGAAGACGGAATGGCCATACTGGCGCCACCAGCCTTCGCAGACCGTCGCATGGTCGTCACCCAGCTTGAACAGGTGGCCAACAACCGGGAGAGCCCCCGGGATCTCAGGGAGTCCTTTGATGTGGGGGATATCGGTCGCAAAAGCTACCTAAAACACAAAAGAGATGAGATGGGCGAGAATCAGAGATGGTGAGCCTTCGACCTACCTTGTATATCAGATACAGAAGCACCGGGATCAGACCCAAGAGATAATTTGTGGGAACTACACCCAAGAGAGGCAGTTGTTCTTCCGATTTGACATGTATCATCTTTGAGCCTGTATGTTTGACGTCGCAAAGCTACAGGGTATATTTGTCCGCCACGGGTTATATAACCTGTACATAACACAATATTCTGTCTTTATCTTGTCGGGCTCTATGGGTCTCGCTTATGTCCTCTATGTCCCCATCGCCCAAGGTTGGCTTTCCTCTGTCGGCACTCGCCGGACAGCCTTCGGACAGTCCGACATGAGCGAATTTTAAGATACGTTACGGAGGGTTCTAGCGGCCAAAGCTCACTTTCCAAATTTAGTAGGGCCTGACGTTTGAATTATTGACCACCATACATACTAGCAGTCATAGAAACAGTCGCCCAAACAGTATTCTGAACGGTCAGCTGAGCACAACGGCCAACCGACACCCACCGTTGTGGCGGGGAAGGCGGAGACGTTGGGTATTTGTGCATTGCCTAGTTATATGGTATTCCATCTAAATTACGAAATCCATATTCTGCGTTTCATCATCCTGTCATGGTTCCTAGTGTTTAGAGTAATGTTCATGTCCTAAGGTATAGGCTTCATTACAAGATTTCCCATGGTAGTGTGTCGACAAAGCTACACTATCGTAGAGGCCTCAGTACTACTAGCAGTATTATTCAAGAATTCTCGAATCCTTTGATCCATCCATTCAGTATCCTCACCGTTACTCCCCCCCTCCAGCAGTATGACCCCACACTGATGGAATCACCGCCAGCTGTCCATTTGAGAGCAGCTTGGCCTCTTTCTCGCTTGCCTCCCACCTGAAGTACTGATCAGTATAACAGGGCATGAGCAGGATTCTTGTACTGATCCTGCGCAGCGCAACATCCAGAGACATTTCCTGGTCGCTGGATTTCAATACTTTGCTGATATCTGACCGCTGCCACATCCCAACCATGGCCAAGAGATTCTCGGGATGCCAATCCTCGTAATTCTTCTCTCCCACTGATTCGGCCCACTCTCCAAGAGAACTGAATCCTTGTTTTTCAAAAAGCCGCTGCTCGAACCACTCGGCGCTCGTTAACCATGCAGAATACGCTCGTCCAAATGCGTGTAGTCCACGAATGGGCATTTTTTTGGTTGCCGGATTATTGTAGTCCACTGAGTGGACCAGAGCAGCTTTGGGGCCCTCCAAAAATTGATAATTGTGCAGGCTGGTTTTGGCAGATGAGCATATCATCACCGCATTTATAATCATCTCAGGGTGCATGGCAGCCCAGTGGTAGGTACATTGTCCGCCCATCGAGAAGCCAATCATCACTTCCACCGAGGAGATCTTCAAATGCTCAACCAGCAACCTGTGCTGAGCTCGGACACAGTCATGATAGCTCAGTAGAGCAGGGAAGTTAGCAGTGTTGGACGGACTCGACGATTCCCCGTTGCCGAATAGCGCCACCACGACGACACGATAATCCTGGAGCGCGCCCGTGGTGAAGCTGAGCGTGGTATTGATTCTTCCGCGAAAGCAGGTTGGGATGAGTGCAAGCTGCTTGCCATTCGGGTTGAAGTCTTGGTATGCCAGACGGACGGAGGGGAGAGTGTCACCACTCTCAAAGGTAAAGTCTCTCAGTTCACAGTATTGGATGCCAGTGGATTCATAAATGTGTGACATAGCGTGGAATTGTACAAATAGGATTTTTGGCACAATTGTTCCAAAAAAAACTTAGCACGAGGTGATCACGTTGGCGATTTAACTGAGACATTTCTCTCTAGGCTTCGGCGAGGCCGACAGCGCCGCCAGCCCCACATTGTGTAGTCTGTAGTTCTCTTAGAATAATAATAGATGACTGCCACACCATTTCATTCTCTCAGTTGCGTTTTACGCCTCAAATATCGCGGTTGCTTTAATCTCCACCGCAAATCGAGGATCAGGGAGCTCATTGACCCCGATTGTTGCCCGGCTGGGAGCACTCGCGCGATCGGTCCAGATCTTGTTCCACTCCTTATTCATGTCGGCATACTGAGTCTTCATGTCGAGGATATAGACGGTTGAGTCGACGATATTGTATAGGTTGGCTTTCCCATTGGAAGCACCCTGGATGATGCTGTCGATTCTGTGTAGAATCGCAGCGGTCTGGTGTCGGACGTCGACGGTGAAGGACCCATCGGGGTTTTCGACAACACCTTCGTAGGTTCCATCTGAAGCAACGGCAGCAATTCCCGAGACGTAGATGGTGTGGTGCATTGCAGGCTCTACGACTCGGGCGTGGGAGTATCGGGTTGGACCGGCACGCTTCTCGGGGTCGAGGAGGAACGATTTGCCATTTGGAAACATGTTGAAGGCGTAGTAAGTCGATTTAAAGCGAAGCTACACAGCTTCGCGAGACTTTTAAGTGCGCTTGTTAAAAATGGGAGTCTATCAGTGTTGATATATCTCCTTCTAGCGCAGTGACGGCTGGCACAGCGATGGCGGACGGTCCGACGGTGGACACCGACGACGGCGACGCCGAAACAGCAGAGAACAATGGGCCATCGAGGGCAGTCCAAAAGAAGACGCTGTGTTCCAAATATTCATGGCAAAGATCAAAGCACGCGATCTGAGCATGACCAGCTTGTGTTTATCGCGTTCGCATCGTCGGGATGGAGTAGATAGCAGCTGCCGCTGCCAGACACTAACGGGATGCTGTTCTGTGCTTCATCATCATGCTCACCTCGTCCAGAGTTGATCTTTTGTATCGAGTATTCTGTAATTTGAGTCTCTGGTCGTTTTCGGTGCTTCTGATGACTCTTGTAGGAAAGTGGAATGCCACAAGAGTAATGCGTCCCCGCTGATTGGCAACTGCTTCCCCGCACGCCAGTCACAGTGACAGCTTCGTCGAGAGCCCTGTGGGGTCTGTTGATAGTACTCTGGTGGAGGGGATAGCCTCTACATGAGCAGCAGCAATAAATCAATGTGCATGAATGCATTTGTGTTGTTCGCCGAGAGTCCAGCAAGAAGGAGGGTGCCCCTCAGGTCAAAGTAGGAAGGCAGTGGTCGATGCGAGATAAGGCAAGTTAGCATCGCCTCCGCCGCGTCACAATTCCGACGAGACACCGAGGCTGTCACCTTTTTGATTTCGATCACCGCTTGTCTTTCCTGCTCTTTCCGTCACTTGATGATGCCGGAATCGACAGCGAGGGCTGAGAGTTCCTGCAAGCGGTGTCATCGCCGCAAGAAACGCTGCGACAAGACCTTGCCCCAATGCCGTGCCTGCAAGCACGCCAAGATCGCATGCAGCTTCCTCGATGACGAGACACAGGTGGCTTCCTATCCAGTCGCGTGAGTATGCAAGCTGTGGTGCTGAGCGTGAGCTGGCTAACGAAGGATACCAGCTATGTGCGCGGGTTGGAACGTCGCGTGAAGGAACTCGAACAGCAGCTTGTATCGTCACTGACTCCGCAAAACTCGCAGAATGACCCGTCTTTGCATGCTTGGGACCAAAGTCCCGACTTACCTGTGGGGGATGACCCTCTGTTTTTTGAGAATCCAACAGAAGCCACGAACAAACCGCCTCATGCGCAGCCCGTCGAGAACATGATACGTTCCCTGGACACCCTCCCAATCTCGCCGTTTGTGGATGCCCCAGCGCAACGATCAGAAAATATAGCAGAGGAACTACGTCTGCTATCGTTAGAAGCGGCAGCAGAACGCTACCTTGGCTCGTCGTCAGGGGTTTCCTTCGCCAAACTGACCGAATCGGTACTTCGGCGATTGTCCCCAGACCAAGATGGCTTTGTATTCGATGAGGCGAATAATGAGGAGAATCCATATCCCGTCTGGAACATGGATACTTTGTCCAACATCAATCCGGTTTTCTTCGAGATGAATCACCCACTTGCCAGTCTTCAAAATTTTACTTCGATCCTCGACAACACATCTACCGAGGAATATGGAGACGTAATAGACCTGGCCTTGTTGGATCCTGGTCACATCAGCTACATCCTGGGATTTTACTTCGCCCACTCCCATACCCTATATCCGATCATTCGAAAAAAAGACTTTGAACAGGTTCTGTGGAGGGTCTATGCCGACCCGTCTGACCCCTTAGGCCAGTCTTCACTGTGGCAATTCCGAATATGGATGATTCTGGCAATCGGATCGACGACCTACTGCTCGGTTTCCTTGATGGATGAGGATGAGCCGGTTCGATTCTTCAACAAGGCCATGACCTATTTCGAGGCGGCCATGGGCTGCGGCGATTTGGTGAGTGACATAGCTCGATGCAAGCATTGTGATAAGCTAATTCCTCGGACCAGGCTGGATTGGAGACTTTGATGTTGCAAGTCTCTTATTCATTCTTTAATAAAATTGGACCCAGTAGGTAACCAAGAACCTAATCAAGATCGAAGTTCCTTTTTGGTTAAATTTTCATCTTCACATCAGATACGTGGTTCCTGGTCGGCGTGGCTGCGCGCATGGCGACAGGCATGGGACTCCATACCTCCGAGATATATCAGGCTCTACCGGTGGACGTCGCTGAGCAACAGAAGCGAATCTTCTTCTCCCTATACATGATGGATCGGTAATACTTCCTCCCAAGACACTTGAGTCAACCCAGAACTTGATAATAACAGCCAAGCGTTCTAGGGTTGTTTCATTGGCTTTGGGTCGCCCTTTCGCTATCCAAGACGACGATATCACAGTTGAGGTCTGTCCATCACTACATCATATTAAATCCAGAGCTGATCTTCTTCTCTAGCCATTTGCGGATGCGGATGATGAAAATATCAAGCCGGACGCAATAGCACCCTCTCACAGTCTGGAGCCATCCCCAATGGCCGTACCACTTCATATTCTGGCACTACGAAAAATTGCCAGTGACATTGGTACCAGAGTACACTCAACAAGACTTGGTTCTCAACAAAATCCAGAGGTACGGGATCAGACGATCCAAGATCTCCACAAACGACTTGTCGAATGGCGCCGTGACATGCCATTTCCACTCCCTGATCTACAATCAAAAGTGCCCCATCTTTGTACGAGCTGGTTTGACCTCAACTACTACACCCACATTATTATGCTATATCGCCCTTCGCCGCTCAACCCAAACTTGGATGCCTCCGGAATGAAAACCCTTGCAGAAGCCTCTGGCATGGCAATTCGACAAGCAATTAACTTACATCGCCAACACCGATTCGCCTACAATTGGCTTAATTTAGTTGCAGTCTTTAACTCCGCTCTTTCTCTGATGTATACCTCAACGGCACAGGCCGACAATTTGTTTCTGGTCGTGGACCATAGCAGAGCAATCACTGACTTGGAGCTAGCTGTGGAACTGTTAGATTCTTTTGGACGGAAATTCTCCTCTGCTAAAAAGATTCAAAACATGATAAAGCCGGTGATAGCCAGGCTCAAGGTGCATACTATCTCGTCGGTCGGTTTTTGAATATGACAAGAATAGTCGAGTTACCACATGTGATTGGGGCGTGTGAAATTCCATATTTTGTTGTCGTCCGAGAATGTGACTTCCAAAACCCTGGAAACTAATCACGATCTGTTGTTCTTTAGCAGAGACGATCAACTCTTGGCAAAGGCGGCAAGTCCGTGCCCCACTTGAGCTTCCTCTCTTCTTCCTCTCTATAGCTACGAGAATACGAGTTTCCATTGTTTATAGCTGTCTCACTCTTCCTTTAGCTGGCACCCCGCAAGGACGCCAACAGTTGTAAAGGATCCATCACCGTCGAATTCCTCCGACTAGTGTTGTTTCCTGTCGGTTGCCGTGACGAACTGGCATATGAGGAAAAGCCTCTGTTCGGAGAGACGGACTTTATTCGATGGCCAACTGAAGAACCGCGTTTCAGGACGGTCAGTGTCCGTTGCATTAGGATTTGGTAGTGGATGCTGGTTGTAAAAGTTGACTGTAGTATCGTCGGAAGGCGGGATATGAAGCGGTAAATCCAAATCACCGGCAGAAAACAATCACGGCGTATCAACATCCGCCGTTGAAACACTTTAGCCCAACTACTAATACAACTACAGGTGTTGCGATCGTGCTGAGCACCTCCACGGCTGCAATGGAGGAAACGGCAAAACAGGCAGACTTTTCAGGGTCATTCGAATACAAACAGCCGTTCCCGCCACTCCTCGACGACCTCGCCTCGCCGGAGGAAGCTCAGGAGAGCTATGCCGAAGACGACAGCGTCACCTCACCCGGCTACGACGAGATCGAGGTGGAAGACGACGCTGATTTTCAGTCGCATTACTCTCTCGACCCCCAGTCTTTCTCGGATTCGGAGTCAGATAACTCCACCGATGAGATTGGGAGACACCATCCATTCCGCCAGTCGTCCAGCTCACTCCACGGACCCAATGCTTTTGCGCCTCCATTCTACAACCGCCCACCGACCCCTCTCCCTCCCTCGCCTTCGTTGACATCCCTACTGCGACCGCCCTTCTCCACTACTACATCACGCCCCACCACTCCTGATAGCTCTGATGTCGAGACCCCCAACGACACCGAAGCCGCCGTCGCGAAGTCGGCCCGACGCGCGACGACAGTCCCACGCGCCAGCCCCAAAGTGCCCACCTACGAGTATTACGGATTTGTTCTCTATCTGGCATCATCGCTCGCGTTCTGTAAGCACTGGCCCTCCTCCGCGAGACCCCACGAAGACCAAAGGCATCCCTCAGGCTAACCGCTATCGATCAACATAGTGTTCTACTTGCTCTGGTCGTATCTCCCTTCTCCATTCCTTCACCAGCTCGGCATCTACTATTACCCCAATCGCTGGTGGTCACTAGCCATTCCGTCATGGCTGGTAATTTCTATCGTCTATATCTACGTTGCGCTCGCCTCGTACAACACCGGCTACCTGACCCTCCCCATGAACAGTATTGAGAACATCGTGGATGAGGTTGCAAATGTTGCTGTAATTGACGGGAAAGCACGGCGGAGGCCTGGTGGCGCCACCAAGATGAAGCCTGGCGCAACTTCATATCAAATTATGGGCCCCCAAAATCGCAAAGTCAACTGGCGCGAGATCTGGAGTGAAGGCACGGACGCAGTGATGGATATCCCCGTGGGGGGCGTCTGCGAGGTGCTGTATGGCCAGGAACGGGATGAAGACAGCATGCCACAAGGCACCTTTGCTCCCGATCTATAAGCGTCAGATGTGGATTCTTGACGCACTCGTTGCCCTCAGATAGAGGATTTTGTTTCGTTCGAACAATTGAAGGTGCTTCTTTGATCAGGTTCATTCGAGTCCCGTCCTACCCTACGATACAATATTGTATGACCGATAAGCCGATCACGTGGTGATATGGAATTGCCGTGCAGGCGGCGAGGCGGGCGGCGAGGCGGGCGGCGAGTCTCGAAGCGCCGGCCATCTATTAATTTCCTCCATTCCGTTGATCTTACTTCCACTTCAAGTTGCTTTCACCCGCGCATCACCGTCAGCAACTCGGCGCCATGTCGGCAAATCGGCCATCGACGCCCCCGCGGCTAAATGCACCTGTTCCTGGTCAACTTCCGCGTGGTCCCTTGACGCCCGAGCAGAAACGGCAGATTGTAGGTGCCCCGGACGCAACTATGGCTTAGCCTCAGCGCTCCCTTGATCGATCACCTGCTCACCTTACCATCTTCTCACTAGGAAGTCAATCGAATCAAAGCCAAAGCTCTTCGAGAACAAAGGGACGCCGAAAGAGCCCAACCTCCGGCCGCGGCACAGACTCAAGGAGTCAAACGTTCATATAACGCCATGACGGCCGCCAATCCACCCGCCACGATGCGTGATGCACGGTCAAATACCTCCTCAGATCGCCCGCTAGACACGATCAAGCCAGCGCGCAATTTCACCCGCTATGTCGACTATGACTTCAGTAAGATGACGGACACGAAAGGCGGCTTCTTGACGCAGGAAGACGACCCCTTCAATAAGCAACTCCATGTAAGCGATGGGAAGGACGATAAACCGGCCAACATGACCCAGAAGGAATGGGAGCGCCACCAATTGCTTCGCTCTTTGCGCCAGAATCGGGAGGGTCCCTTCGAACCTGGGTTGAGCGTTTTGGACGACAAAAGCCAGCAAAAAACTTGCCGGGAGTGCGGAAGTCTGGAGATTGACTGGAAGTGGGAAGAAATGCTTCACTGCTGCATCTGCAATTCCTGCAAGGAAAAGTTCCCGGAGAAGTACAGTCTTCTTACCAAAACGGAGGCCAAGGAGGATTATCTTTTGACAGACCGTAAGTTACTTTGCTTCTACACGAATATCAATTACAGCAATGCTGACTTTTACGATAGCTGAACTGCGGGATGAAGAACTTCTTCCTCGTCTGGAGAAGCCAAATCCTCACAAATCCACCTGGAACAACATGATGCTGTACCTCCGCTACCAGGTTGAAGAGTACGCCTTTTCTGCGAAGAAATGGGGATCCGCCGAGGCTCTTGATGCCGAGTTTGAGCGGCGTGAGGACGATAAAAAGAAGCGACGAGAAGCCAAGTTCAAGAGCAAACTGAACGATCTGAAGAAGCGAACTCGCGTGGAGGCTTATCGACGAAATCGCAAGGGGGCTGCCGGTGGGGAATTCGGCGATGATCTGGCCAGCAACCGAAGACATGTCCATCAATGGGGTCGATCGGTAGAGAATCCAGAAACGGGCATCGGAGTCAAGACCTGTGTGGATTGCGGAATGGAAGTGGAGGAATTGGAATTTTAAGTATACCATAGCACTGGATTTTGCCTCTTACGAAGTCACGATCATGATCATTTTTACTCGCTCGTGTTTTCTTTATTCTACTATCGCACATGTAGTAAAACACCGGCGACAAGTCGATCCCGAGCGGTTTCGACTGGTAGAACGATCCTCGCTGATCCGTCACCGTCGGACAGGTCGACAGTATGAATAAGACCAATTTCTCATAGTAGAATGAATACAACCGTTTCTGCAAGGGTTTCGATCCCTCTCGTATTTATGTGACTCAATATCTACCCGGTCATCTGCTGTCACCTCTACAGTGTATGCATAGTACATGATCAGGTGGCCGATCATATAGGTGACTGGGTGGATAACTGGGTACACTACTAATGTAGATTACCGGGTAAATGACTGGGCAGTTGATCGGATAGGTGGCCCGGTTACGAGTTACGAAGACATGTTGTTTAAATAAGCCATATCACTTATACTCCAGCTCGGCCTTTCGGGCTGATCTATGATTGCATAACTGCTAAACTTGGAGAGGGAGTAACCAGGACTGCCTGACGAGGTCGATACTTTGAATCGTGAAATCATAGGAGAGACTCTGGCGGTCCTCCTTTAGACAATACCCGGTCGGAGGCTCTGCAGGCTCTCGGCCGTCCAGTCCGTTATCAGCATATGTCCAGGTTCGTGAGCAAAGACTAAACCGTCTATTTGCGCACCGGCGGACTCTACCGCAATCTGTGGTGTCACTCCACAAGCCTTGAGAGAGGGATATTAGCGAAAATCCTGGGAATAGTAGGAGGGAAATTACCCAGAACACGGGCACTTCGCCCTCCCCAAAGACCTGTGGCTGCCCAAAATCCGGATTATCAATGTTTGTGATGCCGAGGTTCTTTGCACCATCCCATCCCCAGGCCACAGGCTCGCCATGGGTGGAGAGATAGGGCCGTGTCACCTCTCGCACACGATCAATCTGCTCTGGTCGATATGGTCGCATCGAGACAATGCAGTTGGCCCCCGTAAAGACCCCGGCAGGTAGAAGGGGGATGTTTGACCGGTACATCGCAACGATGGAATTGGTTTTCTGATGTCGAGGCTGCAAACCTGCCGCTGTCAAGGCATCTTCGAAGGAAAACGAGCAGCCGATCAAAAAACCAACATGATCGGATGTCCAAAGATCGCGAAGATCACACCGCGTCTCCAGGTGCTTGCCGTCTCTATACACTCGATACTTGGGGAAGTCGGTTCGCATATCGAAATCGCTCGTTTGGATACACTGTGCGGGCTGCACGGCGAGTGGGTCGCCTGCGATGGCTGTCTTTCCTAGCAGCGGACATGACACTGGGTTGCGCAAGCAGAGATCATGGAAATCCACAGCATACTTGGCTGGGAGCACAAGCAGGTTGGCCTGCAAATAGCCGGGTGCGACGCCGGATGTGTTGGTGAGGCGATTCTCGCGACATAGCAGGCGAGCCTCCTGCGAAGTGACCGCAACGCTTCCCATGATGTTCGGTGGGGATGATAGTGTGAGGTGAGGTATATAATCCCGACTACCTCCTTCCGAGACAATCAGGAAGACAAGCTGATCATTCCCCTGAGTCCAGAAGAGTTCGACGAGTGCCTCGGTTATGAAAAGAGGATTGTCTTCTGGCAGCCCCATCCCATTGCCATGCCATCCCCGGTCTCTCCCCCAGTTGTCGACTATCTCGCATCGGGTCCCACTTGCCGACGGTCTGGGGAAGCTCGGGGCGTCTCCGCACAACTACGTTCTCACCCGTGGGCCATCGCCAATGAGACGGCCTGGTTCGCTGCGGGCAAGGCTGCCTTCCTCGACCAGGAAAGATCCGCAGACATCGCAGGAGAAAAAGCGGAGCAGACGAGCGGCACAAAGTGGCGAAGGCGGTGCTGGCTGGCAGGACGCTGCTCTTATCGCCGCTTTTCGTCGGGCCGACGGCTGCCCTCCACTCCACAGCATCAAGGTCCAGCAGGGTACATTAGGGATCTGGCCTGCAGCGGCGAGATAGGAGCACATCCGCGCTGAGCTCTTATCTCGTCGCTGCCCTTATTGTCATTTGATATCAACCTTATCCCATTTGATTTGATTCATCGGCGGCTCGATTGTGCCATCCCGGACTTGCTATCATATAACCCGCCGCGGCCCTCGAAGCGGGATTCATTGTTTCTCACAAGAACATTTCAGGGGTACACCCGAGAACAGCGAGACCAATTCATGTCGAGAGAGACCGAGCACCAGAATGGGGTCGCCCTCGAGCCCAGACTCTCCGTGCAAAAGGAAGGCGATCGGGAAATTGGTAATGACAGCTGCGCTGGCGAGGCCCTGGACGTCGTTCTCGACCCGAAAAAGGAACAGAAGTTGCTCGTGAAGTTGGATGCCGCCTTTGTGCCCATCATCATGCTGACGTATCTATCTTGTTTCTTGGATCGGTCGAATATCGGTATGATCCAGAGAGCAGGACCCAAAAGGACGAATGGAATAAGAAGCTCACGGAACGGTAGGAAACGTCAAGGTTGCCCATATGCCCGAGGATATCAACGCCTCTGACAACCAATTCTCCATTGCTGTCTCCATCTTTTACGTGACCTACGTACTATTTGAGTCCCCGTGGGCAGTGCTCATGAAGAAATTGACGCCCCGGAATATCCTGACAGCGCTTTGTATTGTCTGGTCCTTGACCACCATTTTTACCGGCTTTATCGAGTCGGTGGGCTCGCTGTACGCCACACGCCTCATCCTAGGGGCATGCGAAGCCGGCTTGTTCCCCTGTCTGAACCTCTATCTGACAATGGTCTATCGCCGTGAGGAGCAAGCGAAACGGGTGTCATATCTGATGAGCTGTGCCGCGATCTCCGGGGCAGTTGGGGGTCTGCTAGCATATGGTCTTCTGCATATGGATGGGATTGGAGGCAAAGCAGGGTGGAGGTACGCATTGATTGTCCCCTGTTCCCTTGCCGAATGGAGTGGAAGAAGACTAAGGCTGACAAATGATTCTAGATGGGTGTATATCATCGAAGGCCTGTTTAGCGCCATGTGCGCTATCTTGATCTGGTTTGGCCTGCCCAACAATCCAGCCGAAGCCTACTTCCTCAATGAAGAGGAAAGGTGGATGATGCGCGTGCGGAATGAACAGCGTCGCAAGTATATGGGAAGCGACAAGTTCAGCTGGGAAGAGATGCGGATCGCCCTGAGCGACCCAAAACTCTTTTGCTCCGGAGTGATCCAGTTCTGTCAGGATATCCTGCTGTATGGATTCAGTACCTTTTTGCCAACCATCTTGCAAGGAATGGGTTACGACTCGCTCATGAGCAATGTGCTGACTGTCCCGGTCTATATCTGGGCAGCCATCATCTTCGTTGCGATCGCATTTTGCTCCGATCGGTACTCCAAGTTTGCTTCTTTCATCTTCACAACTAACATCTTCGGAATCATTGGATACATTTTGCTCCTCACGGTCGGAAACACCGCGGTGCAGTACTTTGCGACATTCCTGATTGGCATCACCACATACACGGCCGTGGGACTAAATGTGGCCTGGTTGAACGTCAACATCGCTCCGCAGTATCGGCGAGCCTTGGAAATCGGACTCCAGCAGACAATGGGCAATTGCGCAGGGATCGTGGCCGGCCAGGTGTACCGGGAGTCCCCATATGTCCTGGGCAATGCATTCTCCCTGGGCTCGCTAGTCGTGTCGCAGATCGTTATAACATGCTTCGGCTTGTATTTGCGACGCGAGAACAAAATCAAAGAACAAATAACTAGCGGAGAGAGGGAGGATACGCGTCGTGTGCAGACCGGCGATGGTGACGTGGACTTCAAGTACCATTACTGAGCCCAAGCAGGCTAGAGCATAGACCTTGTGTCCGTTTGACTTGGCGGTCGAGGAAAAAAGAAACAAAATCGACGATCACATTCGATACTTCTGCCTGGCCGAATCTTGTAAACCGTTGCGTGAGCTGCGCCTTGGCGATGGACGAGCCACGGGACCGATGCTGAGGATTGTTCGGCGGATGACGCACACGACGCCGCAGCACGTACAAAGACTAGTACTTATATCGGGCACTCACGACTGTGGGACAAAATATACATTGCACCGTTCAAATATCCTGCAAAGCATTTTCCCTTCCAACGCATCCTCCATTTTCACACGAACAAGAATACAGCCGGCCTTGATCAATCGCAATATGGGTCTTTGCATGTCATTCCCCCAGCGTCGCCCCATGGGGATGGGCATGGGTATGGGGGGATTCGGACCCCCTTCTCGCAGGCATATCTACGGCGGGGGGATGGGCGGAATGGGAGTCTGTGGGCCTCCTCGCCGACATTACGGAGGAGGAATGGGCATGGGGGGCGGGGGATTCGGACCAGGCGGAGGCTGGGGAGGACCCCCTGGAGGTGGCGGGTTCAGTCTGGGGTTCTATGGAGGAAGACACTATGGAGGAAGACACTATGGAGGAAGACACTATGGAGGAAGACACGGCGGAGGTTATGGTGGCGGATTTGGAGGAGGCAGGCGAGGAGGATACGGACGCCGGTGTTAGCGGATTAGAATGCACCATGGTTGCCATTCACGCCAGTCACTTGCGCAAGCTCGATGCCACTGTATTGAATGACCTATTATCTGAGGATGTGAGACAATAACCAGCCACATATTTGATCATCGATTTGGTCGTCTGCCCGAACACCTACCTGTTTACCTACTTGGACACTGTCTCAGTCATGCGCCTGATCACCTATCTGATAACATACTTGATTTATGCCCGAATACACTACTTTCCCCACTAATACGTGTATCGGGCTATCAAGGCCGGCTCGAGTACTATTCCATGAAGCAGTATTTAATCAATCTAAGAACTTTTCAAACAAAGGCAACACTGCCTAGATGAGATTCGGTAGTGATTAACGCTGACTCTATATGGGCCCTCTGACAATATGTGACCTTCAGGACCTGGAAAGTGCCACTGGCCGCTCACAGGTGCTATGCTGCCCTCTCGATGTGAACTGCTGTAGTGAGCCCTTTGCCAGATTCCTGGACTTTCTCCATCTCCACATTCGTGGCTGCCGCGACATCATCTCCGTCAAACAGTCGCGTGATCTCCTCTAGCGGGACATATCGAGTTTCCACATACACGGCCCAGATGACAATCACCTCCACGGCCAAGAAGCAGCAGTAGAATATATAGTAGCGCCAATGAATGTTTTCAAGGGCAATAGGGTTCACATATTGGTTGAAAAACAAGGCGATGTACATCGCAAACTCCATAATCGTGTAGCCCTTGGCGCGCATCGTATACGGCAAGATCTCCGTTGTATAGCTGGCAATTAAGCCTGACCTGTCAAATAATTAGCAGTGAGGTCAAAAGCGTTCAAGGATGTAAATGCTGACTTCAGATTATAGAACAAGTAGTAGATGAATATCATCCCCAAAACCCCAGATCCGAGACTAGAGCTGGCATGTGCATCATACTGCGCCGACAAGGCAGTCCATACCACAAACGCGACTAACATTCCTGCGGAGCTGATCAGCATGATCGGTCGACGACCCCATCTATCAACGAAGAAACTAAAGAATAGATTCGTCACCAGGCTGAAAGAAGTCAAGGCACCATTGATCAACAATTGCTCGTTGGCGTCGGTAATGCCAATGCTGTCCATGATGAGATTCAGGTAGTAGGACACCAGTCCATTTCCTGACCACTGTGAAAAAAGTCCGAATGAAACGATAATCAGAAGTCGCTTGCGATTCCCACGGGTTCGCAGGAAGTCCAAAATGGAGCTAGAGTGCTCTGCATTCTTCTCCATTGCAATGGCAGTAGTGATTTCGGTAAATTCAAGTTGCACCACTTCATCCAATTCATCGCCTTCTGCATGATAGTAGGCCAGAACTTGGAGGCCTTTCTCTGGCAGGTCCTTCGAAACATAGTATCGTGGGCTTTCAGGGATCCACCAAACGACTGCAAGCATCAACAGAGTAAAAACGCCCTGTATCAGACTTGGTGCCCGCCAAGACCATTCGTTCTATTACGAGGTATTAGTCATAGTAATGATCTCGTTCTCGGTTCTTTTGTGGTACAACTTGCCTTGATCTTCAGAGTGCCATATGTCGTCCAAGCAGCAATGAATGCACCTGAGTGATATGTCGCACCAGCGATTGTTACCAAGATTGCCCTATCCTGCGCGGGAGCAATCTCTGTGATGAGCAAAGGAGCCGTGCAAATTACAATGATATCGCCAAATCCTAAGATGTACCGAGCGCCCACGAACATCGAGAAGTTGATGGACCCGGATTGCAACGCCACGCCCAAAAGCATAAAGAGGGACCCAAAAACTAAACAGATCTTCCTGCCAAAATGGTCCAGCATGAAAGGTAAAATAACCAGTCCAGTAAGTGCACCAGCACTCATGACACAGTTGAACAGCCCCAATGTGGGTCCCCGCGGATGATTGAAGTAATCCTGCCAATAGGATAGTGTTTGTAGGCCATTCCTGCGAGAATTAGCGAGGTTCTTTTCAATTAGGAAAGCCTTACATAGGTAATATACATCATAGAGTTATCGAATCCGTTTGCCGTGTTTGTCACGATCAAAACCACGATGTAAAAGTACAACGACCGCATGTTCCGCTGCCTCCACCATTTCACTCGTGGGAAAGCCCTGCCTGCTAGATTGAAATACCCCTTGGGGGGGTTATTTAGTTCTGGATGGCCAGTCATTTTGCATATTCAATATTCAAGAATATTTGTCTCGGACCTGCTTCAAGCAGCATTCTCGTGTCTTGGGGGAAGTTGAACATACTTATTGATTGGCGCAAGGGTATATAACCGAGAAATCAGCCTAACACTGTAATTTGATCTCGGTAAGCTAAGTCCACCTACTCAACAGAACTAATTTATTGCTTGATTAGCCTATTTGTCTCCCTCAGTGCGGGGTTACTTCCTTGTCGTTGGGTCGATGAGGCACCGCGCGGCTTCAGACCGTGTCGGAATGGGATTAGCGCACGACGCCACAGCCATTCAAATAATGCATGACCTGGGGTAAATGAGTTCGATAAATTTCGTTGTTTTCCTGTCACGTTTTGCTTTAGAGAGAAATAAAAACCCTCTAGTTGATCGATCAATTCAAAATGGAGCGTTGCTCGGTAAAGCCGATCATCCCAGGATTTGCCCCCGATCCTTCAATCTGTTGCATCGAGGGCACTTTCTTCCTTGTCAATTCTAGCTTCCACCTGTTCCCTGGTCTCCCCATCTATTCCTCTCGTGACCTGATCACATGGAAACATATCGGTAAGCCATGGTGTACACTGCCAGCCTAAGTTTCAGAAGTGATTGTCCATCCAGGGAATGCCATCAACCGACCATCCCAACTATCACTGAAGAGAGCAGGAACTTGGATTACTACTTGGGACGATGGAACAGCTATGGTTGCTACAGGGGGTCTCTATGCCCCGACGATTCGACACCACCGGGGTGTAACGTATATTATCTGCACGAATGTCATCCACGATTCTGCGATGCCTGGCGACGAGCACAGTGAACAGTTTATAATTTGCGCCCAAGACATCTTTGCTGATAAATGGTCCGACCCGGTGGTCTTCCCATTTCCTGGGATTGACCCCTCTTTACTATTCGATGACGAGAAGGTGTATGTGCAGTTATGCAAGACCGGTGTCACCTTCGAGATCTTCAACATGGAGATTGACATCACGAGAGGCCAAGTGCTCGCCGGGCCCTCCCTTATTTGGAAAGGATGGTCACGATCCTACACGGAGGGTCCCCATGTTTACAAAAAGGACGGCTGGTATTACCTACTCTGTGCCGAAGGCGGGACCTTTCAATGTCACATGCTCACCATGGCGCGCTCGAGGAGCATCTGGGGCCCATTTGAGGCCTATGATCGCAACCCGCTCTCTACGGCAAATGGTACCAATCATTATATTCAGCACACTGGCCATGGCGATTTCTTTCAGGATGGCCAAGAGAACTGGTGGGTGGTTATGCTCGGTGTTCGGAAGAAATACGGGCGTTCCATTATGGGCAGAGAATCGTTCTTGACCTCTGTTGTATGGGATGACGATGGATGGCCATCCATCATGCCCATTTTAGGTGATAACCAGAAAATCAAGTCTAAATTCGATCAATCCCGTTCCTCTCGTGCGGCTTGGGTCTATCTGAGAGACCCTAGGTTGGAGGATTATCATATGTATAGTGACGGCCAAATCACGCTTCGCGCCAGCCCCGTCGGATTGACCAGTTCGGAGGGGGCTATCAGTTTTGTCGGCCAAAGGCAGCGGGAGCTCAAGGGTACTTCCACCGTGACTTTAATAAACATTGGAGATCCAATTCCAATGAACGCTGGTCTTGTTCTTTATAAGGATGAGTACCGGTTTTGGGGAATATCCTACAATTTTCGGAATCGACAGGTCGTCTTCGAAGGAATCAATCGAGCCAGTTCTTATGAGATGAAACAACCGGTGCCGGTCAGCCTGGAGAAGGCACTGAATTTCAAAATTTCATACAACGAGGATCACGTTCGTTTCTTCTTCAAGAATTCCCAAGGACCCTGGCAATTTGTGCAAGCCGTGGACACCGCTGTGATGACCAACTTTGACTTCACAGGTCCAATAATCGGGATTTTCGCTGAAGGTGATCATGGTGAGGCCAACTTCAAAAACTTCATTATTGATGCTCCGGATGACTAGCTGTATGGTCTGCTTCACAAAGCCTTTCTGCTGCGGCTTTTGCTGCACAGTGACGATACTTCGTTTTGCATAGCTGTTTCTGGCGTGGCTTGATCTTGTGTACAGTGCTTTCCAGTGTCTAGGTCAGAAATCAAATCACCGACCAAGTCCATGACACAGTGCACAGCATGATATACGACCAGGTGGATGATCGGATAGATTATAGTAGTGTAGTATAGTAGTGACCAAGTATACGATCAGGTAGATACTCTTCCAGTTGCGTCCGATTAAAGCCAAGGAAGAAGGAAATACAGGTCGAGATTATTCGAGGCATGGTATGTCTGATTAGACAGTATTCGACACTTACGATGAGTACATTTCTGATACTGGTACCTTCTACAATTGTGACTTTGTCTTTGGACCGAACAAAATGGTGACTCCAATTCACATACTACTACAGGGGTTCGATCTCCGTTTATTGTCTAAGGGCCCAGAAACTCGGCCAGCTTTTCGTCTTACGTAAAATCAGGTTTACAAAATAAGGAGCTTTAAAAAAAGGAAGAAAGGAGAGAAGGCAAAAAAAGTAAAAAAGACATAGCATGTCCTGGTTTCGATCCAGGGTCCTCCGGGTTATGAGCCCGGCGCTCTTCCCCTGAGCTAACATGCTGGGAGTTGGTGAAAATTGTGATATTTTGTGACTCAGAAAGGTGGAAATATATGGCAAATGAGTCACCGTGGGGTGGGACCAGTGGGGCGCGATATCCAGGATGTGGGTCAGATAAGATGGGTCACGTGTTGGTGCGCCTCTTTTCAAGTGTGGCAGCTCCTCACCTCAAACACTCCTAAAGGTTCAACCTCAAGACCCCTAGTCTCCAACGACATGATCTACATAAACAGTATTTCCCAGGGTCACCTTTAACTCACAGAAGTGTTGATGTATGGAATAGAGAATCTAGGCTCAATTCCCGCTTACAATATATTATAGCGGGGTGCGACGCCCTAGAGAAAAGGTACTCGAGATTTCCGGTGAGGTTTTTCCGTGTCGATTTTGGTATACGTGAAGTCTGCATCGCACCCTGCAAAGGCTTGGTGTCTTTTATTACTAGTGTAGTAATGCGAACTGAAGGGCTCACACTGCACATACACTGTAGTAATAGACTAGTTCACAAATCAGCGTGTGGTCACCATCAGTCGCATTGATGCGTCTACCACTTTCGCAACAGGACGCTTTTACAAATAAGCTTGTTGATTGGGTGCCGGTAAAACACTACTCTCTGATCAATGCTTTCTTTGGGCAGCCTTGAGAAAGGTCTTGACTTCTTGAGGTTGCGTCGACCAACAAGGTAGGGTCTCCGATGTTCAATATCGACATTGGATGGCGACGTTAGTCGATGACGATGTAGATTCCACGAAAGTCCTTCACCCTTTTTATTATCGGTCTATTTTGTGAATGAGGGAGCTAGTATGTCTATGCCCGTGGCGCTGTACACTCGTTGGATCCCGTAGAGCGGTCTTCCATGACGGTGATGGTGTACTGCCTCCTTACAGATGTTGTCACGCCAACCCTGGGACCTGGTTGGTGGTGTTACACGGACTTTGAAAAGACACCAAGGCCACTGTCGCCACACCTTCTTACCACATCCCATTATACCCCGTCCCTGGCTTCGGATATTTTGGGTGCCTAGAGCTTCTGATTTTGTTAGCACACCAGTGCTGTATTTAGTATTATATATAGTGGTGTCATCTTAGACTCTCTGTCTTGTACAAGAAAAGACTGCGCAAAGTCCCGATGCATTTTTTTGCCCTGGAGCCCTTGACAAGGTGTTGCTTACAGGTACGTTGACCGGGAGGCTGATCACGTAGGTGACAGTGTAGATGACCAGGTAGATGAACAGATAGGCGACCACGTGCTCGTAAAAATACGCTTAATTTGAACCGCTGTTTTTGAATAATCGGCTTAATGATTATGATGACAATTTCCGTACGACACTTCGCAATCAAACCCCCGATGGTCTAGTTGGATATGGCGTTCGGCTGTAATGGAAACATATAACCGAAAGGTCGCCGGCTCGATTCCGGCTCGGGGGAATTTGCACTTCTTTTTAGTCACATTTTTTGATTTCCTTTCTGGTTTTCCAAAAATTTATTTGATTCAAATCCTTGAGGCAGCCTTCGCAACCAAACCCCCGATGGTCTAGTTGGATATGGCGTTCGGCTGTAATGGAAACATATAACCGAAAGGTCGCCGGCTCGATTCCGGCTCGGGGGAGTTTGCATTTTTTTCGTTCCTTTTTTACTTCTTTTACTTACACTTTTTTTTCTTCTCTCTCACCCTTTTTCACAGATTGCCAATCCACTGAAGTCAGTTGCTCCTACAATATCATTGCATTGCCCACCGACAAATCTTGCGCGTCCTGTAAGTCCATTGTGCGAGTTGATCCTGACAAGCATTGATAAGAGAACATTCTGCCTCAGGTGTCAATCCCGAGGTCATTCCGAACGATAACAACTTCCCCGCGAAAAAAATTACCTCCGGTACCTTGCCCCTCCATCAGGTACTTTGACTCACGACCACATCAATTGCTCGGCTGCGATTGACCCTCCTCAAACGCTCTCTTGTCAATTGATCCCAGTTTCTCCTACTTTCCCTCTTACCTCTTATCTCTTCTCATCTCTTCTTCATCATGAGCACCTCCGCACCTCCCACCTCCGCGATGGACTCGGTCCTTCTTGCCTCCGCACCAATGCCAGAGGGGACCCAAGAGGTTCGCGGTGTAGATTTCGATAAATTTCAGGACCGTGATATTACGGTTGCTGAGCTCGTGGAAAACCTTACCCACACTGGCTTCCAGGGCAGTGCGGTTGCTGAAGCTGCCCGCATCATTAATGAGATGGTACGTCATGCCTTGAGGGTGTTCTGCCAACCATGCGTGTATGGCAGCATGAATCTGACCCAAGCTACTTGCTGCAGCGTGCCTACCAGGACCCCGAAACTGGCGAAAAGACCACCATCTTCCTCGGCTACACGTCGAACCTGATTTCCTCCGGACTACGCGACACCCTGCGATACCTTGTCAAGCACAAGCACGTCTCGGCTATTGTGACCACGGCTGGTGGCGTGGAGGAGGACCTTATCAAGTGCTTAGCTCCGACCTACTTGGGATCCTTCACCACCCCCGGTGCCGGTCTCCGTGCCAAGGGCCTGAATCGCATCGGCAACTTGCTGGTCCCCAACAACAACTATTGTGCCTTTGAAGACTGGGTGATTCCGATTCTGGATCGCATGCTCGAGGAGCAAGAAGCTGCCAAGCGCAAGTCGCGGGAGACTGGCGACGAGGAAGATGAGCTTCACTGGACGCCGAGCCGGATCACCGAGCGCTTGGGGCAGGAGATCAACCACGAGGATTCGGTGCTCTACTGGGCGGCCCGAAACAACATCCCTGTCTTCTGTCCAGCCCTGACCGATGGATCCTTGGGGGATATGCTCTATTTCCACACCTTCAAGTCCTCGCCGCAGCGGCTCCGTGTGGACATTGTGGACGACGTGCGGCGCATCAACACGATGGCGGTGCGGGCGGTACGTGCCGGCATGATCATCCTGGGTGGCGGCGTGGTCAAGCACCACATCGCCAACGCGTGCCTGATGCGCAACGGGGCCGAACACGCGGTCTACATCAACACGGCGCAGGAATTCGACGGCAGCGATGCAGGAGCCCGACCTGACGAGGCAGTGAGTTGGGGCAAGATCAAGTCGGATGCCAAAGCCGTCAAGGTCTATGCCGAGGCCACCGTGGTCTTCCCTCTCATCGTGGCGGCCTCGTTTGCACGGATACAGGCCCCAGCAGAGACCTCGACTCAGAATTGAGACTTGCCCGCATGTAGAGGGGCTGCTACCCGATGCAGGGTTCCGTTGTCACGCGACGCCAGTGTTGCCAATCACCGGGGAAAAAGGGGTGTGGGTTCTCCTCGCACGCGCGGTCTCTTATAAACTTTCGTCCAGTTCGGCTGGTCCCTTTTCTCGCCGTGCTCTTGAAATGCCCCGATTCAGTTGGCTCAGCCGCATTGATTTCGATCCCGGCGACCCGATGCCACGCTCTTTGCATGGGGCCTCCTCGTCCATGTTGCGGTCTCGGGTTTGCCAGACCGACAGCCATCATTTATCCGACCAGCGAATCTCATTGGATCCTCGGCCGGAAAATACCGTAAGCACGCAAGCTGAGTGGCGAAAAAGGGGGCCGACCGAAGTGGCGAAGAAGAGAAGCGAAAAAATCCTTTTCCAAAGCGTCGGATTTTAAGGTTGGCTGTCGGCAGTGGATCCGCGATCCACCGCCGATCAGAGGGGGCTTCACCGCGAATTTGGGAATGGTCAGAACGATTCCCGAAATCACAAATTGTATACAAGATATCTTACCCTGAGGCAGGGTACTACAGCATAGGATATAGGCGATAAATTCAAAAGCCGTCACGAAAACCTCACCAGATTGTACCGGATGACCTCCGAAGTCCCCACGGGCGCGGCGAAAGAGCAAGTCAGGTGGAGCCACGCGGGTCTCGGTCTCAGGCACCAAGGCACCACCCCCAGACTTTGTTCCGCCTTATCTGCGATCCCCTCAATGCTTTTTTTTTACCCTCTCTTCCCACTCCCACACACTCTTTTCTGCTCTGTCGTCCCCGCTCTCTCCAGCCCTCCCTACTTTCCCCCTCTTCGCTTGATTGCTGCACTCTCTGCTTTTGAAGCCGTCTCTACAGTCGGTTCCTGGCCTGATAAGGCTTATCTCTTTCTTTACATTGTTGATTTGATACTGCAATTTCACTCTGCGTCTACGTCCCATTGCTCTCGGGACCGTTCCCCTTGGTGTGACCCCAATTGGGTGTTGACTACGGTCGCTTCTGTTATTCTGAAGACAATCCGGTCGTCTCGGTCTAGTTTCCTCCCACCATGGACCCCTCAGATGCGGAGACCAACTCCCAGTTCGCTCACCCGGTCCTTGAGTCAGGGGTTGATCGGGCGGTAGGATCGACCGACCCGCTTCAAACGGCCCCCCAGACGATTACTCTGGCTGTTGAGCCCCTCGACAATTCCTCAGCGCAAGACTCGGTGCCCTCCGACCAGCCCTCCGAAACTGCACCCGAACCGCATCCTCGGGCACCAACGCCACCCCCCACCGCGCAGCCCATGCAGCCCATGCAGCCCACGGAGGAGATTGAACATGCCTACTGGGCAGACTTCCAAGAGGACACAACAATTCCAGATGCAGAGGAGCTGAAGGAGATTGAAGGTGCCGAAACTGATTATAGTGCCTGTGACTGTAGGTTCTGCCGTACGAAAGTGGCAAATCCCGGAAGAATCCAGATACTAAAGGTTGAACAATAGACCCTTACTGGGAGAACAACTTCTTTCGAGACCTCGATGACCCTGAATATGTCCCTCGGGAGAAAGCTCGCCTTACCTGGAAGATCAAGGGGGTTCGAGGTACGCCCGAGGCACCTAATCGGGATAAGATTATGCGCTCTCCAGCTGCCTACATTGGTGGATACTGGTGGCGAATCAAATTCTACCCCAGGGGAAATAACGTTGGCTCTCTGAGTATCTATATCGAATGCTCAGAGACGATGCCTGCTCCAGATGATCGCCTGCCCGAAACAGAGTTCACTGTCCGCCGAGGCACATCGGATGTAGCCCTCAACGACAGTATTCCCGATGTCGATATTCGCACTCCAGCTACTAGTGATACTGAGGCCTGGTTAGACTCCTACAAGTCACAGTACCAAGCCGCTTCATCTGCTCCCAGGGCCACCGAAAATAATCCTAATCCTTGGCGGGTCTCGGCGCAGATTGGCGTCATTGTGTACAACCCGGAAGAGCCCCGGACGGGCTGGATGCAGTCCTCTTGCCATCAGTTTAACCCTCACAACTTGGACTGGGGCTGGACATACTTCCACGGTCCCTGGGATCAGATTCACACACGCCGACGAGGTCAACATCGGGCCCTGTTGAATCATGACACGCTCGCCTTCGATGCGTACATTCGTGTGATCGACGACCCAACCAAGTCCCTCTGGTGGCATCCGAGCGATTCGGAACCGACTTGGGACAGCCTGGCATTGACAGGGTACCGTCCTATTGGTGATTCCGTCATCAATCACAGTGCTGAGGTGGCCGGCTTGGCCTCGTGGCTGCACATCGCTCCCTTCTGCAAGATCATTCAAAGCGTGGACGTCCTTGAGCACTTGACCAATTGCGAGGTTAAGCCCAAGCCTCTGTGTGACGCGCTGCAGAAGCTCCTGTGGCAATTGCGCCGTAAAACTCAGTCACTCCATTACGTCGACACTGATGGTATCACCTCTACCTTGCGCAACATGCGTGAATTCTCGTGTGATGTTTCCGAATTCTGGGAGCGACTCCGACGAACTCTCGAGCTTGAACTTGCTGGGACAGAAGCGGGCAAGGAGTTTGCGAAACTATTTGACAGCCCAACCCCAGCCCTCCTGCTGGGTGGGGGTAATGCTACCAGTACTGTGAATACCCTGCCCACAGATTTCAACTCTCGCATTTGCGTTCGAGCCGACGAGGTCACTTCAACAAGTGACGCGATGAAGGGATACCTGGATACAAAGCCAGGGCGGTGGTCTCTCCCGCCCATTCTTCATATTGAACTTGGCCGTCACACCCTCGACAAGGCGATGCGTTGGCAATTGCTGTTCAATAAGGTGGAACTCGACGAGGAGTTGGATTTGGCTCAGTATGTAGCCGACTCAGCAGGGGCCAAATATGTCTTGTACGGATATGTGGTTCACCGCGGCCGGCGCACCTCTGGCAAATTTTTCAGCATTCTTCGTCCTGCAGGACCAGGCACGAAATGGCTGGCGTTCGACGATGGTAGTGATAACCGTGTTGAATGCTTAACACAGAAGACAGCCATGGGTCCCCATCTCGGTATCGACCCGTCCCAGACGGTTGATCATAAGAAAGGACACGATGTTCCAGTTGTGGTCATGTATGTCCGGAGTGACATGGTCTCGGAGATTTTGCCCGGACCTCAAGGTCCTTGGGAGGTTCCTGAAGACCTGGAAAAGTACTATGAGGCCGGGGTATATCAGCCAGCCCAACGACCTGCGTCCGATGAAAATTCGAGGAAGGAAGAAGTACAGGTCGAGATCTATTCGATGTCTGGTTATGACCAATTGGACAGTCTATTCGACACTTACGATCTCATGTCACACGCTAAGACGGCAAACAGTGTCATGTACATGACACTGCCCCGCTCATCCCGCATCGCCGAGCTACGCAAGAAGGTCGCTCTATCGAAATTGGCTGGCGAAGAAAACATCGGGGCTGAGCGCGTGCGCCTGTGGCACATTGGACATACGCGTGCTCAATGTGGTCCCACCTTGGCCTTTGACCTTATAACTGATCTCAATGTCCCACTTGGCTCATCGGGGGGCATTATGCGTTTCTGGATGGAGACCATCTCAGAGGAAGATGCCAAGTTTTTCGCCATTCCAGATCCGCCCTCTGTGGCCGCCAGTGAGGACAAGCCGGAAGACTCCATTGTGGAGCGACCAGATTCAACAACTAGTGAGCTGACTTCGCCAGTCGCTGATGGAGATGCTGTTGCTAGCTCATCTTTAGGCGTTGTGCAAGACCCCTCCGCTAGCCGTACCGACTCGGGAGATAGTACTCTTAATAGTGAGCCGTCCGTGGCAACTCTCTACTCAGTCGGCCAAGACTCAACCGAAACCAATCCCGCTTTGGTATCAGTTGCAGCCCAGGATAGTCAAGCTACAAACGGTGCTGTTTCTAGCTTCACAGAAACATCGCCTATGGAGCAGGAGACAGTTGCGTCTACCTCTCGCCGGGAGTCGTCGATACCTGAACCAACCCCTGCCGAACCCGGAGAGCCTGAGATCACTTTGCCTGTCGGTCATACGTATTTCTTTATCCAGGTTTTCGATGCAGACAAGCAGGTGCTTCGCACAGTGGGATCATTCTTCTCCAAACTCGAAACCAATGTCAAGGCATCCATCAGAAAGCACCTCCAATGGCCCATTCGACGAGATTTCCTTATGTGGAAGCGAGTTGATGGAACCACTGTAACTACAATATCGCCCGCGGAGAGCTTCATGGACGTGGTCGTGCCGCACGGAACCTGCGTCATCGTCGGAGATAAACTGAGAAATGACAAGCGCACCGAGCTGGGGGTCTCTGGTTTGTTCTCCAGTCCCGATCGTCTCGTTCAGTACTTGTGGGCCAAGTCTCGAAACCATCCTATTCAGGGTTTTACTGGCACCAAGACCGTTGAAGCCACCTTCACCAGTGACTACTATAGCGGTGACTTCCTGAATGGTTACTACCATGGCCGAGGCAAGCATGTCTCTGGAACTGGTACCGTCTATGAGGGTGACTTTGTCTTTGGAAGACGCCATGGTCAAGGCAGGATGGAATACCCGACTGGTGACACATACGAAGGTGATTGGACCGAGGACGTGCGTCACGGACAAGGCACCTACGTCGAAAAGAAGACTGGAAATAAGTACGTTGGTGGCTACAAGGACGGCAAGAGACATGGCAAGGGTATTAGCTACTGGGAAGTGGCTGATGAGGAGGCGGATCTGTGCCAGATCTGTTACTCGGAAGAACAGAATGCAGTCTTCTGCGATTGCGGGCATGTCTGTTCGTGTGTCACCTGCGCTAAGCAAGTGGATCTCTGCCCGATTTGCCGCAAGACGATCAAGAGTGTGATCAAGATCTTCAGGACATAAACGTGTCTGGGAAACATCACGGCGTTCATGGTCATTCTGAGTGCTTTCAAATGTTTATTTTTGTTACTCCCTTTTCGTTTCGCGCGACAAAGGTTTTTGGTTTTGGTTTTTTTTGAGCGAAATTTGGTTTCCAGGGCGGACTGGGGGGTGACACTATGCGGCGAATTGCGGATTATTACTCTCACTTGGATATATCATATATTGCATGTGGTGCTGCCTTTTGGCGGACCTTTATAGACTAGTATTTATAGATTACATTGTTTGACCTGATGATTGACAACAGTAGGTTATAGCGGCTAAAGCTCACTTCCAAATTCAGTAGGATTTGATGACAGAATTATACTTGTACCTCAATCTGTACCTCCCCCAAAATAACAATTGTGAACAGTCATCAAATCAGTCACCCAAACAGTAACGTACCTGGTAATTTGTCACTCCTAATCTTGTACGGTCCACGAAGCTTCAATAAGTGTTATGGGCACTCGTGGATATAAAATCTTTTCGTAGTTCTAGTAAGTTTTCGGTACTGTCGGTGTTGGGTGTTGGATCAGCCATGAATCGAAAACGGGACATAAACATGGGCAAAAAATAGAAAGTGAGCTCTGGCCGTTACAGCCTGCCGTAGTTGACGCTGAATAAATCATTTCATATTGAGAGAGAAAATAACAAGGTATAATATATCCAATGCGCCGTCCACCCACCAAAGAAGATGCTTTTCCGACTTGCCAGAGCTATAGATACACAAGAGACGCTCGAGGTGTCAAGGATCATTTGGTCGCCTTCTTGGTCGACTTCTTCTCTTTCTTCTCCTTTTCCTTTTTCTCTTCCTTCGTCACGGTCTTCTTTTCACCCTTGCCCTCGTTCGAGGACTTCTTCGCCACCTCGGGCTTCTTTTTCTCTTGCTCCTTCGACTCCTTCGATTCGGCTGCCTCCGATGCTTCACCCTTGTTCTTCTTCGGTTTGTTCAGGACACCCTTCGGGTTAAGGCCCTTGCGTCGCAAGCGGTTGCGCTCTGCACGGTCGATCCGCTTTGAATCCTCATCCTCCTCGAAAGGTCCAAAGGAGCCGCCTTCGACATCCATGCCATCACCCTCCTCGTTCACAATGGGAGTTTTGTCATAAGACTCCTCGTCGGTATATTTAGCGTGGGAGCTGGAACGGGCGCGCCGTTCCCCAGCGGAAGTCGCATCATGGGTGGGCTGGACAACAGGAGTGGGGCCAGTCTTCTTCAATTTACAGACATAGAAACCGTCGACGTTCTCACGGTGCGGGAAGTAGCGGCGAGTCATGGCCATCTTGGCATCGAACTTCTTGCCCATATAGCTGGTGAAACCGGGGCTGCCGAAGTCGCCGAGGCCAGTGTCGACAATCTTGACGTTAGGGCGCTTCCGGAGCACATACTGCACCACAGCCTCGTTTTCTTCCACTGTAACACTGCAAGTCGAGTAGACAATGTATCCACCGGTCTTTGATGAGTGGTCAACCGAATCGATGGCAGCCAGGAGCAGTTGACGCTGCATGTGGGGAATGGCGAGGAAGTCACGTTCATCCTTTGATGTCTTCACACCAGGATCCTTGGAAATGACACCAGTACCGGTGCAAGGAGCATCCAGGAGAACACGATCGAAACCACCCATGGCCTTGGGGAAAGCAGTACGGGCATCCATGTTGGTGACAATAGTGTTCTTACAGCCGAGACGGTGGATATTACCAATCAAACCCTTAGCACGGGGCTTGCTGGCATCGTTGGCGATGACACAGCCAGTGTTGCGCATGAGAGCAGACATGTAGGTAGTTTTACCACCGGGAGCGGAGGCCATATCGAGAACTCGCTCGTTGGGCTGGGGCGCCAGCGCCATGACGGGAAGGAACGAAGATGCAGCTTGGAGGATGTAGTGACCGGCCAGATATTCGGGAGTGGCACCCAGGGGCACAGCAGACTCGAAAACCTGTAGGCCAACCTTTGACCATTTGCCCACGGGTTCGAGAACAACACCGCGGTTGATGAGGGCCTGGGCAAGGGATCGCCGGTTGGTGCGGAGGGTGTTCGTACGGATGACAACCGGGCGCGGGGTTTCGTTGGCTTCGAAAAAGGCGAAGGCTTCCATGGGAGTGAACAGGTTGAACAGCTTCTCGGCCAAATAGCGGGTATAGCCATAGTAGGTGCAGATATCGTTAAGGACAAGATCAACGTAGTCGGCACGCGACTTGCCAGGTTGACCCAGTGTCTTCAGATCACCGAGGATGCGAATGGTATCGGTGATACGTTGACGCAGGAGCTGCAGATCCGGCGCCAGACCAGGTTGGGTCTCGTCACCGAATACATCGGGGCGGTCACCAGCAATGTTTGTCTGCATGGCCGCCTCTTGCAATTCCTGTTCAGCCTCCTCCTCTTCGGCCCTCTTTGCCGCATCAAGCTTTCGGGACAGTCCCTCCATGTTGGCGGCGGTCAATTTCTCCTCGGCGTCAGATAGATCTTCGTCGTCGGAAAACATGGTCTCGCGGGGATGGTCGTCCTCGTCAGAATCGATAACCGAGTCATCATCCTCGTCCTCCAAATCCGAGAGCCGCTCGACGCCCTCATCGCTATCCAGAGATCCCTCACTGACTGCATCCAGGTTGCCAAACTCATCGTCCTCCGTCTCTTCCATATCATCATCTTCAGAGTCCGAGTCCATAGGCACGGACTTTTTCTTTTCAATGACCTTATTGTCTGCCTTGGCAACACCATTAGAGGTGCCATTGGCCTTGGACTTCTTCGGGGCGGCCTTTTTGGAGATCGTCTGCTCTTCATCGGCATCGGATCTCCGCCGCTTCTTCGCTGCGACAGCCTTAGGGGCACTGTCAGGCTCGCCTGCCTTGCGTTTCTTGAGCATGGAGATCTTGGATTCATCCAGCGGGGCCGGAGGGCCCTGCTTCTTCATGCGACGTCCTTTACCCATGGCGAATGTGCTGTTGGGATATGCTGGTTTGCGGGTTAGTTTCCGCCGACTTTTTCTCTTAGTTTTTTTTTTCTCGGCAGCGGTGAGCACCAGCATTATTCGTTCAGCGGAAGGCGGTGTGGCTTATCCCTTTGTTGCCTGGGTTTTCGGGCGGCAATATCACTCCCGCTGTTTGGACAGCCGACAACCTGCGCCGGGAGCTCACCAGAAGCTCGACTTTGAGTATTTGAGCTTTGACCTTGACTCTTTTCCTCTTCTACGATTTCGCCGCACATAATTGCCCGTCATGTCCGAGCTCACCTTTGCCAAATCTTTCCTCTCGACATTGGACTCGCGTCCTATCAAGCTACGTGGGGATCACGTCTTTGATCCGGAACGAGTCGGTTTGCGCGTGCCGGTGAGTGAATACTTCCATGGGTCTCCAGCTACATAATACCGATGATGGAATTTTCTAACTCCTGTGCTTCGGATTGCGAAATAGTACACGCTTCCCCGCCTCCATGCCCCGCACCCTGAGATGCCCAAGAAAGTCAAGAAGACACAGGCACCAGGCTCCTCCAAGTCTATCAATATCCGCATAAAATCTGCCCGCAACCCCGTTCTTGATTTCATCATCGCCAATGCCCCTCTTTCTACAACTAGCGTTCAAGACCTTCGGGATGCCGTCCGTGGGCGTGTCGCTGATACGCAAGGAAACCCTGTTCCGCTGGACAAAATCAAGGTCCTGTATCATCGCAAGCCCGTGAGTGGAACAAGCAAGACAGTGGCGGAGGTTCTGGCCGATGAACCAGAGATGCTGGCTGGAGGTAAGGAGGTTGAGTTCGGCGTTATGATCATTGGAGGTGCTAAGACTGTCGATGCGGTCGAGTCTCAAACAGAAGGTGCGCAAATGCGAGATGTGTCTCCGCCCAAGGCGGCAGTGGGACCAAGTGGTAGAGAGATACTCCAGACCGATGCGTTCTGGAATGATCTCCGAGGCTATCTGCAGCAGCGGTTGAAGGATGAGGAAGAGGCGAATCATTTGAGTATGCTGTTTAAGAATGCCTGGGGCTCGTCTCAGTAAAGGGATCATAGTAGCATTTGTTCGTTTGCATGCTGAATCATTTGTTTTACCACTGAAACCAGCAATCTCATCTGGTGGAAGTACTTACGTGCGGCGTCGCGAGAAATAAATAGTACTATGGACTTGGTAAATTCATTTCTCAATGTTATGCGCATACGTGTAGATACTTTCCATACGACAGGGAGGGCTCATGCGCAATTTAACGACTAGAACCCCTACGTAATTCGAAATGGAAAAGATAAAGACAGAATGAATGCCCACTAAGCTTCTAGTATACCAAGTTGGCAGCTCCGCAGGCAGGGGTAGGAGGGTATATCACATATCATGCAACGAGACATGAAAGCAAGAAAAGCACGGAGAGTTATAGCGGCCAAAGCTCAATTTTACTTTTCCATGTTGATACCCGGTTTCCGATTGATGGGATCCAACACCAACAGACGAACAGTTACTAGAACCACGGTGTAGAAAGAAGTTTTATATCCATAACACTTGTTGAAGCTCCGTCGACGGTACGAGATTAGGAACGGTACTAGATGACCGTTCAGCTGACAGTCCAGATGACTATTTAGGCGACTGTTCTGATAACTGTCACTGTTAGAGTAGTTTGTAGCGTGTTCAGATTGAGGTACAAATCTCTATAATTCAGGGATAAAGCCCTACTGAAATTGAAAAGTGAGCTTTGGCTGTTACCTAAGTATAACCTTTTGCAGGGCTTTGACAGGAGACAAGGCCATGTCGCTAGGACACTGGGTATGCACCAGGGCAAGGAGTACAAAGGTATCTTAGGATGCGGGAGAAACATGATCAGAAATGTACGCCAGGGAATCATTGCGAAGACAGCATATTATCAGCGTCAGAATCAAAAGTACACTTGTAGAAGAAATATAAAGAAGAAACCACATAAACGAGCACCATATGCCAAGTCAGCTGAATGGGACACCATTGCAAATGCTCGAAAAGAACTGGTCCGGCCAATCGCTCATCCGGTTCATGGGATCATATCGCGCCGAGAAGACTGGAGGGGGAATACACAAGGTGGGGTAGGACAGTTAAATGTGACACAATAAAGAAAAGAATCATACAAGGGCTGTCGTCTCGTCGTCCGTTCATCGGGAGAACACCTTCACCACACCATCTCCGCCGCCACTGACGACCCAGCGTCCGTCGCGGCTCCAGATGACAGCGCAGACACCTTCACCACGCATCAGCCGGTGGCTGGTCAATTCCTGGGTGCAGCTGCGTTTCTCCAGGTTCCAGAAACGGAGACTGGCATCATGGCCCGCAGAGACAAGTTCGCGACCATCGGGGGACAGAGACAGGGCGGCGATCGCAGCAGGGTGAGCCAGCATGGTGTACGTGCATTGGCCTGTGATATATTCATTAGTAACTGATAGATTCAAAAAAGGTGTTCAAGGAATACGAACCACTATTCGCATCGAAAAAGCGGATGTATCGATCTTCGTAGCCGCTGATAATCACACCCTCCACGCTACTCGAGCCGGTAGCTCCGTGCACCACTTCCTCCTCGGTCATGGTGCGGTTGGGGTCTAGATTGGCAGATCCATCGAAGCCAACAGTTGTAGCAACCACTGAATTGACCCCAGTCGATGGCGTACCATCGTAGGTCTCTAGGCTGGCCATGCCCACGATCTCCTCGCCGGTTCGGGTGTCGTAGACCAGGATGGATGCATCGGTATAGGAAACCACAAAGTTCACACCGGCCAGAGAAAGCGGGCTAATGCATGTTGGAGACGGGGAATCAGTTCGCATGATGTGATGAACGAGGGTGTAGTTGAAAGGAGTGCTGGTAGCAACGCTGGGCTGAGGAGAGGATGGGAAGTTTGACCCAGAAGAAATCGAGTTCGCACGCCGGCTTCCACCTTGGCGACGTGACCCTGCCTGGGGTGAAGAAACAAGGGGCGGGGGAGTAACTGCCCAGATGAGAATACGGCCATCAGCAGCACCAGAAGCCAGCAAAATTCTGTCCTGGCCACCATAGTGACTGCAAGAATCGCCATAGACCGAGCCTGCCGTACCTGGAAGCACACAAAGAGCCCACACGGCATCCGTATGTCCGTCCAAGGTGGCCTTAGGATCAACTCTACCGCGTTCCCAGACTCGCACGCTAGCGTCCTGTCCACCTGAGAAAACCCATCCATCGCCCGAAGCCCGTCCACCGTTGGAAATATTCTGGGACGGAGAGCAAGCAGCCAACGACGTGACTGCGCCAACGTGACCGCGGTGGGTGAAGTAACTGAGGATGTCCAAGTCGTTGCTCGAGCTAGGGCCATGTGCCCCAAAGGTACCATATGTTGCGGGAATAATCCAACGTTTTATCGTTCCGTCATCACTGCATGTACAAATTTCCGGTTCTGAAGGGCTTCCACCGCCAGTGAAGATGACAGAACGAATAACGTCGAGGTGTCCGCGGAGGGCAAACCGAACCTTGAAATTGGAATCCTGCTGGCCAACCCCAGCGCCAAAGTCTCGCGAGTCAATCGCACCGTCACTCTTGCGTCGTGAGCCGGAGCTCTTGCGCCGTTGAGAAAGTGATCCTCCGCGAGAGGGGGACTTCGGGTTAACAAAATTGGCGTTCGGGAACGCATCTGTGTCGGGACGATGGGGTGGCATAGGCTCGCTGGCCGGTTCCTTCTCGCTGGGCTCATCGAAATTCCAACCATCCATGTCTTCTGCTGCTTCTTCTGATTTGTTTTGCGGGTGCAGATCTTCCTTGACGGCCACTTGAGGGCCCTGGATCTCGAAAGCTGAGTGCTGCCCCATCGCTCGCTCTTCGACCAACCCTTGTTCGTAGGCGTGCTTGCGGTTATCAGTTACGGTGACTGCGCTCTGTTGAGGTTCCATCTGTCGTCGTTCAATGGACGCCTGTCCAGATTCAAACTGATTCTGCATACGAGTATTCTCTGCATATTGACTAGGCGAAGGCTGATGGTTCATGAGTGCCCCCTCGCGCGGCAGACGCTGGTTTGTTTTTTGAAACTGCTGCTGCAGGTATGCCTCCTCCAGGTTCTGCTGGGAGAGCTGCGGGTTTCCGTAAATCAACTCGGGCTCCGAGAGGTCCGGGGCAGGGTGGGATGTAGGGATCACATGGTATGCAACCTCCTGTGCGCATCGGGATAGATATACCCGCGACTTTTCTCGTTCGTCCTCCTGGCGGAACTCTGGAGGTGGGAAATTCTCAGGGTCGTCCTTGTTGACGTTCGGGTCCGAGCTCGGTGAAGAGCGTTGCGCTATTGAAGAGTCAGTATTCAATAACTTGTAGAAATGGACGTATGCAGAAGCCGAAATTACCTTTCAAAAAGCTTACGCTGTCACGCGCAATGTCCTTGGGGTCCTGGACATCGACTTTCTCGTTGTTGGAGAGCTTCTTCGCCTTCTCCCTTTCCTTCTTCAAGGCTGCCTCCATCAGCCGAACATGCTTACCAAGAGACTCATGCAACTGTTTGCTAGTCCTCAGTTCTCCTTCGAGCCGGCCGATACGAGACTTCATCTCCGCACGCTCGATTTCCCAGGCGTTGCGATCGCGTTCGTGCCGATGCCATTCCGTTTGAAGGAAACGCATCACCCCTGTTTCTTTTTGTCAGCCCATGGCACCGAGAGGGAAAAGGTCGAGAGATTACTTACCTTGCAGCGTGTACTCCGTCCCCTGCGAGTGTCCGCCACTAGAGCTATCGCCCATCGATCCCGGCATGCCGCCAAACCCAGACATGGCTGGAGATTGCCAGGCCATGTGCACGGTGAAGTGTCACCGGGACGCTGTGTTCGCGGCTGAGTAGGGCCGTTAGGAGCGCACCGTCCGACAGTGCTCGAGCTCGTGGTTCTCCTGACCCCCGTCGAATCCGCGGCGTAGTAGGGAAGTTCAATGCCCCAGATGGCGACGACGGCAGGGGAACCGCGTTCCACGCCGTGTCAGCCGGTTAATTGGAGAGATATCGAGCTGGCTGCGAGGAGAGAAGGCCAATGGTCGCTCTGCAGTAAGTGTCAAGGGCGTGCATTCGTTTGTTATGGACGAGATTGGGTGGCTTTTCGGGGGGCCTCGTGGAGCTTACCGCCTGCCGGATCGGGGGCCGGCTGGGGAAAGCACATTGGACATGCGAGGGCACCGCTGCCTTCAAGCCGCGGGTGGTAGCCGCTACATTCCTCTACAGTCGTGCTTATCGAACAGGGCGGGAACAAAAACATATCAATTTCAATAATTTATATAAATTTATGAAATGATAAAAAATAATCTATGCAAAAAATTAAAAAAGAAATGCAAACTCCCCCGAGCCGGAATCGAGCCGGCGACCTTTCGGTTATATGTTTCCATTACAGCCGAACGCCATATCCAACTAGACCATCGGGGGTTTGGTTGCGAAAATTTGATAAATCGTGGCTATATGATTCAACTTTCTGGGAGAGATAATCACTTCCAATATCTCAATTACTACGTAGTAGTTAGTGCCCAAAGTATGTAATGCCATCACTCGATTGGAAGATGCCTGGGAAACGAAAAGTTCTGGTAATCCATGGCCATAAGATACAGCCCTTCAAAAATTTTCCCTTTTGTTTCTCCGCGATGCACATTGGCAGTTCCCAATGTTGGAACCATCGGGCGGCCCCTCGGGGGATAGATTCATGGGGATTGACCCCCACCTTCCTCATTTTCCCAGCGCTTAACTATGAGTCCAGTCTCTACCAGTGTAAGAAGAGGGAGAAAAGATAATATCTTCCTCCAAGTCAGACCGCTACGTTAAGAGCCAACGGAGGCCGATAGAACATACTAAGCTAATTACGCCACAATCTGCCTCCACGGCAGAAGCCTGCGCCCTCAATGGGCGAAGAAAGGTTAGAGAAGAGCGATAAAATTGATTTGATTATAAAGGATGCTGTCGTAGACACTAGGTCAAGACGCAATAGCTGGGTTCAATACCCACGAGGACGCTTGGCCAGGGAGGCTCATCCTCGTCGTACCTTTGCGTAGAACTCGTCGACATTTTCAGGGGGCACCCACAGTCAGCAAACTACAGTTGATGTTGGAGGACGTGATACTTCACTCTTCACAAAAGAAAGCATTTGTCCTGAAACTCTCTATACATAAGCGCCGGATGTTAGCGAATACCTTACAGAACATGGAGCGCTGCGTACTCCTCAAACGAGATATGACCTCCTACGTGCAGTAGGTGCCAGCAACTCTGAGCGCTACCAATGCGCATTTGACTACTTAGCAAACTCAGTCACTTTCGTTACGGACGATACAGAGCAATCAAAAGCTCAGAATCTTCTTGAGGGTACCAGGGATCGGATGGAAGGTTATGGATTTTCGGACTCGGAGTCGGAGTCGGAACAGGCTTTGGGGCGAATTTGACCTCTTTAGAAGGTTCCAGGATGACAAGCTTTAGTACTTAGCGTAGATTGGAGGTTTACTTGTTCGATAAGATGCTGATCAAGTCATCTCGAAGTTATAAAAGACGGGTTTATGGCCAGCCTTGTTGTTTGAGGAGACTTCATGACCGTCCGAAGGTTCCAACGATCTTCCTTGCTCACATCAGCGAGGCCCTTTTTAGTCGCAAGCGTGAAAATTATTTTGAGTCTGTAAAAGCTGTGGGCCACGATGAGAGATTCGAGGCTCATATCCCTCAGGCCACCGATGCTGCTAGCGAGTCCATTTCTGAAATGGACGCCTGACTACGGGATTTCATGGTATATAAAACTGCCGAGCTCAAATAATACGCTTGCGAACTGCGAACGCGACAAGGGGGCTGGTGTGCCTGTGGTGGTCAGGACTGTCGGCGTTATGTGTTTTGGTAGGGGTCTTCCAGTAACTGGGTCCCGCGGCACAACGTTGATCGTATCCGTCCTCGGGTTTCATTTCTTCACGGAGAAGTCATTCCAATCAGTTAGAGTGATATCTGGAGGGACACGAGCTTTTTCCTTTGCAGCATGCAAGCGCGCTTTAGGTATGGCTTCGGTATAGAGACCTGGGAGGGCAACCCGTTTGCGTCGGGTCACCTTGTCTTCATCCAGAATCATCCAAGCCTTAGACTCCAGTGATACGACGAAGTCAATATGCATGTTAGGTGTCATTTTTTGGAGTATGAATCCTGGGTCGAGTTGATTGTTATCCGGCGCTGGCAGGTCGTGGTTGGAGGACATGGACATGTCATTTGTGGACAAGACGATGGCTCGATGTAAAGACCCTGGGGCCTGGCCTCACATACTTCTGCCTTCGGAACCACGACTTGGCCAACTGTGAAGGCCCGGGGCTTTGTCAGGTCATTAGATCCAAGGAGCCATCCCATTGGGCCTAAACCCTGCAAAGACATAACCCCTGTAGACCGGACACCAATCCACACCATATATCCTGCTACCACGCAGGGACCACACATTGGTCTGCGGTTGCGAATTTTTAGTCTCTGATCTAAGTCCCAGCTGAATTGATCTGAGTCTCTATCGGGAATCAGCCCGATCACCGCAAATAGCCACGCATCCCATGGACGCACATTGGAGAGAGTGGGCTGCCATCGGGTCCTTGACTTGACGCTGGAGGACTCCTTGACGGGGGACATTCTTGCAATTCGGTCGGTCAAGAGCGGCAATGTCGCCATAGTGTCCTTATCAACAGGTGAGCTTGAAGGCCTCGCTGGTTAGGCCTCGCTGGTTAGGCCTCATTGCCGTCCTCAGTCGTCCAGTTCTTCAGCTCCTGGGCGTACTGCTGCATCTCTGTCCAGTATTGGACACACTGGCGCTTGCTCTGGCGGCATTCCACCATGAATTGATACGCTGCTTTGTTCATGTCGAAGTAGCAATAGGCGTGAGCCAATATCGTAGTTGTAGTCAGCACATGTGGGCACGTAGAGAGAAAAGCCGAAGGAGTCGCAGCAATAAGCGTGAGCCAGTGTCGGGACGTGACCGGCAGATGCGGGAGTCGATGAAATCGTCGGATACGCAGTGGAAGAAGAGTCGCCGCTGTTCGTAGGCGAGGGAGAAGATAGGAGGTAAGAAAATTAAAAATGGAGATGGAAGACATTGTGGAGGGGTCCAGGCTCTAGTATTCATACTTGGGCGTCTCCAGGGAAGGTAAAGTGTCAAGGTGAAGTGAGATATAGCGACTGGTGGAATCAGGCTGAATTCACCTCGCTGCCTACCTAGGAAAGCAATGCTGAAGTGAGGGGTGGAACGTGGTGGTACAGTAAGAAACTTCCAGGCACCGTCTGAACTTGAGCGAAACTTAAAAGTACATAAAGAATCCTCGTAAAAGTAAGCTGAGAATGAAGGTGTGAAGCCCCCCCCCCAAAACTAAGTACTCAATGGGAATCTTGATCAATCACCGTTACGATAGATTCACGATCAACTGCCACATTCCACCTCCCGAGGTCCAGTATAGCATTTCTCTTTGAACGCTGTAGCCCATGTGGCCTACCTAGGTAGGACTGCCCGGGTCCCCGGTCACAGACCTGACTATCTACCAGGTCATCTACCAGGTTTTTGGGTTGTTCATCTACCTGGACACTCTGCATCATGGCAATGACCTAGCAGTGGCTTACGTAGAGGCTAAGGTCCTAATGTTTTGTGTACACCTGCACCAATAGCGTGGTCTTTTGGAGTTCATGTGTCTCGGGGACGAGACTCCAGTGAACTGCAGCAGAAGATATATAAACGCCCGGGTTGGCGACCAAAAACCAAACAAACGAACAAATGCCACCACCGCAATTTCCAATATGAAATGAGAGCTACCATTTTATTTTCAGAGTGGATCAAGGGACATCGCAAGTTGACACCTGCTAAGAAGCTTGGTGCTGGATAGTGTTCTTCCTGGATCTGACAGCACCACAAAATGGGAACGGGACCTTGATCCGAGTGTAGATTTATATTAACTTAATTGTGGCTGACATCGCAACCAAACCCCCGATGGTCTAGTTGGATATGGCGTTCGGCTGTAATGGAAACATATAACCGAAAGGTCGCCGGCTCGATTCCGGCTCGGGGGAGTTTGCATTTTTTTTGGTTTTTGATTCTTTTGATTTTCCCATATTTTTTTTAACCCTTTACTCTATTTTACTTTCTCATTTTGATTATAATAACACATTTTCTGGAAATAATTGACTCCGAGTCCTCATTCCAAGAACATTACCACGTAGGTAAGTGACTGTTCAGATGACTCCGAGACTGATTGGGCGACTGCTTTGATGACCGCCTGTTTGGTGGCTATCGCCTTTCGTGGGGCTAGTATAATAATATTTTCGGTATAGAACTTGAATCTACTCTACCAAGCCTTTGGGGAGGGTACTTACTAGGTTCAAGTCCTTCGCCACAGCCACCGAGTAACTAGGTTAGTACCCACTAACGTGATTCACTACCGAGTCGCCCACCCTACCGAGCCGCCCGCTCCGCCCGCGAACGCGTATTTCTATCCCTTCCTACCACTTCATCCGGCAACCATGCCACCAATTCGCAATATTACCGTCCATACGCGTGAGAACCAAGAGGGCAGGTTATTACTTGCTATAGAGGCTCTCAAAAACGACGAAAAATTGACTGTCCGACGCGCTGCAGACCTATATGATGTTCCTCGTACTACCCTCCGCGGTCGCCGCAGTGGCACAACTGAACGCACTGCCACGCGCGCAAACAGCCATAAATTGACTGAATTGGAGGAGAAATCGCTAGAGAATTGGGTTCTTTCTATGGACGACCGTGGAATTGCTCCTAGGCATGAATTGGTGCGAGAGATGGCAAATTTGCTACTATCTCAGCGCGGCAAAGGTCCTCCGGTCACGGTCGGCAAGAATTGGGTCACCAAATTTATTAAGCGCACGCCAGAGCTTGATACACGATACACACGCTGTAGGGACTATCAGCGTGCTCTCTGTGAGGACCCAAAGCTAATTCAGCAATGGTTTGACCTTATTCAAGAGGTTATTTGCAAATACGGTATCCACCAAGACGATATCTACAATTTTGACGAAACTGGCTTCGCAATGGGCCTCTGTAGCACTTCTAAAGTAGTAACTCGCGCTGGTTACTATGGACGAAGGGCTAAAATCCAACCGGGGAATCGTGAGTGGGTAACGGCAGTTGAAACAATTTGTATGAGTGGATGGGCGCTTCCGCCGGTGCTCATATTCAAAGCGAAAACCTACAATTCGGCCTGGTTTTCCTCCGAAATTGACCTCCCTCGCGACTGGCATATTGAGGTTAGCGATAATGGATGGACGACTAATGAAATTGGCCTTCGGTGGTTAACAAACCACTTTATACCATTGACTAATGGTTATACAAAGGGCAAGTGGCGTCTCCTAATTTTGGATGGACATGGAAGCCATATGACTGCTCAATTTGACCAAATATGTAGAGATAATAATATTATCTCTATCTGTATGCCGCCACATTCGTCTCACCTACTTCAACCACTTGATGTAGGTTGTTTCTCTATTATCAAGCAAGAATATGGTCAATTGGTTCAGTCAATGATAGTGGATGGTATACACCACATCGACAAGCTTGATTTCTTGTCCAATTACCCCTATGCGCGCACAAAGGCATACACACAATCAACTATTCGAAATGCTTTTGCTGGCGCCGGTCTTCTACCTCTCTCTGCAGAGGGTATTAGAAAAATTGAATATCCATATCAATGTTACTCCCCCAGGGAGTAGGGCAGGAGAGAGCGGCAGCAGTGGTTTTATCCCCTGTACACCACAAAAGCCTACTGAAATTCAGCGGCAAACACGATCAATTGGCAAATTACTACAGCAAGCTCGCCAATTAGCGCTGGATACCAATATTGAGAGAGCTTTGGTGCAAATCGAACAATTAGCAAAGAGCGCGCGCTCTAGTATGCATGAAAAAACGCTATATTTAGCTGATATCAACCGAATGCACGCTACCCATGCTAAGCAGCAGAAGAAACAAGCAATTCCTGGCACAAATATTGGTCGATCGGAGGGTTGTACGCGCGCACAGTGGGAGGAGGAATATGTTCGTGCCAATGATACTACTACGGCAGGTCCTAGTGGGACAGGAAAAACGACATTTCAGAGAGCGCCGCCGCGTTGTTCGAATTGCAATACTCTTGGGCATAAGAGAACACACTGCCCGGCTTAGTTTGATATATTTATCAATTTCATACAATTCCTGGTGGTCGAGTAATATTCAAAAATAATGGTAGGGGCCGAGCGGAGCGGGCGGCTCGGTAGGGTGGGCGACTCGGTAGTGAATTACGTTACAAGTTCTTAGTCAGCGAGGCGATTAACCGCGATTGGGCCGTCCCTTTCGGGTTGGGTTCTTCGATGCAAGCGGGCCCGGGTAGCCGCCCTGCGATGCGCCTCGAGGGAAATAAGGAGACTGGTCGGCGGGAATAATTCGACACCGTGCGCGAGCAGCAATTGCCTTCTTTTTAGGATACTCGATGCGATAGAGTCTCTCCTATGTCACCTACTAGTACTAGTATCCATAATGTGGGCATCAGTAGGAGTGCCTCTAGTGTGCTATGTACGTTTGTAATCGTAGATCGGGAGCTGCCACTGCAGGCCAGACCGCGCACGGCCCCGATCCTTCCCAAACTCGCAACCCGCACATCTTCTCTTCTTCGATTCTCGCAACCGCGACGGGGCCCAGGGTTACTCTTTCTCCGACCGGCGCCTCCTGTTCGATTCATCATTTGATTATTCCCCATACTCCCTGAGGTCGCCTCAGATTTTATTCTCCCGTCACTCCGTCGCCCATTTTCCCGCCACCGCCAACTTCACGAATCTCCAGTCCTGCATCCTTTTCGGGCCGTGGGCCGTGGGCCGTGCAAAGCCCATCACGTGCAGCTATCCCCGTTGGTTCCATACAGATTCTTGCCGCGAACCCCCGTTCTTTCACTAACCGTCGGTCCCAGGTCATCTCGTAGCATGACCTGGTAATGGCATCCCGATTTCCTCCATCATCCGGGTTCAACTCCCGCGACCGCTCCCCCCAGCGCTTTGGGGATCGCCGCCCGCCTGCCGCCCGGGGTCTCGACGATGGCAGTCCTTCATTTGGCAGAGAACCCCCGCGTGGCCCCCGTGCTCTAGTCGATTCACCGCGAGGTGGCCCCTATGGCGGTGGCCGAGGCCGTGGTTATGGACGCGGCGACTTTAGAGACCGGGACCGCGACCTCCGAGACCGAGACCGTGACCGTGATCGTGACTTTCGGGATACTCGCGATGCCCCCCCATTTCGACGGGATCTGGACCGTGACTGGGTTCGCCGAGACCGCGATTTTGACCCCCGCGACAACAGGGGTGGCTTTGGACGAGGCCGCTCCCGCTCGCCCACCCGCGACTTTCGCGACTTAAGAGAACCTCCCGGCCGGGATTTCGACCTTGTGCGCATGCGACGCAATTCCCGCGACAGCCTTCTCTCAGCTTCCTCAGGCGGCCCCGATGGACCCCCACCCAGTGTCAGTCACCGAGGCGGTGGCTCAATGCGTGGACGCGGGCGTGGGGATTGGGACGGAGGCCGAGGTCGGGGGCGCCCTCCCTATCATGATGATCGTGAGCTGTTCCGGCGACGCAGCCGCTCCCGGGATACCTGGCGCGAACGTGGAAGGGATCGGCTGCCTGATCGGATGCCCGACCGAATGTCTGATCGTGATCGAGACCGAGACGTGGACCGGGACCGCCCCTCTGCCATGGTCGACCGTATCGCAGACCGAGACCGCGATCGAGATATGCGTGATCGAGACCGAGACCGAGACGTCGACCGACGAGACCGTTTCGACCGTCGAGAGGAATGGGATGTGCGGCGACCTGAACGTGATGATCGAGACCGGCCACCAGAGTCGTGGAAGAGAGGCGACCGACCTCCTAGCCGAGCGGATAATCGTGGCTCAGTAGGCCCGGCCTCGTCTATCCAGCATTCTGCGTCGTTAGCCGCCCCTGCGTCTGCACCCGCGCCCGATCGTTTGCTGGAGCAGCCACCCTCAGACCAGAACCGCAAGGGATCTATTTTCTCAGGTTTATCTGGACCCGATGTTCGACGTGATAGCGAGCGCTCAGAGGCCCCTCTCCGACCAGAACCGTCCAAGGAACCGCCAGTACAGGCTGCTCAAAATTCACCTCCACCGTCAGCTCCACAAGTCCCTGCGTTTGGCTCTGTCCCTACTCCAATTCCGACATTTTCTACGGCCAAAGGAACCTCCGAAGGGCGCACGGGTCATGATGCACCGGCGCCGGCAGAGAAAGACCGTCCTGCACCCTCAGTACAACCTCCGACAGGTTCCAAGGCAGATCGCCGCGATCTGTCTCAGCAATCAGACACAGGTCACCACCAGGAGGAGCCAGTTCGAGCCGCAAGAACATCCGCACAATTATCCGAACAATCTCCGCCAACTGCTCCCGCTGCTATGGCCAAGCGAGACTCGGTCTCTGCGTCCACTGAGCCACACGCCCCTCCCAAATCCAGCGCTTTGAATTCTTCTCCAACCCTTACACGACTTCCGCTGCCAGCCCCACCGCCGCTTTCTAAAGAACCATCTACCTCACCTCGACTGTCATCATCAAACATCCCCACGGCCCCGCGAGCATATCAACATCGACAAGAACAACTACAAGCTCTATCGCCACGGGGTCCCAACAAAGGCAATAAACCATGGGTTCGTCGCAGTTTCAGCCGTGGTCCATCTACCCCAAATGCGCCGCCTCAGAAGGAAAGCGAGGAGCGTGATGGCTTTCCTCTAGCAGAGGAGGAGAAATCTCAGCGCGAAATCGGGGCTGCGACCCCCGAATTCGCAGAACGGCCAGAAAAGGCCAACCCTCCTTCTGCCGTAGAGCTTGTCAAACACCGTTCTCCGACATCGCCCTCTATGAGACTACCCATTCGTAGTAGCCCACCGCCCGTGCCGACTGTCGAGGAAGGACCTGGGAGTGAGCCGGAACAACCGAAGATGGAGGATTCGGCGATCATTCCTGACTTCGGGCAATCAACAGACGAGGAAGAAGAAAATGTTGTCTTTAATCAAGAATACCTAGAGGAGCGGAAGCGGATTTTTGAGAAGGATATGCAATCTCTTCGAGCCGAGCTGCCTCTGTCGCCTTTGGAAGACCCGGACCTTCAATCTCTATTGCTCCGAATTCAGCTTCTCGGCAAGATAGCCCAAGAGCAGATGCCAGAGCAACATTTCGAACCGCTTCCATCGGTGGAGGATGAAGAACCCCCGACCATCGCCACGAGCACAGCGTCAAACAATGAGCGAGTGGTGTCCTTCGCCCCGACAGCCCCGACACAGGAGCCGGAAGCGGTTTCGCAAACATTCGTCCCGCCAGTTGTACTTCATGACGAGATCACCATCGATAGCTTGCCCTTCCTGAACTCAGGTCCTCCAACTCCTATCTCGGACCTCGAGGTATCTCACGATAATGCGGCTCAGCTCGATAATTTCAAGGACATTTTTCGCAGCGAGCTTTCCAAAAGAAAGAAAGAGATTGCGACGAAGAACGCCGGTTTGAGGGAGGAGTACATGTCCTACTACAAGCCCTGGCGGCTTACAGTATGGGAGCTGGATCGCAAGAAAGACAAGAAGCCCATGACGCCGGGCCCAGCGTCACCGCCGGCACCCACCCTCCCACCTTCCCCTGCACCCGTCCCAGAAGTGCGAGAAGGACGTCGATACAAGGGCAATAGCGAACTGGATTTCCTCAATGCACTGAAAGCCTCCGAAATCTCCGCCCAAGAAGAACTGGAGCGGCGAAGAACCAAAATGGCGACTGCCCGCCCTGATCTGTCTCGGGAGGCTATCATTCCCGACATGTTAGAACCGCAGGAGAAGAAGGCCTGCATATACAAGGATGTCAACAACACAATTGATCCCAACCAGGCTATGGATGTGTTTGGCTTTTTCCTGCCGCCTAACGACTTCACCAAGGAGGAGCACGGCATGTTTACGGACGCCTTTATGGCACATCCCAAGAGATGGGGTAAAATCGCCGAGTCATTACCCGGCCGAGATTTCCGGCAGTGTATTGTCCATTACTATCTCACCAAAGAAGAGATTAAGTACAAGGCAAAACTCAATAAGAGATGGAGTCGTCGTGGGAGAGGAAAGACCAGATCTTCCCGCCCCAAGTCTAATGCGCTTATTGCTGATCTAGGAGTAGTCAAACCAGACCTCGAAGGTGAAGACGAAATGCCTCAAATCACCGAAACAGGACGTCCGCGTAGAGCTGCGGCGCCTACTTTTGGTGATTCGAACGATCCCGAAGGCAGCACGCCTACCCGCCGGGGCCAGTCTACAAAGGATGGCGAGGTCATCGAAAAGTCTTCAACCAGCCGACGTGGTGGACGTGGAGGAGCGCGTGCGCAAAGACGCACCAAGACCACCGCCCAGCAAGACCCCAAGACCCAGGGCCAACCTGCGAGCAACATTCCTCTCGCGGCCCCGCCGAGAATCGAAGTGGGTGCTGATGGGCTCATCGAAAACTCCCTAGGAGCCTTGCCCCAGGACGGGGAAGCGGTCACAAAGGACATGGCCCTCCCTGCCAGTCGGTCGAGACCTGGGCGTGGCAGAGCCAAAGATGGCATGTATGTCTTCGAATCTACCGAAACAGAACCTGTCATGGCCCCCAAACAAGCCGAAACGGGCTATGGCTCCTTGCAACCGACCAGCTACTGGTCTGTTCCCGAGCAACGCGATTTTCCCCGACTGCTGGCACATTTTGGTCGTGACTTTGAAGGCATTTCGAATTTTATGAAGACTAAGACAACCGTGATGGTGAGTGTGATTATGATTATGATTCTTTGTCCTGGACATGTTCTCTAATATGGTTGATCGCAGGTGAAAAACTACTTTCAGCGCCGCCTGGATTCGGGACAGAAGGATTTCGAAGAAATACTTCTAATCGCAGAGGACAAGAAAGCCCGGGGAGAAGCCACCGGACCTCTTCCTGTGCCCAGTGTTGCTCCGAAGCGACGGTATGAGGCGACACCATCCGCTATCGTTCCTCGTCCCTTGGCTCCTCACGGTGAACTCATGACCGAGGCGGACGAGACACGTTACAACCTTAAAGGCAAACCCCTGGCGATGTCCCCGCAGCCAGTTTCACTCCATGGACATCCTCTTCCAGAAGCCGAACGTGGCCCAGGTCGCTATCCGACGCTCGCTCAAGCCTCCGCTGCGGCGGCGGTACCTCCAGTCGCCGCTACCCTTGGTGATGATGCTTCCCGTGCTATGCGAGCCCAGGCAGGACCCCCGTCTCGCATTCAAGGTCCGCGTTTGGGTTACTTCACAGAGGAACGAAGAGACTCGAGCCTGCTCCCGCATTCCTCATCACGGGCTCAAGATATCCCTCCCCACCCGGCGGACTTGGCTCGAATGGACCCTTTGGCCCAACCTGCGTATATGTCTACGCAGGCTCCGACCCTTCTTCCCTCCACACATTCTCGCCATCCCAGCCTGACTCAGACTCCTGCATCGCCAACGCAGTTATCAAGGCCGGACATCGATGTCCCTTCGACGCACCGCGATCCCTTTGGTCAGAGGGGGTATTATCCACTGTCGAATCACACAGTGGGAATATCCCACTCTCCTCGGCCTGTCTTGTCTCCTGTTAAAGATATTCCACGGGCAAGTGCTACACCGGCTCCCGAGGCTCCTCGTCAAGTTCCGGCGAAGCGGTCCAATATCATGAGTATCCTGAATGACGAGCCCGAGGATCCTCAGCCACGAAAGCGATTCGCTAGCGAAGCGCCCTCTGCTCCGATTTCTGTTTCGACTTCAACATCTAGATCTGCCTACCCAGGCACAGGCACAACTCGCTCGGAGGAAGTCGTCAAGCCTGCGGGTTATGGCCAGCAAGGACAATATGCGCCGCATTCGCGTGGCTATGCAGAGTATCCTGGCTATGGACCTCCCCCGGCTGGCGGGTCAGCTACGTCCGCGAACAATGACTGGATGGCACGGTTCGATCCCCGGGCCCCTCAAGCTGGACCACCACAGGCGGGGCCGCCGCCGCCGCCAAGCAGTCGCCCTGCCCCATCCGTGGCAGCTCAAAGTCCCTTCTCGCCCTATGGTTCTGCACCATCCCAGCCGCCGGGGTCATTGAACAACATTCCTGCTCCTTCTCCTGCGCCGACACCACCTCCTGCTGCCTCCCAAAGATCTGCGTACCCGAATGTCTTCTCACAGCCACCCTCGGGCCAGCCAGCCGCCAGCGTTCGTGATATGCCATCCCAGCCCTCGGCATATCGGGCTGTTTCTCCTCCGCCGCGGGCAAGCAGCGCGGCCTTTGGTTCCCGGCAAGAACCTCCACCGCCAGCCCAATCGTCACCTGGTCTCTTTGGTCTACCACCTCGCCAGAATGGCTCTCAGTCCGCATATGTTTCGGGTGCAGCTTCCACGCCAGCATCGGCCCAGCCTCATAGCCAAAGCTACCAGCAACATGTTCAGACTCTGGTAAGTGGGTCTCACCGCTCGACCCCGGTCAGCATGCCTGGAGTTCCTCCACAGTATGGGCACAGCACTCCGCCCCCACAAGCGCAAGGCGGTCGCTCCATGCCATCGCTGACTAGTACGCTGGGACGTTCGTACACTCCTCCATCCGCCTTACATCCCTCGGTAGGCAGCAGCGGCATGGCCTACGCACCACCGCCACCATCAACACCAGGAGCAATGCCACCACTTCAGCAACGGCCCCCGGGGCCAGGTTCGCTGGCAGATCCTGCACCGCCGTCTGCTCATCACCGCGTGTACAGTCAAGGTTCGACGCAGGGTGGATTGCCAGGCCCATTGCATCCGCCGTCGCAACCTCCTCGCTAAGTAGGTTGGCTTTTGAAATGTTTAGGGCTTCAGTCCCCATCAGAAGCCACATGTCTTGAGTCTCATGTATTTTAGGAGGAACGGATTCCCTATTTTGTCGATCACTTGTCTATGATTCAGGCATTATTGCCGATTCAGACGTTTTTGTTTGTCTACATGTACTACTAAATGAATGACTTGATGTATGCTACGTTTGACATTGTTTTTCTGCCGTCACAAAACGCACTTGAATTCCAAGTTCGTCAGCTAATGCCACCTACTCAAGACTACCTACTCAAGACTACCCTAAGGTAGTACCTACTAAGTCAAGCTCGTAACTAGATAAGGATGATGACATCATTTCTGCTCACATCAGAGTGGAATTCGCGAAGAGATTGAAGTGTGAGGACGGGCGAGATTCTGGGATGCCCGAAGAACCTACAGGCTAGTATCAAATCCTTTGATGCAGATGGTTAGTTCTTATCACGAGATATACCCTACTATACCTCTACTGAGGGTTTTCAGATATCTTCTAGTAATACCTTAAGGTACACATCTTAGGGTACTCCAGACTCGTGATTCTGTGAGCAGAAGGGTAGGCATTTTGCTCTTTTAGCATATACCAAGCTAACTTGGGAACTTTTTCTCTTTTTAAAAAAAAAAAAATTAAAAGAAAAGAAAAAATTGAAACATAGGACATCAGAATAGTGTGCATTGTGTATACTGTAGAGTTCTAGGTGACTGCCAGATGCGGATTGATCACGTGGGGAGACCCGGGTAGAGAGCCTGTGTTTACCTCCATGAGTCATAGAATGGACGAACTTTCATCAATTCCCAGCATGTTAGCTCAGGGGAAGAGCGCCGGGCTCATAACCCGGAGGACCCTGGATCGAAACCAGGACATGCTATCTCACATTCTTTTTAATTTTTATACATCGTCCACCTCTTATGAAAACTTTAGATTTTATCGATTGTCATTTTGACAATTATTTTACTTTTTGAAATTGTTTTCCCTTCCCGGGTACTCTTCTATTCCCCCATTTTTCCCCTCGCGCTGAGGCCCTCTTCAGCTGGAGCTTCCCTTTCTCAGCCACTTTTTTTGACTTACCCAAGCGTTTTCCCCCGGCTTTATTATCTGAGACGCTCTGTCTAGCCCATTGCATCCTTTTCTCCATTATCTACCAGATTTCCTATCTAGGTGTCTACCTAGTCATGCACCCAGTCATCCATTTATTCATCCGCCTGGAAAGAAACTTTATGGCACTATCCTCTTTTCTTTCCTTTTCCTCCCTTCTGTTTCCTCTCCTTCCCCTTTCTTCTCTTCTGTTTTCTCATGGCTCGGGATCACCTGCCTTTTCTTCTTTTCCCCTAGTCTCGTCATTTTCAGTCGAGATTGGAGAAGGGCTGTCTATAAATTGGTCTCTCCTGTTCTTTTTCCTCCTCTTTTTTTCTCTTCTCTCACGGCCCTCGATTCCAGATCTTATTCGACACTACAGCGATTATCTCAGTCGCTTTATTCCAGGTGCTCGTCGTCGCCTGGCCCCGTTACAGGTGCCCTTCGCTCGTTCTATGCCCGCCTCTCCACCTTCTGTGATGCCACGGTCCCCCACCCGCCCCACACTAAACCTTTCCAACTTCGCACCCAATAATCCCGAAAACCGATATCGTTCTGTTTATCGCCCGATCATCTGATGGTCTACGTACTGCGAAAAGCCTCCTCCTCCGCTGAGCCCTAGAATGGTAAAAGGCCCGGTTTATTGAAGCTCATGAGTCGATTCACACCGACGTCAGATTCTACACCTTGATGAATAAATCTAGTTACAACCCACTGGCGAGACAGCGCAGGCCTTTAGAGAGCTATGCAACACTTCGGGCACTTTCAACAATTACCTCAGGGTGATTTTGAATGGATGGGACGGACAGACCACACATGAGGTCATCCTCGGATATTTTTTTCGAACGACATCAAACCGGTCGCTCTTTGTCTACGCCGCCGATATTACCAATACTCCTCTCTCTCTCTCGATATCGAATCATTCCAAACACCCGAGTGGTCAACCCTGCTCAGTTTTCTCCTCTCACCCTTTTGCCAGGTCGCTCTGGTTTCCCCTTGCCAGTCGACCGATCACAAGCAGCACCCTGGTTCGACCAGTAGTGCTAATGCTCTGCACTACGTGGGCAGCTACCTAGGAAACGAACAAATCCTCTTATCGACTGGTCTTTTATGAAATTCGGACTTGCATGAGTACAGACATTCTTGTCTCCATTGCCATCGCTTCTTTCGGTGCTTGCGTCGTGTAAGCACGACTACTACATCATAGTGTCCAATTCGTGTTGACCGGTTAACGGCTTCAAGGTCATCGCTCCAATGTCTATCGCACCTGTCTACAAGTTTAACTAATTCTACATAGCCTTCGACCAAGAATATCCCTCACAATGATCTCTTCCTCGCCCCTCGTTACCTTCCATGGTCGCCTCCGCCCCCTTCGGCCAACAAACCCCGCCGACCAGTCCAACGGTTTTCCATTTTGTCGCCCGGTCGTCAGATGGACCACGGGCAGTGAAGGATCTGATGTAGCGACGGAGTCTGGAGTGGACGAAGGCTCGCTACGAGTTAGTATATGGGCCAATCGATGGCCATGTCCGACATTACATTTGTCAATGGATCGAACTACGCTAACCGCCCAGGTATTTAATGACCTGCTGAACGAACAAGAGCAGTTGCAGAATCACCTTACAATGGTTCTGAATGGGTGGGACGGTTTGACCATCCTGGATGGTGACTAAAGCGCTATGAGACGAAGACACCAGAAAACAGAAACGGTCAGCCCGGACGTCTGCCTATACCTTGGTCGGGTCTGGGCCATCGACAATCTCTGACCACGGACTTCTCGCCTATGATGGAGTCCTCTCAGACCCTTCCCTTATCCTTCGATTACCTACTCTTATTACTAATGTATTTTATCTCGGTGGTCACACCGAAGATATTATTCATAGAGATGAGCTCGTATATCGGTGTGAGGGTTGCCCAAATCGCAAGTATCCTTATAACGAACATACTAATTTACGTACCCTTTATTCTTCTAAACATCAATATTTTTATCAAATTCCTCTGCCGGTATTTTGACCGTAACACAGCCAGCCAGCATGCGAAATGCCTGCAGTGGTTGGCCAGGTTCGCCCAATTCGGGACTGAGAATGCTGGCGAAAAACCCTGGTCGGCGCATAAGTATAAGCGGCGACTATCGTCTCATCTTCAACGACATCACATCTGACGGGCTTCAATAGAACACTTTTGAAGAGGTCATCCTTAGCTATAAGAGAGATTAAGTTCTCGATATATATAAACTCACAGATGACTCAGTAGATGACTGGGTAGACGAAAGGGTAGATAATCGGATAGGGATTCAGAAAAGGGACAAAAGAGGGATCCAAAAACGCGGCTAATCAAGGGTACCCGCAGCTCGAAAAGAGCCATAGCAGAGATGACTTGGGAAGTAAATGATGGAAAAGGAATGAAAATGTTGAAAATTAAAATAATGAAACAATGACAATCGATAAAATCTAAAGTTTTCATAAGGGGTGGACGATGTATAAAAATTAAAAAGAATGTGAGATAGCATGTCCTGGTTTCGATCCAGGGTCCTCCGGGTTATGAGCCCGGCGCTCTTCCCCTGAGCTAACATGCTGGGAATTGATGAAAGCTCGGCCATTCTATGACTCATGGAAGCGAGCAGAATAAAAGATATAATCTTTGAGTCATGGTGGGTCCCGCACCCGTCAACTATAATATCACAGGGCTTAGCGTAGGGTTTACTACCTTTCCCATGCCCTAATTCACTACTATTAAGTGTTATACTGATCAAAAATTACATCGCGATTTTGGAAAGTGGGAAATTCTATCTTATAGAGTATCAAGATGAATTTCTGGGTTGGTGGGCTGCGCGAGTCGCGAGACTCGCAGCAACGGCAATATAACACCACTCGAGGATTCATTGACTAGAAGCAATCCTTCATGACACTCGATAACTCTGCTCCGTAGTCAAACATGAACCCGCCATTCGGCATTTGCTGCCACGGGCCATCCTCCGGAACTGGACCAGTCCCAACGCCCATAATCTGATCTTCCAGATTACCGACGGCTTCGAACCATTCCATCAGCTCCTGTGTCATCTGTGCGCCATCTAAAGGTGTTTGGTTAAGAGTACTCGAATCTGCAGCTAGGGGGAGGCTCCTTGTGGATACAGCGATTCTCCATTCTCGTCTTCCTCGGCACCGGCACGACTGCATTGCCGTCCCTTCTGCACGCCCAGCCCCAGCTCAGGGCCAAGCTTACGCAGACTTCGAATCGATCTCCAGAGACGTCGTGAGATATAAGACTTGGACGAGAAACCCTTAACTAGCTCCAACGCCCAGTAGAACTCTTCTTTGCAAGAGCTGCTAAACTGGGCGGGGGCTTGCGCAACGGCGAGGAATAGCACAGCCAGTGCAGAAACCAAGAACCAGTTGAAGGCGACCTGTTGGAGTTGATAAATATCGGAAGTCTCATTCAGTCGAGTAATAAATTGGATGGTGTCCTTGGCAATGTTTACAACCGTCTCCGCCTCGCCGGGATATCGCGCAATATGACCCGCCGTGTGTAGAACCGGTCGATGGATGAGCATGCGCAGCTGATTCGCGCGCAGATAAAGCAAAGCCCGCAACCGTCGCAGGCTTCGAGGGCCATCAATGGCGGCATTGGACTCGGGCGTACTGGGGTGAACTAAACGCAATGAGACGGGAATAGTATTTTCCCAGCGGAGGACTTGCCAGTCCAGATAATTCATCTCGTCCTTTTTGATTTCATTGGTGTTGTTAAATGCCGAGATGAATTTCCAGACCTTGGCCGCAATGCGGCTGTAGCGGATCATCACTCGTAGGTATGGTGTCTTCTCCTCTGGTTCGGGAAGCCAGGGGTCGATGTCTGTGTCCTCCAAGGCAAACGGCATCCCGGTCCCAAAACTCCAGCGCATATCAAGGATGTAAATGGACCAGAACAGACGCAGTATACGGTCTTTTCCGGCAGCCAGAATAGCTGGTTGATTCAAAGTCTCTCGTCGGTGCAGACCCTTTTCCAGGCACATGCGTTCCACGATCCCGATGGTACGCCATGCAAGCGTCTCCTCGTCCATCTGAAAATAGAATATTGACTATCGCTGCTGTGAATCACGAGAGCTCGCTTGTTCATCAAGGTGTTACTTACCACAAGCGTGAGGAATATGATGCTCTTAATATCAGGTGGTCCCCAGACGCAATTGTCTTGCACTTCTCGCACGCTGTCGAAGAGCGAGATCGCCTGCTCACTGCGACCGCTGGCTTCTGCGGTCAAGGCGCACGCAAAAACCAAACGAAGGATATACACATCTTCGCGGTCAAGCGCGTTTCGTCCATCAGCTCCCGTATCCGTGTGCAATGTTCGGTCCATTAGGCCGTAGAGTGTATGCACTTGGTCGAGGAGCTCTGAAAGCTTCAACACTGGGTACATAATTCCCATTTCTTCCTCGTAGACTTTGCACAGTCGTAATGCTTCGGCTTTTGGTAGAGCCCATAACGGGTAGATCGCCTGGTGTAGTTCCATGTCATGGTTCGGGGCGACCGGAGAGGCAAGAGGTGATGGCTCTTGCGTGAAATCGCCTTCCTCGTTGGCCTCTTCATTATGCTCGACGATGCCCCGGCTCTGCAGGCTGGACTTGGCAAGATCAAAACTGAAAGCAGAAGTTGTCGGGCCTTGAAAAGGGGCTTCACGAGCCACCGAAACCCTCCCAAATGGTCGTTGCGTCGGCAAAAGCCCATAGGAGCCCGTTGCTGGCCCAACGATGCTCGAGCGCGCCCCACCCACAGGCGAGTTTTCGCTGTACGCGATAGAGCGCACCGCGGCGGACAAGGTCGAGATTTGATCTTGCATTGACTTCATTTGCTCAAACAGCCGCTCGAAGTTTCTGCAATAGTCAGTGTTCATTCAGGTTGTCACCGTTTGGATTTTCGGGACGTGGCATACTCATGCTCACCGGTGCTGTCCGGCCGGGCATTCTCAACGTACACGCATTCGAGGCGCTGCCGACCACAGCGCTGGCAGGGGCCTTCCCCGTTGCATTTGATCTTCCGGCGCTTGCATTCATTGCTGTATAATAGTCAATATACCGCCAGACCCTGACTTGGGTTGTGTGAGAGGAACGTACCAGGCTCGCGCGATGTACTTGCGCCGTTTCTTCCGCGGGCGCTCGACCTGGGGGTCGTCTACCCCGGTCGCCTTGTCCCAATCCGGATCGGCGTGTGTCTGCAGGAGATCCATGCTGCTGTGCGACCGCAATCGCCAGGGGATTTACTTGTGGCACTTTCGTGCAGGAGAGTCGAGGAGGTTGGAGGAGGGAAGGCGAGTGCGGGGAATTCCGCCCAGTGGCGTTTCCCCGGACCCGCGCGCATTTACTTATGGGCTGCGCCGGTTCGGTCATTACGAGACATCTTGCCCTGAGGAATGTAATGTATACGATGTGAAATATACCGGGATCGAAGATCATTTTAATCTTGTTTTCAATCGTGCATGATCTCATTGCTTAGCCCATGTACAGGTCATGTATCAAAAAATCCAAGTCACTAATTCATGCTTGCTAGGGACGCGGTTCTCCTTTTATACCGCTCTGAATCTTCTACCACATACGAAAAACCGGAAATATTTGGTGCACTATATACAAGAGCCTCCCTTCTTCTCGAATTTAGAATCAGGAAGCTCGGTCACGAGACAAAGTATCGTCATCTTGGACCGGATCACAGATCCTTGGTCCGCTCGTCACTCTCGGCAATCCACTGCTCCAGCTTCTTCGGGTCGCGCGCCGTGAAGCCGACCTTGAACGGCTTGGGCTCGGTGGTGAGCGCTGTGGGGATGGCATTACAGTTGATGGCATCGAGCACTGGGCGATCGCTGGCCTGCTTGGCCGGGTGCATCTGGAAGGCCGTGATCAGGCGCACGAACGCCGTAAACAGCTCGCGGTTGGCCAGGTGCGAGCCAGCACACATGCGGGATCCCGCGCCATAACCGTAGTGGGGAGTTCCAGAGGCTTCGCCCAGATTGAGATAGCGCTCAGGAATAAACTTGTCGGCCTGCTCGAAGTGATCCTCATCGTAGTCGGCCGCCCACGCATTCTGAGATGGAATCAGCATTGGCGCGCTATTTAAATGGCGAGGGAGATGAAAATGACTAGGATAAACTCACCATGAAGAAGGTCGTACCAGCAGGGATAGTCGTTCCATTCCAGACGATATCTTTGGTGCTCTCGCGAGGCAAGCAGATGGGAATGACGGTCCAGAATCGCAGAGTCTCCTTCACTAGAGCGGTGACATAAGGCACTTTTTCCTCTACCAGGCATTTCTCCCAAGCATCGCCGTCAGGATAGACCTTCATAATTTCCTCATAAGCCTTCTTTTGAATGCGTTGGCCATCCTCGGAGGCCAGATACGCAATACCCATGATGAGGTTGCCCGGAACGGTATCCAATCCAGCGGAGACCATGGTCAGACAGATCGATTTCACCTCGGCTGACATTCTGCGTTAGTGCCCTGTACATCGAACCACGGTGTATTTCTCGGTACTCACCGTCATTCAGCTTTGCTTCCGGGTCCTTGAGAATGTTACCCGTGATGCACGGCTTGTCCGTGCCCTTCTCGATGCGATCCTTCAGCATGTTCAGCAGGAAGGTCAGGTAGGTATCACGTCGGGCACGGAACTCTTCCGCCTCGTTGTTCATCTTGGGGAAGATGCGCAAAAGTGGGATGTAGTCCTGCCAGTTGTTGGAGGTACTGCGGAAGTTGGACACGCCTCGCTCGACATCGACGATCTCCTTCAGAAGCTTGTCATCCACGTTGCCTTCAATGCGGAACCCATAGTTCAGCGTCAGGCTGGTGTTGAGGGCAAAGCGTTGGAAATAGGCGGTAGGATTGACATCGACCGTTCCATTCTTGCTGTCCCGGTAGAGCTCCTTGATGCTGGAGTTCGCCTCGAGGTCAATGATGGGCATATATGACTGCACGGCGGGTCGGTTCAGCGCGGTGGCGGCTGCCTTGCGGCGGCGCTTGCACGATTCATCCCAGGGGGAGGTGCCAATGGTGAAACCCTGGGAGCTGGACACTACGCTGTGGAAAGTGTGGAAGGTTGGGCGCGAGATGAGCGCCGACTGGTCTTTGATCCAGAGCTGGCGGACGGAATCGAAGCTGTTGGCGAACACAATGCGCTATCCTTGCGTCAGCCTGCTGTCCAAAGTCCAGTGCATTCATGGCGTCCCATTGGGACTGCCTGTTTTGGCCATCATTACCTTATTGCCCATGCGCACCTGGAAGACTGGGCCAAATTTCTTTGCCCACTTGCCAGTGACGGTTGCGTGCTGGTCTCCCAGCTGCAGCAGGTTGCCAAAGAGGGGCACTCCGGGGATCTCCGGCAGGCCCTTGATTTTGGGGACATCGGTGCGGTTCAGATACTTGATGATGAAGTATATGGCCGTGACAACGGCGATGGCGAGAGTTTGCACAGTCATGGCGGGCGACAGTCCTTGGGGCCTTGCAGACCGCCGGGGGAGGGGCAGGTATTTATTGCGGCCTCGGAGCCCGAACGGCTTAGCCACTCCGACTGCGTCGCGGTGCATCACCCTAGGGGCTCTAGGCCGCCCTTGACCCTAGGGTACCCCAGGGACGTGGGTATGCACGCAGGCTATCGGCGGTTGTGCTCGCCCCGCGATTAGCATCTGCGACGATTTGGCTGGCCGGCGCAGCTCCACATTGCGGCACGTCTCGCGACCGTCCGCGCCCCAAGTGGAGGCGCGGAATCCCTGTTCCGCCCTCCGCCTTTTGCACGAGTCCTCGATATACCCTGGGGTACTAGTCGTGGTACTACTAAAGGCCCAGTTGGGCAGGCGGGCTGTGCAGGCTGTGCGGGCGTCTCGGAATCCAGCGCTCTTCCCGCCATCCCTGCCGAATTGCGACCGCCGCGGGGAACGAGCAGTCTCGCGCAGGAATGCAACTGCGGAATCCATCCCGGCGCGTGGGGAACCTGCGGGAACGGGAACGGAGATATACCAACCCTATGTAGGCAGGTAGTGGTCCCCAGATGGCTTGGGCAGTGATACTGCAGCATATTAACATACTATGAAACATGGCACTGGGAGTCAGGGTGGTTGGACGCATCGACAACCGTCAAGCTGTGCGCGGTTGCACCACATGGTGACAATTTGGATAGCGGGGCTAGCGGCCGGTGGCTTGAGCTTAACTCTACCGGCGACCCATGGCAGCTCACCGTGCACCTGGTCTCGGGTCCGCGCCAATGAAGTATTGATCGAGCGATTGAATACGAGAACTGCGTCGACAGTTTGACCTGGTGGCGGGCTTCAATGCGATCATGAACTCATAGACTTTGTGCACACCGTAGCCTAGTGCAAGGAGCAGGGCTCGGCAAGTAAGGTATAGAGGCTAATCACTAAGAAATACGTACAAGGGTGCCAAACGCCATATAATAGAGTGACAGTCAAGGAGCCGGGGGAAGGGGGGAATATTATAGAAAACACAGAAGAATCCAATTCTCAGATTAACACTCGGACAGAGCCGACTCGAGAGAAGGCTAGGCCTGGAGCTGGCTGGCACTCACACGACTAGCACGGCGCTCCACCCCGCGAAGACGATCGGCCTCCAGGGTCTGGGCGAACTTGCTGGCCGCGCGAATCTGGGGGCCCTTCCAGTAGAAGATGTAGATCGGAATGGTCACGAAAATGGCTAGCACACCCAAAATCGTACTGGCCCACTGCAAGTGGAACTTGCCGCCGATATTGCTGTACATCGGGGCCGCATACATAGCAGATATCCCAGCAAGGAAGTCTCGTGCGAAGCCATTGCCTCCAGTGGCCGAGGCGGAGTATGGCCCGTACGAGGCCACCATATAGTCGATCGTGGCCATATAGATGCCATAGTTGGCAATTGCAATCAGGAATACAAAAACCAGGGGCACAATCCAATGGTTCCACTCAGGCCCGAACGACGTCCAGGCAAACCCAAAGAGTCCAATGGTCTCGAGCGGAGCAATGAAAAGCAGAAGCAACAAGCGACGTTCTGGAACGCGCGCTGCATTTCCTTCCTTATGGCGGACCGTCCGCTGTCGGCGGATATCCGGCAGGAAAATCCCATACGCAACCAAATAACCAACCACAATTGCAATGAAGCACAGACCAATCCGGAGAGCATCAAAATCCCACAACTTGAACACCAGGTTGAAGGACTCGATGCAAGTGAAGATCAAGGCATCCGAGAAACCAGATAGCAACGAGAGACAGAGCACAATAGGCTCACGCAGAAACATCTCAAAGGGTCGACGCCAGATATGGAGGACTTCCTTGGCGCTCAGACGGGGCTCCTTGAGCTCATTCGGTCCGTATACATTCGGGTCTTCACCGGATTTCCGGCGTCGTTTGGCCTCCTTGTCAATTAAAATCGTCGCACGAGTCTCAGTCACCAGGAAGAAGTGCATCAGCTGAGTGACACCTCCGAAAATCAGCTGGATCCAGAAATTCCAGCGCCAGTCCAGCCACTGCTGGATCATGCCGCCGAAGACGGGTCCGATGGTCGTGCCACCGACCGACGAGAGCACAACATATGCAACCGCGAACCCTTGGTCATCCGGCTCCCACATGTCGGCGGTCATGCCGAGTGTCACAGAGCCGCCGGCGGAGCTCAAACCGCCGAGCGCACGGCAGACCACGATCGTGCCAAAGTTCGGGGCGAGGGCACAGGGGATTTGCCAGATATTGACGAAGAACAGACTGAGCTGCATGATGGGCCAGCGACCGAATTCTTCACTCCAGGGCGCCCAGAGCTCACAGCCAAACGCATAGGTGACCAAGAAGATCATCTGGCCGACCCGGGCCGCTTGCTCGCTGATCCCAAAATGTTCGGACAGCGGAGTGACCGCATTGGGGTACACACTGCTGTTGAAGTTCATGGACATTTGGACAGTAAAAATGACCGTGAGAATCGTCCAGCGCTTGTACCAAGGGAAACTGAAGCCCAGACAGTCCCAGCAATCATCCTCGGTCAATTCGCGTTTGCCATCGGGCCGTTCCTTTTCGGTGGGGCTCGAGGTGGCCGAGGCCGTACTGTCGTGGTCCGGTTCGGCTGCATTTTCAGCATGTGAATCGGCTGGGCGGCTCGTGGGACTGAAGCTTGGGGTCCGGAAGTCGGGCTTGTCCGTGGAGTCCTTCTCATTCTCCAGGATTGGAGAGCGCCCGTCGCTAGCCATGGTCCACACAGTGGTGGCGGCGTGCGCCCACTATGCGTGAAGCGGATTCAAAGGGGGAGGTCCACGGAAGGGGGTAATGCAGATTGGGTGGGGGTGTCGTCTCGTTCTCCAGATTCTGGAAGTCTGGGGAAGGGTCCGCAATTTTCAGGGCACGAAAAGGTAGAGGGCAGGGGTTAGATATGAGAGAGAGAAATACGTCAAAGAACTGGCGCCGAACGATATATACCCGGCCTCGCCTTGTGGAGTTGCAGCCCCCAGAGTCGCATGGACAATTCCACCATTGACTCCTACGTAATGCAGCCGCGATGAAAGGATGCTCGTTCGCAGCTATGGTTTTCGCGAATAGTTGGTCCCAAACCTCGGCCGATAGAGCCTCGATCTCGTGGTTTCTTTTTTTATCCGTTGCGCTCTTGCCTGTGTGCTGCCTTGCATTCCACCGCTTTTAGATTCCATCTCCTGCCTCCTTTTTTTTTTTTTCTCGTGCTGCTGTGGTGCTGCTGGGGGGAATCCATTGGGGTTTGTTGTTTTCGGGTGGCAAGCAAAAAGGGACCCACTTTAAACATCATCCCGAGGCCTCCGCGGCCCCATGATTGGCCCCCGCGCCTGAGGCTGCTCAATCCGGGGAAGCTGGGCGGTTATCGGGGTTGCCGCTTTGAGCAAGCCGGGCGGCTACCTTCACGTCGCACCAGCCCAGCGACTCGCGTCTTGTTTCGTCGGGTAGTGATGTCAGAACCGCAGGGCAAATCGCCCTCAAAACCGGTTGAACACCCTTGCGTCCCGCCTGAAAATTGGCGGATCGACGGCTTCCGGGCCATAAATCTTGTTGCTGTTGCTTGTCTGCATGCGGCCCTCCCCACGCTCCCTGCAGGCCGTCTGGGCACCCATCATCGCGTGGGGGAATCCGGTCGTCAACCCCGTCCATGTGAGCGCCTCCTCAGGAACTGCTCGGGGGGCTTCGTGCCTGAGCCCTATTTCGACCTGTTCCTACGAGGATCGTCGTGGGCTGGGCGTATGGGACAACACCACCGGGAGCCGGAAGGCCCTATCGGTCACCTATTGACAGGAGAGTATGTAGGAGTGACGGGGTGGCCAGGCGGAAGTGGCCGTTGAAGGGCCAATGGGATATTACACACAGGCTGTGACACGCTTTGCTTGGTTGCTTCTGACAGCTTCCTACTAGTAAACCGCCATCATGAAACTATGCGGAGGAGACAGAGCGGCACAGTCCATGTAGCGATTGATTTCGTCGTTGATCATCCTTTCGTCCTTTGTAATACCCCGTCAGCGCTGCCAATTGCGTTGTGTGTTGGTCACAACTCCGTTGCGCTAGAGCCAGCCGTTCAACGCCTGCACTTCAGCCTTGGTGTGTACCCGGCAATTACCGTAGGCTCGCCTTCTTCCTCAGGGCTGCATCGCACTCGCGATGCATCTGGCCCTGGACGTGCAGGTTCACGGCCCGGCCGCGACAGCGCGCACCCTACCCCCTTCCTCCGCGGGAGTCACTGACGGTGAGGTGATCGGGCGCAATAGGACACGCCAGCAGGTAAGCACGGCGCAGCGGAATCGACGCTACTGGGGACCGGGACGAGGTCGAAGTGGTCGCCGTGGTAGAAGGCCTGTTCGATCTGTGGCGGGTAGCTGAGTGGAAATCGTTGGGGCCGGTGTCGATCGGCCGCAGTGCAGGCGATCTCGGGGCGAAAGCCGTGGCATCTCTTGGGGATCCTCATGTGCTGCACATTGTTGGAGTCGAGTCGAGCAGACTCGGGCCAGATTCTGTCAGGCCGTAGCGGGCTCAGCTCGGTTCAATTGATAGCCTCGCGAGTGGGTCCATGATTATGGACATACAACACTACAGTACCTACTCAAGAAGGGAGTACAGATAGGCGATAAGCGATAGGCGATTTTTATCTGCTCTACTGTATGACTGGGGATTTTATGGTATTGTCGCCATGATGGATTGACCATTGTGAACATTTGTGCAAATCCACTATCCTAAGGAGGATACCCTAGTTGTAGTACTAGTACACTACCATATAGTCAGGCGCTGTCTAGTCGCAGACAGACCATACAATATACGTATATAGTACCAGATGGTTGGGCCGGCCTTGGCATTGTTGACAGCACTTCAATAGTGTACTATAGTGCACTTGGTACATTCAGCACCACCACACGGCTGGTAGTACTGCTAGGATACTTTTAGGACTGTATTCCACGCCCAATTCCAAATTCCAGGGATTGGAATCGAGGGATGTGGGAACCTCGCCAATTGGTTGCGGGCTGCAGGTTTCACGGCGGTCCTCCGGAATGCCTGACTGTTCAGGCATTCACGCCGCGCACCCCAACATCGCCCAAAGTGACGCCTCTTCGGCATCGGCATCTCCCAAACCTCCGGGAGAGAAAAAAGCAAGGCGCGGCGATCATGTCGCAGTTCATACCGCTTTCCCCCTCCTCGCCCTCCTCGCCCGAGTCGCCGGGCCTGCGACCGCGGCAACCCAGCCTCGACCCCGAACGCGAGATCCTCTCGACCCGCGGGCAGCGCTTCTTGAACTTCTTGCCAAGTCGCGGCTCCAGCACGGCGCTGCACGAGCTGCATGAGGAGCCACCCACGTTCCTGCGCCGTGGTTCGCAATTGATTGGGCACAGCAATCCCCGCTATGAATGGTGCGCGCGCCCTCATCCCCATGGCGCTTCCGACGGCGTGGAGGCTGCGACCCCCGTCCAGGCTGACCCGCAGGCTTTCAGGCAACGTTATTACCGACCCCCGGAAACCCTGAAAGACCTTTCGAAACCAATGTAGGCCCATTGAATCCCCAGCGCGGGTCATCCCCGTCCAAGCTGACTGGAGAAGCCGGAAATACTACGAGCGGAACAACGCCGTTATCTCACAGTATCTCTATATCGACCGTCTGCTGGACTCGTCTCTTCCGCACAATCTCATCGACGACTACGACGAGTCCCACCACCACCATCATCATCATCACCACCACCACCACCATCCACATGCATTGGAAGACCATGCATACCAGCAACACGCCGAAAATCCTCCCGAGGTAACCGCTGCCCAGGCCAAGGCGGCCCGCATCAAGCGCACGCCACATAACCTCTATCGCATCCCCGATGAGACCGCACCCTTGCTCGAACCCAGTGCGGAGGAGGAAGTTTGTTCCCACCACGCCATGCCAGATCTGGAATCCCACAGTGGCATGCCTCCTGAGAAAGAGGAACGTCTGATCAACTTAGCCATTCGCATCAACTTCGTGGCCAATGTGCTGCTGCTGGCATCCAAGGTGGCCATTATGGTGCTGACGAATTCCATGTCCGTCCTGGCGGGTCTCGTCGACGGCGTCCTCGACTTCCTGAGCACTGCCATCGTATGGACTACCAATATCATGATCCGCCGGCAAGACCGAAATCGGTACCCGATCAGTCGACGACGGCTGGAACCGCTCAGCGTCTTGGTCTTTTCCGTCATCATGGTCACCTCCTTCTTTCAAGTCGGGCTGACGTCGTTCAATCGCTTGATCGGCGAGAATCTGACCCTCGTGCAGCTGTCTGTGCCCTCCCTGGTGCTCATGGCAGCGACCGTCATTGTCAAATTACTCTGTTGGATTTGGTGCCGTCTCATACCCAGCCCCAGCGTACAGGTTCTGGCGCAGGACGCCATGACGGATGTGATTTTCAATACCTTCAGCATCATCTTCCCTCTTGGTAGGTGCCCTCACGGTTTCTTCGCTCGTTGTATTATTTTGGATTGGAGCTAACCATCGCCAGTCGGTTCATTTGCCCACCTCTGGTACCTGGATCCCCTGGGCGGCCTCGTCCTATCGGTGTATATCATGTGGAACTGGGGTTCTACTGCAAGTGAATATATCCGTCGACTGACCGGTGCCGCTGCCTCCCCAGAGGACCACAATATCCTGCTCTACATGACCATGCGCTTCTCGCGCGTCATCCAGAAAATCCAAGACCTCAAGGCCTACTACGCAGGGGACAAACTCAACGTCGAAGTGGACCTGGTCGTGGATGAAAAGACAAGCCTGCGCGATGCGCACGATGTGGGTGAGAGCCTGCAGTATATCCTCGAGAGTGTGCCCACCGTCGATCGGGCTTTTGTACATTTGGATTACGATCCCTGGAACTTGCCGAGCCATATGAATCAGCTAGACCGGTAGCAGACGGAATAGACATGGCTACTAGTAGTATCTGACTGGGCCGTATCATTAAAATGAATGCATACATCCTGTCAAAACGCTTAGCTGTTCAGTCTTCGCAGCATCCCAATAGAGTGTCGCATTCAATTTGGTGATAATCCAAATGTTAGCCTTGCTACCGAAGTCCCAAGGGAACTGCTCGGCTCCCAGGTAGCTACCTTGTCTGGGATGATTGTACAACAATGTGATCGCCGCATACCTTAGGGTACCTTTTAGTTGTCCTTGAGGAATCTCGCGATATCTTGGTGGGTGTTGATCACGTGATTTTATTTCGTGGTGGGTCTGGAAAGCCAATATACAAAGCGATTTTGACCAATTATTTTTCTTCTGATACATATTGCTTTCCCACAGTTGCACTTATGAATGCTCTATGGCATGACTCATCCCCACTGCATCATACGTGGTGCGAGTCAGGTGCTATGTAATTTGTATTGTGGAAGGAACAGCCGCCGCCACACCCGAGAATCGCCGTTCCCCTCCGCGTTTCCGCCTCGGATCCTTCTCATGGCTTCCAACCACTTGGCCTTGCGCTTACAGGCCTCACCTCCGTGACAAACATGGCGGGCCACGAGGGTCCGGCACCGCAGTCGGACCAAGCGGCCTCACGCACGACCTACCGTCGCGCTCGACGACGGCCGGCCCATTTGCGAACCAAAACGGGCTGTTTGACGTGTCAGTTTCCCTGGCCATATCATATGTCGCAGAATGCTAAACGGTTTACGACGGACAGGCCGCAATCGAAAGAAGAAATGCGATGAAACTCGCACTCGATGCAAAAATTGTACCAGACAGAAGCTGGCCTGCGTCTGGCAATCGCTCGACAACCCCCTTCCCCATACTCGTAGGAGAGCGCACCATTCGATAGAGAATGATCTCCCCTCCAAGGTCGTACAAGAGTGCGCGAGTCCGACATCATTAGGTCCACCATCGCCGCTTTTCCCATCTTTGCAGCATCTGCCCCTTGGTTATTCCTCTGCTATCACAGCCAACAGCGGACCGCTATTTGATTTTCTCAAAACTACGTTTCTTCCCCAGCTGATTCGACCAGCCACACATGGCTCGGTGATCAATGGTCTAAGCAGGGAGACAATGCTTCTCGCCATGAATCACCCATTCTGCATGCATGCTTTGCTGGCCTGTTGTGGTGCTGAGATCCCAACCGACACCGATTGCTTCCGCCAACTGGCCCGATTCCATTACACCGGGGCCGTCGCGGGCCTGCGCGTTGTGCTTAGCGATCGTAACCTGAAAAGCCAATGGGTCGTTGCTATGCTGACCATCATGATGTTATGCATATACGAGGTACACCCTGAGTATGATCCCATACCTCCTTTGTGTCCTATCTGACTGGAATTATATAGCGAGCAAAGCCAAAGGGCTCTCCAGGGATTGAAATTCATCTGGTTGGGGCCGCAAGATTGATTGAATTCCACTCTCGGGACTCTCTCATCTACGGGCAACTTTCTCAAGCCGAACAAGCGATGCATCGTCTCGTGCGGGAGTCCTACATCTTTCATGTGGCGACCAGTCTCCCATTCCAGCACAGCGATGCCCATCACGACGAAATTGAAATGGCCCTCTCGCTCTCAGAGCAGGCCATTTGCCAACACTTTCGGCCACATCTGCTGTCTCATCCGGATTCTCCTGTTCTGGGGTTCCCCCCTTATTTATTTCGATGCATCTACACCGTCTATCGACTATACCAGTCCTCGCGCAACAAACACATCACATCACAGAAGTGTCGGAAGTTGGACGACGATCTACGGCAGTGGGATCGGTGCACGCGCCCACAAACCAGCAAAAATACAACTGCCAATAACCAAGCCAACCTGGAAACTGCCTGGACTGGACCCAGATTGTATATCCTCGGCTGCCGAATTCTCCTTCGCCAGATATCCGGGTCGGAGCTAGCTGAAGTCGACCCGAAGATCGACCATTTAATCGAGGAGGGAATGGGCATTGTGCGACGGCTTGAGCCCGCCACAGACTACTATGCTGACTATTATTGCTGGCCATTCTTGGCGATCGGCCTACACCTGCGATCTACGTCCGACCGAGAGCTGTTGATGGACCAGGTACTGGCTTTCAGGGCCGCCACCAATAACGGGACCATGCGACGACTGGAAGACATGCTGGAGCTGATCTGGCAATCACGCCATGCGCAGTCGATGGCCCCCGCCACGCCTGCATCGAATCAGACAGGATGAATCTCCCTCGGCGTGTTGACTCCGCTGCCTCCTCCGCTTCGGCGGCTGTCGGCACCGCGTGGATTTGTCAGCCGCGGCAGTGGACAGTTAAGTTATATGCAGTTCAGCTGTAGCCCGAGGATGACCCTCCACCACTTTTGTTTCCATCAACAGATTCCCGAATTCGAAGCAAACGAAGCAAAGCAAAAAAAAAAAAAAAAAAAAAAAAATGGGATCGATCTTTCAGTCACCACGCGTGGTAAAAGCGGAGGGCGTGCCGTATTTCACGCCCGCCAACAATGGCGGCGCCGCTCTCCACCCAGAGGATCCTAGTACTCCAACGCTGTTCCGTCCTCTGCGCATTCGCGATGTTACTCTGAAGAATCGCATCATGGTCGCGCCTATGTGTACCTATTCGACGGAGTCGGACCCGGACTCTCCAGCCGTGGGTGCGCTGACGGACTTCCACATCGCACATCTTGGTCATTTTGCAGCTAAGGGGGCCGGCTTGGTCATCATTGAAGCGTCGGCCGTGCAGCCGAATGGACGCATTTCCCCAAATGACTCGGGCATATGGCAAGAGGGAACCGATTCGGAGCAAATCAAAGGACTGCGCCGCGTGGTTGATTTCGCACATAGCCAAGGGGCGAAAGTCGGTATTCAGCTTGCTCATGCTGGTCGAAAGGCGAGCACTGTGGCGCCGTGGCTGTCATCCCAGGGCAAACGGAGTAGCATAAAAGCCGACGAAAGTGTTGGGGGATGGCCATCGAACGTTGTCGGACCCTCCGGGGGTGAGGAGAATATTTGGGCGCCTGGCGATATCAAGTACTGGCCTCCACGTGAGCTCAGTACTGCCGAAGTGGAGGAAGTCGTGCGAGCATTCGGCAGAAGTGCCAAACTGGCCATCCAAGCTGGCGTGGATATTATTGAGATTCATGCGGCCCACGGATATCTTTTGCATGAATTCCTGAGCCCCGTCACCAATCGCCGAACGGACAGGTACGGCGGTAGCTTCGAGAATCGGACTCGCATCTTGCGGGAGGTTGTGGCTGCCATTCGCGCCGCCATTCCCACCGGCACGCCCTTGTTTCTTCGAATCAGTGCCACCGAATGGTTAGAGGAGCAACCGGTCGCCGCGCAGACCGGGAGCTGGGACATGCCTTCCTCGATCCAACTGGCTAAGCTGCTGCCTGAACTTCAAGTCGACCTCCTGGACGTGAGCTCGGGGGGCAACCACAAGGACCAGAAGCTGCAACCGCACACCAACTATCAGATTGACCTGGCGGGGGAGCTGCGCAAGGCCATTCGCGGCGCTGGCCAGACAACCCTGGTCGGGGCCGTCGGTCTAATCACGGAGGCCGATGTCGCCCGGAATATCGTGCAGGGTGCGGATGAGGCCCAAGCCACCGAGGCCCTCCTTGCGGGCCAGGAGCCTAAAGCGGACGCGGTGTTGATGGCTCGTCAATTCCTCCGGGAGCCAGAGTGGGTGTATAACGCGGCCAAGAAGCTGAATGTGCCCATTTCTGTTGCGTGGCAATTTGCCCGCGGAGTCCTCTAAGGACTTGGTCACTGTGCATGTATATATTTGCTTTCTCATAGTGGAAACCATAGACAAGAACGTATCTCAGATATTTTAGATATGCATGGAATAATTGACGGAGTCTGCACTGCATGCGTGGGGATTTCGGGTCGCCGTCGGGCTAGTACTAGTTCATACCGCAACCCCTTCTCCCCCGTGATCCATACACAACACAGGAGATGCGCAGGTGATAGCGGCGCATATTCAGGGACCACCGATCACTGCCAACGAAGCCAATCCCTGGCGTATCCGCACGCATGCCGATCGGGGCAATCCTATCACCGGTCTAGTTATGTCCACTCGTGCCGCGCCAAGCGGGCGGCCAAGGCCCGATGTTGCAGCGCAGCCCCAAACCCCAAATACGAAACACCCGAGGGGAGGTAGCTGACCAGGACATGATTGAATACTGTATGGAAAGGTTCAAAAGCCTCAACAGCCCCCGATGGGTTTTGGGGTTGGAACAGCGGCTTGGGGAACTTGCACATTCCTCGTGGTGGTTTCTGCGCCCTGCATTTTCCGCATATTCTTTGATTCCTCACATTTCTAGCCCGACCGATTGTTGTTCCGCAGTGTCGGGGGCTTACATACACATAATGCTGAAAGATCTGCTGAAAACGGCCTTTTTGAGCCTGGTTGCCAGTCAACTGTCATTGGTCGCCAGTGCTCCGGCTCCCCAACCAACGGCGCCTGGTATTCCTTCGGCATCAACAGCCCAGAGCGAGCTGGAAAGCCTGGTTGTGGAAGAGCAAGGGTCGCAAGATGGCTACAGTCGGGACAAATTCCCCCATTGGATCTCGCAGGGAAGGTAAGTCGCTACAAATGGCTCTACATCGACACGGAGAAAATCTAACTACGGTACCCAACCAGCGGATGTGATACGCGCGACGTTGTATTGAAAAGGGATGGCACAAACGTAGTACAAGACGACAGCTGTGCAGCCAGCAGTGGAAACTGGAAATCCCCTTATGATGGTGCGACCTGGACCGATGCGAGTGACCTGGACATCGACCATGTTGTTCCCCTCTCCAATGCCTGGAAAGTATGCACCCGGTGCCTCGGACCCCTAACAATAGTGTCTTGTATATCGTGCTAATTTCACGTCCTCAATAGTCCGGTGCATCCGAATGGACAACCGATGATCGAGAAAGCTTTGCCAATGATCTCACTCACCCGCAGCTCCTGGCTGTTACCGATAATGTGAACTCCGCCAAGGGCGACAAGGGCCCTGAAGAGTGGAAGCCTCCGCTTGGTAAGACCTCTGCCCCGGAACCAGGTGCGTCCGTAGCTGACCAGTTACAGAATCCTTTTATTGTACTTATGCGGAGATGTGGGTCAAAGTGAAGTCGGTCTATAACCTGACTATCACGTCCAATGAGAAGGCCGCGCTGGGAGATATGCTTGACACCTGCTGATTGAAATGTTTACTATCACATCCCGGGGGCGCAATTACAAACCTAGCCCATTACGATCTTTCGATTTCACATAGAATTGAGAAACCATATCATCTATTGCCCTTGTTATATCTTTTCCAAGGATGGTTTTCTTCTCGTCATCACAAGTTTTATGATGATCGCGAGCCTGGTCAAAACGTTTCGATCGCAAGGACGAAAGGGGGATCAATTTAAACCGACCCCAGAAATATGAACATGATATGCGGGTCAACTTTTGGATTTCGCTGGAAAAGGAAAGAGAATAGAAATTGGACGGCTTTGAAGATGTGAAATAGACCTTGCGCTAATTCCGTAGAATTAGAGTCAGTGTTTGAAAATGACTTTCGCATTGAGCGCTAAGCGGCTAACTCTTTATCCGGGCATTCCGCACTTGTGCACATCGCCCATCGCCCTTGGTGATAAGGTACGCTATATACCACCAGAATTAGCATTGTATATGCAAAAAAATTCAATGTATCGAATTGTATACATGATATCTCATGGGCCTTTATCGAAGGTAAGAAAGCGGAAGCTCGATAAGCATGAGTCAAGTGATCAACAAGGGCCAGGAGTAAACAAGTATCACGGGCTGAGGAGCGTTGTCTTCATCTGACTGAGCCTTTCCAAGCAAATGAAATGCCTAATATTTCTATAGCAAAGTTTACGATACTTAGGCATTACATGATTCAGTTCCAAGGTTAACGCGTCGTATCTCGAAGAAAATTCGATCGAAAGCAGAACGGCAATGAATAGTGCCTAATAACCGAGAAACCCCATGCCCCTACCCACCCCCACGGCACAACGTGGGAGCAAAAATTGGAGAAAGTTGAACCGCATGCAGAACAGGGCTGGGAATTTCATTTTGTTGAATTCAATGAGAGGGCCAGCCCGGGCTGATATATGTACCTAGGTAGTTGAGGCTGCCTCGACCCGAATCTTCATACAGCGCTGACGGCCAGAAGTATTTTTTAATCATGATGTTGGTTTTCAGTCTTGACTAGGACTTGCAGCGCAATATGTAGCTCGTTACTGCATACGAACACACCCAACCTTGGAAAGCTCGGACGTGCCCAGCGACCTTGCTGAGCTTCCCGCGCGCCGCGGAAGCTTGAGCGCACTGCATGTTTCAACGGCGGCGCGACTCGCCCGAGACCGAGCTCGCATCGCGATAAGTAGCCGATGTCCTATAGAAATATGTCTCTTCATTTCATGACACACAAAAATCGGCCGGCAAAAATGTGTGCAGCGGAAATTAGTAATCTCACCACCGAGAGGGGATGCGATGAGCGAGTGGAGCCGCGAGAAACCAAGCATTTACGCCGAGTTGCTTGGTATCGGCACGCCGACCCCGCCGAAAGCTTAGGGGCTGGTGGCGACCCGGTGAACCTCGGGGAACAGAATTATGGAGAAGCACGTCTCAAGGGGTCTCCGATCGGTTAAATTCCTGCCTTGAATTTATATCCTTGCTGACCCGCCCTCGCGTTCGAAAAAGAAAGGAGCGACACACAACTTTTCTCGCCCCAGGCGTCGCTGGCCTTTCCAGCGCTCATTGTCGTTCGCAGAAGCCATGGCGTCACACGAGGTTGAGTCTCATGTGGGCGAGATGCATGACGCTGAAAAAATTTCAGACTCTTTCCGTGAGTCCTCGTCGTTGGTGCTCTCCGAGGAGCAGGCACTGGCGAAAGCGCGAAGCAATCCGAATGATGCGCTTCCCATTCTGGTGACTTATGCCTGGGACGATCGCGACAACCCTCGTCACTGGCCGAAATGGAGGAAGTGGTACATTACCTGCCTGGTCAGCATGCTCAACGTGTTCACGTATGTTCTCGGCGCCATTTTGATCCCCTCAGCGAGTACCGTGGGCCATTTACTGACGTCATCAAAACCATAGAACCTGGTGCGCAGGAGGTATCTCATCGGGCGCCACGGGAATTCAAGAAGAATTTGGAGTCTCGGCAGAAGTGACCACCCTGTGTCTGTCGCTGTATGTGCTAGGATATGCCATTGGCCCGGTTCTTCTTGCTCCACTGTCGGAATACTTTGGGCGCCAGCCTGTCTACGTCGTGTCGTGGTTCCTTCTTTTTATCTTTCAACTGCCACTTGCCCTGGCCCCCAATATCGGAACGATCTTGGTGTGCCGATTCATTGCGGGTTGTGCAGGTGGTGCCCCATTGACCAACACCGGTGGAAGCATCAGTGATCTTTGGGAACGCAACGAAAGTGGAGGGCCAATGGCTGTGTACGGATTGAGCAGTACTTTTGGACCCCCAATGGCGCTCGTCATTACCGGTTATATTGGCCTGAACTGCGGATGGCGGATGATATTTTGGGTCCTCATGGCCATGACAGGCGGTGTTTGGATTCTGTTGGTTGTTACAGTTCCGGAAACACGACACACCACGATCTTGCAGAACAAGGCGAAGCGAATGTGCAAACAGATGAAAACCGAGAACCTTTGCTCCGCGGAATCCACGACGGACATCCACGCCGGTGAGCGCAAGGGCTTGTACGAGCTCTTTGCCATCACACTGACTCGGCCCTTCCGGTTCCTGTTCTCGGAGCCCATCACTACCTTTTCGGCCATTTACAATGGCTTTTTGTACGGACTGGTTTACTTGTTCAACGAAGCCATTCCGCTGGTCTTTGGCGCCCCGAACGGACATCCGTTCAATACTGGTCAGCAAGGGCTGGCATTCTTGGGAATGGCAATCGGGCCGATCATTGCATTTTGCTTGTACCCCTTGCAGGAGAGATACTACCTCCGACGCGTTGCTGAGAACGAAGGTAAGGGTGTCCCCGAAGCTCGCATGTGGATGGCTCGTGGTGGAGCTGTCTTGATTCCAATCAGTCTCTTCTGGTTTGGGTGGACAAGCTACCGTTCCGTGCACTGGATTGTGCCCATCGTTGCTTCCTCCTTCTTCGGCGCCGGCATCTATATTGTGATCTTGAGTATTCTCAACTACGTGGTAGATAGCTACCAGACCTACTCGGCCTCCGCACTGGCTGGTGTGATCCTGATTAGAAATGTGGTTGGTGCCGGGTTCCCGCTTTTCGCTACTCAGATGTACGAGAAGCTGGATTATGAATGGGCTTCTAGCCTCCTGGGGTTCATCTCGATCCTGCTGGTTCCCATTCCATTTATCTTCTTCTACAAGGGCAAGGCTATTCGGCTGCGAAGCCCATGGGCCAGGGAACACTTCGATCAAAATGAGGATAACCCTCATTGATTGAAAGCTAGGAAAACTAGGTTCCGTCATGTGTATATACCGACTTGTATAGTTACGATAATCTTCGTAATCATGATCAGGCACATTGCATCTTAACGCTTGAATAAAGCTCAACTGAATATACTGCTCACGCCCTTTTTAATTCTGTTTCAGAATCCCTTTGAGAAAGTTGCGTTTAGTCTCGCTTGTAGATGCTCGCCCGCCGTCATACGAGATTCGTCCGAATTCAGCCGACCCGCACCGCCACCGTACCCTACGATAGAACCATCGGACCCATCGCGCGCTTTCTGTTGACGGTAGGCGGCGACAATTTTACTCGGCACGGGAATGAGTTCCGTACTACTGACGGGCTGACAGAAAAAAGCTATGCTGTAGCGATCTTGACCTTTCGATCTCGAGTCAGACTGGGCGTCGTCAGGGAACACAACACGGTGGATAGTCGATTTAAGCAACCCATCAGTCCAGTAGCTCAACATGTCGCCCATGTTGACTAAAATCGGTGGAAATGGGTATTTGACAGAGTCATCGGGATATACTGGCACCGGTGCCCACTTTTCGTCCGGCGTGAGGATTTCCAGGCCGGGCTGCCCGGGGCACTGAAATAGCAGGGTTATACTGCCATAGTCGGAATGAGCGCCAGCCCGGATATCTTTCTCGGGCCTGAACGACGGCAACCTCGGTGGGTAGTAGAGAAGGCGAAGCGAGTTTCCCGTTGAGCCTCCAGAGGGGTCATGTCGAGAAGTGAAGAAGTCCGAAGAAATCTGGAGTGAGCGAATATGAGCAGATGCTCCACTGGATAAAAATGACATGCCCAGGCATTACCTCCAGTCCATGTGCTAGTAAAGCGAGAATCCTGGCGCAGGTGTCGTTACATAAATCCGTGAACCTGGCGATTTCCTTCTCCCGAGAGATAATAGTCGCTGGCAAAGGCTGCTGGAATTTTCCATCTTTGAGCTCCCCGATATTGAGCGCTCTAAGTGTGAAAAAAACATTAACGTGGGCATGGCGCCCATGGTCGTAGCTTCACCTACTCCTTGAAATCTCCCAGCTAGAACAAGAGGTGAGATCATATGTAAACGTAACAGAGGACGGTGGTTCGATACCTGGTGATGTTCGGGATCCAATGTTTCGACGTGCATGCCAACCCAGCCTCGATTCTGAAAAATGAATTACATGAATTAGAAAAGATGCTGCGCAGTCGAAGCCAGATTGATAGGAAAGCGAGTCAACAAGTCCGAGGATGGGACTGTCAATGATGCGAGATACTCACATCTGGTCCCCTCCGGAAGGGTTCTTTCGCCGCGTTTGGTTGCGCAAAAAACTCTTTTGACTGTTGAAGGCGTTATCGTTACTTGAACTAGCCTTATTGTGCACCACAGGAAGGAGCGAGAATAGGTCAACAAACCGTGTCAAATGCTTGGTTGACATGATCTTTGGTAAAACCAGTGGTCCGGCTATCGATGTACAGAAAACCGTATGTGACCGCGGCTTTAATTAAAGCTTTGCCCGCGGTTTCGACGTCCGGGTCCGAAAGATCGACCATAGGCAGGGAAATCGGCTTTGCCATACCTTGGGAAGACCTTGCATCCATTTTCCTGTTACCCGCAGCTTCTGGTCGTGGGTTTTAGATTTGGACCGGAGGCAAGACCAAGATGATAGCAACGTGCAATGGCCCGAGGGTCGAGAGAAATAATGAGAAGCAGAGTAGGGTACTGCCTCAGGGTGTCAGAGTCAATACACTGGTCACTGGAAACGCAAAGACGAAAGGTGGTGGTGCATCTGCCTGAAGGCAAGGGCGAGTCACGTATTCTGTGTAACTCGGGAGTCTCACCCTTTCTTCTCGACTCTCCTTCCTCATTGCTATCCCTAATGCGATCTCAATATGAGCGATTTCCCCCCACAACACTCCCCGTGATGGCTAGCCCTCGGGCCTTATCTCGGTCGCGTCTCCATTTGATCTGCTGGACCTGCTTCCATAGGCATTTCGGTCGACTTCGAATCTGACCCTAACGATGGGTCTCGGGGGTCTCCGTGCCAATCAACAGGCAACCCCGCGTTGGTTGCGGGGATCCGCTTTATTGCGACATTCGCGAGTGGAGAAGCCGGCTGGACCAGGCGAAATCGGCATGGCGAGAAACTCTGAATCGGACGCGACGTGCGATGTTTCTCGACTACCGAGGGACTTTGGCGCAGTGATGGGTGCTTGATGGTGGGCGCACGATTTTAAGCGACCAGGGCAACCACAAGACAGGGCGTTTAATGAATACCCCGCAACATTTATGGGCAGTTCCGTGGACACAAAAATTATGGGCTAGTCGTCTGTGGAGACATCACATCGATGGAAGCCGGCAGAGAATGATACCCCATGTTCACACTCCTGTCCATATCGCCATGTGGATCGGAGTCCCCCGTGGGTCGATCCACCACACAGCATATAGGTTGCTATTAAAGAGCCCCATATTCCATGGCCTCAAATCATGGCGGGATCGTGCGGTTTGTTTATCTTCAAAGAATTATGGACCGAATCCTGCATCGCGACGTGGAAAAACGAGCTGGGGCAGCCGAGCCGCAACTGTTCGACGATGAAACAGGCGCGGTCCCTGCGTCCAGCTTCGAACGGGGCAATTCACTTTACGCGAAAATCCAACGATTGGGAGGCAAGATCAAGGTGGAGCAAAGAGGCATTGAGCGTGTCCCGGAGGATGAACGCACAGATAGCTCATACTGGAACATTGGCTCAATGGTATCTTCATCCTGACCATCGCACAGAGTGCCTCTAATCGATCATAGTGGCTCGCGGCCAACATGGTAGTACCCTCCTTTACGATCGGAGTGTTGGGCGTACCCTTGTTCAACCTGGGCTTTGTCGATTCAGCCTTGGTCATCATCTTCTTTAATTTTATCTCGGTTCTGACTGTATGTTTCTTCTCCACATTTGGATCTGCCTTTGGGCTGCGGCAGATGGTGTTGTCCCGATTCTGGTTCGGTTGGTGGGGTGTCAAGTTAAGTGTGTATCCCATCCCCCACGCTGCGGTCAACAAGATCAAGGTCAGGGAGTGGCTTAACATACTGACTTTGTGACGACTAGTCGCTTTGTTCAATGTACTCGCCTGTATTGGATGGGCAGCAGCCAATATTATCGTCGGGGCTCAGCTTATCAACGCCGTGAACCCAGACGTTCCAGGGTTCGCAGGGATTCTGATCATCGCCTTCTGCACCCTCATCATTGTGTTTTTCGGGTACAGGGTCGTTCATGCATACGAGTATTGGAGCTGGATTCCAACATGTATTGTCTTCCTGGTTGTCCTCGGAGTTTTTGCCCACTCTGGTGATTTTGTGAACATCTCAATGGGGACGGGTAAGGCTGAACTTGGAGCTGTGCTGTCCTACGGCTCTACAGTTTTCGGATTCGGCACAGGCTACACGAGCTATGCGGCTGATTATACGGTGTATCAGCCCAGCAACCGCCCGCGACGCAACGTCTTTCTGGCAACCTGGCTAGGCATCTTCCCAACCCTGCTTTTCACGGAGCTTCTTGGAGCTGCTTTGGTGACAGCGACGACTCTGAATGGCGGAGATAATGCTTACCAAGCTGGATATCAAGACAACGGCGTCGGAGGCTTGCTCGGCGCTCTTCTATTTCCTCGAGTGGGTGGATTTGGGAAATTCTGCGTTGTCATTTTGGCACTGTCCATTATAGCGAACAACTGCCCCAATATCTACTCCGTCTCGCTCACGCTGATGGTGATGGGCCGATGGACTCGCCACGTTCCTCGCTTTGTCTGGACGGTAGTAGCCACAGCAGTCTACATCGCGATTGCCATCCCCGGCTACAGTCATTTCGAAGCGGTGCTGGAAAATTTCATGCACTTTATCGGATATTGGCTCGCGATTTACGAAGGCATCGCTCTAACTGAACATTTCGTTTTTCGGCGTGGTTTCTCTGGCTACCAGCCCGAAGACTATGACAATCGTGACAACCTTCCACTCGGGATAGCTGCCCTTCTTGCATTTTGCTGTGGAGTGGTAGGTATGGTGACTGGAATGAGTCAGTCGTGGTATGTCGGACCGATTGCCAAATCAGCAGGAGTATCTCCGACCGGAGGGGACGTTGGATTCGAGCTCGGGTTTGCCTTTGCCGCCGTTTCATATGCAATGTTGAGAACTCTTGAGTTGGGCTTTTTCAAGAGGTAGCTAATATATGCAAAGACATTTCTTTTATTGGTGACCTCTCGCAGTCAAGAAGGGAACAGAAGACGTGTACAGTTTGGCCGCAACGGGTCACCTGTCGCTGCGGTCTTATGCGTAAACGCATCAGACTGTAGCGTCAGAGAAGGCCCGTCCGCGCTCCCTCGTAGGGAGGCAATGTGTCTGTACATTGCAATGCTGATTTCTATATACAGAGGGGAGGTGGGAGGGACAAAATCGAGTCTTGACTGCGTGAAAGACGACAAGCTACCACCAGAGGCAAGCAACTGACTCTTCAGAGGCAGTTGTAGGAGGAAGGAGCCCTCCGAAATGTCGGTGTAGATGTCACGTGAGACAGCGTGGCCAACGTGAGGCATCTCCAATAAAACTTCTCCCTTTATGTTCAAAATAATAATTGCCCTCTTCATGCAACTCATAGGAGCCTTTATTGTAGCAACCACTTCGTGTTGATGCATCGATCATTTCAAAGACCAGCTATAGAATCGTTGCTATGTCATACTTCGTAGTGCTTTCGCCCGATACCGCTCGCGGACACGGATGAAAGTCGGCTCTTGCTCCGCAGCCAAGAACCATACACCTTAAATATCACTGGAATTGGAACCATTGCTGCAGCAATGCATCCAAGTAAAGTGCCACCCCACTGCACCCCAAGACCTTCCATCATTTGGCGAGAGAACAATGGGAAGACACAACCGATAGCAGAACGCAAGATCGTATTGGCAGCAATTGTCGATGCGGCCCTAAACACATTATTAGTCATTGTTTCTGCGGAAAACCAATCGGACTTTTCCAAGGCTAGACATACATGGTGGGATAACAGTCAACGATGTAATTGAAGCATTGGAGAAATATCAAAAAGATGCCCGCTCCAGTGAATACCCCAGAAGTTACTGGGACTATCCAGTGAACCTCAGTTGAGTAACCGGTCCAGCCAAGCCTGTTACACTATTAGTTGATTGCATATTGCCATGATCACATATCACTTTAACGTACCAGAACATTCCAATAGCAAATGCGACAGCTCCAATGATAGCTGGAGGTAGACGCCATTCGGGTATTGGTTCATCGTTATTAGCAGAAAGCTTCCTCACATAAGAGCCCTGAAGGCAAAGCATGAGAATTCCTCCCAGAAGTTCACCTAGAATTAGCCCAATAAAGGCCAACCCTCCTAGCCCCATGTTCATTTGATATGTTTCCTGAAAGATGACAGGATACGCTCCAAGAAGAGCATATATAAGACCGTATGCAAACGATATGTAGAGGGACATGAGGAGCAAAATCGGCTCGGTGATCAACATAACAACAGGCCTGGTAAAGTTGTTACGAGCGAGCTCCATAAAGTCCACTTCGACTTCATCCTGTCTTGCATGAATGCCCCAATTGCGAGTTTGTCGACGAAGAGCTCCTGCTTTGCGGACTAGAATTACTGGTGCATAAGTCTCATCCAAGAAGGCGAGGACAAGGACGAATCCTAACAGCACCATGACAGCCGAGATGTACATTGTCCAACGCCATCCAAGCGGGCTCAGAGCAATGAAGCCTCCCACAAACGGCGCCGAAAAAGGCCCGATGAACACGGCCATGCAAAATATGGACATCACGATCCCTCGCTTAGCGTTGTCGAATAAATCAGCGAATATGGCGGGCACGATCGATATCGGACAAGCTGCGAATAGGCCAGCGAAAAATCGACATATCATGATAGTCTGGATATCTTTTGCGACAGCACATGCTACTGTAAAAATGCCACATCCAAACAGTCCAATGCAGAGGGGCACGCGACGCCCGATGAGTTCTGAACCTGGGGCCCAAATAGTTGGACCCGCTGCAAACCCCAAAATGTAAAGTGTAACGCCAAGAGATCCGACTTCCTGGCTTGTATCAAATTCTCGAGCGAATCCTGGAATCGCTGCCGAGAAGACGGCACTCGCGAAAGACCCCGCAAACGTGCCGTAGCATAGAATAGTGACGATTAATGTCCTAGAAAATGTTAGTAAATTTGCGTGGAAGGAAAAAAGTGAGCTGATGTGTTATTCAGTCGGACCTTTTAAGTAGGGACCAGTTGTAGGGATGCAAAGGATCGTTTGCGCCATCAAATTCAACCACATATGCTTCAGGATCTGGAAGAAGGGGCGGATACTCCTTTCCCGCACCCATTGCCAGCCATGTTTCACGGGGATATGGGCCTCGTGTGGACCCTACTGTGACTTTCTGCTGTAGCCGGTATGTGTTGATGCGCGTGAGCTCGAGCTCGTCCTGATGGTCAATTGTGTCGTCAGACTCTTCGCTAAGCGCATCATTATTGAAATCCGCATGGGATCGGTAATCCGTGAGATCTGTCACGGGGTCGGGCATTATGATGGCGCTTTTAGATTGTCATGACAGTCGTGCAAATTCAAGTAGGGCGTGGTAACGTGAAAAAAAGTCACAGCAGCGCATGATCGTAAGAATATGTCTTGCGACACAGGCTAATCTCAGATAAAAATTTTTCTTGCCCCCTCCAGACGGCTCCAGTTCATCTGAAATTTCGACTCTGAATGGGCCCTATCTCTATCAAACCGACGAGATAAGAGACCAAATGCCTCGAAAAGATCCATACTTTTCCGCTGTGGCTGATGTTGGCTTGCTCGGGACCCACACTTTGAGTGCCGAGCCCCACAGAAGAAACATATGGCCAATCATTTCCGGAGTGTCCATTCGGGTACGATCGGCAATGTGGCTGGAACACTGGCGCCGAGGGCAGCCGACCATAGCCGTTATCAGGCGAAAAGACCTGCTCCTGCTCGCTAAAAGTCCCATTGACGATTATGTATGTTTCCTTACATTTCGAAGATATCTCAATTTCTGAAATACTGAGCGCAGTTTTGCTGGGACTTCGTGTGAATTCCATCGCCTCAAGTAGGTATGTGCTGAGGACGTGGATTGGTGGTCGATTGAACCGATCACATTTCTGGATTCGGAAGAGCATCTAGGGTGATGGTAGTAGCTCACAGACCATGAGAACTTTCATCGGCTGTTTGTTTTACTGCATTGAACAGCATCCTTGCGATCTCAGAAACTGCGATAATTTTGAGCTGCCAGTGCCTCAAACGAAGTCTTGTTTTTCCAGTCTTTCGCACAGCTCTTTCAATTTCCAGCCAGCCCATTCGAAGTCCGTCTGCTCAAGATAAACCTGTCCGCTGAGACGGACCCACCATGATCCTTGGAATGGAAACACGGGCATGAATGTTTTGTATTCCTTGATCATAGTTTTCTGCATCCAGTCCGTCACGGTGGCACCGGGAAAATCACCAGTCTTGATTCTGCTCCCGTATCCAGAGGTGGGCAATCGTAAAGGAAGAAGAATGTTAATCATACTGCATTTGGTCAAACTATGCGCATCATTGTCCAGAATTCGAGCACCCAGGATTCGGGCTACTTTGAGTCCTCCTTCGCGGGCAAGACGGAAACAATAATCCCGGATCTTGTCCTCCCCTCCACAGACAATTTGGCGCCAACGGATAGCATCTGCAACAGTCAAGAATGAGAAATTATCGGTTGTACCAAAAAACTCGAAGTTTGAGACGAAGTCGCTTTTGCCTCCAGAAGATTCACTTGCCAGTGAGCGGGGAACGAACCCATGGCTTGTTGGTAAAGTGCTGCGCATCATACTCTGATTGCGCACTGGGACATAAAGAATAGCACAGGTGCGTGGCGTGAACAGCCATTTGTGACAGTTGCTCACAAAAAAATCCGGATCAAGTGAGGAGAGGCCGAGCTCGATTTGTCCAATACCGTGGGCTCCGTCAATCAAGCTCAATACCCCTTCTTCGCGACAAAGCGCAGTAAGTTCTTCAAAGGGGAGTCTCAACGCAGGGTTGGATGAAACTGTATCAAATATCGCCATCCGAGGGCGGTAACCGTCTCTTCTTGATTGATGAATTGCGTTTCGAAGGCCGGTAATTACTTCCAAGTCATCGAGGGGATACGTGAAGCGGATCTCTCGGGTCCGGACCTTTCCCTGACTGACCTCACTGATATAATTAGTGGTTTTGCCACAGGCTCCGTAGATGATATCGAACTGCAGTATCTCATCTCGTCCATCGGGGTTCCATATCATGTTGCGCAGGACTGTGTTCACCCCCGTAGTGGCATTGGCCACGAAGACCACGCTTGATAGGGGGACGCCGAGAAACTCGCTTGCCGCAACACGTGATTCGTCTAGTAACTCTGGGAAACGGTATTTGATGAACGGACATGGAGTGGTTTCGCACTCCTCCCGCAACTGTTCTGCCTTGTCCCGGATGGCTTTGGGTGATGCTCCAAATGACCCTGGCGAGTACTTAGCGAGGCACGGACAAGCACGGCGACGGAATATGGACCGTTAAGGGAAGGGAAGGCCTCTAACCATGATTCAGATTCGTATAACCCGGCGCAAAGGAAAAATGCCGACGCATTTCATGGCCGAAGCGCGTTATTTCGAGATTGCGGGATGCCATGTTTGTGATCGTTTTTCGCTTTTTGTGGCGTGAGCACTCTGGTCTTGTACTCGAGAGATGGGCGCAATCCGATATGAACAGAGTCACGAACTGTCGATTCGTCGCAAATTAGCTGCACTGATCTGGAAGAGGCAAAGAGGAAAGCGAGTGGGAGGGGCACCTATCCGTCACTCCAGGTCAAACGTGGGTTCCGCGATCGCACCTGCCCAGACGGGACTGAACCGGCCGCATCAGGACAAGAGCACCGTCCTCTTTCAGTATATTGCAGCCGCCAGGGAGATCAAAACGGGAACAAGAACAGCCCGAATGGAGAAGCCTCAAGCCTGCCAAGAGCCAACGGGAGCATGTCACAACACCCGCGCTGCTTATCTGCTCGGGAGGCACTAGGCCGAGAGATGGAGCAATGCTACCGCAGAATGCTACCTCCAGCAGTCTCGAGAGGCCCGCGCTCTTCAGTAAAGTCGGAAGTCCTTGCGACAGGCGCCGATCGACCCCATACTATTGGACAAACCTGAAATTGCCGACGTTGCAAAACCCGCGGCGACTCGCTCCTAAGCTCCCCCCGCAGGCTTACCCCACGCGGCCCGTGCAAACATACGGATACGGAGTATTCGGGCGGGAAAAAGGGGACAGCATGCAAAGAGACCTTCGCTGGCTTTTGTTTTTCGACCTCCAAGTTGCTCGCAGGGCATCGACAGGTCACCAGTATGACCACGCAGAGCGACCCGCGCCGTGACGATGCCGAGACGGGCGACATCAAAAGAGCGGCGGATACATACTATGATGATCAGGCTGGACTAGAAAAAGCCGTCAACGAGCAGACTAACGTGGGAAATCTGCAGCGACGCCTGAAATCGCGACATGTGCAGTTCCTCGCGCTATCTGGAGCGATTGGAACTGGTCTTTTCGTGGGCACAGGCCAGGTGCTCTCCCTGGCCGGACCCCTTTCAGCATTTCTGGCATATCTCATTACCGGCTTCAACCTGTACGCAGTCATCAACAGCATGGGTGAAATGGCAACATGGCTTCCCCTGCCAGGTGCAGTGCCTGTATATGCGGCAAGATTCGTGGATGAGGCCTTGGGTTTTACATTGGGCTGGAATTATTGGTATCAGTTTGCCATCGGGGTCCCGATTGAGATCAGTGCCGCGGCATTGGTCATTGTCTACTGGCCCAATGGCGTGGCACCGGCGGTTTGGATTACAATACTTTACGTCGCTATTTTTGCCGCCAATTGCCTTCCCGTGAGGGTGTATGGCGAGCTGGAATTCGTCTTGGGATCGATCAAACTCACAACGATTGTGGGCCTAATGCTGTTGATGCTGGTCATCACCCTTGGAGGCGCTCCCACACATGACCGCATCGGCTTTCACTTTTGGAGAGACCCAGGACCAATGAGTCAATATCTGGAGACCGGATCATTAGGCCGCTTTTTGGCTTTTTGGAAGGTATTTATCCAAGCAACGTTCAGCTATGGCGGGAGTGAAATGGTGGTCGTGGCGGCTGGAGAGACCGAGAATCCTCGGCGGAATATCCCTAAAGCAGTCCGCCGGGTGTTCTGGAGAATTGCCATCTTTTACGTGGGCAGTGTCTTCCTAGTTGGCATGTGCGTTTCATCTCGGGATCATCGCTTATTGAACGCCATTGAGTCGGGGTCGTCGACCGCCGGTGCCAGTCCTTTCGTGATCGCGATCGAAAATGGAGGCATCCGCGCACTGCCCTCCATTATTAACGCCGTGATCCTGACATCTGCTCTATCGGCTGGAAACTCCTTCTTCTATGCATCAACAAGAATTCTGTATTCCACGGCAGTAGATGGAAAGGCACCCCGGATTCTACAATATGAGAAGTTCGGAGTGCCTTATGGATGCGTGCTAGTAACCGCAGCACTCAGCCTGCTAGTCTACCTGAATGTGTCGTCAAGCTCAGCTGAGGTGTTCTTTTGGATCAGCAATCTCAGCTCTGTCAGCACACTGATAGTGTGGACGTCGATCTCGCTAACTTACGTTCGTTTCTACCAAGGTCTGAAGCATCATGGAAACCAGCGGTCATCTCTTCCTTACAAATCTCCTTTCCAACCATACTTGGCATATTTTGCAATGGCATTTTCCTCCACGGTCGCCATTTTCAACGGGTTCGATGCCTTCTTTCCAGGACACTTTACTGCGAAGACTTTCGTCCCTCCTTACATTGACATTCCCATCTTTGCCTGTCTGTTCTTGGGATACAAGTTTATTAAAGGTACAACTGTTGTCAAAGTAAAGGATATGGACCTTTGGTCTGGCAAAGAAGAGGCCGATGAGCTGGAATCGACATGGGAAGAGCCAAAACCGAGGAATTTTCTTGGTATGACGCCATCTGAATGGGAAAGCCGTGATTTACTAACTGAGCGTAGAGAGAATCTGGTTTTGGATCGCATGAACAAAGACCAATACATCAGGCACAAAGTTCACAAGGCGATGTCGCTCGGGGATTCATCACAAAATTTTCCCGTACGCTGTGTTGTCCGTTCATCGGAGTGGTTATTCAAGGGCACAGGCCGAGTACCCAGTTGACAGATGCACCCGGGTAAGGCTCTGCAAGTGGCGCGTATGCCTCAAAGGGGAGTATCCTATGGACTGTGACTTCTCCCGTGGTTTTGGTCAAGGTCCTAGCAATCCCTCCGAAGCTGACATTGTCCGTCATGACTTGAAGATCAATGCCTGCTGACTCGGCCGGGTTGTCAAAAATCCAGAGATTATATACCCCAATGTCACAGAGAGCAACCATTGGAAGCTTCACACGACTCACTTCAATAAAAGTTAGCTAGTTGTACCAGAATTGAAGAGCTATACAAAACATGTCGATGAGCTCGGAGAGAAATGTAGGGAGTCTCACGGGCTGGGTTGGCCCACATGAACGATCCTTGCGCGAGGATAAATTTGCCAACTCGCCCCTTGCATTCCATGTGGTCACAATGGCAGTTCTCCTCGTCGAAGCTTGCAGCTTCCATGGCGTATTCGATGCTTGCCCAGACGTAGTGCTGCACGCGTTCCGACCTCGCAATCTCGTAGGCCCTAAACCCGTTTAGAAGAGCTCTTCTTTCTCTCCCAGAGTGAACCCGTCTATATTGATCCAGGCGCCGTAAACACCTCGGAAAGCATTGTGTAGTTCCTGCTGGTTGTCCTGGGCACCCTGCAGCAAATTCACATTTGGGAGAGCGGCAAGATGCTTCGCATCAGAAGTCTCGGGGCTGCGGGTGAGGACTGAGACGATATCGTCCGCTCTCAGCAAGGGCTATTCTAAGGTCAGCGGAAGACCGCCAAAGGGATGGAGAGATTTGACAAATGTCCCTTACCTTTGACCACAGGCATGCCTTGGGCGCCAGTGCCGCCGATGACAGCAATCTTCTTCATATTGGCCATTTCGTTGAAGCACTTCGTTCTGTACCAAAATATCTAGTACTGTATTAGCGTGTATTTGATGATGCCTTGGAGCTTGTGACTTTCATATGAGGGAGGGCATTAGGCTTATGTATAACTGTAGGTGGTAGGAGGAATACCAGAGTCCTGGGAGGTTTTCTACTTCTATGAAAAAGTTTATCGATTTAGATTTCTAAACACTGAGCGATTTGGCTCTACAGAGGCAGTTCGCCAGTAATTGTCCCGATCTTCAAAGACCTACGGTCCTACAATAAGCAATCATGGCTACACGCCACTCAACAAAAGCTTTGCGTCTTCCACCACCACCCACTTCAGCTCAGCCAGTCCGTGCTCAACTCCAGACTCGTGCGCGATCCGTACTGACTCAATTCCTTAATAATCTGATCTAGGACAATCTTTGATGGGGTAGGAGGCTTCTTGATCGTTTTCTGAGTTGTTTTTTGAGTGAAGAAACCTGCATCTATAGTTGGGCGACTGTCTTTGGTGTTTTCGGGCTGAATTGGCTTGATCGGCAGGAAGGTCGGCTAGGTGGGGTGTAGGTGTTCGGAGAGAAACATTGATTTTTGAAAGTACCCGTTCAGGATCTAGTGGAACTAGACCTGCTGCTGTGAAATTAGACTGAATAGTCTCTAGTTTAAAGGTCTCTGTCGGACTTTCAGATATCAGTATCGACTAGTACTCGTGAGGGCCAATTGAACCATCCCAGCGATCGATTGATTGACTGAAGAACTATCTGTCGGCTCCCGTTCAGGATGCCATCTATTCGGGGTTTTTTAGTGTGTTACAGCGCTGCTTTTTCCGAGAATACCCGATTACCATACAAAACAGGTAGGAGATTGGGTATCTGCTGAATCATCCTGCTCCTGATTGTAATATCAGTCTCTCCGATCGACAGTCTCTTCTCGTGCCTGATGATAACTTGCTAGAAAATCTAGCTTATCAATATGATTGAATCCTAGCCGTGCCTGATTGGTAATCAGGCGGTCGTAGGCACGCTTAAGAACAGCAAAACATCCAATATCCAGAGACAGAAGAAGATGGGATATATGTGCTGGCATGCAGAGTGGGATGATCGAGTTTTCAGCACATAGTCGATCAAATTGAGGCGTGAGATGGCTACCATGGCCATCAAGAATCAGAAGGCGATATGTTCCTTTCATCCGAGTTGAGGTGAACGGGAAGAATAGATTTTGAAGCCATCGGACGCTGATTGCATCTGAAGTCCAGCCATTAGCTGAAACTTCAATTCGCCAGTCTTCTGGAAGCCCACCAAGCCAACAAATATTATGGGTTTTGGCTTTGAAGATAATGCAGGGTGGAAGAGCAAAACCAGCCGCACTAATTGACTCGATAACAGTCACCCATTCACGATTTCCAGGTTGTAGAATTGCTTGACGACCATGAAATTCAGCTCGAGTAGCCACCTTTTGTGCTGATATGAGGCCCATCGCAAAACCAGTCTCATAAAAGTTGTATATATCCTCTGATTGGATGCCGTGCTTATTGATAGCGGATTGAACAGTTTTAAACCATTCACGTAAGGCCTTTGGGTCCTTATTTTGGGCACGTTGGTAATAGTAGCGTCTTAAAAAGCGTATTTGAAGTTCTTCTTGGCGATTGACAAAATTTGATGCCCAGATTTTTCCAAAAGTTGGTACAGGAGTATTTCCACGGTCGGCAAGTAGAATATTAGCCATATCCCTCACAGTAGAGAGCCTAGGGGCCGCACCACGTGTATCCACTGAACAAGCGATTCGTCTTCAAATTCAGTCAAATTGTGACTATTAGCACGTGTAGTAGCCCGATATTGGTGAACGTTGACGCGGCCCTGCAGGGTAGTGCGGGGTATCTGTTAACGTGCTGCGACTCACGCGAATTGAGTCGGTACAGCCATTATAAATATATCTAATAGCTAAGGATTTGGCCCTCCTGCTCATTTGGGTTTCGGATTGATTGAGTATGTTTTGGTGGCATGGTGGGTGGTTGAAGATGGTGAGTACGCGTCGGAACGCGCTTTTTGGTTGGGTGGCCGGCTCGTTTGGGAACTACGTTAGTTAACGTTAGGGGCCCTGCTGATTCAGTAGTTGATGCCGTAGGCATTAGCGAGATGTGGGTGTTGAATGCACCATTGACGCTAATAAGTCTTCAACTCCACTCTGATCGGCAAGATGTAACCCTGCTTTATGTAAAGGAGCACGGGGCATCTATAATCTCCGTCTTTCCTTAAATAGTTCTTATTATCGCCTGAATGATCCTTCACTCCGTCTCCCTCCCCTTTTTTACTGGGATTGACTTGTGTTGATCCTTTTATTGAAATGCTATTCACTCCCAATGCTGCTGCATCGCTGCTAGCTGTACTCGGCACACTACTGGCGGATGTGTTGGCTCAGGATGCCGAGGGTTGGTATAAGGCTCATCCAGCCATGGCGCGTATCAGCCATGTGAACCAAGACACGCATCAGATCGTCGATGAATTCGGCCGTACGCGGTTCTTCCACGGAACCAATGTCGTTATGAAGGAGCCGCCTTGGTATCGGCCGTTGGAGTGGGTGCCTGGAGTATCGTCATTTGGCAAGCATGATGTCCAAAACCTGCATGACTTGGGTCTAAACATCGTTCGATTGGGCCACAGCTGGGCTGGTGCAGAACCTGTGCGTGGGTCGTACAACCAGACATTTCTCGATATCATGAGAAAGCAGACCAAGATGGCTGAGGACCATGGCCTCTATGTTTTGGTGGACGTGCATCAGGACTGCCTGTCGCGGCAGTTTTGTGGCCACGGCGTACCTGACGTGAGTAGAGGCCAGGGCATGTTATCATCGTTGATACTGACACTGTTTGTAGTGGTTTGTTAAGGAGGACTGGGTATCGAGCAGCAAGATGTATCCGTTTCCCCTTAAGCTGAACTCGTTCCCTGTGGATGAAAAAGGCTTCCCATCGCCGCAGTCACTTTGCGATACTGTCGACTGGTCTTTGAGTTACACGTCGGTGGCGGTGGGCAATGCGTTTGGGAGATTATACAATAACTATGACGGGCTGGGCGATGCGTTCGCGGCGTACTGGAAAAAGCTGGCATCAGGATATGTTGGGACGACCAATGTTGTCGGCTATAATCTGTTGAATGAGCCGTGGGTGGGCGACACGTGGGCTGATCCGACATTGCTAGTGCCAGGTGTTGCCGACCACAAGGTCCTAGAAGGGCTCTGGAGCCGCGCGGCTAAGCAGATCCGTACTGTCGACAATGACACGCTCATTTGGTTCGAAGGGGCCACCCTGGACGTCTTATCGGGTTTTAACAACGTCCCTCTCGGGGACGGCTCGAAGTCAGTGCATTCATTTCATTACTACAGCCTGCCGCAGCTGGGCTCTATTTACACCACGCTCGACAACCGCCAAAAGGACAACGAGCGCCTTAGGACTGCCGGTGTGCTAACGGAGCTTACATTCTGGATGGGCGACGATAAGCGGATGCAGGGCTTGACAGACGCCATGGCGGCGACCGACACAAATATGGTTTCCTGGATCGGTTGGGCGTACGAGAACCTGTACAATGGCACGTCTGGCCATCCTTACCCTGAACTCGCGAAACACTACAGTCGTGCATATCCCGCAGCCGTCGCTGGCACTCCCACAAGCTTCGGCTTTTCTGAAAGCTCGGCCACTTTCAACCTGCAGTTCACGTCTGATCCCAGTATTGACGCGCCCACCGAAATCATCCTACCCCCATCCACTTTTCCCAATGGGTATAGGGTCCAGGTCTCGCCCGATGGCAGTTTGGTGCAGTACGCACTCGACAGACGTACCCTGGCCTTGTTCACATCCAACAGCGTCAAGAACGCCACAGAAATCTCTGTCACGGTCTCTTGCAAATAATCTCATCTCTACCCTACCTCCAAAATTACTACGTACTCGATGTTACGGGCCGTTCGAAAGAAACAGATTCATTCGGTTCCTACAGACGAGAATCTCGAAGATGAAGAAGGAAGGAGAAACAAAGAAAGTCTGCCAGAAAAAGAGGGCTTAAGTACCCAGCAAACGCGCACCAGCAAACGCGTGGTGCGAAAGACCCAAAATTATGCCTCCGACACCCTTCCACGAGATGAGGCTATTCCCAGGTTCATCCGTCACACCCGTATTATTTTTATTGTTGCTATCGTTAGCATTTCAAATTCATTGTGGACACCGAGCTATCTAGCTATGGTAGGCCGTGTTTCCTGGGCTAGAGACCAACATCTCCGGCGTCTATCAGTCATTGAGGCAGGCCTTCTTCTCCAGCTATTTTGTCCCTTTTCTCGCTCCATAGTTCAAATATAGAGACCCCTGAGATCGCTCAACCGATCTTAACATCTTCAATCTAACACCTGATTCTAGTGGACATGTTCAGTACTAGCCAGTACATCAATTCCTCATCCTGACAGTAGAGTACATTGGGTAGATATAACTAGACCTGGGCAGAACCCATGGGACGGCCCATTCGGCCCATTCGACCCATTTTAGGGCGAAAACTAGTGTACATGTGACTTTCATAATTTATGTACTTTACGCGTGCTCTTGGCTGTAATGCCTTGGTAACAAGAATGATTGATTGCTCTTAGTTATATACGGTCTTCAGTTGAAAGAGGGCATTTTGATATTACTGTAGAAATCAACTATATCTCATAGCCATCTAATAACCTTGAACGCTTTCGAACTCTTCCTGAAACACGCTGTGTGTTTTGCTCAGGCAAATCAGGCTCCTCAGGCTCAGACTCCCCCTCAGGCTCTTCGGCAGGCTCATTAACACTCCTTCGCCTCTTCGAATCATATTGCGCAGGGCCTTCTTCATTATCACTAATCTCCAGAATACCCTCCTGCGTACGCTCATCCATCTCTTCTTGTTGGAGTTCTATCTCAGTCTCAGTTGCGTACTCCCGAACGAAAGCAAGCTACTCCTCTTCTAGATCAAATCGAATCCCACACATAAGAAGCATTAAATCCTGAATAGTACTCGATTGTAGTGAGCCACGGCGATAGTGGCAGATATCACGCGCGGAGTTAAAGAGACGCTCTACGCCTGCGCCTGTGGCTGGGGCAGAAAGGAAATCTCGAGCGAGAGCTGCGAGTACTGGAAATCTGTGTTCATGATCTCTCCAGAATTCGCGCGGAGGCATTGATACCGTGCCTGTTTAAGGTATTTAAATTAGAAAGAGTGTTTGGTTTAAGAATAGATTTTAAAAAGACCACTTACTACTCTCGAGATACTGAGTGAGCTCAGGGACTGGGGCAGTAGACCGACTACCACAAGCGAGTAGTAGATCAATCTCACTCGTAGGGTTCACAGTCTGTAAACCTCCAGTCTGTGAGAGAGAGCTATATACACTATCCTCGTAGTGCTTAACTCGGGCTTCGAGAGCTTGTCTGTATTGGGCAGCAAAGTCTTTCTCGTCATCCCGCCAATCTGAGGTCTGGAAGAATTCAAGCTTATACTGCGGCGCCAAAATAGTCCCAGTTGAGTATATATCACTAAGACCTGCAAGGTCAGTCATCATATAATAATCCCTGAGCTTAATTTCGGCTCCTCTCAGAGCATCAAGCATTTGTCTTTTCCATCCGATCTTCTTCCGTTGTAGCTGGCGGATCCGGCTCTCAAGATGATAAAGAGACGATTGTAAATACTGAAAACAGTATGAATCGTTATGTCTTTTGTTTTTGAGAGAGCAGTTGTGAATCTGTAGAAAGGCTGGGTGATACAGATCAGGTAATCAACCCGCCGCCACTCATTTGATGTGACCTGAAGATGAGAATGATGAAATTCGGAGCAGAATGTGTCAAACACAGGTTGTAGCTTCTTAGCCCGGCGGAGCATTAAGAAGGTCGAATTCCAGCGCGTCCTGACATCCTGGATTGGGAATAATCGAGGTGTATTAGACTGGAGGTTTTGGAAGGATTCCCGGCGCTGAGGGCTTGCATTGATGAAGATAGCGAGGTTTCGGATCTAAGCAATTGTATAATTAGTATATGTTTGATAGGTAGAAAGAATAGTTTAAGATCAAACCTTCTTAAGTGTATTCGCCATACTATACTCTCTTGCTGTTTGGCGAGCTATTTTCGTATGCTCTTCAGACCAGACCGTGTCGACCTTCTCATTCACTGGGTTGGCTTTCATTCGACCAAGGAGCTGCTTTAGGCTCAACTGAATCACATGGGCAAGGCATGGTACTCGGATAATAAGAGTATCAGAACGAAGGCCCTGAGAGTGAAGAGAGTCTTGCAGAGATGAAATAAGAGTCGAATTGTTAGACGCATTATCAGTTGTGACAGCGAACACTCGCTCTTTGATCCTATGCTTTCCAAACAGGTCTGAACAACTGTGCTTAGATAAGCCCTAGTATGAACACCAGACAGAGGCTCAAATCCTTGTAAAACCTCCCGATATATTCCCAATCAGCGTCCTAACCAGACACTGCCATAAAGGTCTGTTGAAAAGGGGAAATTCAAAAATCTAAGCCTATTAAGAGATTTGCCTTTGGTGGAAGCTTCTGAAGTATTTCTTTCTGTCGATCGGAGAGACTGATATTACAATCAGGAGAAGGATGATTCAGCAGATACCCAATCTCCTACCTGTTTTGTATGGTAATCGGGTATTCTCGGAAAAAGCAGCGCTGTAACACACTAAAAAACCCTGAATAGATGGCATCCTGAACGGGAGCCGACAGATAGTTCTTCAGTCAATCAATCGATCGCTGAGATGGTTCAATTGGCCCTTCACGAGTACTAGTCGATACCGATATCCGAAATTCCGACAGACTTCTACACGTTCTGCACCAAGCCGCCTGCCTCTGTTCTATTCAAACCGGATAGACCACAGAGAGCCGACTTCGATCAACTTCCCGCTCCAGTGATACCAATACTTCCCATAGAACGTTCTATCTCCATCAAAGGCTTATCGGTGAGGAGAAAGCAGATACCAATCTGCCCAGCATTTTGTCTCGCCGATTATAAAGTGCAAGGTTCAACCCTTTCTGCCGCAATCTTAGATTTGAAAAACGACACAGCCCGAAGAAGCCAAGATTCTCATCGAAAATACTGCTCACTTTATGTTCAGCTTTCCAGACTGCAATCTTTTCAAGGCCTACATTTGCTCCAAGAAATCACGATTGACGATCTTCGCTTTTCGCCTGATTCAGATCTGCTCGTGGAGGTGGAAAGACTGCGCGGTCTACAAGCTACAACACTCGCTTCCCGGTCACTTTCTGCATGATTTGTCTGACTGGTTTTGGTAACGCATGTATCTCATGCTTAATACTGTCACGAATTTCTACTTTGCTCCACAATTGCCACGTCGTTTCAGGGCTTACAGCGTGCGTCCCTCAGTGTGCGTGTGCGCGAGACGTTGCAAAAAGAGGTTGCTTAACTGTATATGGACTGTTCTGCCACGCATGCTTCTCATTCGCCTTGGCAGCCCCGGGTACCTGCCTTATTTTCGCATTCTTCGGATTATATCGTCTTGGCTTAGGGTTGTAGGGTTATTTGCGCATATTCATGCAGCTTGTGCTGCTTTGATTGCTCCATCATATGCTTGTCGCCTTCCATTATCTTGCAACACGGTGCAGTCTATCGCCACTATGATTCCCTCTTAGTGCGTTTATTTTTCCGTTGCCCCTCCCCTTACTTTTGCATCAGCGCCCACAAAATGTTATCTGATCGAGTTTCAGGGCCGATGCGTGCGACGCGCGCGTCTTCCAGTTTCATACTATCACTCAACTACACTTCCCTTTTGTTCTCGGTTCGTTTCAGGGCCACAGCGTGCGACACTGCGCGTCACCAGTCACTTTCTTCGGACTAGATCGTCTTGGCTTTGGGTTGTAGGGTTTATCTGCATATTTATGCGGGCTACGCTGCTTTAATTGCTTCATAATCTTCTTCTTGCTCTCCAGTTTACTACAACACTGTGCCGTTTATCTTCACGCTAACTGATGGTACGTTGTCTCTTCCCTTTGTCCCTCTCTCTTACTTTTTGTCTTATCTTTCCGAAATTTTATCTGATCGGCTGTTCTATAACTAACGTAATCGGTAAGCGAGTGAGACAGAAAACCAGCTACTACTATTTCAAACCAATTTATTAAACCACCAACGCCATTGATTTCAAATTTCTATCTATTAGACCTATCTGGGCATGTCTCTCTTCTATGTCCTGGGAGCCTGCATATCCCACATCCCCGCTGGCCCCGTGTACGTGGCTGCGAAGCTGACGATTCTGGTTCCGCGGGGGTAGTATTAGGAGCTTCATGAGCCTGGTTCATCGACTCCCTGGCTTCTTGGCCCGTAAAATCCTCCGTATGAGCTACGCGCTTAGTCGTTCTATTGCGTTTTTGCTTTTGTGTCTCGTTTTCAGCCCGTAAATTGCGGACTTCCTTTAGAAGGATTGCATTAGAATGCAATGATTGCTGATAGCCCTTGAGGAGCTGATCAATAGCTTTATTCGTAGGCGTCGGAGGGCTTTGCGAACGTTTCTTAAGCAGTGCCTTGATTGACGAGCCCTGTCGATTCAATTGTTTGAGATTTGCTGGCGTTTTAGGGCTCCACGCGCTCGATTGGCTTCCTGGTCGACTGCCTAGGGTGGTAGGTGTCCGAAGTTGAACATCAAGCTTTGAAATGACCTGATTGGGATCATATGGTACTAAACCAGCTGCGGCGAATGCATTTTGAATAGTCTCTGGTTTAAAGGCTTCTTTGCGAGCTTGTGGGAATGCCGCGAGGAAATCAAGCTTGTCGATATGATTGACCCCCAACCGTGCTTTGCGTTCAATCAAACTCCCATATGCGCGTTTTAGAGGGGCAAAACAGCCTATATCCAAAGGCTGTAGTAGATGAGATGAATGCGGAGGCATGCAGATCGGAATAATATCGTTTTGCTCGCACAATCGATCAAAATGGGGGGTTAAATGACTGCCATGGCCATCGAGAACTAGTACTCGATATTTACCCCTAGTACGACTAGTAGTCGCAGGGATAAATAGCTTTTCTAGCCATCGAAGCCCAATTTCGTCTGTAGTCCAGCCATTTTCACTGATTTCGATTCTCCAATCGTCGGGTAGGTCATCAAACCATGCATATTGTTGGTACTTTGACGATTTGAAGATAATGCATGGTGGGAGTACAAAGCCCGTTGAATCCTTCCCTTGATAGCTGGGAATTTTAGCCCAAAAGAAACGCGCTTTCTCGCGTATAACCACCTGGCTGATAATGATCTGTCCTTCTGCTTGTTGTACCCACTGAAATAAGGCCTTTTCTAGGTCGGGCCAGAATTCGATTCGGATACGCTTGGAGTTGGTTTGGTGTAGAGATAGATGATTATCAAGGCATTTGTATCGTGAGGAAAGGATTTCAGAAACTGAAGATAGAGCAATTGGGTGCTGAAAAGTCTCTTTGAACCAGCGAGCCAGCTCTATATTCGAAGCTTTTGGCTGGAGTTGTCGTTGAGCGCGTAGAGCAATCTTTTGCGAGATGGGGATAGCTGTACGGCGAGGCATTTTGTGATCACGTGGTACCTGGGTATTACGATTTGTTGAAGATTTTTGTATGGGAAAAACAGGAATCCTATCTATTTATACGAATTTCGTTGTAAGGGGGATAATTCGTTATTTGTATGGAATGTTAGAAAGGAATGCGTGGCAAATTCTTTATAACAAGGGATTCGTCTTAGCCGGGTTCGTTATAACCCGGTTTTACTGTAGTTAACGTAATTCACGGTTAAACGGATCGCCCGGTGAAGCGGACTGTTACGGGCCAATCGAAAAGTGCTGATTCATTCGGTGCCTACAAACCCTAATATCGAAGCTAAGAGAGAGAAGAAGAAAAGATCCAGGAACGTAGGAGACGTGTTCTGATACACGCTCCGATAACAGACGCCAAAGCTTATCATACTACGGCCTTAATCCATAATGCCTTAATCTTTGAGGGAGGGCTCCCTCCGACTTCTTCGCCGTCTGATTGGTCCCCAGTGCGTGCTCCCGGTACAATGGTGCATGCCCGGAAGGCCCACACCCCATCAAATTCGCGAAATCCGCCACCTGTTCCGTTTTCACCAGAGAGCGTGACCCTTAGCGCCAAATTAATTTAGATGCCCGCCAGTCTTTTCGACTTATTATTTCACGAAGTTTCACGTTTGCTAGATACATATTGAACGTAACAAGGCATGCTCAGATTACAGGAATTGTCCTAGCTGGCCGCAAACGTTGACACTCTCGTAGTTGAGACCGAAACCCTTGATCTCAGGAATGATACGGAAGTAAAAGTTGGCGGTGTGGTCGGTCTTCACCAGTCCGACATAATCCGACATCGACATCTTGTACGTATCGCTTGCCCAGTCCTGCGCAATAAAGTAGGACATCTTTGTCTGGTGGGCGCGAGTCAGCTTCGAACGTACACGTGTCGTAGCTGCAATCTTGAACCCGGCACCGCTGAAGCGCCTGTTTATATTCGAGCTCTTTTTGGTGCCAGAAGGAAGACTATTAGAATCACCGGCAACGTGTAAGTTGAAGTCTCCGTTGTCAAAAAAGTTGAAGGAGATATCAGAACTATTACCCTGATCGTCAACTGCCACATTACGAGCAATGGTGCGATGAACAAGGGAAGGATCAGAGTCTCGCTTGGTGACGGTAACGTTAGAGACGTTTATTTGCTCCATTGAATCAAATTTCCAGCCCTCGCTGCGAAGAACTTGATCAAGAAGATTCCAGTCAGGACTCGAAGAAAGGTCGCGCTTCACGGCGCCATCTCCAAAGGACTGTTGATAGTCATTCTTGTTAAGGCCGATTGAGCCATGCATAAAGCCCATCACAAGGAAGAGACCGTCCAGACCATGCTGCACGTAGCCAACATATTTAACGCATTGCACGGCTTTCTCTTGTTCGCAGACAAAGGAGGCATAATCGGTTCCCATGTGAACAAATGCAGCGCAAATATGTGTTAGGACCCTTGGAGTATAGTATGCGTAAAAGGAAGGGAAAGGAGCGACGAAGGATAAAGTAACGTTAGGTGACTTACACGGCAGCACTAGTGCCAATTCTCAAAATCGTTTGGCCGATTCTTCTACAGTTCAATCGTGCTTCGAGAGGGTTCGCTAGACTGCGACCAAGAAGCTCATCCTCATCTGAACCATAGGCCGCAACGTCGTGGGCACTATCACCAACTTGAAGGTCACCAGGCAGCTGGGCCGCTGGGACAGCTGAGACTAGCCTAGCAACAGCGAGGAAAGAGCAAAAGTGATTGAAAATCTTCATTGCAAAGTGGTGGTTCTCGAGCGCTTGAAGAACTTTGCGGTGCTTGTTCTTCTTTCTATCGTACTGGAATCCCTCTGCTTATATGCTTTTGCTTGCCCTCGAATCCGAACAGTTTTTGTTTATATTAGGCAGTTTCTCTAAGCTCAGGCGAGTGTGATGTGGAGCTCAGCCCCAGTATCAGAGCCGAGACAGGCTTCATCATAAGGTGAAAGTGTTCTCATGCTCCCACGACACACGGTGGCTTTTCCATATATGGCCTCACTACTGTAGCTGGGCTCCTCTTATGGAGCTTCTCTTTTGCAAATTAACCACAAATAGTAGTGGCCACGACAGAACTGCGGTACTTAGCGCTAAGCTGCCTAGATAAAAGGGCTCTAAAGGTCGCCCCATGGTAGTATTTTCTAAGGATGTGGGGCTATAAAGCCTCCAATAATTCATCTACTGCTATGCGACCCAACGATGCCTGGCATAGTAGTATTTAGCTCCAAGTGAAATCAGTGTCTCAGAGACACCACCCCACTGTGGGCCGAATCATAGCCAAGTGTGCTCCTGGTGGCTCTTGGCGGCTCTTATAGTCGCGTTATTTACTAACGGCCGTAAGCCGGCACTGATATCCTGCATGTGCGTTTGCCTCCAAGGCTTTGGTAGATCCTGCGAGTGGATCATTAATGACCCTTACAACAGCTCGCGTAAGGGGCCTGTGAGTCGCATTATGTGCTAAAAATCAGACTACCTACTAGCACGACGTTGAATAGACGAAGGGTCTTACCGAGAGTGAGTTATTTCGTAGAGTGTAGAGGGATGTTGGATACAATTTGGTTGGTGTCCTGTTGCTTAACCAAGAGGAATTGACTTATCGAGCTTCGGGCTATCCCGAAGATCTCTGACACATTTATGCTTGACGAGCCAAGATGCTAATCGATTACAGTACAACCATCTTGGCCTTGTGGGGCGCGTGAGTTAATTATTCCAGGCTGCAGCACGGAGTACATAGGTTGGTAATGTCTGCGTTTCATACATGAATTTATTTAGCAAGAACTTGTATATGGTACGTACCATAAGATCCGGTCTCGATGGTCCACACCGCCCCGCCCTAAGAGGCCTAGTAGAAACTAGTATTCGAAATTTTCCAGCGACCCTAAATATCTCCCACCGGCCGCCGGGCTTGGGGCTCTGGCCCTCTCACCACTCTCAGTCTTCTATTCTTTTCGCCCCCATCTCATTATTCTATTAAATTAACCGTGGGCTCCGTTGTCCAAGCCTGTTTCTCTTCTTGGTCAACATGGAAAAAGGAGGTCCCCAAGACCCTAAATCAACATGCAGTCGCAACCAGGTAGACGATACCGTGTTTCCAAATCGTCTTGTTGAGATCGCAGACGCCTATCCTGACAATCCCATTGTCAGATGGTTCGTTGTACCATTCGTTAGACACCCCTTTAAGTAAGACATACCTTTTCAGCCTCTGAGGGACTATCGAGCTAATTAAATTAGGTCCATTCTAGCGGTCTATATCTTGCTATTTGGCTCGCTTATTACATGCAACTTTTGGAATGACGACAAAGTCTGCGACGGAAGATTTCTCTCGATGACATTTTATGTGTCACTCGGATTTATGTTATTAATCTGTTACACGGGTTACCTTCGCAGGAAGCTTGCGAAGCAGAGACGTCAGTCGCAGGAGGTTTAAGCTGGTATGGCCTTACAGCAATTTCCTCTACTTGAAGAGATAAGAAATAACCGATCCGATTGACCCTACCGAAGTATTTCGTGGTCCTCCCGTGCCATAATTGATGCCAGCGCGGGCCTTCAGTCTGGGGTTGAGGCGTAATGCACATTGCCTTGGATCCTTTATCGCTTTGGTTTAGATCGTTGATTTCTTAGATTGTTGAGTATGTACTTTCCAGTCCTAGTCACGGTATTTCTGTTACGGGCCCGTTCGAAAGAAACACTTTCATTCGGTGCCTACTTACGAGAATCTCGAAGATGAAGAAGGAAAGAGAAAGAAAGAAAGTCCGCCAGAAACAGAGGGGTTAAGTCCCCAGCAAACGCGTTGTGCAAACGACCCAATATTATGCCTCAGGTATCCTTCCACGAGACGAGGCTATTCCCAGGGTCATCCGTCACAGAAACTACCTAATCCTGATTCAGCTAGTGCGTAGAGCGCCCTGCGTGTCACTACGGAACCGTAGAATATTCTAACAAGCCTAATACTGTACGTCAGGTAGCCTGTACTGATAAGTCTCAATAATACGTTTTCTTCCTATTTGTCCCGGTCCCAGACCAATTCACTTCCGACCACGTTGTCCCAACTGTCATACTATTTTAATACGACACTCCCACAATGAATGAGAATCATTGTGTTGTGACAAAAATAGATGCTCCAACAACCCATGAATGCGTCATGCGCCGAATAGTTTCCATTCCAAAATATGTATTGCGGCAGTGTATTTTCCAACTTGTTGCTATGCTCAGAAATGAATGGTTAAGCTTGCCCCCAAGCCCAGAAAATGAGTGCAGTCAAGACGAGAACGGTGGGGTAGGTTTAGATGCGGTCGGCTCGGGCCAACAGCCAAGTCGACAGTTCAGGCACATATTTCGCGACCATCAACCTCGGGATCCACCTCCAGGGCTTCAGGGGCAGCTGGACATGGATGCCAAGACTTTCAATGCCTTTGCGGGATAATCCTCAGAACATCCGTGCACGAACTATAATTGACTTTTTTGATCAATATAAGGTTCCAAGGTTCCCCTATCCATCTCACTTCGATAATCCTTCCCACCTCATCTGAACCCACGAAGAATTCGACCACTGGCATCCGCGCCTATTTCCGTCAACCCCCACTATTGCTGGCAGGTTTTTCAAGATAGCCTAGAGTCGATCCAAATTTTACACACACTGTCAGAGTCTATTCATGGCCGAGAAATCCTTTCATCTCTTTCCTAGGCTGCCGACAGAGCTGCGACTTCAGATATGGCGCTTATGCCTCCCTTGTCGCGTATGGGACACGGATTGGCCGACCGATGATGGCACTTTTTTTGATGAGCTTAAGGCCGATAGGTCCTATCCCTGCAGGGTCACTCCCACAGCGATACTGAATGGGCTTCCACCCGTCATCGCCCGCGTCTGCCAGGAGTCACGCAACGTTGCCAAAGAATCAGGGGGTATCCTTAAAAGTGATACCTATAAGGACTTACCAGACGATGCTGTTTTTGTCTCTACCACAACTTTTAGGATCGACGAAAATTTCTGGGTAGACACTAAGCGAGATTCTGCGCATCTTAATTGGACCCCTTATTATGAATCAATTTACCAAAACTGCTTTGGTAGTGCATTGGCCTCTCTTGCGTGGGAAAGTCGCCTGGTAGTCGGTCGTCCCTCAATTATGTGCGACTGGTTCGAGATGACGGTCAACAAGAAAGAAGAGAGGTTTGATGTTTTCGAACAAATACCTAGCTGGTGGGTTATTATGCATGTTGTTTTTATCCATGCTAGCTTCCGAGAAGCCGCACACACTGGTTTCTTTGGGCTGCTAGGCGACGCGTCTGTGCAAATTGTCTCCTTGTCTGACGAGGAGAAAGCCAATGCGCTGTACGACTTTGCCGATGAATGCGATCGCAAGGCTTCTTCTGGTGAGGGGATTCAAAGGGTTTCCTTGCAATCCTTGATGCAGGAGCTGAAAGACAGATTTATGAGGCACAGGATATCCGAAAATATATCGTCGAGAATGCATCCAGCTATCATGTTCCGCCTTTGCACATCGAAGTGTAATAGCCTCAACGAGGATTTATCATCTCAATAGTATCTTTCAAAAGGTACTGAATGGGGACCCGAAGACACCGGCCGAACTGTCGGCTGTTGTCGGCAGTCGGTCCGTGTCTCCGATGTTGAGATTGGCTACGACGAAGCACTGAATATAGAATGAGGGCCTGCTAGACAAATCGACCTTAATGAAATTGACGGAACTTGAACTTGTGTTGTATTAAACTGTCTACATGCGATTCTGGGGGTATTTATCCCTGAACGGGCGGCAAGCTCCTCACAGTAGTAAATCTCTCATAATCGATCTCGATCGGGGTTCTTCCATGAAGATCTCCCGAACGTTGAAACGCATACTAAACTCAGTGCCTCCGGTTTCCCTGGGTAGGCATGCCGACAGAGGTTGGGAATGAGGCATCAATTCGGTGCCTTATCCTGGAACCTCAACATCCGATACCCACACCAAATTGACAACGATATGTGGTCTGAGAAAACCGAAAATAGCCTGTGTCACAAGACAAATTGGAAACCAAGCTCTTTGGCCGGAGAGTTCAGGCTGAGAACCCCCGTGAGGCATTGACTTTAATCAAAAATATGAGTGACACTAGATGACCCTAAATGAAACCTCTCTAACTGACTGGTAATTGCTAGACAATTCTGGTGTAGAAGTATTCAAACTTGTTGAACGTCTTGAAGTAGTTTACAATGGTCAATGACAGTGTATGTGCTGAATTAAATTGTGCTGTAAAGGTATATAGAGCTAAGAAAAATAAAAGTGTGAATCTTGTGGACTGTTGGGATTGCGTTTTTATAGATAGAAAGAATATGATACAGTACATCCAGCGACATCAGCAATCTGAGTTGTGGTTAATGATTTGTTCAGGATCATATCTCAAATAAACTCGCGCGTGGAAGTGGGCAATGTCGGTGCCATAGTGCCTTCGTGTCTTAGCAGGGACGTGGTCGGAGGTGCAGCCTCCTAGGCGGGAGAGACAGTTTGGCAGAAGAGGGTAGTTATCAATTTTTTTTGGAGTGGATGTATCAATTCCCATGGCGATGTCTACCTTATGTAATTGGCGGCGTGAAGTAACTAACGTGATTCCTAAACGAGTGGGCCACCGAAACGAGTGGGCCACACATCAACAGTACACTTATTATACATATATATATATCAACCACAACGTACTGATATTGAATTAATTACTGCTTTTGACATGTCCTGATATCATGTCTGTCTCTCGACACCCACTGCACCGTGCTTGTGCCCTTTTTGGTTGTGTATTGGCCTGATTTGTCACCTCCGCTGTGCCCGCTGCTTCGGTCGGAATTGCATGTTGAGGGCTCTCTACCAACGTAGAGGTCTCATGAGCAGTTATACTGCTATTATGAGATATCCGACGTTTAGATCGAGTGCGCTTTTGGGTTAAATTTGCCACAGTTGCACGTAGGCCTCGAACTTCTTCGGTCAAAAGCGCTGTTCTGTGCATATGTAACTCTGAACATTTAACGAGCTGGTTTAACGTGGTTTGCAAGCTAAAGGAGGGCTTTGAGACCCTACTTTGAGGAGGCCTTTCATCAATAATACCCGTCGCTGTAGCTGACGGGTATTTTGAGGTGTTTTTGCAATTGAAGAAGTGCTCCGTCGGCTGGGAGGAGGGGTGGGCGTTTTTAGACGAATAGTCAATTTAGATAGCACGCGATCAGGATTATATGGTACTAATCCTGTAGCATTAAAACCGCTTTGGATTGATGCAGTAATAAGTGCCTTTTGCCGTGCTATTGGATATGTAGATAGGAAATTAAGCTTGGCAATATGATTGATCCCGTTGTGGATTTGCCGTTTAACTAAATCGCCGTAGCCACGTTTGAGGGTGGCAAAACAGGCCACATCTAGTGGCTGGAGTAAATGCGATGAATGTGCTGGCATGCATATTGGTATGTTGTTGTTTTGGTCGCATATTTGGTCAAATTGAGGTGTTAAGTGGCTACCATGCCCATCAAGGACTAGGAGACAGTATTTGCCTGTTAACCGACCTTGAATAGCTGGTATAAAGCTTTTTTGAAGCCATTCGAGTCCGATCTCGTCTGTTGTCCAACCATTTGGGCTAATCATTAATCGCCACTGGTCTGGAAGCTCATCAAACCAGGATTCGATAAAAACCTTGCCCTTAAAGATGATATATGGCGGGAGCGCCCAACCAGTGGCGTTGATAGCTTCAATAACTGTCACCCACTCGCGATTTCCAGGTTGTAAAGATGCCCTCCGACCGTAGTATTCAGCCCTAGTGATGACTTTTGCGGTCGCAGTTAGGCCCATTGCGAAGCCCGTCTCATCAAAATTGAAGATATCGTTAGGTGCGATGCCGTATTGGATAATAACCTGTCGAATCCGGTCGAACCAATCGCGAATAACCTCAGGATCCTCGCATTTAGCCCTTCGATAGTCGTATCGGCGCGTGAAGCGACTTTTTAGCACATCTGAGTGCCTTCGAACAAAGTTATTGACCCAATCTCGTCCGACCGTAAGTGGAGGGTTGGTTTGACGGCTTGTAAGTAGTAAATTGGCCATTTCTCTCACCATATTGACCCTAGGAGGATTTCCACGTAGGTCCATAGAGAGTATCCATTTCACAAGCGATTCCTCCTCATTGGCAGTCAATTTGTGGTTGTTGGCACGCATTTCAGTCCGAAATTGTTGGCCTTGTAGGCGTCTCTGTAGAGTCGTACGCGGGACGGAAAAGACGGTCGCAGCTTCACGAACAGAGGTGATCTCCTGATTTTTGATGGCTTTGATAGCTAATAGGATCCTGCCCTCTTGTTCTGTAGATTTTTGGCCAATTTGAACGCGATTTGGTGGCATTTTGGATGGTTGGAAATTGCCAGAGATCAAAATTGGAGATACGCGTGGATGCGTGGCCCACTCTTTTCGGTGGCCCACTCTTTTCGGTGGCCCACTCGTTTAGGAATCACGTTAAGCCACACTGCCGAGTGAGCCGCCCAGACGATTTGCGCAGTCCGGAGCCGTTTACGGAGTACTCCTGCTGACATGATTTTATAGCGAGTCACTACCGATGGTTGCCACAGAGGTCTACAGTCTGACGACATCTATCGTTGCATCCTAGTTAATCTCTTCTCTTCACCAGATAACCTGCTAGACACGCTAGTTTCAAAGTTGTCGGCCACACTTACCCGTCCTCCCTACCGGCAATCGAAGCTCGAACAAAAAGATCCGTCTCGCAATTAACCTCCCATCTACATCGAGAGACCATAAAAGAGATCTTTTCGAACCATTTAATGGCCTCTTACGACTCCTGCGTTTTCGGCAGCTCAGATCCATCAAGAACTGCGCTGACCCGGGGGGGGCAAGTTTACGACACCGCGCTGCGCTAGCGTCTGCATTCCGTGGATGGTGTCGGCGATTGGGTTGAATCTCTGGCTGAGTGCTATACCAAAGCGACATAACTCAGTGAATACACGCTTTGCATCATCACTTTCGAGTCGATACACCAGTGCTCGGATGGTAGTCAAAACCGCGTCGACCACTTGACTAGGCATATGCTTGAGGCCATATGACTGACGGCGGATTCGAAGACAGTGCGACATCTCTTCTGCTTGTTGAGAACATGTCTGCCGTAACTGAGGGCCCATGGTGCCGTGCTGATCTCGCTTCGTCAGCATCTCGCAAAGGCTCATGATTGCCTGGAGACAATTGATGCTTTGAATGCTCGGGTTAGCAAAACACTTCATGAATAAGGAGCGGGACAATTGTAGTTACGCTCCCTTACCAGAGAATGAGGAGCTGTGGGATCGGTTCTTTCCCGATCTGCGATCCGTCCGGCCAATCTGCCAGCCATCTTTGAAGACCTTTATACAAGTCTTCCGCTTTCGCAAAAGGGCTTCAAACTTTCCGATAAACCTGTCATCGTAGAAAAGTCTTTGCACTTGCATCATGATGTTGGTCAAGTCCGCGAGCCCTTTCCTGACTTGAGGGAGATGCGCTGGCTTCGTGATATACGTGACCTGATTAGACCGTAGGTACAGTGTGAGGTCCAGTCGACATCACGGTTACGAGCTTGCTGAACCCTACATACAGGTGGTGCCAAATTTGCACCTTTCCGCAGCTTCATCACCATTTGCCTGTATGGCCGGTCAGTCGTTACGAAAATTGTTCTCAGGCCAGGGACAAGTGGCTCACAAGTTGAGAGTGAAAACAGCCCAAGCTGCAAGAGCACGGACGCGTTCCATCCCTGAAAAGATAATTTTACCCCCTGGGTCCAGGTGGGCGGCTCCTCTTGGGAGCTCGAACAAACTCAACTCCTCGCCCAAGTGAACAGCTTGCCGCAACATGAACCAGCCTTGGGCAGTATTGCCCTGGCGCGAAACCCTGCGTTCGCATCCAGTCAGCCTCTTGCAGGGGTATGTGCCGCTTCGCTCGATGGGATCACGTACACATTACTCATTAAAAGAAGTGCCTGAATATTCGGTAACGTGGGGCGCCCTTCTTGAGCAACCCACAATCGTTCTGCTTCTTTGAAAAAGTCATTCCCCCGAGAGAACATATTCTCTGGGTCCGAAAACACCCCGTGGCTGTCACAATAGACCTGTTGTGGGGTCAGCAAGCAGCTCACGACATGAACGAGTGGGCCATCTTACGCTTGCCATTGATAGTAGACTGTTCACCAGGAGCGGTGTGCAGAACTCCGAGTCAAGCTCTCCTCTTCATGTGGTCGACGAAGACAAGCTGGTCAACGACCTGTCCACACGGATGGTCCCAGGTAAAATACAGTGACACCAGATGAGACACCAGCTCGCGGTCATCGGTCACATCTGTCCATGGCTTTGCTGGGACGTTGAACAGAGGGATGTCACAGAGACTTTCCAGAATCACTCTGGCATAAGGGTGGAACGCCGCTCGAGACGATTCTATGTGCTGTTCTTCCTCAGTCGACGAGGAGATCAGGTGGAGCTCAGAAGGCCCTATTGACTTGGTCTCGAGCTTTTCCGCGAATGACTGTTCCATATGCTGATCCCCATCGTCTGACACTAGGCGGCTGGCAATGGATAGCGAATTGGAATCGGCGAAATTTCGACACCGGACTGCCCACAGCCAAGGCAATTTCCTTCATGGACCCGTTTTTCGGATCAGATCTGTCAGTTCATGCAACCTGTCTGGATTAGCGGATTGAATTGCCCCTAACAACGATTCCAGCAAATATTTATAATCGGTGAGCTACCGGATCGTTCGTTTGACGGCGACTTTCCGGCGCAGGTCACGACTCGGATCGAATTGACAATCATTTTCGGCAACGGCGCTCAAACTCGCCTTGCACGGGGCAGGTGGTCCTGAGCACTTCATGGGCAGCCAGTCACGGTCAGCGCTTTTCTCAATATCTTTGGCCTCGGAAGTCCGATAATCGCACTGAGCCCGGAGCCCCTCATCTGATGACAACTTACCTTCCTCTTTGCCGATTTGCATGGGAGACATGCAGTGGAATTCTTTTGAGTCTGCTCACTGCCATCGTTGATTGAGGCGCGAACGTGCGTGGCGGACCAGGAGCCAATGGAAGGAACTGTTTGTCATGGTCACTCATCTTCCCTTTCGGCAAAAGACAGCTACGGGAAGATAGGACTGGTTGCGGCCGTGTCCAGTACAGGTGGCTGCTAGTCTACCGCCATCCAAGCTCTGTAGTTACGGGCGATACTGCCTGTGGAAAAAACAAGCAAGAACTAAATAGTCAGCCTGGGTTAGTCGATTCTCAAAGTACGAAGGGTAAGAGGGCAAGCTGACCGTTGACAGTATCGCTCCACACTCCGTTTTCTATGGCTCTAACACATACTCCATGGAATTGCAAACCTCCACAATCTCACCAATGGCGCGTCACATAGGGCGAGCAGTCATATCGGTCTGCAGGCTACCAAGGTCGGTCTGTCATTATATGTACATGACAGTGTGTGTGAGAGGCGACACTCGTCATGGGTCCAGTTAAAGCGATCAAGTTCGACCTGCGGGTGACGAAAGATTTTGAATAATTAAGGACTCACGTCTTTTGGCAAACACAGGGGGAGGGGGGACGATTGGACAACAAACGATGATTGGCCCTGTGGAGGTGCAACTTGTGCTACTGTTGAGCGTACGTCCGTCGACAAAAAAAAAGCACTGAATACAGAGAAACGCCCTGCTTGAATAGATACACGACGTAGGAGAACTACGATGTCGTATCATTCCCTTTAGTCTGCACTCCGGGCGCATCCTTTTAACACTCCCCTCTATCTAACACACTGTCGGACCATCATTTAGGACCTTGCTAATTCTTTCCGCCTGTCAAAATGCGCAAATGCTCCTTTTGCGAGCGCGCCCTGCATCTTCAGGTGTGTTCCGGTGAAGAATATTCAGGTGAGTGGACTGCCGCCAGAAGCCTGCCCAATTAAGGCGGCTCCTTGAGCGCTTGGTGACTACAACCATACTTATTACTGTTGTATGTTTTTGGTCTTTTGGTTTTTGTGATTCATTGGGACGGATGGTCTATGTCCGGTGATGCTATGCTGTTAAGAACAGACTAAAATGCCTTTGACCGGTCTGCCTCTGGACAAATTATTGTCAGTCAGTGATATCCAACTGTGGGGAGCATCAAACCGATGCTGCGACTATCCTTTACCCTCATGCAAATTGACTCCACAAATCACCCAGCTGAACAGCAGCCACGTACTCGGCTACGGATATCTCAGGTTGGATCGAATCGCACTACCCGAAGTGGTAGTCGACGTCGCAAGTTCTGCAATGCGGTCTCCAGCCATCCTGAATCTTCAGCCCAATTATTGCCGGGCGCCGACCACCATGAGATCAATGTGCGTCACCATGCAAGACTGAAACTGGGGGATCACTTTCCAAGATCGAGACTGACTGAGTTCAGGTCCTTCCTGTTGAGTTCCTTGTGGTTGATCCCACTCTTTCAGCATTGGCCAGCCAATATCAGGCAACATTCTAAACGTGGATATCCCTGCAGATATCAGCGACACAAGGTGTGTCAACTCTATCTCAAATGTGAGACATGCCCGATTGCCAACACGGTTCGTCATGTTGTACACGGTTCGTCATGTTGTACACGGTTCGTCATGATCAGCAAGCTCCGCTCCGCACATCTCATGTTGTACAACAGTATATGCAGCGAAGGCACGAACCCCGCCTGCAAGTTGTTCAGCTACTCTTACCTATCTATGCTTCTTCCATGCATAGGTGAGCTGGCGAAAAGTATGTCCACTTTTCCTTATACATTTACCTAATTAGGCGCGCATCAACCACCGATGGCTCAAGATTGGCCTTTTCGCGAGATCCTTAATTGTGATAGTTGCGTTGCAACCAGTGGCAGTACTCAGTCATTCAGCCAGCATTCGGCCTCCAATGTTGGCCGCAAATGGGAAATGCCCACGCATGTTGTGCTTTAATTCAATTATATCGCTGATCTAAAGTTATGGAGCGGGTGTTGCCGAGCTGAACATTCTTGCCCCTCCAACCCGGGTGCATTTGATCATCGGACATCATCCCTCGCATTGTGCATGCGTACGCAGATTGATGAATTACCTTGGAGTCATGGCTGGCTGAACGCGTAGTTTCACAGGCTGGGAATTGTACGGTGAACCTGGCCTTCCTAGAGACCATTTGGTTATAAAGACCTCTTGCTTTCTCGTTCAAAACTGGCATCAGCTTGGTCATCCAGACTATATTCTGGAAAAGTGATTCGACTTACACGAAAACTCCAGTGTGTGCTCTGTCAATTCCACCAACTATGAAGATCAACAACAAGTACACCACTACCCCCAGGCACGAAGAATACTACGTCAAGGGTGCTACTGGGGGTAAGGACCCTAACGGCGAGATTCCCGCGCGTCGGAACATTCATGATTTGTACAAAAGCTATCCAAATCAGTGGCAATTGTACCTCCTTGCGCTGAGGAAGTGGTATGACCAGCCGGCCGACCAGCTCAAGTCGTACTTCCAGATTGCGGGTAGGTACAAATACATGCGACATGAGTGAGAGAACGCTGACCTTCCGCGTCAGGTATCCACGGCATGCCATACCGGCCATGGAACGAGGACCCGACGCAGAAAATTGGATCGGGCCAGACCATTGGGTATTGCACCCATACAACGGTTTTGTTCCCGAGCTGGCACCGGCCGTACCTGGTATTGTATGAGGTAAGTCTCTAGACATGTCCCACTTTGGACATCCTGGACTGACTCGATTTGCAGCAACGCATGCAGGAAGTCATGAGAGAATCAATCCTCCCTGGTATTCCCGCGTCGGAGCGAGACAAGTGGGAGAAGGAAATTGACCTGTTCCGTATTCCGTACTGGGACTGGGCCAAGCCTACTCCGCCGGTTGGCGGCATGTCCAAAGAAGAAGAAAGAAAAGTTGCCCAGGCGTGGCTCCCACCAAGCAGCTGGAAACAGACAGTCGACATCACTATTCCCGGCCACCAGGGAAGCATCGACAATCCCCTTTACACCTTCGTGGTTCCTGGCGGGAAAAGGATGGCCGACTATGGAGTGGGTAACATTAAAACTGATGACCCTGACTTTGTTCCGGTTCGTTTGTCCCCACATAATTACCAAGGTCCCTTCCTCACACGAATCAGTATGGCGAAAGTGCAGGGTTGAGCCGGTGCCCGGAATACAAGTACTTCAACCGGGTCACATACGACGACCCTGACGACGGATACGATGGCCCTCAGTTTACTGCACAGGGCGAGGAAACTAAAGAGTACAAAGAATCCCAGCAGTACAAAAAGGAGCACCAGGACTACCTCACTAAATATCTCGCAACTCTTGATCCTAAGAGGGAAGTCAAGGACACTGCGGACTGGCCCAAGAAATGGAGAGACGGGGAGATCCGTAACGAGATGGTCTACACCTATTTTCAGACCTTGCCATGGGCAACGTTGCTTCCGCCAACTAATAAAAAGGAAGACCAGGAGAAGTTTACAAAATTCAATAAGAATCACCGAGCCGCCGAGAACATCTACCGCTTGTTTTCCTATACAGCGAATTATGACAACTTTGCCACTGCCGGCGGCATTCCAGACATTAGCGGTGGGAAGCTGCCCGAGGGCCAGTGGTACCAGAGTCTGGAGCAGATTCATAACAGTGTACACTGGTGGGTTGGCGGCGTAAACAACGGACACATGGCCCAGGTGCCTGTGGCCTCCTTGTGAGTTTTATCTGGACCATCTATGAGTAATATCCTCCTAACCGCTTTACAGTGACCCGTTCTTTTGGCTGCATCACGCGTGAGTATCGCCACTGTGTTCCTGATGGAACAGATGTTTGGACTTGGGCCTTCGCTGACTTGGAGTCCAGCAACATTGAACGGTTCTACTGCTTGTGGCAGTTCTTGCACCCGGAGGAGTGGTTCGTGAAACGACATGAACCCATGGCTGACACAACTGGAGCTCTTATCGATGAGCAAGGAAATCATGTCCAGGACAAGGAAAAGGCCGCCAAGAGATGGATCGGTCCAGAAACGGAGCTGCACCCATTCAAGAAGGACGCAACTACGTACTTGACCTCGGATCTTGTGCGACACCACAACAATTTTAACTACACCTACCCCGAACTGCAGAAGAGAGGGCGCAGCGATGGGCAGATCAAACAGGACGTTTGGGCCGAAATTAACGAAACCTACTCCCCCTACCGGAAGGAGCTCCTGGGCAACGACCGTGATGAAGACATGGAAGTCGTGGTTAATATTGAATACAACAAGTATGTCTCACTCCCTTTCTCCTTGATATGCCCTCCGGCCTCTTCCTCACATGGTCTTAAGGTACCTCTTCCATGGCAAACCATACGCCATCAAACTGTACCTCATGCGTGGCGACAAGAAGGATCCATCCAATGAGGAGATTTCCGAGATGTTCAATTTTAGTGCGCCTGGCGTCGTGGCCGGAAAGGTTGTCTGCTCCAACTGCGTCAGACAGGAGCAGTCTGAGATGAAGTGTCGCGCCCAGATGACGATCACCCATCTTAAACCCTATTTCCAGATGATCGATCCCCGACTAAACATCAACGACGGAAAGGCAATTGAAACATTCCTGAAGAAGCGCCTCTATTCTATTATCTGGGCTGTTAGTTTCCCATTCTTCTTCCAAGTACAAGGGCGTAAATAACTAACGACTTTTAACAGACATCTGGCCGTCCCCTAGGATGCCAGCTTGGCGATAACAGCGAGAAAGATCCCATCCGCATTTCCGTGGCAGCCACTACGGCCACTTATAACAAGGATCCCACCAAACAGACCACGTTCAATCCTTTCAAGACATTCGAGTCGCTCGCGGGTTCCATCGCCGATCTATTGGTCGTCCCTCCCGGTGCTCTTATCTTGTCTGTGACTGGCAGCGCCATTGGCGTGTTGAATGCTTCCGGTGAGGTAGTGGACTTTACTGGCAAAATTGTGAGCAAATCTCTGGGAGACCTCACGGGCATTGTGAACAAGGACTTTGGTGATATGGTGGAAGCTTTTGGTGGTTCCTTGACCACCCTGGCTACCGGCGTCACCGGTGGTACTGCTGGAATCCTTGGAGGTATAACAAGCGCGGACTCTTCAAAGAAGAACGATGACAAGGGCTCTGGTGGTCGTGGCGGCGGCATTTTCGGGGGCGGCGGTTTATTCTAAATGCGGCGCCATTCTCTTTTCTTTCATATTGTACGTTAGTTAAGCTAATCAGACTGTCAAATTCAATAATTTTTCGGTTTTCTTCCCCTCAGAACCAAATGGCGTAGCTTCCCACTTAAGTATTTGGAGCAGGAAAAGCCCGCCACAATGCGTTTCTCACCAGAGGTCCTCCGTCTCCGAAGTCTACTCAGAAGTTTATCATGACGATGCGTTCATTCTGAATCTATCAATTTGAAAAGAATTTAATCGTTGCGGGGTAGACGTAATGGTTTGCCGCAGGGGACTTCATTTTGACGGAAGGGCCAAGAAAACGAGGCTGCGCAAGCTACGATCTAGAAGAACGCGAATAGCATGAGCGGATATCTGCCCGACAGCTTCCAGTCTACCACATCGAAAGTACTAAGTTACATCAAGTCACTTAGGGAGTGTACAGTATCATTCTCTCTCTCTAACGGGTAATTCATGGCCAGGACCAGAGCCACCCCAGGGTCGCAGGGATTTGGTCTCGTAGATAGAGGTTAAAGAAGATCTGCTTAATCAGAATCCACACTTGAAACTCCTCCAACATCTCTGGTTGAGCCAAAAGAAGGTAGGGAAGTTGGGGACTTTTTGAAGTTCATAATTTCGGCGACAGTGATCGATTTTCGGCGACAGCTAAACCTATTTTGGAATAGTGCCAAGTTAAACCTCTTTTGGTCATTAGTGTAACTTTCTTACTCTTTGATCAGAGATGCATTTTCTGACCTATCGAATCTTGTGTCCTCAATTAGTGCCGCGAACTTATTCATTGCAGCCCCTATTTCCATCCGCCCTGTTGACCATGCCTTGCAGGGGTGAATCCAGCGCTTCTCATCCCCACGTGCGATCGACCGCTGAGGAGCCAAGTTTAACATGACATTACTAGCCACAGGTCCTAATATTCGAAAGCGTGGCCGACCACGAAAATACCCATCCGTGGAGCAGAGGCGCGAGGCTCGCACGATTCAACGACGGCATCAGCGACGGCGACAGTCCGCCAGGGCTGCCGAGGCTGCCAACTATGCGTCTCAAATCGGTCCGTACTGTGCCAATCTCGCTCGCGTACCCGCCGAGCCTGTTGCTGGGCTTGTTCTTCCTACCACTCCCTCTTCTGCCCTTCCCCGAGAGGAACCCACGCTGCCTGGAGACATTCAGCCGCTCTCGCTTCCTCTGAGCCCCACACCAACTGCAGTCATTGAACCTGGAAGTGCCGCTCTCCCTCGATCTCTGTCCGCCGACCCGACCTTTATTTTGCCAGATAGCATACCTGTGAACGCAAATCCAGATCATCATCCGCTAGATCCCTCACGGACTAGCGAATCATCGCCCGCGGCACTGATCAGCGAGGATAACGAAGAATCTCCGATCCGATCCCCTAACCAGTCCGGCTGTGATCATACACGTATTCTGAGCGACACGAATGACGTGTGGCCTGATGTGGACGTGCCAGATCCTGACATCATCGTCGATTCGGATACCGAGCTAGAGAGTCCAACTCCAGACCAAGAAACGAAAAGTACCGGAGCGCTACTCGCGGAACAGCTCCTCCGGTCTCCCGAGTGCTGCATTGATTGCCATACGCGATATAAGCACGAGCGGAACCCAGTCGGATCACCGAGCCACGGTCTGAACGAGGTCTTCAGCTGGCCCTGTCCCGACGTCCTCAGCACTACCAGACTGGCCAGGTCTGGTGACCAATTGATCGAGGACTGGCCACCAGAACAGCGTGAAAAAGTCTTCTGCGGAACCGATGCGGGACAACCCAGCAGCGTGCCTGCTATCTGCTTGGCCCGGGGAGAACAGAAGTTAGGGCCAGCAGCCGTCCACTTCGATATTGACAGTGTCTTAGCTCATGTAACCAGTCCAGCTGTCTGTTCCCAAGGCCTCTACTGGTATCCTGTTCAGCGGCCGGTCTCGGACCTCCAGTCGGATCTTCACTTAGATCCACTCCCGGTTCAGTTCACAGATGGCCACGGTCACCTACATTGCGTCTCAGTACCGCTACATCGCGTTAAGCACTACACGTTTGCCCGGGTGTCGGGATTCGAGGATGCATCGATCTACGCCCTGTTCCCTAGACTCCATCAGCCCCAGCAGAAGTCTAGCCGACTACCAGATGATCAGTTTCGGGTCTGGATAGACGATATCCTCCTCCCAGCGGTCCATCAATACTACTCCGATGCCCGGCTACAGCATTTCCCTTCCAGTTTCAGTCATAGCAACTCAAACTCATGGGCGGCGTGGGCGGAGGGCCGATCGATCCAGACACAGTCCCGTCAACAGCTACTCAGCTACTTTCTGCCCCCCGAGCACCTAGATCATATCTGGCAGGCTGTTCATCAAATTATTCGAGCAAAGGGGCTAGACGAATTCCAGGGGGTTCGTCTTTTCCTGAGTGCTAAGAACCTGAAGCTCCGTACACAGTCCGCGACCTGGTCCGATATGCAACATCGGTTTCAACAGTTATGGAGCAGCACTGCCAACCAGAGTTATATTCACGAGGTCTTCTTTGATATTGGGAAGGAAACATGTCCTATTGCCCCCGATTCTGGCCAGCCCATTCGGGGGCAAACTCTGCTCTGGAAACAATGCTGTCTAGACAAGCTTCTCCGCTCCCCGCTAGTCCAGAACCCGGGGAAGACAATATTTTATCCTTTCTCGTTTCTCCGAGATACAGGGTCCTTGACGATCCAAACCCGGACTAGATCTCACCTCCGTAAGACCGGGCTCCTTTACAGCCAGTTCTACAACTCGGTCAAAGAGATCTTTGCGGCTGGAAATCAGTACCCCTTCAGTAATCCACTGTTAGAGGCTCTAGCCCTGGACCACGAGTCATATCAAACTTGGCAGCATATCGGGAAAGGTTTTCATGACCGAAACACCCTCCATCGCGCGTACATCCACAGCAAGTCCCGGTGTGCCACTGCAATCGATGCATCTATTGGAAAATCTTTTGGGACCCGGGAAGAGCATCGGGTGCGCGAAGACCTCCTGATCCAAATTAATCAGGAATTTCAGCGACGCCGCGCGACTCAACGGGTGGTTCAAAATCCATCAAGTCAACCATTCTATATCCATTCCACTGCGACCATCCTTAAATGGGTCCGGTGGAACATAAATCGGCTATGTGCGGGATTCGAGTTAACAAATAGTCTGCAGCGCCATTCTATGGTGTCCTGGGATCGCACCCAGGTAATGATCCTGTTCCTCCGCTGTCTCCGACGGGCATTTGGCGGAGGCGGGAACCGGTTAGAGCAAAGCCGGGCGTGTTGGCAAGACGTGAAAGAAGTTCCGGGGTCCAATGGCCAGATTCAGTATCGGGAGGGCATTGGACTGGGAACCACTATTCAACGCCACGGCTATGGCTGGTTCCTTAACAAGATCCACTGGGATACTATGGGTTTCCGCCCAGCCCATCGTCTCCACATGGACCTCCACACACCAGCGGTCATGGCCCAGTTTCGAGTCAATTACGAGCGCGTCCGCAAATACCAGAATGATTTTCTTCTACTCGAGGATTATTTTCTGTATATAATTCAGTATCAGCGAGACCATACCGCGTCTACTGCGCTGCTCTCCCTCCTCATTGACTTCTGTCTGCGCGCCTTTCGGAAAGATATTCTGACTGTCTTGCAGGCGGGCATACGCCCTGAATTTCAGAGCATTGCAGAGACTGGGCAGGTAGCGCTCAGCAAGCCCTCCCTACAACGGGTATTAAAAGATACACACTGGCCTCCTGCCATCCTGACTGGCAGTCGTTGTGGCATTAGGCGTGTTGATCATTTATTTGCTTGGCTATGGGGGCTGCATCCTGACGAGTATAGCCGCCTGCACTGGGCTCATAAACCATATCGTACACTGTACCGCCGCTGTGTGATCAAGATCCAAGAAATTTATGGTGAGGAAATAGCCACTTCCTGGCAAGCATGCCTGAAACATCGCTTTCTCAGCACGCATTGGATGCTGCCGTACCCAGACCAACAGACCTTGTTCAGCCGGGACAAGCACCAACGGTATCGCTGGTGGTCGAGCTGGAATGAAGAACTGATACGGAATTCGCTCCCGGCATGCGTATCTAGGTGCCCAATCATTCCCACTACGCAATATGGACATTTACCTCAACATGGCTGGATATCATTCGCCCAGGCAATGCCCTTGGATATCGAACTGCCGCCCATCCCAGGCAATATCGAAGCATTCCTCAAGATGGTTCCCTCCAAACTAGTAGATCTCGGGGCGATTCTCCCCGCCGTTGTCACTATGACCATGGGGCCTCAATCTGGCCACGACTATCAGTTGCGTCCAAGCTCCCTCCGGAACCCTATCACAAGCTCGTCTGGGAAGATGGAGGTCAATGGACCTTCTACTGTCCCCTGCCGGTGGGCTGATTTCCTTGGCCAACTTTATAGTAAACAGTCAGGAACTTGTCTGGCCCAACCTGAACCCCCCGCAGAGGTCAATTCTCCCAACAAACAACCGCACAACGGTGTTTCGAAGAATAACGACTGCACGTTAATTTCCTCTTTTTGGCCGCATTTTGATGGATCCAGTGTTTGTGACCACTGGCCAACGATTCCCCAATCTTGGTCTGCCCGACCGGCCGACCGAGCAAACTTCGAAATACGGGCATCCACCTTCAGTAATCGGAATTATTTTTTCCAGGGGGCTACTGAAGGGACCGGTAGAGTATACCGTGATCAGTGGATCTATGAGCATTTATCCCAAAGGCATTACGAATCTGTGGCTCCCACTCTGAGGCCAAGGCCGGGGCAGCCAGGGTATCGGAATTTACAGAGCAATCATCAAGGAAAGAGAGGGCGGCCACGTATCTATTCTAGTGACGAGACCAGGCGCCTGGAAAACATAAGGAAAAATCGAATCAGAAGGCAGGCAGTTGCTGCCGCTGCCCGGGAGGCCTATTTCCATTCAGTATATAACTAAAAGCTGGTGAATACATATTGTCGTTACATCACGGATTTACTCTTCCAGGTCGCTTTTAGTAGCAACCAGATACATGACACTCTTGCTTGAACCTATACATCTTCCAATACAATCCTATACTCTAGAGGGTGTTCCACCCGGGGCCCGCTCGACTTCTTCGCCCTCTGATTGGTCCCCCGTGCGTGCTCCCGGCGCCCTCGGTGCGTGCCCGGAGGGCCCGCGCCCCATCAGATTCGCGCAGTCCGCGACCGCCGACCGCAGCGGGACCCCACCCCATGGGCGTAAATTCAATGTGCCGTAGGGTTTCTAGGGTTTTAGGGTTGCCGTCGTAAAATGGGTTTCGGGGCCCATTGTGTTGACATTTTTGCTGACAAAGATACCCCAAATTTGAATATGTTGTAAAAGCAATTCGGTTTGATAGTCAGATCAAATTTGAGGCCAATCCATATTGATATAAGCTTGGTTTCTGGGGTTCGAAAACGCCCGATGTTTTTGCAGGAGCGCGCATCACCCGCCGACCGTGGTCCATCCGCCGTACTCCGAAAATCACCCCCATCAGGTTTAGTTCACAGGACTAGTTTTTCGTCGAGATGTCAGAGGTTAATTGCCAGAGGATTGATTGATATCCCATATTTTAAGAGCATCATAGCCCCCATCAAATTCGCGAAATCCGCAACCGCCGACCGCAGCGACCCTGCCGGGCACAGCCATAGACTATTCACGATTCATTCGGCCAAGGATTGCTATATGATGCAGTTGGAGAATCATCCACACTCCGGTCGCACGATCGTACCAGACCTAAGCTTCACCACACCGAATTATCACATTTAGAGTATAGATGTGTATCCCCGTCTTTACAGTATATGTATTGAAGAGGGGAACGCTCGATGGCAGCACGCGCTGGGACGTGCGGGTCGATTCAGCAGAAAGACCACCACAAAACACACGCGTATGTAGGGGTCAGGTCGGGGAGGTGTAAGAAGGTGTATTCGAGAACTGGCTATCCGGCCACCGTATACTGCCGGCTATGTCACATAGTCTGGATGGCACCCATGTAGTAGGGGGAGGGGGTCTCCCCACTACAATATATATCTTTACACTGTCAAGCCCAGTTTGCCGGGTGCATTGGGCTCATATGTGATCTGCCCAGATCGACGTGTTCCTGATAATTCCGAGGCCATATCTGATTTGATTCCCCAACTATTGATCTCTCGATGTCGCTATTTGTTGCATTGCGCTGGAATATCTAGATCGGTCAGCCAGACCTCCGGCAGTCCCGCACCCGCGTGTCAGATCCCGGAGGTACTCTCCGGGATGACCTATCACATCGGCCCCAGTGCCGTTCAACCCCTATTCCCTGCCTCCCTAGATCAAGTTCTTTGAATCTACACCTTGTGTTTTTCTATATCGACCTCACTCACCGCTGCCTTCTCCACTAGCGCTCTCACCATGGACGCCATCGGGGTATTCTTCACATATAATGCCACATATCGGTTATGGATCTGCAAGACCTGTCAATATGTGGTGGATGTCAAAACCATGATTGCCCACCTAGGCGCAAAGCACCGACAACACCCTATGGCCCGCACTGGCGACCAACGGGCAGCTATTCATGCTGAAGCCATGAAGGCGAACCCATGGAACCCTGACACGGAGCCATTCACCCCACCACCCCCTGACTCCCGGCCAATTCCTGGATTAACGGTCCATCGTGGCTACCGCTGTCCCGCCGACGGCTGTCGATACGCGTGCCGCACCCGAAGCACTATGGGCAAACATCGTGGAGATAAGCATCGCGATGCTGTCTACCCCCGGGGGAGGCCACCAGTCGACCCAGATGACGATATACTCCGACTCCGGGCCCTGGAGCCGGTGTACTGCCAGCGATTGCATCCATATGGGCCGCATAGTGTCTACTTCGCTGTCACGCCCAATCCGGCGGAGCTGGCGGACCCCAAGGCCCCGGCCCCGGAACTCGATGAAGCTGCATATATCCGATCCCAGGTGGACTTGGCGCTCCTCCGATCTGATGGGATCGCGGATGCAGAAGACCAGATGGCGCCAACGGACGAGAATGCCACCGACACGTCCCCGTGGCTGGAGCTCACCCGATGGCCTGAGTATGTTCGAGGGCATGCGTTCCGGGACATCGCCCAACTTGCCTCCCACCCGGACCCCATGACCGAGCCAACCTTGGTCGCGATTGGCCTGAGCGTGAAAAGACTCATCGATCGGGCATTTGAGTCGATCGTCTCTCATCGTATCAACGAGTTTGACCAAGTGCGCATCAACAGCTTTGTCCAGAAACCCGGTATCTGGCAGCGCCCCATCCAGATCAAGCTCCGGCCCAAGACGTATCATGGCTACTGCCGGACCTGGGTCCGTCTCCTGAGTTTTGCGTATCGCACGAGTCAGCCCGACCAGCAGCTCCAGCTTCGCCACCAGTTCACCACCTCCCAGCTCAGCGCCATTGACGACATCCAAGGCTCCCTCCAGCGGCTGTTTCATGCGAGGGACCCCGGTTCTATGCAGGACGCCAACGTCGATCCAGGTCTCCCGCCCCGCGACCAGACTCAGACACCCACCAGCCAGGCCATGAAGGATCTTGACCAAGCCTGCCTGGACCTGTCTCTCGCGCTCCTAGACCATGAGATCCGTGGCGATTTCTTTGAGAGCCCTGTGGTTGCCTTCATGGCAGCGCTAGGTGTTGATAGCAAGAACCAGACTTACTTCGAGCCTGGCAGCTATACCACATACCTGTCCGCCTTGGTGAAGATCTCCCAGATGCTCGTCACCCAGCAGGCAGTCGATCTGGCCGATCGGAACGAGGTCAAGCACCCTGGCGATGCGCTTGAAGAGATGCAAGAACGTTTCCTGATGTATGGCGTCCGATATCCATTCAGCTGGATCGCCCGTCTCCGCACCTATGGCAAGAAAGTGCAGAATACATCCACCAGCCTTGGATTTCTCATCTGGAGTGGTGATCAGCAGTCACTCCACTACCGGGATCTCCAGCTTACTATGGATTCCCTGGCCGCCTTTATCCGCACGCAAGTGGAGCTTGCCCAATATGAGCTTGAGAGACTCTTCCTGCTTAATGAAGGTGAAGCACGCGCTGGTACGATCCCAGAGCTGCCCCTGCACCAGCTCACTGATGATCCAGTCAACAACCAGCGTGGGTGGAACTTCCTGAAGCATAGGAAAAACCGCCAGCTTCTCTCCACGCGTGGTGACAGATGGATGCTGGACCGCATTATGGCCACCGAGGCCCTTCGCAAGGACTTTGTTGAGGTCGGCCCAGCCACCAGGACTGAAGTTCGTCCGGCTGTGAAGTGGAATAAAGCTCTCCTCCTGGAATATCTTAACTGGGTCGATGAGTTCTTACAACGGCTGCTACTGCTGGTCCACATGACTTCCGGCCAACCCGCGCGTGCCACTGAACTGATCTCGATTCGGTATTGCAACACCCCGGAAGGGAGACATCGCAACGTCTTCGTGGAACATGGACTGGTCTGCATTGTCACTAGCTACCATAAATCCAAGAGCGTCACCAACTCCATGAAGATCATCCACCGATACCTGCCACGAGTGGTGAGCGAGCTTGTGGTGTACTATCTTTGGCTGATCCAACCATTCGCAGAGCAAGCCGCTATGTTTGCCTGCCAAAGCAATACCCGGATGCGGTCGCCGTATTTCTGGCCGAAGGGGAGGGGGCATTGGGATGCGAAACGTCTTGGAGCGGTGTTGAGATCACAAGGGGAGGCCCATCTGCAGACCAAGCTGCATGTGCTTAACTGGCGCCATGCAGCGATCGGTATTTCTCGCGTCCACCTGAAATGTGGTGGATTCAAGCGCGACTATGGGCCAGATGACCCGATTGTGGATGAACAGGCCGCGCATGGGTCCTGGATGGCCGGAACTACTTATGCACGTGGCTTGAAGGAGGCGCCCGGAGTTATTGAGGCGAAGCGGATCCGGTTTCGGGCAATCAGTTCTGAATGGCATAAACTGCTGGGTTTCGACGCTCCAAGAGGTCAGAAAAGGCGTTATGGTCAGCTCAGCGATAAAGAAAAGGTGCTATCTGCACAGAAACGCCGAAAAGAGTATATCACTATTGACTATAGTGATGATGAAAGCTACTAATATAGAACTGCGAGGTAGATGGCTAGTTAGAGCTAGGAAACCATGCGGTAGAAGCCGACCTGACCTTGCATCACCACCACATCCTTCGAGGCTAATTCTTGGGATTCTAGTACAATTAATACCGTATACTTTGATCGTTTTATCACAATTTTGATTCCTTGTGTGGTTCATGTAGTATAATGCGTTGAAGTTGGGCTTGGGCGAGTTCGTTGAACTGGATTACTTAATCACGGAACCCCATGTTTGTCCTCAAATTAAGCCCGTTTCGCGTTAAATACTCAAAACGAAACTCTTTTGCATGATGACTAACACACCAAGGCCATTGGAACAAATGTATCCTTAATGTGATAGATCTGAAGATAAAGCTGACAGACATCCTCATAGCCCCAATTCTGTCGAAGGTTGGTGACCGGGAACCACGCTAACCCGGTCAGGCCTAGTTCCCGCACCCCGGAGATAAAGTTGATTTAGCGCCATATCCAAACCGACTTCAATCTATACAATCCAATCCACGCTTTTCAACCGCCCGAACCGCAACGCAACGCAACGCAACGCACAGGGGGTAGACCAGCTGGAGGCCATTGGAGAGCAGCCTCGGCCATCAGGGTTGCTCGAATGGGCCCGAGTCGAGCTAAAATTAGGGTTTTTAGGAGGGGAAAATTCGAGTGGCACTGGGTCGCGCAGAACGTTCAAAGCCCCGGTCGCGCATATAAATAGGGTCGCAGGGATCCCAAAAATCAGTATGTTTTATGTTGGAGTTATGTTCATAACATAATTGAAGTTGAGCGCGATCGGAGCATGTTGAGGGTGGTTTTGCGATCGTGAAAATGTGGGCGATGTTTTGATGGGGTAACCGCCACCCGCCGGTCGCGACCAGTCACCACGACCATCGCCGGCCACCACCCCATTCAGGTTA